AGCGATAAACTGCTTTATTCGATATGTTTGAGGTTGAGGACGTCCCTACGGGCGAGTCAGGGTTGAAAGGTAGAAAATGCTTTTGACTCGATACCGAATAGAGTTCCAGATTAGGCTCAGTCCTGTCTGCTGCAAACTTTGACCGGTCAACCCTTTTTCTCCGGCTGGCGGATGTGCCGAAAGCTAAATAACCCTGACCTGACCAGAGACGCATACAGTTAGGTTGAGCCAGAATCGTATGATGTGAATCCTTCTTCGAAGAAGAGACTGGGAAAAGGAAGCTAATCAATAGTAAATGCTGCATCCTACCGCGGGCATCTTATCTGATCAACGATCGATCCACAATAATAGCGCCTCTTCACGTTTCCGGGCGAGATGCTCGGTTGGCCCCAGAAAAGCGTCGTTGGCCGTCTGCCTAGAACTACTGAGAACGATAGATCGTCACTGGCCGGTGTTTAATAAAGTCTCAGACCAGTGGCAGCCATGTGAGCCGGCTGAAGCCCTAAAGGAACCCCTTCCGGCATCCTAGCGGATGGCTGCACTTGATCTACAAGACACACGGAACGGAAACTCAATCGACGGTCGTCATCTGTACCAGCGATTTCGCTCGTGCTGATCACCGTCCGAGCCACGGACTGACTTCCCTTTCAGACAGCCTGGCCCGGAACTTAGTTAAGTAGAGCTGGTGAAACATGCCTTAAGTCTTTCGCCAAGCAGTCGCTCTGCCAAGAACAGTGATCTCAACTAGACTGAAAGGGAGATGAACCCTGGGCCAGATGTATCTATCTGGTTAGTTGAGAATAGCTGGCATAATGCCAATGAGATGACATTTTAACCTTAGTTACCGTTCCCCAGATGCGGCTGTTTCTTCTGCTCCTCAAATACTCCTCGTTACCAATCTTCTATGCCCGCTAGGTACTCGAAGTTTCCGATACCGTGCCGATGAGGGATGGCGGCTGCAACACGGGCATTTTTCGATATTGTTATACCTGTATTATAAGGTGGGGGGCCCCGTTGAGAGATCTCGTTGTTCATGGGCATCAATCGGCGATCAAGCACATCACCTGGAAATAGATAGGGCGGAAATGTCGTTTGCGATGCCCGCAGCAAGGATCCTGGAAGGGAGAACATGTACTGTTCAGCTGGAAGAAGAAGTCTGCTCCGCCGTCTGTGCTTCCCGGGAAGACAAGCGTTTTGAACATCGTACGATTTTTATGTGATTCTGGATCCTCTCGTCTCAATCTTGAATTGTTAAGGGTCCCTAGCGTTCGTTTAAAACCCGTTTTGGTTGGTTGCAAGGCACATCCATGATTCTCGCGTGGCAGCAAAGGGACCACCTGTACGCCTCATTCTGATGGCTCAAGTGGGGAAACTGTGATCTGACAGAAAACGTTTTTGGGTGCCATCTCAAGGACGAGCTCTGTTTTTGGTAGATCGTGTTCTTGGAGGAGTTCGTGGAGTATTATTGTAATCATCTTGTTTCATGCAAGTGATCCTGGTTGGGAACTGCTTTGGCCTCCACTGGGGAATTTCGATCTTCAGCCGTCACGGGTGACGAGATCACATCGTTCGAGAATTCTCAGCCCCTGGAAGAGGCACACACCTCAGATCGTCCGTGTCAAGAGCCTGCCATGTATGGCGATCCTTCGAACAGAATGCACGGGGGCTCCGTAAATCAAATCCCGGTCAGACTCCGGTTGTGCTACTTTGCTTCCATCATCGTTCAGAGTATTATTCGGGAATAACTCTCATGAGTTTGGTATTTTCCGCGCCTGTTGACCGCGTGCAATGCGATGCCTCGGTGCCCCTGATTACTTTGTGATACAGCATCTAACTCTCCCGCGAGACAGTGGCGTTCGTTATTTCCCCAGGACCGCACGTGTGATTTGTCTCTCGACTTCACAGCAGAGCATTTCACAAATGTTTCCGATCCTACTGGCCAAAGGAAGTGGGGCATATAACGCTGAGGTCCGCTTGGGTGTGTGAGCCCGAGACATGCAACTGTCAAAATAGTGCTGCATTTTCTGGGACTCGTTCGAGCCGTATTGCTGGGGGAACGATGGTGTCAAGGAGCATAGGGAACGACAGGCTGATGTGAATGAGAAAGGTGGTCAGCGTCGTTGTCAGGCATGGTGCCGCGATCAGGCATGAAATGCGAGCCAAAATTCCCAGCTTCCGGGACGACGTGGGATTCCGAGTCCTGAGGACGAAAAGGGCGCTCAGAATGGAGCCACGACTCTGGTGACCATGAAGGAGGAGGGGTGTCGACAGCCCTCAAGTTCTTGCGAACACCGTACGGGATAATGAGTAGCAGTGTCACTGGTGGCTTCGGTGTTCGGTGGAGCACACTTCGAAGCCTCCCCGCGCATCGTGGCCTGCGAAATCTTCGTGGTCCAAACAACCCTTGCCATATGCGAGTGGGAATTAGGAGCAGATCTCATTGCGGTCCGAGATGCAAACCGAGCATGGCAGCCATCTCTTTGCAGCATCTAGAGGCTGCATCTTGACGATTAATTGGTGGTCGGGTGACGAACAAGAGGCCTTCATCTGCCTTGGCCCGTTTCTCTTGCACTGAGTGGATGTAACCCTACCTACCCTTGGCCACGACAGTGATCTGGGACTGGGACTGGAGGGAATCGAAAATCCAAGATACCCGCCCTATCACATCCGACGGGTGGACACCGGCCAGGGTTCGTGTTCTGCTCTGCTCATCAGTCGGACGTTCGCTCTGTTGGCATGACGGTTGAGAGAGTTGCTGCTGCTGTAGCATTCATGGCTTTTGGTCACAGTCAGCTTCCTGTTGAGGACGAATCTGAGCATGTTTACTTCCAAAGACCCGGAAATCTGGTCGAGAGGAGTAACAGATAGAATTTGTACGACATGACGAGAGGTAGCCCGGCGATAATGGCAAGTCTTGTCGACCAGCGAGATCCACAACGCCGCCTCAAAAATCGAAGAGATCTGCCGTGTAGCCCTGTGGGTACTGCTTTGGATGTCTGCAGAGCGACGAGTGCTGGCTCACTGACACGTTTGCGTGTGTTACCCGCTGCTGCTCCTGCTGGTAAGGGCTCCTCCGCTCCACTCTGGCTGTGTCAAGGAACGGTGCTTCGCGTACTGTTGCTGCACCTCAAGCTTTGAAAACGCCTCCACAACTAGATGTAGAATGGCCATTGACGTAGAAAGGGTCTTCGTTGCTTTTCCAATCCCGAATCAGATAATCGTTGCACCCGAGAAGGAAAAAAGGGCAAGTGGGAGCGAATTTGGCTTCACGCTGTGGCGCCGTGACACACAACAGCGGCAGGAAACATGAAAGAGGAAGGATCTGGCGGCTTTCCGATCTGTGATTCAATCAATGAAACATTTTCCGGCGCAGGAGAGAGTTGCCGTTGCAGCACAAGAGATTCCCAAGATTGCAGTGCAGACAGCGAGCGAGCCACCGTGGATCGCATCAAAACCCTGCCAGTGCATCGTAAACCCAGTCCGGGGCGAATATTGGTGGAATGTTTGGATTCATGCCGTGGTGTGCGCAGCATGGTTTCGTGATGTATTAATATGCCATGTAACGTGATGGAAATCCTTCTTGATACACAAAAGTTGCGAAGGGATGCAAGAGAGAAACGCCCACTGGTCTAACCTTCCTTCTCGTGCACTTGCCACGCGAGGTTTTGGCAAGTATTACCGGCATCTTTGAACATGTGGAGATCCTTAAAACCCAAAGTGACACCGGCACAGCAGCCACCGAAAAGGCCAAAAGCTTTTGTTGATTTCTTCTCTTGGGCAAGTACTTTGTGATATTTGTGATATCCAGAAATTCTTGTTTTGGGCCGTTTCCAGTTAGGTTCGGTTAGCTGCCAAAAAAGCATATTCGCAGCAGCAGCAAGAAGACTCGGGGCCCGAGAAAGAAAAAAGAGGAAATTAACTTTCCATTCATAGCAAGTGCCGTGTCATGATGTCTGAGTTGCATTTAGACAGCTGCTGGGAGATGAACGTGCAGAACATTGACTTCATGTCGTTGCAAATAAAGTCTGTAAATGACAAGTCCAATGCACGGCCGACAAGGCAAGGAGGGATCCACGGATGTTGCAAGAGACCTCGGGTCAACGAAATGTTAAACACTTATGCTGTGAAGTTCGTATCAAACTTTCAGATGAATCGTGAATGTCTGCTTTGACATGATTTGCAAGTTTAATTGTGTTGAGAAGTTATGGCTCGGTCCAGAACTTAGAATCATCACGAGACTTGAGGCTACTGAGTACCTAGCTAGATTTTAGCAGCTCTGATTTCTAGAACTGCAGATACCATCACTTTTTCATTTTGCAAAATCAAGCAGATGGAAGCTCCAAGCTGGTTAGGGTCTAGAGTAAACACTATGCCAAAACAAGACAAGAACCTATATAGAGTTCTCTCAAACCCGAGATCGACTCGCTTAGCTTCCAACGACGTGCCCCTCCTCCCCGAAGGCGATGACCTTTGACCAAACCTTTGATGCTTCTTGAGGGAGGTGTATGGATTGAGTCAGCGGTCTTTTCGTTGCAACTTGTACAGCTGTAACTATTATGCTCTATACAGAGTTTATTCTCTCACTCAACAGAAGATCGCAAGACAATCCCAACCATAGTCTTTCCTCCCCTGAACTTTGACCTCAAAACTGAGTTTTGGACCCTGTCAAGTACTAACTTCTATCACGTTGACAATGAGTCTAGCTTGGTAAGAGATGGATGATCTGGCACTCAATCTGTCCTATTGTTGTCTTGATACCCAATGGCCTTGTGTCTTGATACACCCTCTTGAGGAACATCCTGAGCCCCGGATATTGAATCAAACTCGTCCAACAAGTACGACCCTGACAGCATCTGACGAAATAACCCCAACAACAACAACAAGAATAACAACACACTCAATCTGACTTTTCAAGAAAACGCCTATTGAGAAGGCGTACTACTACCCCCTTCTTTGCTTGGTAAATTACTGTAGCGCAACCGTTCGTTCGTCAGCGTCACTCAGTTCAGGGTTGGAAGGCTGTCATCGTCTTTGCCGTAAGCTGGCCAATGAGCGCACCGTGGATCTCGTACAATAATGCAGATGATGCTGCTGCCAGATTTTAGTGGAAGGATTGAGGTGCGGTATGGCCTGGCCTGGTATGGTGTAGTGAGGTGAGGCGGGTGTGAGTGGGATGCACACGGCCCCAAATCGTGATCACAGTGAAGACTCGATCGCTTCCTGGACCATGAACCATGCCTGTGCATGTCCATTGTCCCTGTCCCTGTCCATGTCTTTCCGCTCCAGACCCGCACGCTGTACAACGTAACCCGCGGCCATGCTGCTGCTCGTGCTGCTGCCCACACAATCCAATCCCATCCCATACCATCCAGACCCATACCCATACCGTGCGGGACGTCTCCATATCTACGATTCCACAGATGCGACACTGAGCACTCACTCACTCATTACTCACTCTGGCATGCTCACGGCTCTGCGCTCTCACCACCACCACCACCAACGCCCTCCAATATCGCCAATATACTGAGTGTACCAAATCTAGAGGAACACTGGTCCTGGCTGGGGCTGTCTAGCATCACCACCATCCACTATTACTCGATACCGTATACTATTGTTCTCGATTTTTGTGTTGCATGCATTCATCTACTGCATTCATCTACCACCAAACCAACCCCGTCCAAACCCATGCCGGGTCTACCCCATTCGTGGGAGCAGAGAACAGGCCTGACCCCTATCCTGGATCTTCCTTTGTGTCCCTTGTGGCCCTCGTCGTCCTCTCCCGGGTCTTCCACGCTGCCAGCGATTGTTCGACCCCCCGTCCCAGTCTGTTGATCCCGGGTCGCCTCCTCGTCTTCCTCTTCCCTGTGGACCTTCCACCCGCTCCAAGAGGTCTGAAATGGGTCCACGCCCGCCGGGGCCCTGGTCCGTGGCTGACAGGGTTTGTGCGTGCCTTTCTCCCATGTCGCTTCGCCGCTGGATGGCGGGTCATCGAGATCCAACACGATGCCGGTGCTGCAAGAGCCAGCGCCATCAGCGGAAGAGCTGGAGTTAAGTGGGTTGAGTCTTCTTCTGAACGACGGCACAAGCAGCATCAGCATCTCCTCTGCTGTCAGTCACTCTGCACTATCCGCCAGGCAGACTTCGAGACGGGACGAGTGCCGTCGGGTCCTGTGAGTGTAGACGAACAGCGGGGAGGAGAGAAATATGTGTGGAGGCAGAGCTGTATTTTGCATGACAGACGGGACTATTTTTTGGAGACTAGACCATTTCGAGTAGCATCGTGTGCCGCTCTCACATTGGCCCGTAGGATCGATCGACTATCGTCCTTGTCGAGCTTCTCTCTAGTCGGTAGTCTTCTTCCCACTCCCATACGAGTAGACCAGAGAGACCATAGACAAGCTACTTTCCTAAGATCTGAATGGCCGTGCTTGGCATCTACCCCGTGCGACCGCTCTCCTACCGGTAAACTGCTGCGATCTCACACAAAATCGAATCGAGCAGGGAGCAGAGCAACAGACAGGGCCCGCAAAGCTAAAAAGTACATCTCTCGAGGCCGTCGCTGACTAGCTGAACCTTGACGCTTTCAAACCGTCGTGCTCCCGTCGTGAAATATTCATCATCATCATCATCATCATTATCATCATAGATCTCGCCTTTGCCTTCAAGTCGAAGTCGAAGACTAAGTCCGGTAGCTTGAGCCCACGCGCGCCCTATACAGCTGGAAAGGGTCCGCGGCGATCATATCAACCTTCACTTCCCTACTTGATCATACATACCTACTTTGCGACTACTCGTCCCGCCACGAAGACTAGTGGCTAGCTTAGACGCTGCTCATCCTCTTCCTATCGAGGTTTGGAGCATCTGAAGCAGATCTGATCTGGCCGGCCGTCTCCATCTGCCTCCCGCTCCATCAGTCACCCAACTCCCTCTTATACTGTACCGCTGTTGGTCCCTGGTTGATCTCCCATCTCCTAGACTAGACGCCTCATCCTGCTCACCCATCTGACTTCTTCCTCTCCTCCTCGTCCTATTTTCAACAACACCCACACCCAATCGCATCAAGACGGGCAGCGAGGAAACATCACACACCAAAAACATCCATCACAAACATATCCGTACCAGCATCAACACCACCACCACCACCACCAACCCAGATCTACCGCCGCTGCGGCCCCGCCCATTCTTTCTCCCTCCCGAGCCGTGTTGGATTGTCTTGTCTGGTGTTGTGGAGGACGCCAATTTCGACCTTCAACGAGATCTCGTCAGTGCCCTTGTGCGCCCTCCTCCCAGACATTCTTTCGAGAAGTCTCAGTCACTTCATCACTCGTCGCTCCCCTCCAATTTCCCATTTGCGGTGCACAGTCTTCTCCTGCAGAAGCCAATCAGTTGCCGGCAAGCCACTTTCACCACTGGCATTGGGGACTGGCACGTTGCCCACAGCCAGGTCTGGGAGAGTAAGACATCCCAACATCAACATACAAGACATCATTCAAGAAAGTCTCCGCCGCGCGCCCTCGCCGTAGGACGCCCACGCCCACAGGCCCTGGCGACGGAGTGAGATTCGAAGATCTTGCCAGCACCCGCGTGGCCGCGGGAAGTGCCTTGTTGTTGGCGCAATCTCGAGCGCCTTTTTGGCTGCCATCAGTTCGCATTGCTGTTACCGAGGAGAGAGGCAGACGCAGAGACAGAGACAGGAAAAAGAACCTCACAGACGAGGCGCCACCGCATTCTAGTTTATATATATTTAGGTCCTTTGTCTCCAACAACTGCACAATCTTCGGGCCTGCAATCCAGAAATCATCTGGCAGCGCCTTCAAAAGTCCGGAAGGCCCAGCTGCTCCATTGATAACTACCGTACATTCCAGTGCGCTTCCCACGCTCGCACAGGGAACTTTCTCCGATACTGGAATTGAGATCCCGCCGTACTCGAGCTGAGAGGGGCAAGCTGCAGATGTGCTGGTGAACAGGTGTAACGGCTACACACATCGGGAACGGGAACAGCACGATATTGTCTGCCTCCCACGCACGTTCCCGAAGCAGCATCGAGCAGAGCAGAGCAGCAGTGGTCACAGTGAACATCGTTCTGAGGATCTGCCATGGAAGAATTGGATGGTAGCAACAGGCAAAGGTCCGTCCCGCTGCCACACGATTCGCCTCCAATTTTTATTTTATTTTTGTATTTGCCTTTTCTTCCCATGCTAACATCAGCTCTTCTAGTGGCATCCTATCACTCATCAATCGAGAAAAAGTTGATCGCATCAACACAGAACGTCCGATGATGGCAATGGCAACGACAGCAGTGGTCAGCCCGACCTCGTCCATGTATTCAAATGGCCCCTCTCCATATTCTTCTGGTTGGTCTGGTCCAGCTGCATACTCCGTATCGGGGCTGATTTCACCTCCAGAATCGCGGCGGACATCAGACAACAAGACCGAACCTCCTCCACCAATACAAACTTCACAACCACACCGACAATCCCTCCCCTCGATCCATGAAGCCTTGAGCAATGGTCCCAAACCAAATCCATACGCCTCTCCTGTCTCTGCGTCGTTACCAGTGTCGCATCAAATACCATACTCACAACCACAATCAGCGCCTTTACCTCGAGCATATCCTCCGTCAGACCATGCGCAATACCCACCACAATTAGCTCCTTCGCAGACCAGACAACCCTCACCTCCACATCCTGTACATCCACAGCCGAACTTCTCGCGACCAGAACAAAGTGCAAGCAGCTTTCCAGAAGTGTCGAGGCATCCTTCAATTACTTCGCTCCAAGCTGCGCCAGGACCACACAATCCATACGCAGCTCCACGTTACGAGCCTGCGAGACATGAACAAGATCCCAGAGCTCAAGAACGGATACCGAATGGCTATCCGCCGCATCCTCCACCTCCACAGCAACCTGCGTACAATTATGGGCCGAATCCGAACCAAATACCTCCACCGCCTGGACAGCAGGTATCAATTTACAATCAGTCTCGGTACCCACCTCGAGATCCCAGAGAATTGGCCGATCCATGGAAAGGAGAAAAGCAAGAGCCAGTTTCGTTCAGACAAGGTGTAAAGAGACATTTAGATGTGTGGGACTTCGAGAACAACTTGGCAGAGGTAGGCGCATACATGGATTTAGCATAATATATGTACTGACTTCAAACAGATCAATATCTCCAGTAGCGCACTCCACGAATGGTCTGCTCATTACAATGCTATCGCACAGGAACAACAACGGCCTGTGAGCTCGCTCCCTGAACGAATGCCTACATTGGAATCTGTAGAAGACATGCTTCGGCATTCACTGAAGATTTCGAACGCATTGAGCAACATGCAAAATATTATCCGGGATCAACAGGATTCACTCAGGGAACAACGAATGCGAGACCAGGGAGTTCGGGGCCCTGGCGAATACGAAGACGAGATGAGCATGTACGGCGATGACATGAAGAACCACGGCTACGGGTCCGAAGGCAGAAAGCGTCGCGGGGTACGTCTATATCTATAATCCCCATCTTCCATAGCGAAAAGGAGAAAAAAAAGTTAACATTTCCCCCCTTCTCCAGAGAGCCGCTCCCCCGGGCCGCTGCCACAGCTGTAACCGAGCCGAAACCCCTGAATGGAGACGAGGACCAGACGGCGCACGAACCCTCTGCAACGCGTGCGGACTCCACTACGCCAAACTTACGCGCAAGAACACCATGAGGCAATCGCAGGGTTTGAACGGGTCTTCTCTGCGTCCGAGATCGAGGGACGACAACTCGCCGAGACCGCTGATGTGAAAGAGCTTTTCTCCCTAATTAAAGAAACACTATTTTACTTCTGTGTATACATACCACTCATCTCCATCTTTGAGGATGAAGGGACCTACGGATAAACGAACCGATATCCCGGCGTTCGAGGCATGAACCTACATAGGAGGCAAAAGCAACAGCCTTTTAGGGTGGATAAGATTATTATATTGTCATTGTTTTTCATTGATCATGAAATACTTCTCTTAGGAGGCCAGTCAGCAAGCAAGCAAGCAAGCATACGATAGCGAGCACTTCTTCTTCATTTTTTGCTGTTAGGGGAAGGGCATTTTAATGCTTGATGGTCCGGACGGCGTTTACTGGGTGGGTTTATATGGTCATATCTGGATCTTGGTATTTTTTGGGGGGAATGGGTTATTATTACTTATGGAATGGATGAATGGCTTTGAGGCTCCTTGCCTGCCTGCCTGCCTGCCTGCCTGCTTCTTTTCTCTGGGTTTTGAGAATGGATGGATGGATGGGGGATTCTGCATGGCTGGAGTTTTCTTGAGACCTTTTACGGTGGGGGGGAGGGGAAGGATGGAAACAGAAGAGATGATGAGGAGGAAAGAAGAAAGAGAAAGAGAAAGGAAACGAAGAAAAGAAATTCAAATATCATTAAAAAGTTCACCAATTTTTACTCCAAAAAAAAATTTTTTTTCCAATATATTATTTTTCATGTCTTGTGCCTATTCATTTTTATCTTGATTTTTTTGGTTTTCGTCTTGTTTACGATGAGGTTATCCTACGATTCCCCACCCCAAGTCGTGGGAAGGAAATCAGACCCGAAACAACACAACCCTTTCGTTTCCGCTCACCGAGCACTGGCTGGTATCACGATGTACACAAACTCGCTACGTCAAACAGCAGTACAGTACACGAGGTGAGGGGTACCTATTTCAGCATGTTTGGAGGGGGCTGATGAGCTTGTGTCTGCGCACACATACCCATATCATTTCCCCCCAGCCAGCCTCTATCCCAAACAGCCCCCACCTACACACCCACCACCACCATTGGTCTACTTACGAGTGAGTGGTATGTAGCACCGGAAATTCAACCTCAAACCATCTTTCCCCCCCAGGAACATTCCTGTACCGAGAACCGGGAGACGCCACACCTCCTTGCGTCGTCCTCGGGGCTCGGGGCCCGGGGTGGGGTGCTATTCTGGGATGTCTTGCCGCGAGGGAGCGATGAATGGGGTGGAAATGTGATATGATTAGATTTCACTTGGGATATGTGATGTGTCGTGATCCCCGCTCTCTTCATTCCATTCTATATCGGATACAATCTGGGGCCACGAGGGAGGGAGTGGGGGGGTTGTTGTCGTTCACGTGTTCTACTTCTTTGTTTACGGTTGCGCAGAGACAGAGATACATACGTGTTTGGATATCAGCTCATTATGACGAGGGTTGTGCAACGGTGCGATCTGGGCTGGGCTCGGGAGGGAGGGAAGGTGATCGAGGGCAGAGAGAAAGGGAGAGAGAGACGAAAACCGGCTGGGGTGGTACGGCAGCTGCAGGCTTTTTTGAGAGGGTCGGAGATGGCTCCGTGGTGTTGTTGGTGGAAGTGATATGTACGGCACGAGGTTTGGGTTTGTTTTGGGATTTCTGTCATATATCAGTAACGTTTATGATCATGTCAACCAGCCTCACTTGATATGGCGTTGGTCATACATACATACATACATACATACATACATACATGCACCAATACATGATGTATACCTAACCTCTATGTACATATATCCTAGGTAAGTGAGGATAGACGGACGGACGGCTCGCTGCACGAGGCAAACAGGAAATACATGGCCATGCAGGATCGGGATCGAGGGCACGGACGGGAGCACGCATCTGCAGTGTCTGCCTGTGACTTGGTCTGTGGGACGCGAGCGGACGTTTGGTTGGAGATGTGTTTCCGAGTTTGTGGGAGACCAGATGCAAGGTGCCGTTGCGCGGGACCTTGATCCCTCGATGCAATGAAAAAGAGGTGTGCATAAGGATAGTGGTAATAGGAAGCGAAGTGTGTGAATATCGCAAGCCAGGTCAGATGATGAGGTGACTTGTGATGGAGAGAGTGTTATAATCTAGAAAAGAGTTTGAGAATTGTAGTTCGTGATACTCGAAGAATGCCTAGGTATGCGGGAAGATGTAAGTGGGCTTTTTGGATCAGCCACCAGAATACACGAGAGCCGAGCACTGCAAGCAAGGTCTTCTGATTTGCACTCGCAATCGTGAGCTTCCATCACGTCTTCTCGGAGTTGACAAACACTTCTCTCAAGATATCCAAAATATCTTTACGAAGTGAGGTTGGTGTTGATCATCCCAAATAAGCATAACCTCCATTTACCCCTGTCTGATGATTCGGCTTAATGCCCCTCACCACCACCTTCCGCCCGAGACTCATGACATCGTCGCTGGCCGGTGCAGAAAAAAAAATCCAAAAATGCTTACAAACGCTCCCCCACCATCCGCCCGCGACATCGCCAGTCAACATCGACAGAGCCATAATTACTTCTTGCGGCCCCGAAGTACAGCACGAACCCACCATCCAGTCAGGCTATTGCGGGGTCATTCGCACAGCGAGTGAGCGTATGCGCATATTGCGTGCTTGTTGACAACATTGCCAATCCGTGGCCGCTGCTGTCGGAATGGAGACGTGAAGCGCGTGTGAGAGTGGGGGTGCACCTGTTTGTTCTTCCTTTGCAAGGGAAAGAAGGATTCTCTACAAGGGGATTATTCACTGCAGAACGCGATTCAGTCGAAGGGAACGCGAGCGCGGGGGGTCGACGATATAAATACATACCCCGCTATTGTTCGATACAAGAGGACGTCTGTCCACCCCGCCTCTCGTAACAAAGACGCTTCGACTGCTGCAGCCCTAGCATAGACTCGCGTAAACGAAATATCGAAGGATCTGCGAGAGAGAGGATAGGAAGGGTAGAATATATCGAGAGAGGGCTTAGTGCAAATATCCTGTTGAAAGACGGGCAAAATGGGTTTATTGTAAGGAATTACCCAATATGGAAAATGGTTGTCCCTGCAATTTGGAAGAGAAGTACTGATTCGATGCATGTTTCAGGGCACTGGGGACACCTCTAGATTGGCCGGAGGCGAAGAAGAATGCACATCAGGTACGGGAGTGGGGTGTCAAGGTATGAACTCTCTATGGAAACTGAGACATCTGGCTTATGGAAGTCTAGCAACTTCTTGCTATCTGGAATAAGGCTAAAGGCAAAGAGAGAGATGCGTTATTATGGGGTGACGAGGTTGGTCTTCTGCTTGGTTGGCAAAGACATCAGCTTAATGATATCAGATCGAATACTTGGTTGTCAACTACAACAAGGACGATCCCAATGTTACGTTATCTCTACGTCAAGCAGATATTCTCCATGCTCTCGCCCAAGATGAGGAGCTCTGTGACAATGGAGGTTGCGTACCGGATTTGCAGAACGTGAAGAGAGAACAGTATGTACCTCCGTCTTGACATTGGCCTACTGTTGACATATCCAGAGGACCTCCACTTCCAATCTTCCATCCTGAATTTGGTCGATTCATGCTGGAGGCTACTCCTGGTAAACCATGGGGAATTGGATTTAAAGATCTCCTAGACGTTGAACCAAACATGAAACTCAGGTAGAATGCTCTATATCATTCATGGATTGATCTGATACCTAGTAGACGTAAAATTGCCAAAGAGCATATGAATGCAGAGGAATATCCAATAACATTAACAACATATCCACGATTAGGGAGTCCTGGTACCTTCACTTCACCATACTATCCCCCTTCTGGACCAAGACTAAGGTCCCAATTTGTGCCCGACGAGATTGCCAATCCCCACATCCGTTTTCCAACTCTAGCAGCAAACATTCGATCTCGGAGAGGGCGAAAAGTTCAAGTCAATGTTCCAGTCTTCAGAGATGAGAATACTCCTTGGCCCTGGAAAGACCCCACCGTCAACTATGATCTTCATAATTGGCCTGAAGATCATGACGTTCGAAATGGAGCTTCACCAGACAATTTCATACATATGGATGCAATGGCATTTGGTATGGGAAGCTGCTGCTTACAGATCACTTTTCAAGCCAAAAACATAACTGAAGGAAGGAAGATGTACGACCAGCTCAGCCCATTGGGGCCAATTTTACTTGCTTTAACAGCAGCAACCCCGATTTACAAGGGGTTCTTAGCAGATACAGACATCAGGTGGAATCAGATCAGCTCTGCTGTGGATGATCGAACACCGGAGGAACTTGGAGAAAAGGTCAGCTAGGCACACTTATTTGAAGAATCTTGACTGACAATCCAAGCCTCTCAAAGAGAGTCGTTGGCGAATGCCCAAATCACGCTATGCCCCTAATTCTACATACATCTCGGAAGACTCCAGACTTCGGAAAGAGTATCTAGACCCCAACTTGGTTATCGACCCAGATGTAAAGCAACAGCTTATGGATGGTGGCATGGATTCTGTCCTCGCCACGCACTTCGCGCATCTCTTCATCCGTGACCCCATCGTCATCTTCGCTGAAGATCTACAAGAACTTGACCTCAGCAAAACAGACCACTTCGAGAACCTCCAATCAACAAACTGGCAGCACATTCGATTCAAACCCCCTCCAGCAGGCAACGACATTGGCTGGCGCGTCGAATTCCGACCTATGGAAATCCAAGTCACGGATTTCGAGAACGCTGCATTCTCAGTATTCATGGTTCTCATCACCCGAGCAATCCTCAGCTTCGACCTTAATTTCTATATCCCCATCCAAAGGACAGATGAGAACATGGAAACCGCCCATAGGCGAGATGCCGTCTTAAACGACAAGTTCTACTTCAGAAAAAACCCCTTCCCAACCCGAGCCCCACGACCCTACTCCGCCAACGGCGGCTCCTCGTCAGGAACCAACACACCCGCAACCATAAGCAGACCACCCACCCCGACCGGCCCCGTCGAAGACGAGTACGAATTAATGAGCATCGACGAAATCATGAACGGCAGCCCATCCTCCTCTTCCAACGACTTCCCCGGCTTGATCCCCTTGGTAGAAAGCTATCTCGACAGCATGAACGTGGACGTCGAGACTCGCTGCGAATTAGCCGCCTATTTGGACCTCATCCGGAAGCGGGCAAACGGCACGCTCTGGACGGCGGCGAAGTGGATTAGGGATTTTGTTGCGAATCATGGGGAGTATAAGGGCGATAGCGTGGTGGGGGAGAAGGTCAATCATGATTTGATTGGGGCGGTTATTGCGATTGAGAGTGAGAAGGGGATGGGGGTTAGGAACCTGGATCGGTTTTTGGGGAAGATGGTTGGGCCTTGTGGTGGTGGTGGGTAGATGGGGCATAGATAGCGTTGCTTTGCAGCCTTGTGGGTGTGTTTAATGCATTTTCTATATTGCTACGTAGTTTGGGTTTGAGTTGCGGGAAAGTCGTTGCTGTCAAGTCCTAGTTGGATAGACAGGAAGTTTCTTGATCGAAGTCGAAATCATGAAGTATACAAGGTGGCAAGTGCTATATGAACTTCAACACATTCCTTCATTGGCCGCTACGTAGGAAAGAAAGCTGAATGACGAAAGCATAAACCCCTTCGAAAGTTTTGTTGCACATCGCAATTTTCCTTGCAGCAATAACATCACGAAGTGGTCGTCAATGTCCCTTTCATTTACAAACATAAGCTTGAGAGACTTGGCCAATTAGGGGAGAGGATATGTTTTGTTGCACGTCGCACCGATTATGGTTGTTGCTGTTGGTGTTCCTGTTCTTGTTCCTGTTCTTGTTCCTGTTCTTGTTCCTGTTCTTGTTCCTATTGCTGTTGTCAAGCTGATTTTATTGAATGTTGGTCATGAAGTGGTTGTCAATGTCCCCTTCATTTACAAACATTGGCTTTGGAGACTTGGCCAATTGGAGGAGGGGATATATTTTGTTGCATGTCGCATCAACTATGGTTGCTGCTGTTGCTGCTGCTGCTCTATTGTAGGCTAGTTTGTTGAATGTTAGACATGGTAATAAAATATCAAGTCTGACTTTAGTCGATATCATGCAGTCAATGTCTCCCTCAATTACGGACATGGGCTTTAAAGAATTAGCCAATTAGAGATCAAAAGATTGTTTTGTTGCATGTCGCACTTGTTGTTGTCGATATTTTCGATATTTTCGCTATCATCGATATCATCGTCATTATCGGTGCCGTTGCCGTTGCCGTTATTGTTGTCGTTGTCGTTGTCAAAGAAAAGCTGATTTTATTAAATATTGTACATGGTATTAAAATATCCATTGTGGCTTTGATAACCGCTTCTTACTAGCATAGCTATTCTCCTCACCTACAGACATTGGTCATCTCACAGATTTCTTGGCTAAGAAAACAAGTAAGTTTGGCCTTTCAGAACTAATACTATCTTTGTTATTGCCCGTCGCACGGGTTCTCAGAATCTGATTTTATTTATCATGGGAAATGTTGGTAAAGTATACCTATTGCAGAACTATTCAAAATAGTACGATGTATTCAACCACAGCATGGCTTCCTCTTTGCTTGATTTCGTTTCTACGGAGTTGATCCAAATGGTTCTTTTCAAGAACTGCATATATTTCAACAAGTCTTCAGCTTCAAGACTCAGCTTCAAGCCTTTTGGATTCGTCATTAGCTGCAAAACCACAAGTTACCCATTCAAAACGACGGACTCCTCTCCCTCGTCACCCCATCCGACCCCCAATCTACATCCTCACCCATCTCCCCCAAAACACCCTGCACTTCATCCTCCCTCGACCTCGCCAACTCCCAAACACTAACCTCCCTCCCCATCTCCGCCACAACGGCCAACCCCTCCGCATGCAAAATCCCCATCTCCCTCGCAATAGCCCTCAACCTCGCACATATCCACCTCTTCTTCCTCTCCCCCTCCTCATCACAACCCACCATTCCCGAAAGCGCACACCGGTGCAGATTCCACATCAGCATCTCGCCGTTCAACGCCCGAGGCGGTGGCCTAGTCCACAGATTGTTCTGGAGTTGTATGTGTGTGTTGAAATGGAACAGCACGGATGCTAGGATATCGTTGTTTAGCTCTGAGATCCTGGATTTCCAGGTGTAGATCTGTAAATCCGTGTCCGGATCTGGAGGAGTGAGGAGGAGTATGTATGTGCACAGTAGCTCGAGAACGAGGGTTCGTGCACAGCGGTAGGAGTTCCACGCCGATGCTAGAAGCACATCAGTATAGACGTGATATGTATCTCCGTAAATCTCTCTCTCGTCATTTTCATACTGCCGTTGTGTTTCTGGTGTTGGTATGATCTGGTATTTGTAGCCGTCGGGTAGGTTTGTGGCCCACTTTTCGAGCTGTTGCTCGATTTCTGTGGCTGCTTTGAGGATTTCGGTGACGGATGTGGTTTGGAGGCGGGCTCGTAGGGCGGCGAAGCGGGTTATTATGAATGAGAGGCCGGTTGCTGCTGCGTGGTCCGGGGATTCGTGGGGGAGGGCTAGGAGGGAGAGTCTTGTTATAGAATTTGGGATTGGAATATTTCGTTGGACGCAGGTCTTCATCTCGTTGTTCTTAGACCTAGGTGAGGAAGGGATGGGAGGTCACTTACGAATTGGAAGCGTACTCGGACGAATATCCGACGTCCGGTAGGTGTTTGGAGTTGGCTGTCTCCGCGCAAGGAAAGGAGTGACGAAGCACCATTTGCGTGTTGAGCCCAATATTTCATTGAGCTTGGTTTGCTGGAGCAGTTGGTCTGGGACAAAATACTCAAGTTAAAACCTCTCCAGAATAGTATTATCAGATAATGAAGCCCAGCTATGGAAATCAGGAGAAATGTGTACATACCTCGTATAGGCCTAACAATAGAACCGAAACAAGGACATCGTCTTTCGTAGCTTCATTGACCTTTGGCAACAACGCACTAATACCACTTACTGCCCTCATATATCTCGCAACCGCTTTCTTCATCATCAGACTATCGCGTCTCGTGTTAGAGATTCCAGCAAGGCCCAGTGCTAGAATAGCATCGTCCAAACAATTCAACCTGGCCCTTGACCCTCCCAACATCTCAGGCAAGTAAGCAAAAAGCCCGCCGTCTTTCATTATCGCGTGCGAAAAGTCCATCCCATAGTCTGGATCTTCATAAGCATAGTTTCGAAACACATAACAAATTCCTTGTTCCTCTTCACTTGAATGTTTCAACAGAGATTCAAGCCTCCCGACTCTCTCTTCTCTGAACTTGGTTCTCGGATCAGGCTCCAATTCCCCTCCCATTTCTTTCCACTTTAACAAGACTGCTTCTCGTGTAGGAGCGGGTTTCCGATTTTGGCCATTTCTAGCTAATCTTTTGTTCTCGTTCTCGTCTCGAAACATGAGTGTGAGAAGGTCACGATACCCCGTACAAACTCGACAACCTCGGACGCCTTGCTTGCACGAGGGACGAGCTTCGTCACACTGTCTTGGTGTCAGTCTGTATCATTGCCTTATGAAGATATAATGAACGATACATACTCGTGTTCGTCGTCTTCGACACTCATTACATGCCGAGCTAGGTTTTCCACAATAAACCATCTCGTGAACAAAACCTAAAGATCTACCTTTTCATCTCAAGTGGTTGTCCAAAATTTAGATCAGGTACCAACAGAAACACTTAATAATAAGCTTAAGAAGCCTCCGCTACTTATCTTAACACTAGTACGAACCCACCGGTGTTCTCCCTGAAGTCCATCTTCCTCGAGAAATAACGTGTAGTAATCAGATTGCTCCTCTGCCGCACGCAACATCTCACATAATCGTTTCCCACCATCTCAGCCTAGCATGAGTCGAAAGAGCCCCCATCTGCAGGTCCGCGGCGCATTAAGCTTAACCTGCACGTCGGGTCCAATCCCAACCCCGTTCCCACACGGAATTGAACTCCTCGTCTGCATACTATTTATCCTTACAGTCGGCAAGAAGCCCGGGTGTATCGTGTTCGGATTCATTCTTCCAAATCACCTGCGATACCAGGGAAAAGTACAGAGATACTGAATCTCGGTGAGAGCCAGAACCAGGGTTCGCATTTTTGTGGCTTGACTTTGTGATTACTGTGCAGGAATGTAATCTTATTATGAAAGAGTGGCGAGGATGGCACGTGGCAGTTATCTGATTGTCAGATTGAGGATACTATAAGTCGTTGATAGGTCACCTCGTACTTGCGCTGTTGAATTCCTGTTCATCATTGGTTTGAAGAATGGACATTGGAAATTGAAGCAGAAGATGGGATTTGTAAGTCTGAGAGCTTAGCATCCTGGTAGAGGTTGGATCATCGAGTGATGGGACGAACCTAATGCGAGGGCCAAACCTGTAGGAATTCGACAAGCATATGGAGTTCTCCCACTTTCATCCCAACTCGACGTCTATTTACCATTGCGCGCTACCCCATATACATTTAAATAAGCACTTTGACTCCCATAATTCAATAAGTCCCATGGTATAACAGTAACACACTCAAGTAAAAGGTCCCCCCTTCTCAGACGCGCATGGAATCCCCCGTCTTCGAGCAATCGATATAGATGGGACATGAGAGCTGCGGATGCGAGTTCCGCTTGGACTAATCTCAATTTTTTGTGTTTTTAATACCAGAGTTAGAACGTTCTATTCAGTTTCTATTCTATAAATTCTATACTCCAAAACGCCTCCCAGTGTCAAATCCAATCAAGTCCTTTCTGGTATCGTCCCACCCAACCTCACCTCATCACTCCTTAGCAAACTCCTCGTTGTAGGAGCCGCGCTCACCATTGACAAGTCCGCTAGCTTTTCAGTAGCACTCATCTCGCTCCCACCAGTCCGCCTACGACTCAAACTCCTGATCGAATTTGTCCTACTCTTGGCCATCGTAAAGAACCCTTGTTTCAATCCCAATCCCCTACCTCTCTTCTCTTCCTCGCCAACTCCTACAATCTCAAACAACTTGAAATATCTCTTGCAAGCTTTCCAAGCCTCGATCCCAAGAACAAAAACTAGCACCGCTCCAGCTGAGAGAGCCCATTCCCATGATATTCCGACGTGCTTGAAGACTTTGGTGTTGAGGCCCGGAATATATACTGCTGGGAAGACAGACAGGGCTCCAATGACAACAGCCCAGAATAAGAATCTGTTTTCGAAAATGTCTTTGAAGAACGGAAATCTGCTCTCTGATTCAGGATTCAAGCGGAACATGCTTCGTCTGATGCTCTTGAATTCCCAAGCACTGACCAAAATCAACCATGTCAGCTCCGCAAAAACTGCGGCTCTAGCCCTGAAGACAGGCTCGCACGTATCCTGGTAATTATCCGTGTTGTAAGTCCTGTTGCAATCACGGCCAAGACGGCCGTCATAAACACCATAGATGATAATTACGAAAGTGAGGAGAGTGCAAGTTCCCATCAAAATACCATAGACGAGCATGTCGACCATTATCTGAGGGGTAAAGACTCCGAATTTCATGCTGTGTGGTGGGCGACGCATGATATCCGAACTTGCTTTCTCTCTTCCGAGACCGAACGCCGGGAACGAGGAGGTAAGCATATTGATCCAGAGAATTTGTAACGGCGACAAAGGGAACACAGATTGCGAAGACCTGTCCTGGAAGCCCAAACCAGCAATCAAGAGAATCACTTCTCCAACGTTGGATGTGAGGAGATGCATGACAAATTTTTGGATATTGTCGAACATGCGTCGTCCTTCTCTGATGGCAGAGACGATACTGTTAAATTTGTCGTCCGTGAGAACAATCTTTGCTGCCCCCTTGGCCACATCACTACCTGTCATTCCCATAGCGATACCAACATCCGCTGACGAAAGGCTGGGGGCGTCATTAACTCCATCTCCGGTCATGGCCATGAAGAGACCGCGACGGCGGAGCGCTTCGATCATTCTAGTCTTTGTATTGGGGGCGCAACGAGCTATGACGAGAGGCAGCTCGGGAAGAGCATCGATCTGAGTGTCTGTCATAGCGTCAAAGTCAGTAGCTTTTTGGATGATTGCATCAGATACGTCCTTTGGTAGGATGCCAAGATTGCGTGGAACAATTCCAATCTCTTTTGCGATTGCGGTTGCTGTAGCTGGATGATCCCCCTGTTTTGGAATTAGTTTTGCTTTACAGACTTGGATCTGGTGTACTTACGGTAAGCATGTGGACTTTGATGTCTGCTTGAGAACATTCTCGGATTGCTTCTTTAGTTTCCTCACGGGGAGGATCATAGATTCCAACAAGTCCAATCAGAGATAGTCCTCGTTCAATCTTCGGCCTCATGACCTCGTCGCTGTATCGAGCTGGATATTTTCCGTAAATGGTTCCGGAAGCAACAGCAAGAACTCGTTGGCCCTGTTCAGCGAGATCGTTCATTTGGTTGAGTACGTGCTTTCTGAAACCTTCAGTAAGAGGTTCCTCCTTGTGGTTCCATCGGACGGTCGTGCAAAGATCAAGGACCCGCTCAACAGCACCTTTGGTGTAAACAAGTGTTAGTAGGTCGTCATCTGTGTAGACAACAGACATGCGTTTGATGTTGCTATCAAAGGGGAACTCTGCAACTTGTCTCCAACCCTGAGATTCAAGTTGCTTTTTGCCGTGGTTGAATCGGTGAGCGAAGACTTGAAGAGCAATTTCAGTGGGTTCTCCTGTGGCTCGCCAGGACTCGCAATTTTCGCTCTCGATTTTCTCATGTGAGACGGTGGCTAAATTACATAGAGCGATACCTCGAAGGAATTCTTCAAGTTGTGGAGTCAACTTTGCGACTTCGTCTGGTGTTTGAGTCCAACCTGCCTGGTCTTTCGCAGCCTTCGCAGGAGGTATGTCGAATTTCAAAGCGGCCGTACTTCGTTCTTGGTCGTAATCGGTTTTCTCTGGATCGGACGATGATTCTGATGATTGAATTGAAGATCTTCGAGGCGCCTCAGGCCCTAGAGTGACATTTCCTTGTGTTGGATCGCATGGATCTGTCGAATTGTTCACGGTATACACACCAGTTCTTGGCAGCCAAACTTTCTTGACGATCATAGCACCCTGTGTAAGTGTTCCAGTCTTGTCAGAGCAGATATTGGTCACACCACCAAGGGCTTCGAGGGCCGAAAGATCACGGATGACCACGTTTGCTCGTCGCATGACTGTCATGCCAACAACCATGGTAATCGTCAAGACGCTACAACTATCAGCACAATGTGTATTACTGATTATGGGTTAATACTTACGCAATGAGAGATTCTGGGATGATAGCAATTCCGGTAGAGATGGCGTAGATCGCAACTTCGTCCGTGACGTTGAATTTATTGACACCAAAGACGACAATAGCAAGCAGTATTGCGCAGCCAAACAGAATGTATGCGACTTTGGACAGCTTTCGTTGAAGAGGGGTACCTTCAGTTAGGCCGAGAAACTTGCCAACGAAGTCGTAGATTCGTCGAGTGAGACCCTTTACAGGTTGCGTTTTGCCGTATTTCTTGTAGTTCATGGAACGTCCAGGTTTGCGTTTCTTCTTCGTGGTCGATGATGCGATCTTGCCAACTTCTGTTTGCATACCAGTAAATGTAACAATTCCTCGACCACGTCCTTTGGTGACAGTCGTGGTAGAGTACACCATGTTGAACCTATCGCCAATGCCGACTTGTCCTTCCTCTGTTGCCAATTTGTCTCGAGATCCAGGCACAATGATGTCGTTTTCGATACGTTTCTCGACGGGTTCTGCCTCGCCTGTTAATGATTTCTCATCGCAGTTGAGGTTCATGGCTTCAAAGATTCGTAGGTCCGCTGGAACTGTGTCGCCCGTCTTCAGAATCACGATGTCTCCTGGAACAACTTGCGCACTTTGAGGATGTCAGAGTTATACCAAATGCAGAAGAAACACACATACCTTGGGATGACGTCAATTCGCCCATCCCGTAGAACAGCAGCACTTGGTGATGACAGTGCTCGCAATGAATCCATCTTCTTTTCTGCTTTATACTCTTGGAAGAAGCCAATGGAAACATTGAGGACGATGACAGCTGTGAGGACTCCCCCCTCGATGTAATCGCCTACACCGTAACTTAAAGCCATCGCAAAGACAAGTACCTACAATATCATTGGTAAGAATACTCCTCGAGTTGGAAACCACTTACCAAAATCATGGCATTGCTCATCTGCTTGATCAGAATCTTGTACCAAGCAATGCCACCACCTCCTTCCAACTCATTTGGAGGACAGTCCCTTTGCAGATCTGTCACTTGCCTCTTACTCAACCCAGTCTCAAGGTTCGTGCCTAATTGTTGGGCTATATCAGGGACTGTCAACAGAAAGGGATGGACATTTGTAGTCTGGTGTGGTTGTTGCTTGGGTGCCATCTTGACTGCGTTTGTTTGACACGTGTATATTTTGACTAATACAATAATATCTATCGAGTGGTTCGATTCCTAGTCAAGGGAATCGTAGGGAATGGCTTTGTTTTGCACAAAGAATAGGTTGATGTTTCTCAAAATCCCAAGGAGGAATTACCCCGCCATATATATCCCCAGACGGCAAAGACGGATGGAAGCCATGATAACGGAACGTAGAAGCTCCACCAGTCCCAAGGAAAGGCCAAGGGCTTACATGCATTCATCATGATATCGGTGATAGTCGGCGTTCGTGTAGTGGGAGTGACAAGAGACTAAAGGCTTGGTCTCCAAATCTCAACCAGTGTGGTTGAGCTAAGCGAGCGGAAATTCGTGGCGGAATCTGGGAGAGGCTTGGCGTGATGGCGTGAGGAGAGGAAATGACTGATAACGGAGGCGGAAGTGGCAAAAGAGGAAAAGCTTTATGACGTGATTGATGTCATTGGCTGATAGAAGTGTTCTGGAAAGCGTCAGATACGTCATGTGACGCTTGGCACATGATTTAGCGTCCCAAGCAAAAATGCCAAGGCTAGGCGGTTCTCGGCAAGGTGTACTACGAAACATTTTGGTTGATATCATCATCCAACGCTTGATTGACGTTTGTATTCGAGGAATGCTTTCTCGATTCATTTAAGTGGATAAGGTCATTTTGTCGAGGAGCTTTTTTAGCGACTAAGTAGCACTTTCGGTTGCGTTGACAGATTCTCAAAGAAGAGTTCTCGTTATGCCTCTTGTTCTGCCAGCCTCTACCTTTCGATGTTCGCACCAGCGGAAGTATCTGCCTGAATAGCTGCTCGTATTTAACTATTCAGTGACGGGAAGGTCTCGATGTTGTTCAATTTTCCGTTCAGTCGATCTTTTCGGAACAAATTTCTCCGGCTATGTATCCCAAATCACCCGCATTGCGGGGAAGTCCAATGAAAGGACTTGAGAGGACCGCTTAATTATAGAAATGAGATTTTGGTGGGATATCAACACTGTAGCCCCTCTGGTTATAGTTGCCTCATATATGAGCGAGTAATTCTCATGTCAAAGACGCATCAAGATCTTCCAGCAATTTCAAATCAGAATGAAGACTTTCCAAAATCTATTTATGCTCATTGGAGTCATTACTGTTTCTGCCTCTCCCCTTCATAAACCGAAACCATCTTTTAATTGGCATAATACTGAGTTCTTGTAAGCTACCCTGTTCAGACTTCAATGGCTTGCTGATTCAGATGTAGACTCGCCTTCGGTGATTCATATACTTATGTTCAAGGAACTGCCGGACTTCAGAATTATTCCTTCATAGGAGATCTCCAAAACTACTCTTATACTCCACAAGAGCTTCTAAGCGATGAGATTGTTCAGAATCAGGTACATCATCCAAAGCGTGAAATAGACCATATTCTCATCACATGATGCAGATCGGAACAAGTGCTGGAGGCCCGAACTGGGTCGAATACCTGACAGGTTGCTTCTCAGGTCTGCCTTCAAGATGTAAAAAGCAACTTTGGGACTTTGCATTCGCTGGCTCAGATGTATCCACTACATAGTGAGTCAAATATCCGGCAAACCGTCATTTCTAACAGAGTAATAGCACTCCGCTTCACCACAACTATACTGTCTCTCTCGAAAATCAAATAATTCAATGGGACACCTATGCGAAGTCGGTCATCCCAGTTGATCTGTCGAAAGCCCTTGCCGCCATCTTCATTGGAATAAACGACATCAGCGACTCCAGCAAGTACACCTTCCCTCTGGACAATGCTACAGACTTTCCTTCCTTCTACACAGAAATAATCAACACCGAGTTCGATTCCATTGAAACCATCTACAAAGCCGGGTATCGAAATTACCTCTTCATGAATCTTCCGCCTCTGGAACGAACAGTATGAGACTCCCTCTCTTTCTTACTCTACCAGATATTAACTTCTTTTAGCCTGGAAATGTTGCCAGCACGCAACCACTGCCGAATAGCACCATGGTTCATCAATACAATTCCATCATCAATTCCACAGCTCTCGCTTTCGAATCGTCACATCCAGGAACAAAAGCGATGGTCTTTGATACTTATGCGTTCCTATCTGGGATCTTGAATGACCCTGCACCCTATGGACTTAAGAACACCACTGGTTACTGTCCGAGATATGATGCGCCGGATATTGCGACTAACTATGCAGCTTATGGATGCCTCCCGATTCCTGAGTATTTCTGGTATAATACAGGTCATATTACGTGGAAAGTACATGAATATCTTGCGCAAGCTGTTGGGACATTCTTAGAGGAGCAGACTTGTTGATCATTTCAAGGATAGTCACGTGTGTGGCCGTTGAGTGGCTCATAGAAGGTGCCATGGAATTCTTAGATGATTAATTTGCTAATTCAGATCTTTACGGCGTGCTTTTCGAGTCATTCATGACCAAGCCATCGAAGACCTTGTTCGAGCTCAACACTGAGTCAAGTCCCGTGATCCGCAATCTCAACTGTGACCCAAGCTTTCCCGTACATTGAAGTATTTGCGGACCGAAGCGGTATCAATCAATTTCATACATATTACATCTCGGAAAGCTAACTATTTACGGCCGTTATGGAATCAGCTTGTTCACTCAACACCAAAACTCCAAGTGAGACGGCCGACGGATCGCGACTCGGTAATCTTGTCAGCACTCAAACTACATCCGACCCACAATATCACCTTGCTCCCTCCCTGAAATAAAACAGATTTCAAAACATTCCGACCATGACACCTGTCACATCCATATCGTCGGTATCGCCATTGCGATATGAGTCTTGCATTAGCGTGCGGAAACGGTGCGGTGCCGAGGGATATCTGGAGATCAGTAATCAGCAGGATAATGATGCCCAGCTAGCTGTTAGTCAACTTGGCTAGAGGCTCGCAAAACTATCACTGTGATTGGGCTACCCGTAACCTTCTAGAGATCGCAAGTGCGAGGGGTAACAATGTTGATCGTCCTTGTTGCCGGTATATTCTTGTCTTTGTCTTTTGTTGTTTCTGAATTCGAGCACGACTTATATTCAACTCAACAAAATCTTCACTACTCTGTATTATTTCCAGAGCGATCCAAGATTTTTGCATTCATCAAGTAACATCCGCGTCTTGGATAGTATAGTATACGTCTTGCGCATCCCATACATCAAGCTCGGCATTTTTGTGCCGGCAGAGGTGCGGATGATTACTATCCACATAGAAACTCAACAATCCGGCGTCAAAGAGGCGTGCTCAACCGGCAAGGATAACTTGAGGCACAGCTGGGGGCTGCCATGAGTGGGCTTTGTAATTGAAAGCTTGATAATTCATCCATGCGGAGTCCGCTTAACATGGCGAGTATGTTATAAAGTGTTACACACCCTTCTATCTTAGCCTTGTATCTGGAGTTTAGGGAAAGTATCAGACTTCAACATGGCAGCCTCACAGCAAAGCTTTGGTACTGGATCGATGACAGAAGAAAACGAAAAGAACATTCCCGATCTCGAAAAGGCCAACAACGAATCCGCAAATGAAGGATCAGACCTCGAGAAAGGAGAAGAAAGGCCAAGTGCATCTGCTCTCCTAGATTGGGACAGTCCAGATGACCCTGGAAATCCAATGAACTGGTCGAAATGGAAGAAGCGATACCATGTTGTGCCTCCAGCTGTCATCTCCTTCTCGGCGTGAGTATCCCCAGCATCTCCATCAAGTATGATCTAACGAAGACAAAAAGCACTATCGGTTCCTCTATCTATACACCAGCATTTCCTGTCATACAAGAACAATGGGGCGTCAGTACCACAGTCGCTCTCCTCCCCTTGACGACCTACGTCCTGGCGCTCGCCCTGGGACCCATCATCGCGGCCCCGATGTCCGAGACCTATGGAAGACATATCGTTTACTTAGTCTCCGTCCCTATTGCCACTCTATTTACTCTTGGTTCTGGCTTTTCACAAAACATCTGGACATTATGCATTCTTCGATTTTTCTCCGGCATGGCTTTCTCACCTGCTCTAGCAATAGGCGCTGGCACCATCGCCGACATGAACAAGAACGAACACAGAACGATCCCATCCGCATTCTACGTCCTAAGTCCCTTCCTCGGCCCATCACTAGGGTACGTCTATCCTCTCCATCCTCTCTCCTATACCAAGCTAACATCTAGACAGTCCCGTAATCGGGTCCTTCGTCACCGTCCGTAAAGGTTGGCGCTGGACAGAATGGACCATAATATTTTTCGCCATCTTCTCCTTCCTCCTAACCCTCTTCGCATCCGAAACCTACAAAAAGACCCTCCTAGCCCGCCGCTCCAAAGCCCGCGGTCTCCCACCACCACCCTCGCCATTCCCCTCCGCTGCCGCTAAACTGAAGTTCATGTTCACCGTCACGCTCCTGCGTCCTCTCCACATGCTCTTCACGGAACCTATCGTCGCTTTTTTTAGTATATATGTAGCGTTCAATTTTGCTGTTCTATTTTCTTTCTTTGCGGCGTTTCCGTATGTCTTTGAGTCTGTCTATGGGTTTGATACGGAGCAGAGCGGGTTAGTTTTCCTGGCTATTGGTATTGGATCTGCATTAGCTGTCCCCACAGTCATTGCATGCGATGTGTATCTTTACCAGCCACATGTGAGGAAGGCGAAAGAGAACGGTGGGAACGGAGCCGTGGCGCCGGAATACAGATTGTATCCTGCAATGATGGGCAGTTTCGGGTTGCCGATTGGGCTTTTTGTGAGTTTGTCCCTGCCAAAGACTGTGGACGTGAAGCTGACTTTGGAATAGTGGTTTGCGTGGACGGCAAGGAGCGATGTGTCGTGGGCCAGCCCAGTCGTGTCGGCAATTCCTTTCGCGTGGGGAAATTTGAGTTGCTTTATTGCTGCTGCGAATTATCTGATCGATACGTACCAAGCATTGAATGCTGCCTCCGCCTTGGCAGCGAATGGCCTCCTGCGATACGTTCTTGGTGCGGTGTTCCCGCTATTCACACTGCAGATGTATCGCAATTTGGGGATTGACTGGGCGACTAGCTTGCTGGCATTCATTTCGGTTGCATTGCTTCCTGTTCCTTGGGTTCTGTTCATCTATGGAAAGAACATCAGGGCTAGGAGTCAATACGATACTTTGAAAGTTTGAAAGAAAGTTGTACTTTGCATGGTTGTGGTAATATATATAGCAGATAGAATAGAGCTTGGTTTTTTAATTGAAAGAGGAGCAGATTTTACGAGGCAGAGGCAAATGCAAATAATTTGCACATATTCCTCCTTATACTATTTGCTTTTTACAACACTCGCTGCTTCAATGTTAAAAATTAGACTTTGGAAGGTTTTAGTTTTAATTTTGTGATAATTTGATATATTTTGCCTTTTACACTATTATATTATTATATGTGCAACTTTTATGTCCTAAGTTCCGCCCGTAAAAAACAAGGTTGTTGATTGAGCATATCCGGATAAAGGAGAGTCATCAGACTTGCGGGGATAAACAGACTCCCTTGCCTAGCCACAAAATGTTAGAGTTGTTTCTGATGTGAGATATACTCAAACGAATGCGAGTGGTGTTGATATCCAACATATCCAACAAAAAGATAAGCATATGCAGCTTACTGATGCAACGCATATGCACAGGCGAGCGAATAGTCTGTTGAACGATGACCGGACCAACATTCGACTACCGTTTCGCGAAATCGCCTTGCATGCAGGTGAGATGCTCTTAATTACATAGCTCGACACAGCATACGAAGTACAGTTGCTTTCCAGACATCAATGCCCATCTATCTTTTCGAGGCTCAGAGTCTCGGTAATCTTTGAACTTGTGGCGTCAAACGTACCGTCCTGCCTGCCATGCAGAATCTCATCTTCCTTGGCATCGCATTTGCTGGATTGTTTGGTATCAGATATGCCTTCAAAATATTCATTGCACGACGAGCATATGTTCAAGCCATGCACCGAAATGGCTGTAAGCCAGTGCGTAAATGGCTACGCACAGATCTCTTATTTGGCCTTGACCGGATTAGACGAACGAAGAAAGCGATGAAAGATGGAAATTTACTCGAAGTCACCCGTCAGGATTTTGAGGCCTGCGGGAAAACATTTGAAACTTGCGTCATGGGGGTGAGAACGATCTACACAATGGTAAGCCCAACTTGTGAAGAACTCGTTCTTTCGTATTTTCTCTAGGGGACCCAGTTCCATTTACAGAAATGTCCGAAGATTCACGAGAGATGGAGTACTATTTATGGAATCGAGGACTCAGGTATGCTAGGTTGCTAACTCTAAGGACTCATCGAACAGGAGTGGGCAAATATACACACAGTCCAATCAGTCGAATTTGAAAGTTGGGGTGTCCGACCTCTGCGCGCAAGCATTGCTGCCATGATGGGAAATGGGATCACCGTCTCCGATGGTCCAACTTGGAGCCACGCAAGAAAAACATTAAGACCAATCTTTCAGAAATCCCAATTCAAGGATTTGGAGAAAATGGCGTTTGAGAAACACCTGTCGAGAATGTTGAAGCGTATGCCGAATAACGGTTCCGCTGTCGACTTACAGAAACTCTTTCAGAGAATGGTAAGCACAAAATTCAGAAATCTGGAACTGTCACAGAAACTGAACATTGCATCTCAGTTTATCAACGTGTCGTTGGAATACATCTTCGGAGAAACAAGATTTTCGGAGCTTGATGATTCCTCGCCAGACGCCGATCAATTCGTGGCTGATTACAACAATGCAGTCAAGACCATTGCAAAAATGAGGGGATTTGGCATGAACATGCCATATGATCTCTCTGCTAACAAACGAGCCTTGAAAAAAGCCGTGGAAAAGTTACAACCTTACGTCGACCAGCAGATCGCTGCCGCCTTGAAGAAGAAAAAAGAACGTATGATCGATCAACAATCACAGCCCAACGAGTCATATGTGTTTGTCGAACAACTTGTTTACGAAACTGAGGATCAAGGATTTGTGCGAGATCAACTACTCAATATATTTTTCCCAGCCCGAGATGCGTCTTCAGCAGGCGCGAGTTTTATCTTTTTTATCTTAACTCGGCATCCAGATGTCTGGGAGAAACTTCGGACTGAGGTTTTGGGTCATGAGAAACCGATGACAAGTCGATATTTGAGTCATGTCATAAATGAATGTGAGTAACAGGGACTTTCGCTTGGAGAAGAGCTTCCTATGTCTTTCGGACGCTTTACATTTGTTGACACTTCAGTGAAGGCCTTCGGCTCCTAGCTCCAGCCAGTCGCGCAATTCGAACTTGCATTAAAGACTGTGTACTTCCATATGGTGGTGGTATAGACGGTCTTTCTCCAATCTACGTCTCTGCTGGGACGAATATCGATCTGCATTTTGGTCAACTCCACAAAGACAAGGATATTTGGGGGCCAGATGCATTGGAATTCCGCCCAGAGAGATGGGAGAATCTTGATCCCAAAGTCAAGTACCAACCCTTTTTCGCTGGTCCTCGTAAGTGCCCTGCATAGCAGATGCTAATCACGCAATATGGGTATTTGCTGGTGAGAATGGCCAAGCTGTTCCAGAGGATTGAGAACAGGGATGAAGTGTTGGAATTTGTCGAGGAACACAGCATGACCATAACAAGCCGGAATGGTGTTAAGGTAGCACTAATTCCAGACTCTAACTCGTGAAGGCTCTCTCGGAGAAGTCGAAGGAAGATAAGGAGTTGTGCTCAGCGTGATCAATGGATAGAGGAGATGTATCTTGGAAGTCCGTCCACCTGTAGTGCAAAACTCAGTCGAACAAATATTTCACTCCGAAACCGACTTAGGTACAAGAGAGAAGCGGTGATATTAGACTTACTTGTCGCCCTTCCGAATGTCCCACAAAAGCAAGTAGTTTGGCATAGTAATATTCCTCCATTCGCTTATTCTCATGAGCCTCACCAGCCCCTTTTCTTTCGGCTACCCTGCGAGAATCTCTCAATCTCAGCTTTCACATCAATCATCAGCTTTGATGGGTGTTTAGACGTATCAATAAGTGTGGCAATATGAACCAATTTTCTAGTGTATCCATGATTACTTCATGAAAATGCTAGCGGGTTTGCGCGCTGAAATTCATGAGTGTGGATTTCACGCAACTTTGGGCCCGAACATTTAAGGTCCCGAATTATCGAAAGCACTAGGTACATCATGATGTCAAGCACCTTCTATTCCGATTGATGTTCCAAGAGATTGTTTCTAATAATTGTCTTTCTTTCACTTTTTTTTTTATCTCGAGGCGAGTTATTCAAGAGAAGCTCAAAAATATCTTCCGGCACATTCATACAACGAGATAAATTGGCATAGTTATAACCTCAGAAATCAAATCGACATGAAGACCCCAGGCTTTTTGAGAAGGCGTAGGGATAGCCAGAAAGAACCACCCCCTTATACGGAAGACATCGCGTCGAAGCCCACTCGCTCCATTAAAGCAACAGATTCCCCTCAATGGCGCTGGACAGAAGCACAGTGCCAAGAGTGGTTCGCTGCGGTCTTCGTTCGATTTCTCGAGAAATCGCCAGAAGAAGCTGCACGGTTATCGCGCTCCATAAAGGGCTGGGGTCCAAGTATATACAGTAGGTCGCGCTCTGAAAGGGTGAGGTTGTTGGGGGAAGGAACCGGATTAGCGATGTACGCATGGGTGATCAACAGAAAGCCTTGGAATATCGTGAGTGACCTTGGACGAGAAGGCATATTTTGAAAGCGGTGATGCGGAAGCTAATCCTCATGGCAGACAATGAGTAATTCCTAATGGTATGGGCTACTTTAAAGATGGCTTTCTGAATCCAAGAACAGTGGAGGTGGGAATACATCCGATTGAAGAGTACAACATGCAGCAAAATCAAAACCTCGCAGAATCCAACTAAATTATAAGCTTTATTCACTTCCAATTAGAGACTACAACGTGCAACAAAACTCATATGAAAACAACTATGGATATAGGCGTTCAATGGCCCTCCGGGCGATTTTGTAGGCCCACTCTCAGACATTTTCACCCGGACTAGGTTTTGAAAACGAAGGCCACCAATTCCAACAGGATGAAAACATTATTGGCCGGAAGTACATTGATGACATATTAGAAAGTACGACACGCATGAGATTTTTATTACTTGACAGATTCAACTAATGTCGCACAGAGAGCACGTGATCACACGCTCTGGGCACAGCACGTGCTGTGCTCTACCGTATACAACGAGCTTCCAAACCTCACCTCCTGAGATCTTCAGACAGACCTAAATTCAAGATCTTTGCACATATTATTTCTATGCTCGTACCACACATTAAGCCTACGTCAGAATACAGTGTGATAACTAATCTGAAAACGACAATCACAACTTACATGCCTGACTACACTTTGAGCAGGAATACTCAGCAATGATCGGTGTTTTCACTCATTAACAAATGTAGCAAAAAAACCAGATTTCGAGTGCATGCATGCATTACTTCATGAAAATGCTCCACGCCTTGTGATATGAACTTCCCACAACTCTGTACATAACAAATGTCTCCACCAGACAGGAGAATACCCTTGAACACCGATGCTCCCGTAGCAGCCAGTTCATGCATCGTCCCAACAAACGTCCGAACCTCCCAATACCCGCCCTTCGCTTGAAATGCAACAAAAATTTGGACGCTGATGAGTTTGATCTGGCCATATCTGAGTTCTGAATCTTTTATTCCAGAATAATACACTAAACCGTTGATCCTCATCTGGAAGTACTCCCTTCTGGGAATATTCTGCTCAGACTTCTCAGCACTTCTTGCATAGGCAGATCTCGCGTGCCTATTTCCTGTTTCTCTTTCCTGTCTCTTTCTTCTAGTCTGACGGCGCTCAACGCTAGTATTTTGTCCGCAACCTTTCCAACAGTATTCTGGTACTGCTCAAGTTTGTGCACTCCATCCGAGAATTGGTCAACCTTGAATTCCAACCCGGATTGTAATGCTTGCAATCGCTCAGACGCCTGCTTTCGCAGATCAAGTGCGGATGAGGACGAGATTTCGGCAAGGATGGCAGCTTGTTCGGGATCGAGGAGCGAGGCGTCTATTCGAGAGGGTTCGAGGTCTGCAGTCTCATCTGGAAACAGAGGTGGTAATGTTGGAGGTGGTTTGGCTAAAGCTTTCCATTGATCGCGTTCTTCTCGGAGTCTAGACATCGAATTAGTTTGCTCTCTGCAGCACTGATTTACGAAATACGTACAATTTCAGTCTCGCTTCTAACCCTATCAGGTTCTCTTCCAATTCGACATTTCTTGGATTTGGTGTCTTGATGACCTTTGCTGCAGGTACTGATTCTTCACGGTTGAACCAGTCCGAGAATTCCGACTTATTGGCAAAGTCTTTAAGCAGTGTCTCCTTGATCATTCGTGCTGATGCTGTTAGCTGTGGATGGACAAACGTGACCAAGCAAGACTCACCTGCTAATTCAGCCCCATTATCTGCGCCATGTGCTGGCTTCTCTCCCATACTCCGTTCACCAGTCCATGTCAAAAGCTGCTTCATTCTCCGAGGCTCGCTCAACCCCTCAGCTTCGATATGCTTGTAGAATTCCGAAGTCTCCACCTCACGATGTGGAATTGCGCTATGCCCGTTGTCTATCAACGAGCTCGCTCTTCGCCCTCGAAGACCCAGACTACTCCTCCGCGCACCATTTCCGCCCTTTTTTCGAAGCTCCTTATTCCGATTTATGATAGGAGTGTCACTAAACGGCAGCGCAATCACTGTAGAATGCTTCGTAGGATCTACATTCAGATCCTCCGTCTGGTTCGTGACTGAGCCATTGACCATCTCAATCTTGTCGTAGTCGGTATGTTCTAGCTGTGTAGCATTTCCATTGTTGGTTGCATCCGCGGCCTTTCCTGTCGATGAACGCGTAGTCTTTCTTTTCTTTGGCACGACTATAGCATCATCTTCCGGTTTTGGAGTTGAGAAGCTCATCTTACGCCCTCGAGGCTTCTTAGCAGTCGTGTTTGCCTCATTGTCGCGCTCTTTCGTCTCTTTGGGCTCCTTCGGTTTCCTACCCCTCTTTGCGGACGGTGCTGGCGCTGGAGTTGGAACCGGTTCTGGCTGAGTGGGTGCTGTTTTTGTCCTTTTTGAAGCGCGCGTGAATACAAAGTCTCCATCTTCCTCGTCATATGCTAAATACCAAATCAGTATACCAGATTCCGACAATGACGAGACCGAGGGCATCCTACCAGCAATCCGCTTGCTTCTTCTCCTTCCTGTGGGCTGATTGCTACTCATGCTAATCGTTTCCAGAGGTATTCGCGTTCGTAAAATGGTAGTCATTGATGCCAGGTTCGGCAGCGCATCTGCTTTGCGTGGGGAGGAGCGGGATGAGTCCGATTTCGCGACGTTCGAGTTGTCGCGCGTCGACACAGAGTATCTTCGCGTCAATTGGTGATAGTGATTATCGGAAATATTGTATTTAGAGATGCGATAGGGTCCAGAGTCGTGAGTCGTCGGTGTTGTCGTGAAATGTCCTGGTGGCCCTTAGAGTTGATGATCCCGGATGGGGTTTGAATTGTTTACATCTGCTAGCGCGACACGTGACCCGTCCTGAAAACGTGGACGCGATCCGGTCTTCCATCTTCAGCAACAACATCAGACAATACCGATGTATGCATTCAGAATTTCATCTCAATTTCATCATCATCTTGGCGTTTTGTTTCTATTGTATATAAAGATGTTCCCGCTGCTATTTCAGCTCTATAGAGGCACCTTCTTGCTATGTCCTCCAATCTTCTCTCGGAGTTGCATGACATCCATAGATCTTGACCGCAGAGGAATAAGTCCTTCGGTCTTTGCTCTCACCTTCATCTCCTCCGATCTTCTCATCCTCTCGGCTCTAGTCTCGACCTTGTGTGGAATGCTTCCAGCAACACATTTCGCCGACCCCCAAGCCGCATCCGCTGCTTTTTTCCAAATGGCTCTGACATCTACAGTCATGCTCGGTTCATAAAAGAGTCTGCAATCCGCTGGCTCATTTATGAACTGTGCTGGTGTTCCATCTTTCAAATTCGGTGCCAGAATCTGATCTCTCACATTCAACGATGTATCTATACTGCGATTCATTGGAAGATCAGAGTATGCTCGAACAGAAGTCCAGTTAGCAACTTCTGCCGGCGTTCCTTGAGCAAGCGCAACTGTTGCGAGTTGAAGAACGTAGTCGAAGCCGTAGTTGTTTGCACCTTTAGTTCCCCCAATACCTTGAATTGGCGATGTGGTTGGTAGACCGCCCATTGCGATTGACTTCACACCTCCTTGCAAGCGCATGAATTCACTGAAAAGTGTGCAAGTTGATGCGCAGTACCCGTCATACAGCTAGTCAAGTTAGAGGCTGACTAGTGGGTGAGAAGAGAACACTCACTAAGATGATATTCTCGGCCGGAAATGGTTGTGTGAAGTTTTGCCTATCTCCATAACCGGTGACAGTCTCACCAAGTCCCCAAATAGGATTAGTCGTCGTTGTTGGGTCGTCCAGATTCCATCTGATAAGCGGGGTGAATTCGTCCCCATTAAATGTCGTGGGGGCAAATTTGTCCTCGTAAGTCAGGAAGCTGGTGTTTGTGAAATTTAAGTCGTATCGATAGTTCAGTACTGACTCATATGTGAAGTAGTCTTCAGCATTGTTTGAAGCAGTTGTGAAGTTAGCAGCATATTTCGAGATCTGTTTACTCATGATTTTGAAAGCATCGTGTTGACGCAGCCGAGAATATCCATCTTGCGTGATGTTGGGAAAGAATTGCCTGAACGCATCATATCCCGTCAAGAGATCTCCTCCTCCATTGGATGACAAGTCGATAATAATCTTTGTCTTCCCAGCAGCTTTCGCGTCCGAAATTAGGGTCTGAATTGTGGACTGGAACTCGACCGGAAAGTTAGGCTCGAAAGAAAGCATGCTCAATATCGCAACGTCCGAATATGCCGAATCGTTCAAGAAATATCCCGAGATCTGCAGGTCAGAACTAACGACATCAGGAGTCGGATATCCATAAGGAGGGGTCTTTCCCTGGGGCGGCAATGGTGGAGGAGTTGGCGCTTGAATCGTCATCGTGTTGTTGTATATGACCGCTGCTTGGTGAGGGCCAGTACAGAACGTCTGATATAGAGACGGTCCATCCACAACGCCATTGAAGCTGCCCACGACATCTGCATAGTTCTGGTACGTTTTCACGGTCCCATTTGCGAACTCGATAGTGGTGTTAGGTCCAGGATAAAAGTATCCATACCGACCAGCAAGAGCAAAATAGCCAGTATACCGATTATATGCATATTGTGCATCGAACGCCATCTCATAGAACAAATTGTTATACAACGCATCTGGATCTTGGAGGAAACCGAGCTGCGCCAGGTCCTGGAGAAAAGTCGTCACGTTTTGACCGTTGATGTTCGTGATAGCAGAGGGCATGACAGTCGTGTTGGCGGCCGCGAAAGCTGCAATGTCTTGCCTGGTATACACCTTCGGTACCTCTACACCATCACGACTCACCGACACAATCTGCACCGTTCGACGAAACTGCAGCGCCTTGGACACCAAATCTGGTGCAAAGCGAAAATGCCCATCGTGCACGGCTTGGAAGGTCTTCAGCAAATCGGTCTGGAAAGCATGTTCAGTGGCATATGTTCCGGCTGTGATATTCGCGATGATCGAATTCAGAGATTTCTTGATGTCAATCGCGGGCATCAGGTATCCGGACGGAGGAGCTTTGAGGTAGGAGGTGTCTGGATCTGTCAGTCTCGCGGACATGACGTTCAGGATGAGTAGCCTCACCAGATTGCCACTCCACGTATGGAAGAATCGAATCAACAAGCTCGGTAGCTGCTTGGGCGTTAAACGGTGCAGACGTCAAGCAATCATATGCCAATTGTGCATCAACTGTCGGGGTTGCTACGCATAAAATCAGCACGCTGGTCAACGACTACGCTCGAATTCCTTACTGGCAGCAGCAGTTGCTCTGACCGCAGCAGCAATCTGGCTCACAATCGCACAAGGAGTTCCAGTATAATTGCCCGTCCCATAGTCCCTCCTAATGACCGAAGCTGCACTCCACTGCCCCAGCAAAACCAACGACAGAATCGAGAGCTTCATTTTCGCCCCTTTGCTAGCCGAGATATCCAAAATCGACAAGGGAACAGGACGAGAACAAAAGATGGTGAGTAACAAACAAACAGAAAAATCCCCTCAGGTACCAGCAGCCGCAGCATACATCTTTATATTACATCTTTTCTCTGCGCCACAGAAGGGACTTACTCCTTGGGTGCATTTCGGTTCATCTAATTTTCCATCCGCACAATCTCGAATTCGGCACCTTGCTCATCCCAATTCACATCACCCGCCTGCCTGCTCCTCCATTCGGGTGTCCTCCTTCCAAGACACAACTCTACCTGAGCACGTCGCCGACCCAAAGCAGCGGGAACGGCCCAATGGCGCTGTTTTGTTGACATAAAAGTTGTTTGCGGAAGAAGGCGGATCTGGTTGGTGATGTTTCAGTTTCATCAGCGGGTGATTTCTAGGGCGCGCAGTGGGTCAACGCGGGGTGCAGACAGTGTGGGCATGGGCCAGGAGGTGCCGAAACGAAACGGGTCTACAGGGGATGGAGATACAGCCTCAATTTGACAGTGCCGAAGACAGAGGTGATCTGCCAAGAATTAATATATGAAGGATGTATAAAATGTCTTAGTATGTCTCGTGGTGAGTAGAGATGATGTGTCTTCATTGTCACTTGAGTTTGGTAATGCTGGTGTTTAGGGGTCATCGCTAAACGACCAGAGCTTTCAAGAGGTTGAGCGGCCCGAAGATGTGTTTTCATTGAGTGAGCTGAGTGAACGCGAAATGGACTTGCTCCGCCGTATCTAATGCTAAGTGGTGAGGGGAATATAGTGCTATGCTAAAGTAAAAGGACAAGTCCAAGAAACAGAAAAGACAATAACACAAGCAAGAAATAGCCTCCCAGCTAAAGAAAATCCTTCCGCTAGACGATTGATCGTTCCCGTTATTCCCACAATACTGCTATTACAGTAGACGTATATTGATTGTAGCATCGATAAGTATTGATGCTACTAACCCCAGTGCGTTCTCAGCCAATCCCAGAAGGTCTCTGGCACAATGGGGACAAGAGCGTTGAGGTTTGGTGAACGAAAGTCGTAGCGCCTTTGCTCTGTGGCAATGAGTTCGTGCATGCGAGCCACCTTGGCAAAGTCCGATTGAAAGGTCGCATACTCGAGATGGGCGTTCAAGTCGCCAGCTGCTATGACTTCAGCGAAGAATGTTGCTCCTGTAGTTTGTCAGCACATTCAATGGAGCTAGAAGAAAGGGGTTGCGGAATTACCTTTGATAGACTCTGCCCATTGCACAATCTGTGCTACTGAAATTCGATCTCCTGACATGCTAAACTCGTCTTGCCAAGTGTCAATGTCGAGATCCAAAGCTGCAACGACGAATCTTGCGACGTCGTTGATTGAGGTCATGGTAACATTTACTGGACGGCCGTCACTATGCTGCTCAACAACTTCTGCCGTCCCATTCTCTACGTCCATTAAATATGAACCTTGATAGAAGACATTTGATGATGCGCCGATGTTAAAGGCACCTAAGCCGCCACGAGCGAACCTCTCGTAAAAGACTCCACAAGTGAAGACAGTTGACGCCATAGGATAGCGGTGGTGGTGCTTGTAATGGCGCAATCGCTCTAGACACGCCGCTCTTCCACGATCTAATGGATCATTTCGAGGTCGACGAGATGGTGGTCCTTCGAACTCCGCTGGGACGAAACGACGCACTCCGGAGTGGGCTGCTGCGTCGATAAGATTGATCTGCGGGTTACCGGAGACAGTAGAGATGACAACATCAACACCTCTCAGCGTGAATCGAAGTAAGTCTTGATCATCATAATCGACAACGGCGACTTGACAATCAGGTCCTTCGAGATCGGGTTGTGGCTGAAAAGTGGATTAGCAGAATTTTTCGCTTTCATCCAGGAACACAATCTTACCTCTCTTGACAACACAAGACAAATATTTGCTGTCTCAAGGATATGAGCTACAAAGGTTCTTGCCAATCCCCCAGATCCTGCTATCGCTATTCGCATCATGGTTGTTGAGCCGTTCGGTTTGTGCTTTGCAATTCTCGGAATCAAGAGTGGCTCTTGTTCTTATTCAATCATCCACCCAAGCAGTCTTCTATCCATGACTTTCCTGCGCAAGGCAGAAGACGTCCTTGTAATTAAGAGAACAAATTGGCTTCAAGACTCGTGAGGCATATAGTCATTCGGTGAGTCAAGAGGAGTGGTCGTGGTGCGAGTGGTTAGAGAAGACCAGAAAAAAGGGGCATGTCACGATTTCGACTTCGCCGATTGAAAGACTTCTGGGGTCAAAAGAGCCTAGAGTACGGTAACGGCGTCTGAGAGGGTAATGCAGACGGTAATGTGATATGAAGACTCCAGGATGATAAGGCAGTGGCGAATCGGTTGCCATAGACCCTGGACCAAGGTTAACATTGGGGTAGCACTCGAACTTCTGGTTTGCGCGGAGTGCGATAAAAGACCGAGACGGAAGCAAGTGTTATGACTGCCTTGAGGCTCTTAGCCTTCACATGGGGTACGCGTGGGCTTGTGGCAGCCCAAGCCCATAGCAACACAGTTTGTCCCATCAGCCGGTAGTTCGTTGTGTGTACCTGCGCGAGATGTAACATTCCGTTACACACTGCCAGCAGGGCTGAACACTAAAATATGTACAGTGTCATAATCAGAAACACCCCATTTAATCCATGTCAGCTCCTCAAAAGTTCCAGAATGTAGTTCGTCTCGAGCTGTCGAGCTAAAATACACTGGGGCTGGAAACGATAACCGGGTCTGCTCCTTTATGTCCAATACACCATATGATCAGCCACATCCCAAAGAGGGCGCTGCTCTGCAATTTGACAAATGGATGATTCCATGTGAGTGTAATTCCATAAGTCATACAAGACGTTGGATAGTAACGAACAAGACTCAAGAACCTGGGTGGGGGACGGATAATTTTCCAGGCTTCGCCAGGATTGCCCGTCACCAAAGACTGAAGCCATGTCCCTGATTCGTGCTCTAATATTTAGCGGCGTCCCAAGGGTCATTTTACGGGCTGCGGGAGCTCCATTCTTGGGACGACGGCGCATTTATCCCACTGTAGTGCTGCACGCAGACGCCCTGCATCAGTCTCAGGCGAAGGCCGAGGAGAACTTCCTCATCTTACACACTATAAAGTAGGAGCCTTCAAGAAAGTCATACACGGTGACGAAAAGCGGTAAGGCTCTCGCAAGAAGACTGGTGATAGGATCAACGAACTGAACGAAGCCAACATACAAAACGCAAGGCAAACATCGCTGATGCGTGTTGACCCGATGAATCCGCTGATAGAATGTAACCTTTGATCGGAGAAAAGCATCACCAGAGAAACCCATTTGAAACGTCTTCATTCCACTGGCGATGGAAGCTGCTTTTGCTTCTCACTACTTCAAATCCCTGAATTGGGGGCGGTTCCGAATGCCAGGGTATGGAAGCCGTCACCGAGGAGAGAACTTGAAAACTTTCTTTGCTACTAGACTCGGGCAGGTGCGAACTACTGCAGTCATACCACAGCGACAAGAAGAAAACAATTGGTCAGTATTCGAGAGCGCGAATTGTGTACCGGTAGACGTTAAGAGTAGTCGGTCGAGATCGATGAGAGATCTCCATCCGTAAGGCTGAAAACACCAAGTCATGCAAGCAACTGCACCTCCCTGTTGGAGCCTAATCCATCTGCATAATCAAGGAAGTAGCGAGCCTAGCCGCACTCTCGGCATTCTGCGGCTGAAACAATTGAATCATCGACTTGATGAGGCTCTGTACAGACGATTGTAAAGACGCGATGCAAGAAACTGCAGGAGACTGCAAGGAGATGTGCAGGCAACAGCGACTTTTGGGACCGTGGACGGTCACGGGACCAACTCGGCTAAAGACCCCTTTTTGATTAGTGACTACCCTTCCTAAACCCTCTTAGCCATCTACCTAGGTTCTCCTTCGGCAGTTCAAAAAGCTTTTTATACTTTGGCTAACCAAGAGAAAGTTTTAGTTTAGGGTTTCTCACCTCCGATCTCAAACGAGTATGTAAGCAAATATTGTCAGCTGGGTAACATTGACTTCCGATTAGGCAAGTGGGGTAAGCTGTGTAAACCATGGAACTGTAAGGAATCGATTTACAGATATTGAAGAAAGGAGTAAAACTATCCCTATGATCCCACTTCACTAATCAGGTAAGTGGGGTTACTCGATGCAGAATTGTATCCAGCCAGTAAAGAGAAGAAGCGCAATCATCAAAATGTGAAAATATAGTAGCAACTTCACAGAACAGTGAAAACCCCAATGCACCGCAATTCCCCGCAACCACCGCAACGGCCGTATTGCATGCGTGAATTTTGCTTGTCAATCCATTTGTTTACTTTACGAATTTGCTCAGCTGTCGATTCTTGGACACCGAAAAGTCTGACACTCTCATGAGCCTTACCCGCTTAGTATGACGCACATTCAGCGTTTCATCTGCATCGCCTCCTCGAAACTTTACCGCAAGACACATTCAACTCCAAAACAATCATCAGCTCTTGACATCCAACCTGAAATTACTCCAGAATCCATGTCCACAATTTACCTTAACTAAACCAGACTGCGCAGTGTCTTACGTCAACCCGACATCTTCCGTTATCACGAAGTCTTTCTTTCGCAACTCAAAAAAATAAAATAAATAAAAAAAGCCGCAATGTTTTTTTTTCCTTTCGAAGAATAGAGTGGCAAAACCCATTTCCTAGATACTAGCCGGTGTATCTAGGCGGGATAGACAGATGGAGTATATCTTACGATACACAGCGATCAGAAGTTGAGTGGCATCTTCGCAAGAAACGAGAATCTGATTTCGATCGTTGTCGGATTAGACCATTCGGTCACCCTACTGCTCAAGCTACTGCTCTCTCTGTCTTTTACATATGCCAGAAGAATGCCTATTTAACCTTATATGTTACTTAGGCGCAAGCTAGCCCGAAATGGACTATCGTCAATAGTAGGTACTAGGGAGTCACTTTCAATGCACCTAGAACCGAAGATGAATGAAAATCTCTCTTTCCGGCTCTCGAAGATGTCTTGCATTGACCAGCGAAGCTACAATGCAACGCTGTTTCGTAGTTCCAACTTGTTTCTTCGAATCAACATGGTTTTTGTGTACGTCCTCCATAATGGCGCCGATTTCAGGTCATGCTCAACCTCACTTTCAAATTCTCAAGTAACCTCCGTCACCGCATATCCGTACGATTCTCATTCTCCCTGAGAAGTTCACGGAGGATACAGCAATCTGTCTCTATCAGACTCGAAATGTACGAGGTCTCCTCAGTCTCTGGCCCACGACTTTTTGAAAAGTTCGAGAACTATGTTTCGTTTCTCTTGCCTTCACTCTCCTCGGACTTACAATGATATCAAACAAAGTAGATCTTTCTTTGTAATTACTCCACAACTAGTGTCAGCTATCTCATTTGAATATAAGTGAATTCCTAAGATCTTTTAGCTTAGGGCGAGATCGTTCAATCAAGATAAGTCGAGTGTATCAACAACGTCAATTTCTCTGCCTACTTCATCAATCATTTTGAAATACTCTGCTATCTAAGACTCGATAAGACTTCGATGAGTTGAACAGCAAAGACCACATCAACAGCTTGACGGAAAGCCTCCACTGCGTAAGAAGAATAAATATCCGGCTCGACCTAAAAGGTAGGCGCAATCTGGAACATTGAAGAACTCAAGACCTTTTAGCAAACACATCAATGGATCCAAATATAAAACAGAACCCGGAGATCAATAGTAGCGACTCGCAACACCCAACTTTGTCTTTCACTCCTTCCCAAAGCGTGGCACCAAATGCAAGGGTACCCGAATCCTTCCTCAAGGCAACCAATCACATCAAGAATAGAGTTTCCGATGACTTGCAGCTCATAAGCTCTACTCTCTCAATCCGTGGGCTTGGAAGATCCACTAGGTTCAAGGATATAGGACGTGCGCCGTCCATGCGTTCCCAGGACCCTGGAACCGAAGCCCTATAGCCTCTCCCTCACCACCCTTTCAAAGCACGACACAAGTTGGACACCTCGATATCTCTAAGGACTCTGTGACGCTCGTGGACATTGGTGGAAATTTGGGTCATGATTTGAAGCTGTTTCAGGAACGATGTCCTGAGATATCTGGGAGATTAATCTTGATGGACCTGCCAGAGAGAAAGGAACAAAAAGTATGTTACTGATTTCCCGGTAGCCTCTCCCTCACCACCCTTCAAAAGCACGACAGAGAAAGGAACAATAATTATGTTACTGATTTCCATGGGTATATGCGAAACTATAGTACAAAAACGTATCTCATCTCATCTTTCAAAAGCCAAAATGCCTCTCCATCCAACGCCAGAAGATGCCTTCTTTCTTTCCAAAACCCTACCCCAGAAGCGAACGAATCCCACCTTATAAAAATATATACAACAAAAAAGAAACTCCTCCCCACCATAGAAACCCACTCTCCTCCTTCACTGCACACTCAAAAACAACTCATCCCCCCTCCTCGTCGGCGTCAACCTCGGCAACCAACCCGGCGTAGCCGGTAAATCCATCCTCTCAAACTCCCTCCCCTGCCCCTCTCCCTCGCCCGCAAACTGCACCATAATATCCCCTCCTCCTCCCATACCAAACCCCTGTTTCCTACCCAGCATCGGCCTCCAATTCCCCTCCTTCGCCCGATCTTGTTCTTCCTTGCCGAGCACGCGCCACTTGGCTTGTTGGCGCCGCTTGCCTTCGTCGGTTTGCAGAGCTAGGCGAGAGGCTTTTTGCTCGCCGAGGCGCTTGGCGAGGAGGGAGGAGGAGGTTGATGTTTTGGAGGTGTGGGAGTGGGAGGAGAGGGCGGAGGAGCTGCGGGTTGGTGGGTGGTAGGTTGTTGGTGGTGGTTGCTGGGGTTGAAGTTGGATTTGTGGTTGCCAGGTTGGACTCATGAGGGGGTTTAGGGAGGTGGGGAGCGTGGTTGAGGAGGAGGTTGTGGTGGACGCTATTTGGGCTGAGTTTTGGCGTTGGGTTTGGTATGGTGAGGGTTGTGGGCGTTGGTTCTGGTTTTGAGAGCGAGACCGGGTTGAGGTTGGGATGTAGGGGTTGTATCGCCACCCTCCTGTTGCGTCTGTTAATGGAGCCGTTTGTGAACGTGGTGGAGGTTCGATGGTCTCTTCTTGTTCGTTCGTCCGTAGAGCGGGGTGGATTTCCTCTTGTGTTGTCGGAGATCGAGTTACTGCTTGGCTAGGAGGAGCGGGAAAGTTCATCGTGTCGATTCCTGTTGAGTTCTGCTGACGGGGCACTCTTGCTGAAGCTGCTCTACGAAGCATGGTTTGCGGAGGAGATCTGGCTCGATCTTGGGCTTGTTGCCGGGCAATTTGTTCTCGTTCTCGCTGGGCTTTGATCTCAGCAGCTCGCCAAGGCTGATTGTTCTGTGCTTGTCCTGATCCCATCGCTTTCGTGAAGTCTGGTTGCGGAGGTGGAGGTCCATAATTCATACGCATTATGGTCGGACTGATAGATTCAGGGATCTTAGGATAGCTGACAGGACTTCGTCCACTAGCAGGTGATTCTACAACGGGAGACAAATCCTTCATTCCTCCTGTTCGCATTCCTCCTGTCCGTGGTGGCTCCACCTCCTCTGGTGCAAAAGTAAGCTCGATGGTCTCGCTGTCGTATGGACCAGCTTGTTGATACGAACGGCGTGCTGGATTATTCCTACCAGCATCACTGCCAGGAACAGAACCGCGGCCCGAGTACACAGAAGATGATCCTGTCAAAGGACGTGATTCTGGTATCGCTAATTGCGTCAGTGGGTAGGCATCTGGTTTTCTAGGTTGAGAAAAGCTGGCCATCTTCCGTCCTGCTATGCTAAGTGGTCTGACATAGATGTCCGGATTCCCGTTGACGTCAGCTGGTTGACCTGGACGCCACGGGTATTCGTCTCTGTCTTCTTCAGGATATACAGGTCGAACTGTTCTCCCATTGCTAGGCGAATTGTACAGGATTCTATCTGTTGACTTTCTAGTCCAAGAGTCTTCCGTATTGACAGCTGTATCGGCGGTTTCGATGTCTTCTTCAAATTGAGTCGCTACACTTTGCCTGCTCATGACTGAAGGACCAACAACTGGTTGCGAGAATGAAAGGCCACTTGTGTACTCCCTTTCTTGCTGTGGCATTTTCAACTTCAATGTAGGTTTTTCAGGAAGAAGTCTCGATGATCTTCGTTGCTGTGCAGCCATCGACCCCTTGTTGTCTGGAGATATGGCCACTCCAATTGTCTCAGGTCTGATGCTTCTCCTGGAAAACATGAGAGGATCTGAAGTATCAAGCCTTGGCGGTACTGGGGGTGCGGCCCTTGCTGCTCGAGGTGGTACCTTTGCTGCGATCCCGTTGGCTGTTCCTCCTGGTATTCTCTGAACAGGTCCTCGGAAGCTGTAGTGATACTTCTTCTTTTCGATCAGATGTGCTGGAGGATCGAGTTGGAATGGTATCAGATCGCTCTCTCGAGCTCGCCTTAGCTTTCTCCTTCGCCAGCACGCGAAACATATGACTATTCCCAGCATCACCGCTGTACCGCCAACTGAAGCCACCGTAATGCCAACGATCTGAGACTTTGTTAAAGATGTTGGTGTTGCTGCTCCTGTCCCGGTGGCTGCCTCAGCCGAGGCTGTGCTCGACATCGATGTAGTTTTGACAGCTGATGCCGTTGGAAGACCTGTCGTCATAGTTTTGAAGCCAGAGCTGGTTGTCTGAAGGGTACTCGAGCTTCCAGAACTACTTGTTGTGGCCGGAGGAGCTACTAAGACAATGCTCGGCATTGAAGTTTGTACGATCAATGTTGCTGTGATCGTGCCATGAGTCTCGGGAAGCGCATCCGGTTCCCCGCTACACATGGCATATGCATTAGTTACAACAGTTGCTACGAGAAGAGGTTAGCAATATTTGGAAACAGCGAGAACGGCATCCTTACGCTTTGAACTGTTTCCTTGGCAAAAGCCAATATTATCTTCTGATATTATACATTGTACTGCTCCCTCCCCAACCGTGTATCCCGATGTGCTGTTATGTGTACACAAGCAGTTCAACGTCGGTGTTTTTCCGCAAAGGTCGTAAGGAAAATTCGATTCTAGAAATGAGATGAAACATTCTTGAGCACAGCTAGGAATGAAATTCATCAACTCAGGTGTGAGAGTGTAGTTTGCCGCATGTGTCGTATATGCAAATATCAGGATGATTAAGCTGGGCCAGCTTAATGCCATCCTCGAACGTGCTGGATAGTGATACCGTCAGCATGTGTGAATATGATGGTGGAACATTTGCCTTTCGGATGATGATCTGTCCCACAGTATATGGAGAGAGAGGGGCAAAAAGTCTGCCTAACAGAGGTTGTGATGAGATGCACATCAAGCATCTGGTCACATACCATCGGCCCTCGAAACCATGAAACGACGCAAGAGCACAAGGAGAAGAACACGTACCTCGAAGCAAATATTACGGTGAAAGAGGCGACCAGCGTCTCAAACATAATTACAACGCAATACTCAGGATATCCACAGTTCCATACACATCCATTCCATCTACCAACAGTCTTTTTCTTTAGGAAATATGAAAATGAAGAAGCCCAAGAAGTGACCCGGAAGGAAAAATGCAATGCACCAACAAAAGAGCCTCACGAGATTTGACGATAGGAAAGAGACGGAGAAAGAGTTCTAAAGAATAAGATTGAAGGACTTGGACCTGATACAAAATAATATCAGAAGCGCTACCCTCTCATATTACACAATTCCCTCGGCCAGGAACCGGAAGAGGCTCAGACCAGTACCTGTCGTTGAACCTGCATTTGCATCATCGTATCGCCCATGCTACCCATAGGGCGAGAAAAAAGTCCGTCTGCGACCCCTCCTGCTATTTCGAGACACCAATAATCTGCACTCTGCGCCTACGTCCTCTGATGCTGACATCATAATTACCGGGAAATTGGCCCCGATGGTCTCATTAGGAGAAGAGGTTCATGTATGTAGCCGCTGGAAGACGTTTTGCTTGTTTTGAACTCTATTTTTGGGCGCTACCATCCCGCTTCTGATTGGCTGCGCTTGGCCGGCGGCTACGAAAATGTATGACTGGGTCACGTGCTGGAGATAAATCTGGTGTACGGCGTTAGGGGAGGCTTTGATGCGTGTTTATGTGGTGAGATATTGGTTTTGTTGTTTTTAGAATGGTGTGCAGAAACTGTTGGTGGAGAAACTATATATACAAACATTGCTGCTGCTAGCAACTAGAGTACCTGTTGTCGAGGTGGGCAAGCCCAAAATGTAACAATGAGCTGGTAAAGGCAAGACTAGAGGAGCCTGATCCAAGTAATGTGTGTAAAATTTCCCAACATCTGCAAGGGGCTGTTGGTATGTCTTTGGAAAGCTGCAGAGTTGGAGCCTACAGTTGAAGCTGTACTCCCTCTTGTAACAAGGACCGGACGGCTAAATCGAGGCTTTGAACCGATTTGTTGCCTTCAGTCAGTTTTAGTCGACAAGCATCATTCAATTTTGGGGCACTTTGATCAGAAGTATTCTGGAAGAAATCCTCCAACATATTCAAGAGCTCATAGTTGACTTCATATCGTCAAATCATAGCTTCCATTTTGGTATCATGCATCTGATGTGATCGCTGTTCTCCTCTATTGCCTTCGAAATTATCCTCCATTGTCAATCCAGACTTCCTCTACTCATTTCCCAATGAATGCATTTTCCTTGAATAGCAATCCGCCCCGAGTCTAAGCGAGCAATGCAACGCCCGCTTTTTGCTTTGAATGAACCGAAAGCAAGCCAACCTGTAAAAAGAGAATCTCGCCCGAGTTCGCCCCCAAATCCTTCACGCCTTCAGATTTGTTCCGGCCCGACTCGATCTGATCACGCGCTTAACAGTAGTCTCGGTCTGCTCCCAATCATCCTTGTCTAGCCTTACCAAATCGATGCCGAAGTGTTGTGCGATTTGGAGAAGGGCTTGATAGGAGCTCCTATCGAAGACGAAGCTGATGCTGACACCAACACGTCCAAATCTACCAGTACGACCAATTCTGTGAAGGTACGTCTCTGGGTCCGGCTCAGAGTCGTTACGGCCTTTCATCGGGATGTCGTAGTTGATGACCATTGACACCGTCGACACATCGATCCCGCGGGCAAGGACGTTCGTAGTAATTAGAACTTTTCCTTCTCCATCTCTGAACTTTCGAACAATCTCGTCTCTCTCAGCTCCATCGAAGGCACTGTGAACGGCAAGAACTTCATGACCGGCCTTCCTCAATCGGTCTGCAATTCCAGAGGCAGTATCCTTTCTCTTGCAGAAAATGATCGACTAAACAAGTTAGTATCAAATACGAATGCCTGATGTTCTAATACAAGAGAGAAGGGTAGTACTAACACTACCGACAGTGAGAAGACCATAAAGCGCGGCAAGCACGTCATACTTGCCCTCGTCGCCTTCGCAATCCATGTACATCTGTGTGATACCACTGACTGTAAGCTCGTCTCGCCGCAATTTGATCTCGTTGGCGTTTGGACAGAACTGGTTGGCAAAACCCATAACAGCATCCGGGAAGGTTGCAGAGAAGAGAAGAACTTGTTGCACGCGAGGAACCATGCTAAATGATGTTAGTTGATGAAAGGGTAGGGTGGAAAGTGAGACTTACGCCTTGATTCTCATACATTGGTCCTGCAAAATGAAGATGTTAGCAAATACGCAGAGAGTATTTTTTTTAAAAAGGGGCTTATCGTGTCCCAAGAAGTCGTATACTTACACCAAGGCCTTGGGTATCAAGCATCACATCTGCCTCATCCAGACAGAGAACTTTCAGAGCTGAACCGTCAAGTTGGCGACGCTTGATCAAGTCCATTGCGGTTCCAGGCGCTGAACAGTGAATTAGAACCGAATAATTTGATTATTTTGACACGGGCAAGGAGATAGATAGGAACTTACTGCCAACAATTACCATTGATTCAACTCTTGCATTGCGCTCGACCGCGCCCGGAACAGCTGCTTGAATGGTAAGACCTTGGACAAATTGACCAACGAGACGGACAACATCTTCGATCTGTCTAGCTAATTCGCGTGCTGGAGCAAGGACAAGAGCTTGGGGTTGCTTTGGTCTGGTATAGTCGAGTCTTGATAGGATGGTAATGACGAACGCGGCAGTCTTTCCTGTGCCTGACTGCGACTGCGCAATCATGTTCTGAGGAGGGTTTGCGAGGAGGAGGGGAAGAGCTTTCTCTTGAATTTTAGAAGGCTTTCTGAAGTTCATAGCGTATAAGGCCTTCATAATCTCTGGATTGCTGTGACCTGTTAGTAAGTGAATCAACTTGGATGAACGTGAATGTACTATATACATACATGCCCAGCTCTTCGAAGGATTGGACGGAGAAGAGAGGATTAGCAGAGTCAGCTTGTAGATCACTGAGCTTGACTTCCACATCATATGAGCCGTCATGAAGACCTGAAGAATTTTCTCCAGCTGAGCCATCAACTTGTGCTTGATCGAGAGGGTTTTGGTTCGGGTTTGCGACAGTTGGTGATGCCATCTCGTCTCCCCAAGAAGTAGAGGAACCTGCTGCACCAGGAGTGAATATAGAAGAAGCAGCGTCGAGAGGTTTTGAACCCATTCGTTCTGCAAGGGAGGGAGTGTTTGTGTCAGACATGTTGAAGTTGAGATGGAGGGGTGGTGTGAGGACGGAATTGACCTTTGTTACTAAAGGTGGACGCGCGAGGTTTGTGGTGGAAGGAAGAAGAAGAAGAATGAAGGTAGACAATGAAGCCTCCAGCTGATAATTGTAGGTGTAAATGACAAAAGATGCAGTCTCAGGTGGAAGTGAAGAAGGTCGGAGTGTGTCAATAAATTTAATCGCGGGGCGCGATAGCTCGCAGCACTAGCGTCGAGTAGCCTTAGCGCAGCCTCAGGATCTCGGATCTGATCTGTCAGGCAGTGGGGTTCTTCCTTGAACAAAGTTGCATATAAGAGTTCGGACATTATGCGATTGCGTTGTCCTACACATTTCCCATGATCTTGAGGTTTTCCCCTTCACTGTTGCGGTGATAATCATGGCTGAGGTCGATATCGCTCCCAACTTTGGGGTGGAGCTGAAGGTACGAGATTCCGGAGTCAGCCTTGTTGACATCTTACTCACAGAATGTTTTATTCAGGATGGTTTCAAACCGGTCAATTCTTGGGTTCTGAGTGGGATTACATGGCTGGACGACATACAGCAATTTTACCGCGAACGAAGTGCTATTGAGAAAGAATACAGTGCAAAGCTCAATGGTCTGGCAAAGAAATACTACGAAAAGAAGGCCAAGAAGTCAAGCAGTCTGAGTGTAGGAGATACACCTGCTATGACACCTGGATCATTAGAGAGGTGGGAGCAAATTGTATGTTTGGGCGCAGAGTTGTGCTAACGTGGCTCGAATCCAGTGCTTCCCTTACCACATGGACGACACAACTCACCACTCTCGAGTCTCGAGCGGCGGAACACGATCGATATGGAAACGAATGCATCACTCATTTGGCAGATCCTCTAAAAGCTTTGGCGACTCGATATGAAGAACTCCGGAAGCGCCATGCGGAATACGCGGATAAACTGGAAAAGGAAAGAGATTCGAGCTATGGAGATCTGCGAAAGATGAAGGGCAAATACGATGCGTCTTGCCAGGAAGTTGAGAATAAGCGGAAAAAATCCGAATCGGCCTTCGATTATTCGAAGTCAAAAGCTCAAAATGCCTACCAACAACAAGTTCTAGACATGCATAATGTCAAGAACAGCTACCTAATCGCGATCAATGTGACGAACAAGCAGAAGGAAAGATATTATCACGAATACGTTCCTGATCTGTTGGACAGCTTGCAGGATCTTTCGGAATCTCGGACAATCAAGCTCAATGGCATTTGGTCTTTGGCAGCACAGCTTGAGAACGGAATGCTAACACGCAGTACCGAGTTTGTCAACCACCTCTCTCAAGAGATACCACGAAATCAGCCACAGTTGGACTCGATGATGTTTGTTAGGCATAATGTTGGTCCATGGCAGGAACCAGCAAATAAAGTCTTCGAGCCGAGTCCTGTATGGCATGATGATGATCTTATGGTTGTGGATGAGACGGCAAAAGTCTTTCTACGAAACGTCCTTGGAAAGTCGAAAGCACAATTGGGAGATCTCAGAAGAGAGGTCGACAAGAAGCGGCGAGAAGTCGAGGGAGCTAAGCGAATAAAGGAACAAATTAGAGAGGGAAAGGACAAGAGAGACGAAGTGGAGTTGGTCAGAGCCATTTTCGGATTACAAGAGGAGCTACATCAGGTAGACCATAAACGATTGACGGCTGAGGTTGAGACATCGACAATCACGGAAGCAGTTGGAGATGTCACTTTGGGGGCGAAGAGTCATAACTTCAAATCACAAACGTTCAAAATACCAACAAATTGCGATTTGTGTGGAGAAAGAATCTGGGGTCTTTCTGCGAAAGGTTTCGATTGCAGAGATTGTGGTTACACATGCCACAGCAAATGCGAGATGAAAGTTCCAGCTACTTGCCCTGGAGAACAGACCAAGGAAGAGAAGAAGACATTGAAAGCCGAACGACAAGCAGCAGCCAATTCGCTTAAGAGTCCAACTTCCACCTCTGGAGATAGTATTGCTGAGCTACCAACTATGAGTCGCTCAAATACAATGAATTCGTTGAGCTCAGGATATGCTGCCAGCGCACATAGGTCTGTCTCTGGAAGTGGTCCTCGATCACCAGCGGAAGAGACACCTCCCGAGAGGGCGAACTCTGTAAAGCCGAATATCAGTGCACCGAATACACTGCGAAAGAACCGAGTCGTAGCACCTCCACCTTCGGCCTACATAAGCGAACTCCCCGGTAGTGCTGTCACTACCAATGGGTCATCAGGTGGTTCCAATGAGCAGAAGGGCAAAATGCTTTACTCATATGATGCGAATGGTGATGGGGAGTTGACAGTGTCTGAAGGCAAAGAAGTGGCCATCCTCGAGCCAGATGGTAAGTCTAACCTCTACTTACAAGTACTCGCCTACTAACAACCATCTAGACGGAGGATGGCTCAAAGTGAAATCTGGCTTCAAAGAAGGACTCGTCCCAACAGCTTACGTCGAGATCCTCGCCTCGGCTCCCCGCCCCTCATCCATCTACTCCAACTCAGGCTCGTCCATGAACAGCAGCGTAACAACCAAGAAGCAAGGCCCAGCCGTAGCTCCCAAGCGTGGAGCCAAGAAACTCAAATACGTAGAGGCTTTGTATGAGTACACAGCTCAAAGTGACGCAGAACACAGCATGGCCGAAGGAGAGCGATTCGTGCTGATTAAAGAAGACCCAGGGGATGGCTGGGCGGAAGTCGAAAAGGGAGGCGTGACGAAGAGTGTCCCGGCCAATTACGTGCAGGCTGCATAGAAAAGAGAAATGACCGAAAAGGACGAAGGATGGCAAAATGGGAGGGAGCATGTATAGGCGTTCATTGGATTTGGCATTCGTAGCGCAGGGGGATATTCTTAGGTGGAGGGGTTCCTGGTTGTGGAGCTTTTTGTAGTGAGAGTGGCAAGTGTAGATTCTGTAGGAAGCGAATTTACTGAGTTACAAGATGGTCTTTTTCCATGCAACGTTCTTGGAGATTGTGTTAGGTGTGTTCAGACAGTTATGAGGTCTTGTTGCATGTCCCGATTCCCAAGTCAGCAACGGACACTATGCACCTTTAGAATGTCGAGAATCTTGTCGGACATGGAGAATTTGTTATATATCGTAATCTTCTCTGATATTGAGGTAGCTCAAAATGTCTCCGAGGACGACGTCGCAATGTCCAACACTTTGTAATGCATTAAGGATTCTTCTACTCCGCTGCCGCAAGATGCCATATACGCTAGTCAGTCAAAGGTTGACTTCTTGGCTATCTATCTTGTCTCAATTGCCTCCAGTTCTTTGCTTCGTTTGGGCTATCGCATCAGCTTGTTGGTTGAGGATTTCATCTCGTTGTATAGTGTAACAGTATCATTGCCATGGTATTACTCGATTAGTTTGATCGTTAGCCATTGTATGTATTCGCCAGTCGAGCGGAAGCTCTTGGTCTTCTCGGAATGGGTTTCCCCACTCTAATAAGATCGTTGCAAGTGACGACATGAAACTTGTTTGCTCTTGTGGAGAAGTTTCAACCATACTTTCCCGCTGCCGGTACTTCTCGACATCAACTTTTTTTTTTCTCTCTTGATATTTTTACTTGTGATTGGCGAAATGGCTACCAAGAACGACCCAAGATTTGCCAACCTCTTAATTGCTCTCCAAGCCTCGTATATATTCTCATTCGACGACGAGAACAAATACTCATACGTGGCCTGCATACTTGGAATTTTGGCTTTTCATATGTATGCCAATTGCCAACCTCCGCTGCCAAGTTTAGCAGTGGCAATTAATTCCCCATCCTCGCTCATTTTCTCGCATCCACATTTTTATCTTCCAACCTCGTAACTTTCTTCCCATCTGCGCAACTTTCCAAAAATACCTACTCAACCTGCAGCACAGCAGAGATTGTCAAACCCGCATAAACAACACATCGTCATTTCTCTCCGACGTTGATGGACAGAAGATCTCTATATGCTCCCTCGGATATCATGAAGTCATTCGCTGCTTCAGACCCATGGTGAAACGGGGAGCGGCGGGCGGTGAGTGGCGTGCCAAGATTTAAGCATGCAATCATGCTTATTGGAAGTGGAGTCGAGAACGAGATGCAAATCTCGCTTGTGCCTGGCAGACTTGATTTGATAGGGAGGGGAGTGCATCTATTGGGGGATGGCTTTATTGGGTGGGAGAAAGAGGGAGAAGGAGGCTGTGCTGGAATTGAGAGGGATGTTTCTTGCTTGCTCTGGATACAGGATATACCACAGACAGACGGTGCTGGGAAATGGTCTGGCTGGTCGTGACGAGAGTGAGGTTGGGTCATTATCTGCGCATCATCGTATTGAGTGGTGCTGGACCGACCTCCGTCGTATGGCTATCAAGGCGGGCGCTATCCCTGCGAATTCAGGTCCGGCCCCCCTGAATATCCGCCAAGCCAGAGGGCGTTCCATCTGGGCTAGCCTCAACGCCGAATCCCAATCTGGGCCAGACAGGGTTCGCGCCAGTTTATCCACCCACACCCGCACCACGCTCTTTTCCTTCTTCTCTCCTCCTGTTCTCCTGCACACTCGTTCACTCACTCTCTCTTGTTCCTGTATCCAACTCTTTCGACAGTTCGAATCTTATTTCAACCGTCGTTCTTCTTATTGGGGGCAATCATTCGTTTGTTGCTACCCGTTTTTACAACCTCTTCTAATTGAAACCTTCTTTGATACGTCTCTCACTCTCTTGAGACCTTCACCTCCCATTCCGAACATTATACTCGACCTATTCTCGCTCTTCCCCACCATTTCGAGACTCGTTCATCCCATATTCATCTCATCATGAAGACCTTCACTGTCGTTGCTGCTTTGGCCGCAGCTGGTTCCGTCTTTGCTTCGCCCACTCCCACAGAAGAACTCGTTGCACGAGCATCCTCGACATCTCTCACAGCAATCACCGTGAAGGGAAATGGTACGGCTCGATCCAATATGGTAGCATTGGATCACCACTAACATCATCTAGCATTCTTCCAAGGAACTAGCAGATTCTACATTCGAGGTGTCGATTACCAGCCAGGAGGATCCTCGAAGCTGGTCGACCCGATCGCAGACACAACCTCTTGCACGCGTGATATTGCTGAATTCCAGAAGCTGGGCATTAACACCGTCCGTATCTACACGGTCGACAATACCGCCAACCACGATGCATGCATGAGCGCTCTAGCAGCGGCAGGAATCTACCTCGTGCTCGATGTCAACACTCCTCTCTACTCACTCAACCGAGCCAGCCCAGCTGCTTCCTACAACTCCGTCTACCTTCAGAATATCTTCGCTACCATTGATGCGTTCGCCAACTACACCAACACGTTGGCTTTCTTCTCCGGTAACGAGGTTATCAACGACGATACCACGACCTCTGCTGCTCCATACGTCAAGGCTGTCACTCGTGATATGAGACAATACATTGGAAGCCGTGGATACCGTCAAATCCCCGTTGGATACTCAGCTGCTGATGTGGATTCCAACCGTCTCGAGATGGCCGAATACATGAACTGCGGAACTGACGATGAGCGTTCCGATTTCTTCGCTTTCAACGATTATTCTTGGTGTGACCCTTCTTCTTTCCAGATCTCCGGCTGGGATCAGAAGGTTAAGAACTTCACTGGTTATGGCCTCCCTATCTTGTAAGTCCCTTAATCCATTTTCCACATAAATATGTACTAATGAAATGGAGCCTTTCCGAATACGGTTGCAACACCAACACCCGTAAATTCGAAGAAGTAGCCGCCCTCTACAACACCGAAATGACCAGCGTCTACTCCGGCGGTCTCGTCTACGAGTACTCCGAGGAAGGCAGCAACTACGGACTCGTGACTATCAGCTCAAGCGGAACCGTCACCGAAGGCGCAGATTTCACCTCTCTCCAAACCGCCTTCAAGGGAACCGCTAATCCTACCGGAGACGGAGGATACAATTCTACTGGTGGCGCATCAGGCTGCCCTGTTCAATCCGCAAACTGGAACGTTACCTCTGATGCCCTCCCAGCCATCCCATCCGGTGCCGCAGCGCTCATGAAGAAGGGCGCAGGTGTTGGAGCCGGTCTTACTGGAGCAGGATCCCAAAATGCAGGTGGAACTTCGACCGGTACGGCTACGGCTGGCTCTGGATCCATTACTGCGACTGCTACATCCACATCCAAGAGCGCAGCTACCTCCCTCCAAAGCTTCGACAAGACGCCTCTGATGATGACAGCTTTCGTGCTCGGAATGAGCTTCCTCGGTGCCGCCCTTCTATAAGGAAAACAATGAAAATTTGTGAGAAATAGATACGGACGGTGTATATATGGTTCGATATGGTAATAGTATCAACGACAGGCAGGGTCTGGAGCACATAATTATTGTTTTGGGTCGTCCGGGAACATCATCAAACGACTGGGCATTTCTGGTGTTCTTTTTTTATATCTTAGTTGGCTTTCTCTTTTGTTTGTTTACCCTTCTTGGCTGAGATTTTAGTGTGGGCAGGGATTGCTACACATGGAATGAATCGAGCCGACAAGATGGAAGGATACTATTATGTTGTGAGAGAATAGAATTGAACTTCAAACCTTATTTCTCTGTCTCTGTGCTGCTTATCTCGTGGCTATGTTTTGCATGCCTGGTCATGATGTGATGGTTGTCGATTTAAGGTTATCCTCCTAGGCTCCAAGGTCTTTTTTCACAGAATAGCAAAACTCTGCAACGAATGTGGAAAGTTCCAAAATCCATCCCATAACTGGGAGATTTCAATCTCTTGTCAAGTTATAGGAGGTGGTGGATGAGACATTGAGTTACTTTTTGATCATGTGTATTCCGGGTTGTTGTCCTTGGTGATTGTAGTAAGATTACTATTTGGGAATTGTGAATGTTTGCTCGTTGATATTTGACGTTTTTGAAATTTGTATTTTTCTTTATTAGTGCTTGATAATGAGAGATTTAAAGAAGTATAACTGCCGACTTCGTCCACAAGGGAGTTAAGCTTCGATCGATCTCAAAGTATCAATCCCGACAAGCGCAAACCTACTGCCTGCACAGGCTTCTCTTCACCACAAACCCTAGTCCCGTACCTAATCCACCCTTCTTCATCTATCTCCTCACCACGCTGATTCATTAATTAAAACCCCATATAAAATGCGGGTATTCTTTCTTGCCATGGCTAAATGATCCCCCCAAATGTGGGGCTTGCGCTTCTTCCGTGCCTGGCTACTTATATATGCAATTACTCGCCATCACAACATACCTATCCCAAGCTTTCTTTCACACAACACGGGAAATCCTCAAAATGCATCTCCTAAATTTCCTCCTCCTCCCGCTCCTCGCAGCAGCTGCACCATCTCTATCTCTCAAGCGCGACAACCTCTGCAACCTCAAGACGCCGCCCCTGCTCTGCACCCCCAACGCCAACATCTCGACCGCCGAGACCGCGCTAAGGGCCTACAGGTTCTACCGCGCGTTTGTCGTCGACGGGGATCCGAAGACGATGTTTTCGCTTATCGATTCGGTGTATAAAGTACCTCCCTCCCTCCCTCTCTCCCTCTCCTTCCTTCCTTCCTTTCTTTCTTCCTTTTATTCTAGAGTACATGAATGAATATATGAATAGAGAGTTAACGATGAATGATCGAAAGCAACACCACGCCGGCTACGCGGACGGCCCCGATACCATCTGGCCGCTGTTCTGCAACGGGAATAAGTTGGGCACGGAACAGAGTACCAGTTGGTGTTTTGTGGAGGCGACGAATATGAGTTATGCGCAGTACTCGACGGTATGTCATCCCCCCTCCTACTCTTGTTTGGGAAAAAGAAAAAGAAAAGTTCTTGGAAGCCGAACTTTTTCTTGTGAGAAGAGAAAATTGTCAGCTCTTAAAGGGGGGCGGGGGAGGGGGTTGTCAGAAAGAGAGGGGGGAAAGAAGGGTATGCATGCTGATTTATGTCTCGATAGACCGATCGGTGGAGGTGGGTCGGGGGATGCGCGCACGAACATGTAAGCATGCAACATGCAACATGCAACATGCAACATGCCATATGTTTGGCCTCCTGCGGACGGCTGACTGACTGACGGGTTGATATAGTGGGATCAGAATGAGACGATTCCGAAGAGTGGGTGTTATAAGTTGAATGGGACGGTATCTTGATCGGGGTGGTGCATATAGCGAAAGAGTGAGTGAGAAACGATTCTCAAGAAGTGAAAGCAGTCTTGAAGTCTGGGGTACATGTGTATGGATGAATGGATGGATGGATTGAATGAGCGTCACTTGCGTTGGTAACGAATGGGAAATCGTCTCTCGTGTCTTTCGGCAACTTACCTACCTACCTACCTAGGTAATCAACATTTGTGCAAACCTTGCTTTGGCCCCAAGATGCGCGTACAGCGCCCACAGCGCGAAAATCTGAGATGTTGGAGGTATCGAAAGGGAAGAGTTAAGATAAGTACTGTTAGCGAATATCCGTCCGGCTAATGATGCTTTTTGATGTTGTAACTTCAATTGGCGGACTTCTTTCCTAGAGCTTAGGTAGTTCAAGTGAAAGATATCTGAGAATTGATCCTTGGTATACCGCGCTCTGTGAGACATTTCTTATTTCAAAAGCAACATTATGTTTTCTTGCAGTAAAGTAGGAGACTTTGAAGTCTTGTGCGCGTCGTAAGTGGCTATCTAGACTTGGCTCGGATTGGCGAATTGTAGAGTTTTGTTTTGAAATAAATTTGTCTATTATTGAGTTTTTTGTTGCGTGTCGTACTTTCTCATAGGATGTGATTGTTGATTTTAGTTTTTCATATGCCATGTCATGGTATAGGATCTCATGGTATAAGGCTTCGCGGTATAGTATCTGATGGTATGACATCTCATGACATGGGATCTCGAGGCATGGGATCCCATGACATAGGTTCTCATAGTATAGGATCTTATGGCTTGTAGTAACCTAGCCTGTAATCGTATAGCTTGATCACATAACTTTGCCTGTTTTCCTCTTACCAGCTTAGATTCACCTGGTATTAGCTTTTCTTACTCCGCGCAGTTTCTCATGAGATCAGTCTTAAGGAGTTCAATCCTAATACGATCAGATAGTAAGGGAAATAGCTTCTGGTAGTTTCAGCTTTTAATGGGATCGTGTTCATGAGATTAGATTGATGGGATCAGATTGATGGGATCAGATTGATGGGATCAAGTCTCTCATGAGATCAGGTCTCTCATAGGATCAGGTTCATGGAATCACTTACTCATAGTATCGGTTTCTAATGGGTTGTGACTAAGGCCTTTAGTCTAGCTCCGTTGAGCTTCGTTGCACGTCACAACTTCCAACCACATCTAATGGTACAGTTATCTCGTTATGCTTAGCTTATGTAAGCTTGTATGGTTATTAGCTTTTGCAATGAGAATTACACGGCATGAGAATTACCTGGCATGTAATTAGATGTGCTCTAATCATATGGCACGTTTTCTGATGGCATGTCATCTAGTCAGTTTGCGACGTGCAACAAAAGTTTTCGTTCAATGGAGAAATTTCCTTAGTTTGGGTGGAAAGTTTGACCGGATTGCGATGTGCAACAAAACTTCAATGTCAAGGATTCACTTTGGTCATTTTCTAGAGTAATGTACTACAGCGCTAAGCACTATTCAGAAGCTTAATCACTCCCAAGACACTCAACTCAACTCAAAGTCCCTCAATACAATCTACCAGTATCCAAAGAGCATCTCAACACCTCTCTACCCAATCGGAATATCAGCCCCATACACACCCCTCCACTCCCCTGAAAAATCCTGCCAAAACATATCATCCAAATTCATAAAATCACCACCTACCATAGTGGGGACTTCTTCCAAAACTTCGACCTGCCCCTCCTTGCTCCTCGCCTCATACCACCCTTTCACCCACCTCAACCTCTGCGCATATCTCAACAACACGCCCTCAGCATCTGCGCCTTTATTCCCCGCAAACAAGCTCTCCATCGCTTCCTCGATCCGAGCCGCAAGCCTATCTAATGTATTCGCGAAATCAGCAACTTCGCGAGCATGTTCCAGGTCCCAGCCTGGGTACTCGAGAAGGACGAGACGCGAGGCAGCCATGGTCACGTTTGCGAGTTCGGACCAGGCTACGATTGGGAGGAGGATATAGATGGTGTTTGGGACTTGGAACCAGTGGTCGAAGAAGGTTTTGGTGGCTGTGAGGCAGGATGAGAGTTGATCCAGGTGGCGGAGGTTTGGCGTTTGAGATGTAGTGTGATGGGGTTCGTAGAGGCCTATCTCGAGGAGGCTGGTCTCTACGCTGTAGGAGTGCAGGAGGAGGAGATCGTAGGAGAGGCGTGCTGTGGGTATATGTGAGCATTGAATACTGAAAGCGATGTGCTGGAATACTTACAAGTATAGCTTCCACTATTTGAAAGACTTGCTCTGAAGTCTTGGAGCTCTTTCTGCATTGACTTCACGTACATTCTTAATGTTGCTGAGGATCTATCCGCCTCCTCGAGTGGTAGAGACTCGATGGCTTTACACAAGAATAATTGAATGCGAACCAGAGCCGTCAAGTAGATGTCTGTCGTATACTCCGCAGCTTCGTCTAGCGCTGTACAGCAATGCTCAATATACGGCGTGTATCTCATTGCTGTCAACTTCTTGTAGCACTGCGAGAATCTGTTTTCCCATCAGCAACCAGACACTCCTATCTCGCAGTTCAGAAGAGCCATACAAAGAGCTGAGATAGAAACACCCTAGAAAAGCTCGCATCTCGTCAGGAGTATGGACCGCCAAAGCCTTAGCTGGTGCTGTGGAACTAATTCCTACCACATGCACGAGCGATTTCTTAGGATCAGGCGGGCTTGGAAGCATTTTCCCTAACTCCAGCTCTGCCAACAGGGCGACGGCCAATTGAAGGAGTGCTGACATCTGCGCGCTGTTATGAAACTGGTAATTACCCCTGGTTTACAAATATTAGATACTAGAATATCATCTTCGCGGTATAGTACTTACCATGCGAGGTACACCAGAAGTCCCTGTAGCAGATCAAGACTCTTTTCACCTCGTAGTAGCATACGCTCACCGAGAAAAGCTAGTAACTTATCTCCGGCTTCCTTCTGCGAAGCGACACTCTGCTTAGCGGCTACTAGTAGTATAGAATCCAAAAGGAAAGGCTTCTGTTGTCTCAAATTCCGAGCCGTGACACCTTCCGGCACAACTACAAACACAAATTGCTCAGTCATATGGTTTCGAAAGTACGACAACAGCTCATCTGGATCGAGTGACATGGATTGGTGAGGCCGGAATGGGGGTAGAGCGCTTTGCGTGGGAATTATTCGGGTTGTCCTTATTGGGAGCATTGGCTCGGCTGGGAAAGGGGGCTCGTCCAAATTCGAAGTCGAGGATTGGGATTCGTATGGTTGCGAGCCGGATCGTAGCTCAGGTGCAATGACCACACCTCTTTCATCTCCGTAAGAAGGACTGGGCTCGAAGTTGGATGTATCCTGACTTTCGGGTGAAGTCCAAAGATCTGGAACTGAGTTGTCGAACCCTCGTGGAACATTTTGTGTTTGCTGAGGATTGGTGAGCAAGGTCACAATGTTGTCCAGCTTCTGCTCTAAATCCGATACACGACCATTTTCTCTTTCAGCAGGATATCAGAAATCTGAGCCCAGATACCTACGAGGTCCTGTCTTGCCTTCGCCTACGAACGGCAGGTACCGCTGCCACACACTCGAGCTTGAAATGAGAACACCTTCAAAAATCATCAGCACGTGCTCTCAGCAAGATGCAAAATAGGATGCACCGTTCACAAGAGCTCTCACTCCCCGGATCAACAATGCATTTCGTTTTCGCGGCCTTGCAGTGCGCACAAGCCCGGTTCAACCTTCGCTTCCCATAATGCCGCGATTCAGCGGTCTCTGAAGAGCCCTCCATCTCTCGAGAAAAGTACCGTACAGCCAATCTTCACGGAGAATCACGGCATTGGAAATGTACCGTGGTCGTCGTTGGGGTTTTGTGGATAGCTGAGAGGCACAGTACTCCCCAGCTGACTAACCGGCGTTTGCGGGAGTTTGAAAAGTACCGTGCTAAGCGAGGATGAGAAGGGGGCGGACAGTGTCTATCGTTGTCGTCGTTTGGTTGGCAAAAGGATTGGGCTGAATTTTAGCTCGTTGCAAGGATGTACTGGCGATCTCGGGACTTCTGAACTCCCATTGAAGCAGGTGAGTGACTGAGCCTCTTGGTGACAGAAATTGCACTTCCGCTACGGCTCTGCTTCCATTGCCGGCCCGATCTGGCCGCGAGTCAACGGTACGGATGTTTAATATTCTCTGTGTCTGCTGTGCCGTGATAGCGGAGACTTGTCCTGATAGTGATTTGGTGAGGTTTCCCTTTTGTGTTATATATGTCGCATGTTTTCGATTATATTCTACTGTACTACATACTATATGTGAATATCACTTGCTTTCTTGTACATTGAGCAATACCCTCTAGCGATTCCAAAGAACCTTTCTTTTCAGCCACCATCAGCTCTTCGTCAACATGGACAAAAAGGACGCCCCCAAAGAAATAGACACATCTTTGACATTAACACTGTCAACCGATTTCCCAAACACTTCTTCAAAACCCGAACCTCAACCAGAACTCGAAAAAGAAGTTCGGAAAGAATCTGCTCCAGAGTCGCCAACCGAGCCAGAATACCCCAGTGGCCTCAACCTCGCTCTCATAACTGTAGCTTTATGTCTAGCAGTCTTTCTCGTTGGCCTGGTACGTTCGCTCCCCCCTTATCCTCTTCTTAACATGACACTAACTAAGTCGCCCCTCTAGGACCGCACAATAATAACAACTGCCATTCCAAAGATAACGAACGAATTCAACTCCCTCTCAGACATCGGCTGGTACGGCTCGGCTTACTTACTGACAAGCTGTTCCTTCCAACTCATGTACGGCAAAATGTACAGCTACATCTCTGTCAAATGGACTTTCTTGGGAGCCATAGCATTGTTCGAAGGCGGAAGTGCGCTTTGTGGAGCTGCACCTAGTTCGAAGGCGTTGATTATTGGGAGGGCGTTGGCGGGTTTTGGGTGTGCTGGGATCATTTCTGGGGCTTTGGTTGTGAGTACTCTTTTTACTATACTAATGAGATAGAGCTAATGAGGGACAGATCATTTCTTTGAGTATCCCGATGCATAAGAGGCCGATCTATACTGGGTTGATTGGTGCCGTGAACGGTGTTGCTTCAGTTGTTGGACCACTTCTTGGAGGTGAGGACCTGCAGGCACTTCATAGTTTCTCCCCCAAGCTAACTCGATGCTCAGGAGTCTTTACCGATAAAGTATCATGGAGTAAGTAACATCACTACCATTCTTTATAGATGGATACTAACAACATACTAGGATGGTGCTTCTACATCAACCTCCCCATCGGCGCAGTAACACTCATCGTCATAACACTCCTCTTCACCGATCCTCCGAACGAAAAAACAGCAGCAATGACCGCCGCTGAACGACGCCGACAATTCGACCTCTTCGGCACTATCTTCTTCGTTCCCGCTATTGTCTGCCTCCTCCTCGCTCTCCAGTGGGGAGGTGAACAATACCCATGGGGAAGTTGGCGTATCATCCTCTTATTCGTCATGTTTGCCCTTCTCTCGACAATCTGGGGAATCATTCAATGGAAGAAAGGCGCCCTCGCAACACTTCCTCCGCATATTATCTCGCAGCGTTCGGTAGCTTTTGGAGTCTGGTCGACGTTCTGTTTAGGAGCTGCGTTTTTGTTGGTCACTTATTTCTTGCCGTTGTGGTTCCAGGCTATCAAAAATACGAGTGCCACTGGTTCAGGTGTGGATTATTTGCCTACGGCTGTTTCTGTGACTTTCACTTCGATCGGCGCTGGGTTTGTTGTACGGCTTTCACCCGCTCTCTTCTGTTTTCTCAGCAGCTGACAATGCACCGATAGACAACAGCAATTGGATACTACGTCCCCCTCATGCTTGGCTCTTCAGTGCTAATGTCCGTCGGCGCTGGCCTCATGACGATCTTCACTCCCACAACCTCGACCGGTCTTTGGATCGGAACACAAATTCTCTTTGGTGCTGGAGCAGGAATGGGAATTCAACAACCGATGATGGCAGTCCAAGCCGTCCTAAACCCAATCGACATTCCAGTCGGTATCACAGCCATAATCTTCGCTCAAGCCCTCGGCGGCGCAGTCTTTCTCTCCATTGGGCAAAGTGTTTTCCAGAATAAATTGGTGATTAAGTTGAAAGAGTGGGTTCCTGGTCTGGATCCTGAGATTGTGATCGCGAATGGAGCGTGGGGGCTGAGGAAGAAGGTGGAGAGCTTGGGGATCCAGTGGGTCAGTGGGACGCTAGAGGCGTACAATGATGCCGTGGTTATTACTTTTGTGGTTGCGACGGCTATGGCCGCGTTGAGTATGATTGGAGCGCTTGGGATGGAATGGAAGAGCGTGAAAAGGGTGGATAAGAAGGAGAAGATGGAGGATATGATTGAGGGTGAGGCTGTGGTGTGAATTGTTTGATTTGGGCTCATTGGGTGTTTGTGGAAATGTGGAGATAGTTGGGACATTCTAGACAGTTTTGTGAGATATAGCTTTGATATGTAATAATTGCATTGAACTTCCTACGTTTTTAGATTTAGTATTACCGGAACCTGATACCTTTGTTCTTTCTTGGGATTAGTTAGGTTAGCTACGATTATCCCTTTTCGCCTCCCAAGCAGATAACTTCCTGTTTGTCTCTGGCGAAGAAATTGTAGGCCCCCCCTCCACTTTGAACTGATCCGACAAAAGTATGCAGCACATAGAATATGCGAGTCAAAAATACTATTCGTAGTGATCAATTTTCTCCTTAATTGAGTAATAACCAGGTTGGCATTGATTTGGTTTGAATTCCTCGTATTTAGAGACAACTTGATAGCCCAAACGACTCAAAGACCTGCAGCAGTTAGCTTGTCAAAAATACCACCAAACAACAAGCATTACCTTGCTTATATACAACCTCAAAGTTCTACCAATCACAAGCCCCACCAATCAACCCCGCCAACCTCTCCAATGCCTCCCTATCAACCGCATCAAACCCCTTCACCACCGCACAATCAACATCGATAATCGCCACCGTCTTCCCACCTACCAGGATCGGGACAACGATCTCGCTCTTCGAGTCTCCATCACCTGCCACCCTAACTCAGCACCATAACCCAAGAAGAGGAAAGAAGAGGAAAGAAGGGGAAAACAAACAAGCAATATGCCCCGGAAACTCCTCAACATCCTCCACTAACACAGTCTCCTTTCTCTCCGCAGCAGTCCCGCAGACTCCTTTGCCGAATTTAATGGTCTGGCATGCTACTTTGCCTTGGAAGGGGCCGAGGATGAGTTGGTTGGAGACGATTGGGTCGAGGACGTAGAAGCCTGGTTACTATTAGTAAAATTCTAAGGTGCCGTTCGGATGGGTGGGAACAAACCAGCCCAGTTCACGTCCTTACTCGGACTCGGAAGACTCTTGTATGCATGCCACAACAGACTTGCCGCATTCGCCAGATTGCTGATTTCCTCAATTAGCTACCATCTCTCTCCTTCCCTAGTACCCAAAGGTCTGAACTCTTCACTTCCATGTGACCAAGAAAACTTCACATACCAGACCTAAACACAAGATCAGTACCCTTTCAGCATCCAAATAGTGAGAAGAAGAACTCACCCAATTTCTCTGTCCCTCAAACAACGCCTCAGCCTGTTCCAAGACCTGCTTATACGCCTCCTCCTTCGAGATATCGGCTTTGAAATTCGATGAGTCGGCGTGAACCTATTTCTTAGCTTGATTCCACACTCTGCCTTCATGATAACATACCATTTTGTCTATCTTTCCTCTTCACCACTCCGTACCCAGAAAGAAAGGAAGGGAAAGGAACGAACGAAGGTGTATCAAGATCAAAATCTAGCGGAGTGGATTCACGATTTGTCACTTCGGCTCCTCAAGCGAAACGCATCACGTGCCATGAGCTCATTCGATTCAGGGGCAACGAAAACGGCCCCCCAAACCTCAGGCAGGTAGACATTCAGAAGAGTTTCTTTCTTATTATCTAAAGTACAAAACAATGTAATCAATCTATCTATTTCCCCTCGCGCCTGCAGGAGCATCACCTCTCCTCCGCATCAACGTCCTTCCAAACGCGTCTTTGACCTCGGGATCGTTCCTAATAGTATTATGCACCAACCACTCGCTTGTGCTCTTCTGCACCTCCTTCAAAGCCTGCGGATCGCCTCCGAAGGGTGATAGTTCCATTTGTACTAGTCGGGTGGCTTCGAGGTCTGCTTGTTTGGCTGTGGCTTCTAGTTTATCCAGCTGTTGCTTTAACGCTAATTCCGGATTTGCGTTTGCTGGTACTGCGGTTGGAGGTTGGAGGAGGGGTCCTATTTGCGCGAAGGCAATGTAGAGGGTGACGCTCATTTTGCGCGCTAGGAGGATGAGTTGGTAGGGTAGGTAGGGAGGATGGTGTGTGAAGGTCGTTAAGAGCGGGTTGAGGAAGTTGGTTGCGAAGAGAGGGAAGTGAGGGCGTGAGATGGTGTGGAGTTCGAATACGCAGAGCCCGATGAGGGTGAGCCATCGCCAGTATTTGCCCCATTCCAAGTATCCAAGAAGACCTAGCACGTACATGAATATTGCCGCTGCGCCATAATAGGGGAGGATAGCTTGTAGGCCGTGGAGGACGAAATCGCGGACTCCAGAACAGCGTTGCCAATTTATGATGTCTGGTCCAAAGCGTTCATAGGCGAACCTCTTGGCAGGATCTAAAAGGGTATCTTGCGCAAGCTTAAGATGCACAAAGTAGTTTTCGGAAGTGGGGGAGGAAGATGAGACTTTGTCGGGGTGGTGTATAGCAGCTAAGCGCCGAAATCGCGATTTGATGTCCCGATCACTGGCATTATGTGGTATGCCCAGGTCTTGGTAGTAATCTGAAGCTCGTCGGATGTCCCAGTCTGCTTCGTATATTGTGTAGAGGAGGTAGGCAGATACGACTATGATGTGTATGCGCCGACGATGGAGGAGGAAGCGCGGAGATCCAGGTTGAGGTTTGGGGTCACCGGCTCGGATGGTAATGCCATAGTATACACTCTGAACCCATCCTGTAACCAGCTGGTCCAAAGGTCAGTATTCTATCCTATAAATTCGCCTCTGAGAGGTAGGCAGTACTTACATTTGGGAGAAATGTCCAGCCAGCAAGAGAAAGCAAATTACCAGCAGACATGATGATCGTGTCGCATACGCCTAGAAACCTGTGCAGCGACTACCAGTAAGCGCAAACTTTGTGTATGAAAGGAAGAGAAAATGAAAGAATGAATGATCGCCTCTTGTCATTTAATAAGTGTACGTCGCGAGGCTCAACCTGTCCACAACGATCCCGAGGCCAGATCCCCTAATCCCTGTCGAAGCGGCCGCACCGCCTTCAGCCTCGAAGAAAAAAACATAACCTTAAATCCTCCTCTTCATCATATCTCACCTTGCCGTTCAAAAATGTCAATTGAAAAACTCACCCCCTCAACCATGTCCCCCGAAACGCCCAAACATCGCTCGAAAGCGGACAAGAAATCAAAATCCTCCACCCACGGCGAGAAGAAGCGGAAAAGAGACCACCACCACGACGAAGACGACCCCAAGACAACCAAAAAATCAAAGAAACAAAGAAGAGACAAACATGTTTCCTCCGCCCACTCCACAGTCACACAAGCACCAAAGACAGATCCCTCATTATCGCCGTTTCATTTACAAACCTCATCCCTCTACCTCCCCCTCGCGCCCGTCGCCCAAAAATACCCCCTCGAAGGCCTCTGCGCCGAACACCTCTCCCCGCTCCTCTTAACATACTACCCGCCCTTCCGCGGCGTAATACTCTCTTACACGAACCCACGACTCTCCGAGACCGCGTTTGGATCCTCAGCCCCAAACCCCAACTCAGAAGAAGAAGGAAATGGATTATTACTCCATAACATTGACGAGTACGCCGTTTCCTGGACCTGGCTAACGGCCGATTTCCTGCTCTTCAAGCCCGAGCGTGGGGTTGAGTTGGAGGGGTATGTGAATCTGCAGAACGAGGGCCACTTAGGGGTTGTGTGTTGGAATTTGTTTAACGCGAGCGTGGCGCGGGAGAGGATGCCGGCGGATTGGGTGTGGAAGGATGTTTCTGAGATGCAGAATAAGGAGGGCGGGGGGAATGAGGGGTATGCGGAGGATGGGCAGGGGTGCTGGGTTGATGGGAATGGGGAGAAGGTTGAGGGCGTGGTGAGGTTTAGGGTTAAGGAGATTGAGAGTAGTCATGATAGGGAGAGGGGATTTTTGAGTATTGAGGGGACGATGTTGGGGGTTGAGGAGGAGAGGGAGTTGGTTGAGAGGGAGAGGGTTGGGGAGGGTGGTGGGAGGGATAAGGCGGGACGGAGATTGGGTGGAGAGAAGGCTTTGGGGGCTACGATATTAGGAGTTGTGAGTGAGGAGAGTGCTGAGAAGGAGAATAAAGGTGATGGAAAGAGACCTAGGCAGAGATATTGATAAAGAAGGTTGTTATGAATTATGGTTGTTTGGATTATACTGAGCTCATTGGACCTCTTCCTTGTGTATCATGGATGATAGAGCCCGAACCGAGTTAGACAGCTTCGACTGATGGTGGAAATAACCATAGCCTTAGTTTTCTCTGTTATGGATTAAGCTGTCTACCTTGGCTTCGTCTGAGCAATTTGAGCCAATCCTATCAAAGACTCTTCCTTAGTGAGTGCTTCGTGCTCTGCAACTTCTTGGGTATTAACTCCATGCCCTCTGAGGAGCTTCTGTCAACCTGAAACTCAACGCGTTATCATGAAGTCATCATAATCATACATCACATGATACCACCTGTTGATTGTCATTCTCTTCCATCCAATCCAAGACTAGCTTCTCATTACCACCTCCCAGTCTATCATTACCCCTCCTTCATCTCATCTCATCTCATCTCATCTCATCTCATCTCATCAAACAATACCCCCAACTCCAGGTCCACCAGGTCCCGGTCCAGGATTTCCTTGCATAGCGCTGTATTTCGGCGCAGCAGCCCCTTTCTCATCCAATCCTGGTGCATTAACATCAGTCACACCACTATATTCTCTCCTTGGTCCATCTGCAGGCGATATATCCTCCGCCATTGCATCTTCATAGCTGGGCGGTGCATCGTCTGCAGCTGGACCACTTGGAGGAGCTTGAGGTGGATAAAGAGGATCGCTTGCTTGAGCTGGTGGGACAGCTTGAGGACGAACAGGGACCGTGGGACGAGAAGCCATAGCGGAGAGCAGAGCTTCTGGGGGTGAGATTCCAGAATAGATTTCGATTTGGAAGCGGAGGGGTAGGGTTATTGTTTGCGGCTGTTGCAAAATTAGACAGAATCCACATCCTCTAGAAAACAATGAGAAACAAACCTGTATTTCTCCTGGAACGCCATACCCTAGCCCTACCCTAACTTCCAATTCATACTTCCTCGTAAGATTACAAGTATGAAACGAAGGTGCCACCGTATTGGGCAGCGGTATCCTATCCCACAAACTGGAATCCAGCACCGTCTCCTTCCTCAACTCATCGTTGGGACCGGAAATCGGGATACTAAGCCCACTTGTCGATAATAGTACCCAATTACTAGTTTCCGTCCTCACCACATCCTGCGCCCTCACCTCCGTAAACCCAAAAAGGTGGACCTGCAAACTAGTCAAGAACACATGTTCCGCACTCTCATTCAACTTCCTCGCAATGATCCTCAACGGTAACGGTTCATTGCAAGTCAAGACCGCCGGACTGGGTAACCTGGCATCGACCTCTCCTTTCGGAGCCGTATCACTCATCTGTGTAGGCTTCTTCTTGAACATCGCACTCTTCTTCCCGTACCCTGCTAATCCCGCCTTAAACTCATACGGTCTCCTCGCATAAACCTCGTTCTGTGTCTTCGCCGGCCTCGGGGGCTCAATAGGCAAGAATTTAAAACCTATAGCATTCCTCCTATTCTCCTTGAACAGACTTGGTCTCTGGACCGTAACCTTGATGTAATACCTAATTTCCGCTTCTCCTGGGAACCCCGTCAGACTTGGCGGTAATGTCCTCTTGACGTGTCGATATTGCATTTGTTGCAAGCCGCTTAGACCAAAGCCTCCAAAAGCGCCCATTTGCATTTGCTGCGTTTGCGGGTCCGAACAGCCATTGTTGAAGGGGATTTTTATCCGGAATGGGTACTCGTGTTGTCCTGCCCTTAATGTGTACGCCATACCCGTCATGGGAGCTTGGTTGGGTCCTACGGTTGGGAATACTTGTGCGACTTTATAGAGGATCTTGTGGTTCTCCGTTGCAACGCCTTCTCGTCGTTGTTGACGCTGCTGGTATAATGGCTGTCCAAGCTGAGGACCCATAGGTCGCATGAGAACCGTTCTTGACTCGCCCTCCAGCTTGACGACGATGGCAGATACATTTTCGTCTGAGGTGAGGGAGAGGATTATTCGGCCTGACATGAAATCGAGGTTTGTGTAGAAGGCGTGCGGATTATCGAGTTGGATTCGGACAGACATCTTTTCTGCCTTTCTCTGATCAAAGGACCTATTGGGATTTGGAGAATTAGATCATCGAATGTAAGGTTCGTGGTATGTTGTTGTTTTGACCCAGACGCGCTCGGTTTGATCGGATGCCAAGTTCGCAAAGACCAAGGGTCTCAAGACTCAGCCTCGCTGGAATTGAGGTGCCTAGAAGGACTACGCAAGCTCGGCACAGAGTGGCACTGCTATGTAGAAGAGGTTGCAGATAAGAGGCAAGGCTGTGCAGGTTCGAAGCATCGCGGATATGGTGTGCAGGATGTCGGACTGATGATTCGGATATCAAGGGACTCTTTGTCGCTCAGCCTGATGCGAGATGTTGGAGGGGCACAGCGTCATTGCTCGGCAAATCTCCCGAGCACTTTTGGTTTGGACCCTTTGTTGTCAGCAGCTGAGCCTATTGCAACCTCAAACGGCAAGTCTTGCGCAGTCAAAGTATTTACTAATGTACGACAAGACGAATCACATTGCCTTCGTATTCTTATTTCATTTTAAAGTGCCGCAATATTGCATTGCCGCTCAGCTTGTCAAGGGTCAACATCTTGTGCGGATGAGGTTACATGCATGATGCATTTGAAAACAAAATGTGAATTCAAAAGCCATATACAATAGGTTCCACAATCGTGGAGGGTATTTTTCTATTCAACATCCGACTTTCATTCGCTTCACTCCTCTTTTTTGTCTCGCTTCGATTCACAACATCTGCTTCCCCCTTGTCTCAATAGGCAAGAATACCATCGCTACAAAAGCAGCCAAAATCAAACCTCCACTTACAAAAACCGGGGCATTTGGGTTAGCGTCCGGGATATTAGCTGCGATGATCGGGGCACAGAGTCCTGCTATTCTGTTCAAGAAACTCGAGATACCAGTTCCCGTCCCTCTATTTGGAGCCGGGAACACCTCAGGCGTGTAGGCGTATAGAACGCCATACATAATATTCTGGAAGAAAGTTTCGACGGATGAGAAAGCGACTTGGTAGTTTGAGTTTGCCGAAAGCGTGAAGAGGAAAAGGAAGATTCCAGAGAGCATAGTTGCGATTGCCATTGTCCCCTTTCGTCCAACATATTTGATGTCGACCGTCCAGCAGGCCAAGATTGAACCTGGAACTCCGACCACTGATGTAATGGCATAGTTTCGGTATGTTATATAGTTGCTGACTGACTCTCCATTTGATCCTTTCCCATTTGAAAGATATTGAGGGAGGAAAGCGTTGAAAAGCGGGTACCCCATGCCAATGGTAAGCCAGCAGAACCAGAGCAAGACGGTCGTCATTCCTAGTTGCCTAGTGTGGAAGAGAGGTCCGATGCGCTCCGTGGAAAAGGATGATAACTTTCGTCTGATGATTTCTGAGGTACTGAGTTTGTGTACATCCTTGGCTGATGGATCACCGCCAATCTCATTGAGTATCTCTTCAGTGAGCCAAGTCGTAGTCTTGTTTTTGTAAGCCATCCCATGAACAACAGCAACAGCCTCTGACTGTCGACCGCGAGAAAGCAGGAATTTTGGTGATTCGTATAGATGGAAGAACAAGAACCGTGCCAAGAACATGACGAAAGTCAACGTCCCCATAGTATAGACGAAGTATCTCCAGCCTTTGTCTGGAGCATAGTGGGAGCCCAGGAATGCCCAACCAATGAGAGAAGCAACCAATTGTCCCACAGGCCACCAAACAGAAAGAAGTGTGAGAAGACCACCAGAAGCATTCGGGAGGAATTCCAAGAACAGGGCTCCATCGACTGGCAAGTTTCCTCCAACACCAACTCCAAGAGAAGCGTAAAGACCGCATGCACCAATCCATGTGGGAGCTGCCCCAGCAGCAATACCAAAGACTCCAGCGATGAGGAGCGTCATGTTGAAAGCTAGACGTCGGCCCATGATATCAGAACCAATTCCCCAGAACGAGGCTCCTATACAAAGTCCAATGAACAAGGAGCAAGTCGTGTATCTGACCTGTGTTTCCGAAACACCAAACTCAGTGGACAGAGAAGGTAGCGTTAGCGCCACACCTTGAAGCCAGAGGCTATTTCTTGTCAGCATCACATTAAACCATTTCTCGAAAGGAAAAACTCACTTATCAGCAAACCACCCAAATCCGCAAAGAATGAATAGTTCCCAATTGTATCTTGAAAGCAGTCAGCACCACCTCCACAACCCTGTTCGAAGCAATCTGACTTACCTCCCCATCCCAATATCCTGAATAGCTTTATTGATCACCTTACTCTTCACTATACAACCGTCAGCCCACACTAAACCCCGCCCCGCACATATCACTTACAATCATAAGCACTATCATGCCCACTAGCAGCAACATCCTCATGAACCTCTGCCCTCAATCCCTCCAACGTATACGGACTCAATCCATCCTGGCTCCCGCGCCCCTCTTCCTTTACTAGCGTCCCATCAGCCTCAATTTTGTTATTCGCTCCAAACGTCGACGTATCGGTCGTGCTAGAACGGCCTTCCGCTGAGCGTCGACGTGCGTATTCGGCTGCTACGGTGGGATGTCGACTCGCTTGTGCCAAGGGGACGAGGACACCTTGATAGTCGTTAACGGAGTCCTTTTGGCCTGGGCGCCGTAAGCCTAGAAACCCCATTTTCGAGTTGTTATTGTTGGGTAAGTGAGGCGTTGAATTTTGTCGTTGTATTGATATGGAAGAATGTCGAAGCTGTTATGAGGTGCTTTGGCACTTTCAACACCTGATAGGAATGAGAGCTGCTTTGGCGTTCGATACAGTTCACACACAAAGTGATCACGACGTGAGAGAAAGTAGGTACCAAATTACCTCAAAACCGACTAGTTTTGGTAGTCGATCTCGAAGTCTGGTACCGGATCGCTGTTTCCTGTTTTAGTCTCGCAAGCAAACTTGGGCTTGAACCCCGAGAACAAATTATGTTCTTCAAAGGTTTATAGAAAGGTGTTTGAGAGAAGAATGAACGAAGGAAGAAGAAGCAACAATAAAATAGAGAGAAGAAAGAAACATCCCACCCAACAGCTCGGGTAGTGGTATCGAGCCAAGAGATTTAACTTCTGCTACCAAGACCTCTCTCCCTCATCTGACCATGCTAAACCCAGTTCAGTTTAGGTAATAGCATCTTTCCAAGATAAAATCTCATGCCAACTGTCACTTCAAACTAATACCCAGGTGGAATTTCGGAAAACGGACCAGTAAATTGGAGCGATTGAGTAAATGTTTGATCCATAGTGGGCTTGGGTGACGTATAGGAGGAGTGCGGGGGCGGGAGCGGCGTCTTGGCAGCGGCACATTTGATGTAAAACCAAACCCGCAAGAAATTTTTCATGAAAATTCTCCAAATTAATTACTCACGACTCCAAGATGGCCCACAAAGTCAACTGCTTGCCAGCCGGTAATAGAATGATATGTAGGGACGAAACAATTAATAAGCTGGCGGATTAACCGATATTGAGAAAGAACTCTCCGATATTTTCCATTTGTACGGTTCAAGAAAATGGCTGCTTGCCTGCTGGTATTTCCCCCTGCCATGTCCCCAGATCCTCATAATCTACAATATTGGCTGCGGCAAAGGCCGCTAGAAAGCATCATCCCTCATTCATCCCTTCATTGCCCCCGCGTATCTATCTCTCTCGGTCCACTCAACTTCTCCAAATATCCTCAGAGATGCCAGTCCAGCCAGCCTACTACACTGCTGAGAACCCTGTGCAAAAGGGAATATGTGTGTAACTGTGGGAATTTGATATGTGAGAAAGTAACAAATTAATGAACGTGAACGCTGAAATGCTCAAAAAGAAGTATGCACAGAGAAATTAGTCGTTAGCTCTCGAGGCATCCGTTCATGCATCAAGCAGTCCGCGGTTCCGGGACAGTCGTCTCCTCGGTACCATTCATGCTGCTAAGAAATGTGCCTGTAGCACTCTCCGGCTTTTGGGAATCAAAATTCGAAACTCCAGATACGCCACTATCGCCCTCTTGGTCGTCTTTATCGAAAATAATGCCATGAATGTTTAACCCATTCTTGTCACTTGCAGGTGTCTTCATAGCCTCTTCATCCACATGCTCGTCGAGGTTCATAAGCGCTGGTGGACGGTGACGCATACGGCGAGCTTTCTCGAGGGAAATAGTCTTCTGCTGATATGTTGTTGTGATGGGCTTGGAGTCATCTCTATCAATCGTCGCCTTCATCAGTGCTGCCATCCATAAACGACCTTGTTTGATGTTTGGTACGGCAAAGTAGTGGATGGTAGGCTTGGTGAATGTTACGGCCTTAGTAAGCCCAGCTCGAGGAGGGACTAGCTTGAAAATGAACATCTGTTCATTACTTGGCTTGCTAAGGGTCGACTCAGGTTCTGCTGCGGCATCCTTAGCAGCCATGGTGGTGGTAGCACCAGCAGGGCTGGTAGGACTATTCGTAGCTCCAGTGAGTGTTGCATGCAGTCCAGTCAATCGATCATTGTCAGCAGGAAGGACTCGATGGAAGGAAATATCGATCAGCCCTTTCTCTTCCGTGTCGTTTTCCGAGTAATAGTATGATAAGCGACGTCCTTTCAAGATGAACAGACGTGGCTTCCATGTCGTCATCAGGTTTGGGCTCTTTTTCTTCATCCATCCACTGTAGTCTGCGCTAATCATTTGCTCCTGTGGTGTCTTCTTTTCTAGACCCCGGGTGTAAGCACTCGTCTCCTTTTTAGACTTCTTCCTGGTTGTGGCTTTCGAGCTGAGAGAGTTCATTGTCATTGAGCTTTTAGCATCCGGAGAATCGAGGTCGAAGCTCGGCCCAGCTGATGGTGTACTCGACCCTGTTCTGGAAGGAGATTGCATCGGTGAATCTTTCATAGGCGACGGGATAGGCTCTGTAGGTGAGGTAACTCGGGATTTCTCATGTCCAGTGACTGCATCTGAGATAGCTCGGAGACCAAAATGTCGGTTCGTGATGGACTTCGTAGGGAGCAGCCAGTCTGCACCACGGCCAGTCACAGCTTCAGGAGACTTAGGTAGCGGACTGTTTTCATAAGAACCGCCTTCGAGTCTTGTGACAGTCGGAGAAGGAACGTCTTTCGGAGGGGGCAATGGCCGCGGGGGTGCATTGATGGAATTTTCTGAAGGAGTCCTACGACGTCCATTGACCGACAAATTATAGTACTTTTGTGCAGCTGGAGATGGACCGCCTTGAATAGAGTCGACACTTCCAAATCTAGAATGACGTGAATGCGCAGTCGCACTACGCACCCTTTGTTCGTCAGTATAGCTAGAGTTCCGAGAATGTGTTGCTGTGCTCCCTCTCTTCTTTAGAACATTCCTTTGTCGTCCTTCAACATCGCCACCAGAGAAATATCCCCGGTCAAGAGCCTCTAGATTTGTTGATGCAGGTGCGTTCTGGGATGCATGTTCCATAGTGCTCCTCGCCGCAGCTTTGATTCCAGAAGAAGATAGTGGGCGACTTGGCAATGACGGTGAGACAGCTGAACCCATTGTCCAATTCCTATCAAATGATGGTTGCTTTTTGTGTGACCCATCCTGTACTTTTGGTGAAGCTGTCAAAGCATCTGGTGCAATGGTGCCCATAAGTGACGGAGTGCTATACTCATTGACAGAGCTTTGGCGAGAATGATGAAGATCGCGAATAGATGCAGCCGACGGTCGTCGTTTTTCACCTGCGCCTGGTCTTACGCTCTCCTGAACTGTTTTGGGCGATATTGGAGAGGTGATTGGAGACGGCTCGCTTCGAAAGGGTTGTTGATTAGAAAGACGCGTGTTTGTTCTCGACATTGTCCCTTCATTCATACTCGGGATCCTGGGGAGCATAGTGGATGAACTTATGCTACGACTTCCATGTCGACCAGTTGAGTCTGAGCCAACCTCGCTACCGTACGTTGCGGTATTCCGTCTGGTGGACGATATTCCATTGACTTCATCCTGTAACACCTTGATTTTCTGCCATGTTTTGAGCCTGCGTCCTACAGGACCCAACTCGAATTCTTTCAGAAAGACAGAAGTTTGATCCATGCCGAGAAGAACATCTCCGGTAATCTCCTGATCGCGAAACACCTCGCAATGCTTTGTTTCGACGCCGACAGTGAATAAGTATTCAGCTACTTGATCCGGTGTCCAGACCGAGACTTCGTCTTTTGTGTGTAGATTTTCATCTTCTTCGTCGGTTTCTTCACCGTTGATGTACGAGAGGCGTTGGTCGATGTGGCTGCTGTACTCGCTTCCAGAATCGTTGGCGACATGTCGTTCTGTGGGAGTAGCACTGTGATGAGGCGAGTTCATGTCGGTAATGTGTTCGTCAATTACACTCAAAGTCTCGTTCATCACTGGACTATCCTGACCATGAGCGTGCGCCTTAGCTGCAGCCAGAACATTCTTTTGTGGGCCCATGGGAAGGGAAGTCGAAATCGTAGGCATTGGGTTTTCGGGTTCATGGGAAATATGGGTTGTGTTCAGAGGCGATGTGATATTGGGTTTTTCAAGGGCTGCATGTTGACTTGTCTGCGCCACGTCGTCTGCCCCATTCAGTGGCATGGTCGTTGCTGGCTCCGTAGTTTTCGTGGTGTCTTCCGCAATAGGAGGTATTTGAGGTTGCGCGGCTAGTCCAGTCGACGGTTGAACTATTGGTGGATTCGATCGAGGTATTGAGGAAGTGGGAGGATAGGAAGGTGGTCCACGAGGGGCTATTCTTGTATAAACTTCCAAAAGTTAGTCTACTTGCCAGACTGAAGACATCAGAGCTACCGACCCTCGGGAAACAGTCCACTACTCCCATTCATTAGGTGCCGTCCCAAGTACCATCCGTCGCCAAAATCATCGTCGCGCTCGATCAACTCGACACGGTCTCCTTTTGACAAGCTCAACTCATCCGAGCTTCGCGCCGAGAAATCGTCTGCGTTTAATGAACGTTAGCACGATTTCCTCTAGCTCTAAAGTGAAGAAACGTTGCAGGCAGATGGACATGTTTCGATCTCCGGAAGCAATCAATTGCAGACAACATGGGGAACAAGTGCCCACTCACGAATAACGATGAGAATCTGCCCTGGTTCAGGTCTGCCCTGGGGCTCGACCGACGGTCGGGATGCCATTCTTTGCTCAATGCTGATTTCTCACGTTCCGCTAGGGACCGGTTGTATTCACAATATGAACATCTGATGAATGGTGGGTATCTGTATTGTCAAGGAGGATTATAAGCCGATCTTCAGCAAGAATTCATGTCCGCGGGTAGTAGTCGTATGCGGGGGATGCGTACGGCGCTGCAGTCGTTTTCGAGATTCGGAAGACACAATAGATCGTTGCATAAAAGCCAGCGGGTTCTCTTTGCTGTCGCGAGCATGGGTTGAGCCGCAGAACCACACCTCAAATGTGAGCACACGAGCACAATGAATGAGTGCCCCGGGCAATGATGTGCAATGCCAACTCAGGACAATGAAGCGGAGTGAGTGATTGGAGTCAATGTCGCAGACGCGGAGGATGAATGGGGAAGAGAGAGATGTTGATGATGTAGATGGCGCTAGCCTTATTAGGTGGAAACTCTTTTCGGCAACATCGATGAAAACGTCGTGAATGTCGTTGGCTTCGATTACTTACCACCGCCAGTCTCTCTCTCGCAGGATACGGAGAGTGAATGTTGGGTCGCTTCTTTACGCTTGAAAAGATACCAAGATTTATTCACTCTCCATTGTTGTCTAACACTGTCCTCTTTCAATAATCCCAATCACGCCGATAGTCTCTTACTTAATATCTTCAAGACTGTTTTGCGCCTCCCTTCACAAGTGATACCTCCAAGTTTCCCACTTTGCCATATTCTTCACAATTTTTATTCTGCTTCCTCACCATAGTTTGCTATCTGCCTGCTTGAGTCTCGACCGAAGGGCGAGATACTACTGTACTTCACCCGAGCCTTGTCTCACGCTTCGGCAACCTGATCGGTGAGCCGCCTCACTTCACTCTCCCCCACCAGCGTATGGCTGACTCTTCTCAAGCACAACCGTCTCTTCGATGACTTCATCTCCAATGTCCACTCGAGCTCGAACGATCTGCTGAGAGATGCGGCGACCTCCAGATAAAGACGGACCACCAGTGTCTGATCGGGACGTGGATACCTCCAACGCTACTTTGAATACACTTTTTGGAGGGGCTCGACAGAAGTCATGGATGGTTGGCGTGGGTGCTCCAGTACGCCCAACCCCTCGTACGAGTGCGTCGAGAACCTCCGTACCGCAGGTAACGTCGGCGCAGATGTATGTTACACAGTCTGGCAACGAGTGAATCTTGAGTTGGAACCCCTTCTAACCTCAATTTTAGAATAGCAGCGACGATATTACCCTCCCCAGCCCCAAGCGATGAACCAAGTCCAGTTCTTCCACATACAACTGTCAATGGAGTTCAGGCGGAACGGGGTCGACATCGAGAAGAATCAAGGCGACCTTCCTCGACCACAATCGCTCCCTCGACACACATCCAACAACCCTCCTCTACAGATTTTGACATCCAACTTCCCCCGACAACATCTTTCGAAGAATCGCTCAATCAAGCTCCACCAGCTCCTCCCCTATCAAACTCGTCCCCTCCTCAACTTAATAAATCATTCACCAATTCAACAGGAGTCGCTGAATCACCAACTACGATGACCGATAATATCCCGCCGCTACCCTCCTCAGTACTACTCCCTTCAGATCGACAGCAAGAAGTGGAAGTCCTAGCACATACGCAGACCCCTCCAACCCAACAGCATAATTTTACAGGCTTGAATCGAGGATATCCTCAGACAAACTCACTCCCTGCACGACCTGGTCCCGTACGTGCGCTAAGCCAAGGACAACAAGCTTCGAGACCGCAGACTCAGATCCAAGAAGCTTCGTCAAGGCAAACTCAGCAAGCTCAGCTTCCAAGTCCCATGCAAAGCAACATTGCTTCTCCACAAGCTAATATAGGCGTTCCATCTACATCAGCGCAGTCTGGAGCAAGGTTATATCCTTCGTCTGAAGCATTTCTTGCACAACCACAAATGGAGGGTAGACCCCATCACCCTCCTCCTAGTGCAGCTCCTACAAACCCACGCAAACGACAACGGATTCAACCGGCTGCAATGCCTTCCTTGAAACCAAGGGTGAACCTGATAGAACAGCATATCAAGAATGCTGGGGGCTATATGAACCTAAACACTGGCCTCGAGCGGCCTCGCTTTCAATTACTTACAGATGCCTGCAATCGGGAAGATGCCTTTTATGTTGCGCTGCATCAGGTATTTTGCTGCTGGGATGTTGACCGCAACCAGGTTGTTAGCATTATTGGGTATCCAAATGCCCAAGCCTTACAGGTCGCCTTCAGAATCTTAGGGCAGTTGATTAGAGAAAACGATGCACTCGCACCTAACCACAAAAAATGGTTCTCTGAGTTCCCCAGTCCATTGCGTCACCTATTACAATCATCAGACCCTTATCGGAGGACTGTGACAGAGGTTGGGACATTCTTGAGTAGACTGGCCTCGGACTGGGGTGCATTGTCTAACGAATGTTCTACCAGAGGGTATCCACCTCTTGTGGACGAACTCGTTCAACGTATGGGCTTGCTGTCGCCCATTCTCCAGGGGGTGGTCTTCACTGCAAGTCGCCGGAATTTAGGCATAAGGGACGAAGAGATAGGTACGCAGATGGAGGATATGTTCAAAAGGGATCAACGAGAACATCAAGCGCTGGCTGCTCGATATAACACTGCACGCCCGCCTACAGCACGAGAGGTTCAAGACCGAAATCGAGCGCTTGCAAGTGAATACATCCTTCTTCACAATCAATTGATCCAGCAGAGGCAATCTTCAGCAGTTTCTTCGGGGTCCCGTATACCCACACCAGTAGTCCCCAGCAACGATTATACTCAACCGGGTGTGATGATGAGTTCTCCGATACCTCAACCTCAGCAAACTGGCAATCAAGGAAATTGGAATCAAAATATGCCAAGTCCTGTTGCTCCTGGACACCAGCAATTCGCCAATGCATTGCCCCCTCGACTGCAAAGAGCTACGGACGGCCCTTCGAATTCGCCAATGGTCGGCAGTAGGCCACCAAGTGTGGGAGCTCAGCGGGGCTATACGAACACGCCAAGCCCGACGCTTCTTCAAGGTCTGTCTATGCACTCGCCTGTTCAACAGAACTTCCCATCTCCTTCACTTGGGAGAAGTAATGTTCAAATGCGATCCCAGCAGGCCGGATCACCTCAATTAGGAGCTCATCCCATTGCGCCTTACTACCACAACCCCATACTGCAGCAAGTCGATCCAGCAACACAGCAACGCGTGCAGATCATAGAACAGCAACAGCACATGATGGCCCAATACCAACAGCAGAATAATAACCAGCAGTGGGCACAGAATAATTACATTCAACATACCCCTCCAGCACAGCAAGCGACTCAACAACAACAACAGCAGCAGATACAGCAAGAACTAAGCCGCCAAGTTCTCCACATGAATCGTACCGTCCAGACAAGACGAGACAGCAACCCAGTAGTAAGCCAACTACAACAACAACAACAGCGGAACAACAGTGTCATTAGCAATGGCCATCGACCGCAAATCGTTCACGCTGCACCTGCATTATCTAGCCAGTTGTTGTCGCAAGCCGCTAACGCCGAGCTTTATGCGTACAGTCAAAAGCCTGTTCTGCAAAGATCTCTCGTTCCCCCATTGCATTATGTCCATCCCCAACAGCCACAAAATCCTGATGTGACGGCTTTACACCAGGCACATATCCGCAGTCCACGACTTGTCGCTGCTGGAGTCCCCTACTCGAGCATGTCTCAAGAAAATCCTGCAACCCGATACTACCAAGTCGTTCGTGGCTTTGTGCTGGCACCGACCAGAATCTCTTCGTCAAGTCCGCTGTCGAGATTTGACTTTGCGATTCCAGCGCACGACCTCGCCAAGGCCCCCAATGATATTCTACATGGCAATGGGCAGGTTGCAACCCGAGAGTTCAGACAAGGCACACTTCAGTACCGTTTACGGTGTGTGCAAGCGAGGAGGACAGACACAAAATATACTATTGCTGACTGGGTTGTGGCTGATACAGTCTGGCCTGAAAGTGCTTCTTTGGCTATCAATAAGAAACAGCTGGAAATTCGGCGAAAAAATCATCACGGCAAGGACTTACCCCTCGACATAACACACTTTGTCAAACTTTCTGCGCCCAATTCAACCAATCTAGTTACCTTATCCATCCTCAAAGGTCGAACCAAGATGAAGGAGTTTAACTACTTCTTGGCAGTTGAAATCATTGAGATCCTCCGTCACAATCAGATTCTAGAATTGTGTTACAACAACCGGATACCTGCGAGTTATACATTGAACAAGATCAAGAAGAGTCTTGTGGGCCCGAGTGGTGATGACGATGATGTCGCTATGGTAGTTGGCGACCTCTCTATTGACCTTGCCGACCCTTTTACTTCAAAAGTATTCGAGACACCTGTCAGGGGTAGTAGTTGTTTACACCGCGAATGCTTTGACCTTGAAGTCTTCTTGATGACTCGCAACAGCAAGGCGAAACGTCCAGAGCAGCCATGCATGGTAGATGTTTGGAAGTGCCCATTGTGTGGCAAGGATGCCCGCCCTTACAGCTTACAGATTGACGACTTTCTCGTGTCAGTCAGAGCCACATTGCAAGAACAAGGAGAGCTAGAAGACGTCAAAGCTATATTGATGGATGCTACTGGCAATTGGCGTCCCAAAGTCGAGAAGCGCAAACCTTCAGATGACGGCGAAGACAGCGATTATTCCAGCGACGGAGATGGAGCATTGAGGAGAGCTTCGGCGGCTCAAAAGGTCCAGGCGAAGAAGGTAGTCGAGGTGATATCTCTTGATGATTGAATTTCATGACCTTGTCCAAATAGTCTTTTCTCCGCCATTTTGTTTTTATCTAATATGCGCTTTTTTTCCAGTGGCTTGTATCGAAGTTTTAACATCAGACGGTGGCTGATTGCATGCATTCTTGGATCGGCGTACAGGGTTTAGCATGGAAAGTCTGCGAATTGCAAAGGGATGGAGTCTGGACAAAGAGCTTGGCTAAGCTTGGCGTTTGCTTTCGGGGGTTGTTTGCTTGGTCTGTTGATGTGCGGGATTCAGGAGTGAACTGGACTGGATTTGCTATCACATACCCTGGGCTTGGACAACTCGATGCTTGCATTAGCATTTGTATTCTTTAGCTTATGAAATGAACCTACATGACTACATGATTGCTTTGCATCGTGTTCTGAACCATACCACCAAGTGCAATCAGTATCAGGATGATTATTTGTCTCGCCTTTACCAAAGTCCAACTCTCAATCTACACAATAATCTACGCAATCATCTTCATCCTCATCTTCCGTCCACTCCCCAGCATCATCATCAACCTTCGTCCACTTCCTCCCATTCTCATCCAGTTCCTCCCTCTCGGTACTCCAACTAACCTTCTTCCCCTTCTTCTCCACCTTCCTACTGTACGAGACGCCCCTCCACACCACTCCTGTCTCCGATACCCAAGATAAGATTTCAAAAACGAGTGTGACGATAGAAACTCCTGTGTAAAGAGAAATGAGTAATGATCCGACGACGAAGAGTGTCGAGACAATGGATATTCCTAGAAACGGGAAGAGGATGCCGAGGATTGTGAGGTTAAGGAGAGTTATTGATAGGAGGGCTGTTGGTAGAAACCCCATTTTTAGGTGTTACTTTTAGTCTTGAATGTCTTACGAAGTGTGAAACTTTTTCGATTGAATGACTGTGGGGTTTGATGTTTGCAATATGAATTAATGAGAGCAGGGGACAAAGGTTATAGTAAAACAAAGAGAAATATTCTAGTCTTAAGACGCCGGATTTAGTATTAACAATAGTTAATTAATATTAATACTCGAACAAAGAAGAAGTAATCATATTATCACGAATTTAATAATATAAAACACGATAAAATATTGACTGTTTTCCTCCACAATTTTCTCAACGACAAAAAGTCGCAAAAGGTAGTCCAACATGACTTACAGATGGAGCGGAAACTCGCGTTTATTATTACATAAATTTGAAGGTTTTTTTACTATAGTCTACTACTTTAGTATAGCTGCATTTGGTGAGCATTCGTAGCTTAATTAGTCCTGCTGTTTTTGTTCATCGCGAGCCTGTTGCGCACATTCCTAGCTTACAAGACGACTGAACTCGGATGACATCGCACCAGAATACTACATTTAAGCTATAAACCATGTTTAGGTGGTCTCTAATAAGCGTATAGAGAGAGTCAGCAGGCCTGAGCAAACCTGAGCAAGCCTAAGCCTGCGCTAAGCTGGCCCTGAGTCGAGCATGAGCAAAGGCGGCGTTGGTTACAGTACGAGCTACGTGAGACAGAGAGTTGGAAACAGCCTTGACAGGAGGAAGAGGTGGCCAGACCATGTCCGATTCAGGCGCCAACTCGATGGTCTGGCCCATGACCATCGTCACTCAGAAAAGAAGACAAGAGAATAGCCATGTAATGAATTCTAACTGACAGACTTTGGACCAATTTTCCAAAAAGCATAAGAGTGCGATATCAAAAAAGATCAAGGATAATGACAGTGCAGTAACTTCAGGGTGCAGAGTTACAATTACTCTATCGTGAATGTCAACCAATTACGGGACATTCAATTTTCTAATTCTAGGAGAGAGAAGATTTTCATAAACCCTCCTTAGCAAGCATGTCTGCAATATCCAAGTAGAACGCAACAGCATTAAACCTGCGGCGAGTCAGCCAAAACACCACAATTCACAGAATGTATCACCCACTTCTTCTGATACCCGCCCACCGACCAAAAGAACGATCTCAACCTATTCGTCCAATTGATCAGGTCCAAATGGCTAACCTCAACCAGAGTCCCCTTGTACGTTCCCCATTTTGCACTTTCCACTGAAACTAAGCCATCATTCGGTCCTTCCATTGACTCAACAATCTTATGTGGTTTCCGAAAAGCGCTTAGGAATCCTGGGTGTGCTGTAGCTCCATATGAGAAGTACCTTACGCCTTCTTTGTCAGGAGTTTTTGGATTAAATTCCTCCAGCATGTATTTCGTAGTCAATTGACTGAAGGCACCAGTACTGTATCCCAAACCCTCCACAAACTTGTATATCTGGGGCAGGTATAAAGGTCCTAGTTCCCTTAACATGTAATCGGCGAAGTAGGATCCTCGATGTGGGGTTGCGATTGTGGTAAGGGAAAGAACGTCGACATTGTCAGGCTTCAGTCGAGAGATCATGTACCGAGCATCCAGACCTCCCATACTATGTGCAATGATATTGACGCTCTTTCCATTAGCTTTGGTAGCTATATCTTGACTCAGCTTGGCAGCTCGTTCTTCGATACTGGCAGATGCTGGAACGGTGGTGAGGATGACTTCGATACCATTTGCACGCATGGCTTCCGTTATGCCTCGCCAATATTGGACTCCCGGAAGTAGGTTACCAGCTAATCGCAGCTCGTCGAAGCCAAGGAGGCCGTGTGCGAGGACAATTGGGTTTTTAGGTGTAGCTGTAACTCATCAGCTCACTTCTCCCTCCCATTGCTAATTGGAAAATCACCATAATTCTGTCGAATAGTAGCATAATCATCCTCGATCGCCCTCCCTATATCATTAATCCTCGGATCCGAATCAGTCTTCTTTTCCTTCTCAGCTCGTTGACCGCGACAGCAGCATGTCGAGAAGGACATTGGTATGCATAATAGGTAAGGATGAGGAGGAATGCTGCCGCCGAGTTTTGCTCGTGGCACGTTTCGGAGAATACATCTCGTGGTTGCTGCACGAGCTACCAGATATGTCATCGCTGGAGGCTATACATTGAGTTTGGTTGTGAATTTCCATGGTGAGGAAGTCGCGTTAAAGAATAGTGTTGAAGCTTCACGACAAGTGACAGTGACGTCGTGCATAGATCCCTGCAACTATACATGTGACATGAGGCTGAGGGGTCTTGATAGGCACCTATTTCAAGAGCATCTGGGTGAAAGCTGTTTGTACATTGGACTCTATGGTGTGTGGTTCAAGTTGTCATAAAGCTTGCTTGGGGAAGCAGGCAAAAAGTAGAAGAAAGCAGAGATAACTCTCAAAGCTCTTGAATGGATATCTTCGTGCAATTGCAATTGCCAGCTACTAGTAGTCTATACAGCTCATCACCACCCTCAATCCCATGCCCAAGTCCCCTTCCAAACGTAAAAGCAGCTCAAAGACCTACGCTGATATCTGTGAAGCCCGGCGTCTCTCTAGGTCATATAATCCTTTCCCCAACCATGATGGATCTCAATCCGCGACTTATTTTGGAACTTCGATACGATCTGGGACAACAGGATTGATATCGAAGACAGCCTTCAGTAGTTCCTTGACAACTTCGTCTTGACCCTTCTTGCCAGCCTCTTTGATCTCCTTCATTTTGACCTCTGCTTCCTTATTTGCATCTTCTTCGGCTTTCTTGTTTCCGCTGGTGTGCTGTAGATTTGATTTTAGCAATTTGCAGAGACTTTGGCAATATCATGGCAGCAGATAGGGACATGGGAGACAAAGAAGATGCCAAGCATACCTCAGACTCAAACTTCTTGAACTCATCATCCTTGTTCTTCTTGTAGGCGTCGATTTCCTTCTTTGCTTCGTCCCTGGCTTCCTTTACTCGCTTTGTACGGTCTGATATGGTCAGCTGGTGATTTCGAACGGGATCTGGCATTTCATGGAGCTGGCTCACATTCTCTGGCTGCACAAACATTAGCAAAGATAATCCAATTGAGCTCCCTCAAGCAACAAGAACTTACCTCTCTGAACAATCTTCTGAGCTTCCCTCTCCGCCTACCAAACCATCAGCACCTATCCCCTCCCCAACCCTCAACCAAATCCAAGCATACATACATCGAGAAGGGTCTGAATACCCGCAGAGTTCTGAGCCGACTATATTCCCCGCCATTAGCTCCCGATCCTCAAATCGCACCCAGAACAAACATACCATCTTTAAATCCTCCGTAAAGAATTCTCAGCTGGATAGGTGTTCGTAAAGCTCGTTATCGTCGGACGTGCAACAGTCAACAGTCGAGTTAATGTAGCTCCAGATCCTCGCACCAAAAGCAACGAAGCTCCGAATCCCTGCACGGCAACTTCCGCTTGTGAACCCCGTCGTTCTCAACTTTTTGGGGAGCTGCACAACTGTGATTGAGATCACGCATTCACTTTTACAAGGACTTGATAATCGGACAGGAGAAGATTGGGGATTGCAACAATGTCTCGCACGGCGAAACTTACTCTGGCGGGCACGACGGCCTTCGCTGCTGCTACGATTGTGTTTGTACATTATGGGCAACAAGCTGAGAAAGCTGTAAGTCCCTAGTTTCTTCAGCGATCCTGAGGGAGCTGTGCATGATATGGTGCTAATGCAATGTATAGGCAATGCACGCAGGCGTAGTACGAGACGTGGAGCAACAACGAGTCAAGAAGGAACGCCAGCTCGATTTCGATTTGCAAAGGGCGTTGGAAGAGGAATATAAGAAGGTGCAAAGTGTACATGATGGAGGGACAGTGTTGGAGAAGCCACGGTGAAATGGCGGCTACGCTCTACAAATCTCTCCTCTTTATAGTATCATAAACTGTACAAGTACCTCGAGCATTCCAGGCGTTGGATGGGATCAGGTCATCTTCACTGTGCCGAACGAGCAAGGTTTCAATACTGCATTATGGGAGTCGGGTGCTGATAGAATGGTCATTCTGTCATTAGCTCATCTGTATGATCTCCCCCGAAATCTAGATATGGTACATTAGGGTCTCACGCATCCCAAATCTCGCTTGTCCCTTTTCTCCGCCGCAAACGAACGCAACCAAATATGCAGTCATCCATTTTGAGGCAGTCTTGCTCCATCCCAAACGCCGTGATATGCAAAGACCACCACCGCGCAACCCCATTTCCTGTACATTCTCACCTCTCCCCTCTCGGTTTTCAGCGAACTGAAATACCAGATCTCTGGGTAAACATTCTAGATGCGATGTTCATAGATGCTAGTTCCTGGAACAGCAACTTTGCAGCATATGGGATGTGAATCTGAGAGATCTTCGTCTTATTCTTGCAGGGTCGACACTCGAAAGATTGAGTGGATAGTTTGCTGCATCAAAATTAGTACTCGATCATTGCAAAAGTAAAACGAAAACTTACGCAATCGGAGTCATCAGTCCACAGATGTCACACACATGGACTCTGAAGGCATCCGAGACCTCAAACAATCTCTCCTTCAAGAAGGCAGCAGCTCCGTGAGAAATCATGCAATCACGCTCCATTTCTCCAAATCGCAAACCACCATCTCGTGCACGACCTTCCACTGGTTGACGAGTCAAGATCTGAAGCGGTCCTCTAGCTCGAGCATGGATCTTATCATCGACCATGTGGCGAAGACGTTGGTAGTATGTGGGACCCAAGAATACCTGTGCCATGAGCTTCCTACCAGTATGGCCGTGATACATGATCTCGAAGCCACGAGATTGATATCCATGAGCTCGCAAGAGTTTAGAGACGGAGTCGACGGTCACCTCAGTGAAAGGAGTTGCGTCACCCTCAAGACCTCGGAGAGTTCCAACCTTGCTCAATTGGCATTCAATCAAATGGGCAATGGTCATACGCGACGGAATAGCGTGAGGATTGATAATCAAGTCAGGCACAATACCTTGTCTGGTGAACGGCATATCCTCGTGTCTATATGTGATACCAATGGTACCCTTTTGTCCGTGACGAGAGGCAAATTTATCTCCAATCTGAGGAATCTTGGTTGTACGCATACGGACCTTAACAAAGCGGAGACCCTCGGCATTGGTTGTGATCAACACCTGGTCAACGATTCCATTTTCGGTGCTTCGAAGTGGGGTGGAAGCATCACGCTTGATGTGAGCTTTTGTGCGCTGGCCCATCTCCTCGGCATCAGGGGGGATAGGAGCAGTCTTTCCGATGATGATGTCCTCTCCAGACACACGGACGCCAGGGGCAACAATTCCATCATCATCGAGCTTGTCATATGTACCATGCTTCAGTCTGAGTGTATCGGACCTGAAAGGCTTCTCGAACTGCTCGACGACGTTCATACCAATTCGCTTCTCTTGATCCGTGTAAGCACGGAAGAATAAACTGCGGAAGAGGCCACGATCAATACTACTCTGGTTCATGATCACGGAATCTTCTTGGTTGTAACCCGAGTAACAGGCGATGGCCACAATGGCATTTTGACCAGCAGGCAGTTCTCGGAATTTCAAGAATTCCATGGAACGGGTAGTAGCAAGGGGTTTTTGAGGGTAGTATAGGATGTTTGCCATAGTATCCATGCGTTGATCGAAATTGGTGAGGAAGACTCCCATAGCTTGCTTACCCATAGCTGATTGATAGGTGTTACGAGGAGACTAACCGTTGTCAATAACGCATGCAAAAGTGAAGTCACGTAACTTACCTGATTGTGATCAGGAAATGGAATGATACTGGCGCAAATGCCCAATATCATACTAGGATGAATCTCACAATGTGTCCAGATGTGTGCTGTAGGATTCATCGGAGCCTTCACACGCTTGTTGAGATCGGGGTTCTCTTCCGGGGCAAACTGGTACCCGGCTTGCAATTGCCGTGAGATGTCCAAATCTTCGGGTGTCATAACAATCATGATTGTCTCCTCTTCCTCTGCATCCACATATTCTACCACACCATTATCAATAAGACCTTGGAATCCAAAGTAGCCATTTGAATCGCGTGAAGCCTGATCCATGCCTTGTGTTGACTGATCTTGTTCAAGGCGATGAATGTGGTCCTTAGTTAAGACCAAGTTGCCCTTGTTAGCACTATCGACGTCGTTGTCGACCACGAACAAAGGTCTGCACACTCTACCAGCATCTGTAAAGATCTTGAATTCTCTGTCGCGAATATCTCGAATCAGAGACACTTCGTGGGAGATCAAATGAGATCGACGAAGATGCTGTACAGTCTTGACCAAATGCCCAGGGTCACGATGCACACCAACCCATACACCATTAACGAAGACCTTGGTAGCGTTGGGAGAACGTAGAGGCTCATATTCTTCCAAGACCTCCATGTTTCTCTGAATCATGAATTCAATGATAGGTTCGCTGGGAGTACCGACGGTGACATAGCACATGAGAGCCAGGTTCTTGACGAGACCACAAGCTTGACCTTCAGGAGTTTCGGCAGGGCAGACCAATCCCCAATGTGTGTTGTGCAATTGTCTGGGCTTGGCAATCTTACCATCACGTCCGATAGGAGTGTTGGTGCGACGAAGATGGGAAAGTGTCGAAGCAAAAGTATATCTGTTCAACACTTGAGACACACCAGCAGTCGAGCTAGCAGCCTTCTTTTGATCTCCCCAATTTCCGGTGGCCAAGGAGTATTTAAGGCCATTGGTGATCGTGGTCGCCTTCACTCCGAGAGTCAGATTGAATTCGCGGTTGTTCTCAACGCAACGAGCGAGGTACTTCTGGACATCTGAAGTCAATCTCTTGAAGAGGGCTCGGAAGAGTTTTGCCAGCAAAGGACCAGCCAGATCCAAGCGCTTCTTTCCGAAGTGATCTCGATCATCGGTTTCTCGGCGACCAAGAGCACATTGCAACATCTTGTGTACCATATAGCCCAAGAAGAAAGCCTTTCTAGTCTCGCTACCCTCTGCCTGTGAGATATGGGGCAACAATTCCTTCTGCATAATATCTCGGGCGTATTTGATGCGCTTGTCACGCGTAAGACTTTGGCTGTTGCCACGCTTACCAATGAAATCCAACGCAACCTCTCGATCCTGGATGACAAAAGCTTCTTCGATACAGGGCTTGAGCATCTCTAGCATAACAGAGTCGCTTCGATCGTAGCAAATGTGGTTCAAGATGTCTTCATCTGAGACGACGCCCAATGCACGGAAGACTATTGCGATTGGAACATCGCTCTTGATATAGGGTAGTGTCGATTTGATTGTTTGGCCGAAGCCACCTCGTTGACCGTCCCCCTTAGCGAAAAGTTTGATGGTCATGGAAGAAATAAGCCGAGAACCTTTCTCGAGGGCGCTGCGGATCTCGGCGATGTATGGGGTAGGACTCGGTAATGATTTCTTGAAGACCTGAACAATGTTCGCGGCACTACGCTCCTGGGCGATCAAGACCTTCTCAGAACCGTTGATGATAAAGTATCCACCTTGGTCGTAAGGGCATTCGTTCCAGGCATAGAGATCATCCTCGTCGAGGTCCTTCAATATGCAGTATTTCGACTTCAACATGATAGGCAACTTTCCGATAAAGACTCGATCGGGAGCTCTCTCATCTTTGTCACCTTCCATTCCATTGCCATCCTCGTCTTCCCATATCAAGCGCGTAGGATGTACATTAGTGCGCTGCATCTCCTCTTGCTGTTCTTCATCGAGCTCGTTCAGAGGAACAGGTCGTTCAACAGCCACGGAGACTTTCTTGGTCATCTCCAGGTACAGCGGACTCGAGTAGGTAAGATTTCGCAGTCGAGCCTCTTGTGGAAGCATAACTTGCGTACTGCCATCGCCTTCAGTCATAGCTGGTCGCGACAGCAGGACGGTGCCAAATTTGATCTCATATCGTCGGAGGGCGATGGGATTATCATCTGAGGATGGAGGGGAATTCTGATCAAGCGTGAGTTGCGAGTTCTCCTCAACAAGCTCTTGCATAGTCGTGGAGACGAATTCATCGAAAGAATCGAGTTGTTGAGAGACCAAACCCTTGGATTCGAAGAAGGACTGAATGACCATCCAGCAATCCTCGGCCGAAATATTGGTATCCTCTTCTTCCTCATCCGCGAAGTCATCGTACTCGTAACCCTCTTCGTATTCCGCCATTGTGTATGTGAGAAGCCGGTGCTGTTATATTACGAGTTATGTCGAGGTCGAGGGAAGGAAAAGTCGAAGAAAGGAATGCTGGTGGCGCGCAGGCTGTCACCTTCAGTGACTTTGAGGCTGTCGCCGTCGGTCTGCGAGGTTCAGCTGCCAAAACTAATCAACATGAAGAACCAAAACGTTATGACAGTAATTCAGCAGTACGCGCAGCAATCTGGCAGATTGTTGACGTTGATGCCCTGAGAGAAACAGAAGATGGGGATTCTTACCTTCGCGCTGCAGTTGAGATAGTTTTGGCTTCGCGACAAAAGACCGTAGTCCTATTGAGGCTAGCGTCTATTTCGACTCCGAAGCTCGCTTCAGCCTCAATCTGGAAATTCACCTCTTCGGCAATTTCTCTGAATATAAGTGTGAATGCGGATTAAAATATCCTTGCAAAACGCTCTTCGAGTCTTCTATAGTCTGTTAGAACCAGTGTTCGCTAGAACGTCCTAATATGGATGTCATTCATGCCATTTATGCCATTGACTTTTGGCGCCTGATCCGTACTTGAACGTTCAATTTTGACATTCGGCTTGAAAGTTCAAGCTGCGTGCTGCGTTCAGTTGATAGAGCACAAGGAACTTGATTGAAAGAAAATTCCGCGCTTAGGAATGATTAACAATGATAACGAGAGTCTGTCAGTGGCCTGTCGCTGACATAACAGTTCATGTGGCTGCAGGCAACGAAAGCACTTGGGTCTTAACCCATTTATGTCGGACAAGCTCCGAAACAATTATTATCTGACATCCCAACTGTATACACTTCTCGCCTCCCTTCCGCCCTTTTTGTTAACAACTAAAATAATTTTGACAACAAACCCAAACCCAAGACAACCTTAAAACTAGTATATCACTACATGATCCCCATCCCGATCCGCAAATTCCATCCGAGAACACTCAGACGCCCGGCTCATTCTTCTTCAGCAGATGCGTTGTATTCTGCTTTTCTAACCCGCAGATCAATGTCGATATATAGTCATTAGCCGAGCCACTAGTAAGATGACTCGAACGGGTTGTAGGAACAATTCACTTTGAGTGGCGCTTGAGATGCGGACTGAAAGGGGGGGCTTGAATTAGTGAATATTCCTCATGTCTGCAAGGCATGTTTATTTACGTCGTGAATACCCAAGTCTTTATTTTCCTTTTCAGTTGTTGATCTATGAAAACGTAACTCCTGTCCAGTTACAGTGTAAACCCTGATCATAATATTCGTCCTCTCTTGCCATTTAGATATTTTGCGTCTAGATTCACATGTGCGAGTTGCACACGACTTGCACTTACAAATCTCAAGACAGAAAAAGAACGTCATTGCTTTGTATATGCGGCAAAGAAAGCATTCTACGCTATTCAATTCTAATATCACTCTTTTTTATCATGAATGAGCTACATTACGCCTTGAGCGCGGCTGCGTGGGCTTCATTCTGCAGAACATAACGGTAGCGAGCCTTTCCAGCCTCCATGTCCACCACAGCCTGATTGGCATCCTTCAAAGGTCGAACTTGAATCCAAGGGTGGACTTGCTTCTTCACTGCAAAGTCCAACATATTTGCGATATCCTTTGGCGAACCAATGCAGCTACCACCCATCTTGCATCCCTTGGCAATCAAAGCGAATGCATTGAACGCGGGGATATTGTCTTCGGGAGCTCCGACCTGGGTACCATGTTAGATGCCTTCACAGCTAAATCTTGGACGGAATGTTTCCTACCTGGATGAATTGTCCATTTGTTCTGAGCAATTGGAGATACCCGGCAAGAGGCATATCCGGGCTGGACACAGTGGATACAATCAAATCGAGACTTGAAGAATTCTTCTTGTTCCAGCCAGCTTCCTCGGTGGCGATGAACTTGGTGGCTCCAATTTTCATGGCATCTTCCTTTTTGCTGGTCGATCGAGAGATAGCGACAACCTCGTCGCATCCGAGTGCCTTTGCCCACAGCAGACCAAAGTGCCCCAGTCCGCCAACGCCTACGATGCCGACCTTCTTGCCTGGGCCAGCGCCGTTGTTAACGAGAGGGCTGAAGGTTGTAATGCCTCCACAAAGCATAGGAGCTGCCTCTTCCAGAGTCAGACCATCTGGGATCTTGACGGTGAAATGTCCTGGAGCTCTGCAGTAGTCTGCGTAGCCACCGTATGACTTTGAACCATCGGGGTATTTTCCGTTGTAGGTCCCAATCATGGATCTGCAGTGTTGTTCCTTTCCATCTGCGCATTCTTCACAGTCTAGACATGACCCAGACTGAGCTCCAACACCACAGCGGTCGCCAACCTTGATGTGTTTCACGTTCTTTCCGACCTTAACGGCTGTACCAGCAACCTCATGGCCAACACAGCATGGGTAAAGTGTTGCTCCCTGTCAACTAGTTAATATCTCGATCTCAAATCCTGCAGTGGCGAAGAAACTCACCCAACCAGACCGTAATGTATGGAGATCTGATCCGCAAATCCCACAGTGAGTTATCTTAATATCAACGTCGTCCTCAGTCCACGTTTTTGGCTCATATTCTTGCCAAACCATCTTCCCTTTCGTCGCATCCTTATCCAATCCCAACCATCCTTGGAATTTGTACGGTGCTGCCATTTTTGCTTTATGTATATCGTCTGCCGGATTCAGCGATTCTTTAAGATGATTTGTGAGAGTAAGAATTCTTTCAGTTGCTGAAGATGCAGGAAACTTCGCGGGAGCCATAACTAATATATCCTTCTAGAAAGCTACGTATCTCAAACTCAAGAGCCCACCTACGCAATCGGCAACAGACTTTCTTCTCCGAATCCTTGCTTTAAGTGGGAACAAATTAAGCCTTTCTGCATGCAGAGCCACTTTTTCGCAGATAGAGCAGTTCAGGCCTCTATCTTAACACCGATATGTGCCGGCATTCAATGACTTCTCCAATTATGTTGGTGTTTCTGAGCGGTAGACACTGTTGCCGGAGCGTGCGTGTTTCAGCATTAATCTTTGAAATATGGAGTGATGATGTCGATACAGGTGGCGAATCAACACAACAATTTCGGCCGATGAGAGATGGTTGGGTCTATGCAAACACCGATAAAATTTCGAGCACAAGGCGGAAGCATGCAATTGAGCGGAGGTAACGGTGTTTTGGAAGTTACACATTCTTTTGTTCTGGAAGACGGATTTCTCTTGTCACTAAACAGCTCTTTTCCCCACCTTACATGTATTTTAATGGGAGCCCGGCAAAGTTTGCCGAGGTTCATCCCTTTAGGCCCTTCGACTTTTGTTGGCCGCATCACACTGAACTCCAACTACCTAGTCTTTGCCACTCGAACTTAGTCTTCGATCATTGCAAGCTGCAAGCTGAGTGCTTTCTCGACCTAACTCCGAATGTTGGTACAAGTCCCTGCATTAGCTCCGTTCCCGATAATTTGTAGAAGGCGAGTCCCGTCCATGTCAGCACTCAAAATCGACCTACTGCAGTTTGCTTATGTTCGGACATACTTTGGACGAAAAAAACTTGCGACTGCCAAGATATCTCTGCATCTGACTCGTTGTCAATTTCCATTAATGTTCCATGGTCTCAGAGATCTACTCAGAGACTTTCTTCGACGTTTTCTTATCTTTCGGACGTTCACCATCGAGCAAGAACTTTCCCCTACCCGAATAATTGCCGTTGCAAGGGCCCCCGGCATTCAGCGAGGTATTCTCGGGTCGGGTAGCTGAACTATCCGGATTTTTAGTCGTTACGCGAGATAGCTATGTAGCCACTCGCGAACACCTAGCAACCAATTATGAGCTGTCTTTCTTTTCTAATACTACGTTCATTCGGATTCTCTGTGGTACAAGCTTTGTTCATTTTCATCCTTCTGCACTGCAAATTCTGATGATAAAGTCCATAAGACTTGAGACAATTTTTTTTCAGGAAGTCAAACTGTCGAACAATAGTATTACTTCCTGTTATCCTTTCACGGCGCTTTTCAGTTACTCGAATCCTCTTTTGAATGTTCTTTGTCTAAAATAGGGAGGAAATAGCCTTGGCTTCGACCACTGTCGAAATTGACCGGTGAAACTAGAACAGGACGAAAGCAAAAGTGTAGAATGGTAATAGCTTATCAATGTCATTTCTATGTCTCTTATGGTGTGCAAGACAGAGAATGTCTTCTATTTTCTTTCTATACACTCGATCTCCTTTTTGCATTCCCCCATCTTCACTCGAATGAAATCACGTAGGGTATAATTGCTTTGTTTTTCCTCTTTCTGCTCGTTCTTTCCAAGCATTCCTTTGTCGCAATTATACCTCTTAAACACCTCTTTACTGCTCTAGCATGAACAAGGGGCAATAACAAAGGCATTGATCTAGTTGTTCGGACAAAAGCCGAACAGTGTCCTGAGCAATTTGATCAGTCCATGCATCCAAAGATTCCAGGCTTGATAACGTGGTTACCTCATGGTCTATTGTTCCACACCAAAAGAACACAACAGGGATTCATAGAGCATGTATGAACAGCACTATGAATTGATACATAACTAGTTAATGCAAGCACAACCAGCACAATTCAATCCAATTCAACTCAACTCAACCAAACTCCAGCTCACAAAGTACTCAACCGCTTACTCACATTTGCACAAAAGTAACTTTCTACAGATAACAACAAACATACCACATCTCAAAATGTCTTACAACACATCCAACACCCCAGAACTCCAACCGGAGAACATCTCCTCAGTATCCGCCTACATCTCAGCCCACAAGCCAACCACCGGCCCCTACTTCCACCCCTCCTGCCTGCTCTGCCTATTCAACATAGCGCACGACAAGCCACATGCCAGACCGTTGTCCCTCGTGGAACTCCACCAAGCAGTAACCAAACAGCGCACCCGACTCCTCGAGTTAGATCAAGAACGCAAAACAGCCAACGACGCATTCCAAGACCTCGTAGCCCGCACTCTCAATCACCATGCTACCATCAAACAACCCCTACAAGCCGAGCTTAAGCGCATAGACAAGAAGTCCGCTAAGGACATCTTAGAGCTCCTTAAAGCGGAGGGACGACTGAGACGTGGTAAGATTGGCGATTCTGTATTCCGAGCTGAGGTCGCGCGTATGGATGAAGGTAAGCAGCGTCGAGAGGAAGCTAAGCTTTACATTAGAAATCATATCGATGCGCTGGAAGCTAGGTTTGAGGATTGACTTGAGGTGGAGAGGGATGGAGCGGAGAAGAGGAATACTTTGTTTGAGGAGACAGTGGCGGTGGATCGAACGGCGCTGGAGAGAGCGGAGGAGTTGCTAGGTGAGGATATCGAGTGGTATCGAGCTTCGGTCAACTAAGTTGTAAGTCCTCTTTTCCTTTGTCATCCCCCTACCCCTCTGCGTGTATCGCTCGAGCTAGGCTCGAGTACAGACTACAGCTCTGTACAGTATCTACCATCATGGTATCAGCATGAGACCTGAAAACAATGAAAGTAGATTACCAAAGCCACATATCAACTTCTATGCAACTGTGAACCCAAATCCCTACACTTATCAAAACCAGTGAACAAATCACATCTATTGTCATTATTACTACTTACCCCTGATTCTAACTCTGATACGTAACACTCCAAATCTGCCACCCAACAGGCACCGTCCCAACAATATCCACAACTCCACTTTGATCAATCGAAAGATACTTCCCATTCTCCTTCATCAAAGAATACCCTTGTCCATTCCCCAAATCCGCAATAGTATACGTCTCAGCACCACTAGTTCCCTTCCCCAGACCAGTATGACTCTTCACATACCTCCCGTCAAAGGCACTACTGACATTAAACGTCCCCGCTCCAGCTCCACCATCTGTGGCCGTTCCTCCTGTAGCGTGAATTACCCATCGGTGATGAATATCGCTGTGAGTAGCAGTTGATGTTGTGGCGGTGAAATCAGTGGCGTTAGAACTAGGGTTTGTGAGTGCGAAGCCGTTCATCTCGAAGACGAGGTAGCGGCCTTCGGTTAAATAGCCACGAACAGACTTGAAGCCTTCTTCGCTGAGGGTGGAAGGGTCGAGGGCCTCATTCTCGGGGCCATAGGGGATAGACGGGCCGTAGTGTCCGTATAGAGCTTCGCAGACTGATGCCGCGTTGTAGTTTCCTGAAGAGTCAGTTGATGGTGTTGGGATTACTGGGAGGCTTGGGATGGAGTAGTCCGGCTGTGGTCAGTGTCAGCAGCATTTAGTAATAGCGAGAATAGAGAATTACGTTGTCGAAGTCAAAAGCGCTGACGAGGTTAGACATATGTGCTCGTCTCCAAGCAGGAATTTCTGTGGTTTGGACACCTTCATATCCGAGCGCCTCGAGCCACGTCTCTGTCTTCCATTAGAGGGTGTCTACTATCTTCTTGACAAGATAACCTACCCATGAACAGGATTTGAGAAGTATGGTCAGCATGTTCCGTGAAGACATGACCTCCTCGAGTCCATGGAGAGATGATAGTTAAAGGAACTCTGAAGCCTGGGCCAGTATACGTGTAGTTTACAGCACCATAAGGATCCTCGATCCATTCTCCAGCGGTACCATTGGGAGAGTGGAAAGGGGTGACGTGGTCACCCCAGCCTCCAGTTTCTGAGTACAACATCAGCTCAAATCCGCGTATGACAAGATGTTCCAAAACTCACCATCATAAGAAATCATCAACACAGTCTCGTTGTAAGCAGCACCATTCACCACCGCCTCAACAACTTGCCTTTGAAGCCATGCACCATCCTGAGGTCCGTACGTAGCATGTTCGCTTAGCTCCGCAGGTCCAACAATCCATGATACTTGAGGAAGAGTTCCAGCAGCTGCATCCGCGTAGAACTTATCCAAGCCAGGATATGATGCACCGTACATCGTTAACGGAGAGTCAGCTGGGGCATTCTGATACTGATAGAATGAGTCAATCAATAGGTCGTCTCCGAAATTATCTTCGTCCTGATAAACCATCCATGATACTCCTGCATTCTGGTGGAACTCGGGCACAGTCTGCCAATACAAAGGCTCACAATTCAGTCCCGGGGATTCACAGCCTTTGAAAGGCATTTAGCTTCTTGGTTCATGCGTTGAGAAAGATGCTCACCTGGCCCTTCACTGTTATCTGTGACAATTCCTCCCTGGTCAGGAGTTTGAGGTCCACCAGGACAATTGATTGAGCCACTCATCCAGGTCACACGATTTGGCGAAGTAGAAGCTATAACTCCTTCCTATTGACGGGACACTCATCAGAACGCAGACTGAAAGCTTAAACAGAATAATAAAGCATAAATACATTGAAGAGTTGTATGAATTTCCAGCAATTATTTGAAAAGTGCCGCTACAATGGGAACAGTTCTGGGGATATTCCTGGATGAAAATTCTTGAACTCACTTGATACATGTCAGCCAAAGTCCATCCTTCGGCAAGAGCAAAGTGGAGAGGAAGATCTTGTCTCTTGAAGTGGGTCCAGCTCATGGCAGTATTATCCCAGGCCCACTGATCATTCAGATCTCCATTAAGCGCAAGGTGATTGTTAAACCAGGAGTTGCTGCCACCGCTTGCACACTGTGAAGCAGCTGTCCAGTTGCCACCAAGATAGTTGATGTAGAATGGCAAAAGTGAGGTGGCTAATGGTGACAAGCCATCATTCACTTTCCTAAGATATGTTTGGTAAGTCACTTTGTTTTGAGATTTTCGGCAAGACTCACTGTTGGAATGTGTTAAGTCCAGTGCTAGGATTAAACTGAACATTGGGATCAGAGAATCCGCGGACACCTGCCATAGTCCCGAAGTAATGATCAAAGGCTCGATTCTCTTGCATGAAAAGGACTACATGCTTGATATCTGTCAAAGAGCCAGCAGAGGCCGCTACAACCAAGGCCAACAAAGTCGTGAAGCTTCGTGACACCATCTTGTGCAAGTCGACTCGATTTTTCGCAGCGGGCAAGTGGTCTCGGCTGGTATCCGAGCAAAGAAGTTGTTCAGGGACGAAGACCAGGTTATATCTCGAGACCACAAAGTCGGTATCCAATCAATCTTCTCTGCAAATCTCGCAGCGAAAAGCTCGTCCCATGTGAATTATCAATCCAGGGCTCATGGAGCGGAATCATGTGTTTGAGCACGACTTCAAAAAGAAGGCCATAATAGGCTTCAACGCTTCTCTACCTAGTAGAAGTAATTCCAATTCAAAGAATAATCGTCAAGGGCTTCCTTGGCTTCTGTAAGGGGTGAGCCGAGAGAGCCGATGGAAATTCTCATACAGTATATTGGCACTAGGTAACGTTGCTGGCGGATGCAGCGATCCCCACCGAATTCCAATGTTCTGCATCGTTGAAGCTCTATCCAACTGCAATGGTGGGAGGGAAGATATTGATATCATTGGCTGAATATGATGAGTTCGGTCTTCTGCCGGTGCATTATCAATGTAAGCACGATAGACCCTGATCGTTCCTGGTTCCTGGAGTGGTGGTTTTCTCCAATCAACAACGCTTTCAAGAGCACGGCCTCAACTGCCGACCACGATTATAACATGTAGAAAACCACGCGAACCGTTTTCGTGACAGTCTATCCTCTGTTTCTGCATGAAGCTTGTATGAAATAGGGAGGTGAGACGAAAGGAGATATCGGATGAAAAGGGGGGAGGGATTGCAGATGGAAGTGCGGTCAAGGTTAAATTTCCCCACGTGGGTGAAGCACAAGCGAAGCAGGGGCCCAAGAAAGACTCCTGCAGGATCGCCATCCCTCCTCAACTTTATATTTCTGAAGTTCACGGTTCAGGAAGCATTCATCCCCTCAGCAGCCCACATATATTGTGAGCTTTCATTTTCGCTGCATAGAAGCTTGCATCGTTTGGCTCGGAGTTCGGAACTATCCTTGCTCTTTCGCACATGAGAACTCAAACTCAATGTCATGAGAAGCATTCAATGTTGGATGATAACGACATGAGCTGATTTCCGTCTTGACTCCAAGTGTTCTGACGGAATACGGTTGAGAATGTTCGAACCTGGATAGAGAGACTAGGAAAGAGTTATGGTGGCAAGTGATGCTGCTTGGCGACGGCATCGTCCAAGCAGGGCTGCGTCTTTCTTCCTGCTACTGCTCCTCTTCTCAAGCACTGCATTATTCATCGTCACATATCAAAAATATTGGACCTTTCATCCAATTCTTCTGTCCGATGTCAGTCATGAAGGCGCCGAGTATATTCGTGATATCTCCATGATTCTGCACCCGGAAGAGCACAATAGCCGTTTCTCAAAGACCATCCATCTTCACTGGAACATCACAAAAGGATATAGATCTCCGGATGGCGTGCGTAAGCTTGTCTATCTTGTCAATGGTAACCCATAGCTTCCCCTTTCACATTGCTTTGTTGACCGCGTTGGCAGATGAGTTTCCTGGGCCTATCATCGAGGCAAGACCAGGAGATACCCTGGAAATTGTGGTCTCTAATCATCTTGAAGATGCAGAAGGCGTTGCTATTCATTGGCATGGATTACATATGAGAGGTACGATTCCTAAATAGTTGTCGAGATTCAAACTCATCGTTCATGACAGGAGCAAATGAGATGGATGGAGTCGTGGGAATTACTCAAGATGCTATTCCAGCAGGAGAAGGCTTCACTTATCGATATGATCTCTCAAGTACGCAAGCTGGCACTTTCTGGTAAGACCTCTTCCTTAAAAATAACCGAAGTACTGACAGTATATGAGGTATCATTCGCACTCGGCTCTTCAAAGAAGTGATGGACTCTATGGTGGACTCGTCATTCACGAGCCCATCTCGGACAGCACGACAGGGTTTGCGATGTCTAATTATGACCATGAAGAGCTTCTCCTCATCGGAGATTGGTATCATCGGTCAGCAATAGATGTCCAAGCGAGCTATCTCACGTTCATGAGTTCAGGTCATGAAGTACGTTGTATTGTATACCGCAAGAAGCATACTAACATCTCAAGCCTGTTCCAGATTCGTTGCTGCTAAATGGTTTTGGAGCTTTCGACTGTTCAATGGCTGTGCCATCTCGTCCAGTAGAGTGCGAACATGTTCAACGTCCGGCCCTGCGGCTACGGAATGGTAGAACGAGGCTACGAGTTGTCAATGTCGGGTACCAAATCTCTTCCTTGACAAATATGTTTCACTTTACTAACGTATCTTAAAAGGTCAATGGCAGGCCTCAACATATCGATACCCAATAGCAAGATGGAGGTTGTCCATATTGATGGCGGCAATCCAATCAATCTTGTAATAGCCTCAGAAGTTGGTATTCTCTATCCAGGTGAACGGATGGATTTAATACTCTCCTCTACTGGGATCGAGAATATATCTATAATACTTGATCCAGAGTAAGGCTCCTCTTACTTACTTTTCAGTGTACTGATCACTTTTTAGACTCTTCACTATGCAGAATCTAGCATTGACAGCAACTCAAACAATTGAAATCATCACACCTGCCAATACTCGATCTTCCCACGAGTCTACGGCTGCCGATGATCAGGAAGTGCAATGGCCAACAACTTCCTTTGACCTATCCACCGCTAAAGGTCTCCAACAACAAGCCATGCCCACAACTGCCAATCAAACGATCCTCATTTACACACACATAGAAATGCTCGCACATTACGACCACGTGCCCATGGCCTACATGAATCGAACAAACTGGATCCCTCAATCCCCACCACTCATCTCCATACCAACATCCAAGTGGGACGACCATCAATTTATGCCAGAGATACACGGAAATGGAGAATGGGTTGATATTATTGTGAATAACCTCGACAAGGACGCTGGACATCCCTTTCACTTGGTTAGTTTCCTCTCCTTCTCGAATTCCAAATTATATACTGATATTTCTTAGCATGGTCATGATTTCTACGTCCTAACGAGACACGCATTTCCTCGCCGAGCAGGCTACCGAACATATAACCCCTTTGATCTCCCATCAGACGCAGCACTTATGTACCCAGAACCGAACCTTGTGAATCCTCCACTTAAGGACACGGTTCATATCCCAAGAAGAGGATACGTGATTTTAAGAATTAGGGCTGACAACCTTGGGATCTGGTTCTTTCATTGTCATGTTTTGTGGCATGCTGGGACTGGGATGGGGATGGGCTTTGTAGTCACATAAGATGCATTGGCTGGTCAACGTTGATTAAGTCACATTTCACTATTGCATGGAAAATTATATGTGTGATTTGTGGTTTACAAAGGAAATTTTATTGTTCTAAGAAAGGCATTGTTATGCCGTACACTTCAAGGCCAGCTTGAGTGTTATTATAAGGACTAGGACTCCGAGTTTTGAAGACAAACAAAGGAAGGGAGGACTGGACTTGAGGCCCGCTCAAGCATTACTTACAAAGCACCTCCGAACTACTGAAACAAAAGAAAGGAAAGGACTTACAGGAACCTTGGCCTTGCCTCTCTCCCACATTCCAATCCTGTACTCAAGGCCGGCTCGAGCTATATTTACGAAGACTCCGAATCCTGAAGACATAAGAAGGCAAGGACCGATCTTGAGGCCAGCTCAAGCGATACTGAACAAAGGACCTCCGAACTCCCGAAGACAAAAGAAAATAGGACAAATAGGACTTACAGGACCTGCCGGGCCTATGGAAGGGGACTTAACTTAAGGCCCGCTCAAACGATACTCAACAAAAGACCTCCCAACTCCTGAAGACAAAACAAGGAAAGGGAAGGACTTACAGGAACCAGCCCAGCCTACCCAATCCCAAGATTCTTCTCATACCACTTCAGATCATCCTCAATCCCCACCTCCACCTCCCTCAACTTCCTCCCCCCCGTCTCCACCGAAGCCAGAAAATCGGCAAGCTCCTGCTTATCATACCCACTCTGCACCTCATAAAACGCCAAAAGCGCCCTCTTCTCCCACTCCAACGCAACTCTACGTTCCCTCCTCACCTTTTCCCGTTCCACTTTCGCCTCGTTAATAACACTAATATAGAAGTTGCGCTCTTGGGAACTGACGTAGTACTCGCGAAGCACTTGGACCTCTATCCATTCCGCTTGCGCGTTTGCGACCGCGGCTTCGGCTCTGTTGAGCGGTTCTCGGAGAGCATCTTCTCGTTGGCCGAAGGTGTAGAGGGCATCGTGGTAGGCTGTAGCGATTGCCATTCCCATTTGCGATGGTCGGAGTTGAGTTGTTTTAGGTAGGCTTCTCGTTGCTGTTTGTAGAGGATTCTTTGGTGGAGAGTTATTTGTGGTGGGGTGCCGTGGGGGAGTTGGCGGTGGGTGGAGATGTAGGTTGAGATTGTGGGTACTTCTTCTTCGGATGGATAGGAAGAAATTTTGGTAATGGCTTTCTTGGGTGTTTTGCGAGCTGAAAAGTGTTACTGTGCTCAAGGTTGGTTATGCAACTGAATTGCAAAGTTGTCTACAAGCAAGTGTTTTCAAGGCTCGTGGGGTTTGGATGGAAACTATGATTAAAAATTACGATTAAATGTAAGTTCTCCGAGATGTGGCTAAACTAGCTATTTATACATCGCTCTGTTCTCCTCTAATCATGAAGTTGTAAGTGCGGAAGTCGAGATATACGGCTATTGAGTTTGTCGAGGCTATTGTTCGGACAATTAGAACAATGCCTTTGTGGTATGTCTATTGTTCAAGCTAAATGTTGAGGAAGGAGTTGAACTGTTCATAATCCACAAAGCAACAAACCAGAAAGCAGAGGTGGAGTCACGTGCTCGTGCTGAGTTGAGGCTACCTAAGTGGACCTCTAATAGACAAAGATGCATACAAGCAGAAAGATACTTTCTTTGTTGACGAAATAAAACAACATATCCACAAACGTAATAGTGTGAGTAAGACCTTGAAATGATTCAAGATAGCTAAAGCTTGAAGAGTTCAGTTTGCTTTTAATTCACCATCCAGCCCAAGATCGTGCGGTAATAGTTGGTAATAGTATATATTTAACGGAAGAGAATGGGTCAACTAGTATCGTTGCTGTTGGACAATATCTTCATTCTCCGTAAGCACAGCCTCATAAATCTAGATGGTGGGAGTACTACATACAGATGCCATTTATTCGAAGTCAAGTGCATCAACTTTGTTTCCCCTTTCGCTCGAAGGTCCCAAAGGTGGAGCCCTCCCAGTTCGTTCGATGACCTCTGGTAACCACTCGCGGACTTTCTCAGCACGAGAGCCAGTCTAGGATCACCGGTCTTAGTAAAGGGTTCGAGGAGTTCCTCAGTCGGGCGTGTGTAATGACTCACATGTGGGTGCGACGCCAGGAATCCCGAGGTTTCTTGTTTATACATGGGCTTTCCTTGTGCATTCTTTTGCGACAGCATTCGCTTCTCGTAGCCGTCCATTTTGTCCAAGAATTTGGCTGCTTTACTGACGTCGTAACCAGCCTGGACGTGAGATTCGGAATTAGTGCGCGTCTTTTGCCGTAATTCGAGTACATGTGTGGTCAAAACCTCTTGCAGGACGAGACATTGCCTGCTTCCAGAAATTCTGGGCATTCTGGGGCCTACAGATAGTATGAAAGGGTGGATGTAAGATGGAAGCTCACCTTGGCCATGAGAACTAGTCCAATATAGTCTGCTTCGCTCTCTCTGCGTCGGGACGAGGCTGCTTTTATACAACCGAGCAGATATGTGTACGGATAAAGCAAAATCCGCATCTCAAACCCCAAAAGGGCTAGAATTAAGATAGGAGATATAGGTATCAAAGCTGGCAAGAAGAAGAGTAGTTTGCTTTTATCCTCGGCAACGTGTGAAGCCATAACGTGGCCTATTTCATGACCGAGGACTGCCGCTAAACCATCTTCATCCTTGCAAATGGACAGTATACCAGTGTAGATGATGACCTTTCCCGAAGGAAAGACGCCTGCACTGACAATATCTACAAAATCAAAAGGTCAGTATAAATAACTATGCTAAAAAGTATGCGCGTTGCAAAGAATAATGTCAAATCGAAGGTCCTCGTCGTCAACCTGGTGTGAAAACCTTTGATTGCTGAGAATCCTCTACTACTATAGTCGCGGCTGCGAGACGCCATCTTCGTATCAAGGAAGTCTTTAGCTCTGTTGATGCAGGAACGACTTAGGTATGTCTCCCATTCTAAATCTTCGAGTCCGGTTCCTCGCAACAACTTTTGAAGTACTTGCCGAATCATCATGAGACGTGGATCTGTTTCCGATACTAGGGCATTCTCTATTTTCTTGACTGTCCGGTCTACTCGATGTTTTTCCAGTTTCATGAAATCCATCGATTTCGAAAGAAAGTTGAATCGCCATCTTCCTGTGATGGGAACTTGTTCTCGATGGGTGATCCAGAATAAAAACAAGCCAGTAGAGATGCAGGGAGATGCGAGAACTACCACTCGAAACCAAACAGAACGGCCTGACCTATCTCACCAGGTCCTGAAGTTAGCAAGACTGTTTGATAAGTTCATAGAAGCCATAAATCCGTACGAAAGTTAGGGGGCATCCACAGGATTAAGTGCCTACCACGGATTGGGATTTGATGCTCTCAACAGGTATGACTTCAAAGGATGATTTTCGGCGAAGACGATGCAAGGGAGCCTCAGAGAGATCTTTGTTGTTCTGGAGTTCTGAGAGATGCGCAGTATCACAGGCAGAGTACCATCATTCACGCGCGCTCTAATTGCCCTTTGGTGCCGGGGCTCTGTCTGGCCTTTGTCGACGAAATACTCGGAAGTTTTTTCTAGCCAGAGATTGCGTGCTTTGGCGTATGCCCTTCGTCCTGTCCACGTTTCAGGCAAAATTAAAAGTACATCTTCGAGAGGAGAGTTCTTGCCACCGTCTGATGGTGGCTGTCTGGGCGACTGGTCCGCGCGATGATTTCGTGTTGATATACTTCTGCTCGACAAAACCGATTCGGGTGGGCCCTAAGAAGATCTCGCGTCTCCCAACACGCCGAATTGCATACCGAGCCACGAGCTGCCAACATCCCATACTAAACAGCATCGGACCAGCTAACAGAATGTGTTTACCAAGTAAAAAGTAAAGCCATCGCGCGTGAGGTGAAAACACCTTTTCGATGAGGTTAATTGTTCGTGGCGTTCGGGCTAATCAGAGGTATGCGCCGATTTAAGGGTTATTTCTGTCAAATCTCAGATCCACGAAAGACGTCAAAGAGCTTGCAAACCTTGAATCCTGGTATTTCTGTCAATATATCAGTGCTACGCAAACCAGCATCACACTTGCCGCAACGAGCACCTGCAGCCTGCAGCACCCTACAGCGTTCATGGTCTCTTACCAGCCTGCAGCTGGTGTACAATTTTGCCTTGCTTCTCGTCATTGGTGTCCTCCGCTTCGCATCGACTGTGTCCAAGTATGTGCATAGACCTTTCATCTTCTAGCTCAAACTTTGCCTAAGGGCCAACTAGAGAGTAGAGGACCATCACTACCGAGTAGGATCGCATGACATGAGTGGTGAGACTTGCAGCGCTCTAGACTTGAACAAGAAAGTAATATGGAGAAATATCTAGGTGAGAATCGGTGCGGGTAACCAATGCGTCGTTCTTGAAAGTAGTGAGAGGAAACTGCTCTCGAGAAGTGCAAGAATGGAATGGAATTATCTGTCACATTGAGGTTGGAGTGACTGATCTACTTTAAGACGGGATGTCTAGCCTCTGAATATGGAACGTCTGAAACTCAGTAGCATGCCTTCTAGTGTCGATAGTGTCTCTAGATTATCTTGTCAGCCACAATAATTGAAAAAAGCCAACGAGCTAAGCACAATATATGCGCAAGGATCGGCGACTTGGGCAATTCTCAATGTAGCTACTTTCGTTTGCAATCAACTCCCTCTGGATATCTCAAGAGTTTCAACATCGCCGATGTCAATCAACTTGAACAACATTCACTCCATTCTTAAAAGCACTGAAAAGGAGGATGGGTGATGTACATATTGCCGAAAATAGACCGTGGAAAGTAACACAACAACGTCTACGTCAACGTCAAACTTTGTGTTCAGCTCTACGTCAACAAATCGTACGAGTATCATGCCACTTGACAATGTTCGCCATAAACCTCGATATGAAATGGAATCACAGTACATCGTGAAGTTGAAGTCACTCGTCAGTTACCGGTAAGAGCTGAGGCCACCGCGCGCGGCCCACTTAAGCGAGAACCTCAAGATCTCACCTAGTTTTATATCTATTATTATAACTGCAACTTCTTATGGCATTCTCTAATATTATGATTGTAGATTAATGAATAGTAGCTAAACCTCGCACAGCAATCACATCTTTAATTTTGCAAGTTAAACGCTTTGTGTATGGCCTGAAGTCACGTGGATCTATTCGATCCCATAGCTTTTGTAGCTCCTTTTTTAAATCCTCTTTACTTTTTGGCACATAAGACAATTTCTTTAGTTCTTCTTTCATCTATCGCTAGACTTTTTTAATGGGATTCAAATTAGGTGAAGAAAGAGGTTAGTTAAACTCGCGGATTCCATGCTGAAGTCTTGGTAACCGGGCACTCTCTTTATGCACTTTTGCGCCATTTTCTATGAAGATATACTCTGGCCCTAGGGTGTCAAATAGAGGGAAGACTATAGGTTTAAGAACTTGCTGAAGGTACGCTTTAGAGCATATGCCTTTGCGTTCTGGAAGCTTTTCTATAAAAACCAATAGTAATTTATAATCCTAGCCCAATACTTCCCAAATTATAACTATAGTCTTTCCTAACCTATAAACTAACCGGATGCAATTAGGGCACTTCTTTTCATTTACTCTCCTAGTCACCCAAATCCTACCATTCTTTCTAGTCTCGAATATAGCTTCATTAGACCAGATAACCCTCCTCCAATTACTCCCTTACTTGCCATTATCCCTATGTGTTGCATAATTTGATGTGCTTTATTATCTATAGTCTCGCGTAAAACGCAATTTCTTCTTAGTTTATATTTTTGATATATAAAATTAAAGGCATATAATACAGCGACGATAGCCTGCGCGGGCTAGTTCTCGGCGTATGGTTCGAATAGAGGAAGCGAGCTGTAGTAGGGTTTTGAGGCTCGAAAAGTTTATCTTGCGAGAAGACTAGTTTTTTGATATGGTGCGAATACATTGGCGTATTGTTTTGATAGATATTAAGTGAAGTTTCGGGAGCTTCTTTTTGCGCTTTTTGCGGTTATATTCTTGCTTAAGAATGCGGCGTATAGTCTTTTTAGGCACTTGGGTCTTTTGGACGATTTTTTTTGGAGATTTACCTTGCCTTTGCAAGCTGCGGATAATAGCGCGTGCAGGGGTGGGCCATTTTCTTTCATCCTTTTAGAAAGGTGAGCTAAGTATTACAAGTGTTTCTATCTTCAATTGCAAGTAAATTGGATAAGTGGTTGTTGAGTTATTAAAGTTTTAAAAAAGGGGGAGGTAAATTAAAGGGCGTACGCGTTTCGCTTAAGTGGGCCGCACGCGGTGGCCTCAGCTCTTACAATGGTTCAAAGGTTAGCGCCGAACATTTGACCCCACAGCGGAGTCCGACCCCTGCAAGAATCCGGTTAAATGGCTCCCGCTCTATCAATTGATAAGAGCTCGAGCTCCTCTTTCTCAAGCTTCACTTTACGTCTCAACCCAAAGATACTCTTAATTGCAACTTCTTCCATCTCTCTAAATAGTACTCCAGACCTAATTGACAGCTTAAAATGTCTTGCCCAGACTGCTTCCGCGGTGGAGTTCACGAAGGCGACCCTGTAGGCTCAACAACCACCATTCACGGCCTCCCAGTCTACGTTTCGAATCCACCAGAAGGTGCCACTCCCAAGGGAATCGTGGTTTTCATCCCTGATGCTTTTGGGTGGGAATTTGGGAACAATCGGCTATTGGCAGATAAATATGCCAAGAGAGCTGGAGTTGTGGTTTATCTTCCCGATTTCATGGCTGGTGTGTCTTCTACTCTCATTGCTCTAATTCTTATAACTCCTATTGAAGGTAGAGTGTGTGTACTAAGGAACAACTCATAGGCTCGGCCATGCCATTAAGCGGCCTCGACCTCCTGGACAAGATCATGACTCCCACCTCCTGGCTCAACACCATCCTCTATAAACCATTCTACATCCTCCAAGCAATGACACAAGTATACCTCTTCCCGCCCCATCCCCACCTCAACACTAACTCACCCCCAGGCAATCCCCTTCATATTCAAGAACCGCCTCTCCGTCACCAAACCCCGCGTCTCCTCCTTCATCCAAGCCCTCCGCACCTCCCCTCCCCCCTTCCCCACCACCAACCTAAAAATCGGCGCAGCAGGCTTCTGCTGGGGCGGGAAACACACCATGCTGCTCGCCCAAGACCCTCCTTCGTCCCGGGTCTCCCCATACTCATCTACCTCTACCTCACTCCCGCTCTCTCCTCTCATCGATTGTGCGTTCACAGCTCATCCCTCTATGATTTCCGTTCCTGCGGACATCGAGCAGATCACCGTGCCGACTAGTGTAGCGGTCGGAGATGTGGATATGGCGATGGGGAAGAAGGATATTTTGACCATGAAGGAGATATTGGAGGTTAAGAAGAAGGGGGACCATGAGGTTGTTTTGTTGGATGGTGCGAAGCATGGGTTTGCGGTTAGGACGATGGATGATAAGCATCAGTGGGAGTGTGCGGCGAAGGCGGAGACGCAGGCTGTGCAGTGGTTCGGGAGGTGGTTTGCTTGAAGAAGGGTGCTGGGTTCGATTGTGGCGTTGGGGACTCGATTTGTTGGGATCTTGCTCTTCTGCAAAAGCTTTCTGCTGTCATGGGGCTATCTCAACGCTGGTACGGACAGGTGGAACATTCCAAGCCTTTAGGAACGCAAATATGGCATGAACACTGTTGATATTGACTCGAGAAAGCAGTCTATTGCAATGAATCCTGATGACTGCTATATACAGGCAAGAGTGACTGCTCAGGGAGCAAAAAGGGATGTCTTCGCATACGACTAGTCGAACGTCTTTCAGGCCCCTATAAGCTCCAATGAAGTTAGCAAACAAGGCCATCTTCAAACAAAGACGATTAAAATATAAAGCCCAGAACATCAGAAAAGTTGAGAAGATTTGTTATTGCGGTTTTTGTAGGCATCGCTCCCCTTAAACAAAGAAATTGGACCTCAGCAAGGACGAGCTCCTATGGCCCCGCTGCATCATCATTTGTTCTCTCTCCTCTCCTCTCGTAAAGAAAGCACGTACCTCAACTCTCAGGCCTAAATCTCCCCCTCTCCCTCCTCATCCCCTCCACCCTCCTCCTATCCTCCTCAAACCGCCTCACCATCTCCCCCTGGACCTCCTTCCTGCGCTCCCTCATCTGGAACCTATAAAAATCGCCCATCTCGCCCCTCTTCTTCCGTTCCCTCTCCTCCATCTCCGCCCTCTTCCTCTCCACCTCCTCTGCTCTCGCAGGCCCGGTCCGACCCCCTCTCATCACGGTCACAAACCCATCTTCATCCGGCACCTGTCTCCCTTTCCTCTCTTCCCTTTTCCTGCTCTCTTCTCTGTCGTTGAAAGCAGACATGAAGGTATCGATATTCGCTTGTAAAATTTTCGGATCCGGGAACGAGAGCGTGTGATGGAGTCTGTACCGTTGACTCCCCGTACTCCCCTCGGATTCCCAGACTGGCCATCCCCCTCTGCCTTTTTTATGCAGTTTTCGCACAGTTTTTAATACCAATTCAACGCTCTTCTCATCTACCAACAGCACAACGGCTGAACTGCCACTTCGTCTTAGATCTCTGTCCCATGTTCTCGGTAGCTCGATTTCCTCTTCTGTGTCGTCGTCTGCGCGCTTCCTTTTCTTACTCCCGTTCGCGGGCGCAGGTAGAGGTTTGCGCACGCGCTCGTGCTCGAAAGAGCAGTCTTCGAATTTCCCCGCGCCGACGAGGGATGTGAAGAGGGAGCGGAGAGAGGCGGTGGTGCTGTCGATAGGGAGATTGACGAGGAAGAGGCTGCGTGCGTCGTTTGGGGTGGGGATTTTCGGGGCGTGTGGGCGGAGGTAGAGGGTGTGGGTTGTTTGGTGGGGGTAGGATGGTATTGGCGGGATGGTTATGGGGAGGAGGGCATAGTCTGATATTTGTGAGGGCGACATTGTTTGTTTCAGGGTAGAATTGGTTTATATGGTGAGGAATGGAAGGGAGATTTGGAAGTTTGAGGGAACTTTCTTGGGAGCAGAAATTATAGCCGAGATCTAATCTAATCTAATCACAAGCTATTCTAAGCTAAGCCAAACCAAGCCAAAGGGTATCTTCCGTTCTTTTCCCATAGCAAACTCCTGAGCTCCATAATATGCAATTGTATGTGTGTATCCTTTGACAGATATTGTCATGAAACATGAAAGAGTGGCCTGCAAATCGTACGAAGATGTGCACCGATAACAAAAATGTGATCTAAATATGATCTGGTCAATCAGGCCTTGTCAGGGTCATTGATACCACCAGTTGTGATGATATAAGTAGCTTCACGTTCTGGGCAGTCTACAGAGGTATTAGTACTGCCTATGTGCTGGTATTTTCACTCACCAGGTGAATCCATAATCTTAGCGACTCGTTCCTCACCACGACCCTTGCGAAGGAGAAGTCTGGTAGTAGAGGCATGTGCAAGAACGTGACCTCCGGCAGGCTTGCGACCATCAACTCCGGCAAACATGGCACTGGCACCAGGATCTGACATTACTTGATTGGTCTGTGGTGATTAGTAACTTCGACTGGAGAACGAGGAAGCCGACCTACCAAGAAGACAACAAGATTGAATTCCTCTGCCATTTGTGCCGCACGTCGTAGAAATTGTCCAAGACATTGCTGGCGCTCTGAGAGCTCTCCACGACCAGAGAAGTCTGTACGGTAGAGTGCCATGATACTGTCAATGACGAGGAGACGGTATTCGTTAGTAGCGAAGTTTGCAGCAAGTCCTTCGAGGAGCTCCATTTGCATCTTGAAGTTTGTTAGTCGATATCAGCGTAAGGTGCGAAAGATATCATGACTTGCCTCGGTGTTCTGAGCACGAGCGTAAGAGATGTTCTCACAAGCTTGGTCGGGGTCAACTGGACGGTGTCAGCGTTAGGACTGCAGCATGGGATGGGATGAATTCTCACCTCCAAAGCGCTCAGCAATTTCTGCAATTCTCTCAGGTCGAAAGGTGCCTTCAGTATCTGTATTCTGTCAGACATATGAATATCGCCAGTTGAAGAACAAAAACCAATGTATGCCACCTTGCCTTCAGCACCGCCCATTTCCTGTAAGATTGTCAGAGCACATCTCGATCATCGTGGCATCAGCTCATACCTTTGGTAGTTGAGCAATGACTGCCAATGTATGTGCGAGTTGGGTCTTGCCACATCCTGCAGCGTGTCAGTGGTAGAGTTCATTTGCTAGGACAAAAATAACCCACTGAATTCGCCATACACCTCACTAATACTCATAGTCTGCAAACCGCTACACAAAATTAGTCGTATGCAGCAGGGAAAGGTTCAGGAGCCTACCCATTCAAAGCTGCATCAAGCTGCTTGCTACCAGTAGAGATTCTAATGCAACGTTCGCGAATAACTCTAAGCTCAGCAGCACTCATGAAACCAGCAGTTGGCTTGGAATTGTTAGCACAAGACTCGCACACAGAACCTAATACCGACCGCAAGCTTCTTGCCAGCCTCCTTGATCTTCTCTACCTTGGTATCAGAGAAGCCTTTGATCTTGAGGAGTCTCTTTGATGGCGTGCTAACGAGAGACTATCAATCTGTTAGACACAATCGCGCTAGAGAATGAGAGAAAAAGCTTACGGCAACAGTGTAGATGTTGTTTGACTTGAGTTTGGCAATGTCAGAGGCATTGACACCTAGAAATGTGAGATACATCACCATCATGCTTGGCAGAGAGCAACCACCAACCAAGTGATTGTATCTCATCGATGTCGACAATGTCATTCTGTGCCAGGTTAGCGAACAAGGTGATCAATCTCATCACGCTACCTACCTCCACCTCATCACCGCAGGTTGATCCCGCCATTTTGAAATTAGATGAGCAGATGATATCTCAAGTCTGAGCGAACTCGAAGCAGTCAGTGATACTTGGTACTGGAACACGACGCGTCCCGAAGCTTGACAACGGATAATGAGAAAGATGCAGTGAAGCCTGGTAAGTGCTGAGAGATAAGTGTACAGAAGAAGAAGTGTATAGCAGAGATCAATTGGCCTTGTACTCCCAGTACTGATCCTCCTCGTTCTCTCGAGACCGTACGCAGGCAGCTACAGTGCAGCAGATCAGACCTGACGCGATGCTTACTCCGATGACTGTGGCAAGGACTGGAATGAGGGACCAGTCTTGGATGTTAAGCATTGAGAGATGGATTTTGGGAATTGGAGTGGCGAAGCTGGAGATGTTGATGGATGAGAAGAAGAATGAGGGGTGATGAACTGAGCTGTGCGTCGGTAAAAAGAAGACTAAGCCAAAAGTGCTGGCTGTTGCACAAATCGGGGAGGCACGAGGATTCCACGCTGAAAATCTTCCTGTAGCACAGCATCGTATGCTGTGAAATCGGAACTGGCAACTTCTCCGTAGTAAACTCGGCATACTGCATCGTTGAACGAACTCTTACATCGGAATACCCCTCTTGTTCAGATCTGGTAATGCCACGTGATACTCCTGAGAGGTGCATGAGAGATCAAGTCAACCTGCAGTCCCTTGTCCATCCTTGACGGAGATCTTCCCCCGGAATAAATACCCTGTCTCATATAACAACAACAAAAGAACCTTGAACGCCAAGACCCAAAGGAACTGAAGGGGCTGCCCCAAAAGAACTTCACCATGACGTGCGAGAAAGAAGAGTGAGGCGTGAAGCAATGATATCTGAGTTCACACAATCACCAAATCAATCAGCAAAAGAAAGGTGCAAGTACGAGCGAATCCGCTCATAGAATACTTTTCATGGACTCAGCATTGATTGTGCGATGAATCACGCTGCTATCGACGGTCTCTCTCCCCAGGAATATCCTTCTACCCTTTCCATCTCGCCCGTCAACTTCTTCTCTCTACCTGCGTGCCTTGCCATATCATCTCCGTGCCTCTCCACATGTTGGGTTTGTCCAAGCGTGTCTAATTTCCACTCCAAAACCATCATAAGGACAACGCAACACGTCTATTTTGTGAAGAACCGAGACCAGTTTTCACCGCAGAATTAGTGTTAGGGGCGCAACAGTCGTTTAGAGGGTTGCCAATTCGTAAAGAGTATCGTGCTTTTGGGTGTCCGAAAAAAACATGAGAAGACCAGGCGCCGAGAAAGCATTCCGTGAAACTGTATTTGTGTAATGTGTAGGGAAAAGCGTCGAGGTGCTATTCGTATGCCGAGCCAAAATGCAGGAAAGAGCGGGACTTGAAATGCATTTGCTATGTCCAATTACAAGTAGGAAAATGCGATGATCCGTGACCGTTTCTCTATTCAATAGTTCATCGAGGCCTATCGAAAAGTGGCGATCCTAAAAGATCTATGCAACGGGTGCGACTGGTGCCACGACAGTAGCAACACCAAGATCGGCGACATCACCAGAGAGGTCACCATTGGTAGCTTTCTGGGGACAGTCGCGAGAGATATGGCCAGCCTCACCGCATTGGTAGCAAGTCTTGCCAGCAGTATTCAAAGGACCACCAGATGGAGCAGTGCAGTCGCCTATAAAGAAGTTAGATTCAATTTGTCAAAGTCAAACCGTCAGTGTCAGGCCGTCGAAATGAAGCCGTCAATGTCACGCCGTCTGAAATCACGCCGTCGAAAGCAGACCATCAAAATGAGGCCGACAAAACGAGGCCTTCAGGGTCAGGCCGTCGAAATGAGGCCGTCAAAAGCAGACCATCAGAACGAGGCCGTCAAAGTCAGGCCGTCGATATCAGGCCGTCAAAACGAGACCGTCACAGTCAGGCCGTCCAAATCAGACCGTCAACAAGGAGATACACGTACGGGAAATATGACCGAGCTTGCCACAGGCATAACACTTCATAGCTTGGGCTTGACCTATTACACGCGTCAGTACAAATTCGACAGATCTGAGAATCGCAACATACAATCTCTTGCAAAGTGGTTTGGTCCTCCGCACTTGTAGCAAGTTGCAGGGCGAGGTCCACCAGCAAATCCTCCACGAGGGGCAAATCCACCTCCATATCCACCTCGAGGGGCACCAACACCACGTCCAGCACCTGGCATTGGTCCAGCTCCAGCAGGGCTTGGGCAAGAACGCTATTATCTGTCAACTTCTGCCCTCATTATATGATATTCATCCACCTACAGCCAAGTGGCCGGGTTGACCACAGTTGTAGCATCGTCCGCTAGTTCCGGCTCCACTAAGACGAAGAGTTGGGCAGTCGGCTTGAACATGGCCTAAACCTTGACAATGGTAACACTGCTTGGCCTCGGTAGTTCGTGGCAGAGGGCATCCATTCGATTCGTGTCCTATCCTTATGTCAGAGTGTGCTGTGGTATGTTGTACCAAGTTGAGGCTTACCGGGCTGCTTGCCTGTGAAAAAAAAAAGTTAGCTCATTGTCTTCTTTTGAAGGCGAGATCGGAGTCGCAAGTTGTGACTTACAGTTATAGCACAAGCGCTCAGCAGAGGAGCATACTTCGGCATAATGACCAACGTTGCCACATTTGTAGCAGGCACGGCGAGAGAGTGAAGACATGGCTACTAATCGATGTGTCTGTTGGGTACCATCGTCAGCACAACATGTAATGAATGCGCCATCTTCCGTCGCCCATTCCCGGATGATCTTCTTGCATCGGTGAGGAGGCTCATCTGCTTGTTCGGAGTCAAGCCACTCCTCGACAGTTGTGGCTGGCATGTTGAATAGGTTCGATGGCGAACTGGAGTTGATTTTGTTGACCTGGGTTACCAAGATTGCTTTGCATGACCAGCATCCGTCAGGCTGCAGGATGCATGGATCTTGTACTACTTGAGTATGCGATCCAAGTTGCAATCGCTTTGAGGATGACGGTCGCAATGTGGTGTTTGTCGTACGAGGTTGTTCTTAGATCGAGAAAGCAGATGTGCCACCCTCTTCCAGAGGCCAGACGAATTCACCGATTCAGACCGCGCGGGACCGATTGAATGTTTGGGGACTTGTAACTTACAGTAGTCTTTTCCTGCTTAATATCTTGTCCTTCTGACTATCCTTCTCTCGACAACTCAACTGCGCTTCCTTCTACCTTCTTCCCTCCTTGTACAACGTTCCGGTATCGTCTTCCAAGATTTCAGTTTGGTGTTTGTAAGGAGGCACGAAGGCAAGCCGCAACAACCCAAGAAAAGTCTGAGAAATCTGGAGCGTTACCGGAAGTAGACTAGCGGCTCCAGAAGTGGCACTGCTCAGCTTGACTTAGTAAGGCAAGAACGATCGAAAAAAGGCTCTTGCGCTTTAGAGACCGAGCTTACCCCTGAACCAAGGTTCGAGCGCAGCCGGAATATGCAATAGGAGGGGAATAGCTGTACAGGATCAACAAAGAAGGACGAAGGTCTTGCGAATCCAGTGGCAAATCGAGGGGATATCAATCAAAATTCCCACGAAACGGACGAGAAAGAAAGATTGTTGTCGTCCGGACTATGTATGGACTTTTAATGAAACCTTCACACCCGAAATGCTTCCTTTTTCCCGGACTTGCTTTTCCTGCTGATGATGCTACTGCTGCCACTTCTTCTGCACGATAGATAATAGGTAACCTATGTGCTGTTCGGAAGCCCCTCCACAAGGTCCAGCCATGCTTCTTGCATGCTGTGTCGCTGTTCGACCTATCTCATCTACCGCCCGCTGAAGATTTTCTAGCCAGCCGAGGCTTGCGCTGCATTGTTACACACGGAGCAGAATACTATCTGATAGCCCACGTGTCTCTGGGCGCCATTCAGGGTCCTGGAGGCTGGAGTATTGCACTCTAATATATATCTGATTGAGACATCTGAGTCTAACATTCGAAGTAAAATCCGAGTCAGACATTGGTGTCCGGCAGCGGACCGTGGAAATCAATTACTTGGCTAGACTTTTGTCTTGGTTCCCTCTTCTCAACATGAAGGGATCATAAGGGACTAGGCACACTCGTGTGTGATTGGATGGAAGCTTGCTTATTGTCTGCCCAACATACGAACCTCCTCAGGAGCTCGAAATCAATCTGATGCCTAGATAAACCATCTTACTTATTCCACGCCACTTTCCTGTTGCTAAGGAATCAAATCTCACTTAGAGCACATTTCTCACATAAAAAGAAAAAGGGTCAATTCAAGCCACTTATATTCATGACCTTTCGCTAGTGCTAATGATACATAGAACCCAGATGCAATGAGTCTTTCATTCATGCTCAGTCCCACATTAAAACTCCAATATGTGTTGCGCTGCAAGCGGGTAGTCATGTCCAGTTACGTCGCTCAAACTCCTAACTCCTATGATGAATATCGAGATCCTGGAACTCGCTAATGACTGCTCGTAGAGACTAAAATCATGATAGTTATACAATGACACTATGGCCTTGCGGCCAGGCACGTCCTCTTTCCGATGGGTGAGGCGGTAGTGGGACATCTGTGGTTGGAGCAATAGATCTTGGAGCAGCTTCCACAACATAATCCACCCCGTCGTCCGATAGATATGACGGAGGCCTGTTGGCAGTCATGGGGCGCCCTTCTGGTCCTTCTGGCTCCGAGTTGATGCGTTCCAATGCAGCTCCTTCATTGCGTTGCCAGAAGATACGATTTGGATCAACCCTCTGTTTTATGTTAGAATACGATCACTTGCAATTGATCAGAGATACATACCACTGATTCTCGCCACAGACCGTAAGCTGGAGGAGGCAGCTTGGTAGCGTCACTCTCGATGCCAGCAGCTTCCTCATCACGAGCCAATGCAACCCGAATCGGTGTTGATGGGTTTGCATAACCTCCAGGACCAACCATGGCAGGTAGACCCCGCGTGACTTGGTCTGTGTCGTCCGGTGGTTTGATGATCATCATACATAGTCGAATTAAAGCATGGCAAAAGAAGATAGTCGTAATTAGGATGATGAGAATAAGTAGAACATGGAATTCTTGGCTTTCGTTTCGATTCGATAGAGCCAAGGCGAGGTATATTGTCAAGACGAGCGTCAGGAACTATGTGAAATCAGCAACTTGACTCAATGTCAATGGTTCTAGTATATATATTTACCAAACCAGAAATGAAGCAGCTCAGTAGCTTGGCTCGAATCTTTTTGTTCTTGATCTTCGGTAGGCACTTTCGTTTTGTCCTGGTAGACTTCCGCCTTCTCCTTCGTCTGCCGGTATCCGCCAATTCGGCCAGATGAAGCTCTGCCGGGTCAACACCAACAAATCTTCGAGGAGAATTTCGTCGAGTTTCCGTTTGCGCTACAGGAGCAGGAGGTTGTGGAGCCTCTTGCCGTAAAGAGCTGACTGAAGCAGGCCTATCACCTAGTGGGGTATATGGGTGTCGTATCGAACGTGGAGAGCTTAAAGGGGAGTTGCTTCTCTGCGAGCTGATCGTATTCGTCCTCGAGAGGTATGGAATATGCAATCGGGTCGAAGGTAGATTTCCCAACCCCAGAGCTAGTCGGGGAGTTTTGGGGCTCTCTGGTGTAGAGCTTCTTGGCAGCGTCCCGACTCTTGACCGTCCAGAGAATAGCTGATGTACACTTAATCGAACATTTTCCAGTCTCGATGGCGGCTCTCGTGAGGTTTGGGACGAACTCCTCCGTGTATTCGGGCTCGAGGAAGGAGGCATGGCGCTTGCAAGAGCGTTGTGTATGGAGGAAAGCCCAATTGTCCAATTCTTAAGCTTGTAGGATCGCAAATTATACCCTTCGAGGGAACGGTCCTTGTTATGTTATCGACCTCCTACACGTCCACCAACTGTCTCGACAACGCGTGAGGTCACGACCGTGTTATGTTGACGTTCAGATGCATGAGTAGTACCTAGTCGAATTGAGGTGGTCGTGGTCGAGGTCGGTCAGGGAGATAGAATAGAATGTAAGTCAAAGGAGACGGACAATCTAGAGGCCAGTAGCTCTTGATCTCGTCCAGGGTCAATGTGTTTATCGAATAGTCAGTAGTGAGTGGTTGGGTACCAGCAGACTTAGTAGTCAACGGCCAAGTGAAAGGAACATCCAAGAACCAAGAGAGTGGCAAGCCTGCTCACGGAGCTTTGGACTGTAAAACACGAAACACCAAACAGAGGCAAAAAGAGGTAGAAGTGAAGGAACAAGAAGTCACTTACTCGCCCGAGGGACGAGGATCGAAGATACAGCACAGCAAAGGAGTGGAAGTTTGTTGGATACGAACGACTTACGAAAGGAAGCACCGACCTGTGTGTCGCAGTGGAGGCGAGTCTGCGACGGGAAGGACCCCCTTGAGTTGAACTGGCGTTGAATACACCAATGAGCAGGATGGATGTGACGGTTAAGACAGATCTGGAGGGATGCGAGTTTCAAAGTTTGGGAAGCCACAGGAAACAATCACCAGGAGTCGGTTCAGGACCGTCCACACTTTGGCTGTTGGCCCAATCATCCAGCGGCAAAACGTTCGTCACGGATCCCGAGGGCGTAATCAGGGGCCACGCCACGGACCTTATCTCTATTGTAGCAATTGGAACAGACATTCACAGACGCACAGCAGCGCTGGAAATTGCGTTGCAGGAAGGATTTGGGGCGATGGTACGCTGCATCTGTATCTGCAATGGCTTCACATGCGGTGGTCATTTGGTGGTGTTCCTGCATCGAACCTGGTAATACATTTCATTCTGGCCGGTACCGATGGATACCAAGCATGCTCTGCCAAATGGAATTATGTCCTGTCGATCATGTTTAATCTATCATTACTGCTTCCCGGGAGCCCGAGACTGCACATCAATTGGTGCAAAACATTGCATGAATCTCCTCTGTTTTGCAATGATGATTTGCGCACTCCAGAAGATCCGCAGATATCAAACCAAGGAGTCAAGGAGTTGCGCACGGCTCCCAACTCCAGAAATGTCAGACCGCATCTCATCGGTCCAATGTTTTTCCAGAAGAACCCTTTTAACTCCTGTTCCATCTGCGCTTTTCGTAGTGTGGGGTATATATCATGCCCTCGTAAGAACCGCCGCAATCATACTCACTTCAACTCACCGAGAAGAAGTCGTCGATCCGAGCTTCCAGAGAGAACTACAATAGTCAGCATGTCTGATTGCAAAGTGTTTCAGCCGCGAGTACTTACTAATAGGGTCGGAGGATGGTGACAATTCTACTGTGTTGACGGTTCCACGATGTCCTGGCAGCTTGTAGAGAAGCTTGCTCGTCTCGCTATTCCAGACTGTTGCGGTGCCATCAGCAGAACCAGCAGCGATTCTCTTCCCATCAGAGCTCCAACTAGCCGTGATTAGATTCTTCTCCATACCAGCAGAAGCTCCATCAAACGTTCGAATGTGTCGTTCTGTTGGGGCAAAAGGTCGAATGTCCCAAGTTCGTACAGTGGAGTCCATAGAGTTTGACAGAAGCGTCTGAGAGTCTGGAGATATCCGAAGTGAAGAAACGGTATCCGTGTGGCCAAGCATCGAGTAAACGACAGCTTTTCTCCTCATATCCCAGACCTTGATATCATTGTCAATTCCTCCAGAATAAAGCTCGTTACCTGCTTCGGCCAGGGCCACTGCTGTCACTGGAAACTCCGTCTCGATAAAATCGACCGCATTCTTCGTCCGAGGATCCCAGATTCCGATATAACCATCATCTGAACCACTGATCAAAAGCTCCTCTCCTCTCTTGCTGATATCCATGCTGTTGATCACCTCTTCGTGTCCAACGTGCCGTCGTATCCTCATTCCAGTCTCCAGATCCCAACTTGCTAGATGCATATCTGCAGATGCTGAGAACAAGACTCGCGAGTCGCGCGACCAGTGCAGATCCAGAACTGCTCCTTTGTGACCAACCAGCGTGCCATAGTTTTCACAATTGCCAAATGTTCTCCATAGCACTAAATAACGTTAGCAGTCTGTTCGCATATATAAGTAGAACGCAGTAACCCACTGATTGATCGATCCATAGATCCTGAAGCAATATAATTGCCATTGGGGTCAAACTTTGCACAAAAGACCTCCCCAGAATGTCCAGTCAACTCCATAACAGGAGCTTGCAAGCCTGTAGTTCGCGGCACCTAAACAACGCGCATTAGCAACTGAAATCCCAACAAAGCTCAGCAAATAGATCTTGAAACTCCTATAGACATTACATACCGCTTGTATGAGCGCGCCATTTGCTCCAGACCCGTTGACAACAGCTACAGCTTTGCTATCTTTTCCAAGATTCGGTCTCTTCGATACGACCATTTGGGAAAACCCAAAGTCCTCTCCTGCTGGACGCTTTTCGGCAGACATCATGACAGCTGATCAAGGGAATGTAATGATTTTTGGTCGTAAAGAGCGTTGTCGTGATTCTGGTTTTCAAGTCACAAGATTGAATGGTTGCTCGATAATTTTTGGGATATTTCGCGCTAACGACAGGCACAGCCTTTCAGACCCTCCGAGCTTCGAGGAACTCCACATTCGAAGTTGTCCCGCTATGCCCTGGACAACAAACCACATAACAAGGTAAATCGCTTTCTCGGAGCTAGAAGGCTGATATTCAAATATGGCGACCAAAGCTGCCAGGATAGGAGAGGAGTAAGTTTATTTCCTTCAATCAATGGAGAGCGGATGCTAATGTAAGGCTAGAGTATGGAAGTGAGTACCTGCATAGCAACCTAGCACACACGCTCGAGGTATTGACCAGACTTTCCCAGAAGTCGAGTCGACAAAGTCAACGCCGAATTGGTGACGCTCACCTACGGCACCATCGTCGCGCAACTATGCAAAGACTTCGACAGCGATTACGTGGAGGTCAATAAGCAGCTGGACAAGATGGGTTACAACATCGGTCTACGGTTAATCGAGGATTATCTGGCGAAGTCGAATACGATGCGACGGTGCTCGAATTTTAGAGAGACGGCGGAGATGATTGCGAAGGTTTGTGGGGTTCCGTGATGAGAGAAGTAGTGCGTGTGTTGACTGGAGTAGGTGGGATTCAAGATATTCCTTAACATTACGCCGACGATTACGAACTGGACAACGGATAGCAAGCAATTCTCCTTGATCTTTGACGAGAATCCTTTAGCCGACTTTGTCGAGTTACCAGATGACGGGCGAGCGCAGGATGAGCTGTGGTACTCGAATATTTTCTGCGGGGTCTTGAGAGGTGCGTTGGAGATGGTGCAGATGCAAGTCGAGGCACATTTCATCACGGACGTTCTGAGGGGGAATGACTCAACGGAGATGAGGATATCTTTGATTAGGTACATTGATGATGAGATGCCGGCAGATGATGAATAGGTGTGTATAGACTGGAGTTTTTGGCGTTTAGATGGATGGGCGAGGATATCAAAGGCGAAGATAGGAATGGCTCTTGCATCGACATTGATACTGAATGCGGTATGTGTGGTATCGTGAATTATGTGGCTTTGGTAGGTCTGTTTCTTTCTGACCCAAGTCGTGTTTTATTTGTTATGAAACCTTCGGTTGGCATCGCTCTGCGTTTCCCAAGGCGAGTTCTCTCTTTCTTCAGCCTTATTATATATCTATATATGTGGAGCAGCAGCCATCGATTTCCTTTTTTGCTTAGAGTTATCCAGACTTGGGAGTGCAGCACTGTACTCATGGATTTCAGATATTTAGATTTCTTCTTGGCCTTCAGTTGAAAAGTCAATTCTCACCTACTTCCTTCACTCATTTCTATCATTCACTTCAGATATATACACATAATTCATTTGCATATTATCTCTTTTTTTTCTTCGCTTACGCGTTTACTGTCATTTCAAGTTGGTATCCCCTCGTTTTGTTCATGAAATGACCATGGAAGTTTCTCCTAATCTTAGTAACTCGGGCCAGAACTATGTACAACTTGATTGTGAGCTGGCTGCAAACCGAGCAACGCATAAGGAGTTCGATTTTAAGGCGAAACTATTAAATTGTTTGGAATTTGGTGTACCGAGTCGTGCTTATTACAAGTGAGGTTCGCTGCCTGGACATCGTTCTCTCAACACTAAAGAATCTGAAGACGCCGGACTATGTCAAATCCGCAAGTTGCAATACCGGAGGCATACATTGTATTGAAGTATTCCAAAAACAATGTCTATTATAGGCTACTATAAGCTACGGACATCTTGGACTTCTGTTACTTTGCCCGATAGCTCTGAACAAATCCCGGAGTTTTCTGCAACAATTTGAATCTCTCTGCAATTTGCACCAGCAGCTGGACTTATGCACGACGACGGTAATCGGCGACCAGCAATAAACATTCCACCTCATGGATAAATACCATTTTTCCATTTCGTCCAGCCGCATCGGCATCCCGGTTCGTCAGCCTTCCCAACCTCCTGAATTCGGATCCGGCGCACGTGATCCGCCACGACATGTACAATATTGGATTCGGTATAACACGGAATAAGACTTCGGAGAGAGAAATGGCGAGATGATATGTTATCTATAGTTTATACAGAGTCCATCTCTCGGCCTCTTATCGAAAGACAACCCCGATGGCTCGGTCTGACCACAAGTCACACTTGGAACCTGAGCGAGCGCTGCTCTAATAGCCGGTAGAAAGCCTAGAGAGACTGCACATCTTGGACTTTTGAGTTCTGGACTGTCTGGGATACCGCAAACTCAATTCGCAGTGGGAAGAGACTTGAGAGCAAGAGTATAGGATCTGCGTACTGCCCAAGTGTTATTTCCTACCTACGGGAGAATTGTTGTGGTGGAAGAAGAAGAATAGTCGGTTCATACCTCACCAAAACCATTTCACGTGGTGTCGATGCTGCTCAGATGCCCAGGTGATTTAAAAGCAGCAGAAGTGTCTAGCTACAACAAGCTAGGCAGGCCTGATTCTACTACGAAGGGGATATCTGCACTCTTCCATATTTTCATTCTATATCCCTCCTTCACCTCTCTTCACAGTTTGTGCTCGAGACTCATTTCATCAAACATCTTCTTTTGCTCCGGATCGTGGTTCGTGGTTCTCCCAATTCGCAGCCTTTCCCATGCACGCTGGGCTGGCGCCATCTCAGCTACCCAAACCCAAGAACGTGCTGAGAAATACGCCCACCAGCACGATATCAGTTCCAATCTTCCCGTAACAGAATCTCTCTTCTCCCCATCCACATCCACCGAACCCCACGACCGCCCATTGAGTCGATATTCTCGCAGGGCGAATTTCTTCCTTCTGGGCACCCGGATGCCAGAAACGCCCTTCCATCCTTTGCCTCTCGACGCTCTCGCTTGCCTCCCATCACGCGCCTATCGCATTCCCTTTTTCTTCGCAAAAAGGGTGTGAGACGGAAGTTACACGTCGGCCCACGGTCTCCGATTACCAATTTGCTCCCTTTGCGCTACTGCCACCGGCCAGCTCGTCGAGCAGTTGGCACGGAGGATATACTTACCTCTGCAGAAGACCCTGTTGCAAGAAAGATCTCCCGTTGCGACACCCTCGGCTCTAACCGCTCCGCGTCAGAGGTGCGGTGGCTGACGGAGTGTTTTTCCACATTCGCAGTCTGCAAGGCACAGGGACGACGAGCGAAAACTTTCGCGATCCAGATCCGCGACGATGAACAACGTAAACATGGGTGGCATGAATGCCATGGGCGGTCCCGTTGGGGGTGGGATACCCATGGGTATGAATAATGGCGCTGCTGGAGTCCGACCACCGATGATTGGGAACGACAACCAACGCATGCAGCTCAACACTTATATCTACGAGTACTTCTTACGGAATGAGATGTACGACTGTGCCAGGTCGCTGCTCAACAGTGAAGGGATCAGTCTAAACCTCATCAAGGACAGTCCAGGACGTCGCCGCGAAAACGGGGCTGGTGATGAAGGTGGAGACGGCGAATCCAAAGATGATGCTGATTCCAAACGACCTTCTGATCTCCCCGAGCCTTCCGTGCCAAAGGACTGTCCTGAAAGCTGTTTCTTATATGAGTGGTGGTGTCTATTTTGGGATATGTTCAATGCGCAACGTGGAAAAGGAGAAGGCCGCAACGTCCTTCAATATGTCCACCACACACAGGTAACCCCTCTGCGAACCTTGTCATTGATTCCAAAGTACTAACATGAGCATAGTCCCAGTCGAGGATGAGGCAAGAACAGCAACAACAAATGCTTAGAGGTATACAGCGTGGCAATATGATGCCTGGACAATATGAGCAGATGATGATGGGCCAAGGACGACAGACGAATGGCTTGCCTATAAATCCCAACGAGCTACGTCAAAAAGCTATTCAGAACAATAGAAACACGTAAGTTCTCTGCTATTGAGATACAATCATATGTTTCTAACCTTTTTACTTTAGGACCCCGCAGCAACAATTGATGATGGCGCAGCAGCAGCAAAAGCAGCAAGCCATGCAACGCGATCCTTCCGATGGTAACAATCAGCAACGACCTCAATCTCCTGGTTCAGCAGAAAATGCCCCGTCCCCTTCGAAACGACCTCGTCTTGATGGAACACCTTCTTTCAACCCTCAACAAATACCAAATGGGAGAGGACAAGTTGCAGGAATGCCGCAACAGGTGGGAGATACTGGCCCCAGCAATGCTCTTCAAGCTGCTCATATGCAGCTTACAAATGGCATCGAACAAAACAATCTGACAGCTCAGCAGTTCCAGAACCTCCCGGGCGGACCGAACGCAAGCGCCCAACAAGCAAGATTAGCAGGCTATCAAGCCAACATGGTTCAGCAACAAGCTCAACAAGCTGGTGCAATGGGCGCTGTTAAACCCATGCCGAATCAAGGCGGACCTCAGAACCAAGGTTCACCCATGATGACGCAGGGTCAAGATGGCGGAGCGATCGCCAACTACTACAACCCGGGTGAAATGGGACCAAATGGAATCCGGGGTGCGCCAGGTGGTCAGCCAGGCGGCTCTGGAGGCAATCACGCTCTTCAAGATTACCAGATGCAATTGATGCTCTTGGAGCAGCAAAATAAAAAGAGGCTCATGATGGCACGTCAAGAGCAAGACAATATGATGCCACGTCCTGACGGTCAAGGCGGTCCTGGAGCTCCAGGAGCTAACGGACAAGCCTTCCAGGGTAGCTCACCTCAAGGCGGGCCTCGCAATTCTCCCAACCCTGGTGACCAGATGAAGAGAGGCACACCACACATGAACAATGCTGGTATGCCATCGCCGCTTCCCGAAGGACAGTCTCGAGGTTCTCCAAGCAATGGTATGAACTTCAATTTGCCCGGTGGCCCAATGGATCCAACCATGAATCCTCAATACTTCAACAAGATGAATGGCATGGATCCAAACATGGTTGCTGGTATGGGCCCTAACGGCATGCGTCCTCCAAGCTCTCATCCGGGTGGTGCCTTCAACCAAATGACACCTCAGCAAATGATGGCCCGTCAGCAGCAACAAGCACAGCAACAAGCTGTTCAGAACCAGTGGCAAACTGGTCCTAATGGACAAATGATTCCACAACCTGGTGCTCAAGGACCGCCACAACAAAATATGGGCACTCCACAACAACGCAACATGCCACCACCATCAGTCCCAGCTGGTGGTGCAGCTGCTAATGGTCGTGCAACCTCGTCCCCCCAGCAGAACGCTGCTCCTCCGACCCCCTCGCAAGTGAACAAAGCAAATCCCAAGAAGAAGGCTGCAACAGAATCAAAGGATTCAAAAGCAAAGGTATATATCTGCGTTAAATGGATTTTTTGTAGAAATGTTGACATTGATGACAGCGGGCTGCAAAGAAGGGATCAAATGCAAACCTCAACGCTGGTGCTACGCCATCCGCCGATGCCGATGCCGCCGCAGCGGCCACGCCTACACCTGCGACACCGATCACCCCCCAACATCCGAGCAGCTTCAAAGGCCAAAATGGCGCCGCCCAGCCTGCAACGAACGCCCAACCTCCCGCTCCTAGCGCAAATACTACAGTCTTGCAGCAAGACCCTGTCAGCTTCATGGACACTAACGCTGTAAGTCTTCTTGTTTCTATCTGTTTAATCTTGCTCACAATCTGTAGTTCGATGCTTTTGGAGGTAATGTTAGTATGGATTTTGCAAATCTTGGCAATGGCAACTCGGACGTCCTGCAGGACTTCGATTTCGATTCGTTCTTGCACCAAGACGAGGGCGTCGGAGATGGTAGTTTCAATTTCGACGGCTTCCAAGGTCTAGACGGAGGCGAGATCGGTGCCGATTGATCGTCGAGGCATGTCAAGAGTCAACAATTTCCCGGCGTTTTCGAGCATACCTTCCGGCGTTAAGCGGATCATACCATCTCGGTCCCGGCGTGTTCCATGTCCATGCGAAAAGAGTCCCGGTTCAATGATTAGAGAGAAGAGAGAGCAAAGTTCCAGGTGCCTGAAAATTTCATATTTCTACATATACATTCGTCGTTTCCGTGCGATAGGATATGGGACGGTCATGCTTCTTTTGTTTTATGTTTATGCTTGGACGTACCTATAGTACCTGCTGTATTCCCGCTGCCTTGCAGTGCGCAAGGCACATGGCGGGAGGTGGAATCTGGCGTTGGGGCTGAATCTCAACCATTCTTATCTGTTTATTACTGTTGCGAGTTTAGGTCGAGCCTGGAAAAGGTGGAATCCTGTGTATTTATCATTGTGGTGCAGCGGGGCTAGGGGACGAAGATTTGATTGAAATGGAACACGAATTCATGTTCATGTAAGGTCCCTAGGACAATCGGAGAGTGTATGATCGAGAGAAGTCGAATCACTCTGTGGATGGGTTTGCTCCCCTGCTATGCAACTTACCCTAGCCTGCTTACACATTGGCTAGATTTGGTGCTGATGGAGCCTATGCTAACCTTGAGAGCCCGAACGGCCGCCCGCGCCGCTATTTATTTCATGCATGTCTATTTATCATCCACAATTTCTTTCTTTCTTCCTTTCTTCTCTTTTCATATTTCAGTTTGTCTAGTCTCGGCAACTTTATTGATCTGCGATCTCGGCCCACACCACCGTCGCGCATCGAGTTACAATCCCGAGCCCCCAACCCCGAAGCAAGCTTTGACATTCTACCCCTTTCTTAAACGAGATCTACCCCTTTTTCTCTCGCTACACATTCACATTCTTCAAACCAAGTTTTCAATCTCCCACTCTCCGTCGATCATCCGAACGCATCAACCACATCTACAAATCTCCAGCCACACTTCAAACCAACAGTTCCAATTACAAACATTGAACTCGCCCAAGATCCCAGGACATTGAAAATGGCACCCATCGCACCCCGCGACCTCGACGCGCCCTGGCACTCAGACACCCTCCTCCAACTCCGCACCTCCAAAATGAAAACCATGCTCAACCTCACCGTCAAGACGGGCATCTATAAAGAACCGCGCACCGAGCGCCTCTTCTGCTCCTCCACCGGCCTCGACGGCGACGAGCACGACCTCACCTTCCACGGCGGCGTCGACAAAGCCGTGCACCAATACTACCCAGGCCACTATGCCAACTGGCGGGCCGAGTTCCCGGACGCGGAGAGGAGAGAGGCGTTTACCCTCGGAGGGTTTGGCGAGAATTTGGTGAGTGAAAAGATGAATGAGAGGAATGTTTGTATTGGGGATAAGGTGCGGGTGGGTGGGGTGTTGTTGCAGGTTTGTTTGCCGAGGCAGCCGTGCTTTAAGTTGAATCATCGGTTTGGGGTGAAGGGGTTTGCGGCGCAGACGTGGAGGAAGAGTCGGACGGGGTGGTACTATCGGGTTCTGGAGGAGGGGTGGAGTGAGTTGCATGTTTCTTTGCTTTTTTCTTCTCGCTAGTTGTCTCGAGGTCTTCCTCGAGGTCAATTCGAATACTCGAGAGATTTTGGCACTAATTTGCCCTATAGTGGGTGTTGGAGACTCGATCGTGTTAGTTGAGAGGCTGCACCCCAAGTGGACGATTGAAAGGATACAGGAATTTTTCCATAGGGATGACGGAAATCTTGAGATGTTGAGAGAGGTGAGTACCTTGGTTCCGTCCCAGACCGCTCCTTTTTCCTCTTTGGATGGTTCAAGTTGATGAAATACAGCTAGCACAAATCCCCGAATTCGGTGATGAAATGAAAGGAGGCCTCAAACAAAAAATTGACAAATGCGAAGCTGCCCTCCTAGCAAAAGACAAGAAAAAGGACCCCGAGAAATGGGAGGAATTTACTCTCATCGAGAAGAAACCCCAAACACCACACATAACATCCTTCACCTTCTCCAAACCCGGCACAGGCGAAGAACTTGATCCGGGCTTCTTCGCTCGTCTCAAACTGCCCAACGGGCTCATTCGTCCATACTCCATCGTTTCTGGAGACACGTGCAAATTCCAGCTAGGCATCAAACGCGAGGCTGACAGTCGCGGAGGATCGAAGTATCTGCACGAGGAATTGAACGAGGGAGATAAGATTCTGGTGGGGAATATGACGGAGAGTGTGCCGATCAAGGGACAGGCTTCGAATCATATCTTTATTGCGGGCGGGATTGGGGTTACGGCGTTCTTGATGCATGCGGATGTTTATGGGCAGATTAGTTTTAATTATACGCTGCATTACGCGGATAGTGGGGAGGAGGAGATCCCGTTTAAAGAGGAGATTGGGAAATTGGGAGACGATGGAAGGGTGAGGATTTATGATAAGGGGAAGAGGGAGAGGATGGATATTGGGAGGATTTTGAGGGAGAGGAGCTGGAATTCGTATGTCTATGTGTGTGGACCGCAGAGGATGATTGATGAGACGGTGAGGCAGGCGAAGATGTTGGGGATCGGGCAGGATGAGATTCATTATGAGGCGTTTCAGATGGATACGACGGGCGATCCGTTCTCGGTGGAGGTGAAGAAGACGGGGATGAGGTTGCAGGTTGAGGAGGAGAAGACGTTGTTGCAGAAGTTGAGGGAGGCGGGGTTGGAGGTTGATTCTAGTTGTGAGACGGGGAATTGTGGGACTTGTCGGGTGGAGGTTTGTGAGGGGAAGGTGGAGCATAGGGGGAGTGGGTTGGCTGAGGAGGATAAGGGGGTTGCGATGTTGAGTTGTGTTTCTAGAGGGGTGGGACATTTGGTTATTGATTGGTAGTCTGCGTTAAAAGGATAGATTACAGACACTCATTCGGGTGCTGGAAGAAGTACACATAGAGACTCAGCCCTTTCCAGGAATTCACCGATGTTTGATATACTCCTAAACCTCAACAATGATTGCCACGACCTTAAGTCTTCAAGTCAGGACTTCCCACTATGTTGAACGTAAATTCCAAATAGGGCCTCTTGCTGTCCCACTAGACTTCCACACTTACGATAAGTAAATGCATCAACTCAACTACCAGACAATTAGCCCTTTGCAAGTGTAGATTTCGGCTATATGATTTGGAGGTTGCATGTACTGTACATACAAGCCGAGCACTGTAGTCGAAGAGAGTGCAGCGCAGTTCTGATACATTTCTGCTTCCATTTCCCATCCACCATGGCTGTGGTTGAAATGCTCTTGGGTATAAGTAGTCGCCAGCGGCAAGCTGAGGAGTAGACTAGGCATTTGCCAAAATTCTTGGTGCTAGGGGTATGTCACTCCCCGGCCTGCCCTGGATGAGCCTCTCTTTGCATCGACAAGCGCAGGAGGTAGTAGAGGCGTCCAGCTAAGGGTCTTATTGGAGGCGGTCCTGATAGGGGTCAGGGAATCGTTTCCCTAGTGCTTTTGCTTATACTCCTGCTTAAGCTTCTTAGACAGACTATCTGGGGAGAGTGTCGTAATTCGAAATTACCGTTCAGTGCTCGGTGGTAACATAAGCCTCCGTTTCTAGACAATCACTATCTGACATTATCTGATCTCCACGCCTAGAAACTGATTCTGGAAACTCCTCAATCTCTGCCACCACTCTCCAAATCTACATCAATTCCGTGAATCAACTCGACCATCCAGACGTCAACAGTCATGTCCTTTCTCACCCAAGGCGGCTCGTCTCCTTCCTCAATGTCATCAATGTGGTTTAAGGCAAACAATATATGATCCCTGACCCCCCATGTCTCGTCATACGTCTCAGCGGCTGGTGATGCACTTCCTATTTCCACTAGTGCTTTCATTTCAACGACAAATCGAGTCATGCGCCGATTATACTTGTCGACTGGGTCGATGCGAGAATTGCGAATGCGTTTTGTGGCGTAGAAGATAGCTGCGATTATTATGGAAGCGCAAAGAATTATTGCGGTCGATAGGAGGAAGGATGTTATTGTGAGGAGACGGTTTGGGCATGTGCATGTGCTCTGATCTGGTGTGGAGATCATGGTTGGAGTGAATGAGTTTGTCGGGTGGAATTTTATTCGATTCCTCGATTCGAGTTGAAGTGCAGTTGAACAAGGTGATGATATCGCAGGGAAATTTTCTTGAAGTATAAATAGTGCTAGGGTTGTGATCTGGACTGGCCGCCTAAGATCTACTATCATAGTTTTATGGAACCATTTCAATTCAGGCTACGTGACGCACAAAGCTTGATCAAACAAATCCGGAGTAATTCTAAGTTATGTGAGTAGTGATGTGCAAAGACTTCGTGCGCCAAACGTACGAAGACAGGTCTTCGCTTAGCAAAAGGGGTTAGAAGAAAGCCCATTTCACTTTTTGACTTGCGATATGTAGACATGAGTTGACATAACGCTAAATTTCACAGCAATATGATGATTTGAGAGCTTTCATACCCTTGGTGGTTTAATTCCTACTAGGCCTAAAGCTCCGCCCTATTCAGCCTGAAAGTCAAAGTGAGGGTACTTCTTGACCTTGTCCCTGCAGCACCGAATCATATACTTGAGATTTACTCTTTCAAAGGGCTACTTGTCCCTCAGGCTTTGAGACATTTACACCTCCATATGAGCAGAATGGAGGTTACGCTGTATAATACTAAGACGGACATAATCCCCTGACATGTCAGGAAACCATAGTTTTGAGATATTCAACAATCAAGTCCTGGGCTTACCAGGGACTCTTGGACCGTGAGTGTTTATTGTTTATTTCCAGAGAGAAATAATATCCAACCCAGCTAGGAACATTCACTCACAATAGGAACAAGCGAGAATTCTTGAAGTAGTGTCAAGTGAATATACCTAGGAGTCTTACCATTGTCAAAATTAAGCGAGAAAAACTCAGGGGTCACCAAAATCAACACAATAGCTTCAGACTTTGCTATTGTGAGACTATAGCCCTAAAGATAGGCACAGATAGGTAGATGTAAATTCTTCTGAAAGCTTTCACTCTCGTCGTCTCTCCTGCAACTCTCACTTTCTGCAATCCTCCCAATTCTTGTAATTCTTCCAATTCAAACACCACCACCAACAACAGCAACCATGACAACTCCTAAGAGAAATAGTGGGACGGCATTCACCGGCCTCTCCATGCAATCGAGCGGCCTCGCCTCCGTTGGCTCTTCTCCTGCCGCTGCCGCCGCACCAAAGGCAGCTCCCACGAAGAAGAGGGAGGACGACGAGTTTTCAGACGGGGTCTCAGAGTGGTCCGCCTGGGACTTCCCAGACAAGGACGGAGACTTGGAGACGATGGGGGCGACCGACGCCATCCCGACACTCCCAGCTCCCCTTCTCCCGTTGGGCAAGTTTGCAACCATCACGGAGCGCTGCTTTGTTTACGGACACTGCTGCAGACTGGTGGAAAGCACTCTTGCTCAGCGGGCAGAGGGGGGGATGGAGGTAACTATGATTCCTATCCTACTTTACTGCTCTTCAAAGTACTGACTTGACTACAGTGGATGACGGATGGAGAGTACGATCGCTTCCTGGAAGCAGCACGCTTCCAACATTGGGTAAGTCTTCCAGATGTCTCTCTTGTCAATGGACTTTCTGGTTGCCCTATTCTCAGAAGAACTTTCCTCCGAGAACAGCTTTGGTCAAGTGCCCGAGTGCTGGCAAAGTTTAACGGAAGAAGAGAAAACCAAGAACAGTCAAACATTCAAGAATTTGCTGCACAAGGCAAAGGAAAAGCTGACGTTTTGTTTGTAGGGAAGCATGGAGAACCTCATTTGAGGAGGGCGCTTGGCGCCCGGCAAAGACAGGCCCGTGCGAACCCTGCTCTTTGCCGAAGAAGGAAGGAACGCGATATTCATCAACCCCACAACGCGACCTCTCCAACTCTCCTCAGAGTTCGACACAACCAACAATGAGGCTCCGCTTGACCGTAAAGCGCCACGGCCTGCCGGACACTCCAGTGGTCTGGATTGTAGATACTACTCCTTCTTCTTCTTCTTCTCCTACGATTTCACAACTTTTGGAAGCAGTCAACGAAGCCATACCGATCGAATCCGAAGGGGATTGGGGTCTGGAGGATTATGCCGTTGAACTGAAGGGCGCAAATGGTGCCAACTACGAATGTCTTCATTTCCAGCATGTTGCAGCTGTTATGAAGGAAGACGATGAGGTCATGTATGTCGTTTTTCTCTCCCTGGCTTGAATTGTCAGCTAATTTTCTGCGCAGTATTCGGCCATTACTTACACAAGATTTGAAGATACGACGCATTTCTGGACGGAGACAGATCTCAGCAGAGGGCAAACACCTGTTTGATGGGCTGGCTTTCGGACGACCACTTCTTAGACGCCCTGCGGATCGACCTCCAATTACGATACCTCCACGAAAAAGACGCCGTGTCACTTACGATGATGAAGAGCAAGATGCCGACGAGATACCTACACTGATGGAAAGAGAGGAAGAAGAATCAGATGCCGATGCAAACAAACAGCTCGTTATCCATGCTGACTTCGACGATGAGGACTCTGAAGACGACGAAGATTTCATTCCTGGTGGAGACGATGATGCCGAAGACGAGAATATTGATGCAGAGGTGAATGGCAGCGGTAATGAGGGTTCCTCTGAGAGCGATGGCACAGAAAGCGACGAGGAAATGGCAGATGAGCAAGCAGCAGACGACATCGATCAGAACAGGGAGCTTCAGAAGATGACAGATGCCTTCGAACTTCCGATTGAGACTGAGCCAATCCAAGAGCCAACCCAAGATTCACCTCGTCCTTCAGAGATTGAAAAGGTTGACGAATCTGCACTGCAGAGTGTACCAGAGCCTCGACGAGCTACGATTCGTAAGTTGCATGCTGTCTTTCCTAAGTCGCCTATGGCTGTCTGCAAATATGTCTTGAACGGTACGAACGGAGACATGGGTGAAGCCTACGAAGCCATGGCCCGTGGATTTCGCCCTGTCAAATCTAAAAGCTCGTTTACTGAGAGCCTTGAAGAAACTCCAGATCTGCATGTTCCGAAAACTCGTTCAAAATCCAAGGTAGCTCCTGCGACAGAGTCTAGCAGTCAACAGATCCGGGAATCAGAACATGACGAGCCTCCAAATTCTCTCATTCGTCACTACGATCTAGGTGGGCTGCTTCCAGGATCCATCAAGTCTGGCAAAGCTTTGTCATTCATGGCAGAAGCGTTGCACAGCACTCCTCCTCGACCACGCTCTGGACTGAGAAGGTCAGCGTCTATCGCGAGCAACAAAAGTGTCAGATTTACAATGGACGAAGGCTTATCAAACGGTCTTACATCTATTCCTTGCATTGACAAACAATCCCAGGCTATAGAGTCTAGTGAAGAAAGTGACAGCGACAGCGATGATTCTAGCGAGGAAGACGCTACAAGCAGCGAGGACAGTAGTAGTGATAGCGAAGACAGCGATGAGTCAAGTCATGCAAAAGGGAATAGCACTGATAATGTATCGTCTTCTGGGAGCGAAAGCAGCAGCGATTCATCGAGCGAGTCATCAAGTGAAGAAGAGTCGCCAGAAGAGACATCGAGCAAACTACCCTCGACCACTCCCAAATTCCGAACATCTGCATCTCCATCCCAATCTTCCGCCGCGAATTCGAAGCAAGCCCCGGCCGGAAAACCAGGTCAAGGTACACAAGCTACACGGAAGCGAAATGAGCGTAAACGACTGTCAAATGCTCTGGACAGATACAAGCGAAAGGGAATCCTACCAGCTGGCACCACCATTAGTGAATTGTCAAGGCTTCATGTAAATGACGATACCCCAGCAGAAGCTGCACTTGCTGCGTTGGAGGAGCTCAGAGCCGGCAAGACAGAGAACACGCTTGCGAAGAATTCTTCTCAGTCTCAATCTGATGATTTTGAGCATCGTCGGCAGCAGCTCCTTGATTCTCTAGCATCTGGGGGCATTGAAGTTGGCGCAGATAGTCGCGGAAATACAACGTCGAAGCCCACGCAAGATTCCTCCGCATCTACTCCAGCAGAAGTTACAAGCGCCATACAACCTGAAATCACTTCAACCCCAGTAGTCCCAGAAAGCACCGAGCTTCACCCGCTGGCAAAAGTCTCCGAGCTCGAAGCAATGGACATTGATGCTGCGAAGCCTTCAAATGCCCCAGAAGTTCCAAAGATCGACAGTCCTCTTGCCTCTCCGAACCCACAATCTACCTCTGCTAATTCAAGTCAACCAAGTGCACGTAGATCGAAGATAGATCTTGGTGCTGGCCGGAGACTCTTGTTTGGTGCGCTTGGCATTAAGGCTCCGAGAACCAAGAAGGATGAAGAGAAAGTGCGAGCTGATCTCATGAAAGATGTCAGGCATCTTGTAACCCCCAAAGCATCTGATCCCGGCGAGCCTCAAGGAGAAGACGTCGCTGAGGATTCTGAAGCATGGAGAGAGAAGATTGTTTATAGAGCCGTTGAATGCGTCCAAAAAGGCATCGAACTGAGTGAGCCACCGTTCCCGTTCGTCCAGCGATGGGATCCTCAACAGCAACGTTCTTGGTCAAAAGGGGGTAAGCGCAAGCAGGGCGAACTAGAGCAGCCACAATATCATCAGGAGAACTCACGACCAGCAAAGAAGCAGAAGGGTCGCAAAGGCAAGCATAGATATGCTGAGGAGCAGGAGTACCTCGATGCTTCTTACGAACCTAGCTACCAAGATGAGAGCATGGAACTAAATTACGATGATTCTACTCAGCTCACGAGACCTGAAGATGAGGATGTTGAAGATCAGATTAGCTTGCAGTTGATGAATGACATTGAAGGTCCCACGGGCGCTACTAGCCAAGCACCTGATGATTGCATCCCACTACCTGACGACCCCTCTTCTTTGCCCGATTTGAAAGATGGTGAAGCAAAATCCGGTATGGTCATTGCGTTCAAAAAGCTGGAATTCTCAGCAGCGACACAATGGCAACCCGTGGTCTCACAGTATCGAACCGCCGTCGTTATCTCTATCTTAGAGAATGGTACACTGGAGCTGACTCTTGCCATGCGCGATCGTGTCCATACCGAGAAGCGCTATGATGAGAATACTGGCAAAAGAATCTACGACAAATTCGAGACGGTTGACGACGAGGACATGGATGACACGGAAGAAGATCATGGAAAGCTTGACCTTACCTTTGGAGAGCTTATTGAACCAAAGATCTTGCAAGAGCCTCCGGAGTTGGCAGATGACACTATGATGGACGAAGCCTCGCCAGCATGGGAAAAGATCAACACTGATGATTCTACCACTCTGAGCCAACAGGAAGAATCTGCTGAAGCTCCGCTATCACACGTCACGGAAACACCTCTTCACTCCGATGCCCCTGAATCCTTCCGCATCGAAGAGTCTATTGAACAGTCTGATTTGCCTGTTGCTGATGATCATTCGCCTGAAGTTGTAGTTCAAGCCGTAACCGTCGTGGAGAACGAGCCGTTAGAGAATACATCGCTGGCAATCACAGCACTTACTGTCGCAAAGCCTACTGATGATTTCACGCTCGCTCCCATTGCCAAAGATACAAGTCCATTAGATCTTGCTGAATCAGTTGATGGAGTTCATGAAGATGATAGCAAAAGTGACGTCTCTCCAGAGCCAGTTTCAGAGGATGCAAGACAACATATAGTCCACATGATGAAGGATGCCGACTTCCGAACCGACGTTCCGTCTTCTGTTCTGAGGGATATCCAGCCTGAGTCAATGCAAAGTCCTGGTGAGGTCGCCGAGCTTGAGAAACTATTAAAGGACATGACTGAGACGAATGAAAAGGCATACTCCCCAAGGTTCAACGGGCTTGGGTCGTCGCCTATAAAAAAGCTAAGAGGGTCTTCACAAACCCCAAGTGAAAGTAGAGTCCAGGTTGCAGACTCGTCGCCATCACGGCCACGAAAAGGACCTTCTCAAATTTCTGGACAAGAGCGTCAAGTATCGGATTCTCCCAATAAACAGCCTCAATCAAGCTGGGAAACGGTTGAACCCAATTATCAGGATCCGACACCATCACCTGCTCGACCAACAGAATCAAGCTGGATCACTGAAGAATCGCACGTTCAGTCTTCTAGTCCGCCTAGCAAGGAGCCTGTCAAAGCTGTCTCAAAGCTCAAGTCTATGGTTCGCAAGATCCCTATTGGCAGAGCGCAGGCTTTGTGGGAGCAACTGCAGCCTAAGAAGCAAAGTACTGATTCTGAGGATGAGAGCTCGAAACCTTCACCCGACCATACTACAGGTCTCGACGGTGTCAGCGAAAGAGAAGATCATGAAAGCGTGCAATACCCGAAGCTGTCTGTAGGGTCGTCTTTCAGTCAAGTCGAAGATCATGGTCGTCAGCCTGATTTCGATTTTGATGACAGCGCAGTTATCAGTAACGGAAGCCCACAGGCTACTGATCTTGATTTTGATCCTGACATTGCTGTCATCAATTTTTCTCAGCCACCTGAGCGCCAACCTAGTCACTCTCCTGCAATTTCAGCTGTCGTGGACAAGAACGGGTTTGAATCGGAGTCTGAATTTGAGCCTGAACTTCCTGCTCCAAAGATTGTCAACGAAAAGTCTACTAGCTTCAAGACTCAACCCAGCATCTCAGCTGACCTTTCCTCTGACGATGACATTCCTGCTCAAAAGACTATCAATCAAAAGTCCGTGAGGAAGCCAGCCCCACCTGTTGTGCCTGAGCCTATGTCTTCTGATGATGAATTTCCATCTTTGGAGGCATTGTCACAGCAATCAGCAACGATTAAACGAGAGAAGTCAAGAGACAAGTCGTTGATGCCCCCAAAGAACGCAAAGGATGAGAAGCCTCGCACTGTCTCTGCAAGTTCAAGTCGAGCAGTGGACCTTTCCGATGACGAAGATCAGACTACGCCCAAAGCATCGCAGAAGCAGCGGGTACCATCGCACAGTCAACCACTCCAGAGAAAAGGCTCAGAGATTCCCTTCTCTCAGCGTCGCAATTCAGGACCACGTGCATCTCAGCCTGCTCCTTCGCAAAGCCAAAAGTCCAATCCACCTCCAGGCTCTCAAGTCTACGATCTGACTGACGACTCCAGCGACGTCGAACCTGAGCCACGACGTGCTGCTAAAGAATCTTCCGATTCCGATATTCAGCCTACCAGATTTAGGACATACAAGATCGATACTGATGACGATGAAGAATATCAGGAAGAGTCGGGCTGGGTTCCAAAAAAGACCAGTACAGTGGGAGGAGTTGAGACTCGAAGACTTACGAGTGGCAGCTTGAAAGCTTCTTCACAAGCATCGCTCAATACTAAGAACCGTAGGAAGACGAATACATAGTGGCGGAATGGATGTAGTAAGAAGGAATGATGTGTGCATGGTGGTTTGTTTCCTTTTCGCGATAATGATATACCATATGGGGCCTGGTTACTGGAGTTGGTGGGCACATATGAGCAGGCTTTCCTGATAGCTGACAGCGCATTGCTGTACCGTACATACCATGATTTGCTTCAAATGCAAATGAAATGCCTGTTACGAATCAATTCTCGATGTCCCCTTTGTGATGATTGTTCATGCCAAGAAATCATCTTTCGCGATTCTCGTTTCATGTTTCAACCCCCTGAACCTCTCATTGGCCACCACGCAACCTTACCCAAGAACATGAACAAAGATTCTTCTCGAGTCACTGAAGCTTTCCTTGATTGTTTCAGATGTGTCGTTTCATGAGTTTAAGGTGATAGCCTTTGAAAAGACCAAGAGGTTTAGTGTGTGGGTGTGCATGCATTTTGCTTGTTCTTAGTGATATCAAGATAATAGTTTCTTTCGGTTTGTGCAACATCTTCGACGATTTTTTTTTGGTCTATTGTTTGATTTTTACTTTTGTGTCATCATTTAATTAGTTGTTTGAGCATATACCTCTGGTTAGCATTTCTATTAAGAAAGTTGATGTATTTGAGCAAAAAGACTTACTCAAGGCATCTCAATCACGATACCTACCTGGTTCAGCCTCGGTGATTTCATCCTATCTATAATCCCACGACAACATGAGATCTTTACTCCTCACCATCATTATCCTATCACTATCCAACCTCACATTCGCGTCACGAAGAGTTTCGCCCCGAACAGCTTTACTCGTATCACCAAGCCCCTCCTCAAAATCAACCTCCATATCCACCGCCACTATCCCGACGAAAGTCCCAGCAGATGCAGACGAAGCTTTCCTCACAGCCGCAAAATCAACCGTTACTCCAGCACCAGCAGTAATCATCGACGCAGATGGGAAAGTCCAGGGCGTGGAAGAGAAGTGGCATTTAACTACGTTTACGAGCTGTCATACTTTTGATGCTACGTTTACTTATTGTGGGTTGTGAGTTTTGGGGTTTCTTTTCGTGGTCGAAGAATTAGGGAAGGAGGAAGAGAGAGGAATGAATGCTGATTTGATCGACAGACATGAACCTGTGCTCCCTGGTGGAGATGAGATTGCGGGTGCGGTGAGGCCGTTAGATGCTAGAGGTGGAGTTTTGAGGGCGGTGGTGGTTCTTTTGGGGACGTTGGTGGGGTTGATGTGTTTTTGAGGTGAGATGAGAAGGTATTAGTTGATCTACGAGACTGCTGAATCTCTGGATATGGGTTGGAGTAAGGCGTTAGATACCATTTTGTAATATTTAAATCGGTTGCAGGCCACGCCGATTACATTTAGATCCTTTTTCAAGACATATAAGCACTTCAAACTACGAGAGATGCAAGAACGATGAGCATAAATTATGATTTTGTGATTCGAGATATGTGAATGGGGACAGCGTCAGAGTAAAACGGTCCTTCCTGGAGTTCTGGCTTTGGTATCTCGTATTCAATCTCCTCGACACCATACTTATTCCTTCGACACGTCTCCAAGAAAGTCTGAAAAGTCTTCTCGTTCCGAATTGGGGATGCGATGATTATGTGTATTTCAGGGAACAGTTCAAACAGATCTCCAAAGGTAGCGACAAGAGCTCTGACTGCTGTTGTATCGTAGGTAAGATCGGCTCCCAAAACAAGGTCGATCTTTCTGCCCCCGTTCCATTCTGGTTGTTCGCCACCTATCAAGATATGCCCCCATCTCAATTCCTTGGCCTCGATTATGGAAGATTCCTGGAGACCGTTCAGGTAAAAGTTTGTTGGAAGGTCAGCAAGGACATCATCGGAACCATCAGTGGAAACTATGTGGCTTGCACCGAGATATCTCGCGCACAGGATTGAAATGTAACCTGTGCCTGCTCCTAGCTCCAACACAGATTTACCTTGGACGAGATTTGGCTTTTGGGCGAGGTAATTCCCGAGGTGCAAAGCAGCTTCCCAAGTCCGCAGTCCAGTTGTACCAGCAGCAGCAATCAAGTTTCGGGCTTCAAGGAGAGTAATTGTAGGCACAAAGTCAGATGAGGAAGAAAGAAATGCAAGAGAGCAAGTAACATAGGCCTTTTGCTGTGCAGATACAGCCTCAGAAGGAGCACCTGAGGCAATCAAGGAAGAAAGACAGGACATAATATCATCAGAGACAGCCTGAAAGTCAAGTGTTAGAGAGTATTTTAAAAACAATCCCAGGCGATACATTGAAGAACAACAGAAGACAAATTGAAGAGAAAGCGAGAAGAGAGGCCTGCCTCATTGTCCCAATCTTGGATGCTTGCCTCGATGCGTTGGACAAGCTCTTTCAAGACTCGAACCCGATACCTTGCTGGAGATGGATGTTTGGCAGCGTCATCTGCAAACAATCTATTGTAGATGTCCTGTTGGAATTCATAATTTCGGAGGTTCTCTCCGGAAGGATACTCGAGGTCCTGCAGCACTTGAAGATATTGACGGCAAAACCGGTCAAGCTGATGTCTCCCATCGATAAAACTCGAGCTCGTCATCTCATCTTCGTATCATCGGAACTATGCCAGTAGCTATGTCGCCATATTGCTTTCTCGAGGAGAGAAAAAGGAAGGTAGTCACGATACAAGAAGTGGACTATTGATGTTGTGTCCTCAGGCAGCAACTTAGGGCAAGCAGCCCCAACGCAAAGTTCTGTGTGGTGGCTTACTAAGGAAAATACGCTAAGCGATAACGTCGACAATTCCACCCGCATAGACTTCGAGGAAATCTTCAATCGACAGCGACCTCATCGACAACCACATTTCCGACGTCTGTCTCGATATTCCGTAGACAGATTCACGGACTGATCGTCTCCCATACGCAAACATGGCGGACCGTGAGCAACCCGTGACCCTGCGCACGCGCAAGTTCATTCGCAACCCCCTCCTCGGCCGCAAGCAAATGGTCGTGTAAGTTGCTCATCAATCGAGTCTTGGGATCATCGCGAAGGAGGATACGGGCGTCCAGCTGAAGAAATGGGTTCTGACATGTCTGTTTTAATAGTGATATCCTCCACCCAAACCGAGCCAACATCTCCAAGGATGAACTTCGAGGCAAGCTCGCCGAAATGTACAAGGCCAACAAGGACCAAGTCAACGTTTTCGGTCTCCAGACTCAGTACGGTGGTGGAAAGACAACTGGTTTCGCCCTCGTGTACGACTCGCCAGAAGCCTTGAAGAAGTTCGAGCCCCATTACAGACTGGTTCGTGTTGGATTCGCCAGCAAGATTGAGAAGCCCAGCAGACAACAGCGTATGTTATACCTCGGGGACTGGGATTGGATCCGCTACAATGGTGAGAATGGAATGCTGACAGATGGAAACAGGCAAACAGCGCAAGAACAGACAAAAGACACTGCGTGGTACGGCGAAGGTCAAGGGTCCAAGCAAGAAGAAGGAGAAATAGACGACTCGCTCTTACTGGTGTACGGGGATGGAGGCACATTGGTGTTGCGGGAATGGGCTTTGTCTCTGTATTCGTGCATACGTCTCATTGGCTCTTTCGCATGGAGACTGGAAGGCATTGGGACATAAAGGCATGAATCTCAATGGATCCTAAAGGTCGATACATTACAATCAAGGTGTTTGCTTTCGTCCACAAAAGGTGTTGTGCGTGTGGAATGTGTGTCTTGTGTGATGGAATTGGGCTTGACCATTTTCGGTGCCGCCATTGCTGGGAATGTTGGAAGTTTTCAATATTGGCGTGGGGTGCCGAATTCCCGACTCGCATTTCATTCATGTGCTTGTTTCTGAATTGCTAATTACAGGGACAACGGAGCGATTCAGGGTCGTCTGGTCTATGAATACCAGGTCCAGGTTCTTACCTCACTCAGCACTTGCTTGATGTCCAGGGAAGAGGTTTCTAACCTTGCCTTCGCAGATCACTACGTTCTTGAATTTCCACGACACAAACACACCCTTTCGCTGCAGGTTCAACCAAGATACGACGGAACCCTTTCGGACTGGCTCATGTCACTGAAAGAGAAAACCGAACACTACTCCCACCCGAAAGACAGAAGCTGCACTTGATGTCACAGTCGAAGCACAGGAGTATGGATGGAACCCGGAGTTGGAAATATTTGATGCAAACGTGCTGTGGATAAGGTAGAATTGTCTCAAATGTACTTTGGGTTCTGCTGATCTTAAGGATGAATGAGGATTGGCTTGGATGCATTCTTTGCTTTCTTAGGGTTTTCTACAGTAGTCCTCTTTGACTGCTTCTGTTGCCTCTCCTTTCTCTGAAGATTTCCGTCATTCCATGGCACACAGGCACTCAAATGTCCCCTCTCTGCTCATCTGTGGTTACCTCTTTTCCCGTGTGGGATTTTGAGCCATGTCGTGAAATTATCTCACTTTCTTGTTTCTTTAATAAATGTTTCTTTGGATTCGTGTCAGACTTCTGTGTGTTTTAAAAGCTGCAGGTGCCTATTTTCTACCTCTATTCTATTTCCACCGGATACTATTTTCTGCTGTTGTGTTCCACGTAAGATTCAAGATGTCTATAAGTGTACGAGAACTCCCAGCTGCTCCGTCCTCTCACCACTTAATCACGATCCCAAGCAACATCATCTTACCAATATCATTAGCACGTCACTACGAATCCATACTTCATCACCATCGATCTTCAACATGGCTAGCACCCAACAGATGGCGGAGGATGATCATTCTTCCAACCTCATAGACATCTTGTCATGGTTCATCAAGAAGATCGAGCAAGAAAAAGCAACAGTCGCATTTTTCCAGCGTTGCATTATTTGCAAAGGTGCGACTGAGTTTTGCGAAACTTGCACTCATGAGCTCGATGTTCTCAAGTTCGACTTGGAATCTTTTGCCGAAATGGCTTGTAGAGAGATCTGGAAGTTGACTGGTGGAAAGGAAGGAGAGGCTTACCATGCAGGATGGTCTTTCACTTCTTTCCAGGATATTCAGAACGCTTACAAGGATCATGAAGAGCTTTTCGACCGAATGTGCGAGGGCAATGATCCAATAACATGCAAACCTAGAAAAAAGGTCCTCTATGCCGATGACTACCAACAAGCAATTCCTCCACTCGAATGTGCCATAGGAAATTGGACTCGCGTATGCAAAGCTTTCCAAAGCGAATACGAACTCGGTATGGCAAGAGGGTGGAGACTGCCTGCTGATGGGGTTGAGAAGGAGAGGGGCAAGGTCAAGTATGATCCATCAGCAAAGATCAAGAAATGGGACGCTTTAAAGACGAAGTATGCAGAACTTGCCGCTACGCTTCCGCCAAACCCGAAGTCCGGTGAACTGGGATATGATTCGGAAGAAATCGAATACTATTCCACTTCTGATTCAGCGTGTTCTGAGGACCTTGACGCACCTTGACTAGCCCAATTTCCTGGGCTTCCTTGTTATCGTTCGTCATGCATTTGAGGCTGCTTTATGACGTGAATGTTGGCTAGCAATAACAATCTCCCAATTCCACGAGCAACCTCTCGTCTCGTCTCATGGCGCTTCTTTGGTTTTTGCGCACGTCTTGCTTCTGGATAGCAACAAAGCGAATCGGCTGCAGTGCAAGGAAGATGCGTCCTCGAAGCATCAGGAGTGGGCAGATATCCGGTGCTTGCTGCTTCTATATTTCATGTAGACTTGATAATTAGAGCGGCCACCAAAAAGCTGAACCTCAAAGAATTTGATTTACTTGAACTTCACGGCTGATACATTTCATACTTCATGTTTGCTTTCGATCCATTGTATTGTATCTGTAAAGCATGCTTGCCGCTCTCCAAACATCAGTGTAAGTCTCCAAGTTTTCTCCATTGATGCATTGACAGCCTCCAGATCCTTCTCTCGTCAGACAACTTGCTGCTCATCTATGCTACAAACGTCCATTAAGTGGCGGATCCGCTGTTAAGTTTGGCTTCCACATGTCACCAAACAAGGATAATGCTCATTCCTAGTCCTCTCTACTCGTTTCTCAAATGTTCCCGTTCGAGTTGGACGTCTTTTCTCATGCCTGACTCCAGTACAAGTACTGCAACTCTCCACTTTTTGTTCTGCAAAATCTTCCCACACCCACTCATCACCTATTTCCTCAATCATACAACAGATCTTGCAGATTCCACAAATTATCATGGACGAACAGGAGGCTTTCACGACTATCGAAGGCATCGACAAATGATGTTCGATTCGAATCCGTGCCTCTCAGGATGCTTTGGACAACTTCAGAAAGTGCTCCCAGTCTAGATACTTGGGAGATGACTGTGTTAACTGCACACAAAGTCGTCGAGACCTCGCCATATGGCTGAATGAGTCGAAGATCATGTGTGAGGAAGAAAAAGGCCGCTTTCGAGTCAACGATCATCCTTCTCCACCAGCATGCGCCCACTGTGGGCATAACCCCTACAAAAACTCTAACCAACAATCAGGTTGGCCTTTGGGGGGACCTCGAACACTCAGAGCTATTCGAGAGGAGTATGACGAGATGACAAGAGAACTGATTGGTGAAGTGACAGCATTGGAATCCATCGAGCAGAAACATGGTCTTCGTCCAGCTGCAGCCGAGATCTTGAGGAATAATCAGTTGGACTTGAAGCGTTATGAAATTAGGAGAGAGATATACATGGAGATTGGACAGTCAAAGGGATTGCCTGCTGGTGGTTACGGTTATGATTGGGAAGGTTGTTGAAGTATATTGCAGTGCACCAGCTGTTCCACGCTAAAGTGGACACTTGATTACATGATTGACTCAGAATTCTCTACACCCTGAATATGTCATTGAAGGTACATGTAGAAAATGCCAACACGTTTCGTATTTTCAAATCTTTTCTTTTTCGGGATTGTGACTGCAATTCTCTTTCGTCTGATGTCCAAAGGGATCACTCTTACATTCTACATTCTACATGGGCAGTGAGCAGGGAGTCTTGACAGTCATCCAAGACATGACAACAGACAACAGCACCCTTTTAACTTCAAGGCTCAGATATCTCTGAAAATTTGTTCTGATATTTACAAATAGCTCCGAGCATCCGGGATGCAAGCGGCTCTGTACCATGACCACATCCACGCTCGGCTGGGTTGCACAGTTTCAGAAGTGTTGTCTTTCATGAATAGAAGCTTAGTGGGTATATATATATACATGAAGTTGTGCGGGGACAACTTTAGAGCCAGGTGAATAATGGTTCTTTCTTGGCCAAGCTATTCATTAACTCAAATAAGTCTGGGATTCAGGAATTATGGCAAGATAGCTTAAGTTTAAGGTGAACAATGGTTCTTTGTTGCATACGCTGACCAAGCGCTCAAATCAGTCCGAGTTTAAAAAGAGCAAAATCCAGGTGAGAACGTAGCGCTGTAAGCACCACCAAATCGTGAGACTGCAGCCCGACTTACTCAGTCTTTTGTTAACTTGATTTGTACGCTCTTTGTTGGCTCAGCGTCTCTGCTGAGGAGAGTGTTTCTGTTAAAGAAAACGTCTCACGTTGAAGAAAGCGCTTTATTTTGTTTACTCAATTCACGTCAATTGTGCAACCCTCTTCTCTTGGTACTTTACCATTCACACAGTTTCCTATCCTCAGTTTGGACACCTTTCCTGCCTGATACCTCACCTGATTCGAGCACCTTGCTAACCAATTCACTTGTCCTGGTGAAGTGAACAATTCCATCTCGCTCGAATTCCGCAACAGATTGAAGTATAAACACCACTCTTCGTTCAACTCGAACGCTACCCAACAAACGATCTCAGATGCGACTAGGTGTGCCGGGGTGTGGAGAAGTGCTTTTCTTTTCCTTGTTGAACGTCTGCATGTGCATTTTCATTTTTTTCTTGGTGTATAGGTATGCGTCTTGCGACGACGGTAAGATGATTTCGGTCAATGCAAAACCGTTGTCAACAGAGTTCAGTGAGCTCAGACGAGTTGAGTTGGTTATTCTTCCAGACCACGTTCCTGCCGTGACAGCTCGATGTAGAGAGAAGACGTCAATTGGTCGTTTTGGCAAGCACCCTTTTTTCCCCGAGCTGCTTGGCGAAGTTTAAGCAGTAGCAGAAGGGAACTGGAAACCTGGTTTCTAGTTTCTTGAAGCAATATTTGCAAGCTATTACCATCTTCTAACCCAAAATCTGCCTCGTGTTTTGGCGGTTGAAGTAGTTGATGATACTTTGAGAAAATTTGCCTTGCATGCAATCGCAAGAGACTTTTCATTTTCGTTCTCATTCAGACATTCTCGGAGTCTTAGCGAAGCCTACATAACATCAGAACAATATATGATCACTGTTAGCAGCTCTTTTTCGTTGTCAAGAACATTGGATGAAAGTCATGTAGCTACCCTCAGTTTTTTCTACCATACAGCTTTGGGATCTATATCATATATTATTCTCTTGAAGTACGCGGAGAAGCCGTATTATTTCTAATATTTCCTCTTCAGAAATACTTGCTGTTTGATCTCGACAAAAGAAGTCGTGTCAAATGGGGTCATCAGACGAGGTACTGCTGAATGGTTGACTTGAGCATGATGACTTTGCCATGGCAGACCCACCCATAACAACTCAAGGCACTGTACCAGCCAGACTTCAGTGCCTCCACTTGTTTAATTCTAGAAGCCCTTACCATTCTTGTTCTGCTCAATAATCCCTTGCCCCTTTTCGAAACCCCTTTCATAAGCGAGGCGGGGTAGATGATCACGTGCTGGACTTACCATGTATGGCGCACAGCACAGCTTCTGTGGATGGACCTTGTGTATTGACAGGTGTTCGAATTGTTCTTGGACAAGTTTTAATCGAAAGAACGGACAAATCTTTGAGAAGATATTATGTATAGCAGGGAGAGCAAATATAATTGTTCACCACTGCCAGTTACTTCGTACACTGATCCACAACAACCTCCATGAAACAGTTAGAAAGACACCGTCGCGGCATCAATCCTCCACCAAGCCTCCTCATTATTATTTCTTCCTCAGCCACTCGTTGAGAGCAGACCTCTGAAGCGATGCGTTCCCCCATTTGTATGCGATAGTACGCAGCATGTTGTTGTACATGAAACGAGTGAACGCCTAACCCCCCACCACCTTCCATCCCTTTTTTTGCGGCGCTGTACTATAATGTAACTGTAATGGGATGTATTGTTTTGTCTTCCTTTCCGTACCAACCTGTAAACCTCCAACCAACTAAACGAATGAATGTAAGAAGGAGAATGTGCAAAACGATAGCATGGATAAAGATACAAATTGTCAGCCCAACGCAGACATAGAATCCTCAAAGTGTGCGAAAGAGAGAGTATCAGAAGACGTGACATGTGGTGTGAAATTCGGTCATGATGAGGAAAATAGAGCTAGTCAGGCGAGAACCCCTGATTGTCGTCTTGGCTGTGGGTGCATCTCGACTGGAGGGGCCGGATATCGGTTTGGCGCAAAGGCGCTGGGTGCAGGAGAGTATTGCTGACCATTTGCCAAAAGTCCAGTCGTCATTGAAGGTAAGCCGTCGGATGGATTCCTGCTATATGATCCGCGCTCATTTCTGCTACCGCGATGATTATAGGCATCATTACTGCTGTCGTTGTTGACGATACTGTGGTAGGAGGAAGAGGAGCGCGGGCTAAAGGAATCGGTTGCGTTGAGGAGTCCATCATTACTGCCCTGAGATGGAGTATAGACTTCCGGTTGAGGGGAGGGCAGGGAAATCGTTGGAGCAGAGTACGTAGACTGCGACGAGTTGAGGGATTGAGGACTGTCATTCGCAACTGGCAGGTAAGAGGACGTCGGCATGGAGTTATTGTCAGCTACAGCGTTATTGTTCTGGGATTTGATGGTCTGCACCGTGCCGAAGTCCATGTACGGTCCTCGAGTCTGCGTTCCTGTCAGGATACCCTCTGCAGGTGGCAGGTACTGGTTCAGTTGTGTTGGACGACTGACAGGGACGTTTGCGGGGAATGGGAGCTGTCGATCATTTCCTGGACTGGCAAGGTTAGGAAGTGATGAACTCATTCCTGTCAACTGAATTGGCTTCAGGTCCACACTGATGTTCGACCGAGGATCATAGTTGCTCCCATTGTAGGACGATTGACCATGACTGTATATCTGGGTCGGTCCATCTAAAAAAGGCAAGCTCTTGAGAGGTTGCGGCTGCGCTGCTATCCAGGCTCGAGCCTCCGGGGATGGGTCGAAGTTGGTTGTTCCAAGTCCAATCTGCTCTCCTGGCAGCAGTGGTTGGTATTGGAGATTCACTCCATAATCGACGCTATCGTCTGCGAAGTCACCGTACGCGGAATAGTATTGCTTGGCTCCATACTGGTAAGCCGGCATAGAGTTGTTGCGGCCAGGGTAAGGACCAAAGCTGAGAGGAGGACCTTGGGAAGCGTATGAGTGTGGACCGAATGGTATCATACGGCAGTTCACACGGGAACCTGCACTACCGGGGTCGAAGTCGTAGTTCGAAGTCTCACTTTTCAGATGAGTTTCCGTGGAAGAAACCTTCAGAAGTTCAATCAATACTAGAGAAATGGACGACGACGACAAAACTCTTACCCGTAGAAATATACACTCGTTGTTTCCAGCGCTCTTGCAGTTGGTGCAGGGGCCGCCGTTGTCTCCGCTACACTTGATTTTACGCTTTCGACATCGGCCACACTGCAATGCCTGTTAAAGATGGCCGGATAGGACGCCTCGCGATGATCAACTTACAGCAACGGGAATTCTGGATCTCGTCCTGGGTATTTCATCAATATCTGAAGAACGATCGCCATTTGGGGAGTCCTGGCTTCCTGGGTGTGGAGGTCGTGAATAAACATTATGGCCCGGGCCAGAAGGTAGATCTCGCTCTTGATAAGTGATAGGATAGCCGCCATGACCTCTGTAGCTGTAACGACGGAAAGAGTGCTCATCCTCTTCGTAGTCCGTTCGAGTCACCATCTGCGGTAACAATCTATTAGGAACCAAATTCGCAGACATTTTGCCAATAGATGCCGCCAGTACATTACCTTTCTGACTTGGTTTTGAAGTTGGAAGTAAATTAAATGTCAAGTTGAGGATGAAATATTGCTTGTCTATGGTTAACGAGTGTGTTCGAAGCGTGCTGAATGAGAAGGTAAGTTTCGGGGCAGGCGACTTGCGAATGATTGGCAAATCGGTAGCCGACTTGACGAGGGGGGCAGGTGTTTATAGTGCGTGTGACCTTGGTTCGCTTCTTGGTGTAAGGTAGAGATGTTTGCCTTAGAAAAGGAGTCCAGGACGCGTTTGGAACCCCGGAAATAAATGGGAGATGTGATTGAATGGAACAACAGGAGCTCTGCTGGGCTGCGCAAAGGATAAAAGCTACAGTAAAACCCCATGCACTCATCTGAGCACGGAAGGCTGCATAGGCACCACTTGCTTTCGCATGGCTCTACCGATCAGGCCATGGATCTGCGCTACACATCGGCACATCTGAACAAACAGAACCAGGTCTTTACTGAAAGGAAAGGCTCGACGAGGCTTTCAGCGATTCATCCTTGGGACAGGCTGAGACTGACTGAAAGTATACCCTGCCACTGGATTACCGAGTGTCATGGAGTATGAGACAATCTTGATCCATGAAACGCCTACACAGTAGACAAAGACGTCAAGGGGTTTAGCAGGCCGGAGGAGCTGTGATAGCAGTACTTTCCAATCTTACAGATTGAGGTTGGACTGGACGCTTTAGGACTGAAGGCATATGCCACAATCCGCAGTCGATCGCCCTCAACTCTGAGTTGACAGACATTCCCCACTTTGACGGAGAATTCCCCTGAACAGCCTTTGCTTCTTCTGTTCAGAAATACAGGATGGTGTCTATGTGACAGAAAACCGACAAGCCAGGTAGCATAAGGAGCAAACAACCTAGAGGCCTCGCCTACCTCAACGGCCATCGTGTTACCAAGGCAAACGATCACAGTGACACTTTGCAGAACCTTGTCCTAGGCTTATCACCTTGATGATGAAGAAGCGAAGCATATCATCTCCCTCGAATGCACGACGACAATGATGCACCGATGGTTCAAATACGTGCATAAGTGTACATCTCATGCAAAGCCAGCAGGACACCAAGACAGGACCCGGCCAAGCTCTCCAGGTGCGCATATAAATCAAACGACCACCACGCCTCAGGAGAAAAGCAGCTCCAGCTCATGACCTTGACCGCTCGATAATCCATGCCACAGGTCACAGGATTGCAGAGCCCGAATATCCACTCACTTTGATCGTTTATCATTGCATTCGTCATTAAGCAAACTGTCATGTCGTTTCCACAGTTCTCGGCCAATCAGGACACAATCTGCAGGCTGCTTGACTTCGTGTTTGCCTGAGTTGTATGAGCTAGCCCAGCCACTGCATCACAACTGTGTCCATTTGAAATCTAGGCTTTGTGCAATGTTGTACGTCTCTCTTTGCATGTTGGCTGGATCATCCGCACAGAGGCTCATAAATGCTTGGAGGAGCGGAATCTTGGTAAGCGCATCAATGGATGCATCCTGCGGTGGCGAGGTGAGCTGCATCCTGTCGAGAATGAGGTTAAAAGCCGCAAGCCTCGAATAACGAGAATCGAGTACGACCAATGTTGTTGTTTGTGTCATGATTGGCAACATCCTCAGAGAGCAGCATTACGCAGATTCTGCAGCAATACTGGCTGTAGGTGAACCTGCCACTACATGAGGGCAAATAGGAGACAATCGGGAGAAGAAGTCAGTAACGTAGACCCGCTCGATGTAGTGTCGATTGCAAATATTTGGCGATTCAGAACGGCTGCAGAGAACACAACGATCCGGGAACAATTCTGAAGGTAGCTCTCCATCGGCGCCTGTGATTGGACAGGAACAGGACTAGATATCTCATGGACCATTACCACTAACATTCCCATGACTTCCAGAACACTTCATACAGCTTGCACTGAAGGAGGTGAGATCCGGATCTTGCCTTTAGCTCCTGAGGGTGTCGTACGACCTCGTTCCACGGCAGACATGTAATGTTCGTTATGAGGTCAACTGAAGTGACGATAGGCTCATGCTGCTCGGGATGCCGAAAGCAAGTGCAACAATACGAGCCCGATTCGGGGGTTGGAAGAGTTTCCTGTTATCCATTGGTATCGGCAGCGGGGATATTGCGTCTGATGCTTCTCGGTCGTTATCTTTTGGTGGCGGCTCTTAATCCTCTGGACCTGCATTTACGAGTCAATCCTGAATATGCATGCAGCTTCAGGGCGTCGGGCATCAGGGTCTCGAGATTTGAAAAATAATCTATTTCAGGGCCGACAACAACGACCGAAGGCTCAGTATGAAGATATCCATTACGGCGGCTTCTCGGTCCATTTCGAAGCCTCATACATCTGTCCTGCAGTCTTCGAGATTGAAGTGTACATGCAGGTCATAGTCTCACCGAACGCCATGCTGAGAGTCGAACGCAAGAACACGATGTGGCTAATCCGGACCGGACCTCCCGCTGCGCTGAAAATTCGAGATTCTGATGCACTCTCTCTTGATCTGTCCTCATCAGGCAGAGCTGCTGTGCACGTGGAGTGCCCGTTGCAGTAGTCGCGGACAATTCATGAGATAGTGAGGTACATCCAACGGCTGGCTGCATACTGATAAAGAAGAGGTCTCGAGCCAGAAGTGAAGTATGCACAAGTCCGGGCAACCAGAGACTGTGCTCCAATCGTTGTTTAACCTTCCAAGAGCCCGGTAATCGTCCAGAATATGGGGGCGGGAGAGAAAAAGCATCGCTGTGGTGCGAAGGAGATATGCGCGAGAACTGGATACCTCAAGCCGGGCGTCAGGGCACATCTCGAGATCTCTGCACAAAGCATTGGATCTCAAGAAAGGAGAACTTCGAGGCATTCACAAAGAGTCGTTTGAGCTGAAGTTGTTCCTCTTGATGAGTTGTCAACTTGAAGGACCCGCCAACATGTTGGAGCAGTGGCCCACGAATCAAGACAATATCATTGCAATGTCGTTGTCGAATGTTGCCCACGTATCCTAGCAATCTCGTATCCAGATATCTGGGGATCAGGGTCCTTGAAGTTGGGGGATCTGCCCAAGGATGGAGGCGCCCTTGCAGCTAGGGCCAAGTGCTGCCCAGGTGTGCCTGACATATGGTCACATGAAGGTCATGTGACAGTGACTGAATGGAGAAGAGACCTCCTGCTTTGCAATTATCAACCTGTATAGTAGCTTTTGAGGCTTTGGAGTCACAGTTGAGCTCAATTTGTAGAAATAGTTCACCAAAAAAGTGGTTGAATGAAAGTAACATGAGCGCGTGGCGCTTAACCTTAACCTTAAAACCAAATCGCGCCTAAAAGTTGCCCGCAATGCAATAATCGCGACTCTCAATCTCCAAGAAAGAGACAACGTGATTGGGAGATAATTTCACCAAGAGGATCAAACGCCTCGATCAATACTCGGGAAGTTGAACTTTCTCGACACCATGAGTGTCCTCCTCGAGACCTCGGCAGGCGACATCGTCATCGACCTACTCGTCGACTACGCCCCCAAACTCTGCGAGAAGTAAGTCAACGACCCAGCATCCTCAATTTATAAAATAACTGAACACATAGATACTAAGACAGTTCCTCTCTTTAGCTTCCTGAAGCTTTGCAAGATCAAATACTACAACTTCTCCCCCGTCTACAACGTCCAAAAGAACTTCTCCTTCCAGACCGGCGATCCTATCGGGCCTGGCGCGCCAGGAAGTGATGATGGCAGCTCGATATGGGGTGTTCTCAATGGGCCTTCGAAGCGGACCTTTGTGGTGGATATACATCCCAAGCTGAAGCATGCTGAGCGGGGAACCGTCAGCATGGCTACGATCGTATCACCAAGAGATCCAGACGAGCGCCTTGCGGGCAGTCAGTTTATTATCACATTGGGCGATGATCTCGACTATCTGGACGGCAAAGCTGCGATATTCGGAAAGGTGGTTGAAGGCTTTGATGCTTTGGAGAAGATCAACGATGCTTTCTGCGACGACAAGCACAAACCCATGGTAGACATTAGGATCAAGCACACAGTCATTCTAGATGATCCCTACGATGATCCGCCGGGTCTTGTCGAGCCTCCAGAAAGTCCGGTACCTACACCAGCACAACTAGCCACCGTCCGGATTGGAGAAGATGACAAGCTAGACGAAGAAGGGGATGCTGAAGCCACAGAAAAAGCCCGACGAGAACGTGAAGCAAGAGCACAAGCCTTGACCCTGGAAATGGTTGGCGACCTCCCATTCGCAGAAGTCAAACCGCCAGAGAACGTGCTCTTCGTATGCAAGCTGAATCCCGTCACCACAGGTTTGTCTATGTCCCTCCATGATCCATATCAGACCCTAACGTCTCTTAGACGAGGACCTCGAGTTAATCTTCAGTCGTTTCGGCAAGATCCTTTCTTGCGAAGTAATCCGCGATAAGCGAACCGGCGACTCCCTCCAATACGCCTTCATCGAATACGAAGACCAAGCCTCCTGCGAACAAGCATACTTCAAAATGCAAGGCGTTTTAATCGACGACCACCGCATCCACGTCGACTTCTCACAATCCGTCTCGAAACTCAGCGATACGTGGCGAACAGCCACGAATTCGAAACGGAGACACGGAAGCGGTGGGTTCGGTGGCGTTAGTGGGTTGGAGAAGAGGAGACAGTATAAGGTTGAGGGTGGTGAGAGGAGAGATAAATATGGAATGGTGTATGACGAAGAGGAGTTGAGGAGAAGACATGAAAGAGATGAGAAACATAGGGAGGATGAGAAGCGAGATAGGAGTCGGTCGAGGAGTCCGCAGCGGGACCGAGACTATGGATCTAGGGATGATAGGCGAGGTGGGAGAGGAGACCGAGGACGAGCTAGTGGAAGCGGCAGAGACCGGTTCGATGACCGAGATCGAGACCGTGATAGGCGAGGTAGAAGAGATGACAACTACAGACGGCGATGAACATGCTTCTTTCATATCTCAGAAAAGGAATGGCGTTTGGCGCATTCTGGCTTGGGACAGAGGCATTAAGTTCATGGTCTTCTTGAATTCATCTACCCATAGCATCGCGCAAAGCAATTAAAGCAAGCTTCCCGCGCCCGCAAAAAAATGCAAGTGTAACTCCCCAGCTTAAGCAACCAAGCAAATATCATCTGCTCTGCAGATAAGCTGCAATGCTCCACCCGCAATCATGCAAAGGCAAATCTCCCCCTCGCATCTCGTGAATATCGCAACATTACTCTAACCTAACATTTCGACGTCCGCCTCCCGCTCCTTTCCCTTTCCCTCTGGTTGCAATGCTTTGGTCACTTGCGTCGAATCAACTCCCACTTCCTGGTGTTCCTTGCCTTTGCCCTTGTCTTCTTGCTCTGCAAAGTCGGCTCCAAACACGTACCTCACGCCCATCATAATACTTTGTGCTTTGAAAACACCTTCTCTCTCTCTTCGTGTTGATCGTGAAGGACATTCGTTCTCCTTGTCAAATTGCAGTCCGAACCACTTTCCAACTTGCTCTTTGGTAGCGTAGGCGAGAACCGAGTCTTGGCATAGGTCAACTGGTGTCCATTTTGTTGCAACCACGTCAGCTGGAGGGGAAATAATTGAAGATGGAGCACCTGAAGCAGATGCTGAAGAAGCAGTTGTGGGTTGCGGGCGTGAAATAGATGGAAGTGGCGTAGGGGTAGTATCAAGAACTGGTGGTTGTACAGGATCATCTGTATTTGAGTCCGTTAAGTCTGCACCTAATGGTGTTTGACTCTTTCTTGGGTTATTACTAGAACTTCTTCTTGACTTTTGTGATTGTGCCGCTTCCGACATCCTGGCTGTATAGGGCTTGGGTGGTGGCAAGATAGGGGGAGTAGTCGCGTCGTTTTTATTAGTGCTGCTCTGAAATAGAAACCTGGATGGATTCTGCGCTGTTTCCTTTGTGCTTGACATGGTTCTGGGAGGCGGACCCATCGTGGGAGTAGGGGAGCTCATGCCCGAAGGACGAGCTCTTAACGATCTCGAAGTTACATTCGTTTCCTCTGGTGTAAGTTTGACAGAAGAAGAGTTCGGTGGACGTGACATCTCAACTTCACTCAACCTCCTGGTCTGCCTTGGTGGAGCTTGCTTGGGTGCTTGCGTTGGCAGTTTACTTGGCGGAACAAAGCTGTGGAGGGGGAATTCGCCATTCGTTGGGGTTGTCATGGAAGTTGGGGTCTTTCTGATATCAGGGAACGTACCACTCTTGGGTGTAGGTGCCTTCCTGCCTTCCTTCGTATGAACGTACGATCTTGTGGTGAGTGGACTTGACATATCGGAATGGGCGACAAGGTTGGCTTTCCCCGTTTGAATAATAAGGTTTGGTTTCGGTTTGCCACCTGTAGGAGCTAAATTAAGAGGCGTAGATACAGCATCTTTGAGTGTAACATTCGGATCATTTGCCGATTCAGAAGCTCGCCTTAACTTTAATGGTGTATCAGACAAAGATCTTCTATAAGCTATTGAGGACGGTGGTAAGATTGGTGTCTCGATAACATTTCGTTGGCTTGCCGATAGTGTTGCCTTTAGATCCATGCTCGACAACGATCTTGCTAGTGTTGCCACTGGTACATTGCTGCTGGATCTCCGAGGCTGTCGTACAGACATGCCAAAGTCGTTACTTGCGCTAGTTGATGTGGGAGACATCTCGTTGTCAGTGCTCTCTCCAGCATGTGATTGAGAACGAGAAACCACGCTGAAAACTCCTTGACGAGGTCCTGTACCAGCTTGGTGACTACTCTTACTCGGAGTTGTAGCTATGCTTGGCCTTCTCACCACACGCTCTTGTCCTCTCTTTGATGCTTCTAAAAGCTGATCGTGAAGCTTACTTCGTTCGTCGACAAATTTTTTGCCCTTATCTTGAATCGGAGTACTGTAAATACTATGTGGAGTGTCTCTGGACTTGGAAGTGCTCTTAGGCTTAGATGCGTCCTTGTGCTCAGGAGTTTCTCTAGGCTTTGGACTAGGCTTTGGAGAAGGCTCTGGCTCTTGAATTCCCTTAGCGGTTGCCTTCGGCTTTGTGGAAAGCTCTCTCTGTCTCTGCACTGTCTTCCAGTCAGTTTCATTGAGACCGTTCACAACCAGCAATCTAGCCTGGTGATAGCTTGCTTTCAATCGATTTGTAGAAGAATCTTTGATTTTCGAATTGGTGGGATTTGACGTATTGTTCTCCTTCTTGTTTCCGAATCTCGAAGCTCGAATCGTGGTTGAGTCCGCAGAGGAGGATCCTAGATTGTTGTTAATCTCATCAGTGGGTTGGTCTGTACCGAGTAAGCCCTTCAGTTCTCCTTTGGAGACCCTTGGTCTAGATCGTTGTGATTTATGCTCATTCGGAGGCAACACTGTGAGTGAACTTGATGCGTCAAGGTACTGTTCATTATTGTGCAACGCTGATTCTTGCCGGCTCTGACTTGCGGTAGCGTCCCCAGCGTTGCTTCTCGAGTGGGTAGCAGGAGTTTCTACCCTATTCGGGAGTGCGCTCGGAGTGTTGATGGCACTAGATGTGGAATTGGGAGTCTTGGGAGCGGACTTCTGCTTTGAGGATGATGCCTTTTTGTTGGAACTCGATGGTCGAGATTTTCTAGAACCAGAGCCATCAAGTCCAAATGCGAAGTCAAAAGGCTCATCAAAATTGCCATCCATACCGAAATACACCCTTGATTTATAATTGCTTGTGCTCCCGTTGCTCACATGATCAGGCTTTCCCGTCATACGTTCTTGACTTCTGGTGCGGCTGGAAGGACTATCTGCAAGAGCAGAAGCAGAAGCTGGGGTCTGATAATTCTTGCTATTTCGGGCCTTGGAAGATGGGGCAGGAGTCGGAGACTTTTCGTCAAAGTGCATCTTCTTGGTTCTCTGTCTTAAAGGTCTCTGGTTACTCCGAACGGGTGGTTGACCATTGGCATCTTCTGCTGTAGTAGCGTAGGTGGATGGGTCGCCCTGGAAAGGCGGAATTTCTACAGCCACGATAGACTTGGCGCGCTTGGGGCTCGGCTCGACTCCATTCCCAGGACTTGATTCTCTGCCCCTTTTCTTGGGAACATCTCTGGAGCTACCGGCCTTGTTCGTAGAAACCACGGACGCGATGGAGTTAGAACGACTTCTCGTCGGACCTCCAGATGTTCTCGGTCTGTCGGATATTCTAGGTGGAGCCATGCTAGTGGTAAAGGACTGAGTAGTTACGACTCTCTGAAGACGTGTACCGGATTTTGAAATGGTCTCAATGTGGTATCCTTCATCTGACTGTCGAGAAGAGCCAGCTTCGCTCTGTTTCGAGGAGCTCTTCCTAGTCGACCTACGACTTCCAGCTGGCTGATCACTCGCCGAGCTAAGCTCGACCGCAGTGGTTTTTGCAGTAATATTGGAATCACCCATGCTAGGTTCTGTACCGCACTTTTCGTGGAGATCTTCGATAAGTCGCTTCCGTAGTCCTGATCTAGGCTCATCAGGGACTTCGAAAAGAGTTCGTGCAGGCCCACAATATGCAGAAGGCAGCTTTCGCTGTGGTTGCACAAGACCGACACTGCTTGGTAGGACGAGGGTTCTGCCTAGAGCAATGACGACCTGAGTTCGAAACCTGTCAGTTATCTGGTCGAATGTTCCTTCCTTATCCAAGTCCAACCAAGTCCACAAGCATCTCAAGCGACAATTAGAATAACTCACATCAATGATTCCAATATTTCGACCGCCATTATTCTTCTTGGCCATACCTTCTGGCATCGCCAATTTGGAAAGATCCTCCAGATATTCTCCAATCGGGGATCGGAACACACCATATTTTCCGGCTCTCCCCCATTGATCTGCTTCGACAAGCAATGTTTCATTGATCTTGTTCCACCTGCTGCATACGTTTGTTTCGACAGGACCGTCAGACTTGTTCTTACCCTCTAACAATGGCAACACCATGAACGGGCATTCTTTCCCATGAGGAAGTCTTCTTCCAGAGTAGTTTGGCTGCTTCTCAGCCGCAGTAGCAGCTCGCACTGTCTCCGCACGGTATGTTTTCGACATCACAAACTCTCCGTTGTAGAAGATGTTAATGGAGAAATCTTGTACGTTGATCGAGTCCAAGGAACGTGGGAACGATTTCCGTGAGAATTGGCATTGAACCTTGACCGGAATGGATTTCTTGATTGGCTTTTGGACGCTGTCCTTAGTCAAGACAGGTTTCGTAGGTTTTTGTAGCCATCCTCTTGAGGCACTATCGGCTCTAACTGTTATGCTGTCAGTCCACAGCTCAAAAGACTTGAAAGCTTATCTCACGCGTTAGCTTACCATTATCTTGTTCCACGATAGGACCCGGAGGACTAGAATCGAAATCAGTAGGAACTGAAGAAAGCGGCGAATCGCTATCCTCGATCAGGCTATCAATTGAGGGAAGTTCCGGCAATGAACTTGACTTTGAAGGTGCTACATCAGTGTGGGCAACTGTGGAACCTGTGTCTCCTTGAACTTCTCGTGTTATAACGTCCTTACAGCCATCAAGAGACTGAGGTTGACGAAAGAAGAGATCTCGACCAGCATTGACAAGATAGAACGGCGCACCACTTTGACCTAAGAAGTCGACACCATGACGGCCTTGGAAATATTCTTCCGATACTTCCTCCAGGGCACAGCCAATGGACGGATCGCTGGGGAATATTCTCTCGTCGGCCACTGCTCGCTGCTGCTCAGCATCCCAGACATGGAGTCGGACAGAGAAGCCGAGGGCATGATAGGTCGGCATGGCTGCAGATCAAACTGTTCGAAATAGTTCGTATAATTTAGATGGAGCCCTGAATATGCTTTGTTGTATTGCCGTGTATCTCGACGCGTCGAGTTGCGCGAGGAACTAGATCTCTGAGAGATCGAAGGAAATTCGAGGCGCGGACAAGACAGAAGATGAAGAGTCAATGGCGGGTTCCACCCAAGTAATGCTTTGATTCAAGCATATGGACCCAGATACGAGATTTGAAATAATGTTCTTGGCGCATAGCTGTTGCCCGATCTTCGATTGTATTCGCATCTGAGAATTTGTTTGTTTCCTTTAGAAGAAGAAACAGGTAGGCGATAATCGGCCGCTTTTACTCCAGCTCCGATGCGATAAGTGAATGATTGACAGCATAACAGAACATGTACGTTACTCCTGGATGTGAATTGCATCTGTGGTGTTCAAGAATCGCTTTAAAGCTTCTTGACATTTTATGCTCGCCAGTCTTCATGTAATTATAGTTGAGGATGCAGCTTGCTATTCCTCGCCCTTGAACGCCTTACAATGCAACAAAAAGCAGAATATCAAACCATAGCCAGATCAACCCTCACTGGTAATAGCCTGGAACGTCCCACCCTCCAGCTTCTCGCCAAGCAGAACAATCGTCTGCTCATACACTCTGGCAACATCCATTTCATACTTCAACTCCTCAGCATCCCATCCCGTGCTCTCCATCTCAGCATCTGTCTCCGCACCACTCTCATCAACATCTATTTCCAGTATAGGCTCCTTGCCCATAACATCAACGACTATAACCCTCGTTTGTTCGACTAAGCTTTTACACCTAATCATATCCGTCTTTGACATCCCAGCTCTCATGCCACCTGAAAAGCCTGGTAATATCTCACCCGTAACATCGTCCTCACCTTTCAACAGACTAGCAAATGCATGATCTAGCTTCTTCAAAAGTCCAAACGTAGCTCTAGGAGACGGTGGAAATGCCGTGAGGTATGAAGTCACTGACCCTGCAATATTGAGCAAGTATGGGATCTGTAAACTTCTGTTCATACAAACCTTTATATCAGCACAAACACAAGTCAGTATATAAATGAGGAAGAAAGACTTACGGGGTGCCAGATAGCCACACCACATCAACAACTTCACCCAGATCCTTGGCTACTTCACTCATGCTCTCATATCCCTTTAGAGCTGAACTCTCATTCTCACTCAAAGGTTGAAATTTCTTCGCATACCGTCTCGAAATATGCAATAATCTCCCCTCAACATACCGTCTCGCAGCATCTTCCTTTGCTGATCCAGCTTTCAAGGGATGTGAGCGCGGGTGAGGGAGATTTGACGCAATAGAGTTAACTGACGCATTACTCGGAGCAGGCGAAGGATACGAGGGTACTATGAAGCCCCCTGGCTCATTATTTGAAGACTCGGTCATATTTGTGACGTTATTCTTTGAAACGAATTCCTACATTTTTTCCACAAAGCATCATAGATGAAAGGGATGTCGTCGCTTCAAGCCTGGCGCAAAGTGAGGTGTGGCTGAATCACGTGGTGATAGATACGCCCCTTGACCTTCGAGCTCAACTTTTTTCCCTTCATCAAGCATCAACACCATAACATCTCCCTTCGCCCACCTCACCAACCACCACTCGTACAGCGAATCTATCCAAGATGGCTCCCAAGCAACAGCGCATCCAAGTCGGAAAGGCCGAAGTCCGCCGCCCAGCACAGAAAGGCTACCTCAGCTCTACCTACCAAACATTGACTTCGCCCGAGAACGCCAGCGTGGTTAGGAGCATTGCAGTCTTTGGTGTCGCAGTTGCTTTTTTCTCGAGTTCATGGAGCGAATTCTTGTTGCCTCCGTACGTACACCCAATTCTTGCAGACATTGATGGATGGGTACTGATGATTATCTAGTTTGTAAAGGAGCATTAGTCTTATGCGGCATGGACTGGATACGGAGGAAGGGATGGCAGATGTGCGATCATAATCAATATTGGGAGGGAAGCTGTATGATAGTGAAAGAAAAGCCCGTCTTCAGGAACGACTGGAATGAGATGTTGACGGAAGTGTACAAAATCGGCGGCCTCGGACGGATGCATCACAGGCGTTTACGTATATCAATGGATGGATCTCAGCTTCTCACAAAATTGCAGACTTTCTGTGGTTAAATAACTCTTCATAAATTCATTCGTGAGGAGAATGGTGTACCTCCCAATCAATGATCGTATACATGCAGTCAATAGGCTGCTGAATATGTTACACGAAATGTCTTCCCATCGAAGGCATGATCTCATAAACCGGCGCCAAACTCCCATTTCCCCTGGCCAATGTCCAACTAGTGCTGGCTCCACTCAATGCTGTCGAGTGCGATGCCCTCCTGCACCAGCTCCCAAAGTGGGCTCAATTCTCTCAAGAACGTGACTCGCTCCTTAACCGCCTTCAGAACATAGTCAATCTCGCTCTCAGTGGTAAATCTACCGATACCAAATCTGATACTGCTGTGGGCACTCTCGTCACTGCTGCCCAGTGCACGAAGCACGTAACTAGGTTCGAGTGACGCTGAAGTGCATGCACTGCCGGATGACAAGGCAATATCCTTCAAAGCCATCAAGAGAGACTCGCCCTCGACGTATGCGAACGATACGTTGACACACCCAGGGTAGAAGCTGTCTGAGTCTCCATTCTGGGTTGTGTGCTCAAGTGATAGGAGACCCTTGAGAAGTCTGTCCGAAAGATACTTAATTCGCTTGGAATCATACTATGGAAAAGTCAGAAGATACTCGAGACATAAATGCGATGATACAGATGATTCATATTCAATCAGTAAATGTACTGTGTTTCGTCAAGGAAGCCTCAACTTGCAAGCAAGGAGATCACTAGGAAAGCCATGCATATGTAAAAGCAGATCATCATGTAATATGAGAGGGGAAATTGAACGCATGGTGGTACTCACAGCAAGTTCCTCTTTCGCAATGCGGCACGCCTCACCGAATCCAACAACTAGAGCTGGTGCAAGCGTGCCGCTTCTGAGACCTCTCTCCTGTCCACCTCCACTGATAATGGGGTCGATTCTGACCCTAGGTCGTCTTCGGACGTAACAAGCTCCAATACCCTTTGGTCCATAGATCTTGTGTCCTGAAAGGGACATCAGATCAATATTCATCTTGTTCACGTCCATTGGGATTTTCCCGAAGGCTTGTGCACCATCGGTGTGGAAGAAAACCTTCTTCGACCTGCACAGCTTGCCGATCGCCTCTATTGGTTGAATAACACCAATTTCGTTGTTCACGGTCATGATGCTGACAAGAGCTGTATCTGGTCGAATCGCAGCTTCTAGCTCGTCCATGTTAATTAAGCCATTGGACTGGACTGGAAGGTATGTGACATCGAATCCTTCGTCTTGCAAATGCCTGCAACTATCCAGAACACATTTGTGTTCTGTCTGCGAAGTGATGATATGCCTCTTCTTGCCTGCTCTGCCAAAGAATCTTGCCACGCCCTTAATACTCATGTTGTTGCTTTCGGTGGCACCGCTGGTGAAGATAATCTCTTTTGGATCAGCACCAATGAGCGATGCGACATGCTCTCGAGCAGTCTCCACTGCCTTGTCGGTCTCCCATCCGTATGCATGCGTCCTAGAGGAGGAATTGCCGTACAGTCCAGTATAATATGGAAGCATAGCATCCAGGACGCGAGGATCGACCGGAGTCGTAGCTTGCATATCAAGATAGATAGGCCGTTGTCCTTCATCCATAACAGTCGCTTGCTGTAAGACGCCTGCGAATGTGTCAGGTGAAAATATCAAAAGTTCGGACATAATATACACACCAGCCATTGGACTCATCATAGCATCAGCGTTGACATTGGTTCCTGAAATAATCTGATTCTCAGGGAGCTTGCCAGTCTCTGCAAAGAAGGCTTTCTGATCCGCACGGATTGCTGTATCGATGTTGACCTGCGCACTATCCTTCTTCGTCTCAGAGACATATCCCCTCTTCACGGTCTTTTGGTCTGCTATCCCCGCAACTCGAGTTGTGGCGGAATTTCTCAATAGATTAGATGCTGAAGCTGGCTGCTTCAAGCAGAGGCGTGAAGCCTGCCGCAGTGACTTCGTTGCCAATGTCGACATGTTGCAATATTCGTTAAAGAAGAATCTGATAAGATCAGAGCTCCATGAGAGCAGAGGCAAATATATTTTGTTCTCCGAGACGGAGATGGCTTACAGAAGCGAGCTAAGAAAATAGTTCAAAGGACTGAAGCGAAAGCACTATGATTGGTCGATGTCATCGTGCATGCGAGTTATGAAAGAACCTGGATTATTTGCATAACTCCACCACATTTGATAGAAAGAACATCGTCACTTACTTACAGCTGTGCGGAATACTGCGGATTTCTTTCTTGTCAATAGATTCACTTTGAAGAGAGTCGCGGAGTTTTATTGAAAAAGGCATCTGTCTCTAAAACTACCGACATTCCCAGTTTCTTGCGGCGCGATTCACTCAGCCACAGCCATTCCTCGTCATCGTACCTTCGGGTTTGCCTTGCCAGCTCCGAGAGGGTCCAAAATCACGCTTTACGCACACCTCAAGTCAGCGCCGTTCTCAATCTCCCTTTGACAACATCAGCAACCAGCGCATTCGATTCCTGGACTCTGCGAGAATAAACCGACCATCTACGGAGTTTTTGGTCCATCGGGGAGAAGGAGATGTCCTTCAAAGGCTTTCAGAAAAGCGTCATTCGGGTAAGCTTGCAAAAGGGAACAGCGGGGTTGTCGCACGACGACTGACGAGATGGCAGGCGCCGCAAACGTTCAAGGCGAAATTCAACATTGGAGAGCATACGAAAGATGCGGTCTATATTGATGCCGAACGGCGGTTCCAGGAGTTGGAGACTGAGACCAAGAAACTCCACGATGAGTCGAAGAAGTACTTCGATGCTATCAACGGAATGATGACCCACCAAATCGAATTCTCGCAAGCCATCGCCGAAATCTACAAGCCAATTTCTGGCCGAGTATCGGATCCAGACTCCATAGTTCAGGAAGGGAATCCGGAGGGCATCCGGGCTTGCGAAGAGTACGAGGCAATTGTGAAGGATCTCCTGGCCACATTACAACCCGAGCTGGAGATGATCGAGACCCGAGTTATCCGACCGGCAGACGAATTACTAGAAGTAGTGAAGGTTATCCGAAAGACTGCAACGAAGCGACAGCATAAACAACTAGACTATGACCGACATCGAGCAACTCTAAAGAAATTACAAGATAAAAAGGACAAAAGTCTCAAGGATGAGAAGGCGATGTACAAGGCCGAGAACGATGTGGAACAAGCGACTCAGGAGTTCAATTACTTCAATGACTTGCTAAAGGATGAGTTACCGAAACTGTTCCAATTGGAACGGGAGTTCATCCGACCACTGTTCCAATCCTTCTACTACATGCAGCTGAACGTCTTCTACACTCTCCACGAGAAGATGCAAGGATGTGACATTGGATATTTCAACCTCCAGCTCGACGTCGAAGAAGGCTTCGAAGCAAAACGAGGAGACATCCAATCCCAAGCCGAAGCCCTCTCGATCGTCAAATTCAAAACCACCGGAGCTAAGCGACCTCCTGGCAGACTCGGAGCCCCGAACAGCAGGCTCGCCATCGAATCCGGCAAGTCCTCACCACTCTCTCCCAAAGCCATAACCGCGGGACCCTCCTCGCGGCATTCTATTTCCAACGACGACGAGAAACCACCCCCACCATACTCGACCGGCTTGACGCCTGGCAGCGGCGAAACAACCGTCGCGCGTGCGAACTCGACCGGTGCCGCGTGGGGGGCAGCAGCAAAAGCAAAAGGAGCAGCTCCGCCTCCCCCAAAGCCAAAGCCCTCGAGATTGAGCGGAGCACCTGCAGCGGAGACGGTGACGGCTCTATATGACTACGAAGCTCAAGCAGAAGGAGACCTGAGCTTCACAACCGGAGAGGTGATTGAGATCGTCACAAGAACAAACAACGAGAATGAATGGTGGATTGGAAAGATCAAAGGGCGACAAGGACAATTCCCAGGTAAGCGTTTGCCAACGGCCACTGTCTGCCAGATAGGAGAGATCTGAGACTGACTCAGACAATAGGAAATTATGTGAAACTTAATTGAGATACGTCAAAGAAAGCCAAGATACCTTCCCTTCCCAGCAAAGTTTCACCCACGCACGCATAATGAAGAGACGATATCTCAAGGGATTCGGAGACCGGCGTGAAGCTATCTACCTATCTCTCTGAAGAAAGGAGACACGCGGCGGTCAGAGTGGGATATAAGGGTTTCTGCATGGGTTTGAAGCAAGCAAGCTGGCAAGGCAGTCGATGAAATTAGCACAAGCATGTAATACAGAGAGTTAATCGAAGATTTTCTCCACGAGCTACAGTAGTATCGTTGAGCCGCTCCCAACCTCAATCATTTGCATACCCAGGTATTACCCGTTGATATCCCTAATGAGAAAAAACCGCCCAGCCTTATCTTTAGCCCCTTGAAAGCCGTGCACCGAAAATCTCCAACCTCTTCAGTTGCGGGTAATAGCATAAGCCGGGTCAGATGAACAGTATCCCTTCCCAGCATCCAATCCCCAAGTCAATTCGCTGCTTTACAAATCATAATGCCTCTTTTCTCCGGGGGCAGAAATAGTTCAAGGGTGTAATGCAAGTGGCCATATTGCGTACATCTGACCGAGCCAGCCTCGTCCCCCCCTCCGACCTGCCACTTTCGTTTAATTCCACCCGTCATATGTTATCTGCGTAAAAGGACGCTGCTTTATCCGCCTCGTGCGGGAAAGAAAAATTGAAAGATGCAAGGCAGAGCGAGGCAGAACGAGGCAGACGAGGCAAACGTGGAGAGCATATTGGCCGAACCCCCCACCACACAGGAACAGAGCCTCATCATGCCCCTCACCCCACTCTACTTCATTCGCACAACTTCGACATGCGAAAGATCCCTTGTCTTGAAATTTCTTCTTCTAGCAACCTTGAAATTCGTCTCCAATTGAATAATTCATTGGATGATAATCAGCACATGATTGCTTCACCATGTGAGGTTGTTCCTGTTGTGTGTTGCTTAGTGCTGGCTGATGCAGCCAAAGATATTGAATCTACGCCCGACTGCTTAGGTGTGGCTGCAGGCTAAGTCGGAACTTTCAAGTCTAGAATACAATGCATGTACAGTACATCCGATCCTGTACGACCCTGCTTCTATTGTCACACATTGGACGATTATGCACTTCCATTTACCAGGGAACTGTTGCAAAGGTAAGTTCGGCTTGTGGGAAATCAGCAGATTGGTTCAAGAAGAGGGGTTAGCCGCTGCTGAATAGAAGAGGGTGTCGTTGCCATGGATGACAAGATGAACTTTGAAGCTAAAACAGCCTCTAGCATCAAAATGCATGCAATAGAGATGCAAACATCGAATAGGAAGTATCCGCTATATGAAGTTTGGGACGAGCTGGTTTCTGGCCGTGATCTCGATGCCAACGCACGAGCACAGTAATAGAAAGACGAACTCCGTCTCATTGACTGTTGGAGGACCAATAGAAAAGTTCTGGAGAATGGTTCCTCGCCCAGCTTCAGTAGACAAACGAAACCAAGACGTGGAAAAACTCGTACATCAAATGCCAACTCAGAATGCAACTCCACTACGCCTTCTTTTTTTGATCCACCCCAAAGTAAAATCCCATATTGATATCCTGATACATAGCTCGTTCTTTCCAAGCCCAATTGCCTCGCCCGGACCCCGCTCTGGTGCGTATGAGAGACGCAGAGGTCTTTTGAACATGGACTGATGCACGGCCAGCGGTAACTTGCGCCATCGATGTCGTATTGAGGCATTCTCTTCCTTTGCCTTTCCTGTCGACACTGACCGTCCTATCCGCTTCCCCCACGTCTATATACGTCTTTCTGGAACGTGTTCCGTGGTTGTCGAGCTCTGCCCCTGCCGCTCTGCCATCCACATGGGGGCCTTCACCGACACCCTTCATACCCCACTGAGAAGTACCCCAATAATCCCATTTTTTCAAGCCTGCCAGCCGAACTGAAGGATCAAAGCAAATGAAAATCAAAGCCTTTGGTCCGTTGTGACTTCCAGTGACATAGACCATGCTTCGCTCGTCTGCAGTACCCTCAACATTACCGAGGTGCGAAGGAGGGTTCATCAGCTGATAGACTGCATCGAGTTGCTCATCCGGGTTGTTGGGATCTTGAGCGGCTGGCCAGAACGTGATAGGTGGAACTTGGTACATTTCGTGAAGCGCAGTGCATAAATCGGACGATGGTTCTCGAAGAAGCCCGGTTGAGTCTCTAAGGACCGGGCCGAGATTTCGGGTTCCTGCTCGTAATCTGAGCCTCTGTTTGCCTTGCCAGTCGTCTGGATGTGGATCATCTACCAGATCCAGAAACGTGCTGCATGAAGGATTGTAGGTGCGTAATCGACACTTAGCTAGCGTAATCGTTGGTTGGGCAGAACCGTCGTTTCCAGGATGGGTATTCTCGGGTCGTCTGTTGGGCGCGGCTATGTAGTTCGGGTGGTCGTCCTTGTGTACTAGTTTCCTGAGTTGCTCATCCGGGAAGAACGGTATCTCGGTGTCTTCGGAAGCCATCGAAGTTGGAGCGGAGCTACTTGTCGACCCTGTCGAGGAGCTGGAAGCTGTGCTGGTAGAGGATGCTGTAGAGGCTGCTGAAAGATTGTATTCTTCTGAGAGAGTTGGATCAGGAGGCAACCAGGAAGGCATGACAAAAGGCTGAAGCGTGGAATCGGAGAAGGAGACGTTTGGTGAGCCTTCTCCATCCTCGTCGTTTGCCGTCTTTGGGAATATGAGATCCGTTGTATAATAAGTTCGCTGACTTTTGCTCGATCCCAGGTACCATTCTTTCCTCGCCTCAACAATCTTGAGCTCGCCTGAACTCTCGTCTCCGACCAAGCGAAGATTAGTCCAACGGTCATCGATGGGCCCTTCTTGATGCTGCCTTCTCCACATGCTCTTGTTTTCGGTCTTTTCCAACAATTCCGTACAAGGAGAGCTCAAAGGGAAGCGAATACAATGGTAGAAAGACGTCCAGTCTATTTCTTCGACTTCGAATGAAGTTTGATTGGAGAGGCCGTAGAAATAGCCATCGTATAATTCAAAACAGATTGTTGAGCCAATCTCAGAACCTACCATATCTGGAAGATGCACCTTCTGTTCAAACCATGTCCTCTCTTTGATATCAAAGCCATAGATGACCCACTTTTTATACCCATCTGTTCCAACCTGTGAATGTGTGCCATAATAAAGATATTGCTTGTTGTGGCGCACGAATATCTTGTCTGTTGAGTCCAGTTCGTGTGCAACCAGTATTTGCCTGGTCCTCAGGTTGAAAGCTATGAGCCACGCAGTTGAGTCAGGGCCAGAGGATCTATAAGTACAAGACAAAATGTAGTCTGCGTAGTAGAGGATCTGGAAAAAGCCGTTGGTGTTCTCGCCAATGTCTGGTAGTGCGTGTGAGAGAAGTGACGGTATGCTGATAACAAGTTCGCTCTGACCAGAATGATGGAGATTGAGGACACGGATCCTGTCATCTAGCGTGTAGCAGAGAACACCTTTGCAATACAGGTAAGCATCACAGAAACCAATGGTGGCGACGATAAACGGCGAAGCAGCGGCAAGAGCGTCGTGCCGCTTCAGCGCTCTCCTCAGATTCCGAGCATTGCCACCGCCTAGGCTCACCGCAGCAAGGGCTTCAGTGGAATACCGCAACTTGGTCTGACACACAAACTCATGTCAGCTATGCCACTTTGATAAAGTAGGTATGCACATGACGTGATGTCTGGGGGTAGCTTACTTACCTGAAGGATTGACTTGCAGATTCTTTCGTCTTGGAAAATGAACCCGAAATATTTATTTGTCCTTCCGAGGCAATAGACATCTTGTAAAGTAAGGTAATCGATTACATACGACAGAACCTCAAAGGGTAAACCTGTCAACGAAGACATCAGACCAAGAGAAGAGAGTTCTATGTTTCTTGAACTCAGAAGCTGGTCAGTTGATTGTGGTATATCAATAATACTAATAGTTGAGTGAAGGTAAAATAGTATGATGTATTCGACTGACCTGTGATTGGATATGCGCCAGTTATCTCATTGGTGTCGGTGTTCCAACAAAAACAAGGCGGGCGTACTGAATGATCGCAGCACTTGCATGATGAGTGTAGCAGGACGGACTTATAGCCCCGATGAGAAAGAGCCGCAACGCGGATCCCATGTTGTTTACGAACACCCCATGTATGTTCGAACTAAGCATGACTAGATGTTTCAAGTTTAGACACGTAAGAGACATTCCTGGAATGAGCCAATATTTTCTCCCCGCCGCTTCAAGCATTGAGTTCGTGCGGGATTCGTGGCTGCATAGGACAACGTATCATTGGGAGCACAGAATGTCCACTTTCCGCGTCAGAGGCTCTGAGCTCTGAGATGAGGCTGCACTTTGTCCCATCTGGACCAAATGAAATTTCCTAACTTGGGCCAGTTCTGATTGGTCAAGTCTCGGCAGAGCCTCACCAACCAAGATAAACTGTGCAAAGCCGGATAAATCACCACGACTTTCAGTCTGGTGATGCGCTATTTCGGCCCAAGATGTGATCTCTCAGTTGACAGACAGGCTGTCGCTTCTTCCAGAGCTCGAGATGTCAAATTAGACGTTATTCGAGGAAAAGATCGAAAGAACGCGGGACAATTCCTGGTGGGCAAAGGGAGCCGCTTTCGACGAATTCTCAGGTGCGCCGATTCCGCAAGAAAAAGGATTCGACAGAGCTGTCATTGGCGACACCGAGGTTGCAATCCATGCACTGCCTCATGCAGGCATTCGCAAGCATGCCACTGTTGGGTGTGGCCAATTAAACTTCGTCGCTACTGTGAGATTTGTGTCTCCCCTGCATGCAGCCAAGCCAAGCCAGAGCAGAGCCGCAGAGCCGCCAAAATTTGAGAGAACTCGCACCCCCGCGTCACATTGCGCGACCCAAAACAAGTCGCAGAGCCGCATTCTGGATGATGCTGGACTCCGAGGTGGAGATACCAACATCATCACTGCCGATGCCGCTGCCGTTGGATTAAACCGGTGTCCAATTAATAGTATTGAGATTTGAGTGTGGATACTTCTTGGTAAAGCATGTGTCATGCCAGCTCCTCAAGGTTCAAGCCTCGTCTCCTTCATACTGTAGACCCATTGTACGTATCGGTAATGGATGTCCGACATCGATGGTACCATCGGAAGAATGGATTGACGTGGATTCGTCTAAAAGAGACGGTTTGAGCCTCGAGGCGTAGTACCCCGCATTCTGTCGATGCAATCATAAAAGCCTTCGATCAGTCTGGGCGTAGGACATGACATGAACATTGAGGCTCAAGCGAAGAGGTGACATGTCATTAACAAATCATGCGGTTAAATGTTGCCCGGTTTTTGTGGAGACAGCTGATAAGACGAAGATCAAGCCATCATCGGTGCCGGACGAGGAGGGGTCGAGCTCGCTCTGGATTCTGATGACACGAGGTTTGATGTGACACCTCAAATAGGCTGTAGCTTGACTAAGCCCAAGAACGCCTTGGCTGAAGCCGTCATTGCTGAACTGCATGAGTATCATGCAATCAAATAAGGGATCGGAATGCTCACCAAGGTAAATGGACCGACAACGACTGCTGACCCATGAGGCTCTATTTTCTGGGGGCCGAAAAAGAGGGACTGTGTTGCCTGTGGCTGTCAAGTGAGGAAATATCCTTGTGGTGCGACTGGACGATGCGAGTAGAGGAAGGTTTCGAGAGTGAAATGTTGCAGACAGAATACGAGCGAGACAATCGGAAACAAGAACAGGAAAGAAGACTTTCGGTTTTCGTAACACGAAAGGGAAGTTGCGATATATCAATCAGACGATCTCCCAGCAGGCAGTCGTCCTGACTCATCCAAACAGGAAGCTTCAAGGGAGAAAGCTGGCATATCGACGAATGAGTGCATCTCAACTTTGAACGTAGCTCCTCCGAAAATCCCCGCATCTGTAAGGATATATAAGCAGCCACAGGACGCAAAAGGGTCAACTGATCATGATGAGCGTACAGTACACGTTCCAGCTCCTGGTTAGTTTGCCACTCGATGTGGCAGTCAAGATCTCAAACGCGCAATCTCCCGGAGGTGTTCATTGTCCTTGACATGCTGGGACAATGGGAAATAGCAAGAGAAGCTTCAATAGCAGACAAATCTTGTTCAAGGTATGTGAAAATCAATTAAGAGGTCATAGCAACAACCCACGACCTTCATTGCCAGACGCTAGAGACCCAAAATCGCTTAGCTCTTTTCCTCCCCAGTTTCTCCTTAGTTTCGCCGGTCTAAAATTTCATGAATGGGGGTCGACATCACCATATTGAAAGTAACAGTATTGCTCCAAAATCTACTTCAATATGTTTATATAAAATAATATCCTTGATACATGAGCAGGAGAGCAGAGCTTCAATGGGACAATTCGCCAATTTCATCTCAGGAGCACGGGTAGACCCTAACTCGGCGCCACCCTACCTGCTCAAGATACGGTCCTCGAAGCTGTTCATCCTATCAACGATATGCATAGCAGTATTTACAGACATCTTCTTGTATGGGGCGATAGTGCCAGTAATTCCATTCGCGATCCAATCCCGAGCAGGTGTTGAACAGTCATCTGTTCAGAGTTATGTATCAATATTGCTGGCTTGCTACGGAGCCGCACTGCTTGTGCTGAGTCCTGTGGTAGGATGGTACGCAGACAGAAGCTCATCGAGACGCTTTCCACTTCTGATAGGCTTGCTAGCATTGGCAAGTGCAACCGTCATGTTGTGTCTCGCTCGTACAGTCGCCTTACTTATTGTGGGACGTTTGCTGCAAGGCTTCAGCGCCGCCATAGTATGGGTAGTGGGAATGGCACTTCTCGTTGACACCGTTGGCGAGAAGGAAATCGGAGAGACCTTGGGATGGGTTTCCATCAGTATGTCAGTTGGCATTCTGCTGGCTCCCTTATTGGGAGGAGTGGTATACAACAAAGCAGGCTATTACGCTGTGTACTACATGGCATTCGGTCTAATTGGCTTGGATATTATACTCCGTTTGACCCTCATTGAGAAGAAGATCGCCCGGCAGTGGTTAGATGACGAAGCCGATACGGAAAACATGTCTGATCCCGAACAAGGATGTCAAGATTCCCAAAACACGGAGGACGAAAAGCCCAACGTCGTGGAACCCAGCGATGGTAACACCCATGAGTCGATCCCTGAACCTGCAGCAAGCCCTACAACAATCCCCAAAATCCGGTCCAAATGGCCCCCAGTCCTCACCCTGCTAAAGTCCAGACGTCTCTTGACTGCACTTTGGGGATGCATTGTCCAAGGCTCGCAAATGACAGCTTTTGACTCTGTCATACCGCTCTATGTACAGCGTACATTCCACTGGAATTCCATTGGAGCAGGCCTGATTTTCCTCGCCGTTTTTATCCCAGGATTCGCCGCCCCGTTAGTAGGCTGGGCGACCGACAAGTATGGACCTCGCTGGCCAACGGTCATCGGTTTCACCATGGCAATCCCGTTCTGGGTCTTGCTCAGATTCGTAACGTATGACAGCTTGGGCCAGAAGGTTCTGCTCTGTGCTTTGCTGGCGCTGATCGGTGTTGCGTTGTGTCTTACGAACCCACCTCTTATGGCAGAGATCACGTATGTCGTGGAAGCGAAAGAGAGGCAAGAACCAGGACGATTCGGAGCCAATGGTGCGTATGCTCAAGCTTATGGCTTGTTTATCACTGCATTCGCGGCTGGCACACTAATAGGTCCTGTCTGGAGTGGTTATGTTGAACAAGCGGCTGGATGGGGAACGATGTCGTGGTCGTTGGGGTTGTTCAGCATCTCGGGTGCTATTCCATGCTTCATTTGGACAGGAGGCCTGATCACTCAGAATAATGCCAAAAGTGCTGAAGAGAGAGCTGCTGGGAGACCGCAGCCTGTGATACCGGGAGCGGAATCCAATGTGGTGTAATATCTAAATGTATATAAGCGTTAGGGACTTCCATATAGAGTTATAATGTCTGAAATCGAAGAAAGAAGCTGTAGGAACCAGGGGCCTATGGTCAACTGACTTGAACGCGTATGTTCTGAATGTTCAGAAGCGTTGGTGACTTTACGTTGCGTTATCATTGCATGGCATTTGGTAACTGGAAGCGATGCTAAGCGATATAGACGATGACCAGCCATGTGGAATCCTAGAATCAGCAGAGTGACATACATACCATAAGGGCTTCCGAGACCCAGCTCCCCTATTGTCGCCAGTACGTGGATCCCGCTTTATCCGAAGAGAATTGAATCAGCTGGGTCTCGACGCTGACAATACATTCGAGAAGCTGTCCTTCCGAGAGCGGCGAAACTGGGCCTTCTTACCTTCGCTACTACCTTAGGCAGGTTGCCTTCCATGTTGCAGAGTGACCTCGGACTCACTTATAGATTTCTTGTACTCGGATGCATGCCTCAGAAATCTTACCTCTACCATGGGATTTCACTTTATGAATGCATAGTCAAATTTCACAAGTTGACCAGATAGGGTGAATACTTGGCAGATGATCTCATTGACTATGTCAAGAATTGCACCAATGTTGTCAGCATTTCCTTTGTCATCGTCTCTTCCTCCGTATCTCCGACTATTGTATCAAGTTGTTCTATAAATATTAGTAAAGACCCTAGATCTGTTCTGACATAGGACATACCTTGAATCGTAGCCTTCACCACCGCCAGTGTCTCATCTCTATCCGCAAACAGAGTCCTTATCCTCTTCTCGGCACCTGCATCCTCAGCCACCAGCCACGCAAGGATAACATCCACTGTCTGCAAACAGAACAACCCAGCGTCTAACCTCCTACTCAACCACTCATCCGCCATCTCCTCTTTCTCCTCAGCATCAAGCTTCGTCTGCTCACTCCTAATCTCATCATCTACCGCCGCTACCTTCTTCGCGTAATCCCTTCGAAGCTTAACAAGCTTCTCGATCTTCTCGTAATCCTTCTCTACGAACTTCGCTAACGTTCTTATCCTCCCTGCCTCTCCAGCTGGTAACGCTCTTAATAAGCTAGAGAATATGCCCAGGAGATGCTCAGTAGTAGCTCCATCCTGCTTCTTCATGAACATGCTGAACACCACCTTGAGCCCCGCAGCATCAACTAACTTCTCAGCCACTTCTGCACCAGCCTGCCCTGCTAACGCATGGTCCATAAGTCTCAACGCTCGAGGTTTACTCATCTTGCCCTCTCGAATCATGATGAGACAGAGTTCCACACCTTCCGCTTCGACGAATTTTTGCTTCCCTTCTGATTCATCGACGACACAGGTCAGGGAATCGAAGACGTTTTCCACGAATTCTTCTTCTTCTGTTCCCTTTACTGGATCTCGTTTTCTGTAAGCGGCTAGTAGTTGAAGGAGTATATCGACTCCATCTAACTCGCAAAGTTTCCGCCGGTTCAGGGGCGAGGATTGGAGAAGGATGGCGAGAACTTCGGCTGAGTATTGTTTGTTTTGCGTGACTGGTGATTCTTTCTTCTGTATCCGTTGTAGCAGCCACTTCAGTACTTCTGTATCCTGTCCTATCTTCTCTGACAGTGACACTTGCGAAGCAAGATTCTCCAACACGGAGAGTGCATGATAGACACCACTCCTGTCACTCTCGTTGCCCTCTTCAAACCTTCTAAAATTCGACACCAGAAGGTCAAGTAAATCGGCCTCAACCATAGCATCCACAATGCCCCTCCATTGTACTTCTTCGGCCTCAACATCTTCGTCCGTCAGCTCGGCAACGATCTCAATAGCATCAATCGCAATATCTGTATTCTCATGCGCCAACAAGCCCACCAAACTTCCCACACAACCCAGCTTCGCGAACTCCCCATAAAGCTCGGGATGCTCAGCCAGGATACTCAATGCCTTAACATCAGTATCCAAATCGGCTTCACTTCCCATAAACTTCGTAGGATCGTCCTCAAACTTCGCTCTCAGCTCCGCATTCTTCGTAATCTTCTTCTCGAAATTCAAAGCCAGTTTGCGAAGCCACGCTGTATCTATTTTCTCCGGCGCTATGTCGGCAGACTCTTGTCCTTCCATGTAATCTAGTATTTCATTTTCTTCTTGCGTTACGCCTCCGCCGAAGAATCGTCCTTCTTCATCGTCTGGTATGTCGGGGCCGTAGTCTTCGTCGTCGTCAGGAGGTGCTGTTGGTCCTGCTTCCATATCTTCGTCTTCTGGTTCTGAGACAGCGGGTTGTTTGCCATTGAATTTCGCGTGGCCATTGGGGGCGAGCTTGGCGGATTTGTATATTTCATCTGCGGGTGTCAGTGGGGTTTCGCAGATGAGATTTGATTGATACGAACTTGGATCTCGAGATGCTTCTAGCTTTCGTTTGTTGCTGGGAAGAGCGGGCTTCTGTCAATACGTGAGCAGTTTATTCAACCATCTGCGGACTTCGAAAGCTTGCCTTGAAGAGATCATCGAGGCTTGACATGTTTTTAACAGCCTCACGGTCGAGGCTGCGCGTTCTTGGGGATTATGAAAGAACAGGGACGAAATAGCTGTTGTTTATGATTCGACGGACATTCCATACGATTTAGTATCACTTTGTACGTTGGTAGATACAGTTGTACGTGGTGCTCTTGAGTTCTGCAGCTATGTTGTTTTGTAGACTTTTTCGTCGCGAGCCTCTCAAGCAGGTATCGTGTTTATTATCAGCACGTGAATGAAGCCAGACTCTACACGTGACAGGGCTTTTTTTCCTTTTTGCTTTAATTCACAAATGGGTATCTTGGAAAGCTTTCAGAATAAGACAAGATCCACGGCTGTCTCTCCGTCCAGTGATGACGATCTTCGACAAGATCCAGTCTCTGACCTTAGCGTGCAAAATGTGACCTCTCTCCTTCAACACCTCAGTCCAGATCAACCATGTTACGCCCAGCTACCTCTGCAAGCTTCATATCCTCCTACCATTGGTAACGATAGTAAGTTATCTGCTGAGGTTCTTAAAAAGCTCATCATCCATGGCCTCTGGGTCTCAGTCTGAATCTATCACTATGTAACCGTCACCAGCGTCTGCTCGATCTGCAATCTGGTCCATCGGTGTCAACAGTAGGTTGGCATCAAGGGGCTGTTTCTTGTCGGCAGAGCTAGCTCGGGCATGACGTTCAGGTGTTTCCGCGTCATAGAGATATGACATCGGTGGTGTCATCATCAGACTGTCACGGTCACCAGTGTCTTTCTCAACGGCCTTGCCAGAGTCCATGGTTCTTGAAGGTGGACAAGTCGTTTTACTGAATCTTTTACTGACTTGCCGAGGGATATGGCGCTTTCTCTTTCTTGAAGCTGGTGTTGGGCTAGGAGGGCTTTTTTGAGGCCTAGAATTGCTAGGCTCCCCTGTCTGCACCTCTCCATTTGGATTTGATGCTGGGGCAGACGAAGGTGTTGCAATTGCCATTTCAGCTTCAGGTATATGTCTTTGACGGGGTCTTTCTGGCATCGATCCTGGAGCTATGCCCTTTCCCTTTTGACTTGGAGTAAAGAATGTCTTGAGACTCGGTGTCTGATTGAAGTTGGCTCTGCGGAGAATCCACAGCATCGTTTCAACTTCTCCTGTCTCCATGTGGAGGGTTGCTACATTCAGAGACGTTGCTTCACAGAGCTTAAACTCCGCTACCACTTTTTGAGGCAGTTGGCCCTTCTTTCTCTTCAAAATGTCGTTGCACTTAAGTTTCAAGTGATCGTGTTGACTTTCAGAACCTTCTTCGGTCGCAAGTAGAGATCGGACAACACGATAGGGCAAGACGTACTTTACCCACTGGTTCAAGGTCATCTGAAGCCTGTCTGTGAGAAATGAGAATAACGCGTCCTCGTTGTCGAAAGGTTCTCGAGCTTTTTGGAAGTTTAAGAATACCTCCCGGCTTGATACAATAGGCTTCAGATAATCCTGGACATGTTGCCGTCTTGGAAAATCTAGGGGGATCTCAGGGCTCTGCAGGTAATCAGAGAATTCGGTTTTCGCCCATTGTCTCAGCTCCTTCGATGATCCTGAAGCTGCGCATAATGACTTCGCCAGACCACGCTCTGCGGCTTCCAGTACGTCGTCAGGTGCAAGGTAGGATTGTTCGTCGGGATTCTTTGACATCCTGTTGAAGATGGCATTAAGCACAAACCCTTCTCTATCCATACCAGGATGCTCCCCAGCAAGCTTCTCCATATTGTATACCGTGAATTGTGCGTAGCTCTTGTTCCTCTTTTCACTTTCTGCGGTAGACGACTGGATTTTGAAAAATGATTTGATGAGGGTCCGACAACCAAGAGCAAGAGCATCTCCATCCTCGGACCAAACTGCATCAACGACTCTTTCCATCTCCATCTTGGCGCATTCCGCCTCTGCTGCATCTGGCGCCTCGTGCCAGGGAACTCCAATCTTTGTCAGAACATCTTTGAAAAGCTCAGATGGCGGATCACGGCCTGGATATAATTTTCGACTGTTACTCAACCGTTTCGTTCCATCGAAAACGAAGTGCAGTTGGAAACCTAGGCTTAGGATCTGCAGGGTAAAGAGTAAGATGTTTCGTTCGATGGGGTTGTCATCTGGACCGCTTCCTGACAAGAAACAGATGATTAGCATTGGAAGAAAGCTCTCTTGTTGTAGCTTGGAGAGGAACTCACTCTTTCTGATCTCCTGCACCGTAGCAGTTGTCAGATTGACATACCACCACGAGCTAGCATTGACTGCCAGCTTCGGAGCTCGCTTCTCTCTCTTGTGGATTTCAAACGCATAGTCCGCGATATCCACCAGTTCTCCTGGCAAGATGTCGAATAAACTGGACGCTCATTCAGCAGGCGCGCTTTTGGAAACAATAGACAAACGGTGCGTACCTTGGTCTCCTCTTCTCTCTTCTGAATGTCGACTGCATTGTGCCCGATAGCCACTACCTCTTTGGATAAGATCTCGGCTTTGAATAGACTGTATATGCAGAGTAAATAGCAAACATCCTTTCAAAACAAAACAATAGACTGCCCTCGTTACTTATGTGGTAGTCTGATAATGGTCCGATAGCATCTCAATCCGTAAATCTGGTGGTTGGGGCACGGCACAGCCTTGACAGCACAGCCTTGAGCCTAGCCTCCTGTGGGACGGCCCATGCCGCTGCTGACAACCCCGCACCGCCACTAAAACCTGCCCTGCCACTGCCCTTCAAATTTTCCCTACATCAACACCCAGCAGCGCCAGATACTGATATCCGCACTGGTACAATGTTCTCTGAGCATATTGCTAATGGACAGTCATCATTCCCTTATCCTTGTAAAGTAGTGAGAAGTCAAGACAAGACATACCTAGCGCATTCTATTGGTGTTATGTATGCGATGGTCAAGCTTCCATTATCTTGGACTCCTTTCAACATGGCATTGTCCGAGGCTACCTAGCCCAGTAAGGATTGTTTGTTGTTATTAGATTCGATATTCGCCTAGGTCACAAACGGAATCAGAAGATGAAATCTCCCTCGATCCGTAAGGTTACACTGCACAATAGTGGAACTCGCTTAGGTCCTGTACCCCTTTATTCACTTTCACTTTAGGCTCACCACCCACAACCTGCGATTTCAATCTGTTTTATTGCTCTAAGACCTCAATTGGGTAAAGTGTTTGTAATTAGTTTCTTTGTCGTCTAAACCATCTTTTCACTGCCACTGGGGTAAGACTATTCAAGTGTTGCCGAAACAGACGTTTCATGAGAAAATTTATGCTCGAAGCAGAATCATCAGCGATTTCGCTGTAATGCAGAAGATGTTATTGATACAAACCATACTACCTATCTAAGTCAAATAGCGGAAACTAAGGGGAAATAGGATCTAATTGTCACTAAAAAGAAATTCTCGGACAGCGCCTCTCAGCGCAATCGATTCTGGTATATCAACCTCCCAATTGAATCCATGCCACATACCCTCACCGACTAGTAATTCGGCCTTTGCCCCCGCTCCCCTCAACTTCCAATAGAACCTCACTGCGCTACTCAAGGAAATATCTCTTGTCCCAGAGGTGATGACAGTCGGCGGCCACGTAGCGTCGTAACTGGCAAACAACGGAGAGAAGAGCGGATCCTTGAAGTCAAACTCTGGATCCGCAGGTGCGTAATTCTGACGTACCATCGCTGACAATAAGGCAACAGGCATGATATCGCGATTTGCGTTAGAGACCATCGAGTCACCGGCACCAGTCAAGTCAACAGCAGGAGTGCAGAGGAACAGACGGGCTGGCATCGGCAGCTTGTCCTTGCGGGCGAGGAGCAGCGTGGTGATCATGAGAGTCGCGCCCGATGAGCTGCCCATGGCGTAGATATTCGCCGGATCATGGATCTCAACCAACTTGCGGTACACCGCAAAACACTCGTCGCGCGCAATGGGGTATCGCACCTCGGGCGAGAGCGAGTACTTGATCGAATAGACGCGGATGCCACATTCGCCGGCCATGATGAGGGCGGCGCGCTCACGCGGTGTGCCCATGACAAAGCCGCCTCCGAATATGTTGATTAAGATCTTGGATTCGTTGCTAGGCGCAATGACATGTGGTTCGATGACCATCACCGGTATGTCGGCGATGGTAGTCTCTGTTATGCTGAGGTTGTATCTCTTGATGTGCTCCTCCTCGAGAGCAGCCAGCTTCTGCCCAATAGTCAGTCGGAGGTTGGGAATGCGGCTTGGCGAGGCAATGAAGGGTGAGAGCAACCCAGGCAAAGGAGGATGTCGTATGTTTTCAAGATAGGCTGCTGCTTGGGAGCTGATAGCCGCCTTCTGGCCAGGAGTGATGATCACCATGGTAAAGTTTAATGAGAAATGATTGACCAAATTTGGTGAAGTCCTTATCCTCGACGCTGCGAAGTGATCCATTATATATATTGCAACAGTCTCTCAGTCGGTCAGAAGCTGGCCAAGGAGTGGCGAGACAAGGTCGGTAATTTGTTTCCTCGCATTCGTGCTATAGGACCAGATTGGACTTAGTGTAATGCTGCAAGGTGATGGCCATTCTAAGCCGAATTTGGCCTTATGATACGAACTTGCCATATTTGGCTCTATAGCACGAGCTCGCCGAGCATTCTAAGATTCTATTTTATCTTGTTAATCTCGGCATGACCTGGATCAGAGCGGACATATAGAGCAGTGGGAATAGGTTTTAACTGCCCCTACCTCCGGACCTTCCTCTGATTTAGTTTCATTTTCCCATGGATGCTCACCGTTGCATCTCAAGCATAAAACACAGCCGCTCCCTTCCCTATAACACCTCATCCCGACAGTAGCTAAAGCTATACCCATTCACAAGGGTATCTGCAAGCGCTGCAATCACAACAGCTGAATTACTGCCACCATGTCCAAGCAGCACGGATATGTGAGCGATTTGCTCATTGCGCCAGAGAGCACCGGCATGGAATATGATCGGTATGTGCGTCTGTTCTAAGGGCCTTGTTGCAATCTTCAGCTGACTTAAAGCTCCGCAATTTAGATTAGGGAACTCCGGCCTGAAAGTCTCCAAAATCATTCTGGGTGCCATGAGCTACGGCAGCAAAGACTGGGTGAAGTGGGTACTTGAAGAGGATGAGGCACTGCCTTTGTTAGAGCATGCGTACAAAGCCGGCATTAACACATGGGATACAGTATGTCAAAGAGACAGGTCCACCAGCTCGCTGCCTCGGCTGAGATTCTCACCCGACGAACGCATTTGCAGGCGGATCTCTATTCAAACGGCCGCAGCGAAGAGATTATTGCCAAAGCAATGGAAACGTACAAGATTCCGCGTGGGCATCTTGTTATCATGACCAAGTGCCGCTTTGGAACAAGCGAGAAAGGAGAGTCGCAGTTGTCTGTGTATGCAGCATCCGTCAACGATGGAAAAATGGTCAACCGGGTCGGACTATCGCGAAAACACATCTTTGCCGCCGTGCAAGCAAGCATGGAACGTCTTGGGACATATGTAGACGTCCTCCAGATCCAGCGTATGAACCCTGACGTGCCAAGAGAGGAGATTATGAAGGCACTGAACGACGTGGTGGAGAAAGGGTGGGTTCGCTACCTAGGCGCTAGTTCTGTATGATCCCCCAGAGTGCAACGTGAGTTCAATGAAATATGCTGATACAGAGTAGATGCCGACTTGGGAGTTCCAAGCTCTACAGAATGTAGCTGAGAAACATGGCTGGCACAAGTTTATCAGCATGCAGAACTACTACAACTTGCTCTACCGTGAAGAGGAGCGAGAGATGATTCCGTACTGCAATGCCACTGGCGTTGGTTTGATTCCTGTAAGCCCATACCCTCCCCTCTGGCGAGCGTCCTAACCGTCTCGTTTCCCATACTGATTGTCACTCTCACGTAGTGGTCTCCCAATGCTCGCGGGCTCCTAGCGCGCCCATGGGGATCTCCCAATACGTTGCGAGAGGAGCATGATGCCACCCTTGCCAGGCTATTCGACAAAGACAATAAAGTTGACGAAGCTATTGTCAAGGCGGTTGAAGAGGTAGCAAAGGCGAGAAGCCTCTCGATGGCGACAGTCGCAGCAGCCTGGTGCCTTCACAAAGGCGTGAATCCAATTGTAGGTTTGAATTCGAAGGAGCGCATTGATGAGATTGTCGGTGCAACAAAGGTGACCTTGACGAAAAAGGAGATCGACAAGTTGGAGGCGCCTTATGTCGCAAAGTCTGTGACCGGATTTTAGCTGGAATTTCAATTGTAGATGCATAGGTAGGATTGGGAACTGACCTTGTCATACACTTGAGATAGAAATATTACAATGTTCAACTACCTTCAACTTACGAAAACATTTTCATTTGGTCTCGGATCCAGTCCATATTGTTGAAACGATTTGCGCTTGGACGGGAAGAGTTTACTGTTGTAGGCTGAGAGAGCCATCCATTCAGGACTGTCCAAATAGCAAGATGTCCCAGACATCAGAGCTCCTGAAATCTGATTGCAAGACTGTCAGTAGCGTTACATGTGAAAGTCGAAGTATTGTATCATGCTTACAATGGGACCACGGCATGCAAGGAACATGTAATAATCAAATTCAGATTCGTGGAGGTGGGCACCTCGCACTTGCAGCAAAGCTCCCGTGCCACCTGCGTGTTTGATCCAAGATGTGTTTTCCATGCCTACAAAACTCTGGGGTGCATGGTCAACCCACACGTATATGAAAAATCTATAGGAGACATACCTCAAAAAGCCCAAGAAGCATCGTCGCGGCCACGATCTCCGAGGAGTATCTCGTGTCCGGCCGATTGAGTGCTTTTGAGAGACTAGTCAAAGCTTGAGAGTATGATTCTAAGCTATTAATCGTTGCGGCTTCCTGCATTGAAAGTCGGGCAAAATGTGCCAATGATAGGGCTCTCGCAGCAGAATCGAGAACCATGTTGTTTCCCAGTCGTTTTGGCACATACCAAAGCCAGCTACCGAGAATTGAGAGTTGCAACGTCATATGGTGGAGTGGGAAAAGCTCGCTAATGCAGCAAGACACAGTCTGGGCCAGTTCCAAACTTCCTGATTTGAATGAAGGAGGCTTAAGAGTACCACGTGTCTTTATGCAGGTTGGTTTGCCAGAAGAGGGTTGAGAGACTTTCCACCGAAGACGTAGAGCTTCGTCGACAAACTTCGTTTCACGTGAATAGCCAGGGCATTCGCGGCCTCCTTTGGTACATTGCAAACAGCTTGGCCGAGTCTCGTCACACTTGCATAACGATACCGATCAGCAAGTCCGCACACGAGCAGGTAAATGACGATTTTCACGGATGTGGGCAGACTCACCTTGACGCTTCGACTCCTGCAGAGCTGGCAACCTTTGCTCTTTGGAATTCCAACCATAGTGCCCCGAGGAAAAATAGTGCTTGTTAAGCAATGCTAGAAGCCTTCATCTTAACTGAGCATAGGTGGGAGGTCCTATATAAACCACATTAAGAATGTAGTAAGAATCGATAAACTATGACACTATAGAGTAATATTTTGGAAGAGATGCAAAGCGCGCAAACAAGCAAGCGAACTCGCATTTTGACTGAACGTCACCACGTGACCGACGGCCGACTACTGAAGGCATTTATGAGCGGAGCGGCCATAGACGGCGAGCGCAGTATCAAGTCCGTGCCCTGCATGCCAATACAAAAGTGTCTTGAATAGGTAATGTCAGGAACATGCTTGTTTCAAGAGTCACCCTGTAAGTGCAGCTCGTGGCATAGAGCCATATATGGCCTAGCGTGATGACATGCCTTTCATCTATGTGAGTCGAGCGGTGAAATCTGAAGCACTGAGAATTGATATTGATGTGTATTGTATGGAAACACGTTGACACTCCATACTGTAGTGCTTATATTACAGTGATAAGTTGATATGTCCAGCCCGGAACAGAAATTCCATGGAATTCTGCTCACCATCCGCTGCAGGCCAAATGTAAGCAAACGACTATGAGCGTCACATACAAGCTAGATGCCGAGTGGAGGATAAGTATGTCATATTCGTGCTAATTGAACGTCAGTGGACTGACAATAGAGGTGCTTATGACGGCAACTTACGTTCAGTAGCGACCAATAAAGTGCTAGTCCCCAGACATATATTTATTACTCTTTCACCAACACCTTCGTATACTCGTATACTCGTATACAATTGACATGGTGTCAAAATGGAGGGTGTTGGGGCACTTAGAGCTACTCGAAAGTAGCATATTAGCTTGTCAAGAACTAGCCTTCTATGCTGCACATTTTATTTGGTAGCATTATTTGCGATGGCTCGCATGTATGTATGACTGAGTTGAGTCTATAGCTATCTTCCGCTCCATGAACTCCTCGAAGTGTTGTCTATAGCATATGAACGTCACAAATCAAAAGATCCAGTTGCCTTCAATATCAGTATTGAGCAAACTGTCGAAGAATAACGTATCTGCTTCAGGTAAAGCCCAGTCATAGATGGACTGAGCATCTGGCAGAACTGGTGGAAACTGTGAGCTCTGGAAAGAGACCATGGGAGGATTTATCGAATTCTGGCTAGGTGATTCCGGTGGAAGGGAATAACTTCCCCAGGTCTGAGACATTAAATGTGGGCCAAGTGGTTGTTGCTGTTGCTGCTGCTGCTGTTTTTGCGGCCGCTGTGGTTGCTGCTGCGGAATAGATGGAGGCTTCGTTGTGGGATCAGGTGCACGTGAAGGTCGGACTATACTGATGGTTCCAAAATACGGTATAGTGAGTTTGAGGTTGCCCGTGTTAGTTCCTGAAGCATCATCAACTGCTAGAAGTGACTTGATCACATTCACGCTCTGAGTTGCGACAATATCTTTGCCTCTCTCCGCTAGCTCTTCCATAGACTCTAAGACCGTCTGCACTAAGGCTTTGTCGTTTTCTCTTTGTTGCCTCTCTGAATGACTTTCGGTGCCGCTGACGGGATCCAGAAGCCCAAGAAAAAGCGTTACACAAGCAGTCAGTGCGCCGAAATCGACGACCTTGCAGCAGAACGATTTACTTTCCGCTTTCCTCAAGGCTAAATACCTTGCCATCATCTCTCTCGAAGCTTTCAGGCAACTGAATTTGCTATAATCGAAGCGTCTCTCATTGGAAGCGCGAAGCATGAAGGGTAGATGCGTCAGCGCCTCGATTTGAAAGAACCATATTTGGGTCATGACGCGATCAAAAATCATTGCTGCCTGTTTAGAATGGTCGTTGGGGATGACATCTGGGATATCCCAATATTCAGGCGGGACGGATTTCGCGAGCTTTTCTAGAGCTTCATCAATTTCCTGCGTGTTGGCGTATGCGTTCGAATTCTCAGACTGGTTCCGCTCGATGATGCGACCTGATAAATTGCAGAGTTTCCTGAGAAAGAGCCGTTCTTTGTCGACGTCTGGATTTTCAAAGGTTTCTTCGGCACTGAAGCTCACGTCCTCTGATCCAGCCGGGAGGCCAAGCAGCAGAGCCTACGAAGTTGCGTAAGTACTGTGTCCGAGGTTCTATCATGGATGCTCCACATACCAAATACCTGTCAGCTTGAACTATTTGATACCACATATCTGGGCCACCTTTAATGCTGCACTCTCGCTTGTTGATGCCCATCAATTGTCCGATACTCAAAGCTCTCCTAAATGTCAACCAGGCACGTCGCGGATTTCCAGCATTAATGTGGAATATTCCTTGGAGGACCAAACATTCAAGTCCAATCACTGTGCTCACAAGCTCATCGTCCGAGGTGATGAGAGCCTGAACGACGTTGACGCATTTATCCATTCGCGCTTCGACGGTGGGATAGATGCGCAATTGTGAGGTATCAAACTGAGGGTCGAGTTGCTGCAAACAGACAGCGATGTAAAGCACAGCTCCGGCAATTCGTGTAGGATGTTCTTTCGCCACATCAGCAAGATTGAACACCGTGGCAGATATTGAATTCGAGTTCTGAGCTGTGAGTGCGTGGACAAGAAGCCAGGAACTGCTCGCTTCGCAGATCAAATTACATTCTCGTTGAGTTGGTAAAAGTTCCAAAAGAGCTTGTCGAATTCGTTCAAGTTTGGGTGTCCTAGTACAACAAGCTGTTTTGGTCAAGGATGATTGTGTTGCAGGGGTAGTGACTTGAGATTGCACAGCTGGCTCTCGACTTATCTGAAGAAGTTAGCCCTTGCGTCCTTTGAGAACATTAATCCTCACCATAGAACTGTCAAACAGATGCATGAATGGTGCCGTGTCCGTCTGCGTATTAGAGTTTGCCGTCCCTGAATACGGGGTGGGAACATCGTTATTGCTCAAAGAATCTGGTGTTAACATTTTTTGAGCTGTGTTCTCCTCCTCTTCGTATTGCTCAATCTTTGCAACTAGCTTCTCTAGAACCTGTTCAATTCGACCAAGTCTCTCGCCGACATTCGTTCCACTTGAGGGGTCTCTCTCCTCAGGATACTCCTGGCTAAGACAGGTTGTGCCTCGAGTTAGACATCCAGAACAGACAGGTACATCTTCCGTAGAAAGTTGGCATTTGACTTTGCGACGCTTGCCTGGACCCAATCAGTTGGTCTTCTTCTTGGGAAGCGCTCTTGGAGCTTACATTCCCAGCAACTCTTGGTTCCCTTCCTGACTCTTTTTCGAGGCGGTTCGCCATCCGCACTGCGAGAGCCGCTATTGTCGTCGCCGGCCTCAGCCATCGTGTGTCCCACAGACTTATACATTTGTCGAAGTTCTTGCAGCCTCGTCCGAGATCTTAATTATCAATCACAGGGTGATCGAGATAACAATGCTTTGTGGCCAAGATGCCAATTGATATCACAGGAATCACGAAGAAGTGTAACGGTCAAGGAGGCTCATGGGGTAGAATGCGCACGTAGTCAAGAGAAGATGTCAAGATCCGAAGGAATCTTGGACGTAAATTCGTGATTCTTTAGAGCAGGGGTTGGTCAGCATGTTGCAGCCTTGTGAACTTTCCTCCGGTTCCGCCGTTCCGGCGGCTTGAATACAGCTTCTTTATTGGTAGATAATCAGCAAGTGCTGACATGATATTGATGCCTTTCAATTCAGGTCGACTACCATGGCCGACATCCTCATCATCATGCACAATGCATGTGGCGCAGAGAATGTGGTATTGAACAAGACGACTTGTCATGTGGGCAGTTAGCAGAGTGTGACACTGTGTGAGAGAGTTCGAAGTTTTGTCACATTTGTCAGCATTACCTACTCTATTCACGTGCACGCATCTGGCAATCTCACCTTGGACTTGCACGACCTTACCCAGCTCTTGGTTTTCTCTATCCGTTACCCAATCAATTTGTTTATTCTGAAACTTACTCCTCTATCATCAATATCTGAGCTTCGATTTGAACAAAGTTGCCTGTCATGACAGTCCAAGGCGAACAAGCATCGGACATAACGAAGCGCCCACAACGAGCAAATGGACATCGACTGACTCGGAGACGTATTCCTCTATCTTGTACAGCATGTCGAGTTCGAAAGTAAGACTTTACTTCTATAATGCATTGAAAACTCCTTACCTAGGTACCTTATTCTGACAATCGGTCACGTGGTGCTGGTCAATCACGACCCTCGGGCTCTATCACTTATACTGAGCTAATTTCTTGCTTTTTTTCCTTGCAGATTGAAGTGCAACAGAGAGAAGCCGTGCCAGAACTGCATTGTTCGAGGCGATGCTACTGCTGCTTCATGTACGTATGCCGAAAAGGCCGAGAAGAAGTATGGCCAGGCTGGTATAAGGTCAGACGAGGATATGCGGAAAAGACTTAACCGTCTCGAAAACTCAATATTGACTATGATTTCGAATGATGCGGAGCATAGAGGTAGCCAAACGGATTCGGCAAATCATCCAAGTCCCGCGAATTCGACTGGTAGTCCCGGCCATACTGGTGCTCAACGCATATCATCTGACACTAGAAGTACACATTGGGACGCTATCCTGAACGATGTGAGTTCTCCGATACGTCTGTAATCCCGAAGCTGTCTCTGACACACGGATGTCTAGCTCGGAGCTATGAAGGAAGCTTGGATTGAAGAGAATGACAAGATAGAATTCACGAACGGTTTCGAAGAACCTGTTATTACCAAACCCCATCGGCCAGGTTTATTCTCAGGCTTGACTCAACCACCTGATAGAGCAACCATTCTAGCAACTTTGCCGATTAGAGAGGCAGCCGACAAGCTCGTGGTGCGATTCTTTGATTATTATAATCCAGCAATTCCATCACGATGTGAGCTATTCTTTAAATAATTTGCGAGTCTGACCACTAACCACTGTAGACGTTCTTCACAAGGCAACCTTCCTGAAGCAGGTAAATTATATTCATTTTTGCCATGTTCTCTCATTAACAATAATCAGTACAACCAGCATTGGGTTGATCCTTCGAAGACGAAAATCATTTGGATTGGCATGCTTTATTCAATGTACTGCATAGCCATGCAATCATGGATTCGGGGAGACGAAGTCCCCCCTGAATACGAAGGCACTGCGCCAGCCTTGGTTGAACTTTATCGTGTCCGGACAGTCCAATGTCTGATAGTTTCCGACATCACCAAACCTGTAAGTAAACTAAGCCCTTGTCCATCTCGGCCGCTGGCAAGGATCATATTAATCTGCCTAGGTCGAATTCATGATCGAGACAATGAACTTGTATTCTCAAATCGAGTACGCCGAAGAAAAAGATGGCAACATGGGCAGCTACGTGCTATCGGGAACCATGTTCCGACTCGCTTTACAACAAGGATATCATCGAGATCCGTCCCAGCATCCGAACCTTACAGTCTTTCAAGGTGAAATGAGGCGTCGTGTATGGTCAGCCGTCAGTCAACATGATCTGCTATTTTCGGTACATGTGAGTGTCTTGCTGTTTAATTTTTTTATTTCGATGCTCCCTTTGCCCAGATGTGTTACATCTCTTTGGAGACAAATTTAGAGCTCGAACAACAAGTCCACAATGTATCATCTGCATTTTATGGCTATACTGATTGCAGAGATTGATCTATCCTAACTGGAATTAGGTTGGCTTGCCCAAATCGATCAGATATGCTGAAGGCGACACACTCCCACCCCGAAATCTCCACGAGCATGAGTTATACGAAGACATGACGGAATTGCCACCTGCTCGACCGTTAACTGAGGACACGCAAGTCTCATATCAAGTCTTTAAATGGCACTTAATGCGCGCATACGGACGAGTTATCGAATTTGTGCATCTCCTTGAACCCCAACCCTATGAAGATGTACTGAAAATCGACATGGCGCTGCTAAATCTACGAGAAATGATACCGCCTCATCTGCTGCTAGGCACTCTGGAAGAGATGCAGAATGATGCTCCAGGACGGGTCATGGAGAAATACATCATTCAGCTGTTTTACAACAAAGCAGTATGTCTGCTGCACAGAAAGTATTGGGACGGTGTTCCAACTTCAACTGACAAGAATACGTGGTATTACTCGCGAAAGACTTCTGTTATGTCAGCACTTACTCTTCTGGAACACCAAGTCTCCATGCACCAAGCTTCAAAGCCAGGGGGATGTCTCGGGAAGTTCAAATGGTATAATTTCTCTATCACAAACAACGACTTTCTCCTCGCAGCCATGATCTTGTGCTTGGATTTGATGAGCATTCGAGGAACGGCCGGACGACCAGATGTACCAGAGTGTATCATCAACGAGATTGACAAGCTCAACGCTATCAAGAGGTCCCGAGATATCTGGCAGGAGATCATTGACGATTGCCCAGACGCTCGACGTGCAGTCAAGGTCCTGACAGGAGTCTTGGCAAAGTTGTCAACTAAGAAATGGGAGGATCTGATACCTAGTGCTAATAGTGATACGAACTCAACGCCTGCCGTTTCGGCATCAGCACAGAATCCAAATGTCGATTCTTTGCGTTATAGTCCTTACTTCACGGATCAGTTTGGACTTGGATGCTGTCTGCGGGATCAACCTGATACGGTTATGGGAGAATCGTTTATCGATACCATGAGCACGGACTTGTCAACAGCAGACTTCAACTGGGTACGTAACCATCATCCGAACTGTGAAGAAATCCAGCTGACAATTAGAGTAGGACATTTGGGATCAATTCATGGCCGGTCAAACTCAACCAGACCATGACTTCACAAACGATATTCAGCAACAGCAACAACAGGTACCGGAACCAAACACAGAAAAAAACGACAGTCCATATCTTAGCTACATCGGCCAAGAAGCAGTCCAAAACCCTACCAAAAGGCAACTCTTCTACATCGCTCCTCCAGCCTAGCCCGCAAACCCAAACTGGTCCAACAACGGCTGAAAAGCACCTCTCCAAGCCGACACACCCATGGCAGAAAACCCAGTCGCCAGCTCCTTATCCTTCCCCTCCTCCAATTGCTTAGTCGTAACATCCATATACTCCTTCAGCGGCATCGGAGGATGTCCCTTCCCGCCCTGCATCTTATTCTGCTCTTCCCTAAACTTGACATCTAGATCCGTAGCGACATACGGCGGCGCAACTTCAATCACATTGACATTCGTCCCAGTAAGCTGGGTGCGCAGCACAACCGTGAAATTGTGCACACCAGCCTTCGTCGCGTTATAGACCGGGAAGAATGGGAGCGGCATGTACGCCAATCCAGACGTAACAGTAATGAACGTCGTGGGCCTCTTCAAGCTCAAAAGATGCGGCACCACAGTCCTTGCAATAACCATCGGCGCAATCAGATTCGTCGTTACCTCACTCACAATCCCCTTTGTGCTGGTAGTCGACGGATCCTTGAACTGCCCCATCGTCATGATACCTGCGATGACGAACACGCTATCGAGGTCCGGGTATGTTTTGAACAGCTCGTTGAGTTTGGGTTCGATGGCGGGAATGTCTTCGACGTCCATTTGGAAGGTTTCGAGACCCTTGAGCTCGGATTTCAGGGCGTCGAGACGTTCGAGGCGGCGACCAGCGGCGATGACGCGCTTGCCTTTGCCGTGGAAGTAGCGGGCGAAGGCTTCGCCGATGCCAGAGGTGGCCCCGAGGAGAAGGATGGTGTCGATGTTGGCTGTCATTGTTGCTTGGGTGTCTTGGTGACTTGTTGAGCAGTTGGGTTTTTGGTTTTAGAATATTTCGAAGAATCGGTCAAAGGAAAGCTCTGAATGTGGTATGAATCTCTGAGTCTGAGGAGACCCTCCCTAAAGTCTTCTCTCGAGGCATACTTATACCTCTCCTGCCCATCTATCACCATCCCCAAACCCCGTTATCCCCTTCCCCTCTGCATCTTCTACAACAACAAACACCCAAACAACGGACTTTACTGCATTCCAAGAACGAAGTTTGCAGTCTTTAAGAACGTGTCGTGTTAGGAATCTCGACGGTGATGTTGATCTCTTCTCGAGCGCGGAGTTTACAGCCGTATCGCGTATTCGCTAGCTGAGCCAATGAGATGGTGTGTTGGGCCTTAAAGCCACGGAGCGGAGGGAGGGATGCTTTGTCAGTCTTGTTTTGTGGATCTTGATTGATGTTCTGTTGCTGGTTTTGTGGAGGTGGAGTTGTTGATGAGTTTAAAGCTTGGTTAGTAAATCATGTTGGCTCCGTGGTGTTAAGGGGTAGGTGTTCTAGGTGACGGTCCAAATCCGAATAACCACAACCATCTCCTCCTTACTTACCTGCATAAATCCACATAAACCCACCACCTCCATCACCCAACTCGCCCCTCAAACCATCCATCCATCCATCCTCTCACCTTCACCCTCGTCTCCCCTCGCCTTCCCTCGCTTACCCAATACCTCCCCCCAATCAGCGAAAATAGAACCAAAAAAAAAAAAGATTCAAAGACTCTACATACCAAAACGACAAAACATTACCAACCCACCATGCCGAGACGGGACACGGATAGATTGCTTATTTAGTACAAGGGCGAAAACCAATTGTTTATCCTTAGCGGCCTCTTTTCGGAGGTACTCCTACTCCGGCTGTTAAGTCGCTCTTCGGGCCGGATTGCTGTCTCTTAAATCCATTTGTGCCGTCGCGACTTGCTAATTTCTTGGGGGGTGGGGAAATGATTATTGGGGGGCTATAAGGTGTGGGTGGGTGAAGGGAGGTTTAAGGGTGCATGTGAGGTAAAGGGACTTGAGCGACGGGATGGAGGGAGGTGGATGTTTTGATTTTGAGGGATAGGAAAACGAAGTACCGTTTGAAGGGAAACGTGGTTATAAGCTGTTCAGATGTAGAGGAGTTACTTCTTTCCTCGATTTAAGATCGTGAACTTCCACGAAAGGTGGATAGCGGATGCACGGGGCTCTACCTCGATTTGGGTACGACCAAGGTTGATTCACTCTCTGCTGCTATACTAACTGTGTGATGACTGTACCGAGAATGACTTAAAGTCCCGAATTAATAAGGTAGTGAGCTCGGAACAGAACACATTGGTATTTCCAATCATCGTCATTTGCGTAGTGAGTCTATCAACTTCTTCCCTCATCCACTCCTTTCCAACATCCCCACAATACCTCCTCATCCTCACATACTATGAACCTTCGAATTCCTGGTCCACTTCCTAAACGTCTTGCCAAAGAACCAGAAAATAATCCCCGTCAAGCACCACAAGGTAATCAAACTCATGTTCGTCATGATCGGCGGGATATACCCGCTCTTGATGATCCACGGCGTGATGAACTTGCTGAAGCCGTAACCCCAGACATTCTTATTAACCGTGATCGCCACGAAGATCGAGCCAGCGACCGGTTTGTAGGAATCGATGCTGTAGGTCGAAGATATGGACGGCAGAGCCGCGACTTGGATACCGGCACATGCATAGCCGATAATCACGATGACCTTTTTACATGATCAGTTGCTGCTCGCTAAGATGAAAAAAGGGGAGGAGAGGGACAGACCTTCCAATCCCATTGATGCTCATATCCTACCGCAACCACGACGTTCCCGATAATCATGAGTATCACGTACGGAATCATAGCCACCAATCTCATCTCCGGCTCTCGAATCCCCTTATTCCTCTTCGTCAACCTCGCCGCAATCGCATCACTCAGGGGACCCGCAGTAAACAACCCAATCATGGCCCCAATCAAGATAGCAAAATTAAAGAACCCAATCGTCGTTGAATTATAATTATAAGGCGGGTTAGCAAAAACCTGACTCTGCGTCAAGTTCAGCGTCAAGAACGAGGACGCGGACCAGGACACCACGAAGGCGGAGAAGTCGACGATGGGGAAGAAGAGCAGTTTCCAGGGCAGGAGGAGCTCCATCAGGAAGTTGCCTTCGTAGGGTTGGAAGAGCTTCCATTGCTGCTTGGAGGGCGTGCCCCGGCCTAGCCAGGGATCGTCGTGCGTGTGGACGTGCGTGAGTCCGTTGTTTCCTGCGCCGTTGGACTTTGATTGGATAGGGGCGGTCTTTTCGGGGTCTGCGTGGTCGGTGGCCGCGGTAGAGATTGGATGTTGGGTAGTTTCGACTTCTTCTGTCGAGCCTTTTAGTGGTGGAGAACCTGATACGAGGCTATTTTGTGGCATGAAGGAGCGGTTGAATTTCGTTTCCGGAAAGAGGAAGATGCAGCAGATGGTTGTGAAACCCAGAAGCGCAGTATTGAACCACCAGAAATTGCGCCATCCGACGTTTTGTGCCATTGGACCTGAGATGATCGGACCGACCTGTGTTTGTCAGATGTTGCTCTGCGGCTGAAATAGGGGTAGGGTGTTACCATAAGCGAGCCAAAGTAGAATGCGAAGTACAGAGTTTGGTACTTCCCACGATCGTGAAGAAAGATGATATCGGCAATGATGGTAGGCTGAGCAGTTTCAGCTGGTCCTGCACCGATTCCATTCAGGCTATGATGTCGTGTTAGCTGGGTTGTATTTTCCGATCTGGTGGTACATACACGCAAGCTCCCATGAAACTGTTGTACGAATTTGCTTTGGCTCGCCAAATACTGCTACCGAAGCAGATCAGAGTCGAGGCAATCAGGACTGGTCGTCTTCCGAAACAAGTTTGTAAAGGCACCCAAATGAAATTGCTGAAGCCGAGCACGAGAATGGCAACACCAGTGAACTGAACCACGTCTGTCAAATTCGAATCGAATGCTTCGATGTAGTCACCAAACATAGGGGCCTGTTCATTCTTAGCACATGTCTGGTCTTAGGAATTTTTGGGATACGAACAAGAGCCAAAGGACCAAAGCCTTGCGAGAAGGAAACGAGAGTTGCGCAGATCATAGCAGATGCTTTCCACCAGGGACTCCAATTCAGCGGGTCATGTTGGTCGTCACTGGGCTGCGGGACCAAAACCGAATGCTGTCCAGCAGCCGCCTTCACGAAGTGGTGTGTGCCAACATCTGTCATGATCTCCGTTCCTGGGTAAATCTCCGTGTGTAGCTCCTGCTCGAGCTCTCGAAGAGCCTAGTGAAAAGAATGGTCAGCATCGATCCTGTCTGAAATGGAAAAACATATGGATAGGGTTTCATACTCTTGCATCCAGGTTTTGATCCATCTTGGCTGTAGTCAAAGTCGAGTCTTGGGATCAGAGTTGTTCCTTCGACAATCAAATAGTCAAGAGAGTGAAGGTGACCCAGCTTTATGGTTCGGAACCGGAGGACGATCTCAGTATTTAACCCAAGTTACTCACACCCACCCGAAGTGGCCCAGAGCCATGTGTAACCCATGTCCCCGACGGTGCTGAATCCTGCGGACCTAGCCTAGCCTCCAACCCCAGAACCTGCGTGAAGTCTGATAAGCACTTACTCGTGGCTGGGCGCGGGAACGCTGCACGGCATTTTCCTCATTGGTCTTTTGCGGCTATCTGTTCTCGGAGAGACGTGCTAGCCTGTCATTTGCACGCAGCCACGATTGTTCCCCCTGTCGATATGAGATCCATGTTGGTGAGATGGGACAGACTTAGTTAGCTAGATGCGTATTTAATCATTTAATCATTTAAGTGGACGGGGCTGAACCTGAGCTTTAGGTTAACCCCTGACGTTGCATCGGTCCCCGCGCTTTTCGCTTGGTGGAGCTTGGGGTAAGGTTACGGGGAAAAGCCATGGAGATTTGACGCGAGACAGCGCTGTCCTTGTCGATGAATTGAAAGCTGAGAACGCTTGACAGCTGTTTGACAAGCCACGGACGGCCTAGAAGAGGTCTACCTTTGGTAATGTTTCGAAACTTGACTAAATTGGTAGTAATTTGATGCAGACCGGGGGGTTTTCCGGGGGAGGAGTTTACCCCGCACGAAGAAGTCTAGGCTCCAGGAACTTCTAGATCTCGAAGACAATGCGACTACGATGGAAAAGTGAAAGGCGAACAATGCGACGATGACGAGATTGAGGCTCCGTGACATGCATTACATTGCTCGTGCGACGCATGCAAGGCCCCAGGAGAATTTTTGGCGTGGAACTACAGCATGCCAATGCAGGACTCCGAGAAGTTCGAGAAGTTCGAGAAGCGCGAGAAGTTGTGAACATGTACTTGCAACACAATCAGCGAAATGCCGAGACTATCTGCCGAGGAATACAATCTAACTTTCTCAGCTTCCAGCAGAGACTTTCTGAAAGCCAACATAACATATGTCACTTTGGTCGGACTTGTGGCTGGATTTGGCACAAGATATGCATCACGTTCATGTTGGAAGTCAAGGCGGGGTTGTGGTTAACCAAGGGAGCGGATAATCTTTCTTGCGCCCTATTGCACTCTCCATGCAACCATTGGCTATAGAGTAAAGCGACTAGGGGTTTCGAGTTGCACCAGTTGCTCGTGTGCTCCAATATTCCAAAGGCTTGAGACATTTTAGTTGGAAAACATCAAGCACGAGCGCAATGCTTGGAAGGCGTACTGACTGGTTCGAGAAAGCATGCTTCTGAAGTTTTGTTGCAAATGAGGATATTGGTCTCAGGGTTGGAAGGCAAGTGCACTCCACCACTTGCTATAAGCAGAGAGCCGACTGTAGGACACGCAAAGCAGACAAGCCCAGCCTCAGGCATGAGAAAAATTACACATCAAGAGGTATGAACAGTTGTGCAAGCATCACCGTTGTAGGAGGAACGCAGCATGTAATTATCTCCAACATGAGGAAAATATGAAGCAGCTTGATTTTCTTTCATGGATGCCTAGATCTTGGGTCTGAGCTTGAAAGGCACGAAGCTGTAGAAATAACACAAGAAGTCACAGAGAAATCCGAAAGAACGCAGTCCATCCTGGAAACATCACAAGGACTTTAAAATGTACAAAGCAGGTAGTTTCATTATCGTAGCAATTGCAAACCGTACAATGCAAGCAGGTCATATAAACAAGGTATGTATCCATAACTCCATAGTCCAACAAACGATCCACGTCTATGCCATTGTTGCCGTAGCTGCTCTATTCGAACGCTCCAAGTTCCTTGACACTCCTCCCTTCTTACCACCACCAGGTCGAGCCAGCGTGTACTTGGCAAACGCACGCGCAAGGGCCTTCTTGCAGCTGATTTTCTGACTGCCAACAAACGAGTCGATTGTAACAGCAATGGCACGATCAACATCTTGAGCGGAAACATATTCAGAAAGGCGCATTCGACAGAATGCCTCACTGATACGCATAATGGCTTCGAGATGACGAATCTAATTGTGTTAGTTGGGTATGTGAGGCTCAGAGCAAAGACTTACAGTGATCGGGTAGGCACCAGTAGCTAACGACTCTCTTCTCATATCAGCGAAGAGTTTTGACACCTTCTCTTCGTCGATGTTGTAGAGCTTAGGGCTGCAACGCTCTCGTCCATACATGATATACTTTCGAAGTAGCTCTTGTGGAATTTCACCTTCCTTCTTTTGCTCGGCTGCTGCTTCCTGATCAACATCCATTGTATTTTGAGTTTCGCCTGCCTGAGATGGATGAGAACGGCCATGTGAGCCGACAACAAATCGAGCAAGGCGCTCATCTTCGGTAGGGTCGACAGTATCTCGAACAACACAGAGGATATCGAAACGTGAGAGAATAGGTTCTGTAAGCTCCACGTTCTGAGAGAAAGGAATGGTAGAGTTGTATCGACCTCCGATAGGATTGGCCGCGGCAATGATACCACAACGCGCCTGAAGAGTGGTGACGATACCAGCTTTTGAAATGGAGATGGTTTGTTGTTCCATAGCTTCGTGGATGGAGGTTCGATCCTGGTCGTTCATCTTGTCGAACTCGTCGATAAGGCATGTTCCCCGGTCTGCTAGCACCAAAGCACCACCCTCCAGAGTCCACTCGCTGGTCAACGGATCTTTACGGACACTTGCAGTCAAACCAACAGCACTAGCACCTTGACCAGTGGCAAAGACAGCACGATGAGCAGTCTTTTCAACATACTTTAAGACTTGTGACTTGGCAGTTCCAGGGTCTCCAAGAAGAAGTACGTTGATATCACCACGAATGTGATGCTTGCCTTGTCTGTCCTTTGCTACACCACCAAAAAGCGATAGTGCAACAGCAGTTTTGATATCAGTGTGTCCGTAGATACTAGGAGCCATAGAATTGATGATCTTATCAACAATCTGAGGGTCGCGAGACAAACTTCTGATTTGTTGTTCGTCTTCTTCGGTGAGTCTGAAGCCTGCAAGCTGGTCATGAGCTTTGACCACGTTGTTGGCTTCGAGAATTGTGGCGAAGACTGGGAAACCATTCTTGTTATTGAGCTGAGCATCGTAGTTGTTGCGGTAAACACCAGTGACCTCGATCTCCTCTCCAGGCTTAGCTCTATCAATAAGATCCCAAAGGAGGATGACCTCGCGATGGCGGGGAAGGCGACCAGCGGGAACTGTGCCAGGTGATTCTTGTAGGGTGAGCTTCTGATAGTTGCGGTAAACTGTTTTCTCTGAATTGAGATTGAACGGGCCACGGGACTGGCAATTCTGGCAATAAGAGATCTTCACCTCAACATTCGATTCTTGTTGGAAAGGACCAAGTCTAGTACCGCACTTGTTGCAGTCAAACATGACATATTTCAGTTGGGGAAAGACACCACTTCGTCGGGTCACAACACCACTTACTCGAACCAAGCAGTTCAAGTGAGTTTGACGCAACTGACGAAGAGTGTAGTGGACAGGCAAGTCGGAAATACGAACGTGAATCTCCGAGTGGATCCGCTCGTAATCAGGGTAATGCAGAAGGGTGACTTCCATAGCAACTTCGTCGAAAAGCTTGAGGATCTCTCCAGGAGCATTCGCCAAGAAATAGGCAAGAATAGCCTTGGACGAGGAGAGATGGTCATATGAGACTTCCAGAGACTCTGCGTTGACTTCTCCAAGTGTTCGAATGCGACTTCCGTACACCGAGACACCATTTTCGTCGGTATATTCAGTCAAGAAAGCCTTAAATTCTCGTTTGATGGTTCTCTGGACTGCTTGTTGAGATACCCATTCGACCAAACTAGATGCTTTGATATCATTTAAGGTCTCAAGAGATAGTTCCTCTTCCATGATGTCGTCTTGCATGTCCTCATCCTCGTCCTCATCATAGTGATGGCGACGTCTTCGAGGTTGTGCGGTGAGATCAAGGTCTCCTTCATCATCTTCATCTTGAAGGAAGGCTGCAGGCATTCTTCGTTGGCGAGCCAGCTCACGATCTCGGCGATTCAGGCGGGCTTCGAGTTTGCGTCGTTCTGCGACATCGAGATCACCATAGTCGCCCTCATCATCGATGTCTCTGTCATCGTATCTGTCGTCCTCGCGAGACTTGTAATCGCGTTCAAAGTTGTTTGCGAAGAGGTCGATTCCATCTTCATCTTCAGCCATCTCGTCTGCGTCGTCAATGTCGAGTTCGACATCTTCCTCCACGTCGTCGTCGTCGTCTCCTCCATGCTGCATAGGGTACATAGGAGGTGAAGAACCAATGTCTCCAGCAGGAGAAGATGCAGCAAGTCCTGTCGCGTCATCTTCAGGTTCTCTGGAGCGTTTGCGACCAGTTCTACCGCCGGTCAGACCGCGATTGGCAGAAGACATATTGGGTCGTAAAGGAGAACTTCTTGCAATCAGCAGTTGTCAATAAATAGGGGTTGGCGGTTTCAAAAAGCAGAGGGAAAGTATTTATGGGCATACCTCATATCTTCAAAATAATTCTGAATTTGCTGTCGTGCTTGAGTGGAATTGAAGCTGAGGATACGAGAGAGAGAGGAATTGATGGAAGCGCTGATGTCGACTGGAAAGGAGGGGAGTAAAATCATGCCCTGTGCAAAGAGCGCGTAAAGTGGAAACCGCGACGTGATTACGCTAATCCTAAATTGGCGGACGCGTTAAGTGGTTTCTCGCTTTAGCAGCCTCGACAGCCGAGCTCGAGGCTGAATATCACATCGCGTCCAGTCCATTCTACAAACACTCACATCACGAAGGACTTTCCACAACACATCCAGCATCTCACTCGAACAGTATGGATCCGCCACCAGTGCCAGGCTCGAGTTTCAGCGAGCTCCCAAGCAGTCAAACAAGTATTCCATCCCGAAGCCAGAGCTTCTCCCAGAAGTCCGACGACTCTCAAACAGCAGCTGAGTATGTTTGCTCTAGATGCCTACATTCCGTGTAATCGCGTATAAATCTTGAAAATGATGCTGAATAAGTTCCCTCAGATTCATCGATAGCCAGCTGCAACTTGAGGCAGACGCGCGAGAAGCTCTACCATATGTGAGGCGATAGCCATCTTTACCCTCCACAGTTGCTTACTGTATATCCAGAAATTCGAGAATTGCACAAAGACTATAGGCAAACTCCGACAAGTTCTATTTTCTTGCCTGACATGCAATCCACCACCCTCGAATCCTTCCGACCCGTACACTCCCGCTGGCGTTTGTTATTCTTGCTCCATTCAATGTCACGGCGAACACACTTTGGTTGAGCTCTTCAACAAAAGAAACTTTGTTTGCGATTGTGGAACGACGCGTCTGCCTGCCACCTCACCATGCGCAATCCGGTTGAACCCTGAAACGAATACAAAGGGTGGCGTTCATTCTGAAGAGCCAGCGCCTGACAATAAATACAACCACAATTTTAGAAACTCTTTCTGTGGTTGTGAATGCGACTACGATCCTCACCAGCAGAAGGGTACTATGTTCCAATGTTTAGGGCTTGGGACTGCTGAGACCGGAGGATGTGGCGAAGATTGGTGGCATCCAGGCTGCGTCGTTGGATTGGGTCCAGATTGGTTCGAGACGGCCAGCCAAAAGAATGATGTGAAGAAGACACAGCATACTGGTTTATTGACATCTATTACGGAGGTCGCAGAGAACGTGGTTGATGAAGCAAATGCAGAGGCAGCACCAGAAGTAATGGAGGAAGACGAAGATGACAATCCACCTCTTCCACCTGGCTTTCCACACGAAGACGACTTCGAAGGCTTCATCTGCTATAAGTGTGTAGATGCAAATCCTTGGATCAAGCGATACGGTGGTGGCCCTGGGTTTCTAGCACCAGTCTTCAAACGAAGTGCAGCCCCTTCTCCGGAAAGAGGACTTCTTGCAATGACCCAAGAAGTGATCGCATCACATCTAGCACCACCCAAGAAGCGCAAAGCTGAGGATGACGAAGAGTCTGTTGCGTCCGACAGATCAAAGAGAGTCAAGAGCGATCTGCCAACTGAGGCTTCAGCACCAGAACCAGCAAATGCCACAACAGCACTTCCAACAAAGACTCTACTAGTGACGAAGGCCGCAGAGAATGCTGCCTGCAAGCTTGAAACTCTACCACCTACCCCAGAAGGACAAATGTCTCTCTTCTTCAAGGCAGATTTCCGAGATCACCTCTGCAAATGCCCAGATTGTTTCCCTCTCTTGAAACCCCACGATCAACTTATCGAGGAAGAGATCAACTACGAGCCTACTTTATCAGGCAGTGAGGAAGAAGCCGGCGGCAGCACAGTCGGAAGTGGTAGTATCTACGAACGGGGTGAGAGTGCATTGAAGAATGTCGATCGTGTTAGAGCAATTGAGGGCGTCATGGCATTCCAGCAATTGAAGGACAAACTGAAGCCTTTGTTTCAGCAGTTCGCAGGAACGGGCAAAGCCATCAGTGCGGAAGATATCAAGGCTCATTTCGCGAAGATGAGAGGTGATGATGAAGCTATCAAGGCGGCAGGCGAGGATGCTAAGACTTCGAAGAAAGACGAAGATCAACGAAGGGAGCAAGGAGGGTACTGAGAGCTTCCTTTTTCCCTCCTTCAAATAACGGCTGTATTTGATGTAAAGTAAAAACATGATGACACGGCACACTACTACCAAGCCGGCGTGCTTGAGATTTGTCGAAAATACTCAATCTTTCTCAAGAGCATCCTGTATTGTGAGACCCAACTAATAAACACAACTATGTATATACAAGTATATCTGCAAACCTAGTCGAACTTATGTTCAATGTCTGTCCTCAAAGGGCCAAGTCTCCAAGACGTTGTATTAGCAAGTACAAGTCATCGTCAAACAAGTACCTAGGACATTCGCTCCAGGTGGAGAGGAGCGGAAGCTACTGAGCCAGAGCGGAATCATAGAAGCAGCCTCTATGTCAAAGGAAAGAGCGAACAATCTCCCGAGGCGAATTCTTCTCGCTTGGCCCAGTGGGAAAGTATATCTCTCAAACCACCACAGAACCTTCATTTGTTTAGGATTGTACTATTGCCGAGAACTTTGCCAATTGAGCCCCAAGATGCAGTGCATTTGGAAGTCCTTGTCCCTTGATTTACATCCCACTCTCGGGTTCTTCAACCTCGGGACAAAGCAGCCCGCAATATATCCACAATATTTTCCCATACCGATGATCGATGCAAAAACCGTTTAATAAGACCCCTCTCTCTAAAAAGTGCATGAACCACCCCTATGCACGTCTCCCAGACAAGCTTTCCCTCCCACCCGAAGTTCACCCGTCCCACCACAGCATCAACAGACGCAAACACAACGACCTAGAACCTCAGCACAACCCTGCTTATCACCTCTGTGGGACATGACCTTGGTGTTGCGAGGCCGGGCAAACCTCGGCCCCGTCCTCCCCGCCCTCATCGCACTCCACAATTCCCGGCTCCCAGGCACGGCCATCCGTTCACGCACCGGCTGATATTCGGGGGGGGGGATACTTGAGGACGTTCACTCGCGCCAATGGTGGTTATTGTTTGAAACGGTTTAGCCACTCGAAGACATCATTGGGACCACTGTTTTTTTGTTTTTGGTGCGAGAGACGGTTTGCTGTCAATGGAAGGGAGGAGTGGGAGTTGGGAGTGGGGGGATTGTGTGAACCTGGACAAGTGTCGGTTCCTGGCTTGGGAGATGTTTATATATCTCCATCTTCTCTTCTCTTTTTTGTCTTTTGTACTTTGTACTCTGTATTTCTCTCTCTGTCTCTGTGTTGTTATTGATCCAGCGAGTATCTGACAATGACCGCTTCATTTGATGTCGAGGAAGTGCTTTCCAAGCTAAACGTTGTAGAAAAGGTCTCTCTACTCGCAGGTCAGCTCCCCCTCCCCCCTTTCCCCCAAACAAATATGTATACTAACAACACACAGGAGCCGACTGGTGGCACACCGTCGCCCTCCCGAAGCATGGCGTCCCAGCAATCCGCGTCTCAGACGGCCCCAACGGCGTCCGCGGCACCCGCTTCTTTAACGGAGTTGCAGCAGCGTGCTTCCCATGCGGGACCGCCCTGGGCGCCACATGGGACGTCGAGCTCCTGCACCAGGCCGGCGTTGTCATGGGACAAGAAAGCAAAGCGAAGGGCTCGCACGTGATTCTCGGTCCGACGATCAACATGCAGCGCTCTCCGTTGGGCGGGAGAGGGTTCGAGAGTTTGAGCGAGGATCCGGTGCTCGCGGGCCTGGGGGCCGCGGCGTTGGTTAATGGGATTCAGGAGACGGGGGTGGTGGCTACGATTAAGCATTTTGTGTGTAATGACCAGGAGCATGAGAGGAATGGGACGGATGCTATTATTACGCAGAGGGCGTTGAGGGAGATTTATGCGTTGCCGTTTCAGTTGGTTGTGAAGGAGAGTAATCCGGGGAGTTTTATGTCGTCTTATAATAAGGTGAATGGGACGCATGTTAGTGAGAATCCAAAGATTTTGGGTGATATTCTCAGAGAGGAATGGGGTTGGAAGGGGTGCATTATGAGTGATTGGTGAGTCTGCTCTTGTCTACTATTACAACACTTAACTTATTGTTACTAGGTGGGGAACATACTCAACATCTGAAGCCATCAACGCCGGACTCGACCTCGAAATGCCAGGTGCCACCAAATGGCGCGGAGAAATGCTCGTCCAAGCAGTAGGCGTCAACAAAGTAGCACAACACGTCTTAGACGAACGAGCTCGTAACGTCCTCACCCTCGTCAACCGCTGCTCCGCATCCAAGATTCCCGAACGAGCTGAAGAAAAAACAGCAGACACCCCAGAAACAGCTGCTTTACTCCGAAAGATAGGCGCTGAGTCCATCGTCTTAATGAAAAACGAAGGAAGTATCCTTCCCTTGAAGAAAGACAAGAAAGTCAGTATCCTCAATCCCATTTACAAGTTCTTTTTTGAATGTATCATAGACACTCATCCTCGGCCCCAACGCAAAAGTAGCCACCTACCACGGCGGCGGCTCCGCGTCCCTTCTGGCCTATTATGCCATCACCCCTTTCGACGGCATCAAATCCCAACTCACCACCGAACCAACCTACACCGTCGGCTGCTACGCACACAAAGAGCTCCCCCTCCTCGGCAACATCCTGCACACAGCCTCAGGCGAACCGGGCGTCTCATGGAAAGCCTACAACGAGCCTCCGTCCGTCAAAGACCGGAAATGTGTCGACGAGCTTAGGTTAACTAAGACCGAGTTTCTGTTGATGGATTATAATCCCCCGGCCATCAAGGCCTTGCTCTGGTATGCTGATATCGAGGGCTATTTCACCGCCGAAGAGGACTGTGAGTTTGAGATGGGGCTCGGGGTTTATGGGACGGCGAAACTGTTTGTGGATGGGGAATTGTTTATTGATAACGAGACTACGCAAACGAAAGGGACGCTATTCTTTAACTGCGGGACCGTGGAAGAGAAGGGGATAGTGCCTGTCAAGAAAGGGCAGAAATACCACGTCAAAGTCGAGTTTGCGAGCGCGCCGACTTGTAAGTTGGATCAAGGGAGTAACGTGTTATTCGGAGGTGGAGCCGTCAGAATCGGAGGCGCGAAAGTCATCGACGCTGAGAAGGAAATCGAGCACGCAGCAGCATTAGCCAAGGGCGCTGAACAAGTCATCATCTGCGCCGGTCTAAACGTACCTCTCCCCTCTCCTCCTTTATCTCCACACTAACAAGCACCCCTAGTACGACTGGGAAACCGAAGGCTCAGACCGCGAAACCATGGACCTCCCGGGCCACATGAACGCGCTCATCACCGCCGTCTCCACCGCAAACCCCTCCACGATCGTCGTAACCCAATCCGGAACCCCCGTCTCCATGCCCTGGCTATCCTCCGTGCCAGCCCTGATCCACGCCTGGTACGGCGGCAACGAGACCGGCAACGCCATCGCGGACATCCTCTTCGGGGCCGTGAACCCCTCCGCCAAACTCCCGCTCTCGTTCCCGCGGCGGCTGCAGAATAACCCCGCGTTCCTGAACTATCGGACGGAGAGGGGCAGGACGCTGTATGGCGAAGATGTGTATGTCGGGTATCGGTGGTACGAGATGTTGGATCTGGAACCGTTGTTTGCTTTCGGGCATGGGTTATCTTATACAACATTCTCCTTCACCGATCTCAAGATCTCCACCATCTCCACCACCTCCCTCTCCTCCTCCTCCTCCTCCTCGTCTTCGGAAATCCTCAAAATCCAACTGAAAATAACAAACACAGGCCCCCTCCCCGGCGCAGAAATAGCGCAACTCTACATCTCCCAAGAAAAACCTAGCATCAAACGCCCCAAAAAGGAACTAAAAGGCTTCACAAAGGTGTTTTTACAAAAGGGAGAGAGTAAAATTGTGAGTATTGAGGTGGAGGTTAAATACGCGACGAGTTTCTGGGATGAGGTGAGGGGGGCTTGGGTTAGTGAGAGGGGGAAGTATGGGGTTTGGGTGGGGGGGTCGAGTCGGGAGGGGAAGGGGGAGGGGGAGGGGGAGGGGGGGGTTTTCGAGGTTGAGAGGACGGGGTGGTGGACGGGGTTGTGAGGGTGGAGAGGGGGGAATGAGCTGGTTTTTAGAAGGAGTGAGTAGGTGTAGAAGAAGGTTTATGTTTATTTGTGTGTTTATGCCGGTTTCTGGAAGTGTGGATGTCTGGAGCGGTAGATGTGTATTAGTTCGCTCGCTTAACGAACTGAAGCTTGCCCCTTTTTAGACTTCCGGGACTTTGAATGGGGAAATTTCAAGGGAGCTACCCGTACTATGCGCCTCAAAATCATGGAGAGGCGTGGAATAACTTATTACAGCTGAATAACTGGAGTCAAACAATTCCCTTGAGGCACATGGAATCTCTAAAAATCACGAATGCAAAGTCGGATCAGGTAGAATCCATGCACGTAAATTGAAGCACGATCTCAATCCAGATCGCATTCAAAGCAAACGGATATCTCCCTTAACGCCCCAAAATCCCCATAAACATAACACAACATACATTTCAGACCGTCATCTTGTCCAAAATCTTCAGCACGCCCCTCCCCTTATGCTCCCCCTCATCCAACTCCTCGACCAACCGTCTGGCCCTATCTAGGAGCGTCGCGAGCACTTTCCTGCAATACTCGAAGCTGCCTGTGTTCTCCATGTACGACACGGCGTATCGCTTCACTTGCTCGTCGTCCGTTTTTTGCTTCAGGATGTTGAGGAGTTGCATGTTCTCGGGGCGGGCGCGGATGCTGTGGATGATGGGGAAGGAGAATTTGCCTTCGGTTAGATCTTCGCAGAGGCCTTTGTTGTGGGAGTATTCTGGGGAGGAGAGGTTTTGGTAGTCGTCTCTGATTTGGAAGATTATGCCCATGAGGTTGACTAGGGGGACGCAGTCTCTGGGTGGTTGTTAGTAGGTGCATTTATGAGTAGTGGAACGGGACATACTTGAGCTTGCCGCTCTCTGCTTGCATCAGCTTGATGGCTAATCTGAATAATCCTCCAGTCTTGTTGCCCACCATCTCTAGGTAATCGTCCTCGCTCGGACATGTAAGAGTATCTCTCCAAAACAAATCCATGCCCTGACCTCTATGCAGATTCAACAGCTCCTCGGTATAGATGCTAACAGCCTTCGGATTCTTCAGCTTCGTCAATTCCTGCAGGGCCAGGAAATAGACATAATTCGCCGAATTGATCGTCTGTGCCGTCCCAAAGATACTATGCGCGACTGGCAACCCTCTTCTCAACAACGACGAATCCTCCACATCATCAACCAGCAACGAAGCCGTATGTAGCATCCCCACAACCTTTGTAATGACCTCCAAACTCTCTGCCGGGACCTCCAACCATTCATTGAAAGCCACGATGAATTGTGACCGAATATCCTTGCCCGGATGTGCGAACAGATAATCATATGGCCCAAGCAACACCTTCTCCTTCGTCGCAGACCAGCTCCCCTTCCCATTGAACGCCATATCGTTTTTGTAATATTTCGACGGGTCGGGCCCACCCGAAGGTTGGATCGTAGGATTAACGGCCTCCATGTTCGAAATCGATCGTTTCCTCTGACTGATCCAGTCTCCCTCCGGCACAGGCTTCAACACAGGTTTCGACGCAACGTGGTTTAGTCCATTCTGACCGGTCGAGGACGTTCGCGGAGGTATGGCGTTGGGAGAGCGGAGGTTGTCGTGGGTCATAGAGGAGGGGCCTCTCTGAGAAAGGTTACTTTGATACATCGAGTGAATCCGAGAAATCGGACGACGGCGGACACGTAAATAGCTATTTCCCTCTCCACCAGGCTGCAGGACGAGCAAGGCTGATCGCTGTTGGATCCGTTGCCTAGGTAAGGTAAGGTCAGGGAAGGTTTATTCGAGCTCCCTCGCTTTCGTGTAGTTTGCCCGGTATCGCTATTCGCTACGTCGTATGTACATGTGAAAGATATGCGAGAGAACGAGAGAAGCTGAAGCTGGAGGAGGCTGGTTTAAGAAAGACTTGAATCACGAATCGGCGCCAACTGGTGGATGTCGAAGCCCAACAACGCAAACGATCAACGTCAGAAGTCGCCTGGAACCCGCCAGACCTCGAACGCAACGCCTCTTTTTCACATGTCCACAGCTGACCTGACCAGCTTGCCCTGCTCTCACTCTCTCACTCTCTCACTATTGCACAGCTGACGTTGCATGATTTGATGCCCTCACCTCATGCAATAATAACGTGTGTATAAAGGTAAAGCAAACATGGATTGTCTGCTCATCCAAGCCAACGTATTGGTCTTAGAATGCGCATGCTGAGAGTTTCATCTTTTGCTTTTCCAACCCAGATGCGATGCCCCACGTCATGCATGGCATGGCTCTCCTGTGCAGAGAATCCGTCCGTCCTCAGGCGCGCTATCCCCGAAGCGTGTGACCGCCTTCCATATCAGGCAGGCTCCTCGGCTCTCGAACCGTGGTTGCCATGCCAAACTGCCAGCTCCATCAGACGAAAGAGCGAGCAACAACAACTGAGACTCCTTTCCCGGCTGAACGCACAACACGCAAACTTTCCTTCCTTCCATTAAGCCTTTTCACTTCGCATTTCTGTATTAACAAACAAACAACAAAAAGTCGGCGTCTGCATTCTCTATTCAAGCGATACCCCATTCTCATTCCTTACCATTGCCAAAATTTCGAAAACTACATAAACAAAACACTACAATCATGGAAGCACTTCTCTCACTCTCCTTCGACAACCTCTCCTCCTACGACCAAGCCAAGATCCGCAAGGGTCTCCGACAAGTCGAAGGTCTCCTCGCGCAGATCTGCCTCTCGTCCTCCAGCAGTACGCCCAAGACTGCCGCAGAGAAGCGCCGTTCGGTCATCGATCCGGGAAAGGAACCACCGCCACGGAAAGCGCTGGCGGAACTTGTCAACGATCCTGCGTTTAGGGAGTTCTTCAAGCTGCAGGATGGGTTTGAGTGGAATGTTGCGATGAGATTGGTCAATTGCTTGGATAGGTTGTTGGGGAAGTCGCATGATGGGCAGAATGATTTGTTGATTATCCAGACGTTGGATTTGATTCAGGGGACGCTGTTACTTCATCCTCCGTCTCGGACTCTATTCTCGAGAGAACTGTACATGAATGTTCGTAATCCCCTATTTTCACATTCTTGCACAGAAACTGATTTCCCTCCCAACAGCACCTCCTCGATCTCCTCGAACCGATCAATTGTCCAGCCATCCAATCCGCAACCATCATAACCCTCGTCTGCTGTCTCATCGAGACCCCGCAAAACACTCGAACGTTCGAGAATCTTGACGGACTCCTAACAATCACCTCACTCTTCAAGTCCCGCGAAACTAGCCGAGATGTAAAGCTCAAGCTGATCGAGTTCCTCTACTTCTACCTGATGCCCGAGACACCATCGATTCCATCAGCAAACAACACCGCATCTGTTCCTGCAATGCTACAGCGCAGTCCGAGCAAGCTTGCTGGTGCTTTCAATCGCACAGAGTCGGGCGCTGGTAGGAAACGTGCGGATAGCGAGAGTGAGATCACCAGATGTACCGACGAGAAGAAGCAGCTTTTGAGCAGATATCTGGGCAATGTCGATGACCTGGTTGCAGATCTGAGAGAGAGTACACCATTTGGAGGAGCTCTGAATTGAGCGAAGACACCGTAAATTGAGATTCCCTTTGTTCTTGGCATGGATGGCGTTTAGTGGGCTGCGCGGGCGTTGGCTGCATAGCATTGGGACGGAAAATATGTTCGAGTAATGCATGATGGGAGGGTAGTCGGGAGGGGCTTGTAATATTGCATCCGATAACTCCTTATGTGGAGGCAAGTCTGTCAAATAGGCGTACAATGGATCTCAAGGCAACTCGACGGGGTCTACCGTCGTACTTGGAGGTTTCACATACTCAAACGCTCCTGGTGTAGTGACATTGGAGTGACCTCTCGAACTCTTCGAATCGATCTCAACGGGTACAATGATATCTCCAGGACTCTGCGGACTAACAGGAACACCGCGATGAGCTCCAGGACTCGTGGCAGCGGAATCGTGAGGTTCGGTGAAAGGACCATGAGCTGCCGTTGGACCAAAATAATCCGAGCCCGATCGACCATTGGAAGGCCTCTTGGTCCCTGACTCAGATCCCTGAGACATGGCTGGTGCTGAGGCTATCGCCGCTTGCTTTGCACGTCTTCGATGACCCAAGTAGAGCCATATGAAGCCTCCAAGTACCACTAATGCTCCAACGGCTACTCCAGCACCGATTCCTGCCTTTGCTCCAGTTGAAAGACCGGATGATAAGGTGGATGGTGCTGTAGCGAGAATTCCATTTGGTCCTGTTCGAGTGGCTACTAATGCCGTGCCGCTGGCGCAGTAATTGGTGTTGTCGGCCACTGTGCACGTCTGTCCATTGTCGCAACATCCTCCTCCGAGAGAATTGGCGCAAGGGCTCTGGCTTGTTGGGCATGTGCTCGAGGATCCTGTTGTGGCTACGGTATTCGAACTCGTGGCAGTAGCAACGCACTGGGTGTCTGTTGCACAACCAGAGTTATAGGAGCAACATTGTCCTCCTAACGCTGAGGCGCATAGGTATTGACTTGTGCTTGTGCAGCTTCGGGAACAACAAGATGTCGTGGATACAGCGGTGCCGCTGATACTCGTTGTGGAGGGACATTCGTAGTGGTTGGCATCGCATGGATTAGAGCATGTTGAGCCTATGTAGCAGCAGCTGGCGGTATTGTTCGCGACGATGCAATAATGGGTGTTTGGACAGCAGAAACTTCCCGCGTTGACGTCGAGGCCTGGAAGGTTGTCAGTGAGGATTATTCTGGACATCTCAGGGTAGGTAGGTTACAGGTATGCTCATTAGGTTCTGGACAGTCACCGTTCTGTCTGTTGACTAGATGTGCTGCCTCTCCCAGGAAATAGCGTGGACTAAGTCCTGGCCCTGGCATTGCTCCCCATTGTGCTATTACCGCTGTCAGACAAATGGAAACAATTGCTGTCAGCAATCGTAGCGGGGCCATTGTGAGGGGATTGTGCTTCTCGAGATCGTGAGCCGTGCAATGTGTACTACATTTGCACACGCAACACAACACAACGCAAGACTAGGAACCAGAAAAATACGAACGAGGAAGCAAAAGAAGGCAGGAAGAAGCTGAGTGTACTACACACACACACACCGAAGCATCACATGAGGGTCTCGTACAGCCCATTGTCAGTGTGGCTTAATACTCCACGGTGTTGAGCCCATCTTTCTGGATAAGCTGAGAAGGCTGCAAGCCACATGGTTGTCGAGCGGTGGTTGGTTGCTGTTGGAGCACTTTGCATGCTGTTTCGGGTGCTTCTCGGTCTTGCCCGTCAATCAGAACGAGGCTGAATCCTTCCTGGCGATGTGCGGCATGTACTGTAACTGCACGTCTACGGACAGACGTGCCGCTTTTGGACAGGAGGACCCTGGTTTTTGCATGAGATGTCTTCTCACTGGAGGTTCCAACACGAGGACCGGCTGCTCGGGATGATGCTGTCGTAGATCACGTAGATCGGAAGACATTTTGCATTTGAGAGACTGGTGACTCGGTCGGAAAATTTCATGAAGTCGGAGAGATGTTTTAGAGAGAGATAGTCTTTCGGGTCTATTGAAACTTTTCTAGAAAGTCTCGCTTGCGAACCCGGGCTAGTCATGCATAAGCTACTCGTTCTCAACCTTCCTCAATCAGTTGTCAGATTCTAGTTCATATATCTTGCAGGATTAAAAGTCGACTTTAGTCTCGTGGGTGTTCAGTCAGCTTGAGCGAGTTAAGTCCGAAGCAGAGTTTCCAAGCTCTACTGTCTTTCTGATAGCGCTACAAAATCATCACAAATACCAGGATGTTTTAGAACTTGTATACTTACCTAAAGGTCAAATACGGTTGTTCAGCCGGATTGCGGCAAGTTATACTGCTTATCTCATTTCCCATTTCCTTATGCTATTTTCAGTCAGCCCTGAGGATGATAGTCCCTGCGTTGAAAATTGCAGCATTCTTTTTCAACGGTACAGAGGCTGGTCCAATTCATATTCAACTCTATCAACAAGTCTAGATGTCAAATTGCAAAGAGATCGTAGGTTGGACGGTCAGAGTCGCTTGGCGCATTTACACAACGTCAATAATTAAATTAGCTCCTGCCCTTCGTATGCTAAGACATGCGTGTCACCTTCGGCTTCTTCCGAGCCAAAAGAAACTGATGACAGATTCTGCTGACGCTCATCAACGCAGACGACGGTGCTCCAATGTAGCAGCACTCCGTCGCAATGGACTCCACTGCTTTTTGGGTCTGGGTTGATGCGTTTCGGCGGTTATTACAAGTTCCTCTGTGTCTGTTCATAGCGTTGATGTTCCCAAAGATTTTCTATTCGTCGTTCCTTGCAAGGATTTTAACTCTGGCGTTCATTGCTTTCGAGGCTGCCTTGGTATTTCGTCCACACGAGATCACGAATATGATAATATTGTATCTCACAGGGTTTGGTGCTATCTTGTTTTTGATCTGGTCTGCGATAATGCTTCTTTTTTGCAATCCATTGCAAGACTTTCGAAGGCTACGAAGAGTAGCCGTCACGCGGATAGATGCAAAACCAGCAGTGAAATATGAGTGGGAAGCATATCCAACAGAACTCGGCTGGGAACGAGCTTCCTGGGTCCTTGATCTCCTGGTCAATCTCCGTGGTGTCGGGTGGAATTACCAAAAGCCACGCTACCTCGTCCCACAAGACGTTCAAAAGTTATACCAAGACATCGGCATCGATGTATCGTCCTTTAAACCCACAAGAGGCAACACACTCGACATATCAACATTCTATAAAACACAAAGTATGCTCCTCGTCACCAGATACCTCCTTGTCGATCTTTGCATCAATCTCATGGACATCAATCCCTTCTTCCAAGGTTCCGAACCACCACTAAACTGGATCTTCCCTCTCTCACCTCGCAACTTGCTCCTAGCGCCCTACAATGCTTTCCTCGCTGCCATAGGTGTATACGCTGTCCTAGACCTCTACGGGACATGCGTAGCCCTCATCCAAGCCAGTCTTCTCGGTCCCAATATCCTCGGCACCTGGGGAGAACCGTTCATGTACCCACGCCTATGGGGTCCTCTATCCGCTATCTGGGATGAGGGGATAATCGGTACCTTCCCCTTCTTTCCTCTCTAGCTTACACATAACTAACCTTTTTCTCTTTTTAAGGTTTCTGGTCCACAATGTGGCACGACGTCTTCAAACACGCCTTCCTAACTCTTTCCCGCGCTCTAATCCCCGGCTCAACCCGCACATCTAAATTCCTCCGTCTCAACACCATCTTCGTCCTCTCTGCCCTCTGCCACGCCGCAGCGTCGTACATGCAAGCCGCGCACACTTATCCGATTTTAACGTCCATCTCGTTCGCTAGTCAAGGGCTCGCTATCTCCCTTCAATCGCTCATCGTTTCATTCCTAGAGAAAAGGGGAGTTAGTGAGGTGACGAGGAAAACGATAGTGTTGGTCTTTGCGGTGGTGTGGGCTTATTTTAGCATGTATATGTTTTTGGGTGATTTGGCTGCTTCGAGGGCTTTTACGTTGAAATTGGTTCCGGTTAGTGTTTTTGGGTTGGTGATGGGGAGGAGGTGGCCGGGGTGGTTGGGGAGTTGAGGGGTGTGTTTGTGTAGGTGGGGAGAGGGGTGATTTTGGAGTTGGGTTAGAAGGGAGAAACGAGGGATATTACTAGATTAGAGGATACTCGTAAACGGTTAGAGGTGCTCATGATTAATCATTATTTAGACTATAGACTTGCTCGCTTAAGTTACCCCTTTTTCCTCTCACTTCGCTTCAGTTTCTTGTCTTCCTCTTGACATGTTGAATATGGGGAGTCTAGTTTGATATCCATATTTTCACCCGAATTCCCATACCTTACTTGATCCAATATGGCTTCACACAATCAATTCTCCTATTGTCCTAGTTCATCTCGGATGTTATCTTGGATGTCCTTGTCCCCTCTTGCCCATCTTCCAAGATCCCTCTGAATGAGGTCGCGTGTCCCTTCGGCTTGCATCCCGAGTTCCCGCTACTCTTCAGGAAAGCCTCATTCCGAAGCTCCTTCTCCCTGGCCTAAACCCAACCAAAAAGGGTCCCAGGGTCCCATCATTAACGTTCTCACTCTATACCTCAAATTTTCACCCACTCCAAGCTTTATCACAATTCCCGTGCCCCTACTAAACCACTCACCAAGTAATAATCTTCCTCCTCCACCCCCACCCCCCACCCTCCCCAACCTTCTGCTCACACCCCAAAAGCGCGCCCCTCCTCTCGCCATCCCTCTCAAACACGACCCCATGAATCCTTGCCCACCCCGGCACCCTCCCCTCCTCATCACCAAACTCCTCCTCAACAGCCATAGCCCAGCTTCCAATCCTAGCTCCGAGCGCACTATCCCACACGCCTTCGCGCCGCGGATACCGGGTTAATAGCTCGATGGCGCGGCGGCGGATGAGGGGGTCGCGGCATTTGTGCGCGATCATGTGGAGGGGGATGACGACGTGGGAGTCGAAGCTGAATTTTGGGGTCGTGGGGGAGGTTTTGGTGAGGGTGAGGAGGATGGTTGAGGAGAGGGTGATCACTGGTGAGGGGTTAGTGAGTTTTCTGTGTAAAGTCTGCAAGAAGGGAAGAGGAGAGGACTTGGTTTCCGTGATTAGACGTACTATCTGAAAACGTATCTGTGTAGGCATCGAAATCTTCTTCATTAGTGCAGCACACGCCAAGTAGAGCGATGGTGTCCGCTTCGATGTGAAGTCTTAACGTAGAGGCAATTAGAAGTGTCTCTTCGTCTGTTCCCTCTGTCTGGAGTTTAGTCCACAACGGTTCAAAAGCTGAATGCCAGGCCGAGATATATTTCAAGATACTCTGCTGTATAGCTACCACATCCGGATCCCTAATACCCCACCATGCATTAATCGGAAACGCGCGTTTTGGAGGCCGGGGCCGAGGAAGCGGGACTTGGACGGCGAAGAATCGCATCGATTGCCGGATTATGGCGTTTTCGTAAGGTTCGGCTTGTCGGACTGTGTCGAAGGATAGAGGCATGTTGTCGAGGAGGCTGAGTTCCGCGTTCAGGACGAGGGAATGCCGTTCTGGATTGCTTTCTTCGGCAAAGGATATAGCCTGGACGTCCAACTTGGTGAAGGTCGCAATTAGCTGGTGGTTAACGACTCTATCGTCTCCACATGGACTAGCAGTGATGCCTCGCCGGTGTCGATCAATCAGGATATCCTCGCGCCATGCTTGAATTAGCCGTAGCCCAGTTTGGATCTGTCGAACGGCTAAGTCGTAGTGTCCGTTCCATGCTTCGAAACATAATATAACGAGGCAAGTCAGGAGGGTAGTCGTCAGATCTTGAGTGCCTCTCGAAGAAGCAGCTCGCATCTCTTTGATAGCAGTCGAATACTGCCGTAACGCAGCTTTGTGGTGCTGGTGCGGATTCTCTTTTTGATCATCCAAATACAACGTCTTAAAATCCCCGAGACATTCAGCGGTCAAGTCAAGAGCACCTAACGCAACGACCGCATGCCGAATCGATGGTTCTGAAACGCATGTTTGTAATAGCGTTTGTCTCAAGCTCCCCGAATCGAACGAAGGCAAGATTTCAAAAGCTGTCTTGGAGCAGAAGACATCGAAATAGCGATGATCTTGCTCTGTAGAAAATAACGAGAAAGAGGGTTCACAGGATAGACTAGCGTCAAGCAACGCTTTTTCGGTCTGCTTTGGAAGCAAGTGGTGAGGTTTCTTGATCACGGCTTTGGATGCTGTGACTGGAGTGCCATATCCATCGCACTGGATGCCGAATTTGGTGCATCGTAGACAGTACGGTTTTTCTTCACCGCATTTCACGCGCCGGACCCTGCTTGAATGTAAGCCATGTGAATTAAGAAGACTGAACGCAGCAGGGAGACTGACTTACAAGTCTTACATCCCGATTTCGTCTTTGGTAATCCCCTCCTTTTGCTCTTGATCTGTGGCTCCGACATTCTCTGGTCCTCAACAACTGACAACGGTCCTAAAGTGGCAAAGGATTCCAGTGCGCTCCTCAGTAAGCAAGTAGAAGCTTAATCCGAGACAATCCATCAATAAAATCTCAAGCTGTAGAGCTTTTTCTCCACCACAACTTTTAAAGCACCCAACATTGGCATTGTCAATTCGATAATATATCGCAGCAGTCAGCAAAAGATGTGAAGGAAAGATGGGGATCTAAAGATGGAGATGTCAGCTTTGGCTCGGCAATATGCGGGGCTTGTTCGCTTACGGATTAGGGGTATGGCTTGAAGCATATTCCCCCAAAACTCGTAAGCATATCCAATCAAGAGATCTCCTGTGAGATCCTTGAGCGATAATAATGGGGTTTCCTAGATGAGATGCGAAATTCTATATCAGAATGCGAATCTTAGTCAGCTTGTACGTACTGTTGAATACTGTAGCTGTAGCTTAACAAGATAGCCGATCGGAGCCCGAGTTGAAGACCGTAGTCAGTCTTGAAAATCTTCAGGATAATAGACCATAACCTCAATAAGCCTTAACATGACATTATTCTGTGAGATGGAAGATTTAGAAATTAAATTATCTGACATTCTACAATACATAATTCAGTACATGGGTATCCTTGCCGCGTTCCATCCATCCCAAACGCCGCCTATATGACCAAACGTGTCGCAAAGTAGAGACAAAATTATCGTAGTGAATGTCTTAAATCATACAACGTGTCGTTGAAAAATCAACCTTCCATAAGCACTTCCTTCAGTGCATCGTGGTCCACTGCTCCAGTAGTCACTTTGCTCGGCGCCCTCTCCACTTTCTTGATGAAGCCTGGAATCGGACCCTTTTGATTGATTCCAGGAGATCGTCCCATGAATGCCTTCAGCGGGTCAACAACAGGAGTGCTCACAGTTCTTTGTTGAGATGCTGGCGATGCTGGAGGAGGCGCTCTTAGGTCTGCGACAGACTTCACAGGACTGACGCCCCATCGACTGAATAGCCAACCACCAGTCTTCGGTGTGGTGCCTTCGTTCGATCCCGAGGACGAGATGGACCGAGCATCGCTGTTATTGCCAAGTACGGTGGATCGCAAATAAGATGTGCTATTATGTCCTTGGCGAGACAAGGTCGGTCGAGCCGTGATCATGGATGCGCCTGTGATAGTCTCCATTGATACAATTGTCGATGGAGTCCCAAGTCTAGTTCGTGGTCGAAATAGGAGGCTGTCGCCGGTGATCGTCATTTGAGAGGGCCGAGACTTGAGGGTATGTATGTCGATACCGGATATTGACAAGATAGATTCGTGAGACGAGGTACGCCTGAGAGTTGGTTGGAAGCTCGACGTCCAGTTACTCTCTTGAGAGTCAGCTTCTGACTGTCGAGAGACTTCGGAAGGAGTAGTCTCGTCGTCCAGTGATGGCATGCTTGGTGTTTGCAAGTCAGGAATATCCTCAACGTCTCCGTCTTCCTCTTCATGGATGACATGAGACTGGAAGTTTGAAGGAGCCGCAAAGCCTCGCGTCGATACCTCGGATGCGCGCTTCTTGTGGAATTGAGGTTGAAATTGTGGCGACATGGGATCGACACTGGATCCTGGAGATGTCGGTCTGGAAGAGTCAAAGTCATATCTGTCGAAAAGGGCACTATTTCTGTACGAGCGTGGCGAACTTGGTACTGAAGAAGGCGCAAAGTCTGACATTTGAGCAGATTGCATCGACCATCGATTAGTTGGGGTGACGGGTGAAGGAACTGTAACTGAGGTTTGCGACAGTATCGCATTCGCAACGTCTCTTGAAGTCCTCGGGGACTGCATATGCCTTGGTGGCGTGAACAGTGCAGTGTTGAGCGATGTCCTCTTCTTCTTTGGTCGACGTATCTCTTCTTTCTTTGGTGCATGGTAGTGGTGATGGATATGCAGAGCCTGGGATACGACTTGAGGCTCGACCTTGTTACCAGTCTCATCCGGATCCTTGGGTCCGAGTTCTGCTCTCAAAGTTGGTGGTCCACTTCCATCTCCTTTGTCTTCGATGACAGGCTGATGTATCAGTAGCTGTTCTCTCAACATTTGCACTTCATCGTTGGAGTTCATCAACATCTCCCGCAACTCCACGATGCCCATCTGGAGGTTGGCATTGTCCTGCAAGATGTCCTTGACGAAGTGTGACACAACACTGCTGCCGTGCTTCCCGTTACCGGCCGTGTATGCAGCGGCGCCTTTCAATCTTCCGGCTGCCGTGTCCAGCTCTCTTTCGACGGCCCTCTGCCGTTCCATTCGTCCCATCACTTCAACATGGCGTTCCCTCTCCTCCGTGGCCTCGCGCTCAATCCTCTCCAGTTGCTCCTGAAGATCGTTCAACCTTCGCTCGGCCTTTCTCCATCTCTGTACTGCAGATCTTTCCTCCTTCTGGGTTGTTGTAACAGTCTTCTGCAACACCTCTTGCTCCAACTCCAAAGCTGCAAACTGCGCTTCCAGATCAAGAGTCTTGGAAGCCAATGTTTCCAGCCGTCGCAGTTCCAGGCGCGTGGCATGCAAAGTAGCTTCCAAAGACTTGACATGAGCTTCCGACTCAGTAAGTGTCCCATTCACACTTTCCAACTGATCCAACAAGCCGCGATTCTCCTCGATCGTTTTCGCATTCTCGTTCTCCAACTCCTTCTTGTCCGCTTCCAACTTCTCGATCTTGGCGTTCATCTCGAGTCGATCGCGCTCGGCATCATGCATATACTGTTCATGCCTCACGAGCAAAGCCTGTAACGCGAAGGTCAGCGATTTACTCATTTCGGCTTGCAGAAATGCTTTCTGATATTCCAATAGTCGGGAAAAGGGGTCCATATATGGAGGAAGTGTGAGGGGAAAGCATGTAGATCTCAAGTGACGCATGTTACTCTGTGAAGGGAGCACGAAGAAGAGGGCGCGGGTGGGACGAGGAATGCGTACCTGACCCAAAGTAGCGGCCGTCCGCACTTCTTTTTCGAGGTCATCCAAAGCAAGACAGTTGTGCTTGAGGTATGCGCAACTGTCTTGGCCGCAACAACAGCGGAGGTCTGGCGTTCGGGGGGAGAATGAGGGACATTCTGGAATGCGACCTATCAAGGACTCGAGCTCGTCCTCGGTTGACATTGTTCGATGGTGTTAGATAGTGCGACAGATGGCGCTCGGAGACGGAGACCTTGTGTCTGTGTCGCGTCGTACTTTGAGCATAGTTGCAACACACACACAAAAGCAAAAGTTTGGCGAACGGGTGGTCGAAGCGTACGGAGGATGGTGGAGAGTGAGTGAGGATAGAAATGGTGAATGTGAATGTCCAGGTGGATGTGGCTGGGGGCGTGGGCTTTGGCGGGCGCGGGTCAGAGTGGGTTTGCAGCTGATTTGCTCATTTCGGTCTAAGCTGCGGGAGCAAAAGCGTAGCCTGTTTTCAGCCAGGAACCGACTTTGACAGCGATTGGCGTGTATCGACCCTCCCAGATTTTGAACCCTGGTGGGGACGTCACTGCAAAGATCATCCCAGCAAGTAAACCAATATTATTGATAGCAGATCGCGACCTTCACGCGTGAACATTTTGAAGCTATTCGCACCCGCAATGTAACCATCGGCACTACCATTTCCACCCCCTCTTGTCCAACCAAAAATATCGTTGCTATGAGTACTAACACCCAATACTAGGCCACAGGGACGGTTGTTCTCGAACACCAAGGAAAAAACAATTGTGTCGTACATCCCCTGGATCTTCAAAACAAACCCTAAGAAGCAATTATTTTCCGAGGCAACGGGAGTCGCCATTGGCTTTCCCTATCCGTGGCACAACGCCAAACGAGATGTCTGTGATGAGCTGGATCAGGGGAAAGTACTCCGAGTACAGCACGCCGACTCTTCGTTCGAGCTACGGCTCCGGACCCCCACTTTGGTCATGGCTTTATTACCATGTGAGCTGAATGAATATTGTTTCTCCAGTCAAAGCATCACAAACTGTTTGAGGTGACAGGATGTGACTTAGCAACATGGCTATGGTCGGGTTGCCTAGTAGTTCAGGTTTGAGACAAGAGTACCAGATCAGATCTCGTGGAACTTCTCGGAGAGGACCCGGCAAAGTAAGTTTGCTTCGAGGATTCGTACTTGTTTTTGCTCAGATGACTCCTAATAATAAGAGAGCTATTGCTAGTGCGATGGCCTTACCTGCGACCGAAATCACAGGTGTGGTTGCTATGAATGTCGAGGGGCTGGGAATGAGATCTTGGCAGGCGAAAGTTCGATGGCGATGAGCCTATGACGTTTTGAGAGCGTATTCCCTTTGACTTCCGCACCATGTTTTAAGGGCAGAAGTGGATGCGAGTCTCTGAGTAGATTGTTCACACAGCAATGTAGTGACATATTTCACTACTTGACTATTAGACTTGCCTGTCTGTAGAGTATACCCAAGTAGAGTAGAAGTAAACTCTACCAAATACGACGCGCAACAAAACTAATGGTCCACGACCAGTACTACCACAACTAAGAGGCTAGAGCCAGGATGCACCTAAGCATAATCATATTCATACCCATTTGTTGCAGGGACAGCCGTAGTGACCGATGAGTTGAGCTAAAGTTCACTACGGGCAGGGATTTATTAACAAAGACTTGCAAAAAAGTAGATGAAAGGGATTTCTATAGCACTTGAATAGTCCCTAGCAATGTATGTGCAGCTTTAGAAATCTCACCTCTTTGGTGTTTTGATGAAGGTGCAAGGAACGACTTAAAATACGCCTACGCCTATGGAATACCTCCACGAGTTGACCTAGTATACACGCCGAGGAGAATAATCGGGCAAACACAGACGTCGAATCGCTGCCACCTCCATATGGACTGGGTTAGCTATGTTGATTGGCATTCGATAATGATTGGAATCTGTCTTTGAACTTTGGCATTCCCAACAAGGACGACAAACATAAAGGATGAACATTGTCAACGACATTGTCCCATCCTTGGGCATGTAGATCAAATGCCATCAAGCATTGTAGTTGGAATTAACCTTGACGATGGAAAGAAAAGCTCTGGTTTTTGTGGTCTCGACTCTCACTAGCGAAATGCGCATATCCCGCAAATTGCGCGTACCGCGCCCACAGCGCACATTGCGCACATCCCGCCGAGAGCGCTCATCGCCAACAAAGCACAAATATGTGACTCTCAAGGAGTAATAGAGAAAGGCATGGTCTTTGACAACGTAAAGTAAACATCAACGACAAAAAGATATACTATGCCGATGTACCACAATCACCAAAGACAACAGCTCGAGATGCACGCAATCAACAAGTAGCTCACGAAATTGATCAGCACACAGGATTCAGTTGTGTTTCAATTTAGTTCTAGAGCTCTCGATTCTTTGAAAGGGCCTTGAGCTTTGTTACAATTCGTAGTTTTATGATAGAAGGCCATAGAGCGGAACATAAATCTCTTCATCTGACAAGCCCAATCGTTCAGTGCTCAAAATCTCCGTGCTCCCCACGATTCAATACTATCCAAACCACACACAGAAACATCGTCTGTTTTAGTGCCGTCTTACACCCCAAGGACAAGCGTCTCGGCGAGCCCAATGATCGTGCTCCGGCAGTCTTCGTCCATCGAGTTCCATCTCATTACACGTGAGGCAGTGGCACGAGTTTGAACTCCACACCTAGCATCAGATGAAAAGGCCAAAGTGACTAGGCGAATGAGTTCGTCCATGGCGGTTGCATGTAGGTGAATGGAAGACATGGTAGGCTGCAATGCTCTGTTTGCAAAGAACCTATTGCTCGTAGCGTAGAAGCAATTATCAAGCCAGCTGAAGGAGTCCATACGTGATGTACGGTAATCATCTAAGGCAGAGTCCCATACTATCATTGAGCATTGCTATAGTCATATTATAGTGTACTTTAGATGCTGCCAGAAGCTCTTTCTGCACGGGCGTTCGAGCTTTCCTCATTCTGATATCGATATTAGCAACTGTCTTTAAGGGAAAGTTGAATGGTTAAATACATATAGTGATCATTTTTTCGAGACCAATAATTGATGTGAAGTAGATTCCGTAGAACTCGATGCTCGATGCCCCTGAATTGTCTTGCCAGGGTGAGGAACTCCACGGTTCTGTCAATCTTCCTCTGGTTGAAGGTAGATGGATCCCCTTTTCGAAAGGCATCTCGGAGTTGATTCCTCGCTACAAATCGGGCGGGTTTCGAATATCGGACAGCTTGAAGAAGTCCTTTGTAAAGATGGCGATACGCATAGACAATATCAACTGAATTTGGAGACGACATATCGACGGACGTAAGCAAACGACCTTGCACTTGGAAGAATGTTCCCCAGAAAAAGTACCTGAAGGTTGAGGTACCTGGCACGTGCTGATGAGACTAAAATTTGTCTAAGCCGCTAATCCGTTAGCGCCTCATGGGGGTCAAGCGTCATCGGTTTCTATCGCCTTGCCAGCTGCATCAACACCGAACACCATTTTGCTCAAAGTCAATGTTGTCCAGATGAGACACATGTTCACCAAATGAGCTCTCTAGTTTCCGACTTTCTTATTAATCCTGTACTACGCCAAGCTCGCCGCTTCTCTCGTTCCACCTCTCAAGCTGATCCTCGAGATCCAGTCACGAATCGGCAATTGCCCACCCAAAATAACCATGAACTCGCAGTCGAGGATATAGCGGAGCGTCTGGAAGACTTGGAAGGGCTGAACAATGGCGGTGAATCGATCATATCTGGCACGGCTTTGACATCGTCACCTATTGAAGAGAACGGAGGACTCGAGGCCGAACTACAAGCACTTGAACATGGCAGAGCTCCGGCGACGGCCACTGCGGTGCCACACCGTCTCGCTCCCATACGCTCCAACTCAGGTCAAGTTGACGATGATATGTCTGATAACCCAGACTACGGTATACCTGGCCGTTTTCGGACCAATTCTGCCACAAGCACGACCTTTGGCAGTGGAAATGGCACAATTGTAGATGCGAGAATGAGTCCTGCTGAAGGACCATCTCGTCGTTCTACACTAGACTTGGCACGATCTGGGTCTCTTAATCGCCCAAGGAACAGTTCTCTCCCTGAAGACGATGGTATGAGTCTCTTGCGGCAACAAATCATACGAATACAGTCCATGGATATTGCCCCAGAAGCCAAAGCTCGTATGATGCATCAGCTGTTGACCAGGGACTATTCTCGGGCTCAAGATCAAGTCCACGCTAGGCAACAAGCCAATGCTCCGTCTCAAGCTGGCATGATCAGTCAGGAAAGACCAAGTACGCCAGGATCTTTGAGCTCTTTCATTTGGCAGATGAATGGAGCCTTGGATCCTTCTGCGCCAGAGCAGCAGTACACATTCCATCTCTCCCCCGATGATTTAAAACGAACCTATGCGCCTCCAGACCCCACAGAAGCCGACGAAGATGGAGATGTTGCTGTGGCGGAACAAGAGCAAGTGCTTGGATGCCAGCACTATAAGAGAAACGTCAAACTACAATGTTCTACATGTGATCGGTGGTATACCTGCCGGCTGTGTCATGATGAGGTTGAGGACCATATTCTCATCCGCAAAGACACGAAGAACATGCTCTGCATGATTTGTGGTTGTGCGCAACGAGCTGGTGAGTTTTGTGTCGGTTGTGGCGAACGAGCAGCATGGTATTATTGTGGTACTTGCAAGCTTTGGGACAATGATGCCAACAAGAGCATATACCATTGCAATGATTGTGGCATTTGTCGAAAAGGTCGTGGTCTTGGGAAAGACTTCTTCCACTGCAAGGTAAGCAACAAGAGTCAATATCAAGTCTTAGATACGAGCTAATATCGTGTCCCAGATATGTGGCACTTGCATTTCGATAGCAGTAGAGAAGTCTCATAAATGCATCGAAAGAGTTGCTGAGAGTGACTGTCCAATCTGTGGAGAATACATGCATACCTCTCCCTCGCCAGTTGTTTTTATGCCTTGTATGCACGGTATCCACAAGAAGTGTTACGAGGAGCACATGAAGACCGCCTACAGATGTCCTATCTGCAACAAGAGTGCAGTGAATATGGAGACACAGTTCCGAAACCTAGACAGGGCTATAGCTGAACAACCGATGCCACCTCAATTTCGAGACACGAAAGCGATGGTATCTTGCAATGACTGCTATGCCAAAAGTGCTGTCATGTATCATTGGCTAGGTCTCAAATGTGCCATCTGCGATTCTTACAACACCACTCAGCTGTCAATCTTGAGTGATCCGGAGGTCGAGGTCCCTTCCACGGAGAACCAAGAGAATGAGAACACAACGCCTCCTGACCAGAACAATGGGCAACTCTCATCGTCTCAATACCTGGCGCCAGGGCCTGGACCGACGCGCAGCAGGCGACATTCATCACATACACATACTCCTCCATTACCGGAACTAGCTAATGGTCGATTTTCACCATACGCACGACCACAGAGGATTGTTAGATCGGTCTCTCCAGTTAGAGCTCCAGGGTTCTTCGATACACCCGTCTTGCCTCAGAATATGGAGACAGACGATTCAGGTGAAGAGGATGAATTGGACTTCTGGGGTCGTGAGGAGCCTCGAAGTGTGACTTCGGTTGAGAATGTTGACGAAGAAATGGAAGATGAAGACGAGTCTGACCAAGACTCTATAATGGACGAGTGTGATGAAGACGGTGATGATGATAATGAATTTGATTTATTTGGGCATAGGTGATTTTCAAGGTGCTTGGAAGAGGGTTGAGGCATTCGTCATGGCGTTTTGTATACTTAGTTGCATGGGACGGGGAACATCATATGGTAGGAGGAGTTTGACTAGGGCCAGAGGCATGGTATGCGAGCAAACAGAGCTTGCAATGTAGAAACGGATGATCACTTTTATGAACATGGATTTACGGTTTTCTCTACATCTAGTCCAGCGTGGCTGCAGTACTTGAACTTGGTTCAGTACTCAAATTTGATGCAGTGCTTGAGTTGCTTTTGCGTATGTCACACCGCTAAGCAACCTGCCCATTGTCCAGGCGGTATGCCCAGGACTAAGTAACAAGATGTCACCGTAAAGTGAAGCATGCCTAGCTCCGCTATACCAATGCCAGAGCAACCTTTAACGCCGTGGTTATCTTCCACCATACCAGGATATCAATCGCATCTTCGTCGTTATCATCCAACCCACTCCCTCAACTCATTGACCCCCAGCCTCCAATCTCCTCTTCGTCGCCTCCGCATCCTTCCTCAACTCCATAATCACAGCCTAGAAAACAATCAGTCAGATCCCAGCCCAACACCACACATTATATAAACTTACCGCTAAAGCCTCCGGATTAACCCCATTCTCAATCAACGATATGCAAATAGACAACGTCTGCCGATCCAGATCCGCATTCTAACCACCAGACATCAACAATTACTCCCAGCAGCTGCGAAACTAGGTACTACTAACCAGTAAAGTCGAGATCTCTTGGAAGACATCGATAACCTGCTTAGCTTGCGCGGCGCTCGTCTGCTTGTCTTGCTTGCTGTCTTCGGATGGCATCGTGAGGTTGGCTGTGATGTTTTGGTTTGCGAGGCGAGCGACAAGGCTGAGTTTCTAGCAACGCGCCCTGGACTTTCTTGGCGCGTAATAGTGGAGCTTGCTTCGATCAAACGAACCCCCGCGCCGCTGTCGTGCGCCTTGTGCATGATGAGCTGAGGTGAGCTGGCGAGATAAGACTAGAGTCTCATATCTTCTTACAATTATCTTGTGATTTGTATTTCTGTTCTTGAATGTATTATTTACCATTTATCTACAACGAAACTGACTATTCATAAATCATTGGTTCACCACAAACTTCACCATGAAATCCTCCCGCTCAAGCCTCACGCTCGTGGATAACAAGCCCCCAGCCCTCACCGGCAGCTGCATGTGCGGAAAAGTCACCTACAGCAGCTCTGTCCTGCCCAGCGACCTGGTAAACTGCCACTGTCAAACCTGCCGCCGCCTCTCCGGAGCGCCTTTCCTCACATTCGGTCAATTCCCCGTCTCAGCCATAACATGGACGTCAGCCACGGGAGCAAACGCTATGAAGAAGATGACTTATTCGGATATAGCGGACCGGACGCATTGTGCTGAGTGCGGGAGCCCCATTTCGATGACCTATAAGTGTGAGCCGGAGGCGATCAGTATCACGGCGGGCACGTTTGATGAGGAGAGTATTAGGGGGCAGTTGCCTAGGTTGAAGTCGCATATCTTTGTGGAGGAGAAGGTTAAGAATGAGTGGTATGAGTTGCCTCCGAATGATGGGGTGCCCAAATACTCAGGCTTCCCTAGTGTTTTCTCGAAGAAGATTGAAGAGTGGAAGAAGGTGTTGAAGTCACCTGGGTTGGGTTGAGGTGTTGGTTGTGGATAGATGATTTAAGTTGAGCGAGGAGCAAGGTAGACTTGGATAGAGCTGGCACTTCATGAACGTGTCTCAATGGGTTTCATTATCGAACATGGAACATACAGTACTTAGCTCCACCAGTGAGCTCTTCCATATACAAACAATTCCGACTGACTCCTGATCCGAACATCTCCTAGCTTAACCTTTGAAAGCTTCCACGAATAGCTCTCTAATACCCTTGAACACAATTCGCAAGTCCCGTCCTTCATTCAACTTGTGCGTCAACCTCTCAAGCTGTTCCTTCTCCAACTTAGGCTTGCAGAAAGGGATCTCATATTCCCTCTTTGAGCAGTCCAGCTCGAACCATGCTTCTCTAGTCCAATCACGATCATCGATATGGGTGAAAATGAACTTAAGTCTGTCGCTCAAACCAGCTCCTTCAATCGTCATGCACAGCGTTGAAGTCCAGAAGTCCAATTCAGGGATATTGAAACGAGATTGGGCGTCGATATGCTGGGCATGAGCTCGCTGGGCTGCTAATTTAGCATCGATCTGCTTCTGTGTTTCAGCAATTTGTTGTTTCAAGGACTCTTTCGTCGCGAGATGTGTATCTCTCTGGGCACTCAAGGAAGCGATAGCCGTCTTCATCTCATTCGTCTCGGCGGCTTCCTTTGCGAGAGTTTGTTGATGCGTGCTAGACTTCTGGGTCATAATCTCAATGTCCCTCTTCTTCATGCGCTGGTCCTCTGTATTTACATTAGAGGAAATTCCATACTGGAGCAATCAATGTTTACCTTCCAACTCAGTAACATTCATCCGGAACTGGTTCCTTTCCTCCAGAACTCTTTTACGTCCTTCTTCGATGAAGCTATCAAACTTCGCAGTAAACTTTGCCATCCTGTCGCGCAACTCTTCGAAGCCAAAGTTGATACTGGGCAGCGAATCTGCCATTGATGGAGCGTCTGCAGAGGCAAATGGAGGGCGCATAGTGCTCGTTGACAGCGAAGGCTCAAAAGCGGTAGCCATGGTGAATGCTTTTTTTGTGTATCTTGTAATTGATGTTTTCCTGTTGTGTTTGTGTTCCTCGAAATCAAGATGTTCGAGCGTGGTGTTGTCTCTTGGTGGTTGGTTGGCAAGGAAACTATGACTCGCGTCGGGACTAGCGCAAACCTCGATAAGAAATTCGATATCAAAATTTGTTCCAGTCGAAAATCTAATATCCCAACCACATCTCACCTTGGATTCCTACATATTGCGATTTTGAGCTATTTAGAAACTGTATCATCTTGCGCAATATTTATCAAAGTATGGACATGATTTGGACAGTATACTGTGCTGCGCGACGACGACCAAGACCAGATGGCTGATCATCGCGTTACTGACCTATCTTATGGTCACCTTGGAAAGGCTTCTTATCATACTGAAGGAAATGAGTGGAAATTCTCCGTGGATCTAGATCACAGTCAGTTTCTTTCATCGACACGAAATAATGTTACTAACAACAAGACAGCATCTTCACTGCAGCAGCTTATGCCATTTAAAGAATGGTTACCTCCTTCGATTCGAGAGGTACCTCAAAGCAAAGAGAAACCATCGCAAACGCTTCGGGCACAGCGAAAATGGCTTCTAAAAACGCGCCCTGAAGTTTGTCCTGCCGACGAACTGGCTGCGGATCTCAGTAAAGCGGACTTGTCGCAACAGAACGAGATTCCTGTACAGACAGGATCATTGCTAGCCATAGGACGCGCGGTGGACTCCGATCGAGTTTCGGGCTCACGAACAACTCAGATTCTAGCAGTGGCATATGGAGACGCAGGACATGTTCTTCGACTCATCAGGCCTCGAGTCGACGCTCGTGGATGGGGCAAGGACAGCGCAGCGAAACTTGATCTGCTGGACTCAGAATCTCCTGAATATGGGCATTGGGTTGGAGATTCAGGCATAATCCGACAAATCCTGGTATCGGATACTGAGAATGGATCCGGAGCCTGGCTGGCTGTGCGACAAGATACTTCGATGACCATTTTCAGACCACAATATGGCAGAGTTCATGATGCGTCTACAAGTACAGGTGGTCTTCTAGAAAGATTCCCTGTTTCACAACTGAATCCAAACCCCATAGCGACTTTGACGGTTGAGCGAACTCAGTCCCGGGCTCATGCTGATGTAGCTTTCAATCCGTGGTACGCACGACAATTTGCTGTGGTAGATGACGTGGGACTTTGGAGTATATGGGATCTAGATATAGCCCATGGCAAAAAGGCGTCCCAGATCCTGACTGCTGGCAAGCGTGGAGGAATCTACGACAGCTATGAACCAGACCCTCTACAGGAACCTCTTGATCTTAGCCACTCAGATGGATGGTATAAAATCATGTGGATCTGTAATATCAACACAATACTTGCCTGCAATCGACGCCACATTGCTCTGATTGATCTGGGCGCAGGTATAAGTCGACTTCAGAGTGGAGATATTGTTCCGCTCAGTAGCCATGACTGGATTTTGGACATCAAGCGAAGCGCAAACAACAGCAACCACATCTTTGTGCTTACAACTTCTCGAATCTTTTGGGTGGAAATTGTACCCGGGGAAGGACGCGTAAAAGTTGTGCTCTCATATCGACATTTTAGAAACGCCGATGACGAGACGATGAAGTTGATGGTTTTGAAAGACCATACGCTATCCGTGTTGATCACTTCGTCTATAAGCCCTCTGGTCCAGTTTTACTGCTTCAACGAAACCATGACTCCGTTGGATGTCCCCAGGTCTTGCCAGGGCTCCTTCAGCCTCTCCCATCAAGAAGATAGAAAGATTCCTGGAAGCGCTCATTCACATCTCGCGTTTGCACCATGTCTGCTGTCTGCCCGTGCTGCTATGACGCCGTTCGGAGCAGGACATCAGTACCTTGAAAATGATGTTAGATTCTTCCAAGTATGGGCACTCGGTACGAATCTTGGTTTGAATTCTACACTTTACGCAGTCCAAAACCAGTCTTCCTCAGCTCTGACCAACCTACTTTTTGTCGAACCTCCGACTTACAGAGTACGACAGTCCAGTCGTAGGTTCGGGGCTCGAGTAATGGAGGATTCTTTTGTTGTCCCAGACGGAGAGGCCGAAGACGACTTTGACCATGTTGAAAGAGGAAATATGCAGCATGATAAGCAAACTATGCTGCTAGGTGAATGGCAGGATGACCTTCGTTATAGAATCAATTGGAGAAGGGTCTATAGACACGTGTTTGGTTTGGACTCTGAAGAGAAAGTACTTGCAACCACAGATGTCCCCACTATATCAGAACTTTTTGGCCGTATTTCTGATCATATTCAACATGGACTGGAAGATGGCGAGCTGGCAACCAGAACTTTGTAAGTAGGTGTTACCTATGAAAGACCCTCCTAGCTGACCAGCTGCCCAGCTCTGAAATGTCTGGGTTTGACACAATTTCTGAAGACCTTGAAGCGGCTTCGACAGCTCTTCGTGCATTTTTAGAATCTCTACAACCAGATCCGGATTCCGAAACAACCTCAAGGTTGGTCGTCTCAAACCTTGCGCCTTCTTCAGAAGGCCAGATTCCCGATCTTGAAATACCTAGGCACCCTGACTTGTCGAATTTGTACGATCAAATGGCTGAATACTGGATGGCCAGTTTGCCTCCAAAGTTGTCTAATGTTGCACGTGTAGCAAGATATCGAGTCATCCGACAACTTGCAATGGATGTTTGTCTAAGCTCAATTGGGATCTCAGTCGAAAACACATCGGTCAGTGCCGAAGGACCACCAAGAGTGCCCGAGGACGAGGCAATGTCACTACCGGTGTTCGACAAAGATGGGAGGATCAGTAGGGAAAGCTCACCACCAACATTCTTCTCCTCTCAATTGGCTGCGATTGCAGATAGAGAGTCGGATTTTCGTCTTCTAACACCTGCGAAGACCCCGTCGATATATTCTCACGCTACTTCCGCATCTGAGGTCAAAGAAGATCCTGCGATCACTCGGCTCCGCCAATATGCGATCTCGATACGGGCCAAACCAGATCTAGGCCCACCGTCTCTTCTATCACATTGGCCCTCTAAGCCTGGAGCTGACCCAGCTCAGTACTCGTACGAAGAAGCTCAGAAAGCTTCTATCGCAGCTGAAAGTGGCGATGAGAGTGAACACCGGAATCGGAAAGAGGAGGCTAGACATCGTAGAAGGACGGAAAGATTTTTGAGGCAAGAGAGATCTAGAGCTGTCGAAACAGCTGCTCAGTCAATGTTTATGCCTTCTGGAAGTCAGCCGGCCGCTCTATCCCATCACGCAGTCAGTTCTCAATCAGTGCCTGATCTGCCTATGACCCAGCCCGAAATAGGGGCATTCGGAAGTCGAGTCGTGCCGAAGGGGAAGCGAAAGACCAAGAAGCCTAGGACGGCTGGATTTAGATAGTATAGGACTGAGACTAATGAAGAGCTGGAACAATCGATAGTCGTATTACCTGCTGAAGATTGACCCGGAAAATAATCCGTTGTTTGACTTACACATCCCAGTTGACCGCATGCTCATATATACATAATGATACATCTTAATCCCGTGTTAAGTCTCTGACATTACAAGTACTGATAATGACTAGTTGACTACAGTATTGGGGAAGGAATTCGAATAACAACGCCATCATCAGACCCCATTGGAATCACATGTACCGATAAGTCTAAAATTACAAGTCTATGTTTCGAAATTGCCAACATCTTGGCACTGACCGATTGTCTCCTCATATCGCTTCACATGTCGTCCGTGAAAGTCGACTCATGTTCATCCAATACCGTTGTCAAGTGCATTGGTGTATGTGCGAGAGCAATTCCTATCTAAATTGGCAACAAAGCACCATAGACAAATGCAATCAACACTGTTGTCAAATTCATTACCTTACAGCAATTTCCGTGTGACACGAATTCTTTATACGAATACAACTTCGGTACTTCAAAGTACAATTACTGCCGCCCGGCCCTTTGCGCATGGACATGAAGACGAGAGCCAAGTGTCGCCCTGCTATCCATCCATGTCCTCCTTAAGACTTTGCAATTCTTCTCTGTTGGAGCGAGAAGAAGTTCTTTTATGCATCTTTATGGCCGCCTAAGGCGTCCACAAGTCGCTGCATTCTGGGGCAAAATAAGAAATGGTCAGAACGATCCGTGAATAGTAACAATCGTTCGATTGTAAAAGTTCGCCTGAGGCGCCCACAAGTCGCATTCTGGGCAAAAGAAGAAATGGTCAAATCAAACCGTGAATAGTGACAGTCATTCGATAAAGATTCGCCTAAGGCGCTCACGGGGTGACAACTACCAAACGACTTACAGTATAGCGACAAAGTTGGTCACAGAAACCAATGCACCAATTTGCTTTACGAGTGAACATTAGTCATGAACAAAAAGCTCTATACATTCCAGATTAAACTTTTACATTCTTTACATCCAGTTCTCGAGGAATTGAATTGGCAAGCTTGACCAAGCCACTCGAAATTGCCCCTCGTTTACCCCGCCAAAACGAAGCTGGAGCTTCGCGAGCTAAATATTTACATCCTCTCCCACAACAACTCCTCATTTTCTAATAGTTCTTCAAATACACGCACAAAAACATGTCAGGACATTGCCATGACGAGCATTCGGGTCACGATCACGGCCATGACCATGCTGAACACGACCACACAGACGACATAACTCCCGCACTCCAATACTCGCTCTACCAACACATCAACTTCGACGACATAACCACCCTCAATGAGAGCGAAGCTCACTCTGGCAAAGCTATCGTCAAGAAGACGTGGACCGAGCGTCTTGAAATGGAGCCCGAGCTAGAGAGCGACGCTGATGAGCAGCTATTGATGCATATTCCGTGCGTTTGTTTCCGAAGCTACATTCGCACTTACTAATGCCCGACAACAGCTTCACAGGCCAAGTAAAGCTCCATTCAATAATGATCCGCACCTCACCCGACGACTCTGCACCTTGCACACTAAAGGTCTTCATCAACCGCGACGATCTCGACTTCTCCACCGCCAGCGATTTGTCTGCTACACAAGAGTTCCAGCTTTCGCAAACGTCGGAAATTCAAGATATCCCGGTGAAGAGAGCGCTTTTTGGGAAGGTGCAGAGCTTGACGTTGTTTGTGTTTGATAATTATGGGGAGGATACGACGAGAATTAGTTATTTGGGGTTTAAGGGCGATTGGATGCAGCTTGGGAGAGCGCCGACGAATATTTTGTACGAGGCGGCGGCGAATCCGAATGATCATACCATTAAAGGGACTTCGATTAATCAGATGGGAAGTAGTCTCGGGGGAAGGGATGGGATGTAAGGGGGATGTGGAAGTTGTTAATGGAAACAGGGACAATATGCATTAATTGTGAGCGCAAAAGTCTCCGGTAAATACTCTTTCCCTAATTTTAGATTGTACATTTGCTTACCAGAGACCAGGAGCGGATGAAATAAAAAAGTTAAGGATACCAAGCTCAAGATGTCAACTTGGCATCTTGAAGCTAAGCATTGGATTCACCGAATATTACTAGACGATGAATGGAACACTGCATTATTATGGACTTGATAACATTTACATGAAATCGTCCTCCCAGTCTTCACCACGATCTTGATTGTTGGCTTCCTCGCGATCTGCTTCCTGGAACATCTCATCATAAGCATGATCCTTCTGCCACTTCTTCTCCTGCCTCTCTTTTGCTATCTTGGCTTCTTCCTTCTTCTATCAAAGTTCATTAGATCTTTGATACTCTCCAACAGGGGAAATAAATCTTACCCGCTCTAGTTTTGCAGCTTGGTCTTTCTTTCTCAACGCCTTCAAGATTTCTTCCTTCTCCATGGCAAGATCGGGAAATTTCTCTACTTTCGTCTTATTTAAGCGATTGACGATCGGGTTCTCTCGTTGAGGGACGAGTATTCTCTTGACCTGGATTTCCATGTAAGCAAAAAGCACCAAAATGCCCCTTCTCGAATTTTACCTTTCGAGGGTCTTTGAAGCCCACTTGGCCAACAGCCATAGATCCGTCCTTCTTGAGATTTGACCATGGCGTATAGATCACAGTAATATTGTCTTTCTTATTGCCTAGCAAAATATCAGTATCACGTGCGATTTACAAAACAAATTCGCACCTTCGATTGAGTTGGCCTTTGTGAGCTGAGCGCAATCGACCAGAACCTCTTCATTGATAGATTCCCAGCTCTCGCCCTCCTTCATCCGAAGATAGATATGAGCACTCGATAACTTGTCCGCATGGAACCAGACATCCTCTTCAAGCCCATATTTTATCAGGTCCTCATCTGAGTCTCGTCAGCTCTATTCAGTTTTTCAAAAGGGGGAAGTCATACTTTCGACTTTATCTTTGCCAGCATACAGACTCGCAGAAGGCGTTACCACATTCGAAGTAAAATAATAAACCATTGTTATCTCAATTCCATATTTTGACGTTGCAACCTTGTCCGCCTCGCCAAAAACCCAATTTTGATATTCGCTTCACTTTTAGTCTTTCCGGGCAACCGTAGCGAAAATAATATCCCAAGCTCTCCTTCCACGACCTCGTCAAGCAGCCAACCTCACATACAATGGCGCCCAAACTCCCCACAACATGGGGCGCCATCCAACTACCGCCCTCATTCCTCCTCCCAGACATCCTGCTTCCATTGACCGCGAAACGCGGCGTGAAATATGGATGGACGACCGCTCCAGCGCGCGGAAAACCAAACCGCTTCAACCAAAAGACCGCCGGTCTGCCCGTCCTCGAACACTCTCCCGCCGCGGCCCTCAAACGCAAAGACTTCACCTTACCGCTAAGAACGGGCGCTCTAGCCGTCAAGAAAGGGATGACCGCGCTCTACGATCCAGAGACGGGCGTCAGGACGCCGTGTACGGTGCTGCAGGTCGATCGACTACAGGTCGTGGCTCACAAGACGAGGGCCAAACACGGGTATTTCGCCGTCCAGATGGGATCTGGGTGGAAGCACCCAAGTAATGTGACGAGGCCCGTCCTTGGGCATTACGCAGGCGCGGGCGTGGCGCCGAAGAGGCAGCTGGCGGAATTCAGGGTGAAGGATGAGAGGGGATTGCTGTCTGTCGGGCAGAGCGTGGGGCCGGAGTGGTTTCTCGAGGGCCAGTTTGTGGATACGCGGAGTAACTGTCGGGGGATGGGGTTCGCGGGTGGGATGAAGAGGCATGGGTTTAAGGGGCAGCCGGCCAGTCATGGGAATTCGAAGAATCATCGCACGATGGGGAGTTCGGGGCCGTCGCAGGGGGCGGGTTCGAGGGTGCACCCGGGGAAGAGGATGCCAGGGAATATGGGGGGCCAGCAGGTTACGGTGCAGAATGTTAGGGTGTTGAAGGTTGATGCGGAGAAGGGGTTGATTGTGGTGAATGGATGTGTGGCTGGACCGAAGGGGTGTGTTGTTAAGGTGCAGGATGCTATTAAGAAGCCTTGGCCTGTTATTCCTTCGGTGGTGGAGGAGATCAAGGATGTGTTGAAGGAGACTGCAAAGGCGTAGAGCAGGACTTTGTACATTTAGATATTGTACAATACACGTGGCATATACCGGCGTTTTAGAGCAAGAAATCCTTATACGCCAATCCAATGCCACGCTTCTCACGTTCCTTTTCATAGCCATCTACCTTCTTAGCCCTCTAATTCCTCAACCCGACAAATTCGGAGCATAACTCCCTCTCCCAACCTGCTTCGGCTCCTCCTCATCAACCTCAATCCCGACAAACGGATCACTCCCATCGAGCAAATCAATCTTCTCCCCGCCCCTCATCTCCAGACTCCACTCCGTCGTCTCAAACATCCCCATCCTCGTCGGCCTAAAACTCCTAAACCGCATCGTGCCCACGCCCCTACTCCCCTTGACCTCGAACCGGATATCAATCCTGCCATGCAGCTGGTTCATCTCGCCCCAGATCCACGGCATCTTGTGCGCGAAGTAGATCTCGTCGCCGAGGGCCTCGCGCGCCGCGGGCGAGGTCCGCAGCGCGTACATGGTCGAGGACACGACCGACGAGGACGACTTTTGGTAGTTGAAGATGGCGAGGGTGGAGGAGATGAGGACGGCGAGGAAGATGGGGATGGTGCGCATCCATTTCATGCCGTTTTCGGGGATATCTGTTTTTCTGTTGTTAGTTTTGTGTTTGGATATGGAGTGGGTGAATAAGTGAGGGTTGTACCATACCAGGTAATTCCCGATCAGCGCGTCGAGACATCAGAGGTCCGTCTCCCTCTTTCGGAGCAGCGATTAACGTCCGTCTCTGCACGAAATGTTGCCTCATAACAGCTCCTCGATACCGGGGCAGGGCCCGCGATCTTAGGATTCGGAGGAACATCTTGTTTACATGCGTTGAGGTCGATGTTAGGAAGATGTTGGTGGAGAGAGAAATCATTCGACGATCCTCGCGAGGCTGAAATTTCTTGAGCCGAGATGCAAACGAGGCCACGAATCTTCGTCACGCTTCCAGGTTTACTTTTCGCAACCACTCTTCGATATAATCACATAATAAGAAAAGAAGAATCAAACAAACAAACATGAACCAAACAACCGCCCGCCTCCGAAAAACATTCCACTACCCACACGACAACTCCTCCTCAGACTCCCTCCCCGAAGCCCTAGACGAAGAAGGTCAGCCTTCCACCCACCACCCAGAATCCACCTCACCGATATAAAATCTAACAACCCACACAGAACAAGAAAACCTAATCCACACCCTCACCACCCAAAACGCAATGACAAACACCCTCTACCGGCACGTCCTCCTCGCCCTCCCCCTGCTGAGCATACTCCCCTACCTGCCCTCGCTCTTCCTTCCACCTCCACAGACAGCATTGCTCTCTTTGCTAGCTGTTACTAGTTTGCTTAGCACCGCTTATCTCCTCAACTCTCTCCCTCCCGAATCAACCGGTTTTCAGTTCTTAGATGCTTTGAATCGAGGAACGGGAACGGGAAAGGGGAGGGAGAGAGGAAGAGATGAGGGGGGACCGGTGAAGAGGTATCTCCCGTGGTTGAATCTGGGGCTTTGTGCTGTGGTGGCGGTGGCGGGACTGGGAGGGAAAGGGGAGTGGGTTGGTTTTGGGTGGGTGCCGGGGTGCGTGTTGGGGGTTGTGGTTGTGGGGAAGTGGGTTATGGGGGGTGTGGATCCGGAGGGGGAGTTAGGGGGTTTGAGGTATGGGTTTAAGGGTGCTTAGGGGTTGGCTTGGGTTGGAATTTCTGTGTTGAGATGAGATTGAGCTACGCGAATGTAGAATGGTGAATGTTGGTCACGAGGAAAGAAAGTTGTGGAAGAAAGATAAGTTAAGTGCTGCATGGTCTAAATGCTATGCATGACTTTTGGTTATGGACCGACTCATTACATATCAATGCTCTCATTGAATCGTAGAACACCATTCGCTTTCAGCACACCGTCGATTCCTGCTGGGAGTCTAGGGAACGGGTCGTCATATTGTCCCTTTGATGCTGGCTCTGCAGACTTATCTGTAACTAATACCAATCCTTGCGCTTTGATGGCTTCAACTAATGCTGGGACCATATCCTGGAACCTATTAGCAAATTCCGGATGAAAGAATAGTAGATCGATCGGGCTTACCAGAAGTCTTGAACAACAAATCAACCCCATGAAGTTGTTGTTCTGAGCTATTCTCACAGCCTCTTTGATAGAAGTTGTTCTTCTTCCACTGCTTTGCGTACAAGCAGAAACGGCTAGTTCTCCCTCGCGGCCGAGGTCATTACACAAGAAGACCGGATAATTAGGCTGCTTCCAATTCAAAGCTGTACACACAGTCGGATTGTAAGAGCTGAAGACAATGGATCTCATAGAATCCGGTGACCGTTCTCGTAAAGCTCTGGCATGATCGAAGACAACTCCAAGAATCGCATCTCCAAAGACATTGATATTCACGGTTGGCCCAAGTCGTAGCGTCTTCTCTTCCTCTGAAGATGGATATAACACTTGAAGATTGACGTGCATACCTTTGGGGAGTAGAGCGAGGGCATCCTGAAGAGACACTGCTGAGCTTGCCAGTATACGGTGGATTTCAGCAATATTGCCAGCTGAGTGATTCGGTAATTCTCTCAAGTCTCCGGCCTTGCTGGCATGACGAGAGCCTGCGCTAATGAATTGCGCATATGTCAGACGGCTAACTGGAAACTCAATGTCCATGTAATCCATTGTCCATCTTGGCCAAAGGACGGGTACGCCATCACAAGTGTGCTGCACAAAGAGTTGCACATAATCTCCCGACAAACTGGAACCAGTAATAAAGGCACTGGGCCTATGATCGAACTGGCTGGTCGCCTTCCAGTACGTCTCGAAATCTGTAATCTCCAGAGGCTTTCCTTGGAAGGGTTTAATCACTTGAAAATTGAACGTGATCTGGCCAATGGCTCTCAACCTCGGGTCGAAAAGTGGCAAGCAGCAGCGTCCTGAGCTGCTCATCAATGCTCGGAAAGTGCTAGGAAGTGCGACTGTCTTCGCAATAACCTTAGCACCATAAGTAGGAAAGACATCGAAATCGATGGCAAAAGAATCTAGATTATCAATCTGAAAAGAAACAAGCCGGGTATCTTCCTGAAACGGGAGCAAAATGTTCTTGGGTATTAAATCGGAAAGCTTTGAAGAGATGGTAAGACGTGCGGCGGGATATTTGCTATCATGGAAGAACACCATAGGCTGGTCACCATTCTCTTCGAAGCTGATTTGGATGAAGGTCTTCGTATCGAGGAAATTATGGCCGTAACGTCGTAAGGGTATAATGGGAGGAGGGAGCTCGAGTTCTGGAATTGCATCCGCGTCGAGACTCATAGGCATCGGTGCACTACTTCCAGTCATTGGCGCAATCTGCGTCGATTGAAAACCTGTGCGACTGCTTCTACTGCTCATAGGTATGGAGGATAGAAGTCGCATGCATTCTAGATGACCTTCCCAGGCAGCGTAATACATAGCAGAAAGCTCTTTCTCATCAAGAATATTGGTCTTCACACCAACTTCGAGAAGAGTTTGCATGCAAGGCACATTGCCCTCACTTGCTGCATGGAATAGTGGAGTCCAAGAGTAAAGCTTGTCAATCTGGTCCAGATTCGCACCATAATCCTTCAGCAGAAGAAGCAATTGTGGTGTTTGCCCAGACCGAGCAACGAGATGCTGAGGGAAGAGACCTTCGGCATCTGGCAATATTGCAGCGCCGTGCTTCAGTAGTAATTCAACTATAGCGACGGAGCCGTGTTCACAAGCCAAGTTGAGCGGTACATGGTCTGCATCAGAGATCGGATCGATTCGAGCAGATCGTGCCAGTAGTCGTTGTGCACATTCGAGATGTCCATGTATGATGGCATGTATCAGTGGAGTAAAGTTGTCGTGATCGATAAGATCAATTGTAGATTGATCGGCTGGTTGGTGGTTAATGTATGAGGTTAAGGGGTACGGGGTACAGTAGGGGGGTTTACCATTTAACAGCGCCTCTACCATATCAAGACGCCCATGCATACAAGCATAATGAAGAGGAACTCTGCCATAGACATCAGTCCTACTTACTGCCACGTCTTTCGACAGACCGACTCCTAGAACGAAAGAGTTGCCATAGATCGTAGCTTGGTGAAGACAATTTCGCTCATTTATGTCATCTTCAGATTGAACATCGACAAGACCAGTATCGAGCAAAAGTTGCAGCGATTGTTCTGGACCTTCATTTATAGCAGCCAGGAAGGTTCTGGTGATCCTCTCTAGCAATGCGACGTCTCTAGAGCCATTCGGATCGGCGGCAGTCCTCAATCGTAATAAGAGATCTTTGAGAGATTCGAGGTTACCAGAAATGACAGCTTCGAGTAGCAGGGTATCCGCATCGCCTTCGTCCGTTCCAAGTAAGTGTTGACTGCTGACAATGTGATCTGGACTTCTGTCAAAGCTAACGTGATCGCCTTCCGACCAAGCACCAAGTTCTTGTAGACTAGTGGTCGCCTGATCCGACAACTCGCTGATAACGGTCGCATTGAAGAAAGGCTGTACTTCGACGGCCCGGGAAAGGTACAGTTCTTTGGTTTTCGACTTGGATGTTTTGTCCCATTTCTTAAGAATTTTGGAAAAGGCCGTCCCGTTGATTTCGACAAATTGCTGCAGTTTGTTGAGATCGTTACCGAATTGCTGGAAGCCCTCCTCTAAAGTCGTGAACTTTGCGGATCTCCTGGATGTGTTCTGACTCCGCGACTGGAGGACCTTCTTCTTGTCTAAGAGCGTCTTGAGTCGGATTTTGAGCTGACGAGGTGTCAATGAATGTTAGAGCCCCTTAAGTAAATTAGCAACCAACCTCGGCTTCTTTTTGTAAATAAAAGGCATTGACTTTCTCCAGCTCTCGTTCCTGTTGACTCTTCAGCATTGCGGATGTGATAGCTCATTGCGTGCTGGCTTACTAGTTGGAAGAAGAAAGTGGCCTTGTTGGCTTGTAAGGCCGCTTGAGAATCGACGATGCCTGACGGGCGGTGAACATCATTCTGGGCCAGGAGCGTGGGCGTCGCAGAGAGCTTCTTGATGAGCTGCCAACACGGTATTAGCGCACATGGCCGAGCTCTTGGTCAGAGAGAGCCTGAAGAAGTGGCGAGCTTATTGCTTTTTCGACACAGTTGGAGGTAAGATCATCGACTCACCTTCTTAAGAGCTTTGTAGTTCACGAAGCTGGCGGCATACTCTGGGACCTCGAGCTGCCGTTTCTGAATCTGCTTGCCAAACTTCCTGAACGCGCAGAGGGCATAGTCAGCTCCTGTAAGTGAACATGCATAGCGAGCATGCAGGAAAGCGTAACGAGGTAGTGGAAAGGACGTACATAATGCGGTGTTGGCACCCGCAGAGCCCTGAAGGGCTGTGAGCGAGTGGGAGGACTTGAGAGAGGAGGCCAGTATTTCAGTGAAGGATACTAGGTAGCTAGCATGTCACATGCGAAGATGCATTCTAAAAATGGACCAGCTCTGAGTTTCTCCAAGTCAACATCCAAACCGTCGCGGAAATGACGTCGAATGTGACGGAGCAGCGTGTGAGGGGAAGATTGGTTGGGATGTCAGCTGCAAGACGTTGCAGCAGAGAGGACGAGGATGCAACGACAGCGGAAGCACGTGTGTGCAGTGGGTGGTTGCAGCGGCCGGATACAGTAACCTTACCACCAAGACAAACGCACGCACGACCTTTGCTTCTTGGGCTTGAAGAGAGATGTGGCGGGAGACAACAGTAATAATACCAAGTCCGTCTTTCGAGGATAGACGCGCGAGTAATAGTAGCAGCAGCAGCAGGAAGACGAGTTGGGTGGAGTGTAGAAAAAAAGTGTCGATGGAGAAAAGTAGCACGAGTCTTTCTTGCGTCCCTCGTCTCGAGTAAAGTCAAGTAATAAAGTACGAAGTAGCCCCAAGACGGACTAGTGAGGGGCAATGCGACCCAGCAAGACAACGCAGAACTGACTGTACAGTAACTGCTAACTGCTCCTATGACCCTCCTCCGAGCTCGACAGTCGGGTTTGGTCTGCAGCGAGGACTGACGGTATTTCCCTTTTCGACCTTCCCGTGTTTGACACAACTTTGTGCAGTCCCTGACTTGCGTTCCAAGGCTGCGCTTAAATTTATTAGCGGAGAGAACTTTCTTTTTCTACCTGCCGAGGCCAATCAGCACCGCGCAATCAACAACGTGCGAAGGAGGGGCGCGCAAGGCTGCGAAATCTAGAACTGGAAGGCTGAGAAAGTGGGATGTTGAAAATGGGCTATCTCGAGTCAGGGACCAGAAGAAGGTTGCAGTATGGCGGCATTCACGCGATTCATGCAGGTATTGGTGACAACGTATCTATTCAAGGGGACCTGAACCGCATTCCAAGCCTACATAGGTACGACTTCGTGATAGGGAGGCTGAGGTGTCAGGGATCGTCAAGGAAGGCTGAATTTAGGGTTGTGCTACATGAAAACTGAGCTTGGAATATATACCACCTACCTGCACTTATATACTTTAAAGGGACAACCAATAAATAACTTATTGGCATGCACTGATTCAGTTATGACTCCATGTCACTAATGTTGTGTTATCAATTCATGATGCAGTAATTCATTCGGATATCATTGACCTTCTCTGACAAGGAAATGGATCGCTAGTAGACAAAGACAACACCTCGACATCCCACGCCCCACATGCGACAATTCAGGACTTTCCACTCAATTTCTCATCTGCAATCTTGTCCTTCGTGCCAACTGTCTCGGCTGGTTCGGGCTTCCGGGCTGGCTCAGCAATATTGTCAGCCATGGCCTCAGCAGCAGCCTTCTTCAGTCTCTCAGCATCGTCCATCTTGATCTCCTTGCCACCAACACGATCCTTGGACTCTTTCTCATCCTCACTGTCTCCGAGACTGAATGGATCATTCTCCGTCTCGCCGATCGGGCTAGGGTCAACAGTAGATAGTGGTTGCCACTTGCTCTGCTTCCCTGCTGGTGGTGCGTTTTCCTTAGCTGCAATCTTGGGAGAAGTTCGATAGATGTCAATTTCCTCTGGTGGACCGCCTTGGAACGAGACTTTGCGACCATCTGAAGGTCTAGGAGCAGCAGGGGTAGGTTTGAAGAGATCAGGGTTGGCGAGAGGACGAGTGGATCGTTGCTTCTGAACAGGTGCTATGTCCAACGTTAGAATGAAGTTTTCGATCGTGGATCAGAATACTCACTACCATCAGAGTTCATTTGAATGCCGGCAAAGTCATCACTCAGTAGTTCGGGATCTGCATCATAACGGCCGTAGTCGCCACTTTGCCTACCGTCACCACTTCTGCGGTATTGGCCCGACGGTCCAGATTGATAGCCTTGTTGGGTGTTGTCATCCTCGCCATCGATTTTCTTTTTCAGATTGGTGATCCAACCATTGACTTTGCTCTGTGTTTCAAGAAATCCTTTCTTCAGGTTTTCTCTGATTACGGGAAGATCATCGTCGATGAAGTTACGTTCAGGTTCTTGCTGATAGTTCTCATTCGGTCTCAGTCCAGTCTGTTGTCTGCGAGGTTGGCTTCCTCTGCTTGCATTGTAAGGTCTCTCACTGCCATAGCCGCCTCCATAGTGTTCCGCAAGTTGACGAGCATATTGCTCATCGGCCTCCAGCTGAGACTGCGGGGTAGATCCAACACGTTGTGCTTGAGGCCGTGGAGGCTGGGGTGGAGGAGTCGGCTCTCTTACGGCATCAGGGTCCGACATGCCTATTCGATCAAGTCAGTGAACTGTAGGACAACTTTTGGTGTGCTGCTCACCAAGTAGAGCATTGAAGGCTGGTTCAACATGACCACCACTAGCTCTCAAGACAGCTTTGACTACAGCAGCATCGATGCTAGGGAATGCTTCCTTCAACGTATTCTCGGCTTGCTGCTGAGGACTGAGAGGACGAGGAGGCTTCGCAGGAGCTTCATCCTCAACTGTTGCATGCTTTGCTGCGGTTGGCGCATCGCTGCTCAATATTCCTGACTCTTGGACATCTTCATCATCGTTCTCCATCTCGAAAGGACGCGCGGTCGTAGGTGATTCAGCTCCTTGTGGACTCTTGACCTGAAGGATTTATTGTTAGCAAGTTTTTAAACAAGTATGCAAGTCTGCAAATAATGCATGAATGCAAATGTCCAACGGTGTATCAGAGCTTACTGGGCTATCCGTGGGTTTGGTTGGTGCAGACATCGTTGCTGTTCGAACACTATCTCTGGATAATCTCTGGATTGATTATTGTAGCCGCGCCAGATTCACTGATATGAAAAGGTCTTGTATTTCTGATGCCTAAAGGATTCGTATGTCGCGGTCCTCAAGAGCTTCTGACGCCAGCCCTGACGAGGTGAATTCATGCCCCACTGTGGCGGTGCATACAGTCACGTGCGAACCATGCCATGTTAAATTCATTTTCTGAGGATAATGAAGTTGGGATAGTTTTTTCTAGTTTTATATTCAAGTTACTTTGTGGACTTTGCTTTTAAACATTGGATAATTAACGTCGGCCTTGGAAATCCTGCAGTATTTGTGAATTAAGCATTTGGTATCTCCAATCAGTTTCAGCGGAACTCCTGTTCTGTCAGCTTTTGGTGGCAGCACAGGCTACATTCTTATTGGTCTGTGAAACACGAGCTGCACCATACTATTTGCTAAGAGCCTCATATTAACTCTGAGGCAACATCAACAAGGTGGAACACCTCCAAGCATCCATCCTTTTCTCAACGGGTCAGAAGTTGTCTCTAAATTTTCGTACACTAGGCAAATGAATGGCTTGGTGTCTCCTCTGCGTGGATCCTTATCCTTGAAGATCAAGTAAGCACTTGAAGCGGAAGAGTTGTGCTGGTCGATTAGTTGTTCAAAATGACTGGGGACTGGAGTACAAGACCCTCGAAAGCCCCTTCTTGATTCTTCTGTTCAGCTCAATTGTCTAGTCTCATGTTCCTTTCCTTTCCTTTCCATTTTCATTCACTAGTACTAGCCATAAACTTTTCAGTCTTCGAGCAAGGATGGACAACACCTTACACCAAAGAAGTTATCTTCTAGAGCTTACGAATTACGCTCGCACTGCTCCCTTCCTGACAGCTTCTGCATCATGTGCCCTTTTTCTTATCCTCACACGGTTATGGACCGGTTTTGTGAAAGCGAGACGGCAGAGCAATACTGGGCCACCTGAGAAGCAGGTTCCGATTCTTCCATACTGGCTTCCCTATGTTGGCCATGCAATATCTTTCGCCTGGTCATTCGATGATATGCTCGCGTATGGACGGTCAGTTTTGTCCTGCGATGTTTATGTTGGCAATCATTAACTTAGCTTCAGAGATATCACCACAGATGGCATCTTCGGTCTTCGAATCATGGGTTCAACGCACAATTTCGTTCTCATGCCTTCGCTCGCAAAACAGATCTTCCTGCAACGTCCTGCGGCTCTCACATCAGATGATTTCATTCATTGGATTCACGATAAATACTTTGGAGATGGGGGTGCAGCGAGAAAGATAGGACATGACAATTATCATGCTGTCCACCAAACATTGACATCGCTCATGAAAGAGGCATTCCTAAAACCTGCGACCGATAGAACGGCACAGCTTGTAGAGGAACGAACGCCTCATATGTTCACCCTCTCAACCAACCTTGCGAGCCAAAATGAGTGGGAACGCTGCGCTGGAGCTGTTGCCATGGAGAAGTCTGCCGTCGAAGTGAATCTTTTCAAATTGACCATGAACTTTGTTGGCGATATTGCGGGAACAGTTTTAATGGGCAAAGCCTTCTTAGACAACAATCCAGGAATCATGCAAGATCTTTGGACATTCGACAGTGGATTTAACGCTCTGTTAACTGGTGTTCCAGTCATCACGCGAGGTCTTACGAAAGCTACAAATGCCAGAGCACGGATCAATTCGGCAGTTCACGAATGGAATCATGCTGTTACGAACATGTTGGATGGCAAGGAAGTGGACGCAAAATGGAACGATCTTTCTGACGTTTCTGAAACTATGCGCTTGCGGCTCCGAGCCCTCCAGAAAGTCGACGCCGACAACCCTTTCGCTATAGCTTCCAATGTCGCTGTATACTGGGGCTTAATGGTCAATGTGGGTCCACTCCCAAACCTCGTGTCAGGAAAATGATCGCTAATAAGAAGAAGGCAAACAAAGTCATCTTCTGGATGCTGCTCCATATCATTTCAAACCCCGACCTCCTCGAGACTGTTCGAAAGGAGATCAAGCCATACGCTCAAGTCACCCGATCTGGCTTTGACTCTCTTAAACTGGATGTCGAAGGCTTACTTAAGTCTTGTCCCATCTTGAAGAGCTGTTTCTTTGAGTCAATGCGATTATACACTGCTGGTGTATCATACAAGAAAGTATTGCAAAACGTAACTCTCACAGAAAGTGCTGAAGACGCCGCTACCTTTGGGAAGCCACGGCCTCAGACATACCACATCAAGACTGGGGACTTCTTGATAATACCTGAAGCGACTCTTCAGACTGACCCTCGATTGTGGAAAGACCCATCAGTGTTCTGGCCTGAACGATATCTAGTGCCAGATGAGAAGGATCCTCAGAAGACGAAAGTGGACAGTCTTCATCTGTTTGCTTTTGGAGGTGGCCCTAGCGTTTGCAAGGGAAGAATCTTTGCAGAGCGAGAAGTGTTGATATTCGTTGCTGCACTAATCTCTGTCTGGGATTTCACTCCCGTTGGCAAGTGGACGATCCCAAAGAGCTCGTACAATGGGACCGGCTCCGCAAATCCTAAGTCAGACTTGCGAGTGAGAATGAGCAGGCGAGTTTGAGGTTGATATGAGGTGATTAAGTACCGATGTCTGTCTTGAAATGGCGCATGTTGCCTGAGATTTATGGGTCTGGATAAAGTGCGAAGCTAGCCTTCCGGGTAACGGATGTGTTCTTAGTCTAAAAATCGGTCTCTATTCCTGGGTAGCGAACTGATTGTTGGATGCTCATTCAAAGCAATGATCCGATCAATCGTACTTCAAATACGCTTTCTATCCATGATGTCTGAATCTTATCTCCCCGCTTACTGTGCCAGAAATATGAGAGAGAATCCAATCAGTTGCCACAGCATTGCAAGGATGGCGGGAAAATGACGATCGCAGACGTTAAGATCGTGTGCGTCCACCAAGTATAATAGATTACCAGTACAGTACAACAGTAGTCATCCCGTAAGCTCACTGCAGCGCGGGCAGGAACTGACGAGCAATGAGAGAGCTTGGTGTGAACAAGGGCAACTCGAGGGCAACCCCTCCTCGCTAAGCACGGCAAAGGGGGTGAGTGAAGAGTTCTCTGTCGTGTGTATAAGCACTCTGAGACACCGGAGCCTGAGCCCCAAGGCCATAATCCATAGTTTCACCCCTTAAAAATGATTATCTGCTCACAATGCCCTGCCAGATGCTGCACCGTGCATCGGAAGAAGCAATGACGGACACCAGCTTGTGAAAGCCCGCAGTGGATGTTGATCCTTACCTCTCTCTTCGCCTCTCATGCTACTCGCTCGTTGTATTCTGTACACTCGAACCCCGCAAACCTGAATCGACTTCTCACTTCTATCTTATATCCTCAAATTCAATCGCCTCTCGCGGCTGCAAGTCAAGCAGTCAATCTCTTCTTTTCGATTCACGATCGAACAGAGGACTTCATGGACTATCCCTGGTTTCTGGCCTTATCGGGACCGCGCTGAAGAGACCTCGAGTCTCTCGCCGGTGAAACTAGGTACTTGCCATGATGCCTTTGAAGTCTGGTCCGCACGACGTGATCCAGGAGCAGAAGCCGTTAGAAGTCCCTACAGTGAAGCCGGAAGGGCAGCAGAAGAGATGGGTGAAGAGGTACCGAACAGAGATCGCTGCGAGCTCTGCCAGTGTACTGTCAACGTTTGCTGCCGTATGTACCAACCTTATCTTTCAATTAGCACATGCTGACCTCTTCTCAGTTCCCCCTTGACAGCATAAAGGTTTCCTCCCACCTGCGTCCCTCTGCCAGAAGCTAACTATGAAGACTCGAATGCAAACCTACAGATACGATAGTTTCACGGACTGCGTTCGACATACGTACAAGACGGAGAAATTAGGAGGTTTCTTCAGAGGAGTTGCTGCGCCTATGGCATCGGTGACACTGGTGCGGACTATATCGTTCTCTGTCTACCAAAAGTCCAAGTATACATACGCTGCATGGTTCAAACAGAACTTTGGATTCGACCCCTTGATTCATGTCAACACTCCGGGGACATACCCCACATTTTCCACAATTGCATGCTTTGGGGCAGCAGGGGCAACGGCCGGGTCATTCATCACACTGGTTGCTTGTGAGTAGTACAATCCGGAATGGTATGCAGCTGACCAATTGCCGCAGGTCCATTCGAATTGACCAAGCTCAGTGCTCAGGTGTCAGTCCTCATGGCTGATAGCACTGGGGTCTCGAGTGTATCCGACCCTCTGAACGGCAAGACTGTTGCTGCTAGCTATCAGAATAAGGGCACTTTCAAGACGGCGAAGAACATTGTCAAGCACCGCGGAATCGCTGGGCTGTATTCTGGCTTCAATCTCCATCTTCGTAAGTCCATCACTTACCTAGATCAGGGAGCAAGACTTATATATCCTAGTGCGAGATACGCTGGGCACGGCAATCTACTTTATGACCTATGAGAGCTGCAAGCAGCTACTGACAACATTCCGTGGAGACAAATCCCCCACCAATCCCGTCTCTGTTGTTCTCGCAGGTGGCTTATGTGGAGTGGCCAGCTGGGCTCTCATCTACCCAATCGATTCTGCCAAATCGATATACCAGAGAAACTGTCTCACACACTGCAAAGGGGAAAAGGTCGAGAAAGCACCAAAGATTGAATTCTTCAATAAAAGAATGTACCGTGGTCTAGGAGTTTCAATGGGTCGATCGTGTGTTGTAAACTCTATTTTCTTTTCGGCTTTCGAGTTCATCAAGAAGCAGATCAATGCTATTGATAACTGAGTCATGGAGCATCTGACTGTTTTTCCATTCGAATACTTGTATTGGCTATATTGTGACATGAAGATCATGTCTGTAAATAGACGAGAGAAACGGGTTGGGAAATGTCACGATCTTAGCCAAAGAGAGTCTTGAGATTACCTCTTTGTAACTAGATTGGATATCATAGGATAGGGAGAGAAGGCACAATCTCAAACATGAGATTGAGGACTAGTCCATCAGGAGGACAATTATCTGCATTACTGGAGATCAAACATTATATCCAAAATTGAAAACCCAGCATCTGTACCTAGTACAGCAAATCAATCAAATCAAATCATTTGAGGTCACAAGGAGAATTTGGGACATGTAGCCGCCCGATGCAGTGATTGTACGACTTTCATTGGATTATGGGGATCCTCCTGACCATTTAGGAAACTATGAACGTAGTACTATCAAAGAGAACGAATTCTAGCTCAGCTTTCTTTCGGAATACCAAGTAGCAAATGGCCATAGGTGGAATACTCTAGGACACTTCTTAATCACAAATTAATAGAAGTCATCATCAAATTACCATGATCACGTGAATCATCGTCCTCTTCTTTGGCGCTAGTCGGCGCTAAGATCGAGGGATTTAAAACCTCGCCCGGCTGCGACTTCATTCTCGACTTCACCACATCAATCTCTCACACGTTTCCTTTTCAACCACCACGCATCTCTTGCTGGTGTAGTCTGCAGAGACTTGATACCGTGCTAGCCAGCGCTGCACGTAAACTAACACATACACACAGAAGACATGGTAAGTTGAGATACCATCGCGATGGGGAAAAAGAAGAAGGTTATCATCGCGACCAAGGCCGTGAAAAGCATTTCCAAGAAAGGAGGACGGCCTACCAAGGAAGAGCGTCGCGCCCACAAGCTGGAGCGTCGCAAGAAAGAGAAGAAGAATTATACTGCAGATGACTGGGCTGCCCCAGCTCCGTCGCACTTGGTGGCTAAACTTGACCTACCCAAGGTCAAGTCTAAATATCAGTCATACTTTGAATTTGCCGACAACCCCGAAAAGAAGGAGAAGAGACTCGAGTTTACAGTAGGTTGTTTTTTCGATTTTGTCGCTCATGACAACTAATCCTCGACACAGGTTACCGATGATGCTAGGCCGCCGCCCGGCTTCGTATTTATTCCTATCGGAGACCCAATCCTGACCAACAAATGCAAAGAGCTTTCGCGAGAAAGAGATGCCATGATATTCATCGTTTCGGTAAGTTTACACATAATTTGCTGGTCATTACAATGTCCCTAACGTATCCTAGACATGGAAGGAAGAAAACTCGAAAATTTCCGAACACGTACATCGAACTGGATACCATTTCCGAGAAACGATAGTCGAAGAAGCTCGTGAGATAATCGGCGAAACGGTGATTTCAAAGCCGACCACAACTCCAGGATTCATAGAACCAATCCCCGAATCACAGGATGAAATCAATAAGCAGGCAGATGGAGCGATACGCGACCTCTTCCCTCGAATACCAAACACAGACCGAACGATGATCATCGAACACGCCTTCAAGAAGGGTGCTATGTTTCATGGTGAGCCAACTGTTGGGTTGCAATCTAACATTCCATTGTCTCGTCGAGTTCAATTGGCTGTTCTTGCTCATATCAGACATACGCATACGAGGTACGACAAACTTTTGCGGGAAACTTCGTGGATGAATGCGCGAAAAGCAGTAGAACCTGTCTGTTTAGACGTACTTGTCAAATGGCGCGGCGACGAAGAAACTGGCCGAGACCAGATGGACGAAATTCTTCGCGAGGTCGTCATTATCACCGACTCCGAGGGAGAGGATGAGGATGAGAGTGACAGTTCCGACGATGATAGTTCTGATGAGGAAGGTGAAGTCACCTCTGCAAGCTCTACAGAAGCCCCATCGTTGCCAGTCTCGCGCAATCAACAAAGATCCTTGCCGCCAAACGTGCAACATATGCCAACAGCTGGCCCTAGTACAAGCCAAGTGCCTTTGCGTAAAGACGGAGCAATTTCATCTCGTACCAGGTCAAAAGCGGATCCAAATGCCCAAAAGGACAAGAAAGCACAACGCGGTTTCAAGCGATATCAAGCAGCTTGGGATGACGCTATACACAGGCGTCAGGAAAGACCAATCTCAAGACCAAATCTTGCCAGCACTACTTTCGAAGAGCCCAACATCAGACGGTCTCAGAATGCTCTCGCTTCCCCAGTCCATACCCTTTCTCAGCAACCACCTCACCAATATGTTGCTACACGTCAGCCAAACCTCACTCATCAGTACCGCAGAGAAGACTCTGTACACTATGTACAGCCGAGAAATACTGTACGACCCGTAAGTCATTTTTGTATACCCTTTCTATTTTGAATAACAGTCCCGTTAACAAAAACAGGCACCTTACTACTCACAACAGGGACCGATCCAAGGACCATCATTTCCCAGAGATGAGGTAATCGTAAGATCCCATACTGATCGTCCTATATATTACGAAGAAGTCCTTCCTCGAGTTGGGACTCCTTCCCGTTTTATCAGGGAGCAAAGACCATCACAAGTTGTGAGAGGTTCTCCACTAAAGCGTGGACCTGAAGATATGCCTTTGCCATCTATTGAAACAGCTTCAAGCGATATCCCCACGCCTCACAAAGAGTCGCAGGATTTCTATCCTCGTCGAGCGGTAGAGCAACGCTTGCAGTCACCTGCAGCTCGCCAAGTGATTGTCATCAATGATGATAGTCCGCCGGTAAAGCGTCGTCGTATGGTGTACGAAGATGATTCTGGTTCCTTCAGACCTGTTCCATCTCGTGATCATGGTCTTCATGTTTCAGCTCCGCATTCTGCTTCTCATTTGATCTCGGCCCCGTCTGATCAGTCAGAGGATTTCCTAGTGCGGCGTCCTGCAGCCTCAAGTTATTCTACCCAAGGTTTGGTGAGGAGAGAACCAGAGTTCTACACAGATCCAGTCACTGCAGAGCGACTTCCAATCTATGACGCACCAGCACCCGTGTACATGGGTTCGCGCCCTGAATATACCAGAAGAATGGAAGCAGACCCTATACCTGGACGCAGAGTAGAAGATCGTAGTGAGCGGCCTACAGGATCCCAAGCATATCGTGACAATATTGTTGATGGTCCCTTCACTCGAATTCCGACCAGCATGCGAAGTGGGGGTGAAGGATTTCAAGAGGCGGAACGTGATCACTCCCGACAAGTTCAATCTGGTTACAATTATGGTGCTCAAGCTGTGAGGCCTATGTCGCCAGAGTATCGTGTTTCCCAACAATCTCGTTCTCTTAATCAGGCTCATGGCTCAAATGTTCCTGATCAGAACTTCATTCATAGCTTCTCTCAATCTCGTCTTGATGGTCAGTCGTCTCAGGCAAGGGATGGTTTCACTATTATCTCTGAAAGGCCTTATCAAAATGGTGTTGATCATGGGAATCATACGCGGTACGAGCAAAATTCAGCTAGGTCAGTCATGCCAGGCACAGCACCTCGAGTACTTTCGCCTGTTCGATATATCGAAAGACCTATGTAAGTATCTTTCAGTTCTTTGAGGGGGATTGGATCACTGATATTAATGCGCGTTCCCAGTCAATATAGGGAGGAACAAACACGACAGCCAATATACGCCCAGGGTTACAGGGCTCCGGCACGTGAACCTACGAGGATAGTTCGGAATCAATACCCAAATCCACCTGATAATGCAGCATATGTCCGACCAGCAGATCACAGGCAGCCTGTCTATATCGTGGATTGACATGCTATTGCGGTGGGGTTGGAGAAGCTTGTTCATATGGAAATCGTGGGTGGAGTTTTTGAGGGCTTTACTCTTGGTGGGAAGGAAGCATTGGACTGTACAAATGGGTAAATATTGACATGGGATGATTGGTGGAGTTATCTGCACATCATTGCGAGCATGGTGGGTTTGCATCAGCGAGGAGTACCGGCTTCACCAGCATTTCAGGCAGCATTCTTGGAGTACGTGGATTATGTAAACCCAAGAGGGAAAGGCCATCATTTTTGCACAGTGGGATGGCTATAAGAAAACGGCTGGCAACGGCCGGCCATTGTGTACAATATCACAAATCATTCGAACCAATCGTCGACTCTTAACTCAATCCTCTAATTCGTTGCCGTCTCTCGTAATTCTAGGGTATTCAATCGTGCCAAATATGCTCATATACGCCATGCAATGCAGACAATGTCCAACTATGCCAAGATCGCCTCCCTCCCTTCTTCCTGTTCACGTTCACGCTGTCTCGCCTTGGCTCTCTCCTTGCTCCGCAATTCGGGGCTTGGCAGTTCAGATGTTGGCACTTCTGGCAAAGGAACACCTGTGACTTCTCGTTCAAGAGCCTCTAACTCATCCTCGACCTCATCTTCATCTTGATTCGAAATCCTCCCACCAAGCATGTCACTTATTTCCTACAAAGGTCTTAATAGGAATTCGAGAATAGGTAATACTCGACTTACCTGCTGATAGGCAATCGCATCAGCCGTATCTCCCATCAGCTTCTCGACATGATCAATGCCTCCCATTTCCTTGTGTATCTCCTGCAATACACTAGTCCCCTGCTGTAACCCAAAGACAACATCTTTCTGCACCAGCGCAAACTCCACACTGCTGGTCAACTTCTCCAGCTGCTCGAGTTGCGCATCTGTCTTCGCCAGCAAAGATTCTTGGTACTTCTTTCTTCGTAGTGCTAATAAAGCTTTGGACTTATCCCCTTTTGCAAGCATCTGCTTTGCTATGTCCTTCTCCCGGTCTGTAAGAACTGTAATGCGCCGTTGATACTGATGTAGCTTGTCGCGTTGATTCTTCATGTCCAGGATCGCCCTGCACTTCTTGTCAGTCTACAAGTATGCATTGGAATGAGCAGAGAAGTACTTGTCCTGGGCAGATATCTTGTGAGAGCTCGGTGAATTCCCCATGATCGTCGGATGCCTGCCTCGACACAGAAGAGAGGAAGCATATTGTTGCAAGCCTGGAACCTTGAAGTGCACTACGTCGGCGTCATGGCTTGCTCGCGTGCCGCGGAATCAACCACGGGTGTCACGATAGCCGATAAGACGGCAAGTCCCGCTAGGATTGGATTTTTTTCTAATGGGCAATCACACATATTTCAAACCACCATTCCACGGACCTGGAGTTCGTACATTCATGCCTAATGATGATAGCTTCCCGAGGTCCCAAACCCTCGCTGACCCAAGCTCTTGATAGAGAGGTAAGCCTCCTTATTCGAAGGGTTCTTAGCTTCAGGCGCGAATTGGGTAGGAACTATTCGTAAATAGACGCTGATCTGCAACAGATTTATCAGGTAGTGCGGAAATTGGCTGACGAGCAAGCACAATTTGAGAATGGAGGGAAGCGGCTCACGGTCTCGGCCGTCTACGACAGCATCAAGCGCTCGAATTCTAGTCTGAAGCGGAAGTCCAAAAAGTTACTTGAGGATTCGATCGACCGCGTGCTGCTGGTTATGAGAGAGGAGCAGGACGACAGCGACAGTCTCGACGGCGACTTTGATGGAATCGAAGAGGTTGGGCCTCAATTGAAGGTCGGTCTTCTCGGGAGTCTTTGGGTTCTGGATAATGGAATCCTAACTTCTCGCAGGAACACAATATTATGAACAGGAGTATCACGAAAATGTGGGCAAAATCAGCATCGGCGACGATAACTTCGACAGAAGAGATCCAACCATCAAGCGGACTGCTTACTCTCAAACATCCTCTTCCAAATGGTGAAACAGAGTCTCCTGCAAAGGTCGAACGACAAGCAAATGGTGAACCAAGCAAGAAACGTCGGAAAGCCGAGACACGAAAAGACATGGACCGATCACCACCGACGGATATATCTTTGGAAAATCTGGGAGGAGTTGACGATGTGATAGAAGAGCTCAACGAGCTGGTGGCTATGCCGATGCTCTACCCGGAGACATACATAAAGACGGGGATACAACCGCCGCGAGGAGTCCTGCTTCATGGTCCGCCGGGCTGCGGAAAGACTATGATTGCGAATGCTTTTGCGGCAGAAATCGGGATCTCGTTTATACCATTATCGGCCCCTTCGCTGGTGGCAGGTATGTCTGGTGAGTCGGAAAAGAAGATTAGGGATATATTCGACGAGGCCAAAAAGATGGCGCCGTGTCTCGTTTTTATTGATGAGATTGATGTCATTATGGGGAAACGAGAGAGTGCTCAAAGGGAAATGGAAAAGCGTATAGTGGCTCAGATGCTCACTTGTATGGACGATATGGCTCTGGAGAAGACTGGAGGCAAGCCTGTGATCATTATTGCAGCTACTAATCGACCAGACAGCCTCGACCCTGCTTTGCGGAGAGCCGGACGTTTTAACAAGGAGATCAATTTGGGTGTCCCGAATGAGATAGCTCGGGAGAAGATTCTACGAGCTCTTACTCAAAAGCTGACTCTAGCCTCGGATTTTGGTTATCGAGCTCTGGCAAAGTTGACACCCGGGTTCGTGGGGGCTGATTTGAACGATGTGGTCTCCGTCGCAGGCACAGAAGCTATGAAACGAATGATGGCTGTTCTAAAGCAACGAACCACTTCAGCCATGGACGTGGATTCTTCTGCTCAAGACCTCAATATTCCAGCGGCATTACTGATATTGAGATCTCTTGTCGCTAATGCCGGCGAACCAACACCTGACGGCGATTTCTCCATCACGTATGACGATTTCGTCACAGCCATCTCAAAGGTGCAACCATCTGCCAAACGTGAAGGCTTCGCTACAATTCCCGATACCACTTGGGCGCATATTGGAGCGCTGCACGACGTCCGGGACCAGCTGGAAATGGCGATTGTGGAGCCTATCAAGCGACCAGAATCTTTCGCCAGAGTCGGTATTACAGCACCAACCGGTGTCTTGCTTTGGGGTCCACCAGGATGTGGAAAGACCCTTCTCGCAAAAGCAGTTGCAAATGAGTCGAAAGCAAACTTCATCTCGATCAAAGGTCCAGAACTACTCAACAAATATGTTGGTGAGTCTGAGCGAGCGGTCCGTCAAACCTTTGAGCGTGCGAGGTCTTCGATACCATGTATTCTCTTTTTCGACGAATTGGACGCTTTGGTGCCAAAGCGAGAAGACTCTCTATCCGAAGCTAGCAGTAAAGTTGTGAATACTCTACTCACCGAGCTTGATGGCCTCAGCAACAGAGCAGGTATCTACGTTGTAGCAGCAACCAACCGCCCAGATATGATTGACCCTGCAATGCTTCGTCCAGGCCGTCTCGGCACTTCCGTTTTTGTTGATCTACCCACTCCGGATGAACGAGTTGAGATCTTGAGAGCGTTATATAAAAAGGCGCTTCCAACAGCACCGCAGGAAGAAGTTGATGGACTAGCGAGCGTAGCGAGAGATGTGAGATGTACAGGTTACAGTGGGGCCGATTTGGGGAATCTGCATCAGGCTGCTGCTGTAGCGGCTTTGAAGAGAGAGAAAGCTATTGGTGGCGCAGAGTTGGATCTGAGGATCATCAGAGCTGATTGGGATGTCGCTTTAGGGAAGGTGAAGGCTAGCGTCAAGGATGCTGGGAAGTATAGGAGGCTGAAGGAGAGGGGGATGTAAAGACTTGTAAAGTACACTACGCAGCGAGTTATACATACCAAATTGGACATTCCGACCCTCTTGCGATCGGGGTCATATCGATACTCAACTTCTAGTGATGTAGATTGCATTTGGACATTGAAGATACCTTGAGCCGATCAGACTCGCTTAATTGCCGAACCCCCTTTTTTACTGAGCTCTGATCTCTTTCACTCTAGATTTGGTATCTTCAAAGACTGCACATGGCCATCAAAACCTTGTTGATCCTGTCAACTCTTCAAATACGTTACGTTTCCTCTGACCTCCAACTTATATCAATCATGGAAACTATGCATAGAGGTCTCGAATAAGACCGACTAGCAAGTGTTTACAATCCTTGATGGTAGAAATTAAGCAGCAAATATAATCAGAATTGGGGCAAGACTCTGCCAGCTCTTCCCCAAACTCAGCATGCTAGTTCTCGACATCTCGCTTTTCTTTGTCCCTCTCCAAATCTTGTCGATAACAAGGCTCTGCTTGTACTCGATTGGCCTCCTCCAAGCCACTGTCGTCACGAGCATCAACAATAACACAATCCCAAAAGCCGCGCGTCTACCACACCAAGCAAGAGCTCTTGATATTGATAAGTAGCCTCAACTTCCCAACTCGTGAAGCAAATTGGAACGAGTGTCGTGAAGCTCGAAATGGCAGTCCTCTTCCGGCGCGCAACGACAATTCCATCGACTTCGGCGGCTTTCACGACAATAACGACAGCGGTATTAACCTACACTATGCCCGAGGCCCTTGCCGTATACTCTCCATCCAGTACCAAACCATGGTCCACAATCATTCGACTTACAACAGTAACATCATCCGCGACGTTGACGTATTCGGAACAATTCATTCCTGTAGCCACGGAAATCAGTGCCGTGACTACGACCTCTATCTTGACTGTTTTGAACTTAATTACTTCGGTGCCCGCCTCGTCGATCTCTTCTACAGCATCGAGCACCACATCCCCAACTCCTTCTGCCATTGCCAAGGTATCACCAGGACTAGCCAGCGGCGCAAAAGCTCATATCGCCGTTGGAGTTATTGCTTTTGTCTTCCTACTAATCGTTGTTTTCGTCTCCCTAGCGCTACGCAAACGAAAGAGACGCCAGAAACGGGCAGGTGGAAGATCCCAGGATCCGGATACGCATGAGATGGCAACGAGGCACAACGTGCCGGAAATGGACGAGCAGAATAAGGGAAGAGGTTTGCATACTATGATTGTGCCAGATATTGTTTCCTCGAGTTCGAATGCCGGTAGTGATGAATTGTATGAGGCTCTGGGATCTACTATTTGGGAACAAGAAATTTCTTCGCCGAATAAAGGGCAATGGGATCCGAGGTTGCAGGTACTGAGAGAGAATTGAGAAAGTGATGCGCGAGAGCGACTGGCTGAAAAGATTCAGGCATTGAAGGAGCTAGAAGAGTAGACGAAGAGGAAGGTTCTGCATCTCCAGAGGACGTATGCATGAGAAGGCTTTGGAGTTGGATGGATTTTAGCTGATTGTGCTTGATACCCTTTTGTTCATGTAATGTATGCACAACCTTGCTACATACTCGCGTCACGGTCTCCAGAAAGCGTTCTAGGTTTAGACGGCGACAAAGGACAACACTCTGCAACGTATTTGTTTGAAAGTCCCCTGTAGAGTATATACAACGAATATTCAAGACTATCACCTAGTCCAAAGCCCCTAAATATATCCAAGAAGCGAAACACACCAACCCCCTTCTCTGCCCCAATCCACATTCACGCCTAAACCACCGGCCACCCATCACTCCACGTCAAAACATTCCATCCAAACAAATAATCAGCATCCGCGAGCCCATCATTCGTATCAGCATAGTGATAATAAAGCACATAGCCCAAGCTCGAATCATATAATACACCTTGGCCACCAGGTCCGTAGACCACGCCATGGGATTCGAGAAGGATGGTGCCGCCGGACGAAAGGCATGCTGTGCCACTCTTGTCGACGAAGCCGGATGTTGCGGAGGTGGAGCGGCACATTTTGATCATGTATTCGGCGCCTGCAGCGGGCAGAGTGCTGATGGGTGTTAGTTGGGTGCAATAAAGTTATGGTATGATTGAACTTACGTTTCATAGTTACAGCAGATGCCATGACTCCAGAGCAAGTAATAGTATCCATCATAATAAAACATGAAGCTTCCCTCGCATGGATGATCTCCACCCGAATCATATTCAATGTTATACGCACTAGTGCCAGCTGTCTTGGTCGCAGCAGAGTTGAGCGCCACTTGGTAGATATCTTGCCAGAACGAGCCGAAATTCAGCAGATATGTAGAGCCAACCAGGATGAGGTTTGGATCGATGGCGTTATATGGCTTTGCGGAAGTGGATGCAACACCGGTGGCACCTAGATCGGTCCAACTACCAGGCTCAAGTGTTGTCGATGTAGCAAGGCCAATTTCGGAGACCTGAGAACCGAATGTGGAGACGGCGTAGTAGAGATGGTAAACGCCATCTACAAGACTGACGTCTGGAGCCTGGAATGTATTGTTAGCATTGAGGATAACATTGCTGCTGAGACATGACTTGCCCATAAGTCGGTAGCATCGTTGATAGAACTTCCGTCTGGAAGTACATAACCAACCAGAGTCCAAGGTCCTTCTATGGCACTGGCAGTAGCAATCTCAATGCCGCCTCCAGTGTTGAATTTGAAGTATGTACCATCACTTCTCTTGGCGATTGCAGGATCGTGGGCCCAGCAGGCTCCACTGCAAGCTCCAGGGCTTGAATAAGCTTGAACAATAGGTGCTACCACCAGGATGGTAGCTAGCAAAGGCTTGAGGAAGGAAAACATGACGTGCTGTACCTGTTGGCAAAGGGGGAAAAAAGAACAGCTGGAACTTGGAGGTTATATGTGCGAGTGCAAAGGAAGGTCTACGCATCGCCAGGGCTCAGGACCGATTCGTGGAAAGCACTGGCTTCCATCAACTTCATTGATCAGATCAAGGGTAGAGGATCATCCGAGACTAATTGAGGAGGGTTGACGAGGGATCAACAACTCTTAAAAGAGAGCTTCGAGTAAGCTCAACCTCGGAGTATAATTGCTCCACTTAGAGCATCATCCGGTGATGTGTCAAGGCTTCACCCAGTATGCTACGAATTGTTTCGAGTGAACCTTTGTTTGGCATAGAGCCTCTCATCGCCAAGATCTCGCCTGATTGAAAGGATATAAACTCAAACTTCCTCACCCGGAACAGGCGGCAAAGAGGATGAATGCGGAATTCAACAGCTGAAGTTACCCGGCACTTTTAGTACAAAGGTAAGTAGACCACTCGCATCTAGTGCTGAATCTTTCTCTTGGATGCCTCTCCGTTCCTGGCCTGTCTGCACGAAATATATCCCAGTCATCTCTATCCAGAGCCATACACTTGAGATTCTCCAAGAGTCATACGACCAAGACCGAGGATATTTTTTTTTGGCTTCCGACAAAGTTCACGAAGTGCCACCAATCAACCTCTTCGAACACGGAAATCCTCCCCATATTGCGGGGTGAAACATCATCCAGGGTCTTTCCACGAATGGAAAAATGTGAATTAAGCTTGTTTCTTCGAGAAGGATCACGGATGAAGGATATATGCGCCCCAATAGCAAGCACAGATCTCCCGCAGAAATATCGTGGAGATGAAGGAATGCCGGATGGATGTGAACGAAAGAAGAGAGGATGCCGTGCGGGAAGCTACATGGGATGGCACGTGAGACCCCTGGACTTTGTGGGGAAACTTTTTCCACGACTCTTGACCTGCATGCGGCCATCCTTGAGAGGCAATTCAGCTTCCATGTCAAAATTGGAAGAAAATAGAACTACTATTTCTCCGCAGTGTGGGTTCACTCCCTCGCTTCAGTTTGAAGCGAGGTTATTCTTGTACATGTTCATCTCCCGAATTTACCTTTCGCTGCTGGAGCTGTAATATCATTGAGGCTCTTGTATTTTAGCTCGTTACCCATGACAGTCCGCCCATTCCCATAATCCCATAGCGCATAAGAGATTCCCTAGATCTTAATCTGCGCCGGCACACTTACGCTCAATATATCAACCCCTTTCTTCAACTCACTCTTACTCGGCATCTTCCCTCTCCTCATCAACTCACTAGCTTGCACCATCACAGGATCAACTCCCATGGTAGCAACCGCGACAACCGTCTCCCCCTTCGCATAGTACGCCACGAACTTCGCTTCTCCTTGTTCCTGCAAGACCAAATCATCCCAACCATTTGGCGTGTTCCCGCAATATCTCAACTGAGAGCCAAGCGCTGACCAGAAAATTGGGATGAAAGCTTTAGGCGAGGAGGAAGGAGTCGTGATGTGAGTCGCAACTCCTCGTCCAGCATTCTGAGCCACGTTCCAATGCTCAATCCTGGTGAGAGAACCGTCCCCTCCAGGGCCGTGATATGGGTAAGTTGCAATGTCTCCAATAGCATAAACGTCCTTTAACCCTGCAACCGCAAAATGCTCATCGGTCTTCAGCGAGCCATCCTTCTCTAGCTGCACAGCACTATTCTCTTTCAGAAATGTAGTTGCGGGGCCAACACCCGTTCCTAGAATAACGAGATCGGCAGGAAGAGATTTGCCACCTTTAAGCTCGATTGCGCCGACCTTTGAGGAGTCGGAAGAGGAGGCAACGGCTTTTTCGACGCCGGCTTCCATCTGGAACTTTACGCCATTCTTTTCGAGTGCTTTCTGGAATATTTGGCCTACTTGTTCGCCCATGATGCGTTCTAGAGGAGCCTTTTCCATGCCGACGACCGTTACGTCGTTGTTCTTGGCAACAGCATTAGCCACCTCCATGCCTGAATACAAAAGTTAGCAAAGCTCTTTTATTTTCTCCAACAATTCAAAATTGAGATTGTCAAGGGTCCGGGTCGAACCAAAGAGGTACGCTAATGTTCATAACTCGCAGTCGAGACCTCAACGTAGAACTCCACTTTAAATGTTCTCCGCCATTTTGGGACATTGATTTGGACCCATGACGGATTCTCGCACATTCAAAGGAAAATGGCCCACTTACCAATGAAAGAACTTCCAATAATAACAATCTTCTTCTTCCCCTCTCCAATCGCTGCATTTATAGCCTTGGTATGAGGGATCGTTCTCAACAAGAAAATGTTGCCCAAGTCCTTGAATCCAGGTAAGGGCAGACTCTTTGGTGTCCCACCAGTAGCCAGAACCAACTTTGTGTACTGATACGAACTTCCACCTTTCGTCTGGACCTTCTTCGCCGAAAAATCAACTCCGGTCACCTCATCACTAACAACATCCACCGCTCCATCCTTAAACCACGCATCGTCTCTCAACAAAATCTTCGCTGGATCATCAATCAAAGCCTTCGACAGCTTCGTTCGGTCAATTGGGTTATAGCCTTCACTTCCAATCATAGTAATCGTGCCCTTGAATCCATTCTCACGCAGAGCTTCGAGTGTGCCTAATGCAGCACTTCCGCCTCCAACAATGACAACCTTTTCAGAGCCAGCAGCGCCAGAGATCTTGATGTTGGGCTTTCGTCGACTGCCTTTGATGCTTTCTTGTGAGCCGGAGATGTAGACTGAGCCGTCTTTTTCGGAGAGTCGGAAGGAGGGGAGAGCGTCGATCGCGGGTGCGTTCTCGATATCACCGTTTGAGGCATTGAAGCAGGCTCCATGCCATGGACAGGTAATTCTTCCGTCACCCTGGATGTTGTCAGCTTATTTAATCTGCAGACCATCTACAGGAGGTGAAGCTTGATTGTTTAGTGACAGTACGAAGAAGAGCAAGCTTACAGTCAAAACACCCTTCACAAGCGGAGCTCCGTAATGCGTGCATTTGGAACCCAACGCAGTTGTCTTTCCTCCTACGTTGCAAAGCAAGACCTTACCCTCCTCGATACCCTCAACCTCCACTTCTCTCTTCTCACCAGGCTTCAAATCGAGGCTACTCAGGCCCTTGAGCTTGTATTCTTGCGCCATATTGCGTGATGTGCTTATAAACGTTCGAGTAAGCTGTGAACTGCGGGGTTTTGTCTTTAGAAGATGTCGTGTACTGTTGACAAAGAATCTTGGAGAGAGCATGAAATGTGAAGCTGGGGAGAAGGTGGGATGGCAGTTTGGGAGAGAGAGGGGTACAGAGAGACGCGGAGTTAAGGTTCTTATGTATCATGTATGTGTGAGGTGATGAGGTCGTCGATGATTGCTGGAGCTGGTGGGGGATTACCTATTACTGAGGATTGGTTGGCTGGATGCTGGATAGTGGGGCCGTACAGGCATGTCGTCACTGTTTCAGGGGGCTAAGGGTAGCTTATCTTTAGCGAGCCGGTGGAGTCCAAGGCCAGCCTTCTTCTTACTCTTTTTGTCCCATCAACACCATTGATTTCATCTGAAAATGAGTATGACATTCTAGATAGCCGTAAGTCTGTTTGTTAAGTGCCTAGCTTTTACTTGCTCTTGGGCAGCGGCATCCTGCTTGAGAAATTGATCAATGTCCAGAACTCGAAATTCAACTTGCCTTCACCAATGATAGGGTCAAGATTTTCTTCCTTAAAGAGATTGTCTATGACGAAAAAGGAGCATGTAAGTAAGGCCTCCGTTGGTAATGTACAACACGGATTTTAAGTCCCCCAGGAGCCCTGACTCCTCTCTGCCCAATTAATGACGACCTCAGTGCCTTGTCAATCTCCTGTCCAACTCCAACTGCGTTCAGTCTGAAGATTCATCTTCGTCAGCCAGCACAGTGTATAAACCAATCTTGGCTACAAGATACCAGTCAGAAGAATTACTCCACTTCAGGACCTCGGAGGGAACTTCTCGCTTCCCCTCTTCACGAACCTCACCTTGACCTTGCTCTTCATTCTCGACGCAATACCGGTGGTCCTATCGTGCATCTTCGCCATCGCCTTATCCCTCGCTTCTTCCCACGTCTCATCCTTCGACTCCTTGACCAATTCCACACTGTACTCCTTGAAGAGCACCGCGACTAATGTGCTGAACTCAACCTGAGCAAATTTCTTCCCCAAACAAGCTCTGAACCCAGCACTGAAAGCTAGGAAAGCTCCTTTAGGCGGGCAGTACAAATTCTCATGCGGGGGAGACTCGTTTGAAGAGTTCGGAGGTGGGAAGTAGCCGGGAGGCATAAGCCAGCGTGAAGGTCGGAAGTCCCATACATCTTCACCCCAATAAAGTGGATTGTGCTGCGTAGAGACTACTGCCAAGCTGATATCGGTACCTGCAGGAACATGGACAGTCTGACCACGGTACGTGAAGGATTGAGCTTCTCTCGCGTGCTTTGGAAGTAGATTGACGGGCGCATATCTACGTAAAGTCTCAAACTATAAAGGTCAGAGTGGAAGGTACAGAAAGTAGGGTTTTCATACCATCAAAGCCATCACACAACGCATTTTCGGGTAGTCTTCGTACACCCAGTCCTCGCCTGGCTTCTTGTCAGACCAAATGCTGTCGAGTTCGTCTTGAACTTGTTGTTGGTATTCTGGGTGGCAGGCAAGCATGATTATAGCTGACTGTAACGTCGAAGCTGTAGTCTCGTGGCCAGCCAAGATGAAGACGAAGATGTTCCCGATGGTCTCTTCTTCAGTCCAAGTGGTTTTCTCTGCAGAGCCTGCTCTAACAATACTTCCCAGTAAGTCTCCTCTACTAGCGTTCTCAGCGTCTTGGTTGTCCCCAATGAGTTCGGACATGTATGTTCTAAATTCATCCGCACAATGCTGCATCTTTCTCATTACAGAAAGTGGGGAGTTTCGCAGAAGCCAGGACGGAAAGAAAATGATGAACGGGAGATAGTCCATGAGGCTATCCACACTCTGTTGGAATGACATCGTGTGTTTCTCGGTAATCTTGAACGTTGAATGAGGCTCGTTGAATTGATCTTCTGATGAAGCCGCGATAGATTTCGTGGGCCATGGCATCTTGAGACTGAACGCTGCGCCTGAGAGTACGTGCAATGTAACAGTCATGGTCCAGTGAAGGAGATCATCGACAACGGGCTCATTCCCTGGGGATGATCTCTTACCATCTGCGTCACTCGTGAAGGAAGCAAGCATTGCTTTAGCTTGAGCAATACTATCCGCAAACACAAGGCTGATTGTATTAGCAGAAGAATCTATTCGTGGACGGAAACGTACCTGCTATTCTTCTCATTAAATGGAGGGCCTGTAATTTTTCGATGCCGTTGCCAAGTGGTACCTTCTGATGTGACAACATTCTGTCCAAATACCGCTAGGGTGCGGTATGGTTCAACCATCTTCCCGAAGTCTTTCCATCTGTGAGCAATCTCAGAGATAACATCAGCGTCAGTGACCATCAAGCACAGGCCTCCAGGAGAGGCAACCCAACTACAAATCCAAACATCAGCATGTGTCACGCGGGAGAAACTGAGCGATAGTGAGAAGTGATGAGAATTAACGGATTTGCAAGTCGAATTCGCGCATAATGCGCGTTCTGCGCATATCGCTGGAAACATGGCTAACAGGCGCATGATGGAAGAAAAGGGAATTCCTCACTAAACATCAGACCCGAGTTCCCTACGAGCCGGGCATTGATACCACCAATCAAAGTCCATTCGAACTATATCAATTTCAGTATGAGGCGTGTACAACATGTCCACAATTGATCCAACTCAGAAGCTTCAAAAAGACCTGAAATTGAGAACTTACCATATCTGATCCACTGACCCCAACCAAAAGGTAAGGCCTCGAAGAAAGGAGCAAAATATGGTGACATCAACCAGAAAATGGTAGAGGCCCGAGTCGAATAGATCGTAACATAAGGTATTGGCGACGCAGCTGCAAACCGTACACTTTCATTCAAAGTCCTAAAGTACCACACAAGATAGGAGATAATTTTGGTACTGATGTAAGCCAGCGGTACGCCGTAAAGCGCAAGACTCATATAGTCGATCATCGTGAGTGATTTTCTCTGAATGATAAGATCGAAGATACGTGGGTTGAGGTGACGTTTAAGGAGAGTCGTGTACATGTCTCAGGTACCGAAATTTGAGCTCACTCGTTCGATATCAAATTTATTCGGGAACAGGAACCCCTGGTTAAGCAAACGGCACAGTCATGCGATTCGCCAAGAGGGTGCGATATGCGTCGATTATGGATGACCCTGCAACCCTAATGCGAACACGACATGCATGAGGTCCCTGGACGCTTCACGTGATTGGCGTATTTCCTCTACCTAGGTATAGTTGCAACCGTGATGCTTGGATAATAATACTTGGCGTATTCGTGTTCGTGCAATATGGTTTTCATAAGAAGTGAAGGAGATATAAACTTTATATATTCTATTCACCATATCGAAATTTGATCACGTGTACAAGAAAGCAGTTGAAACTTCGAATTCATCTACCTACAGTGTACCTATGAGCTCATTTGTAGCACTTGACGAGGATTCCGAATTGTAATTTTGAGTTATCCCGTTGTGACCGATACCTTGAGACACTAACAAAAGTTGGATATGTGAGTTCCTGGTGGGATATGAAGACTACAGTCGTTAAAATTAAGCTTATGATCAATTGTTAAGTTCCAACAAAATCGATTCGCTGTGACTGGATGAGGAATACGATATTCCCCTGAGCACTTGTTGGTTTCCCACAACAGGAGCAAACAGGGTATTACCAAGGCACAGCAAGAAAGGCATCCGTGATTATGATGGCGCAGCAGGAAAATCGCACATTACTGTGGCACACAACCCTATCTTGAACAATCTATTCTATAACCTTTCATCGACCTCAAAATGCCAGGACTTTGAGCTCCACTGCGTGTTGGATATCCTCAAATAATAGTCGCAAAAATTATTAGGTATCCTCGCATCATGCAAAAGAACGAACTTGCTCCTCGCACCAATTCCAGAATTCCAGTCCAACACCACTACCTCCTTCCTCTTTCGTCTTACATGAAGCCTCAAGGTCTTCCCGCATCGTCTTGATCGTGCCCCAAGGCTTGACTGTCATTTTGTCAGCAGTGCTCTTAACAGAAGGATGGCAAACTCACTCCATGCACCAGTTCTACCCATGTTTATCTCAGGCGATAATCCTCCATAAAGCTCCGTATAAGCTCCATAGATAGGCTCATGTAGCACGAGTTTCCACCACATCATTTGCCAAGCAGGGGTATTCACCCATAAATCTGTCTTCAACATACCTGGATCTACTGCCTGTGATAACTTAGCTTCTGTTAGACAAAAATGACTGAATGGTTCTTACAACGCTGATGATACCGTCCTCCTTGTGTCTCCTTGCGAATTCTCTTGCATGTAAGACGTTTCCAGCTTTGCTTACAGCGTACTTCTGCCATACACCCATTTCGACTCTGTAGTCAAGGTTCGACATATCAACTCCACCTGTTGGCGCCATTCCTACGGCACTTGACGACACCCATACAACTCTGACAGAGCCTGATGGTGCTTCTTTGGCAGTTTTGGCCATGAGAGGTGCGAGAAAATTTGTGAACAAGAATGGAGCAAGGTTATTCGTTCCAAGCTGAAGTTCGTAACCCTGAGCAGTCTTACTGCCCTGAGGTGGAATCATAACCTATTGTCAGACATTCAACTTAGAAGAGGTCATCAAAATATAGACGATGCAGAGTACACAACAATTAAGTCCAAGGTCCGCTCGATGAAAGATGAGAATGAGCAAATTCTTGATGACATGAACTTACGCCTGCATTGTTCCAGAGTACGTCGAGCCTTGATTCCTTCCGAAGAAATTCTTCAGCTGATGCTTTGACCGTGCTCAGATCACCTAGATCGAGCTTGAGAAAGAGCAAGTCGCCCGTTGACTTGGGACTTTCTGTCTTGATAGCCTCAATTGTAGTCTTAGCTTTCTCGGCCGAGCGAGCAGCAACATAGACGCGTGCATTTGATCCATACAGGATCTTTGCCAGCTCCCTTCCAACACCACTCGTTGAGCCTGTCACAATGAAGACCTGAGGAATGTTAGCACCCATGGACAATGTGCGTATTGAGGAAAGAGACTCACCTTTCCAGATTGATCAGGGATCGTCTTCTCCGTCAGTGTGGGCTTTGAGTTTGAGAAGAGTCCCATTTTGTCGATGATGTTGTAGAATTTGTGTAAGAATATTGAAATAGTAAGGTAGAAGGTAGAATGTTTCGCTTGATGAAACTTTGTCACGATGTCTCACATAAATATATACACCGGGCTCTCCAAATATGCCATCATCATGAGAGCACTTCTTAAATAACCTGGCCTTGGTCAGACTATTGCTGAACGAAAGTGCGGCACAACCTCAGACTCCGAATGACGTTGAAAATGCAGAGATATAACGATAGATTTTGATCATTCAAAAATCTTAGAGGTTGATCTTGTCTGGAAGTCCGGGGTGGAAGATCGACGCTAAGCCAACGTCCGTATTTGAGGTTTCAGCCACTAATCTGTGCCACAGCTTGAAGCGAATGCGGAAGCGAAGATTTCTTCAGGATACCATCGACCTTGGATTCCTAGAACATTAGAGGAGGAGCGGAAACGAGATCGTGCTGCCCAGTCACGATACAACTGGGCATTGTGCCTAGTTTTGTTCCGGAGGATGCCAGAGGTCTCCGAATATGCGTTTGGTCTAGTACTTGGCGTTCTGATCATACTCCTATTTTGCCTCCAGACTCTGGAACCTCATCAACCAAATATCGTGCAACAGCCTTCACCTCCGCCATCTCCTCCTTTGACACCGCACGATCCTAATCTGCCTATCGAACCGTATGACGAAAAGACCATCATCAATTCTATCACCGTCATATATGAACTTCTACTTGACCTCAAATACTTGGAACGGGACGAGATCATCTTTCCGCCACCATCTGGCCATGTTATCAATCTGGACATATGTCAAACATTGAATCTAGATCAACGAGTTGTTTCTTTGATGCAGCAGCTCCCTTACCCCAAAGACGTTCAGACTTCGTTGGACTTTGACCTCATTGATGAGACACGCAGTCCAGTCTATACGGACGACGACGATATCGAGGAGTGTCGAGATCCTGAGAATGCTGGAACGCCTGAGGATATACGGCTGGACTACTTACTTCCCACGGATGTCGCATTGACAATTGGGAAGCGTTATGGCACAAATTTAGTGCTCGATACGAAAGAGAGTGGGTGCATCTCGTCCCTGTCATTCTGGTTGTTTTCGGTGTGGTTCAAACCATGATGTACCTCTGCGGAAAATTTGGTTTGGGATACTTGAAATCGAACCGTTGGAACTTGATCAAACTTTTCTTTCATGAAGCTTGTCACAGTGTCCTTCCTGTCATGGTGCTATAGAATGGTTTCTGATGTGCTGTAGATACCATCAGGAGTGTTGAGTGTCAGGATGGACCACCTTTTCATGAGTCCATGGAAAGGCCGGACGAGCAGTCCCATTATCGCAATTATCCTGCAGAGCCAGCACTTGAAGTACTCCGAAGATATGCCCACAAGTATCGATCTCTTGCATCGATTCCAAGGCGTTATGGCTACCCACTTAGCAGATGGGACCGAAAGAAGGTGCGCTCTTTCCTGAAGCTGAGCTTTCTCTTTCCTTTTTTTTGATTCTTTCCTTGTTATTTTCCTTCTTCTCCTTGGACAGTCTGAAGGATTTCCTGTTGATGTGTGGACTCAGCATCCCGAATTGAAAAGAATCCTCATCGACGAGTATGGATGGCCCGACAACTTCCGAAAAGATGCCTGGGCACAAAATTATGAGAGGATATGGTACGAGATAGATCATCGTTTTGAGGTACAAGAATCAAAATTATAAATTTTCTTGGTTGTATGTACAGTACCTCGCTAGTATATCGAGGGAAAGTCGACTCTCATCAGGTCAACATATGCGTTTCACCACACCACTTTACATACTATCAACCACCACTTTTGGGCTCTATGTCTCAAGGATTCCCTTTCCTGATGCGTCTCACCTCATCTCCATAGCTTATTCTCGTCACGTGTGCCAGCGCACCGATGTCGGGCCAGACCGCTGATTTCTTATCTCGTAAGTGGATCGAACTGGTGCCATTTCTCTCGGTGATAATTCCGGCCAATTATCCAATCACAAGTCAGCGGATGAACTCGGGCTAAACGTTGATCAGTGTGAATATCTTCATTGACTTGCGAATACATGAGGAGTTCATCGTCGAAACGTACATTTTCGTACAAGTGAGGCGAGAAGTCGATCTCGTATACCTTAGGACTCGGATAAAGTTATCCTATCCCGCCACAGAGGAGCCAAAAGTATATTAGTCTGATGAAGCTTTTCATATTCTATATATACGAAGATTCAACTCTTTGTCTCTCTACCAGACCACGTTCGCTGAAAGTTGAGCGACTCGCCTGGTATCAGCCAGCTCATGGCCTCTGAGAAGTTTCCCTTATCAAACGTAATACGACATGTGGACCCAGGGAAACTCTGGTAGAGGTCATAAGCTTCGAGGCCGGAAGACTTCCGGCCACGAGCACAAAAGCCGAGAAATTCGCAGAATTCCCAAAAATCCTTTGTCTTCTCTTCTCAACAACAAAGCACAACTCTTTCCCCCAACTTTCTACACCTTATTACCTCATTCAAATCATTTCAGTATGGGTTCTGCTGGCCCTTCTCTATCTTTCAATGTCCTTCGGGACACCATACCAGAAGATAGCTCGCTACCTGCTTTCATGGTCTCGACTACAAGAGGCTTCCTTCCTCGCTCCAACCCCATCGTCAAACTCCCAGCTGAGTTCGACATTCTTGAATCTATTCTGAGTCGTATGCCCGTCAAGACTCTCGATGGAACACCAGGCCTTCTGGCCACATTCACCTTAGGAGAGACAGTACTTAAGGAACTTCCCGATCTAACCAGTGGTACGTCAACTAGAATTCTATGAGAATGTTCTTGAGCTCATGGAACATTCTTCATGTTCTTTGTTTTAGTAAATTCCCACTAATCCTCCATAGCAATTGATAAGTATAAGGACGATCTCCCTTTGCAGAATGCCTTGTATCGCGACTACTCTTTCTTGGCTTCAGCATACTTGCTTGAGCCATGTCATGAAAGATTCTTGAAGGGTGAACCATATGGTCTTGGTCGCCAGACTTTGCCTTCGGTTATCTCTTTGCCTATCTCGAGATGCGCGAAGCTGTGAGTACTTCCCTCTTGTTGTCGGGCAATCAAAGTCAGAGCTAGATTACAAAACTTAACAATCATTCTCTTCAAACAATGGGGAGCCGTCCGAGCTGATTGCTAATGCTGTTCAGAGCTGGATTCATGCCATTTATGGAATATGCGTGAGTCTCCTCACGTGCGACATCTCGCTTGTCGTCTCCCCCTTTTCTTCCAACGCAATACTGACGAAACATCAGAGGATCATACGCGCTCTTCAACTACCAACTCGAGGACCCTAAAGCTGGCCTCGCCTACGACAACCTTCGTCTGATCCGTGCCTTCGAGCACGGCCTTGACCCAAAATCCTCTGAAGCAGGGTTTGTCCTCGTTCACGTCGACATGGTGCAAAACTCCGGGCCTCTCGTTGACGGTGTCGTCACAGCCTTAGACGCATGCGAAAACAACGACCGTGCGGCCTTCAATTCCGGAATGGAGAAAGTCGTCTCGAGCATGGCGAAAGTCAATAAAGTCATGGATGGTGAGTTACCCCTTTTCTTGTGTTGTTTCAGTGCATAAGGGAGATTTAAGACGCCTGAAATTGACTCGTACCGAGGTATGTGGGGGAAGAGTAAACCAGGAGACTATATTTCGTTCCGAACCTTTATATTTGGAATCACAAGTCAGTCTATGTTTCCTCATGGCGTAGTCTACGAGGGTGTTTCCGAGGAGCCGTTGAGTTTCCGAGGTGAGAGCGGTGCGAATGATAGCATGGTATGTTTCCTCTCCCCTTTCTACGAACTACATGCTGATACAACAAAGATTCCGCTTTGCGATAATTTACTTCAGATCAGCATGCCGGACACGCCTTTGACAGCCATCCTCCAAGATTTCCGCTCCTACCGCCCGGGAAACCACAGAGAGTTCCTTGAATACGTCAAGAATCGCTCTCTGCACCTGTCTCTCAAATCTTACGCTCTGTCTGATCCCTCGTCCGCTGCTCTGTATCTGTTGGCGCTGAATCAAGTCCGAGATTTCAGATGGAGACATTGGTGTTTCACTCGTGAGTACATCTTGAAGAAGACGAGCCATCCTGTTGCGACGGGAGGAAGTCCTATTGTGACTTGGTTGCCAAATCAGTTAATGGCTGTGATGGAAGGTATGGTTGAGGTTTGGGAGGGGAGTGAGGAGAATTTGGGGAAGGAGTGCGGGGAGGTTATGGATCTGTTGTATGTGCAAAGGGAGACGTTGAAGAAGGAGGTTGAGAAGTATTGTAAGGAGAGGGGTGTTGATGCTCGGAAGGCTTGAATGATTAGGAGGAGGGTAGACTGAGGAGTAAGATGAATTCCTTGATCTGGGTGCCTCTTTTACTATTGGTCTTCGTTATCTGGTATATAGATCGAAATCGTGCCGTTTTCTGACAGAATATCTCTGCTCCTATGTTCAGTTCTGTCAATGTTCTGATATTCGAAATCAAGCAAATATTTGAGACGCGCGTACGTCTCGCGTATCAAGCACCCTTCTCGAATGCCTCACGAATAGCAATCAAGTCTGTATCATCAACATATCGGCCGTCAGTCGTCGCCAATGGTGCCACGTGAGAGTGAGTGACGTTGCGGGGTGAGATTTCTGAAACAAGACCCCTCACTCGCTTCGTGCAACCATTTCACTTGCATCCCGATCTACCTTCCCGAATGGTAACTCAAAGTCGATCCTTTCAAGACCCCGGGTAACTCTTCGATAATTTTCAAACTTTCTACTCTGCCCCAAATCGCACTTTGCGGTAGAACTGTACTAGCACAAGTCTCGCTTACTCAGCAAGGCTACCAAAGAACATTTCGAGTCCTCGAGTTTAGACAACAGCTCAGCGTCCGCAAACAACTCCTTCGAAGCACATACACTCGCCCACTACACCGACCCTCAGTCCCAAACCATACCTTCATCGGCCGTATCGCCGCCATGGGCTCTGTCGTCCTCCCCCATCTCGTTACTGGCTGGCATGTCGATCAAGCTATTATGAGCGAGGACGAAAGGCTGGTGATCATCCGCTTCGGTCGTGACTGGGACCCTGATTGCATGAGACAAGACGAAGTCCTGTACCGTAAGAGGTTCCTCCTTCCATTCACGCCACACGTATTGATCTTGCATGTATACAGGCATCGCCGATCGAGTCAAGAACTTTGCTGTCATCTATGTGTGCGATCTCGACCAGGTCCCCGACTTCAAGCAAATGTACGGTGAGTAGCACCTTTGTTATTCGATTGTTGTCTAGGTGTCTTCTTCTTAAGGGTTGCGCTGATATCTCTCTTCTAGAACTATACGACCCGCTAACCCTGATGTTCTTCTTTCGAAATAAGCATATGATGTGCGATTTTGGAACTGGTAACAATAATAAGTTGAATTGGGTGCTCGAGGACAAGCAAGAACTTATCGACATTATCGAGACCATTTACCGTGGAGCCAAAAAAGGGCGTGGATTGGTGGTTAGCCCTAAAGATTACTCTACACGATATCGATATTGAGCTCCCGAACCCGCCAACATCTCCCTCACTTAAGTCAGCCATTCTTCTACGATATCAGTGCTTCAAGGCCTCTATCACTTCACTACTCGAGCAATCATCTCGTCTGGACCTATAGACTCACCCCATACCTCGAACATTCCTCGAATTATACGAATTGAATGCAGTCGATTATGACACGGCGAAATACAAGATTGGGCCATACTCGAGGGACAGATAAGTGTTGGAGCAGCAAATAAAGCACTGGTCTGATTAAAGGTGGCTAAGGTAAATGGGGAGATATTGCCTGCGAGTAGACAGAAGGAACCAAAAAAGGGGAGGGGATTGTCAATCTTACACAGGAGTGGGAAGGGAGGCCCTTTATATCGAGGCTCTAGTGCTCCAGATTGGGGGATTGTATTGAAGAAAACACAGGGCCCGAATATTAGTTTTGACAACATAAGTAGTCGACAATGTAGCAACTTTCCCATCATCCCATGCTTTTAAAGTTCGGAAGGTAAAAGTGGGGTTCTCAAATATTTTGAAATATAAAGTTACCAAATCTCGTGTGTTATTTTCCTCCTTCAACGTTCGGAATAGGACTCTAGTATAAAACTAGGTAGACGAAATGTAAGAGATTTGTTAGTATCAGGAGGAGCCTACTAAATTTCCTTAGCAACGATAAATATCTAGGTAAGCAGCATAAGATTTCTCCTTTTCAGGTTACTGCAAAATAACCGAGTGGCAAGGAACTAACATATGATCAGGGAGGTACACGGTATATGCAGACTGATTGACTTTCCCGTTTCCCTGCATTAGCATCTTTTGACCTGCACCTGCATGGCCAACGAACCATCTCGCATGACGAACGTCATAAGCCTCATTGCCAGGACTTTAAATATGCAGCCACCTTGGTCTCTCTCGGTTCTATCACGCCGCAAAACCAATTCCGGGTGGATGCGAACATGAGGCTCTCAAGATGCTGGCTATGGGTAGCATTTGTGGCCACTGTCTTATCGACCCAAGGAATTGTCGATTTGGTAGCTCGTCGCATGCCTAATCATGTCGATTTCTTTGAGTTCCAGCTCATCGGAAATAAGACTGTGCCTGCATACTCGGCTTCCAAGGCGAATGATGAGTACATGGTTTCTTCGACGACAGATGGCAAGATTTTAGTGGAAGGCAATTCCCTGAGTGCACTTGCAAGCGGGTGAGTGACAATAATAATCTAATGAGATCACTAGCTCAACCTCAGACAGACTTCATCGATATTTGACAGATGTCGTGCACGTCGACATTTGGTGGTTTATTGGAAGTCAGCTGGATATTGCTAACGAGACCTTACCTATACTAGCTACTCCTCTAAATGGATTTAGCATTGTACCCTGGAGATATCATTTTGATACTGGTAAGATAGTTCGAAAGGCCTTGGAATAATGCAAACTGATAGGAAACACAGTCACATTCTCATACACGACAGCATTCTGGAGCTGGGATGACTGGGAGTTAGAACTCGACTGGCTAGCTCTTCATGGAGTCAATCTACCACTTGCCTGGGTAGGCTTTGAGAAGACTCTCGTCGATGTCTATCGAGAGATAAGCTTGACAGACACCGAGATCTTATCTTATTTCAGTGGCCCAGCTTTCCAATCCTGGAATCGATTTGGAAATATCCAAGAATCCTGGGGAGGTGAACTTCCTCTGGAATGGATCGACGACCAATTCGAGCTTCAGAAAAACATAACTCAACGAATGGTCGACCTTGGGATGACTCCCGTTCTACCAAGTTTTACTGGATTTGTTCCAAATGCCATCTCGAGAGTGCTACCTGATGCAGAGCTCGCCCAGAGTACCTCTGAATGGAATTCGTTTTCTGCTCCCTACTCCAATGTGACGTTTCTCGAACCAACCGACCCGAATTTTGCCATGCTTCAGAAGAGCTTCATCTCGAAACAAACAGCTGCATATGGAAACATAACTCATGTTTACACCTTGGATCAGTTTAACGAGAACACACCTTCCTCAGGGGCCATGGACTATTTACGAAATGTCTCATATAGCACCTGGCAGAGTCTCAAAGCAGCAGACCCAGAAGCTGTATGGATGATGCAAGGCTGGCTTTTCTACTCATTATCTTCCTTCTGGACAGATGACAAGATCGAAGCCTACCTTTCAGGTGTCAAGGTCGATTCCGACATGATCATTCTCGATCTGGTTTCGGAAACAGCGCCTCAATGGCAAAAGACGAACTCATACTATGGGAAACCATGGATCTGGTGCCAACTGCATGATTTTGGAGGAAACAATGGTCTCTATGGGCAGGTCCAGAACATTACAATTAATCCTATTGAAGCACTTGCCAACTCCAGCAATCTGATCGGTTTTGGTCTGACACCGGAGGGTCAGGAAGGTAATGAGATTGTTTATGATCTGCTCCTTGATCAAGCTTGGTCCGCGTCGCCCATCAACACCGAAACTTACTTTGCCAATTGGGTCTCTCGACGATATTCTGGAAACGGAGAGATTCCTCCAGAGACCTACGCCGCGTGGGAAATTCTCCGCGCTACTGTCTACAACAACACCAACAGCAGCTTTCTCGGCGTCACGAAATCTATCCTTGAACTATCGCCCAATGTCACAAACATGCTCGATCTCCCAGGCCATCACGGAGCTACCTCTAAACAACTATCCTACAACCCAGCAGACCTAGTATCAGCCTGGGACCTCCTCTTCAACGCCTCGAAAACCAACTCTGATCTATGGAATAACCCAGGTTACGCACACGACATCACCGACGTAACACGACAAGTCCTCGCCAACAACTTCACAGACAACTACCTCTCCCTAATCTCCACCTACACCTCTCCCAATGCCTCAAACACCACCCTCACCTCCCTCTCCGCAAACCTAACCTCCCTCCTCACAACCCTCGACACACTTCTCTCCGCTCTCCCCGCCTTCTCCCTCTCAACCTGGCTCGCTTCCGCGCACGCCCGCACCAGCAACACAACCCTGCAATCCTTCTATGACTACGAAGCCCGCAACCAGATCACGCTCTGGGGTCCTGATGGAGAAATAAGCGATTACGCGTGTCGACAGTGGGGCGGTCTCGTTGGGGGGTATTATAAACCTCGGTGGGAGGTCTTTACGAGTTATTTGGTGGAGACGCCGATGGAGGCGTATAATGATACGGAGCTGAAGAGAAGGTTGAGGAGTTTTGAGGAGGGGTGGCAGGTTGCTGGTGGGAATGGGACGGTGGTTGTGAGTCAGGTTGAGCAGGGAGGGTTGGAGGCTGTTATTGGGGGTGTGGTTGGGAGTTGGGGGGAAGTGTTTGGGTTGTGAGGGATGAAATAGGTATCTCTATCTCTAATATTAGAAATCAAGAAGAATGTGGAGAGGTCCATCCATTCCATATTCGCCGAATCAGGAAAGGCAGAGTAATTGTGATTTGCAGGGACAGTCATTGCCACGTCGCCGTTCACTTCCAACTTGTTCAAACCCGAGAATCCCAAGAGTTTTACAAAGATCGAAGAGAGAATACAGCAAATGCCTAGCACACGTACCATAGGATTGCGAATGGTTGCAAATTTTTGATATGATTATCGAGACTGTCATTCCATACATACAAGCCAGTCATCGCCCAATTCATATATCATGCAAATGCTAAATGTAGTGGTCACTTCCCTGTATCACCGCCATTATTTTTGGACAAACGCACCCTACCTGCCTCACAGTGGAAGCTTCAACGCCAAAAATTTCCATGCCATGCAATAAATGCCTCACATCTCTTCGAACATCGAGAAGGAGATTGAAAAGGGGAACATGGTGATTCGTGATGAGCGTGCTTAGGAAGGTCCCCGGTTGTTGGATTTCTCGGGCTTGAAAAATACTGCAATCTTTCGGGCCTTTTCCAACTTCCATTCATTCAACCACTAGGACACAGGTATGTTAACAATCATGTGTCAAGGTTTTACTCAATGCGAAATCCATCTACACTGCTCTCGTATGTCGGAGATCGGTGATATGACTGCGTGCTAGATAGGGTTATGTTGCTTACCTTTGGAATCTCGTCATCATAGTATGTCCATCCTTCAGGTGTATTCTCATGTATGTCACCGGCGTACTTGAACAAGCGGCCATGCTCCCAGGTCTTCAGAGACAGCGGATGATCTTCGAGCTTCGACAACTGCTGGACAGTCAAGTCTTCGAGCTTTGAACGAATCGAGTACCAAAAGTCGTCATCCACTGGGCCAGTGAAGAAGTACTCGTATTGCAGAGCACATGACTCAAATTTGTTAAATGAGATTAGGTAACTCTCGAAATCCTTCTCGGTTGGGGGAAGCCAGCGTCCATTGTTTTTGTACACCTTGAAAGTTGAGAACTCTATGACGCTGCCTGATATCCCAGGCGTGACGCCTTCAATCTCGAGAGGGACTTTCCAAGCCAGAGAGTCGCCAAGACGACGCGGCCAAGGATTCCAGAGGGAGCGAACTCGACGTTCATCTTCTGCCGAGATAACCTCAAGGGTGGTCCATCCGCGGCGAGCGAGATTCTCCAGAAGAGGGTTGAGGCACTCATGAAATCCCACCAGTTGATACGTCTTCATATCTTTGAACGTCGTGTCTGGGAATGCTGCGTAGGCTGATTGCCAACTTATAACGTTGACAAGTGCCGTCGTAATGTAGGAACTAAGAATCCCCTCAATGGCTGTACCGTAAGTGCTGATAATGTGAATACATGACTTGTGACCTTTGGCCTCCTTCTTGACATATGTATCGACCTTTGACGCGCGTAAGTAGATGTTGGCGCCCAATTGGGCCTCGTCATGGGAGCTACAGTACCTGATTGATGATGTCACAATCCATGCCCAAATCATCCTCGATGTGCTTGGTATCGTCCAAAGCATAGTCTTCGTGTGCAATTAGATACTCGCCAAAGATCTTGACGTTGTCCTTGGGAGATGACTGAATATAGATGTCCAAGTCAGACTCCTTCCAAACTGTTCTGGCAAAGAACTGAAGTGCGAAGCTTCCTGAGATTAGAGCGTCACACTTCGCCATCATGGATCTGAATCGAACAGCGTCGCGAGAGAAGCGGCAAAGGCTGCGATTGATGTTCCATTGTGTCTTGAACAACGTAATGAAAGGCTCAGAAAGCTGCTTGGTCGTGGCTCGTAAGGCAAATAGGTCACTAGGATTCAATTACGTGCAGAGGGTGTCGAAGATGGGATAATTGAGAAAGATATCGTTCCATGCGGGACCTGACTTGACTGCTACCTTGGAAGACGAAGAAGCGGACTGCTTCTCTTTCGTCGTACGACGCTGCTTCTTTGCAGGCATGGCGTGCGGTGTTGTGTCAATGTTTGGCGCTGGCTTTTGAGATATAAGTTGTAGATGGGAGGGGTCGAAGTGAGGGAGACGTGATTTACACGTCGTGCAGTGAGAAGGCGACGCGGGGTGAAAAGGCGCTAGACCTCACCACGAATGGAAGGGAAGGAACGTTATCACATGATTCGAAACTGCATGTTCAACAAGACCAACACCTTGGCATTGAATTAAATCATTGAACTTTATCTTCAATGCATGCGCAAAACAAGACACGAGAATGCACTGGACATCAATGCGACGCTAAATTCTCATGCTGAGGCTAATGCACGGGCGGGCGCCCCTTGCAAACAAGCTCCAGGTACCATCATGATCTGATTCGATACTAGATACTTTCAGAGATTGAGCTCACCCCCGATCTCCACTGTGCTATCATGAGGCTGACGTCTGAAAGGTTTTGGTTTCCTATAAAAGCCTGAGAATTCCCATGTTCAGCTTCTGTCTCTCATTTGGTTGCACCGAGTCGACTTCCTGGTCTTATAAAATCACTTCCACTTGAAGATGATAGAGCTATCTCTTGCCAATGGCTTTGCTGTCATCTGTGTTGGAACTCTAACTGTAAGGAATATCCCATATACTGCACAACGTCCTAACAACATCCAAAGTATATTATATCGATGGTTTTCTACAACCTCTACCTCCACCCACTATCTAAATTTCCTGGACCTAAACTTTGGGCTGCATTCCAATTTCCATATCTTCAGGCAATGTTGGCTGGCCGCGTGTCATTCCAAATCAAAGAGCTACACGATCTTCATGGACCAATCGTTCGCATCAGTCCGAATGAACTTTCAATCATCGATCCTGAAGCATGGAAGGAAATCTACATGAACAAGGAATTCATCCGTCCTCCTCAGTTTAGAGAGCGTCCTCCTGGGGTCGAAGCACACAGCTTCATCTCAGCTGGTGTTGTTGATCATGCTCGGTTCCGAAAAGCCATCGCTCCAGCATTTTCGGAGAAGGCAGTACGGCTACAAGAGCCAATTATTACCCAGTATATTGATCTCATGATCAAAAAGCTCAGAGAAAAAGTTGAAGGCAAGACTGACTTAGTAGTCATTGATGTCGTCCAATGGATTAACTTCACCACATTTGACATAATCTCCGACTTGGGGTGGGGAGAGTCGTTCCACTGTCTTGAGAAGCAGGATTACCACCCATGGATGACTGTAATCCTTCAATTCAAGGCACTCCTCATCGGCATGTCGATAAACTACTATCCTTTACTCAAGACTCTAGTCTCATATATTACTCCCGCCTCTGCGCTCGCGGGACTGAAACTCGTCTTGGACACATCAGAACAGAACGTTAAAGCTCGACTGGCGCGCAAGACGAACAGACCAGACATGATGTCCTACATCTTATCACACAACGAATCTTCTCCCACAGCACGAATGACAGAGGACGAGATGATTGCCAATTCAATGGCTGTCATTGTTGCTGGGTCAGAGACTTTGACTGCTGCACTTGCTGGGACAATCAATGCTCTTCTCACGCACACTAAAGAGCGAGAGACACTCGTCCAGGAAATAAGATCCAGCTTCAAAAATGAGGAAGATATAACTGCACAATCAATAAAACCACTCCCATACTTGACAGCAGTGCTGCAAGAAGGAATGCGCCTCTACCCTCCTTTACCAGATAATATGCACCGCTCTGTACCCACAGGCGGGGCTATCATCGCCGGCCACCATCTCCCAGAAGGCGTCGCAGTCGGCATGCCCTGCTACTCCACTTTCCGGTCCCAGACCAATTTCTCTCAACCAGACGAATTCCTGCCCGGTCGCTGGCTTCCCGAGCACCAAGAAGAATTTCCCAAGGATAAAAAAGAGGCATATAATCCATTTAGCTTAGGTGTGCATGGATGCCTCGGACAGCAGCTGGCTTGGGCGGAGTTGAGAGTCATTCTTGCGAGATTGGTGTGGAATTTCGATATAGCGATACCGGAAGGAAAGAAGCCGTTGGTTTGGGAGAGTCAGAAGATCTTTTGGGCTTGGCAGAAGGATGGAGTAGATGTGCAACTGAGCCTTGCGGCTCGATAGGGGAGCAATGCTGAGGTAAATTGAGGAGTGTACTATAGAGTTCGAAGTTGTTAGCACTCGAATGTCAATGGATATGTAGACTATTCGTACATGTGAATTTAAGGGGCAGAAGATGAAAGAATACTGATATTACCTTATCTCTGATTGCATATCCAGCATAATATTGTCCAACACAAAGAAGAATAGCATAGCATATGCTCTTCGAACCTTTGAATTCCAGATTGACATGAGCAGCGGACGGGATCCTTCAAACTCGCTAAGCACATGCTCTTTGGCTCTTCTAATGACAATACTCTTTTCACAGGGGGTAGTTTAGCGAGCGAGGAATATTGTCAATAAAAAGTGCCCCAAAATCCAATCTTCTCTCAAAAGTGAATAATAGAAGAAAAGGGGTCGTGGGCTCGAAGAAAGGGGTCTGGTCTGTTCTGTTTACTTGTTAAGCGAAAAGAGCTTATGTAACCGAGTAAAAATATATCACCCCCCTCAAATTCTCCAATCTCAAAAAGAAAAAACCTCAAGTAGAATAAGATCAATAGAAAAAAGAAGCAAAAACTTCAGGAGCAAGCGCAGTCGTATAGCGGTTGCTCCCTATCAAAACCAGACCTGGTTTATTCTCGACGCCACTTTCCCTATATCTAGCAAGCCAGCTTTGACCTGAACCACCCGAGCCTGGGGGCCGCCCGTCTGGATATCGCTGGGATGGAAAATCCTTATTTAGATCTATGTGGCCTTTAGCCGGTAGGGTTATTTGGCGCTAAAATGAGATAGGGGTAAGGCTGCGTGCGTGTTTATTCGCGAGTTGTTTTGAGTAACAGGGAAACTTTACGTATGGTTCTTAGAGTCAACACTTTCTCATAGTTTCTCTTCTTTTTGATGGTTTTCATGCTCTGATATTGTCGCTTAGAGCGACTTGTCATGCCTTTTTGCAAGAGCAAAAGCTTTTGAGATCTACATGTGAGGATGGCCTATCAAGAAGGTGGTAGCTAAAATGGCAATTTGCTATTGCATTTGATGAGCGATAACCATGATCTTTATGTACTAAGATAATGGTTCCTTCTCTGTCTTCTTGAGCTTGGCCATGTCTTCAATGTCTGTTGTTGTCTCCGAACATGAAGAGCATTGCTCGATATGGAATGGGGACATTTGCGATTTGTTTTGTATCGCTACTTAGCTGGACAGCTCGGAAATATTGCTGTACAATGCCAATTGCTTACACATTAAACATATTACAGAACATGCTGGAAATCATTACATGGAATTGAGATTTCCCACTAAGGCTTTAATGGACTACAAAAGATACCTGCGAGCTACACTATCATACAACACGAAGTCACAACTTTGAAGTCTCACAAACACGCACGCAATACTGCAGACGAAGAATCAAAACTTCTATGTATTACCCACCACCGAAACGGCAGGTCCAGCAGGCAAACTCTATATATCCTGTTCTGTGATGTGTGGAAAGAGGAGTTCTGGATTGGTGGTCAAATGCGCAATCTAACCTAGTTTACAAGTTTCGCCCGCCGTCTATGCTATCAATACACACAATGCCCTGTCTACTTGGTCTCCTCACGCAAGAAGCTGTTATCTCATTAGTATTAATAGGTGTGGAAACGGGAATAGGGAGACATACGTGATCAAGTCGTTCCTGTCCTTGTCCTTCTTCAATCCACCGAATGCCATCTTTGTTCCTGGAATGTACTTCTTTGGGTTCTCGAGGTATTCGAACTGATTTTCCATTAGCCGCTTTTCTTTTCCTTGCTGTTATAGTGTGAGGTGGCAACGTACGAGAGTATCAGTGTTCCACTCAATGCCCTTGGCCTTGTTGGCATCGGTGTATGAGAAACCAGGGACGGAACCAGTGTGACGACCGAACAGCCCGTGGAGATTGGGACCGATCTTGTTGCCCTCACCCTCACCGAGAGTGTGGCATTGAGCACATCTTGTCTTGAAGAGGTTGGCACCCTTCTTTGCGTCACCTAAGGAGAAAAGAGATGTCAGTGAAAAGTTCTTCGGTGTGTTTTGTTGTGCTTGACTCGTGGAACAAGGCTCCCGGCGCAAGCTGGCGGCGACAATGAAAGATGGAAATCGAGGCTTCAATTTTTAGGAGCAGATACTGCTTCCATAGAAGGTATTTCGTGCCAGATATTCCGGGATTTGAAGAGCAATTGATGGTATCGTGGACGTCTGCAGATCGGATGGCTCGGCGAGTGGCGTGCAGGAGAACGATGCCCCAGCACTCAACAAACGGCCAAACGCCAAAAGACTATCGCAGAATCGATACCAGAATCGCCCATCTCATCTCTCATCCCATGCCGGTCCCTCAATGCTCCCGAGCAGTATCGAACGACCCAATGGCAAAAAGTGTCCAGTGACGTGACCCTTTTCGTTCCCCAAAGCCGGAAAGAAAAACTTGGTAAACATACCGTCCTTGAAAGGCATCTTGTCTAATTAAAAGGTATGTACTGAAGATGTGTAGAGAGGAAAGTCGAAAGAGTGCGGTGTAGTGATGGTTGGAGAGTCGGAGTGGTTTTGAGGTTTTTATTAGGATGGAAGGAGAAAAAAAACGAGTCTTGCACGACGAATAATAGCTCGCCTCAAAGCCCGAGCGAGATTTAGATGACACGGATATTTCTGGGTTCTTAGCGTGCACCAGCCACATCTACTCAGCAACCAGCAGATTCGGACAGGGGCTTTTCAAATGTGAGGCCGATGATTGGCGGAACCATCGGGCAAGGCCGGAACATCTGTTTGGGAGCCTCGTGACTGTGCGAAAAAGCTTGGAGTTTTTGCGGACCTGGCGTCCGTACAAATCGGATGTTCTGAAGTCGGCCTTTGAAGGCTACCGTACAAAGTCCTGAAGCTTCAGATGGTCGCCGTACGAGTCGTGAAAGTTTTGGACGACTCAAGAGGAGAGTGATCTTAATTGTAGAGCAGTGAAGCTATTCACATCTCTCAAGATGCCTCCAACCAACACAATCCCTCGATTCCTATTACCACAAAGCGGAGTAATATGGCGGACACGAATTCCTCAATCTGCCAATGCTTCCCTCTTTATCCGCAATGCATCGAACAAAAGCTCAAAGAAGGGCTCCAAACCACTCGTTCTCGAAAAGCCAACCAAGTTCAATCCTCCTTCTCATGGCCAACGACGACGTACAGAGGCTCCGCGGTATCCGGGGCCCCAACTGTCTGCTGAGGAGCAGGCAATTCAAGACACAAAGAAATATCCAAACATGATGCCGCCGCCGGGGAGTTTGATGCATTGGTTTCTGCACAACCGGTCCATCCATGTTTGGATTACCATGGTATATTCTGGATTCGTCCTAGAGAAAGACCACGTTTGCTGATAAAACAATAGGGCACATTGATGACTATGGCAGCCTTTGTATGGTCTACTAATTTCAAGCAAAATTCCCCATTTGCCGATATGTTACCTTCTTGGGGTGATTTTTTCAGACATCCTATTGCTTCATCGAAGACCTTTCTTGAAGTTGTCAAGCTGAATGCGGATCACAATACTGCGGAGACGATGGAGAGGAGAAGAAGGAAGGTGGAGGATGTACAGAAGAGAGCTGCTTATAGAAAAGCACATGGATTAGACACGGAAGAAGGATTCGGTGGTTGGACAGCTAAGAGTGAAAAAGAGGTTCTGGGACCGGGAATTCCAATCAATGATGTTGCTATTGCGCAGGAAGGAGAAGGAGAAATCGTGCCCGAGCAACAAGATGTAAGACATGAGAAGAAGCCGCTTAAGAAGTGGTTAGGGATCTGGTGAAGGAATGCTTCATGAATTCATCACGGGTATCTTTGTAAATATTTTGTACAACTAGCCCAACTCAACGCCGTCTAAGCCGTCCAACACCTCTTCTGCTACACCACCATGCTCTAACACTTTCTGAATCAAAGCAGCAATCAGCTTCCGCTTTGCACCGCCTCTTGGTGGTTGCCATACACCCTCTTCTTGCGTAATCTCTCTCTGACTTGCTGCTTGCTCTATGGTTGGTGCTGTACCTCCAGTAGCCGTGTTCAATGCATTAGGAATACCAGGTGGCGTCAATCTGGAAGGTGGATCGATCGTCCTGACTGCTAGTAACCTCAAATCTCTTGTCTTCTTAGAGTCGACTTCCATGTCAACCTCTCCAGACGCCCTCTCTCCAACAGATACAGCAAGTACCACTTCAGCAACGGCAAGCTCCTCTTTACTCGGATCGAAGATAATGTTGTTTTTCACGGCCATAACAAGCAGAGTTACTGGTGGACGAGTATGCGAAGCCTGACTGTTGCGAGGGTACAGGTAGACAGATGCCTCCCAATCATCGTCGAAGAGTGGATCTTCGTCCAGTTCAGAAGTCAACTTTGGTAGCCGCGTAGAGAGCAGCGCAAGATGTGTGGTAAGAGACAGTAATGGTAGTGGATATGACAATGCCTGTGAGAGCAAGAGAATCTGGTTGAAGGTTAGCAACCTATAGCAAATACTATATATATGAGCACATACATCCAAATATAGCTTCCAATGGAACCGCCTATTAATCCATAACCGCTTCGTAAACTCTCCATCAGCGAGTAACGCCTCTGTCAACATCGCAGCCAGGAAAATGGGCATCGAGTCGTCATCTCTAAGACCAGGAACCTCAACTGTAACCTCCAACCAGTCATTCGATCCTTGCCTAGCATCCTCCTCCTCCAGGTTGTTTGACTGTTGATAGCCTGTCCCCGATTTCTCCATTTCCGCCTTGATCCCCACAATTGCTTCTGTACCGTCCGCGAAACATATCCTCGCACTTCCATTTGTGCCCGGTAATATGCCAGTCTCCGCTATCAGCGGTCGAAATTGACTAGGAGCGCGACCATCTGGGCGAATTGGCGGGGTGAGGGAAAGAGATGTATGGAGGTAGGAAAGCTCTGCAGGGCTGAGAAGAACCTGTTGTGTCGCAGATGGCGCCATGATAGTTTTTGTATGAAACCTCCTGGTTCTCAATGTCCCCCTACAGCTGCCAAGACTTGAGCAGGATGTTTCGAGCTACCTAACGAATGTGGTTTCGATGTCAAAAATAAATATATGTTTGGAAGCGGGCTGAAATCCGCTAGCGTGGCAGGGACACAAGGCTAGCCTCACGAGGCTGACGTCTCCTCTAGTCCTGTAGCTGACTTGCTCCTTAGTCACTTCATCTCCTAAATTGCGAGAGGCTCTCAGACAGATGGCAGATATTCCAAATACAAGGGAGCACCATCCTCGGATCTGTTCTCTATGCTTGCAAATCATACCGTTGTGTCGGAGTAAAGTTCCTCCCCTTGCCTCCACTTGAAGCAAATGTCTCCGGCCCCTGAATGTATAACCTCATCGAAGGCTCAATCAATTTGATTTTCTTTCCCGTAAAGAACTTTGCCTTTTGCAATTCTTATATTAGTTAGGATCATACCCTCGATTAATTTTGCTAGCCTTTCTGCGACTGAGGCATAGTATCACCATTGATGCTAGAAGTTTCTTTCTAAGCGCTGCTCACACTGGTCGACTCTTTTCCATCTACAGGTACGTGGCTTTAAACATGCTTTACCATATGCTTCTCTTCAATTGGTTGTTTTGATTGCCGAAACGTTCTTGCCTTATTGTGATTCAAAGCACGGACGTTACGCCATGGTTTCCTACCCCTCTCCTTCCAGATATCAAGAGTTCTTGAGCACTGAAGATCATTGAAGCTCTATCTGGTCTACTCCTATGACCGCTGGAGAATTCTATGGTCTTGCAACTGTCAATATTTCACGGGAGTTACTGCCCGTACCGATTTGAGTCCCAAGTCTCACTTTACTATACACAAGTGTGACATACATGCTTGGACTGTCTTCGAACTCAAGACCATTAATCAAATAGTACCTGTGGTTTCTTATTCTCATTCTGAACCCAGTTCAAGTACTAATATACATCAATCCAGTCTCACCACTCCACCGAAACCCAACAACCAACCCTCCTCCCACCATGCCTTCCTTCCCGCGACTAATCTACAACAACAAATTCGACCTCCCTTCCCTCCCACCACCCGACACCTTTAAAGACCAAACCATCCTCATCACCGGCGCAACCGGCGGTCTCGGTCTCGCCACCGCGGTCCACTTCGTCAATCTTGGGGCCAGCACCGTCATCATCACGGGCCGCACGAGCTCTAAATGTGAAGCTGCAAAGACAGAGATCGAGAGCCAAACAGGCACCCAAGGCAAGGATATGGTGAAGATAATGGAGCTTGATATGAGCACGTTTGCTGGTGTTAAGGTGTTTGCTGATCAGGTGAAGAAGGAGGTTAAGAGTATTGATTATGTGTTGCTTAATGCTGGGAGTAAGTAGCAGTCTTCATCACTACTTTTCTTATTTGTCGTTAAGTTGTTGATATTGCATCCCGAGAAAGTTCAAATAATGGTCGAGTCTTGTTATTGGTACTGATCTACTGCAGTGATGAGTACAAGCTTCAGACTTGGCAAAGAAGGGTTTGAAGAGTCAATCGAGATCAATACTCTGAGCACGGCACTATTAGCTCTGCTGTTACTTCCATGGATGAAGGAAGTTGGAAAGGGAAAGGCACACTTAGGTGTTGTGACAAGTGGATTGCATAGAGGCGAGTCTCATTTTTCTTGACCCGGCATGGAAAATCCCAACGCTCTACGAAGATCTTGGAAACTTTTCCACAGCCAACGTCAAGACTGGCTTCACAGACGTTGAAGTTCGCCTTCTAAACTCAACTAATGAACCCCTCCAGGAGTCGACATCACACCCCCAAACTTCCCCCAAACCAACATCCTAACCCACTACAACACCCCCCAAAACTACCCCAAAGGCACCTCTGGCATCTACCCCATCAACAAGCTCCTAACCCAATACTGCATCCGCGAAATCTCCAAGCTAGCACTCGGTCCTGACGGGACGTAAGTACACTCCACACCTCCAGCTCTCCTTCACCAATTCTGCTTCATCAAGAAACACAAAAATCTAACCAAAACTTCCAGACCACAAGTCATCGTAAACCCCATGTGTCCCGGCATGGTAAAATCCGATCTCGGCCGAGAATACAAAACAAACATACTCACGTAACCCTGTCCTCCCCTCCCCTCTCCACCGAACCTCAAACACTAAATAACAAAACAAAGATCCTTCCTAGTAGATTCCTTCATGACGCTCGTATCCAAGACAACGGAAGGCGGGGCCCGGACACTAGTCCTCGCTGCTCTGACGACGAAGGAGGAGAATGGGATGCATTATACGAATTATATGGGGCGAGAGGAGTATGAGAAGTGAGTTCAGCTCCCGAAAGCCAAAAAAGGGGGGAAGAGAGAGAAAGAGAAGCTAACGAAACAATAGGATTGTTCAGAAAAACGTCCTCGGGCCAGAGGGGCAAAAGATGCAGGCTGAGGTTTGGAAAGAGGTTATTGCCGTGTTAGGAGAGAGAGTCCCGGAGGTAAAGGGGATTGTGGGTGGTGCTTGATACCGTCGTTGAAGTATTTTGTTTATTGCTTGTTCACTTCGTTACTCGTTAGGTCATCCATCATAGTTCTTCTTCTTCTTGCGATCTCAGTTAAGAGAAACAACCATCTCCCTCGCACATTCAGGCCCAACCGCCGCCGCCAATTCAGCTATACTGCCCTTGATAGAGTACGTGCTCTCTAACTCACTCTCCTCCCACCCGACCAGATCACAAGCCTCTGCATCTGTTCCCCTAACGCGCAGCTTGATGTGATCAAGATCCACTTCCGCCAGTATCTGCTCTTTAGTCATGACTCCGGGCATCCCACGAGAGAAGAGTGGGATGTCAGGCTGAGGAACGGACTGGTCTTCGTCTTCGTCATCTTCGTCGACCATGGGATCAGTGGGTGAGTCAGACGAGGTTGTAGCCTGTTCTGTCTCGGAAGAGGGCAAGAGTGAGGCGTCCTCGTGTGACAGGCTTAGATACTTAGTTTTGTCTAGCTTCTTCTTGACGTCCGCATCGAGGATGTTCCAGTTGTAGGATTCGGGATCTAGGATATGCTGAGGGGTGTAGTCGCCTTTGTATTTCATCTTGACGCAGTTGTGGATGTAGAAGCCTGCGTACCACCACTTGTATCCCTCCTCTTTCGCCATGGCGATTTCTCTTAGTCCGCCTAGTTTACCGAAGCCGTGCTGGTGGACCGATTCATGGTACATGAAGTATACCGCGCTGACGCATTGAGGAAGAAGGTCGAGGACCCCAATGGCAATCAGCTTGCCGTCGATGCGGTAGCATTGGTGGTATGAGCCTAAACTTCGTTCATGATTATTGATCATGACCTTGCTTCGAGGCAGTGGCGAGGAGCAGATAAAACTCTTGAAGCCACTCTTGCTTATTCGGGATGGAGGTTCATGGTGAACAAGTCGTTGGTAATTCTCGAAGAGCTGGTACTTCTCATCCGTGTATGTGTCAGGCTCCAATGTGACCACAAGAGCATGGGCAGGCTCTGGTGGAGACTTCAGATACTCTTTTTCGCCTTCATGAACTCGTTCTACCAAGTCAAATTCAGTGTCCCGCTTCTTGGCATGCTCGCGTGACCGAGGGTAAAGCTTTGCGGCATCCTTGATGTAGGCATCTCCAAGGAGAAACTTTGTAAACCGGTTCAAAGTCTGCCGCTGATCTTTAGATGCATGGAAGGAATTTGAGTCAAGCCGGAGGGTGTACTGAGGACAGCATGATGCTCGCAGGTCAGGCTTGTAGAGAAGACTGCCGGACCGTCTCCATCCGCGGTTGAGCAGAGATTGATAGAAGTCGGGTGTCAATGAAGTTGTTTTTGCGTAATATGAAAAGCCTAAGCAGAAAAAGTAAATACGGACATCAAACCAGGAAGTCAAATAATTTTCAAGTCATACTGATGCTTGAAAAGGTGCCAAGAAAAGATACAAAGCGTGGGAAAAGCAAGCCAATTTGAGACTTTGTGACAAACAGGGAAGAGGGGTTACGTTTCTGTGACTGACTTCCTGATCTACTGTGGCAATAGCCACATCGATTGTTGTCGTAGCCTGTACACAGACTTGCATCAGCTTCCAATTCATCAAGAGTCGTTGTGTGAAGAGCATTGCTGCACTTGCTGCAATGCGTGCTGTGTTGTATTCTGCGGCGGGGTCACAAGAAAAAAAGTTGACCGGATCCAGGTCCGAGTGGCCTCATGAGGGCTCATGAAGTGCAGCCTCCCCAGCAATGAGAAGATCATGCTGAAGAGGTGACGGGAGACTGACAATCAATCAGTCAACCACATTGAGTAATCAAAGGCCAGAGGGCATCGTGGCCTTGAAAGACGGCTCTGGCAGAGTGTCCCAATCACGGGGGAAACCATGCGATAAATAGCCTCGAACCCAATCACAGGGTGTCACAAAGCTCCAGAGCATGATTGAGCCCGTCGCACATGAAGGAGCCGAGGGCTTCAAGTGATTGATCGGATCGAAGGTGGGATGTCGTTTTCTCGAAGAAAAATTGGAATGCGGCCGGCGTCGAAAGAGGTAAGGCGGAACCACGCACGTCGTTCCAAATGTTTAAATCAACTTCTGCGAACCGATCGAACACGGGGAGGAACAATTGGAGAATGGATGAGGTGCGACCAGGCAGGGTGAGGCAGGATGAGGTAGGGTGGCAGATGGGAACTTAGTGGTTTTCCAGGCACTCACCAATAGGGGACAATAGCGAGCTCGACTGACTCTGGGACTGCATGACGGGCAGCAGATGTGGGCGGCTTGGCGTGGACACTGCAGCAGCACTGCAGCTCTGCATGCAAAACTCCCAGTGGGTCGGACGACAGGCGGCGACTTGCGAGGCGTTGGGTGGAAGAGACGAGCAGAGATGGAGATGGAGATCTGAAGAGTCTGAGGTACCGTCCGCCGAGTGTCGTGGTGCTGTGCTGTGCCTGCGATGCACGCTGCAACGGTAGGGAAGGGAACGGACCAGCCAGGAGGGACGGCGAGTCTCACTGGCGTCTGATACGGTACGACCTGCGTAAGGAAGTCCGGGGTGTCGTATTGTATTGTGCTGTAGGGTCAAACGAAATTCGTGTGCTGCGGCCTAAGCCCTGACAAGAGGTGGGTTGCGTGTTAGGGACCACGCTGCCGACACGAGCTGGTCCTGGATCTCCGTCGTCTGGCGTTGAACGGCGGTGTTGTGTTGCTGCTGTGCTGTGCTGTGCGACTTGGGGGTGGACAGCAGGACGGTACTTGCGCCAGGACAAGTAGGTCGACAGAGACGGACGAACAATGGCACGACGAGTGATCTGGAGCTAGAAACTAGCAATGACATTAAAACCCGTTGGAAATGGCGGTTCAGGCGGTCCAATTTTATCTGCCTTCCTCCCCGGTGGGATATGCCTGCAGAGCGTGTATATATGGAGAGTACTGTACTGTCAGATGAAGTAATGAGATCTGGAACAGGAGCCAGGCACGCTGGGTAAAGGGCACACACAGCTAACGGTAGGCTGGCCAAGGTCAGGCAGCTGTAAGGAGAACAATGTAAAGCAGTGTGTGTGGGTGGGCGACAGTAGGAGCGTGAGCAAAGCACAGGCTGACGCTGCGGTGAGAGAGCTGAAAAAGTATCATACTTACTGGAGTAGCAGCTGGCCTCGCAGGCTTCTGGACAGCTTCTGTTGTGTTCTGTTCTAAGTCCGGTATCGTTCCACAAGCACGTACAATAGGTACTGTACCCTCTCTATGCTGCGAACGGCTGCAGTGCGTTGGGTAGTAATACCTCGGAGAAGCTGGCGAGAGCGTCGGTCAAAGAAGTCGAGATCGATATCATGTCCCTGATATCAACTTGTGTTGACACTGGCACCGTAACCAGGTACAACAACAACACATTGGCTTTTGTTGAAGATTGCTGCTACTGCAGATGAGATGTTGGGGATTGGACAGGCGAGCACCGAACAGCATCATTGGAAGGCAGGCAGGCAGAGCCAGGCGTCACTCGGGAAAGCGAATTCTACAATAGTAGCCAACAACATGTACATACAATATCTCTCTCCCTACGTAACGAGTGAAAGCTGCAGCGATCACAGCAGCATTTGCTTGCTTGCATACTCCCAAAAACACCCAACCCCCACTCCCTTTCCACGGAAAACGCGGGGCTCTCAAGCATAGCGTCGTCGTTCGTTCAGCAAACCAAGAGCAGGAGGAGGAGGAGGAGGAGGAGGGAAAGAAGAATGACATGCGTGGCCCATCACTACAGTACTCCTATTCTCATCCCATACGTCCCCGGTTCCGAACTTTCTCTAGCTTGTGTCGGCTGTCTTGCTCCTTGAGTCGTCGTCCGTAACTCAATCAACTCTAAATTCTCTAGTCAGCCTAGGAGGACTATCAAACAAGGCGCATTTATGGCGTTCTTGAGAGAGGACAGAGCAGGACAACGATTACTTGAATCAGCAAGTAATATTAATGTAATATTGAGGAAGCAAGGAGAACCAGGACAAGGTGTAACAAGGCCCGAATGGATCATTAGCTAGCTAGCCTCCGTTCCCTTCCCCTTCCACTTCCACTTTCCTCCTTCCACCACTCCCCAACTGGCTTCCGCACGCAACCTACTGGTCCCATCCATTTCGCCCCATATGCCGGATGCTGCAAAATGGAGAGCACGAGACAAGGGGCCACAGGTTGATCCGGTCAGGCCTGGGAAAAATAACACAATCAAAAATATTCCCAGCGGTCAGAGGCCAAACCCACGCCAGGCCCTTTTTAAGCTCCGGCCTGGTAAGCTTGATATCACACATCACACACAACACCAGCAGAGGAGCAGCAGTAACAAACGCCCCCTACCCTACCTGACCTGGCACTTGCCTGCCTGCCTACCCTCTGCGGCCCGCTCAAATTCTTTCCTTTCTTTCTCTCTTCCTTCCACTCCCCTCCCCTCCCCTCCCTCTCGTTACTTTTCTTCTTCCCTGCAGCCCCTCCACGTTGAACTCTCTACATCATCCAGAATCCATTTCCACCTTGGGCCATTCATACAAAAAGAGGGAAAATATTTATACCACGTCCCCTTTTCATCCTCCTCCGCTAAGCATGACGGTTCCCGAACATTGATCCGACTATCTTCCACCAGGCGAACTCTTGCGAACAAAGAAGTTCCCCTTCCGACCCCCCAAATCTTTCGATCCTGCCCTCCGCATTGTGCCTCAACCATTGAGTGTAGGCACCATCGAGGTGAAGCTCGGCCTTCATCATGGCGGCAAGTCGCTCCATGGAGTCTCGTACGGGACGCAGCAAACAACGTAAGTTCCAATCCAGAAAACAAAGTGCGCGTCTGCACGTGGTACCAAACTTTTTTTTTCTGCCATCTCGACTTCTCGCTACAAAGACGGTCTCAAGCTCACCACTTTGTCTCTCCTGCAGGTTACAGTGAAAGCGGCGAACGACTCGTCGCCGGAGTCGTCCCTCTCAATGCCGCCAAAACACACGTCCTCCTGATCCAATCCACCCGTCGCGCCGGCTGGGTTCTACCCAAGGGAGGATGGGAGTCCGATGAGAGTTGCACCGAAGCTGCACAGCGCGAAGCTTGGGAAGAGGCGGGAATCGTGTGCAATGTCGACTACGACCTGGGCACGATCAAGGAAACGCGAGCGCCCAAGCATCTGACTAAGGAGGCGCCCAAATCCCTCTACCAGTTCTACGAGGTCACTGTCACACGAGAAGAGCCAGACTGGCCCGAGAAGCACAAGAGGAATCGGCAGTGGGCCAATTTCGCGGAAGCGTCAGAAGCCATGAAGGCGCGACCGGAACTGGTCGAAGCCCTCAAACGGTCCACCATTCAGAAATAGCCTCGCGGGCCCGGCGTTCTATCCATCATACAGAGTCTACGAGCGACCTTCAGACCCTTCAGTTCCAGCCTCCTTATTTCACTCTGAAGTCTCGCGGCAAGGCCAGTCATGATCGAGAGCTATAGGATTCCGGGTTCGCAACAAAACGAAAAAAAATCGCGGTGCAAATCATATCTTTTCTTCCTGCCACAGTTGTTATTTTGTTCTCATCAAAGGGAGCGCGGGGCTATCTGCTTTTCTGTTGCTTTTTCTTTTGCTCTGCTTTTCATTTTCCAGACCACTGCATAGAAGAAGACAATCAAGTCAGGATGGATATCTGCCGTGCTCTTGAATGACTATGGCTCCCTTTCTCCTTCTTTCATTTTGACCCCCAGAAACTACTCGGAAGCCCGTCACAATCACAATTGCTATACCAAACATTACCCAAAGCGCCTACCATATCCAATTGGTATAAATGGATGCGTTTTATTGCTATACCTGCATTGCGACGAGGTCTCTTCGAAAGTGGCTGATCAATATAGAAAGGAAACCAAAGAGGAAGCTAAAGCGGCATCATTCAAACTTGGGGAGGATGTAATTTGGATATAATCCTTGGGGTATGACAGGTTTCCTTGGTCAAAAAATGCATATTGGACAATATTGGACCAGGGGGTCCAAGATCCAAGGCAAAGGAAGAACCCAACGTTCCACGACTTACATGTAAACGTGATTCGAGCTCTTCTGCCATAGAAATGAATTCTTGAACAAAACCACAATTCTCGTGTAACCGTGAACTCATTGTCCAATCACCATCAATCGCAACTTTCACCTTCCCTTCTCTCCAACCTTGCCCGTGCGGCTCTAGCGGGAAATCCCCGTCTCTCTATCAGTCAGTCAGTCAACCTTAGCCTCATCATCATCCATCTTCTTCCCCTCCATCACAATCTCTACCAAAACAACAACAACAAGCAATGGACAACAACCGGTAACACACCAAATCTCCCAACCTCCAATTTCTCAAGCAGAAACCGAGCCCCCGTCCAATCAAAATGGAGGCTCTAAATCTCGACGACGCCCCACCACCACAGGTGCTGGGCCAGCCACCGCAGCAGAACCAACAGCTCCCACCACAAATGTTCACCACCGCAGCGCAATTACTAGATCTGACCGATAGTTCGTTTCTCCCTCCCCTCCCTCCCTTTCTTTCTTCTCTCACCTACGAGCTAGCTAGCTAACAAGCCCGCCTTGAAATAGAGAAACTAATGGTCTCCCTCCGCGACGGCAGGAAACTCATAGGCGTCCTCCGCTCCTGGGATCAATTCGGTACTTCCCCTCCTTTCCCCCTCCTCTTTCCCTCCCTCCTCCTTCCTCCATTCTAACCTTTCTCCTCCCACAGCAAACCTAGTCCTCCAACAAACCATCGAACGAATCTTCGTCCCGTCCCTCTCTCCCTCGGAACCAGGCCTCTTCGCCGACGTCCCGCGGGGCATCTTCCTCGTGCGCGGCGAAAACGTGACGTTATTAGGAGAGATCGATCTCGACAAGGACGACGACACGCCGACGGGGTACGAGCGGGCGGATGTCGAGGTCGTGCATCGGTTGTGGAGGGAGCGGAAGGGGAGGGAGGCGAAGAGGGAGAGGGGGCGGCGGGCGAGGTTGTTGAGGGAGGTGGGGTTTGAGGGGGAGGTTTTGGGGGAGGGTGGTTGATTTGTGGGTTGGCGGAGGAGGGGAGAGTGAGGGAATTGGGGGCGAGGAAGAGGGAGGGGAGGGGGAGAACGGAGGGGAGGGAAAAAGAAGCTGTTACTTTGCAGAATATTGTGAAATGCAATTAGTTTCGGCTGGGGAGATTGAAGATGGGTGGTGGACTTATTTGGCAGTCAGTCAGTCAGTCAGCGACAGCAGTGATTTTTCGTTGCGGACATAAGTAGAGCTTTTATGGAATACTACCTCTGCGGGTAGTTTTGAGCTCAGAATTGGTATTTGATATGGGTATGTGAGATGTTGTGTATCAGTGGTTTGCAGGGATTTTGGTGTTGTGTTGTGAAAAGTTTCTTGACTTCAGAGTGTTTCTAGAAAGTGGTGTCACTGAAGTGTAATTAAGCCACATTTCACAAGTACCGTCTCTAGACTAAATGATCTGGTTACATGTTCAACACTCAGTGACTTTTATGGATAGTTCGAGGCAATTAAAATCTCTTTTTGAGTCTGTCTAAGTGCCTATCCTGTGAAGGTATATTATCCTCCATTGACACTACTCATATACTTTTTCGTTCTTGGATGTCTTTCCAAACTGCGCTCTGAATCCATTCCCGCCGGGAAAGAATAGCTCCGATCGTCCTCATTTCCACGGAGGTGATAGTGTACAAATAGGGGTGTAGGAATTGCTTCTTTCGCATCGTGAATACTCTCCAAGTTGCAATTCAGCTTATGAGCCACGCTTCATTGTCCGGCATGAGGAAGGACTTTTGGAAGGTTCCTCAGAGAGCCTTGTACGTCATCTTTAGGCTCAATTTCCTCGAGGTGCTCTTGTTGAGGAGAGCCCACAATGACCGCTCTGTGAAGTACTGGTTTTCCACCGAGTACATAATGCCGCCTTTGAGACCATCGAATGTTGCTTAGTGAAGACGAAGTGCAATTCCGTAATTCCAACGCAGTGTTGATTCCCTCACCGGTTCGGTGTACCATCCATAAAAAGTCCTGATATGCACGATTGCTGCCAGTTTCCAAATCTCAAGTACCATCGACCAGTGTGGACATATCGCTCAACGTCTGGGTGAGAGATACAAGGCATTTCTTCCTTCGTGCTTTCGACCTGCGATCAATGTTTTCCCAATCAATCTTCCAATTCCTAATGGCCTGTACAAGCTCCGGATCACCATTCCGAGGTAGGTTATATTGAGCTTGAGCTTCAATTGCCTTAAGCTGGATCCGAAGGTATTGGAGCTCTGATTGATTTGATTCGAAATCGTCCTCCATCTCTGCTATACGGTATTCGAGTAAGAGGATCCGTTCTGCACCTCCTTCAGCTCGGGTGACAAGTAAATCGTGAACTTGCTAGTTCTAGTCAGTAACAGAAGAATGATCGTGTATTTGCGCCACAAAACTCACATCAGATTCATCCTTTCTCTCTTGTAACTCGGCGACTGTCACAGCCAACTTTGTAGCTAGATCTTCGGCAGCTTTGGCTACCTCACCAGCTTTCGACTTAGTTATCTGCTGTTCATTGAAGAAAGGACTTTGTCCATTTGGTGACATTGGTGGCAGGCGCATCCTCAGACTCTGCGTGGGAGTTGGAGGCCCCCAAAACGTATCATCCTCTTTGCAGGCTTCTGAATGCCCCGGACTATGCTGAGGTGTATGCCCATCTTGACTTCGTATCAGCCTTTCAATCTTATCGACCTGGGAGCGTATAGTTGTGACAGCTCCATCTTGTAAAGAGTTGGTATTCGAAAGCTGCAGGATCAAATCATTGAGTCGGTCGATAAGCACGTCTTTGCTGTCTTGGGTAAGATCTTCATTTGGAGATGATTCTCGCATGATTTTGGTTGTTGGAGAGCTGTGTTGACGATGGAAATGCGCAATACCCAAATGATGAAGACTCATTGTTACAGATTGAAGAAATAGCACTTAGCTATTGCGATGCAAATGAAGCTCATGAGAGCCGGTTGAGTACATTTGTACGAGTGAATGGGCGCACAGGAGGGATGCAAGGCATGTGTGAGCTGATCTTGTAAAGATGAGATGAAAACAGTTGAAGTGGAGAGATTTATCTGCAAGCGGGACCCTTATCGGATCCGGCGGCCGCATCCGCCGAGAAGTTCCGGCCATAACAAAATAATTATATCGACAATGAAAGTCTCAAACCAGCCCATATTGACGACACGTTGTAGAGCCTGGAGATCTTGTGCTTCTGTTTCTGTCATCCATTTGAGTTCTGAACGGCTCTTCTGGGAGTAATTGACCTCGCCAGAGGAATCTTCATCAAGATGGCTGAAGGGGTAATGTAATTTCGTCCGGTGACTCTTTCGTAGCTCACACCTTTTAGGAACAGCTACAGCCTTCTTTAGCAACAATTCAAGAGATAATTGTTAATGCAGCTACTCTTGAAAATCCTCCAAATGTCATCCCAGTGTATGCAGAGATAGCTTCGATATTTATCAAGCCATCTGAAGCGTACTTAAAGGTCGCTGCTCACTCGGAGTCGAACTTCTCATTTTTGTTTGAGAGTGCCGCTACCGAACGAGTTGGAAGATACAGCTTCGTTGGTGCCGGACCTCGCAAAATCCTCAAAACTGGTGAAGGCCATGGTGAATCCGTCGACCCGTTACCAGCATTGGAAGCAGAACTCGCCAACTACCGGGTTGCACATGTACCAAAGCTCAAGCTTCCTCCACTGACTGGGGGAGCCATCGGGTACGTTGGCTATGACTGCGTACGGTACTTTGAGCCAAAGACGGCTCGGCTTATGAAAGACGTATTGAAGGTGCCCGAGTCACTGTTCATGCTTTTTGACACCATTGTCTCGTTCGATGGGTTCTTTGAGACTATCAAAGTCATCACATACGTTCATATTCCAGAAGACCTGTCGAAACTTGAAGCAGCTTACGAAAAGGCACGAGACACCATTAGTGAGATTATTGGAGTCTTAGAAGCTCCAGATCTTCCACTCCCAGTCCAGGCCCCCATCAAGCTAGGACAACAGTATACTTCAAACATTGGACAAGAAGGCTACGAAAAACACGTCACGGATCTGAAGAAGCATATAATTGCTGGAGATATCATCCAAGCTGTACCTTCACAACGTATTGCTCGACCTACCTCTCTTCATCCTTTCAATATCTATCAACAACTGCGCCGTGTCAATCCCTCTCCCTATCTGTTCTACATCAATTGTGCAGACTTCCAAATTATTGGTGCCTCTCCTGAACTTTTGGTCAAAAGGGAAGACGGACGTATCATCACACATCCTATTGCTGGTACGGTGAAGAGAGGCGAGACGCCTGAAGAAGATGAAGCGCTTGCTGAGGAACTTCGGCAATCACTCAAGGATAGAGCAGAACACGTTATGCTTGTCGACCTTGCAAGAAACGATATCAACCGTGTTTGTGACCCATTGACCACCAAGGTCGATCGATTAATGGTGGTTGAGAAGTTTAGTCACGTACAACATCTGGTGTCGCAAGTCTCTGGAGTCCTGCGTCAGGGTCTGACCAGATTCGATGCATTTAGATCTATTTTCCCCGCCGGAACGGTCTCTGGTGCACCTAAAGTCAAGGCGATGGAGCTCATTGCAGAATTGGAAAAGGAGAAGCGAGGTGTCTATGCTGGAGCTGTAGGCTATTTTGGGTATGGTACTCTTGACAGCGAAGGCAAGGAAGTCGAGGGTGAGATGGATACTTGCATTGCCTTGCGTACGATGGTCGCTAAGGATGGTATTGCCTACTTGCAAGCTGGTAAGAGTGTCTCTGTTTTGTGCCGCAATTGATTGGTGTTCACTTGCTAACAAAACTGGTGATCAGGGGGTGGTATCGTCTTTGATTCCGATCCTTATGATGAGTACATTGAGACTCTCAACAAGCTTGGTGCGAGCACGAAGACTCTGACAAAAGCCGAGGAAGCGTACTCGAGGATACAGTCAAAGGAGTCACCAAACAGGACCGTCAAGAAGGCCCATATCGATCTGGCTGGATGATCAGAGAGCAGAAATTAAACCTTTAGAAAAATCAGCTACTGGTATGATCGAAGCCGTGTTTGACTTCTCATCAACATGGAGCAGATCCAAGATCTAAGTTTCAAAGCTTGGACCGATGCTGAAGAATCACGACGTCGCAATGATATCATGATGCAAACATGAACTCTATTCCATGTGCAACAGAGAAGTCACTCTCTAGATTGTATAGTATATAAGCTCCAGGCATCGGTTCCGGCAGGAATTCGGCCTATTTCATTGAAGCCCCTGATCCACGTCAACTTCCCCACCGCATCTTTTTCTTTTTCTCAACGCGCTTGACTGACACGCGATTCCCGGCTCATCAAAACATTCCAGAAGTCTGAGAACGATCGCATCGCGTTACAAATGACTCACTCCACACTCTGTTCAACCTATTCCCTGCCTCCGCAACTTCTCAGAGTTGAGAAGTCTGCTCTTGACAGCAGGTATCACAAGGATCATCCCTTAAGCGATCAATGCATGATGTCCAAGAAGGAAATTTCGAAACAAGCGATTGGGCAGCAGGAAATGTTTTCATGGTATCCCTTCTCTGCCAACAGACAAGTGCGTAATGAGCATGATGATAATTTCACTTGAATATATGTTTTGGTGGGGTTTGGGCACGGATATGTTGTGCTCGTGAAATATATGTACTACATTCTCCCCCAAGTGTCGGTGCGAACTCAGGTCTCCCTCTTGCAGCCATCATCTAGCTAGACAAGCAAGCCTTAGCAAGGCGTCTTCTAATTTCTTCACTACACAAAGACCAGCTATCCTCAAGATGTCCGAGCCCACTTCTCCAGTCGCTGAAAACAGCTATAAGAAACCCCTCCCTCTCTCGCCCTCGAACAATGGTCGTCCCGGAACTTCTGGTACAGAACTCGGGCTTCGAGCCAATAGAGAAAAGGCATCATCTGCATACGAGCGTGCCCAGCGAGCAGAAGCCGCCTATCGTGCCAAGCGACGAGCAACATATGCCAGGAAAGACTACCAAGCTGCAAAAGAGCATTTCAAGAACGCTGGAAAGAGCTTCAAAGAGGGATCAAAGGTAAGCATAACCTCGTCCAATTATTCGCAAACTACTTTCGCTGAGTTTTTGTTTTTTGTTTTTGGAAGATCATGCTTCTTCTTACATGGTTTGATATATGCACTCGCTAAATGATTGGTAGTGTGCATGGTTGGCTGTCAAAGCTGGACCGGCAATTTTGATGGAGAAGAAGGAGAAGATGAGAGAGGGGAAGGAAAAGAAGGATAGGGAGAAGGCTGAAGAGAAAAAGAGACTGTGGGAGGAGAAGGCCAAGAAGAAGAGTGTTGACGAGGGGACGGATGGTGAAGAGGCTATTCCTACGGTACAGCCTGTCTCTGCCGATGTATAGGCGCTCGCGGTCTCAATCGAGGATGAGGGAGTGAATGACGGTCATGGGTATAGTCTTGTTTGTGTGACTTGGAGATGTTAGATCTCAAAGGGATAATAGGGATGCTTGAGGTCTTTGTCTGATGTATTGGACATTCGATTAGTGTGGAGTCGGTGGCTTACTGGGGACGATGATATTTTATTTAATGGCTGGACTTGCTGGGATCAGAAGTAGGAGCATTTGGGGGAACTTTCATTTGTTTGTTGGCCTAATATACCCCTGCTTTCTTCCCTTTGTCAAAGTCGGTCATGTCAATCTTCACTCTGCGTTTAAGGATGTTGGAACATTACTCAAATTGTCATTTGCAAGTGGTGAGTGAATGACGGTTTGCAAATTTGGACATTGCAGAGTCACACACAGCCTACCGTGTACAGACAGCCTTGTCCCTCCGCGAAGCTCCGCCCTATTCCGTTTATTTAGTGAATGATCCCCAACCCCACAAAGAAAAACCGGTGGACAAGTATAAATACCACTCCAACCTGCTCGCTCTCCTACACGGCGAAAGATCCAACTCGGTGATTTTCGCTATTGATTTCCAGATGAATAATCTCATCACTTAAGGTCGAAAGAGGAAAGTCTCCATATATCCTTGCAACATGCTAGGTAACCTAGTAAGTGCTTGAGCAATGTCTAAGCTCAGTATATTGAATCTTTGAAAAGTTCTTCGAAAAGCATCCTTGGAAAGGGCCCAGATTGAGCCATTGTGACGGTGTTATAGTTGACAACTTGCACTATATCCTGTGGAAAATTTGGTGCTATAATAAACCCCAGCTTCATAAAGTACTTCAAATAAGTCACCATGCTCTATTTTCATGTTGTCGGAGTGATTACTCTCCCCCAGAATAATAGTGGGTCTGGACCGTTCTAATATCAAAGCAGCGATTGGTCAATCTAAACAACCTCGGCATTCTCATGTTACCCCGGACGCAAGCTCACTTCTTTAGATCGTACGTTCGAGGGTTGGAAAGTGTCCATTCCCTCTTTCTCCTAAAGATCATCTTCCTAGAAACGCTTCAACCAGTAATTACACTTCACCATGCCACATAAAACAATTACTCGTGCCGAAGTAGCCAAAAATAATACCGAAGATTCCTTATGGTTTGTGATTGACAGCAAGGTTTACGATGTCACCGATTTTGTTGACGCTCATCCCGGTGGAGAAGCTGTGAGCACCCATTCCATTATTGCAATACGCCATGAGATCTGCCTTATATCATCCGAGTCTGAGCTGACGACTGGAAGGTCCTGAAACAAGTAGCTGGTACCGATGCAACAGAAGCTTTCTACAACTTGCATCGTCAGGAAGTCTTGCAGAAGTATTCGAACTTATACATAGGCACCATTGACGGCGAGAAGTCCCAGGTTATTGAGCAAAAGCCAGGAGATTTAAGTGTAGTCCCGTATGGAGAGCCAACATGGCTTACCCCTCAATTCAAAAGTACATATTTCAAGGAGAGTCACCGAAGGTTACAAAAGGCGATGAGAGTCTGGACCGACACCGAGCTTTACCCTGTAGCACAGGAATGCGAGAAGACTGGAAAACATATTCCCCAAGAACTCATTGACAAGATGTCCAAGAATGGAATCTTGCATATGAGACTTGGACCAGGAAAGCATCTGCATGGCGTTGAGTTGATGGGTGGAGCTGTCAAGGGAGAGGAGTTCGATTACTTCCACGATATGATCGTTACGCAAGAGATGGTCCGAGCAAACGCTCGAGGTTTCCAGTACGTCAAAATTACCTTTGCCTTTCCGAACAATTTGGGAGTCGAGTTCTCGGGACTCCGTTTCGGGAGTGCTATCTCGATCCCTTGATGTTCTTGTAAAAAAAACTTACTAATTTTGTCAATAGAGACGGTAATATGGCTGGGATGACAATCTCGCTCACAGCAGTCCTCCAATTCGCCAACGATGAGAAATGGAAGAACAAAATTGCTCAAGAAGTTTTCTCAGGCAAGAAGAAGATCTGCCTCGCTATCACCGAGGCATTTGCAGGTTCAGATGTTGCTGGCATAAGAACTACCGCAGAAAAGACGAAAGATGGGAAGCATTACATTGTGAATGGCACGAAGAAGTGGATTACCAATGGAGTATTCTCAGATTACTTTGTGACAGGTGTTAAGACAGGTGAGTCGTTCATGGAAGCTTCGTGGTGCATAGAACCTCAGTTGATCTGACATCGATCATCATAGATAAAGGACTTTCAGTCATTCTCATTGAACGAGGAGAGGGAGTCGAGACTTCTGCTATCAAAACTTCATATTCAGCCGCTGCTGGAACTACCTATATCACTTTCGACAACGTCAAGGTCCCTGTCGAAAATCTTCTCGGCGTCGAGAACAAAGGCATCCACGTCATTCTCTCGAATTTCAACCACGAACGATGGATGATGGCTTGTGCAGTCATTCGAATGAGTCGACTCGTAACGGAAGAATGCATGAAGTGGAGTAATCAGAGACTGGTATTTGGCAAAAAGCTCGTTGACCAGCCTGTCATTCGCCAAAAGTATATTCTCCGCAAGTGATGTCGATCCAAAGCTAATCAGTTGCAGGCTTGCAAAGATGATTGCACATTGCGAAGCAAATCAAGCATGGCTAGAAAATACCACTTACCAGATGACTCTTATGCCCTATAAACAACAATCAACCCACCTTGCTGGACCGATAGGGTTACTCAAAATGTTTGCAACCAGGTCCGCCCACGAAATTGCCGACGAAGCAGTTCAAATTTTTGGTGGCAGAGCACTAACCCAGACCGGAATGGGCAAGACAATAGAAATGTTCCACAGGTACGTAGTTGTTCTTTCTTCTTGCGTGGAAAAGTGGTTTGCTAGGCTCGAAACAAGTGCCTAGAAATGATAACTAACATGGGTCCAGGACTTACAAATTCGATGCTATACTCGGAGGTGCTGAAGGTGAGTTTGCGTAACCTAAGAATATTGTATGAAGCTAATATTAATACTTGTAGAAATATTAGGCGATTTGGGAGTCAGACAAGCCATCCGAAATATGCCACGGAGTATGCTGTGAATGTACGGGCGAGGTGTAAAAATAAACGCGGGACCATTTTCTTCCCAAGTATCCATCTTATGTACCAGTGATCAACAGAGACTTTTACTTTAGGATAGATACTTTATCATATATGAGAATGAAGCCAATCGACTCATGATCAAAGCAAATGTCCTGGATTCTATTGCTTGCATGGGAACATCGTGCAATGTGTTCAAAATTGACTTTGTTTGCTTAGAGGCGCATAGACAGGCGACAAACCTGAGTTTGTATGGAGCCTGGATTTTTTGTAGAGTCTTAATGCTGTGAGCCCAAGATAAGGGACACGAAAGTGTAAATGATGAAGCATTTGCTGTTGTCGAACCTCCCCCTTTATTTCTTGATACGAAGTACTTGTGGCGGGTTGAAGGAGGCTTAGCGCCGATACCCGACCACACGTGACTGCTATTGTATACTAAGCAAGGAAGCAGGCCCATTCATTCTCGAGACGACCAGGGTCAAAAGGCATTTTCTTGTGTCCTCACAGCGCGTCCTGAATGTTCGACCCAAACACCGACCTCTTCACCCTGAGATGCGCTTTAAAGAATCGAGCCTGGTCTAGGTTGTTCGTTCCTTCGCGATAAGGGGGCGACCTGACGCAAAATCTCTGTCATCTTTCCTTGGTCCTCGCTCGACTCGACTACTCTTCATTTACACCACCTGTCGCGACCCATCGATATTCGAGACAATCACAAATCCTCGAGAACTACATCGATTTCTTGTAGTAGACGTGGCGCGTCGCATTCAGCGTTTTCGCCATGGACACACCACACCGCGCTAATGCTGCTCAGATGGCGGCAAGAAATATCAAAGCTGCGAGGGGAGGTCGGCATCCGTCGTCAAAGAGACCAGGAACTCCTGCAAGGGCGAGTCTGCAAGATACAGGAAATCAGGAGGCTCAGTGGGCGCCCATGCCTTCCGCAGATGCGCCTATAAACATACCCTCGCAGACACCAGGTCTTTTCGGAGGAGGTCTACAGGCTTCTAGTTCGTTCGTCTTTACGGCACCAGGAGATACCTTGAACTTTGCCAAAGAGAAGGAGAAGCTGGGTCTCAACAACAGCGCGGATAATATATCAGACATCAATGACGGTATAGGCCGTTTTGCGGGAGATAATAGAGGGGGAAAGAGAGTATTTGGAGGCTCTACTACTTCATCGTCACAAAATAGTGTACCAACCTTCAAGGTCTTCGGCTCGAACCCGAACGGTAATGCTTTTGGAGGATCAAAGACGTTGGAATCCGCTGCCAATAATCCGTTCTCCTTTAATGGCCCTACGGCAGCTTCTCCGGCTACGCCTGAGATTAATTTCAATAGCCCACAACCTTCGCCCGCAAAGTCTACATTCGTGTTTGGAGGAACCTCACAACCCACGCCAGCTAGTCCGGGCAACAGTTTTGGCTCCAATACGAATGGCGATCAAGCTGGGAACACGTCATTCAACGCCAATCCTCAACCACAAGGGTCAATCTTCAATCTCGGGTCGAATAATGTTCAACCACAACAGAATACACCTTTCCAGTTCAACTCGAATCCGGCTCCGCCTGCAAACATTGGTATAAACTTTAGCAATCCTCTCTCGACATCGGCCCCTACAAATAGTCTATTTGGCAATATACAGACTTCTGCCCCGGCTAGCTCAGGCATGGATTTTGGTAGCCATTCGTCTGCAGCAATGCCCATGGGTAATCTCTTTGGAACGTCTACCCCTCCTGCGAATCCAAATCCAACAATGAATTTTGGGCCTACACCAACATCAAGTGCATTTCCAAATCTGTTCGGTACTCCACAGGCATCGCAACCTCCTACAACATCAGGACTATTTGGATTGTCAAGCCAAGCTCCTGTAACATCGACTGCAACATCGACGCTATTTGGATCGATAAGCCAACCACCTACGACATCTTCACTGTTCGAGGCAACAAGCCAGCCTCCAGCATCCTCACCTGGTCTATTTGCAGGCTTCAACAGTTCCTCGTCTCCTCTACCCACTCTCCTCTATGGGAATCAGCAACAAGCTCCTCCCACAAATAACTTCTTCAGTGCTCAAACATCTCAAGCACCACAGACCAATAACCTGTTTGGTAACTTGAACCCAGCATCTTCTCAGGCAGGCATATCTAGTCAGTCCGTATCAGCTATAGCACCTTCAAACAGTCTCTTCAACAGTCCAAACAAGCCGGAAGCAAGAAATAATTTCTTCGGTGCTCCAGCACAAGAGATTTCGCAAGGTGGTATTGTTGGTAATGATAACAACTCCAAGTCCACCAATGACTTGTTCGGAAATCTTAACAAACCTGTTGATGCCTCCGTAACCGACTCTAACGTTAATGGATTCGCTCCGACTAATTTGCCAAGTTCTTCCAAATTGTTTGGCCCATCGCAACCCTTAGTAAGTTCCTACCCGTGTCCGAAAAAAATCTCAATCATTTCCAAGGATACTTTACGTGTCTTCAGCTTTTATCATTCTTGTTTCAAACTTGATAGCATTGTGCTAACATGTCTTTCAAAGTTTTCCACCTCTTCACCTTCGCTGAAATTGAGTGAATCAGGTGAGGCTGGAGACAATAGTAAAAATTCTTTAAGCGAGGCGACCAACAAAGACAATGGCAAGCCCTCAGTTTTCTCGTTCGGCACAAGCTCTTCTCCCACAAAAGATTCTTCGAACTCGAGAAATATCTTCTCTGCTTCGAGCTCTCTTGATCTCCCATCTTCTGCAAATCAACCACCCCCGAGTGGTATGTTCCCGACCCTTACACAATCAGCTACACAACAAACCTCAGGAAAAAATCCTCTGTCGCGCAGCAACGACGCCAACATGCCGATTCACGACCTAGATCCGCTGGCCGGGGAGGCAGCTATGAAAGAATTTTCAGCCATTGGACAAATGCCTGACAGCGAATTACGAAAAGACTATGCAAACAACCCCGAGCTGCGTGAACTCATGAAAAATCCTGAAATGGAGAAGCAATATTTTGCTCTGTGTCGTTTGAAGGAGCTCAACAAGGCAATGGCCAAGATGTTTGAAAAGATATCTTGGTCCGTAGATCCTTCCGATTATTTGAGGCACTACAGGGAGCAACGAGTAGAGATTGCCAAGGCTGCTGGCATGTACGCAGGTACTGGGAAACGCAAGGAACGGGAAGAAGACTCCGAGGCAACCGCCAGACCTCAGAAGCGTTCAAATGCGCTTCTGAAGTCCATTGCACAAGCAAGATCGACCCAATCACCGGCAGCAAACCCCAATTCAGAAACTGAGACCGACAGCAATGCAGAGTCCAGCAAACGCGTTGGCCCTTTCGGTGCAACCAGTTCAAGTTCATCTGCTTCGAACGGTGCACCTTACACGAATGGCTCCTCTCAAGCTACGTCCTCCCAAGCCTTCGGTCCGGGAAGCGCAAGCCCTGTCAAAAACGACGCGTCTAAGACCATTAGCCCTTCTAAGAATCCATTGAATCCCATCCCAACCGCCAACGGTTCCGTCACGAGCAAATTCAACCCTTTCACAAACAATAGCCCTGCCAAGAACCCATTCACTACCGGGCCCCCAAAGAACATCATCAATTCTTTCACGAACCCAGGAGCACCATCACCATTCCCTTTGCCTTCATCATCCAAGGGCAAGAGAAAGGCTGTAGACGAACTCACTCAGGACACTGAACAAGTCAACCCTCTTCGTGCTATCAAAACTCCAAAATTGAATGGTTCTTTTTCGGCTTCCGACGAAGGTTCAAGTACATCGGCCATCTTCAAAGGCATTCTGAACAGTCCATCAAAATTGAAAAACAGTCCAGAAAAGATTGCCGAAGATGCTGCAGCTGCTGAGGCTAAAAGCACTCGTGCCAATCCATTTGGTAACCTTTCATTTCCCAAGTCTCCATCGATGGCAGAATCCCCGACCACTACTTCACCAAATCTGTTCAAGTCAGATGCGCCATTCCAACTTCAGTCGGACTTGCTCGCTCAAAAAGGTCAAACGATATTGTTTGCCAATAAGGGCTCATCTGCACTTGGATCGACAAATTCATTCTCACCCTCGACTGGATCCACCACTGCACCAACCAACCCCTTCCAATTCAAGCCTACAGCCGCCACTGTCAATGGCAATAGAGAAAGCATTCAGACCATTAAGCCTCCAACCTTCGGCAGCCTGTCTGGGATGAGTGCCGTGGAGCAGTTTCGTAAGAAGGCTAAGCAAGATGCAGCAGCTGAAGAGAAGAAGATGATGGAGGAAGACAAGAACAAGGAATGGGAGTCTGACGAAGAAGCTGAATCCGAATACGAAAGAAAGTGGTATGCAAAGCGAGCAAAGGATAAGCAGGAGAAGCAAGAACAGAAAGACAACCTCAAAGGCGCTGTCCCAAAATTCGGTAATCTATCTGGATCGAGTGCCGTGGAACAGTTCCGCCAGAAGGCTAAGCAAGATGAAGAAGTTAAAGAGAGAAAGAAGATGGAAGAAGACAAGAACAACGAATGGGAGTCTGAAGAAGAAACCGAATCCGACTACGAACGAAAATGGTACGAAAGGCGAGCAAATGACAAGACGGAGAAGCAAGAACAGCAAGACAACCTCAAAAATGCTGCTCCCAAATTCATGTTCGATCCTAGTCGGAGTGCTTCTGGTTCTGCAAGCAAGGGGCAGATCTCATCAAAGTCTGCAAAGAAAGACCGTGATGAGACCACAAACTCTGCCAGCACCTCGCTATTCGCGCAGTACACTTCGGGAAATAGTGCGGCGAACTCAATGAACGGCTCTCGAACCTCTACCCCTGGTCCAATCGGAAGCTCTACTGGCTCTGTTCTTGGTGGAAGTCTCCCAGGCCAGCCTGTTAAGAACATCTTCGGACATCTCTCTGACACTGGTAGTGGAAAAGATGACCAAGACGACGAGAGCGACGCTGATGACGAAGAAGATTCCGAGAATAAGGATCCTAACTATTACCCTAGCGCTGAAAATGGTAGTGGTCCTGGCACACCTGCAGAAGAGACAGGCGCCGGAATTGCCTCGGCAAAGAAGTCAAACCTGTTCGGACTCAGTAATGGCGCTACATTCGGCACCCCTTCTAATTCAGGAAGCAGCACGCCTGGTCGCAGTCTATTTGACCGCGTTGGCGCTAAGCCGGTCGCTGAACCCCACGGAGAGGAGAAGGCAGCTGCTCCTTCCTTGACGGGAGGCTTGTTCGATCGCATTAGCAAAGATAGTAACGGCAACCCCCTCCGCCACATCTCGTCCGAAGAGAAGGAGAATACGCAGCCAAGTTCTACCAACGTCTTTCAGTCTCCGCTCGGCGGCGGGAGCAGCTCATTCTCAAGATCTTCTGCGACTCCTGCTGATCAGACGTGGAAGCAAGACAGCCCAATCAAGTTTGGCAAATCGGCAAACACTGAAGATCAAGAGCCGACACCAACTCTAAGCTTCACAGCTGCTACTCCAACCAAAGCCCCTAGAAATCTATTCGGTACCCCTACTGAAGCTTCCTCTACTGCTTTTGGCAACAAGGCTTCGCCTTTCTCCGGTCTACTCAGTAATAATGGCATCAATAACAAGGGCGCATCTTCATCGAGCGTCGGGTTTGCCTTCGGCGCTGGACAGAGCAATTCCTCTTCGCTATTCCCTTCGGCTGCCGGATCTGCTGCTACTTCTCGTGGCACATCTCCAGGAGCTACAACAGACAGTGCAAGCGATGCAGATGCTGATCCAGATGCGGAACGTCACGAACAGATCAACCTTACAGCTGGTGGCCCAGGTGAGGAAGATGAAGAAGTTGTCCACGAAGTTCGTGCCAAGGCTCTTCAGTTCGCAACAGAGGGGGGTAGTAACAAGTGGATTACAGCCGGTCTTGGCCCATTGAGAGTGCTCAAGCACAAGGAAACTAGTGTTTCTCGCGTTCTCCTTCGTGGAGACCCGAGCGGAAAGATTGTCTTGAACAAGGGTATCCTTGGCAATCTTACATATTCGGCGGAGGGCAAGACTGTCAAATTCTTGGCAGCTGATGGAGCTGGGCTGGAGACATTCCTCTTGCAAGTCAAGACTCCTGAATTTGCGCAGAAGTTGGCAGAGGTCCTTAATGAGAACAAGGCGAAGTGAGCAGAGATGATTGTGGTAGACAGCGGGAGTGTTGGATTTTCATGAGCATAGTCTCTTTTCTACGGATCTGGGATGTCATGAGACTGTTTGTTATTATGTGGAACCCTTTTTTCTCATCTTTCTATTCTCCTGTTGCTTGTCTTTTTGATTGCACAAAAATGGTGGACTGCATGGCATGGCATGGTGGCGTTTCGTTTGCTGCATAGCGCTGCTTTTTATTCATTTTAGATGTAATACAGACAGACAGACAGTATGCGCGCGGGTTCCTCACTTCGTCAGAGGTGACTTGAGCCAGCATTTTGTGAGGATTCTTCAGATATTGGAAGACACTTCGCAGCAGTACATAGTACAATACAAAGACATAAAATAAATTCCTTGTGCTTTGTGACATTTGACGTGTGAACTGGTTGAGCTATCACATTATATGAACCGTCTACCAGATTAGAGAAACTAAGTGTAGCACTGACGAATGAGCAAGTGTTATGACTAAGGGTGTGTTTGGCTGGCGAAATTGAGTTTTTATTTTTAGCGCGAATGGGAGGAAATCAAATTTTGTTCTATTCATAGATTGAATGTAAATGTGAATGTGTGGGTTGTTTGGCTGGGGAGGTGGTAGAATAATCGGCAAGGCTGAGGAGTAGAATTGTGGTTGAATCCATTCTATTCGAATGCAATAGGGCTTTTTTGCATATTCATTTTTTGTTAGGCCTATTCGCGAATGGAGTCATTTCCCTAGTGAGCCAAACAGTTCTCTCTATTCAACCCTCTATTCACACTCGGCTTAGAATTTTGGTGGTACAGCCTTCTCCATTCCCACCCACATCCGTGAGCCAAACACAACCAAAGTTTTTAGTAAGAGACTGATAAGTTGGGAAGACGTTGTTAGGAGTGTGTAATGCTTGTTGATCAATTCCTTATAAATGATACTGCTGATGTTGAGATCTATGCTTCACGTTTTCCCCGCTGTAGTGATGCAACCCCACCATCCAGTAACGCCATGACCGTTGAGGTCACTCGAAGAAGTAATGCCACCCTTCAGACAACGCCGGTATGCTGCAGTCTCCTCTTGAGACTCTAGTCCTGAATATCCATACTCGTCTCCGCCATCAACTTCTTCAAGCTATCAGCATCATCGCCATGTTCAGTCACAATCCAAAGACAGAACTGCTCCCATTCGACAGACCATTGCTTCATCCTCTCAGCTCGAACCCCATTTCCCAAGGTCGCTTGCTTGACGCCTTCGAGCCACTCTGCGGCGTTTTGATCCTCGAATGCTGCCCAGCGAACACTGTTCTCTGCTAGAGAAGCGAGACCTGCGAGGCCGAGATTGTCCCAGCCTTGGAGCGCTTGCCAGAAGTCGTGGGTCATTCCTAGAGATTGTGAGTATTCGTATGGATATTCAAAATTTCGATTACTACTAATAACAAGCGAGTCTTAGGTAGCAAGGAACGAACTTACCAGCTGTATCTTGACCTAAAATGGCTGGGTCATCGTTGCAAAGCGAGCAAGAGACGCCACGAGCCAGAAGTGCTGGCAGAGGATGTGACATAACAGAAGCACAAAGACGAAGGACTTCGTTTGAGATTGGGCAACTCTCAACGAGGATTCTCTTCTCCTTTACCATATCGATAAGGAGTGGGTGTTTATATAACGAGAAACCGTGGCCAATTCTTCGTGTCCCGAGTAGGACAGCATCGAAGAGGTTCTGGTCCGTGTCTGAACCATCTCCCAGACACTCTCCGGCGTGGAAGAAGAATGGAATGTCGATACCTTCCTGAGCACATTGCTTCTTGAACCAGAAGAGCTCTGGTAAGAGATCTTTAAGTGGTCGACCGGCATCTTCTTGTCCAACGAGATCGTATCCAGAGACCAGCTCTGGGTAGAGCTGCTTGATGAAAATACATTGATCCATATCCTCCACGATCTTTCTCGTATCAAGGACACGAATACCCGTCCAGATCATACGGCAACCCCAGAACTCCTTTCCCTCTTCAGAAGCCTTGAACTTTTCAATCTCTTCTCCAAAGACCTTGAACATGCGCTCATAAGATGGTTCTGGAGTATCTTGGCCTTCAGCATAGTAGAAGAACGTAAATGCCAGTCTTAAATCAACCCATTTGACTCCATCAGCAAGAAGCTGTTGCATCATCCGCCTCATAAACTTCCTGAAGATCGGTTCGTAGAAGATGATTGTGTTGAGAATGGTGAAAACTGAGCTAAACTTTCTCCATACCGCGTCGACACCATGGTGGTGCTCAATGGATTCGATGTTGGTTATAGTACAGCGATCTTTCAGCCATGATAGAAAACCAGCCTTTCCACCATCGGGAAATGATTCGACAGCTTTACTCAGAAGAATAGGAGTATCAGGCTTGTAGTCTGAGCTCCATATTGAGCCTCCGCTGCCTAGATTAGAGGTCAGTCAATCACTAACCCAAGAATATCTTGAGAATGAGATATACCTTGCTCAGATTTGCAGTACCTGAATTTGATTGGAGCTCCCTCTCTCGCAGCTGGCGTCGACAATGAGGTCATGCAATGTATGTGCATGCCAGGCTCCGACAACAAGACTTCGAACAGGTAGTCGAAATCCACCATGGCATCCATATGTGCATGCAACAGAGCTCCCTTTGGCATCTTCCTGATGATCTGCCATAATTTGGTCTTCTCCATTCTTTCCTTTGCGAAGCTGAACATCATGCCTGGGTATACATTTGCTCCAGCTTTCTGTGCTAGTATATCCTCGAATTCTGAAGTCCATATCGTTCGCTGTTCTTCTTGTCGGATGCGGTCGACGATCGAACAGGCTTCTTTAGCCAGCGGCGAGAGTGATTGACGAAATGCATGATCTGAAGCTTGTTAGACAAAAAGTAAAGTGTGGAATTGAATTGGGTAATATACCACTTCGTTGCTGCTTTTCTTGAGCAATCAGAGCCTCACGCCCGGACAAGAACTTGTTAATGAACGGTTCGTCCTTGGCAGGAATATCTTGTGATACCTCCGCCCACTCTTCTTCTGCCATCCGTGAGGGCCATACCATATCACGTACCCTCGACATACTTGTGATGTGAACGAGGAAAAAAGATTTAAGAAGCCAGAGCTCAGGAGGAACACAATGGGTATGATGTCGCTGTTGGATTCCCAAAGAACAATAGAAATGCTTAATCTTTTAGGAAGGAAAGTACGTCTTGTGCATCAAGACTGCTTACCCCATTTTCGGCCGACTCAAGCTACCTAAGGTACAAAGTGTAAGAAGCAGTTGCTCGCAGGTTCCTGGCGGGGCTTGCCGATAACGACAAAGTGGGAAGGCGATAAGGGTCATGATGATGCAGGTCCGCCTTAAATGTCCGGAGGCTCAAGAGACAAAGAGAACGGTAGCAAAACTGCTGTTTGTATGCAAGAATGTTATACAATTATTATCCTAAACAATCTATAGCTTCGCCTTGGTAGCCTGCGCCTTCTTGAGAATTGGGTCCAGTTTCGTGGCTTTCATAACATCGCCCTTAACCTTCAGCTTTCCAGCCATGAACAATCGCTGAGGATTTGCCTTTCCGCTAACCAACTTGCCAAAATCGTCATCCGAGAGAGATAGCGTAACTAAAGTGAAAGGAGGAGTTAGCGTCCGACCTGGCAGATCTGGGGAGAGATGGGCACGAGGACGATCAACGCTATGAGCCTCGGCCCAACATATCTCGAAGGAATTGGATAATTTACCAGTCGCTTTCTCTGGCAGACCCTTGGCGGCGACTCCCTTGTCTTTCAAGTCGATGTGCCAGCTTTCCGTCTCTCCCGCCTTGTTCTTTAATGTGAATGCGAAGACAGCATTGCCATTCTTGATAGCATCTTTGCGCTCGGCGTCGGAGGATTGGAGGGCGTCGTTAATGGCGTCGAAGGCCTCCGAGGAGGGGAAAGAAGCTGTAACAGAATGAGTAAGATGTCTGAAAGTTGCGGTGAAGGTTGAATGTACCGTTCTTAAGTGACATTATGCTGTTGCTTGTGTCGATGAGAGGAAACCGCGGATGTGATTCAAGGAAACAAGTAAGGTTCCGAAAGCAGATAATAGGCGATAGTGAAGAAGGGAAAGTAGACTTCGTTCAAATAAATACTCGTCGTGAGACTATTCTAGGTTGATCCGGGCACGATTCAAACATTATTTCCCCAGACTTTCATGTGAAGTTACCTCGGTCTTAGTCTCCACACTCAGCGCTAGTCCGAAACCGGAGCTAGGTATTTGTATTTCTTGCCCATGTGAAGATGGGTTCGGCTTTTGTAATTTCAAACATTTCAATATGGGTGCTAGCAGCCCTGTGCTGCCAAATGGCTGCAGAAAGTAGTAGCGTCGGTGTATTGTAATTCGGAAAATGGCAATGAAAAGTATATCCTAGCTCGTCCTCATCCTTTCGTATTTTAAGATTCACGTATAGAACTCTTGAGAAATATAATGAGATTGTGAGGAATAACATTCATATAATATGTGAAAAGGTAACTGGCTGGACTATGTTCAATACCCGAACGTTTTGAAGAAACTGGCACTGTACAGCAAGATCTCGAGCTTGTCAAGCTCAATGGTGCAGCAAGGCAAATGAATTATGCTCTTTGTATTCCATCTAGAGAGGTTTCTTGAAACTACTCACAGCGACAGGGAGGAATCGTAAGTGTGTTTGGACAGCCTAAGTTACCGACACAGAACTTAAAATGTGACATACTACCAAGATGAAGGAATTCAAGTACATAGGAAATATATTTATTGCAAGGTTCATGCAAAGGCTTCCACTGCCATCTCTAAGGACATGCCATCCGTGCTAGCTATAGTTACAAATTATGACCAAGCAATTGCTATTTTATCCATCTAACTCCCACAAGATGCAATTTTCCTCCTCCTTCTTCTGATTTACAAGAAATAAGCAAGCCCAAGACCAAGGACAGCCAATAACCCAATATCATACCCTACCATCGACGCACCACTAGTAGAAGAGCTAGTAGACGAAGTCTTTTCTGACGAAGCCGAGCTGGTACTCGTCGTAGAATTATCAGATGAGCTTGTTCCAACAGTGCTATTAGCCGTATAACTAGTCCCGCCAGTACTAGTGCTCGAACTCGTAGTCGAATTGCTGCTCGTCGAGTTCGAGATGATGATCGAAGTATAGCTTCCCGTTTCATTACCATACGTGTATGTATTTCCAGAAGTAGTGTAATCCTCGATGGTCAAGTTCTTGACGTACATAGTGAAGGGGGCGTCGTCCAAGTCGGTGTATCCACCAGCCCATTCAACGGTCCCGGTAGCTTCGTCTGCGGCCCCGCCGACCCAGTTGCCGATCTTGAGGCGCATGGGTGTTTGCGGGAAGTTCTTGCCGTCGAGGGCATCGGCGTAGAGGAGGGTGCGGACCAGAGAGCCGTCGACGTACCATTTGACGTACTCTGAAGTCCAATCAATGGTGTAGATGTGCCAAGTTTCTTGAGGGTCGTCGACCTTAGGGTAAGTGGCACGGTTGTAAGTAGTTGTATTGCCTTTGCCAAAGTAGTTGGTCTCTACGACAGTGGCGTTTCCTCCAAGCCATTCCTGGTACTTGTCAGTAGTGCTTTCATTGGCTAAAGCTCTTGAACATACCAAGTCAATTTCGTCGAGATCATCCGACTCCATGACGAAACTTGATACGATGCCAGTTCCATTTGCAGCCCTCATTGCGACCTCGACTTTGCCAAAGAAGATGTATTTGTCAGAGACGATCGTTTTAGCATCGCCGTCCGAAGTAATGATGAATTCAGCACCATTGTCGCCATAAGTGATGGTTGTTCCCGAATCGGCTGTGAACTCGGAGCTTTCACCCTGAGTGAAGTCTATGGTAACGGTCTTGCCAAGTGCGGGATCACTTGGACATGCTTGTGGAAGTGTAAGATACTACATGGTAATGAAAGGAAGGATGGAAAACATACTGGTGTTGGTCAAAGGATCACAATCAGTTGACGTCTGTCCCCAAGCAAAGCTCGAGAAAGTGAGGGCAGTAGCAGCCAACGAAAAGATTTGAGACCTCATTTTGATAATATAATAACGAAAGTGGTAAAGAAAGATACTCAATGGAAAAGCGAGAGGCTGCTGGATGCTTAAGAACAGATGAGAAAAATCAAGGAAAGTGATGACCTGGCTCGAACCATATAAGAACACAACGGGCCTCCATGATTATATTATTAGACAATTTGATGGGACCATATGACGAGACTAACACTCTCGTATTGTGGCTGGAGGGTGAGTGACCAAACTGCTGGTGGTTTCTGAGGGACGACTAATGGAGTGGAGACCAGCTTACGCAGTCAGAGGGGCAGGAGGTTGCATAGCTCTGCGCACCGAGTTCACTGATTTTCCGAAAACGTTTGCATTGAAGACTGATGCCATTGAAGTATCCAGTCGGCTTGAGAGAATGCTATGTACTGAATGTTTCGAAAAGACAATATGCTCTGATTCTTGGCATGTAGACATATCTGATGGTGTAGACATCAATCGTGGGAAGGGTCGTCTCGCGAAACAAGCTTTGTGGCGCGGTCCAATTTCAGGGGAATGAATGCGTGGCCTTGTCTAGCGCCTATTTAGCGAAAGCACCATTCTCTGTCAAGGGCGACGACGACTTTTCTTCTTCAACTATGAGTAGCAAACTCTGGCATAGCAGATTCGTCGGAACCGAAGATCTGGATCATCGTATCGCTTGAATTCAATGAAGGGAGGCGCAGTATCACGCACACTAGTGCGAATAAAATGCCTCTTCACCTTGGTGGTCCTCCATGCAAATAAAAACATGAACCCCCTTCACCAGACTTTGGGACGAGACTCACTAGGAAAAACCCTCTTCCGCGCTTCGCGTGTGCAAAGGAGAGTCGATAACTTGAAGCCGACCCTTGCCGGCGTAATCGACGAACTGACGATCGATTCTAGTGTACAGCACGTACTTCGCAATTATGGTCTATGTCTCCGACCTCTATGGCTCCCTATATTGACAACAACGCCATCCCATGCTTTAATATGCTCAAGCCCAGACTAACTTCTTCAGCTGGTGCTGTAACTGTGAAAGAAGTCCCGTATTCTTTCGTGCATCAGCAAGAGATATGATATCACCATTTACCACCAGATCTTTCCTTTCTGTGCCGACTTCCACAACTTGCCCATGAAGGACCATCCGCTCTATTTCGGAACAAATTGACTTGACCTGTTGGATTTCGGTCAATTGGGACTGACCGCTATCCGCCACAGCACTTCTCGAAGGTAATGCCTTCAGAGCCAGAACTTTGGTGGCAGGGGCTGCCGGTCGTCCAAGCAGATTCTGCAATGTTGTGGCTGGTGGCGAGACGGTCGAGGAACCGCCTAGCAGATCAGTATCGCTGCGAGGGGTGTTGGACATTGATCTCGTATTTACTCGAGTGATGTCGTCCTCACCGGCTCTGTAAGAGATTACAATTCCAACGTTTCTCGACTCGTCGCCTTGTGCTGCCGAAAGTGTCGATGTAATGTAAGTTCCGTATTTGATTGTCGTGATATGTTGCAGATCTATTCTTTCAAATGAAGATACCTTCTCGGTGGTCCAGTCGAATCTACAGGAATATAATGCGACATCGGTAAGGATCAGTACAGATTCCTCGAACGGTGACGATTTTATTGTGTTTGGAATTTGCGGAGTTAGCAGTGTCCAACCTCCAATGAATTCTTCGTGGTCGTCTGCTACAACAAGTTTTTGGCAACTTCACAATCATAAGCTGGTATTCGTGCAGAGTAATACGTGACTCAAACTTACGTCTCTATAGCCTGCTCCCGCAACTTCTGCATAGATGTCCCTGGGTCGACGCTCATCAAATTTGCCTCGAAATCTTCGAAGACTGTGGAAGTTACGTTTCCGAGGAGGAAGTCAATAGCTGCTTGACTGAAGAAATCATTGACAATTCTGTCGATATGTAAGCGAGTGCAGTATACAATTGGAAATATACTAACCCGCTGTAAAACCTCGAAATCGAGATACCCATGTCTTTCAACGCGCCTTGAAAGTTTCGCTTCCTGGTTCGAGTAAAGTCTCCTTTCATGGCCGCTGTGGATGCGTACTGTGAGCTTACTGCATCACCATTATCTGCCCAGAGAGTATTGAACCAGGATGTGATCTGATCAGGCTGGATAGACATATCGATACCTTCCTCTTTCAATTGAAACTCTAAGGCTCGTCTACCACAGGCACTCTGTAGAACATTCGTGCGATCCAAGCAATCCATACAGTTTGCACGAAGGACACCCTGTTGTTTTGCAACTTGGTTGCCATCTAGCTCTACTGTGTACCCGAATTGATCAAGCTTCTTTCCGATGATGTCCAGGAGCAGACTGATGTTTTCAAACTTCATTCCTCGACAAGCCGCATGGAAATCAAACCATTCAAAGGCGATTTGTTTCCCAACAGCGTCGTCGGACTCGATCAGTTTTGTAGCAAATTTCTCAAATTGTGCTCCAACTATAGCTTCTGCTCCATGTTTTTCAACTAGATTGGCAAGCTGGACCGATCCATACATACTTGTGAGTCTGCAGTTACGTGAAATCAGTAACCTGGATTGTAAAGACGTTGAGAATGATAGAATATTACGCCTTGGGAACGATGGCCTTGGCAGTATTTCTGTAAAGCTAGATTGTGGGCAGGGCAATTTGAAAAGTAGCACTTACTGGGCCATGTGCTTGTAAAATGCTCGATAGTTAAATTCGTCAGAATGTTGAAGTTGCGGAATTGGCTTGAAAGAATAGGGTGACTGTGAGAAGAAGACGGGGATACTGCCACGAATTTGAACGAAAGAATAGATCTTGTGTGCAGCATCCCATGATGGATCAGAGAGAATTTGTTCCGTCTCTACACCATTCGCTGTATGACCTGCTTCGTCTATACCTCTCCGCAGATATCTCAGTCCAGCACGTTTTACAGAGCGCCGAGAAATTAAGGTTATCAAGAACGACTTAAGTGTCTTCCTTCCTCCACTAGATCTTGGGGAGTTTGAGTCTCCAGGCTCATCTGATGAGCTTTGTCGTGGAGGTGACATATCTAGAAGCTCCATGGATGCCTTCTCAGTCCCGTCTAGAGGAGGTGGATCAGTATCCATCTCGAAGGTTCTTTGACCAATGAAGCCTTGCATGAGAGGCAACACGAAAGAGGTTTGACCTGCTTCAATGAATGGTGAAACAAGATGTCGATTCCAGAAGAACAATGAATCGACTTGGGTGTAAAGTGGTAACTCGGAGTTCGACCTTCTTTGGTTTGAAATACTCCTCGTGATATCATAGTCGTATGAAAAGAAGAAATTCGAGGAGCTGAAGAGCATTTGAGAGTAATAAAGTAGTTTTGGCAACAGGCTAGCTGCGACATCACGAGCCTCTGTGCCTTTGCTCCTCACTTCAATGACTTTGTCCTGTTCAGCGGTTGGCAACTCTTGAGGAGGAGGAGCAGCTGGCAGTGAAGTGTCCTTGACGTTGGGCGTCGACGTTCCTGAATTTGATGCCGTGAGACCTAAATTCCTCCTCTGGTCTACAGTCCATCCTTTCCTAGAAAACCACTTTTGAGCAAATCTACCATACCCACCTTTGAGTGAGATAACATCCTCAGCAACACTGCTGGTCCTGGTATGTTCGTTTGGGGGAGAAATAGCTTCGGCCAAGGTGGGGTGTATCTCGTCGTCGTCTACATCGTCGCTCGCGGCAGCAGACAGGTCTACTTCTTCGCCATTTGTGTCGCTTTCATCTGATCCATCATTTCCATTGCCCGTCCGCACCTGAAGAGTTGTTTGAGTATGCGCGATCGAGGTATCTGCAGCTGCTTGGGTTGATAGCGGCGTAAGAGCAACGCCAGTGATAACATATATTGCCTTCCCATGGATCTGCGCGACTTGGCGACGTTTCGTAATAGAGACCAAGAAGGATGATTTAGAGACAGTTAAAAGACCTGTGCAAGTTCGAGTTAGCACATTGCTCCTATCGCGCCGAGTGCATTTTCTGCGAAACGCTGTTGCACCCTTCACATAAATTTCACTTCCCCCGCGATACCTATAAGTAGACATACCAACGATTCCAAAAGCCTCGAAGCTCTTTCCTGCACCAAGCTCGTTCCCTCCATCCTTGAGCACGGGGACAATGCTATTGTCCTTGTAGCATATCTTCGCAGCCGGAGCGGGGCGCTGGCCCACCGGTTGAAGCACCAAGCCATCAACAGCAGCAAAAATGACGAGCTTTCGCACAAGGCCAGGCATTCTGCGCAGCTTACAGCGGGGGTATCAAGTGCGTGGAATACATATCGCTCTGGTGTTTTTTGTTTTATTTGGTCTGCGTCACCGGTCGCGCTTCGAGGGCTCAAAGTTAGTGTTTCCGATGATCATTAGGGTGAGTTATCAAGTCACCCGAGGATGTCGCTGACCGCTGAGTAACATTTTTGTCTTGGCTGTATATCATCATCCATTGGTCTTGGTGATTGATATTGACTCTAAATATCTATTCTGCAAGTTTTTCTGACTTTTCATGATGGTGGTTGAGTAGAAAGTATCTTTTGAGTGCCGAAGCTTGCCAAGGAAGTTAGATAGTTACCGGTCTGGAGGTCGCAACGACCAGCCCGCTGGAACCTTTAGCGTGTCTATCATATACTAATACGCTTCTGCTTAACTTAAGTCTAGCATTTAGATATTAGATGTTAGACCTTAGCATGAAACTTTTGGATCTTATTTATCTGGATACAATGCTACCAGTCGAGGCCTTTACCCGTCCTCAGATGACTGCACATCATCGACTAACGCTATGATTCTGAGTTCTTTATTCTTACAATACTAATCATATCTTAAACGGGACAAGACTGTTTCGTGTATTCATTTCCATCTAAGACAGCTAAAGTACGCTTAGAAATGGTCCTCGAAGCCAGCAAATGATCTAAAGCATGATATCCAGTCAGAGAGTTGTACAGTAGCGTTATTGAGCGGATTGATGTCTTCAAATTTTTGCTACTGCTTGAAATGTTCTGCTAAGTCCTTCTTTGTGGTTGTAGTCATGCAAAGACTTTTTTTTAACAGTGCGGTCACTTCAAGCGGACAAGTTGATGGATAGGGTCAGTCATAAGAAAATCAGAATAGGAAACTTTGAAAGGAATACCGCTCATGGCACAGACAGTACAAGTCGTTCTCTTTCGAACGTTTGACATGCTGCCTTTGCGCATTGATCTTGTATCCCTCTTACTGTTTCCCTCCAGCTGTTCCACTGGAACTCCTGCTGCGTTTGCATCGAGTCCTACAGTGTACTGCACCTCTTTCGTACTCAAGTGTAGTTTCGCCAATTAAAAACGACCGTTTGTCGTCGTCCCAAGCCCTTGGTCCTTGTGTCCTCCACGCCTAGAAGTGAGGAGTCGTGCAACCGTCTAATCAGTTGGGGTATGTATACTTCGTAGTACTTGCGCTCTTTCGCCCGAAGTTTGACAGGCCATCTTGTTTGATGCAGCAACGTGTTTCGAAACAGAAAACCACAATTCCTCCGATGAATGGTAATGTGCAAAAGTGCAGGGGAATTTCGCATGTCCAGTCAGATTTATCCCTGCATATAATCCTAAACTAACTTGGGTCCCGCCGATAGTTTGGACCCGTACTTGGCACGTCCACGAGCACGTCTAGAACTTCCCAAAAAAGCTGGCCAGGCCTGAAGCCGCTGACCACGGAACAGATCAATCTCATTCGGAGTCCTTCCTCCATCTCCACCTCTCTCCACAACCTCTTCAACACCACCAACACAATCTCAATTGCTTCATAGTTCTCCAGTCTCACCCGCGGCACTGCACTGAGGACTACTATGGGATTCTGCCTTCTACGACCCCTCTGATTCGAACCTCGGGGGCATTCCTCCGGCTCTGCCGCGTAAACCTTCGACCTCGATCTCAGCTCAACGATCTCGCGTCGAAGTTCACCTTGCACATCCGCCCAACGCCAATTACATTTCGCAGACGGACTGCAGCTCTGAGACACCTTGAGGAGAATGGGCCGGATCTTTTGACTTTAATTTTTCCCAGATCCTCGGGGCTGGTCGTTGATGGTCAATGCTGTTAGAGTTGCGCCATCTTGAGATCTATGAACAGCGCGCGACACATGCATCTCGTTCGCACCCGGCCTTTGCTCAAGGAATCGGCTCATTGGAAAGAGTCAAGATGAGAATTCCAATTCGAATACAGCTTGGAGTGTTTGTCCTGCTCTGCGCTTTGGTACCTCTAGCTGTATTAGCTATTGCGGTTGTAAGTTCATAGCCTTGGCTTTCTACAACGACTTGTATCCTCTGGGCCATTTTGTTGTATGAATTCTGGCGTCTCGTGCTGACATCTTCAGTGGATCAATAATTACCAATTCGTCGTTGGCGTCACCTCTAATTCTCTCACTCTGACCGCAAGTCTCAAGGCTGCCGAGATCGCGAGTGACCTGTTGTTGATACAAAGCACAGTAAGGATCAATGACATCTTCCAACCCATATTTTCTTCCATATACATAGCCAATCTACGTTCAAGTACTGGGCCAGGCTTGGTCCCCTACTTGTCTGGTCATGTTTTTCTTGATGAGTTGTTCTTCGATAGGATCTGGCTAACATCTTCAAAGTGTGCTACGATAGTAACAAGAATTCTGCTGCAAAAAGCATTGAAGAATTTTTACGCAGGCAATACCTCGGATACCAACTTCTCTGCGGCTTATAGCGATGTCCAAAGTGCTCTTGCAAGTGGAGGCTTCTCGTCTCTTCTCCAAGTCCAGGTCTACTCAAGAAACGATACTAGTAGCTCGAGTGCGCTCCTTAGTGCGACCGCTAATACGACAGGCATCGAGTTGCCTTCCCAATATCCTAATGGAACTTATGCCGTGCTTGGCGATAATACAAGTCTTGGATACCCCGCGGCACTCTATCCAAACATCACCTACACCACCACGGGCACTCCCGATATCATTGATCCCGCAATCAATGCAACTACTGCCAGTGCCTTTGCCGATTTTCCCCTAAATGCATCTTCATATCTTCTGCTTGGACCGCTTTCGATCAACGACAGTTATGCTCTGGTTTCTCTCACCTTACCTATCGTTGACAACTCTCAAGCTGGCAATGTTCTTGGCTATATGACTGTTGTGGCTGCTGCCTCATCTATTATCACTGTGACGCAGTCTCGTGAAGGATTGGCAAATACAGGCATAGTGACAATCATCGGACCCAGTCGAAGAGAGAACCAGTTCAAGTATGCCCAACGACCAGCAACCGCAATTTATGCTCCCACAGTAGCAGACAACGGTGATGCTGAGGTCAAATACATCCTGCCTCCCTTGAACGTTACGTCAACCGACCGCCATTCAGTTTACAACCACAACCTCACTCAGTATGGTTCCTCGAATTTCACTTTGAAGCAGTTTCCTGCCGCTTTAAATGGATTCTCCAGGCAAACTAAGTCTCCAAACAATGCCAGCAGCATGCTCTCTACCACTAACGAGCAAGGCGTAAGTGTTGCCGTAGGATATGCTAGACCCCAAAGCAGCCTTGTCAGTTGGCTTCTTATTGTTGAGCAAAGCCACGGAGAAGCTTGGACGCCAATCAATCACCTGAGAAACATAGTCCTAGCTTGTGTCTTTGGAACGTTTGGCTTCATTCTACTGATCGTTGTTCCCATGGCGCATTTCAGCGTCCGTCCTATTAGGAGATTGCGAGACGCAACGAAGAAATCTATTGCACCTCCTGGTTATACTCCAAATGGAAGCATTCATTCTGAAGAGATCGTTGATGAAAATGGAGATTTGGAGCGCAGCACGTCTCAAAAATCAAAGAAGGGGATTCTTGTTAGATTGAGAAATCTAGGCCACAGGCGGAAGACTCCCACAGAAAAGGATGAAGAGGAGAGGAGGAGAAGTTTCAAGATCCCTGCCAAAGTTCCTAGCAGGAAGCACTGGATTACTGACGAATTGACGGAACTCACAGGCAAGTCCTCATCTCATTCCGCAAATATCACGCTAACTGTAAATAGAAACCTTTAACGATATGTCAGACGAGCTAATGCTGCAATACACAGGTTTAGAAGAGAAGGTTCAAGAACGGACTGCTGAGTTGGATGTAAGCAAAAGAGCCGCAGAAGCTGCTAACGAAAGCAAAACACTGTTCATTGCGAACATTTCGCATGAACTCAAGACTCCACTGAACGGTGTTTTGGGTATGTGTACAGTCATGATGCATGAAGACAACCTAGAGAAGATCAAGAGAGGCCTTTCGATAGTACACAAGTCCGGCGACCTGTTACTTAACCTTCTAAACGACCTGTTACTTTTCAGCAAGAATCAGATAGGACAGCAACTAAGTTTAGAGGAGAGAGAGTTCCGATTGATCGATATCAAGACGCAGATCAATACCCTGTTTACCAAACAGGTGACGGAAGGAGGCATCAACTTTGGAGTTCGCTTTATCGGGGTTGATGCGGATGAATTTCCTTCAGAAGCTTCGAAAAAGGCTCTTCCTGCTCTCGGGCCGTCAGGTGTGAGATTGAAGGACATGTGGTAAGTTATTCCCGCCTAAATTCTTTGCTACTAAATTACTAACTCACCCAAGCCTCTGGGGCGATCACAACCGTATTCTGCAAGTCATTATCAATCTTGTCGGCAACGCGCTAAAGTTTACGCCCCCCAACGGGAAGGTGGAAGTCCGTATTAAGTGTATTGGTGAAGCAGAAAGTACATCTGATGGCAGTCGGAACTCTATGAACTCCAAGCAAAGCTCCCAGAGATCGAGGAATCGACACCGAAATGACTCTGAATCGAACGCATCGCAGATGTCCAAGAAGCCGTCAAGTCCTTCACAGCAGCCCGCTGGAACCGCATTACTGATCAATCCCATGGACCCCAAATCGATTCCTCGAATCCAAGTTCGAGAGCGCTCGAGGAGTCCACCACCTCTGAATGCAAAGAGTCTGTGGTTTCAGTTTGAGATAGAGGACACCGGACCTGGAATCCCAGAAGCTATGCAAGAAAGAGTCTTTGAGCCTTTCGTCCAAGGCGATCTTGGTCTAAGCAAGAAGTACGGCGGCACTGGCCTTGGATTGAGTATTTGCTCCCAATGTAAGTGTTTTGAATTGATACCCGACTCGAATCAGGACATCAGCTAACCGAGCCTTTAACAGTGGCTACTCTCATGGGCGGCACTATAACCCTTGAGAGCAAAGAAGGGGTTGGATCAACCTTTACTATGAAGATCCCACTTAGACATACGAAAACCCGGGCACCGTCCACATCTAGCTCAGAAGTTCATGGTTCTCGAGCACCGAGCATCTCTGATGATGGTCCTCCTGACTTCACGCATAAACTACCGTCAAATGCAAGTCCAAGAAGCGCAATGGACAATGACAAGCAACCCCGACTAGTTGGCCTAAGTCAACCCTTTTTCGCCGTACCACCCAGTCCGCCTGCAACGAAGGATCCGGAAGACCAACTCGCAGCGTTGGATCGAGCAGCTGCAGCAAAGGAACCCGGCTCGAAACTTCGAGTCTTGGTTGCTGAGGATAATCTTGTCAACCAAGAGGTCGTTTTGCGCATGCTCAGTCTAGAAGGCAAATTCGACGTTGTTGTAGCAAAGGACGGCCAAGAAGCTTACGATACAGTCAAAGCAGAGATGGCCAAAGGCCAGTACTTTGATGTCATCTTCATGGACATTCAAATGCCAAATCTTGACGGCCTCCAGAGTACTCGTCTCATTCGACAAATGGGATACTCGGCTCCTATTGTGGCTCTGACGGCTTTCGCAGAAGAGAGCAACGTCAAAGAGTGTCTGGCATCTGGCATGGATATGTTCCTCAGCAAGCCTATTCGACGCCCAGCATTGAAGCAGGTCCTGAAGCGTTTCGCCACCATCCCCGAGGAGAACGAAACATCGTCCGTATCGAACACCAATAACGCCAGCAGCTCTGCTCCATCGGAAATCGAAGGAAGTAGCAAATCTGAAGTTTCTAAACTCCCCGACGCTCCCATCGTACCAACAGCAAACGGCAGCACTCTCTGATGGTAATGATGTCTCACTCCCCCAGGATATCTACCACTTACTCTTCATTTCGGAGGACGACCTAATACCCATACCCTCCATTTTTAATTATGTTTCTTAATTGTACGATACGAATTTCATTTGTCATCAACCAAAAACCTGGATGGCGCACGCAGCATGCATGGATGGATACCAAAAGAAGCCAGTTCTTTTTTTGACATAATCGGCTTTGCTTTTTGAGCGGGGGGCGTTTTTCGTACGGGAAACTATTCTGAGGATCGATGGCTTTGTTTCTGGCCGTTGAATTTTCTTCCTCTCCAAATGTACATACGAGTCATGAAAGACTGCAGCGAATGAGGCTGTGGTTGGGCATTTTCAAATGTAATAATGTCGACGTAAAATTGTCGATGCAAGCAGAATTTTGCTTTGTGTATAGTCGGATATGTGATTTATCGTGTTGGTGATCATTTCTTGAGCTAGAGGGAGTGTATCTGTCATATTCAAGCGCGGCGACTGATCATTTTGATACCTCCTTTTCCCGCCATCTCTCGTATCTGTCCCACTTTGGCCTATGCCAACTACTTTGACGCGTGCTTCCCTCGGCCTTGCACGTTCTACGTGAACGTGCTCTGCACTGATCGTCTCGTATTCTACTTCATACTAACTAAAGGAATCGCCAATACCATACCTACCTTGCGACCCAACGGTCGTTGTTTGAACTTACCGTAGATATTACCCGAAGAATCAGCACTTTGTGACGAGAAAGTGTACCTGGTCTTCAAAAATCTTGTGTCTGCACTACAAATTATAAGGCTTTTCTAACACCTCTACTCTTTCTTCACAACTTCCATTCCTGCCTCAACAAACATGAACCAGATGTAAATCCATCAACAAGCACAACCCATTATCCGTCGATCCTGCACAACCAGGACCAAGATGCTACATCGGATCCGAGGAGATCACTCACGCTTCGGCAGATAATCCCTATTGTCCATCCCATCTGCACGCGGCCTTCATGCAGCGTTTCCATACCGACCTACCCCCGCCTCGCCTCGACAGCGTGAACCTCTCACAGCTGGCGTGTGTTTCGTTTCAACCTCGCGTTCCTCAGCCAGACCAGCGAGGCAGATCCAAAGGCGAAACGCTTCTTTGCCCAGACGGACCATCTGATTGATGTTCTCCCGCAGCCACAGACAGCCAGTCGCCACCTCGAAACAGAGCGTTCTCGATCAAAGGGTCTGCGGAAACAACCCAAAGGGGCCATGCATTATCAATCCAGGGTCCTCTTCTCCCGTCGACTTCAGACGGTCCGTCGTGAAACAAACGCGACTCTGGTCACAAAACACAACAAGGCTCGAAGCCAAAGCCAGCACCGCCAATCCCTCAGCCACTCCGCCCGCCTTCCAGAACGGCTGGCCGACCGACTACCCAATGCAGAGCGCGTCTTTTCGCGTCTATTTCGCGATTCTCAGACCCCTTACCCGCCCCGTCCCCCGCCCCCTGAATATCCCATTGGTGCTCACCGACGACCATCGTCGCCCAATGCAGCCATGAAGCTTGACATGAAGGTTCTTTTCACCCGTTGCTGCAGCTTGTCGAGTTTGACATTTTTCATTGGGTCAGACATCAGACCCAACGTCGCCAAGCCATGCAGCTTCCTGCAGAGAACCACCTGCGCCGGCAGCGACGAATCCAGTAGACGCGCTCCCCACGTCCTTTATAGTCGTGGCATTTTCGTGTTTGTCCACACTTCGCTGCATTCGCTTTGCATATTGTTACTGTATGTACTATGTACATACACTCAGGTCCAGCGATCTTGCGGTGACTCACAACCTCTCGAGGAAACGTGATGGGGTTCTGAGGCATTTCCTGCGCGATGGGGGGGGAGGGGGGACGCGGTGGGTTTGGCTATATCATGGCCGTTGAGGGCGACCGCCCTTTCTTTTCATAATTGTTCTTCGTTATAGTTCGCCTTTGTGTTGTGTTGCGAGTTCATATTTCGCTCGATGCGCTTCCCAAGTTGGGCCTCGAGACTCGTCATCGCTTCACTTTTCTAAGCTTTTACATTACATACATACTGCGACCTTCTTCGACCTTGATATCATTGTTGTTGTATCTATCTATCTACTTGTTTGTTGTTCTGTCCTCGTCCCCAATCACACGAAGAATCTCCAAATCTCCGCTCCATACGACATGCGCAAGTTATGGCTACAGCCAGCCCAGCATTTCTCCGCGTTTGGCGGCACGATGGGTTGCGATCAGTCCTCCTCTCACACATGGACACAGAGTCCATCTGTGCCGTACGCCTTACAGCCTCAGAGTGCTGTGAGCTTACGACTCCAACGCTTTTCACCCGAACCCGCTTGACCTTCACCCCGAGCGCGCTCAGCCGACCCTCCCGTCTCGAGGCCCTGGCTCGGATCGGACATCACATCGAGCACCTCACTTTCTCCATGCCTCATTCTTCAGCGACGTTTTTGCCTCCTCTCATAAACCCCGAGTCTGGACGCGAAGTCAACTTTTTATATACCCCTCATACGTCAACGGCCTCAGTCAGCCATCGCCCGAAATATGGGTGTTCCGAACTGGGCAATCTCCTCACGCAGCAGTATCCTCCTTTATTTCATGCAGCGACCAATGTGCCGGCTTTCATCAACGCCATGTCACAGCTGCCCAATCTTCGACACCTGACTATCGCCTGTCCGGGCCAAGATCCAGCTCAGAGATATCGTCGAGATTGTGTCGACTATGCGCTCATTAGCTTGCGCATAGCTATAGAACGAGCACCACTCCTCCGACTCGAGAAGCTGTCGCTCTCACACCTCCACCCTTCCTCCCTCCTCTACCTCCGTCACATGCCCGGCTTCGGCTGCACGCCCTCAGCCGGACGACGCTGGAAACAGATCCGGAAGCTGAACATCACCATGGACTCTTGGGACTTTCTCGGCCAGCAGCCCGGCCTCGACCACCTCAAGATCCTCGATGATTATATCCGAAACTTCTCTCCACACCTGGAGAAGGTGAGCTTCGGATGGAATGGCAGGAAAGGCCCTTGCCCATTCACGTTATTCAGCGACCCTCTGTTCGCTCCTCCAAGAAAGGCGGCGAAGCTGTTTGCGGAGGTCACTTCACCCATGTCGCCATTACCGGCGGCGCCATCCAGACCCTCGATGTCGTTCCCAAAATTACGCTTCATGCAAGTACGCAACGCAACTATGTCCTCGGAACAAGTCTCCGATTTCATCTTTGAGCATCGCCACACAGTCCGCGAGTTCGATTTCGAGAACGTGTATCTTATCAACGGCGGCACGTGGGAAGATGCCTTGTCGCCTCTCACCAGCTCAAGCGAGAGCGAGGAATGGCTTTCGCAACAGAGCGGCTCTGAAGCCGATAGTGCTTTGAGCTTCAGCCATTCAGACTTGGACCAGATCGAGGAGCTCGATGAGATGCTTGAAGTCATTGACACAGCGCTCGACCCCAACGCATCTAGTGAGGGTCTTCCACCTCAGACTGTCAGAGCTTCAAAACTAGTCAAGAAGAAGCGTGTTCGCCGCAAGCGCAGACGCAAGACGAGTCACAAGCATCGAGAGGAAGAGGAGCAGCCCAAGATAACTGCATCAGGCAGCAAACTGGTCATCTCCGCTCCGATTCCGATCGATGGGCCTATCGAGGAAGTGCTCATGCCCACAACCTTCAACCCCAACATCCAGGGTGTACAACGCAATGTATTGATGGAAGCCGCTCAACAAGAGCTAGCTGACGATCCCGAGAAGCGGGTGTCGACTCTGAAGAAAGCGAAAGAGGCGGTGTTGCGGCAGCTTGGTAAGGAATTCTGTCGCAGCCAAGAGAAGAAGGATGTCAGTCGTGGGTTCTTCAAACATAGCTGTTCGTCTGGGTGGAAGAGCAGGCCGTTCTTGGGACACGAGAGTAGCACTGCCTTGGTGCCGCTGATGTTTTCGAGGTACTAGCTTGCTTGCTTGCGGCTGTTGTATAGTTGTTCTATGGTTGTATGATTCGTCTTGCTCGCGAGAGCTACATGACTTTATGAATTAATGAAATGACCCCTTCACGATACCGAGATATCTCTTGCAGTGGTGAACGCCCGTGCATTCATACTCGTCGGTATAAGTGAATCTGATAACGCATATTCTCCAATGAGATCGGGTATCGCAGCTCCTCGGGCATTCGAAACCACCTCGAATCATCAGACACTAATTTCTCCCACACGGCCTTGTCGTCTACCTTCGACGTGTCAAGCAGGGTGTGGTCAAGTAGCCAATGCATAGGATACTTCTTGGTTGACTCTCCGACCGTTGTTTCCGAGTAGCTTCCCGGACTGTCCACCACGAGCAGTAGAGATCCTCGCTTGGCAGCCATGGTGAGGTTCAAGAGGAACTTGGTCGTGGAGCTGATTGATGAGGTGTAGAGTTCATTGAGAGTAAACAAAAGGGTAAGAAGCACGGGTGATTTTCCAAAGAGATCGCTCATCTGACTGGTTGTCATCTTGAGGACATCTTCCGCAAGAAACGTGGTCTTGATATCTTTGCTCCGAAGTAAGGAGGCGTTTGCTGCTTTGGCGGCAGCATTGGCATACTTGGAAAGTGGAGGTGGTGTGGTGATGCTGTGTGTGAGTTTGTGAACAACTTCTCCCCATTCAGCGCTATCAACAAGAACAAGATCCAATCCAGACGACGTCGATGTTTCCTGGGTTCCCGTCATAGATATTGGGTTTGGCTCAACTCCAACATTGTCTTGCGTCGAAGCACCAGAGTCCTCGGCCTGATCTGAAATTGAAAGACCAGAAATCCCTCCTTGAAGGTCCGAATCACTCCTCAAGCCACCCTCCGATGAAGCATTAACAAAGAAATAACGAACAAACCCCCCAAAAGCAACAACCTCAGCAGCACCTCCCCCAAAAGCCACAACCCGCATCCTCTCATCCCTCCCATCCACCTCACCACCACCAAGCACCCCACATAACTCCCAAATCCCACTCAAGAACCCCGAAACATCAACAAGAACACCCAAATAACAAACCGCCCGACTGGGACTCCACCTCATCGCATACGTCTCCAAAAACCTCTCACTCCCAAACGCCCTCTTAAAATCCCGCTCATACAGCGCATTCTTCACCTCTTGCAATAACTGCTGGCGATCATCGGACCCTAGGACGTCCGGAAACGTGTCTTTGAAGACATTGAGCAGGAGTTGTTGGAGTTCTAGTGGAATTGCGCTTTCTTTCTCTTCTTCTAATGATGGTTTTGAGGCTTTTGGAGGGGTAGGGGTAGGTGGGGTGGCTTTCTTCTTGGTGAAGCTGGGGCCTTTCCAGCCGGGGCGGTCAGAGGCGTCTTTTCCGACGACTTTGCCGTAGATTTTGCTGTGTTTGCCCATTGGGGTTGTTGGGTTGTGGTTTTTTGGGAGAGGAAGGAAATTTTGTGAGAGGAGAAAGCTTTTTGATATTCGCTTGGAGGGTTAGCGTGGAATTTTGAAGTGATGAAAGAGGATGCACTAAATGGGAATATTGGTCATGGGGGTAAGTTAAATTTAAGATGGTGATAGTAGAAGTTATCATAGTTCAAGAAGTTGGTGTGGATTGTGTATACTTGGGTAGGTGTTGGCGTTAACTCAGCCGTGACCGGGAGAATTGATTATTCGTCGAGATATCTGTGTAACTTGATCCTTCGAACATCTGTTCCTTAAGTTATTGAACCAGAAATTCCGTTTCAATATTGCCAAGTACGATAAGACAATTTTTGATTTTAGGTTGCAGTCTTAGCTTATCCAAATAGAGCCTCAGGATCTCGACTTTAGCATCAATGTATGCAAGGCCTTGGAACAATACTGTCACGGATATGAGGATATTAGGACACTGATTTTGGTATGCCTTGAATTTTGTTTATCTGTAGTTCTCTGAACTGATCAGAGACCGGAATGACCTAGCCGCAACTACTCCACTACTCCATTTTGTGTAGTCCTAGCAAAAAGACCACCCAGTCCAATCCTTAGATCATGAGTCTCTCAACCTTGTCCTTCAAGCTGCGAATCTGTTGCATCAAATCACTAGCCTCGTTGGTGGTGATACTGGCAGCAATGACAGCTCGGCTGACACCGCAGGCACGGCCCAAACTGGTCTTTGAGGGGACATAGACGTATGGAACGTTCTGCAAGCTACAGTTAGTAATCAAGATCGCTTTGTTGGGAAATCTTCACCAACCTTGTCTTCGCACAGGAGCGGTAGATGCAGGAGAATAGCTAGAGGAGCAGTGTCCGCAGCGAGGATAATAACCTCAGAGATACCACGATTAAGAGTCTTGGTTGCCTCGTTGGCGCCTTTCTTCAGTTGTCTGTAGTGGGATGCTTGCTGGACGATGTCGAGGATTTCCTGCGTCAAGGCAGGGTCGGCAACAGGCCAGGCAGCGGATCCGTTTTGTTCTTCTGCCATTGTGTATGGAGATTCGAGATCTGATCTATGCGCAAGAGATACAGTCAGTCTGAAATTCTTCTGAGCGAATGGTTTTGGCTAGGCGCAAAACTTACATTCAATGAAGAGAATGTTTTGCGACTGTATGGACGAAGCTGGCAGGGTTCCTTGCGTTGGCTCGCCCTGATGCTGTGAAGTTTCGAAGTGGGAATTTGCAGATATTCTTCAAATTCGGCAGCTTGAATCTTCAAATATCAAAAAAAGTTCGGGAGGCGGACGCTAACACTAAATGGAGATTAGCGTTGAAGCTAGGGAGCAAAGACCTACATTCGACCTCATCATCGCCATCTGAACAACAACTCTGCAAGCTCGAGATCATCACAGAACCATTCAATTCACAGCTGTTCAGCCCATCTGAGCTTCTAGATCACCTTTACACCTTCAATTCAGCTTCACACTACCGTCACAATGGCTGACAGCTTGATCTATTGGTAAGTTGTCCTCGAGCAGTGAGGGTTTGGTCGAGATAAGCTCCATCCCGAGCCTCTCCCCTTCCCCTGTCTCTTCTATATTTCCATCATGATGCGATACATGTACTGATCTTTCTTTCCTCAGCCCGGTCTATGCGGTTCGTGCTCCTAGCTTTAAGCTCCAAGATCCCACCCCTCGAACGGACTTCGTGGAACAACATCCCCAACAATTCAGAATCATCAACTAACTACAATGTAGCCGTTCTTCGGTGCCATGGGCTGCACATCAGCTATTGTCTTCACCTGCTTCGGTGCTGCATATGGAACTGCCAAGTCTGGTGTTGGTATCTGTGCTATGGGTGTTCTCCGACCTGATCTGATCGTCAAGAGTAAGCTTGGAAGGTTCTTGCCTGAGGACTGGAACTAACATAAAATACAGACATCGTTCCAGTCATTATGGCTGGTATCATTGGTATCTACGGTCTTGTCGTGTCTGTCCTGATCTCCGATGGACTGAAGCAACAACTGCCTCTGTACACCGGCTTCATCCAACTTGGTGCCGGTCTTGCTGTCGGTTTGGCCGGTCTTGCTGCGGGTTTCGCTATTGGAATCGTCGGTGATGCCGGTGTTCGGGGTACCGCTCAGCAACCTCGTCTCTTCGTCGGCATGATTCTGATTCTCATTTTCGCTGAAGTCTTGGGTAAGCAGCTTTTCTCAACTACAAACAAGAGGATGGCAAATTTCGAACCTCCATAGATGGGCATGCTCAGTAGAGTATCCCGGGGTTATTACTTACCTTCTATTGTTGATGCTCCGCGGTCAAGGAATTATCAAGGTTCAACTGTGTCCAACAATGCTGACATTGAACAGGTCTTTACGGCTTGATCGTTGCCCTTCTCATGAACTCCAAGGCCAGCTTGGATGTTTCATGCTAAGCGAATGATCGACAATGGAAGAGGAGCCTTAGACAATTACGAACGCACATTCTCCTCTGCAAACAACTTGTGAATATTGAAGATGGCTAAGGGAAGGAATATGGGGGTATTGATGGGGGCTAAGGAGGGCTATGGAGAGGCTATGCTATAGCTGAAAACGCACTGTACTCTTTGCCTGTCTCACAAATATTGGCGTTCTTGATGCATAGACGAGAGAAGGGAGCGATGGGGTCATTTGACCGTGTATGCTAGTAGTTCTATTGTTGGCATCGATGGTATTTTCTCGGCCCGTTCCCGTGCCTTTCCCATTTTTGCATATGCTCAGTGAATGGGTGGCAGTGATTATAAGAAAGAGGTCTAAAGTCATCAGCTCGCTGACTCAGTTCGACGCCCTGACTACTGACTATTGAATCATATGCAAGCTGAGTAAAAACCCCGCAGTCTGGATCTTACAATACATTTCGGGTCCAGGCAGATCGCCAAGATTTTCTCTGCGTCTTCTTCGCCAGACACTTGCGTCGTCAGCATTCAATGTCATCCATTTCTTGATGACTGTCCATGGACATCAAAAGGTGGCTGCTCCTGGAAGAGGATGCTGCTGCGGGGGAAGGGTGGGGCAAACAAGATGTGCGTCCTCATATTGGATAGCTTGGGCACGAAAAGTTCGGTAACCGTCGAGGTCGAATCCCGATGCTAGACCCCATCTTTCACTCCTTCATTCTGAGTGTCCATACATCTTTCAACACGATCGCAGCGTCGAGAAGCCAGACCACAAGCAGTCAACGCAACAGCAAACCACAGAATAGCAGGAATTGCTGAGCCGCCGCCATGCGTCTGCCATATGTTGATGCCACCGACCCCAACGCCTTCACGACCCCAGAAGAAAGCGCAATTGTTGCCCGGGTCCGCGAACGTCGTGCCCCTCGCCCGCTACAGCCGCTTGATCTGACATTGCTTCATTCTCCCGCCGTGGCAGATGGATGGAATAGCTTCCTCGGCGCTGTTCGTACCAAGACAAGTCTCGCTGACGATGTACGGGAGATAGCTATTTGCAGAGTGGCAGTGATTAATGAAGCTTGGTACGAGTGGGGACATCACGCTCCTTTGGCAAAGGCCGGAGGTGTCTCTGAAGACGGGATGAAGATACTCGAGGAATCAGTGCTGTCTGGAAAGAAGGGTGCCGAATTGACCGAGAAGCAGTGGGCAGTTGTGCATTATACAGATGCTATGACCAGGGATGTGGCTGTTAAGGACGATATCTTTGCGGAACTCAAGAAGCATTTCTCTGAACAGGAGGTTGTGGAAGTTACGGCTACGGTACGTCACTTCGCCAAGTTCATGTATAGACGTCCTCGAGAACAGGCCTTGCTAAGTCACTTATTACTCAGGTCGCAGCATATAACTGCGTCAGCCGGTTCCTCGTGGCATTGGATGGTACGGCTTCCCCTATATGAATAGAGGTACATGATGCTAACATGAATGCCAGTGGGAGAGAAGAACGGAGTAAAAAGCCAAGCCCATTAAAACATCGTCCAGCTTAGGTCATTCAGCATGCGGATCAAAAAACTGTTTACTGTGCATACTGAAATATCATGACTTGCATTTGCATCTCATCGAGGCAGGCAGTGAGAAGTTTCGTCTTCATACCTGCCAGTAGAACATGCACCTTCAAATACACAGAAGTGCAGAGCGGGGCAATTCCGTAACTCGGTAAAGCAAGTGTACCGAGATCCAAAGTCTTCACCGTTTCTCTACTTGCACGAGATTGAAGACGGGAATTTCTCAACGTGATCGATCATTATTGGTCACTATCAAATTGAGGCTTGCATCTGATAAGGATCTCGAAGTAGAGATATGCGTATCCCACTTTGCCCCTCATCTACCTTTCCGGCTAGAAGAGCTCTTAAATGCTTCAAAGAGAAAAAGAAGGGTGAAGCACATGGCGAACTGCCGATTTGACCTCAATTTGCGTCCGTGGAGAGCCGAAGGGACGGCACAGAAAGCTTAGTACCGCTCGCTGTCTTCCAATCCAAGGGAAAACTTGGTAGGGCCATCTGATCTAGATCCTCAGAGATAGCTTTTTCCAAACATGCACATGTCGACTGGCCTAACGAAAACTCTAACTTGCTGCCCATACCCATGGACGTGATGTCACTGGCGTCTGTCTCCGGGCTTTCCACAAACTCAATCGTTACATGCGGGGAATACTCGATCTTGGGAGAACTCCATCGGCGAGCATACGGAGGTTTTCGAAGAAGTTGAAGCTCAAAACTCGGTGAGTGCGCCGGAGATGCTTCGTCGTCTATATCCTAAGACATTAGGCGAGTCTCTCCGTGTATGCAAATCAGGGGGACGATAGTGGTCGATCCAAGGCAGGGTGGAACAAAGGGTCCTCGGGTGGAGACTTGATCTTCAGATGACTGGCGTAAATGATTGACAGCACCGCAATAATATTAGCTCCACTAATACATGATATTCAAGGTACATGGATTCTTCATATGCATTTTGATTCTTTGGCAACTGTTTGGCGTGGCAACTGTTTGCGAATGAGTGGAGGCGGCACTAGCTTATCGCACTTCGCACCCCCAGATTCCTCATCTGTTATCTGATTTGATCTTCTGTTGTGCGCCCAACACCGAGCCTCTCAGAGGGATTCCCCAAGAATCTGAATCTGGAGATTGCGAACTCGATGAACCTCATCGCAGATCATACCACTTTTTCGATCTGTCTAGAATGCGCCCTGGGAGGAGGAGAACAACGTACGATCATGACGATCATATGCTTCTTTCCAGGGTCCATACCGATTGTGCATCTGGCTTCTTTCAACGTCCTCGTCCACGATCGTAGCTTTCCCACGCCAGCCAAGCCCTCGTAGAGTCGCAGAGGCTTGATCTAAAACGGGGGACGTTATTCGTATTTCTCTCATGGACTGGCGATATTGCCTTTTCGGGAATATGCAGGCTGGCCACGGCTTCCCTGCCCGCTCCGCCGAATCTCGTCGTGAAACTCATTGAAGAAGGGCCATTGAACCCTTAGGATGCGCGGGTTCGATCGTGCAATGAGAAGGGAGGATCATTTGCAAGACTCAAAGCCTCTGGGAAGGATTGCTTAACCACATGCAGACAGTCTGCCGCCTCTCGGGGATTATGCTCCAGAACAATTTGATGCTGGACGCGACAGGGTAAGGTTGCCGTATCATCAACAAGAACTTGAGAGATATTACCGTCTTGGCCGATCAATTCTTCTTGCCCGTTAAATTCTGAAACTTTGACCAGGTTGATCTTCTCCTTTATGCTGCCAATTTGCAGCGCACTTCGCTGTTTTAGACCGGTCATCGGCCGCTTAAGCCTTATCGTCCCCGACTCTGGTGGTACATGCAACTTTGACTGGTGTGCACTTAAGCCTCCTCATTCTTTCTCAACCTTATCCTATTCCGGACCAATCACTAATTCCGCATCGTATTTTGAAGGACGTTGTGCTGGTACTTCGGGAATAGTAGTATGAGCGCAGTAAGTCGTTAACTTTTAGTGCTAGAAAGTCACGCTTCATGCAAGCCTCGCCTCTCAATTTGAGCTTCCCTTCTTTCGGCCGACGCCAGCAGTTATTGGAAATGATGGACAGTCGGCAAGCTGAATGCAATCCTGGAGAGTACAAGGCTGGGTGAGTATCGCCACTCAGCATGGGACAAGCACGTATGCAGAAGTCTTTTGGGGTTCCGCATATGTTGAAAAATCCATTGCAGTATAATCTTTGAGGCTTGGCCAAGTGGCCGAGAGTGTCCCCGGTTTAACGACACCACAACTGCACCCAAAAGCCCGTGGCTGTCAACGACTGGCAAGTCAGCACGACCGTTCCAAAGCGAACGTAGCGGATATGTAGTCCGTATGTAAGTCCGAGAACTTGGCTGTCAGCCTGCATAACGCCCTGAGCCAAAGAGAGCCATGGAAGGGGGGGTTGGCGCATAGCCGACGATGACTTTGTACCGTCAGCAATGAAAAGGTGACCAGGGTCCACTTTTCTCGAGATGTAAGCACTGCAAAAGTTGGGTGTGAGGATTTAGGTAATAAACTTTGCGTGAGGTAATCCTCCTCTCAGTGGCTGTTCACCACCCCGCCCCTGCGAGAGCAAGCATCTGCCACATCTCCCACGTTGATCACCCCAGTCCAACGATGCCGAGCTGGTGCCCTTGAAGCAGCAGCTGGCAGGTCCGTGTCCCAATACGTACAGATGGAATTGGGCAACGACCCTGGCCCGCAAAAACTGGAGTTGATACCGCTACCATATGCACTATACTGGGTTGTTGATTGGCATGAACACTGTCCCCAAGTGGAAGGAACTTCAATGGCGAGCGGTATGCGGCGGAGGTCATCTTGTGAAGACCACCAATTCCGCTACAACCCTGGGGCTGTTTGGGGTCGGATCACATTCTTAATTGTCGTCTCCACCCGGAGGGTCATCTCCCCCCGAATATATTCCCTCCACCGACCGGACACTGACATCCTTCTCGTGTGATGACTTAAGACCTGACGTCCTTCCAGCCTTTATGTCATTCTAAGGCTGTCGACAGACAAAACACACTTGGTACCGCCTTGTTGAGATCTCGGCCAAGTCTTCACATACCTATATACAGCCCAAGTATCTCTTCCATCGAGCCATAGCATCAAGGGCATCACATCTAAAACCGAGCACAACACTCTTCCTTGTTTCATCATGGCAGCTGGACAGTACCAGGACAACTCCGTGGATAGCCAATCTTTCCTAGTGGCTCCAGATATGAATGGAGGAATGTATGATGGCACCTCCAGCGAATCTTCAGCAAGCTCACCACTCAATTGCAATGTAAGCTTTCGCTACTAGCTGTAGTCTGATGGCAGTTTGCTGATAAGGTCAAGCAGGGCTTCGACAACCTATATGGAGCAAATGGCTTCATGCCATACCCAGCATTTCCAATGCAATATCCTATGAACGGCGAAGGAATGACTCCGATGGGCCTGATCCCCGTGGAACTTGACATCGAGGGCCTCTATGAGGACCATGACAGACGACGGAGGAAGAATGGTAGTGACAAGACTGTTTCTTCGCATGTCCACTCGGTGAGTAGCCAAGTGTCTCCCACAGTCTGCAATATACTAACTTCCAACAGCGTCGTCGAGCTCAGAATCGCGCATCCCAACGAGCGTTCCGAGACCGAAAGGAGAAGCACATGCGCGAACTCGAACAACGATTGAATGAGCTTGAAGGTCGACACAGCGATCTTTCTAGATCGTATGAATCCTTGCAACTCGAATATACCAGCGTGAAACAAGAGTTGGACAAGTTTCGCAAGGACAATGCTAGACGTGAAGGATCGTCCTCAAGGAATTATCAGTCCAGAGATTGGGAAGAATCGAAACCAGAGATACTGGACCCTCTCTTATTCGATGTATCGGCCTTTTGTTTTGATCAAGACGACAGCACGGATCGGAAGGACTAAAATGATTATGCTTCTCTGCGGCGTTTGGAGGGTGGAATTTTGACATTGCAGCAGGCGCCATTGATATCTCCAAATTGATGGAGGGGTAGATACCGGGCTTCGGGGCTTCTGATTCTGGGCGCCACTATGGCAAGCTTCATGTCGATATTGATAACTATCTATAATGAACAAAAGGATCAGTCGATCTGTAAATGTTTTGCGGGATTGGTGATGCTCGGTCCTTTTTCGTGCCAGTAGGACCACTGTCACCAGAGTACAAAGTGTCTTCTGTGACAACCCCGCGGTGGTGCCAACTCGCCGTAAAGTTCTGCGGCACAGTCTAGTGACTTCAATAGACTCTCAACTTAGCCCCATAGTCTAAGTTGGCTCGTTTCTTGGTAGCATTCTTCTGCTGGAGTCTTGCTAAGTCCACAGAAGCTTTCGCAGTAATAAAGACTGGCCTTATTATATCCAGACCTTTGACAGTCCTTGAAGGTAAGAAAATCATTGGTGATGTCCGAACGGGAACTGCGCATTGTCGTATGTCTCCGTGGATAAATCCTTGAATGACCAGGTACACGAACGCCATTCGCGCGGGTGAAGCAAACGAACAATAGCGTTGGTCGCTTGAGACACGTGTAGGGATTGGAAAAATGAGAGAAATGGCATTTTATCCCTCAATTTTTCCACAGAGCCCCAGCCTGTGTCCCTCAAAGGAGAGTCCACAAGCAGAGCGAGGCCGGACAGCGTACTCACTGAGAGCCTCGAGACACGATAAGTTTTGTCACAGGTTGACTCGGAGATCATCCACCCGCGGAGCAGAGTAGAGCAGCGCAGTGCAGTGCTGGATGGACTTCGAGCGGACAAGAGATAATGGCTTCTTCTCGGCGGGATGCAGACGTGTGCTTGCCAGTAACATGATTGATCGAGTATTTCCGCAATTGCCGTGGAAGAGGGATGGACAAATCTGATGATGCTTGGTTTCCATAAACTTTTGGGTGGCCTGTCCGTCGATGACTAAGCGACCCCACCTACGGAGGGGTCGTTTCTTTGCTTGACGCAGTGCTCCATAACAAAACTCTCATCTTGCAGAAATCTTCCCTCATTCTCTCTCCAAACACATAATATCAAAACTAAGATCGACATCGCAATCATGGGGTACACCAAAGTTGATGAGCTGGCTATCAACACCATTCGACTTCTAGCCGTAAGTTTTGCCCTATCGTTCGCTTTATTGTTGCATCACCGTCACAGCTTCACCGACCCCCTCAACAAGCATCTCAACGCCACCCCACCTCAATCCGCACGAGAATAGCTTCTAATGTAGACTTCTCAGGTCGATGCCACTTTTGCTGCCAATTCCGGCCATCCTGGCGCCCCTATGGGCATGGCGCCGGTCGCCCACGTTCTCTTCAACAAGATCATGAACTACAACCCAAACAACTCGAAATGGGTCAATAGAGATAGATTTGTGCTTTCGTAAGTCTTCGTCTCTTTTAATTCTCAATCCTACACCAAAAGACCAGCTTTCCAACGAACGATCTGTTGAAAAGGCTGTCGTAAAAATATTGAGCGGTAACGTTGTTTTCATGGAAATCCTCAGCAGATTGTGAAGTTACACAATAGCTTCACTCCGTCTGAGGATTGCCTAATTAGCCATTATTCTCTGTTTTCAAAACATTTTATCTACTTTCTGGCCGCCAACACTCACTCACGCCACTTCTAGCAACGGACATGGCTGCATGCTCCAGTATGCTCTTCTCCACATTTGCGGCTACAAGCTCTCTATGGACGATATTAAAGCTTTCCGAGTAAGTTGATATTATCCAGGTTCTCTGCCATAAGAGCACGATCTAATCCTTGGAATAGTCCATAGATAGCATTACTCCCGGCCATCCTGAAGCCCATGACACCGATGGTATCGAGGTCACTACTGGTCCTCTAGGCCAAGGCTTCTCCAACGCTGTTGGCTTGGCTATTGCTCAACACCACTCTTCTGCAGAGTTCAACAAGCCCGGTTTCGAGCTTATCAACAACTACACATATACTTTTCTTGGTGATGGTTGTATGATGGAAGGTGTTGCAAGCGAAGCTGCGTCTCTTGCTGGTCACTTGCAATTGGGTAACCTTATTGCCATCTATGATGACAACCATATCTCTATTGATGGTGATACCAATTGCGCCTTCACCGAAGATGTAGCTATGAGATTTAAGGCTTATGGCTGGCACGTTGAGACTGTTGATGATGGAGACCACGATTTGGAAGCCATCGAAGCAGCAATCAAGAAGTGCCAAGCTGTCAAGGACAAGCCTTCTATGATCAAGCTTCGAACTACCATTGGTTACGGTTCCTTACATCAAGGCACCGGTGGTGTTCACGGTTCCGCTCTCAAGAAAGATGATATTACGCAATTGAAGAAGAAATTCGGATTCAACCCCGAGGAGACCTTCGTTGTTCCCCAAGAGGTCTATGATCTGTATCACAAGAAGGGTGCTGAGGGTGCTGCGAAAGAGAAGGAGTGGGAACAACTACTTGAGAAGTATGCTGGCTCCCACAAGGCTGAAGCAGCAGACCTCAAGCGTCGCTTGACTGGTGATCTGCCAGAGGGCTGGGAGAAGAATCTCCCAGTCTATTCGCCTTCCGATTCCGCCGTCGCTTCCCGCAAGCTTTCGGAGATTGTCCTCACAAAAATCCACCAAGCCATTCCAGAATTGGTTGGCGGTTCTGCTGATCTGACAGGATCCAATCTCACAAGATGGAAGGACGCAGTCGACTTCCAGCCTCCATCTCTTGGTATTGGTGACTGGTCTGGACGCTATATCCGTTACGGTGTCCGTGAGCATGCCATGGGTGCTATCATGAACGGTCTTGCAGCGTATGGTACTATTCTCCCATACGGAGGCACTTTTCTGAATTTCGTTTCATACGCTGCTGGAGCTGTCCGCCTCTCTGCTCTTTCTCAAGTTCGTGTCATCTGGGTTGCTACCCACGACTCTATCGGATTGGGCGAGGATGGACCTACCCATCAACCTATCGAGACTCTTGCCCACTTCCGTGCCCTTCCTAACTGCATGGTCTGGCGTCCAGCTGATGGCAACGAGACTAGTGCCGCATACTATATCGCATTGACCTCTAAGCACACTCCTAGCATCATCGCTTTGTCTCGCCAGAATCTTCCACATCTTGAAAACTCAACGCTCTCCAATGCCATCAAGGGTGGGTATGTTGTTCACGAGACTGGGAAGGCTGACATCACTCTTGTATCCACTGGTTCCGAGGTCGGAATCTGTGTTGACGCCGTCAAGTACCTGAAGGAGAAGCACAGCATCACTGCTCGTGTTGTATCCATTCCTTGCTTTGAGGTTTTCGATGCTCAATCAAAGGAGTACAGACTCAGTGTTCTCCCAGATGGCACCCCATCCCTCTCCGTTGAAGTCATGTCGACCATGGGCTGGGAGCGATATACACACGAACAATTCGGTCTTAACAGATTCGGTGCTAGCGGTGCCTACAAGGACGTCTACAAGGTATGTCACATCTACATTTTTATTTTTCAGTACTAACCCCTCTATAGAAGTTCGAGTTCACTCCTGAGGGCGTCTCCAAGCGTGCTGTTGCCACCATCGATTTCTACAAGGGCGTTTCTAACCTTCGCTCTCCTATCAACCGTGCTTTCCAGCAGCTCATCTAAGCGGCTTGTTTCGTTGATTGAGCTAATGTTGAGATGTGTTTTGGAATGAACGTAAATTTTGCAGATAGACTATGAAAAATGAACAAATCATGACCATCAAAAGTAGTCTGGGCTTAAGCGGTGACGAGTGATCGAGAATTTCGATGCTAAGTGGTGATAGTCTGTAGTGTAAGCACATAAAGACACAAATTGTGAGTCAGGACAAGCCGCGTGTCCATCATGATATTCTACACTGATGCTGGTCTTACAAGATATAAGGGTCCAATACTTTCTCAGACTTCAAATATCTCACCCACTCCCTCTCCTCCACCTTTCCTATTCTCCACCAGATCCAACCTATACCCTTCCCAATTCTTCAAAGCACGTTTTACCTCTTTAACCCGCTCAATCCTCTTCTTAGCCTCTTCTTCCTGCGCAAGTCTAAATGCTTCTTCATCAAAATCCATATCCTCGTCATCCTCCAGCAGCCCGCCATCCTGCGGCGGTAACACATTGGCTCCTGTAATCGCATTGAAACCACTGGAGATGAAGTCCCCGAATCCTCCTTTGCCCCCTTGAGCAATGCTCCTTCTCCTATTCGGCGACATAGCCCCTCCAAGATCCACGTCCGTAAATCGAGCTCCTGGGCTCGTGAGGCCAGATGAATCGTCGCCTTCTAATTGCTGTCTTCGGTCCCGCCACACCCCTCTGCGTAGTTCATGGACCTCGCCTTCTAGTTCACGGACCTTCTTCTCGAGTTTCTGGCGCTCTTCGTTCTCGAGTTCGTCGACGCCTTCATCGTCTGCGCCGAGAGCTTCTCGTTTCCGTACCTTTTCTCGCTCGTCTTTTAGGCGTGAATTCTCGCTCTCTATGCCGACGAGTTTTGCGCGTAGCTCGGAGGCTTCTTTCTCGGCCTTCTCTCGCTCTTTCTTTTGGGTTTGGAATCGAGCGTCGTGCTCCTTGTGTAGTGTAGCTAGAGTAGATACTTTCTTTTCTAATGCATCGACCTTCTTCTGTAGCTCCTCACTATGTGATTTCGCTTCTTCGGTTTCTCGTTCTAGAGTTCGAAGCTTAGTTTCGGCCGATATGCGTTCACTGCCTTCTTTAACCGCTTTCTCTGTAGTTCGCTCGAGATTCTTTTTCAAGTCGCCAAGCTCCCGTTGTGCGATTGCTGCTGATTTCTCGCTGCGGTTGAGCTTCTCTTCCAGAGCTATGACTTGCTCCTTCTCTGAGCTACCTGCTGCGATCTGGTCTAGTCGTGCTCGAAGTGTAGATATCTCGATTTCCATAGACTCGATTGTAGAAGATTTGGAGGCTAGGGCAGCTTCATAGTCTGCGGGTACACCTGCTGACATAGATGGGGAGGAGCCATGTCGAGTCCCGCGTGAGGATTGCGCCTGGAGTTGTGTATTTTGGCGTTGTAGAGCTGCGATCTCTGTCCGCTGTATTATAGATTAGCATATATCAATGCCAAAACCACTGAAATCATACCAGTTTCTCCATTTCACCTGATCCTCCTGGGCTGGTAGATGCGTCTCTGGCTTTCGGAGCTACTTCGTCCTCTGCTTCTCGCATCTCCTCGAGCTCCTCTTCTGCCTTCTTCCATCGCCTCTCTCCATCAGAGGCTTCTTTTGCTAGTCGTTTATTTTCCTTCTCAAGTTCTTCAATCTTCATAGCTTGCTTTCTGTAGATATCGGGCGCTGTGTCTCCTTCTGGGGAGAAGGGATAATTCGGTGATAATGGCCCACCAGTCCCAGCTCGGAAAGAGGCAGAACGCATCTTAGACTCGAGAGATAGAGAAGGCTGTCGTCCGTGTGGTGCGGGAGAAACCAGTGGAGTTTCTTCATCTGCATCTTTGGTCTCAGGCTCATCTGCCTCCTTGGATTCTTCTATAGTCGTAGGTTCAGGTTGGGGATCTGACGGTTCTTCTGCTTTTGAGGATTCTGCAGGCTCGGTTTTCTCTTCTTTCTTGGCACCAGCTTTCTTTTGCTTCTGCTTCTTCATCTGCTCGACCTGTGGGAGATTTGCTGTCAGCAAGCTAGAAAGTAATTCCTCTGCGCCCTACTTACCCTCTTCTTAGCTGCTGCAAGCTTCTCAGCTTTCGCTTTCTCCTCTGCGTCTGCCATATTGAATTGATGTGCTTCTTTCTTAGCACGAGAATAGGAGAATGTTTACAGAAGCTTGAATCAATAGTTATGTTTGGGCCAGCTATGCTTCTGCTCATCAGAAGCATGGCGTTCGCGCTAAAATAGGCCTCCCGCTCGGCTGAACAGGGGTTGATTTATCGGATCTATCAGAATCGTTTTCATGTGGTCCGACGCTCACAACCACCAAACCTTTGCACGTCAATTGATTGTGGCCAAAGGCAGCGATTCTACTAATCTCAAGGTCATTTGATTGTCCATTCAGTTATCTGACTTCAACATGGCTGCAGCATCATCCACTCAATTAGCACTCCATCTTGCAGACAGAGCTCTCACGCCTATCATCTCCTCATCTCGTCAGCCATCCTCCAACTCTCCCGCGCAAACTCGCAGTCAAGCGCAAGCACTTTCGTCCCTCACCACTACCGCTGTTACAGCATACGAATCTGCATCGCGACTAGGGCTAGGCGTTCCTGAACGAATAATGATTGAAACCCATTCTTCGGGCCCAATCGTCCTACATTCTTATCTGAGTCCTCTACCGACGCAAAGACCACGATCACGTCGGACACAAAGTCGAGATTCTGGGGATGGTGTCGCAGATCAAAGTCGAGCGGAGAGACCGACCCATGGAAGTGTAGACAACAGGAGCGTAGAAGGACAAGGCTACGAAGTGTTGGTGAATGGCGTCGAGGAACTTGATATTGATGATGCGGAAGAGGCAGGAAATGATTCGGTGTATCAACCTCCGTTGCTGATTGCCTCAGTGGTTGCGCCCAGCTCTGCGGATAGTGGAGAAGCCAGAAGAGCGGCTGCAAGGTTAGAAAGAACTGGGAGGACTTTTCAACGAGAATGGATTCGACTTCGAGAACAAGACCAAAGCCGGCAACTCAATGAAGTCGCCGATGAAGACGATAGGTGAAGGGTTTTTGCATGGGCAGGACAACTCATCTTGCTACTCTTTAAAAAATACTCGCCGATCTTTGATGCGACTGCATGGACTGGATATTGAGTATGCATGGAAATACTCCCACTTGGGCATAGAGCATTGCTTATGGTGATACATCAAAGCAGGGAGAGCAGAGGAAAGACATGGGAGGATTTGGCAAAACTGTACTGTACGGGATGAAAAGCTTGTCAACAGATAGGCGGGGTTTGTGAATAGTCGGAGGGTCCGAACTTCAAGCGCCCTGTCCATTCTGTTGTGTTGGCTGCACAGCAGAGGCGGACAGGCAGCACATGCATACGAATGAGTCTTTGACTACTTGGTCTAGACCTCCTTGCATCTTGTATATCTTTGTATGAATTCAACACCTCAATAATTTGCAACATGAATTCTGGAATTTAGCAAAAAGCAAAGGTAAGGAAACAAGTGAAGGGAGAATTTCATCCCAAGTCGATCTAAGGCTATCTCAACCTGAGGATATCCAAATGGGCGCCTCAGGAAGAGGATTGCAGCCAGACAACGCCAGGCGCCAACTCAAGTGTGCCCCAGCAAATTTGAAAGCATAAATGAAAACAATCTCCCACCTCTTTTTCCCATCGCAACGGTGAAGTCATTGTGGTTCACAACGAGGCAGTGCAAAGCCACTGCCTCTCCGATTCGTCGCATCACTCCCGCTTCCAATATTTGACAAGGCTCATAGGGCTGGGATGCACTGGATGCACCACTGCCGCCCCCGAGCTGCAGCCCTAGGGGGAGCATTTCTCACACCGATTATCCTTTCTCACCGACCCAATTCTGAGTCTCGACAGTGATGTTGTGCAGCTGTTCGCTGATCTCGAGTGTCGGTTCGCTTCCCCGCCCCCAATTGACCCCACCATGATTTTGGCAAGTCGGTGAAGCTTTGAGAGGCGGAGCCTCGCGGTTTCTCCGTGAATCGTCATTATGGAGTTTCTGCTATCAGACGAGACCGTCTTGGAGTTTTGATATTGCCTTTTTCATTTTACTTATATGTTAAGTGCATGCAAGTGCCAGAATGTCCTTTCCTCGTCCGTACTTTCTGGCAAAGCGTTGCTGGCGTCAAGGCACGCATTTCTCGCTTCTTGGTTGCTTTTGATTTTGCTTTGTTGGAATGGGAGCGTTTCTTGAGCTTAAGCGGACTATACAGGAGAGCAAGTGCTTTGGTTTTAGCATTTTGAGGTGGTACAAAAAGTCATTAGTATCGTCCTTCTCTTGTCCATACTAGTTGTCAGCATTGTGAACTGTAAATTGTTTAAGAGAAAGAACTTTGAAGGGTACGTCCTTCTTTAAGATCTATCCTGGCACCCTTGTCCCCGATCCAGATGTACAAGAGACTTATCTTCGAGAAGTCAAGAAGTGACTGAAGTAATTGAGGCTACCGAAGAATACCCTTGTCTCTCTTCTTGCTTTATGGAATAAAGTCACATACTGACTCTGATTCAAGATACGACCGGCTGGATTCGGATACTTGAAAGAAGCTGACAACAATATCTGCCTACCACTTCAGCTATGATGGCCGAGCTCGAGAAAGTCTAGTGGAAACAATCAATCGAACAAGACGTTGTTGTAAGCACTGCCTGCTTATATCTTGCTCCGCATCTGTGGTATCTGTGCTGCATGCCAGAAGACACCAGACCTCTCTGCCTCCCAGTTGCTAACCTGCATACCCTGTAGTGGTTCGGGCTACTTCTTCGAACGCCCTGAAGGTCGACATCCACTCATCAGGACTTGGCTTCGTGCAGACGTGAAGCATTATCTCGTTGTTTTCTGGGCGTACGGCCATGGATTCTAGAGCTAAAGTCAACATGGCCTTCAATTCTCAACACCGCATATCACCCAATATCCATGATAATGGCAGGGACATTCAATATGCTCCCCAACCAAGCCACTATGTCACCCATCAGCAATCTTCACGCCCTTTCTCAGGCAGCAACCAGTTCGAGCCCTCTCGTCGTTTTGGTATGTAGACTTTTCTGTTACCCTGTTGTGACGCCTTCTTTGCTTGAGGTTATGGGCGACCGGCTCCGTTGTCGGATGGTGACTATTGCAGGTGGTCTACCAGTGAATATGAGGCGGTGCTCGTTTGGAAAGGCTTCCTGATAGTGAATTGCGGACTAGCGGTCTTTCGTTAGCTTACCTATTGTCCTTTCTATATTTTCTTCTAAGTCTTCAACTGGTTCGACCTTGAAGCAAACAATACTCTGAGCACGAACAAGTACTAAGCAAGTACTCAGCAAGTACTCAGCACCATGACTGATTACTTCACAGACACGGCCAGCCCAGTCATCAAGACAGAGTTCGGCGAGCACCAGTACAGCCCGGCGCCGTTACCGCGTGACAGAGCATTCGAGGCCACCCATCTCTCCGCCCGCCCTCCCATACGACAATTCATCCACCGCCAGGCAGACGTTATTGCGCCTCGCACCCATCGAGCAGGTGAGTCATCACGCTATTTTTGGGGCAACAGGTAGCCTTACGAAAAGCATGTGACTGATTCAATATATAGTCATGACCGCCAGATCAGCTGAAGCTGGATACCTTGGTGCTGCCAATACAAATGCGCAAGAATGTCCGACAATAAATGGTACTTGCATCCGACATTCTGCAGCCCCCAAACGTTGAAGCTGATCCGCGCTTACCCTTTTTCGTCATCCAGGTGCGAGCCACACTACTGCGCCACAACCAAACCACGTTAGTCAGATAGGCCTCCGTCAAAATTACAACTACACGCATCACAACATCGCCGGCAACCCTCGTAATCGTCGCCACCCCGTACTCGACCAAGACCCGCGATACTTCGCTGCTGCCTTTACCTACCAACATCCTCCCACCTCCAGCGTCTATACGAATCCCAACACGATGGCGATGCAGTACGAGCCGCAACCGTTCCCGGTAGATTACCCTCGAACAATGATGCAACATCCCCATCAAGACCAAGAAGATATGAACCAACGTTATCCAAGTCCTCCTCCACCCATGGGCGATAATCCGTATCATCACCAAAATATGGATCCCAGCAGTGCGCTCATCGATGTGTTGCCCGAGTCTGAGGTGCCACAGAAGGAAGAATCTGACGCGCCAAGTCCTGGCAGATCGAAGCCCATTCCAAAACCTGATCGCGAGGTCACAAAGGGAGAGGATGGACGATTTGTTTGCACCTGGCCCGGATGCACGGAAGAACAGCGATCGTTCGGCAGAAAGTGCGAATGGTCAAAGGTATGTATATGTGAATTCTGTTTAAGGAATATCCACTCATTTAAAATAGCACATGGACAAGCACGATAGACCCTACAAGTGTCCAGCTGAAGGCTGCGAAAAGTTGCCAGGCTTCACTTATTCCGGTGGACTCCTGCGACATCAACGAGAGGTTCACAACTTGCATGGAGGTCCCCGAAAACAATTGAACTGCCCACATCTCAACTGCAAGCGCTATTCAGGAAAGGGCTTTTCGCGCCAGGAGAACTTGAATGAGCATTTGCGCCGAGTTCATACCGATGGTGGCGTCGAGGCACAAGATGGAGCCGAGACTGAAGAGGATGGCAGCGAGCGAGCAGGCATGAAGAGAAAGCGACCCGCAGTAGAGAGCCCAGACATTCGCCAGGAAGTCGCAAAACTCCGCAAGGAGAATGAGAAGCTGAAGAAGCAAGCTGAGCAACAAAACATCCGAACCAACGACTTGCTCCAGCAGGTTCAGGCTCTTCAAAGTATCGTTGGTGTTCACGCGCTTCCTCATGCTCAGCAACAAGCTCCACAAGCAAATATGACGAACATGCAGTCGATGTAATTATTTCTCTCTCACCTCGTCCTTTCGTGCATTGCTGGCTGGTTTAGGCATTGGGGGCGTCTTGGAGGTCAGAGTGTGGCGTTCCATGGTATATCAGTTTCCTCTGGGTGGGTTGCGCTGCTAGTGGTCTCTTCTCTTGCACGAAGAAATCTCCCCAAGTTGTCAAATAGCTGTAAATTTTAGTTAAAGTCACTTCGTTGACTATACCCCTGAATTGACGCGAGATTTTACCTCAGACAATGGCCTGAGGCAGATTTTGTGACTCTGTGGTTTGTATCTCGGTGCTTGAGTAGATGACGAATACATACGTGGAACCGCGGATCTCGGGAAGTCTCACAGGACTATTATGAGTAGTCATTCAAGGTTATCTTCGATTGCAGAATAGATGCAGAAATGCCCAAGCTGGATACTAAGTTCAACGTCTCAGATATCCAGATATACCTCCCACGCCATGCCTAACCAAAACAATCGAGATAAAGACAAGAATAATCTAAGAAGCCTTTTTTCCAAATGACATCCAACCTCTTCTTTCGCCGTTCTCATACCTCGTTATAAATGACTGTTCCATTTTCCTACCCAGCCCAATCATATCCCTGTCTAAGCTTTTCCGGCGTCATTCGTTTGCTCTCGAGCTCCGAGGACCTTGACCACGCTGTCGCGATTTCTCACACGATCATAATACGCGACGATGTTGTCGAATCCCTCAATATCCTTCCACTCTCGTCTGATCTCTTCCAGCACCGGCCACAGCGCGAAGTCCGCAATCGAGAGGCCGGATCCTGCAATATATGATGCCTCGGTAGCAAACGCGTCCCAGATTGCCATCTCTTGGCGGAAAGGTTCCAGGTCGAAGGGCGCTGTTCGCCATTTCTTGAGCAGTTCTCCGGCTTGCTGGAGTCGAGTGAATTGTTTGGCGAGATCAGGTCCATTGACGACGGGCTTTGGTCCGTAGACGGAGTCGAGGTATAACATGATAGCCATGTCTCCGACGACGGTCGACTGGCTTGAATCATTATCCACGAACTTGATGGGAGATGCAGACGAAGGCTCCGGATCTTTGCACGGAGGTCCATCTTTCCAATTGAACGCTGCGGATGATCTTGATTCTACCCAGGTTATGCCATATTCGGCGAGCATGAGTTTCACTCTAAGGTCGGCAACGAAGTCGCCAGACAGGATCAGCTTCGACCAGTTCGAGATGTGAAGAACGTCAAGGCCTGCACCATAAATGCTTTCCCAATCGAATTCAGAGGAAAAGTTCTCTTTGCTGAATGCTCGGATCATCTTCTCTGATTCAGCTGCATCACCATTGATGACAGGTTTGGCTTTGTCTTTGCTCTTGGCAACAGCACCTTGACCCCATATCTTCGTTTGGTCTTTACTAAGGAATGTTCCGATCAGGCGGAAGGTCAAAGAAATACGTCCACAGTCGTAGGCAAGCTCTTCAGGCGATTTCTCCCACGCCATTCGTTTGTCCGGTCGGATAGCATGGAGCCATCTCATGTTGGTGACCAGCCCTACCTTGGCCATGGAGTTGTGAGGAAGTTGAACTCTTTGTACTTCACGAGGCTTTCCGGCCGCAGCTTCAGCTTCGGCAGTACCCTTCAGTGGTCTCTTAGTGCGAAAGGTCATCGTCCTTTGAGCACCAAGGCTGACATTGCAGATGAATGTGTTTCGAACAATGTCCAAAGTCTTGTCGCTATGCTCTGTGATATGATCCGTACTATCTCTGTAGTATTGGATCAGCACATGATTGAGGGCATGACCAAGCTTTTTCTCAGCTTGAGCTTTGATGAGCGAGACTGTGGGAGAAAATGGTAACAGAGCTGGTGACTCGTCGGCCGGATGTCGATATATCGGGATGCTTCCATCATGGTCGATATCTCCTTGGACTGCAACCAACCTTGGGACTTCACCACCTTGATGGGACATGCGTTGCCAACGGACTTCGTCACGAAGCTTTTCGAATATTCCATCAGCGGCATCTTCGTCGAGAAGGTTGTGTACAACTGTAGTATCTCCTTCACAATACGCTATTGGGGCAGCCTGAGTGGTCACGCCATCTTTTGAAGATTTTGGCATGACTATTGGAGTTGTATCAACGTCAATATTATCTTGTCGAGGAATGTCCGGTTCAAGGCCAGTATGTTTTAATGAATGAGAGGTTGCAGCGTCAACACTTTGCTTGTGTTCTGAAAGAAATGAGTTGGGAAGTTTCTCGAGTGCTTGTGTCGCTGCCAGCAACGTAGCAGATATCGGCGAAGTCTGACCGATCGAGATGATCGACGATCCTTCTGTGGCTTCCTTTGGAGCCGACTTGGAATGCCGACGTCGAGTTTTGATCTTCGTTTTGACTCTTTCTCGCTTCTTCCCATCGACATCGGCTGCTGTCGTTATCGATGTTGGTTTTGCTGGAAGGCTCCATTCCTCGCTTGGATGTGACTCGGAATCACCAGTTTCGGTTGCAGCCACATCATCTTGCGACCCAGTAGGAACTGCCTTGTGGCCAGGGGTTGAGGTTCCATCAGGTCTCAGATTCAGGCTGGCCATCAGGTTCTCGATACCGGTACTACTACTTGCTGCTTTGGCCTTTGCTTGTGGCCATTGGTTCTGGTTCTGATTCTGATTTTTTCTCGGTGGCGTTTGATGCCTCCTGGCTTTTTGTTGCAGGTCTTCAATGAGCTCTTCACTGCTTATTATCTCGCAGCCAGCAAACTCTACAAGTCTTCGAAGAGCCTCGTCGTGTCTCGCTTTACTCCTGTACCCAAGACAGTCCTCCACTATGGTTATCGCGTAGCCATGCCGCGCAGCATCCATGGCTGTCGCGAAAACACTTATATTCGTCAACGCACCGCAAAGGTATATTTCCGTTACAAACTTGGCCCGCAATGTCTGCACCAGACTTCCATCTTTAAATGCTGAATACCAGGTCTTCTGAAATATCAAATCCTTCTTCCCGTCAATCCTCATACTTGCTGCCTGCGAGAAGTTTGTTCCTGGAGAAGTCGGGAGCACTGCTTGTGGTAATTGTTTCGGTCGAAGCGTTAGATATGTTTCTTCGACTTCCATTTCCTCTTGCTCCTCCTCCTCCACTTCGATTGCGGCGTCGCCTTCCAATGGTATCCCATTTGCCTCCGCTATTCTCCGATGTCTCTCAATCAGCCTCTGCGAAGGTCTCAGTCGGGCCCGGAGGTGCGCATCTCCGCCGCGGTGTTTGGGATCCAATTCATTGTCTGTAATTACACTCTCACTGTCGCCAACAGGCTCGTTGATCGGCCGAGATGCTTCGAAGACTGTGCGAATCCATATAATGTTGCCAGACGTCCGGAACTCGGGGAGAAGCTTCAAGGTCCTGTCAAGAAAGTCTGGCGGCTGCTCCACCGGGAGGATTCCGCCCGTCGAAACAAAGTCATTCTGCAGATCGAGCAGGAGCAGCGCCTGGCGTGTGCGCACAAATGGCAGGTTATTCTCGTCGATTTCGAACATGTCAGGCAGACTGGAGAGACAGACATCAGCAACTCTGTCGATGCGCCATCATGAGAGAAAGTTTTTTCTTCCTGAAATTTCTGGCAAGGGTATGCATATTTTCTTTGAAGAAGGATATGCTTTGACCCACGCAGCTTCAGACTCGAGAACAATCCGTGCTTACCGTGATATCAAACCCAGAGTCCGATTCTATCGCATACCTCTTCGCAGGGTGAGAACAGCCGCCAGAATCTTGAGGAAACGGAACCGCAGTGACACTGCATGGCTGTGAGATAGATAGCTAGATAGTGTATGTAGGATCTCGGCACCGATCAGCAGTTTCAATCACTGTTCCGATGTTTACCAGACATCTGCTGCGCAGTCATGGTTCTTGCAGAGAAATGCACACAATAGGAAGTCAGTCAGGACAAGAAGTGAGAAAGTTGGGATTGGAGGTCTGTTAATTCGGACTTTAGTGGCAGGGATAGTGGACGCACTTGTAGGGCACCGCGGCCTTGGTAGTTAAACTTAATGTATGAAATAATAGCCCAAAACGTCTATTTTCCAGAGCCTGTACGAGCCGTGATAGGCTTGCTCGGTCATCTGAGTAATGATTGGGCTAAGAGTGATTTAGCTGCCGTGCTTCTCTCTCTTTTCCGACGCACTGCACCACGGCTCCCAAGTATACCCTTGTACAGGATTATGCCAGACAACGAAGAGAAAATTATAGTATATCACACAGGTACTGTACTTTAGACTAGGGACACGACCGATCGAAATCACAACCCTCCGACTGATCTAATTCTACATTAGTCTTTTAGGGCTTGATCGGATGCTGAGTTCCTAAGCACCGTATATTCTCACCAATAGTATCAGACCAATAAACCGAACTCTGGTGTTAGTAGGAACATTAGAAGCCGTTGAAACTGCATTAACATTCAGACTATATCAATCGAGGACATATATTACAGCTTGCTGTATCAGACTGCATGCAAGGCCAGCGAATGGCCGCGTGCTCTGTGTCGAGTTGTTGTCCTCGGTAGGCACGGGTCGAACGCCCCAGCCGACCGGCTATTATGGAACTGCTGAGAAGTGGGATGGTGATTGGGCTTCGAAAGGCAAAGAATGATTGCTACTGCATGCGAGGTCGATGCCCGCTGCAAGCCTGAAGTGATCTTTTTGCCTTGAGGCGAAAGTGGGAGACAAGTACTGTTGTGTACAGGAAAAAGGCTTCCCGCCCGCAGATCAGACCCTTGATGTCGTCTCATCGCTCCTTATTAGCTACTTTCCGCGACTTGCAGTCCGCTCGGGGAATTACTGTAACCGGTCGATCAGATATCAGATAATTGTTTTCAACATGTACACGACTTTTGGGAACATTGCCGAATACCGACATCCTTGGACAGCTGATGCGTCACCCTCGGGAGAAAATACTTGAGAGATCCAATTGTCTTTCAAGCCTCTTCGCAGCGCAAAAGCCAATTAAGAGCATGAAGTACGCCTCTTCCTTCCCAGTCTCCTTATTGCCGCGGGATAACTCGGCGCTTACAAAGAGCGTTGTCTCAAGTAAATTGATGTGTATTCGTACCTGAACAAGCAAACACCCTCGGCCATGTTCCGTCTTCAATAGCCACCTTCCCTTAGCAGAAGGTCACATCTTTGCTTACACTTATGATCCTACTAGAGGTAAGGAAGCCCGGGTATTTTATTTCTAGATAGCTACCTTTGAGAGCTCTCCATGAAAGTCATAGATGATGCTCAGATTTCAGTAACAGCCCATCATCGTCCTACTTCCAGCAATAATCACCAAATTTCACACTCTGCTCTCCATCCCACCTTATCCACTACTTCCTGCCTCTGCCTCATTCCCTTCTCTCCCCAGGCCTCTTCAACCCCAACTCCATCCCCGAACTTAGTAACCTCTTCCTTCTCAACTCTCAACCAGCCTCTCCATCCAATATTAATATCCCCTCCATTACCGCCTAAGACTATAGTGCCAACCCACTCTCTGCCTTTACTGCCATGCTCGCTGTATAACATGTACTTCTCCACACTCTCTAAGGTGACTTTCAGATTAGATGGCGTGGGCTGAAATACATGAATGTGCTGGAGCTCAGAGGAGGGGACAGAGACGTGAGACGGCGAGAAGCGGGCTGTGAGATCAAGAAGAGCAACTGTGCCGTGAAGATTCAAGAGAAGAGAAGTCAGAAGTTGATAGAGGAAGGGAAGTCCACGACCCGTGACAGAGAGTTTTCCGCCATTATGGGACCAGAATGTGTCAAGAGTTTGGATGCCTGTCTTTGACGGATTGGGGAGGGAGGTTTGTCGGAGAGATCTCAGTAGCTATTGGATGTTAGTTCTCTACAGTAGGACATTCAAGAATAAAGACAAGATTGAAGAGTTGCTTATCGATAAGGAAGGCCGAGAATGAGAAATGAGACGTACATCTTCCAAACTTCCTTCCTCAGCACCAATCTCTCTCAGAAGTCTACCACCAAGTATTTCCGTCGAAGACGTAATCGTGGCCATCTCCCTCGTTCCTAGCGTCTATGGCAAGGCGTGCTCTCAGCTCAGTCAATCAACTACAATCATCAAATCATGGCACCACCAGTCGAAGCATTCCCAGCTCATGAGCTTCCGTATCGGTCCCAGATCAACGCCAAAGGGAACATGAGGAAGGATTTTAACGGGGATCTGAAGGCGTGTGAATTAATGGAGATGCTGCAGTATGTTTGTAAGGTGGAAGAGCCGGTAACGAGAGAGAGTGTCACGAGATGTTACCCGGTTCAGAGGTGGTTTCGGAAGTAGGTTTTGTAGTGAAGATGTTGATGAATAGGTACTGATATGTTTTCAGATGTCAAGATCGTAATGGGACTTTTATGGTAGAGACAACTGCTTGGGAGGGAAAGAAAGTGGGTTGAGAGAAGGAAGATTCGCTTGATGATGCGGAATTCTGACGAGCTTGTTCGAAGAGCTGCAATGTTCATGACATCCCGTTGCTTCGCACATATGTCAACGAGAATACGGGCTTGATGAAAGAAGTCCATCCATTGTTGGTTCATGATATTACAAGGGCGTCAGGCTTAGACCAAAGCCGTCTCACCACAACTATATCTGTTGGCTATGTACTCTCATAAGGAGCGCCGTCCCAGAGCGACCGTATAGTTCTATAGAAGCTGCTCAAGCAAACTTCATATGCAAATCCTTTCGGGTAATTTCCTCTCCCAAACTCCTCGCTTTAATGCAGCAAATAACCGTCGATGTCCAGTTCAAGGCATCGCGCAAACTATCCAATTTCAATCGTCGGTCTTACTTCAAACGGTTGTTTTCTCCTCACTGGTGCTCCCTTTCTGTAGAACAACCTATCGGCATTGACGATCAGACCTCGATCATCCTCCTCGCCAGCATGCTGTCCGATCTTGCCCAGATACGCCTGACCACTTACAAGATCCTCCATTGTCTGCTCCCACAACTTATGCCTCTCTTTACTCTTAGGGTCTTTGCTAGCAGCAATTTTGACATCCTTTTCTTTTCCAGCCTTTGCTACCTTCATCAGACGTCGAAGTGCTTCCTCCCCATGCCGAGCAGCTTTTGCCGCCTCTTCTCGAATCTTCCTAGGATCTGTTTCGCGCGCACTCTCCGTCTCGGTCCACTTGTAGGTATGTTTGCTTGGGAATGAAGGGAATTTCTTCGGTACGTAAGGTCTTGCTAGCTTGTCAGGCTCTCCACTGAGATCTCCTCCCAACAGTAAGTCGATCCGCGGGGTCGACGTAGGCTCTTCTTCGGCAGGCAGTGGTTCTAGCTGGATGAGAAGCTTATCTGCTGCTATCGGAGGGCGAAGATGTGGTTCTAAAGAAGCTATAGGGAGGTCGAATTCTGCGAGAGCGTATTGGTAGTCCAGTGGGTTGGTGAACGATCTCCTGGCGTTCAACATGGACATGGTGACCTTTGAGATAAAATGGGCAGCATCTGATAGTAATCAGCACAAGATCTAGAATACATAGAAGCTCTATTCTGACATGTTTCAGCCTGAGAGCATAGAGCTTCTAAAGCCTCTGGTGAAGCTGAATCGAAGCCAACATGATTCAATACCAAGCCCACTGAATGTCGCAAGAGTTCGTGAGGGAGGTCGTCGGGGAAGAGGACTTTCTGCGCGCCATCGCTGCTTATTTCTTCGGGGGGTGGTGTCTTTGGAAGAGTAGGCTCTATGCGTACTCTCTTGCTTGGAGGCTCATCGAGGTTGCTGCCACTATCGCTGTCGGGGGACATCCGCTTTCGCGGAGAAGGTTCCATGGGAGCCATTGCCGGTATCTTGACTATGAGAAATGCGGGCAGGCGTGCGATCTAACAATCATTCTTGACTTGGGTCGTGCTCGAGTTGTGGTTGTCTTTTTGGTGATCTATTTCGCGCTAAAGATTCGAGGTTGGAGCCGGATTCAAGATCACGTGCCCTATCATTAGCTCCACCTCAAAATCATGCGAGCGACTTGATGTCTCGTTCTACGACCCAAAGAACCACAGTTGAGGACTTTACTCGCAGAGTCACGAATCATACACAATGGCAATCAGACCAATTACTGGAGTACGTGTTTCCGACGACTAGAGGCCCCTTTCAAGCTTTTCAATCGCATTTCGGAAGCTTTGGGAATATGGGCTGACTTTACCTTCATAGATGCTCCGACGAGGACTCGTCCTTGACCTCAGTGTCGCCTTCGGTAAGTGACCTACAGTCATAAACGGCTCATGAGGAGCTTCGAGGTGTTATATAAAGCTTGGATATGGTCGCCGCGGGCGATACGGCTTATGGACTGAGCTATGCGCTGATGGATTTCATACAGGTCTAGGCACATCATTTGGATACCTCTTCTGGTACGAAACTCTTCCAGCTCAAAAAAGTTCACATGAGGAGCTCCACTCACAATTTATTAGGTACGGATACCACGTTCCAGCCGTTGCCCAGCGAGACGCCTACTATTCGAAGTTGGAGGACCAGAGAGCCGCGAACGCTGCAGCATAGATGTGCAATAGAATTGGGAACATGCTTTGGGACGAAGGCCGTGGGTTGATAGGATTGAGAGGGCGTGGTTCGATTCGATGCGGGGTAGATGGACGATAGAGCTGGTGTACATTACCAATCAATGGAGCTGGAGCTTTGGCAATGCATATCCAATCTGAACGTCTCAGCAACTTCCAAAGAGAGCCTCGCGAGGTTTCGTTCGAGTCCAACTTAGAGCTCAGTTAAGCTTGTGATGGACGAATACTTGCCAATTCCGATCCATGCCTGAGCGTTCTCTATAGCTATTCAAGTGTGGCTTGGGGAAGAAACAAATGGTAAGTGGGCAGAATGGTATATTTTGTACCGGGATTTCTCCACGGAAGGTACGTTCAAATGTACGGGCAAGCTCTCAATCGTATTACTACCACAGACTTACATTGGGTTTGATGATTTGTCTATCTGCTTCGTTCTCGCAATACAAAAAGACGTATTGTATAGCCTTTGCTTTCTAGGAACTTCTTAGTGTGAGTTTACATGGCCTCCGACCCAAGCTCAACTGGTGGGAAGTATTTTGGCTATGTGGCAACGTTCCCGTCCTTACATTGCTGTTAGTTGTGACAGATTGTTTTCCGGGAAGAGACTTCTACCTCCCCTAAGGCTACGAAACTCATTGGCAAGAGAAATTCAGTGGTATCAATTCTACATCAAGAGTGCGTCTGAACGGCTAGCCGAACTCGATTTTCGAGTCCGACACGTTCATGTTTGTACAATATGTATGAAGAACGGCACACTTGAAGAAGAACAAGCAGGATTTCTTAATCATATTGTTGATGATCAGTCAATCTACCCCTTTCTGAAAGTACATGCAGAAGATAGGATTAAATTCAATACTAAACTTCATACCTAACTTGCCTCATCACCGTCACTGTGCCCAACAATCCAATCATAGCCCAGGGTTTTTGAGAAATGAACAGTATCACGTGAATAAAACTAATTCTTCACAACTCTAAGCAACATGATATGTAAGTCATCATTGGATTTTTGGAAAGCTAAAGCTAATTCCGTCCTTAAATATACAATTATCTGAAGGTGAATTCAAGTCCGACCTTGTACTCATACTGTCTTGCAGCAAGTCGCGGCCGCTTGCCCCACTACGGGCTAGCGTAAGCGAGTTATTCGAATTTCGCACACAGAAATATCCGCAGTAAATCGCAATCCAAACTTCGAGCACTGTCAACAATTATCTCTCAAGATGACCGAGCAACTCATCCTGAAGGGCACCCTTGTGGGACACAGCGGATGGGTTACGTCCCTCGCTACATCTCTCGAAAATCCCAACATGCTCCTCTCCGGTTCGCGCGACAAGAGCTTGATTATCTGGAACTTGACCCGCGATGAGAGCTCGTACGGATACCCCAAGAGATCTCTGCACGGTCACTCTCACATCGTATCCGACTGTGTATGTTGCTCTTGCTGTTCATTGGATTAGTGGTGGTGCTGGAACATCTGCTGAGAGTATATCTAGGTCATCTCTTCCGATGGTGCATACGCCCTCTCTGCTTCTTGGGACAAGACCCTCCGCCTCTGGGAGCTCTCCACCGGTACGACTACTCGCCGATTTGTTGGCCACACCAACGATGTTCTGTCCGTCAGCTTTTCTGCCGACAACAGACAAATCGTTTCGGGCTCCCGCGACCGCACAATCAAGCTCTGGAACACCCTCGGTGATTGCAAGTTCACTATTACCGACAAGGGCCACGCCGACTGGGTTTCTTGCGTTCGATTCTCCCCCAACCCTCAAAATCCCGTTATCGTCAGTTGTGGATGGGACAAGCTTGTTAAGGTGAGAGGATTTTCATTTGAGGTTCAGGATTGGAGCATGCGAGATTCATATGATGCTACGCAACTATAAAGTATTTGCTACTTCAGAGCTTGGGAGACCAAGCCATGAGACAACCTAACACCAATGCACTGAAATTGATCTCGCATGCATCGAGATTGAGCCCATTTCGTGGCCTACAACAATGCTGACGATCAATTGTAGGTCTGGGAGCTCTCTTCCTGCCGATTGCAAACCGACCACATCGGACACACTGGCTACATCAACACCGTGACCATCTCTCCCGACGGATCGCTCTGCGCATCAGGCGGCAAGGATGGAACCACCATGCTTTGGGACTTGAACGAGTCAAAGCACCTCTACTCTCTGAACGCCGGTGATGAAATCCACGCACTCGTCTTCTCCCCCAACCGATACTGGCTCTGCGCCGCCACTTCCAGCAGCATCATCATCTTTGATTTAGAGAAGAAGAGCAAGGTTGATGAGTTGAAGCCCGAGTTCCAGGCCGTTGGCAAGAAGAGCAGAGAGCCAGAGTGTGTCAGCTTGGCATGGAGCGCGGATGGTCAAACTTTGTTCGCTGGATACACGGATAACATCATTCGGGCCTGGGGTGTTATGTCGAGAGCGTAAAGGAGTTTGCTTGCTTGCGGGAAATCATGGACTGGGAGACAAAGCGGGATTTGCAACTTCTTGCCAATTGGCAGAGTGTACTCCAGGAATGGCATCGCCTTGTGCTCAGTCAAAAATGAATACTAAAAAATGGCCCGAGATCTCTACAAGTGATTGTTTTAGGCGTGGTCATAGGTTGGGCACACTTTAAGTTGAAACCAGCACACATATCAGGAAGTCTAGAAGTCTAGACAACATCACAAACGGCCAGAATGCCAATGTACATCCAGGTGTTTGAGTGTACCTGAAAGCCTCCCATACTGCCAATCTTGGCTCCAAGAACATAGCAAGTTCGCATTGCCGTCTAGAACTATTGCTTAGCCTTGGCATGTAGCTACAAACAGGCTCGACATGCTAGCGCGCTATAACGTTCGACCAGTGGTAGTCGCCATCAAGGCTTTGTTTACAGACTCTATCTGAGGAGGGCATTCATCTGTGGTGCTCCCTCAACTGAGTACGAGTTAGCTGATCAGTATCGGCTGCCTACCGTAGGGGAAGAGCAGGCAAAAGTTATCTCGAGTATAAATCTATGATAGAAGTCTTTGGGTAGGAAGATTTTGTATGAGGAAAAGTCGGCATGAAAGCCCATGTTTGCAGCACGACGAGAGTTGGACTGCCCAAATAGGGCATAGGCGACTAGCTCTTTGTAAACCAGTCACAGCCCTCAAAACTTGGAAGAGATGCTTGGAAGTATAGCTCATGATAGGTCGAAATGTGACCCGAGAGCTTGGGACCGCTTTCACTGACCTGGTGGAAGGCTGCTTGTGGCCGCAGGTATCCTGGCTACCAAACTTGGCATTTTTTGGAGCAGTTGCTGGTTTCAGTGATCAACATCGAACGCTCTGGCATGATTCTTTCACATTTGAAGTACTTGACTTTATAGAGTTGATTTTAAATATGATTGTAGCATATTCGATAATCTGCTTCCACTCGTCTTTTATGCTGTGGAATTGTATTTTTACATCTTCATATTGCCAGACCTCTGCAAAGACCAGCCTTATACGGAGTCCGATCATAGAAGTCACATGTCGTAGGAGGTGACATGTGCGTGAGCACAATAGAAGGGGATGGGAGCAAGATTGTGAGCGAAGAAACCAAAAGTGTGGGGATCGAATAGACCCTGAACGCTTGCAGAGACTTTCAAGAGAGGCACAGCTCAGACCGGAACCATAGATAGAATTCCAACCGTGCAAACCAACTGATGTTGGTTCTCGAAAGTGTTCACATCAATTGGTTGCTAGTCATATTTAATCGCGCGGGAAGGAGACTACATGCATGTGGCTGTCCCGAGAGACGAATTCCCGGGACGGTTTCTCGAAATCTGGGATTCCCGGATTCCAGTATCTAAGATCTCGGGAAATGGGAATTGAGGATATACATCTCCCTGCAAGTCTGAGTGTGGGGCTTAAAATAGCAGAGCAGTGATGATAGGGCAACGTTCTGCAGTTCTTATTGCTCAAAGTATGTGAGGGTGTGTCGTTCCCTGGGCCGGCGCTTGTCTGACACCCCACAGATCTTCATTGGTTACCTTGAGATGCATAGTTGTAAGGTTGTCGACCAGGGCCAGCATAGTCCTCCCTGCTGCTACCGTCTCGTTGGTAACAACCAACGAAGTGGCGGCGAGTAATGATCTACGTGTGCGCCAACATCTGCTTTCTGGGATCCTGGATCTCGAAACCCATTTCCTAGATTCTCGTTTCCTGAAAACCGTTTTCTGAAAAATGAACCGTGGTTCAGATACTGTCTTCGAAGAACCGTTTCCTGGAAACCGTCTTTCGAGATACCTCTTCTCCAACGATCAGTGCAGTATAAATGCGTCTTCATAATGAAGCAAGTTCTGGATATGTCTTCTCTGCGCAGAGCAAAAGCTACTTTACCCTTCAACTACCCATTTCACCTAGAACAATCTTCAAGATCAAACAGAGACCTCAACGCTGAATTAACATCTTCAATCATTCAACTTTCTCCTACAATAAAGTTTAGATCCTATTATCATGACTGAGGTTTGTACATTCGACTTCTTATGATGTTCGAGGTCTACCAGGGTGAGGCACTTGTTGACTCCTGATGCCAGGGCTCACTTGAGACGTATTCCACCACCGGCACGACGGAACGGCTTGAAGATCCGATGGACTACGAGATGGAGATTGATACACATGCCCAAGAAAGAAATGTGCTGCGTCATATAGCTTCAGCATATATGACTGAGAGATCTCGAGTGTTGGCGGTTCTGAGAATAAATACGAATCCGGGTTCTCCTGATGACGATATCTTGCAATACGCCTCTACACTCTCGAACGCCATTCCTCGAACCGATAGTCCAGGCACCTTGAAAGCGATTATTTTCAACAATGATGGAAAGCTGGCCGTGATCTGGGTGTGGTATTGGTGATCAGGAAGAAAATGTTATGTGGACACGAGATACTTTTCGCAGAGTTCTAGCTTGGATATGGTGAAAGTGATACTCTGAATGCAGTCAGTTTTCAATATCACAAAATCAACAACATTGTCTCCAACCGCATTTCTTCAACGTCAAAAGCGGCATCATTCACAACACATGGGCAGTATATGGACGAGTACAAGCTCTCAAGAATAGTAGGTGAAGGATTTAAATATCGATGTGATGGTCTCCAAAGAGCTGAGAAGTGATCATGTACAAATTGGGCCGTGTGGCTCTCCTCTTCATTTCTTTCACCTACCTCCACAAGGTACATTGTCCTCTTCGTCGACAATTTGATGACATTGGGCTCGTTGAATTGATATCGTCCATACTTCTGACAGTCTTACTAAGAACGCCTTACATTTGCTGGAGGGGACTATGCCATGAGTTTGCGCCTTCATATTCCATATATACCGCAAGCACGACCTTTTCATTGAAGAAAGTGGAAGAAACCAGCAAGCACGCCTTCGCCGACTTGAGAAGAAGGCTGTCTCCACGAGATCACAGACTATGAAATGGATTCAAACCCGAGTAGTCAGATGAAGTGCCGCAACGCTCGCAGTGGTCGTTAAACGGCCAGCCTCGCAACTGAAGCTTTCAGAGGCATTCTGTGACAAGAGGGATGGCGAACTGTCTACGAGCGACGAAGTCCGAAGGCCCATTATTACAATCACAATCTTTATATCTTGCTCAAGTACAACACATATATCGCCCCAAGTGATGATGAACCCTAAAGGAGACATAGATATATTCTGGGTTCAGCCTTAGGAGAGCTAGAACGTATTCGGCTGCAAATTCAATGTTGTGTTAAAGGGAAAATGCGAGACTTAAAGAAATTTACTGGGAAGAAAATAACATATGAATGTATATAGCTCATAAGATGAACTATTTTACAAACAGAACGTTCTTTAAAATCTTGACATGACTTCACCAAGAGAATATCGGAGGAAAGTAGTCAAAGAACTCCGACCAATATCCGAAAAATTCTGAGTTCAGCTGTTGAAGCAATATGCGCAGTTCGCGCAATTCGCGCGCATCGCGCGTTTTGCGCGTTTCTGGGTGCGAAGCCATTGTAATGACAGGACTTCCTACAATTCAACCTTCACCGAAGGAGTTCATGCCTTTGGAGAGGCATAATCCGAGCCAATTTAGCAGCTACCTTCCCTTCACCACGCTTGAACAAGAGTAATATATCAAGCAAAGGCCTAAAAGAGCGACGTGCAACAATAATAACGGTACAGAGCACCGGCATAAATCAGAGGACGGCATGGTAATCCACGTGACTTCAATGCTGGAAATGGAGACTGCTGGAGACCACGTTGCTCGGCCAGACGATTAAGATACTCGGACCACGAGTATCTTGGAAATATCGGCTCTAAATGGCCGGAAGAATATGATATTTATTATAGGGGAGCATGAGGCTGTGATGTCATGAAGTGAAGTGACTCGCGAAACCACCTGAAGACGCGACACGCTTTGTCGAGGTCGAAGGACTGTAGCCCAAACCTGAGAAGGCCAAAGACTGGACTCTCACAGCTATGTAATAATCTGCAAAAATGTGCGGCAGATACGCGCTCGCACTTGTAAGTAATTTCGTCCTCCAAGACCCAGAACTCTATTAACAATTCATAGCGACCATCCCAGGTCATGAGATACCTGCAAGATGAGAACATGCAGGTAGATGAAGCTCCAGACGACGAAGGAGATGGTGCCCCGCGACAATCGTACAATTTCGCACCTGGCTACCACGGCATCGTCTATCGCGCAGACGTGCCAGACTATGGAGCAGGTCCTAGACATCACAAGAAGGGTGAGGGAGAGCCAGAGGAAGAGGAAGCGTCTGCGGATACTGCTACAGAGCAAGACCAAGGAGAAGTCAGATACAAGCTTCAATCAATGAAGTGGGGTCTCATTCCTTTCTGGACGAAACGCAATCCTGATTACGGCTCCATGATGAAGACGATCAATTGTCGAGACGATTCATTAATTGAGAACAAGGGCATGTGGAATACGATGAAGCAGCGGAAGCGCTGTATTGTTGTTGCTCAGGGCTTCTATGAGTGGCTCAAGAAGGGCAAGGAGAAAATCGCTCACTTTACCAAACGCAAAGATGGACAATTGATGTATTTTGCTGGTCTCTGGGACTGTGTTCAGTATGAAGGTCTGTCTTGCTATGTCTCCTCGTAAGAACTTCATTGACTTTGTACTTGCAGGCTCAGACGAGAAGCTTTATACGTATACAATCATCACTACAGACTCGAACAAGCAATTGAAGTTCCTCCACGACCGGATGCCTGTCATACTCGAGAATGGATCTGAAGATATCAGGACATGGCTTGACCCAAAAAGGCATACATGGTCGAAAGAGCTTCAGAAGCTACTTCGACCCTCTGATGCAGAGCTAGAATGCTATCCTGTTAGCAAGGAAGTTGGCAAAGTTGGAAACAATTCTCCCAACTTTATCATTCCGGTTGCAAGCAGCGAGAACAAGTCGAACATTGCCAATTTCTTTGCGAAGGGAGCAGCCAAAAGCGATTCGAACGCCTCTTTTGCATCAAAGCCCAAGGACGAAAGTCCCAAGAAGGAAAAACCTTCACCACAAATCAAGAAAGAAGATGGCGAGGACCGAAAGACTATCGATCACGACGGTTCCGAAGACCACGCTCCACTACCAATCCCCAAGGAGGAAGTCAAGCAGGGCATCAAGCGAGAGCTGGACGATATCCCAGATGCAGAGGAGCAGCCGAAGAAGGTGTCAAGGACGTCAGTAAGTCCATCGAAGCCGTCTCCGTCACCAACAAAGCCGACACGCAAGACGAGAAGTGCGACAAGTAATAATACTGCAAGTCCGTCAAAACCAAGCAGCAAGGATAAGGGTAGTCAGAAGATCACGAGTTTCTTTGGTAAATAGGATCCGTATGCTGTCGCTAGCTGGTGTTGTGGCGTAATGGAGCTATAGTCTAGTGTATGAACATATGTCCATGAATGTCAAGAGGATCTTTTGAGATGACATGCTCTCGTTGCTATAAGCTTTCCTAAATCTAAGGGTGCGCCTGGAATTCCATCTTTCCTTCAGATTAATATGTCGAGTATGCCATTGTGTCTATGCCTTTGTTGGTGCAATTTCATATTACCCTTGTAGCGTTGAGTCAAAGCTGGCTGATTTTCTAAAGTAAATGCTTTTACTTTCTGCTTTCTTATATCTACAATAGCAGGACTATATACATTTCGAGATTAAGGGAACAATATCACTTATTTCTGCCGCTCCTTGTTTTCCTTTTGGCGCACACTTTATCTTGCAAGGCAAGCCTTGACCAACGATGTATCCTGCATGTTATTTCCTGACCCAGTTGGTGTCATTACAAGCGCTATTGTATTTGTTAGTCAATGTATTTGCTTCGAGTATCACGCGTGCTTACTGTAGGTCTGATCAAAAGATCCAGCGCTCCATCCGACGTAGCCAAGGTAGACATCACTGTTTTCACTGTAATCTCTGTTAGCTGCTGATGTCTTGTCTCACTTTGGTGTTCGGGGAGACATACTTGACAAATGCGAGCTGCGAGCAAAGATACATGGCACACGAAGCTGTATTTCCTCCTCCCGTCTCGGTATTCAGTGCTTGTCGACCATTGGTTCGGAGCCAGGTTGCGAGAGGTTGGAAGGCAGTCGAGATATTGTCCGTAACACACTCTGCGTGCGTACCCGAGTTGTCGCTATCGAGATATTTGTGGACATCGAAGATCAAGCCTGTAGTGGAGTTGTCTGGATTCGTGATAGGAAGCAATGCCGCGCCAGATCCGTTGGTGATGAAAGCTCCAGCGGAGGTGTAGTCATTTCCGGGCAGGAGAATCATTTGTGTGGTTGCTCCAGCTCCTCGAATTGCATTGACAACCAGTTGGACGGTTGCAGCCCACTCCTTGATATCCACGTCGTGGGGCTCATTCATGACCCCAAAAGCAACATTGGCGGTGGACTTGTATCGTGTAGCGATCTGGGTCCAGAGATTTACAAACTGGGCATTGGTAGCCCCTCCCTGTCCAATAATCTTTCCATTCCATCTCGCATAGTTGTGAATGTCGATGATACAGACAGCTCCAGTCTTCAAGCAGGATTGGAGCAATTGATCGTACTTCGCAAGATTGGCTGAGTTCAAGTTCCCACCAAGCTGGCCGCCAACAATATATTGCCATCCGACAGGTAATCTGAAGATGTTCATGCCATCCTTCGTGGAGAAGTGGTTCATTTGACCAGCTCCGTCAGGGTATTGTCCTCCGATTGGTGGATAGACGTTCGTGAGGTTTTGTGTTCCATCAGTACCCACCCCGAAGTCGAAGCCTGCGACGTTCACGCCAACTGAAGTCTGTTAGGGCATAGAATAATTTGGTATGTTTGAACATGCTCACCATATTTGACCTTCCCTGTGCCTGAAGGTGCAGCAGCCGTGGATGTTGAAGCACGAGCTATCGTCCTGTCAGATGGTTTTCAATCACCAAGTCTTGCACTGCTCTACAAAAGGGATTTTCAAGAAGCGCTTGTTGAATCACTCACCAGCTACATTTCCTGGCAGTGCCAACGCGCCACCCACAAACAGAATGCTGGAAAGCACGGAAAGCTTCATTTTGAAATTTCAATGTAAGCTCGAGACAGTGACTTGAAGAGTACGAGAATAGAATGGATGTAGCAAAGAACAAAGAGGGGATGAACACCTCATTCTTATGTTGGAAGTCTGACGACTGATCATCAAGCTCACACATTTGCCGTCTACTTCTGGCAGAGGCAAAAAAATAGCATCCCGCATAATTGATTGCCCCGCTACCGAGCACAGCAGTACAAGTATAAATTAATCTCTGGTGGTGTTCACATCCTGTCGAACCCCGTGATGATGGAAAAGAGTGCTTAGGTTTAAGGCAAAATGTTTGGCTTATATTGGGATAATCCTATAAATCAGCCCGGACCCCACTGAAGGCGAGAAAATATGCGTTCTGCGAGAAGTGTACGTTGCATGGACTTGATTGACATGTCATCAGTGATCTGAATAAATTCGTTTTAGGAACATTGTTCGGTTTTATGTGGATGGTTTGAATGTTGCATGTCGAGATCCATGTTGGAAATTGACGAGTATAAAGTTTTAGAAGGAAAGAATAGACATCCAAGGGGGTATATAGGTGTGATTCTATCTTGGAGGGGTGTGTTTAACATTGCATCCCCAAGTTCTCTCCAAAGAAGTCCTTCGCACCTCTCTATCATGCTTTGTAAAGAGTTGGAATGAACATCTACGTTCTCACCTTATTCTCGTTTAGTTGATCCCCGCCTTTCGCGGAATCCCATCATGAGGTACCCCGGATTTATATTCAATGCCACACCTGTTCCTGATCGCCACTTTGACTTCCCCGGAGACAATCTTCCGTCAAACCTTGAAGACACCTTCTCGATGCCACAACCTGTCGGCTCTCTACACACCGCAACCGGTACCAGCTCCCCGCAATTCGTACTAAAGCAAGGGTCCCCTCTGCTTGGCGGTTGTCACTTACTGCATTTGGCCATGGTCGTTTATGCTTAATTGAATGTTTCGCTCACATGAGGACCTTGTTTCGTTTAAAGGTGCCGAGGCCTTGGAAGACATTGATGGAGAAATTAAGTACTTTGTCTCTGCCTAAAGTCTAGGTGGCAAGATACTCAGTACGCGGTCCGTTCTCTCCAAATTCCAAGCCAGTCCATTCATTCTATCCCAGCTCTGCAAATCGACTCATCACGTGGTTGATGGTCTTCTCTATGTCACTCTGGTAGAGGCTCTCATGCTCCAGCAACAGAGGTCGTCAGAGTTCCACTCTCGATGTACACTCCACTGAAATACCAATCCTCTGGTGTATTGTCGGTATATCCAGAACGAGGCAGCCTCAAGACACCAAGATGCCAATCTTCTCCGTTCTGTGAAGATCATCAAGTCAGACTGGGACAAGACAACAGTGTCAAGACTCATTGACTTACAGAAGAAGCACTCGCTGTGACTGGTCCCGCAGTCAATGTCAAAGGATCGGCTCCTGTCGAGTGATAGAAAGATACCTTTCCACCACTAAAGTCAATTTCGTATGCAACATTATGCCAGACTGAGAAGGTTAGCTTTGAACACTTAGATGAATGGTGGTGGCAATACCATCAGCAGTGAAGTTCGTGTTCCATTTGGATTGCCCTCCTACTTCCCACCTCAGAGCGGGGTCTGGTGTGCTAGCAGCATTGCCGTCTTTCTCGTTGTCAGCTATATTGGTCCAAATGAGGTCAGGGAATCCTCACTGATCCAGCCGAATTTCAGCTCGGTGAAGTGAGATTCGCTAAAGTCACCGTCAGTGGTTTCCCTAATGATAGACTTGACATATGCCTCACAAGAAGCATACTTGGTGCTCCTCATTTGCACTTGGAGGATTTGTCGAAGAGTGCATAATGCTGAAATGGTAGTAAACCAAGCCTTTGTTAATTGCGGCTGTTGTTTGAGGGATCAATTCCGTCCTCAGCATGTCGCTGTTCCATTTCGCCGTGCTGTCGATTGTGAGTTTCAACCCCACATCGTCCTTGGCCGCAGGATTCTTGTATGATGCCGAAGTCGAAAGATATTTCGAGATGGCTCCAGATCCATGGATATAATACTGGTACGGTCCTTGTTGATTTGACCAACTCCCTTCTCATATAGTCAGAAAAGAATCATCGAGTGACTTCTCATATTCATACAGCTTCCAATCGTGGCCAAGGAACTCGAACTGAACCTTCCATCCCATAGAACAGCAGCTGAGAAGGTTTTAGCATTCGCTGCTTCATAATTTGCGTCGACTCTTACCAGAAACAACGCTCAAGAGCGAGCTCACGGCCACAAAAGAGAAGAACATGCTGAGTTTCCGGACAATCCTTGTTCCGAGAAGTTTTATCTAACAGCGGGACTTGACATATTTGAACATTTCTTCGTCCAGAATAGAGACGAAACACTTCTCAATTGCACAGTCGGGCAATATGGAAGAATCATCAATTGGCAATATCGTATCATGCCTCTTCTGAAGTTTAGGCCTTATTACATGTGCTATATTGAGGCAGCATTCTGGCAGAATTTATCCATGCACACTACATTGAAAAAGTACCGCAACCTTGTGGCTGATCTTCCACACTCTATTTTCTGGATATTCTGGGGAATGCTGGTCCGCCAAGACACTTTTCTCTCTCCATAGCCAGTAACTCGAAAACTCCAAGACTTTTTAATCTGTGAATGTACAGAATTGTGTTGAATATTATTTTCAATGCCCTGTGGTGTTACATAATTCAAAATGAAGGAGTAGTTTATGGCGATATTGGAGCTAGAAGCTTGACTTCAGCCTTCTTCCGAGCAGAGATGAAGACGAAAGCCACAGTTTCTGGCCAAGACGGAATTCATATGTCGTCCCAAACACTGGGGATTGCCAAGCTTTGTTCAAAGGAAAGAGGCTCATGAACCTGGCAAGCTCGAAAGAGTATATTCCGACGACATGTGCTAGAGTTTCAAGCTTCAAAGTCCTCCTTGTCTCAAGTGAGGTCTCAATCGAACCCAAGTCTTGCAACACATATTTCCATAATCGACTACGCCTCAAAGTACAAGTAAAGAACTTTACCATGGGGAGAAAGTGCAAGTGACCATTCAATCTAGCAGGAAGTAAACTGCTTCCCTCGCAAGATCATTTAGATCATGAACAGTATGATAGTATGCTAAATATGTTTTGAATATCTACCAGAAAGTAACCTATGTACAAATTTTTTCCTCTCGGCAGACAGCCATGAATATATACACCAAACGAATGAAATCTTCTTCAGCCTCTCCCCTGTATAGTATCATGCAATGTTTAGAAAGTTGGATTGGCATTGGTCAAAAGCTGCTCGAAGTATGCCTCGAACCAGGTACCAGCCTCGGGAGCTGGCTTAAGAGCATCAGCAAGACCGCAGTGAGCATCATATCGAGTGGCGGTGGTGTTTGATGTACCCTATATGCTTTGTCAGTACACTGTTCAAAACGACTTGCAGTCCAGGTGCTCACGTCACACTCTCCACCTGGCTTGACCCAGACGAATGCGTCCTCGAGTGGGTCGCCGGTGTTGGTTGTTGGGCGGACACCGAAGCCGGTGCCTACAACGTTGCACCAATCTCCCCAAGCCTGTTGCTGTGTTGGCTGGACACCATTTCGGGCTATTACTCTGTCAGCTAAAATCCTTTTGTCTTTTCAGAGTTGAAACTTACAAGTATCCATGATGAAATGAGCCGGGAAACCTGCACTGGTAAGGAGAGGAGCCAATGCATTGATATACTTCTGCTCATCACAATTGGAGTCTCCTTGAGTGTAGCTGGGGCAGGTGGCGATGCTCCATGCGTTGTAATTTGCAACATTGGTGGCGAGACCTCGGACCTGAGATGGTGATCCGGCAGCGGAGTAGACTGATGCGAAGAGAGTGGCAGCAGGTCCGATGTTGGCAGACCATCCAAGCCATCCTGCGTGGCCAGCATCCAAGTACATGGAGACGTTGGGAAGGTTGAGTATCGAGATGGCGTATTCGACGCATTCCTTGTAAGCAGCTTCGGCATTGGCGCATTTTTGGACTGAGAGATTGGTTACAAGGTTGGCGAGGGAGTCGGGTTCTGGAGTTCTGTTAGCGTTTGTCTACATTTGGATATGTCCCTCCAGTACTGACCAATGACGAGAATAACCTTGACATCGGAGTAAGTGACCAGAAGGGCCTTGATGGCATCGATATATGCTTTGTAGTTTGCAACACCATTGTCCGCGATGGTGTACTCTCCGTTGGAGGCCAAAGCAGCACAGTCACGGTCGGGGAGATCGTACACGACGAATGTTCCAGCTACAGGTGGACTCGCACCGGCTGCGTTCGCTGCTCTGATGTTTGAAAGGAACGTTCCCATCAAAGGGACCTTGGCCGCAGTATCACTGACTCTATGTTAGCGAAAAATTTCTCAAATCAAGGATTATGAAAACAGTACTCACAGCCAGACGAAGGTAGGTACGTCGGCAACAGCCGCTGCCTTGGTAGCCATGGCACCAGTAAGAGATGGGATAGCCGAAGTGGAGATCTCGGAGGCGTAGTAAGGATTGGCATACAGGGCCACGCCCGAAAATGGATTGCCTGCAGCAGCCGCAGTTGTGCTTCCAGCAGGAACGCTACTGGTAGGCGAGCTGGGTGAAGATGAAGTTCCGACAACACTCGAAGTTTGCACTGGAGAAGGCGATGCTGAAGATCCAGAGCCAGAGCCGGGAAGACATTGAGAGTAGTATGCGTTGCTGTATGTGCATGTGTATCCAGAAACACAGCTGGTTGATCCGCTGAATCCGGTTCCACCACCTTGTAGACATCAGCTAAATGTGAGATATATTCCAAGGGAACATAGACTTACATTGTGCGTAAGCAGCGCCCTGAGCCATGGCGGCTGGGGCGAGTGCCGCAGCAGTGTACAAGAAATTCTTCACACCCATGTTGTAAGAGAAAGAATGTACAAGAAGTGAGAGATCTGACTAGGTGTGGTAGAAAAATAACGAGAGACATGCTCAAACTTTTATATCAGCTTGGAGAAGCATCTGATAGCGTGATAATCCCAATCATGGACGGCGACGGAACAATATTGCCGCCTTGCCAGACGTTCCGAGCAGCCTGAGATCTTTCGAGAACTTTGATGGAGGCTCCCAGCAGAGCGTGATGTCCCAGACCAACTTGGCAGGGACAGACTGTCTCTGAATGGTCAACGTGAGCGTTTTAGAATAACCATAAACAAGGCCGCGCTGCGTCTACGCCACCACTACAAGGAAAACGGGAATAGGTGCATGTTCTTGGGCGTAGACAGTGTACCAATGTACCCAATGGAGGAGCAGATCCTGAAATGACAGGATCAGCAAGCGAATAAACATGAAGATGTGCTACCCTCGGCCGGACTTCTTTCAAGGTAGGAAATGGCCGTTGGTCCTTGAATCAGAATAGGGTTTCCCCACCACGGAGATGTGAGGCTAGGGACATGCGGTCCGCAAAGACATCTCCGGATCTGGTGACAGCCCAGGAATTGCAAAGCCAATAGAATGTGTGACTGAATGTCATATGCAATAGCAGAACGGGAGAGTTATGAGTGAACATCTGAATAACCATCTCCTTCAACGAGTTTGATCTCTCCCTTGACTTATGGGATGATACTACTTCATGACGACGACGAAGACAATGTTTTCCCGCTCCGAACGTCTAGAGGACTGGAAAAAAGTATCGCCATTTGGGATAAATGGCAGCTTCCGGACCTGGATTGTTTCATTCTTCCACTATTTCGGAATCACAACTAGGGCACCGGAAACGGTAGACGCTGGCCGGCGGTAGCTTGCTTGGCAAGCAGACATGAACAAGAAAGTGCGGAGACGAGAGGGGCAATCGCAAAATTATGGAAAGGAAGCGGTCCACGAGATGGTGAAGGTTGTAGATGAGATCTGAGATTAGCCGGGAAATGTGATTCAGGGGTTCGCCTCGCTTCGGTACTTTTCAATACCCCTGTCTTTTGGATGCACCCCGCCATCTGACCTGGAGAAGGTTTTGTCGTCTGCGACTCTGCATCGATGAATATATTGAGGCGGGAATGTAAATATATGAAGGTTCGGTCCGAAATCCCCGCGCGTCTGGATACACGTGAGAAGCTCGACACCAACACGACCGAAAGGCCAGACGAAGCAGCTTCTCTGCGCGTAACTCGCAAGGGGCGTTGTTTGTTCTTTCTCCTTCTGTTCTTCAAAGTTGTGTAACCTGGAAGCTGCACTCCTTCTTTGGTTTTCACGAAAACCCGGCGCGAGTCACGGATCTCCATAGTAGGTAAGGACTCGACGTTGATATATATATATATATATATATATACTTCGAAGTCTGTCCAATGTCCACTCCATCTTCAAGCAACGTTGCACCGCAGCAATCTCTGAAATCTGGGGTTCTGGAGAACCCTCACGACAACATGACTCGAAATCTTCCACGGCAGTTGACTTTCTGATTCACGACGAAAGAAATATCAGAAGCCTCCATTTCATCCAACCCATGCCTTTTCATCACGAAAAGTGTGCCCGTCAAGGTCAGCGGCACATTCATGAACCTCTTACATCCCCAGGTCAATAATATGGGTATATTGTTTATATCCATCACAAACAAGCCTCGTGATGTTCTTTCTGCCCAACACGCAGTGCTTGATAATTATTATTCTATAGTGTCGGTGCGGTCATCTTTCAGGCTTTGTACCGTTTCTGTGGGTTTTCGTTGTCAAAATGAGCGCGTGCACTTCTCCCGATACAATTAGCCAAGGCTCGATTCGTTTGCTTGATGCTTTTCAGAGAGATAAGATGTGTAGAGTCTTGATTGTGAAATTTTCTTGCGGATATACGAGCTTTCAGTGAAGACGTATAAAGGAACTTGAAGTACCGTCTGTTCCAGGACATTCAACTTTCTCCAGATACCATCCATACTTCCCTCAAGTGATATTCTTGTCTTATTCATCATGAAGGTGATTTCCACTTGTGCCGCCATTTTGGCGTTCGCCAGCCAGGTCTCTTCCCATTGTAAGCAAAATCCACTGAGAGACCCGAAACAGAATACTAACGTATCTCGTCCCCAGATATCTTCCAATCCCTCACAGCAAACGGCGTCAAGAATGCAGCCTATACCTACGTGCGCAGAAACACAAACTACAACTCCCCTGTCACAGACCTCACCAGCAAAGACCTAATCTGTAACGTTGGTGGAGCATCAGGATCGAACACAACCACCGTCTCTGTCAAAGCTGGCGCTTCATTATCCTTCACCGCCGACATCGCCGTTTACCACCAAGGTCCCATCTCCGTCTACATGGCCAAAGCTCCCACAACCGCCGCAGAATTCGACGGCACCGGCCAAGTCTGGTTCAAGATCTTCGACGAGGGACCAAAGTTCCCCGGCGGAACTTGGGACTTGAAACAGACCTATACTTTCAACCTCCCAACTTGCGTTCCTAGCGGTGACTACCTGGTCAGGATCCAGAGCTTGGCGATCCATAACCCGTATCCGGGAGGAACTCCCCAGTTCTACGTTGGGTGTGCGCAGGTTACGGTTACGGGTGGTGGAAGCACGGAGTTGGGGCCGAAGGTTACGATTCCGGGTTTTATTACGAAAGCTGATCCGGGGTATACTGCTAATATCTACTCGAACGTAAGTTAGCGACTTTTCATAATAAGTAAAAAATACTAATCTGAGAATAGTTCAATTCGTACACGATTCCTGGCCCTGCAGTCGCTAAGTGCTAGATCTCCCACCTTTGTTTGATGAACGTCGTGTCATTGGTGATGTGTACTGGAAGTTATAGAAGGGAAATTGATATGGCAATGAAAAGCTGAATTGAAGGGGGACTGAGAGACGATTTGCCGATATAAATGATACCACTCGTTTCCTCTGTGCAGAAATCTGCCAGGGCTGTACATAATTGCAAGCGATGAAATGTTTGTACTGTACCTAATATTCTTCCTTTTTCAGTGTCCACACCTCTTCTATGCTCTTATTCGAGGTTCTCACTACTCGTGAATAATGATCTACGGTGGTGAGATCCTATATTTTGAAGAAGACTACAGTCCTTGTGATATATATATTGTAATATTGTTGCTGCCATGATTGAAAGGTTTGGACATTGTCCGCTGCCCACAAATTACTAGAGTCAGACATTTTAACTCGAGGCATCAAAAATGACTTCAGGTTTTGAATATCCCTGCGTTTCTGCTACAGATCATACGACTTTGACCCTAAGACGCGCTTGCTGACATGAAGCATGCTAGTAGAGAAGACTTGCAAATTGGATATCGATACTGTTATTGAACAAATAATCCAACAGCTCGGCAAAAATTTGATTCCAGTTTCCGTACTACTTTCATCAAGCGCTTGTCCCCTACCTCTTACCAGATGTTTCTCGTCCCCATACCTACTCTAGAACTAGCACGTGAAAACTGAAGGCCCTAAAGTTCAATGTCAGCACTTTGAAACTCATACGATACAATACACCTTAGGAGAGTCTATCTTCACTTACCAGGAATAGTATACCCAGTCAAGGTCTTATAGATATTGATCAAAATTCCTGGATCAGTAGCCTGCAAATCTCAGTCTTTGCTCTTCAAAAGAGTCATTCAACGAACCTTGTAAGCACCCGGCAAGCTGACTGTAGGAGGGCTTTTAGCACCGGTTCCTCCAGTGATGTTGATTTGTGCGCATTCCATCTGCTTTGTGTAAGTGGTTCTGCATCGGTGTTTGGGGTGATGGACTTACGTAGAACTGTGCTCCTTGGGATGAAGATGCTTTGATGTGTTAGGATATACTTAGAGGTAGAGGAGAAGATGACCTACCTCCGTGGAGAGCAATGAGTTCTGCTCTCAGAAGATATTGGCCTGGAGCAATGCATGATGGGATCGTGATGGATTGTTCGCCTTTGGCTGCGATCTGGGACTATCAACTTCTGGACCTTGAGTCTATTGAGATGATACATACGAGGTCTGTCGTTGCCCAGTCTTGTGCTATTTGAATTGTCAGAAACACAAAGTGGCCAGAAGGATTGTCGGTCAACTCACTAGCGACGTTCGTGAGACCAGCTTCCTGAATCTTAAACCATCCAGCACCTAGACTCTCATTAGACTTGATATCTGTCGTTGATAATCCTTTACTCACCATAGCCTGGATCAGTGGCGGCATTTGAAACTTTCTTCAAGTATGCCATCACAGGCCCCTGAGACTTTTGTTATTCCATCGTAGACTTGAGGATCTGGCATTAGTCTCACCTTATGGCTGGGATCAATGACATCGTTAGCGCCGGAAGTGAGAGTATGTCGCCATATTGCTTTGACTGTAGACCCAGCTTGAACAGTGATGATAGCATTTGTTGCTGTGGTTGGGTTCTTGCCGCCGTTGCACTAATTTTCTGTCAGAGTAGGAACATTCAAACGATAACGATTATAGATAATTCGAGATGGCTTCATCCAAGAAAGCTTGTTTGTACTTACTGCAATATCGTTGGATGTTACGTCGTAGATGGGCTAAATCGTGAGGTTAGCAAGATGAGTGGGAGAATATGATCTGGTTCTCGGACTCCATCGTAGTTTGGGTCTCGAATGCCTACTCCGACGGCTGCTTCTAGTCAGAGTATGTATGCACCATCGCATTATTGGACGCACCACTTGTAACACTTCCAGCTTCAAGTTGAGTAAATATAGTATGACATGCTGCCAAGGTGAAAACAGCAGCAAAGGAAAAGCTGTGGAACATCATCATTGCGGTTGAAGAGACAAGATCAGTGGTTTTCAACGAGAAAATCGAACAAAAACAATGCTTCAGTATTGAGGTAGTGGTGAGGTATTATAGATATCGTGTCTAATCTACTACCTAGGGACAGAACGCACTGGCGGAAATAGAATGCCTTCTTCCCGTTCTAAAATTCAACCTTCAAATTAAAAGTTGACGACAAATCTTGGATCTAGATAGAGAATGCGACTCAAGGTCGAACAATAACTTTTTTACCGCAACTTCGTGTCTCCAAACCAGTGTTTGTTACGACATTGTAGGGTTGTCTGGTTGGATGTTGAAGACCTCTTTCATTCTTCCATCATGAACTACACCCAGATGAGGAACTGCGGAGGGGCGCTCTCCGGAGCATAGGTCTCTATTGTTGAGGTCATCTGTTATTACTCTGATGTTTCGGGCCTGCTGTGTATATATTATCCAAATTGAGAGCACGTTGTGCAAGTTTCGTGATATCTGGGGTATTCCGGAAGCGGTTGAAAGTCGGTAGTTCGGCACAGTCAGGGGTTTGAATGGAGATGGGGGCAAGGAGGAAGAGCCGAGTATTTATATTTATATCTAAGGTTGCTGTCTTTCTCACCCATTCCTTTTCGTGCATGAGACTGGCGAAGCTTACCACAGGCACCTTTCCACAACGTTATTTCTTTGTGGGTTGGGTATTGAGCAATGGCAGTCGCTCTCAGGTATGTTAACATGGACAGACAGTGTTTCCCCACATCGGAATACTTGAGTCTCATAGCCTCAGGTGTTTTAGAAGGGTACTGTACTGGTTGGACAAGGCTAATAATCTGACCCCATGGACGAGAGTGTCGTTGGAGATCGTCTGCATTGAAACTTCGATAGCTCACTGCAAAGGTACAGAAGTCTGTCAGGCTTACAGACACGTCCCCATGATGTTGAGAAGCACACCTTCTCAAACACTTGCACACGCACGGGGATCGTGGAGGAAGTGATGTCGCGTGCTGGGGTCAGGTGAGGACGCAGCAACGAGTAAGAAATACAAAGCTGTGTGTGTCTCTTCTCTACCAAGCAGCTGTCGCAATGAGACACGCATCCCTCGAAGAAGCTCTTAGTCATGGCAAGTTGGACGAAATAATATCTGATCAAGTCTTGATATTTCTCCACACACTGAGACAGAATTTGGAGATTACATCGAGTAAAAGTGCTAGCTTATCAAAGATCAAGCTGAATCTAACACGCGCGATGGCCAATCATTGATTATCGTTAAGTGAAAGTGGGTCTCAAGTGATAGGGGCCCGAACTGCCCGCGGCCGTTCGTCATTCTAGTCTAATATCACCAGTCAACAAATAGTACCCCACGGCCATATGTAGAGTGTGAACATGAGATCAACCAGGTCGCGTTCTTCTCATCCTGCATCTCTCGACTCGATTTGAACCTTCTATTCGGTGTCATAACGAACAAAGTTGCTGCACCTGAACATTCGGGACGATAAGCGACTATGGCCCCCGTGCCCTAGTCCCTCGACCAAGAATTCAAGGATCTCCATCATCTTCACCTTTTTCCTTGCATAGCATGCGGTAGTCTCAGATCCTGTCTTTATTGAAGATATTCGTTCGTCGTTCAGTTATTTCTATACATTTTTCATGAGATGCACTTCTTTCAAGATGGAGAACCTAAGCGGTCAAAAACACTTAGTCCGAGTACCATCGCGGACGAAGAAAACGCACCATTACTTTCGGGCCCATCCTCAGATGTCACTACCAGAAGAACCAGGCGTCGTCACAGCACACGAACCTTAGATTCGACCTTCGACATATATCCTGAGGACTTTCGGAGAAGGACATCGGGTCTATATTGTCAGAATCACTCTTCAGACGAGTCTCACTTTTTCGACTACATAATGGAGAAAGTCAAGCGAACGAAATTTGCTTACCTAGTGGATAAATTGGCGGTAGAGAGTGAGCCAGGATTGACAAATGCTCAATTGATGTTAAACAATCATGATCTCAAGCCAGGTAAGAAGGAAAAAGTTACTCTCCAGGACCAATATACACTGACGCCTTGCAGTCGAGCCACAACGTAGGCAATGGGGAGCATGGAATTTCGTAGGCTTTTGGGTAGCTGACTCGTTCAATATGTTTGTTCGCCTTCCAACAGATCATGTGGTCAAGCATGTTCCTCGCCAGGCACGTGTAGCTAATACTTTGGCCTAGAAACACATGGATGATTTCGTCCTCTATGATCGTACAGCCAAGTGATCTCTCATGGTGGCAATCATGGCTCTGTGTCTGGCTTGGTTACTCAATTGCAGCATGCTTTGTTGTTTTAACAGGTGTAAGGAGGATCTCACGAGGTCCCAAATTCTCCCGAACATTATACTGACCTTTCGTTTTAGAGAATTGGTGCGACCTACCATATCTCATTCCCTGTCGTAACTCGCTCGAGCTTCGGCGTCTGGGTGCTCTTTGGCCAGTCTTTAATCGTGCCGCCATGGCCTGTATCTGGTATGGTGTTCAGGCTTGGATCGGAGGAGAGTGCATTCGCCTCATGATCTGCGCAATCTGGCCATCGTTCTATAATATACCCAACGGCATTCCGAGCAGTGGCACGAATACCAGGGACTTCGTGTCCTTCTTCATCTTCTGGCTTGTTTCCCTGCCAGCGATTTGGTTCCCAGTCCACAAGATCCGACACTTGTTCACCGTCAAGGCCTATGTCGTGCCAACAGCTGGTGTTGCTTTCTTTATCTGGGCAATTGTTCGTGCTCACGGTATCGGACCTATTACCCGCCAGCCAAACACTTCTCACGGCTCTGCGATGGCTTGGGCAATGGTATCCGGTATCATGTCCGCAATTGCCAATTTCGCTACACTCATTGTGGTATGTTATATCCCAGGAATGCAGGTATATTACAAGCCCACTGATCATTTCTTAGAATGATCCAGACTTCGCTCGTTCTGCCCGCAAGCCGAGAGATGCTATCTGGTCTCAACTCATCACTATCCCCGTGGGATTCGCCGTCACCTCGTTCATCGGCATCATCGTCTCTTCATCGTCGACTATCATTTTCCACGGTGAACCAATCTGGAACCCTCTCAACCTTCTCCAATCGTTCTTGAATGAAGGAACATCTGGGGATCGTGTTGGTGTCTTCTTCATCGCCCTTGCGTTCTCTCTCGCCCAACTCGGTACTAACATCGCCGCTAACTCTGTCTCAGCTGGTACAGATATGAGTGCTTTACTGCCGAGATATCTTAATATCCGTCGCGGAGGCTACGTTTGTGCTCTCGTCGGTCTCGTCATATGTCCCTGGAATTTGCTCTCATCTGCAAATAACTTTACCACTTACCTCTCTGCTTATTCCGTCTTCTTATCCTCCATCGCAGGAGTTATTGTTAGCGATTACTACCTGGTCCGAAAAGGATATCTTCAAATCAAGGATCTGTACTCTGCCAAGTGTTCCTCGCCATATTACTACTGGTACGGCATCCACTGGAGAGGATATGCTGCCTATATCGCTGGTATCCTAATTAACATCGTCGGTTTCGTCGGGGCGATCGGAAAGCCTGTTCCTGCGGGAGCTACTTATATCTATCGTCTGAACTTCTTCTGTGGATTCATTGTTGCGGGTGGTGCTTATTGGATCTTGTGCATGGTGTGGAAGGTCCCCGCAACGAGTGATGTGTGGATGGAGGTTGGTGATGAGATTGAGGATGTCAGTATGGCATATGATGCTAGCAGCGATTATGACGAGGAGAGCATTGCTGGTGGTGAGCGTGGAGGCGAGACTTTCAAGAGTGGTGAGGTTGCAGCGACGGAGGAGAGTGATTAGAGTCCTGGGTTGGTGTTATTTGGAGTTTGAGAAGAGTGCGTTTGAGTGGAGTTGTGGTGTATGTTATTCATGATTCCCCTTAGATCGGAGATGTTGTTTCTCGTTGATATAGATAGAAATCTACCTATCATTGCATACATACGAGATATTTGAAAACGAGTGTACGTGTCGCCCCATCCATACCCAGCTGTGCAGAATGTCCTAGAAGGTGAGGTTCATTCGCGGTCCGATCGGGTTACATTATGTAATGGTGTTTAAAGAAATGAAGTCTCTGGACGGTTCAAGGATTGAAAAATTTGCAAGGACACAAGTCTCTGCGTTGGGTAGATCGTGTGCGCCGCTTCGTGATTTGGGTTGTTGATACTCCTAGCGTTAACCAATTAGGTCGCAGCCTCGCTACCAAAAGAAAAGGGTGTTATAATGTTAGTTAATTAGAGGGATACAACGGACCTGTTTAGAACGCCTACGAAAGCAGCTCTACTAAGGATAAACAATGGCTCGCCCTGTACTAAGCAGCTTCGAGCTGACTGATCCTGATAAGGCCCCCCGCTATTTAGGCACGACTTAAGAAATGAGGATGTTACTGGAGCTTTCAGTTGGGAGTTTGTGAATGTTTTGTCATTTGGCTGTATGGTTCCTATTTTGGCAGTTCGAGTCTCGCTACAGTAGGCTAAGCGAGGAAATCGACGTCAAAAAAATTGACGATAACTTCAACTTCAACAAAGCTTGAAAGAAGAATTTGCTTCGAGAAGCATTTGAGCTGATTGGCCAAGCTAAATACGCGATGCTTTCTTGAACTTCGCTTCGAGATCCGTCAGCTTCGAGCCTTGAGCCAGATTTAAGTTTCACTAAAATAACCCAGAATTGTAGATACTTTCACAGTAATGGATGGGAAATTGAAGACTTTTATTGTCAACACAATCGTCTCTTGTTTAAATTAGACTGCTGAAACTCAAGCTATGAGCGACGTGCGAGCATACTGTTGCATAGTCTATGTAGGGAGTGAGAATGTACGATGATTCTTTTTGTGAAAGAAACAGGCATAATTTCGCCGATTGTGACGCGTCAAAATACAAGTTTGCAAGAATCCTAGCAAACCCTTTCCCATTGTCTGAGGATTCTGTATCCGAGAGTATATTCGAATCATCCTGATGGGTCACTTCAATCCATTCAATGTCTTCGTCATCGAAGTCGATATCCAACTGGTGCTCGGGGAAGCCCAAATCTAAAGTAGATTCCAGACTTAAGCTCGTCTTCATGCTAGTTCCCGTCCTCATCTTCAGACTCCGTTTCAAGACCTCTTCCTAGCTCAAAGTCAACTCCGGGTCCAAGGTCGGAACAGTTGGTAGCTGCGATTCCACTTGCTGACGCAGATCCATTGAACTTAATATCTAAGTTCGCACGAAATAGGTTTTGTGAGTGCGAAGTGGTGTTTCGGCATAGACCATCTTTAGTTCATCATCGTAAGTTGTTTCTTGCTCCCAGTATCCTACATTCAGGGTTGTTGCCAAGCCATTCTCTCTCCACCTCCGTTCCCCAAGGTTTCGTCTTTGTGGACATTGTAAAGAGGTCTGAGTTTGATGTGTGATTGGTTTTTCTGAAGTGGCTGGAGTAGCTTGATTAGCTGTGGTGCCCATAGTAGTGGGAATAATTATAGGAGCTGTGGTAGCTGTAGTAGCTGCAACGATTGGAGTAGCTGGAGCTATTACGGCGAGTAGATGAATTGAGGTTGGTTGCATAGTCAATGTCTTGAAGTTGCCGCAGTGGAGGCAATGAATTAAAATAGACACAATGGCATGTATGCGGATCGCTGGTAGAATGATGTATCCAGGTCGTGCCTTCCACTCTTGAAAGCCGCGAAATCTCGCTTAGTTGCAACCTCCCTAAAGAACGCATCCTCACAGCTTCATTTTCAACCCTTACCTGATTTGTAAAGTATACTCTGTTTCCAGTTCTGTGCTTCATCTATATTGGATACTTGATGTCTCCTCTTATAAAAGCAAGCAGCTGTATATCGTCCCTACGATCTAGCTCTATAATGCTTCTCTTTGTTACACGAACCGACAAATCAACATACCCTTCAGATCTCCATCCCTGAATCACAATCCGAGTCAAGCTCCACCATTGACAGAACAAAGGACTTTGCACACGTTCTTTCACATCCGTCACACCATGAATTTGTCATAAGTCACTCCGGGACAACTTCGATACGCAATTTCGGACAGGAATTTGTGTATTGTGTCCATCGGGTATTGCATCGGAACCCCTGAGACACTGCTACAAGAAATGAAGCACGGGTTATCCGTCCGCAGCAGAACAGAAGCAACCTCGAAAGGCCCTTCTCACGGTTGTTTGCCTTTCGAGTTTCACGCAAAGGCCGGTGACCTGAAGAGCCCCTTACATCTTACCAAGTCACAACTCTCAGCACTTGCCAAGTCCTGTTGTGATATTTATAGGTCGTGCAAGTACGTTGCCATCGGGACGGATACCAACCACGCATTAAAACGAGATGAGAAGCGCGGCAATTGAAATGACAAGACAATACGAAGGACATTAGGTCAGACCGTGACAACGAGAAACTCGGAACTGATGTGAGACTTCTTCAAACTTTATTTCGGATTCTCAACGAATTCTGATATTTAGTGTCTAAGGGTAGAAGACTTGTGGCAACTCGGGAATCATCGGGTCATACCTACGCAGTCACACGAAACGAGATCTAGAAGCCGTGCAGCAGATGTAATCCGGGGATTACAGGGCTGACTTGTGGCTTGTACTCGCACCAATCTCTTTATGCGGAACATTGATAGAATGAGTCAGTCACCTCGAAAGCGGGAGGACTTGACAGCTGTCATCTGCGTCTACGGCGAGCAACCCGAAGCTTCAAAGCACCAGATCCACCCATCGGGACACCAGCCGATGAGCTTGTCGGCGCAAAGAAGGATTTCGAGATGGGGACACGTGATTCCAAAAACCCAAGCTCGATCTTTCGGTCCCTGACTGTCGGTTCGATGGAGACTTACGGCATCGTTTACTCGATTCGTTTTACAGCTTCGGCCGTGTCTAACCAATGACAAGTTTCCATTTTCTCTTATCTCTTGGAGGCTTGCGCCACTTTTTAGGGGAGACGTACCCCGCCGCAGGGGCCAGAGAGCGAACGAGGTTGAACGAGTCAAAGGATTTCCATTTGTAAAAGTCGAGGGAAGTTTGACTCGTAAGCGCTCTGGAAGGCATTCTGTGAAAGTTGTTGAGGTCTTTAGGAAGGCGATGGGGATGGTTCTGCGTGGGAGGCAGTAAAGTTCACGACTTCTCTGTGGCTGAATGTGAAGTGTTACGAAAAGAAAATTCGTTGCTGCTCGGGGAAGGCGTTGTGGTGGGGGAGCATGGTCGAGTAGGACACCAGGATTCTATTCCCGGACCGCTTCAAGCTACGGTGTATGGATTCGAGACTGCCATACCCTAGCATCACTGACGCCGTGGAACATCCAGAGGCTGGAGATTGTCTCGCGAGAGAGATATGGCGGACCGTCTGTACTGGCGAGGTTATTCTTTGCTCTTCTCAACCCCATAGTCTGATGGTTGGGGTGGTGCGAGAGATGAAGTTTGCAAAGAGATACAGTACTCACACGGTAGCTTATCGACAACAAGGGAGCGACCGATATTTTGGATGACATCGTCGCTCCCGTAGATCTCTTGCTGTGACAAGCAGTTGCTGTCTTGGGTGTTGGGTCCGTACCTGCGATGCTTAGCTCTATCGGCTTCTCCTGACTGCATCACTGCAATATCAGAGATCCAGAGAACCGGCTGGCTTGTTGATGCAGAAGTGTCCTGCATGATGAGGGCACATGGCGAAAATTTCAGTCGCAGAATGTTCCTAAGACACTTCCTTGACCATTTCTCCGCGTGTTTAGAGAAGTCTGGACGGATGCGGTCTTTGTGGCTGAAGTGGAGGGCAAGTTTCTTCAACACAGGAAAAAGGCTCAAGCATCGTAATTACCGCAATGCTGTCTTGTGCGTCGCAGAATTTGCACAGGAAGGGTTGAAGGGATATGTCTGCCAATTCCAAAACAAAGAAGCAAATGAAAAGTTTTCACCGTCATCATATGTAGCTCAATATGGAGTATTTTTTTTGCTTTTCTGTACATCTCCTCACTAAGCTGGAGCTCGTCACTATTCGCGCTGTCTGAGTGTCTGTCCCACGCCAACCCAGCTATCGACAGGCATCCCTGTAAGCTAGCCCATCGATAAGAATGGGGGGTCGCTTCCTCTTTAGCGGGTCAGCGCACTCCTCATAAACAGCCAGGACCCAACAAGCTCTCGTCTTGTTTTTTTCTCCATCCTCCATCCAGACATCTGTCTGCCAACCCCATACCTGCAAATTCATATACACTCCTCTACCTTTGAGAAACCCCCACAAACCGCAAAGATGGCGACTTCAACGACCGTCTCGTATACTGCCAATGTAAGCCTTGTTCACCCTCCGAGATCGCCCCGCGATAGGATCACTGACTCGATTTCAGCTCCTCAAGTACATGTCCCTCGACCAGAAGGGCAGTGCTATGGCCGAGTAAGTTCTTTGCGATCAATTGTCGCAAAAATTCAATCTTACGGTCAATCAGGTACATCTGGATTGATTCTACTGGTGGTACTCGATCTAAGTCAAAGGTAAGAAGACGACCCCGCCCATTCACTCGACTATTTAGCTGTTGGGTGAAGATGGACTGACTTTTGCATAATAGACTCTCACCAAGGTCCCAGAATCCGGTATCTTCAAGCCTGAAGATCTCCCCGAGTGGAACTTCGACGGTAGCTCGACTGGCCAAGCTCCCGGTGACAACTCTGATGTCTACCTCCGCCCCGTTGCTGTCTTCCCCGATCCATTCCGTGGTGCTCCCAACATCTTGGTTATCACCGAGTGCTGGGACCCCGATGGAACCCCAAACAAGTTCAACCACCGCCACGAGTGTGCTAAGCTCATGGAGGCCCACAAGTCGCACAAGCCATGGTTCGGCCTGGAGCAAGAATACACGCTCCTCGACATGCTTGACAAGCCTTATGGCTGGCCCGTTGGAGGTTTCCCAGGTCCACAAGGCCCATACTACTGTGGTGTTGGTGCTGGCAAGGTCTACTGCAGAGATATCGTTGAGGCTCACTACAAGGCTTGCTTGTTCTCTGGTGTGAAGATCTCTGGTACCAATGCCGAGGTTATGCCAGCTCAATGGGAATTCCAAGTTGGTCCTTGTGAGGGTATTGAATGTAAGCATTTCCCTCCAATCACTGATTTCCAGAGCTAATAGGTTTTTCAGTGGGTGACCACCTTTGGCTCGCTCGTTTCCTTCTTCACCGTATTGCCGAGGAATTCGGTGCCAAGATCTCCTTCCACCCCAAGCCAATCCCAGGTGACTGGAATGGAGCCGGTCTTCACAGCAACTACTCCAGTGAGGAGATGCGCAAGGAAGGTGGTATGAAGCATATTGAGGCCGCCATCAAGAAGCTTGAGGGTCGCCACAAGGAGCACATTGCTGTTTACGGAGAGGACAACACCATGCGTCTTACCGGCAGACATGAGACTGGCAGTATTGACTCCTTCTCTTACGGTGTTGCCAACCGCGGTTGCTCCATCCGTATTCCAAGAGAGTGCGCCCACAAGGGTTACGGTTACTTCGAGGATAGACGACCAGCTTCCAATGCTGATCCTTACCAAGTTACTGGTATTATGATGGAGACGGTAAGCTGATTCTATCCTTCATCGCAGAATAGTCATACTAATGCAGTACATAGATTTACGGAAGCGTTGAGTAAATGCTGGGTTTGGGCGTGTACACAAGGCTGGAGTGACGGAAAGGGATTGCTCTTCTTCTGCAAGCGATGATATTTCATAAACATGGTTTTCAATAAAGAACTACCGTGTAGATGCACGCGCTAAGACAATTCGATACCATTCAAGACACTCTCTGTTCTCCTTCTCCTTCTACACGTGACAGTATATACTTCTCTGGATTCCGAGCTTTCAACTATTTTGATACTATTGACGGTTCCACAAGCTCCGATATAGACAAGTTTATAGTACTATGAGAATCTCGACAGAACTCGAGTCAGGGAAAGCTCACATTTCAAGAACCTGACAAATCTATGGTTCCTGCAGATGGGAGTCGAGTGACTTGCTCCCGCAACAAGCCTACCTGCCAAATGCAGGTTTCCCCCCACGAACGCAAGCTGACTTGCATAAAGCTAAGAATGCCTGTTACCTTTTGACACATGGATCGTAGCCTTCTCCTCTCCAAAGAGAAAAAAAAAATTGTCAGCCTTGTGCCATGCATGTGAAAGATGTCATGACGCAGATCAGATGTCCAAGCTCCCAAAAAATAAAAATAGGCTCTTCTCGCAAACTTAAGCTTCACAACACCACACTTCATGTTGTTGACAACTCCTGTAAGGTCCTCCACCAGGTCTGGATTTAGGAGGATAGTTCGCTCCCTTTCTACATTGTCGTCGAATCCTCATATTGTGAGTTCAATTGCTTTATTTATTGCAGGAAGCTAATACATAAAATAGTATGTCTTCCCAGACCCAACATCAAATTCGCACATCCTCTCGCTCCTCCCGACGAATCCCCCTTCGCAGAAACTTGCAATTGGCACAACGACCCAAATACCACCTACTCCTAACTCCTTGACGGAGAACCACCATTTCCTCTCCATACTCCAAGATGTGCTTCGTCTGCACGCTCCTTCCGATCCCCTAGTCCAGGGCCAAGCTGCTGCGTTTGCGTCTACATCCGGATCTGCTCTAGGATCAGGAGGCATGTTCTTCCCTCAGCAACCAAAGAGACGAGGGGGTGCAAGCGGGACGTCTGGAGATGGAGCGGGAGGAGCGAGTAGTCAAGGAGGAGCCGGTGGAGGAGGAAGAGGTGGGTGGGTGCATGTTAGTGATTTGAGGGCTCCGCCGGATTATGGGCGGATTGCGTGGCCGGAGGATATCTTTGGGAGCTTGGAGGTTGATGGGAGGGGGCAGTTTGTTGAGGCGGAGGATGGGACGAGGGGGAATTGGCAGGCGAGTGGGACGTATAGGGTTATTACGAGGGAGGGAATGTGAGTATTGTTTTTATGCTGGTTGGGTTTGTACTGATTGTGTTCAGATTGGGGTTGGGTGATTTCTTGAGGGGGAAGTTGGTGGAGAGGTTGAGTGAGGAGGAAAAGAAAGAGACAAGGTAGGACTTTGAACAGAGCACGGATATTTTTGGAAGCTCGGACAACGAGGTTGGTACTTCGTAAGTCGATGGGGTGTAGGCGATATGATGCCATTCAGAGCTCTTGGAGTGAGTGCTGACTGTTGCATTGCGGAGCTATTACCTGGATCTTGCGTGATATAGGTATCACAAGCATCCCTCACCATAACCTACTCGCCCTCTGTAAGGGACTCATGTGTTACACATGTTCGAATAGATGTTGTTTAACCAATGACGTGCATGTAGGCAATATCTGTTGCTAGGATATTGGACCCTATGCACATCATGGTTTCATGATTTATACAAAACAAGCAACGTTGACAGCACTATATATATCAAGCTTCATTGCTCCCTACTATCGGAGACCCTGGCATGGTCTTCAAATACAGCAAAATTTACGTATTTCGTAGAGGCTACAATCCTCACGAGATTCTCCGCGTGTCTCGGAGTAAAAAAGTGGTACCTTATTTGGGCCGAAGTCTATACCAGGAACAAGAAAAAAGAACGAGTGACTTTGAGAAAAGTAACTTCAACGCCAAAATAACCATAATTAGAAAATCAGTCTTAGTCTCATTCTTTGATTTATAACATAGGGGAATCTAGGCTCTAGGCTATCTTCATGTGAATCATCAGCAGCAGCTGGAGTATGACCTCCTTACCCCACAAATAAGCTAACAGCGATCGCTAAAAGCTGAACAACGATTAATTGACAGCCCGCCAGCGAGCTCGCACATCCAATACTCCACGCGTGAGACAACCACATCTTCAAAGCTTTCGCAACTCAAATTCCATCAAGTGACTCGAACACAAGCGCCTTCCGTTGAGCTCCCTGTTCGAGCCTCAGGATGATTACCATAGCATCCTAAATATCAACTCAATCCTCCAGGACTTCATTGACATTCACCAAAAGTGTTGAAGCTCTCGCCAGCATCCGCCCGTCTTTGGTGGGGCAAGCAACGTTCCCAGTCCCCTCGCAACAAACAGACCCCATCATACCCAAAAAGCAACTCACGAACCCCGCCATGATGCCTCACGGCGCCTACGACGACGGGGAGCTGGAGATCTCTCTGGCCCCGTCTGCCAACCGCCGTGCCAACAACAAACCCCCCGATGCGTCTGCTGCTCGTCGTCCAAATGGCAATCATCATCGAGCTGCGAATGAGCCACCACCTCAGAAGAAGGCCGAGCAGCGGATCGGTGCATACCACATCATTCGAACGCTGGGTGAGGGATCGTTTGGTAAGGTCAAGCTGGCTACACATCGTGTTACGAATCAGCAGGTCGCCTTGAAGATAATTGCTAGGAAGAAGCTCATTAGTCGGGATATGGCTGGTCGGGTTGAGCGGGAAATCGAATATCTACAGTTACTCAGACATCCCCATATCATCAAGCTGTAAGCTGAATTTCTCCGATGGTCATGAATAGGACAGGAGCTAATCAAGCATTTCTGTAGATACACGGTGATTAAGACCCAACTCGAGATTATTATGGTCCTTGAATACGCTGGTGGAGAACTCTTCGATTACATCGTACAAAATGGAAAGATGAAAGAGGACGAAGCTAGGAGATTCTTTCAGCAGATTATATGTGCAGTCGAATACTGTCACAGACACAAGATTGTGCACCGAGATCTCAAGCCGGAGAACCTGCTATTAGACGACAACCTGAATGTCAAGATTGCAGATTTCGGACTTTCCAACATCATGACGGATGGAAACTTCTTGAAGACAAGTTGTGGAAGTCCCAATTATGCTGCTCCAGAGGTAATCAACGGTAAACTATATGCTGGACCGGAAGTCGATGTTTGGAGTTGTGGAGTCATCCTGTACGTTCTACTTGTGGGAAGACTACCCTTCGACGATGAGCACATTCCTTCTTTGTTTGCAAAGATTGCTAAGGGTCATTATGTGGTGCCGAACTATATGAGCAGCGGAGCTTCGTCGTTGATCAAGAAGATGTTGGCCGTGAATCCTGTTCACAGAGCCACTATCGAGGACATTCGAATGGACCCGTGGTTCGTCAAGAATCTGCCTGCTTACTTACAGCCACCAGTCGAGGAGTTCTTGGATACTGGAGTTGATCCCAGCAAGGCCATTACGCCTAAGCTTATTGCTCCTCACGCTAGTCCGGCCGTGCAGGAGAAGCTTCACGACCAGGTCACCGAGAAGATTTCCAAGACAATGGGTTATGGTATTAAGGATGTTCAAGAAGCTTTGGCTGCGGAAGAGCCATCAGCTATCAAAGATGCATACTTGATCGTCAGAGAGAACAAGCTGATGCAAGCGAACCGTGAGTACATCTGTTCGTTATGTCTAACCAGTCGTGCTTCCAAAAAGCCCACTGCTTCATTCCGAATCATAAGCTAACAAGAAATAGCAAATCTCTCAGATGACAAAGGTCAACTATTATTTCAAGTCCCTTCACCGCCTGCTTGGAACGATGGCATCAAGTTGGATACTGCCATCTCTCCACCACCTTCACCCGTTGTGAAAGAGGCTTCGGGCCATAAAGAAGTTCTACCAAGTCGGCCCAGCCCCCTTGTTGATGCTATGTCTCCACGCTCTTCAAGTTCGATAGGGACCGATAGATCAACGAGACCATATGTCAGCAAGATTGGCATCCTCCCAAGCAGTTTACCGGCCTATCACCGCGATTTTATGGAAGCTCGTCGAAGTGGGAGAGATACTACCAGCACTCTCTCAACTGCACACTCGGAGGTTGATGAGCCGAAGGTTCAGACGGAAGCAGAGAAGCTAGAGACTGCTCGCAGGTTGAACCCACACTCCAAGAGCCAGATTCGACTCGACGAAGCCAGCAAGAGACCGGCAGGCATGACGCAAATTCCACAGAAGAAGGCGAAGCCTACCAAGTGGCAATTTGGTATTCGTTCCCGAAATCAGCCTCTTGAGGCTATTGGCTGTATCTATAGAGCTCTTCAGAAGCTTGGTGCTGAGTGGGTTGTTGATGAGGACTGGCAGCCCCATGGCGAATCTAATGACGAAGACAGGTAAGAAAGCTCTTTCACTACTGAACATCATGTTGACATGAAATAGAACGAACAACAACAGCTTTGTGTCAAATGGTAGCGGAGCATCATTACACCATTCCGAATCAATGCCGGGACAGAACAATTCTTCAAGCAGTATTCAGTTCCAAGCACTGGATCCGAATGGTGATTACAAGTTACCGGCGGATCCTTGGGTTTTGAGAGTGCGGTGGAGAAAAGATGGTATGTCGCTCTAAATAATGCTCGTGTCTTCTCATTAACTCTTGATAGACCTTCGTCGCCAATCTGTGGCATCCCTAAGCAGCACTGGCGGCTCGCTCCCTTCAGAGATGGCATCACCTCCCAGAGGCTCTAATCACAAACTTGACCCTATCGAGAATGTGTTCATGCATCTCGACATCCAACTGTATGAGATGGAACCTGGGGTCTATCTAGTTGACTTCAAGTGTGCTGGCTACGAAAATGTTGACGGCATGCTTCTTGAAGAGAAAGATGTCACCTCACCGTTCCCATTCCTAGATCTGGCCTCAAAACTGATCATTCAACTTGCGGAGGCAGACTGAGCAGCACTCACTCTTTGACTACGAGGAATTTACGATGGAATGAGGACAGGAGCTTGAACGGGTACTTGCATGATACGATATGACTGGAAATGGTAGGACAGGAGGGATGCAGAAATTAAGGCATGGAAATGACGGCAATTAAGTGGTAAAGAGGATATCTTCGAGCGTGGCGTTGTTCTGGATGATTGAATACCCGGAAAAAAAATCCTATGTCAGCACACATTTTCTTTCTCTTCTCTTAATGCATGGTAGGGAAAGATGCAAGATGCGTGGCATCTCCACTCTTTGTGTGTAATTGTGGGCATAGATCATCAGGCATAATGGAATGATAATGCACTGATTCTACATGGATATCTTTGACTTGAGTTTTGAGATTCTCTTTTGTGACTTTTGGTATCTGGTCATTGACTCTCAGTTACCTCCTATGCAACGAAACTCACGTATTGTTGCATTTAACGCTGATACGAAGTTGGTTGTTTCATTTTAGCTTGTAATGAGCTTCATTGTGACCGTGCAGATCTCTGCTCTGGTCTTTTGTCCAGAGATATTCAGGCATTCTCCCACGCCAGAATTAGTCACCATAAAATACAATTTAGTCCCAGCGCCCTGAATGCACCTTAACGCCCCACTCAACCAGAGCTTCCTCACACTCTCACTTATTCAGCCTTCTCTCTCACATCTCACCACCTCAGCTAATATTCTCTGTTTTCCTTCCATAGCCTCATTCATCGTCTATCGTTCCCCTGCTGTCCATTCGCACCAGGAGGAGGTGCAGGAAATCCTTGACCGGGAACAGGGATAGGCGGGAAGCCTGGCGGTGGCTGGAACCCATTTGGCGGGACAGGGAACTGGAAGTTTGGCGGTAATCCTCCAGGAGGAAATGGAGGTAATGGCATACCAGGCATAGGAGGCATGCCGCGACCTAAACCACCTGGTGGAGGAAACGGGATTGGTGGTCCGCCGCCTGGCATCGGTGGCATACCTGGTAAACCGGCGAAAGGGGGAGGGACTCCTGGAGGCTGTATGTTAAATTTTTGTTTGTATAGAGAATTGAGAGGGGAACTTGCCTCCGGGAAATGGTGGGAATGGAGGGGGGCCGACGCCGGGGTTTTGATTCAGCATTGGGTTTGAGGCTGATTGACCTTCTGCGGCGTAGGAGTTTGTGATAGAGTCGATGACTGACTGGGCTTTCTCGTGGCCGATTTCTAGCAAGTTGTTAGTATGGTGCTTTGGGCTTCTGGAGAAGAGTTCGGACGTTGATAGTAGTCGACTACATTTCGAAGGTGGTTTCGACCGCTGTTGTGAGCTTTGCGTACGCTCATGGAGTCGTGCGTGAGGTAGACATCGCAGTAGTCGCCTGGAAGAGGTCAGTCTTGAAGGCAGAATTGGGTCTTTGCGTCGCTGGAACTTACAGAAGACTGTCACAAGTGTTAGCTTTCATCATAGGATATATTCGCGGGGATAGAAACTTACATTTAGGCATCTTGGCAGAATTGTACGATTAACTGTTGAAAAGAGTCTGCTGCTTGTTCTGAAGCTCAAGCTTGCCTGCTCAAAAGTTCGAGAAGTCGCGACTAACTCCAGTCCACGTGACCCCTAGCTCTCGGCTTACCAGCGCCATCCCTGTTCGTAGCCAAAATGCCAGATAAAGTATTCTCCTGACGCGACTCTTGTGAACTAGAGAGAGAAATCCTCACACGACAACACTTCGACAGCATGGCATACCCGCAATTCTTCTTGCGCATGCTGGGTAGCTTGCTGCTATTTCTTGCCTGTGCCGAGGCTCTGAAATTCGATATCGAGGCTTTCAATTCGGGAGATTCAAAGGGGAGGAGATGTATTAGGAATTTCGTCGCGAAGGATACGCTGGTGGTAGTTACAGCTACAGTGGATGGGTATAAAGGTGATGGCATGATTGTCAATATGCATGTAAGTTGGGGCTTATGAATTGGGTGTTGGGTTTTGACTGACGTCTTTGTCTCCAGATCAAGGATGCGGTTGGCAATGAGTATGGACGACCGAAGGATGTGGTTGGAGAGCAAAGAATGGCTTTTACATCTCACGCTGATGCGTCTTTCGATGTCTGCTTCGAAAACGCTTTCTCCGGAAGTAAGAAAGTCTCATCCTTTCTTGGTCATTGTTAACAATTTTGCAGGTAAAGGAGTTAGCAACCCATTCAGACACGTGGAGCTGGACATCGACATTGGCGCTGATGCTAAGGATTGGTCTGCCGTTCAAGCAACAGAGAAGCTGAAGCCCGTCGAGACCGAGTTACGGCGCATGGAGGAAATGGTCGCAGAGATCGTTGCTGAGATGGATTACTTGAGGACTCGGGAACAGAAGCTTCGAGACACGAACGAGAGCACGAATACTCGAGTGAAGTGGTTCGCGTTTGGAACAATGGGTATGCTGGTTGCATTGGGAGCGTGGCAGGTCATTTATTTGAGGGCGTACTTCAGGTATTTATTGCAGATTGGAAGAAGTTCAGAGCTTCATGCTAACGAATTAATAGGTCAAAGCATCTCATCTAGAAAAGTTCCAAACGGCAGCGGGCGCACAATTCTACGGCGAAAGGTCTATGTGTTACTAGTTGGGCTGTGTAGAAAATACGTATATAATGACAACCTGGTGGGCAAGAGATGTCCAACGGACTCTGCGATGATGTAAAGATTTCGACCCAGAAGTGATATGCTGTGAAGGCGGTGGGAATCTCTGGGTACCGCTGGGGTGAAGAGAAGATGAGACGATAGGACTGGCCTAATAGCCCAATATCACATTCTCAAATGAAACAATTTCGATGCTTGCATGGAGACTTGTCCCACGCTTAAGCACAGATATCGACGATTCATTGCTAAGTTCAGTCACAACTTCCATTTCACAGGTTAGCCCGATGGAAGACTAATTGGAAATGGATGAAATGAATAGAGAATTCACTTGAAATGTTACAACCATCACTCATTACAAGATAACTTTTGAACCACGTATTCTTGTCATTGTCACAAACGCGACTTATCGTTAGGTCTTCCTGTATTAGTGTACATTTTGACTTATACTAAATGCTTGTTGCTTACGAAGGAGGCATCACGTCGAATGTAGTGGCAACCTCCTTCTCCCATCCAAATCTATCCTTGCCGAAGATCTCAGCAGACGGCTTGAAATTCTTGCCAGAATCGAGGAGGACAGTGCGGACGACGATTTTGTCTCCCCTGTAGTCAGAATCTCCGAGTCAGTAATCTGGTTTGGATATTCTGGGGGTGTACATGGGTCTCTTAGCAACGCATAGAGAGCACTAACTCCTGATCATAACCCCGAGACAGCAGGGAACAAGATGTTAACGTCCGAGAAATTGAGACTTACATGATCTCTTGATGATGGTAGACGTGCGAGGTGCAGTTCGGACAGAAGTAGCATCTTACAGCTTTTCCCGAGTCCCCATAATAGGTATAAATGTTGGGCTTGCCCTTAGTAATCTTGAGGTTGTCCTAAGAATACATCAATTTTTGTCCCTGAATTTTGTCTGATTGGGCATACCTTGGGGACAATCTGATTCAGCGAATAAGTTCCCCCACCCAGTTGCTTACAGGTGTTGCAATGGCTATGTTATGTTAGTTGTGGAGCTTACTAACAGAGGTTTTGCGGCTTACCACAGGACATGGGATTTATCCTCGAGTTTGACTTCCCACTCGGTTTGTCCGCAATGGCATTTTCCGTGCTCGGTCATGATGAGTGAATTTCTGATAAAATTGGATTTGGATTTGTATAAGAAAAAAGAGAGGAGCTGGAGAGCTTCTTATACATTACCTTTCTTCCGAGCACCGGGGAGGGGTCGCTACGTCAGCCCTGAGTGAAGAAGAGGGGAACAAACCATTGGTCTCATCAACCGTCAAGGACATGCATGGTATGGCATCAGTCGAAGTTTAGCATGCAGCTTAAAGAGGATCTGCCCAGTGTCCAGCGTCCAGGTTCCAATGGTGACGATTTTATGTTCAGAAAAAGAAAAGCTAGTTCATGTAGTGAATTCTTACCGAGTTTCCTCACAACTTGGCAAAGCTCCGGATACTCTCTCCAGCTACCTAAATCTCCGAGGAGGATATTGAATGAGGGATGCTTTGTTGAGATTACGTGGAGATGTGATTGAGGCTAACTGTATAATCTGTAAGCTTCAGCCCTTGATATCATGAAGTTCTCCCAACCATTGGTGCTGCTAATGTGAGGTAGGTCATCGTCTTCCGAAAGGAGGGATCTGCCCGGAGCCTGCATATATTTGAGTGGAGAGCTGCTGAGGCACATTGCTGAAAGTTTGGCTGCTGGAAGGGAGAATGCGAATCCCAGATGCCGAGAACTCTCCGGATATTCCTTGTGAGAGCATCGTGACAAATACTTGGTGAGATGCGTCCCGCAAGAGATTTCGAACGAGGTGCATCCTAGAAAGGACCTAAGGAGGAGTAGTAAGAAGCACCTCGCATTTAGTCCTTGACTGTGGGGTGCTACGAGGTATGCTTCAACGCTTGGCTATATGATGTGACAAATGAGCTGGAGATGTGCTGTTGATACGACGGACAAATGCAGAGCAAACAAGACATAAATAGGTGAAATCCCGATAGAAGACGCAGAACATGTATACAAGAAAGAAATTTGGAGTGCAAAAACAAGTGAAAGGTGGACAGAAGTCTCCACTGGACTTTTATATCATTTAGTTCCGGCCATCAAGGTGTCTTTGCCAAGACTGTGAGGCTCGTGGTGATGAGCCAAATTCACGTTTCTGGACCAAAGATATTGGAAGTCCAAACAAGCGTCATTTTTATCAACAGACGTTGAAATATAGTCGACAGCTTGTTCACTAATCCGCATACATGAAGCTATCCATGTCTACTATTGAGAGCGTATCACGTGTATGCAGATAACGTTAGCGCCGATCGCTTATCAAAGTAGCATCAAAAATTATTTTGGAGGGCCAAAATTTATCGCAAGTCCAAGATATTTCGAACAGCACTTTTCAACAGACATAGCAATTATGGATTCTGCCGAATTACACAGCAAGAAGCGCAAGAGAAAGCACGGCAGTACCAAAGCCACTATTGAAGAGATTGTCCCTGCTACCAATGGGTCCAGTCTTGCGACCGAATCAAAAATCAAATCGAAGCACTCAAAGGAAGGCAAGCCGCCCAAGAAGCTGAAGAAGAAACACGAGTCGGATGACGAGGAAGAGATATCTGGAGACAACGTTGTCGAAGTTGTGGAAGACGAGGATGAGGGAGGAATTGACGACGCCTTTTCGACAGACGAGGACGAGGCAGTTCCTGCAGAAGACGAAGACCAGGACGATGAAGACGATGGGGCAATAGATCTCGCTGAAGGATCCTTAGCAGAATCAGCGGCTCTATCGTTACCAAATACAGGTGCACAAGCACAAAAGTTCGAGGAACTGAACTTGTCCGCAAAGACAATGAAGGCGTTGGCAGACATGAAGTTCGAGAAGATGACGGAGATCCAACAGCGGGGTATACCACCATTACTTGCTGGAAGAGATGTTCTTGGAGCAGCAAAGACTGGATCCGGAAAGACTCTGGCATTTTTGATCCCGGCGGTAGAAATGCTGAGTTCTTTGCGCTTCAAGCCTCGGAATGGCACAGGAGTTATCGTCGTCTCGCCCACCCGAGAACTTGCGTTACAGATTTTTGGCGTTGCCCGAGAACTTATGGCTCACCATTCGCAAACATATGGTATCGTCATTGGAGGAGCGAACCGAAGAGCAGAGGCAGAGAAGCTTGCTAAGGGTGTCAACCTCTTGATCGCAACTCCTGGTCGACTTCTAGATCATTTGCAGAACACACAGGGATTTGTTTTCAAGAACCTGAAAGCTCTGATCATCGATGAAGCAGACCGAATTCTGGAGATTGGTTTCGAGGATGAGATGCGACAGATTGTCAAGATTCTACCAAAGGACGAGAGACAAACGATGCTATTCTCAGCCACACAGACGACAAAAGTCGAGGATTTGGCACGAATATCACTACGGCCTGGCCCGCTTTACATCAACGTCGACAATCAGAAGGAACACAGCACAGTCGAGGGTCTAGAGCAAGGCTATGTTGTCTGTGATAGCGACAAGCGATTCCTCCTCCTATTTTCGTTTCTCAAACGCAACAAGAACAAGAAGATCATTGTATTCTTCTCGAGTTGTGCTTGTGTAAAGTACCACTCTGAACTCCTGAACTATATCGATCTTCCTGTTCTCGACCTTCACGGAAAGCAGAAGCAGCAGAAACGAACGAATACTTTCTTCGAATTCTGTAATGCTAAACAAGGCACTTTGATTTGCACAGATATCGCAGCTAGAGGTCTCGACGTAAGTTCCCCTTCCCTAAGCAACTGAAATTCTGCTAACACTCCCTAGATCCCTGACGTAGACTGGTATGTCAAATCCCTATACTAATTTACTGTTTTCTTGTATGATGGCTCTGGGAGCCGGGAGCCGGGCAGAGCCGAGACAGATTGCAAACGAGAGCTTTTGAGACAGCTCCCGGCTCCCAGAGCCCCTCGCTTTCGTTTCGATGTTTTACTATGCTAATTCGTTGGCAGGATTGTACAATTCGATCCACCTGATGACCCCAGAGATTACATCCATCGTGTCGGACGTACAGCTCGAGGATCAAACGGCAAAGGACGCTCCCTAATGTTCCTCCAACCCTCAGAAGTCGGTTTCCTAGCCCATCTCAAGACTGCCCGTGTCCCAGTCGTCGAATTCGACTTCCCCGCCAAGAAGATTGTTAACGTGCAATCGCAACTCGAGAAGCTCATTTCTCAAAACTACTACCTGAATAAGAGCGCCAAAGATGGCTATAGAAGCTACCTCCAAGCTTACGCTAGCCACAGTCTACGGACAATTTTCGATGTGCATAAGCTAGATCTGGTCAAGGTAGCGAAGGGTTTCGGGTTTAGTGCGCCGCCGAGAGTGGACTTGACGTTGGGAGCGAGTATGAGCAGGGATAAGAAGACGCAGGGACGAAGGGCGTATGGAAGTCAGCCGAAGCAGGGAGGGAGCTTCAAGAAAAGGGGGACTTACTAGGGAGTGGATGGAGAAGTGTCAATATGAATGATACCTTGCATTGTGGGCATTTGTGTATGAGCCGGAAAATAACATTGCACTCTTAGTTTCTTCCAACTTATCAGTCTCCCCATGTCTATGCTCATTGTTACTTGGTTCGTCAATGTTACCAAATCCGTGAGACCAACTACTTCGTACCAATTATGGAAAAGTGCTCAATCTGAAAGATTCCGCTTCTCAGTAAATACAGTCATCAAACAAGGAAGCAATATGAGCCAACCTGTAGCACTTCTGCTTTTTGCAAATATATTGTATTGTATGTCTCAAGGTATTTATGTCTGAAAAGCAGACTTTTGGTATCTCCCCACGAACTTGATGTTCGGTCGTGAAGCCGTTACTCCCCTCGCAACAAAGATTCATCCAGGCGCCCTCCAAACGGAAGGATCCAGCAAAGCAAACTCTGTACGCCTCCAAAATTGAGAAATAGTAGTCTGTCTTCAAGGCACCGACTTGAATATGAAACAGGAAACTCATCTCTTTAAAAACAAGGCAATCATAAGCAACCGTGCCTAGTGACCTCTAATAGTGACCGGTTTTCCTCGGCGAGCAGTCATGCCTGTAGGTCTTCCTCGACCTCTCAATGAGACGCCACCACCTCGAAATGCCTTGTTGGGACCCGGTCGATGAGCAGGAATATCATCAGTATCAGAAGAATCAGAAGCAGAAGACTCTTCGGATGCTGAGCCGTCAGATACTGATCTCTCGGAAGAAGGCTCTTCACTCATTAACCGAACAACGGTAGGGCCTACTCTTTGTTTCTCAACAGGCAATGTTGGAGCACGATCGCTCTTGCTGCTTGCTACAGTCGCTGGACTTGTGGAGTAATCTGCACCAGCGCTAGACTTCATTGCTTGAGATCTGCCGTTCACAGCGTGCCAACCAACAGGGGTGGCGGTAGGTGGAGCCCTCGAAATGGAAGCCTGAATCAGAGACGGAGTGCTCCCTGAACTGTATGTAGTTGTGGATGGAGCATGTGACCATTGTTCCTTCGTCGTCACTGTATTGGATGGACCTGGAGAAAACTCGGGGGTTGATTGAGCCTTGGGAGCAACAATCTTGAATTTTCTTCCTTTCAAAGCCATTCTTTCTTTAAGTGAGAGCAACTTGGGCGCGGGAGCACGAGCAGGGAAGATAACGATGGGTTCTGTTCCTATCGGAGATTCAGAGCGAGGTGGAAGTGCAACCACACTAGGACGACTCTTCGGCGGTCGGCCACGATGCTTAGGTACTGGAGCGTCTTCCTCGATTGTAGAAGTGTTGCGAGGTTCCCGGACTGGCTCATTTTGCTTCTCTGCTTCATTTAGCACTTCAGTGGAATTTGGTTGCTCGGCAATTTCAACGCCGTGGCCGACTTCAGTTGTCTCCCTGATGACTTCCTCAGTAGCCTTTTCTCTCTCAATCGGTTCCCCAAAGAGGCTGTCTCTGTCACTACCAAGAGCAGCACCTCCATCGTCATTATCGTCAACCGCTAGAGAAAGTTCCACAACTGCAGGCGGTGGATCATTTTGCATTCCGTCCTGGACTTCACTACGTCGCTTCCTATTTCTCTTGGTGGGTAATTCAACCGGAAAACTGTTACCAGCGTCTTCTGCCTCTTTACGAGCAAGCCAAGCAGATTTGTGAGGTGTTTTGATGGTATTTGGAGCGACAGATGGAGATCCTGTCGATCTCGAGGTTTGGGCCCGCACGCTTCGCTTTTTTCGGACAGTACCTTGGGATGCAGGATGTGGTTTACTTAAATGGCTCAAAGCTTGAGCTGCAAGCTCAAGATCAGAGTCTGCGCGCTCAGCTTTGCGTTTACGAGTAGTACTAATAGATGAAAGTCCTTCGTCCTCTTCGATAGGAACGGCAGCTTCACCGAGATCGCGGTACGATTGCGGTTTGCCCGTGCTACGGCGAGGCACACGCTTCTCGGGTCTGGAGGGGAAGTCTTCAGGCTGGTATTGTTGCCTGTGTTTCTTGGTCTCGGCGAGCAATTTCTGACGTTTTGACGCGAAGAACTCGACATCTTCCGCGTCCTCGCCATCGGCATTAAATCTCTTCCGCTTTTTAGGTTGCTCTGCTTGCAGTAATTGAGGATCTAGCAGATCAGAAAGAAACATATTCGGGTTCTTCGATGGAGTTAATTGTGGTGAAGGTTCTTCAATTGTGCCATCAGTGATTGGTGGATCATAAAGAATTCGGTTGTCAGTGGAGCCATTCTGTTGATAATATCCTACGCCCATCATACGGTTTTGTCCAACGTGTGAGGCGTCCGGTTCAGTTTCTTCTGGTCCTCCATACATAGAAGCAGCCGGGGCAAGGAGCTGAGATGGGTAGCTTGCCGGTGGTTGATTGTACGAATCGTAGTCGTCAAGTTCATAGTGGCCATCCGCGCATCCATGAGCGGTGTCATCCGTATCGTCTGGTAGATACGGATTTGCCCCATGTTGCGCAGCCTCGTATGAATCCCGATATCGAGGGGCGTTGCCGTCTTCTCTGAAATGCGTTGACCCAGGACCACCAAGATTGTTGATATCTTGCATGTTATGGACGTAGCCATTGTTCAGATTGTCCTCAAAGGAATCATCGAAAGCCTCACGATCATCTAGAGAGCTCTCATTCGCGCGAGCTTTCTCTGCTTCGGCCCTCTCCTTCAGCTTCTTCATTCGTCCAGACTCCTGAGGATTGTTCGCATTTTCATCACGTTGCAGCCAAGAAAGATTCGTCCTTGAGAAATCGACAAGACTTTCCACACTTCGAAAATCAGCTACCTTCTTCGTATCATGGCCTAGCAGAGTCCCTTTGGGTTGATATCCGATTTGAGTGGAGTTCGGTTTCGACCGACATTTTCCACAGGAACACATCTTCAAGCACCTCGGACACTGCCACTCCTTGTCTTCCATGACGGTTTGTGGCATCAAGTCAAAGGCTCGCCACAAAGTTCCGTAGCAATAGGCCAGGCTACAGGTGGTGCAGAAAGCGAGTTTCCAATTCATCTCATGTTTCATGCATACGTGACATGAGTGTGTCTTGCCGGGTGTAGGCACCACCTGGTTCTTACGAGATGATGACAAGCCTGATTTCTTGCCATCCTTTCGAGGTACGGGGCGACCTTCATCATCGACCTCGGGCTCGATGTCAGACATTTCTGGTGTCGGTGTTCTCTCCCTATTGGGATCCTTAAAGGGACGGATTTTGAGCTGCTCCTGACAGACTTCTGTTATGGGTCTCCTACCATATCGTTTCCTGGCTAGCTCAAGCGGTTGAGGCGATCTCATCGAATCAAAGAAGCCATCAAACTGAACGACAATGTTCCGCCACTGCTCATAATTTTGAACAAGAGTCGACCAGTCCCATTGCTCAACCCAGGAGAGGCTTGAGACGCAGGCGCAGGAGCGGCCCATCGCATAACAGTCCATACACACGTCGTAGGTATCTTCAACTTCTTCACCGTTGACAATGCCATGCTGAATGCAGGTCTTGCAGGTCAAGAAACGATTGAATATATTTCCTCGGCAATACGAGCATGTAACAAAGGAATCGTAGGGTAAGAATTCGACATTTGTTTCCTCAGGCAACTTTGGCGAAAACATCTCGCTAACTAAAATTTCCTGGTACAAGTAGAACAAGCGCTTGAAGTCTTCCAAAAGTTGTTTGATACGGCCATACTTCCACATCTTCGGCTCCATGGTGTCACGCTGCAACAGTGCATAGTACTTGATGAGGGTGTAGTAGACGATTGCCTTGCATTTGTACTGCTCCTCCCGGCATACCATTCGAGCGCGCGGAAGGGCTTCGTGAAGTGCAAGTTCAAGAGTGTCGACGGTCGTACGATTCCAGGCCACTTTCATAGTACGAGTTCCACGATTCCAGACCTGATGCGGAGCAAGAGGTGGTATTAGGATAAGATCTCCAACTTTCTGCTCGACTACCCAAACGTTGAATGGGGCTTTCCTCCATGCGTTAACTTGCGCGAAATGCTTTTCAACTTCAATGTCATGACCTAGCATTGAGAGGAAATACTCTGAGACTACCTCTCGTTCTCTAGTTTCGGTCATGAACCAGATCGAGGTGCCAGGCTTCTCGCCTTTCGAAGCGGTTGAAGTGTCGACCATGATATTGTGACCAAGCGTGCCACACATCTCTCTGTGAGCTGCAGTATATGTCCCTTCGTGACCAATGTAACACATCATATTTGCAGCTCGCATCTCAGGTGGGAGATTGGCCATCAAGTCTCCAGCTGGAGCGACACCCTTGCCGTAGCGCATTTGACCGTATTCGTTGGGCTCGAGAATTGACCCATCGCCCCCAGTTCTTGGCTCGATGCATTCGTTCAAGTAATAAATGCATTCTGGGACTGTATCTCTCAAGTGCTCGGACCACTGCTTGGGACAATCAATATCCTTCAGGTATAATCGTTGTCGTTTCGGGTCCCGATACGTTGAGGGCTTGAATTGCCGTGTAAGCTGATCCATAGACCTCAGGTAATGTCCCATAGTCATGGGAATATTTGTCTCGTTGGGTATGTCGCGAACACTTTGAGCTGGTCGTGAAAATAAGTCAGTTGCTTTCTATAACATTCGGCGCATAAAGACTTACGCTCTTTTCCCATGTTCTCCTCCAGCCATTCTTTACTGAAGAGCCATGGAGGAATCCTTGAGCCCCAGTCTTCAATAACAAGAGGTTTACCATTTTCAATCACAATCTGGAGTACAAGAGCTTCAAAGCTTTGAATACTGTGCTCCTCCAATTTGTCTGCAGATAACCTAGTAACATAATCGAAGTTGTGGGTATCTTCGACCAGAGCGTCTAGATCGAAATCCGGTTTGATAGGCACGAATTGTGCTTGCGGGTACGTCTGAGGAGGCATTGCGGCATCTGTGAATTGTTCGCTCCAGTTCAAAAGCCCACTTTCCAGCGCATATTCTGTCGCAATGGCTGGTAGCCAAGAAAATCGACTTTAAGATCGCATGAGAGTGGAGAGTGTTGTTTCGTCGGTCTAGGTCGAATGCGCTTGCGGAAGATGGAAGCTGAAGTTTGGTGAATCCAAAGTAATTGCGGAGGAGATACTCGAGCAATCGCGTTAATTTGAAGGTGATCGCGTCCAGGTCCAAGAACGTGAAGAGGCTTCCAACACCTCCCAATCCTTCTCAGCTCTCCCGAGCGGACCGGAAGACAAGATGGTGAGTCCAAAGTTGGGACTTCGTAATGCGATGCGACAAGAGCTCTTGAGAAATTGTTGGACAGAAGGCAGAAGGTGCTGCCAGACACAAAGACGAGGAGCGCCTTGCCGAGCCTTGAGGGGAAAGCTCGGACCACAAAGTTCAACATAATTTCTCTCTCGTCTCTATGCACCACTTCATCGGATGATAGAAACGTTCTCAGATTGAGCTGAGCATTGTGCCTCATTACTGTCTTTCAAATTTTCAGAAGCGTTGTGAGTCTAATATTTTATATATCGCTTTATATCATTAATTTGATACCTCTTGCTCTTCAATAGTTCATTTTGAAGTATTGCTTGAACCCAAAGCACGGATGATCAGTATTAGACAACTTGACGTTTACACTTATAGCACCCTCATATTCCTTGTACCATAGCTAATTCAAGTACCAGACATTTGTATGAGCGTTGTGAGCACCATGCTCACCACGGGGCTCTTTCGTTTGCCTTCGGCGTGCCGCAGCACTTTACTTCATTCGAATTCCAGATGTCAAAAAGTCTCATTGATTCTCAGTTCAACACATGCTCGAGTATCTCTCACTTCGCCTTGGCACGTGGACCGGAACAATGTGCTCTCTATCACGACTCGCCGCAGGCGTATTCATTCCGTTCAAAGATCTGCTTCGATGGTCATCGAGCCAAAAGAGCGCCCAGTATCAGTAACCAGTACTGAATCTCAGCCATTAGTTGAATATGAAGCTCCAAAGACTGGAATTCTCTCGATTTTACCCTCATCGTGGGTTCCTTACGCTGAGCTCATTCGACTCGATAAGCCAACTGGTACTTACTACTTATTCTTTCCCTGTTTGTTTTCGACTCTGCTTGCAGCTCCTCTAGCTGTACCGATGGCAACGCCGCTTTCTGTACTGGGTACCTCACTACTCTTCTTCAGCGGCGCACTTATAATGCGCGGGGCAGGTTGTTCCATCAATGACCTTTGGGACCGCAATCTTGACCCGCACGTCAGCCGGACGAGGCTACGACCAATTGCCCGGGGAGCAATTACTCCATTCAACGCTCTTGCCTTAACAGGCGCTCAGCTGCTCACTGGGTTAGGGATTCTGTTACAGTTTCCTTACCAGTGTTTGTTCTACGGCATTCCCAGCTTATTCTTGGTTGCTTCCTATCCCTTGGCCAAGCGTGTCACCTACTATCCTCAGTTTGTGCTCGGACTTACGTTCTCTTGGGGTGCTTTTATGGGCTTTCCAGCTCTTGGCGTTGATCTTCTCGATAACGGTGCTGCTCTTACGGCTGCGGCATGTTTATATACTTCAAATATCGCGTGGACCGTCCTGTACGATATGATATATGCTCATATGGACATCAAAGACGATGCCAAGGCTGGGATCAAAAGTATAGCTTTGCGGCATGACAAGCAAACGAAGCAAGTCTTGAGTGGTTTGGCAATCGCGCAAATTGGACTTCTTGCAGCTGCGGGTGCAGCCGCTGGAGCTGGCCCAATCTTCTTCGTTGGTAGCTGTGGCGGTGCAGCACTCACACTTGCGGTCATGATTAAGAAAGTCAATCTGAAATCTGTCAAAGACTGTTGGTGGTGGTTTGTGAATGGTTGCTGGATGACTGGGGGTGTTATTTCTGCTGGACTTGCAGCAGAATATTTGGTTCAATGCTCACAGCAGACAGAGGAAGTCGAGAAACAAAAGATGCTTGTATAAATCTGTATGATGGCCGTTGGAGTCCTGAGAAATGTGGACGGAAAAGAGCTTGTACTATATCTCCACACAGCTTTGCAAGATTGTACTTCTAGGGAATAGATTGAGTAACACTCGGTGATCTAAAGGATTCATCTTTTCTCGTGGTACGACGTTCTCGCTTACAGAAACATGTGTCGATGCATCCAAAGCTTTGAGCATTTTCAAGAATGCAGTAACCTCGGCTTTGTACAAGATCTAGACCTGGAACTTACAGTCTACATTGCAGTGCCGTCTGAGAGCAAGGTCAAAGTCTGTTTCCTGATGAAACAACACGTGAGAGGTGAGTGAAACATCCCTTTTTGCATATTTTGAAGAGACATGTATATGTATTCAGGTTGTAAATATCCCAACGAGATATATAAGGTCCTTTTCTATGCCAATTCACAGAAAACCATCCGACTTCAATTGCCTGACCCAGCAAATACATCGGTGTCAGGTACCAGGAAGAAAATGCGATACAGCTGCTTCCGGCATTGATTGAAATCGAAGGCCGGCAGTGGATTACACCTCGAACTGCAGCCTGTGAAAAGTGATCAGCACGTCATGAGACTGCATGTAAGCATCCGCGTGCAGAAGCTACTCGAGTCTGCTTATACTTTTCGAGTATCGCTCATCTTACTCCGCCGTTGATCTGCGATTCCCATCGTAAAAGAACTTGATCTCGTGGAGCTTGCGGTGTAGGCTCTTGTGTAATGTGCGGTTAGCCGCCTACGTCAGGATCTCCTTCTCCGGATTCACGAGAGCTTGGACTTTTATTGTGGAGTTTTCAGGTGAGACACTTTTCGGCTGCGTGGTCTGGGCGATGGCGAAAACGCATTTATTCGATGGATGAGAAGGAAGCCGATAGTTTGCCGCTGGGTATCATGATAGAATCCTAACTCACCAGTCAATTCCTCTTGGACATGGCGTGGTGATTCATTGGATTACAGTCAGCATTCGATGTTTCATCAAAACGCTGTGATCCCTGGCTGTTGTGTTGCCCGGTTGTCCCCTCGCAGCTTCCACGTTGTGTCGGTCGTATGAGGGGCAAGCAACAAATAGAGAAAGTCATCCCACTTCAATCTTCAACAACCAGACAATTTTGAGACGCTTTCACCAGTGCAGACAATAGCTCATCATCATCCCGAATCTTACTGTCAGCTTTTTCGCAGTCCAGAATACCGCATCATCAGTTCTAGAGTCTTGACTCGAAGTTTTCAAACCAAACCCACCACCCTAGCGCAAGGTATGATCTCATACAGTTCCGGCAAGCCGTCGCCCATTCAATCACATCACCCCAGTGCGCATCAGCACCATTAAAGCTACACACCTCCTCCCATCGCGCTCTGAGCTTCGAATAATCTTCTCACATTAAAACTATCTGCAGAATATACCCTCTTCGCCCGTCTTCTTCGACCTCAACGAGTAGCAAGCCTGCTTCTTTCTCCAATCCCTCGCATCCACCGAACCAAATAAACACCAACAAAATGGTTTCTGTCCCTCAGATCGCACTCCGCGGATGGGAGTTCCTATGGACCCTCATTACCATGGCATTGATTGGCAATGTCATCGCAACAGCATTTGCCGGTAACCCATCAAGCATCAACTACGCCATCTTCGTGACAGTGTGGGACATGTTAGTCGTCCTATTCGGCATAGGCGCAGCCTTTATGGATATCTCAGCAGCCGGTATCATCTTGGCTGTTGGCGATATCATTGCTGCTCTCCTCACATTCATCGCTGGTGTGGTTCTTGCTGCCAAGTTGGGCGTACACAGCTGCAGCAACGGTGTATGTTGACAACGTCCCCCTCCTTGCAAGATCACGACAACTGACAATTTGAAGGGATACACTTCCACAAACCATCTTACGAACGGCTCCCACGACACGGGAAAGCGATGCCGAGAGCTCCAGGCTAGCACTGCTTTCTTCTGGTTCCTCCTACCCGCATTTGCCATTTCTGCATTCCTCTCTTTCAAGAACTCAGGAGGCTCGTCGTCAATGAGAGGTGGTATCCGCAGAGGTGGGCCATCCATGTCCCAAGTCTAAATGACAAGTAGAGACAACATCGATGGTAAACAGTCCTATGCACTCGCGATTGACTGCTTAGCGTTGTCCGCCTTTGCTCGCTTGAGAATCAAACTGACTTGTTCGATAGGACCTCATGTATGATGCGGGCATCTTGACAAACTGGTGGAAGGTGAAGATCCACGACCTGCATAGTAACGAAATTAAAATACACGAAGTGTTGGATACCTGGGTTGGGAACAGCTTGCAATGCAGGAAAGGAAAGGCAAGGCGTTCGTTTGTATGAGTATTTGGCTTACAATCAGCGATTGACATAGCTGTGGTAATCATAACTTAATGTATATATGAGTAGGAGTGGGGGAATGGTAAGAGTAAGTGTATGTTGTACAATCAAATAAAAATTCAGAACCTTCAACCATTATACGCCATATATTGCGGGAGTGGATATGGATTCACCCTCTTGATGGATGTGATATGATGAATGTATCAGACTTTACGACTTCAACACACTTGTAGTAATTAATTTGTAGTTGGCAAAGGGGAAGAGATGTTTGAATGTAGAAGGTTATCTCGCCACTCGATTTAGCTTCCAATTTCTCGGTGCAATTTAGTCATCCTAGAAGTTCTTCGAGAAAGTACCATCTAAGTATCCCTTTCATACTTTCCAAAGGTAGGTCTTTGTGAGGTATCCACTCGTCAAGAGGAGCTTCGTTCTTATATGTACTGGTGCTTGTAAAAGCACAATCTATACACAATATGCTTGAACACCATCAACGCCAATCCCAATGCAATACCTGCAGGCTTCTCCCATAATCTGGCGTCTATACTTTATGCAGCCTCATATGTCCATTCTGTCATCACAGTGATGCAGCAGCTTCCACCGCACCGGCAGCCTTAAATGCAGTTTTGTTCGTGTACCTGACTTCGACGGGATACATCCAGGTCATGTATTTTGCCCAACCTGTAGTCCAATGTGATCAGTATATAGCCAATCTATGACGGATCCTATGAATACGTACTCCAATATGCAAACTTTCTGCCAAAGTACTTCCCAGCGTAAGGCACAATGACCATCGTCAAGATCAATTCCAGCTGTTGTAAGCTTGCTTCCCACTCCTTCTGTGCGTCGGACTCTTCCTCCGAGTCTAAATCACTACTGAGATCCGAAGAAGGAAGCGAATCGATCTCGTCTTGGTCATTGGAAGATTCCGGAGAGGCATCCTGAATGATGTATGAATCCGAGGTAGACATCTTTGCGGAGATGGTGGTGGGAATTGGATTTAGGAAGAAGCACAGAGCGCTACCGCCGGCAGCACCGATGCATTGAGTGATTTCAAAGTACTAGGACTGCGAAGGAGATTCTGCAGATTCAATGTGCAAGATACCGGCAGGACTTTGGACTACACTTCGATGCCTATGGAGCTACCCGCTTTTGGCTGCGCATTACGCTCGGCACGTGCACACATGACTTGACTCATCGATTCGGATTCACTTTTAAGTGTGGGCGAAACCAAGATTCTTCATTCAAACACAACCACAAACCTTGCGACTCGAAACCAAAACCCTTTGAGAATAATAATAATTGGGAAGATACCTCGGTGTCAGAACAGTTTCGTCAATAAAAATCAAACCGCAATCATGGCGGACGTTGTAAGTTCGCCTTTGTTCAACCCCACCTGATTCACCTTTGAGATTCAAAATTTGTAACACCACCTCGTAGGAAGCCCAACCCACACATGAACGAAAACCGCGTAAATCGGTAGCTTTCAGCGAAGGAACAACAATTGTCGACGAGAACGGTTCAGTCACAATGAAGGAAGACGGTCACGACGACTCAAAAGACACGGCCATATCCCACTCACCAAGTACGCCGCCACTATCACAGGCTTTAGGAGACTTTACTGATCCGATCCAAGGCCTCGATGATGGTGACAAGGAGCCCACGAAGGATGATGACGACGATGTAGCCAATATGCTGAAGGGCATGAAGAAGAAGAAGACCAAGAAGCCCAAGGCGGATGAGGCAGAGGCAGAAGGTGGCGAGGCGGCTCCAGCAGAGGATGGCGGATTGGACCTCTCATCAATGAAGAAGAAGAAGAAGAGTAAGAAGCCCAAGGAAGGTACCGAGGACGAATTCGCCGCCAAGCTTGCTGCGCTCGATCTCGAAGGAAAGGAAGGTGAAGCTGAACCTGCTGAACCCGCCGAGAAGAAGCTTGTCGATGCAGGTGATATGGAGAAGGGAACTGGTATCTGGCAACACGACTCCGAAGTCAAGATCCCATACGATCTTCTCCTGTCCCGATTCTTCACCCTCCTCGCACAAAAGAACCCAGATCACGCATCCAGCGGCTCGAGAAGCTACAAGATCCCCCCTCCTCAATGTCTCCGTGAAGGAAACAAGAAGACCATTTTCGCCAATATTGCTGAGATTTGCAAGCGTATGAAGAGAACCGACGAGCACGTTACTTCATATCTGTTTGCTGAGTTGGGTACGAGTGGTTCCGTCGATGGTAGCAGACGTCTGGTCATCAAAGGTCGATTCCAGCAGAAGCAAATTGAGAACGTCTTGAGGAGATATATCAGTGAGTTCATTCAATTTCCCGTTTATAACTCATTCTAACAAGTATCAGTGGAATATGTCACCTGCAAAACTTGCCGGTCTCCAGACACCGAACTCAACAAGGGAGAGAACCGATTGTATTTCATCACCTGCAACTCATGTGGATCTCGACGAAGTGTTACTGCTATCAAGACCGGTTTCTCCGCTCAAGTCGGAAAAAGACGCAGACAGCAAGGTTAGAGGACTGTTAGCATGGCTGCATTGGGAATTTTCTGTTCGGATTTCACTACCGGAGTTCGATCATGCATAATGAGGCTAGGCTTGTGCAATTAGGAGGGAAGGTTGCATCTAATGATGGTCCACACAAAGACGTACATAGAAGATCTGCCACAGTATTGCAGCAAGATTGAGAGATTTGAGTGAGCCAGACTCTAATTTCTGCAAAGAAAGTATATCATTCTCGCGAGATCTTTCTATTCCACATATGCGAACGTGAAGCTAGGTCCAGAAACCCATTCTATCAGAGTTACCAAGACCGTGATTGAACCACTTGCGTTGTGTACCGCGCCAAGTAGCCTTTCCGTAAGCGCCCGGCCGGCAGCATTTTCCTCGCCTCCCATTCCTCGAATTCCATAACTAGGGAAAAGTAGTCTCATAGGATAGGCTTGAGAGCGGCCAAGTAGCCGCCCATTGGGGATGGAAATAGACACAGCCCCCACCAAACTGGTTCTATGAACGCGTTAAGTAGCGTACCCCCGCTACTGAGACCTCGTCCGTGAGCTGGCTTGAGAGCTCTTGTTTCTGTTAATTATTCTTTTGTTTGCTCTTTTTTCAACATCATCGATTGTCCCTGTGCCATTGATACTTCAGTTGACTCAAGTTTGCTTGTGAAAGTTGAGAAGGTCTGCGAAAGCCAAGAGCTGAGGTGAGCAATTCTGAGAGTGTGGGGCAGAACAAGGCTGCAGCTGAGCTGACACTGGAAGAAAAGCACTGGAAATATTTCCAACGAAGCTCTTTACAGCTTCGATTTCGTCCAATTCATCATTTGTATACCACATTGAAGTTTCGTAATCTCCGAAATGTCGGGCTATTACCCTCGTGAGTTCTGTACATCTGCAAGTCGGCCGTCTGCTAACTTTCTGAAGCCCCTCCTGGCGCTGGAAATGGTAGTATGTTGAATCATTTATGGCTTTCACAGCACAACTCACTCTTGTACAGTGCCACAGCAACAGCAGCAACACTTTGCGCCTCCTCCATCCTCACCTCCTCCCACTCAAACCTCCCACCAATACTATCCTCCTCCTCCACAAACAAGCACTCCACCTCAAGGTGGATCTTATCCTCCTCCACCACAGCTCACACCTCCCCAACTCCAGCAACATTATCAGACTCCTCCACCTCAACAACAGATCCCGCAACAAGTCCAACAGCACTATCAACAACCCCCACCCAACTTCTCGCATAGAACCTCGTACCAGCAGCAACAGCAACCTGTTCTAGGAGGAGCACCTGCACCATCTCCGTTGCCATCATATGACCAACCACCTCCATCCGGCGGATACGCAGGACACCCCGAGAAAGACAACTATCCGGAAGAGAAACCGGCTTTGGACACGAGTCAGAACATAAATCTGGATCATGGTGCGCCTGCCGCTGCGCATTTCATCGGCGCTAGTACGACGCAGGATGATGTGGGGACTTTCAATGGAGGGAGTTATAGGATCAGTCATCGAGATACGAACAGTATTTTGACGTTGCAACTGGCGATGGGATGTCCTTTGACTGTAAAGCCTGGTATGTGCTTGGAATAGTGATGCAAGAGATGAGACTGACAAATAATTCAGGTGCGATGATTGCCATGACTCCCACCGTAACTCTAAAGGGTACTGTTAAGTTTTCCATCAAGAAACTGATTGCTTCGGGTGAGATGGCACATTCGACATTCACTGGTCCGGGAGAACTACTCCTTGCTCCTGCTTCTCTGGGAGATATCACCAATATCCGACTATCGGGCGATGATCAGTGGTCTGTTGGTCGAGATGCTTTCTTAGCTTGTACTCAGGGGATTGTTAAAGAGTATAAGAGACAGGGTATTGGAAAAGCTATGTTTTCCGGAGAGGGCTTGTTTGTGTATAAGATGAGTGGCAATGGGTTGCTTTGGATCACCAGTTTGGGTGCGATTATTAGGAAAGATGTAAGTGCTGTCCTAACGTAATGTTTGATTGTGGTGTAATATTGATAATGTTTAGCTTGCCGACGGAGAAAGATACATTGTGGACAATGGCCACTTGGTTGCATGGAACACGAAATACATCCTCGAGCGTGTAGCATCTGGAGGAATTATCTCTGGTCTCTCTTCCGGAGAAGGCCTGGTTTGCAAGTTTACAGGTCCAGGGACTGTCTTTATGCAGACCAGAAATCCGGTAAGTTTGATTCATAAGGTACCTGTTGTTGTGTTCATTCAACTGACTGAAGTTCCAGCTTGCGTTTGGACAATGGTTATCTGCTCATGCTGGAACTGTCTAGAATGTGGAACTTTTCTCTTCGAGTATTTATTTCGATTCTAGTGGCATGGCTTGGGAGTAAAATTGGTAGCGAATCTATCCCACACTTTGGTTATTGATGTAAAATGATCGAGAATTGAGGTTGATGTCCTCAACGTTTGGAGCATATGAAACTCCCAATTTCAAGTTCGGCTCTTGTCTCTTCCCGTTCTTTCACGCCATATATTCTTACATCTTACGAACTGCCTGAACTTAATTTTCTGGGTTGTGCTTTCTCGTTTCGCTTAATCGTTGACAACCCTTATGCCCACTGCCTCCTTCCTCAAGCGTCAGAACGTCAGATAAGTCGCTTTCTCCTGCTTGCAGCCGAGAAACTTCAACTTGCTTTCACATTCAGCGTTGAGCACAGCATATTATTGCGACTTGCAACTCTTTCTTCTTATTGGAGAACAGCATTACGAGCTCGAATAGCGACTAGCAGACATCCCTTCCATCATCCCTCCATGCAAGTCTCTAAGCATTGGCTATATCTCCATAATTTCGAAGTAGAAGACCTCCCGAACTTTCATCGGCGCGAACCACTCGTAGAGAACGTTGCTCGGGAAAACCACTTCCAACGCAATTTCGAGGCACAGCGGTACTTTTGTAAGTTAGCCTGTTATGAACAATCATAGTAGAATGGGGGTTGACTTAGTTCAGACTGCTACGACTTGGAAGAGTTCACAATCGAGGGAGCTCAAAATCTACCTTGGCCCTCAACTCGCTTCACAGCTGTGGCACCTACAGTACTGGGAGCGGGCTCGGTTCTTAGAGCAGGTCCAGAGACTCGAGTATCAGAATCACCAGTCACACATATATACAGAGGGCTTTCCGTCGACAGGTTTCCCGCGCCCTTGACGCCTTCGAGGTTCACACTGCCTTCGTCACCTTCTATATCCGACCTTATTCCGGTATTACTGAACCTGTTCCGCAGGATACTCTCCAGGCTTCCTATTATATTGTGGCGATTTGTCTCTTGGCCTGTCTGCGCTGTATATGAAACTACTTGGGGGTTCTTTACTTGACCCTCTTATAAGGAGTAGCTATCGCCTATTTCTAGGTGTTTTCTCGAGAGACCAAGAGGGCAAGTGGACTCCTACAACTTGACTATCTTCACTTGATCGACTCAGTCTATGCATCGTTGAATTATACTAGCGTCTCCATCATCAACCTGGATCCTACGAGAAACTTTGCATAGAATACTGGAATGCAGCATTGGCCTATGAATCAACTGAGGTTTACAACATGAAGAAGCAAAACAACAGTCGAGAAGGCGGAGGCGAGGACGGAAAATACAGCGGCAACGATAGAGGTAAGGATAAGGTAGAGGACAATATCCATGTAGTCAAGAAGACACAGAATGAGAAACGAGTGCAACGCATCGTATTGAAGTCAAATCCTAAGCCGGCGAGCCGCATCACTTTGCGGGGCAAGGGCAAGGAAGAGGAGACGTCTGTCGTCAAGGCCAATAGACAACGATCAGCTGAAGGAAGCAGCTCAAAACCGAGTGGATCACCACACACAAGTCTCAGATCGAGAGCTGGAAAGTCATCTCCCACTCGCAAAGACAGCGTTCCCGATTTCTCGGCTTACAAAACAAGATATCCCCCTGACACCAACTTGCATCCAAGCAAGTTCGCCGAAAGATCTCGTGAAGCAGCGGCGGCATCCACGAGGTCACCAGCTCTGAGGAATCGAGGAAACATGGCTCCTAGTAGACAAGACGAGGGCGCTCGACATCTGACGCAACGAGCATCGACCCTCCATGCTCGCGAATCACATCACGATAGCATCGTTTCTCCTAGAAGTTTAGAGCCTACAGAGAACGATAAGGCCCAGTTCGAGCATCTTAGCGAGATTTCTCAGGCCACTAGGTCGAATTCATTCTTGGTCAAAGTTATTCCAGACCGAACGTTGACTCATGAGGATGAGGCTTACGACTGGGAGTTGGTTGGTTATCCTCGACCCTCAACACCAATACCAATATCGATTATTCCTTCAGCTACTTCCATGAAAGTTCATGTTGCTGCACAACAGTCGAAGCAGATGACCGAACCCGGAATTCTGGAGCCCGATTTATGGTCTCCTCCCACCAGACCAACTGGTAATGACAAGAAGGTTTCCAAGACAATCTCGTCTTGTAAATCAGGCGAAAGTATGCGATCTACGCAAACGGAAGGACAGCGCGAACAAGATCTCGAATCGAAAATACGCTCTATCCTCACCCAGAGCAATCGAGGTCAGCATCGTCGCAGTGACAAGAGCCACGACTCAGTCAAATCTGTCAGATGGGATCCATCGATTGTCTCACTAGGGCCAAAGACTTCGCCTGCGACGACTGTTGCTGAGCCTAAAGCGAAGCCATCAGAGGCCACCGCTGGCAGTACAAAAAGCCTAGAAGAACGCCTCAAAGCTTTTACAAAAACCATCAAGGGGTTGAAAAAAGGAGACAAACAAGTTCTTGCCCAGCTTCTTGAAGCATTGAGAAATGTCGAGAGCGATGACGAGTCAAGCGAGGTCACGGTACAGGAAGCAATCAACTCAGAATCAAACGTCCAGGCTCTTCAGGAAACGATAAACACAGAACAAGGAGTCGGTAATCAAGATTCTAGATGGAACGACATCATCTCAAAAGCTGTTGCTACGAAAGACCAGAAGAGCTACCGCGAGGCTTTGACTGCCGGTTTGATTCAGTCCACAACAACGAAGCAGTCTAAAACCCGTGAAAGGTCGAAATCAGAGTCTACCGAGCAGACACTTGTTGGTAGTGACGAGACAAGTATCCAAGTCAAAACCGCTCCAAGCTTCCGTGAAGTCAAGAAGCTCAATCCTCTGGCGCCAGTCTTCCATGGCTTCACGGAGACCAAGCGCAGGGCTACACAATCCGATCCAGTGGTTGAGACACAATCGTTCATTTCAAGGCTTCGGAAACAGCATCAGTCTTGCGATGAAAATCTTGCTCCCAAGCCAGAGGTTCGCGTTGCTCCCAAAGCTGAAAAGTATGTTCCTCCAGCACTGCGCGAGCGCAACGCTTTCTCGCCAGATAAACAGTCCCAAGAGCCAATTTGGATAAAGATCCATTCAGAGCAGTCTCCAAAGAAGTCAGCCGAGCCTAGTCGAGAACGTATACCCAGCTTCGAGAAACCTATATCATTTGATAAAGAGTATGAAGAGTATCCAAACCTTGCCTCTGAGGTCAGTGAGTTTGACAGGCAGCTTCAGGCAGAATGGATTAGGCAATGGCTACACGATGCTGCTAAACCTGATCATGGCTTAGAGACTGATCATCCACCGGAACTGCAGCACTTGCTTCAAGGCGCCCAGGCTTGCAATACGACCTATGAGCACCCAATTGAGGATGTTGCAATGTCGACCCAAATGTATGAGCATAACACTATGCCGTTCGGCGGCGTTCCTCTAGTACCACCACCAGGCCTGGGTTGGCCTCTAGTCAACCAAAACATATTGCAGCAACCGAATCTGGGTAGCGGGTATCCTCTCTGGCATCCTGTAGTTGGTCCCTTATTTCCAGTCCCCCCTCCACCGTTTCTCTTCGGCCATACCCTCTGGCAAGATCCAACTTCCCGGCAATTGCCTACACCTTTGATCCCAATGCCTACAACAGATGTTCCTGCCACTCCAAGGATGCGTTTCTCAGCTATGGAAAAGCCTGGTCGAGTCGCCAATACACTTAATCCAATGTGGAGAGACCAGATTCTGGACAGATTTGTGTCAAAATTTCCTTTGACGGGCAAATGTCAATTCAACTTTCCTGTACCTCCGGTCCAGGATCTCGACACTAAGCCAGCTCAGATTCAACAAAAGTTGGAGCTTTTGTTACTTCAAGAAAAGGAGAAAGAGGCATTCAAGCAACGATTCGGAGGCATGCCGCACAAAAACTTGAATGGGGGCACTGCAACTCTTTCGTCTTCGCGAAGTGAGAATTTGATCAAACTCGATTGACCCACGGCAAGCAACGTGGCTATGGAATGGTAGAGCGATGGTAAGCAAAGGTATATTTGGGCTTGGAAACAGCGTTGTTGCTGTTAATGTCGAAGAGGCGTTCCTCAAAAAATTCAGTATAGTTAAATTATTGTTCGTAGAGCACCACTAGTGCTTATTGTCCAGTATTTTGTAATGGATTCATGTTTAATCAAAGACTTTCATGAGAGCTGACGTGAAGTCATCTGAAGCGGCCGCACGGTTGCAAAGTCGCGTCTGAAATCGCGTCTCCTCAACATCCATGAAACTTGCAAAGCACTACAACTTACAACAAGATTTTATGGATTGACGATGCGATATTCGCCCGTTGAGTTTGATCGCGCATCTCACTCGTTGAATCCACAATGGCGACTCCAACCCCTGGCAAACACACTGGGCAGGTAGTCGCGACCCCGCCGGTCTCAACACCATTCTCATCCTCGAACCACCCAAGCCATCCAGCTTTCTCTCCTCATGGTCCTCGCTCTGTCGTGCCGTCTCCGCAGCAGGTGAAGAAGTCGCCTGCCAACTCAAATACGATGTACGGATACCCAGGCGGCGGGGGGCATCCTACTAATTCGTCGTTTGGTGTCGGATATGATAGTCCGTCTGCGGCGATGGCGCTCGGAGGTGTTTCTGGACTCGAATTAGGTCTGGAAGGTATGGGTACACCTTTGGGTGGAGTTGGCCATTTGGCTGTGGGCGCGGGGCATAATGGGATTGGGGGGTCTGGGAGGGGAGATGAAGAGGATAGGGCGAGGAGGCTTGGAGCTGTTATGGATATTTTGAAGGTATGCATGCTTTGCAGATGTGTCTGAACTTTTTGATCGCATCTAGAATATGCTAATCATTTCGTGGCAGACAAGTCAAGGGCGGATTAGTGAGAAAGGGATCCAGCATTTGGCCACACGGTTGGGATTTGCGTCAATTGTGCAGGACATCGAAATCAGAAGTCGGACCACCTCGCGCCCTGTCATCATTGCTGGAGAGGCTATATCCGTGGATCTTGTTTTCGAAAGTGGACTGGTCAAGACTGTTCTTCTGCAGTTCCCGACATCACCACCCATTGTCAACAAGCATGTGGATAGAGCTGGCGAAATCTTGATGCGGGATCTCGAGATAGCAGGGAACGAGAGTCCGCTTTCGAAGAAGCTAGATGGATTTGCAGCGAATCTGGAGAAGTTGGCAGCTCAGGATCTTCTGGGTCAAACCAATAAGCCTTTTAATTGCTTCGAGGCAATTGCAGGGATTTATGAGAACTTGGAGAAGCTACACAAATGGGAGGTTGAGAAGCTGAGGGAGAGCCCGGACATGGTCGGCAAGGATCAAGATTTCCTCGAGAGAGCTGTGATGTGTACTCGTAGTGGTAGGCCGGTAATGCATGAAAGGAACAGACTCGGTTTGAGCTTGGATTACTGGCAAGAGAAGAGACGAATTGGTCAGCAGAAAGACAAGACCAAAACATGGGCTCTGTTGGTCGAATGCGGCAAGAAGCCATCTGCATTCTACACATCAGCACGGGTCTCCGAGAATTGGATCTCTGCGGAGATTGAGAAAGACAATGTACCCGCGGAGGATCTTCTCCTAGCAGCAGCAGATGGCCCTGTCTTAGACTGGCTGGAACCCGAAACTACTCTAATACCTGGGCCGGACCCTCCAAAGGAGGGAGATGCTCCCAGAGGAGACGTTATTGAGCTTGTCGATGAAACCACAGGTCTGCGACGACCAGAAGTCATGTTTGTTGCCAAGTTTGATCCTCCACTTGTTGTGCCAGGCTCCGTAGTAGCACAGCTCTATCACATTGTCAATATGACTTTTGATACAACACAGCCAACAGCGTATTTTGACGACCTATTGTTTCCTCGAAGTCCGGAAGAGCGATACAGCAACGATGGAAGAGTCATCAGGTGCGAGGTTACAGTTCCAGTATTTGATAAGGATGGAAAGAAGACAACGCAGATCCACAAGAATAATCTCTTGGTCGAAGGATTCGAGTATGGTTACGAGTTAACTGAATTACCATTTTCGCATCCAAGACAACTGGTCGAGATGCTTCCATATCTCAGGCAGTATGCCTTCACGTCGACGCTCCTTGAGAAGAGCTTTGGGTCTTCATCAAAAACTTTCTCGACAGAAGTCAAGAAAATGGTAGTGCCAAGTACTAGAAGTGCATTCGATTCCTTTATGGAAGGAACGCTACCACAGAAAGAAATGACCTTGGACGTCAACCTAAAACCAGGACCTCAGATCCGTATCGTCTTTCCTTTTGCAAAGATCCCAGGTTCGAATTCAGCTTACATCACGTTTGACATCAAGCATAATGGTGTGGTCGAGGTCGTTGAGGAGAACGTGCTAGATAAGGATACAATGAGTGAAAGCAAGATGTTGACGAGTGCGGATCTGGGCAAAATGCTGGAGATCACGGAGGATTTTGGGATTCTGGTTGAGTATGTGCAGAGGCGTTTGTAAAGTTTGCATTAGATACCCTGGATAGGACAGCGAAAAGGCATTGAATACTTCACCTCTGGTTTTGGCTTTGTGATTTTGAGAGTGAGGGTAAGTTAAGTTTGAGTGAAGCTATATAAGTCCATTTCCCATGATATCAGACTTTCGAGCATGTATTTGGTCGAATATCCACCAGGTATTTGGCTCTTGACACTGAGATGATAGCCAGTTCTCCTCTTGCTACAATTCGCTTGTCTGTCATAAATTTATAGTTAGCCTTTGTCAATGGGGACAGGGCTTGGTAATCCGGATGCCTCCTCCCGCCTTCGGCCTCCGATTTTGCTCAGCTCTGCCGATATCCTTTGGGCAAAAGTTTTGGCCTTACACACGCACTGAGTGTAAAGATATTCCAGAAGTTTGATCTTTACTAGAGCTGTGGCTTTTATTTCCTACTCTCTGCGTGGTGAATGTGCACACAGTTACGTGAACGATTCGACCAGTTCTGATATACCCCGCTATGCCCCACTAAGAGTACAAGCCCTAAGCGAATACCTGTACACACAAAAATGAAATGCCTTGGTCTGCCTTTGAAATGAGGCCATCCTATGCTGGACAGATAATGCAAGTAATAATTAGAATAAAATGTCAAAAAAATGAGGATCACTTCTAGTGGAATCGAACCACCCTAAGTATCAATCCAAGATTGCTCTTGGCGGTGCTGGGAATCGAACCCAGATTGACAGAGATTCGTTGTGTTTTGCACCACAATCTGACGTGCTACCATTACACCACACCACCACATCTGGAGCAGATGTAGTTGGATGGCGGTGGAAGCGCTTATCTAAGAATATGAAGCTGCCTAGACTCCGTGACTCAAGCGTTGTTCGTATTGGTGGATTAGTTTCGGTAAAACTTGTCGTTTAGTTTTTCTGCCAACTCGGCTCGGTACTTGGATCTCTTTTGGACGACACAACGTCTATGAATCTGTTTACAACTAAGTATCTAAATACTCAATCTCGGAGGTAAGTTATACATTGGATACTCATGGTCACATGTACGGCACCTGTTCAGCATCGTGATCGAATTCCGGTGACTTAAAATAAAGTTGTCGACCCGGGAGTCATACCCATGTTATGTGAGGCTAATAAGCTACCGAACACATCTCGGTGGCACAGCTTTCAGCAGTCCACGACATGTCTCTCCATCTCCACAATCTCAGGATTCCAATCCACCAAAGATCACCAGACATATTGACCATCTGCCTGTGGGTTTGTTGATGCCGATGCAGCTTGGCATTGCTTCCTGGAGGACGTTGGGGTAAATATCTCCGAACCGTTTCATAGATGTCCCCATCTCCAAAAGCCTCACCGCCATTCTCGAACACATACAGTCGCAGCGCCAGATCAACGGTTAAATGATGACTAGAAGATGACTGCCGTAGTATGTAAGGTATCGGCGGTGGATAATTCTCACCCTGACCGGTTTCGTGCTTCCTTGAACGTCGTCCCTTCATGAAGATGCAGCAAAGATGCAATCGCAAATGGCCTTGAGGTGACTAGCAAATCTTTCCCTATTATAATCCCCTGTCTCTTCTACAATCATCATGCATAAATCTTTGAAGTCTTGGGGGCCGAAGGCCCGAATGATGTCGTATTCTCCTTCCTGAGCTTGGCCAGACAATAGTTTGAAATGCACCGAAGCCGGCAGGATGACGGGCATACGCAAGTCAAAACAACACGGGACGATATATCATAATGTCTGACTTCATGCCTTTAATGAAATGACGGAACATGATTTTCTTTTGTTAGATTTTTTTTCGGCAGTATCTGCGTCGACTTTCAATGAGTTTTTTGAGGCCAACCGGAAAGCAGACCTCACCATGTTCTCTAAGCGAGTCTTCCCTAGAATCAGGTCCAATGGTCGTCCGATTTCACCCTCTCTTTCAACAATATCAACATTCTCTCCATGCTTACCACTCGTGCGAGTTATCTACACCAGATCCATACACGAGTGCCAACCTATATGCACTTCTTTTCATTACCACAAATGCAATGAACTGGACGGGAGGCCGTCTCCAACGGTCAACAGCAGCTAGTGGTGTCAAGCATCAGCAGAAGCAACACTTTGCAAAGGTGGCCCAGAACCTGCGCAGTGGCTCCAAGTTCAAGTCGCCTGTCAAATGGTCTGTCTTCGACCTGATTGCGGAGGATCGCGAGCGCGGTCAACGCGAATCACCAGCTGCACACCAAGTTCACGTAACATCGAACCGTGAGCAGAGCAGGTTACTTGCACAACACCATACCGGTCTTTACCCCAATGCCCATGTTGCTGGAAAACGTGAGAGCAGCAAAACAAACACATCATCAGCGTATCGAGTCAATTCACATATTTCAAGAACCAATAATCGAATCAAGCCCAGTCCAGTTCCAGTTCCAGCTCGAGTTCCAGACGACGATCTATATAATGCCACCCCTCCTCCACCTCCTCCACGGAACATCAAACAGCAACGCGAAGAGTCTGTGCCATTGTCGGAGATTGACAGCTTTGTGGAGCCAAAACAAGAGCAAGAGTCCGTGTTTGAGAAAAGAAGGAGGGTCTTAAGAAGAGGAGACTGGGTCGGAGTCGGCATACAAAAACCGCTCCAGATTGCATTTGCATCACCGAGGGATGAAGAGAATATTGGCAGGAGGAGAAAGATACCAACTGGTGGTCATCGAGCCCGATACGAGACGAAGCAAACCCACATCACATCTCCATTTCCTCAAAGAGCTAGGTGTCCAGCCAACATTGCGCCATCGGCATGGGCCAAACAGCTGCGACAAATAGAAGCAGAAAAGGCAGATGTTAGAATCTCGATTGGTGGTAAAGTGGTACCACCGGGCCTCAGCTCCAGCTCGGCACCTCGGACAGCCATACACAACAGATCTCAGGCTACACCATCTGATGTGATGCTGTTGGACGACGATGTTTTTCAAGGCAAAGAGAAAGAATTGCCTTCCAATGTTGTCCATAATTACATCCACTTTTCTCGGGAGAATTCTCAGAATACCTATCAAGCTCCGGAGATCGCCCAAATGCAAATTGGATTACCAAGTGACGACTACCAGATCCAACAACATCTCGAGGACTTCCAAAGTTGGGCTGGCATTTCTCCGAACGATGATTTTGATAGGGATTCCTTCGATGAGGAATTGCTCCGCGAGCCAGATACTACGCCATTTCGAGTCCAAGAGCTTGCTGAACCGGTAGACCCACACAATGGGATGCATCCTGGTCAAGTCGTCTTCTCATCCTCTTCTACTTCCATCCATCATCCAAAACCTCAAAGTTCTCGAGTCTCTGTACTTATACGATCGGACTCATCTGAGAGCGCACAAAGCACAAAGGCACAAGTCGGGAAGAGACGGGAAGCAGTGCCCAGTTCACAAGTCGATGAGAATAAACTATGGGAGTCGTGGATTGCACCTCTGTACCAAGAATCTTCACAAGATACCAACGGATTCGGAGACGAGAGATATCGCACTAATGTCAGTATCAGTCCCGGCATTAGTGTATTGCTTCCCAGGAGGCCATTTGAAGCACATCCTGCTGGTCAAAACGAGGATATCTCCGACTCAGTGTCTCCAGAGAACCAAGAAGGGACAGAGGAGCCTTTGTTTGAAAGAGCAGAGGTTCAGTCGTCCACGAATGGAGACCAACACACAAGCGAAGACTACGAGAGTTCTCGATTGCTAGAACATCAAACTACCGACGCCGAAGCCGAGTCTTATCCTACCAGCAGGAAATCCTCCAGACAGACTGAGAAGCCAACAGCCGTTGTCGAGAGCAAAGAGAAAGACGCAGATGAGAGCTGGAGGAAGTTTGTCTTCGGTAGCAGTAGTAGTGACACGCCAGAGGAGCATGGATCAAAGACAAGACAGATCACATCCAATTGGAAAGATCACCAAGAAACAGCTAGCTCGTCGATGCTTGCTCACCCGGCGACCCGTCAATCAATCGATTCCACTTGTGAACCAGAATTCCCAGGCAGTCATTCATTCACATCCAGAATTACCAGTAACGTGTCGAAGAATGAGCCACGAGTGGAGGACTACTCTACTGCTAGCGAGTCACAGGATTTGAGTGCTTCTAGCAGCTCTTCTCGGAGTGAGTCGAATCATCCTTCAGCATCGGTGGCTGTATGTGCAAGCTCGCCATCTGAGAATCCAACAGGTTCCGAGGGCTAGTTTGGGAAGAAGATTGTGTTCACCAAGCCAAAGCCTATTGTTGGTCGAAAGTCCATGGAACCTTCAACGGACGAGGGACCGCTTCATATCGGACGACATCTATTGGACGATGACACGAAGAGCTATTTAGGACAGAGTAGGAGCGTGGAACAAGAGGTGTATAGTACCGCGACTTCTACAGACGAAGATGATGTTGAATCTATAGAAGATGACTAGAAATTTGATGCATGTTGCATGGCTACGGCGTTGGGATTCATACTTGGGGCTATTTGCATTGACTGGAGCATTGGGCAACTCATTATCAATCAATATCAAAAGTCTCGAGCGTAAAGAGACAATTTAGGTAGAATCAATTGACCATAATCAGTCCCTATTGCCATGCTCATGATTGGCTTTCAGGGGCGGCCCCCAGCGTACCTTACGCCTTTTCCACACCCATCCCACTCACCACTCTTGATAGGATACATTCCTCCTCTCACCACCATCATCTCCCACCCTCTCACCAACTCGCTGTCTCTCTCCCATCCACCCACTATCCAATAGTCACGTGCCAGCACTTAAAAAAAACTTTTGTTGCACGTCGCAACGACCTGTTGCGCTCCTCCTTCCTTTCCCCCTTCTGCCCTCCTTCCTTCTTCCAGCATCCGGACATTTGTATCTCTTTCAGCTGTCAGAAAAGAATATTGTCCGACTGGTTGGAGAAGATACTGAGTACCTAGGTACCTAGCTCTCTGGTCACGTGTATCTACCTCGGTAAGAAAATGTCGATGACGCTTCCCGACTTCGAAGCTTCTGAGCTCGTAATATTCGCACAATACAATAACGAAGACATCAACCCTGATCAGTTTCGGCGCCGAGTCTTGCAAATACATCATGTCTTCACTTAGACTTGCCTTGCGCTCTGTGAGACCTTCAATGGTCCTCACACGACCAATATCAACAACCTCACGGCGAATGGCTGGTCCTGGTAATGCGAAAGAGCATGAGACCGCGCCAGACCACCGCAAAATACAGACAGAGAAGCCGCTGAATCCTCATATGACCAACACGAATTCAACAATTGTTAATGAGATGCCTTCCGTAGGCGCCCGAAAAGTCCCGCCAGAGCTCATTACATCAATTGATCCTGATTTTGTCCCCAAGGATTCCGTTCCTGAGAACACCGAGCGCATGACAGGTGGGACGCAGAAAGGCGCCCCGGAAGATGGGCCAAATTCTGAATTGGGAGTTGGAGAAATGGAAGGAGCCAAATTCAGGGTCGAGCCTCTGCGCAGAACTGGAGAAGATCCGAATACCACGAGGGCCAGGTTATTATGTCCGCATTGACTCCATTCTCTAGCTTCAATCAATGAGCAAAGCTAATCTTCTTCAACGCAGACCAAAGCCGTAAAAGAGGAACTCTCGAAAGCGACCTTCTTATGTCGACATTCGCAGAGGCACATTTACGAGATATGACACCAGCGCAGATGGCACAATACGATTTATTCTTGGATGAGAATGATTGGGATATATACTATTGGGCAACTCAAGAACCTACACCAACGTCACAAGAGACTGCCGAAGGCGCTGGCCAAGGTCCTGAAGGCGCCACTACTAATGCGAAAGGTGCAAATATGTCACCTGTAGCCCAAGGTATTGATGCTGGAAAGCAAACGGGCCCGGAACTCGAGACCGATGAATGGAGACAAGGTCAACCAAGGAGCGGGGAATGGGCACAGACAATTGGCACATTCAAGCCAGCGTATAGACCTGTGCCTGCAAGATGGAGGAACAGTGAGATCCTGGCTATGTTGAGGCGTCATGTACTCTCCAGATCTGCGGGAGGTGTTCTCGAGGTCGATGCTAAGGTGAATGGGGAGGGCTTGAACCATAGTGTAGTAGGTACTGGTGGCGGTGGTATGTATCCCGTTTTTCTTGTAGTTGACAACCACTAATCTGCGCTATAGGAATGGCATTCATGCCTCCCGTCTTCCAGACAGACCGGCCAAACAACTAAGAGTTTGTAAACTGTACGAACAAATAGCAGCATTGCTTGATGGGTGATACTGGCCTAGCCGATTTTCATCGCTTCTGAGAAGTTAGATTTCTATGGTGAGAAGCGTTATCATGCACCACTTCAGTGGACGAGTGTCTTTCGGTGTCTGGTTCCTTCCTCTTTGTCCAAAAAGCACGATATCGACGTCATTATCGCAAGAGTGGAAAGAGCTATCTTCACACAAGGGCTTTGTTCCATCGAGGCTCTTTGTAGTTTTCTGTGTCCTGCATGCGGTGCCTAGAGGCTGGGCTAAAGGTTATGCGTTAGCTTAGCGGCGGCAGTATACATTCCAGGCATTGCAAACGTTCCCAGTCTTCCTCCATTATGAGTACGGTAAAGCAGAAGTGTTGCTAGCCCAGTACGCGTTTTCCTATTGTCATTATCAAGGGTGGAATGTAATGAAGAATGCAAGTCATCTCCTGTAGGAATGTGTGCATTCCTAAGCCATACATATAAGGCTACTCGCCAACCAGCCACTTCGAAACATGCCCGGGCTGGTCGCTAGAATGATCGGGCCTTCCCGAGGAATGCATTCATTGTAGATCTCGTGCACAATACTGATTTATCACGTGTAGCACGTGTAAACATAGTCACGAGCAAGAGAGACCTCTGCATTCCTGGCTTTCATTGTCCCAAGAATAGGGAACATTTAATACCGGTGGTTGGATAATTCTCATGCAGCTGACCTCTGCATAAATAACTGCCACTCGGACTGTTTTGCATTTCTGGTCATCACCACATTCAGACTCTCAGATTCCGTACCTGCATAAGCAATTGTCTTGCCTCCCTGCAGCTCACGAGAAACATTCCAAACTCTATCTTTCGTTCACAATACCAGCCAATAATGTCTTTCTCTGCCGTTGCCACCTATACAACGGACAAAAGCGCCGACATGTTTGGACAAAGCGGCTTTGAAGAACTCGGTAACGACTTTTTCGACCAGTTCATTACCTTCGAGGATTCTACCCCTGAATACCTGCTACCAGATACATTTCTGGAAAGATCCATCAGCGACCAGTCAGGCGACTTGTCGCTAAACTCCACCGACGATGAAGCAAAGCACGGGAGCCATAACACATGGCGAGGCGAAGCCTGGGCAAACACCAGCGCAGCCTCACTCGTTATACCAGGCAGTCAACATTTCTATAGCGAGTTAACAGGCAGAGCCGCAATCTCTGATAGTGAACTACTCAGCCTCGATAACATAAATCTAGAATCTCCTCTGATTCCAGCCTTATCTCAAACATCTCTTCCACCATCGCCATCACCAAATGCAACACTTGCAACACGCAGAAAGAATCGCATTGTCGAATCGTTATCTAAGAGCTTGAAAAAAGCGACAGCATCTTTGGACAAACGCCTGTTCCGAAGCCCTATCCGAAAATCGAGCTCGTCACCAAAAATGATGCGGGCTGCCATCAACAAGAGCAGTCTTGAACTGCAACTCGAGAACTTTGACTTCGACCTGCAGGCAAACGTTCTGCCTATATCACCACCTCCATCTGTCAAAGCTCCAGCTGCTTTCCAAGAGTCAGATATGATGACTCCAGCAAAAGGAAAGCACCTCAACGGATTCGCATACAGAAATCCTTCCAACCAACAAATAGACCGAACGAATCTCTACGATACTCCGCTATCAACGCCAGTCTTAGAAGCTCCATCTGCTCGGAGAGTCAACCAGCAAACACCCGCAGATGCAACTCCCTATCCTATTACTCCTCAAACACAAAACGCAGCTCCAACATTGTCACAACTACCCAACCCTCAAGAATACCCAAACATCAACCCAAACACAATGTACCCGATCTCAGACCTCGAATCTCCCCTCTGGTACGGCCACGCGAACACCATCCCCATAGCGCAACCCTCCCCATCCGGCTTCCACACGAACCCCCAACGAGCCACCAAAACCCTCGCAATGCAACTCCAGAACGACCTGGCATTCACGACCAACGACCTAACCCTCGACCCCATGACCGCCGGCCTCGGCATCCAAATGCCCATCGCCCAGCAATTCATCATGGGATCCCCGCCCATCATGCAGCGAGGCTACTTCGCTTCACCGAACCCGGGTCCTCAGCCGCATCGTCAACAAGGGCAAACACAGCCTCTTCACCATGCCCGCCACCAACATCAAAGACAAGGAGGCAACAATAGCAACAACAATAATAATAGGCTTCCATCCTACGCCCGACAACCACAACCGCCAAGGCACCAATCCCACTCTCAATCCCACAACACACCGACCCGCAAACCCCGCCGCTCACCCTCCTCCTCCCCATCCCCCTCCTCTTCCGGCGCGATCCGCAAACGCAAATCCTCCTCTACCTCACCTAAAACCAAGACGCCAGGCGGAGGGACGGTCGATTTCGTCAACTACACGCCGAGCGATAGCCGGAAGATACTAACGGGGGTGGCGCCGAGCGGGAGCAGCAAGACGAAAGCCAGGAGGGAGAAGGAGGCGTTGGAGAAGAGGAGGCGGTTGAGTCAGGCTGCTGTGAGGGCGGTGAGGGCTGTGGGGGGCAGTTTGGAGGGGTTGGGGGAGTTTATTGTTTAGGTGGTAGGAGTAGGAGGAAGGGGGGGTGTTGATAGGGACTGGGGGAGAGGGGGTTGATGTATTTAGGGTGTATGAGAGATAGATAATTAGTGGTGATAGGCAGAGAATTTCAGATATTTTCGTTAAAATTATGTTGAATTTTTGGGGTCTTTTTGTGAGTGTATTTTTTACTGTGACTACTGTGCGATGAGCATCACTTTGTGAATATTGAGGAATAATCGCTTGATGAGGAATTCGGATTACCTTCTGCTTAGAGATCGATGTCCTCTTAAGAACTAAGAGACCTTTTGGAAACTCCCAATTATTCGTCCCTACATCCATAAAAAGGAACTTGACATGTGTGTTGAACTCAGCGATATCCTTCCTACTTTACCTCTTAAATTGGCTTTCATAAAAGACAAGTAAGCTGGCTAAGCACCCTCACACAACTAAATGCACTGACCATAAGAATAGCGATTCTCCGAGATGAAATGTGATCCTGACTAGTATAACCGAACATCGACACTGGCTACACTGTAGCGGATGAATGTGCTGGCTCTGATGGTACTTGGTGGCCCTTAAGAAGTTGCTCCGATGGAAGACGGTTTCTTTATTATAGGAGACAATTTACTATGGGAATCTAACACCAGGATATGTAATAAATGGACATAGTGAGTGTGAGATGCAAAGAGCTCACATTAATAGGAGGTACAGTACAGTAAAAGGCACCTTCTTCCATAAGAGGTTTCCTAAGCTGGCACTTATTGCTTGGACATGAAATTAGCTGTTGGGCACCTTCAATACATGCCCAGTATCACATCTTTTCAAGAGCACACAACAGTCAAGCATTGCTTAGTAGACACATTCAATAGATAATCTATCATACACCATACACCATCATCTCTGTAATCCAGAGAGCAAGACCCCATGTTGATTGATTATACCACACTCGGATGCACCATCAACGACTGCATCCAAGCCATCATGCATGCAAAGGCTGCCGAACCCTTTGTACAGTGCAGCTTTAGACCCAGGCTTCCTCCTCAAATGCCATCTCAACAGAATATCGCTACCTTCCCAACCGAAGCCTCCAAACGCAAGGAAAAAGGAAGTTGATGTCAGCTATAGACCGGACCGAGCCTAATAGTATGTGATCTGTGTCGAAAAGTTTTTAACAAGCGCTGAGGCTTCGAGGGCGATTAGAGACGTCTCAATGTACGATATTCTCGTATGCTTCTCCTTTATACAGGATTTTCAACCGGACTCGCCAATGCCATGCAAAATAATGAAGTCGTTCCCACGCACAGCCAGCTGCCGAAGTTTTTGCTGCCGGTGTGAGGTTATGCAATTAAAAGCAGATAACACCTTTCCCATTGTCGAGTAAAGTTCTCGATTTGTGCAGAACGCCGATCAAATCTGGTCATCAGTGCTCGTATCCGGCTCCTCGTTGCCAAGGGCTATTTCATGTTAGTGCTTGGTGCAATGTATCTATGATTTTGGGCTTACCTGGCATTGTTCTGGTTTCTAAAACCTGCAGGACTCGCGTTATGCTGCGATCGGTGACCTCCAGTCGATAGATTCGTACTTGAGTTGTCTCGGTAGGGAGAAGGCGATGGCGCGTTGGATCTGTTATTGATCAACGGTAGATCACTGTTTGGTCGACTCTCGATTGAGCCTTGGTAGAGGTTTCGAGGATTGTCCTGGTAGTTTGGAGGGGGACCTCGGTTTCCTGCTGGGAAGAGTGGTACTGATGGATCAACAGGAGAATGGGGTGGATCTCTGTAGGCGTTGTTGGAATTGGCAGTAGAAGGAGGCAATGGCATGTTGGCTGGGTGTCTCAAAGAGTCAGATGACCAAGACTCGTTGTCATCGTCCAAGTCAAGGTTGTGCTTGTAACCAACTTTATCGCCTCTCGCAGTAGCTCCCAAGGCATCCAACTCAGTAGTAAGCTGGGTTTGAGACTTGATGAAGGATGCTCTGTCATCACTCATTGGCTGGTATCGGCTGTCTGGGTTCTTTCTGATGAAGGCATAGATTGTAGCAATCAATACCAGAATCAAAAGGACCAAGGAGAATGCTGCATTGATGATGAAGAAAATGACACCCATAACACCAGTCACAAGACCTGGCTGGTTGAATACGTCAGTGAATACCAACAAGAAGATGGCGTTCAAGAAATTGACAGCGCAGATGGCGATGTTGAAAGTGTTGGTGCTCTTGTCCATCCAGGGGCGAATGACGCTGGCTCCAATCAAAATGATAGCCTCGATCAAGACCAATGCAATAGCTTGCACGGTTCCTGCGTTCTGTCCAAAGGCAATGAACATACCCTTGACAACAATGTACGCGAGAGTTGGAAGGATGAAGTAGTAGGCGGTAGCTCTGAATTGAACGTAAAGGAAGCCCCATTTGTTGAGACATGAAGGATCCGAGTAGAGAATGTAGGCGGGGTTTTTGTGCATATCTACTGAGCGTTTGGCGATACGAATGACCTTCATGGCTGCCCAAGCGAGTGTTCCAGTCATGCCAAAGAAAAAGAAAATCGCAAGCACAACCTCGGCTGGTGAGTCGACCTGAGTGAATTCCCATAGGCAGAGAATGGTCATTTGCGGGTAACCAATGAGAACCATGCGGAACATGATACCCTTGAGCACGGTGAACCATCCATTTCTGAAGTCCTGGAATTTGTCGTTCTTCATCCATCTCATTCTCACAGCCAGCTCGCAGAAACCCTTGAACATGGCTACGAAGATGATGGTGAAAACGATGAAGATACAGAAAAATGCCAGACCAGTCAAGAATACATTGGTTGACTCAATGGCAGCTCTGAATGCAACTCTCTTGATACCTTTGACAACGTAGGTTCCAGAGACGGTGCTGTCGGCTCGCTTGCTGAGTTTATGAGCATGAGTAAGGAGCTCAATGGTTTTCTCCATTGATCGTTTGGCAATTCCAGCACCGATGGATCGTTTCTCAACTTGTACGGAAGTCGTGGTAAGGCTGTTGAGAAGAGTTGCAGGAGTTCCTCCAGTTGACTTTTGGTACCATGTAGCAATACTCTGCATGAAATCCACCTCGATGATACCCATAGTCCATTGGAAGTTCTGAGTCCATGATTGCACAATAGGTGGTAGTGGCACTGACGTAAGTCCAACAATGGCTTGAGCCTGGAAATATCCGAAGAGAGACAGCGCATTTGCGGCAACGTGGGCAGCAGTGTTCGAGTGTCCAAGTCCAGATGTGACAGCAGAAGCAACCAGAGCCATGCCTGCAATAACAGCGGTAGTCCATCCTACACCCTTCTGATCAACTGTTTGTCCATTCGAAAGGCTCGCCTCAACACAGGCCAAACTGACGTCTGGATTGCTAGTTGCATTGATGACGACTTTGACGTTGGCATCCAAGTCCGGAACACCATACGCAATGCCTGGAATTTGGTCGACGGTCGATTGATCGAGCTGAAGGTTAGATTGAATATCGATTTGTCCAGTTGCCATGGGGCACATTCCTGCCAAGTTCATGTTACATGGATCGAGCGTTTCCTTGATGAACGTGTAGCCATATGCCGTAACCTCGATTCCAAACGAGACATTTCCTTGAATCGAAGATACACCGACGATATCGAAGGTAATTGTTCTGTTATTCGGGGTAAATACGACATTGAACAGACTGGCAGTGAAGCTTGAATTGTCTTGGCAGGTATTGAGGGATTTCGACTCGATTAATTTGACGGCCGAGACGCCGGATAGAAGAGAGGAGAATGAGAGTAAAGTGACGACGGGTGATAATATTGAGAACCTCATGGTGGCTATGGTGTTTGGACGGAAGCCGTCGCGGCGAGGTAGGAGAACGTTGTGGTGACCCGGGCCTCCCGAATAGATCGCGAAGGTTATTGATCCTGGTTATACGGCCCCTTTCAATTGCACGAAGATATACCACTTCGAATGGATATTGTTATTCGGCGTAGGTTGTTGTTGTTGTCGTGAAGACTTGGAGTTATGCTTTCGGAGGGTACGCCACGTTCCTGAATGCGTCGAAAACAGGGCAGCTGATTGAATGACGGATGAAGCGAGGGGCGATCGAGAAGAAGGAGGGAGGATTCGCAGACGCGTGAGTATGTCCAGCTCACAATAACGAGAGAATCTGCGAAGATCCTGGAGATCGAAAGTCGACAGGAGCGAGGTTGTCGATATCGATGCGGAGGTAGGTGAATGCGAAGGTGAAGGTGAAGGTGAAGGCGAACGTGAAGTTTGTGGTTGTAGGAAGAGAAAGGCCGTCTCGAAAAAGGGAGGGAGGGAGTGAGTGTATGAAGGAGTATGCAAGACGTTTAGCAGGCTGGAACTTCTGACGGCGCACTGCAGTGGGTGCAGTGGGTGCAGTGGGCGGTGGCAGGCGTGAGAACGCTGGGGAGTCTCGTATTGGGGAAGGCCTGGGTACGACTTAGCGTGAAGCTGAGAAAGCGCCGGGGGTGATTTGGACCCAGTGGCCAGCCCGCGCGGGCGGTACGTGAGTGGCCAATCTACCATTTGGGATCGAGCGAACCTCAGACTACTACTCGAAGCAGCATAGCTTTTATTAAAGAATACATTATTCAATCCGATCCGATATAGTTCATTACGCGTTGCCCCATGAATCTGGGCTGCTGCCAATCACATACTGCCATTCACCAGAGATCGTGCACAAGTGGAGGCCCTTCAGGAGATCATAAAATGATTACAGTATTATTTATGTTCATTCCCCTGAGCAACGAGCGAGCAATGTCAAATCAGCTTGCATATTTCATACTGTACTGTACTGTACTGTACCTACATATCACTGTACAGTACTTGCGCTGACAACACGACAAGAACGTTCGTGATATTGTCCAGCCGGAGAACAATAATTATCACGAGTGTCTTACGACCTTCGCGTCTCGTGTTGCGTGTTGTTCCTACTGTAGCACTTGTCGTCCTCTTTCTTACTGTATTATTAGGTCATCCATCGGTCCTTCCAGCATCCAGCATTCAGCTACACACACCATGAAAAGCCCCCCAGGTCACATTCACACATTTCATACTGCTGCACTGCACTTCACTTCACTTTACCTCACTTCACCTTCCGGAACGTGTGTTTCCCCAAGAACCACACCGGCCTGGGCCCTCGTCCTGATCACCACGACAATCACCACTCATCACACTCGCCGTATGGGATGGGTGGGAATTCCGCCATTCACCAGAGCATCTGTCTGAACTTGGGCGAGTCCGTGGGCCGGCGTCTCTGTAACAGCTCGCGTCTGCGATGTTGGAAAAAATACAGTAATCTCCTTCGTCTGCCCCTCAAGCCCTTTTGGGGCGACCAGCGCCTTTTGCACAGCCTCCTCCGGACCAGGTCCCCCAAATTTGAGAGACCGCAGACGACGACGAGAAAGGCCTCGTATCAAATCGTTCGGCAGCAGCGTAGTTCGGGTGAGACATGTCATGGCCTGCGAGTCGACTTCGTCTTCTTCGTCGTCGCTGTGAAGCGCAACCCGTTCATGATGCCCATAATTAATTTCACTCACGCTCTAGCACTGATGGTCCATCCCCAGATTCGATGGCAGCAGCCGTCTGATGGTGTGCATCATGACAACATCACTCTGGACGTTTATGCTGAGATTATCCTCGGATGACACTGCATTTGCTGTATAACCGTTACTTGGCGGGCGACAGAAACACGGGTACCTGAACGTGGAAGGCGATCCGAAAGAAAGGTTCGTTCGCCTTGCGTTGCGTTGCGTTGCATGAAGATGAAGATGTCATTATCTCTGACGCGCCGCCTCCTCAAACCGGAGCCCTGCCCTTTCACCCCTCATGAAGCACCAAACGTCTCACAGGATGAGATCACCATCACCGACCACCTGCAAGAATCATTTTCTGCACCGGTGACTGGCCATGGGGAAAACTTCAGGTTTCCGATTGCTGGAACAGGATTTCAAGAGCAGGTGGAGGTTGATTTGCAAACTCCAGTAAGTATGTTTCTGAAGATGATGATCCGCTTGCCGGCTGTTCGTCATTTGGAGGGTGATTAACCTTCAGATATATTTTTAGACAGACCCACGGGCCGCGAATGTCACGGCCGGGATGAGAAGTCAAATACCTACAGTAATGGTAGAGGAAGACCTTCAGATGAAGAAATGTAGAAGACGATGGATAGTAAGCCAAAGCCCGAATGCTCTTCTAGTCATCTCATCCAGATGTCGGCCAATCCGGTTCGGTAAAGTACAGCGTCCTAGAGGCTTGCCGGACAATATTGAAATATGGTCTCGGGAACGGACATCCGAATTGTTGAGATCTGGGTTCCTCGGATTCTGATTCGGTTCCTATTCCCAGAGGATTGGAAGGATCTGAGCTTCGTCAATCTGCGTGAAAGCTGAACCTTGACTAGAAACTCTCACTACAAGTGAATATACCGCCAAACCCAACTTCGGCAAAAAAACAGAGACGAGCGGACTTGGAGGCCACCTATAAAACCCTCACCGCCTTCCTCCCTCGAACTGACAACCAAGATCGTCCCATCAGCACAGCTTCATACTGGGCCTGGCTCCTCCTTGGCTTGAAGGATGTTTTCATATCTGATTCCTTTCCATGAAAGTGTATTACTGTCGCGAACGGTTTGCTGTTGTCGCATTTTTTCAGACGTTGACAATAGACAAGTAGTTGGCAATATATCAACAGTCAACAATAGATAAACAGTTGACGACAATTATTTTCGATATCTCACTTTCTCGATATTGAGCCACGTGATAATGCACATTCTTTTGTCATTTCTTATAAATTTCAAAGCCTGAATTCTTTGATCATACTCCCTGCTAGAATTAAGTGAGCGATCTCTGATTTCAATTCGGAGTTGTAGATTCACAGAAAGCTGTCTTACTTGGATGCGGCTCCAACCTGCATAGGAGTCAAGCGAGGGGTAAGTAAACGTTCAAAGTGAGAACATCCAAAGTCTAAGTGAGATTCTTTAGGAGAACATATATTTACTTACTTAGGAAGTCAATTAGAATATATCGTGACATTCTCTCTCACCTTAATCCTCACAATCTTCACTCCTCCAAGAGAATTTCTTAGTCAGAACCAAGATTTTGAAGCGATAGCCACAAATCTCCAACCCCTCCGAATCTCCCCGCGTATCTTTTCCAAACCTCACTCACAACCCCTCTCACTCAAGAAGGGACAATCTACACCACAATGGCATCTAAACTCAAACCACTCTCCCGTCTCACAAATAGCCTTCGACCCTACATTCGCTCAACAAACATCCAACCAAGATCCTTCTCAGCATGCCCAAGTTACCGAACCGATGGTGTTTACCGCGAGTTAACCGCAATGCGTACCCGCGTCCCCTTCATCGAAGCCTTCCGAAAACAACAAAACGAAGGTTCCCAATCCTCACCTATACCAACCGAGAAAGTCGAACGAGATCTCTCTCCGAAATCAATGTCAGATAGCCATACCCGGATCGTAAGTCCTCCCCACGTGACTCACCTCTAACTCCTCTCTAACAACCGTCCAGATCCTTCCTCTAGCCCGAGATCCGTGGCTTCTGGATTCGTATATCAATAGCTCGGGTCATATTAGGCTCGGCACGATATTCATGGACCTCGATGCCCTGGCTGGAGTCATTGCCTACAAGCACACCGGAGACTCGGTCATGACCGTCACGGCGGCTGTGGATAGAATCACGCTTAAACAGCCATTAAATCAGATTTGTGATCTGGAATTAAGTGGTAGAGTGACGTTTGCTACGGGGAGGAGTAGTATGGAGGTCTCGATTCAAGTTGCAAAAGCGCCTGAAGAGGGGAAGGAGGTAGAAGGGGCGGATGTTTTGATGACCTGTGCATTCACAATGGTACCTCAAGACCCCTATTCTCTATTCCAATCCAGTTACTGATACCATAATAGGTATCTCTCGACCCAGCAACCAAGAAACCAGTCAATATCAGCCCCCTCAAAACCAACACACCAGAGGAAAAAGCTATTTTCGACCAAGGAGAAGCGAACTACAATCTCAAGAAATCGATGCAATCACAAGCACTAAGAAAACAGACTCCCAATGACGAGGAATCGGATCTCATCCACGCCCTCTGGCTTGCTCAGCTAGATTACCACAACCCCAACACACCGGCCAGGAAACCTTCATCCGCGCTCTACATGAAGAGTACCCAGATCCGTACGTCGTTCTCATTCCCTTCCTATATCTATCTACCATTTGCTGAGAATAGCCAACAGATTCAACTCAGATAATGCAACCGCAATACCGTAACCGCCACAACTTCAGTAACCATGCCCTTTCTTTGTTCCTTCTCCTCGCTTCCTTTCACTCAAGCCATGTTTGGGCTCCCGAACAGGCTTCATCCCATTGCCGAAGATTCGGTTCTTAATTTTTTTATGAAAGCAAGTACTAACTTCCTGGAGTGATCTTCGGCGGCTTCCTCCTCAAATCCACCTTCGAACTAGCCTTCACCTGCGCCTCCTCAATCTCGCACACGCGCCCAACATTCATCGCCCTCGACCCCTCCACCTTCCTGCACCCCGTCCCCGTCGGCTCCGTCCTCTATCTCACCGCCACCGTCGCCTACTCCGACTCCCCCCTCCCCTCCCTCGCCCAATTCTCCCCCAACCCATCCATCTCTCCCGACCCAAAGACGAGCCCGAAAGGCAGCTCGCGGATCCAGATCAGGGTCGACTCCAAGGTCCGCAGTATCGAGGGCGGCGAGACGAAACCGACGGGCACGTTTAATTATACGTTTCAGGTGGGCAGGGAGTTGCAGGTTGTGCCCGAGACGTATGGGGAGTTTATGATGTTTTTGGATGCGAGGAGGAGGGGGTTGGTTGTTAATCGGAGTCTGGGGGAGGGGGAGGGGAGGAAGGGGGGTGTGCTTGAGTAGGTTGGATGAGAGGTTGGATATAGGATTTTCTGAGTTGAGAGTTGGGAGCATGTCGAAAGCTTTAGTTGATTTACTCCTTTCATAGCAAACTCGACCATCATACCTCCGTTCTATACATCTATAAAATCTGAACATCCTTAAGACATAGTAAATTGACAATACATAAATCTCAGACCTCTCGACCATCGATTCGTGACTATTGTACTTCGTGATGATGGTACCCTGTCATTGAGGAATTGGGTTTTTTGTTGTGAACGTCTTCCCAGCGTTTTTGAGAGATTGTATCTTTTCTTCTTATTGCTTGAGAAATAGATACAGATATTTGCGCTTTGCGCGCGATGAGCGCCTCGAGCGCTGTCCGCGCTGTTTGCGCTATTCGCGCTATTCGCGGGTGAGGCTCGAGACTACAAAAGGATAGTCTTCCATTGTAATCTCACATCACAGAGGTTACAGTAAGAAGAAAATCGGATTTAGTTGTCATTAAATTGATAATAGGGACGAGGGAAAATAAGATATGAACGTTTGGCTGGGTGTCAAAGTTATATGAATCGTTATATATCATTAATACACACTACGTACAAACACTATTTGCTAATAGCCATCCACTCTTTATATGAATCGCTCGTCTCATTCCAAACAAGATATTAACGTAAAGACAATCACTCGCTCGCTCACCCGCTCCTCTACAGCCCAGCGCCAATATTCAAATGCAATACAATCCATCTTCATCTTCCATCTACAACACCCCATCCCCCCCCTCTCTCTCTAATAATTCTCCCACTGCGTATTCCACGGCTGACTCGCCTTCCGCGCATCATCCCCATGCTTATACCCCACCACCAACTCCTCCTCATCAACCCCACAATGCACCTCGCCATCCCTCCCCACGAACCAGCCCAGCCCGTACTTCTTCCCCACGCTCGCCAGCTTCTGCACCATCTCGTCGTTATTCATCTTCTCCGTCCCCACGAAATCATACAGCATCTTGCTCTGATGGATAAACGCCAGCACGCTCGCAATCGTGTTTGGCTGCCGCGGCAGGAACGGGTGTCTCCTCCTGCTATAAACAAAAGTCGCTACCAGGCATAAAAACGAGAGGATCGAAATCGCTAATCCAAAGGAAAGCCAGAACGAGAGAAACGTCTCCTCGCCCGCATTCTGTCCGTTCTGTCGCCCGTCTCGGCTGCCCAGTCCACTAACGCTACTATTCATCGGCGGCGGCGTATTCGCGAAATCGAGGCCAGAAACATTCGCGAAACTCGTGGAGCAGATAGTCAATACCTCCGCCAACACACTTCCCAGCCCTACTAGGGCGACGAGAAAATGCCCATTCATGAAGGCGCGCACGGGCATCCAACCAAATGCCATAGCGGTGTAATCTAGGGTGAGGACTTTCGGGGAAGCGTGCCGGCGAGAGAGGATGTAGAAGGGTTCTATCATGCGGACGTCGGTTTCGAGGGTTCCCCAGGCGAGTTTGATGGCTACTGCGAGGGCGGTTAGGAACCAGGGGGCTTTGTCGGTGATGGTGTTGGCGGCGGGTTGGAAGAGGACGATTGGGATGAGGATTACGAAGAGGATCATGCTGATGATGAATGGGATGCCGGCTGCGAGTCGGAGCATGAGGGGGTGAGGGTTCTCTGTTCGGGGTCTTTGGTCGTATTTATCTTTCTCTTCTTGTGTGAGAGGAGCGGAAAACTCGGGGGCGAGAGATGAGTTGCGGAGGGAGTAGCGGTGGGATTTTAGGGTTTGGTGGATGAGTTCTGGGTTTGCTGTGTCCATGTTTTTAAAGTCCATTAGGATGTGACTTCGGTTGGCCATGGCTGCGATGCCAGCTATGCCTTTGACATCTGCTACGAGACCTGAGGGTCGTCTTTCGAGTTGCCAGACCAGGATACAGCCCATCACGGCGATGAGTAGGAGGATAACGCTTAGAAAGCGTGAGTAGATAGCGTTGATACGGATTTCCTTGAGGCCGTTGGGGTCTAGTTCCCTTGCGTGACGGTCGGGAGTGAGGTCGACTGAGGCGGCTTGTAAAGTTGGGACGAGTGATACTGCTAGTAAAGTTGCGATGGATGACACCGCAACTGCATAATGCTTGTATCTGAATGCTCTTACCGGACGTAAGAAGTTGAAGAAAGTAATGTAGTCAACCTGAGTAGACAGTCAGTGTTGATGTCCCATAAGAGGAATTGGTTATGAAAATCTCAAAGTCAATGCTCGCCTGGGACTTTGATAACGCCAATGTCCCACAACAAGCTAGCATTGCGAATGATCAAGGCCTGGTAAAGAGAGAGAATACTTACATTAATCGATTCAGCAGCCAAGGCCCCTCCTTCTTTCGACAGCTGATAATACGCTTCCAACCGCTTAACCTCAAAATCCGTGACCTGCCATAACACACCAAACGTGACGGCTACCAAAGTCGGCAAATACTTGAAAGTAAAGTAATTCCAGGTACTCAACGACTGCGCAGTCTGGAAGCTATACAAAGCTCCTCTATGCAACATATACTCTTGTGCAGCTGCTAGTACTACCGATATAATTATAAGTCCTGATAGGTACGGCCATCTCATCGAGAAGGGCTTCCAATTAGGTTGAGGATAGAATACTTCTGTTGTGGGAACAGGCAATGTATTCTTGCGCACATTCTTTGACTTGTTATCCATCTGATCAAAGTCCAAGGTAGATGTACTTCCTCCAGCAAAGGAGCTGATATCGACAGTCGGTTCTTCAGCTTCTTCAGCCTCCTCAGCTTCCCCGGACTCCTCAGGGTCCTCTTCCACGATGACCTTGATGATCTCTCCCCGTTTGTTCGCTTCAGCTTGAGCTACTTCTCGCACCGTCGCTTTTCTCGCTAGTGTTGAATTCCTGAACGAAGGAGCTCGTGCCGTGACATTACGGAAAGACATCCGTCGTGATATCGTGCCAGGCGTCCTCGGTGTCGTAGGTGCATTATTCATCAGATCCGAACTCGTGATGGTAGTCGCGGGCTCCCAACCAGCTCCTAGACCTCCGGTAAGTTTCCCAGCTGCTTCTTGCTTGGCAAATTCCTTGACTTGTTCTTCATTTTGGGGAGGTCCTAGGAATGATGATACGTCGAACGGCATGGGTGATAGAATTGGTACATTCTCGGAATCTTCTTCCTCGACTGTTGAGTAGGCTGTCTTTTGCTTCGATAGGCCAAATGGCATGGCAGAGCTCAACAGACTCATATCTATCTCCTCTTCTTGTATAGTCCCATGTGTCAAGCCAAGTAGAGAACCACTGGATCCAGTCCTCCTCTTGGATAGCCTCTTTGCTCCATATTTACCACTAGAAGAAGGCCTGCTCGAAGACGGGGTAGAGAGTGGTTCGTATGCCGGTGCAGAGCTTCGAAAAGGATTGAAACTCCTGGTGGAAGGCGAAGTAGGCGTCCCAACACGAAGAGTATCTGGAAGAAGTCCTGCCAGCCTGCTCCCACTCCTGGAAGCTTCAGAGGGTGAGCTGATTCCCGAGCTTCCAGTCGACGATAACCTCACACGACTGATATCCACTTCATCTGTTGATCTGGTATGTTCATCCGTAGGAGATGGCAAAGAAACCATGGAATCCCTGTGTCCAGATCCATCATACCCTTCCATCGAGCTCACCGAGGATAGAGAAGAGACTTGGTGCTTCAGATCCGGTCTATTCGAACTCGTGCTCCCGCCATATGGGTAAGGATAAGAGCCTCCTGGGCCATTGTTGGCCATTCTCCAGATATGCTTAAATTCCGACTCTCAAGTGTGTAACAAAAAATGCGAAAATGGTCACGAACGTCCTAACTGCACCAGTATATCAGCATTTGAAGCATAACCACCAGGCTACAACGTCTGGATCGGAAGAGAATCATACATCCGACTCACTCACACACTCACACGCCCGGCGCACGCCTCCAGCAACTAACAGCCAGCCAGTCCCGAACGGTAGCCTAGTATTCGAAGACCAGAAATCCAGCAGCAGCAGACCCAACCCAATCTCCTACGCCCTCAGCAGAAGCTCGGTGATGACTCCACGCCCAAGCCCAAGGAACAAGCTCGTGTCACCGTTCCCCCAAGATCCAGCAACCGCGGTACAATCCGTTGGTTCGTCCGTCCGTTCGTTTCCCAAGAAATCGAATCGCGTCAGGCTCTCCGCGAGGCTCAATCCCCACGCACGCAGGATCTCAGCGTCACAGTTGCAGCAGATGTGAAACCGCCTTTTTTCAATCAATCAATCACACAGTCGAAGAAGACATCGTAGAACGAGAGATCACAATTCGTAAATAAAAAGTGAGCGGCGAGCGAGAGAGGGAGAGAGAAAAGATTAGACGATAAAGAAGGAAGAGCAGATCAGATCAGATCAGACCTACCTGTGCCCGAAGCAGTGCAGTCCTCATTCAGATGAACCATGCCAGCCAGGCCTGGAGCCAGGGCTGAAAAGAGGCACCAAACCCACCTAGTCCTTCCCTGTTCCGTCCCGACCCCAATAAAAGGACCCCCCCGTCCCCCGTCCCCCGTCCCAAGAAGAAAAGAGGCGCGGGAACCACCAATCAACTAAGCGCACCGCGGTCTCGAAATAGCAACACTAGAAGCAACGTGCCGCGCCGTGGGAACCACAGATATCGTCCCAACTGACGACGCGGGCTGCTATGCCAAACGTGCGACCCGATTGCGCGTATTTGGTGCTGTTGTGGTGGGAGAAGAGGGCGATAGGGCTGAGATAGTGTTGAATGACGAGTTTCGGAGTTGGTTTGGGATGGTGATGGGATGCAGGGGCAGGGCGCTGGCGGAGCTCTAAGTTTGATGAGGGGACGGGGTCGGGATTGGTGAGGCGACTCGGAGGAGGAGGAGGAATCTTTGGGGACAGATGACTCGAGTGAGGTGAGAATTAGATAAATCCAGAGGAAGATCCCGTATGACTGTAATTCCTACTGTACACCAGAATGGCGAATCTAGAATTAGATTCCTTAACTTTAGCGTGTTGCTTCAACTCCTACTTCAAAGTCATAACGTTTGGAATCTTGTTTGCCACTTCCTTGGCACTTCTGCAGATCTAAGTTTTGAAGAAATTCCGTTGGTAGAGAATACTAGGACTCCGAGAGAACTCAATATATAGGAAAGAAGTGATATTTTCCTCTTGCGACGGAAAATCGTACGCATGTCGAAAGGAAAGTATATAGAACGAATTTAGAGCTGAAGGGATTTGATATTATCAGCTTAAACGAGAGGAGAAATATCTTGTTCGTCTAAAGCTCTCCTTAGCTAAAGTTCTCTGCGCTCTGTATACAAGAACAGTCCTCATCTAGGTCATTACTCAAATCATACACAGCTCATGCTCCCAAGTCTACCATCGCCATGCTTGTAATCCACAAAGATTGCCACCGCTTCAACCATGGTCTTTCCTTATTATACATATGTACTGTATTTACAGCGTTTCAATATCTTATACACGCCTCCTCTTCTATTCTTCATTTCGTCTTTGGTTTGCCAGCCCATCTTGCTTTGGGCTTCACTGGCATGGACGCTCGCTTAATCGCTTTTGCCTCCTTGGTAGTTCGCTTGCCAATATCCCAGCCCCAACCTCGAAGGGTCTGGACAACCTTGGGTGTGACGGCTGCTGCAAGGGGAACTCGAACGAAGATGAAGGATTTGTGAATTGCGTATGCTATTGCTAGTTGTGTTGCCAGACCTAGTTGTAATCAGCACTCTGTGGCCTCTAGAGATATCATGTGGTACTGTAGGAACAGCCTGAGGAGAGTCGGGAGAACTTACTAGCATCGCGCTTATGTTCCTCTCTAGCTTTCTCTACGCCCCATACATCAGAACCCGAGGTTTTGTCTCCGTCAGATGTCGTCTCTGAAGTCTGGGGAGAAGCAATAGTCGCGTTTGAAGGTACCTCCGCTGCTTTCACTTGCTCATTGACCTTGTCGATATGTTCATTGACATCCTCTTCGCCTGTGATGGCATGCTCGGCCTTTCTCATGGAGCCACGCCAGTCGTTCCATGTTTGCTTGACCGGCTCAGGAATGAAGCGCTTCACGTTTGAGACTATAAATTCTTCCCATTCTCCTGTTCTTTGTTAGTATATCGTCACGTTTGATATGTAGACAAAAGAAAAGTTGGTCTGTGTAGTGTCCAATCTTGAGGCTCTCTAGTACAGGTGAAGACCTCCATCAATATCGTCCAAAGTATACACCATTAAGGTAAGACGGAGTACCAGGCTCCAAATAATGTTCCGTCGTATGATCATTTTGCCCGAAGTATAAATTTCAAGTCGCAGTTGTGACTTGTCGTTAATCGGACACTTCTCAGCATACGGTCTATGGTGCCATGGAAGGTGGAGCCTCCTCGTCGACTAATCCAGAGCCCACGATTGGCCGCAGTGAAGCTCACTTCGGTCGCCAGACTAAGGATAGCCCAGCCTTGAAATTGTTGATTTCGAGTGATTCTTGAACCTCCACATTCTACTCAATATCCCCATTCAGCCCTTCGCACCCGAACAACTCGACCGGTCGAAAGAGCTTTACACGCAGCAGCAATGGATCTATTGTTTTGGTGAGACTTCCAGCTTTCGAGTATCATGTTCTGAGCCCTCGCTGATTGTAATTTGTAGAAAATTTCAGGAAATAACCAATTGTGGTGTGGCTTTTCACCATGCTGGTATCGATCCTCGAGACCGTCACGCCATCGAAACAGCGTTCCAGAAGGGCAACATCAGCATCATCTGCTGCACATCGTGGAGCCCAGGCGCGACCCAGACCGCTAAGGAAAGCGGCAGAGTAGTACACGGAGAGGTGCCGATGCTCGTCCCGCTCCGTGAAATGTCAGCCGCAACCGTCAAGGCGCCTCAGAGCCAGTCTGAACTCGAAGAACGACTGTAGCAGTGCCAATTTCAACAGGCCCATTGGCACACAAGACCAATACCAGAGCTTCTTGAACTCGCAGAGCTTGTCATAGTCGAATCTAGACATAGGCCAACACACATTGTGCAAAGATGCTCGACGAGGAAAATGCAGAGGCCAAGAAGCGTGGTGAGGTGCCACCACTACGCTGTATTCGAGCATAGGCCTGCTTTGAACACTCCAACTTTTTCAAAGTAAAAGTCCTGATTCCCCGACACACCCAGTGAAGGGCATGCGGCTCCTCCGAAGAAAAGACCCGGCCGGACCAGTGCACGCGGTGAGGCGGATCGGCCAGCTAGGCCCAAGGTTCAACTACGAGCGGCGATCTCGTAGGTGGCGAAGCCATCTTGCAAGCTCAATTAGGTACAAAACCAGCATCTGGTTCCCATAATCTCGACTTCCATGGTCACCCTTCCTCTGTCTTGGCGGCGCAATGATCCTTTGGTCACTCGTTAGGGTCTCGTCCGTATTCGTCCGGAGTGAGATACTTTCTTCGAATCCAGCGATTTTGGTGTCAAGCGTGTAGCTCCGAACCGAGGAAGACAGCGCTTCTTCAGACTCGATGGCTGTTCGGGAGCCCTTTCCACCGATACGTACACGACAACAGAGCTTCATAGCTCCCTGAGCCTTCGCGACACTCCCGAAATGACCCTGTATCCTCCAGCACACTTTCCACCCTCTCTTAAGTCGATGGGCGTGTATATTGGAGTAGAGCTGGACGAATATCCTCCAGAGGCTCCTCCTTGACCAGACTTTGGCTGTTGAAGTCGTCTAATCTGTCATCGATTCTCGCTTGCCACAGCTCCTGTTTTGGTGGTCTCCTCCATTGCCGTGTAATGGTCGGCCATCGCTCATCTAATTCGTCCATATATGGCCATTCTCAGGGTACAATTTCGGCGCGAGTAGCATCTCCCCAACATGAGGCTTTCTTCATCCTCCTCCAGGCCTGGGCTCTCGGCTCTCCTCTCTCCCTCCATTCCTCCTTCACCTTACCTCAAGACTGGACACTACACACTAGCAAAAAGAATAATCCAAACTCACCTATCTTCTCAGTCCCCAAAGAATTCACCAACAAATAACAAAATGGAAAGTCCAGCGCACTCAACGCAAAATACACCCCTACAGCAGACCATCCATATTCCCTACTCAATTTTTTCAATCGTCCGCCTAGAGTAGTGGGTTCCTCACTCGCGGGAGCTGCGCCATTGAGCCGTGGACGAGTCTTATGGAAGTTTCGGAAGGATTGCTGAAATTGTCGAAGGATGGTCGAGTTGTGTAGAGTTGGTCTTCCGTGAGAAGAGAATGTGAACGAGGTGGAGGATTTCGAGGCGGGTGGAGTGGAGAAGGTTCGTCGAGGGGCGGAACGGAGTGGAGTTCTTATTGGGGAGTAGAATGGACGGGTGCTCGATCGTATAGTTGAAGGAAGGCGGCTTGCTGATCGAGGTGCAGCAGCAGATATGGTGGTTCGGAGCATTTTGGTCGAGGATGTTTGCGCCGGGGAATGTAGAGACTGAAAGAGGTGTGTTGAACTCAAGAGCCACTTCTCAAGAGCAGGCTATAATAACGGTCGGTCTGAAGAAAGTGTCTGCAGAACGTGCGCCCCAGTGAGATGTGATATCCCTTCTCTGGGAGTGTATTCCTCCGTTGTTGTCCGATATTTCCGCCGGAAGGGTATCTGCTTCGCTCAACTGTCTGTTTCCGCAGGTGCAATGAAAGAAATTTGAAGAGAATACAAGAGGAGAGGTTAAGCACAAAGCATTGCTAGAACCACTGCAGTCAAATAATGGACGTTGTGTGAGGTATTGTGGTCTGACAGACGGGAAGCCAAAATAAATTTGAGGCTCATTCCAGGTTAGTGAGCTTGCAGGGATACTCTTCAAAGTGATGCAATTTAGCACTTTTTTACGGCGGACGCTAAGTGCCATCGGAGTTTAGAAACTCCTCCTCCGTTCTATGTCTCAGCCAAGTGCACCACGTGTACTTCGATTTCACCGTCACTGGTGTATCATTTCTTCACAATTCTTTCTCTCAGTGTAGTCACAGTGCTAAGAATGTTTGAGCAGTGCTACGAAGTTGATTAAGTTCAAGTACTATTCACATCCAACGTTTGTGCTTGTGTGTTCTATTCTGAGGGTTGGCACAAGTTCGAAAGGAAAACACAACTTATGAGCTCTTTCTAGGAGATAATTCCTTCCAAGTTCATGAAATTCCTATATACAAAGAAGAAAGGGACATATTCTCGAGACACGTCAAGATGCCAATATATACTGTTGAATCGAAGCGAACTTTTCCACCGCCCACTCATCCTTCAACCTTCCTCTCCTTCATGCCAAATAAGAAGTATCCACCCAATCAGCGTAGCCGCTACCAAGAATCGTGGAGATGCTGAGAGCTGAGCTAAGTTTAGTGGAGAAGCTTGCTCTAGTACCTGATGCTCCATCGCCAGTGTTTCCGTATTCCTCGAAGGTCACGTCTTCAGTATTCGGTTCACTGCTGCTCCATTCTTCCCAGCCAGCGCTGTTGATGATATTGCTCAAGACAGTATCCTGGAAGCAGACACGGGCATACTCAGACCAAGGCCGACCGAGAAAGACAGTTCCTGAAGTGGCAGTTGAGCTCGTAGTTGTATCAACAGAGCTCTTGTTGATAACGTAATAAGAGACATCTGATGAAGAGGAACGGCCATTGGCGGTGATAGCTCCACCACCGGCTGACACTCTAATATCGGAGCTGTCGATCCAGGCTATGGCGTGTTGACCGAAGATGAAGTCAACAGCCCCCTCAATGTAGCAGGCTGCGTAGACCTGGTTGCCAGTCTCTGCCAGGAGAGTGTCTTGGTATCCGTAAAGACCGACACCATAGTAACCTTGCTCGGTGTTGTACGCGGCTAAGGCAATAGCTTGAGAACCTTCCCCATAGGTGTTTTTGATGTTGATGTTGTAGAACTTAGTGTTCGCAGCCTCGTTGATCACAGTGCCAGTAGCTTCGTCACTCGAGGCGCCACTGGCAAGAGAAGAGCTGTGCTCAATGTTAACCACATTGCTGGTGTATGATGCCGTATTCGTGGTGTATCCATAGATGGTAAGCGCCGCAGCTCTGGATGGAATGGTGACTTGCTCCGTGTAGGTTCCAGCAAGGATAAAAAGACTTTGAGCTGTGGTGGATGTTGTGCTCAAAGAGTCAATGGCGTCTTGAATCTAATATAATGAGCTGTGTGGACTAGAATGTTCAAAATAATCACTTACGGTAGAATAGGTCCCGCCAGATCCAACAGTTATAGCTCCTGAAGGAGCAGTGGTCCGACTAGTGGCCAAGACTGCAGTAGCGAATGCGGAAATATAGAAGAAGAGATGCATGATTATAGAAGCATATGAAGAGAAGATGAGGAGCTAGGTGAAGGTTGGCCACGAAGGAGAATAAAGAACGAACGGCCTTGGCCTTTAAAGAAAAACTAATGGAATAATTATCTTCGTGGAAAGGAGGAGGACGTACTACGCGGAGGAGTCCACACACAAGGCCCACAAGTGCCGCGGTGGCTTCAGATCAGATGGACGCCGAGGGACTAACAATATCTAAGCAAGGGGAAGAGTGTGGGGAACAGATTTGCAAGGATAGGCTGTCCTGCATTTCGTGCTAGCCTTGCCAGGTGATCTCCCGAGATTTCCAAGGATTGATATCATTCCACCTCTTAGATGTGCAGTCCAGAACTTTTAAAGACCTTCTCAAAAGTCGCTGCGCCTCGCCGTTAGGTGGAGTGCAAATTCGGACGAAGACGAAATTCTTCCACGCTTGCTGTGGTGGATAGAGTGCCGAGCGGGTCTTTACAGGATGTTCGAAACATGAACACTCTACCAGAATCCGTGTGGGTTGAGCAACAGGGATCGCACTTGCACTTCGTTTCGAAGATCACGACTTCTTCGTAGTCGTTTGCTCTGATGGGGAAAGCCACCAATAAGATCGGTGAATTGCTAGGGTTGAGAGGGGGGAAACATGATCATGGGATTTGGGATCTGGAGAAAGTGCTTTTGCCAAGAAGAAGAACACGTACAGACCATGCGGTAGAACTTTCTACTTCGAAGTATGACGCGTATGCGGCTCCTCTCCATGTCCTAGACATTGGACCACTTCGAATAACAAAAGATCGGTGGCGCTCTTCATTAATTGCGATGTGATTTCGCAAGAATTTCTCAAGAGATAGAGTTTTAGGGGTCCACCATCCATCCGACTGAGCCTCGCTCATTACGGACAAGTTTGAAGCCGGGAGATAAGATAACCTTCCTCGCATGAAAAAATGTCCAAGATTAAGATGACGCTCGACTTGAGCAAAACTCTTTTTTGTTGTTCTCGACACCAGCGCCAAGCGGTGATTGATTTGGGAAGGAGCTTTGACATGTTTCCACATTCGTCGGCCATTTCCTCACTTCGAGCTGATTAGGAAAAGGGAAGTCCCGAGCAAGGAGGGAGCTTGTTGATTTGAGGATAAAACAGGTCCACCCCAGCAACGAAAACCCACCAGTCAGCTATGTGAAAAGCGCTACCCCACTACTAGTCCCGACTACTTTCAAGCTTAATCAACTCGAAACTTAAGCGAGGATGTGCCCCTTTTTGTTTGATTCTCCACCAACGACCCTTCATAGAGCCTCAAAACATCGACATAAGATCGACATATTCGACAGGGCCGTAGGTGGACGGTGACTTGGGATGACCTGCCATTCCCGTAAACACACCACGTTCTTTGGTGAGCGATCGCAAGAGAAGCCTTGGGATTCTCGGAGATCTCCTTTGTGTCTCACATATCGTCCAAGATTATGGCATTCAGTAGTACTACAATAGTAAAAATGGGGTTCTGCTATATCTTCGACAGAGCTCTATGTGGGCACTAACTCCGCAGTAGAAAGCACAGTCTTTCCACAAGCCTTTATAACAAGCTCTCCTTGGCCCTCTCGGCATACTCTATCCAAGCCTCATCACTCTTTACATTTCTTGGCTATCTCCTTCCTCATCTCTTGATCCCTTAGCCATCCCTCTCTTCAACATGGTCCAATTACTTCAAGCGCTCGGGCTGGCTCTCAGCACCGCATCTGTGCTTGTTTCTGCTATTCCTATGCCAACAGCTGCCCCTGATCTTGCAAACGCTGCTGCTCTCCACAAGCGTGCATCCTGCACATTTACTGCTGCTTCTGCAGCCAGCAAGTCCAAGGCTGACTGTGCTACCATCATCCTTGATGGTATCACTGTTCCCTCAGGAACAACGCTTGACCTGACAGATCTGACCGAAGGCACATCAGTGAGCACATCCAGAAGAGGTCGCAGAGTGCTTGTTAATGTTACTAGGTTATCTTCGAAGGAACGACGACATGGGAATATGAGGAATGGAGTGGTCCTCTGTTCTCTGTCTCCGGCACCGATATCAAGGTATCGGGTGCTTCCGGCCATGAGCTAAACGGTAATGGCGCTTTATGGTGGGATGGTGAAGGAAGCAATGGAGGCAAGACTAAGCCAAAGTTCTTCTACGCCCACAGTCTCAAAGGAACATCTTCAATTACCGGTCTCAACATCAAGAACACCCCAGTCCAATGCTTCTCTATCGATTCGTCAGAGGGCCTTACCATCTCTGATGTTACCTTCGATAATTCTGCTGGAGATACTGATGATCTGGGCCACAACACTGATGCATATGATGTGTGAGTGTTGTCTGTGGCTTATTTGATGAGTGAAAGAGCTAATAACAGTATAGAGGCGACTCATCCGACATCACAATTTCAGGTGCCATAGTGAAGAACCAAGATGACTGCCTTGCCATCAACTCGGGAACCAGCATCACCTTCACTGGCGGAACTTGCTCAGGAGGCCACGGTCTCTCTATCGGTAAGCCTCCACACCTAACTCTCCAAGTCCTCCAACTTGCTACTCTTTTTAAAGATACTCAACATGCAATTCAGATGACTAACACAATCTCACAGGCTCTGTTGGTGGACGCGATGACAACACTGTCGAAACAGTCCTCATCGAGAGCTCATCCGTCACCGACTCCGAGAACGGCATCCGCATCAAGACCGTCTCTGGAGCCACCGGTTCTGTTTCCGGCGTAACTTTCAAATCCATCACCATGTCGGGCATCTCCGACTATGGTATTGTCTTCGAGCAAGATTACGAGAACGGTAGCCCAACCGGTAGGTCTCATCATCCATTTACAATAACTGCAAAGTCTAATATAATCTAGGCACCCCAACCGACGGAGTCCCCATCACCGGTCTCACCGTCGAAGACGTAACCGGCACGGTTGACTCGGATGCAACGAATATTTATATCCTGTGTGCTTCTGGAGCATGCTCAGACTGGACTTGGTCTGGCGTCTCTATCACTGGCGGCAAGACGAGCAGCGCTTGTGAGAATGTACCCTCGGGAGCCTCATGCTAAGAGGCGGGAAAGCAGTCCGGAGCTGCATCGAGATAAATTGTGGACAGTGCTCACAGGAGAAGGTCTTGAAGGACCGGTTTTATACCTTCTTATATATATTTTTACTGGGTGGCAGGGTTGCACCTTCAGACTTTCTGTTGTATATAGTTATGTTCTTGAGCGCTTGTAGAGACGACGCAGTTGTATGAAAGTTTACTCAACTTAACGATCGTGCAAGACAGACATGCCTTGATGTGAGGATTTTTACTGCCGTAGACAATGGGTCCAAAGATTCTGCATCAGAGATGTGATCGACTGCCACTAAACGGTGCATGATATTACTTCACCACTCATTTATAGGGGTATGGATGTTCAAGTATCTTCAGGAAGATAATCTTTTCAGCAACACGCTGAAGATATGGCCAGGCGTTGGAAGATTAAAAGTAACAGTAGTCTCGAGGATACAGAGTAGTATAGAGATAACCATAGAGAGAGGACAGAAGCACAGCAGAAACAAGATTCGCAGAACAAATCATGAAAGCTTTCGATTCTGGCACGGAATGAGCAAAGCATCCATCTCCTCTCCCAGGGTACAAATGCCCAACGCCTCCCAATGCAGCAACTCCATCTCTATCCCGAGATCCTTTTCCCAATCATACAATCATAAGATGGCCTTCATGACCCCAAAACGCTATGACCTCGAGAAACAACATCACCCTTTCGGCGCTCCCCCCTTCGGCTTCGGCATCTTCTCATACGCATTCGGACTCCTAGCCCTCGACTTCCCCTTCCCCTTTCCATGATCATGTCCATGTCCACACCCACTCTTCCTCGCGGGTCTCGCCGCCCCATCATCCCCACTATCACTATCACTCCCACTCGAATCCGACGAGCTCTCGTCGCTCGACTCATCGATCCCTTTCGGGGCGTGGTATATGCAGCATACTATCTTCTATCAACACCATCTCCAGACAAGAGGTAGGACGAGAGGTATGTGGTTACCTTTACTCTTCTTCTTCCCCATCCCCTCGTTATCAACCACGTCCTCAGCCCACTGTATCCTCCTCCTCGTCTCCCCGCCCTGCACTTCCTCACTCTGCCTCGTCGCGCCTCTTAAATGCAACACCGCCTGCTGAGTCTGCGTCTGCGTCTGTCCTTGCGGAGCTGGGACTTGAGTTTGCGTCTGTCCGCTCGCGGGACCCGGTGCTGAAGCTGCCGCCATCTTGACTATCTCTTTCCTTCTCTTCTCCCTTCGCAGAGCTGTTCTCTATTTTGTATTTCCCAAGCTTCAAGATAAGCGTCCCACGATTCGCAGGCAATAATCGCTCGTTCCTTATTCCCTTCTCTAATCTCGAATGAGCGGGAGGCTCAATCTAGTATCCCTTTGCGAATCCAGCGACGCGCATGCATATGTGGGGTACAGCCGGAGGTGGAAGTACGAGTTCGTGAATCCTTTGTTTCGTTTCGTCGCAGTTTGATGGAGGAGTATTTGTTGGAGGGCGGGAAGAAATATTGTTCGGGGTTGCCCCACGTCGAAAAGCTCCGTCATCAGCTCGGTTTATGCCTTGGCCTTGGCAGGGGTTATGAGGGGTGCCATCACGTGTTGCTTTACAGGTACATTCGAGATGATAGTTTCTTGCCTTGGCTTCTCTTGTCGTATGTGTGAACTGTATTAAAGAAGTCTAGGGTATCTATCTACAATTCTATCATTACAATAACATTAATCCAACCACAAATGCCGCAAAAGCAGCGAAGAATGCATCTACACCCCTATCTCTTAGTCCTAAACTTGGACTCTCTTTCTGCAACACAGCAGTACTCGTTGCTCCCACAGATGAACAACTAGCAGTCCCGCATTGCCACCCGCTAGGACAGCAATTCCCTCCAACGTTAGCTGAGCAAGTCGACCAGCCCGTGGCGCAAGCACCTGTGGGAGTATTGACTGTAGCAGCTGAGCCGACGGGGACGACTACTGTTACGGTACCGCTGATGATAGTAGTTGAGCTAACCGGAGGACAAGAGGTAGTTTGGCAATCTCGTCCCGTTCGACAGCATCCTCCGGCATAGTATGCCTCGCAGGCATAAAAGCCTGTAGGGCAGGTGGTACCTGTTATTGAGGACTGAGTCGAGGTCGAGGAATCGCTGGTTGGTCGGACTGGAGCTACGCCTGATACTGTTGATGTTCCAGTTGTGCTGGTTGATACCGTAGTTGTGGTAGTTGTCGAAAGAGGGGCACATGAAGCTCCTGAAGCGCAGAGTCGGTCTGTTGGACAACATCCTCCTCCTAGGCTTGCTGGACAGCTTTGGTAGCTCGACGTACAGGTCGAAGATGTGGACGAGGACGATGATGAAGTAGTTGACGTCGTGGTAATGACAATAGTGCTAGTTTGCGTCGAAGAAGAAGCTGTAAGTGTGACTGTCTGAGTGATAACTGTAGTGATAACCATAGAAGGATTGATCACGCCTGCAATATATTAGCAACATATCAATATCTTAAAGGAATTGAAAAACTCACAACCAACAGTGGCACACACATAATTCGGTATACAGCACCCTCCACCAACATTATCCGCACAAGGCGTATTCGGAGCATTGCAAGTCGTGACCGTCCCACCACAAGTACTTCCCGTCGGACAGCATCCAACAGGTCCCAACCCAGCATCCTGAATAGCGAAGCACGTCTCTCCTGTTGCGCAGCAGTAATTGGGTTGACCAATACTAGAACAATCCGCCGTGCCCGTTGGACAAAGAAAGCCTCTCTTCCCCAGCACCGCCAAAGCATTTCGTGCCTCCAAAGCTCTCCGAGCTCTCAAGTTCCCATAACTCGAATCCTCCGTATGCAGCATAAACGGCGGTCTAAAATCCAACACCGCAGAAGCATTCGCCAAAAGCCTAGCTTCCTCTTCCTCATCTCTCTTCCTTAAAGTATTGCTCGAAATATCCATCAGAGTCATCTCTCCCTCAAACTGCCAATACTCCATATAGAACTTCTCCCCCTCATCCGTCCCCATCTTCATAATTCCCACCGGAGCCCTGCCCAACCGCAGATGCTCCTCTATAGCTTCGAGATCCCGACGCCGGTTCGGCGGATCTTCTGGCCAGTACTTGACGTGTGGTGGGAGATTGTACGGCCATTGTTTCGGGGACTGGTCGTCTTCTGTGGATAGAACGGAGGTTGTATGTAAAGCTATCAAGGTGAGGATTGATGCCGGGAGAGCTAGGATGCTCAAGTTGATTCGCATTGTGATATTTGTTGGAATATGCAGGTTGATTCGAGCTTGGAGATCTACAACGAGGCTGCAGAGCCTGATCACCACAACAAATTGCTGCGCTCAAAAAAAGCACTCGATTATCAAAAAGTCCTCTAGTAATGAATAAAAAGATTCACCATCTTGAAATCCGATTGCAGGTGGCTGGGAAACCCAATCAAGAAAATCCAAGCGTCAGCCGTCACGAACTGCGTGGCTGGGAACCACCCACTCGCAAGTCATCTCGGGCCTCTGCAGCAGACGCCTTACCGATTCGCAAGCATGAATCCTGTACGAAGCTGCAGCAAACAAGCCCTAAATCCCGACTACAGTACATAGAACTACAGTAGATTAGGAATCTCCAAGCGGCATCAACGAAGATCATATCAATCCCCTCCTAAGACAGGCCTTCACGATTAGTTATCATTCCCATCACCTGACATCCCCTATCCCCTCTTCTTCCATTGACTCACATCAACCATGACCATGAAGCAAAAACCCAAGTAAATAACGAAACAAACAAACATGCCCCGAACCGACGAAGCAGAAGCCTTCTTCCACGCTGCCTATACCGCCATCCAAGAGATCCCCTACGGGAAAGTAACCAGCTACGGGCATATCGCCAAACTGATCGGGACTCGTAAATACTCCCTACTTTTCTCCCTTTCTCTAGCTAATACAAACGAATAAAAGCACAACGCCCCCGTCAAGTGGGAGTCTGCCTCAAACACCTCTCTTCGGACACCACACATAATTTCCACAATGGCAACGTTCCGTGGCAGCGGGTTATTAATTCAAAGGGGATGATTTCGCCTAGGTAAGGTACAAGTTTTTCTAGATGAAGAACATAATTACTGATTGTTTTAATTAGGGGTCATCCATCTGGAGCAGCTAATCAGGCTCGGGTGCTGCGGGGTGAAGGCGTGACGGTCAATTCGGGGAGCTTGGGGGAACTTCTGGTGGACTTTTCGGAGTATGGATGGTTTCCTCGACAATTGCCGAGTGAAGAGGCAGCTGGCTTGACACCTCACATTGACTCTGATGAGGAGTGAGCGAAGTTGGCTCTATCTACTGCAGTGTTAGAAGTAGTCACCAAGCAAACAAAGAATCACAGAAACAATGCTATTTGTGGAAAGGTGTTTCTAGGCCTAAGACTATGATACATGTCATCTAGCAGAATGTATCTGCAAGAATGGAGGCCTCCATAACACCCTCCACACGTCCTCGATAAAAACCCATAGTCCCTAACGATTCCATCTGCCAGTCTGATCAGCTTTCGCCACGTGCACTGACTCTTGTCTTGAAGAGACTCGAGCTTTGCCAATGGTCCCTCCCTTCCTCCCGGGCTGCAATTGGAGTATTGTCCAATCTCAGAGCTGTTTGGAGATGATCGTCGGCAACCTTTGCTGTACAACATCAGATCTCTTCGCGAAGGTGTAGTATTGATGTCCACAGCTAAGCAAAATATAAACGCACAACTTGCGTCCAAAATGACACGTGAAAGCGTCCATGTCCGATGCTTTGACAATTGCCAGTGGCAGCCACCGACCAAGCAAAGCGAGACGATTCTCTCTATTCATGCAGCCGTCCTAGAATATGCACCGTTTCCCATATCAAAGGGAAAAAGCAATATTATAAAGCTGTAAATACGGGTGATGCAGAAGCATCGACGCCGTAGATATTGTATGAATTAACAGGGTGAGCCATTCATTTAGCCTCTTCGTTGCCCTCCGATGTTCGAGCCTGAGGTCCGGTAGGAACCTGGTTATTGGCAGGACCATTCTGATGAGCTCCATGGGGCTGGAAGTTCTTGTTACCGTAGTTGCCGTTTTGCTGATTATTGCGGTGTTGCTGAGGACCAAATTGATGCATCTGCTGGGGACTTGTACCAAATTGGTTGGGACCGCCATAAGCACGCATAGGCACTGCACATTGTTAGTATTATAGGATATGAAGTTTTACAGAATGTTGAACCTACTCTGTCCTGGGGGCTGTTGAGGGTATATAGGTGCGAACTGCGGACCTGGGCTCATGCCAGGAGTCATACCATACATAGGCTGTTGGTGACCCTGCTGAGAACCTTGGCTCATCATCATTGGGGCACCTCTTCCTGGACTTGGGAAGCCATTGACTCCTGGCATCTGAGGAGGGTGACCGTTTCCTGGTGGCATAAAAGGTGGTCCACCCTGAGCGTACATCATCTGGGGTCCTGGAGCCATGCCTTGGGAAGTGAGGAATGTAGGAGCGGGATTCTGCATCATGATCGGACCCATTTGACCTTGTTGGGGTATGAATTGGTGCTGTTGTGACAAAGAGCGGTATTGAGGCTGCATTGGCGGAGCACCTGGGTATGCCATCATTTGTGGGTTGTAAGCCATCTGCGCAGATTGAGCCATAGGCGATGGATACATAGGGGCGTTCTGAAGACGCGGAGAGGCAAACGATTGTGCAGAATGAGATGGCATCATACGATGATCATCATGGCCGTTGAAAGGAGGAGTCGGTCCATGAACATGTTGATTGGCGTGCATGTTCATAGGTGCTTGACGTGGGGATTGACGGGCACCCATGTTATGAACACCCTGCTGTAGGTGGAAAGGTAGCTGATGCTGATGTGGAACTTGAGGCATCGCATGCGTAGTGTTAGGAGACGAAATTGGCTGCGGTGGGAACGGAGCCATTTCGAACAACTTAGCATAAGACATGTGCATGGTAGACTCTGGCTTCTCCTCATCTTCGACACGGCGCCAAAGTGGGAAAGTATCATAAGCAGGCTTCATGCCTCCAGTTGTCTTCCAGGTCTTCTCGGGAGCTGGCTTGATGGTCTTGATATACTCCAACGCATTAAACTTGTCCTTGATCGAAGGCCGTTCAGATTCCGGAACAGGCTTTCGTCGAAGTAGAGATCGAGAGATAGGAGTGGGAGGAACAGTATTTACAGCTGATCTAGGGCTAGAGCCTGAGCTAGGATTACCATTCGGGTTGAAGGTAGCTGCATGGGGACTTGGACGGAACTCCGTGCTGTGAGGATTCAATCGAGGGCCTTGAGCGCTTGCTACGCCACTTGAACGGCGAGAGAAGTTAGGATCGACGTTGTTTGCAGGACCAGTTGGAGGTTGTCTGGTAGCTTCATGAACAGCGCCCGGGGTGAGTGGAACTTGAGCCTGCTTGCTCTGTTCGATATTTCTCAGACGCGATCCCAGAGTACCAGGTGCTCGAGTGGGCTGGGTAGATGATTGAGGAATTGGGGCAGGGGCTCGGAATTGTGTCGAGTTTGCAAAACCCGGGTTGCGATTAGGAGTCTGGCGATTAGATATGGTCGATTGTGATGCTCCATGAGTAGCAGGGACAGGTCTCTGTGCCGGTCTAACATCTGCAGGTGGCGCAATAGGCTTCACGCCTTCGGAGGGGTTGGCTGCGGCTGCCTCAGCATTGCGTTTGGCCTTCTCTTGAATCTCCTTTTGCTTGACAGGATCTTTCGCAATGATCGAAACAAGATCGGAAGGTACAGGCGTGTTAAGCTTGAAGCTATCCGCAAACCTCTTGAGGTCATTCAGCTTGATCTCCTTGTCATTTCTGGCCCTGGTCATGCGAGCTTTCTCAACGTTTGTTCGTTGTTGTGAAGCAAAGTTCTTGAAAGCAGTTGTGACATCGCGCTCAACAGTGGCCGTCGCGTTGGGGACGCCGTCAGGCTTGACCTTAGGAGATGCTGTACGGCTAGCAGAAGAGGATGTAGTAGCAACAGCCTTTGGCTCAGGAGTGGCAGCAAAGCTGGATTCCGTTGTGGTGGGAGGCGTTGACACCTCAGGTTTGGCTAGCTGCTTGGGAGCTGGTGCGGTCTTTGTCTTCTCAACTGCAGGCTTGTCAGGACGGGCAAGCTGCGAGGAGATGATAGCAGGATCGACGGGAGCGCCAGCAACAGTGGATTGTCCAGTAGGAGCTCTTCTAGCCGGTGGGGTATATTTATTATTGGACGAAGTCAAGGGCGGGAAGTCCTGTCTTCGAACACCACTATATCTGTATTCACGTTAGCTATTGTCTAGAGATTACCGTGATGCAAAATCCACTCACTTGTCTTCTTCATCGAGACCACCATTCTCCTCAGCTGCAAGGTTGTCTCTGATGCGCTCTTCGGCAATGTGGGAGTTGGAGGCTACACTTCGCTCAATCTCACGCGCCTTTCTGTCTGCCTCAGCGAGCCGTTGCTTGTATTGTGGGTGAGCCTTATCGAGTGGAGTTGTGTAGATGTTCTCATCGTAGTCGGTCTTCACACCAAAGCGCTTCTCGTTCTCAGCGAATTGGTCCCAAGGAGCATTCGACTTCGATCTGGTCGATTCGAGAGAGCCATCGAAATCAGCTGGAGCATCGGGAACCCATCGTTGCAGTGTTCGTTCGCCTTGGTTCCGGTTGCCTGAGATTGCACTGTCTGTGCGGAAGGAGCTCGCGTTGCCTAGAGAAAATTAGTACGACGGGCAACCAGCAAAGGATATAGACAAAGATATACCATTCTGTCTGGCTTCGCCTTTGGGGCCAGTCAGATCCTTGCGTGGGAATGACATGTTGGATGGTTGATATTTGGTAGTGCCGTTCGACAAATCACTACCCTTCTTTCCCTGTACCATATTCGAAGCGCAGGCAGAGTGGAAGCTACTCAAGCTGCGTGCTGGAGAGATATCGTGCAGTGATCAATGTGAGGACTTTGGATTCTGTATCGCGGATCAATTAGCCAAAAATTCCAAGAGACCCTTGGAGGAGGTGGAGGAGGTCAAAGACGTGTCCGGCCTCGGGCGCTAGGCTACACAAACAGCAGGCGGGAGAGGGATCGATGATATGATGCAGGAAGAGGACGGCGGAGGGGTATTGGGAGAGGTAGAAGGATATCGCTCACCTATTAGTTGATGGGGTAGTGCGCGAGATGAACTCTGCGTAGATGCTCGTGCCAATGCTGAAATCGGGAGATGTTTCGATGACAAACCGCTAGCCAGCAGGTCGAGGTGTCGATGAGGAGGATGGGATCTGTTTGATTGAGAGCATTAGTTGGTGGGTTGCGGGTGAAGGTAGGGCTGCGCGAGAAAATCGGATAGATCGCAAAAGGTGAATGTGAAGCTCCAAGCTTCAGAAGTGTTCAACTTCAAAAAAGAGGCTGGTGATGGGGATGTCTCACCTCGGAAGATTGGAAATTATTCTGGAGCCCGCCTGCTCTCTCCTGCGCACATCGACGGTGGTAACACGAGCAGCAGATTGTCGACGAGACAATTCTGATGGGGAAGGGCGGATTGGTGAGGTGGAAAAGGCCGAAGTGGTGAAATTCGAGAAGCCGTCCAACAAGCGATGGTGCGCGATGCAACTTTCAAAAATAAACGACAAAAAGCGCTGGGGGAGAATGAAAGACTACGGCTGCTGCAGATTCACTACTCCTGACCGAAGACACAGACTCTGGCCATCAACCGCCGCAGATGGGGAGAGGAGATGAAGAAGCGTGCAGGAGAGACGCGGGTGGTGGTGGTGGAGGAGGAGAGGATTGAGTTGTCGTCCGAATTGGCAACAAGACCAGGCAAGAGAGTAAGTGAGTCGTGAAGGGTTGTCGATTGAAAGAGGTGTCGTTCCGGTATGGTCGACGGGCTTAGCGTTTCCTGAGCTCAGACGTCTCTGGCTGGCTCTGACTGGGCGAAGAGCCCTTGCACCTTCTCGGGAAGGCGAGGCCAGGAATGGGAAGGCGCGGTGAGGCGATCGAGAGGGTAGGGGAGATGTGGGTGGGTGTGAGTGTGGGTGCGAAGCGGAGGGAAACGAGGGCGGTCCAGATGGAATGGACGAGAGGAAGTGGGAGGAGAGAACAGAGGGGAGACACCGGCAGTGGAGGAGCTGGAGGTAGTGCAATCCAATCTACGGTACGCTACCGTACACTTCACATTTACGATTTACGGGGTCGCTTGCTTGCCTGCTCTCCTCTGGGAAGTCTTCGAGATGCCCACAGAAGCGGTCCAGATGGGAATGGATGAGAGAAAGTGGGAGAGGACAGAGGATACCGGCAGTGGAGGAGGTAATGCAACCCAATCTATGGTACGCTACCGCACACTACACATTTACAATTCATGGTATTGGTTGCTTGCCTCTCTGCTCTCGCTGGAAAGTCTTCGAGATGCGAGATGCGAGATGCGCACAAAAGCACAGCACAGAAGACGACAGATATTGATGGGATCTGTCGTTGAGAGCTCTGTCTCGCGCGCTCGTTCGTTCCTTCGTTCTGCAGCACTTGTCGGTCAACCACACCAGAGAGACGTTTTTTTGATGTGTGCTTGGGGCCTGTCTAGCTGAGGTCGGGCATAGGCGGCCAGCGCAATTGCGATGCGACGACGTTCTTCTAGTTCCTGAGCTGGTCTTCTTCGTCTAGGAAGTATCCTCCGTCTCCTCTCCACACAAGCACACAGTTCAAACCAGATATCTGCAGAACCGTCCTCACCATGCGAGCAGCAATGCAGTCATATAGGGCACGGCTTCGGCAGTGTCGTGTTTGTTTGAATGTGCAGGGAACGACCTGACAGTCAAGGGGAATGCAATGGACGTTGCCAGCGTAATTCGCATGTTGCTTGCTCCTCGCGTGCGTTTGTCACTCTTACCTACTAAACTCCACTCTGATAAGTTTCCCCCAGATTTTGGGCGATCATAGCATTGTTCTAAGAGCATAAGTCTCTCAAGTCGGCATGAACTACAGCGGCTGATTGCCTAGATGGCGCCAATCACCTCTGAGTTGTCACCGGCATTGCTTATCCTGGACCCAATCAAAAGTACCAGAATAAAGTATCATGGACCACAACCCCTCAGAAAGAATTAGGTAGGAAGCCATATGCAGTGCGCAATACCCCGCTGCATCCAAATCTGGGTAAGTCTTAATTCCGAATATTTGGAGCAGATTTGTGCTCTTGTACTTCACTAGAACAGAGATGCCACCATCAATCAACCACACTTTCAATATCTGAATTAAGCTCAGTGTGCCAGCTGCTGGGCAAACAGAGTTCGCCAATTTCAGATTAAAAAGGGGGAGGTTGTAAGATAAAGATACAAAAATAAAAGAAATAATTTGATTTACTCTGCAATAGAAGGAATTTCTGTCTTCGATCTTGGAAGCAGAAAAAAGAAACAGTAACGCCCTGTCGCATGACAATGTACATAAGTCATTGTAAAAGAACTGATATTGCGGACGGGAACCCAATCTTTGTTTTCGGAAGTTGTACCTCACACAGCATTGGATGCGGTACAGTCCTAGCTCTAATTCCGAGAAAAGCTGCTGTGCTGAGGTCTACCTATACTAATATGAAGAAGCATCCAGGCGAGGAATTATTAGATTGCATATCGATCTTTAGACTAAAAACACATTCTTCTAAACAATAAGTCCTATTGGATTTCTTCATTCACCCACCATTATTCCATATCTATTCAAGGATTCCAAACGGTGAAGCTCTGCCAGACTTATCGGGTGCAAGCGAAAGAAAGGATTCTCGGCAACTTAGCTCTCCTCTCCTTTCTTCATCTTCAGAATAAAGCCACCGATCCTGTGCCTGTCGGAATGCAGGGGAAAATCAGAAGAAAGGCCATTATTTGTTAAAAGCTACCTAGACAAAAGCAAGTGTCCGTGGTATAGAGAACGACCAGGCCGGATAAATGCTTCTAGAAGACGAGAAGAGTTTCAAAAGGTGCCACGAGGCCAAAATCTGGCTGGGCCGATGCTGAAAAACACTGCGAACGACAGAAGAGTCCAAAGAGCCCGATCTTGTTGACTTCACCGTGACACATTATTGCCCTACACCTCGATCAGGCTTGTCCCGGTCCAGGTTCATGTCAAAATAAAGTACATAGATTGTATGTACAGGATGACTCCCAACCCTCAAGCATTCAATCTGCACATCCATGTGTGAAGAAGACTCGCTTCGAGAAATCGGGGATAAACTTTGTTTCCACGCTAACACGCTCCTGCACGAGTTCGTATCTCAACCATCTGAGACGAATAGAGTCGAGAGCACGTTGAAAGCCTCCGAGATCATAACCTGGCCTTGCAACAACAATCTGACGACCTCTGTATGCTAGAATATTCACCGCGGACGATATTATGATTTGCTAGAGCTTTCAACACGACGACTTGAGGCACCGCAGAGATGCAAGCTCAGCGCTCCATTCAACGAAGGTCGCCAGCAGCCGATCCAGGACCTCCTCCTACGGTGCCTGCTCGGTCTATGTCACCAAGTGGTCCTGGAATGCCACCGCGCACATCATCTTCGTCTGCGAAATTGTCACAGAATGGGAGTCGGAGGCAAAATGTGAGTTCAGCGAGCATGGCGCAACCATGGCACGCCCCATCTTCTCCGGCCTAATGCCACCTCGAGATTGCTCCATATACTGATATCAAATTGCTGCAGACCAGTCAGCCTCCCCAGGGTAGCCCAGCAAATCCACCACTATCGCAGATCGAAAAGAGCGTCACACATCTCCTGGTAGCTACCAAACAGCTCCTCGAAACGCTCACACAATGGTCCCGACACCAAGCGACAGATTCCCAAGTCTCGGATGTGTATGTACGATTAGGTTACGAGTTCAATATTGCTTGCAGGGCATTTTCTGCGATAAACGTCGATATCACCGACCTGGGCAATGTTCCAGAGCTTCTTCGTCACATACTTGAATCCACACTTAGTCAGGAGGCAAGCGTGGAAAGTTTGGAGAAGTATTTACCCCGAATACGGGACATAATCATAAATTTACTCCACGGCTTGAAACGCAAGCAGCAGAAACTACGGCAGAAGCAAACGAGAGACAGTGCAAGTCAAAATGGTGATGGATCTATACCTCGGAATAGCAGCGTTGGCAGTGTTGCCAGCGGGAACACAGGTCTTACAAGCCTGCTAGACCAAGGAATCGCGAATAACTACCAGTCGGGAGACAGTGGCCCAGATGGGAGGGAGAATGTAGGTGGGAATGATACTAGCATTCCCCCGAGGATGTCCTCAGCATCTACGAATAGAAAGGGTCTGCCTGACAGAGTTAGGTCAAGAGAGTCTTTGTCTTCTGGAGGTTCGACTATGTCAAGTTCTACAATGCAAAGTATGCCCATTTTGCCGCCTTATCCTGGAGACGAGGCGCCATTGCCAATACCACCTGAGCAAGAGACAGAGCTGGAGAGGTTTCCACCTCCACCTCCTCCTCCCAAGCAACAAAATCCTTTGGCGGCTTTACAACGTGGTGGCGACTTGGAACGAAGGGCCTCGAGAAGGTACTCCGCCTATCAGATATCAAAACATCTTGGAGGTACAAATGGCATTCCAATGCTACCACCAGCACAAAATTCTCCAATACCGAATAGAGGGAGAAATGATGCTCGAGAGTCTATGCGAGCTGTACAGAACCGAACGGACCAACGACATGTACGACAACAGTCAACTCGCATACAAACAGATGTTTCGCCTGCTCGTATACCAAGTCGTATCTCCGAAGAGGGGAATGACGCTCCCGAGATCACACCTCCTGCGGAACAACCAGCAGACGATAGCCCCATGGCAAAGACGCCTGAAGACAAAATTAGACAATCCGTTGTTGATTTTGACGGTCTAAGTGCTACTTTACAAGGCCCACCTTCTGATTCCCTGCCAATATTGTCTGAACCAGAGAAAGAAGACCAGCAATTTCCTGAGCCACCTAAGCACCAACACTCCACATCTTCTACTTCCACCGTTCGACCACAGCCTCAACAAAGGGACCAATTCACGCCTGAACCTTCTCCTCCTCCAGGGAAAGAACTCACTCTTTTTTTGCAGTACAAAACAAAGGTTAAGAAGTTTGTGCTGCAAGATGGGTTCAACGAACTCTCCCTAGCACGACTTCAGCTAGCATTCATGGACAAATTTTCTTGGAATACTCATAGTACCGGGGTCGATTTACCTGAAATATACATTCAAGACCCCGTTTCAGGTGTTCGTCATGAATTGGAAGACCTCAGCGATATAAAAGATCGCTCAGTTTTGGTGTTGAACTTCGAGGTTTTGGACGAAGTGAAGCGTCACATTGATGAAGGGCTCGGTGGCATCAGAAAAGTCGTTGAAGGAGTGAAAAATGCCGTCGATGATCAGCAAGCTGCAATTCAACGTGTTTCTGATCGCCAACAGGACGCCGCGAAGGAGATTGCACGGCTAGCAACAGCACCTCCTCCCTCAACTGTGACTTCCGGCAGCATAGCAAGATCGAGTGGATTTAACACCTCAAAATTGGCCAGTCCAGCTCACTTGAACGAGGTTCAGAGCCTGAAGCGTGATCTGGCTGTCATTCGTCAGACTTACTCTAATTTCCAGTCTGAGATTCGGGATTCCATGAATACCATACGCAATAAAGCTTCTTCTGTCAAGGTAGAAGCAGCTAAAACACTCATTCCCAAACTTGATGACGAGTCTGGGAGAGCATATGTCAATGAGAAGAAGAAAAAGCTTAATTCAGAATACGACACCCTTGTGGGTCAAGTGGATGATCTTCAAGATCTTATTGAAGAGCTTCGCAAAGATGTTGTCACGCGCGGTGTTCGTCCTTTGCCACGACAATTAGAGACTGCTGCCAAAGATCTAGCTCAAGCAACGATGGGTTTGAAGAAGATAAGGTCTGCAGTGGATCGCGAATCTCCACTCTTCACAAAGGTATGGGAGAGAGAACTCACCCAAGTTGCAGACGATCAAGAGAGCATGAAACAGCAGAAGCAACTGAACGAGGATCTCCAAACGGATCTCGAGGAAGTTGCAGAGGTGTTAGCTCTCGTCGAGCAAGCCACCAAAGAGCAAATGAAAGATGCTCCAGGCGCAAATGCAACTCGCAACATCTCCCAGACCCTCCGGCACGTCATCGCAGCAGATCCAGCCGAAGCAAAAGAAGGTGTCCTAGGCCAAGTCCGCGCTCTGCAGCCCAACCACGAGAGCCGTCTCGAAGCAATCGAGCGCGCCGAAAGGCAGCGCCAGAAAGATCTCGAAAGTAGACGAGGCGGCGAGTTCCAGAAAGAACTAGGGGCATTCGTGGAAGAAGGGAAACTGAAGAAAGCAGGAGGCTTCGAGGAGGTTGAGCGGGCGAGGAAACTTAAGGATGAAAGGATACGGAGAGAAGTGTGGGAGAGGCAGAACGGCATGACTCAAGCGGACGCCACTGCCGATGAGCCAGCCGGAGACGAACCTCCCGCCGAAGAAGGGGAGGAAAATGCAGAGGGGGGAGAGGCACCAGATGAGATTTGAGGATTAAATCGAGGGTTGTAATTTTTTTTCACTTTCCATGTCACAAAGGAACGAACGTCTTGACATACATACATCGGTTCTATGTTTTTTTTTTCCTTCTTCTTGCTGGTCTGGATTATCTTACTACTTTAACGATGAACTTTTTATGAGGTGCTTGCTACTAGGGTAGTTAGTTGCGTTGTGTTGCGTTGAAGCATGGCGTTGGGTTTAGGTACATGCATGCATCTATCTCTCTTTCTTCTGCGTGTGGTTGTCGTGTAAATCAGAGATTGAAGATTGGAGATGGAGAAGGAGAGAGAATATGATTTAGGGAGGAGGGAGGAAGTGAGGGAAGGATATTTTTGTTGACAGATGGAATGAATGAATGGATGAGGCGGGTGAGTTTTTCCTGGACATAGGGTTAAATAGTGGGTCAAATGGATGGTGGTATTATATTGTGTATTCTTGGGATGTCCTTCTTGCTGTGTAGTTCTTTGTGAGATTTAATGTGTGTCGAAATATCGGTCATTCGGTGACGGGGAATGCTGTCAAATCCTGCCGGAAAATGTCTAAGGATTCGAAGGATAATTAGGTGTTTCTCAAGGTCGTATTTCAACCTGACTGAGTAGCAGATAGTAAGTCTATGACTTGGGATATGAGTCTTGTATGCAGAAAGATGCTAGAAGTTCAGGATAACGATCCCTCTTCAGACCAGCTATTCATCTCGCTAACCCCTTTCCCGCTCGGTAAAGCCCCTGACAAGGAGAGCTACCTATCATTCCAGACCTTTCAGAAACAGAAATCTTCACCAGTCATGCACCCTCAACAATCATAGGCTCTGGAAACTATCTAAGGAGGTTGAGAGAAGCTTAGAACTCCGTTCTAGCTCTCTTATTTGGTGGGAGTAGAGGCCCTCGCTCTTCATAAGGTATCGAGTCTCGGGAAGTGACCCATCCAAAGTCCCAAGAAGTGGAAACACTGAGATCGAAAATAGGCAAATCGAAGTCTGATCTAAAAGCTATTTTTTTGTAGAACGACTTTTCCTGTGAAGGTTTTCCAACTCGTGTGGCGGCTTGGGTACGCCTGACCCTATTTCCGGTACCGCCCTACTGATCCGCTGCCCAGGATGCGATGCGAGCTCGTCCGAGTCCGATGGCGGCGACTCGGGACGGAATATGGAGGAACCACTGGTTTCGCTGAATATTGAAGTTGCGAATGTTGATGGTACACTCGAACTTGTTCCAGATGATCCAGGGCGTGTTTGCGGAGGTCCACCAGAACCTGATGCCATTGCATACGAGTTGAATGATTGGTCGAGGAATGGCACTCCGGTCTGAAGACCATAATCTTCATATCTTTCCACGTCGAACTTTTTGGTAATGGTTCCAAGGAGCATTTTGTATACGTTACCGCGTGCGGGTTCAACATCGATTGAACAGCTAGATTTGTCTATCAGTTTGGACCATGACGAGGGTGAAAAATTAGGGCCACATACACGTTAACGTCTACAAAGCGGAAGCGCCCATCATCTAGCCTGTTCAGCCTATCGATTGCCACCGGATCGTCTCCGAACCGAATGAATTGGATTGCAACCGATGGACCATCATGTCCCAACCTGATCAGTGTTTCCCTTAAATTGCCTGCTACTACGTCTCTCTGTGATTCATCTTGCCAGATGCCATCGGTTAAAACATAAAGCAAGAGAGGTTGACCGCCCTCTCTCCGTATAAGACGTAGATGTGCATTTACGATTGCGAGCAGTCGGAACAACAAGTTCGAGCCATTTCCAATTTTCGGTTTAGCAACCGAGCTTCCCATTGCTGCAACGATGTCTTTGAAACCCTGAAAGAATCGCGAGTGCTTACTTCCCTCAATCTTTAGATGGCTCGAGCCAAATTGCAAATCGATTCCGTTGCCTTCTAGACCACGGAGTTTGAAGAGGAGAGTTTCGAGCAGATAGGTAGCCTCGTACCAATATGGTATCATGGTTTCGCTGTTATCAACCAGGAATATCTGTAATGTTTCAGCGCAGCTCACTTCTAAATATCCAGGGCAAGGACTTACGATATCAAAATTGTGAATGTAACGGGAAAGGGTCTCGTCCTTGCGCATCCTGCCAAGGATTTGTCCCTTTTGAAGTTTTTCGAGCTCTTCTCTTGCTTGGAACACATTTTGGTGCATACTGTCCGGCTGGGCGAACCCTGGTATGGTTGGTGGAATTCTGGGACGAAGAGGACTAGAAGTTCGCTGTAGAACCCTTGAGGGATGTTCGACAGCTTCTAAAGCGGACGAGCGGAGACTTTCCTTGGACAGGCGTTCTGGTAGAGCAGCTGAAGATGGCTCATCGGCAATCGAAGCCGGTGCAGATGAAGTCGCCGTTGAGATAGTCGACAAACTGGAGCGCAATATGCCGGGAGGGTTATCATCCTCTGTTTGCAGAATTGATAGAATATCCTGAGGAATCTCTTGGTTCCTGCGTACAGCCAAGACTTGTCTCTGAATAGCGTCGAGCCCGAGGCAGATCCCGTCTGCATCGAATCTGGGGATACTATTTACGAGCATCCTGCGGTCAACTAGATCAAGGACTCGAGAAGTGACTTGATCGGATGTGCGAAGTGCAGTTCTGAGAAATATGTGCCAAGACAGAACACCTGGAAGCACCTTTGAGCCGTCATGGAAGAAATCGTCGATGTCGATTCGCACTTGGTCCTTTGAAGTCGTTCCCAACAGTTGCTGGAGGTTAACCCGACCTCCAATCTCTTGGGCCCGAAGAGCTCTAAATTGGCTGATGCCCTGCGAGCCCAGAACTATCCATGTAGCAGCAACAGAAAACACACAGCCAAGTGACCATATATCGATATTGCGCGAGATTTTGGATTTGGATAGACTACGCTGGCGATAGCATTCAGGGGCTCCTACATCTCCAACATCAATAAATGCATCGCTATATCATCTCGATATCAAAAGGACTTCAGTCTTACCATATGACTCAGCTCCCCCGCGAAACACTCCTAGCTGTTCTGTGCCAGGTCTGGCAAATTTGGTAAATCCAAGATCCGCCAACTTGAACTTCCCGTCGATGAGGAGGATATTGTCTAGCATGATGTTTCCGTGTAATCTACTTCCGTTAGAGACCAATGATGTTGACTTAGTGCAGATGACTGACCCCTGTTGATATGGTCGGCTAAGGTTATGAATACTTCGGACAGCTCTAGCTACATCAAATAAACGTTTCCAGAAGGCATCCACTTCAGACCGCAGGACTGGTGGGTTTTTGTTCAAGAAGAACTCGTAAAGATCTAGCTCTGCCGTTTCCAAGATTAAATTATAAGTGGTCTTGAATTCTTGATGGACTCCGTCCGATTTATCGTCCAAAGAACTTTTCAACGACTCAGGCCTTCTCTTAGATTGCTCAGATCTTTCTCGGTGGGTGTACTCTCCTAGGCAAGTTATCATGCCCCCTTGTTCTCGTAGGGCGACAAAAGCGTCCCTCTCGGCATTGAAAAGGTCTCTTTCATCTTCTTCGAATACTTTCAAAGCAAAATGATACCGCTGAAAGCTAGTCAGCTAGGTTATATTTCGTAAGGACATGCATCAAAGCAAGTCACATGGAAAAAAGATATGACTTACAGGACCAAGTTCATCATCTGTTCTATTGTAGCGAGAACTCTTTACTGCCTCTCTCAGACTGTGCCCCAGAAATTCTTCAGGAACCTCGACTTCCCACAAACTTGCTATGCCCCCATCATTGTCGATTCTGACCTTTCGAGAAAAGGGCATTATCTTGATTTGAGAATATTCCCTGCCCATGTGAAGGTCAAGTCTCGCTGGACAATATTTCCATTGCAGCTGGTGGAAATGCATTGCAACTTTTTCTGCATCAGCAAGCCTCATTTGTCGGCATATGCTTCGTAATGAATATAGGTCAACTGGGAGATGTTTGTCTGCCTTGTCGAGGCTCAGAAATTTAATGACAAGCTCCCCGTGACCCAGTTCTAGGAGTATACTAAAGATCAAGAAGCAACCATCAATATCACGAACCCTTGGCTGGCCCTGATATGCGTATGTAGAAGCCAGGAGACGTTCTGCTTGCGTGATTTTGCGGTTTCCATGTTGTACAGTGCTCCTGAACCATTCCGTAAGCTTTGATACCAAGACGAAGGGACGTGTGGAAACGCTAGCCACTGTGCACTTTTGCAAGACATTCATAAATCCGAGAACTGTGTTGTCGTCACTATGTGTGGAAGGTTTGAATCGAGGTGCCAAAGGGATGCTAGGCCTGGGGGTGGGTCGTATTACAGGAGGTTGAGAGGCTGTAGTATTTGACGATGGAGACAATTCGGGAATGCTTGTATCTCCAGATTCAAGCGTCTCAGGTAGTTGTGATAATTCATTTTCGGTATCAATTTCACGCCTATGCGAAGGTAAAGCTGACTGTAGCGCCGAAGTGACCCGTTCAGAACTCGGGTGCTCTGTTGATGCCCTTTTGATAGCTAAGATCTTTTTGCGTCGTTCCCAATATTCGCCTCTTTGATATCGAACTGCTTGCAACGCTTGAAGTGGTCTTGTAAGGTCAAACAGAATACCTATCAGATGATCGATCTCCAGTATCATTCTTGCCAGCTCCGATTTTCCCTCGGAGTGCATAGTCAATCTTATGCCAGTCAGCGAATAATGTCCTGGATCCTAAGGGAGTGATTCGAGAAGGGAAAAAATAACCTTTCCGATGTTTGTAACGCCTCTAGTTTACTTGTTAACTCAATGATATGGGTAGATATATCAATTTCTAGTCCATGTATCTGCAGCAAAGCATTTTTGACTAGTTCTAAAACTTCTGAGTTGGCTAAGAAGTCGGAAGGTAAGCTTAGTGTCATTCTCTTCTGCTTTCTAAGGAGGAGAATGCCAGCAATCCCGAGGCTTTACGGAAAGGATGAAGTACCATAGACATCCCCCTCATTTGTGTCGATCGGCAATGGGAAGGCGTCCAATTCCGCGTCCTCTCCGCCTTCCACTTCTATCTCGGCATTCCAAAGCTCAAAACGAACAATTTGGTCATCTAACAGCAGGATGATAGAGCTCCAAAGGCCTTGTTCATCCTTCCTTTGCTTGGAGTATTCGAGAAGACCTCGATGCAGTTGATGAAGACCCCGGAGACATAGATCATTGAGTTCATTGAGATCCGACAGAGCGATATCGTCAGTCGTAGATAATGCCGCTATCTTGAATTCAGCCATAATGTCAACTTGTTACGAATGATCTTGGTCTGGGGAGTCTGATGATGCATTTAATTATGGGAGTGATATATGCCAGTACATGTTCGACTAATCCTTGTATCACCCACGAAATCGGGAAGGTCGTTCATCTGAGGCTCGCATTCAGCTCTCATGTTTTTCGAGGCTCAAGACGGCACGGCACACACAGGCGGGACGAATGGATTGGGCGGCCTTGTTCTAGTGGCGCTCAGCTCATGCAAGCCTGGACAAATCGGGGTATGCAAACCAATTACACGCCGTAGTAAATGGCACTGTCCTCAAAAGCAATTAGTTGACCAATGCTGGAGCCCGGCATTAACGCCCGCATAGGAGCTGGGATACACAACCTCATCGTGGGTTATTCTGCTCAGCTGCACATAAGCACCTGCTAATCTCGCTTTGTGAATAGTCTGGGACTCAAGTGCCACTTCGACGCTCCAATATGATTGAAGTTGTCACAATTCTGAAAGCAATCTCGGCCAGCATTGGGGTGTTGAATTTTGCTTGGCATGGGGTAAAAGAGTTCCGAGACCATGGAAAAATAATGGCAAGATTTATACTGGATGTCCAGACCATTCATCAGTTGTTAGGACTTTGGGAAATCGAATGGAAAATCGGAGACTCGGAAGATGAAGGCATCAAGTGTTTTGGCCCAGATGGATGGAGGTTAATCCGACAACAGATCGCTTCGATTGTCGATACGAGTTTGGGACTCGTCGGCTTGCTTGCCCCACCACTGCCATCTGGAAAGAACGATACGTCGACAATATCGGAAGGAACCTCGTCTATCCCTTCTCATAGAAAGTTACTTAAACGCAGCGGCCCGCCCCCAGAAATCCTGCTCGGGAGAGAATTTCTGAACAGCCAATCCCACCAAACTCTCGAAGCACTTCAGGAATACAAAAGTTACGAGAAATTCTGCGACAAATCCTCGTCCTTTGGCCAAAAGCTTTGGGACGTCTTGATATCGAAGAATACAGACGTCTTGGAAAAGATAAAATCCCTCGCAGAAGGGTACCGCCAACTGGAAACCTTGTCCGATAGCAGTTTTGAAGCCTGCTATAAAAATGAAAACCTTTCAGCAACTATGCCTATACAGGTTCGACAAGACGCAGTCCAGAGACGATATGACTCCAAGTACGCAATTGGTTTTCGAAAGAATGCTACGAGCATCATCTACGCATCAGCTTTTCCCACTCAGGACGCCGAAAGTATTGGACTACAGCTTGAAGAACAAGTCTTGAGTGCTAGTTATTCAGTACAAGATACTGACGCTATTAACTATACCTTAATTCTTGAGCCATCCAAGCGAGAAGGATCTTTCGAACTCTCTGTCAAGGCAGTTGGACCTCGGAGACCAGAAGCAATCGAACCAGCCTCAACTTTCACAGATGCCTGTGAGCAAGCTCGGGACAGCTACCAACAGAAACGCCAGGTTTGGCTACAGGTCAACTCCAAACAAGAATTTCTATATTATTCTATCGTAGCTTCTCCATCACAGCCTGGAGGTGAAGTTTCAAGACTGGCCGAACGCCTCCGTTCCCAATACCCTGAGCAACTTCTCCCGTACCGCGAAAGTCTCGAGCTCCTCTTTCGTCTTACCTGCTCATCTTACCTTCTCTTAAACACGCCTTGGATGTCGGCGTTCAGCAGCGAATGTCTAATCATTCGAAAAGGCGGAGAAATGCCTCCCCGTTACTCGCTTGGCTTTCGAGAGATAGATGGAAGCAGATGTCAGGTCCTGAAAGCACTGCAAACCAGTTCCGAGCCGGAGGCGTACAGCATCGGAATCTTATTAATTGAGCTAGCATTGAGGAAGAAGGTGACGGGTTTCCAAAACCAACCTCTGAAGATCCAACTACTCGGCGAGGATAAGCTCGAGCCTCTTAACAAGATCATCGACCGCGCTGGGCAGAGACTGACTCGAGCATTTGCCAAGATTCTCCGGCAATGCTTTTTCCAAATTCAAGTCCCTCGGGATTGCTACGATCAAGAGCAGAAAGACGATCTCGAGCTTTACATGCTTGAGGGTTTTTACAGGAACGTTTTAAAGCCGTAAGTTTAATGTACCACGTTCTATAAGGTTTTGTGGCTCATCTAATGTAGTCTTGAAAGAATGAGCCACAAACGAATAGCTGTACCAAGCAATACCAGGCCACTTCGACCGAGGAACGTCCTTCAGCCGATAGCGACGAATTAACATTCCTGTCTTGGGAAGTGTTTCGGCATTCTAGGAGTAATAGAGTGTCTTCAAATCCCCATATTGAATATCGAGTCATGCTGCGAATACAGATCTTCGAATGGATGCAAATTAGTGGCGTTGTCTCGACGAGATATATGGCCAAGAGGTTGAGGTAGCTTGCAATGTAAAATGCGGTTCAGATGTCCTTTCTTCACACCCCAGAAAGTTAGGTAACTCAAAAAGTAATTTGAAGCTGAACCTGAGGCGGAAGATCCCGTCTAGAATGCGATATCGAAATGTCTATTCAGCAGTGCTGTGAAAAAACCCATATGCTTTACAAATTTCTGTTCTCCTCATATGCTTTGACCTGTATCAAGGATTTAGCGCCCACCAGCGCTCTCACTTGACAGCTATTCCATACTTCTCATATGGGAAATCTGCCAAACTAATCCTCTGCTCCGCCCACCCATCACCTATCTCTCCCACCACCTCACCACTCATCTCTTCCTCCCCTTCCTCTCCCCGTCCAGCCAAAACCAGATCTTCCTTCCCCTGCATAACCTTCGCCAAATCCTGATGTGGCACCCAAACCACCCTCATCCCAGCTCTTCTCCCGGCAACCACACCAGGAACAGCATCCTCAAACACCAAACACTCTTCTGGCTTAATCTTCTCTTCTCCTTCCTCGAGAGTCTCATTGATGGCTTTAAGCGCCAAAAGATAGATATCTGGAGACGGCTTTCCTCTCCCCTTCGCAATCCTAGTATCATCTCCCAGAATCTGTCTATTCTCCGGAAACAAAGTAAACATATCCCCCAAACGACTCGTCTTGATCCCAAAATGCCATTTCGAGCTACTCGTCGCGAGGGCAATATGTACTTTCCCCGTGTTGTTCAAATCTTGCAACAGTTTCAAGGCACCGGGTAATGGTTCGGCTTTCCTGAACTCGATGTCTTGGATCGCGTGGAGTTTGGACGTGTATTCGACAGCGTCGATGTGTGTTAGATTGAAATAGGCCAAGAGGCGACGAATTGCTTCGGCGGCGGGTCGGCCTTGGAGTTGGGGTTTTATGATCCAGTCCATGGGGCCGGCGGAGTAGGTTGATAAGAGGATATTATGACACTGGGTGTAGATGTCCTCTGTGTTTATGAGAAGGCCGTCCATGTCGAAGAGGCATGCCCTGATTGGGGAAAAGCTGGGTGGTTGTTAGATAGATATTTATTGCGAGTGGGAGAGCTTACTCTGTTCGTGGAGTTGCCATGCTGCGTGGGTTTAATTCCACTATTGTCTTTAAATGCCGAAATTGTGTCTCGTTTGTAGGAGTATTGAGATCCCAAATGTTGCGCTTATTGATTTTTGACGAGGTGAGTCGCGGTAGATGCAACGATAAATGCTGTACAGCCAAGCAAGCCTCTCGGCGTGACTCAGAAATACAAATTTCAACAAAACATTTATTGCAGCTTGAATTCACGATAATTGGCAAGAAAAATTTGAGATTTATTTGGCTATCTTTAGTCAATTTCAAAAACTGTTGCAATACTGAGTCCTTTCCAAGCATATCTACAAATGGACGTAGAAGAGAGTACAAATAGTAACATAAAGAGCAAAGCGAAAAGCGAAACCCTGACCCTCGAATTAAGAGGTAAATTAAGCCACAACCCTTATCTTAGACTCCATTCCAGGAACGAGTTCTTCCTGCACGAAACCTTAATAATCATATGACGTGCGTACCTCGCAAACACGCCCCTTCCAAAAAGAACACCTCAACAACGAGCATGTCCCCCAAGTCACTGTGCCAAAATACGCCAAGATGCCAATCGTGCACATAGTCCTTTTTGAATTCAAGCCGTCGACTGAGAGTGAAGTTATCCATGATGTACGTTGATCGTTAGACTTATGGCGGGGTTAATGCGGGGTCCTGAAACGCTGTATCCGAAATTTCGAATTGGAAGCATAAGACCGAGAAAATTTGCTGATATGAAGGTTTAGGTCTGCAGACGTATGCTAGCATTGAAGCAGAATTGCGTCCATCCTACGACTAAGCAAGCATACATCCTAGATAGCACGGGCGGAAGAGATAATTCTCCTGAAGGACATCAAGTAGTTCCGGCCCCCTCTCTATACACCCTCCTCTCGTTGCTGGGAAGCGGAGTTCAAAGGAATTTGTGGCTGATGTTAGAATGTGTTAGGGTGCTTTCACGCATGCATTTGTTTCCCATTTCGCGAGCGAAGAGGATCGAAGATATTACTTAGAGGAAGATCCGGAGCATTTGGCTTTCGTGAAGAGTTTGGAGAATATCATTCAGAATATTAGAGTAGTGGATTACAGTCCTGGCATATTCTGAAATGAGGGTAGAAGAGATATCAAGTCTCAATGAAATGGGAATGTGAGCACAAGCCATGCGAAATGCAGGCAAGATGTTGTCTTAGATGTACAAGTACGGTACCGTCTAGCGCATATCTGGCAGACGTTTCTTCATTTTGAATGCTATTTTGCATCGATAAGCCATCTAGTGCTGATGCTGGTATCCAAGCCAAAGCCAAACGCCATCCCAATGCAATGCTATGCTCATGATCGTTGAAGTCTAGTGGAAAGAGAGGTACTCGTAGGCCTTAAACCTTGAAGGATTCGCCACAACCGCATTGTTCCGCTGTAAATAAATGTTAGTATAAGGCTAGTGTTTATAGGGTAAGTTATGCTTACTGATGTTCGGATTGTTGAACACAAATTTTTGGTTCAGCTTATCCTCGACCCAGTCCATCTCACTTCCAATGATGCTGAAAAGTGCTTTGCTGTCAACAAGGACCTTGACACCATCTTGCTCAATCTCCTCATCAAATGCTCCCGGCTTCTCAACGTACTCCAGACTGTATGCCAATCCGCTGCAGCCACGATTCTTGACCCCAACTTTGATGAGCTTCGGATATGGTTGATTCAGCATTTCCTTCAGCTGGCCAACTGCTCTCGGTGTGAGACTCATGGCAGCCTTGCGTGCTCGTAACTTTGGTCTGGTCTTGGCTCGAGGTTGTGGCGAAGTTGGTTGCGACTTCTGAGCTTCTTGCTCTGTGAGACTAATGCTTGACTTCTCCTCCGCGGGTTGCTCCATGCCAATATCATGTTGCCCAGTCTGCTTCGGTGGTCTGATGTCGTTGACCTGGGGAATGCCCCCGGCAATCGAAGTGTCGGGAATGCCCGCGTTTCTTGGAGGAGGTGGTGGTGTAGCTAAGGAGTATGGTTGGTAGGCAGTGCTGGTTTGCATCTTCCGCTTCGAGGACATCTGCAGAGATTGAGCAGAAGAGAAGCTTCGTAGGACATGTTGGGAGGGACGAGCAGCAGATGTTGCTGGCAAGGAGGATAGCCGGAGGAAGAAGAAGTTGTTTGATGGCATTGCCAGTGGGCCCAGTACTCGTTGTACAGACATCTTGATGGTCACAGTCGATCAGATTAAGGTAATCAGATCTAAAGCAGTCCGAAACGTTGTAGATGTTCAAGGGAGGAGTCAAGGCCTTGAGTACTATCCTCGTTGGTAATCTGGCGCCACTTTGATGAGCGCATGCAGACAAATCACGGAACAACGATTGACCGATGAACCAATCACCGCCTGTGTATTTCTAAACAGAACGATGGGCGCCTGAGGCAGAGAACAAACGGTTCAGTGGCAGGAGTGAAAGATGTGAAGACAAGAATGGTCTCATAAATTTCAGATATAGTACTAAAGAAGCATTCAAAGGTGGCTTCTAGTGCTTCTTCCAACCTTCCACAAACTCCCATCCCCATAAACGGTGAAGTGATGTAATATATGAGGAAGCCGCTAGGCCATTAACGCTCTAGTATAGCTGCAGATCATATCTCGGCTCGAGATTCCTTAAAATATTGGGACGCTTGTCGGGTCGGCGCTGACGAGGCAGATGAAAGATTGGTGGTTATTAAAGAAACCCGACAAAACAAAACACATTGAAACAGCTTTGGCAACCTCCTTTGCTCTTGTGTACGCTGGCTCTTCATAGGACTTCTTGTCATGCAATGAAGGATGGAGCCTTCGCCTTTGACCCAGCAGGCTCGTCCGGATGTTTTCCAACAAAAGGTCGTCTCGCTATATGAGGACTTGTTCAAGGTACGACAGACTCCGTTGTCTGGCAGATATATGGTAACACATTGTAGGATGAAGAAGACCATGAGAAATCGGAAGGATATTGGAGGGAATTCTTTCTCTTGAAACCAGACAAGTCCACATTACAGAAACTCATCCACGACTTAAGCCCCGACGATCTGCTGCATCTCCAGGTACGAGGCTGAGTTACAACAAAGGAAACAATGATTCTGAACTGCGACATAGGACCAGACACGACAATTGTTTTCGAGGGCAGTTGGATGCATAAAATCAGGAAGTGCTCCAACTGATGCGCATGCGCTCGACGTGAGTCTGAAGTTATCCCTTGATTCAGGACGAGGCTGACAGAATAGACCATCACCGCCTTCCTCGCATCAGTCCTTCCAAAGAAATACACGAACCCGAGCTCCGACATTATCAACGTCATTGCTGGGCTAGACCGAGTCGATGCTGTCTTCACAGATTTTGTTGCTGCGCTGGATATTACAATCAGGACAGGTCGGAATTGTAAGCTCTCTGCTACAATCCTCGCGCTACGGACATACTTATATTTCTATAGTGGATATTCGCCAAAAAGCCATCCAGGTTGCCTTGTCCGTAGTCTCCGGTGCATACCAGACGAGTCTCCTTTCGTTCTTCATACACCGCGATCTCTTTCCGTCTCTTATGAAAGTATGTTACTCTGCCCTCGCCAAATGGATCAAGCTCACCATGTTAGTTTGTACAAGATTCCGATACCACTTCTCGCGCATTCGAACCCTTCACTCTTCTTGGCCTTTTAGCGAACTACAATAAATTCGAATTTCAAAACCCCTATAGGTTACGGTTGGACGATTTCGTCAACGAGGGTACCATACAGAAGATAATAAGATCTGTGGGACGAACTTGCGCCATCTCACGTGGGAAATATGTCACAATACAGGATGATTTACCGGAAGGCTGGTCAATTGGCAGTACATTGACCATGATAGGGCTAGGAGCAATAGCTCCCGCTGGTACCAAAAGTGCTACTCCGGCCATTGACCCCGACTTAGCCAAAGAGATGTTTGCGAAGCTGTATGTTTGAGGACTCCTCTTTTGAATACAAGCTGACTATTCACAGACCAGGAAGTGAAGCTGCTGTTTTGCTGGCCACTTATGACTTCGCACACGCGAACAAGCTATTTTGTTTCAACTTCGTATCTCTGCCCGGAGAAAAAGGAGTCGAGGCACCTATGAGTAGTTTCCTGTCTCTGACCTCATACCTACTGCAGCACGCACACTCATCCTTAAGGACGACGCTGTACTCGCATCTTAACCTACTGATCCTACGGCTTTTCATTGAAGATCAGATTCTCTGCAAACGCATATGTAGCGAAGAGAGCAAGCTCTCCATTAGGCTATGCCGCCAAAGACAACCATACCTACCGCTAGTCAGAGGTGACAGGATATTGGCAGCTACAATATTGGATACGATGATAGATGGAATCAACCATAATCTACGGCGGCGACTTGATGTGGATCTATACATTCTTTGCGTGGGCACTATCTTACGAATAATCTCTCACCTTTCTCGGTCTCGAACACGGCTCCATTACCACTGGTCAGAGCTGTTCAGATCTCTTCTGTCCTTGGTCCGCTTTCTTACGACCTATACGGCGGATTTAAAACAGAGCAGCCACATCGAGATTTTACTTGACGATCTTGTGAACTTGATTGCGCTATCGCTCTCGGCAGGTGAAGCATTTCTTCCGGGTCCGGCGGCTTACGATGATCTTTTCTACAAATTGGTAGAGACAGGAGAGACATTGGTGAAGTTCCGGGATAACTACGACCTGGGAAAAAGGCCGACAAGTTCAATAGAGACCTTGATCAGCGTTAGCACGCATTACAACCAGCTGCTCGCCGATGGAGCATCGGGAAGGAGAGGCAAGCAGTTGACCAGCGCACAGGTTGCTGGTGTTATCAAGCAAGGGTACGAGACCTTGAGCATCCAAGCGAAAGAAGGGCTGGATAGCTGGGACAAATATCGAGAGGCTGACAAAAAGAACTTCCTCAAGAAGATGGCTCGAGCTGCTGTCACTGATGTCAAAACTCTCATTGAGGAAAATTGAGGAGCCTTTGAACAGCTTATAACTGCGATTCTAACTTCCAAGTTGTGATATGGTCGAGAAGACATGTGATAGGTCGCGGCTGACGCCAAGATGTCCAATTATGTGCTTGGTTATGCGGCTAAAGATGGCCACCGATTCAGGAGCCGCGGTGCTTCAAGTCTAAAATGGCTGCTGGTCGGGCGGTAAGTGACCTTGCGGCGGCGCTTCTAGACAAAGGCACCTAGCGAATCAAAGGTCAGTGAGGCAAACTCTTGAAACCTAACTTGAAGGAACACGACTTTGAATACCTATTCCCGACACTTTCCGGGCCTGACCTGAGTCACAACTGCATCTGCATCTTCAAGTACAAGTACTCGTGATTGACTCCGCCTCGCACGATGAACAAAAAATCACTGTGAGTGGAAGGTGTTCGTGAAGATCAGATTTTGCAGGGATCAAAAGCTGGTTTGTTGTACTGTAGACCCGGAAGTGCCCGAAGTTCAAGCGAGTGGCTGTCATTGTTTCAGGGGAGAAAGCTTGCTGCAACATCACAACTCTCACATCTTGAAAATGAATGTACCTAGTGTACCTGCCTCCACCAGACATTGATGCAGGCAAGATGCAGCCATGCGCAGGCCGTCAGGCACAGCCACCTTCGGTGGTGACCTCTTCTTTTGATGCATTTGCGTCAGAGTGCATCGGTGCTTCCTCATTGAATTTGAGGGTGGGCAGACCACGGAAGAGCTGATGCTTTGATCGAATAAAGGAAGCAACAATCTCTCGCCGGAGGCGACTTCTGAGAGAAGATGGGGACCTTCAAACTTTCGCACGCTCCATCCTGGTCTCCCCTTGCAAAGAGATCTTCTGGTATTGGCATAATCGTCTTATATGATCAGCTCCGAATTCCCAGCTATCACCATTCCGATCTCAGAAGCATCGCAAGTTCATCCTATGGAGCAATCACCTAGCATTACGAAGCAGTGATACGAGAATTCTTACCAATTTCCGTCGGACGTCTCGAAGAGCCGCCAAAACGTCGCATCTCAGTCGTGGTCGTCAATCAAAGAACGGTTGGCTGTGAGCTCTCCATCCAAAGCGGCTATTTCGGGCCTGCGCCTACCTTTGTCGCTGCAGCATCGAGTCGTCGAGGATTCTCGCCTGACGACTTATTTTGGAATTCGAAACAAAGATATCTTTGTTTCGAGTTTTTTTGATTCGTTCGAGTCTCTTGGTCGTAATATTGGCCCTTTCATGGTCTTAAGTGTACGTCCTCCGCTTCCATCTCGTCTCTTCGATTTTCAATTCACTTTCTCGCGTATTTTTTTACTATTGTCCTCGACTACACAATAATAATTTCTTCTTGTATCGAATCGTTCACGAACACAATACTAGTGATTGATTCACACGAGTTTCATTTGTCTGAATAATTCTACCTTAATCGTCATCCTTCTGCACATAAAATCATCCTGCAAACTTAATACCTTCCCTACAACGAACCTCTTTCTTGGCAAACAAATCGATCTTCTACAACAACATCATCGAGTAAAATACTTGCATAATGTTCGCCGCCCTGACTGGAATCAGGCGCCTCTTGGCTACCCACACAGACATGTCCTCCAGGATGCCACCGCAGAGCTTCCCTGCTGTACCCTCAACTCTCAACGCTGGCGATCTCGAGATGCGTGACTGGAACTCACCAGAAGAAGTTCGAGCTCATACGATACCTCAGTATACACCATATCTCGGCCTCCCATCCCGGTTATCGCAAGTATGGATAAATCGATGGACAGTCTTGATCATCTTGATCATATGTCGACTCCTGCTCGCCACCCAAACCATCAACTACGATCTGGCCAACGCCAAAGCAGAAGCGTTATCAGCATGCACTAGCGTCGAGAATGTTGGCAGTGCTATGGCTTCGATGCCTCATTATCTCTCCGATGGAGTTAATGCCCTCGCCGCCGATGGTGTCACAAAGGCTGTCAATGGACTCATGGACATGCTATCGCTGACTGTGACTGGAGTGGAAGAAATCGTCCTTTTCTACATCAACATGCTGACTTCGACATACGTGTGTCTCATCACCTTGGTCGTCGCTGGCAGTCTGCACGCCGCAATTGCGGTAATGGAGGATGTTGCAAACTTCATGAATTCGTCCATTGCTAGCATCACAGGGGATATGGCATCCGATCTTTCCACCTTTCAGAACGGCCTCAACTCCTTCCTATCCGACATCAACATTGGTGGTCTCCTTGGAAGTTCGAAAAACCCTCCTTCAATCAACCTCACATCGCAGATCAACAGCCTTACACATATCACCGTCGATCCAACCAAATTTGATGCCGACTTGACGAAGCTCAATTCCTCCATTCCTGATTTCTCCCAGGTCCACAACTTCACAAATAACGTGATCCAGACTCCTTTCGAATTGGTCAAAAGTCTCATCAATTCTTCCATGGCGGCTTATACCTTCGACAAGTCTGTATTCCCGGTGCCCCAGAAACAAGCTCTCACCTTTTGTTCCGACAATCCAGCCATCGATAACTTCTTTGGCGGTCTCACAAAGGTTGTTTTTGATGCCCGAAAGATCTTCATCATCGTGTTGACCATTGTCGCTATTTTGGTCTGCATCCCTATGGCATTCCAAGATATTTGGTCATGGCGAACGATGCTTGAAAGAGCAAGACTCATACAGAAAATGGCTTTTGATCCCCTTGATGTACTTTATCTTGCCAAACGACCATATACTTCAACAGCCGGTGTTCGGTTGGCTGGCAAGATGCCCGGCCCAGAAGGCTCGAAAGCCAAGATCCTTGCCCGTTGGTTTGTCGCTTACGCCACCACCCTTCCAGCTCTGTTTGTGCTAGCTCTCGGCGTTGCTGGCTTGCTCACTTGTTTCTTTCAATTTCTGGTCCTCAAGGCCATCGAGAAAGAAGTTCCAGTACTTGTGCAAGAAGTTGGAGATTTTGCGGACGTCGTAGTGAGCGCCCTTAACAATGCCTCTACGGCTTGGGCCATCGGTGCCAACGCAGTCATCAACAGCACAAACACCAAAGTGAACGACGATGTATTTGGCTGGGTTAATACGACCACTTCAGCGTTGAACGATACTCTCAATGCCTTCTCCGATGAAATGACGATAGCTTTGAACGATACTTTTGGCGGCACAATTCTATATCAGCCTGTTACCGGTCTTTACGAGTGCTTAGTCGGCCTGAAGATTGCCTCTTTTGAGAAGGTGATCACATGGGTCCAAGATAATGCTCATGTCACATTCCCCGAGTTTCGTGATGATGTATTTTCTCTTGGCGCAGCAGCAAGTATCGCGCCTAATGCTTCGACAGCCGACTCCTTCTTGAGCTCTCCTGGCAACAGCACTACCGACGGGATCACTAATGCTATCATCAAAGTCACCACTAAGCTAGAAGAGGCCATCAGACAAGAGGCGATAATTGCTGGATCTTTGGTCGGATTGTGGTTCGTGGTCGTCCTGATGGGATTGGTACGAGTTCTGTGGGCACTCTGCGCAAGAGACAAGACTCGCGCAGAAGGTGGAGCTGCTGGATACACAGGCGACAATCGAAACCCTATCTCTCCTCAAACCGCACATCGCAACGACAGTGGAACTTTCCCAGAATTTGGTGAACCGGTCAGCTCTGTCTATCCAACGAGGAGTCCAGAAGATCATTGGCAAGTCCCTGCATATCCAGACGATGAGAAAGTGATGGGAGCAGTGGGCCACGGAAGCTACGAGAGGAATGAGGCGCCTCGGTATCAGAGATCAAGTAGCTACGGGTTGGTAGCAGATGTCAAGCGATGAGTTCGGTAGATCTTGGCTGGTCCTTGACGCCTGACAATCCTTTGTATACGCCAGTCGGCGAATTTAATGTTTAGGGTTATGGAGAAAAGGTTTAGACATTTCTTTCACAAGACACACCACAACTCCATTCTTTTAGAAGATGCAAGAAAGCCCATGAAGGAGGGCAGGACAAGAGTGGGAAGCATCTTTCTTGTGGTGGATATATCAGTTTCGAAGGCACCAATTCCTGACATATTGGATTGTGTGCACTTAGCATAGCTTCAGTAGGATATCAGAATGGATATCTTTGATTCTAGTCTCCTCTGTTTTTCTGCGTGATTCATGTCTGTGAGCTGCTGTGAATGTAATTCTCACGATTTAAGATCAAGGTAAGATCTGAGATTTCTTAACAGTCCGTCCTAGAAAAAGCCTACTACTCAAATCCGCTCTATGGCCCGATCTCACGCCCAAAGCACGAACACCGAGGATCTAGACTATAGACAAGATCAACTCTACAGCGTCTATAGAGCGGCGACGAAGAAAGCCTGTAAAAATGCTGTATCCATACAAAGCCAGCAAACATTAATCCATTACAAGCTATAGAATTCTATTAACCGCTCAATGACTTTTTCAGCGCCTCCAGCTGCTCCAAAACCGCAGAGCGGCTAGTTCCTCCCGTCGTAGACTTCAATTCCACAGAGCGCTCGTAATCGAATACGCTTAGTACATCGTCACCGAATCTCTTGTCCACGCTTTGGTATTGCTTGACGGTGAGCTCGTTCATGCCTTTGTTCTCGTCCTCGGCGAGTGCGACCATCCTGCCGGCCAGGTGGTGAGTCTCGCGGAATGGCACACCTGTGTTGAAGTTAGCATGAGCTGGTATGAATGTTTGAAGAGTGGCTTACCTTTTCGGACAAGATACTCGGCAAGATCGGTAGCTAGCATGTCTGGGCTTAATGCAGCACGCATCTTCTCCGGGTATACGGTAGCAGTAGCTAATGATCTGGCCGCGATCTGCAGACTGTCTTTCAAGGTCTTGACAGTATCCAACATGGGCTGCACGCTCTCCTGCAGATCCTTGTTGTACGTAGATGGGATACCCTTGATGCTCATCATCAACCCAGCCATCGCACCAAACATCCTCCCAGACTTGCCACGCAGCAGCTCAAGCGAGTCGCTATTCTTCTTTTGCGGCATCAAGGAGCTACCTGTCGTATATGCATCTGCCAGCTTCACGTAACCGAATTCCAGTGAGCTGTAGATAATAAGATCTTCCGACCAGCGAGACAAGTGACTCCCGATCGAAGAAGCACATTGCAGGACCTCAACGACGAAATCTCGGTCTCCGACTGCGGACATGCTGTTCATAATCAGACCCTCGAAGCCTAGCTCCTTCGCCATCTGCACCCTATCAATCCCAAACGCATTCCCAGCCACTGCACCGCACCCCAGAGGCAGTTTATTAACATTCTTCTTCGTAAACCTCAGACGCTCGAGGTCAGATTGGAAAGCCGTAGCATAGCTCAGCAGCCAATGACTCCATCGAATCGGCTGTGCTCTCTGCAAATGTGTGTAGCTCGGCATGATGTAATCGATATCCTGCTCGGCGCGCTGGGCAATGACTTTCAGGAGGTCGACGAGGTATTCTTCGATCAGGATCAGCTCGTCGCGGAGCCACATTCGCATATCGGTTGCGACTTGGTCGTTGCGGCTGCGGCCGGTGTGCAGCTTGCCTGCTATGTGTGTGCCGATAACTTCACCTAGGCGGCGCTCGTTGGCGGTATGGATATCTGTCTTACGGTTAGCAATGAAGGTTTTTAAAGGAAAGTACCCCGCGAAGTAGAATCTTGTTTACCTTCATCTCCAGGTGCTGGTTCGAATTTGCCCTGCTCCCATTCCTTCATAACCTCCCCCAAACCCTTTTCGATAATCTCGAACTCCTCCTGGGTAAGGATACCAGTCTTGACATTCGCTCTGGCATACGCAATTGATCCTTTGATATCCTGAGCATAGAAGACGCGATCCATCGATAAACTCTCATTATACTGATCCATCAACGGATCCGTCACGCCCGTAAACCTGCCACCCCATAATCGAATCGGCTGCTCGTTTTTCGCCATGATTTCCTTGCACAATTGGATCTAAATTGAAGTCGTCGAGAGCTCTGAGTCAACTGGGAGAGATATGCGGGAGAGGGAGTGGCAGAATAAATTAATTTCTTTCTGCCACATGATGGAGTCGCTAGGTAGGCGGTGAACACCTAAGAATTTCCAAGTTTTTTTCTTGCTGCATATCTTGCTCCACTTACCTCACTTGTTCTTTTATAGTATGCGCGTGATGGTTCTTGCTTGTTGCATATAGAGGCTAAAGGATATTGTTTAGACCAATTGGACTTTCAGGTGTATGTCGCAAGTCACGACAATTATGGTGGAATGCAGGGGAGGCTTTTGACCCTTTTTTTGGCGAGGTCGCCTGAAGCAGTTGGATTGAGGGGTAGCGAAAAAGGGGGGAGAAAGTCGATTAATTCGTTGGGGAGGTTCGAAAATCGACATTAAGTGCAGCAGCAATAACCACTTCGGTGTCTTCGAGTGAAGGCTTTTTGGAGGAGACTCCTTTACTATCGAGACTTATTTCTGTTCAGACCCAAGTCTTCCTCGATACCACCCTCAGAAATCGTCATGCTGGATCTGTTAAGGGTGGCAATAGCTACAGAAGGAAAATAAGGTCTATTACTCTAACTTGCTCAGATCTGTAATTTAAAGTCAACTCAGGCTTCTGGTGGATTTGAATCGTTGGACGAAGAACATCAATGTTGAGTAGCGAAGTGAAGGATTGCTGGCATTGAAAATACGCATCGACACAGAAAACCTCATGCATTGTGATCTCCACCTGAGGCTTGAGAAGTCAGCATATTCTATGGAGAGAGTATCTGTGCTTTTATTGATAGCTCTGGTGATTTCAAACGATATTGAACAGATATTCTTCTTCGCCGGTCTCCGGATTAATCCTTATCTCAGCGCAACGCTCTCCAGCCATTTTCGGGCCATGTTCTTCCAGTGCGTGACGTTCTTTGAATTGGCTGCCATCTGGCGCGAAAGATATAAGATCAAGATTGGAGAAAGATCCTATCCGTCTGTACTCTCCTTTCTTTTTCAAAGTAGGCTGGAGAACCAGGCCTTGGTAATAATCTCGAGCCTGAAATTTGCGATCCTCTTTCCTCGTGACAAGCTTCACCATAGGAAGTAATATGACTCGAAGGACGCCATAAACTGTAAAATTAACATCACTGTCCACTTTCATGAAGAGCTCTTTCTGTGGAAGTTGGATTTGGACATTTCCTTTGAAAGAATGCCTGTACCAGACCCCAGACAGCGCGCCAGGACAAGAGATAGTCAGAATTCCATCTTTGAGCTGGCCGAATGGATCGGGACCTAGAGGTGTTACTGAGACATGATGCACCTTCGACAATAACTGTAATTCTTGATCCGGAGCACGAGGGTAGTACTCGACACCTCCATCAACAGAAGCCCAAGACCAAGAAGGTGCTCTGTACTCTTCATTTTGAGGTCGTTCAGAAGCTATAAATTAACAGTCAGCTTGTTTCTCTTCATTCAAATACCACCATAGAGGGTGTGAACTTTTCAGATCATGCGCAAGCTATCGACTTCCGAGCTTCTTAGAGAATGTTATGGGCACTTACATAATCGTCGCCAACACAGCATTTCCTCCATTCCGGTACGCCATAAACCAGCAACGTATGTGTCTCCACACTCGCGCTGCGCTTCACGCGCTACTCCTGCCAGAGCTACAAGTTTATCACTGCCCTTAGTCATTTTACACGAGCTGTATGGGACTATGATCTCTCTCCAGCTATCTCGCATTGCGTTCGGTCGCACACCAGGGTCATAAGCACCCAGCAGCGGTTCTTGCATCCCATCAGGGAAAAATTCGCAAGAGTATTTAGTCCAACATTCCCAGAAGACATCCCCTTCGCCAAAGTAAAGAGTCCGGTGAGATAGAAGCCGTTCTTGTAATGTCCAGGCACGAGACGAAAGATGTGTTGACGTTATCCCTTGAGCGTAGAGTTTCTCGTATGCCACAGCGTATGTAGGCACGTCTTCAGTAGAAGAGCCCATCAACGCTCCTCCGATAAAGTCTGGTGGTCTTAGGAATAGACCTTCACTGCCGTCTTTTGCAGAAGACGCGGCTATCGTAACATGGGAGTGGCCATATACTGAACTCATGAGTGAGGCCTCACGTTCCCAGTCATGTACAGAATCCTGGATAATGCAAAGGGAGTCTATCCATAGATATTGAAGCCCGAGATTCAAGGTGACCTGTATAGCTTCTTGAAAAGTCTTGGTGAGGATGTCGAATGGTATGCCAGTTTTGAACGAGTCCAGTGTTTCGGAAGTGAGTTTGACAAAGTCAAGTCGGCCCCAGCAGTGGCTTAAGGCGGCATATGGTGCACTAATCTCGAGGTCTTTGGTCTCAACTAGCTGTACAATAGGCTGGTCAATTGCAGCAGGGGGTTTACGGATATACAGTAATCGAGCTGGCAGCTGGCCAGTTTTTTGCGCTTGGCGTCGGGGGTGCTCTTGGCTACATGCGGCCAACCACTGTCTTGCCCTGACGATCGAAGAAACAGGAGACCAATCTGATAGTTGTAATGACGGAGAAAATTTATCTAGCAATTTCATAAGTTCTCCAGAGAAAGATATACACAGATAAGGACTCATGGTACATACTTGATCCATCAAAAGGAAAGACAATGAGCCCTTCTAGTAATTGATGCGATGGCCCTGTCGAATGACATAAATAGAGTGTGCCAATCTTGTTGGGTGGATGGGTTAGAAATAAGGCTGTGGATTTCCCTAGGAGGCCGAGCCTTTTCTCAACCTTGCGAGACTGGTCTAGCTTGGACGGGCATATGTGCTGCATAAAGAGGCGACAAAGTCGACATCCAGCCCGACATGCTGCCTCTAGCTCTCGTAGGCCAATCATATGCGCTATGACGTTATTTTTTGAGCCCTGATGATGTAGGTGAACGATTTGTGACCATTTGCTTGGGAAGTCATTGCATGGACCGCAATAGCCATTTTTCAAGTCCTTCTCAGTACTAGGTACCAAGTCTGTGATCTCTTTCGCAAGCTGTTCTTCGTTCAAAACTTCGTGTTCAAGCGTCCAGTCATAATAGGTTTCATCTCTTTGGCAATTCGTGTACCAGCTCTGAAGCTCCGCTAAGTGATCTTCCGTTGGAGCTCCTAGTGCTTGTCGTTTGGCGAAATCTAGAGCACTAGGAGGCGGAGGCGGCGGTAATGTTTCAATTTCGTTGGACCTCGAAACGCCAAGACGAGATAATACTTTGCGAGCCCGATGCATCGTAACACTTTCTTTTGAAGGCTGATAATTTCTGTGCATTGAAGTTATGCGATCGTACCCAAATACTGGCTGGGGGAGGGTTCCACTTCGTCGCACAAGCTGACTAAGTTTCGGAGACCTTGAGGCCAATAGGTCTCATTGACGCTCAAGTACTGAAGCTTGTATATGCACATCACGACAAAAGGGTTGATGGTTAGGCGTTGGTTTCTGTACGTTAGGTTTAAGATTAGATGTTATTGGGAGTATATGTTAGAATTCCAGTAGTGAAAGACAAAGTGAGTTCTCTCCCGGCTAGCTCCCAATTTTACAGGCTTCTATGCCCTATAGTCATAGTGCATAGAGCCTATAAGTTTAGGGGAGTCTGTGCTGTGCTGGCTATGAGTGCCTCGCTTCAGGTACTTTGTCGGCCTTATCGGTGTGTACAGCAGCACACTATCAAACTCTAGCAGTGCTCCGTCCGACCTGCAGAATTCATGTCTAATACTTATTACTCATGCGCGGCCTTCACTTTGAAGGACGTTGAGCTTCCCCTTTCGACACTCGCTTAAGTAGGCTGACGGCGTGGGTTGTACGCATGCCCGGGTTCACGAAGCCAACTGCCGCTATCAGCTGCATGTCTTCTCCGAAGCTTCGAGTTGCATTCAGAGTGGTCATTGGTGCTTCATGCCTGCGAGTGCATATATGGAATATCGATCCTCCGAATGCGACTCCGCCTTCGTTCTTTATGTGAACCACAATTGTACATTCTTGTGTCTCGGATCTGTTGACCTCTGGACAATAGTGTCAGGACCTAGAAAGATCACTGGGAGCGGGATTTCCTGACATCCTTCGGGTCGTGCTTGATTCCCATCCACCTTCCAATACTTACCATAGTTGGAGACTCGAACCTCATTCTTCCGAATACGGCCATAGACCCCACCTGAAGCCCGAACATGGAACCGCAACCTATTAACGTCGCCATTATTGGCGCCGGCATAGCTGGTCTAGCCTTTGCCATCGGCCTCTCAAAATACCCCCACATCACCTTCATCGTCTACGAATCCCGTCCCTCCTACGCTGAGATCGGAGCTGGCATAGGGTTTTCAACAAACGGCCACAAAGCCATGTCGCTCATCTCTCCGAAGCTATGGGAGAACTATCAATCCCACGCCTCATTCAATGGAAGTCCTGAGAAAAGAGGCATTGGATTTAACTATGAGGTCGGCGAAAAGGGACTGCTGGAGGGAAAGAGGATTATAGAGACGGTGATGCCAGAGGGGTATATGCAGAGTACTTGTCACCGAAAACATCTTTTGAGTGTGCTTGTTGAGACGTTGCCGGATAAGGGGGAGAAATGTACGGTATTTAACAAGAAGCTGGTAGAGGTTGACGACACGGGCAAGAAATTGGTCTGTGTTTTTGCGGATGGTGAGAAAATCAAGGCCGATTTAGTTGTTGGCTGCGATGGAATCAAAAGTGCATGTAGACAGTTTGTATTTGGCAAAGACAGTGAAATTGGCAAGGCGCAATTCACTGGGAAAGTGGCGTATAGAGGTTTGGTCCCTATGGAGAAGGCAATTGCAGCGGTTGGAGAAGACAGAGCAAGAAATCGTCAAATGTACTTCGGCCATCATAGGCATATGTTGACATTTGGGGTGGCCAAAGGGACTATGATGAATGTCGTTGCATTCCACAGTACGGGATCTGATGCCTGGGAATACTCCTCCCTGGTGCAGCCAAGAACGATAGAAGACTTTCTGAGAGATTTTGTTGGTTGGGGAGATGCTGTGACCAATATCATTTCTGTAAGTGCTGATTTCCCACAATGTTGCACAGACTATTGATTAAAATGAAGAGCATCGAAAACCCGGAAGTATGGGCCATTTTCGACCACCCAAGAGTAGATACCTTCCACAAAGGTAGAATCGTGCTTCTTGGAGATGCTGCTCATACAACGAGTCCGCATTACGGTATGGGAGGTGGAATGTCGGTCGAAGATGCATCCATCTTGAGCAGTCTGCTCGGAAGCTGCACTTCCGTAAATGATGTTGCACCAATGCTCAAAGTGTACGACTCTATAAGGGTAGATCGATGCTGCGATATCGTGGCTGCAAGCAGAGAACAGGGCCGCCTATGTGATTTCGAGGCTGATTGGGTTGGGGACGATCTTGAGAAAATCTCTGAGCAGTTGGACAGCGAGTTAAGAAGATGGATGTGGGATTATGATCCTGAAGTAGCTTACAAGAAGGCGCTGGAAGAGTTTGAACGAGAAAAGGGAACAGTAGAATAGAACACTCATCATGGGCATGTTCAATTGGAGGAACTATTGGCTTCGAAATTGCGGAGCAGTGATCTATTTTCCAGCACAATATTGCCCGAAAATGCATTGCTCGAAAGGAACACTAGCATTGATGATAGCCTCAAACACACTCTTAGCAATCGTAGCTGGCAACGGTGGCGTTGTACTATTCGCAGCATCAACAGCATCCTGAATGACCTCCAGATCTCGTGACGGGACATCGACAGCTTGACAATATTAGCTTTTCCTTCCCAAAGAGCCATCCTCTCAACCATCTCGGGCAAATTGACTGCACTCACCATCCAAAGTAGCTTTGAACCTCGTCGCTTCCCTCACATACCCAGCTCTCAGAGCGAGCAATTGCAGAAGCTGCGTATCTACGTCATCGATGCCGTCTCTCACTTGGTCGAGAGAGCCGCAGCATAGAGTCCCGTTTGGAAGAGTCAGGGCTGGTGAGCCCCATGGTATCGTTCTATTTCCTGATGCAATTGAGGTTGGAAGAGGAGGGAGGGTGGTTGCGTAGCAGGCGTCACTGCTATTGGCTGCGAAACCAATCGAGGTGAGAGAAAGGAGGACTATGAGAGGGCGGTACATCTTGATTTGGTTTGAATCAATGACTTATAGCGTCGGGTTTCTGACGATTCGAATCAATTTTGCTAGATGATACAAAATTTGGTATGGCTTTTGAGGAGGAAGTAAAGTTCTGGATCCGACGGCTTTACTCGAGCTAGTAGTCGAAGACGTTTTATCCTTAACACAGTCTGAAATCGCAATGACTTAAGAGGAATGAAAGAACTTCGAACTTGTGTCGATGGCATCATTGAGAGGACTGCTCGAAAATCTTATATAGGCCTTCGGGAGTTCAGTACTAGTCTGGTCATACCCTGTATCCGGGTGGGCAAGTGTGCCGAGACCCCTGATTACCCTGACGAGGATCTCACCGCTTGCAGGTAAAGTAAAAAATGATCGACGCTCTTCAGGAAAGATTTTCTTTTCGGTCTGTCAAATCGGAATTGGAAAGTCCGTACATTTGCAAGCACATTTAGCTTCTCGTCAGCCTCATTTAAACGCATCATAAACCAGTACATCATTAAGGGACCAGGCACTGCGTCACAATCTATGTATCCGTCCAAATACCATTGCTGTAAGTCGGCGTTTCCGCAAGAATGTAAGAAGCTGTACAGAGTCAGTCACACTAACGAAAATGTCTAGAAGTGTCATGCACGTACTGTCAAAAGAGCCAGCGGCCCAGCCAAGATATCCCAGGTAAACTGCGCCCTGTTAGATCAAGCAGTATTGGAGGTGGGAGTTTGAACCTACCGTCAGAATTTGCATTCAAGTATGCAATAGCCTCGCAAACATAAAGCTCACAGCTCGCTACAGAACCTCCTCCAATCTCGGACTTCACCAGTATGGTCAGCTTTTGATCTTCTCGCCATCTGGAAGTTGACCTACCAACAAAGCTTGTCTTCCATTGCATCTTAGCCACTGAGCTAGTGGCGCAAAAGCCGTACTGATATCGCTATCCACGCAGTCGATATGCGTTCCGCTATTGTCAGAGTCTAGATACTTGTGTACATCGAAGACAAGATTGGTGAATGATCCATCAGGATTTGTGACGTTGCTCAATGCTGGCCCCGAGCCATCTGTTACGAATGTTTGTGCGGACGTCCAATCATTGCCTGGTAGAAGGATGATTTGCGTTGTTGCGCCGGCATTGCGCTAGAATATGTCAGTGAGAATGTTCATTCCGGACGAGGAGAAGACAGACAATGGCTGTGACTGCTGCCTGACAGGATGCCGCCCAGGTGGTGATACTTGGAACTTGGTAATATTAGTTCCTATCCTAACATAACATCTCGCAGCGCATACCATCGTGAGGCTCGTTCATGAGGCCGAAGACTACTTTGCTTTGGCCCTTATACTTCGATGCAATTGCGGCCCAGACAGCATCGGTTGGACCCCTTTGGCCAATGATTGCGCCATCTACACACATTGTCAGCGACATTCAACGTCATGAGAAACGAGTTACTCACTGAATCTCGCAAAGTTGTGGAAATCGATCAAACAATAAGCTCCAGTTGCCAAACATGACTGCACAAGACTGCGTCGAAATCAGATTCCACCTTGAGTGAGCGGATAATACAGACTGACAAATCATACATAGCGGAGTTCGTGGGATCTAAAGTGGATATAGCATTGTATTGACTGTTCGTGATGAATTGCCAACCGACAGGAAGACGAAATATGTTGAATCCGTCTTGACCAACGAAGTGTACCATTTGGCCTGGGCCATCTGGGAGGCCATGCGTGGGACCAAGAGGACAGTAAGCTCTTGATGGTCCTGTTGGAACTTGATAGCCCTGTTCAACCTATGAGCTATCACTCAATAACATTTGTAGGAAGCGGGACATACGTTACTGTCACCACCAAATTCACAACCAGGAATATCTGAAGAGTTGACTTGTTAGTATTGATTTCCAGGAAGGTAAATGGTAGAGGGGGTGCGAAATTACTGATACCAGCAAACTGAACCTTTCCTGCACTTGGCGGAGGTGGGTTTGAAGTCTTGCAGCTGAGCGGTGTGGTTGAGCTTAACGACGACAACAATGTTGAAGTGGATGATGACTTCGTACTAGAGACTATGGATGTAGTGAAAGTGCTTGATGACTTGGTACTAGATACCTGCACGCTGGAGATTGATGTACTGGACTGCTTTGTGCTCGATAACTGGGCGCTGGTTGACTTGGAGTTCGAAACGCCTGAGCTTGAGGTCACACTGGAAAGTGTGGCACTGTATCTTGTTGACTTTATGCTGCTCGAAGAGGAGGAAAACAACGATTGCTGATTGGTGGGGCCAGTACTCTTTGTTGAAGAGGATGGACTGCTGACAATACTCGTAAGGTTTGTAGTACTAGAAGGAGACACAGTCCGGATAGTAGAGATGCTTGAAGCTTTCACCGAGGACGACAAGGTTAGAGTACTGACAAGACTTGTGGACTTTACGCTGCTGGAAGAAGACAGAGTCTGGACGGAGGAACTGCTGGATGCCTTCACTGAGGACAAAGACGATAGAGTACTGACAAGACTTGTGGACTTTATGCTGCTGGAGGAAGACAGAGTTCGGGAAGTGGAGATACTTGAAGCCGTCGTCGAAGACGAAGACACCTTTGAACTGGATTGAACGGACACAAGAACCGTTGCAACCACTACTATCCCGTCAGCATGAACACTATCTCCAAATTCTTAAATTCGACTGCTTACCCGAAGGACTGCTAGAAGCTACCAGGGTAGAAAGCGATCCAACAGCCGAAGTACTCAAGCCCACAGTATACGGAACAGGAATACACTGCGAGTAATATATATCATGAAAACTGCAAAAATACCCAGGCGAGCACTGCGTCAAACCCGTATACGTCTGACCCGCACATTGACCTTCCGCAGAACATCAGCACCAAGCACAGATTCTATATCAAGGGTGCACTGACCATCAGGTACTTGGTCCCCTGATGGGATAGGCGACGCTGCGCATTGACTGTAATACGCTCCTTGGACTTGGCAGAACCATCCTTGTGTGCAAGTCGTGAAGCCCGTCCATCCTATTCCTCCGCACTGGCCTTTGGATGATGTTAGCATTCGTCGCCAGAAGACAAGTAGCCAAACCTGCCATATGGAGGAGATTGGGCCGATATTCCAGCCACGAAAGCAGCAAAAATGAAGATAGAAGCCATTGTTCGGCAACAGGGCATTTAGATTGGGATGATAAGATTTCCATTGTGGAGTGGAGGGCAGAGACTTGGACTTTATGGTCATGTTTGGTCAGTCTTCGACGTGGGTAAGACTTCGAGATATAAGACTGTCTAGCCAAGTCCTGACAAGACATGAACATCATTATCCCACGAGATCAAGAAACTTGCGGCCTTGCCAAAGCTCTCCACAAAATCAGGTTATTGTTTGCATAACATATGGATAACGCTACACCAGGAAATGCCGTTCGCGTGAATAGCGAAGAAGCCATTCTCCAACTTTCAATGCTTGCTTGCTTGTTTGTGTTGTGCAAAGTCAAGCCGAGACGCAAGAGACAAGAGATGTTTTCTTTTTCGGGCGCATGTGGTCTGGCCGATGTCTTCATTCAGAGTATGCATATCTTTATGCGACAGCTCACTAATCGAGAGAGACATTTGCTAGTTCGTGATGTTGCGATTCTACAGTACTCTTGTTCCGCGATCCCTGGGCGCTATGTTGCGGAGCACTGTGTCTCGTAACAGACCAAAGAAGGGGGAGGTGCACTTGTCACCAGTGAGCAAGAGTGGACATGAACCCTCATCGAACAGTAGCTGACAAGTCATTGAAGACGAAACCTACCTTTGAGCAAAGAAAGAAATGTGACCAAGATTCTCAAAATTCTCATGATTATTTTTAATCTTCATTCATGCTACTGCTCGTCGGCAGACTATCAGCATTTGCGCGCTGTGGCTTCATCGTTTCCTTCTTGCTGCCATCGCAAATGCGAGGGCTTTTTTTACTCTAACATACATGAAATTTTCGTGTGGCTTCTTCTTTTATGTTCCTTCCAAGCAAAGTAAAGTCAGGCATGAATGAACGAATCCATTCTCCTTCCTCCGCCTCAAACCCGAAAAAAGCCTGAAAGATGTTCTGATGTGGTAACACATCCAAACTCAATCTAGCTGCGGAGTAACCATCCATCAATGCAATAACGTTGAAAACGAGCTGCTGTTTGGTAGAAGCGTACCAAGCTGTGGAAATTCATGCTGAGAAATCGTGGATAATGTACATGGTATAGTGGTCGTGAAGGTAAGGGAAAGGGTATGGTACAATCGAAAGAGGTCGAAGGGGGGTCGAACGCCTAGCAGAAGCGATTGGCCGGGACTGATTATTCCTCCTCAGAGTCGGAATCTTCATCACCACTGGATTCATCTTGTTGTTCGACGGCTAATTTGTCAGTTAGGACTAGAATGCAAAACGATTTGAATAACTTACTCGGAAGGACAGGCTCTTGAGATCCAGAAGTTTGTCTATCATAAGCGTGGAGCGTCTTGGACAGTGCATCGATGTTTCGTTCTTGCTCATATTTGCTCATTGGCTTGTTCTTCTTCTTAGGTGCAGCTGCCTTTGGAGGGGGTTTGGGGTGGCTGTCTGCGGCCATGGACTTCTTGATGCCTTCTTGGACATCGGGAGCGTATTGCATGATGAGACCATGGATCTTCCAAAGGAGCGGAACACTGATAACATCGATATCTAATTCGAGAGTGCCATCTTCACCAGCCTAGGTCTGTTAGTGCTGTTCATAACAACCAAAAACTGTTCACTTACATCAATGCCAGGTCTCTCCCTCTTGATATCGGCCAGCACTTCGTTCGAGACCTCGTCAGGTAGTGCACCAAGACCAGCAGAAATTGTTTCCTTCTCTAGGGTTCCCATGTACTTTTGGCGGTTACCGCTAGCCTTCTTGGAAGCAGCGGGCTTCTTTGGTGGAGGAGCCTTCTTAGCAGCCTTGGGAGCCTTGACCTTCTTGGGCTTCATCTTGAGTGCTGCCTCATCTTGCGAGATACGGTTCTGGATGATGCCGACCATATCCTTCTGCATTTGAATCAGTCCTTGATCCGGATGCTTGGCGCCCATGAGAGTGATCAGCTTTTGTTGCTCCTCGAGCAGTCTTTCCTTAGCAGCCGAAAGTGTGCTTTCCTGGCTCTTATCAACAGCGGCTTCCTCCTCCTCCTCATCTTCATCTGATGACTCGCCGGCGCTGACTGGACTGGCCGCAGGGGGGCTACGATCGGCAAGATACTGGTCCTTCTTTGCCCACTGAATATTGTATAGGTCCTCTACCTTCTTACCGAGGTCATGAACAGGATTGCCAACAGGATTGAACTTAAAACAGTTCCAGAGCATCTGTCTGATGTCCTTGTCGAAATCGGCTGCATTGTTATACGATCCTGCCTTGAGCTTCTGCGACATGGTACTCAAATCCATCGGCTTCTTGATCATGGCGAAGTACTGAGGGATACCAAGAGCAACTGGATCCACCGGAGTCTGGAATGGACTTACGAAATCACGGTATTTAGCCTTGTTCAATTCGGTCAGAATCTCCTCACAGAACTTGAGCTCATGTGCGTGCTTCTTTGACTTTGGCCGGACAGAATAGGGCAGATCCTTGTTCTTGGGTGGGTGGATTTCTCTCTTGGGACGGCCACCATCAACCTTCGTGGAGTCGCGGCGGATCAAGGGGGTGTTGGAGGTTGGGTCCAGGGCAAAGGTCTGCGCAGGTTGAGCAGCAGGAGCTACCGCACCATGAGAGCCTCTTGAGGGTCGGCGAGCAGCAACTCGTGGGGCAGCATCAGGAACGGGAGTGGATCGCTTAGCTGCAGGCTTCTTGTCCTTCTTCGGTGCAGGAGCAGGCTCAATAAAGGCAACCTTGGGAACTTTGTTCAATAACGTAGCTCGAACATCTTTACCGGCATTTGTGACGGCGTGACCAGGACCGTTGAATGTAAGGGCATTGCTGTAAAGCAATTCGATATCGCTGATGACCTCGCTCATAGTTTGATAGACCATATCTCGCAATCGGTGCTCCATCGTCTCCAGGTCAATCGGGGTCGAGATCTTCTCGGCGTACAATGCTGCAAATGTGGGCCAAAGTCTTGCAACTGGCCCGCGGAAGTTCTTGCCAGCTGGAGATCTCGCAACAGTCTTGATGATCTTGATGATGTTATTTGCGGCAAATGGGGTGAGCTTTGGGTCATCCTTGTGATCTCCAGAGGTATCTCCATTCTGGGTGGGGGCTTCTTGCAGAGACATCTTGGCGTCATCTGTCTTTGTGCGCTTCGCAGAGGGCTCAGCTTCGTCGTCATCTTCACGCTCACGAGACACTTTGGCGGAAACAGCGGGTGCGTCCTCCATAGCTGTGTCTTTCGGTTCAGCAGTAGAATCAACGAATTCTGCGTGGTTAGATTCGACCTGCGCAGGATTTGGATCGGTCATGGCAGCCGATTGTTGCGGTGGTTGTAGATCGGAAGGAAGTTCAGGGACGGTTGAAGGAGACGGATCGAAAGTGATATCAACACCTTGACTGTTAGCGTCGACCTCCAAATCCGCTGTTTGGTTCGCAAGAGTATGGTCGTCAAGATCGAAATCGAGTGCGTTAGCTTGCGATTGTTCCTCCAAGCTTGCTTCTGGCGCAACAGCTTGGATTGTATCTCTGAGATCGGACTCTGGTGCTTCAACTACTGGTGGGACAGCTGAGGTTGGCGCGACGTCTTCAATCGCAGATTCAATGGCGGATTCCGCAGAAACCAGCGCGCTCTCAGGTTGTTGGTCGCCCAACGACATTGAGATCTCCGCGTCGGTGGTTGTGTTCGTATCTTGAAGTTGTGAAGGATCAGAAACGGAGGTGGAGGAGAATTCTAATTCGGGAGCAGGTGCGGAAAGGTCAGGCAAGATTGTTTGGTTCGAAGCGAAAGCGTCAATATTACTAGCGCCATTCACGTCGGGCAAATCGGTCGCTACGTGGTTCGAAGGTGAGAGGGTGGGTTTGTTTATTGTAGCATCAGAAGTGGAGTCAATGTTGGTCTCATCTCGAGTTGAGGTTCTGTAAAAATTTGATTGATGATAAGTATGTATACACTAAAACAGAGAAAGTAGAAGGAGATCGAGGTAGACTCACCCGTTGATATCTAAATCCAAAGCCATCTTGTCTGATGATGGAACGGGCTGTGTCTTTTGCTCGAGTGCGACAGCTTCTGAGTATTGAGTAGTCATGACGGCCATCAACAAACAGACTGGCAGCAGCCTGGTCTGAGATAGAGAAAGCCAAGTCTTCTAAGAGGATGCGATCTTGAGTGCGTTGGAAGGCGACACTCGAGGCGACACCGATTATCTGTGTCGCAGATACAAGAAAGGGTGCTTGGTGGTGGGAGTTGATGGAAGACCTGGCTCAAGGTTGACAGCCTTGTCTGGATAGCCTTGCGGATAAACGGTCGTAATATTGGCCACCTGGCGCCAAATTTAAGAAGCGCGTCGAAGGAAATCTAAAGCTCAGATGAACTACGCCGATCTCGCGATGAGCGCAACGATTTATCGAGGATGGGTCGTGTTGATGTTGATGAACGCGGTGGAAGAAAAGCGCGTCGTGGTGATCGGGAGGTCTAGCGAAAGACTCCAATACACGAAAAGTTGACGATGGCGATGCGCGCGCAATCAAGACGAGACGGCGTTTCTGTTTGTAAATTACCCGCGACCAATACGAGAGGATGCGCCTTTGGAAGAAGGGAAGAAAAGGATCGTGCGATGCGATGCGACGAGAGAGATGGTGGTGAAGATGAAGGGTCAGGTCAGGCGTTTTGAGGAAGTGCACGTGAGGACCAGGTGACGACCTATGGGAAGCTCACTTTCAGGAAGTCGCATCAACAGAAAATATTCGGAGGGGAAGGAGCGATCAAGAAGTCATAAATTTATCGAAAGAAAGCGAGGCCCCCGTTAGCGCAAACCTTATGCTCCAATGGGACATCGTGCTGAGCCGGTTAGTCATTCGCAATCCCTGCTCAGAAGAAGTCTCAACCACCAATGAGACTTTGTTCAAGCCCCTACACGACCCGCCGCCCCGTCCACGAGTCTCGATCGAGTTTAGATTGTTTGAGCTCAGACCATATCTACTATCACGTGTGCGCCGCCAGAAGGAAAAAAAATTGACAAGTTTCTAATCGTGATCGATTAGCTGCCAGGAACCACCAGCGAGTGAACGAGATCTCGAATCTCCGTTTCCATCACACTCGACTCGTCGCCACCCTCCCAGCTCTGAGGATCGGCACACCACAGTCCATATCGACGATTCTATCGATCAAAAATATAATGTCGACCAAAAGGAAACTCCCCCAGAAGCTGGGCCAGCCGGTGGTCAAGCAGAGCGCAAAGGTTCTGAGCAAGGGAAACCTGGACGAGTCGAAGACAGTTGTGTCAAGCGGCAGTAACGCGACCAAATTAAAACCAAATGGGACGCAAGAATCGATCGAAATATCCAGCGATGAGGAAGAAGTGGAGCAGGAGGAGAACTCTGATGCAGAGAGCGACGAGGAGCAGGAGTCTGGGGCTGAAGCAGATGTGGCCATGGAGGATGCGGACAACACTGCCGATGGACCTATACCCGACGAGAACGATGAAGACGCTGCAGAACCCTCCTTTGGAGATTTAGTCAGAGCTAATGCCTCGGAACCTATCGATGTAGCTGGTGCCTTTGAAGACCCTTTGAATGGCATGACATACCCCAAAACTTCCCAAATACAAGCTCCTTTCGGCGCCTCCCTCGGTACTGTTCTTACACAAGCTCTCAAGACAAACGACATTTCTCTCCTCGAATCTTGTTTGCATACAACAGACGTGACTACTATTCGCGCCACGATACAACGTCTCGAGTCCCTGTTAGCAGGCACACTATTGCAGAAGCTAGCCGAAAGATTACATCGAAGACCAGGCCGAGCAGGAACTCTTATGGTGTGGGTTCAATGGACACTGGTTACACATGGAGGATATTTAGCAACACAACGGGACCTGATGAAGAAGCTTGCGGAGTTGAACAAAGTCATCGATGAGCGAGCAAAGGGTTTACAAAGTCTCTTGTCACTGAAAGGGAAGTTGGACATGCTTGAGGCGCAGATCGAACTACGAAGGAGCATGCAGAATCAACGGCGCCGGGCTGACGAAGACGAGGACGATGAAGATGTCATCTACGTTGAAGGCCAGGAGAGTGAGCAAGAGGCTGGGTCTGGAGCCGTCAAACCCCAAAGATTAGCGGCGAATGGCGACTTGGAAGACATCTCTGATGACGATAGCGAGGTATCAGAAGATATGCCCATGACAAATGGTGTGATAGCGGACTCGGAAGACGAGGAGGAAGAGAGCAGCGATGAAGACGACTTAATAGACGACGCTGCCGAAGAGACCGACGCCGATACTGGCGACGAAGATGAGGTCGACCACGATGATCAAGACTCGGAAGGAGAAGACGATGATAGTGATGACGGTGTCCAGGCCGGACGACCTGCAAAGATGCCCAAAACTGGTGGCATGTTCTCCAAGAAGAGATGAAAAATGGGCTCATAGCATTTGGCGTTGCATGGCATGGCGTTCTCTCACACTACAGGTATATGTTTGTCAGCCGATACCTTTGTAAAAAGCATAGATATGTGTCGTCTCCTTGGACATTGCAGCTGTCTGAAGATAAGTACCTATCAAAATATTGAATATTACCACGTGGTGGATTTACCACGAAATAAACACCAATATTTGCCGTCTCTAAGCTGTTATACCTGTCAAATTTTTTCTTTAGGTGTGTTTTCCTGTGCTGTGTTTCACATATTCTTAGTTTTGAGATAACATCCGAAAATAGGGGTCCGACGCAAAAACAAAAGTAACCATGAGAATATCATAAACAAATATACCCTCCTTTGCAATGCGGCTCTCTTAAGCTGTCATGTCTCACCAACTTTCTACTTTTATCTTGATCGACAGTACTCCACATTTTCTACAACTCGTGAGGTGTGCGTGCCCCCCATACGTGGAAAAGGGCTGAGATAACTGCGTGGCGCTGCGGCTGTGGCATGAATCGTTTTGAATCGTCAGCCAGAGAGAAGCTTTCCGATGGGGAGGTGGGGGCTGCATGCATTTCTTGTCTGCGACATTCCACATTCCTCAACATCGTCAGGATAGTGCATCTGTTTCATGGGGTCTGTCATCAGAATTGTTTACAAGCACACCTTGAGAATTAAAGCAGGACGAACGAAGATGTTCGAGGCCAGCAAGATATGTGCATGCGAGAAGTTTCCCCATGAGGAAAGGAAGGAAGTCTTCGTCCTTTCATCTGCAGCGTCGATCCCCTGTCCACTCCACTTTTCTCCTCCCTCCACTAAGCATCCGCTGACGACGCCTCGCGTGCTCCAACCACGATTCCTCCTCATCTCTCTCTTCTTCTCCTTGTCATCTTCTCCTGGATAAAAAGCCACCTTCCATCTCATCCAAATTGTTTGCAGGTTTGCAGAGCCGTCAGTGACATCCCACCCGGCTGGCTACGCATCTATGTCATCGTCGCAATCTCTTTAGCCGTCTAACGATCCTCGCGTGGCACGGCAAGGGCTTCAATTCTCCCGATTCTCTCGCGGCCAATCACTTGGCACACACTCTGACTGAAGTGCCAAGTCTTGGCAACATTGTCGCGGGTCAACGAGGCTGAAGCCTTGCTTGTTGCTATTGCATACATTCCTTTAATATTTTCATATTAAATATCGCGCGGTGGGCAGATGTTCAATATCAGGAAGCGCCTCGGGGCGTCGATTCTGTTGACGGTTTTGTCGATCATTTCGATTTGCTTACTATTACCCGACTCGAAGGTTAGGCAGTTACAGAAAATTACGCTGGGAACAACCATAGAATACACGGATTTGTGGAAATGGGGCTCAGAAGATGATGTTGATGATGATGAAGATAATGGAAACGGTGTTCGATTGGTGATTTTTGGAGATTCGTGGGTAGATGATTTGATTGAGGAGGGACAAGGAGAAAAAGGAAACACTTGGCCACAGGTTTTGTGCGAGGAGGTATGTCCTATTACTTTTGTCTTGATATGTTTTGTTTCGTTGTTTCGTAAATTATAATGCTAACTTATATTAACCAGATCAACTGCACTTCTCGACTTAACTTCGCTGCATCTCAACTCTCGGATGCATGGCCAGCCTCTCCTCCTACAGGTGCCATGACCTCGAACGAAATCCACGCCTGGGCTGTCTCTCAGAACCAACTACTTCGAGGTGGAGACTACAACTATTCAGCCTACCCCGACCTAGCCTCACAAATTCAATCCTATATCTCCCTCCCTGCTCCGCGGACGCAACCCCAGGCAACAATCTTCATATTATCCTTCGGCTTTTGGGACATCTATGACTTCGCTCAGCTCAACTTCCCAGCTGCTCAGAATGTCACAGACACCTCCATCGACTTCCTATTCGACCAGCTCGACGTTCTCTACGCTCACTTCGCCACCAAGCTCTACCCCATTACTGAGATTCCCCAAATCTCCAATTCGACGAACGCTACAACCTACTCTACATCAGAACACAAGTTCCAAGTCATCATTCCCCGCATTCTCGATCCTACCCTTCTCCCAGGTTGGGTTATACAACGTCCCATCCCAGCAAAACCGAGCAGCGTAGCCGAGCAACAAAAGAACGCTATCTACCTTACCGAACGCTGGAATCAAGGGGTTGAGAACAAGATGGGAGCATGGATGGAACGCACCGTCGACATTTCTCCAGCTCCTACAGAGTCCGTAGCACCGCCCGCCGAATCTACCGAGCCAGAAACGCGCGCAGATGTGCGTGAGAATGCTACGGAAAGACAGTCCGAGAACGGAAAGTTCCAGCAATTCGATGGCAATGTGCCTACTAAGGAAGAAAAACACAATTCCAACAAAGACGACGACAAGCCAGAAGAGGAACCCAAGGAAGAAGAAACGCAAAATCTTCCCAAGAAAGACATCTTCTACCACGACTCGGCCTCCATTCTGCTAGACATCATCCTCGAGCACCAACTCGAAGACGAAGGACTCTCCGACGCCTTGGGACTCGGCAAAGGCGAATCACCGTACGAAAGTGTATCCATCCCCTGCATGCGCCCCATGGACCTTGAAGAAGATATCATGGAACTCGTGACGCACTGGAAAGAGAACAACGGAATGCTGATCTGCAAAGAGCCAGAGGATTTCATGTGGTGGGATGCGTGGAGCCTAGGCGGCAAGGGGAAGAAAATGGTTGGGGAGGCAGTGGGCGAGGTTGTGAGGGAGGGGAAGAGTTTGCGGGCTAAGAAAGAGGGGAAGGGGAAGAGTGCGTAAATTTAGACGTATAGCATAGCATTTTGGGAGTTTTGGCGTCCAAAGGGAATGTGTATATAGGCGCTGTAAGATGGCGTATATGTTTAGATACCAGAGGATCAAGATATCCTTTTTCAGACCCAGATTTTGGCCAGTACCGTTGCGTGACCGTAAGGATTTGTTGGAGAGTAAGTAAGCCAACGTTTATTCTTGTTGCATAAATGGCCCTGCAGGTCAGGTAGCAAGACGAAGAGCACAGAGATAAAAAGGGAAGGATTAGCAAGCAGCTATCATTGCTCATTTTGATGAGCCGTCGGGAGGTGTAGCAGTATGAAGGGTTCGGAGAAACTTGAATGATGATTTGTACTTCTCCCTTCTCATTCCCGAGTACAGCAAGATTTCCGCTCACACTTAGCTCTAGAGCGTTGAGACCCAACGTATTGAGACCGTTCGAGTTGTGTTCGTCTTCTTGGATTGGTGTCGTTGCTCAGTCTCGGTCTGAGAAAGTTGGGAATGGAAGCTTTGCGGATAAGAGCGTAAGATTGAAGCGAGAAGAGGAAGTCAATCGAATTGTGAGATTCTCTGCCCCCGCTTCATATCACTCATCTTTAGAAGTGGAACCAAGTTGCAGCATTGGGCTGTTATTGGTTCTCGGGAAGGTGCCTTTCAGCTCTGAGAGCTGTGTGAAAACCTTGCGCCAACTTCAAGGATCTCCGATTACCTTGACTTGAATTTCGATGCCGCCAGCACTTTCTCTCTTGCTCTGTTTTTGCTTCTTTCCCTTCAATCTGTCTGAGCCCCATAGCAAGGCCTCTCTTTGCCGTTCGCATTCGCAGATTGGCCTTGAAGCTTTACCTGCGCTCGGGATGGACGCTGATACGTCGAGCTTATGACAGTTCTGGCAGCACCTTGGGTGCGTACTCTCGCATGCCTCGCAGACAACAAGTATTAGGTGACACCCCTTGGATTGACACTTGCTCAATCTATCCTCGGGCCTGCCACAGACATGACAGCTTGACACAGGATGCGTCAAACCATCTCCTTCCAATCCCGTCGAGCCTCTAGCATCGAACACGTAATTCTTTCCTTTGAACAAAGAATCTTCGGGGCGTTTCTTTCCAAGCCTGATCTCATCATCCATCCAAGCCATGTAAGCAGCTATTCCACCCTTCAAGGTGCAAACACTATCACCCTCTCTCTTCTCCATATTTTCTTCCATCCATCGTGCACCTTTCTCGCATCTGATACCTCCCGTACAATAAGTCATGATCTGTCTCCCTCCCTTTTCATCCTGGGCTTCGGCTCCAGTCATGTATTTTTTCACATACTGCGGCCACTGCGAGAACCTTCTGATCGGTGGCCTGAGTGCTGCTTCTCCAGTCTTCGGATCAACAAAATATCCAATCCTAGACTCGTAATGATTCCTGACATCCAAAAGCATAGTTTGAGGATGAGAATGACATCTTTCATGAAAGTCCACAGGACTTAAACTTTCAATCTTGTCCCAATTCTGAGGGATGTAATTTGTGACGCCCATAGGTGTAATTTCGGCCGCGACTCGGACGTTGGCAGGTGCACCCCCAAATGCACATGCACAGCCTCCTGACGTTGGCTTAAAGAATGCATTGCGCTTCTCCGTCGTCGAAAGGTCAAGATCTGAAAATGACCAATGAGATGAACATGCTTGAATATATGTCTCGATGTCGGATTTTGTACCACCAACTGTAACATTGAATCCTTCTTTTGCGACTCGAATTTTGCCTCCTAGATTGAGCTTTCCGGTCAAGTTTGTGTGGAAAGCAGCCTGCTCTGAGGGATCGTTTGCTTGTGCTTCATGTGAGAATGGGAGAGATGGCGGGGCGGAAAAGTAGCGGTAGAAGAGGAGGATGAGACCATCACCAGAATTTCCTGCAGGACATGTGCAGATATAAGAGACTGGGTCCGAAGAGCCTGCTGGGAGCCATGTTTGCTTCATGATGAGAGAGCCTAGCTGAGTCGAAATTTGCACTTTTGCGGCATGTGTCGGAAATGCTAGCACATCTTCTTTGAGGACAGACTGTCAAACAATATCATGTGCCTTGGTAATCATAGTTCTTTTTGATTCTGGGCGTGAAGTTAAAGCTTGCGAGAATGAAGGTGTGCTCGTGTTAAAGGTGGTGTGTGAAAAGCACGTGTTAGGCTATTCCGTTTTAGTGCTACAAACGACTCGCTTGTCTCACCTTACTCCAACATCATGCAACCTCAACGATGATCTCTCCGAAGTCGAGGCTTCATTGATCTTGCTCCGAAGATGGCAAGCGGAACTCCGGCTGGCCTATTGGAAAATCTCGCCATATCTCCAAAAACTATCATGGCAGCGCTACATAGCTCGAATGACACCATTTCTGCTCTCGATCTCCCACCTCCCACAATGGAGTCCCAACAGGATGTCCCAGAAATGCCTCCACAATTTGAACCACCAGCAGAATTTCTCAAATTTTCCGAGCTGCCCTCGGAATTGAGACTCAAAATTTGGGATGAAGCTAGCTTCTTTCAAAGGGATATCAATCTTTGGTTGAAAACCCTCGGTGAACTCAGTGTGAGTGCCTACACTGCTGAGGATTCCACCACCCACGAATTATTCAAAAGCCATGAATTTGTCACGAACACTGCTCCGCCAACAGTATTACAAATCTGCAAAGAATCTCGAGTTGTTGGACTGACACATTACCGGTTGTCGTTCGGAACGTCGTACGAATTTGCCAATCTCAGCATATCCACTACTCCACACATATACGTCAACTGGGACTGTGACAGGATCTGTTTGCTATGGCCCCAACAGTTTCAATCACATAAAAGCCGTTCCTTCAAGACACTCGTCAATATCTGCCAAGAAAACAGGCTCCGCTACCTTGCCCTGAACGTGTTGAGAGACGCTCATTGGCCGTACGTTGAAATTACCACTGCAGTGCACAGTCTCAAGGAAGTGCTACTATTTGGCTCCACCGCTCAAAAGAGTGCAACATACAGCGATGCTTTGAATATTGGCTTTGTGAACACGGAGACACTGGCTATGATTTACCCAGACCTATGGAGGAAGATCCGCAATCATTCGTGGGCAATCCGTCTCGAGATTCCTCGGAGAGATTTGGCCAAGTTCTTCAATTTGAGCAAGGTTGGAAATGAGTCGGAGGGTAGTTTATGGGTACGACAAAATGTACCATTTGCCAGCAATTCACCAGAAATACCATGGGGGCTTCAGTCTGATCTCGGGAATGATGAAGTGCGACAGCCACCAAGGATCGAGACTGGATACATTACCATCAATGGATTTCCAGAGCTGAGTGACTGGAATTGGTGAACGTTAGGCTTGTTTTGACTTCTCGAACGAGTTAATCACCGCGAAGCCCCAAAATTCGATAAGCAGTCACATGAAATGTAAGCCGGTATTCATGAACTACATGTTTGCTTGTTTGTGTGACTAGGCAGAATCGTCGATGCAAATGAACGCAATGCAATTTCTCTTCGGGTGGACATGAGTACTATCTACTTTACATGGTCGCCAGAATTGGTGACAGAAGCATCCAGAAAAGCAGATTCTCTCGACCTTCGTCTCGTGGCCACCTATGCTTGCACGTCGTTGGCAGGACCATACTTGTTCATTCCCATGATCTTAATTCTGGGGCACTTGAAGACCTTCTCAGCATCGGCATCGACAAGTGCCTCAACAACCGGGTCAAACTCATCTCCTTTGCCATCGCTCAACATTCGATTTCCCAGCCAGACTTGTGGACCCGCAAGCATCGATGATTCTCCAAAGTCCTTTCCGTGAACGGTGAATACGGAGTAGTGCTTCAAAAGCTGGCACATCTTACTCAGGAAAGATATCGTAATCTTGCAATAGAGAGCGATAGTGTTGAGAGGACCCATAGTGTCGTCCAATTCGACTAAGTCCAGTCTGACTCCAGATTTGGATACAGCAGAATTTGGATCCTTAACATATAGCAAAACGATCTCCTCCATATTCCTCGGCGTGCGCAACATGAGCTCGAGGAATTGAAGATCGAGGAACTTACGCAAGTCTGGATTGAACGAGTTCCCAAAGAGGTCCATAGGAACAGCGATCGACTTTGGAGACGTCCCGAAGAGGGTCGTGGGGCTTTCTTGTGTAAAGAACTCACGGTCGGTAGGGATCATGCATCTGTATAGGAAGAGCGTATCGACGGCATTATTGAAGTAGATTTTCGGCTCATGGAGTATTGTCCTGACAGCAGCCAGACTCTGTTGAGTATCCAGGGGTCTGTAGATATTCAGATACGTCCCTCCAACGAGGCCAAATAGCGAGAGGCACTCGTTATGGCTTTCGCGACAGACTTGAAGAATGGCAGGTTGTGGGCAGTCACTGCGCTGTAAAGTGATCCCCAGAACCTTCTTTCCACCGACTTCGTTATGACCTGCCTTATTCTTCTTGACTTCCGAAAAGGAAATCAGCCGGGGATGATTTGCAGCAAGCTTCCACTGCAACAAATTAGCACCGATTTCCCCTTATGACAGGATAAACAGCGAAGAAGGAACTTTGCAGTGCAGCGCTAGCGACTTTGTGCGAGATCTACTCCACTTACAAAGCCCCCAGAGGTACACTGTAACGAAGATGAAGTTGGGATGTGAAATTTACTTACAATGAGACATCGAATTTCAGGCGCAAGGTCGGGAAACAATTCAAATGTTTGAAGAGGTTCATAGTCAGAGGATCCTACGCTGGACTTCTCCATTGGTGTTGTCTTCCCGGAACTGCGTATCTTGTTGCCAGAATTGGACGATTTCGGAAGAGATCTCGAGTGACCCATTTCAAATCGATGCGTGCTAGGTGTCAGTTGTGTTTTCGATGTCTTTCTGTCTTTTGGATTGCGTTGAGGCTGGGAAAGTTGTCGAAGAGCGTCGCGCAAGTTTACCAACTGAACGCTACGCGTCGCGTTAATAGTGAGTTTCCCACACATCCAAAAGGTAGACCATTTGTGTCTCTAGCGGCTCCGATTAACGGGTATTCTTCGTGTAAACCTGCCCAAGTATAATATGCATTCTACCCAGCGTCAACTTCGACCGACATACGACAACCTAACAACCTGATAACCTAACACCTTTGACAACATGTCTACTGAGAACCATTCCCCATTGTCAAAACAAAAGGTAAGCTCCTTCCCTACATACACAAGACAAGGAAAACTGAGCAAACCACCACAGATGGCATTTACTAAAAAGCCTGCTGTGGCCGTTGCCGCGAAGACCGAACTGCCTAAAGCGCAAAGTACCGATGTCAAACAAAACAAAGCCGACAAGCTCTCTGCTCCTGCCGTCGAAGCTCAACAAGAGGAAGTCACGCATGATACTTTCACCTGCTTCCCAAACCTCCCCGTCGAACTCCGATACAAGGTGGTAAGCAGCAAACTTCTTCATTCTACACCCTGCCTAGTTTCCGAGTTCGGTGGACTGTGTTCTTGAGACGTATCTCAAACTGTTTGGCTCTTATCCTAAGAGAAAACTTGCTAACTTGTTGTAGTGGGAGCTCGCTGCTAATGCCCCGCGCCTTGTACCACTTGTAGAGGTCATAGTGGCGCAAAGTGAGGAGGAGTCAGACTATTACTGTGACGAATTCGAGGTCAATCAAAAAAGCGGAAATCCACAGCCTGCGGTCCTTCAGGTTTGCCAGGAGAGCCGGGCCGAGTGCATGCAGTACTTCGAGCTCGTCTTCGGTTCTCAACATTACCGCGGAAGCTTCTGGTCGACCGAGCTAGTCAAGCAGAAGCCAGCTGTATACTTCAACGCCTCTTGCGACATCTTTCACATGTCTAGCCGCTTTTGTAGCAATCTTAATATCTTTTCTGGATGGGGCCCTAGCTCAGACCCGACTTTGGCGCGCATTTGTTCATTGAAAGGATTTGCACTCAATGTTGAAGACTTCGACGCTGATAAATGGCCTCTGGATTATGATGAGTCCCACTACTCTGAAAGGGTTGTGTATGTTTTGCTGAGCCACCAAACTTCCATCCAAGAGATCATTCTCGTTCTACCCATCGAAAGTCGAGGAGCTTCAACCACAGGTGAACTAAAGCTTGTCGAGGTCGTCAACGATCTGGAAACTCAGCGTGCTAAGAAAGCTATTACCATGCTAAACAGCCTTCTCCGGACGGTTGAGCTCAGGCTCCTCCATCTCGCTCATTTGAGGTATCTCCACAAAAACCATCTGCATGCAATGCATGAATCCTACTACCTTACTTTTTCTGAACTTAAGTCCTTTGTGGCGGAACTCGCACTTCAAGCAGGCATCCCACTTGAGGAAGTGGAAAAGGAGATTGCTGAATATGCTCTGTATCAGCGACCAACGTTGAAGGTCATGGCCTTGTCAAGGGGTTGTAAAGCACCAGTTGGCCAGTCGACCATAGCGTGATTGATGGGGCGTTTGGCATCTCAGAAACTCTTTTTCTGCAATGATGGGGATAACGTTGAGTCGATCTACCGCGGTGATGGGAACTCTGCTCTTTCATAGCCCATCGAATGTATCAGCTCCCAGACCAAATAAGTGCAACCTCGTGATGAATTGTATTGTCAATTGAAGTCCATCCACGATGCTTGTTGAGTCCAGTCTATGGTATTTAACCAGTCTAAATCATCCATCTCTGTGAACGACGTCAACATCGGGTCGAACGGGATTTCAGGATTAGGTGCTTTGGCTGTTTCATTTCTAGCCTCCAAAACATAGTCCAGAACACGCCTTATGACTTTTCTCAGCCGCTGAGCTAGAGCATAGTTGCCATCCGTTGGGCGAATCTTAACCACACAATTAGCTTGTCTTTATGACATATTTGGGAACCTCTCGTTTGGAGCAAGATTCAGACTCACCCATTCCAGAAATGCAATGAACAGTGTTAGTTTTTGGATTGCGTCTGAGAGAGAAAATTCTACAGTACTCTGGCTCGCTGCTTTCTTGAGAAGTTCAACGCAAATCACTCCCGCAGACGGGATGCCGTAGAAGGTGACCTTCCAAGTGTTAGCGAAACATTCCTTAGCTCGAAGTGACAGGAAGGACCCACAATCCAATCAAAATTACAAGAAAAAGACATGAGCTGATCGCGTTTCATCCAGTATAATAGGGCAATATCGATGGACTCAATAGCAGTATTGAGAAGGCTTTGTCCGTTGTCTAGGCCTCGAGCAAGTGCAATTCGGTCAATTAGGAATTTGTTTTGTAGGAATTGTAGGAGCAAGTTCGCTCTATCATATAGGTCGGTGCCGGTAAGAGTCTTTGGCACACCTGGTCCCTCGTAATAGTGGAGTTGAGGAGGAAGTGCATCATACACTTCTTGACAACGTCGATGCATCTCTCTACACAGTGTTAGTCTCTTTTCGCTAACAAATCTCAACACAATTACCCTATACGTGATATCGAAACCTGAACATTGATGCCCAAAGCCAGTTCTAGGATCTCTTCACGAAGTACAGATTGTTGGAGTCTCGCTCTTAAAAGTGTAGTCAACTGATACGTGGAACCCGATGTGTTCCATCCTTCGGCATCCAATTGGCTCACAGCTACTGCCATTTCATCTTGTGGCAAGAGCAAGGCATCATCAGGTAGATCAAGACAAGGTTGGATGTCGCAGAAGGTTCGCGTTAACAAGGGAGGTATTCCACTCAAGGATGCATGTGTCTTGTCGCTGCAGTATATTGCACAAAATAGTCGTCTCTTGTACTCTGAGGCAGCGGTGACTCTGTTACAGGGTTGCATTAGCATTAAAACGACAGCTTGATAGGATAGGAACCGCTTTTAGTGCCGCAACGTTCAGGTGGTTAATAGAGAACCTTGCAGAAAAAGTACTCACTTTGTAGCATCGCAGTCCGACAGCCTATGGAGTCCTGAAGTGATTGTTGTCGTAATCATATCTCCATGGAGCCGGCGCATGTGGTATGCTATAAGAGATCAGGAGTGCTACCATGATAGAGTATGGAAGTTTAACGTACTTTCGTCTCCAGTACAGGCAGTCTCAAGCCTCTTCAAGTTCAATATTAGAGCTGCGACGAGATAGTTGACCGTCTCAGAGCAATCGCACATGTCTAGACAGACTTCTGCACATTCTTTCATTCTCCAAGCAGTCTGCTTTCTATCCCGCCCAAGGTTTTCCGAGACGCTGAACAGAGGATCCCAATCTTGTAACGCCAGATATCCCATTCCATAAAAACAGAACATTAGTCCCATCATTTCAAACCTAATGTTAGGTCCCGTAAAGGTGTCGAGCCATTCAACGGCATCGTCCGGACTAGGCGGTAAAGGAGCTTCTTCATTCTTGAAAAGAGCATCGGACATTATGGTGAGTGAAGGTGCCGAACGTGGTTGAGACAGTGGCTCTTCGAAGTTTGCCCAGATGGATGCATTACAATAGCCAAGCAGTTGCATATCTAAGGTAGTGTCACGGAGCTTAGCCACGGGCTGCAGTAAGACTGCACAGATCTCTTTCGAAGGAATGTTCCATAAAGCCTTCACTGTCCGATCCTCTCGTGCAGTGGGTCCGTTAGGTCGCTCACGACCGAGAAGTGGCTCCCCGAAAACCCAATTCCCTGGATGCTTCCGTTTGTCCTCGCCCATATCCAACAACTCGTCATGAAATTTGGCTTGATGCTCGGAGAAAATTGCTGAAAAACTAGTAGGTCCATAATACTTGGCAGAACGTGGAAAAAGGGCCTCTTTCCACCCTTCTTTTGGTTGTCCAACTGACTCCGAGCCAGTCGATGAGACCTTGGACGAGTGCCCATGACTTGTACTTTTAGCTCCATCTGTTCCATTATTTAGTGTGGCCAGATGAGGAGGAAGTCCGGCTCGAGCGGGACGCTGAGCAGGAACCGAAGAGCTGGCAGAGGTAACGCTTGGAGTTTGTTGAGGTGTAGGTAGTGGCTCTGAGTTTCGGCTCTTAGACATAGGAGCTGGATGGTATACGCAACGTTCCGTGGTCTTCCGCCGTACGCAACGCCCACAAAAAGGGGCCCCATGATCACATGCCAATTTTCCTTTCCTACAAGGCTCACAAGCTTGCTTCTTGCCGTTTCGTCGGTATCCTACAGCAGTTTCTCTAGTAGTCGGCATGTTGGGGGAAGTGCACGTGAGCCATCAATCTCATGCAGTTTTGAGTGGGGACAGAAGGAAGCAATAAGAGATGGGTCAAAAATGAAAGACTCCCTAGTCGAGCGCTCACAGTTTGTGTATTATTCATACGAACAAGTGTATAAGTTGAAAGGAAGTCTGCTTACAATTCTTGACGATCTCGGAGCTTGGAAGGCACTTCTCTCGAAAAGGGAAGGTGCCCCGAGCCATCAAAAATCGTCACGTGCTATTCGACTTTTCACAACGTGAGACAACGGTCTTTCTTCTTTTCCTCGACTTGCGAAGTTCATGTATGTTGTATTGTGCTTTGGAATATTGAAACTTCATGAAATACTCGGAACTAGATGCGCAAGAATCTCATGAAGCCCCCAGAAGTATGCTGGCTTGGCAACCTCAAGCTCGATGGTAAACGCAAGCTTCTGAAATGCCTTGATGGTCTCTTCTTGCTATTCGTTATTCCTCTTCTTGAAACCATTCATGTTTGGAAGCAGCATCTCTCTATTCACAGCCGTCTTCATCCTTCGCACGAACAAGTTCGTCTAGTTTTCGAACCCCTACCTTGAATGAAACGGGCCATGAAGCGGCGCAGCTTTTGTCCATTTTGGGTGAGAATTCGCCGGTCAGTAGCAATGGACGCCAATTACTACTTGAATATAAAGTCTTTGTCCGACGCCTGTATGATGTCGAAGTAGATCATCTTCTTCGTTTTTGACATTCAATACCGGCATTTAGTTCCAAGCTTCATTTCTATACTTTAGACATCTACTGTCAAATTTCGTTCTTCCATTCAAACAGCACCCGAGATGCTACTTTTCAATCCATTGATACTAATTACAGGTAGTTTACTGGATGGAATCATTTTCGAGAGTTTTGCTAACGCTGACAGCACTTTTTGCCATATCTTATGCTACCAATACTTCTGCTTCTGTCTTCGTAGCAGATAACAAATCTGTTACTTTCGCACTTAACATCCCCCAGGATGCCAACAGCACTGATCTCTTCTTCACAATTTCAGGTCCGAGTAATTGCTCATGGATTGTAGGTTATGTATTCCCTTTGGTCTCAACGCTAATCATTTCCAGGCCGTTGGAATGGGGTCGCAGAAGATGAAGAACTCATTGATGTTCATGATGTACACGGACTCTACGAAGAACAACATAACACTAAGTCCTCGACTCTCATACGATCATAGCGAACCATCATATACCTCGAATGTCAATATCACAATCCTGTCAGGGACAGGAATCTCGAACAATCAGATGGTGATCAACGCGATGTGCGAGAACTGTCGATCCTGGAAAGGAGGAGAGATCGACCCCACGAACACGAAAGCCTCTTTTATCTGGGCCAATGGACCAACTGAAAGCTTGACTTCGGATTCGTTGACCGCCGATATCAAGATGCATGCCGACTATGGTGTTTTCCAACTCGATCTGACTCAAGCTGTTGGAGCTGCTGGTGTGCCAGTCATTGCTACGACTGATTCCTCGGGCAGCAAACAAATATCATACAAAACAAGTTCAGATGGCATGGTTGTGGCCCATGCAATCTTCACTATCTTGGCTTTTGTTGCAATTATGCCATTAGGAGTCCTCATTCTGCGGATCTTCAAGAGTCCTAAATGGCATGGATACAACCAGGGTGCGTCCTTTGTGATAGCTCTTGTCGGCCTCGGACTCGGTTTTGGAAGCTCAACGGAGTACAACAGGGTAAGATTTCAAGCCATGGATATAATAGTGCTGACAAATGCCAGTCCAAAAACTTTTCCTCTGCCCATCAACTCTTTGGCATTGCAATTACTATTGCCCTGGCTGGCCAATTTGTCCTCGGATATATGCACCATAAGGTTTATAAGAAAACTTTAGCTACCACAAAGCTAGCTCCCATTCATGTATTGCTTGGAAGATTGGTGATACCAGCTGGAATACTGAACGCATTTCTGTATGTGATCTATCTCGATTCATTTTCGTGGCTGACACTTTTCAGTGGGTTTCCACTTGCCCTGGAGAGCGCAAGTGACGGGCCGCTATTTGGGATCGTCGTCGCTGTCGTAATCATTCTTGGTGCGTTTTCCTGGTGGTCTAGACGTCGAGACGAACAACATACCATGGCCATTGCCGCGAGAGGTTCCGAGCTAGGATACAGATGAATGAGGAGTGAGAATGGTTCGATGTCGACTGGGTTCGCCTGTCAATCACTTTCTTTGATTCCGTGGGATTTTGCCATTGCTGCATCTCAGGAGGATTACAGATATGCTAGTTTATAGACAACATCATGTGCTGCGCATTTTGATATTGGCCCAACGGAATTGAGTTTTCAATCCTTGGAAGTCGCTTCATTTACCTTCGAATGATACCTTCTTGAGCTTCAATGTGGTGGAAGGTATTTACTATTTAACCCCCGATAATGTGTTGGTTTCCATGATATAGATACACGCAGCTTCAATTCTGAAAGAGACCGATTCGGCAGACTCTGTATAACGATCTAAAGTCTGTCCCAACCAGATACCCTGAAGTAGCACAAGAACCACTTCTCCTCAAATCATGGTAGAACAACCGCATGGCAAGAGGCTAACATAGGATCACTGCACATGCAAGGCAGTGATTATAACGTTCAAAGCCTGTAAAGTTAGACCTCGGTTGCTGCTCGCTCCCTGAATCCGATACCCCTGAGTGATTAGCGAGTCGCCCCTGTGAAGGCCCGGCTGGCTGAGCCACTCTCGCTAAATGCGGGCGCGTTTGAAGTTAACGTCGTTACATTACCCTCTCCTTCAACACAACTTTGACTTCTGCTTTCAGATCAAAACAAAGCCAAATTGATCTCATTTCTAATCAAGTCGAATGCCTAACCGAAGAGCATGTGATAGATGTCACAGACTTAAAGAGGGATGCAGGTGGGAAGGCGGCTCAACGGCATGCACTCTCTGTAAACGATCTAAGTCATCATGCACAACTTTACGTGCACCACTGCGCCAAGGTCGACGAGCGAAGACCAAGCCTCTTGGACAGGATGCTTCTATTGATGTATGGGAGGTTGAGGGTTTTGAGACCAAATCAATCAAAACAAGTACCAGTCAAGCGTTGATCAAGAGCCGAATGCAACCCTCTCTATCGGCAAATACTTCAGTCAGCCATATCAACGAATGGGACATCCTGTTGGAAACTATCCCGGACTGCTATCAGTCTCCAAAAACCAACGAAAACGACTCTTCGACTCCTCAAAGACAGCCTCAGAAAGTATCCCAAGACATATCCATGGAACAGCCATTCAAACCCTGGATCATCGACCAATTCGATGACTTCTACACAAGACACGACTTATTCATGTTCGGTCCCACCTTCGCCCGAGATCTCAGAGTAGCCATTCAACACGCATATACCTGCTCACCTACCCTGCTACACGACATCCTCATGGTGATATCCCCAGCCGTCGACCGCGCCAAGCAAAAGCCCAGCTCCTGGAACCAAACAGAAATCAACAGATGTACGACCTCTATAGAGAAACTCCGGACAGCACGAATTACCAGCCTCTACGATGCCTTAGCCATCATGGCTCTCGGACAGAATTTAGCGGCGTTCAATCTGCTTACCTATAACACTGGCGCAATTTTCATCATGCAATACTCACTCACTTCCATTCGACCATGGTACGGACAGCTCTCTAAAGATCCTTCTATCGATACAGTCACCATAACTCCCGTTTTCTGGGACACAGTGCACTGTCTCCTCAAGCGCGAAATCCCAATCATCAAATTCTACTCTCGAGATCCTCACACCGTGGATCGCATGGCTGGTTTATGCACAACTTTGCTACCCATCCTCTACGACTTGTGTGTAGTAAGCCACACACTCAAACACCAACTCCAATCTTCCTCTGAGATTAACACCCAACATCTCCAGCATATCGAGCAAAAGCTCCGCTCATGGAAACCCACCCCGCCACCGGATTTCACCACCACATTCACACCCCACGAAATCCTCAAGATGGAAGCCCAAGCCTCAATGTACAGAACGGCAAGCTTGCTAATCTGTCATCGCCTCCTGCATCCAATTGGCACGGAGGACGACATCGCTATCTCGCACGCAAATAGTATCTTGCTTGATTACGCAAGATACTCGGCTCTGGTTAGTTTGCAAATGGTTACGTTTCCGATTCTACTCGCTGCGTTGGAGGTAGAGGATGTTGATGAGGGGATATGGAAGAGTATGCCGTTGCTGGCTGCTGCTCCGACTTGTATTGGGAAGATGGGAGCTTTTGTGGAGTATGTGTGGATGAGAAGGCTTTCTGGTTGTACGGGGTTTATTTTTGATGTTGTTGATAGTGGACCAGAATTTATAGTCGTTCCATGAGAAGATTTATTTGTTGGAAATGTATCTATACGATAGATAAGGTCAAAGCAAAGAGTAGTACTCATTTGTGATTATTGCTTGAGATATCGTACTCTAAAGCTATCAAGAGGCTCTATTCTATGTATTTCTTTAAGTCCCGTAGCCGCTCCTTCGCCTGCTCAAGAATTTCATCTTCCTTGCAAACTGCAAAACGCAACCAATCCTCGCCAATATGGGCATTTTCATCGGTATAGAACTCCGTAGGAGGAATAGCAGCAACTCCTACTTCGGTGATCAGAAACCAACTAAGTTTGAAATCTCTCGGCCTATCCTTGACGTGATCTGGGAATGGATAATTCGCCGGAATCTTGACCTTCTTCATATTGACCAAGACAAAATAACCTCCCTCAGGATCAGAGAATGGTAGATCTAATTCCTTCCAAATCTCATTGAACTTGTCCATCTTGCCCTTCATCTCCTTGACTGCTGAGACCCAGAAACCTTCAGCGTCGGCTTGCTCAAATCCTACAGCTGCTGCTTCTTGTAGTGGCGAGACTGAGGAGTAACAGATTCTGGTGTGTGCTGCAGCCACATACTGAATAAGGTGGGGCGGGCCAATGAGCCAGCCTACTCGCCAGCCGGTGGCATAGAAATTCTTGCCCGCAGAGCCAACAGTTAGAGTAAGTCTCTCGACTTCTGGAGATAGTGTGGCAATCCGCGTGAAAGGGACATAGTACAAGCGATCATAAACTTCATCTGAAAGAATGATGATCTCGTTCTTCACGCAAAGGCCTCCGATCTTGATGAGTTCTTCCTTGGAAAACACTTTGCCAACTGGATTGTGAGGGGTGTTGAGTACGATCATCTTGGTGCGAGGTGTGATAGCGGCCTCGAGTTCTGCAAAATCGATAGTCCATTCTCCTGCTGAAGTGTCTTGTGTAGCTCCTTTCGGAGGCGGGTGTAATGGTACATATTTGATCTTGCCGCCTGGCATTTCGATGTTGCTGATATATCTGTCTGTTGTCAGTAATTATTCTAAAGAATTAGGGACAATGACTTACTGGTCGAAGAAAGGCTCGAATATGATAACTTCATCACCTTCTTCTATAAAGGCCATAAAAGCACTCAACATTCCTGTTTGAAGTCAAAATCTGCTACTTCGTAGTACTAATGCTGACTGACCCTCATTTGCTCCAGTTGTGATAGTAACCTCTGTGTCTGGGTTCAGCTTTCGTCCCCATAGTGGCGAGTAAGAATCTGCGATAGCCTTCTTTAGACGAGGTCGCCCTCTTGTGGGAGAGTATTGGTTGCAATCGACTTTCGTAAGGGCTTCCTGAGCAGCTTTTATGATGAATTGAGGTGGGTTGTAGCCAAAGAAACCCTGGCCCATGTTGACAATAGGCTGCTTAGGAGAAGCGGCAGCCCCCTCGTTAACGATGGTCCTATACGTCTATGTCAGTTCCAACATTCAGGGAAGGTATGCTGTGTAACAAAGCGATGTATTCTTCTAGCGGGGTACATTGAAGCTACCCCGCCATTCTTACTCTGTTCCCATCCATTTGGTACCAATGTTGGAAACAAATTAATGTAGCATATATTAGGGAAGTCCCGTATTGCGACTCACCAAACATCTTGTCTTCTGCCAGCGACTCTTGCTGCAGGCTGTAGTTTCCCTTTGCTAGTCATAGTGGGGGTGAAGCAGCGTCGAGCTTCAAATCCGTTTCGGTTGATTTGATTTCTGTTGAACAGTGCGAGTCGGGGAACTGAAGTGATGGTTCTCATATGGGAACTACATGCGAAATATGTCAGGATTTTCCCCTCACGACCAATGCATCCAAAGGGCGCAGTGTGCTCACGAGTTGAGAAATGTTAATCCTAGATGCTTACTTTTGTGATGAAGGCCGAGCTTCGGAATTGCGTCAATTACGGCGGCAATAGGCCACGATCGGTCAAATATGCTGAGGTGAATATTGTCGGTGAAGAGAGAAAATTTGCGAAAATGAATGTCTGATCAAGTAACACAAAGTCTCTAGTCAATCTGGGAAAGAGAATGTCCTGTTGCACCAGACTACTTGCTATTCCTACCCCTTTTTGGCTAAGTGTTCCCTTGGTTCTCCAGACCAGACTGATGCAAGTGACGGGCGGGATGAGCCGCATCAACATCGAATGTGGGGAAGGATTCGCTGGATCGCATCTCGTATCTCTGAATCCAATCCCCGTCGATACCTCTCCAGACCAGCTTCTGGTACACAAATTAGGAGCAAGCATGTAAGATTGAAAGGATCTTGAGGCCGAGTCTACATTGCTTTCTTGCAGCAAGACTTTCCGCCACAATGTCATCCTTCCAACCTTCACAAGACGGGATGGCAGCTCCAGTCCTACCCATCACCGTCCGGTTCACGACCTCGATTCCCGACCTCCCACTGGATATACCTACCGCAGACTCTACAACCGTCATAGCACTGAAGCACCTCATCCGCTCCAAGCTCGAACCCCCCACATCCAAGCACCGCTACCGCCTAATCCACAGCGGCAAGCTCCTCAAAGACGACGACATCCTCTCCACCGTCCTCAAGATCCCCTCCCCTCCCCCACGAACCCCCGACCCTAAAGGAAAAGGCAAAGCCATTGAACCTGCCCCGCCGCGAGTCTACATCAACTGCTCCATTGGCGACATTCTCACTTCCGCCGAGCTCTCCGCGGAAGCTCTAGCCGCAGCAGCATCTACGAACAAGAGCAAGAAACGCACACCGAGCGAAGGCAGAGATGCCGAACTCGTACAGCCGAAAAATACAACGCCGGCTCCGAGGGGCTTTGAGCGGTTGTTGCAGGGTGGGTTTACAGCTGCGGAGGTAAATCAGCTACGGTTACAGTTTCGCTCTATTCAGTCTAATATACATACTCCGGATACGATGCCCTCTCCGAATACGTTGTTAAGGATGGAAGATGCATGGATAGATGATAATGGCGGGACAACGGGGACTGGTGGATCTGGTCCTGGATTTGACTTTGGAGATTCGGATGGGCTGGGAGGAGGGGCATTGGATGATCTGTTATGGGGGAATATCATGGGGTTCTTGTGGCCGTTGGGATGTGTCGGGTGGTTGATCAGAGAAGAAGGGGTGTGGTCAAGGAGAAGACGGATTGCGGTCTTCACGGGCTTCGTGCTGAGCCTTTCATTCGGGATGCTGAGGGTTATGTCATGAACGTGTAAGAAATATTGCATGGTCGGCGTTGAAAGGGTTTGCAGGGACCAACTTTGATACCCCGAGATTTAGTGCATTCGATGGAAAGCAAATCGTACTTTCACAGCTTGATAATTTCTAGACCGGGACAGACATTGTGTGAAGAATATGCCGGTGGCGAGAGCGAGACATTCCGTCCATTTCATAATCTGTGAAGATTGAGGACTTTTTGAGATGGCATAGTAAATGACCTTCGTTGAGCACATTCACTGTGCTGAGATAGTGACTCTTATTAGGACATGGAAAAGTTTTGCGCTAACAACCTACAGGTCGTGAATCGTCATTCATCCGAGAAAAACAAATCGCTCAAAACTCCATATACCATGCATGCCGTACTTCTCACTGCACTTTCTTGTGTCCCTTCTTCAACGGTGTCTCGTTCCGTGGTCCCCTCTCAACACGGAAGATCCGCTCTATTATAACAATGAAGAGTTGAATAAGCATTATTAAAGCTCTTAGAAGCAGATCTGCTAGACCGAGAACAGGTCTTTTCCCTCTGCTGAAAGTGCTATCTCTGAATTTGAAAGGTAGTTGGGCACCAAGATGATCTTGTGCAACTTTAATACCACTAGAGAAACCATCTTCATGGAAGCCATATTTCGTCCACGCACCGCAGTAGCTTATACCCCGCGTATTCTGTATCCGTGGCAGTAGGCTTTGCGAGCGGATGGACTGCGCGTTGTAGAGGGGATGCGAGTATGAATATCGGCCTTGTACCAGTGCTGGGTCGGGCTCATGGAGTGGATTCAGTGTCACGAGGACGTCTCCAAAGGTTTCCGGCTGGATGTGTTGTAGAATGTTCATGTTGTAAGTGAGGCATACTTGATCCACATTGTTCGAGTACCCAGTAGACTTGGTGATATAATTCCATGAAGACCAAGCTTTCCTCGACCTCGGCATCAGGGACAGATCCGAGTGGAGGATAGCAGTATTCTTGCTAGTATTGAAACCAGACAAGACATCTTTCTCTTCGTGGTCGGCTTCTGGTAGAACCAGAGCATGAGCTTGGTCACCGTGAGTTGCAATAATGACGTGGTCGTACACTTCAGACTTGCCACTCTCGAGGTGGACTCGCACACGACCGTCATCGTCATTGGTCACTGACTCGACATGGGTGTTGAGGAAGATGTGGTTCGGTGGGAAACCTTTCATAATGGCATCAACATAGGCTTTGGCTCCGTCCCGGATGGTAAGCCATGATGGTCTCGTAGCAACAGTGCTTAGAAGATGATGATTCCACCTAGACAATTAGCAAGGATTTTTTTGACGCATATACTACGCTTACATGAATCTGACTAGAGTAATTGCAGGGAACTCGAGAGAACATTTGTCGGGACTTGTGCTCCAGACGGCCGCGGCCATTGGAATTAGATAGTCGTCTCGGAATGCGTCTGAGTATCCTTCTCGATCGAGATATTCTCCAATTGTCTCTTGCTTCTTCGCATGATGGATGTGGCTTCCATTGCCGTTCCCGTTGCCATTGATCTCCATTGTAAATTCTTCACTCTTCTCTTCCTCTTTCAGCAGATCCAGTGCAAATTGGTTGAAGCGTATTATGTCGAATATCATCCGCCAGAGTCGGGGGAAGAAGATGTTCTTCCGTTGTGCAAAGACGGCAGATAGAGAGGTTCCTGCCCATTCGAATGTTCCCTGGTCTCGCGAAACTCCAAAGGTCATCTCGGTCGGAACCGTAGGTACTTTTATAGCTTTCAGGAAAGCTATGAAATTGGCTGTGCGGGGTCAGCATGTATCAGTGAGAGGGGCACAAGAAGCTCACGATAAGTGGCAGTATTGAGAACAATAAAGCCAGTATCTACCATAGTCTTTGCCTTTCCCTTTTTGAACTCGACTGTGTTGGTATGGCCGCCCAATCGATCTGCAGCTTCATAGATGTATACATCGTGGTGAGTGCGATTCAAAGCCCATAATGCGCCAAGTCCTGCGCAACCACTGCCGATAATTGCAACCTTCTTTCTAGGAACGTTATGAGTTAGGGATGCCATAATTAAAGTTGGGAGAAGCTGTAGGTAGAAGAGATATTATATTCACGAGTCATGATTCTCGTCACCGAGTGAAGTGGCACTGATAGAGGATGTTGCTGGCTGTGACGGCATGATTCCTGATTGAGGTGCGTGGAACGGGAGATTTAGTGGCTTTCATGTGAGACCAAATCCAGTGATTGTTAGTTGACATACAAATAGAGATACTAACAAAGTATATCCAAAGAATAGAAAAGGATCATCGTTGGAAGTTTACAGAGGCTCGTATGAGAGTGTTTGAAAGTCTGTCCAAGCTCAAACTCGATATTATAATTCGAGGAATGTTTGATATCGTTATGCACAGGGTTGTGTGTATCCCTGTAGATTCTATTCTATTGTGGATTCACTGTGGCTGGTGGTTTGTGGCGGAACTACGATGTTCCTGAAAGCAGTGTTCCATTGTTCCTCAGACATCCTAGCATGACCGATCTCTTCAAACACCAACATACATTCATCTGTTCACATCTCTGCATCGACTCCAGAATATCTACGCATTCCTCTCTCACGACGTTCACTGGTCAGCTGCATCGCCACTACGGACGTTAGTGACCCAGATCCCCAACCGGCCTTTTCTAGCTCCGACCCGAGACGCTTCTCTTCCTGAAGAAGGCAACGACGATAACACCACAGATTTCCGCCTACGACAAGTATCATCTCCCTACAACATCTATCCATCCACAATGGCAAACCCACTCGATACCGACGCAGGCTCTGAGCTTTTCAGCAGCTACGAAGCTGAGCTCAAACTGGTTCAGGCCGATCTGAGCCAAAAGTTGGATCAGATTCCGGACATGGCAGGCGAGCCGCGCAAAGCAGCAATCAGTCAAGCAGAGCGAGCGTTGGAAGAAGCAAATGAGTTGGTAGGTTGTCGGATTGTGTTCTATGCCTGGAAGAAATACTGAGTCTGTTACAGCTCGATCAGATGCGCCTCGAGAAGCAGAATATACCCTCAGCCACTCGCACCAAAGTCAATCAACGATTTCGAAACCACGAGTCCGATGTCGATGCTGCGAAGAGGAAGTTGAGGTCCCTGGCTGATGATCGCTCTGCTTTGTTTGGATCTCGATATTCTGACAACCCGAATGATGTCCAGCTCGAGCAGAGACAACAGCTCCTCACCGGAACCGACAGGTTAGATCGCAGCTCGCAGAGGCTGAAAGCTAGCCAAGCATTGGCAAATGAGACAGAGGCAATTGGAGCGAGCACTCTTGCCGACTTGCATAGGCAGAGAGAGACAATCCAACATACGAACGACATGCTGCTCGAGAGTGAAGGTTACGTTGATCGCAGCGTAAAGACGTTGAGGGGGATGGCTCGTAGGTAAATCGTCCCCTTTGTCCTCCAAAAAGAAACTACCCGTGACGAATAACTGACAGTTTTGGTATAGGATGGCTACAAATAGGATTATAACGATCTCGATCATTACGGTTTTGGTTCTGCTTATCATTGCTGTAATTTACAGCAAGTTCAGATGATGCAGTGGGTTATTAGCGCTTCGGTAGTCTTCAGATACTCCTTTTCGTTGTAGGAATACTCGGGTTATAATAAAGCAAGCATTGTACATTTGCAATCACGCGCACATTTTAAACGATACCTTGATGTTGATTGGAAAGTAATAACCGACGAAGTTGTGTCTCGAGTCAAGCTTGATAAGCATTTTCACACGCGGCATTATGTCAAATTGACAGTGTAGGCCTTTGTTTGGCTAGAATGTCCTAGCCTCGTCAGTTTGTCGATGGAGGTGGTGGACATTACTTTAGATTTCCCTGCCCAGCCTGAACATCAGGGCTCAATGCTTGAACTCAAGTGAGTCTTTGCGTCCTCATAAAAATCGTCTTCAGATGACAGTCTATAATAGTATGTCTACCGTCCCACTCAGACTAGGTTCTCGAATTTCGTCCCGGTGAGTAACGCCACAGGCCGGGATAGCAAGTCATATCCACGCTGTCGGCTAGCCAGCTCTGCAAATCCAACCAATGCATCTTCTTCAAGCCCAAGCGCTCGTAAACTGAGAGCCACTGGTGAAAGCCATCAGCTCGGAACTATGGTTCACTAACCCGAAGCTCGAAGGAGAGACCTAAAAGATGAAGGTATTCCGGGACGGATCAACTTGCTGATAGCACCCCTCTTCCAATACGTATTTCCTTCTCTTGTGTAATATTCTCTCTACTTCAAAGCCCCTTGGCCATATGCGATGGCTATCTTCACAAGCTTAAATACCGTTCTCTTTGCTATCTTTGCTTTCATCTTCTACACCATCGGTCTTGTTCTATACCGTCTATTTCTAAGCCCAACTTCTAAATTCCCGGGGTCGAAACTTGCAGCATCCACTCTTTGGTACGAGTTCTACTACGAAGCAATCTTACCAGGACAATTTACTTTCAAGATTCGAGAATGGCATGAGAAATATGGTAGCTCCGTTGACTCTTAACAAGTGCCGGCGTCTGATATGTTGAAGGTCCAATAATTCGTATAAATCCCTACGAGATTCACGTCGATGATCCGGGTTTCTATCACACCGTATTCTCCAATTCCGGCATCCGAGACAAACATGCGTTCTATACTGGTAAGAGCGGCTCTCTTCCTATTTATCTTGAAAGCAAATGCTCTTCAGCGGGATGTGTATTCCAAGACTGTCAAGCATGCATCTTTCCACCTGGAGCTGAAGGAATCAAGAACACTAACTCGTCCTCCCTTCCAAAAAGGCCAATTCGGCAACCCAAACACAGCATTCGGAGCCGTATCCCACGACACCCACCGCATGCGCCGGCAAGCGCTCAACCCTCTCTTCTCCAAAGCATCAGTCGTTCGCCTAACGCCCGTTATCTCTACTATCATCGAGAAACTCTGCCGCCGTATTGACGAAGTGAAAGGGACAGATCGTCCCTTAAACATGAGATTGGTCTACATGTGCTTCACCACCGACGTGGTGACTCGATATGCGTTGAACCGCAGCTGGGATTTACTCGATAGTGCCGATTTCTCGCCCCTGTGGAAGGAGATGGTCAGGAGTACGGGCGAGATGACGAAGTGGACGAAGCAGTTTCCGTGGTTGTTCGGGGTGGTTAAGACCTTGCCGGAGTGGGTGATTAAAGGGTTGAAGCCGGATCTGGGGTTGGTTCTTGACATGCAGACAGTTTGTATCTCGTTCCATTGATAGGATAACTATTAATATTGACAGAAAATCAACACCCAAATTCTGCAAATAATGCAAGAAAAAGAACCCAAGCCCGCCATCTCAGATGAGCAAGAACAACTTCCTCGAACAATCTTTCACGCTCTGTGGAATAACCCCAATATTCCCTCCGAGGAGAAAAGCATTGATCACTTGGGACAGACGGGACAAGATGTCATCGGAGCAGGAGGTGAATCAACAGGTGCCGCTTTGGCTGTCACTACATTCTATCTCCTGAATACTCCTAGAGCGCTCAAGAAATTGAAGACAGAGCTAGAGGAGGCAATGCCGGATAAGTACGGGCAGTGGGCTTTGAGTCTTGCAGAGGGCTTGCCTTACTTGGTTCATCTCCTCTAAAGCATTTATGAAGTAAGAACTAATAGAAACAGACAGGAGTAGTCCTCGAAGGATTGAGGTAAGCTCTCCCTTTACCAGTTCTAGGTCCCAGACCCGGTCTCATCCCCTTCCGAAACTCACATCACCACAGACTCTTCTACGGCGTCTCCAGTCGTCTCAGCCGCATCGCACCCACCACACCCCTCAAATACCAAAACTGGGAAATTCCCGCAAACGTAGCATTACCCCTCCTCCCCCTTCTCAACTCCCTCACTCACTCATCCCAAACATCCAGACTCCAATAGGACTAACCAACTTGCTCCTCCACCACCACCCATCCATCTTCCCCGATTCGCACTCCTTCCTCCCGGAGCGCTGGCTCGACAACCGCCCGCTTGAGCATTACCTGTTTTCGTTCTCCAAGGGCTCAAGGCAATGTGTTGGGATTAAGTAAGGCTCTCTTTTTCTATAAGAGGGGGTGGAAGGGGCTGATGAGGATTGTAGTTTGGCGAAGGCGGAGATTTTCTTGACGCTGGCGACACTGTTTAGGAGGTTTGAGATGGAGTTGTTTGATACAACGTTTGAGAGGGATGTGGACGTTAGGCGGGATATGTTTTTGCCGCAGCCGAGTAGGGAGAGTAGGGGGATTAGGGTTGTGTTTAGATGAGGTGGTGGGAGGAGATGTGGGAGATGAGAGATTGGTGATTGTGATTGTGAGGGTTGAGTATTGTGGCGCTGTGGGACATTAATCGAATGAGAGAGAAGCGCACCACGAGAAGGGACAATGCGAGGAAGGAAGGAGGTTGATGTGACGTATTTAGACATTGAGATTGGCATTATGTCTTAATTTGTATCCTGACAATCATAAGACATTAATGTCCTACACCACCTCAGATCCCCTTCTCAGACTTGAAACTACATCTCTCGCCCCAACAAGATGATCAACAATAGTAACGGGAATACAAAAAGTTATCGTATAACTCCATCTTACTCCCATGCTAAATCATTCGTCGCCATCGAACACCACCCCACAGCACCATGCCATATCTTCGTGAGAAGCAGCTCCTCTACCGTATTAACCCCAAAACCCAAAACTCCAAAAACCAAAGGCGTAGTAACCCGCGAGGGTCCTAGCCAGTAATGTATTTTGTCTATCCATTCTTCCTTGCCTTTTCCCATCCCCTTCCATGCTCCATATTCCATCTCCCGTATATCATCTCTCCATCATGCCATTGACATGTATATATCCGAAGTACCGGAAGGTTGGACGCCGATAATGATTGATCGGCAACGTATCCGCAGAGCGGTTATGGACAGGATCTATGTATATGTACATATACATACACGATCGTGTCAACATTCGAATGAGACCCGGAAGTGAGAGCCGGGGAGGTCGTCCTTCGTCCTCTAACGTATGTGCGCTTTTTTGGGGGGTTTTTTGGGGGCTTTTTTTTCGTAGTCGTGATGTGCAAATTGGGGAGGGATATATGTGCAGGAATGGAATTTTTTGTTGAGTTTTTTCTGAACTGAATGAGAATGTAAGGTCGCCGAATGAGACATAATGAGGTGGGGACCTCAGTACCAGTATCGTTGAGGAGCTGGTAAGTTGTCGGTGTGGTCGAACCAGTGTAAGCAATGTCGTTGCACTAGGCGCGAGCAACTCCTGTAGATCCATCATCATCTCCGAAATCACCATCTTCGATGGCCATCCTATAGTAACCAGGATCTCCAAGACAGTCTATCCATGTATCCTCGAAAGCAGGTACCGTTTCGTATAGAAGAGCCATCATCGATCAGGCAGGGTAGGTAGAGGAATGCAAGCATGTATTGACTCTCCAGAAGACTTCGCAGATTGATTGGTAGTGTCGCAGATGGCAGATATTCCGCTCTAGGAGGAAGATAGCTTTCGAGTCGATGAGGTAGGAAAGGTGTCACCTGGTGACTGGTATAAAAGTTGAGCCTTGGCCGAGAGGCAAAGACAAGTAGCAAGACAGCGACCTCCAACGCAAAAGCAGACAGTTCGTTTTAAAGTTTTTTTCTTTCTTTTTTGGTGGGACTTTTGGGCAGACGATAACATGCTCGGTTGCCCTGAAAGGCTCGTTTCGTCGTATGTACTGAAGCAAGTAGATCTAATGCAAGACAGAGGAAATTGGGATCGTTCGTCGTAGCAGATCATGGCAGCTTTTCATTTGAGCTAAAGGAAAAGGCCGTGATTGTTGCAAGACGCATGGGAAAGCGAAGGTATCGAACGGAAAGCAATTGGACTTCGTGACACTTGAGTCGCAGACGTAGGCAAGGAACTCGTAGATGCAAAGATTGACCGTCGTCTCATGAGTAAGACAGTAGGTCAATGATCTTGCCTGGATGATGATCGTGGCAAGGAGACTACGCTGTAGTCGTTCCATAGTCCAAGGCCGTATCAGTGTGCTTCAAGCGATGGTGAGCGACGAGATCCTGGTGAGTAGCGAATCCGTAGTAGACACCATTAAGGTATCGACCTCTTGGACAACCGTCAACTCTGCAAAGGATTGGCCCATGATATTCAGTGTTGTGCTTATTCCTTTTGTCGCTACGAGCTATATTGTCATGACCAGTGCAGTAAGGTTTGTCGCAATACAGAGGAGGAGCATGGGACTTTGACAGGCTATGACGATGGAGACTATGCTGACTACCGAAGGGCTTTGGCTCGAGGCCACCTCGACGAAATTTGCAACCCGGATGTGTGCACCAGAAGTTCTTTTGATGCACTTGGCGGACGTGAGCGAACCAAAGGTTGGGTGTAGCGAAAGTGCATTTGGTTGAACATCCTTCCCAACTGCATCTCTGTTCTTTCCACGTAGATAAATCCATGTGCTTCTGCCATAGGTGGACATTGTAGTCATTAAGAGTAGCGAAGACTGGTGCTTGCGCAGCATCCAAGGGTTGAGGACATAGGAAGCATTCCGAAGGAAAATCTGGGCTATCGTTTGGAGCTTGTGAGGCAGTCATCTGGGCTGCTCGGGTGTGCGGTGGATCGACGACAGAAGATTCGGCAGAGTAACTCGGCTCTTCATTCTGCAGCAATGCTGGTTTGGCCATGACTTGCATGCGATCAGTCCAACCGGCAGAGGAGGTTGTCGCGGAATCGTTGTCAAGCTCCGGCTTGACGACATTAACTTCGAGGTGCTGAAGAGCACTGGCTTGCACAGGTGGATCGAACTGATGTGAATGAGCATGTACATTGCCTTGCTGTAGATGTCGAGACACTGTGGACAACGTTCCACCGTATGGTGCATCCAATGCCGACAAAGAGGGATCAAGATGGAACATCTGGTCGGTGGAATTGACACGTTGACTTGCAGAGACAGAAGCATTGTAGTCAAGATGAGAGTCATAAGCCAGTGAGTTGATGCCGTTTGAAGCTTGCAAAGGGTAATTGAAATAGGGCAGTGAGCTCGCGAAACTTGACGTCGCAGAAGTTGCACCGTAGGTAGGCATTACAATCCCAGGGGACGACCGACCCGAGATTTGACGATTTGCAAGAGCTATAGGAGTACGCAGTGACAGTGGGGAAGAAGACAGAGTTGTCGATGTCCTTTTGGAGAGTGCTTGTTGCTTCGGGAGTCGGCCGTCAGTGCCAGGGCTGGCCTTTCTCTTAGGAGGGCGAATCATGTTAGATGCTTGCATCAACAGTAGCCAGAGAGACACGAAATCGTCGTTATAGAGAAGGAATGTGGTAAGGATGGCTGCCGAGTATGGGGATGAAAGATCCTTTGCTTGCTAATAAGTCGCGAGCTGTTGACATGCACGAAGCGGTATGTCGCTGTTGGCGAGACTATCGGTGTCAGAAAATGGTGAACAAGAGAAACAACGAGCGATAAAATAAGAGCAAGTTATGCTAGATTAATACTGAGGTGAAAGGCAGAGGGAGGTGCGGTGAGATACGGTGAAGTGAGGTGGTTTGACGGTGGATAATCGCCAGAAGGGGAGACATACTCGATATGTACTTGCTACTACGAGTTGGGCGTTGACTAAAAAAAATTGTTTGGCGACTCTGTGGCCAACCGTTGCTTCCGGGGTCTCTAGCAGCATCCGAAATGTCGTCGTAAGAGGGAAAGGGAATTGCTGATAGTAAGGTATGAATAGACTTGATACTTTTGGATAATACTCGGATTATTTCCTGAAGATTCGGAAGAGAAGGAGGAGAAAGCAGAAAATTCGTTGGTGCTTGACACCTCAACAACCTTCACTACTCGAAGTCCATCATTTGATTGTCCAGGAAGCCTCAGGATAAGTGCTATGTTGAGGTGGTTCGCGCTCTCTCATGAGAAATCGGGCCCGGCGCTAGTCTCGTCAAGCTTCGTCGACATTGGCCAACGACTTTCTCACGACAAACCTTCCTCGACTTCGGTTGCCTCGCCGTGATGTGTACAATTGGCCACTTCGAATGGAGCATCATGAAGTTGTAGACTGTGATCATCACTGGTCTTTGTCAGACTTTTCTCACCGTTGCGACCAGAATGTAGACCGTACTCACGTAACGATCGTGATGTTTCGCCGGTGACCACCCCTCCAATAGCATCATCACTCGAGTCGGACTTAAGCATACTCCAAGCACTGTGCATCCTCTGCCCCGTGACCTAGAGGACTCTGCAGCCCCTCGCCGGACCAGTGCACCTAGCCATTGTGCCTACTTGTTGCGCGCAAATGCGAAGTACGCAGTGCGCAGAAGTCGAGCATCGAGGCATTCCTGCGTGTGATAGGCCCGCAGCCGAGAAAGTGGCATTTTAGACTCGGCTATGTTGAAAGAAGGGAGGCTTTCGTTGTGGCAGACTCGTGGGCGATTTGCTTCGAATCTCGTCGGCGCAAAGTGTTGTTGAAGACAGGATCTTGCTTGCAAAACAGACAAAAAACTCCAGATTTCAGCTCAAGTGGGGAGACACACGGTTTTAGAACAATCGCAAATTCGCAACATACACCATAATGATCCCTTGGCCCCCGCAATTCTGTTTCTGGATATGATCGAGAGCCGCCTCCTAATCGAGCCGCCGGGGGCGGGATGCACGAAGATGTGATTGGTCGGAAGGAGACACACGCATGCAAAGAATCGATTGAAAGGAAGTGGAGGCGCACCCATCTCGCAATTATCCTTGGACTCAACTTTTCAGCTGAGCAACAAGGGTCTTGAGGAAGGGAGGAAAGAAGGATGGACACTGCGATATATATGACAAAATTTGGAGAGCAAAACAACATTGCTAATACTCAAGACCTCACGCTTTATTTGATACAGATAAAACTGCAATACGCAACACAAGCTTCTCAGCCCATTAGAATTGGAATTTGGGGGTGCTCATCACACCCCAAGGGAGTACAAGTCTCCCTTGGCTGCAGCCGCACGCTTGTGCGAGGTTATCAATGCAGTGATTAGCCTGGAAATTAGACAAGAGCTCGACATGGCGTCAAACGTACAATACTGACAGATACGAAGACACGGAAAATCCGGAGATAAAGGTGATGTTGGTGAGAGATAGAACCATCAAGTATTGAGGATGAAAAGTTTGTGTGTGATGCATTGTTCGTTGGCCGATTCTATCGCTAGCTCATGCGGAGAAAGGTTGAATTGCTTCACATTGGATGAACACCATTGTGTGCGGCCAATCCAAGTGGATATACGAAGCGTCTTCACTTATGTAGGACAGTTCTGCCCGATTTGTTTGTATGGCATTCGGTCATATGGTTGCGGCATGTTGGCCAACAGCAAAGGCTCAATTGGGCAACCGGAATTAGAATGATCTGGGCCATAATGGTTATTACAATTACAACTTCAACCGACGTCCTTGTCTATACATTCTTGTCCACTATGTTTCTATACTGCTCAAGGCTAATCTAATCCACAGCATATACTGCAATCATAAACCTCTTCGCACATTACATGCTCGTCTCTCAACGCCTTGTTCCCACTCTGCTTCGCGATGTCTCTGGCCTTCAGAACCATCGACCAGGCCATTTTATGGTCGAGTTGCAGATGATCCAGAAATCCGCTCTCACAGAATTGCGATGCAAATTTCTTACATGATCCAAGAGCGCATTCGAACTCTCCATGTTGCTTGCCGATGTGCTTGGCCGTGCTGTCGAGCTCAGGATTCAGTTTCACCATGCAGTGTGGTACAAACGGACAAGGGTCAGTGTCGTGAATGTCCCGCAGATGGTTCATCAATTTGTCCTTCCTGCTGAAGTCCCTTCTTTCGGTCGTACAACTTGGAAAGGGGCATTTAATCTTTGTGCATTCGATATGGACTGAGTTTATATGGCGTTGAAGATCCGCTTTCCCTCGAAATGGAGTTTTATGTCGGCAGCCTTCTACTACACATACTAGGGGATTGATATGTATATTGTTGATATGGTCTTCAAGAAGCTTCTTTGTCCGATGTCGGGCTTTCGACGGACATCCGTACCAAGTACAAGGCGAGCCTTGCGTCCACTCATCTTGAATGTTCCGAGAATGTTCCTTCATATGGCTTTTCCAATGTTCGGCACTGTCAAACGGACTTGACTTTCTACATCGTGGCCAGTTGCAATCATACTGCTGTTTTGTCGTCGACGACGCTTTTTGTGCCGTGTAACATCGTTTGCCTGATTCTTGAAGGACGGGAAAGTGTACCAGGCCGCCAAAGCCGACGAAACTCGTCGGTGTCTGAAAGTGGTAACCGCTAGAGCCCTGTTCGAGGTCCACCAGGGGCCACGGTTCCAGTTCAGGATTCGGCTCCCAAAAGTTGTCGGACCAGGAAGATATGTCAACATCTGAGCAGGGCGAACCAGGAAGATACGACGTGGACGTTGAGTCTGGTATGATTTGAGGAATTTCGCTGTGATTGGTCAGGCCCTTTTCTTCAAGCGAAACAGAAGGGGGTGAAAAGCCTCACCACTTTGGGGCTGTGATAAGCTCGCCACTGGGCCACGAATCAAGTGAGTCAAAGATAGCCGGCTCGAAGAAGGCGTTGTAATCTTCTGATAAGTCGGGAAATGTGGCTTGATATGAGTCCATCCCGGTGACGCAGGACCGGGGATGTTTAATTCAGCTCGAGGTTCGCAGTTGACAGCAATGAGGCTCTGTACCGCAAAATGGCGCAACATCTTGTTCTGAGGACTCTGGGGAGAAGGTTCCTTATATAATTCGATCCCACGTTCCACCGAGTGACCTCACCTAGTCGCAGCTTTCGGGCGTCCGCCGTCCACACCTCGGGGCCGTCTTATGATATAAGCGGTATAGTGAAGCTTCTGCGTCCCATTCAATGCCCACAAGCCACGACTGAGAGTCCGCATTTTGAACAAGGGCAGTCCCAAGACTGCTTTTACGCCAGACAAATGGACTCCTGGACGAGCGAGCACTTTGGGCAAGAATGCCTCCTCATTGTCTTTTATTCCTAGACCCTACAGCACCACAACAGGACAAAGCAGTTTTACAGCACTTCTGAAGATTTTACAACTCACAGAAAGTCACATCAGATTGAAATGCAACCTGAATTGACTAGCAAGCTCGAAGAATATTGCAATTTGACACTCATTTCTACATTTTCATTGCCCAGATTCATATATCTTCATCACAATCCAGACTATTAACAACATTCAGACTACTTACTGATAGATCCAGGCATCCAGCACTGAAACAACTCCACGATACTAGAAGACAACAGGCAGTTCACTAAGTCCTACGTCCTTTTTAGGCGGCGAGTACTTCACGTCCTCGAACCCAATTGCCAGCCGCAACTTAGGCATCTTTTGCCACAAGGCGCCTAGTGAACAAATCAGCGAGATAAGCACTGACAATGGACGAGACACTTTACCAAAAACAATCTCCAACTCAGCCCTGGCTAGCCATTCTGCAACACATCGGTGTTCTCCCCAACCATACCCCAAAGCTTCCTCCTTCCCTCTTAGTCTTTTGATATCGAATACGTCAGCATCTGGGTACACGTCTTCATCTCTGTTTCCGGACTGCGTGGCGGCAATGATACCTTCTCCTGACTTGATCAACTTGCCTCCAATGACCACATCCTCCTTTGCAACTCTCCTCGTTGCGAGGGCCGAAGCGGTATGGAATCGACAAAGTTCTTCGACAAACGGAGCACTCCATTTCTCAGGATCTGCTTTCAAGAGCTCCAGTTGATCAGGGTGTTGCAAAAGTGTTATGACACCAAGCAGGATCATGCTCGTCATGGTAGCATTTCCGGCTACTAGAAGCAAGAACGCAATTTGGACAACATCGTCTTTCTTCAAATGTCCCGGGATGAGCTGTTCGTTGACAAGATGGCTAATAAGATCCTCTTTAGGCTCCAAGAGACGTTCTTCGACAAGCTGCCCCATATATGAGAGCAAGGCTGCATTGGCACTCGAAGCTTCCGATGCCGTGGCAGATCCGTTTCCTCGAATTGCTGCGAAAGTCGTCAGGCGTTCAAGATCGGAGAATGGTACACCGAGGATGCTATATATTGTCTAGGAGCAGTTAGCATGACTCTATACACAGATTCCGATGTCCTACGTAAGAGGGGGCAGGAATGGCAAATTTCTCGCCCAGATCTATGGGTTGGGAATTGCCTTCTTTGATTATGGCATCTAGCAGCGAGTCCACAGTTTTCTGGATATTTGGACGCATGCCATTGATATGCTCTCGAGTGAAGAGCGGTTCTACCATGCTCCTATTTCCATATTTCAGCTCGTTCGACTTGAATGGCGTATTTTGGGGTAGTTACCTCTGCTGCATATGCTCTGGCGGGTCCATATCCACAAACGTAGGCTTGTTCTTCGCAGCGGCTTTTCCTCCAGCAGATAGCTCTGGGAATCCGGGACGTGTGCGTTGCTATTTCTCATCAGAATCGTTCAAAAGTCAATGTCGTAAACTGCTTTCAGCCGGATCCTGTGGATACGCAGAAAGTGAAAGACGGACCTTTGACAATCGTTGATCTGTCAATACACTGCAGATATCTTTGTGCTTGACTACTAGCCATGCAAGACTCCCATCCCATAGCTCGACCTGAGATACGGGCTCAGTGGCCCGGAGATGGGCATACTCAAGTGGTGGCTCTGTGCCCGAATGGCGAGCGAACGGGAATTTTGGTGGTGCTATATTGAAAGTTAAGTTACTGCGTTTCCCTCACGACGAAGGCAGAATCTCACTCATGGATTCAGAAGCTAGATATTCAGATCTTGATGTTCAAAATAAACTACACGATGATAGTAGTAAGACTGCAGAAAACCCAAGAATCAAAACCCTTTCAAACCCCTCCCTCATATACCCTCCTCAAAAACCTTCACATAAATCCAAAATCAGACCACTGCCCCAAAGCATCCAAAAAGTTACACAACAGCAACCCCTCTTCCTGCACCGCGCTGACAGGAGATATACTTCCCGTGCAAACCCCTTCGACATACCTGCCCTGCCCCACCACTCCCGAAAACCCGAGTCACATATGCAAGCGCACGGTCAGCAAAGCTGGGATTGAGCATGAAGGCTTGACAGGGAGGGGAGGGTAGGCTATTTTGCTCCGAAATATAGACGCGGAGACGCGGAGATGGTGGGTGCTTTGTCAGCTGCATGTGGTGTCAGGAGATCTGGGTTTGGAATCAGCGGCATGTGCTGGGAATGAGATGGGGATTTGAGATGGTTGTAGTGAAGACTCTCGTCGTTGTCTGATTTGATGGTAAGTCATAAGGAGCTTTCTTTTGTGTTGGCTTTGAGATTGGAAGTTTGCAATATCAAGGACGTCTTGAAGTCTCACGATGTTTGGGACTATTTTCTTACTGAGCGATGTGAGATAGGGACAGACATTGATACCGAGAAGAAATCTTTGAGTTCTACTTAACTTGTGTAGCCGATGTCCCTGTTTAAAAATCGGACTCTAGACTGAAGAATGTCGTGATACAGGCAGCGTACTTAGACCATGCTAAAAGTTGCTCGATAGAGCTGCACATTGAGAAATCCCACAATATTTGACACTGGGAGGGTAATCTTCATCTTAAACTTCAACATAGAACTACGATTAACTATTAACAGCAATGCAAAAATCAATCGCTCCAAGCCGATCTCTCGTCCATATACGCAGGCAGCGTCTCCAGGTGCATAAAACTTCTCTTCCCAGGATGATACTCTACTCCATTTTCGCCGAAATGGATCTGTTTCTCCACCGCCGATGCTACATTTTCCGAAAGTGATGCGTCTTCGAATACTATTTTATTGTCAGTCTGGTACATCTTTCCTCTTATCGACTTTCATGAGCAGAAGGAGAAACTCACAAAACGCCAGTTCCTCCAACGTCCTCCGATACGTCTCCGGATACAGAAACCACACGAAACAAAACTCGACAAAGATCCAGCCACAGTACACAGCGAGGTATTTCCATGTTATGGCTTTGAGCGCGATGGGGTTCACGTAAGTAGAGAAGAAAGCGGCGCCGCGGCCGAAGAATTGCTCGATTGCAATACCGCGCGAACGTTCTGCGAAGGGAAAGATTTCTATGAGGTATGCTGGAAGTCATTAGCGCCATCCTTGTAGGAAATGGACGGAGGGAAGGACGAACTGTAGGTCAAAGCATTATTCCCGATGTTGTAACATGGTGAATAGGCGTAGATGAAGAATAAGACTGCGATGGCGGCAGAATTGTTCGTCATGCTTTTTGCGTTGGCCGAGAGGACTCTCTCCATTGAGACGGTCCAGCCGATGAAAACGAGGAGCATGCTGATGGTGCCGAGGAGGAACATGCGCCGGCGAGGAAAGCGGGTTACTGTCAATGCAGCGATTCCGGCGGAAACCAGGGACCAGCATTGATTTGAGACTAGGCATTGGTCAGTACTGATACCTATAAAATGGTCTGAAATAGGCTGAGAAGGGTTGGCTTACTGTTGATTCTGGTTTTCGCATAAGTGGTGTTATAGCCAATCATATCGAGGATAGTAGAGAGGTAATACGAGATCAAGGTATTTCCAGACCACTGGGTGAACAGACCCATCATAGAAGCAATAAATACCCGTCGACGCATGCCAGACGTCCTAAGCATGTCGATCCAGGTCTGTTTCGAGATCTCCTGCTCGAGTTTGAGGGTCGTTTTGATCTCAATCATCTCTGCCCGGACGAAAATAGAGTCTCTATCGCCTTCGGCGTGGTACTTGACCAGGATCTCAAAAGCTTCTTCGTCTCGGTCTTTGCTGATAAGGTACCGAGGACTTTCTGGTAGCCAGCTAGGAGAGTCAGTAGACGAAATGCTGGGCGCATGAAGAGAGTTACAAGACGAAGAGTATTTGTAAAATTGATGGGAAGCACTGGAGTAAGGAAGGTATTCTCCATGCCCAGTTCCCACTCATTTCAGCAGTGCGTAACGAGATAGCTGCTGCTATTATTGCCCCAAAGAAGTAGGATGCGCTGAAGAGCGAGGTCATGATTGGTCGTTCTTTGGGGTACGCCAATTCTCCAATAAGAGCGGACCCTGAGATGATCGCGAATACTATTCCAAAACCTAATAGCATTCGAGCGATGATGTACATAGCAACTGTGCATGTTAGAAGTTCGTCCACAAAGAAGCTAAATAGATGGAATACCATGTTGTGCAAACCCCTGCAAAAGAGCACCAATAACCATAGATACGGATCCTGACATGATTGCCCAACGCCTTCCTACCAGCTGGTTGAAGTATGGGGCAACCGGAACAGCAAATATTGCGCCTAGAGAATATGAGGCGTTGATGATACCGAGGAGTGGAGGGTTGATGCCAAGTTGGCCGGTTGTGGGATCGATATATCCATCACCGAAATCTAGAAAGTGAGCGCATTACCACGAATGTGAAGAGTTTGACAGACATGTATTAAATGGAGGTATAAATTGAAGCGCATTGATCAGTTGAGAGTCGAAGCCCGAAGTCATCTCGATTCCCTTCAGAAAATTTAGTAAACGAAACTTTGACCCAAATCGCCGCCATGCTTAATCACTCCCAGTCATCGTGAGCGAAGGCAAGCGAAGTGATACGAACCATACAGGCAGGAAATAGAACGAAGTATAGACTCCTCAGATATCGCTTCCTATACCAAGGCACAGTGTCTTCATTCACCAACCGAGTGACGATAGGATCAGGATCTTGTTCAAAAACCGCCATGATGGCTTGCGAGTTTCGATTGTGTACCGACAAAATTGAAATGTTGACAGCACAAAGTTGAAGGTCAGAACGGCCAAAAGAGGAGAAAGAAACATTCTGTGCGGGGTGAAGCCATTCTATACCATTTTATCTAGCACCTTAGGCGGCTGAAATCAAATCTGGGGAAAGTGCAGGCATCCTTGACCTCGTGTTTCCGGATTCACATCAGGCTGTTTCTTTTGCCAAGGTAGATGACCTCCCACACACTCGCTGGATGTATGAAATCGTCACTTGATCGATTATTCAATATAGCTGGGACGATAACCTTATAAAGTAGGACAGGGTTTGATGGTTGTATAAATATCATGGTGCATTGCAACCTCGGCAGACAGGTATTGACGGCAGCTCGTTCTCCTTGCTTGATCACACGAAGAATCGCACCAAACATAAATTCTTGACGCGCAAGATGGACAGATGGCAAGGAACCCCGACCGAAAACATGAAATCAGGACGTCTAGAAGTTGTCCATGAGGAAAACTGGCCTACTGAGCCTGTCTAGAATCAGTCTCTCAGTACAGGTCTGCTAAGTATCAAAAACCCTTCAATCTTGATTGTCAGAAGGCGTATCAAAGGTTCCCAGTTAGGATAATCATTGTGTAGATAATCTCAAGGTTCGAAAGGAATGTTCACATAAACATTGTTGAAGTGCCAGCAGGTAAAGTTGCCAATTGGAAGCCCCTGATTTGCGGCAGAGGATACACGTGACTGTTCGGAATTCCCCGACACGGCATCTTTTTCTTGTTACTGCAGCTCCTGTTCGAAGAGAGATAGAGATAGAAGAGACGTTGGAAATGAGACTCCGAATCATCTGCAGCCAGTGTTTTACTTCCAACGCCAGGTCTCATGTTATATAAAGCAACTAGCAATAGAAAATGAGAAGTGAGAGAAAAGTTACCTCTTCTTGTTGCACTTTCGCGTCCCCTGCAAAAGTACCCCGCTGTTAGCGTCTCACTTGATGCAGCTAGCAGCTATCGGAGAGCTCCATCCATTTGCAAAGCAGACAGTCAAGATAAGACGCCGCCGGCCGTTGCTCATGAGCGTGTACTAAGAAGAAAACAGATTTCTTCGATCGTCCTTCTCTCCTTCATCTCCTTCTCATATCTCGTCTTTCATTCAATGCTAAGAAACACTTCATCTACTACTAATTGAAGTGATTGACAGGGAGCTACATGGTCCCTTGTCGAAGGCTCTCTTTACACAAAGTCTAGAACCCTTCAACCTTCACAACTTCGATACAACTTCGAGATACACCGTCTTTGCCAAAATGGCACCTAGTGCAGTGTCTCCAGAGCCTGCCGTTTCGATTTCAGCCACCCACTCCCTTTCTTCAGTCACAACCGCGTACGATGATACCCTTCGATTCTACCTCAATGGCACTCGTGTCATGCTGGACAATATCGATCCCGAGATAACACTTCTCGAGTATCTTCGTGGCATTGGCCTTACTGGCACAAAGCTTGGATGTGCTGAAGGAGGATGCGGAGCTTGCACAGTCGTAGTGTCCCAGTACAACCCCACAACGAAGAAGATCTACCATGCAAGCGTCAATGCATGTCTGGCACCGCTGGTCAGCGTAGACGGCAAGCACGTTATCACTATTGAGGGTATTGGAAACGTCAAGAGGCCACATCCTACACAAGAGAGAATTGCAAAGGGTAATGGCAGTCAATGTGGTTTCTGCACACCTGGCATAGTCATGAGTCTCTATGCTTTGCTCAGGAATGATTCGAGTCCTACAGAGCACGAGGTTGAGGAAGCTTTTGATGGAAATCTTTGCAGATGTACGGGCTATCGCCCCATCCTGGATGCTGCTCAGACATTCAGTGCCGAGAAGTCATGCGGCAAGGCTAAGGTTAATGGTGGCGGTGGGTGTTGCATGGAGAATGGTAACTCTTCTGGCGGATGCTGCAAAGACAAAGACCTCAAGGACGACCAGCCCATCAAACGCTTTGCGCCACCTGGGTTTATCGAGTACAATCCAGATACGGAACTCATCTTCCCACCTCCTCTTACTAAGCACGAATTCAAGCCGTTGGCCTTTGGGAACAAAAGGAAGCGGTGGTACCGTCCGGTGACCATGGAGCAGCTCTTGGAAATCAAGAGTGTGTATCCATCAGCCAAAATCATTGGTGGGAGTACGGAGACTCAAATTGAGATCAAATTCAAGGCTATGCAATATACAGCCTCTGTATTTGTAGGTGACATTCCAGAATTACGACAATTTACATTCAAGGAAGATCATTTGGAGATTGGCGGAAATGTCATTCTCACCGACCTGGAGAACATCTGCCTCCAGGCCGTCGAGCATTATGGACCTGTGCGAGGTCAGGTCTTCACTGCAATCCATAAACAACTCAAATACTTTGCAGGTCGTCAAATCAGAAATGTCGGTACACCTGCAGGTAATCTTGCAACTGCGTCACCAATCTCAGATCTGAATCCCGTGTTTGTTGCATCAAACGCAATTCTCGTGGCCAGATCTCTAGACAAGGAGACAGAGATCCCAATGTCCCAATTCTTCAAAGGCTACCGCACCACGGCTCTTCCACAAGATGCGATCATTGCCAGCATTCGAATTCCCGTGACGAGTGCAAAGGGAGAGTTTTTGCAAGCATACAAGCAATCCAAGCGGAAAGACGATGACATCGCTATTGTCAATGCCGCTATGAGAATTTCCTTGAGCGAGTCTAACGTCGTAGAAAGCGTGGATCTTGTTTACGGCGGCATGGCCCCAACTACCATAGCTGCGAAGACAGCCAATGGATACCTCGTAGGCAAAAAGTTTACGGATCCTGCTACTTTAGAGGGTACAATGAATGCCTTGGAGCAAGATTTCGACCTGAGGTTTGGAGTCCCTGGTGGTATGGCCACCTACCGAAAGTCGTTGGCTCTTGGGTTCTTCTATCGTTTCTACCATGAAGTGCTCTCTAAGCTAGAGGTCAACGAAGCCGATGTGGATGATGAGGTTATAGAAGAGATCGAGAGGATGATATCTCACGGGAAAGAGGACCGAGAATCCACAGTTGCCTACCAACAGAATGTCCTTGGAAAACCGAATCCTCACGTGGCAGCATTGAAGCAGACTTGTGGAGAAGCGCAGTATACTGATGATATACCCGTTCAAAAGAACGAATTGTACGGTTGTCTTGTCCTTTCGTCGAAAGCACGCGCCAAGATTCTCTCGGTTGATTATTCTCCGGCGATGGATTTACCAGGAGTTGTCGATTGGCTTGATCACACAGATATGCCTTCTCCGGAAGCCAACAAATGGGGAGCTCCTGTTTGTGACGAGGTCTTCTTTGCTGTTAATGAAGTCTTCACAGCTGGCCAACCGATTGGTATCATCTTGGCCGATACCGCTCAACATGCCACCGCTGGAGCCAGAGCTGTAAAGGTTGATTACGAGGAGCTACCTGCGATCTTCACGATCGAAGAAGCTATTGAGAAAGAAAGTTTCTTTGAGCATTACAGGTATATTGAAAATGGAGACCCAGAAAAAGCGTTCAAATCAGCGGATCATGTTTTCACCGGAGTCACCAGAATGGGCGGACAGGAGCATTTCTACCTTGAAACACAAGCCTGTGTTGCTGTGCCTAAGCCTGAAGATGGCGAGATGGAGATTTTTGCTAGTACTCAGAATCCTACTGAAACGTAAGCAACACTTCATCCGATTATTTGGATCATCTCCAGACCTTTTGGAATCAGAAAAGCTAACTCCCAATAGTCAAACTTATGTAGCCCAAGTGTGCAACGTGGCTGCCAATAAAGTCGTCTCCAGGGTCAAGCGTCTTGGAGGTGGCTTTGGAGGGAAGGAAACAAGATCCGTACAGCTGACCGGCATTGTAGCTCTTGCTGCAAAGAAGACTGGTCGACCAGTCCGTTGTATGCTGAACCGTGACGAGGACATGGTAACCTCTGGTCAACGACACCCTTTCCTTGCAAGATGGAAAGTTGCAGTCAATAAGGATGGGAAACTCCAAGCACTTGATGCAGACGTCTTTTGCAACGCAGGCTGGTCACAAGATCTTAGTGCCGCAGTTTGCGATCGAGCATTGTCCCACATCGATGGGTGCTACCTCATCCCCAACGTCAATGTTCGAGGCAGACTCGCTAAGACGAACACGATGTCCAACACAGCTTTCCGAGGCTTTGGTGGACCTCAAGGTATCTTCATTGCTGAATCATATATGGAAGAGATCGCGGACCGTCTGGACATTCCAGTTGAGAGGCTTCGAGAGATTAATTTCTACAAACCGGATGAACCCACGCATTTCAGACAAGAGCTCAAGGACTGGCACGTGCCTATCATGTATCAACAGGTTCAGGATGAAATGTCATACGCAGAGAGGAGGGAGGCAGTGACTAAGTTCAACGCTACTCACCGCTGGAGGAAGCGAGGTCTTGCCATTGTTCCTACCAAGTTTGGTATCTCCTTCACTGCACTTTTCCTTAATCAGGCTGGTGCTCTCGTCCACATCTACCACGACGGCTCTGTCCTTGTTGCTCATGGTGGTACTGAAATGGGTCAGGGTCTACACACCAAAATGCAGATGATCGCTGCAGAAGCATTGGGCGTGCCCCTCTCTGATGTCTTCATCTCAGAAACGGCGACCAACACCGTTGCTAATACCTCATCTACCGCGGCTTCAGCGTCATCCGACCTGAACGGTTATGCCATTTTCAATGCCTGTGCTCAGATCAACGAACGTCTCAAGCCATACAGAGAGAAGATGGGCCCAGACGCACCCTTAAAGAAGCTTGCCAGCGCCGCCTACTTTGATCGAGTCAACCTATCCGCAAACGGCTTCTACAAGACCCCCGACATTGGATACACCTGGGGACCCAACACGGGACAAATGTTCTTCTATTTCACGCAAGGTGTCTCGGCCGCAGAAGTCGAAATCGATACTCTGACCGGAGATTGGACCTGTTTGCGAGCAGACATCAAAATGGACATTGGTCGCTCCATCAATCCTTCCATCGATTATGGACAAATCGAAGGAGCGTTCGTCCAAGGCATGGGACTCTTCACCATGGAAGAATCTCTCTGGTTCAGAGGCGGACCCATGAAAGGCCAACTCGCAACCCGCGGTCCAGGTGCGTACAAGATCCCAGGCTTCAGAGACATCCCCCAAGAATTCAACGTCTCGATGTTGAAGGGCGTTGAATGGGAGAATCTCCGGACAATCCAAAGAAGCAGGGGTGTCGGCGAACCGCCGTTGTTTATGGGAAGTGTGGTTTTCTTCGCGATCAGAGATGCGTTGAAGGCTGCGAGGAAACAGTACGGCGTTGAGGCTACGAAGGGCGAGGATGCGAAGAATGATGGGTTGTTGGTTCTTGAGAGTCCGGCGACGCCGGAGAGGATCAGGGTTAATTGTGTTGATCCGATTGTGAAGAGGGCGTATGTGGAGCCGAAGGAGGGCGAGAAGAGTTTCTTTATTTCGATTTAGGGTTTCAGCATTGTGGCTTGGTTGTGGACCGGAGTGAAAAGAACGGAAGTGGAAATGGATATGAATTACGGCCGGATTGAAATGAATGTGTATCATTGACTAGATTGTAAAGCCAGCAATACCATGGCAGTCTCAGCTTTTCATGCTCTTGATCTAGGCCGCTTTTAGCAACCAGTGAGATACACGGTCAAGAGAGGAGACAGCAAATAGTCATTAGAGGAAAGAAATACCTCAGATCCACTCTGAAAAATGTAGTTGTGGTATTTACCTACATAAAATTGAATAGTTCATTGTCTCAAAATGCTCACACTACAACACTGGACTTAAAGTGCTTTACTCGCGACCGACAATCCCAATCTCAAAGTCTGATTGTGAAACTTGGACATTGGCTACTCCCTACACACGAAAAGGAAACGGCAAGCCAAAGTTTTCAACCCATCTTGTCATGGTTTAATGTCGGAGCATGGATTCCTCAGTAGCAACGCTAATAGTAGATGTGACGAAAAGCGCTCTGTTTGTCAGGTCTTTAGCTATCGTCTACAAATATCTGGTTCTCCCCATAGCAAAAATACAAGGAATTCTGAAATTTTGCACCTTCTCCACTCTTATTTTCATCAAGATGTACCTTTCCTTTCCCAAACCATCCATGCAGGCATCTAGAGCGATTCTAGCTCAATCAATACTCCATAGTAGCTAACAATAGCATAATAGGTAGCCAATATTCATACCGAAGCCTTTTCAAGCAAGTGATAAAACCACAATTGTCTGATCAAGAATCAAATTTCAAACCCAACAATTTGCTCTGAAGCAATTTTTCCAGATTACCTTCATCGTTAACATAATGAGCAATATTAAGTGCTCTGCCCGCCCAATTCTTACAATTTTCGTCATCTCCAGTACAGTAGAGATCGACAGCGTGGTTGAATGCTTTGGTGGCGACCCACTCAAGTTCTTCTGAAGGATATGGCTGCTCGGACTGATGATTGTCAGTTGAATATCAATATTCCAAATAAATGATGGTACCTCTGCAGCGTCCTCTGCATGATTTTGGATTTGATCAAGCAGCTGTTCTGCAATATCAGGATTGTCCGAAATGGCTATCTGAAAGAGACATCGCATATATTTGGCCAGCTTCGTTGCGTTGAGTGAGTCAAGGCTCCAAGCCCCATTGATGATGTTCTTGAGGATGTTAATGCGGACTTGAGTTGGGTCAGCAATACGTTTCTCATTCAAATCCAACCAAACTTACTCGCAGTAGGAGCATCAGAGCAGAGAATGATATCTGCCATGATCTCGTACACTTGGGCGCTTTTGCAGGCATCAGCTTGTAAGACAGCCTCTCCTAGATCATTCCAAGCTTTCAATCGACAAGCAGCCTCGAAGTCAAACGCTGCAAGAATGGACAACTTCCGACGTAAGTCTTGTTCCATGTCCTCATTCATACTATCCACTTTCTCTTGAAGTAAGGTATCAAAATTTTCGACATGCTTGCGTACACCGAGATAATCTTGCATTTGATTCTCAATGTTGTCTTCAGCACGAGCCAGGGATATCAGTGCAGTGGCAGCTGAAAAGGCACAGAACATCTTGCGTAATGAAAGATCCTCGGATACTTGATCACTTAGATCTCTCGGGTACTGGTCCATGAAATCGAGGCTGCTCTGCAATATCCGGAGAGAGTAACGCGGCTCCCAATTTGATAAATGCTTGATAGCAAGATTATACGAGTTCTTCGAGAACCATTCCAATTCATCTATGGTCCACGGTGGGTCGAGAAGCCCTAAGGAGCCTCGGGCTTTGCGAATAGCAGTAGCACCTGAAAGATGTTAGACTGAGAGCACATTACAAATAGCCCAATCACCTTTCTCAATTGCTGCACAGATCCTTTCAATCGTTCCTATGTCCTGCGTATCAACATGCTCTTCTAACAATGCCACCGAAAGGCTGATAGTTAACCGAAGCAACGAAGGGACATGCACGGCACTTTGAGCGCCATAATCGGACTTTTCAAGAACAAGCTGTAGTCCCGCTAACGTTTGAGTCTTGTCCCCAATCGACTGGGCGTCCAGGACACAACCGTATAAAAGTGTTAGATCATGCGTTGTTCTGGCAGCGGTGCTGATGAAGTGCAGACACTCAGTCGCAAGCTCCGTATCACCACCTCGTACGGCAATTTTATACATCAAGAATCTTGACATCGGCTCGTTGCGAGCAGAGTTCGACATCGAATGGAATACTTCTCTTGCACTGCCGAAGTCCTTTCTAGCAAGAGAGCAGAGTAAAAGTTTCCTGACCCATATCAGTCGCCGAAAAATCCATTTCTGCATAATCAGTTACTCACCTGGAAAGTCGAGCTGTGTTGATCTCCCCTGAATTGGAAAAGAGTCTATGTAATGCTAACCGACACCAACTTTCAGCAATATCATACTGTCCTTGGACATAGTTAGACTCGATGTGTTTCCAAAATAACTGTGATCTGTCAGTCTTATGACGGGTTGGAAGGAAGTTATTGACGCACTGTATGTGCTGCTAGAGTTGCATCTGAAGCCATCGGTTTTGTTAGATTAGCTGTGATGGTCTCGAAGAGATCATACAACGACTGTAACGCTTCCGGGCTGTCACGTTGATTGACAGTGGTCCACAAGCGCGTGACAATCGTTTTGCCAATCCATGAGTCTTGTAACTCTTCTGCTTTCAATAGGCGCAACGTCAGAAGATCGTCTAGTGCTTTGCAAGCCAAACTTGGACTCTTGTCTTTCAGCTTTCGTATATGGAACATAATCAACCTGAAATTGCTGTCATTGAGGTACATGGTACGCGTCATTCGCTGTAAGACATCGCTGTATGATGCACTATCGAAGGGTTCTGGAGTAGGAGCAGAGAGCAAATCTAGCTTCAGCAACAACACAATGAGTTTATCTCCCAGCTCAGTCTCGAGGAGTATGACGAGATTCCTTGCCTGCTCGTAAGATTCTGGACTTTGTAGTCCAAGGAGTGCTTTGATGAGAGACTCGATGATGGATATTCGAAGCTCATTGGCGTCAATACTGAGCTTGTCCAGTTCTTGCAGGTTCAAGAACTTGTACGATCTGTCTAGCCACTTACTGGCAAGGGGGTAGTCTTTCTTCGCGAGCTGATCCTTTCCCATCTCGTAAATAACGTCGGCTAGGCTCTCCGCGGTCTGCGGATCGAAAAGGTGCTGTGAAGATATTGATTTCTGGTACATCGTTTCTGCTATTGGGAACTGGCCCTTGTGCCATGCCTGCCTTCGCCTTAGTATCTCCTCATCGCAATTCAGGTACCACATACCAAGGCGGTTCTCAAGACATAATATTCTGCGATCAAATTGTTGAACGATTCCCCATCTTCTTGTCCGGCTGCGGGTCTCGGACTTTTCAACAATGTCTCGTATCCAGCGACCTTTTCTAACACCTTGACAGCTAGGTCGGATTGCTTCCGGTCTAAGGAAAAGTTAGCAAGATGTATTACCACTTCCAATCATAACAGGCTTCACTTGCCTAGGCAGGTCTTCCCAGCCTTCAGCCCGCTTTTCATCAACCTTGGAAGATTTCCTGGGTCGCTTTTCCCACTCTGGAATGCTCCATCCAGTAATAGAAAAGCATATACCCGCGCCACAAGTAAGATCAAGGGAACATCGTGGGGTTTGTCAGGATCGTACTCGCGTCGAAGTCTTGTGCAGACATTCCAAATTGTGGTCCCGCAGCGATCAAGCTCTTCGTATTCAGATGTTGTCGAAGATGTAAGCTTCTCTGGGAATTTCGCAATGTTCTTCTCGAGTTCGTGAAGTAGTGGACCGGATGTTGTTGACGTGACAGCTTTTGGAAGTTGACTTTCGAGCTCAGAGGCGAATGCTAGAATCGGAGATCAGAAACACTCAACCATTAGCATACAAGGAGATAGTGATTACTCAGTATAGCCTTGACGCGCTTGTCCTTGTGATGTTGCACTGGAGCCATCTCTTGGACATCAAGCGTGACTTTGGTTCTCGAGTGACTCGGGAACAATGGCAAGTATGGGCTACGTGGGGATGAATTCGGTCTTAAGAGATCACAGATTTGAAATTGAGTGGCTGAAGGACTTCTGCCAAAGAGATAATAAATTTGGTATTCTGCATCGAGTTACAAATGATGTGAAGCACGATCACGATGCTCAAGTTTGCTGCATGGCAGCAAGCTCCACTTTTTTTTAGGTTCGGCCCGCTGTAAAGCGAAGGAGAACATCTCTCGCCCAGAACGCCAAATGAAAGATTATGTACTCGTCACCCCTATCATCTACTGGAATTGATAAGTTAAAAAGCCTCACCGCTTGACTGGATCCTGAGGTAGGAAGTTTCCGATGATGAGAGAAGGACTGGTATCGTTAGCATACCATTCACTGTGTTGACGGAGACGCGGGCATACATTTTGTGATCATCTCTTCTGATAGTGAAAGAGAAACAGCATTTGATGGTCGGGTCTTTCGATTTATCGTCTGGGTTCTTCAGAGAACAGCTCGTCAAAAGTGCTTTCTGAGTGGAATCGAATGCTATAGCACCGAATTTCTCCCAATAGTTGACCAGAGACTCTTCCATGAGAATCTCGTGTAATGCAATCTTGCCCTACATGTTACGTCAGTTGTGCAACATTATCAAATGACGCCGAGACCTACGTCTCTCAATTTCTCGATTGGCACATGTATCAATTCTGCCATTTCTCTGTTGCCCCGGAAGATTTCGCCAGTTCTTCTCCAGCAACATGCTGGTATAGCCATGCTTGCGAAAACTCGGTCGTATTCCATCAAGCTGCGCTCAAACCACATCTCAACGTATATGAGCTCGATATCGGTCAAGGCTTGAACCTTCTCGCGGAACTTGGGCCTGAAACGATCGAGCTGTCGTAGTATCTTTTGCTTCGAAGCCGAGTGCATGTGACCGTCCATGTATGCCGATAATCGTGCATATCCTTTGACGTAATTGAAGGGCTTCAGCATGCCCGCATCATACTTCGCGCGCAGAAGCCGTTGCATGCGCTCCTCAGGAGCATCGTTACCCGTAGGATCTGCTGCTTGCAGATAATACTCTCGTGCCTTGTCGGTAGGAATCACACTGGTTGGTCTAGATATTGCGTTCCCCAAAGGATTTCCGGGCGCCAAAGAAGATGGCTGGGTGCCAGAAGGGCCTGCGTTGCTTGCTCCAGGTAACATAGTAGCAGATTGATCAGGGAAGAGATTTGAGGTGTCGTCAGGAAGTAAAGCACCGTCGTCGAGCAAACTGTTGTTGAGGAAATCGTTCAGCAGGTTGTATTCATTTGTGACCTCCGGCGCGTTGAACATGTAAGAAGGGTGGTAGTTGTGCATATCTTGGAATTGACTTTGTGTACCAAGCCAGTCGTTAGAATATCCGATGACTTCAGCTCTATTAGTATCAATTGAGAGAAAAGGAGCTATGCCCCGTGCTTACATTGGTTGCTATTTGCATTGAGAGCATTTGCCTGGATCCCGGAAACGGGTGACGGCTGAACGAGTTGTAATGGTCCGCCTTGCGAAAGTGCAGCGCTGCCCAAGGTGAGACTGCTATCTTGGGAGTGATCCTGGGATTGTTCGAATGAATTGCTCATGCCGTTGTCAGCGCTGGCTTGGGCTTGGTCTGGCGACCCATCATCCTCCGCCGCGGAATTGCTATGTTGACTCTTCGACTTCTTCGTGGCTGACTCCGGTTCGCGGGGCTCGTCATGGCAAAGGTGTCCGATATTACGCTTTATACAGCGTGCACATGGGCGTTCCTGTGCAACGGAAGGAAGTTAGTCATAGAGCACTATGTATCACGAGTGGCTGCATATATTGGAAGGACGTCGTACCAAATCGCATGTCATATGCTGGTCGAGTACCAGATCGAATTAGCTTCTGCCAAACAACCTGCGCATAGGCGCATATCTCAAGGCTCCCCTTGTATTCGGACGGACCCAATGCAGTACTTACGGATCGGCGACAATACACACAAGCTGCAGGAACACGCCCAACGATCAGTCCATGTTTCAGAGAGCGTTGTCGAGCTGCTGACTCCAAGGACGTACCATGATTGACTTTACGTCTCTTCTTGGGGCTTTTGCTTGCGCCGGACGCTGGCGGCGACTTCTGGGGCTTGCCATCCTGCCCATTGCTGGACCCATTCCGTTCCATGACATCGGAGGCTATCTTCGAAGGGTTTCCATCGGATTGCGACGTTGCGCTGGCGTAGGACGAGGGCCGGTGGAGGTCTCGTGTCGAGGTATTTTCGACGTTCAAAAGCTGCCCAAGCTGGTCAGCATTCTCCCAAGTGGATAATCAATAGGAAATGGGTCAATTACCGCACCGCGATACACGTAGGCCTATGTATGTGCAGAAGAAGCTTGTCGCATCGACTGGTAGCTCTTAAGCCAAGTCGTGGTGGAGTTGGAATAGGAAAATCGCGGGGCTGCGGATCTAAGCTTCAAGAAGCCGAGAAAAATACGATCACTTTGTCCCAGGATCTGTCAGGCACAATCTGCACGTTTTTGCAGTTCCAATGATACAGCTCAATTCATGTGACAAAGTGCATTGGGTATCTCTATTGTGCAAATGCACGATATGTTGTCATAAACCTCCATCACGAACTTCCCATACTAATTTGGGTTCTTGCGCCAGGGCCGACGCGCCCACTCTCTTGTCAGAAATGACTTTACTTCCAATTGGACAAACTCCACAGTGTCTCCTGATTTTAGTCCGAGCCGAGAATAACCTCTCCGTATTGCGTATTGCTGAGACGATCAAGGAGTGTCGCTTGGACTGCGGCCTTACTTCTCACAATAGCCTCAGCAATTCCATCGACTTGCTTCATATTTCCCCTAATCGTATCCACGTGACCGTGTAGTCCCTTGACGAGCCCTTGCAAGTTCTCATCGTCCTGAACCTGATCATTGATTAGTATCGGCAAGGAGACTAAAGAGTGGCTACTTACACGTAGATCTAGAGCCAAAGACTGCTGGTCTTTATCTTCCATGCCAATGTCATCCCTCAATGCTTCAGTCTCGAGCAGTGATTCATCAGACTGAAGCAAGGCATGCATTTTACGTGCTGCCTGTTTTCTCGTCGTTGCCTCACTCTTTGCATTCTTCTCTAAGTCTGCCAAAACATTCTTGTCTGCGTCAAGCCAGGCTCTTTCCTTAGCCAATTCGGCTTCTAGGAGCTCGTTCCCGTGCAGTGCTGGGGTGAGTTGTGCTTCCAAGGCTCTATTGTGATCAAGGATCTTCTCAAAATCGAAGTCGTCCTCACGGCGACTTCGAGTTGCCTGTGGGAATGGTAGACCCTTTGAAATCTTAGTCGTTAGTCTTCGAGAGACCATTTGTAAAGCTGTGCTTGCTTGGATCCTTTTTCGCTCCTCATTCAAACGAACGACAACCGGCCGCTGGACATCTTGTAGAAATTGTGAGACTTGTTCCACACAAGCTGAAGGTAGCGGCTCCCATTTTGAATCGATGACTTGACGTGATACTTTGCGAGACATCGGCTGTAAACGTTGATATAACATGTTTGCCTCTTCGGGCTTTGAGATAACTTCCTCTTGTCTAATTTCCTTGGATAATCTTCGACGTTTGTTTGGAGTGGATTCGAGATCTGCATGACACAAATTAGGAACTATCCATGATTTTTTGATGGAGTGACTTACTTTCTATCTCTTTACGCTTTCGAGCAGCAGGTTCGGGGTGCGAAACACGTTTCGAGCTCTTTCTCCGAGCTTGCGAGGATTTTGGGTCTGCTGATTCATTGAAACTCGAAGTTGGTGGCTGTGAACGCTTGCTTTTGGCCAAATCTTGTCTAGCAGGCTTGCTTGGAGCGGCACGGCCAGTCTTTTTATTTGGTGCTTTTGTAAGTTTTGATGAAGCGGACTCTATTTCAACAGTCGTAGTCTCGGGTCGGCGGCTTGCTTTCTGCTCTTTTCCTCGCCCTTTCTTCATTGCTGAGGATTCTGGAACTTGCTGAGATTGAGCATCTGATAATCGCGTTCGTCTTCTACCTCTCTCCTCTTCGCTCGGGGCTCGAGGTGCCGTTAATTCTACGTCAATTATGTTGATCTCTGATCGTCGGCTGCGTCGTCTGCCCCGTTCTGGCTCATGATCTTTCTCCAAATGTGTTGAATCTTCCTCAAGTATTTGAGCATCAGACCGTCGGGTTCTCCTCCTAGATGCTGCAGGAACGACAGGCTCTTCAGCATCTCCCTCATTCGTGGCTTCCACAGGTCTCCTACCACGCTTCTTCGGGCCATCCAGATCTCTGGTAGGTATTTCGTCCGGTCGTTCTACCGCCTCCTCAATAGTAGCTCGTCGGCCACGCTTCTTTGGTCTTTCCTGAGCTGCATGTTCTTGATCGTTGACACCTTCAATAATTTTCTCAGTAGCAGGAGGACGACCACGTCTCTTAGGCTCTATCTCATCTTGAGCCGACTCTTGCGCAATAGCTCTGGTTTCTGCTTCTTTGTTCGAAAGGCGTCCACGTCTTGCAGGATTTCTGACTGGGACTGGATCTTCTTCCTCAGCACCTTCAACTACAGCGGACGCTGAAGGACGGCCTCTTCTCTTTGGCACATTTTGACCCATCAGCGGTGTCTCGGAGGCCACAACTTGGTCTTGCAATTGAATTGCTGCAGGTCTACCACGTCTCTTTGGTCCAGAGGTTTCCTCAGTGGCATCTTCAGTATTTCTTTCCTTCTCCCCGGTGGACTTGTAGCCCCGTTTATTCTTCGCCCTCTGGCCAATTTGGCCATCCTTCGAAGACCCGGCGATATTTCTCAATTCCTCTCCCGTAGCAGAAGACCTCGTCTTTTTGACGGGCTTATCATTCGCAAGTTCATCATCCCCTCCATTCTCGTCCTCAACATCCTCCACCCTCTGCTTCTTCGCAGGTCTTCCTCGATTCGCGGCCGCCGGCGCATCCTGTATACCTCTGTCTGCTAATTTCCCTGTGGAAGGTCTACCGCGCTTCTTTGCCGGTCCTAGCTCAGTCTCGTCTTGTGCCGGAGGTGGAGGTGGAGGTACAGGTAGGCGTTGAGGGGTAGATGCAATGATTGAGCCATTCGCCCACCAGTCTGAGGGCCGAGAGCGCTTCCTCTTGAGCACTGCCGGTTCTGGCGCCTGATTCATTTTTAGAAAGTATCAGCATGAAATCAAAAGGAACTTTACCATTATGTGTAGATGTGCTGTCGATTTTTGGAGGTCGCGAATCGCGCGTCGTGTAAACAGACCAGAAGTCACACGTGATCACGAGAGGGTCAAACAAATGGATCATCAAGACAAAGCTAGACTAGCAGATTCATTGCGTTAATCTTGTATCTTTTACATTTTTGATATCTCTTATGAAGGGTGCTATGATGCAATTCAAACCATATCCTTCCAGAATCCTCCAACGCCGAAAGTATGCCTGTAAACTCCTCGCTCCTATATCACAATCAAGGACCAAAACCATGCTCAAGCCTAACTTATTTGACCTTACTCATAATTGTCTCTAGACCTCTCTGAACATCAATCTGCGCAGCTCTAGCTTTCACAGCATTCAGCATGCTCCTATCAAAGTCATCTCTGGATCTTAGTACAGCTTCCACCCAGCTGAGTTGCAAATCCCAGTAATTGGCCTTGAAATCTGCAAAAGCGTCTGGAACAGATTGCTTGTCGACCTCTAGGAGTGTTAAGAAATTCTCTGTGACTCTCCATTTTTGCTTGATGGTTTCAGCAACATCTGGGCTGAGATAAGTATTGTTGTTGAAAAGCTCGAAGGCTGTAAGGACATCGTTGTAGATCTTATCCTTGAATGGATCTTGACGCTTGAACTTTGCACCTTTGTTCTTGACGCTCGATAGGTACCGTATCAATAACTCGTCCGCAAGTTCTTCGATGAAGATATCGAGCAGAGAGTGATGAAGAACGGTCTTGTAGTCGCCAATGTATTCCTCGAACGTGACGATCATCTGTTTGATGGCAGTAGATTGATACCATTTTGGTGTGAAGAAATCAGGCATAACGGCCTTGAAGTCCACTGCGAAAATAAGTTGTGCGAATTTGGCGATACAATGCGTGCTTAAATCCACGTAGCCATCCCTCAGATTCGAGATCTCATTGTCAGCTCGCTCAAGATATTGAGCAGACACGAGGGGCTCGAACTTTTGTTTGAAACTTGCAAGATATGCAAATTTGCCCTCTTCTTCGTTATCATCTATGCAGGCAATCTGGTCGTTGGCGGTAGCAACGAGCCAATCTTGCAGAGCCTGGAACCCTTCAAGCTCAGGTGTGTTGCCATAGTATTTGGCAGCTTCATCATCGAGCATCTTCTGCCAGTTCTGCTGCCGCGATTTCAGACGTAAGATCATTGCATCTACGACACCTTCGACAACATCCATTCGTTGTGAGTTGCCTGCTGCATCGACTTGCTCTGCTAGCATTCGCCACATATCCACCAGGTTCTTCGTTCGAAAATAGCCATATTCGTCGGCGTCCAGATTCGAACCCTCGGCCGTGTTTCGTTCCGCAAAGTCTTTTTGTTCTGTCTTGAAGATACGATCTAGCCACTGATCCAAGAACCGAATGATAAGTTGACGGAATTCGCGGACCAGCTCTGCTGCTCTTCCATCTAGTACCTGTGGTTCTAGCTGATCTTCTTTGAACCCAAGCTTGGCCATTTTCGAGTAGTATTTGTCTGGCCAGTTGAGAATAGAGAGCATGTTGGCAGAGCTCGTATCTGGATCGTCGATCATACCAACAAGGAAGTCGTGCATTAACTTATGGTATATCTTGCCATAAGTCTGTAATGTTCTCCACTTCTTCGGCATCAAAGGTACCATTCCTTGCTTGACAGCATTCAGATTATTGAAAAACCACTTCAAGCTCTTCTCCAGTCTCGATGGATCCTCCAAGAACGCCTGTTTGGTTTCAAGAACCTGCTCTTGGGCATGTGCCTCTATAGACTGCAAGAACTTCTCCTTGTACCCTCTAACCTGTTTCGCTCCATCTGTGATGCTTTGAAACCTTGCCGCCATCTCCTTATGGTCCTTCAGCGCCTCCTGTAGAGCTTTCACTCTCTTATCACTCTTCTCCTCTGCCTCAATGATGATCGCAAACCTCACGACCAACCCATTGTTCCCATTGATAAGCACATTGATCAAGTTCAACGCAATAGTCCCAACATGCTCGTCGAACCACTCTACCGCATTGTCCAGCTTCGAGAAGTACTCCTCCAAGGTACTCTGCGCACTTAAATCGTCTGCCCTCGCAATCTGCTCCATAGCATCATCCCTTATATTCCGCAACTGCGTCAACTCATAATGCACCGCCAATAAATTCGGCATGTTCTCCGGATCCGCATCATCCACCCTCAGCATGGCTTCCACCTGCCCAACCCGATCATTAAAACTATCCAGATTCTTCCTCATAGTCTCAACGGCGCTGAAATTCCGATGCGTCTGCGACACCAGATTGATATTCGGGAAATCCCTAATCATGTTCTGCGCCTCGGCGCACAACTTGTCAATCTTCATCATTTCCTCCTTGATGAGCTGTACCGTTCGCTGCCCATCTGTGATCCCGTTCATGCCCGACTGTGTAATTTCGAGTTGCTCTTTCAAGCCGCTCCGGAGCTGCGAATCGACCGCTGCTTTCTTGCGCGTGTACTCCAGCTTCATGGCGGGGATCTTGTCCAGGTCGTCCGGATGCCGGAGCAGCTCCGCGAGCTTGACAGTCGAGCTGTCCATCGTCATGGCGGGTATAATTCTTGCTGTAAATCCGTGTTTCCTGGACTTCAGGCCATGCTTGAAGCTTGGTTGTGAGTTGAGACGTCGTGGTTTGGTTTGGGAGAGGCTCTAGCGCCCAATCGGAAGCTGCCGAGCATCTTGATATTTTTTGGACCTCGCGATTCTTAAAGATCATCCACCAGCACGTTGGAGGATTTAATTCTTCACTGGACAAAGGTACGTACATATCTACTGATGCAGAAAGCTGCAGTTTTTGACAGACTATCTAGCAATCATGTCCTACTTCCGCATAACGCTCATGCGATCAGGCATCGGCCTCCCAAAACGAACACAAGGCGTCCTCAAAGCCCTTGGCCTCCGCCAACGAATGAAGACCGTCTTCTATCCCGTCACGCCCGAAGTCGCTGGTCAGATTATGAAAGTCAAGGAGTTAGTGGCAGTCAGAGAAGTGGACAGGGCGTTGACGAAGCACGAGCTGAAGGCGGAACGAAAGCCAGATCCAGGATTCTACATGGAACGAGCGGCACGACGGTGATGAAGAGGGAGACAGCTTGTAGGAAACAAATATTTTTGTAGGATAGGTGGACTACTTGTGGGAAGGCGTTCGAATGCTGTCTCCGATTAAGACCGCATTGATAATGTTCACGCTGCCTGCTAAGTGTTGGAAGAACACTGGCGCTGGGGGGTAATGTCCTGAATGTACAATATACCAAAACAGAATTCAAGAAGAAACTCTGTCCAAGAGCGGTAGATGTTGTATCATGTGGCTTCCTCAAACTGTACTCCCCAGAAGTGAAGCTTACACATATATGCGTTAAATTTAGAGACATGCAAGCACAATGTTGCTTCACAGCAAGACTCAGATTGAAGTACGGGGTAGGCATTCATTCTCGTGCTAATTGTCTCTTCTTGAAGCGAAGATGTTTATCGTACAGATATGAGAATGAGCACCCAGATGTCTGAAAGAAACGCGCTGTTTGCCATGAAGCTCATTATTGTCCCTCGCTGATCCAGAGGACTGTGAGCGAATCGAATGCAATATCGAAGAAGTAGGAAAGGCTCGCCACGAGTGCGCTTCCGAGCTATGCAACCATTCGCAAAGAGGCTAAAAGCAGAAATCCAATTATTGTTACAATAAACCAACTCCAGAACAAGCAGACTTGATCACGATATCGATGTAGAGAACCCGAAGAGTCTTCCATGTCAAGAGAGTGAACATCGTCGATGCCAGATCCAGATAATATTTCGCCATAGTAGGCAATCAACTGTTACGAGCCTTCTCGATGTATGATGGTCCAGGTGTTTCATACTCGCTCCTGAAGTAGGTGAAGGCATTTCGTCCAAGCCAGATGGTCAATTTCGCAAGCTCCTCACACAGTCTGTTGCAGGATTGTTGGTCCATATTGGTTTGGGCAAGCAGTTCAGGGAGTGAAACTATTACAAGGTAAGTTGTAGATCTTGTAGGGGGGACGTAAATGTACTTACCAAGCAGACGGCAGAAGTGCTCAGCACCGTAAGTAGTAATAGCAGTCTTGCCAGCGAGCTCACCATCAGCCATATTCCATCCCTCGCGAACTTCGAAGTACTGTTGGCGCTCAAATCTTCGGCGGGTCAGTCTCCATCATTAAAACAAGCGTTGGAACTCACCTATAGAGAAGGATTCGGCCGAGGCATTTCTCAAAGTACTCCTTCAATCCCTGAATTACTTCTAGGAGAAGGTCTGCTTGATGGGTGCCAGCTTGACGCTTAGGATTCTCGAAAGCCAGATAATCGTTCAAGATTGACTCTACCGAGTGAGGGGCAGGCAGAGGGACCAGCTGTTGATTCTTCGTAACATTCTCCCAATCATCAACGAGGATGGCCTTGATGTGGTCGGGAATGGGTAGGTGAATTGATGGGCGAGTATTGAAAGCCTCTTCCTGTGGTTGAGCATCTGTTAGATCATATGTTCGGACACGCATAACCATAGCTGCCAAATCTCTGACTTCAGAGGTCTGTGATTGCTTAATGTCAAGCATTCCAGCCAGTGGTATATTATGATCCTTTTGCATGAAGTTGTAGTAAAGCAAGTTCTCTCTGGTGGCTGTGTTGTTTCTCTTGTGAGCCGCATATTTTGGATGACCAGTGTATTTCTTCTTGTCTTTTTCCTTATTTTTCGCGTTCCAGTCGTAGTGCGGCGCAGGACGGAGAGTTCCATCATCTTGGATATATTTGAAGTCTGGCGTGGGACGCTGAAGGAGAGTATCCGGAGCAAGACATTGGTCGGACATGAGCATCCTCTTTATATCATAGAGGTCCGTACCGGGGTTGCTCCAATGGTTCTTTCTTGTGACCTTCAAGTAGCCGCTGTGGTTCTCATCGGCGTGGGGGTTAAGATTGAGAACAGCTTTGCCACGACGACTCGTAGAAGCAGCTGGCAATGCTACCTGGCCATCAGATCGTAAGCTATTTCTCGAGGATTGTGCAGCATCAGTCGCCGCGTCCTTGGCTTGGGAGATCTTGGATGGACGCGCAACAGATTCTTCTTCTTCAATGAGCTCACGCTTGGCTTGTAAGTCGGTAGCACGCGTCTCAGATTCGTACTGGTCAATAATTGACTCGTCGACGTCTGACAGCTCTGACTCTGAATCTGGGTCCATGATGGTATGAAGGTGAGGCGAGTGACCGATAGGAGACGAGTGCTCGTTGACACGCTCGCGAAGGCCAGGAAGTGAGTGACCTTTAGGAGACGAGTGCCTATTCAGACGCTCGCGAAGGCTAGGAAGTGGGTGACTGATAGGAGACGAGTGCTCGTTATGCGAGTGATCGAGACCAGACGCGTCTTGATTTGAGGTGGAAGGCAAAGAGGAAGGCGCCACGGGAGCTGAGGAAGGCACAGCTGTATGCGAAGGTGAGGTGGAAGAAGGGTCGTTGGAAGATGAAGAGATCGAAGAGGGAGACGCGCAGATGCTGCTTGATATCTTGCTCTCGTCGTCCCAGAAGTTGTGCAAACCCTGCTCAACTTGGGCTTGCGTTTTGGGAAGATTTGCGTTGCTGCTTGGTCTAGTGTAGCCGCGGCCTTCTGCTCGCTTCTGCAAAAAAAAATTGAAAGTCAATACATGAAACCTAATTTTTGACGAGAGATTCAGGGCAGGACTCACAATAAGGCCTTCAGTACCAATAGCTCCCCAGTCTTCTACCTCAGTCGTATCGGAGGGAGTATTTGGAGGGCAGATGTTGCTTGATATTCTGTGCTCGTTGTCCTCCTCAACTAGAGATTGTGTTTTGATAGGATGTGCGATGCTTAATGGTCTTGTGTCAAGGTGACCTTGTGCGCGCCTCTAAAGCATTGGTCAACACATGGGACGAAATTGATCAGAAGAATTGAGAAGACTTACAAGAAGACCTTCAGCACCAATAGCTCCCCAGTCTTCTTCCTCAGTCGTGTATGAGGCAGTATCTGAGGCAGTATCTGAGTCATGGTCGGCATTGCTGATTGCCTTAGGTGCTGAGGTATGGTCCATATTCGAAGTCTATGAGGCTTGAATGTGCGTAATAGAACACCAATGCAGTTGATTAATGGAGCTACGTGCGTCAAGCTTGCTCCACGTGAAGACCACGATTTTGAGTTGATGCAAGCAATAGCTGGATAAGAGCGTCCAGGTAATCGCTCCAATAGGCGGTGGAATATTGTGCTGCAGCTAGGCAAGAATGTTTTGATATTTCGTTGCTGGCCTAACGTCGAAGATTATGTCGCTTAAGAGAGTTGATCTCTCCAGAGGGGAGGGTCGTCTTCGAGCTTGCAATTTCCTGCCAACGCAATATAGAACTTTTGAGGACGTATTGAGGACGTGTTGAGAGCGTGAGGACGTGAGGATATGAGGACGTGAAGACCCGAGGACGTGTTGATAGCGTGCTGCGATCCCCTTCGCCCCGACAAGACGCACTCTCTCTGCTAGAAGCGACACTACCAACCCAGTTGCAAAGGATGTGTTGATACTTGGGGCATATCAAATCGAAACATGCCGAGAACAAACAAAAAGAAACAAAAAGAAACAAAAAGAAACAGAAAGGACTTACATTCTCCAGATCATAATCCCTAGTTCTCCTGGGTCCACGACCGCCTTGAGCAGCAGCAGATGCATGACGCTCCTCGCTGCCACGAGCCGAACTGAAATCAGAACCGTTGGTGCGTCCCCCCTTCTTTGACATGCTCTTTGCCGGCTTCTGTTGCAGCATCTTCATCTGGTTGTGAAGCTGTGCAGCAAGTTCTTTGTTCTCGTCGGTGAACTTCCTAACTCGGTCTTGAGGAACCCAATCATCCCAACTGTTTGTCACATGATTAGACACTTTTTCTATTCGATGTTTTTCTTTGATTATGCTGCGGAGTTTCATGTTTGCGAAGTGTATGCTTGACAAAGAATCAAGGGAAGAAACAAAAGCATAACAATAGACAAGTGTCAGGCGTGAATGTTCAGCAGGAGTTGAGACACTTGTCAGACTCTGGAAACAGAAAGGACATCGACCACTCTTTCGAGTTTGGAAGGGACGACAATCAAGGGTACTCACTGCATATTATTAGTAAATATGTCAGTCATTATGAGGAGTTCATACCGTGTTCTTCCATCCTTTGTAGTGGATCTTGTATTGCCATGATGGGTTCTCCTTGTCCTCCGTTGGTCTAACATCCAGAATCTTCGCCTCATACAGCATATCATGGTGGAAGCATAGGACCTTTTCGTCTTTCGCATATGGCGAAGTTGCCGCTGCCGACCTTGAGGGAGCCATGTTCTGTTACGTTCAAAGCCTAGGAGAGTGTTTAGAAAGCAATATCCACCAGAACGGGAGGTTGCAAGTGAAGTTGGTGTGTAATAGAAGGCTAGAAAGCTAGGGAGGGCAGCGTCGGCGAGTCGGCTACAGAAACGCGACACTGAGGCGTGAATCCAGTCGCGCTTGCCTACGCGACTTGGGACAACAACCCTGTCACCATCACAAACTTCCTCTTTCAGGACTTCTCTATCTAGCTGGACAAATAAAGACCTTGCTCAGCTTTTGCACATAGCCTGGAACCTGGAACGGGCAAGCCGAACATCCTGCACAACTCATTTAAAGACACAAAGGACACACTTAATGGACCAGACCTCCCTCGAATATTCACGTCGTAATGGCACCTACAGAAGCTACTATCCTCTCTACTTTCCTATTACCGCCTGCTCCATTGCCTTCCATCATCTCTCTGAAAGCTTTCGCTGAGCTTTTTCCAAGATCACAACAATCATCACCACAAGTCAAAGCGCTCTACAGAGACTTACAACAGCAGCGAGCTAAACTTACAGACGCCGTTGGTCGCAACATTGTAGCAGAGGTCAAGAGAGGTATTGGACAACGGAGGGTGGTAGTAAGAGCCCGGAGGGCAGCTGAGCAAGAGGATCAGGACGACGAAGCCGATGTTGAGAATGCTGTACGTTTTGGTGTATCATGGGCTTCAGGACTTTCTAACCTCCACTTATAGCTTTTTGGTTCTTCGTCGAATTTACCTGTTTCGAAGCCCCATACTCTGAATTCGATTCTACCGGAACTTAGCAGCGCAATTGAAGATGTTGAGGACGAAATCAGAAGACTAGACGAAGAGGCCGAAACGCTGTTTGAAGCCATGCAAAGCACTGTTGGTGGACTCAGTGATCTACGATACGGACGACTTGCAAACAGCCAGCTGAAAGAGCAAGTCTTGGAGGGGTTGGAGAGACTGGAGAGCTCATGCGAGAAACGATGATTGGAAGTGTGCAACGATTGTTATGGTTTTACGAGTTGATACCCCGAATGAAATTACGATTGATCACTACATAATGTTGGTAGCCCTTTGCAAATCCGTACCATAAACCGCCCTTTCCCAACCCATTTTCCACAGCAGATTCCCTCCATCATCTCGAACCTCATTTTCTTACTATTAGAGAATTAGTATGGACGAGCATCGCCGGGAGGGGCTCCTAAACGAACGCGAGCGGTAGGGGGTGGTGCTCCTCCAGCGGGAGCGCCGGCAGGTCTTCCACCAGGTTGAGGTCCCATTCTCTTGCTCCTGCAGAAGTATCAGTATTGCGAAGCAGTGTATTCGAGGTCAGCACAAAACTTACATCATGGTTCTGCTAAGGAAAGAAATACCGATCATGAACATCCAGCTAGGAACGACAGCGAAGATCCAGAAAATGTAGCCGATAGGAACAGCAACACCATACTTGGCAAAGGCGCCGTCGAATGGGTGGAAAAGTCCATCATAGATCTTCACTTCTTGCTTAGCCTCGGGAGAGTTCAGATCGGTAAAAGTCTTGACAGCTGTGGTGCTGATGTTCAATGTCTTAACTCGGCATTCGACTGGGGCAGGTGGTGCAACAATGTCAAAGATCCAGAGAGAGGGAGGTCCAGCACCCCAGGAATTGCAGAGAACTGGCTGGTCTTCGCAGTTGAGGTAAGCAAGATGAGGAGCAGTAGGGTTGACTGCCCACAAAGCTGCAGTCTCGTTGAAAGCAGTCTCAACTTGACCGCATTGGCCGAAGCATGTCTTGTTGCCGCCAGTGACCAGAACCCAGGTCTCTTCTGACTTTGTGCTTGCGGGCTTGACGGTGGATCGCAATGTACTCTCCCAATCGCCGAGAGTCAAGACCTTCAGAGTCTTGCCGCCAGCTTTAGCAGCTGCTGCTGATGGTGTGTGCACCTTGTTCGGGTTTGGGATATAGGAGGAGATCTTATCGAACCAGTATTGAGCTTGTTCCTTGGCCTGCTCGAGAGGGGAATCGGTTTGCGCAGCAGCCGCAAGCAGCGGGAGTGCAAGGAGGGTAGTTGTGGAGAAGCGCATCTTGGTGATGGATAGAGGATTTTGTATGAGGAGTTCGTGAGAAGGAGGAGGAGGAGGAGGATGTAGGCTGCAGCAGACTAGCGCGAACCTCAAAGTATGGTATGGTAAGGTATGATGTAAAGTGCAAGCGATAAGCTCAACAGTGCTTATGCGCGGGGAAGGACAAACGTCAAGGAGAGACTGTAGAAGTGAGAAGCTGCAAAAATTACAGTCAAGTAATATTTGCAAAAGACAGCAGAGGAGAGGACAACAGGAGGAGTGAGGACAAGGCCAGATGTTGATGACAACAGTTGGAAGCTAGAAGAAGTCCAAGGGTCCATCAAATTACCTGGGGAGTTTGGTTTCTGTGGTGAGCGGCACAGTTCCGAGCACGAACTCTCGAGGAATAGCCTTGTTCTCCACTCAATAGTGAACTGCGTAATTCTCAGTACAACCGCCATTCACATGAACTAGTCCCTTTTCAGCAGTAGCCGAAGACGCTAACCTATGTCTCGGGTGGAGCCATCTTTGAGCCACCCCTGTCTCTACGGCAGACTGTGCGCAAGTGGTTGATCGCTATCGATTATCGAAACTTTTTTTTTGTGTGGTGAAGCTTTTTGAAAGATATTCGAAGCCAGGCGCAGAGAGCCGACACATTCCTTCGAAATGTCTCTCCAAGAGAAGCTCGACAAGATTCGATCGCCGAAGCTACAGAATCAACATCAAGTAAGATTTTTCGCCCCAGTTTTGCCTGTGAATCATGGTCATTAACAGCTCTTCGCAGACGGGAATTGTACTCTCTGCAGTGGAGGATACACTACGAGACCAGAAGACCGAAGCCTCTCCCAATGGTTATTTCGCAGCACTCCTCGCCTTACTTCGACAGGCTGTTTCTACTACTGGTGTGAATAAGGATTTGGCAACTTCAGTTGTCTATTTGCTTGATGTCGTTGCGCCATATGCCCCGCAACCGCTTCTCCAATCGAAGTTTTCGGAAATCCTTACCAGTCTGGCCCCCGCCTTGACATTCGCTGAAGCAGATGCACCATTGCTTCGACCCTCGATAGGATGTCTCGAAACTCTACTGGTGGCTCAGAATTCGAAAGCATGGGAACTGTCGCAAACGCAAATAAGCCCGCGTCGTGCTGTAGCTGGTCTTTTGGCTCTGGCAGTTGACCACCGACCGAAGATTAGGAAGCGGGCCCAGGAGGCTTTAGCAAAAGTCCTGAAGAATCCCCCACCAAGTTTATCGTTGGACCATCCCGCGGCAGATATGTGTGCGGAGACTGCATTGAAAAGTCTAGTTGATCTTGCTACACGGTCAAGCCAGGCCAAGAAGCAAAAGAAAGGCGGGGCGACGGAGCATGAGCCGGCATTGATCCACGCATTACAACTTGTTAAGACTGTTGCTTCTGCTTCAGGAGGATGGCCGGCCAAGAAAATCGAGGCCCTATGCGAGATTCTTCTGAATATCTCGAGGTCGAGCAATGAGTATATGACCATGGCCTCATTCGAAGTATTTGAGATTATATTCGAGGGAATGGCAGCAGATGAAGCATCATCCTCAAAGCTCCCACGACTGCTTGAGGTGATTTCGGAACTCAGACCTTCACAGAACGATTCCCAGCTTCTACCACCATGGATTGCTGTATTATCGCGAGGATACGACGTGTCGGCTCAGATTGAACCAGAGGAGACGTTTTCAAAGCTTCCAGATCTCTTCAACCTCGTGTCCGCATTCTTGGCGTCGTCATCACACAATATACGAATTTCTGCTTCCGAATGTTTAATATCCTTCATGGCAAACTGTGTTCCAAACTCCGTTCTGATGGAACCCTCGATATATGACGAGAAGATCTTGGAAAAGCTAGCAAAAGCTGCAGTAGACCTGCTGAGTGTCAAATATCAAGCGGCATGGATTGAGACCTTCAACGTGATGGGTGCCATGTTTGATGGACTACGATGGATGGCCGATCCTATTTTAGCTGATGTCGTAAAGACCATTGGTGAGCTTCGTGGGAACGATTCGTTCGCTGGCAAGAAAGAGGCCGATGAAACCATTGGCAAAGCCATCCGAGCCATGGGACCTCAAAGTGTTCTCAAAATATTACCTTTGAACCTGGCCAAACCAAAACCCGGACAACCTGGCCGTGCTTGGATGCTCCCAATTATGCGTGACTATGTTAGCAACACAAATCTCGCACATTTCAGGTCCGAATTCGTTCCACTGAGCGAGATTATGTTTCAAAGAGTGATCGACTATGGGGGAGCTGAGAAGACCATGGAGATCAAGATCTTTGAGACTCTCGTTCAGCAGATTTGGGCATTATTACCAGGTTACTGTGACTTGCCGCTCGACTTGACTGACTCATTTGATCAGTCTTTTGCTGAGCTGGTAGCGAACTTACTTTACAAACAAACCGAGTTACGTCCTGATGTCTGTAGAGCTCTGCAGACATTGGTAGACTCGAACAAAGTCATAGCTACTATCGAGGCAGAGGATGAAGACCTGATGCTGCAAAGTCGAGTTTCCAAAGCTACAGCTCAGAGAAATCTGGACCACCTCTCGACCTTCGCCAGCAATATGCTCGCGGTCCTGTTCAACGTCTACAGCCAGACGTTGCCACAATACCGCTCGTATATACTGCAATGCATAAACGCATACCTGAGCATCGCGCCGATTAAAGATATCATGGAGACCTTCGAACGAGTAAGCACAATGCTTGCCTCAGCGATCACGGAAACAGTAGCACAACCCCCCGCGGAGAAGCAAAAGCAAAAAGAGCACAAGGCAGTGGATAAGATGCCACCCACCAGCCATACTCTGATGGACTTGGTTATCACAATTGCCATCTACCTTCCTCGAGAGAGTTTTGCTACTCTCTTCAACATCGCTTCTATCATTATCGTCAAGAACGATGACCCACAGCTTCAAAAGAAAGCTTATAAACTCATCCCAAGGCTTGTTGAGTCGGAAGTAGGCAAACAAGCTTTGAGAGAGCGAAGCGCAGAACTTCAACAACTACTCCTCAGCAGTGCAGAAAAGGTCTCTGCTCCAGCTAAGCGGGATCGTCTGTCTTCCATTTCCACCCTCATTCCTTTTCTTCCCAGCGACTCTTTACACTTCATCCCCAGCATTCTTTCAGAAGTTGTCATCTCCTGTAAAGAAGTGAACGAGCGCGCACGAACCGCAGCTTTTGATCTTCTCGTTCTCATGGGTGAAAAAATCGCTTCATCGGATGGGGCGATGATCGAGAACAGCAAGGTTGCCCACATGGCAGAAGATGCACCAGCAGTTCCTGCGACACTCGAAGAATATTTCACAATGGTTAGCGCGGGTTTAGCAGGCAATTCACCACACATGCAATCTGCTTGTATCACAGCATTAACTCGAATACTGTACCACTTTCGCGAATCACTCCAAGTCGAGACAATTACAGAGTTGGTCGAGACCATGGATCTGTTCCTCACTTCCAACAACCGCGAAATTGTCCGCAGCGTCCTGGGATTTGTAAAAGTCTCCGTCATTAGTTTGCCTTCGAATGTTATGCTTCCACGGCTGAAAACTCTAGTGCCAAACTTGATGGTCTGGAGTCATGAGCACAAAGCTCATTTCAAGGCCAAAGTCAAGCATATCCTAGAACGCATGATCCGACGATATGGCGTGGATGTTGTGAACAAGAACTGCCCAGAAGAAGATCGCAAACTCATCGCTAATATCAGAAAGACCAGGGAGAGGAACAAGAGGCACAAAGATGCTGCAAAAGCAGCAGGTGCCGAAGGAGATGATGATGAAGGCGAGACCAAGCGAAAGAGCCGCTTTGAGAGCGAGTACGACGATGTCATCAATGCCAGTGAAGAATCGGACGGCTCTGATGTTTCAGACAACGAAGTCCTTGGCAAGAGCAAACGAGGTGCGAAGAAGGGTGGCAAGACCTACATCGTTGAAGATGAGGAGGAGCCTCTGGATCTACTTGATCGTAGGGCGTTGGCCAACATTTCATCGACGAAACCTCTCAAGCAAAAGACACATGTGAGAACAAAAGCGAAGATGGATCTTGATGGAAAACTGTTACTTGGTGGTGACAGCGATGATGACGACGATGCGATGATCATTGATACCCCGGCAGAGAAGAAGGGAGATGAAGGAGGCGTTGATGCATATGTCAGTGCCATCAAGGGCCGTGACGCCGTACAAAGAGGCAGAGGAGGTAAGTTGAAGTTCTCCAATAAGAGGAGCAAAGACGAAGACGACGAGATGGATGTCGATGAAGATGATATGAAAGCTGTCAAGAAGCAAATTGGAGGCAACTCGAGAGACAGCTTCCGAGGCAGAGGTAGAGGAGGAAGAGGAGGCCGCGGTGGGAGAGGCGGGATTGCAAATGGAAGAAGGGGCTTAGGCGAGGAGAAGCGACACAGCAGCGGTGGATACAGGGGCGGAGGTAGAGTCATGAAATCCCCACGCGGGAAAGGTGTACGGAGGTAAAATCAAGGTACGAATAGCATGAATGGAGTCTGGACTGATCTTTAATTGTTCTGGGAAAGGACTGACATTAGCTCGTCACATGATGTCGGGCTAGTTGGTGATGACTTCACCTGTCAACAGGTCTTCATAAGGTACTACCACAACATCAACCAATGCTTCTATGTTCATTGGATTTTTGCACAGATGATTGGGTGTTATTCGAGGAATGCTCCGTACCTGTGGAAATCTAGAATGCAGTCATTCTGTCTGCATCGAGCACAAGAGTTAATTCGTTACATCATCAAGTTCGATGACAGCTACATTCAGTAAGACAAGGGAACGTATGAGCTTCGATCATCCACATACATGTTTTCATTGATCTTCTTTCTCTTATCGTTTCCTTTCTTTCGTACATGTCTTTCTCCATACCTCGACGTCTACTCCTCTCTCAACTCTCAAGACAAGCAATCCATATCCGTTCCTCGCCCCGTCTATTCCATTCACAATCTCCCAAAATGGCCGGAATAATCGACACAGTAAAGTCAACCATCACCGAGAACTTCGGCGGCACAGCGTATTTCCTCCTCTCCCTCCAATCTCAACTGCAACACTAACACCACACTCAGCCATTCCCTCGCAGACCCAGAGCACAAATTCGACCTCGAAAAAGACGTCCCAGACCTCACCTCCAAAGTGGCCGTCATCACCGGCGGCAGCGAAGGCATAGGCTACGGCTGCACACACACGCTCCTCTCACACAACCTCTCGAAACTATTCATCATCGCGCTCTCCCCCGAAGTATACTCTTCCGCACTCTCCCACATCACCTCCACCCTCGGCTCGGAAACCGCCAAAAAAGTATCCTTCATCCAATGCGACGTTGGCGACTGGTCCCGCATCGCCAGCGTCGCAAAAGAAATCGCCTCCCAGACCGACCGCCTCGATATCCTAATCAACGACGCCGCCCGCGGGATCATGACTTACGAACTCACAGATTATGGCGTCGATAGACACATGGCCGTGAACCACATCGGGCACGTAATCCTGACCTCGCATCTCCTCCCACTCATGAAATCCTCCGCGGGAAACGGAAACACAGTGCGGATCGTCACCCTGGGCTCCAACGCGCACCAAGCCACGCCCTCCGACTGTAAATTCGCGTCCTTGGAAGAACTCAACACGGACCTAGGTCCTAACGGACAATACGGACGCTCTAAACTCGCCCAGATGCTGTACGTGCGCTATCTCTCTAAATATCTCACGGCCAAGTGCCCGAGGATACTGGCCAATACGGTCCATCCGGGGTTTGTCGATACGAAGATGTCGACGGAGGATATCCACGAGCCGTACCCGATGCTCGGGTACGGGATGAGTGTGGGGATGAAGCCGTTTAAGAAGGATCAGTGGGAGGGGTGTAGTAGTGCTGTTTTCTGCGCGACGAGGACGGAGGAGAGTGGGAGGTATGTGTGTCCGCCGGCGAGGGTGGAGGAGGGGAGTGAGTGTAAGTTGTGTATTTTCATCTTGTTGTTGTGTTGTTGTGTTGTTGTGTTGTTGCGTTCTTGGGGTCTCGTTTTGAAGGGCTAGGCTAATTTGATGTAGTGTTTAGGAGTGATGAGTTGATGGAGAGCTTGATGAGGTTGACGAAGGAGGTTGTGAAGGAGAAGATGGCGAGGGAGAGTGTGGAGAAGGGGTGTCCGTTGGAATTCGTTTAGGAGAGGACTAGGGAGAAATAAGTAAATTCTAAAAGCGAAATATGAAAATTAATGTCCCGTATCTCGCCGGACATTTCCCCACCTCCAAAAAAGCCATGAGTGGAAAAGTTGAGGTCATACTAGAAGCTGTCTCATCCCTTGAGATTCAGCATCCACGTGGCACTCAACCTATGTACCTTACCCCAGAAACTTTAGGACAAGAATATCTTCAATCCCAACCTTCGCAACGTATCGCTTATTAGCCGATCTATCCCCTTTCGCCTTGCGTTTACTTACGATGTCCGTGATTGAATGCCATACAATATTTATCTCAGTTCATTGAAGAGCATATCTCATTGTTTTCAAAACAAACTTATCTTCTATAGAGAGCAATCATCTTCATCTCATACCATCAATCCTTGAGACTGTACATAAAATAAAGACTTTGAGTCTGACAAGAAAGTAAGACTTCCCAGCAAACCCGAGATATCGAGCTTAGTAGATTAATCTTAATTAGACAACGAATAGTCTGAAAAGGCAAATTTTGTTGCATACCGACAAGTGCTTTTGTACCGAATCTTGAGCGGGTTGTGGGTTTATCTTCCATCTTAAACCTGACGATATGAGTAGCAAGACAAAATTGTTGTGCATCGACGAGTATCTAGGATACCGTACTAATGAACACCAGGGTTGGGGTTCCTAGTTAGGAACTAAGACCAAAGGAAAGATAGAACGAAGTGTCATTCATCCTTGAAATAGTGAAACCAGGACTCGACCTGGTGATTTGGATTCATGACCACCAGCTTCCGCACATCCATTCAACACACAAACCAAAAAGACCATCTCATCCAAAGATCCTCTCATTTGCATTCCATCTACAGCTTATCTCATTCAAGTGGGTATGTCGCAAAATCGCCAAGTCAGTCAGTAAGTCAGCCAGCCAACAAATCTTCTTTCCATTCCCTTCCCTTCCCATTCATTCAGCCCAATCCAACCCAACCCAACCCAACCCAACCCAACAACAGACAGACAGATAGACACCAAAAAGAGGCAATTAACAATAGACCCCCCAGCGCCCTGCCCTAAAACCAAACCATAACAACACATAGCACGTAATTACTTTTACCCTATTTCTGGAACCAAGGGAATTTTTTCTTCCCAAACTCGACTGGGCCGGAAGATGCGCTTTCAAGGGATAAAGACCGTTGATAGACCTCCTATTCATTCTCACATTAGCCACTTTCCCCACCCTCGCAAACACAAAGGGGAAAAAGATGGAAAACAAACCTCCTCATCAACAGGCATCCTACAGTCCAAGATAAGCTCCCTCGCAATCTCATGCTTGGCCAGATTCGGATACGGAACCACCTGACTCTTCATAATCGGCAGTATAACCTCAGACAAGACCTCGAACTTCTTCCAGTTGATCCTTTCCCCATTCGCTCCAACGAACGTCCGGCTTCCTTCCTCAGCCGACACGAGATCGCGGCGGTGGAGAGGGATGAACGGGATGCGGGGGAGCGAGGAATTCTCCCACGCCAGACGGTACGCGAAATGCGATTTTTGTGTCCCCATGAGGATCACGAGGCGGGCGAATCGTTTCTGGACGTCTTGCGGGACGAGGGCGCGGGTTTGGCTGAGGCGGTGGATCGCGCTGCCGTTGATGCCGGCGAGGACGGCTGCGAGGCCGTTGTAGTTGTTCAGTTGTCGGAGTTTGAGGGCTATGGTCATGAATTTCTCGAGCATGAGGGCGCGGTGCTTGGCTTTGTCGCGCATGAGGATCATGTTGGCGACCCATCTGGCGATGTGGTTGAAGTGGCTGATCATCCGGTTGACGTTGGTGAGGCTTCTACAGCGGTCTTTTTGTTCTAGTGAGAGGCTGACGTGGCGGACGAAGTCGCGGAGGCGGATGGAGGAGAACATGACCCAGTCGATTCTGGTCATCTCGTCGGCTAGGTCGTCGTCGGAGATATCCATGAAGATGTGATAGCGGAATTTGGTTAGTGGGAGGGTTCCTTTCGGTACCATGGTTGCTGCTTCTTTTTCGTAGTCTTCTACTGTGTGGAAAGATGGTGAGAGAGATTGGGTGGGTGATAGAGGCCGTGTTGAAGCGGTAGAGTCTGCTCTCGACTCTTTCCGTACCATATCTGCGCCTTCCTCATCCTCCATGTGCAAATTCGCCATCTCTTCCTCGATCTCTACTCCGCTTGGCTCGGGTCTTCTCCGTGGGGACGAGGGAGCGGAGTCACTGGATAGCCTTTCCTCGTGCTCTACATCGGCATCAGTACGAGCCCATCCCGTGTCATCGTCCTCGAAAACTCGCGAGTTGAGCTGAGTTCTCATTTCTAGCGCGGCTGCAGCAAACACTGGTTCTGAGGATAATGTATTGATAAAGCACTCAAGCTTGGCACTCGTCGAGCGGCTGGCAAAGTCTCCTGGATAAGTTGCGACCCATTTTGCGACAACTGTAATAACGCGCAACTGAGTGGCTGTCCGAGTCAGGTAATGTGTATTCTTATCCTCCGCAATACGCTCGAATCGAGCATCAATGGCACCAAATAACTCGGCTGGAGCCGCGAATTTTCTATATAGGCAAAGGAAGATATCTGAGAAATTGTTGTCTGCGCGTGACATGTTCTGACCTAATAATCGATCCACCAACTCATCGAAAGTCACGCCAGCAACTTTGGCTGGTTTGTCGAAGAAGCTATCGTCATTTCGTTGTAAGATAGGGATGTCATCCGAATACCGGTACGCTGACTCCGCATCCGACTCTTCCATATCCAGGAAAGAATTATCGGTGACTCTCCCAGTACCGGGTGATGGGAGAGGAGAACGAGGTTTGAGCCCGCTTGTGGTTAATTGATTGCTCGCATCCGACGACGTGTAGGAGCTGTCATGTCGAAACGCCGGGTGCGACGAAAGTGGCGGCGCGTCGTGTGGGTCAGGAAGTATAATCTGATGGTGCAGGTTGGTTCGCCCATTGCCCCGGGACAAGGGAGGCTGGCCTCTGGTAGACACAGGGGGTGGCGAGGGAAATCCTCGGAGCAGAGAATAGTCCGAGCTTGCACGACTATGCTTGGAATGTTGACTAAGTGGTCTGGAGGCATCTGGAGGTGCCTCGAGATTCGCAGACGATGTAGCTCGACGTCGAGCACCAGAACTTTCCGTTGTAGATATCATAGCTGGCGAGAAGTGTCAGTGTTGGAAATGGGGCAAGATGAGAAGACGAGAAAATCTCAAAATAGAAAAGTTAAATGTATGGAGTAGATCGTTGCCAAGAAGAGATAAATAATGCGGAGAACAGATGAACATGGCTAAAAGCTCAAATAATGTCACATGGAAAAAATTCCTAACTTACTACTCCTGTTCGTCATGACAGCTCGAAGCATCGAAGAGAGGCAGAGTCTCGCCGTTTCAGGGACGTTCGCTGCAGTCTTCACAGCCTCGACGCATGACAGACAAGCTGATTCCATACTCTCAACGTCGATTTGACGGGTATTTTCTGGGTTGTCACATTTGCAGGATACAAGGATTGTAGGCAAGGAGGAATTGACCAGTCCATCTGCAGAATTTAGTCCGCGGTCCTTGTACATATAGACAACTTCTCAGAAACTCACTCAAGGTCTGAGGCAATTCCTGAATACTCTCTCGGTTCATGACATCGTATAAGAGAAGGGCTCCATCCATACGGGGCACAATGTGCCCATTGATTTGTTTCGGCCATTGGATTCGGCGATCCGGATTTATATCGAAGGATTCGAGGTCGAGTTCAATCAGGCTAACTGTGTAAACCACATTGTCCACCGACATTCGAAGACTCGAAGCAATATTTGTTGGGAGGGCCCGGAGTCCCAGTGCGCGCATAATCAGAGTACTTTTGCCCACGCCCGTACTCCTATAGAGAAATTAGTATATCATTCATCAAAACATCAAATAGCACCACAGCCGAGGTCTTTTGCAAGGCTATGAATCCAGCTCCTAAAATATCCCGAAATAAAGTAAAATCCTACGTACCCAATGACAGCTATATTTATGTCCTGAATCCCACTCCTTGATTGTGGCTACACCCTCTCGTCAGTCCGACATACTTTCTTGCTCAGAATTGGGGCTTCGCACAGGCAGATTCACAGAGTTCTCGACTGCCCTTCCAGCAGGGAGCAAGGGCCCCGTTTCCTCGTCGTCCATCATTTGGGAATAAGTCGCAGACCTCAATTCCCGAGAGATGGAAACGGAGTGCGGTGAAAAGTAGTTTCGAAAGAATGGATCGTCCCTTATGGATGTCACCGAGTCGCGCTGCTGGGTATCCGCATCATCTTCCAGCGATAGAGCGTTTGGATTTCCCGGCGCGGAGAGGGTCCTGGTTGCGAAGCTTGGGCGTGCGCTGCTGCGCGGTGTCGAGGCAGACGACGAGGGCGACGCAGCTTTGGCGGAAAAGCTGGATGCTGAGGAAGGCGGATCTCGTAGTGTTGATGATGGTTTGCGTTGCGGAAGCAAAGTGACTCCATCCATAGACATTGCTCCTCTGAAATGACTATAGGCAAATATGCCTGCTGCTCAGTTCAACTGGTGGCCAAAACCCTGTCAGATCGGTAACTTGCAGTGCTGATAAAAAAAAGATGTGAGTAGAACCATGTCCCAATATCGCGATTAGTCCACAGGTGTGGTTGGAAGAGCATGCCACCGCCGTCCTACAGCAGCAACAGACAACGCAGCTCTTGCAGCTTTATCCAGGTCGACAGGCCCGGTCTGAGTAGATGATTGCATTGATACCAGTGGTGTTGCTCTGAGGGTTTGTGCAGGAGAGTTTTCTGTTTAACAGATTATTGAGAGTGTCTGTGGTCTTTGGTGGGTTGTGGGTAGTGGGTTGGGTAGCGGAGTCCAGCAATGTACTGTAGTGCTGTACTTCCTGTGGGTGGAGCTGGGGATGGGTACTGGTGGTACAGGCTGCGAGGCTAACCTGGATCTTTGGCGGGGCTGCTTGAGGGCACCGAGGGGATTGGGCATCTTCGGGAACGCAGCCCACGCTCGCCCAGCGAAGCACCCCATTCGCTACCAACGCGGACAGCCCGAGTGTCCGTCTCATGGCCAGCACCACCAGCACCACCAAAACCAACAGCAGAATCAGGTTGGAACTGACTTCTGCTGTGAGGTGGGCGAGAGAGCGCAGGTGAAGGAGCAGGGGGAGCTGGCGCACGTCTGCGAATCTTCAAACCAAGACGTATCACTTGTGCCAAAAGGAAGCATTCCGCAACCACGCGCTGCCACCGGCGACGACACGTGAAATCCTTCACTGGGTGAGAAGGGGCTGAGGAAGAGAGCGGATGCCCGTTGCAGGACGCTGCTGAAGCAGACTAATTCGCAGAGCATAACATTCCTTCACGATGTCTGCCGACCTTTCACGGCCACAATACCAATGCCAAGCCTGCCGCAATGTCCAGAAAAAAAAGAGGCTTCTGTCACCGTTATTGACATCCTGCGAGTCAGTCCAGCGAGATAAATACCATCCACACGAGTGGCTCATGGAGCGCCAAATATATAGTATATAGGGAGGAAAGTGGGCTCATATTGCAATGAAGTATGGTCATGAAGATGTATGGTCACATACATCTATAGGAAGGAGCAGCTCTCCGAAAAAGGATTCCGTCGCATTCAGCAACTGTCTCAACGAACAAGAGCTGCTAGGATCAGCACAAGCATTCCCACTAAGTCTTGGCGATCATATCAGATCATTTGGAACAACGTGTGGAGCTTCGAGCCTCCAGAATTTCCTCAGTTCAACAATCCACAAGATGTGCTTGCGAGTGCTCCAAGAGCCAAAAGCAAACCTTTCCGAATTTTGAATGAGAACGCTTCTTTTCCTTCTAGTTGTGTGCTTCCATCCCATTGCGGATGCATTGGTCAATCATTCGGGCTTCTTGCAGCAATCGATAATTGCAAGGGATCTTCGGCTGCTCATCCGATATCCAGTCCCAGTTTTCGAACGTCTCCGCAATGACCGAATAAGGTGAAAGCATTCTGATCATGATCGTCACCTAGATTTCACCCACCATCACCTTACGATCTGACCGGGCTTTGAGTATCGTGACACAGAGTCGTGCTCAACATCTGGTATACGAGATCCACCGTCGTGTTTCCCTCGTACAGATATCTGCACCAAGCAAGCAAGCTATCAGAGCTCGAGTCTGCAGAACAACGTCACCAACGAGGCTACCAACAGATAAGGCCTACAAGGCTGCATATTACCTAGACTTGAGGAAATTTGAGTTCGGTGATGAACGGCATGCTCGGGAAGCTCCGTGCTATCCGACATGACATGCAGTATGCCATCATATCTGATCCTGAGGCTCAACAATCATCGAAATGATGGAAATCTCCATCTCAACATCTAGAACATGGATTGCGGCAAAGGAGCGGTATGTGTGAAACCTGAGACTTCTAGACTTCTAGAAGGTTGGACGACTTGAATGAGAGCTGAACTCAGCTGAAAGTCGTGCTCCTCATAACGGCTCACGGGTACACGTGAAGTCTTCGGAGGACAACAACAGTCGCCGTCCAAAGTGAGGCTTTGCTTTTCTTGGTCGCATCACATCCCGTCTTCCTAGCGGAGATCCAGCTTTCGGTTATCTCATTCTGAGGTACCTAACTTTGCGATCCCATGGGTGAACCCAAGCGTCGAATATAGACCAGCTTGAGATGGTCCTGTCTTGCATATGAGCTTATGAATGGTTGCACGGTTGTGTTGGTGCCATTTCCAACATATTACCTGGTAATTTCTTTTGATTGCAACAGAAAACGTTTGGTCAAGCTCGACCAATGTAGACCAAGAGATCCTGCAGCCACAATGGATCACCAAACACCGAGGTAGGCGGTGACATTGCTTTTCGACGGGAAGTAAATGATGTCGAATATATAATCTATGAAACGAAACCCCCCCTTGAGAGCGGAAGAAGTGTCCGTTGATGAGGGGACACTCGGAGGGATTCTTGCGCTTTCCAGCCGGTTTGTGCGACGCTGTCGAGTTCTGTACGACAAGAGTTGAGTTCCTCCTGCACGCAAGAAACGGTGAAGCATCTTGGCGTCCTTAAATGCTGCCTTAGCATGAGAAGATGGAGACGTGCAGACGAGACGAAACTTGACCGCGTGAACAGGCAAAAAACTGTATCTTCAGGGTTCCCCACAAGTAAATGCTGCAGAGCTGCAGGAGCGGCCCTGCGACGATTGGATGGCTCTTTTGTCGTGGTGCTACTGCGGGAGTAGTATAAATTATGCGTCCGGAAAATGAAATGGGCAGCGCATCAGGGCAGCGCAGCGCTGGGGAGCGAATCTCTGTTGAGTATTGTCGCGTGTTGATCGAGTCCAGACCGGAACGAAGCATGTCCAATCTCAATGCGGTGCCTGGCCTAGCTGGACTTTGAGTGCCGCTCGCCAAAGACGGCGGCCGTGTACCTGGATTGGATGAGAATCGACTCTGCGTTCCTGTGCTGTCTGTTGCTCGACGACGAGCTGACGATCAACACTCACTCATGACTGCTCAGCGCTGAGGAATGAGACATCGACCGATGATGCTTCAGCTGCAGAGAAAGAAAGAAAGAGGCAAATCTGGGGTCACGATGTCCACAACCTGGTTCCCTGGTTCCATCCATGGGGCGCGACTCGGTGCGTGACCAGCCTCCTCCTGCTCGGAACACACAGGCACGAGACGACACTTCCACATTGGGCGGTACAGCCGGCGACTTGATGAATTCGAACACTGCCGAGGACCAGCAGGCACCGCGTTAAACTGCTTTCGGTCCTCCTTTCCAAGACAGACGCCCGCAACGTAACCCGGAACGCCAGAGGATCGTTGGTCAATTCGCCCAGATGCGGTGAAGTGGGAAGGGTGAAGTCATGGATGGAGAGTCCGGAGTCGAGTGACCCAGCCCAGCATCGTTAGCATCCATCCACATCCACATCCACATCCACATCCACATCCACATCCCAAAGCCAAACAAGAGACAAGACAAGACAAGACCAGACCAGGAAGCAAAAATAAGGCTCGTTCCACCCTCGTTCGCACGTACGCTGCCACTTCTCTGCTTGCTGCACATCCACATCCACATCCACAATCCACATCCACATCCGCCGATGCAAGCCCAGGTAAAAAGCCAAGAGTCAGTCAGTAGTCAGGGTCTGACGTTCTAACTCATAACGTTGGTGGCTTGTACCATTTTTTCGAATCGACTACATGTACGACCAACTCCCCCCTCCTATCCCCAATCCCATCTGTTAGCTTCTCCAATTCCTGACTCTCGATTCCAGTTCAGGTCAAGGTCCTGCTACTCGCCTGTCGAGAGACTTTTGCCGGACGGAAACACACGGGTCCATGCTTCTTGCTCGACTGTTGTGACCGTACCACATACTTTCACCAACCCTCTGAAACAAATTGTGTTCACCCATTCCTATATCCTCTCATATAAACCGTGCCTCCGTCCTCTCACTCCAAAATGGCCAAAGTCGCTGGTACCCTTCCCCCGCCGCCTGTGGAACGCCCTGCTGTAAGTCGCGTGCTCGCCCTCCCCGCGCCCCCCAAAAGCAAGACATTATATACCGAACCAAATTCCTAACAGGATATTTCAATAGTTAAAGGGACCAACACGCTCAATGACCCATCCATTGCGCGACCCCAAGACCAGCGGTCCCCGCCGGAAAGTCAAATCCGGGGAACCATTCGACCCGGAGGAACTCTCTCGGCGCCTGCAAGCCCACATCGTGGAGCAGAAAATCAAATCTGAGAAGCGCCGTGAGGCCAGAGCTGCGAAAGCGGCGGCGGCTGAAGCTGCGTTGCACGCTCAGAATGGGTATCATCATGTGCCTGCCACGGCCGCGGCTTCGTTCGAGCGAACCACGACCCAGGCCAAGCCGTTGAAGATGCACAAGTTAGCACAGCCGGTCGTCAAGGCTCATCTAGACCGTGTGAGCATTGAGAATGAGAGGCAACCTCTGACCCTGCTTCAGAAGACGGTGGCTATGGATCAGGCGATGCTGGACGCTCATCTACTGAGAAATAGGAACCAGTTTCAATGGACTCAGGAGATGGAGGAAGCTGCCGAGGCGGACTCGGAGAGAGATCTATACAAGGTTCCTCAACGGACTTTTAATGGGGAGTTTGCGCACTTGATTGGGAATCACAAGAAGGGTGCTCCCCGGCCAATGAGCACTGGAGACTTATTCTGGGAGGAGGAAGCGTCATCACCACCGCCGGTTCCCAAGCAGAAAGTGAAGCCGGCACCACATGAGATTGTTAATGACCACCGAAACGACTGGGCGCAACGAGACGACGAGATGGAGAACAGGAAGAAGGAGAAGGCGAGTCCATTCTTGAAGAAGATGGAGTCGAGTTGGATGTTAATAGGCAAGAAGGAGAAGGGAGTGAAGCCTGAACGGAGAGATGAAGGGATAGCTGGTTTGGGATCATCGCCGCCCGATGGGAAGGGTGTCAAGGGGAGCTTTCTGGCTCGTTTCAAGCGTCATCCAAGTTGATGTGCTGAATGAATTCATGCTGGTCTGGTCTATGTATGGCGTTGGCGCATTAAACGGCGCTGGGTATCTTATGTTTCGTTCTCTCAATAGACTGTCCAGAAGTCTGTCTCCCTACCCATCCTATTGGTGAGATTCATTCGCCAATCATGTCTGTCATGATATATGCAAACTTTCCATCCGTCACTAGTCGCCAAGTCAGCCTCCATCTACACATTTGAGTTCAGTCTTCCTCTCACTCACCAAGTATCCCAATCCCTCATCTCATCAACGCCGTGCTCTGATGAAATCCACACTAGCTTTCCTTCCTTTCAGGTATTCAAACCAATATCCCCATTAAGCAACATCTCCACAATCCCCACCTCCCCCTCCCTCACCTCCCTCTGCACCAATTCCTCCGCCGTCACTCCCCCTCCCCCCTCCTCCTCTTCCCTCAAAATCCTCAACACAACCCTTCCATACTCCCTAACACTCTCCCCATCAACCCCATCCTCATTCCGCGCCTTCTTCAACGCCTCGACTCCCCGCTGAAGCCCGCGATCAGAGGTCCACGTCTGTTTCTGGTTGGAAGTCGTCGGGAGGCCGGAGCTGGTGTAGGAGGAGAGGGGAGGCAGCGTCGTGGTGTGGATGCGGGTTAGGAGGGTGGGCAGTTTGGGGTAGTGGGTGAAGAGCAGGCGGAGGTCGGGGGAGGTGTCGAGGGCTGCGAAGGGGGTTTTGGTTGGTGCTGTGGTGGTGCCGGGACGGCCGTTGGTTGTGGGGTGAGGGAGGGAAGCGGGTTGGGGTGAGGGAGAGGGAGAGGATTTCGGAGGTGAGGGTGGGTGGTTGAGGGTGTGGTTTTTGGAGCAGGGGATTGAGCAGCTGGTGATTGTTAGTTAGAAAGTTCCATTTAGGTGGAGGGGGAGGGGGATATACTAAGGGAGGTAGCAGCGGCTGCATTTGTATTTGCCCTCGTTTTCATTGCAGACACCGCACAGCTTCTTGGTAGGAGGGAGGTTCACTTCCGTTGAGCTTTGCTCTGGCTGCGATGCGGGCATTGCGGGCGCTGGTTGCTCTGCGGCCGCGATAGTTTCTTGAGGTTTGCTAGTCGCAGCTTCGTCTGAAGATTTTGGCGCGTCGCCATTGTTCGTAGAATCGATAGACATCGTTGAAGGCTGGAAGAAGCCGCCAAAGATTCTCGATTGCATATCGTTACTTTTTTAAGGTTGAGTGGTCGGCGAATCAGAACGTTCAGGGACGAACAAGCTAGTGAATTGGCGTCATAGCTTGATTGATACTGATTACAAAAACATTCTTTTCGCCATCAACGACGACTATTCTTCAACGAGATAATTCTTTGTTGAGGTGTCACATCATACGAAATATGGCATCACGAAAGATTGTTCGTGCAGCGGCGCCGTTGTTCACCAAGGTTCGACCGGCGAAACCAGCGGTTCCTGCCCATTACAGTGCGGCGAGATGTGTGCATCAGAGTACCAGATTACCAGCGATGGCAGCTTCGAATGCAAGGACGAGACCGACGTTACAGCCACTGCATCAACCTTCTACTATGGTGAAGCCGCCTGCGGTCAGTGGTAGTAGGAGTATCTTCATACAGACGGAGAATACACCTAATCCGGATGCGCTCAAGTTCCTGCCAAACCATCCTATATTGCCTGCTGGGCTCTCTTCGCCGTTCCTCGAATACCTCAATCCAAGATCCACTCTGGCTCCTCCACACCCGTCCCCTTTGGCGGCTCAGTTGATGAATATTGATGGGGTTGCTTCGGTGTTCTATGGGGCGGACTTTATCACAGTCACCAAGTCAACAGATGCCAATTGGGCGCATATCAAGCCTGAGGTGTTCTCTCTGATTACGGAAGCGGTAACGTCTGGGGCTCAGATTGTCAACGTCACAGAGAATAAATCTGGAGTAGACGGGCAAGAAGGTCAGGAGGAGGACAGTCTCAGCTATAATGAGAATGACAGTGAGGTGGTGGGAATGATCAAGGAGCTCTTAGAAACACGGATACGACCTGCAATTCAGGAAGATGGAGGGGATATCGAGTTTCGAGGATTTGAAGAGGGGCAGGTTCTATTGAAGCTGCGAGGTGCGTGCAGGACGTGCGACTCGAGTACGGTTACTCTGAAGAACGGTATAGAGGGAATGCTGATGCACTATGTGAGTAATCCCGGGAGCCATCAAGCTGGATAAACACAAGCTAACACAAACACACAGATCGAGGAGGTACAAGGTGTTACCCAAGTTCTCGATCAGGAGGAGGAGGTTGCCGTACTGGAGTTTGCAAAGTTTGAGGAGAAGCTTCGGCAGAAGAAAGGCGTCGAAGAGATGATGTAAAGGGAGAAGCCAATGATGCGAAGGGAAAAGGCTCAGATGATGCGAAGAGAGTAGGCTTAGATGGTAGAAGCGCTGGAGACACCCCTTGTTTGCGAAATCGTCCGCCTATCGTATGTCCATGGCCTGGCTGCGTTGCGAGATTCTCGTCAATCGGTCAATGTCGGGCTCATTACAAACATTTTCACAAGCATAGTTGCACGTTTACGAGAGAAGGCTGACTATAGCTATGAGCTCGAGGCGCATTACGGCTCCTTAGAGAAAGAGACTTTTCGCCAGATGTTCAAGGATCGGATTCGTTGCGCCTTAGATAGATAGACAGTTCAATGAATGATCTGTCGTTATTGATTACAATCTGTACGTATGGGAGAGTTGCGATCTTTGCGAGATTCCGGTCCTTGTTTCGTTCTCCCTCGACTTGTATCCATCTACCATAATATTAGTTTGTCCACTAGTACACACGTGGAGATTGTTCATTATGTGATCGGGAAGACTAGAGATTATATAAAGTGGCGATATTGACATGATGCTCTTATAGAACTACAAACTAGGATTCATTTGCTCTTCACATACAAAACTGTCTATAGATGGCGTAGACTAGTAGGCAAATGCAGAACAGAACCATGGATGCGTCTGGGAACACTTGACAGCAGTAATGAAATCATTGTGTTAACCAAGTATATTTATTAGACCTTGAATTCTTTTAACGAAAGTGGGGTTGTCAAGTCTATCTAGAATCCTAAGCGATTCAAAATCCTGATCAACTGTGCTTCATTATCGTTCCTGCACTGCATGATAACTTCTTCTTGCTGTAGCCGTACGATGTCCGAATTGGTGATACGCCAAGGCAAAATTGTTCGAAGGATAGCGTCAACGTCTGCCACCTTGTCAATCCCCTCGATTGTTTTTGGCCGCTTTGTGTCTAGCTTCTCTAGCTCATCTTCCCAGGCTTTTGCAACATCCCACTCGACTCCATCTTGAGTAGCTTGCGAGAGGGGTGACGGAAACCCATGGAGCTTTGCATCCCTGAGTGCCGTCTGGTCGCTAGCTTCGTCGCCAGACCAACCCCGAAACTGACCACCAGCGCCGTCGAAGGAGCGAAGGAATTCGTAAGAAGGATGCGAAACGCATGCGAAGTCGTAGTCAATCAAGGCAGTTATACGCCCTGACTTAGCATCAAATAGTAGATTGTTGGTGGCTGCATAGTAGTAAAATAATTAGCATAGCTCAAAATGAAAGCAGAAATCAATGGTATAATCCACTTACTAAAATCAGCATGTACGATAACTTTGTCTTGCTTCGAGGTCAGGGACTCAAACTGGGCTGGAATGCCGCGCTCAACAAAGGCATCGAGACGCCCCATTACGCCGTTGGTACGCCATCCTTGGATATAGGGATTGCCGTCTGCATTCTTGAGTGCCACTTCGAGTCGACCCTTGAATGAAGCTTCTTATGATGGCCAAGGTCGTCAAATGTCACACCCCCAAAACCCGTAATACTCTCAGGCAGCTGATAGGCTTGCAAAGTGTTCAGCAACTTAGCCATCTGTGCAAAGATTTGTTTCTTTTGCGGAAAACTCATGGTGCCGAATGCCTCATCCACGGGTGTGCCTGGCATCAGCTCTTGGAGGATCCAGCCTTGTGAAGACTCGCCAGCTGCACTACCCCAACCATATACGGAAGGGACCACATGTGGCTCGAAGGCACTAAGAGCGGTAGAGGCGAGAGCCACTTCATTTTCAATCCGGTTTTTTGAGTTCATTCCCTCTGCATCGGGGTTGGCGAGGCGCATGATTGTGACAGCGCTGATCTCTGTCCTGAGGCTCTGCGGCTGTTTCCACGTCACGTGACCTTATTCCTATATATATAGCTCTGAGAGCCCCTTTTTGGGCTCTTCACCTTAGTATTCTAAGTGAAGACCGCTTCTGCCCTACATGCCGTTCCGTGTCCCGTCACACTAACCAGAAAATTCTTGAAAACTCAGTCAAAAAGTTTTTAGTATTCTCGTATCTCAAAGTTAGCCACTTTATTCGGCACAAAAGGCTTAAAGAGGAGAAACGTCGCTAAAAAAAACAAGCAAGAGCTTTAATACTTTATTTGGACTAATCCAAAGTCTTAGCCTAAACCATTTTAGAGCTAGTACACGCGGGGTCACATGGGATCATAAAAAGGTAACTTTGGGTGTAAACATGTATTCATTTGCACAGTACTTCCAGCTTCTTCTCTCTGGCGTCCTTCATGCAGCACCAGCATTGAAGAAGCGCTTGACAGTCGTGAATCCCGATTGCAGCCAAGAGCTTGAATCGTGCATAACTACCAAATGGGCATGGTAGCCTGCGTCGAGAGCATCTATGTCAAGATACCCTGGTCCAGTTGGCAACTGGACAAATAACGCTAGGGAATTACTGAGGTCTATACCTAGCCGTGACTCGCTACATTCTCGTGAGGATGGGAGGAAGATATTCCTAGTGTTTTTGATTCATATCCTACGCGAAGCTTAAACGCTTGCAGTCGTAGATGCTTCAGCAAATATATGCAATTCAGAGTCGTGTCTGTTAACCCATTCTGTGATCGCTGAGAAATTTCGACACATGTGAGTCGTCGAGACCTTTGGAATGTGGCATAGCATTGTGAAGGGCTGCAATCTCTGCGGGCGTTTCCTTACCAGAGCCATAGCGCAACGCTTCAAAAAGGATAGGGAGATGGAGGTGGTCCGGATAAAAATATCTCTGAGAACGGTTCGCGATATTAAAGACCAGGACATGGAGATGCGGGCACGGCCGGGATTGTTATTGTTTTGTAAGATAAATGAACACTCGGACCAAACATAGTTTCACTGCATATGGTGAACATACCAGATGAAGTTTCGTGCATAGGACGTTTTTCTGGCAGGTTGGCTGCCCCTCCTTTTCGCTTCTGTTGAGACGACCGTCAAGAAATTCACGAAACTCTCAACCACCTCTCTCTTGCTCGATGGGTCTTGTCATTGGCTGAAGAAGATGGCCTCCAAAGTACGATCATATGAACCGTGGGCGAATCAGGACCTCAGATGGCCGCCCACCCTTCAGGCCTTGTGCTGCAGGATCCAAGGGGCTCGCATACAGGAAGGATGATCGGTCCCGTAATCCTTGATCACTCGCAATATGAAGGTGAGGGTGATAACAATCTAGACGATGAACGGCAGGCAAGAGTTGGGTGTGGGCTTGCTTGCGTCTCTCTGCCTTGCACGCCGCGATGTGCGCGACGAACGATGGTCGATCTCTCGATGAACTAACGGCGGCGATTGCTGACAGTCAGTCAGCCCCTCCTCCTCTCATTGGCATCATTGCTCGGTCTTCACGTTGGAGTAGCGTTCCCCACAAATCTGCGATGTTCATGGTCCAGGTTGGGTTCTGTCTTAGCAAAATGCTGCAAACCAATATGAGCCAGAGTTCGAAGCGCATCGACGCTGCTTGGATCCACTGCAGAGCATGACACTGCTGGTGACTGGCATCGGGATCTCGGGGGGCCAGCACGCACCGCATCTCGTTGGCGGATAGACGAAAATCTGGGGAAACTTTACATACGCCATGGAGGGTTTCTGCTTGTTGCTTCTCCTCTGCCGACCGTGCTCGTGCTTGACACATGCCATAGTGGCGTGCTGCCATGACTTTGCTGCTCCGCTTCGCTGAAAGCATCCGGATTCGCTTGGGATAGCAGATGGATGGATGCACTGCGATGGAGAGTGAATTGTGAATCTCGAACGGAGAAAGCAGCGAAATGATGTTTGGTGGCAGCACTAGGCGGCATGGGGTAGGAGCAGTCGAAGCACAGTAGCTCCTTTCAGGGTCTTCTGGGGGTTTCATAGCTCGATCGGAACAGACCTCGACCGTACCGCCAGCGGTCTAGTGAGCGGCTTGCCCACGAAATTGGGTGTCTAGAAGTGAAGGAAGTGATTGCAGCTTGTGAAGTGAAGCTTGCGCAGGTCTGGAAAGTACGATGATCGACGATGGCGGCGAAGAATGCGCAGACTCCTATTCTCTCCTCCTCTCTGCCTACCTGCTGCTATATTACGGCGTGTGACCCATGGCCTGATTGGGGACCATCAGGGAATTGTGGAATTGTGGTGTACAGACCCACGACAAAGACTATTCGACTCTTGCGTGCCCTGTCAACTCGCCCCAGTCAAGAGGGAAAATTTGCAGCGAAACGAACCAGGAAACGCAGATTGAGGTTGACAAACTGTATCAATCAATGAATGTATATTAAGAAAAGGACACAAGTGTTTTAGACGATGGCCGTTTTCACTCGTACCCGCGTCTTCAAAACGGATCATGCAAAGCATCTCTCTTTTCTCAGTGCAAGTGCAGGTCTAGGCTGGGATGTCGTAGAAGATTGGGTTTAGTTCTCAAGCCAAGCCGGCCACCTCCCCTCAACTCATTGCCCCAGTGCTGCCCCCCTCTCCTTCCCATCCCCGTCTCTTCCTCCAACCCTGCTCCTTCGTACAGTACGCTTAGGAAAAGCGCCACTCCACTGCTGCAGCGTGCAGGCGACTCTCATCGCACCTCCTCTCTGTCTCCTCAAAACTGCTTGCTTGCTTGCCTTCAACACCCTTTCTCCTCTCAGCAAACCCACCCCCTATTCTCTCGTGCGACAGTATCCCTATTTTCACCCTCCTCAATCAATCCCCTCGTCTCCCAGATCTCAGTCAGGGAACGAAATTCTCAGCCCGGCAGCGGATTGTGTTGCACCTGAGCCGAAAGGAAAGGAAGAGTCTCGCGTCGCACCGGCCTTTCCCCGCATGCGCCTCACCTGGACACTCGACACTTCGAATCCCTCATCGCAAGCATCTGCACCACCACGCAACCACCTCCCTCTCCACGATCCTCGACGGCAAACATAATAAATACCTCGAGAGTGAGGCCTCTGCCTTTCCGTCACCCTCGAAATAATGGGCCACGCATAGTCTCGGCGCTCCCTAAGCCTTACAACGCCATATTACACTCGCATGCGCAGAAGGCTCTCTCCCTCTCGAACTTTTCCTTTACGACGAATCACTCTGGTCCCGGGCACACTGGCGAAATACTTAGAAGGTTGGACAATCACACACGGGTACGAAAATCTATAAATTGCGAGAAGAGCGAGGAAAAGACCATATTAGAAGAATATCTTGTTACGATTTGTTACGGCTACTGCGGTTATTTCAGGTGAGCTGCTGAAACCTTCCTTTCAGCTGGACGGAGTTCTATGCGATGTGAAGAGTGGTGCTGACGGTTTTTGCCGGGTCTACAGATACCAATTCTTAATTTGTTCGCCAGACTCTGGATTTCTGGATTATTCTTAATACTGTGCTGGTGAGTTGATGTTTTCCTTGGTGTTGTACGTTGCTGTTGTACTGGTACGCTGCTACTTGTTTCTTGGAATTGGAGCCCACTAGGAGCAAGATCATATCTTGAAGTTTTCCAATTCCAAGTGTTATGCTGAAGAAATCGGCTCCATTTGTTTCTGGTCAAGTATATCTATTCGATATGCATGGTCTGGCCCCATGTAACTTTGATCTGCAAGCTTAGAACCGAACATCCATCAATCCTGAGTCCTTGGCAGAAGTATAAGCTCTTTGTCTATTTGTTTGGCACTCTAGCAATACTGGCTGCTTTAGAGTGTCTGTTTCAAGACTGGCAGATTTTCAATATTACAATTTTGTCAAGCACTCAATGGCTCTAGCACCTCCAGAGTCGTAAAGTCAGGGTATTCCCTGCAGATCCACTCCAATACAGAACCTTTGTTAATACAAGATCTATTCTAAACAAAGGATCTGGGATTTCAACGTCCCCGCAGGCGCGAGACCTTCCACACATTTTCAAGTGTCAGCAAGTTTTTCGTTCGTTCACACAAGAATGCCAAGACCCACACTGATTGAATGTGGTCAAATTATCGAGGACACCTTGAAAATCAAGCCAACTAGTGTCTGGTCTTGAATATACTTATTGTCCTGAAAGACTTTTACACACCAAAAATCGTCGCTCCATTGGACATAGACAAAGGATTTCGTTCATACAGTGTCTGCAATATGGCAACTTCGTTCACTGACTTTCGTTTACCTAGATATACATAATCTATTTCACATTGTCCAGCTTATACAGGGACATTGATAGTCCATTTTTTAGTTGTCCCTCAACTCTGTCTCAAGACTCATCTTCGACCTACTGTATACCATCGACGACATCACCTTGCAGCTTTCACTCACTCAGCTGCATATCACATCTCCCGCTCCACGATATCATCACTGGCTAGCACCTTCCTCGAGTGATTAATTTCATTCTGCCCTGCCTCACTTGTTCACTCTGCAACGACATCACTTTTAGCACCTCCTTCAACATATTCCACCCAAGCCGCCCACTTCGTGCTACAGAATTCCATTCTGCAGCAGACGATTCTGTCCCACTACCACACCTTGTTCATCATGAATCCCTCAAAGCACTCCAACAATTCTTCCATTCTCATTGACAAGTTCAACGGACGAAGATCAACGCCTGATTCAGAAGCTCTTGCAAGCTCTGACGACGAAGTTGAGCGCCCAGAGAATCCACATCCCCCTGCACAACTTCAAAAACCTACCCGACGAGCTTCTTGGTTGAACGATACCACACAAGCCGCTGCCACTCAACCCAGAAAGGGATCATTTGCTTCCAGCACAATGTCTCCGACTGCCTCTCACCCGAGCACTCCATCAGCAGAGTCTGGAACTTGGGGATCCCACGGGCAAGGTAGCTCAACTCGCGGCCATACCGGCTCTGGGTCTTTCCCTTGGCCCAGTGGAATATGGACCAGTGAGTCTCGAAAAGAGCCACCATCAAGATTAACAGAGGTACTCCCCTCACCTACTTCCGTCCAATCGCCGTCTTCGTCTACCCCCTATTTCAGCGAAGCGAGCTCTGTGCAGAAGGGTCCGCCTTCCGCGTCCTTCTTCTCTGCCGAGCCCGCCTCTTCTCAAAAGCCCTCATCATCTACTTCATTCTTTGGCGAGCCGGGCCCTCTACAGAAAGATCCTCCAACCATCCCCTTCGCAATACCCCTCCACCCAACACCAAAGACTTATAGGTCACAGTCATATTCAGTTGGTCAGCTTGACAGCGACGCGGCTCAAGTACCAACGAATCCAAGTGGCGTTCCAGTCTTCACTGGTCGTGGCAGACAGCTACACAATAGTACAGGACTACAGCATCGCCCTTCTAGGCCATCTATGCTAAGCGAGATGTCTAACGAAGGGGGATTAAGCAACTTGAAGGAAGTCGACGACGATGATGATGAGAGTACTACTGATTCTAACCACGGTGTGGCGCTGAACATGAACGACTCAAGAACAATTGAGATATTGGCAAGAGAGAACGCGCTTCTTCGACAACAGCAGCTCCAGCAGCAACAGCATAACTCGCGTATTCGACCTCGATCTTCCACCAGCAACACATACAGCATGGCCAGCGGTTACAACGTCCCACAGGCTCTTCCTGAAGAATCCGATTACGCCATTGATGAACTAGATGAGATCAACGAACTACAAGATATTACGTCTAAGGGTCTGTTGGCACGCCGCCTGAGCGAATACGGTACTGGTGCACAACCACGCCTTTCTCCTTATGTTTCCCTCGAAAACAGAAAGCTTGAAAATGTAAAGAGAGCTTACTGGCAGAGTTCCCTCGATTTCGGTGGTCTGAACGATATTCCGCAAAGTCGACGCCATTCTTTCGCAGATGTGCCTACCAGACAAGGCTCAGTTAGCTCTGTTGGTGAACCAATCTCTGCACACGAGGCAGCTCTGCAAGAGAGTCTCTCTCCAGGTCAGAATCGCTATCAAGATGGCTCTGGATATGGCTTGAATACTCATGGTGAGCTCACTTTTGATAAAAACCGTCGTCCCTCCCAATTTTCTCAGAAGCAGTTGGATGTTCTGTTTGAAGAAGGTTGTGCAGGCACTCTGAGTGTAGATCATTTACACCATCAACCAGCTGCATCATATTTCGGTGGCCCTGCCACACTCCCTCGAAACGTCGAATCATACGGAAGTACGACATACCAGCAGCCTTCAGCGTATCCGTTTGCGAATCCTCAACAACAATACACTCCTCGTGCACCTTCTCCACATCGCGGCATGTATGGCGTGCCTCAACCTCGACATAATCAACTTCTTTATATCGTACTCTTCAAGTGCTCTCGAGCCGATGTCTTCTACGTTCAAGAAGGCACAGGCCTCTCGGTAAAGCCTGGAGATTTGGTCATTGTTGAAGCAGATCGTGGCACTGATCTGGGCACCGTCGCCAAGGACAATGTTGATTGGGCTACTGCTAAAGATCTCAAGGAACATTACGCTGAGGAGCATTACAAGTGGTTGATGATGTACTCCCAAGGTGCAGCAGGCAATTCGGATGGCACAGGAGCTGGCTTGATGGCTGCATCCAACGGTCTTCAAGGAAGCGCTGTTGGCGGCATGGGTCCCCCAAATCAGCATGGTATGCAAGAGCCCAATCCTGGTGAGATCAAGCCGAAGATCATCAAGCGCCTTGCTCAGGCACACGAGATCCAATCACTCAGAGATAAGGAGGGCAATGAGGCAAAGGCCAAGAGAGTCTGTATGCAGAAGGTGAAGGAGCATGGTCTTCACATGGAGATCCTTGATGCTGAATTCCAAATGTGAGTTTTATGTTTTACATCCGTGGAAAAGGTGCTAATATCAGAACAGGGATTGGAAGAAGCTGACCTTCTACTACTTCGCTGACGCATACATAAACTTCAACTCTCTCGTTACTGATCTATTCAAGGTCTACAAGACCAGAATCTGGATGTCTGCAATCAATCCAGCTTCCTTCGCTAGCCCCTCCCTAGGCCTTCAAGCACCTAGTGGCATTGGTCCTGGAGCTGTTGGCGTTAGTCGAAGCACACAGAGCGAGCGTCGTCCGCAGCCTGCAGATCAACAAGCTACATACGGCGTTTCTCAAGCAGGACGTGGCTATCAAAATGCCTACACGCAGCCATTCAGCTCAAACCTTGACCGCCCTTCCATGCCACCAACTGCCTTTCAGCCATCCGCTTACACCTACGGCTACTCTCCTTTCGCGACAGCTCCTCGTAACATGGGTGTAAATCCAAGCGGCTTTGTAGCTATGGACCCCTTTGCTGCGTTCCAAGTACCGGCAGAGTATCAAGGACTACCTGGTCGATTTCCGTCGCCTCACGGTACAACTCCAGGCCACGAGAGCGGAGAGTTTGGTAGATCTGGTGGCATTACTCCTAATGATAATTGGGTCGCCAGCTTTCAGGGCTTGTCAATGGGCTCTCGTTAGTTGATGAAAATCATAATCTCAACGCCGTACGATTTCACGAGACTTTGGAAGATTCTTCAGCGGCTTACGACTCGTTGTGTATAATTTATTTTCTTTTTAGTTACACTTGCTCGCTTTACACGTTACGGAGGACGCCCTCTTACTACTCGGACTCCAGCATAGATCAGAAACTTCGACGTTGTACAGTACCTAGAAGAGAAGCGACTCTCGATCTCAAATGAAAAGCCGGGTTCCTCACAGAAGATTGATTGATCCATCTCTCAGACACTGGTGCGACTACTTTTCGAAGTTACACGGTCTATACGAAGAGGCTTTTCTCCGATTCTACAATGCAACTGTCTTCGGTTCACTTTCCACGGTTACATATTCGGCACTCATCCATGCTGGTCTCTACCTCGATGGTAGAAATACTTTATCTGTGCTATGTAAAAGAATTTTATTCTTGATATTGTCGGGCAAGTCACGGTCTCATGGAAGTTTCTCCCAAATAGGGAACTCGTTTTTACATCCCGGACTTGACCGTACATTCTCGAACCAGATTCACAAAATGGGCTTTCGCACGGTTTCTTCAAATACAGACTGGGAATGGGCATCAGGGCGGCAGACCTTATTTTCTTTTCCTCCGATATTCGCGTCGAATTTGTTTTCGTCTGCAAGGGCTTTCTTTTTATTTTGCAAAGGAAAGGATAAGGGGTTTTCTAGCGCATAAGACAGGCGTCTCGTCTTTTTCCACAGTTTTCTTCCCTACTTTGAAATTATATCGGGACGATGACTTTTATGAAATGAAATCCAAAATGCAAGAGAGAATGGGAGAGAGAATGGGAGCCACTACTTAGAAAGATTTGCAAAATGACAATTCGGGATTCGGGATTAGGTGTCAACTGGGGGTTTTTATTAGTTTTCGAGGTTTATTTGAGGAAATGGAAAATTGAAAAATGCAAATCCGTTCAAGTGCTTTCGAATGTGCGTGTTTCTCTTAAATTTGTTTCCATTATGCTAGATATCCCAAACAGTTTTGTCCATTCGATTTTCAAGGTGCTAAAAGCAGTGAACTTTCTTGGAAGGAAGCCGCGTTCTTGTTGGGGAAGGAGCACAGAGCGGCAGTCACACCTCACACCTCTTCCATCTTTCCCGTCTGCCCAACCTAAACACAAGTCAAATTTGAATAGAGGTCAAGCTGGAGTCAGTATTAAGACGAAAATCTCATGCACGAAGACTGCAATTCTGTTCGATTTGTAGAGTGTCCCTTCTCATTTAAGCAGCGACTGAACAGACATTTAACGAGGGACTTTTCCCCAAACGCGTTTCTCGAACCTTCAACCTCTCCCCCTAACAATCACCGGCATCGACACAATGATCAAGACTACAAGCAAGCGGAAATCCGAGAGTGAGTATCTTCCTGTAACAAATATTACTATTTTCCATTTCTTGAACACGCGCTGACAGAATCAAGGCGCGTTGCCGAGCGGCAAGAGCAAGCAACGCAAGACTTCCGCCGCGTCAAACGACGAAGAAGAAGCAGGTTCAAGCCAAGAAAGTGATCAGATGTTCGCGGAAGAGAAAACTGCTGCTCCGAAGCACGTCAAGAAAGTTAGGAAGTCTGAGCCTGTAGCACGCGTGGCGCAGAATGATGAGTATGAGGAGGATGAGGGACGGATGGAGAGTCAGTATGTGTTGCTCTTCACATCAGTTTGGAGTTTATGGGATGAATGTTGACGCGCAGCAAACAGGCAGTTCCTAGCACTGGTTGAATTCGAGAGCAAGAAGAAGAAGCGCGCTGCTAAGGCTGCGTTGGAGTACATGGAGAGGTTCACGGAGAATATCGACTCTACTAATGATGGACTGAAGATGCGTCTCGCGAACCTGGCTGCTGCTTCGTAAGTCCCTTTCTTTCCAATTCATGGGTTTCATCCTAAGGTAACACAACAACAGTACGAATCAAACAACTACCTTCCTGAAGAACTATCAAAATGCCTACGGCGCCTCTCGTCCCCTCCCTTCACCACCTCAAGACTCGGACACCCCTCCAGAAGATCTCTGTTTCGTAACCCTGTTCGACCATTCCCAGTCCCTAATCGACACAGCGCGCGCTATCATCACATCCTTTGAAACCGCCAACGAGAAGACGGAGAAGTGCGAAGTAGCAGAACTCTTGAGCAGTGATTGGGACGACCGACTTGATTCCGCGGCCAAGGTTCTGGCTGTGGGTTGTAACGTGGGATTGGAGAAGTACCAAGCATTGCTGCAGGGAGCGGGGAAGCCGGTTCTGGAGGGTGAGGAGGAGGAGGTTTATCTTAGGGCTCTGTATGGGGTGGATGGGGAGAAGGCTTATGAGGAGGCGGAGAGTGAGGGGGTGTTTGAGTATGGGTGGGGGAAGGTGGCGAAGAAGGGTGAGAAGGGGTTGAGGAAGTTTGTTAAGTTTCAGAGGGTTGGTGGTGCTTGATTGGGTTGGGGCCGGATATTGGTATTGCTTTTAATGATTTGAGAGGTGATAATGTCGGGGTGGGAGATGATCAGTTATGGCTTGCTGGGACTGAAGCAGATATTTGCTATCGAACATGGGAATTATGGTTTAGCTTCAATAAATATAGCTCCTAATCATACAACCTTTCACTCATGAGGATGCTTGTCATCGTTCAACAACTGTTCAAGATATTGAGATGATCAGAATGTCCAGCAAGTGGTAGGGACATGATTTTCCATTTTTTGTCTTTAATATTCACTTACCCATTCATCAATGTCGTAGAAATATTAGTGATATGAGATGATACTGTCCTAATGTTTATAGGATAGTGTAAATAGGTCAAGGACCAAGCGGCTACTCAGGTTTAAGTAATCAAGTCACTTAAAATCTAACGTAAACTTATTCACCTCGGAAGATTTGATTCCCTCAAAAATCTCAGTTTAGAACGGCATTGAACTTTTAAAGGAATATATCTTATATACCAATCCTGCCAGAAAAAGACTGAGAGGTAAACCTCGTAGTAATATGCTATGATTGATGTTAAACACGTACACAGTACCCATTCCAATTATCCCGCTTGGAGCCAGAAAGATATACAACACAAAGAAGTCACAAATGCCCTTCCCTCTCCTTTCCTCCTTTCACCCTCCATCTCCATCCCCACCCAAAAAATCTAGCACGAAGCCCCACTCGGCACATTCTCACACTTCGAACTCGTCTTCCCCCCAGTAACCTTATTCCCCGTCCACGTCCACCCAGAACAAGCCCCCTTCCCACAAAGAATATACACATTCGTCGCACTACTCGCCACCGAGCCCGTCACCCCACTGACCGTCAACCCGGTGATCGGGACGCCCGTCGTCGGCGTGCCGGTCGGGGACCCGTTCTCGTAGTCCTGCTCGATCACGATGCCGTATTTCGTGATGCCGGACAAGGTGATGTCTTTGTAGACGACGTCGGAGACGGAGCCGGTGGCGCCGTAGACGGTCTTGATGCGGACGCCGTTTTGGGAGTTTTTGATTGTCGAGGAGAGGATGTTGATTGTTTTGACGACGTTGTCGGATCGCCCGCCGACGGAGCCTGGGTGGGTTTTTGTTAGGGCTGTGAGAGGAGGAGGGTCAGGGGGGGAAGGGAAGGGGAGGTACCGATAGAGAGGCCGTGACCGCCCGAACAAGTTCCACCCGTGAAGGTAATGGAGGTACCAGAGTTGATAGCTAGACAATCATCCTGGTTCTGGATATTGGCATTAGTGATCGTAACACCAGTCGACGAACCGACATCGAAAGCATCGGTATTATGGCCAAGAGAAGCGCCGGCAGAGTTATCCATGTTGATATTCGTTACGGCCAAAGTAGTGGCGCTGTTAATGGACATGAGTTGCACAGGCGAGTTCTTGAAATTGAGGCCCGTGATGGAGGATTTGGTGAGCGAGTGAGCGTAGAAGAACTTGGGCTTGGTTTTCCCGCCGTTGGAACCCTCGCCGTCCCACCAGCGGGCTCCGCCGCCGTCGATAACGTTGCCGGAGGCGCCCTCGACGGTTATGGAGGTGCCGGAGACGGAGATGAGAGGGCCGGACCATTCTTCGTAGCCGAAGGTGGTGGTGCCTTCGAAGATGACCTTGATTTTGTTAATATGATATGCCAGAATTGAGAAGGAGGAGGAAGAGGAGTCATACCTTCGTGCCGGACTTTAATCCGGTTAAGTCGAGAGTGGTACCAGATGGCACAGCAACACTCGACAGAACAATAGTAGCGCAAGAAGTCTTCGACTTGCTGGCAGCAGCGGCACCACTGGAACCAGAGAAAGTACAAGATGCTCTTTTAGCAAGATCGGGAGCAGCGGTAGGAGTTGGCATGGCGGCTGGAGCAGCAGCAACCATGGCACTGGTAGCCAAAAGGCCCAGAAGGGCAGAAATATGAACCATCTTGGATGATCAAAAAAGTATAGTACTAGAAGGATAGAAACGAATGTAACGCTTGTATGAAAGCTCTGATAGAAAGAATGTAGAGAAGATGAATATCTTGGCCTTCCCAACACCTCGAAAAACGAAGCCTCTCTTATACAACTTCCACCTCTCATCCAACAGACTCCGAACTTCCCATCCCCACATCTCGGCCCTCAACTTGGCAGGGAGAATCTCAACACCACCATTCCGTCCACCAGCTCAGCCCATCGTCCTTCAATCTGCAACTGATTAAAAGCCAAGACCACCCGCCAAGCAAACGTCCAGCTCACTCGTCCATCAGCCTCCAAAAACAGAACCACAAAAAAAAGCCTTCTAGAATCAGATAAAGTGCAACCATCCCAAAGCTACCTAAATGGTGGATCTCAGCGGGCACTTGCCGATTTCGAGTTCTCCACTTCTGATGATAAAGTTTTAAAGTTAAATGAGATCCATGTGCATGCAATGAATCTTAAGATGAGCGCAGAACTTGCTGCCCCTTTCTCCACCCGCCTTTGCTGGATTTTCGGGAATCGGGAATGTCTGAAACGGGACTTGACAAACACGAACTTTTAAGTTGCGATTTTCTGATGAAGAAACTCTCTCCATATCATCGTTAGGAATAATGTCCAAGGTCTAGTTGAGTCAGGATGTGAGGACACTGGTTCCCGTATTCATTCCAGTCCACAATCGGAGACCCTCTCATATAGCTCCTAGTGTTTCAACCCGGAAATCATAAAGGGAGATCATATGAAACCAGCCCCCAGAACAAGCGAGCACTAGAACAACGTTAAATTCTTCCGCCAATCGTTGGACGTTTCTTGGATAAGGTTCGGGGAAGCTTATTGCATTTCTTTAACTCGGTGCCGCGTGGTGACTGACAGCTTTGGGCGAGAGAGATTTGCGGGGTAGTGTTGAGTTGAGGTGATGTTTTCTGCAAACGGATTAGGTAGCTAGATGGATGGATGTATACGGTATCACGTGTACGATAGCCAAGACGGAGAAACATCACTTCTCTCCTGATGCGCAGCTTTGAATATAGTGAGGATCATCTTTAAATGACATTCCAATTCAGGTCGTCCCGGATCTCTCTCGAATCCGCTTTCCGGATATCTCTGTTGGAATCACGATGTCGGATGTTGATACAAGACCGAGGATGGATGTGGATCTCCCATTCGATAGATCTTCGGACATTTGTCTTGTCAAAACTCATCTGGTATCGTACAAGCAGCAATCTCTACAGCCCCATCCCCTCTACCCCTATTTCTAAAGGACTTTTGGTACAACTCATACAGCGAGATGCTAGTCTCACTGTATCAAAACTCTATGCAGCAACTTTCCGAGCACGCCGCGAACTCTTTCTGGCCTTTCGCCTACACACGTGAAGACAACTGCTACACTCATGGCAAATGCGAGCGTCTCTCGCCACTGATGCTCTGGAAGATATCGTCTTGGGAAAAGGGTAGCTAATGCTCTTGGGGCAACGAAGAGACCAAGCTCTTTCCTTCGATTCGCATTCTCAATCAGAACACTCCAACCGCAGAGTGCACAACCAGCTCCGACACAGATTCCCGAGTCGATTTTCCGTCGAGATGCGACGTCAGTGCCGATGATTTTGGGTCCAAGGCGAGTTCGACCAAGACACACTCCATAATAGAACAGAGCGATGAATGTCCCTAGAAAGGCAGAGGATTGCGCCGAGGACTTCAGAGCGACCTTGAAACCTTTCGAAGATGGATTTCGCGCCATAAGAATCAGGTTGAGGGGAAGGTATGTCGAAATAGCCCAAACAAAAGATCGTTTGAACCTCGACACTGCATGATATTCGCAATTCTTCCCTGTTCCCATATGCACCATTTCGCAAGGGAATGGGATGCTTTTTACGGGATCACCATAATCCAATGGCCACTTGTATTTCTTGCACATGTCTTGTAGGACGTGTGCTTGACCTGTTTCAAGCCCATACTTCATCTCACCATATCGGGTTTTTCGAAGAGCTTCAACAAGACGTGGGTCCACGGCTGCTGCAGATTTAATCCATTTGTTATAGGATCTAGGGAGTCGGTCTGGTGTATAGATCCAAGCCCACATAATTAGGGCACATGAACTTGTAAATATTGCTGGGTCGGTCAGAGCCCCTACCAACGTATCGACCTGCATTTCACTTAGCATAGGCTTGACAAGAGATAAGCAAGAGTGAGCTTTACCCGAGTCCAACTTTGTGCAGCGATTCTACGATCTTTGCGTTGAGACCACAACTCGCCGACAATCACATCGGCGGCCCGGTGACAAGCAAAAAGTGTCAGGTCTAATGTTCGACCAGCGAAATGAGTAGGTCTAAGTACTCGTCCATGTTCGGTCTCGTGATACAAAATTTCCACATATGCTTCACTTTTCTTGGATTGAAGAAGTTTTATGCTGAACCATCCGGCGATGAAAGCTGCAGTCCATTTCGCTAATCTGCAAAAGTTAGCGAGGACCAAAAGGGGCAGATGACAGCTTGGGGGCCAGAAAAACAAGATGAGCGATTGAGCAAAGACAAGTCGGCGTCAATAACACAACATCAGTGCTTGGTGAGTGTCAGGCCGTTGGTATGGCTTCACATCCTTAAAAGCCAGTTGAAATCTGTACTCGCACAACAATGTCCGAGACGCCTCCGGCAACCACGAAACCAGGTTTTAGTTTACCTTGAGACATATGCAGGATGAGAAGTATCAACTCGACCCGACTGAACAAAAAGCTCAGATGGTTCCAGCTGCAAAGGACAGAAGTTCAAGAGACTTCCTGCGGTCTTGCTCAGATGGAAGAACTCAGGCAATGTTGCAAGCTTCCAAGTATAAATGAAAAGCGTAAGCTTACCTTAGTTGGGTAACCTGTGAAAGCTTATCAGAGAGTAGGGCGAAGAACCGTCGCAAAGGTATCTGCCGAGTGTTAGCTACGGTACATCTGATAGCAAGAGGCAAATCATCACGTGCCTCTAGGAAACTTGAGCCGCCAACTAATGCAGCGCAGAAAGTTGGAAAGCGTTGAGGCTCAAGTCCGCCCTTCAGAATCTTGGCAAGAGAGACTAAGACATGATCTTCAGACTTTCCATGCGTATTCTTACCCCTCCTGCCGATGTACAGCAACGCTAACGTCATGATCCTCGGTACTGTCGACGACGCATAGCCCAGGACGTAGGCCCGAAGGATGGGCCGTAGAGAGGGAGGAACCCCATGCTCAAACACTCTGCTCCGAGGACTTATTCGGGCAGTCGGTTGCTGCATAGCCATGGTTATCTGCAGTAGCAAAATTCTACCAGAAAGATCAGCAAAGTTGCGGACTATAACGAAGCAAAGTTACGAGACTATGCTTCTTCGAGAAGACAGCCGAGAAGTTTTCATCATAACATATTCGACTCCAGGTTGAGTCGGCATGAAAGGCGTCAACTTACCGTGGATTCAGACCGAGGTGCAAAAGGTGTTGCCCAAAACGGAAGTCTACCCCGGAATTTGATACGAGCGAAATCTGGAGAAGTTTAATTGCCGTTGAATGGGGTAACTGTAAACGAGCTGCGGATACTCCAGTCTGATAAGTGTATAGGAAAGTGCCGTAGTATTTGAGCTAAATGAGCGTAGGTAGTTCCTGGACGAAATGAGAGAGAGAGAGAGAAAGGAGAGTTCCTATGACGGCGGCATTCGAGGGAGGGAGGTCGATCTTAGGCAGGGATACTGCTAAGGGTTATCACCGCTAAAGGGCCGTTTGCGTGCAGAGAGAGGCATTCAGGTGGAATTGCGTGCCATCAATGCGTTGTCGACGATGCAAAGGAGTGAATGAGGGGAAGTATTCGGATTAATTGATGTTTGTAGGATGATGCAGTTGGGCGTTCTTGTCTCAAGTTGCAGTGGATCTAGAGAGGACCGAGGCACGTCGTAGATGTACAGCACCGAATTGCAATGACTATGCGCTTCGTACCTGCCGCCACGGAACAGGGGGGATGTGAGAGTGAGGAGTGAAAAAAGCAGGCATGAAACAACCTGGAAAGAATAATATGTAAGAAGAAAGGATTGCATGCAACCGAAAGAGGAAAAAGTGACTCGCATCACGAGGAGTCTTTATCAAGCTCTTCCCCTCCCATCTATTCCGGCCCGTCGCTGTGAGTGAGTCGTGTTTGCGCTTGCTCACAATCTTGTTGGTGGCAGAAGCCTGCGAGCCTGAGAGCCAAGTTTCTAGCCCTTCTCTGTTCTCTGTCCAGCCCAGTCCAGCAGCTGTTGCCGTGGCTCTGACATGTGAAATTTTAAAGTTAGCAAGGGAAAGTATAACCACTCAACGGTCACGCTCACCTCCCATACACACTACCTCCACCCTACCTCCACCCGGCCATACGAAAGAAACATATGCAACTGCAACTCCAAAACTTGTGGAGATCCCGCGCGCACTGCAAATTCTAGATGTGCAATCTATCAAATCTGTTGGGACATTGAAATATCTCAAACATCAGTGTCCTAGAAAAAAAGGCCCCTCCTCACTTTCCTCAGCCTTTCATCTCCCCCACGATACGATCCCACCGCCCGCGATCTCTGCACCTCCACTCCACCGCACTCGCCAAAACTCGAGAGCTCGACAAGAGCTCTCAACCTTGCCTGCGACACGCCTGCACAGCCTTTGCGAGCCGCCCACGACCACGCAGAAAGCGGAAGGTAGGTAGGTAGAGGCTAGGCGTGCGGCCGGGTTGCACAAACTTTTCTAGTCAAACTCGTCGCCGAAGTAGTAAACAGTGACCTGACGGATGAGGATGAGATCCGGGGTTGCACTTGTCCATTGGAGAATCTGACCAAATACAACACAACGTCCACTGGATCTCCTCACCTGTTTTACAAGCCTCTCTCGACGGCACTCATGCTCGCGGTTCAGCGTCCCAGCATGGGTTCGTCGAAACCACCGAACCTTGAAATGCCCTTTGGCTGTTGGTCTACTGTTCCAAGTCTGCTCTGGAATGTGCTGACTCTTTACTAGATTCATTCGACACCTCCACCTCGCACTTCCCCATTCCCTCACCTACCGCACCTGCTCCGGGACCTTCACTTCTCGACGATAATGAATCCAAGTTTCTGGACAGTTTTTTCGATGGCGTGAGCAATGATCACTTCAACTACGACTTCTTCAATACTGCCCCCGATGGTTCCGAGCTTGGGATGGGATGGGATGAATTACCACCGACATTTATGGGCACTACTTCGTCATTTGGACAACAATCCCAACAGGCTGGAAATCATGGGTTACCAGCTATGAACTACAACGAGATGAACCCCCCACCAAATGCTGGTCCATCAATACCATCTTCAACAACCGCAGATGTTATTGCAGCAGCAACTTTACTACAAAACGGATCTAACGGACGGTCACAGAGCCTGAGTGATGGGACAATGTTCCGACACAATCCGCCAGCTACACCTACGAGCCAGCCTAGAGCTATGTCAATGTCCCAACAAATACCAACCCGACCACAACCCTTCCAACAAAGGTCCAATTCAGACGATTACATGCGAGATAATTTCTACACAGAAATGGTATTCGGGCCTCAATCCGACGGGTCCATGAGGCAAAGAGGTGTACCGCAAAAAGTCGACATTAGGTGGGGTTCTGATGCAGGTTTTGCCAGCCCTCAAGGCTTCGTTGCACCCGCCGTCCAAGACGATGTAGCTGCTGTAGAACGATCACATATGCACGCCATAGAACAGGCATTCGCCATCATCCCCGCCCAAATATCAAGCAGCGCGGAAACAACACGTCCATCAAGTCCGGCTCGGCTCCATGAAACCAATTCGAATTCTAAATCCCATCAAAGAACTAAATCGATCGTGAAAGAAGAAGAAGATGACGATGACCAGGACTCCAGACCTCGGAAACGCAGGAAAAACAAAGCACCAACTACCGACGACGCAGATGAAGATGATAACGAGTCTCCAATTTCCTCACACCCCAAGCAACAAAACACCAAGAAGCGGAAATCTTTGAAGAAAGGAATCAGCGATTCTCCCACCGCCGACCAAGAATCCGGGCATAAACGACGAAAGTCCACCGGTGCAGCGATTAAGCCCACACGTGAGAATCTCACCGAAGATCAGAAACGAGAAAACCACATCAAGAGTGAACAGAAACGGAGAACGCTAATCAGAGAAGGGTTCGAGGATCTGGGAGAGTTGGTACCAGGGCTAAGGGGCGGAGGGTTCAGTAAGAGTGCTGTGTTGATTATGGCTGCAGATTGGTTGGAGGAATTGATTCAAGGGAATGAAGTGCTGCAGGCCAGATTGGATCAGATGGAGGGTAGGGGATGAATGAAGCGGGTTGAAAAGTGATTGATACCATCAACACAACTTTATGGCGATGAATTACGGCGAAATGGGCTCGGATGGGTTGTACGGAGTATTGTCATGGGATATAAGCTTGGGATTGATTTCAAATTCACGGATCGTGGGGATCGGTAAGGACACCCAACATAAGACCTCTCAATATCTGGGTTTGGGGGGCGGGACATTTGCAAATTTGCAAGATTCGCTGGGAGGCTGGCTTAGCATGGTCTTTTATCATCGTCCTTGGGGCGTGCTTGTCTTATACATGCTCAATGCACATATGCTAATGCTCAATATACACTGGACCTCTATTCTGTTGCCTCCATGATCTTGATATGATGAATGTTGCTAGTTTGGGAACATCAGAGACTTTACATGACGAACACCGAGTTCGAGACTGGGAGAGAAGCGATACATGATTGAACAAGTAATTCGAAAAACCCAGTCAAGTCTCCAACCTAGCTTGGGGTCGTGAGGACATGAAATGATATGTGATTGCCTCTTGAAGTTTGATATGTAGATTTACATATATTGTTGAGCAGGTAATCTGAAGTACGTGGGCATAAATTTCCGAAAAGAAAGGGATCTAACCTCTACCAATTGAAGAGAAACATACGGTACTCAATGTTACAGGAAGTTTAGGACAATGGAGTTGAGAATTATATGAATGCCTCAGGCTGCAAGGTAGATATTCGCTTAATTTTCACGCTAAACCCGATCGAAAAGTTCGCACCATCAACAATTTGCAGATTTCGAATCTCCAACCTCCAACGACAACTACGACAACCACCGCCAACGTCGATTAAGGTCAGTCAATTGCGCAAACCTCAGAGAACTGCTTGAAATTTGTGTCTGGCAGCGGTTGCATCCACAAATTACTGTGTTCCGATCTTCTGCGCTCAGCAGATCGTTGTGGCCCATCCCACCAAGCTTTTTTACCACCTGCTCACTTTCACGACCTCAATTCTGACAAGATTATTACAGAACCGGCACGATGGGAGCCCTCAAATATGTAGAAGAGTAAGTCGTCCCGGTCCCTTGATTCTTTGGTTCTTTGGTTCTCTAAAAACTAATTGCTTCTAGACTTCAAAAGAAGAAGCAGTCCGATGTTCTGCGATTCCTTCTCCGTGTCCGATGCTGGGAGGTAAGATAACTCGACCCTTTATACGATCTCGACACGAACCAATACTTCGAATTTGCTCTTTGGACATATTGGAATATTGTGGGCGTGGACGTGGACTGTGGACATCTTTTGATGCTCCTTGCTATACACTCGTTGAACATTAGCTGAGAGTGCATAATATAGCTTCGACAACTGAACGTCGTCCACCGTGCTTCCCGCCCTTCTCGCCCTGACAAGGCTCGCCGTCTGGGTTACAAGGCCAAGCAAGGATATGTCATCTACCGTGTCCGAGTCCGCCGTGGAGGCCGCAAGCGTCCAGTTCCCAAGGGTGCTACTTATGGTATGGGATATACTTCGAACAAACTTTAAAAAGCGTTGGGCATCTGCTGACAATTACTCTCTCAATGTAGGCAAGCCCACCAACCAGGGTGTTAACCAATTGAAGTACCAAAGATCCCTCAAGTCGACTGCTGAGGAGCGTGTCGGACGTCGTTGCGCCAACTTGCGAGTTCTTAACTCGTACTGGATCAACCAGGACTCCACCTACAAGTACTTCGAGGTCATCCTCGTTGACCCTCAACACAAGGCCATTCGCCGCGATCCTCGTATCAACTGGATCGTCAACCCAGTCCACAAGCACCGTGAATCCCGTGGTCTTACTGCCACTGGCAAGAAGTCGCGTGGTTTGGGCAAGGGTCACGGATACAACAAGACAACCGCTGGCCGCAGAAAGACCTGGAAGAGACACAACACCCTCAACCTTCAGCGATACAGATAGATGTCTTAGCGGGAGTTTTCTAGGGATTGTGCTACTTCGAGCGGGAAGGGTGATTCTTACTACGGCATTGTTTCATGGCCTTGCAAAGCGGTGCAGCAGGATTTGCTAGTATCAAAAGCTTATGAATTGAAAACATGAAGCCCATAAAAGCAAATGCAGTACTGCAGTGCTAAAGTGATCCCGTGAATTGACCATGCAGGGTTTTGCTTTTCAGGGATGCAGAACTCTAACTTCATCAGATAAGAATTATTTCCTCGGTTCCTGGTTCAGCTCGTATTCCAACAATGAAATCACCCCTCTTGGCTAGCCGCTTCGATGAAACTGGGTACAACTCAGAGCGCATTATGCACCGAATGGGTGACATCGCTCTTCGAGGACGTACCCTGAAGTAAATATAGAAGTTGTTCCTCTGCGTGTCTAGGCTATGGGCAGAGGTGTGTTCACAATCGTACCTTCCTCAACGAGTTCACTCCTTTTCCAGGAAACGACTCATTACTTTCACCTCGCAGACACTCAAGCTGTGGCAGATCACTACCAAGCCCGAAACCCTCAATACGAGATCGCCACTTCAGGAACCGACTCAATGACCCGTCTATTCCATACTTGCTACTTGGAAAGAGTAGACTTCGGACGAAAACTGAGCAATGCCTCCTTGGTCGAGCCGGTTATTACCTGGCAGCTCCCGCAATGAACTAGGTCCCAATCCCGTCAACAGCAATGCGACTTCTCCTGGGCGCTCTAGGTTGACAGAGACCGAGATCCTCGATAATGCGTTCGGCATCCCAAGTCTGCCTCCTCCTCCGCATGCCAGCTTCGGCGCATCGAATACTTCGAGACCTACCCGAACACCCAGCCATGGACGTTCCATGAGCCATCCTTTCCCGTCTCTGTTCTCAGGAAAGAAGAAGCGTCAAGGCGAATCTGCAGGAGCAATAGAGTTCGAGTCTGGGGACGATGATACAGTTCCGCCCAGCACGGCTCGAGACCATGTGCAGAGTCCTATGGCTAAGAAGGTGGCAGACAAGGACTTGATGACAGGAAAGTGTATGACATGCGACTCTATGGTACGATGGCCGAAGGATTTGAAGGTCTTTCGATGCACAGTATGCTTGACGATCAATGATTTAGTTCCTGTTATTCTGGAGGCGAGACGCGGGGATGGTCACAGAGCGCCTATTCCATTAAAGTCTCTCGTTCGTCCTGGCCCTGGAGTAACTCACAGAGGCATGTCGAATCTCTTACGCGTCCATTTCTCACCATGCTGATTTTCTAAATAGTTGCTCCTTTGTCTGTTGAGCGGACTCGACAAATCATTGACCAGTGTATAACTACATATCTATTGGAGCATTTGAAGCATGATGATGGATCAGCTTCGAGTCCACCTGGATCACCTACCGGAGTCAGGTCAAGTTCTGAGAGATGGAGAAAACCATCTGAAGATCGCCTGAGCGAAGAGGTCCAAACCCGAGGACCATCAAGAACTCGAGCAATACATCTTTCTGAACGGGCATCGAACGACGCTGACGACTCAGAGGAGCCGGACAACAGCTTGGTTCATGACATGAGTCGAGCACATCTAACCTCATACTCCAAGTCTTCTCCTGGAAGTTTTTTCGCGGAACACATGGAGCAAAGAGATAGACGACAGCGCTCTAGCCCATCTATAGATGCGACAAGAGAAACCCCTAATAGACGGGAATATGTGAATGGGGCTGAAGCTCGTCATCCACGCCAAGCACGTCCTCCGAGAAACATTCTCAAACCTCTAGAAGACTACATAGTCGCTTGCTTCGGCTCTTTCGAATGTATCAACACATCTTTCAGCACCGTGAGGCCAAATATGGCACCAAGAGCAGCCAGCGAGGGCAATAGACGTGCCAGCCCACGTGCTCCTATTGAACGCCAAGCTCGTAAGGATGTTCAGATGTCTGAAATGGATGCTAAGACTCTTTTGCTGGGAGACTTTGCAGAAAATGGTTCCTGGTGGACAGGTGAACGCTCCAATGTTCGAAGTCCTGAAAGATCAAGGACATATCGTGCTTTTGGCAATGACAATGCTGAGCTTGTGACCGTCAAATCTCCTCGAATCGATTGGACAGAGGCCAATGACTGGTATGCAACTGTAGTCAACGCTGGGAAAGCGTGGCGAGACATATTGAATGGTCTGCTTTTCTCAGACACCGATAATCTACAATTGCGAAAGCCTTCTGGAGGAGACATATCTGAGATCGAAGACCAGATCATGGAGTCGCAGATCCATACACAGAGAGTGTTGTTAAAAGTTACTGAGAGTCTCCTCAAAAGGCCTGGCCGTCCTTTGACCGAACCAGCCGATATTCGTTTTCTACTGATAATTCTTGCGAATCCGTTGCTGTACCCGACCCAGACGCCCTCGATTGCCAAAGAGCGAAGCAGATCACGGTCTCGATCACAGGACAGACGGGCTCCCGAAATGGTGGATAGTCTGAATGGACAGAAGCAGAAGATGCAGTTGCAGTCTCCAAGCACTCTGAACGTGAGCAAGGGCAATGCAGGACAACACTCAGGGATCATCAAAAGAATCTTAGGACTTTTGTCCAATGTCTCCAACGAGTGTCACCACCATATTGTTTCCTGGTTTGCGAGGTATTCGGACACACAATTCCAGAAAACCACGGATCTGATTGGAAGTTTTGTCACATACAGGCTTACAAGACAGCATGGGAAACGGCGAGAAGTCGAGACAGACCCAACGGCTGGTCTGGTCCCCAGCATCAGTGGCCCAGGACGAACCACTTCCGCGGCTCTACACGCTGCCCTTGGTACTTCTTCGCAGCCAGCTAAAAAGGTCGACAAAAAGCCTAAGCCGGTGGTTTACAATGACGACTGGCAAATCAAAGCCGCTGCAAGAGTAATGGCTCTGCTCTTCTCGGCGAACAACAGTGGCATGTCTAGAAGGGGGGACACAAGACTCCGCCCTACGGATTTCGGTCACAGTGCCGGCCTTGCAGCTCGTCAAAGAGCACATAATCATGGGCAAATTATACCAACGAGCGATTTTTACAATACTCTGCTTGACTATTCGGATCTGATTGCAGACTTTGAAGCATGGGAGTCGAGAAGAGGCAAATTTGCTTTTTGCCAGTATCCATTCTTCCTAAGCATTTGGGCGAAGATCCAAATAATGGAGCATGATGCCCGTCGTCAGATGGAGGTCAAAGCGAGAGAAGCATTTTTTGACAGCATCATGACTCGCAAAAGTGTCAATCAATATCTCGTTTTGAAAATTCGGAGAGAGTGTCTAGTCGAGGATAGTCTAAGAAGTGTCAGTGAAGTTATAGGAAGTGGTGGCGAGGAGATTAAGAAAGGATTGCGCATAGAGTTCAAAGGAGAAGAAGGCATTGATGCCGGCGGTCTTCGAAAAGAATGGTTCTTGCTCCTCGTCCGGGACGTCTTCAATCCTGAACATGGTAAGCTCACGTGAGGAAGGGTGAGATATCTGCTAATAGCATACAGGAATGTTCACATATGATGAAGACTCTGGATTCTGTTACTTCAATCCGAACAGCTTCGAGACCACAGATCAATACTTCCTTGTCGGTATTGTACTTGGACTGGCAATCTACAATTCAACGATCTTGGACGTGGCTCTTCCTCCTTTCGCTTTCCGAAAGCTTCTTGCTGCAGGTCCTCCCGCTGCTCCAGGAGCGACATCTCATGCCAAACCATCGATGACATATTCTTTGGATGATTTGGCCGAGTTCAGGCCTGCTCTAGCCAACGGCCTACGTAAACTCCTTGAATTCGATGGGGACGTGGAAAATACTTTTTGTAGGGACTTTGTAGCAGACATCGAACGGTATGGACAAACCACACAATTCCCACTCTGTCCAGATGGAGAAAAGCGAGCAGTCACGAATGCCAACAGACGAGAATTCGTGGACCTCTACGTGCGCTACCTCTTGGATACTGCGGTGACCCGACAGTTTGAGCCCTTCAAAAGAGGATTCTTTACTGTGTGTGGTGGGAATGCCTTGTCTCTTTTCAGGCCTGAAGAGATCGAGCTCCTCATTAGAGGCTCAGATGAGCCTCTTGATATTGCCTCGCTTCGAGCGGTATCTGTATGCGAGAACTGGGGTGTTCCTAATCCGGCAGAGACTGAGCCAGTCATTCGATGGTTCTGGCAGTCCTTCCAAGCTGCCAAGCCGGGCGATCAGAGGAAGTTGTTGACCTTCATCACTGGCAGTGATCGGATCCCTGCCATGGGAGCTACGAATTTGGTAATCAAGTTGTCGTGTCTAGGAGACGATGGACCTCGATTTCCAGTAGCACGTACATGTTTCAATATGTTGTCTTTGTGGCGCTACGGATCGAAACAAAAGCTGGAAAGCATGCTTTGGCGCGCGGTGTATGAGAGTGAAGGATTTGGATTAAAGTGATGAATACCCTTGGCGGCGTTCTTCTAGCGAGTTCCTGGGACTTAGCATTGCATGGCGGTTAGCTTATCACAGCATTTGGGACGGTTAGGCATGGTGTTAGAAATCATCTGCTGAAAAGAGATGACAGCGTAATGTCCATAGAGAGTAATGGCATAGTTTCATGCCGCCAAATATGAGCCTTGCCGCTATTGTGAACACAATTCGATACTTACAAGCAAATATACATCTGTTCTACACAACCTCACCTGATGCCGTTCTTTTGTACATTTGACGCCTTCCCATGCAATGACCAATCTCCTGACCTTGACCTTAATTCGTGTCAATCGTCCCTCTAGCCTGTCTAAGGATCTCCTCTTCCCGTTTCCTTTTCGCATTCTCCGCCTGCATCATAGCCGCATCCCTCGCACTCCTCGCATTCTGCTCTTCCATCTCTCGAATCTGCCGCGTCTCTTCAGGAGTCGGCGTCACCACCTTTGCCCTCGTGAGCTTCAACAACTGCTCCAAAATCTCGGACTCCTCTCGGTGCTTCATATTTATCGTCTCCGTCCTCTGCGTACTGGAACCAGCTTTCGACTCCGGGACTGGGCCGGTAGAAGTGTGTTTCGAGGTCGTGGACGAGATCTCGGGCTTGGTGCTCGCGGCTTCGGCGGCGCTGATGAAGTGTACGGTCATGAGGGCGGGGCCGAGTTGGTCTGCTGTGCGGGATACGGTCATGGGGATCGCGGGGTTGTGGTATTTTAATCGGGGGAGGCAGTTGCGCCAGAATTTCCTGGTGGTGAGAGGTTAGTTTGTATGGCTTTTAGGGGACGATAGGGAGGGTTTTATACCTGGAGCCGTAATGTCCGTCTTCGACGCCGATGGCGAAGTTCATGTGTATCCGTGTTACTTCAGGAGGTAGTATGGCTGCTCCTGGACCTAGTCTTACGGCGAGCAGCTGTGTGAGGGATCAATTGGACGTTCTTGTTCTCGTGGGGAGATATATATATATACCTTCTGTGAGAGAATATATTAGCAGGACATTCTTACCGCAGATTAGAGGGGGAATATACTTACAGCTCTCAACGCTCTCATCCGCTTTACTATACTGGGCATCTTGAATATACGCTGGACTGTTGTCGCCAGAGTAGAATAGCTCGTCGTCCTCTTTCAGATGATGGATAAATTATTTAAGCTTTGGCGCTAAAGCGGACCCCTGTCAATAAATATTTGGATGTTCGAGGACTCGCGACAGCTTTGAGAAAGCAAGAATGTACGGAAATGTCGAAAACTGTTAGACTTGCTGCGAAGCTGGTGAAACAAGTTGGGACGCCAGTCGCAGAGCTTCCTGCTTTTCTGTGTCCTGGGCTCTTGCGGACAGCGCAGTCCAAGATACTGCAATCCCATAGCAAATCCTTGGGGTCTCCTTTGATTTCGCAAAGGAGATGTATTGCCTCGATTACGCACACCTCGACACAAGCTTCTGCGGCAGATTCGAGAATTGCTCTAAGGAGACTTCCACAGCAATGTATTGGGTGTGGTGCCCTTTCACAGACTGTCAACGAGACGGGTGCAGGGTTCTATACGCTGTCTAGGAAGAGTGTTAAGAGGTATTTGGAGGTTTCGTCAGATCATAAGGATTCTGCGGAAGATCAGATAGTGAGAGCAGCTTTGAGTCGGGCAGATGTTTCTTCGCCTGAGATCAATTTGGGCGGATTCGTAAAGCCAGGTAGGATCCACGAAGTCGAATCGTACACCAGTGTTGACTTTAGTACAGAATCTACAATTGAACCTCCAGTCTGCGATAGGTGCCATCAGATACGCCATCATGACACTGGGGTTTCTATCCATCATCCCTCTGCCGAATCTATCCAAGATACCATATTCGAATCCCCTTACAAATACAATCATGTGTACCACGTTCTCGACGCAGCCGATTTCCCCATGTCTCTCGTCCCAGGACTGCACAAGCTTCTGCATCTTACACCTCTCAGATCACGGAATAGACGATCGAAGACAGGAAGATTTTACCATGGTAGAAAGACAGAAGTTAGCTTTGTCATCACGAGGTCGGATTTGCTGGCTCCACAGAAGACTCAAGTTGATTCTATGATGCCTTATCTCAGAGCTGTGCTGCGAGATGCTTTGGGTAGAAATGCTAAGGATGTCCGGTTGGGCAATGTCAGCTGTGTGAGTGCAAAGCAAGCGTGGTGGACGAAGGAACTGAAAGCGGAGATCTGGAAGCGGGGTGGTGGCGGTTGGATTGTTGGGAAGGTTAATGTTGGGAAGAGTCAGCTTTTCCATAACATTTTCCCGAAAGGAAGGAGAGAGAGGGATAAACTTCTTGGGAAGAAATTTGCCCCTCCAATATTTACTGAGGCTTTTGATGAGATCCAAGAAATCAACAAGGCGCCCGCAACGTCAAGAGACCACGGCCAGGAACTAGTAGCAACATCGGGAGATGAAGTTCTGGATGTGAGAGATGAGTATAGGTCGACGGAGGCAGATTCTCTTGACACCTCTTCACTACTTCCTCCCGTTCCTGCGGAAGTCGACTATCCAGCCATGCCACTCGTCTCTGCATTACCAGGCACAACAGCCTCTCCAATACGCCTCTCATTTGGGAACGGCAAAGGAGAACTTATTGACCTCCCCGGCCTGTCTCGCGGAGATCTCGAGCACCATGTCCAGCCCGAGCACCGAGCTGAACTTGTCATGCGCTCCCGCATACGTCCAGAGCAGAAAGTCATCAAAGCTGGACAATCCCTTCTTCTGGGAGGCTTCATCCGAATCACTCCCACAACACCGGATGTGATTATATTAGCTTACGCATTCACACCCATTCATCCACATCTCACAGCAACTGAGAAGGCTATCAACACACAAATGCACAATGGATCTCCAAATGTCACGAACATTTCGCTGCCGGAAACAGCAGAGAAGATAAAATCTGCCGGGACCTTCCATCTGAAATGGGATGTAACGAAGCAGCGAGCAGGACCAGTTACCCGACCCGAGGCAGCAGGCATCAAACCAGAGAGACTACCTTATATGGTCTTAGCTACCGATATCCTAATCGAAGGCTGCGGATGGGTTGAGCTCGTTGCGCAAGTTCGAAAACGACCTGGAGAGGTAGAGCCTCGGGAAAAGGAGGAAGATAAGTGGGAATCTGAAGCAAGTCAATGGAATCAAGACCCAGATCCTAGCTGGCCAGCCGTTGAAGTGTTTACTCCGAATGGGAAGTTCGTTTCTTCCAGGCGGCCGATGAATGCTTGGTTGAATATTGCACAGAAGCCGGGAGAGGCTAGGATGAAAGGACGGCCGAGGAGGTCAATGAAGGGTGTGAAGAAGGTGGAGAAGAAGAGAGGACATACTGCGACGTTGTGATTATTGTATAGATACCCCACTCTGGAATATAATGCTTGTTGTAAGAAGAATAATTTCTGGCTGCTGGTATTCACTTTCAGGTGCATGCCCGACATCATTACATTTTGATACTTACTTTGACACTTAGTTCTTAAAATGTCTCAGGGGTACTTCTTTGACATTACTTCAAAGACCCTAGTAGACATCTTCATGCTATATTGAGCATGTGAAATATATGGCCAAATTTGTCTAGGGCTAGTTAGTATATCCACCAGATGTTTCATTTGAAGTTTTCCATAGACATGGGGGGAAAAAAGGATCCAAAACGGTAAGCGCTTTCACCTAAACTGTCCTGCGCAGGTGAAAATCCTCCGTAGACGTGCAACGAAATATTACAAGAGTAGAGCACTTTCACCTAGAGTGTTTTGTACAGGTGAAAATGCGCCGTAGACATGCAACGAAAAATTACAAAAAGTAAAGCACTTTCACCTGAAGTGGTTTATACAGGTGAAAATTCCCCGCAGACATGCAACGAAATATCTTAAATAGTAGAACACTTTCATCTGAAGGGTTCCGAACAGGTGAAAGTATGCCGTAGATGTGCAACGAAATATCTCAGGTATCAAAACACTTTCACCTGAAATATTTCGCTCAGGTGAAAGCTCCCCGCAGATACGCAACGAAATATCTTTAGTGATAGAGCACTTTCATCGGTAGTATTCTGTAGACACGCAACGAAAAATCAAAAACAGGAAATGCCTCAGCTGAATAAGGAGGCTCCTTGCTCGACTTCTGCCCCAAACAAAGTTGATCGCGACTCGGAGACTTTCAGATTAACAATGCATCTCCTTGTTCTCGTACTGTCCATCACCAATTCCTTCCACTTTCTGCTCGAAATTCAAGGCTCTGTCCAAGAATCCTTCTTTGTTAAAGGAATCGAATATATATCAAACGACAACGGCAACCACAGCTAAAAATTGATATAGCCAAGAATCGTACTAGAACAGTAGAAAAGATACCGAAGAAGTTGTCCTAGAGGCCAGTAACCTCGTTAGGAATCTTGAAGTAAAACCTAGCGAATTCCAAAGGAGCCAGGAAGAGCAGGCCCTGCATTCTTGCCAAAGTTACATGGTATTTATAGTAGAAAAAGGAAGGGAGGAGAAGCAAAAACACTTTGCCAAAAGGTGAGCCAAGAACTTTCGCACAGTAACATTCTTTTAGATTTTATATCATTTTCACATTCAGCGCACTCAGCGCATTCAGCGCGGATTGCGCATTTCGCGCGTTTGGCGGGTTTCGCGCATCTTGCGCACGCCGCGGGTGCCACATGAAGAAGTGAGGACTATGAATATATTTTGACATTGTTCGCTCGTCAGTCCATTGATAACAAAAGATAAAGATATGAAATGGATAAAATACCACGGATTTCAACTACAATGACATCGTGGCTGTAAGGTAGGTATCATATGTGGACTTGATCTACAGATATGTCACTTCCTTGCTTTCACCTGATCGAGTCTCAAAAGCTAAAATGCAAGTATTGCTTGGCCAGATCACAGAAGCACTAGCTGAGCGCTGCGAATCATACAGATTAAGTTGATGCAGTACATGGAACTCGTAGTGAAGATAGTCATTAGTACTTTCCGCTCATCTTGACCAACCCAGCGTCCTCGTTCTCCTTCTTACTCTTCTGACTCCATTCTGGTGCCTCGTCAATTCCTTCATCCTCTTCTTTATCGCCAATCTCCTTTGTGTGATGTACAGTAGTAGGCTTGTGCTCTGCAGGGGAATATATTGTGTACAAGATCTAGCACCAAATCTCATCAGCATAATTCGTCTGTGGAAGTTGATATTCGAGTCATAAAACACTGACTAGTGGTGTAGGTCCCGTGTTAACGAATTGATGTTGTGTTCCAGCGGGTACCACCATCAAATCGCCAGCCGTGACATCCTGATCCTTGCCATTGATTGTAGCTTTTCCTTGGCCACTCGTGAATGTCAAAGCTTGGTCCACGGTATGTACTTCATCGCCAATATCGCCACTTTAATGTAAATGAGCAATCAGCAATTGTACTTTGAAGCCCTTTGGAAAGCAGTAGAAATAGTCTTGCTAAACTCACCCAACAGGGATAGTCATCAGTACTACTTGAGAGTATAGACCTGTGAACAGCACCTTTCGGAACTCACCAGACGACGAAGGCAGAGCCGTAGTCATCTGTGGGAAGTAAACCATTTCATGCTTTGGAATATCTGCATTGGGTTTAAAGTCTGCCATTGTTCGTCTTTGACTGGATTGTTGAGCAGTAAGTGGTGTTTTAACAATAGTACGAACAATACTGCTACGCAAGCGGAGTGTACGAGTAAGAGTTGGGGTGAGCATGAAGAAGACGAGAAATTAAGCAGAATCAAAGACCGAAACTTTCACCTGACATTATTCAGCTATATGAAGAATGAGACTCTACCTGTGTTCTGGCCCAAGCAGGTGATGTCATGATTTTGAAGGCCCCTGATGCTTGATGCAAATCTCATCGAGTGGCCTCATCTGGCCTTGCTGGAGGTCGAATGATCGGGATTCGCATGAGCAATGAAGACTTTCGAAGCTCGAGATTACGCTCCATCTAGGAGTTTCAGATATGGTAAGAGAGTATGGTGTCTTTGCTTTCGATCGAAGTGAAGTCGGGCTTTGAAATACCGAGTTTACCCCAGACTTTTAGATCGTTGCCGGATTAAAGTTTTAGCGACATCTTCCGATTTTAGAAGCCATTCGAGACGCAAGACAACGATGAACGCAGCACTCTCATAGCTTCCGAACAACAATGCAGAGCTTCCCACGCCTGGTAACTAGCGTAGCTCGCAAAGATGCAGCTGGGGTATGCTCGTCATGTGCGAAAGGGGGAGGGCGAAATCAATCAACACCATTTTTCCAATCCTCGATGATCCGATCGATATCGAATACCTCGAAACCTAGACAAAATGTCGCCCCGACTATGGAGCAATTACGAGCACCATTTCAGAAGAAGAACAGCTCGACAATGTATTATGCGTTCAGTATCATTATGGGGACAGTGGCATTATCCTATGGTTCCGTGCCAATGTATAAAATGGTATACCACTTTCAACACCCCCCCACAAACAGCTACTAATGTACCCCAGATCTGCCAGACGACAGGATGGGGAGGACGACCTATCAAAGCACAAGGTCACGGTGGTGCAGATGGCGATCCAGCAGAGCGACTCAAACCAGTTACCGGGGCAAAACGCATCCGCATAACGTTCAATGGCTCTGTTTCCGATGTTCTTCCCTGGAAGTTCACGCCTCAGCAGCGAGAAGTTCGGGTACTACCAGGCGAGACAGCATTGGCATTCTACACAGCTACGAACCGGTCGAAAGATGATATCATTGGGGTGGCGACGTATAGCGTTACACCTGCTCAGGTGGCGCCATACTTCAGTAAAATTCAGTGTTTCTGTTTTGAGGAGCAAAGGTTGAATGCTGGAGAGACTGTGGATATGCCAGTCTTCTTTTACATAGATCCGGATTTTGTGAATGATCCGAATATGAAGGGCATTGAGCAGGTTACCTTGAGTTATACGTTTTTTAGTAAGTAGTTCCCGAGAACTTACGTAGAGCAGTGAGCTGACTTGAAGCAGAAGCGAGATACGACAGTGAAGGGCATCTAAAGCCTTATGCTTGATCAAATTATTGTATACTAGCACCGGGCGGAGCATTGGGCGGCGTTGGGTTGACAAACCCGGTTGTATAAAGATACGTTGTCTAACATAAATTCTGCTCCTCTTTCTATAAGTGAATGCAGCTCTACTCGCCTGAGGCCTTCTGCAGTGAGTCTTCCTGTGGTGTGATTTTTTGATCTGTAGGTATATAAGCTTCCCTTTCTCAAAATAAGCAGAACAACAATGACGGAAAATTCCGATGAGAATAATGATGCTGTGGATCTAGCATTTAGTAGGCTAGCATGCCGGGACAATGTCGCAAAGTATTGGCATTTTGTTTTAAGGTCCTGTCACTCGCACAAACAGTCAACGAGTCTTCGCCCGATGGCAAGCAATTTCCTTGACGACGAATTAGTGGTTCGCAATAGTCAAGTGAATAAAACGAATATGTCATTTTTCCTTCCGTCTCGAGTCTTCACCCCACTGCCCGATCACAACCAACAAATATCTATAAAAGCCAGAGTTGCTAGGTATGATAGCTCAACATTTTCAAGAGAAATTCACGCCGACATTATAGCTGCTGTGGAGCCGAGAAGAATCAGAGAAGGGTCGCAATTTTTGATAGACAATGTATGAGGGAACGAGACCTGTGCTAGAGAAGGTAGATACAAACGCAAGTCTTGACAACTCAAGTTGTCGTTTGGGAGTGATGTACGAGTTGAAAATGTGTATTGCAAGAGTTGGGAAGAAAGACTACAGAGTCTAACATTTACTACAAGAACTTCAGACAACAAAAGTACGCTAAAGACACCCTTTATCTCGTTATGAGAAAAGTTAAGTCTATATTTATTTGTGGGACTTTTGACTTTTCTCAGTAAGAATCCAATTTTCAAGCTATAAAGTTGGGATGACGAAAGACTCATGTGGCTGAATCAACCGCTGGTACATTAACCCGTGACCCGGAACTCCATGTCTCAAGTGACAGGGTGACTTGATCCCGCGCTCAAGATAACAAAACCTGCTATCTATAGCAGATGCTTCTTTGTATATAATTAATTCATTTCGCTCTTTCCAAACATTTGTAAATATAATAGACGTCGTGAAGTCATGCGGTGGAGATTATCTCCCAGAAAGTCCAAGCATCATCCCGTCCGTCCCCGTCAGCCTTGTGACACCAGCGAGGGACAAAGATCTGGATCTGGACCTGGACCCACACCCTCCAATCCCGTCAGGCTGCCATTAATTGTTCTTCCTTCACCCTGTGAAGAGAAGCCACCTCATGAACCGTCAAGTAAATTCACCTCCTCCTCCGTCCATTATGTAGCGAACCATAAATACTACGTGTCTCGAACTTACTCGCCGTTTCTCTAGATTCATCGACAACTTCAGACAGCGCTGCAACAACCATGGCGCCATGTCTGGAGTTCCTCTACGATTTGGAAAGTACAATGTCGTTTTCGACTTCAGCCACGGCCGCCCTGCAAGCTATCACTAGAGAAGTCAGCATGAAAGACCTGTCGCAAACCAACTCCGATACGGTGATGCATGACGCCTCCCCTTCATTCTCCCAATCTCGAGAGGAAACTCAGATGCAAGAAGAAGATGAGGCCGCTTCATTCGAGGAAGTGAAGGATGAGAGATGGAAGCAGTTCTCAAAAATCACTCCCTTCCTTGCCGTACCGCCTGAGATCCATCTCAAAATTATGACTCTCCTACACCCGATCGATGCTACGTGTCTCAGTCTAGTCAAGTATGTCCTCTGCTCCTCTCATATCCCACCACTGAAACATTCACGTACCTGCCTTTTCATGACTCATTTCATATTTTTCGATTTCAAGGCTCACTTCTCTCACAGCAAATACATCTACGAGCTCTCACCACCATTCCTGAACCCCCACCCCATGGACATAGGTGCTCCTTTCTCCACAGACCCGTGTCCCAAAGTCGAAGGATGCAAGCACTGTGTCCCAGTCCTCTATCATCCTGCTCATTGTGAGCTTCATTACCATCTTCGCTCGTTCATGCCTAAGGAGTTGAAATTTTGCTCGGGAAAGTGTCACAGGTACACGAAGTGCGAGCAACAAGGGTATTCGGACTCGAGCGAGATTTGTGGCGAATGTGGAACTAGTTATCGACGGCGGTATGAGAGGGGAAGACGCATGTTGGATATGATGAGGCCTGGTGAGAAGCAGATTAGGTTAAATAAGGTATGTTTTCTGATTTGTGTTTTCTCTGAAACTTGGTCTTCATTGACAACTGTCCGAGTCGAGGGAGGAAGATCGACAGTGTTTCCAGCCCAATCTGGGGGGGGGGGAATGAGAGACTTTGCTAACCAGCCCCTCAGTGGTATAACTCTACTCGTTCTACATGAACCATGCGTTAGTCTCGGGTCTGGAGTTTTGGATTTCGTGGTACCTTACATTCCACTGTATTTGTTTCTAAGCACGGTGTTTCTGGATGTGCATGGACTTCTGCGACAATGTTGAATTTAAGCATTCATAACTATTTATGATTTGCATTGCCTGCATTTGATGGGTGGTCTCGGATCAGGATTAGGCTGGAAGTCATGGTTGGAGTTAAGGATAGTGAGCGTGGGATGTCTGGTCTTCGTTTCCGACATTTGGTTAGCGAACGTCTTCCTCTTAGACCAACATTCAGGTCTGGTGCACAGGACATAGAGGCAAACTGCGCTGTGTTATAGAATGAATTTTCATTCTTGTAAGACCATGTGCTGAATAAAACCCCATGAATTTCATTCCCCGCTAGAAAGTGACCCCTAGCCAAAATGAACTCGGTCCAAACACCTCGCTATGTACGGTATCATGCTCATCATAACAAAAATCTAAGTTTCCGTCTCCACATCTGGTTGTCTTCCTTGCAGAGAACCCTTCTTCAATGTTCGCTTGACTGCGAACTTGGCTTCATCTTTTGCGAAGGCCAGGTTTCTCATTGGCTTCCATTGCATGAGGCCTCTCTGCTTTCTATGTAACCCCTTCTTATCCTCTTTATGCTGTTTGATCGAGCTCTTCGAGTTTTGTCCTTCGGTGCTGTTGCTATTCGCTTGTTCGTCTTCAAAATGGTCGTCATTCTCGGCGTCATGAATACCCAGGTCACTAGAGGAATCTGAATCGTCAGATTCTCCATCATCGTCATTGTCTTCATCCCCATCGAGCATGTTCCCATTCAGTGGAGCTTCGCGATCCCCAGAGCTAGACGTGTTAGCATTGGTTCTCTTAGAACCACGCTCATCGGCATACTGAGCTGGGTCCTGCCCGAAGGCTCCGCTCCAATCTGTGCCATCTTTCGAAAGCCATTTCTGCTTCTCTTTTTCATCTGCTTGCGAAAGAACATCTCTTCCCTGTGTCAAAGACTGATCATGAAGTTTCTGCACAGCGGGTGGCAACTCTTTAGTGACCATGTTATCACGGACGCCTTCGTCGTGGCAAGCTTCCCACGTCTCTTGGGTCTCTCTGGAGTCGTTGTCTGTGACGAACTTCGAGTGATCCTCATCTGTACCGGCTTTAAATCGACCTCGGAACTGCAGACGTCCTATTTCCTCAATAGCAATGTCCGGAATATCCTTGAAGTTCTCTTCGGTAATGTAGTTCTGTGTCAATCTCATCCCCTTGTCCGTCTTCCAGATAGGAATGCTAATGTTCTCTTCCTTGTTGTCCTCGAGGTGATGGAGCCAGATAATAGCATAGGCGTCTGCGTGGCGTTTGCTTGCTGTATGGAACTCGAACACAACCGGGGAACGGTATCGGTAGCGGACTGGAAGTCGAACATTGTTCTTGCCATCGGCTTTCGCGATGTCCCAGTATATTCCATCGCCCTCTTCAGTCTTCCGGCATTGAGTTCTGCCTATACTACCCGAAGAACCTCCAGTTCGCATCTTAAGCTTAGCGGTGGAATTGTAACCAATAGCCAGAATCTTGTCGGACATGAATTCGAAAGTTCCAACATCCCAGCCGAGTTGCTGAGGTGGGAGACGTGTCTCGACACTTCGCCAGAGGATAGATATTCTGATACGTCCAAAGCCAATGCCACCATCCAAGGGATACCATCTGGTCACCTGAGAGCTGGTTTGGAGGATATCGGAAAGCTTCAGAGGAACAACTCCGAGAATTGGATCATGTTGTCTCATGCGTTGATCACGGACTGTGACGGTGATAATGGCTGACCGCCAATCTCGCATGAAACGCTCAGTACCGGCATTGAAAATGGGCTTGCTGCTGACGACTTTCGTTCTTGTTCGGTAGACCTAGAACAGTTGATATACTCACACTACACCAATAACTTCATATAAGAGGTAAGAAACTTGACTTACCAGCTCATCGTTATACAAGATAGTGCAATAACCGCTTGGAAGTTTCTTGTGCTCCTCCTCCTTGTTTTCACCGGCTTCGGCAGCTGGTTCATATTCTCTGCCTTTGCGTTTCCCATTACTTCCCTTCATGTTCTGCAGCTCAAGATTGACAATTTGATGAACAACGACGCTGCAAATACCACTCGGCCAAAGAGGATCTGGTGGAGTGTGCACGACAGCATCTTCAGTGGCATTGTCTATAGCGCCTCTATCGTCCTGTAGTTCTTCGTGATCCCTAAGCTGATCTGGGAGATTGACATCTTTGCCATGAGTCCTGAGTGCTGGCCTGAAGTGGGGCTTGCCAAAATAGCCTATCAGGAAGTTAGCACACTGTTCTTACGGTGTTATGGTGGATAGGGCGTCTAGAGCTATCGGACATTGTTGAGGAAGTGGAGGATTTTCCCAGAAGATGACTTACCAACTTCCCAATGAAGTTCCCCGGGCATGTCGCTATCCTCACTCATGCCTCGAAGCTTAGAGTTTTGTAGATACATCTTGCCAGGGTGTTGGATCATTTTCTGCATTGAAAGCTCGACCTTTCCCACAATATCATCTGATGTCGTTCGATCCGAATCCCAAAGTTCCATGGAAAGTTGTTCATCGACCTTGATCAAGTCAGGTGTTATGAGCAAGGCACATGTCTCCTCCCAAACTGGATTCAAATCGTCCTGGATGACACGAGTGCAGTACATCGGTTTGGCGTACTTGGAAAAGCTGACAGTGATGTATGGATCACTGCCACCTCCTTTGCTGCCACGACGATCTTGCTTGCTGAGACCTGTAGCTCGGTGGATTCTGATCCAGAGAATGCCAATGGCTTCGGTATCCTTCTGAATATCGTCACCCTGCAACAATTTGCCCATATCAAGGGTCATTGACTTTGGTGCAACGTATTCATTTGCAGCGGCGCCTCGATGTTCGTTAGTAAGAGATATTTGAGTTACGGAAGGAGTACAAACCGATTGCATAGTTGACAAAATTGGAGATGAGAGGAAGGTTGAGGATATTTATTCCTGTTTCAATCATAGGAACGCAACCAGCCTGGACTTTGGGGAGTCCCATGAGCGTAAAAGTCAATGCCTTCAAGAAAGGGGGTTCGGGGGACATTTGCATCCTCAACCGCACAGTTCCCACGAGGCCCTGAAGTTCGACAAAAATGGGAACTGGCCTAGTAAAAGTCAGTATTCAGTCTTCCTAAAAGTTGTAGGACAACGGAATTTCTTACACTCCAAAAAGTCCCTTGATTCCTAAATAGAAAACGAGCTGCATGTGCATGTTTTTGGCCTTCTCAGAAGTATTCCCGCTAGAAGGCTTAGCATGATACGCAAAAGAGCATTCCAGGTTGTAATAGTCTCCGCCTTCCTCATCTGCTGCTAGTTCCTGAGGATCTTTGTTTTTCTCGTTTTGTCTGTGGATGTCATCTTTCAATTCCTGCACATGTCCATCTGGCAGAGCACGCAAGCTCAATATCCGGAATGGGTTGTTTCCTTGGTTGATTTCAGCCACACGGACATTCTCGATAACTCCTGGAACCGAAGCTTGCATGACATCCTCAAGAGTATCTGCGACTGAAGCGAATAGGTCTGGATCAATGAGACCCCACATAACACCTAGAAATGTATTCCTGGATTCAGAATGCTGAGATCAGTATACGTGCTTATCAGAGGACGAATGTCCCGAGAATTTGGGACATTCATAGCTGCAAAGAAGAAGCGCAATAGAAGTTTCCTCTGAGCTGGCAGGTCACTTACATCCACTCTACCGATTCGGGGATGAGATTTGCAGTGGCCTAGTTGCATAAGTCAATCACTTTTTTCAGGAGAGGGTACTATAACATACCGTCTTCCCGCGAACCTTCTCGCTCTCCCACTCATGCTCACGTCCCGATCGAATCACTTCCTTCATCCATAAGAAGACACCTGAGGCAATACACATGCCAAGAGGTACAAGACCATATAATGCACCTCCAAACATCTTCCCAAGAACCACAATAGCTATTAGGATACCTCCAGCCAATATAGTCGTTTTCTTCTCGAATGCCTCGTACATCGGTTCATAGCTGATCGACGGCGTGGGGTGGAAGAGGATATTTGTCTTTTCTCCATGGATTGGGACATCAGATGTGCTTCCAGGTTCGACTGGGTCCGGAGGTGCCGTAATGTCCTGATTATTCCTGTACTCTTCTCCAGATTGTGTAGGGTCTGTTTTAGCTGTTGTTTGTTTGCCAATGTTCGCATTCGGTACAGACAACTAGGATAATAAGTTTGAGTCCAAGATCCATTAAAGAATCCTCACCTGTGGGCTGTCTACACTCTTCATAAAGTCCTTGTTAACATCTTCAATTGTGACCTCTTTCCCAGTTACAGGGTCAGTAACTTGCTTCCTACTCCCAGGCACACCAGCCTTTTGGCCATTGACATGGTCTACTGCCTCACTGTTATTCTTGTTCTGCATCTGCTCGTTGATTCTCTGATCTCGTTCTTTCTTGTCGGCATCCAGACTTTCGACAAATCTTTGGATGTTGGGAATGGGGTTCGCTCCGGAATAGTGCCCTCCGGGCCCTTTCTTGTTCAAGTTCGAAGCCATCTTGATGTTGTTGTCTTCAAGTTGATCGTAGGGTGGTATTGTATCCCAGCCTCAGAGCTAGAGACCGCAAGCAAACGACTGGAACAAAAAACAAATCAGCAACGTTGAGACTACTCAACCCTGGAGTTTATCCCAGCTGAAGAAAGAGTATGAAAGAAACGAAGACAACACAAAACAAGTGAAATAATTAAGTTCCTTCCAAGCTTGAAGAAGCCAAGCTCCATGTGATGTCATCGCTAGCGTCCCCGAGCCGCGTATGTGGCTGGTGAACCGTTGTACTGAGTGCCAGCTTCTGGCTGGAACATGGCGAATTAGCAGCCATGTGAAGTATTACAAAGCTGTACAATACACGACCAAGTGACATCTCGCTTCCTTAAAGAGACATTCAAGAATATGTGAAGGAGTTGAGCTTGACCCCTATTCTGAGCTCTCGGGGATCGACTCCAGGGAAGCGAAGCTACCCCTGTATCGCCTACAGGGCAATAGTGGGGTAACAACGAATATGCACGTCTTCCACGTCTTGGGAGTTAGCATCCAAGTAACGTTCCTTTGCTTCATCGTATATCAGTATGGACATTATGATATCTTGAGTCTGTATTTGAGCATCTCTCACCACTGATAGCTCTGGTTGACCTAATTCTAATTGATCATACGCCTTCTCTACCCCTCTTCTTATCTTTTTGTGCAAGTCACCATAGAATGCTCATTGGCTAGACTTCTGAGTCTATATATGTATCACTCTCTTCCCAAAACTTGAATGCCATTACTAAGATACCACAGTACACATATACTACTCCGGACCTCAAAATGGCAACCCAATTCGTCAACTGCCGCCAATGTATATCCGGCACCCTCATCTCCCGCCCCCTCACCATCTCTTCCTCCGGCCTCATAATCCCCAACACGCCCCTCCCACCCGGAACCCAAACAATCGACCTCCAAAACGCCATCATCGCACCTGGCTTCATCGAGCTGCAAATCAACGGCGCCCTCGGCTTCCACTTCGCTCACGCCAACACCCCCGAGATATACACAGCCGGTGTGCAGAAACTAGCTCGCTTCCTCCCTCAGACTGGCGTCACGGGATTCTTCCCAACTGTGCCTACTGTATCGTCTCGTGTATTCAAACAAGTCCTCCCTCACCTCGCCCCAAGAGAAGAAGAAGGTGCTGCAACCGTGCTAGGCGCTCATGTCGAAGGACCCTTTCTGGCACCAAGTAAGAAAGGAGCGCACGATGCTAGTAATATGTTCATTCCCTCCTCCGCAACCCTAGAAGGCGTTTACGGGGAGCAAAACTTGAAAAACAGTATCAAAGTCTGTACTCTAGCACCAGAACTACCCGGTGCATTAGAACACATCAAGAAATTGAAGAATGAGTACCGAGTCAGTGTCTCTATGGGCCATTCGGCTGCGAATTATGCGCAGGGCGTCGAAGGGATGAAAGCTGGCGCGAATCTGATTACGCATACGTTTAATGCGATGAATCCGCTGCATCATCGGGAGCCTGGATTACCTGGTATTTTCCCCTTTCAATACTATCTGGCAAAGTGAGAAGTTTAATATTAAGGATAGGGCTCCTCTCCTCGCCAACTCCCCCCTATTTCTCACTAATAGCCGACTCCATCCACCTCCACCCCAACATCGTCGTCTTCGCCTACCGCTCTTCGCCGTCCCATTGTATCTTAGTGACAGACTCCATCGAGCTTTCCGGGCTACCGGATGGTATTTATCCTGGGCACGCACAGATACCGTTGCAGCAGCAGAAAACCGGGAATAAAGTCACGATCCTCGGTACGGATACGTTGATTGGGACGTGTATCGGCCTCGATGAGTGTGTGAGGAATTTGATGGCGTGGGCGGGCATTAGGGTCGAGGAGGCGGTGAGGTGTGTTACGGAGAATGTGGTTAAGGCGGTGGGGATTAGGGATAGGGGGATGTTGGAGGCGGGGAGGAGAGGGGATTTTGTTGTGTTGAGTGAGGAGGGTGTGGTGGGTAGTACGTGGATGGCGGGGAGGAAGATCTGGGAGCGTGCTTGATGGAGCGGGAGATGTAGAGCAGAGCGAAGAGGAGTGAATGGCTCGGTTGTCTGCTCAATGAGCTTTGTGATTAAGTCAAAGTGTTCGTACTCATATCAGAGACTTTCTCAACATGGGAACATTTTAATGTACGAGATTTTAGATTCGAGACAGAGAATACAATACATCCGAACGAAATCAAAATGTCGAGCTCGAGTTCAGAGGTCGAAAGGAATTACTTGGTGCACCCAATTTTCACGCCAAGATAGACAATTACCAAAGACTTTTTCCATTTGAGTAACAAAGCCACGCTTAGCAATGGCTATCCTAATGTCATTCCTACTAGCAATTATTTTCCGCCATAGAAGGAACCTATGCAATGCTACCAGCAAAAGGGTATACGCTCAGATTAACGCTCATGCCAATGTCCCAATTCCCCTTTCAATGCAATACTAAACAAGCAAAATATGTGCCAGTAAGAGCGGAGTTTTCGTCGTAAAGCAGAGGGGAGTTCCTCAAATATCTTTCAGACCTCCAATAACAGCCATCAAAGCAATAAGTGCTATACAACCAATCAGTATAACCTTCAACGTCAAGCAGAGAAGATGTTCACTTACCAGCAGCAGCAGTTACAATATACAAAGCCAAAGTCCAAGCAGTAACCACATCCCCTCTTCCATTCATGTACCAGAAACCAATAGCCAAAGATAGGAGCAGCGGAATGGCTACGACAGTGCTTAGGCGATAGGAGGACCAATCGTAGATCAGTTGTAGAGAGTATCTTCCCTCTAGAGGATTGTTCTTGCAATCATTGAGATTCTTGTATACCCATCCTTGCCAGGCTCGTGCAACATCCTCGTCGTGATGGCGGTAAGAGGCGTTGTATGCTAGGTACATTTGCGAGAGCACAGCTTCTTGAGATGCGTTGAGAATTAAAGGGATATGGGCACCGCGAGAAATGTCACACTGGCTCACGTCAATATCTGGGCTGCAAGAGCGTTGGGACACTTACCTTGTACAAGCCAAATCCTCTCAGGCCACGCAAGGAAAGGAATCTTCGATAACCTCTAACATTCCTCTCTCCTTTTCTCATGGATTTGAAGAGCTCCTCAGGATTATCAAACTGCATAATCCGCTCATTAGGATCACTAGCTGAATGAACAAACCATCCAATCACAATGTACGGCTTCTGTGGAGGCATTATGATCTCGACTTGTTTCTTGATATGTTCTCTCGTTGCTTCGATCCGATCCTCGAAGACTGGACAATGACCATGTGAGGAACGACTATGTCTTGGTCTGGATCCTGAATGGTGGGAATTGTGAGAATGACTGCTATCCTGGTGTCTGGATTCGCTCAGACTATCTCGAATACGTCGAATGACACCAAGTTTAACGTCGGACGTTTGACTTGCCTCGCTGGCGAAGCTAGCTCGAGGGCCTTTCTTTATAGGTGGGGTCGGGATGTCAAGTTGGAGTTCTGACGTTTGTGTTTCATCGTTGATCATGATCCTTTGATCGGGTGGCTGATTTTGCTGGGTGGTTGGCTGAGTTTGTCGTCCTCGTGTAGGAGATTCATGAAGCGCCATACGAACACGTCTCTTTTCTTTGAGTCTACACAAGACTTTCTTGGTAGCTTTCTTCAGGATCCTGCGTCTTCGGGCCATGAGGTAGAGAAGCCATAGACGAGGTTCGTCCATTCTTTTCAACCACTGAATTCTTGCGTTCCAGATCGATCTCTGTCGATACATGGGAACGTTCCACCATTTGACCGCATGAACCAAATCCTCCAACCTCTTCTGCTCTCTTCCAAAATCGTCGAACATAGACTTGAACTCATCGTAATTGTAGTTCTCGGGTTCATCAGTTTGGAGTAATTTCAAGAAGAGTCGAGCTTCGGTTGCTGTCAAGCCGACTCGTCTTCCACATCTCTCATCAGCCCAGAAGACGTTGCCATTATTGGATTTGATGATTGGCGGAATATCGTCAAGCTCAATAACCTCAAGGGATCTCCTTAGTGGTGCACAAACCCTGGCAGAGGAACGGCCCGATCTGGGGAGCAGGGGATCATTCGGGCCATCCAGATCAAGAGAAACCTTGTCGTATTGGTTTTCTAAATCAGATGAGGACTGCATGATGGATTTTGCTATCTTGCGACGCCGGATACGAGTTCACAACAAGTGATAGTTCAGTCGAGAGTTGTTGGATATTCTTCAGAACCCTGGATATTGAAGGAGCAACGTTGCCTATTTACTCGCGAGTCTTACTGAATGAAGATCTCCCACCGTATCACTGCCAAGAAGGGAAACTCGTAAATGTATTCAGCTTCTCCGTGTGAAATGAACAAACTGCAGTGAGATGAGGCTGCAGGTGACAAGGTGCAGCCTTGGCAAGCAAATATGGTTGGGGGCTGAAGCCTAAACGTCGCGACAACAAATCGAGGGTGAAGTGAAGTAAGTCGTCATTGGACAAGTATTGCGATGATTTGGATGAAAGAGACTTAGCCTTGCGCTCTGTGTGACTCTGACGAGTGAGCCTTGTCATTGTTTGCTCGTGGTTGGATCACGAGAACGCCACTGTCTGAAAGGGGTAGGAAGCAAACAATGTCGAACAGGTCCGCCGGTCCGATATATGGTCTTAGATTTTCTGGCCTCAAGGGACGCTGAGCTTACATCCGCATGTTAAGCCTTCCTGACATGGTGTTCTTGCCCGGTTGACACAATTTAATAATACATCACCATCACGTGAACCCCTATCTTCACAACCTCGGAAATTGGGTCTTCTTCCTCCTGAGGTACCCAAGCTTCAACTGATTTCTGGAAGAGCTCTTAGAAGACACTATGGTGCTGAGAAGCTCTATATAAGGACTTGCCTATGGAATAGTTCGAAGATCATCAGGCGAGTACTATCACTAGGTGGTCATAGATCTTAATGCTAAAATGGTATTTATGATTCCCATCTCCACATATAAACAGCGTCAGGATGAAGCGCAGAGACATGGGCTTTACTTTTGCTTTGCTAGTGGGAAGACAGGGCCAAGCACCTTAACTTAATTAAGTATTAACTTATCGAAGCATGGAATGGGGTTCTTGTATATAAGATTTGTGATATACCAAATAACGCAAGAACTTTCCGCTGCCTAGGCATATCACGTCCGATATCGCATTGGACACCCGTCTCTCCTCGAGGAAGTCACTTTCTGTGTCAAGCTCTTGAGATGAAAAGCGAGAAGTATGAATTTTGAATTCCGTACTCGCAGTGCTCGACCTTTCTTGCGGGAAATCCTGTCCCGTTGCATATATACGATAATTAATCATTATTTACAACGATTGTGCTGTTCTAGGCCGTTCATCAAGCCCTTCCCCTTCCCTTTCAGGTTCCGATCTGACCGATCCGCCCCAGTCTTCTCTTTCCGACATCTCGGAATCCTCAGAAACAGATGGCACATATCTCTCTTCCGCTTCTGACATTTCCGAGTCTTCTCCACCTGATACTGATGATCCTCTGCGGATTGCCGTAATAGGAGTATCGGCTAACATTACGGCCGTCAATGGCGTTCTTCCTATGACTTCTTTTTCCTCTTCGCCTTCGGTTTCGGCATTGGTAATAGTCCACTCCCACTTGCGCTTCTTTTCTCTCCTCTTGCGCTTCCGTGCTCCGGGAGTCTCGAGCTCGCTTTCTGCCATACGTCGGCGCATTTCTTCAAATGGCCCGGGGGTCTGTCCACCATCTCTGGTCTCGTCTCCAGTATACACCATCGGATCCAGTATACCTAACTTTTCGGCCTCTGGATCTATCGCTGAATACGGCGACTCCTCAGCGAGGAGGTCGATATGTGATCTCACGTACTTGTTCGTGGTAATTGTTTGCTCTAAAGGATCATTGTAGCCAACTTTCTTTGCTGCTCGATTCGCTATACGCATTGACATGCGACTTGGAGTAGCTGGCGTTGCTGTGGCACGTGGAGGAAGTGGTGAGTTACGAAGAATGCTGTGAAGGCTTCGAGGGTGTGTATATGGTGCGATTTGATATTGGCTACCAACAGTCATCCGCCTACGTGGTGTCCGAGGTGTGCTAGGCGATGATTTGCTCGGCGCATTGGCGGAAAAGGTGAATACTCGAAGTCCTGTTTGTTCGGAGCCAGCAGACTGCGGCGGGGTAAATGTAAAGGAGGTTGCGGATGCGATGGGCTTTAATCCACCTTCGGTTTCTGGCTCATCGCTTGTAGTGGTCGGATAAGCCGATGTAGGAGTATCTGGGTAGGTTATCGAGAATGGTCCCGGTGTCTGGGTTCGTTGAGAAGGATGAACATATCCTGCATCAGCGTCGTTCACGTTTGTGGTCTGGAGCCGTAGCGAGGTTGGTTTCGCCGTCCTGAAGTCTGATAACGGTCTTGAAGTCTTCGGCGAGGAGTTCTCGATGGCCGCGGCATATGCATTCGATAATGTGTTGAATGCTGTAGGAGATGAAGGATCAATGTCCGCCTTCAATGCAGTTACGGACTTCCCAAGGACTTGTGGTGCGGCTGGTGTCTTGATCTGAAGTGACAATCGAGGTCTCTTTGGAGGCGACGATGGCGCAGTGTTGAGCGACATAGTGACTGATGAGCACGTCCGAACAGAAGCAAGCATCATCAAGGGCTGAGATCCAGAGATCTAGCAAAGCGTTTTACCTTGTTGAGGTCCGAGGGTCGTCGGAGTTTCCAATGCTGTCTCAACCCCGGATCCACTGTTGACAGTGAAAAAAATATGAAGTAGTGGAATAGATAAGATAATTAAGACTGTGGAGGGGACAATTAAGAGACCAGCGCCCGCTTATGTATGATGAAGCTTTCGATCGGCGACGGCGGGTAGCCTTATGACAGTGGTGGGGGAGGGTCGCCAAAAAAATGGATCTAATGCAGTGACTATGCGGCAGGAAACAATTTAGGCGCGATGTGATGGGACATCAAGATAACAGTGGCCGGGAGGAAAGCGAGCAAATATACCTGCGTCGAGGCATTTCGGGCTCTGTTGGGTGAGATTGGCTCCTTGAAGCGCTGGGGTAGGTTGAGGAGGTTAGGCCTATGCGGGCGAGTATTGTTCGGTCACATTTGCTGATAGGTCAGCTCTGGTGCCCTTTCGCTGTGGTCTGTCCAGTGAGACCTCCACATCTGCGTCTAGCAGAGTGACAGACTTCTGTACGCCTGCAGTTCGCCTGCAGGACGCCATATCCCAAAATTAGGCGGCCCACTGGGACACATCCTATTTCGGGCGACCCTTGCAGCAGCAGAAACTGGACGGAGGGAGGCGTCGAGTCGAGTCGCGGGGATTCTGACTGATCCATGCACCGAACATGCATGCGGCAGAGACGAGCAGGACGGGGTCAGCGACTATTTTGACGCCTGCTGGGCCACCCGACAAAATACTGTCCAGTCCTAAGAAAAGAGCCACAGCGACTCGCCAACACACCCGCGTGTCGATCATGGGGCGGCCAGATCTGAGCATGATAGGCAGCTTCGAACTGCTTATCTGAGAAGTGCTGAGAAAGCAAGAGACGGCAGCAGGCGGGAATGGTGTGAGGTGAGACCCTGTTTGCTGGGAGTTTGGGACACATTCGATGAGACGAGAGGCGTATTGGGATTGGGAGCACGAGGGACGTCTTTGGGATGCGAACAACAGCATGATGCAGGAAGAAGAGATGAGAAATGCAGTACGACGCAGAAAAGCATATTCATGGATGCCGAATAATATATTTTCGGAGTTTGTTGGGAATGTGAGAGTGACACAGAAAGGAGTTGGGTTGGAGGAGAAAAGTCGGTGCGGGATTCTAGAATGTTGTCCGCGGCGTATGGTGTTCCGATTAGCTCCCGAACTCAAACTTAAATTGTTAAACTCATCCTGAGGCCGCCACGCTATGGCCATTTTTAGATTGTCCGTCCATCAGCATCGCAACTTCGTCTCGTACTCGCAAATGTTTCGAGGTGACGATTCGGAATTCATAGAAACGTCTTGCTTACTGTTTCCAACATTTGCCATCCCGACGCTCGGTGTTCAACAGCATTTTGTTCTCAGGTCACTGAATCATCTGGCCGCAGCAAGGATGAGGACGTCAAGTACTTGCGCAAGCTGTTTTAGCCACCCTCTGTCGTGATGCTGGGTACGAAGTCTGCCAAGAAGCACGATAGTAGAATCATCATCCACTTCGTAAGATGCAAAAGCCACGCGTGGGACAGCCGCTAATAATCTCAGGACTATGACTGCTTTTATGCGAGTGTCTTCGAGAATGAGAATCCAGCGCTGAAAAGTGTCCCTCTGGTCAGTCAACACGAGGCCTTTCAAGCTGGACTATGCTGACTCTCCCCAGGCTGTGCAACAGGTAACAACCTTTCTAACCCGTTGCTACCATCTCTAACTCGGACAAGAAGCAAATTATTGTCACTTGCAATTACGAAGCCCGTCGACGCGGCCTGGGGAAATTACAACTCATAACCGAAGCTAAGAAGATATGTCCGGATGTAGTGATAGTTCTTGGAGAAGAGCTAGGTCGCTTTCGTGATGCATCGAAATCATTGTATAAGTTCTTGGAGGCTTTCACTTGGAGTGGGAAAGTTGAGAGACTAGGATTCGATGAGGTGTTTATGGATATGACAGACATTGTGGATTTTAACCAGAGCCTTCTCAATCCTCATGACCTGTCGCATTCTTTTCTACAGCTAAAAAGAGATGACCCCACCAATGGCTTCCCTTTCGATGCAACCAGAATAGCTGGGCATAGACACCCAAATATATCGCTGACATCCTCGGTCACCTCAGATGGAAATGCTGAGAAGGGCCTACTCACTAGACTCATTCTCGGTTCTCATTTAGCACAACATATTAGATGGGCTTTGGAGGAACAGAAAGGCTATACCTCCACGGTAGGGATCTCAACCAATAAGCTCATCAGCAAGCTTGTGGGAAATCTGAATAAGCCAAAAGGCCAGACTACCTTGCTTCCTCCATACACACTGTCGGAAGAAGACGCCCGAGCTGGCGAAGAAAGCAATGTAACGGCCTTTCTTGACAGCCACGACATTGGCAAGATTCCTGGTATTGGCTTCAAAATGTCGCAGCGAATTCGAAATCATGTACTTTCACGACCTGCAGACTTTGACACAGGCCTCATTTACGGTAGCACGAGAGAATCTGTAACAGTCCGCGATGTGCGTCTATTTCCTGGTATGGGACCAGAACTCCTCGAGAAGATTCTAGGCGGACCGGGTGCAGAACGAGGTATCGGAGGTAAGGTATGGAATCTCATCAATGGCATCGATGACACAGAAGTCCAGCAAGCCAAAAAAGTCCCTACTCAGATAAGTATCGAGGACTCATACATTCGTTTGGACACGATGCCGGAAGTGCTTAAAGAGCTTCGCATCCTTGCCACGAGTCTCCTTAAACGGATGCATACAGACCTCTTAGAAGATGACGATGATCCCGATTCAGTGATCGGAAAGCGATGGATAGCACATCCAAAGACTGTTCGTCTTTCGACTAGGCCACGACCACCTTGGAACGCCGATGATACGAGGACCAGAAGCTTCAATAGGATATCTAGGTCTGCGCCTCTACCGAATTTCATCTTCAGTCTGAAAGAAGAGCTTGAATCCCTTGTGGACAAATTTGTCCAAGAAATATTGGTACCCATGTTCCGAAAACTTCATCCATCACCCAGAGGCTGGAACTTGAGCTTGGTCAATATCGGAGTAACGAACATGGTCGAAACCGCTAGCGAAGACGGAAAGAGTGGAGGTCGAGACATTGGACGAATGTTCAAGAGACAAGAGGAAGTGTTGAAGGAATGGAAAGTCGAGGACAAAGATGTCCCACCAGATCTACCGGAGTCAGACAATGCCGTACAAACAGATCCAAGTGCTGGAAATCAAGTTCTGGAAAGCATTATGACTGGCTCGGAAGATATCATACAACCTACACAGACTTCTGTTGATGAACAAGGAGTTTGGGAAGATGATGAGGATGAAGATGAAGGTCAGGAGATATGTGACGAGTGTGGTGCTATCATGCCTGCGTTTGCGTTGGCTGCGCATGAGCGTTTTCATAGCCTTGAAGGATAGTGACAATACACATTCGAAGATTGACACAGCTTATTGCTAGTCCGATCTTATCAAAACCAAGTGACCGTGTCAGAGGTTCCTCAAGTTATAAGTAAAAAAATCAATGAGCACAATCCCTATATTCACTTTTTGCATTTTGTCCGCCTCAAAAGTCAATAAAAATTCGTCCCATCTTCCTATTTAAGCCTTCCATCTATGCTACTTGTACTTCATCACCACTTCGAGCTAGGAGTAATTCATTTAAGGCGTGGTTGGGTACAGTTCTGTTATTGTTATCATTAAAGAGGTGGTAGTTGTTGCGGGTGGGAGTCTTTGTTACGAACGGTAAATTTTGTTGCCAATCTTTTGTTTATTGTCAACTTTCTAAGATTCTGGTGTGAGACGGACAGATCCTTCCTTGACGACAGTGGTATGTTCGACAAACACCACTTATTATATTCACCATTGACATTCCTCATTGGTTTTGTTGCACATCGCAATTCCACATCGAATTTCCACGGGGAAGCAAAGTCACAATTTCGTAAGTACTTAAGCAGCTCTAAAGCCAGTCCTTAGGGACAGACAATAGATGGTTTTGTTGCATATCGCATTTTTCAAGATTCCCCTGCAACGAAACTGGCAATCTGTTACATACTTGAGAAAGCTCTAAAGTAAGTCTTCTAGGATGGACAATTGAAGCTTTTGTTGCACATCGCAACTTCGCATTGAACTTCCACGGGGAGGCAAAATCACAAGTTCACAAGTACTTGAACAGCTTTAAAGTCAGTCCTTGGGGACAGACAATAGATGGTTTTGTTGCACATCGCAATTTCAAACTGAATTTTCACGAGGAAGCAAAGTCACATGTTCATGAAAGTCAGTCCTTCAGGACAGACAACAGCTCTTTGATTGTATATTGCAAGAATATTGTCGAATATTTGCATTTTGCCAGACATCCGAACTTTGCTTGATACCTTTTTACAACTTATTGGCCAGCATATAGACCCATATATAAAACCCCATCTTTCAAGGAGTCGAAAAGCTCATCGCTAACCTTGAACTCTTACTTCTTGAACGACGAACAGTTTCTTTTTCTCATGTGCAATTGGCAAACAATCTCTCTTGAAATATCGCGAACAGCGCACATCGCGCGAAATGTGCAAAATGCACAATCATTCACTTGGGATTCAAATCCTTCAATCACATGCCCAGGTATCTGGACCATAGAATATGTTTACCTTCTCACAATTTCCTCGTAGATTCCATGAAGTCGTTAGCATCTAGCACTCTCTAGTCCGGATTCACAGCATATTTACATGTTGCATCAATGAGAATGAACGAATTTGATATTTCATACTGAGCGCATCTAGTAATTCTCTAGTCTATCGCATTGTGATCGTATTCGAAAACAAGCATCGTATGTAGTGTGACGAATTAGTCGAAGACAATAGCAGCCTTGATTGCGCTCTTGTTCTTCATAGCCTCCAAACACTCGCCCCATTGCTCGAGTTTGTAGGTCTTGTTCACAATACCTTCAACCTTGACCTTGCCAGAGTCAAGGTAATCGAGAGCAGCGGCTTAACATTGTCAGCATTATTTCGCATAGAGATTGATTAGGGGGACGTACGGAACATGTAAGTCTCAGAGAACGATCCAAGGATGGTAATTTCGTCACCGAAGATCTTGCTGGGGGGCCAAGAAACTTTGGCTGAGGCTGAGTAGACTCCGTATACGCTGAAGAACCGCAAGGTTAGCATTTCACTTGCCACAGCATATTTCGGGTCAACTTACACAAGCTTTCCGCCACGTCTAACGTAGTTGATAGCATCTTCGAGAATCTTTGGAGATCCAGTGGCCTCGACGACAATGCTAAACCCCACATGATTAGAACATAGCCTTACAGAACTGAACGAAGTGATAGAATTTACTCGAAACCATATGGGTTGTCGGCCTTAAGTTTCTCGAATTGAGCCTCGGGGTTCTCTCGCGAAAGTTCGACATAGACCTAGCTCGCTTAGCTCAGGGGTAATATAACCGGGAGCTGCATAACATCTTACATCACCAGCACCGAGCTTCTTGGCCAAGTCCATCTTTAATCCCTTGGGAGCAGCAACAACAACGTGGCAACCACCATTCTAGAGGGTATTAGTGGCATCCCAAACGAAGTAATGTGATCAAGCGAGTAGCAAAAACACGATCTCTCCTTGATTGTAGGGTGGGGTATTGATGTGTCGTTGCTCACCTGTCTTAGCATCTGTGAAAGGACTAATCCAGTTGGGCCAGCTCCAAACATAAGAACGGAGGAGCCAAGCTTGGGTGAGATCTTGTCAAGGCCGTGAGCAGCACATGAAGCTGGTTCCAGGAGAGTTGCATCGACGTCAGAAAGGTTGTGGAGCTTGAAGACCTTTCCGGCAGGATAAGCGCAATATTCTGCAAAGCCACCATCTAAAGCCTGTCAGCACTTACAGTAAAGCCAATAACGGGATATCTTACCCATAGTGACACCGTGTGCCTCGAAGTGTTCGCAGAGCAAGAGCTGTCCACGACGGCAGTAGAAGCATTCATTGCACAGTTCAGAGTTGTCTGCGCAAACACGCTCGCCGACCTTGAAATCCTTCACATCCTTTCCAATGGCAGCCTTAGAAATCGTGTTAGACATGATATAAGTCGGTTTCATCAATTGGCAGCGAACTTACAACAACACCAACAGTCTCGTGTCCTGAAACGAAAATTAGTGATAACACGCTAATCTTAATAGGGTAGTTTTGCGAGCTGTAACATTAGGAAAGCAAGCAAAGCCACAGCATCTGAAGCTTAAAGACCTTGGCTGTAACAAGTGCGGTTTTTCTGGCCTTCTCAATATGTAGCCATCTTCACTTTCCTTCCGTCCATGAGACTTTCAATGTGCTCTGAGGTCAACTTTCACTTGATCTAGATTCCACTCGAAATTGGAAGGTCGAAAAGGAGTGAGAGAATAACTCGATGCTCAACAAGAGATGGTAGCGAAAGACATACCAGGAATGAGTGGGAACTATAAGTGGAAAGGTTAGCTTGTTATTCATCAGGGGGCATTAGCTTCACAAGGTGCGGAGAATCGCCATCAAGGTATGTGGTCATGCCGATGATGTCCAATCAAAAACCACATTTGTGGAAGCGAGGGGAAGTGCTTTTCGACATATATAAGGGGTCGACTACTAACCTTCGCAATGAATTCTCCTTCATGAATGTGCAAGTCGGTTCCTACACATAGAATCAGCAAACGGTTGTCTGCCATCTATGACATCGACTCACCACAAACACCACAAGCTTTGACTTTCTATTCCAACGAGGTCAGCGTCAGAGCCTGTTTTTCCGAGAGCAACTTGGGGATGACTCGGGAATGCTCTTGTCAAGAGATGTATGTGGATGATCAAGTACGTACAATCAAGACATCGTTGTCGCGCATCTTTGGCAGAGGCACAGTAACGACGGAGTACTCCTCCGGCTTGGTGTATCTATCAGTAACATCAGTTACAGCTCTTCTCCAATCGAAGTGTTCCCATTGAGCATATTCTGGACGAATTCGACGGGATGAATTGCTTCGATCTGCACACCGCAGATTCGTTGGGGTCGAAGGAAGCGGGGTAATTTACTTCAAAGCTTTCATTTCTGTTGAAAACCATAATCAGTAACCGATACTCAACAACTTTGAAGGGGACTGAAGGTTCCAAAACACTTGGTTTCTCCTCGGACGAACACCGATCTCGCACGCCCAAGAACCGCGAAAAGAAGGGGGTACTGATATTGCTTACCCTTGGGAAGAGACATCTTGGCGGTTTTCGGGTTGAATTTACTGGGAGATGTATGTTCTACGGTGAGTATTGAAGTATACAAAGAGAGCAAAAAGGAGCAAGTTGATTGACAAAAGGCAGATCTGAAGTTTTAAGTAATTACTGTGGGAGCTCGGCGGCGCCTCTGTAGGTCTTATCTTCCCTGTTCTCTGACCCCGCTACGGCAAAGCGAGGGGTTGACCCCACCAAACGAGGAAAGGCCGACTAGGACAAGTGCATTGAAAAAAGCTCAACGAGAAAGCCCTCTGGTAGGCATTCGAATCGACAGCTGCATCGCACTTGAGAGGGAGCTTCAATTGGACATTTCCCCAGTTTTCGATTCCAGACCCTGTCTCAATGACGTTGTGGAGGAGCATTGGATACAAAATGCTGCACATCTCGTGTGTCACCGACCTTTGAGTTGCCAGCTTTGGCGTCGTCGGCCATCAGCGGATCCAATCGAAGCGTCCACTCACGCCACGATAGCTGCACAAGTCAGCTGGTCACCCAATGGAGGTCTGTGTACACTGAAGGAATCTCCACACTTTTGCTTTTCTTACTGCCTAGGTTACGAGGAAAAGCTTCCTTTTGCAGCTCACTCTGACATCGGGCAGATCCGCGTGGGATATATACAGTAGGATTTTGGGGTTGTCATGTTCTGAGCACCCCATATACGATACTAGGGTGGCTTTGTGCAATTGTCCGTTATTATGCTTTCCGCAAAGGCGGTCCAACGTCTGTACAAAGAGAAGACTCGAAAATGGCAATCAATTCGGGGACATTTGGACCAAAGCTATATTAGCAAGGTTAGCAACTTGAGCACTGGCTCATCCAACACCATGAGAGATCGGCTCCCCTTTCAAAGCCTTCTCATGAACAATTCTCGTTCTCACACCGACATTGCTGGCAATGACCTCCTCACCAAACTTCAGTATTTAACATCAGTACGCCCTGCATTCACTAAGCGCTACTTATTCTAGTCTTAAAATCCAGGCTACACTCGAATCTTCTGACTTTTGTCTCCTTACGAGTTGGTGACATGGTTCAATTTATTGTGTGAAATAAACGTCAAAAGACGAGACAAACGAGATGCTGGACAGTAAGCTTGCAATGAGATCACACATACTATATAGAAACAGTCACTTCATAGTTCAATAGCACGCAGACGAATTGCAAGTTCCATGGAAGAGCTTGATATGCTATCTGACAGTTTTGAAGTGTCAACTTCCAACTACGACCTATTGCTCCCCCGGCGGTTGCTATCACCATTCGACCAAACGCGCTACTGTTCAGCCGACCACTCAAGAATTTGTGAAAGGTATTTCTGTCGGATGCAAAGCAAGCAGAACGAAATGCCAAACTAAGAAGGAGGAGCAGCTCCACCACGTCCACGTCCAAATCCACCACGGCTAGTATAGTTAGCAATAGTATTTTAGAAAATGTGTCAAAGATGAACTCACAATTGAGGAGCGAACTCTCCAGATGGTGCACCCTCCTTGCCCTCGCCGCCGGCATCACGTCTTCGGTAACCTCCCTCACGGTCACCACGATCTCTATCTCCACCACGGCCACCACGTCCACCGAAAGGCTTACGCTCACGTTCACCCTCACCACCCATCATGCCACGAGGAGGAGCATGGGATCGTTGTTGCTTGATGTGGGTAGCAGGAACAATCTCAGCGGGAAGATGGAGCCATTCGCGGAGGTAATCGAGACCCTCAGGGGTGAGAGTGTAGTAATAGTATTGCCAGCTGAATTGGGTCTTGACGTAGCCTCGGGAGGTAAGAGATTGGCAAGCCTTGACGACGTAGAGGTTCTTGGTGTCAATGTCGTTGTGCTTTGGGAGGTTGTAATCCTTCTTTGCGACGAGGACACCCTCTCGGAAGAGGTACTCGTGGATCTTCTTGCGGTCTGCCTTGGGGATAAGCCTGTAGGTATGTCAGTATACTATGCGCACGATTTCGCGGCGAGCATAAACACACATTTTGGCGGTTGTCGAATTCTTTTTCTGTTCGTTGAAGAAGATGAAGAAGTTCGCGATATTTTGAAAGTCGAAAATGTTGTGGGCGCTTTAGCGAAGGCGGTCAAGCCACATTTGAGTGGCTGAGATCGGCTAGTCCATATCCGGGGTAGCGCATCTTCAGCCACTTCTCAAGTTTGACTTCGTGGGTTGATGAGTATTTCATTAATATCACAACTCCGCAGTCTCCTCGAGAACAAACAAGGACATAATGGCTCCATCCACGATCAACGTTCTCCTCACCTCCTTCCCAGGACTTAATTTGCCATCCACTCTTGCGCTTCACCTTTCCGCGGAGACTTCTATATCCCAACTCCAAGATCGCATTCAAGAACGCCTTCCAGCACACGATAATCGCCTGATCCTCACAACCATCTCAAATAAACAGCTTCCGACTACTTCTACATCGCCAATATCCGGTCTACTTGCTAGCCCCCAAGATGACTTCTTGTCTCTTCGACTTGCAGTACCATTATGTGGTGGTAAAGGAGGGTTCGGATCGCAGCTGAGAGCAGCAGGTGGCCGTATGTCATCAAAGAGAAAGCGCAATCAAGGCGAAGATAATGGATCTAGCAGAAATCTGGATGGCCGTAGGCTGAGAACTGTCAACGAAGCCAAAGCTCTTGCAGAATACCTTGCTATCAAGCCGGAAATGGCTAAGAAGGAGAAGATGGAACGACGGAGGCGTTGGGAACAAGTCGTGGAGTTAGCAGAACGCAGAGAAGAAGAACTTCGATCCGGAAATAAGGGCAAGGTCGATGGAAAGTGGGTCGAGGACAAGGAAGAGGCGAATGAGAGGACGAGAGATGCTGTTCTTGCTGCTATGAAGTCTGGCAACTTCAAGGACAACTTACTGGCTACATCACATGGCAGTGCTTCAGGATCTGGAGGTTCTGGTAGTGAAGATGAAGTCATGGCTGGCACAAGCTCCAAGGATACAACACCGCCATCGGAACCAGAAGTCAAGCCAAAGCCCCAAACATTCTTTGGCTTTGATGATGACGACGAGTTCATGAGCAGTGATGAGGATGAGGATGAGGAACAGGAAGAGGTTACTGAGCTGGACGAAGTCGAAGAGATGGACGAGGACGAAGTTGAGGAAGAAAATGTCAAGGAACCAACACCACCGCCTATGCCTGCAAAAGGAAAAGGCAAAGCAAAAGCTAAAGCACCAGCCAAGGCAAAAGGAAAAGGAAAGGGAAAAGCGAAAGCTTGAGACTGTTATCGTGTTTAATTCGAAACTTACAGCGAGGTGTTACGGATGGGTTACTGCTTGGGGGGTATTCTACCAGCGTTCATAGTATTTGCAAGGGATTAACATAAGACTGAAAAGCCTTTTTCGCTGCGATACTTAACTTCCGTCATCCTCAAATGTCCTATGAATGATTGTTACTAAGTGACTTCCATCAATAAACCACTCTAGCCTTTAAACCCCACTTTTGACCAATCGGACGTCATCTTATCAGACTTACGGCTTATCTTGATCTTTCTTTGTAAATTGTATATCTTCATTCCACATCTCCCCTATCTCATCACTTGATTTACACTCAATCTGGCCATCATGATATCGCCCACGTCCCGCTTCCTCTCCAACTCATGGCGAAGCTCGATAATTCTGCAGACCCAATCAATTTTCAATCTCCGTACACAGAGATCATTTTCTGCAACGCCATGGAGACTTCTCAGAACTACAGAGATGACAGACGAACAGTTAGCAAGTGTGAGAATTGATCGGCAGAGGTTATGGAAAGACATCCATACCACCTGCGAGTGGGGGAAAGGCGAGAAATGGGGACCGTAAGTGAAGAGAACTTATGATTTTATATTGACATTTGCTTTCCAGTCGAATATGTATAAGATAACGCTGATTTTCTTTTCTGTGATTTCTTGAAGAAGATTTTGGAATGTCTGGATTCTTGTCTGCAGTTTTCAGAGCGAGATTGTGGTTCCGAGTAAGGAACATTCAAGTAGAAAATCTCAATTGAAGTCGAGTTCATTATTGGCTATTTCAGGGCGATTTATTGTATAGCCGATTATTGAAACTTATTCCATGGTCTGTCTCTTTGGCAATGTTCCAAGCTGCGAGAGTATAACAATAGCTAATCAATCACCAGAGAAGAAACAAACATTGGCATGTCACGCCTGACATTGAGTGATGCTGACAAGCAAGCCCGAGACTGGTTTGTGGAGACGACAGAGTCATTAGGTTGTAAAGTTACAGTAGATGCCATGGGTAAGTGTCTAGATCGAATCCAATATGTTGGGAGATTAACTCGTGACTACAGGAAATATTTTTGCAGTCCGTCCTGGGAAGAAAGACGGCCCTCCTACATTCGCTGGTTCACATCTTGATACACAGGTAAGTGTAGCTCTTCAGTGATTGGAGAATGATTAGAATATCCAGAGCTAGAACATATATTCTGATATTAAAATGTTGAGACTCAGCACCCAACATTATATCTCAGAATTGCACGAGATTAGTACCTTTGCTGACGGCCTCTCAGCCAACAGGTGGAAGATACGATGGTATTCTAGGAGTTCATGCTGGTATTGAAGCTCTGAAAGCCATGAACGACCATGAAATTTCGACCGAATTCCCTACAGGAGTCATTAACTGGACTAACGAGGAAGGTGCTCGATTCCCAATTTCCATGGTTTCGTCAGGAGTTTGGGCTGGAGCATTTCCCATCGAGAAAGCCTATGACCTCGTCGAAGTTGGAGGCGGGAAAGCCACTCAGAAGTCTGAACTAGAACGAATAGGATATCTTGGTTCCACCGAAGCGAGTTATAAAGCAAATCCCATTGGCGCTCATTTTGAGCTGCACATCGAACAAGGACCCATCTTGGAGAGTTCAGGTGGAAAAATTGGAGCGGTTGAGGGCGTCCAGGCGTATAAATGGTTCACAGTCACAGTTCAAGGAAGAGATTGTCATACTGGAACAACAGACTTCCAAAATCGGTCAGATGCTATGCTTACAGCAGCCAAGTTGATCTTGCATAGTCATAACAAAGCTTTCGAGCTGGGCTGCTTGGCTTCAACGGGTATCCTGACCTTGAAACCAGGGTCGACGAATACAGTTCCTGGGCTCGTTCGGTTCTCTTTGGATATAAGATCGAAGGACGATGCAAAACTGCAGCGTCTCGAAGAGGCTTTGAAGGAAGACTTTTCTGAGATCGCAGACGGGAAGGATATCGGAGGACTAAATACTCTAGGAACAAAAGGGAGAGGTTGTACAATGGAGTGGCAGCTAGACACAGATTCCCCAGCCACTAAGTTCCATGAGGATTGCATCAAATGTGTTGAAGCTAGTGCTGCAGACATGCTAGGGACGAAGGCCTCAGCACAAGTTCAGAGGATGACTTCTGGAGCTGGCCACGATAGTGTATATACTTCACGGCGCTCCCCAACTTCGATGTGGGTTACCATATAAACACACTGAACAATGTACTAACATCATACCAGGATATTCGTGCCATGCAGAGACGGTGTCAGCCATAATCCAGCGGAGTACTGCAGTCCGGAAGATTGCGGCAATGGAGCACAAGTGCTTCTCGGCGCGATGTTGCGATATGATCGCTTGAGAGCAGAGAAAGGAGCATGATCGAAAATAGGTTAACAATCCTTTGTATAATGTCCGGAATAGCACAAAATTTCACAAGCACTTCATGACACCCATCTATCAATTCGCCTCAATGACTTATATGGTACACAGCCCGTATGAAACTGCTCCTTTTTCCGTCATCTGTCGCCCAGTGAACCTCTATTTCACAACCGCCGATTTCCTTTACTGATCGAGACGTGCTGGGAAGGTTCCGTTTTCTGTGGCAATCGTGAGCTTTCAACTCATGTCGTTGGTCCTTATATACTAACCACGCTGATCGTCCCATCTCTCGCACCAAGCACTTGGGCACAATGATCGGTAGGCCAAGAAGAACTGTACAACCATTAGACCCTATCCTTTCCATTCAATTGAGCTCAGCATACTTGACGGCATGGAGCGAAGTCCTCGCCCTTAGCTAGGATGCACTTGTGGTAATCGACATAGTTTTGCCAGCAGTGCTTCGTTTGATTTTGGTTTGGGAAGCGGGCATCGAAGCCTATAGTATCGAAGGTCAATGAAGCTCTGCAGAGCTATAAGAGTGGATTGAATGTACCAGCTAGAACAAAAGTTAGAAATCAGGCCATCTGCCTCTCGGAGGTGGGCATGGAGGTCCCAGCTTACCAGTCACAAACTTGAAGGGCTTGGTCTCACGATCTCCGTCAGACATCTTGGCGATTGAATTCGAGATGTTGTTTAAAGAAGTTTGGTGTCTTAATGAGGGTGAATTGGTGAAGAAAGTCGTTCGATACCTTGTAGTCGAATTCGCAACACTCGGCAAACCCCGAGCTAACCTTATTAGCGCGGGAGCTCCAAAACTCAGGCCATCGCAACTCCCTCCTCAATCAACGAAGCTTTCAGGTCTAGATTGGCAGGCTAAACAAACAATATGCGTCCAAGCATCACTCTCAGAATGCAGCCAACTACTGCTTTCAGAATGCAACCCACTAGGAGGTTTATGGCTATGCCGGTAAGTTTCGAATCAGCCTCTAAAGTACCTAGCAACTAATATTGTTCACAGAAAGAAGAGCAGAGCGGTACGTATTCAAGATGCAACAATTCGAACCAATCTACGAAGCATTCAAGACTCCTAATCTATCCAATTGGCGTGTTTTCGGGGCATACGGGTCATTAGAGGCTGATATTCTTTCACAATAGCCCACACCATCTCGCAACGACTACGCAACCTCCGAAAGATTCCTCCCGAGTTGATCCCCCTTGGTAGGCCGTTTTATGAACAAAAGTTGCAGGATATAGGTTAATGTTCAACAGGAATCGTCGTCGGCGTTGCTGTCGGATTCGCAGGTTACTCCCTAGCCCGAAAGCTCATTGTTGACAAGCAAATGCGTCTCACCCGCCAAAACCGAAAAGAATAGACGGTCGGATGAAAATTGATGGGTGGTTAGTTGATTAGAGTGAGAGGTTAAGCACGAAGAGCAGCCAGTAGCCTTGGAGGGGCTGGATGTGTATAAAGTGAACGCGAGCATTGTTGGTATCAATACATGAGTCTCACACTCCCCAAGACGTGCTAAAACAGTGGTATCATATCTTCTCTATGTGAACTCCTATGAATTTTGCCGACTCCCTTGAACACCCAATAATGCACGGGTACGAACGAGACGCCGAACTTCTACTCATGCTGGCTTTGGTCCCGCTACATCTAGGCCTTCCAAGCCTTGCATAGGGTCATCTGGTCTGTCCTCTGGTCCAGACTTTGCTCTCTCGGCTGCCAGTCTATCCTCTTCACTAACAGCATTCTCCGCAAGCCATCCCTCCTATTAACATCGTGAGCTTCTGTGCAAATAGCCTACATGATTTTGAGAATGAAATAACCCGGACTTACTTGCTCCCACAACGCCGTCTTACTACCTAACCCTTCATTGACATTCTTAGGAGGTTTAGCTGCATTCACTTTGAGCACTTTGCCAAACAGCTCTGAGCCATCCATATTGTCAATAGCGGCTTTCGTATCTTCAGGATCCTCAAATTCCACATAGCCAAATCCACGGTGAGGCTCGGTTGAATTTGGTCCTTCTGGTTTCCTGTAATGTATGAGCACCATGTAACTTATGTTTCGAGGTTCAAAACTTACGGTACTGTAACATCGGCAACTTCACCGAAGGGAAGGAATGCAGCATGAACATCCGCTGCTGTAGCCATATGTGATAGCCCGCCAACATAGACAGTAGCCTGCCACCGTGCCTTGTCCGTCATTGTGTTTTGGAGAGTTTTTAGATGTGTTTTGAACAGCTCTAAAAGGTCGTGGAGTCATAAGCTCCTTCCCGTTGGGTCGAGAAGAAAAGTTATTACTCTTGAACTTAGTGCTCAAAATATCACGTGTCGGCATGGTGGGCGGAGCGAAAACGAGGCGCGCCGACGATGAGATCTGGGGATCTGTCAAAAACGAATCCACGTTAAAGTCCGACCACATTGAGGACTCTGGGACGTCGCAGCCTTTTATTATTCAATTGCGAGTCCTCATACTCTGCGAATTTCTCAAATTTCACTACTTTCTTATGCAGATACGGCCAAAGATAGCTTCGAACACACAGCATTTGGCAATCAACACAACAGGATGGTGAGGTTACGAGAAATTCCTCGCACGGCAACTTTTGCCTTCTCGCCCGGCTCTGGCCTGCCACTGGTGGTCACTGGAACTCGAGCTGGAGCAGTTGATGCAGACTTCTCAGACGAAACTAAGCTAGAGCTTTGGGATCTGAAGCTTGACGATCTTGAACAAGGTGTTGAGCTTCAACCTATCGCAAGTATCAGCACAGATTCTAGGTCCGTATAGCAAGTTATAATATCTGGCCATAGTAGCTAACTCTTCTCATCAGGTTTCATGATATTGCATGGGCACCTGCGAATGCGGACCATCCTCGAGGCATAATTGCTGGGGCTTTAGAGAATGGATCTTTAGATTTGTGGGATGCCGAGAAGCTCATCAATGGAGAAGCAGATGCGTTTATGTCCCGAACTTCGAAACATACAGGAGCTATCAAATCACTACAATTCAACCCACTGAAGCCCCAAATTCTGGCTACAGCTGGCGCAAAGGGGGAACTTTTCATCTACGACATTAATGATATTGGAAACCCATTCAGGCTAGGGACGGCAGCTGCACGATCGGATGACCTCGAGTGTGTTGCGTGGAACAGGAAGGTCCCTCATATCTTGGCAACAGGTGGTAGTGGTGGCTTTGTCACAGTTTGGGATCTCAAAACCAAGAAAGCATCCCTCACCCTCAATAACAATCGAAAGGCAGTTGGGGCTATCGCATGGGATCCGAACAATGCTACGAAGCTGCTCACAGCTACACCTGATGATTCGACACCTGTAATTCTTTTGTGGGATCTGCGAAACTCGAATGCTCCAGAGCGAACATTACAAGGGCACGATCAAGGTATTCTCTCGCTTTCGTGGTGTCAGCAAGACAGTGACCTTCTGTTATCTTGTGGAAAGGACAACAGAACCCTCGTCTGGAACCCACAAACAGGAGAACAGTTGGGCGAATTTCCCGAAGTTACGAATTGGACATTTCAGACCCGGTTCAACCCTCATAACCCGGCCCTATCTGCCACTGCCTCATTCGATGGCAAGATATCCATTCAGACGCTGCAAAATACAAATCCAGCCGCTTCGCAGACTCCCGTACAAGGTCCCGTCGATGGCGAGGACTTTTTCACGAAAGCGCAGACACAGCCTCAAGGAGCATCGTTTTCTTTAAAGAAGACTCCAAAATGGCTGGAGCGACCTGTAGGCGCATCCTTTGGATTTGGCGGGAAGCTGGTGAGCTTTGGTCTGTTGCCGAATGCTGCAGGGCAGCACCGAGCATCCAAGATCCAAATCTCACAATTTTCGGTCGATTCTGATGTTGGTTCAGCCACCGAGTCTTTTGAAAAGGCTCTTCAGGCTGGTGATATCAATAGCATTTGTGAAACCCACATTTCACAAGCGAAAACCGAAGAAGAGAAGGCGGACTGGAAAGTCATCCAGACTTTAATTACTGACAACCCTCGAAAGGGTGCTACCGAGTACTTGGGCATCATGGATGAAGTTGAAGAGGCAACCAATGGTGTCAAGGATCTTGACTTGGATGAATCGAAGACAGAAGAAGTCACGGAAGGTGCTAACGGGTCAAAGAAGAATAGTCGACTGTCGACACTATTCGCTGACGGCGTTGACGGAGAAGACTTTCTCTCCAATCTTGCAGCTACTAAGGGTGCTAAGACTGATAATCCGTTCCACTTGTTTGATGACGCCGATTCTGCTTCGGAAAAGCAGATCACCAAAGCACTCATGCTGGGACAATTTGAAAAGGCGATGACCATATGCCTCCAAGAAGATCGTATGGCTGATGCTCTCATCATTGCAAATTGTGGAAGTGCTCAACTATTCGAGAAGGCGCAGTCCGCATACTTGTCCCGCAAGACACAGGGCCCAAATTATTTGAGACTTCTGGCTTCGGTGATTGGAAAGAATCTTTGGGACGTCGTCTACAATGCAGATTTATTAAATTGGAAAGAGACAATGGCTACTCTGTGCAGCTACGCCGATCCAGACGAGTTCCCGGATCTCTGCGAAGCTCTGGGGGATCGCATTATGGAGACTGGCTCGTTGAAGGATGCTTCATTCTGTTATCTGGTTGGATCGAAGCTTGAGAAGGTCATCACTATCTGGATCACAGAGCTCAACGAAGCCGAAAAGGCTGGTATCGAGAATCCTAGCGGAGATTCCTCCTTCTCTGTTCATGCACGCACCCTGCAAAACTTTATTGAAAAGGTCACAGTTTTCCGAGATGTTACCAAGTTCCAGGACACAGAACAGAACTTGACCTCTGACTGGAAGCTTGCGCCTCTTTACGAAAAGTATACAGAATACGCGGACATTGTTGCAGCTCACGGCCATCTTTCCATTGCTGAAAGATATCTTGACCTTCTTCCTACAAAGTATCCGGCCGCAGAAGTGGCACGAAATCGAGTCAGGCTCGCATCAAGGAAAGCTGCCCCAACCATAAAAGCTGCGCAACCAACGACGAGTACGAGAACTGCATCACGTAACCAGCCAGTAATGGGCTACCAACCACTCGGTGCTCCAGCAGCCACTCCAGCAAGACCCACTCCAAGTGCCTATGCACCACCAGGGGCAGCTCCAACACCCATGCAGGCACCGGCCTCAAACCCATATGCACCTTCAAACAACCCCTACGCTCCTCAGGGCTATCAGCAGCAGCAACAACAACAGCAAGGTGGCTACGGAGGTTATGGTGGAGCACCGACGCCTGGCTATATGCAGCCTCCTCAATCTTTTGGTGCCCCTCCCCCAAGGAACACTACACCGTCCGTCCCACCACCATCCCGAGCCAAGAATATGGAGCAATGGAATGATACCCCAATGGTAACCAAGGTAGCGCCTGCTAAGAGAACTCCTTCGGTCCCTCCCATCAACTCTCCTTTCTCCAATCAGCCAAATCTCTCAATGCCACCACCTGCGCCACCATACGGATCTAGGGCAACTCCTACTCCACCTCCCCCACCTCCAAAGGGTCCCCCTATGCACCGCGTCACATCTCCCTTAGCTGGTGGACCTCCGCAACGACCGTCTTCAGCTGCAAATCAGTATGCGCCTCAGCCAGCTTCCCCAGCAGCTGCTTACAGTCACGCCTCATTTCCAACAGTACCCCGCGGTCAGTCACCGTACAATGCTCCACCAGCAGGACCACCGCCTTCAAACAGGTACGCTCCAGCACCAGCCTCGCAGCAATACTCCCAACCACCAGCTCAACCAGGTCACATTGCTCCACCTCCGTCTGGGAACAGACCCCCTCCCCCTTCACATCCATATGCTCCTGCACCTAGTGCATCTCAAAACTCATATGCACCAGCTCAATCTCCGTATGAGACTAATACTCCACCTCCTTCATTCCCCAGTCAAGGACCTCCTCCCCCAATGTCACAAGGACCACCACAAGGATCTCGCCCTCCAACTGGTCCACCACCCCGATCCACACCTCCTGTTGCAGCCGCACCTCCTCAAAAAGCCAAGCATCCAGCAGGTGACCGGTCTCACATCCCAGCCAACGCCCAGAGAATGGTCGACATATTCAGCAATGATATGCAGCGAGTTGCTTCAAAAGCACCCAGCTCGTTTGCTGCCCAAGTCAAGGATACTCAAAAGCGACTCAACATCCTGTTTGACCACCTGAATAATGAGGAGCTGCTCAAGCCAGACACTATCGTGCGCCTGAACGAGCTTGCAGAAGCACTGGCATCGAAGAACTACGACGTAGCGGCAAAGATGCAGGTGGAAATTCAACGTGAGAAGACCGAAGAGTGTGGCAACTGGATGGTAAGTTAAAAAATACTTTTCAATCAACAGGCACAGCTAACAATTTCCAAGGTTGGTGTGAAGCGATTAGTTAGCATGAGCAAGGTCACTCCTTAGAAGTGACGTCCGTGGATAGCAGCATTCCAAAGGGTTTGGACTGTAAAATAAGAACAAAACATTGCTAGAGCGGTCTGTTTGATTGGGTCTGCGCTGTGTGACTTAGAGCCTCAATTAAACCTCCCGATGCCGTGGCCGGGTAGTACTGCAGAATAAAGTGAAGTCTAAAATACAAAGATGACCATCTAAAAAGCAAGCCAGCCCCTTCGACTCTCACCTCTAGTCAACCAACATGCGTTCTACCGATACTATACTTTTGTGCCTACCTACTGATGTGCTCCATATTCTCCTTATGAATCACACTAGAGACGATTGCTTGCTTCAAGCCGAACTTTTCCCGCTGCTATGACGCACGTGAGAGCCGATGGCTCGACCAATGGCGCCCCCCGAAAACCGGAGTTTGGGGTAGTTTTGGATTTTTTCTACAAGCGAATTCTGAACCCATGCGCAGCCCGTTTTCCTCTTCCTCCCCTCATTTCAAGATCGAGTCATAGGCAAAAGGCGGATCTGCTCGATTTTCTTCTCAATTTTAAGTACAAATACCGTCCGTCCCTCCTCCTCGCATCCCTCTTCTTCAATTAATTTTTACGAACCTTTCTTACTAACAATAAACCCAATTCAGTACCTCAGACACAATGTGCCCCTCCTGCGAACCTGAAGCTGCCTCCAATGGCAATGGCTCTGCCAATGGGTCTTCAGTTGGTGCCAATGGTGCCAATGGCTCAAATGGTGCTGGTAAGAGCTTCATTAGTCTCTTCTCTTGCTACAAAGTTCCAACAACTGATTGCAATCTCCAGACCACCCAGGCTTCACCGCTATCGAGACCAAAGCAAACCCCCACCCCACCCGACACAACCCATACCAACCAGTTGGCGATTTCCTGAGCAATGTCTCGAGATTCCAGATCATTGAAAGTACTCTGCGTGAGGGTGAACAATTTGCAAATGCCTTCTTCGACACTGAGAAGAAGATTGAGATTGCCAAGGCGTTGGATGATTTTGGTGTGGACTATGTGAGTCATTATATACAAGACCGATACACAGCACATGCTGACTTGATGGGTTAAGATTGAATTGACTTCTCCTGCTGCATCTGAGCAATCAAGACTTGATTGCGAGGCCATCTGCAAGCTGGGATTGAAGGCCAAGGTCGGTGTTACCATACCTCACTCCCCACACCATGGCTAATCGAAATAGATTCTCACACACATTCGATGTAATATGGATGATGCCCGAATTGCTGTCCAAACCGGTGTTGACGGAGTGTAAGTTTTATTTTTGCAATTCTCGCGACAATTGCTGATGTGCCTCAGTGACGTCGTCATTGGCACTTCTTCCTACTTAATGGAACACTCCCACGGCAAGGATATGACTTATATCACGAACACTGCCATTGAGGTTATCAACTATGTCAAGTCACACAACATTGAAATTCGATTTTCTAGCGAGGACTCTTTCCGATCAAGCCTGGTTGATCTTCTCTCAATCTACTCCACGGTCGACAAGATTGGTGTCAATCGAGTGGGTATCGCAGATACAGTCGGCTGTGCTTCTCCAAGACAAGTTTACGACCTGATCAGAACTCTGCGAGGTGTTGTCAGCTGTGACATCGAGACGCATTTCCACAACGATACAGGATGCGCCATTGCAAACGCATACTGTGCTCTGGAAGCTGGTGCCACTCACATTGACACTTCAGTTCTTGGAATTGGTGAGCGAAATGGTATTACTCCTCTAGGTGGTCTCATGGCCCGTATGATTGTTGCCGATAGGGAATATGTTATGGGCAAGTACAAGCTCGACAAGCTCAAGGATATCGAGGAATTGGTTGCCCAAGCTGTTGAGGTCAACATCCCATTGTAAGCGAAACCTTTAAATTTTGTGAAAGGTGTATTTGAAAGCTAATTGGATCGAATTAGTAATAACCCTATCACTGGATTCTGCGCCTTCACACATAAGGCTGGTATTCACGCCAAGGCCATCCTCAACAACGTAAGCCTAATCTCATAAATTTAAAAATTAGCTCCTTTGGACTATTCGGGGCCTGGAACTGTTTCAGGAGCTTGACATAAACACAAACCACGGTTGTCCATCAGCAAGCTCTTGTACCAGGTCCCGGCCCTCGGAGTTTTCCATCATTCTAATCTACCATGCTAATCCGCTTCTAGCCTTCGACATACGAGATTATCAACCCAGCTGATTTCGGCATGTCAAGATATGTTCATTTCGCTTCTCGTCTGACTGGCTGGAACGCCATCAAGTCAAGAGCAGCACAACTGAACATTGAGATGACTGATGACCAATACAAGGAGTGCACAACCAAGATCAAGGCTCTTGCCGATATCAGACCCATTGCTATTGATGATGCAGATTCGATCATCCGTGCATTCCACCGAAGCATCAAGCTAGGCAAGGAGGTTGACCTTCTGCCCAACATGACCAATGCCGAGAGAGCTTTGCTGGCTGAGAAGGAGAAGGAGATCGATATACCCGAGAAGAGAGCCCTTGACGAAGCCGCCGATATGCCAACCAAGAAGGCACGAAACGGTGTCACTGCATAGATCGCAAATTCATAGATCTAGACCATAGATCTGGACAAAAATTTCGTTGTATCATGGAAGGAGCATACTTTGGGGGGTTCTGAAGTTTCCAGATTTGGCTATCAAAAGTCTCAAAAAGCGGATTCTTTCATCTAACAAGTGGATACTCTGATCACTGCTAGACTAATCCATATGGGGGGTTTGTGGATGGCGTTCTTTCTGACTTCATATTGCTGTGTATGATCACGGCCGATGGGACTTTGAAACAATAAGATCAAGACAATGAAAATATTACTTGAAGACTTGGAGACTATTAGTGATTCGTTACCAAGATATCAAGATCCATTATGATATCTGACATTATGCTAGTGGGCTATATCCTACGTGAGACAATAGTTACAGGACTTGGTGCTGAATCGCGTAGCCATATATCAACAAAGCTAATTGGAATATCTCTAATCTCTCTGCTGAGCCTGTTCCCAGGTCATCCCAAAACCCTCAGCCTCACGATTTCGTCCCCACCCAACTACCAAACCCAACCTAACCTTATAGTTTCAAATAATCATTTTTTGTGTACAGCTCACATGGCGTGTTGGTTAGGCAGCCAACTCAGGACAATTGTGAGTAAGAGATGGATCAAGGTTAAAATCGCCTGGCCCGCATACGAACGAACGAACGCGACTTTAAAAACTGCAACCGACATCGAGCAAGTTTTCTAAGACCTCCCCATTCGACTGGTGAGGTCTGAGTTTTTGCTTCGCTTGTCTTTTTTGGGGATGGAAGAATTTTTGGCTTTTGGCTTCACTATCGAGATCACTGTCATCGACTTGAGGCAATCATTTTCGTGTCAATAATAGTATTAACTTGTGCAAAGTCTGAATTAGGGCAAAGTTTTTTATTCCCTTGATAGCTTCTCAAGGCAGGACAACTGAACTTAGTTGCCTCTCAACCAAGCACAAACACCCAACACGAAAACGCAGACCATCGCATCACCACTGACCGTGGTCCAGATCCTAGAATACCGACTAAACCACGTCAAGTATCCCTTATACGGCTCTGGCAAGAAACTCGTAATCATTCCCAGAATACCTCCTTGCTGAACACGCCCCTTCTCCAAAAAGAACCTACTACTTTGCAACAAAACTTCCACGGTAGCAAAGACCCAGAAGAAGTGAACCAATGCCGGCTTCATGACTCCATCATCCGCAGAGCTGTACCCCAAAGCACTTCTCTCCCTATCTATCTTCGTGCCTGTAAACGTAGTCGTGAAGGCAATATAAAGCCCTAATCCTAGCGCGAAGACTGCATGTACAATTCTCCAGAGATACGCATACGGGTCTGCTGTAGCAGCAACAGGCTGGCCTGGCATTGGCGGCATTCCTGGAAACGAAGGCATGCCTTGTGGTCCATCCCCATTCATACCTCCCATCATTTGCTGCATCATTTTCATAATTGGGTCGTCTGCTGCTGGGCCGTCACCCATACCGTCCATTCCACCCATAAAACTTGCGAACGGGGTCTGAGGCATGCCACCTGGTCCTGCGCCGGGTGCTGCAGCTGGATCGAAGCCCAGCATCATCTGTCGCAACGCATCATCGTTCATTCCTTGGGGCATGGAAGCGAGAGAGGGGGAGGAATTGACGTTCGCTCTTGAAGTACGCTGGGGTTCATAGAAATGTTGTGAGATATCGACTTCATCTGGGTCTGCATGTGAGGAGACTGTGGGTTGTGGTGGAGCATCTGTATAATGTCAATGATCTGTTCAGCTAACGTACTGAGGGTATAGACCTCGTTGTACTCCACCTCCTAGACCTGTAATTCTGTTTAATCGCGCCGAGCCTCCAGCTCTGATCTTTGCTTCGCGTCGTTCTTTGCGGATGCGTGCTTGTTCTGCTGCACTGGAAGGTGGTGTGCTGGCCTCGGACGAGGCAACTGGTGGTGTGTCTGCCATTCTGCTGGAGTAGTGGGAATATGATACTGATAATCTGGTGAACAAGTCAAGAAAATTCGGAGTCGAATTCCGTCGGTTTCTTGAACAATGGGTGTTGTATGTAAGTTCCAAGTTGTGGTCCGAATTGTGAGGAAGGCTGAGGGCAAGTCAAAATGTTGCGCTGGCTAACCGAATCGGGAAGGCGGTGAGGTGTATCGAGTATTGAGGTTGTTTAATACTTCACTTCACTGTTACTGATTCAAGATACTCCAAAAGAAGCTATTTCAAAGTTGATTTGAATATTTGACGGTAGGACTGATACCTAAGTGATGCTCATCAGATTCAAGTCCTCAGCACATGTGATCGAGTTGAATGTACAGTAAATTTGTTTGGAAAATCCAGATTTTCATGATCATGTAGCACGTTCATACTTACAGCACTCATTCCTCATGTTTAGGCGTTTTAAGTGGTTGCATCTGAAAGCGATTATAACATGAAGATTGAAACATTCCAAAAACCCAGTAGAGCAAGTTAAGAAAGCGAACCAGGTAACGTCTGTCAAAGCTAGTCGAGTGACATGTAATTGAAGAAACCAGTGTGTCTGAATGGGTAATGTGAAGACTAGAGACCCAGCAGACTACAAAGGTTTTGAAGGGAAAAGGGAGAAACTAACTCTGGCTGAAACATCTCTCTCAAGCAGCTGAAGCCGATACCGCCAAGGCAGGGAACTGTACATGTTACCGGGCAACAATATAGTTTTTGCTTGAATATGCCTAGAAAGGAGCCTAACAAGCCTTTCGAATCTGTGTTCTAGCGTTTGTCCAGCTTGGGCGGCTTGTAGCACTGAACCTCCTGTTCTGAGACAATTGAGATCATACTTGAAAGTAAATCACGCCTGAAGGGCTATCAAGGCTGTGAACGTCTCTTATATACGGCACTTTTTCTCTAAAAGGCTACTTACCGTTTTGAGGAAAGTGTGCTCTGCAGACCACTATCAGTATTGGGCCGAGTATGGAACATTGGTCATGACAGCCTCACGCAGCTGATTCGACCAATTCAACTACTATGGCCAACTCTGAAGGAGAACTGGAATTCTGGAATTGTTGGTGATTGGTGAAGAAGTACGAGCAAAAAACATTATGGCGTGTCGCACGGGCCACATTCAGTCAGCACCAAATCCAAACGTGGAGTTTTATCATCCTCAAAAACCAACCTTGACATGTCAGCACGTTGTCAAGATTGTATGTCGGCACGGCACCTTGATTGCGCATTCATCGGTCTCCAGCAAAAGCCAAGTTCCGTGACTCAAGATAGGTACGTGCTTGGCAACGAGGCACGGCGGGACGCTAACAGTTCCCAGATGCTGGGCCTCTTTTAGTGGATTGCTGAGCAAATCCTACGAAACTACGAGAGTAACACCGGAATAGTCCACTCAAAACAATTTTCGGTTTCCAACTCCTCCGGCCGATTTGAAGACAACCGGCCGGTGTGTCGCAAGCCTCCTGCCGTCGGCCACGAAGGTGATCCTTCTCAGCCATCTGGATTTTTCGCTGACAAGTGTCAGATGAAAAGACGGATAATGGAGAGGAGCGAGCAGCGAGCCAAACAGAGAGACAATCTGCTTTTTTTCTATTTGCCAAGCACTTGTTGTTCGTCCTCATGCCAAATGCGAACGTGCTGTCAAATCCGTCACATTGCATTCTTCGGGCTTGCTGAATACCTTTGATGGGCTCTCCAACATCGTGCTATTGTACGAGGGAGCCACTTAGGTCAAAACCCAGCCGCGATGCCTAGCCAGGGTCGTATTATTATTATCCGCAGAATACCTTGCCGTCTGCAAGGCTGCGCAGCCCGATCTCCCATCTGGGGTTTGACTTTGAAGTTATAAGAGTGAACCAATTAGGTATTCTACTTTTGCTGAATCAGAAGTTAGGTCAGCCGTAAAGTCATCCTTGGCGGGAGTCTCACTGGTCGATTCGCGGCCGTTTCTCTGCCGGGGCCGCGCAGGCATCGCAGAGCCTGTCCTCCGAGATTGTGAGACGGTCGACACTGCCTCAAGTGCCTTGTGTATAAGATTCGATTTCTTCGCATGTTCATGATATTAATCTTCATTCCATTTTCAACTGTACAAAGATCTACTCTTGAAAGTCCCAACTCACCAACGAGTTTTCGAAATTCTTCATCAAAAACTCGCTTAATTTTCGTCTCCCCCTTGAGATCCGGAGCCCTTTATACAGTTCATCGACACTCTCAAAATGTCTAATTTGACACATTCAACTGGTCATGGCACTGGCTACGGCAATGCTACTTTACTTGCCAATCCAGAGCTGTGTACACTCCAAACATGCGATCTTTCTATGGCAAGCTTTCTCTACTTACCGACGGTACCGGGTAACGCCATCTACGCTGCCATCTTTGGCATCTACGTTATCGCACAACTATATTTCGGGATACGATACAGAGTATGGGGCTATATGGTTGCCATGGTACTTGGTCTGGTGGCAGAAATCATTGGCTACGTTGGTCGAATCATGCTTCATAACTCACCATTCGACAACAACGATTTCCTTACGTATCTCATTTGCTTGACTATTGCTCCAGCTTTGCTCAGCGCTTCTGTAAGTTGCTCAGCTCACATCACTAGATGTATCTCTAACAAGTATGTCCAACAGATCTACCTCTGCCTTTCCCGCATCGTCATTGTGTATGGCGAAAACCTCTCCCGCTTCAAGCCTCGCACATACACTGCCTTCTTCTGTACATGCGGTAAGCATCTTCTTGCAGCCTTCATATCACAATACTCATTTTCTCTTAGATTTCATCTGTCTCGTTCTCCAAGGCATGGGTGGTGGTATCGCTTCGACTGCCAACACCGTCAGCGGTAGCAATCTCGGAAAGAACATCATGTTAGCAGGCTTAATCTTCCAACTCATCTCCCTGAGCCTATTCGCCGTCGCCTGCACAGAATTCTTCTTCCGCGTCCGAAGCGCCCGAGGAAACTGGAACCCGCGATACCTCAACATCGTCAGCTCGAAGCTCTTCAAGGCCTTCCTGTTTGGTCTCGCAACAGCCACCGTCACAATCTTCATCCGAAGCGTCTACCGTTGCGCCGAGCTCTCGGGAGGCTTCAACAGCACACTCTTCACCTCCGACGAAGCCCTGTTCATGATCCTCGAGGGTCTTATGATCGTCACTGCTACGACCTGCTTAACTCTCCTTCACCCTGCTGTCTGTTTCCAGGGCGCATGGCACGAGGCTAACTTCAAGTTCCGCACGAACAAAGGCGAGAGTGCGAAGCTATACACGTCGGATGAGGAGAACCAGAACAGTGATGTGCGATTGGACGATATGTCTGGCCGGGGAAATCAGGTGTTTCAGGGACAGGGGAAGTAGATGATGGGGCTTGGGGCTTGGGGGACTTTTCTTTGCTGTATACCCGTTTGTGTTTGTTTTTGTTTTTGCTTTACATGATATCAATAGATGGATGGATAGGATGGCGGGGATATACAGGTAGATGATGGTAAAGGCACTTGGACGGCGCTCACCAGGGAAACATGAATCACGAAAGAGTGGTCTTTATCTTAGAAGTCATACAACAAGAATGTACCAACATCAATCAAGCAGGCTGTCTTCTTCCTCGAGTCTCTTACATAGTGTGTCCTTCCTTTTTAGGGTTTTCTACAAAAGGGAATACTTTCGTCAACAGGACAGACCGTCGCGGAATCAGGCCAAAGCTGAAGGAACGTACGGCATATCGATCAAGTGGAAAGTAAGAGAAGCAACAGTGGAATCTTGATATATTCAATTCCCCACTACACCACAGCTAATTCCTCAACCGAAACCGCCATCTCACAGCTCCTCCTCTAGAAATCTAGACCCATCTTGATCTCTAGAACACCGTACAGCTCTCGTCCATACAAGGGTTCAAGTCAGTCGAAAGAAGCCCACACGCTCCTTCTCCGACCGCTCCCCGAACCTGAATTTACGATCTTTTTCCATACATCAATCAGTCAAGTTTACACTCTGATCTCTTTAATCTAGAGCAAGAGACGCATACACCATTCAAAATACACTCTTACTAGCTATCTTAACTCTGAAACCACGGCAAAATCACACAAACGTTCTTCCCTCTAACATCTACACAACAGCAAACTTATTTTTCTCTCGAAATAGCGCAGTTGGGTAAAGATAGTAGCCGCCTTCTATTTAAGTATTGGGCACAAGTCGGACAATGCTAACTTACTTGATAGGGAGATCCTAGTAGAGAAGTACTGACGTGTGAAATAAGTGCAAGAAAGTATGTGTCGAGGGGATTCGATGTTTTCTGGTAGAGATAACTTCATCTTTCAACTTTGTCACATCAATGTGATCCTGACCCTGCCACAACTCTCGACACTCATCCTCGATACAAAAAGGCCCTTGCCACTTCAAGACACGAACCACAGAAACATTCACCAGGACCGAACATTCCTTTGAATTGATTATTCTTCATTTATTCCTGCTCTGGTACTGGCTAGGCTAGGCTCTATCCTAAAGCAGTAACCAACCACTCACTCATCCAATGTTCTTCGCCCCTCGAATCCAATACACACTTCTCTCTCCCCCTCTCTCTTCTCTTCCCCATCTATCATTTCATAAAGAATCAGGCCGTCCCGTGCTATCTTGTCCCACTCATCTAGAGCGTTGCAAACCGCGAAGCCAAAATTCCGGCTCCGAAAACAATCAATACCCAACCGAATAAACAGAAAAAACAAAAGGGCAACAAACAACAACAACGAAGGTACAAACGAGGATACCCGCAACTGCAATGGTATTTTGTACAAACGTACAGGTGTCTCTCGAAAACGGAAATAAGCAAGGAATCTCGAGCCCTCCCAGATGCTGTGATCATCGGTGCCGGGTGCCCCAAGATAATGGGGGGACAGGGAAATGCCAAGAAAATAATGTTGGTTTGGTTGTATGGTATTAACGCCGACTCCGCTATGCAATGATTAAGACCGCGTTCTTTCGATGAAATGACTTATTGGCGCCAATCCGCCCGTTCTATATCCTTTTGACGCATGATATTCGTACCGCTTCTCGTGTATTATGGACTGATAAATTCGAATTCGATGTATACAGGTTCTGGTGTTTCGAAGGCCAGAGAACCAGATCAAGATGAGGAGGATTCTGCTGCCGTACAGCCATCAACAAGACTGTTGGTAGGCCAGTCATACTTGGTTGCGCTCCAGAGTGTCAGATTTTGATTTGCATCTGTAAATGGTTAGTAATGGAATCGTGAAGGTAATGATGTAACTTACAAGGCTCTGGATGGCTTTTAATGTAATTCGTTGTGGGATAGCCCTCCGGATCACAAGTGACCGACTCACTTCCTGATTCCTGGTAAATTCGCACGTAATCGAATCTCATTGTGGCTGGCATCAACTCCGCAAGATTGGCCAAAAACACCGTGGCGAAACTGTTCGACATACCGAAATTCATGACGAGCGCCATTGGTTCTTCCGGGATGATTCGCTGGCCTATGTTTCCGTTTGGTCGGAGAGCTCGATGATCCATGTGCCAGGTGTAATCATCACCAACAAACCAAGTGATATCGCCGCTTGCACCTGGATTATACTCGAAACCGTACGTTTGATACGCATTTCCATCATACCACTCGTCATTCAACCATGTTACACCAGACAGTGCCTCCTGATATGGTCCACCACGGTAAGCGTTCATGCCAGTGATGGAGGTATCATAAACCTCCAGGAAGTTGTAGTCGGGCTGATACCAAATGTCAAACGGGGCAGCTTGGAAAGACTGAGATGCAGTTCCAGTGGCGGCATCGTATTGACCAGGTCCCATGAACCCAACACTAGCTTCAAGCCCATCGATTTCAGGCGCAGATCGAGAGATTCCAGCAGAAGGGTGGTCTTGGTTCTTGCACGTGCAAGCAGGCAATCGCATTCCAGGTAGTAGACTGAGACCGTCTGGCGAACTTTGATTTGCGGTGATACCAGCGTCACATTTGTCCCAGTAGCTGTAAGGCCATAGACCATCGGTGGTTGCGGGGTATCCAGGTCTTCCAAGATTGCCCATCGCCCAGAAACCAGGCCAGAAACCTTCGATGTCTCCACGACCAGGGAGAGAAATACTCGCTTCTAATCGTCCTCCTTTGAAACACAATTGATTCCATGATTGAACCATACCAGAGCGATAGTTGAGATTGTGACTTTGGAAAGCATCGAATTTGAGGTTGAGAGTTCCATTTGCGGTCGAGACAGCGTCAGGGTCGTACCATTCGAGATCCTGCGTGACACCATACCAGATATCTACAGCTTGGAAGTATGGATCATCTCCCTCGTAGAACGTTCGTCCATCGGTATTAAATTCATCAGAGAACTAGGTAAATCAGTATAATTTCACTTTCCAGATCTCTGCATAAATACATACCACAAGTGTTAGTTTATCGCCATCGTGCGAAGTCTTCGAATAAGCACTCTTTGGCGTGTCAGAGTCAATGAGACCGGTTCTCTGGTTCTTCAGTAATGCAAAGCTGTCTGACAAGCAATCCGGATCTGTTGAACAAGTGTCTGTTGGTATTCCTACAACCTGTCGAACGAACGTTCTATAATTAATTAGCAAGTGCAAAATTGGCGCCACAGAATCGACATACAGGACAGGATAGCCGATGAATAGTACAAGAACTCCAATAGTGATCAGTATTAAACCTCCCACGTTGACCATTCCTCTCTTATTCCATATATCACACTTCTCCCTATCCTTATCGTCTGGATCTGGGTTATGTAACCAATCGTCCTTCTCGACATCTTCTGGAAATAGCAGTAATCCTGCAGAGGGCATGATGTTGTATTTCTCAGAGACGGTCTGGGTATTAACATTGTCGTCATCGCTTCCAGCTCTCGACGGCGCTCTCGAATCGTCAAAAGGAGAGGCAAATGGCGAAATAAACGGTCCCCGACTATCTCTGCTTCCCGCCTCCGAACTCCAACTCGTCCGCCGTGATGACATTTGTGAAGCTGCTCGGGATGGGCTATCTACGGGCGAATCTTGGTATGGTCTTGGTGTGCCCCGTGTTCTCGTTGGTGGTATGAGGAGAGAGTCTGATGACTCTGCTATTCCTGGTGAGCCATACATACCAGGACCCAATCGTGATGACTGTGCGGACGGCCCTCTCGCAGGTGGTATTAAGTTTCTTGACAAGCCTGGGGTTCCAGCTGTCGATGGGGAATCGTCGGACCGCATACTGTCAAGCAGGTCTCCTCCACTGCCTGAATTAACGGTGATGTGTAAAGGTCGGACAGGTCGTAGGTTCTCGGAAGCCATAGGGGTAGCAAGCAAACAGCACGAGTTATGATTTCCAAAACGCTCCTCTCATCTGCTACGTCGTCGGTACTGAAATTGGGAAGGGTGGCTAGAATCTTCGACCAAGCGAGGAGGGAAAGAAGAGGTTCGTATCGTCGAGCTCAGGACTCAGTCCTTCCAAAAAAGAAACAGCAGACGCTTCAATCGATTGCGCGGTCTATTGATGTTGAATGGTTCCGTGCATATGCTTTCGTGGTGGAGGAGAAGGAGGAGGAGGCGCGGCACAGCTGTCGTGGAAGCTGGGTGAATGGAGCAGGGAGCAGGGAGGTATCCAAGAAAACGAACGGTGGGAACTCTGCGAGGGATCGAGGAGGGCAAAAAACGAGTGACAATTCGAAACTCAAAGTCGAATGAGTGCCGAACAGAGAGGAGCCGTGGGGCGAGGCGAGGGCTTGTCGACGACGTTGAAGTTGGTGGTCGACGATGAAGGTTGGAGGTTGTGCAAGTTCAGTGCAAGTTCAGTAAGTACAATGTTGCAGTGCAGTGCAGGTGGTTGGCGTTCTGAAATTAGGAGACGTGCGTCCTCTCTCCTGTCCTGTCAGAATCTTGTTCGTTCAATCAGGGATGTGAGGTTTCTGAAGGGTGGCTTGGTCTGTTAGCGAAGTTGGCTGCTGTCAGGGCAGGGTCGGCCAGGGGCGAGCGGAGAGGCGAGAGGAGAGGAGGCAAACCCGTGGAAGCACAAATGCCTGAGGGAGGTGAAATTGCAGATGGGGGGGGGGATGCAGAAACGACGATGCGATTGCAACAGAAGGCGTTTTTCTTCCGGCACGATAGCAGGTGGATACAATACGATATGATACGGGATCGTCGAGCGTGTTGTTGTGGTGGCAATGGAAGTCCCGTGTCAACACAACAAAATGTGCAGTCGCTGGGTGCAGAAATGGCCAGCAAGGCTTGAATCTTGACTGTGTCGGGTGTAGATCGACCTCGCTATGGCTCGTTTTAGGCGCTTCGCAGCGGTGGTGGAAAGTCTGTCTGGCTGCTCCGTACCTGAAAGAACTTTGCTAGCTCAGGGGAAAACAGTTGAGTCCACTCTAAAATGGAGGAGCCCGCAGTTCAAAGATTGGCATCGATAGATTGACCAGATAAGAAGTCGTAATTCTAAAGCAACTAAGTACCGGATGGTTATTTTCAAGCTTAATGCATCATCATCATCATGATAATCATGATTGAGTAGTGTGCAGAGTGGTCAATTAATTCTACAGTGCGTGTATGCTGTTGCTGTGCCAAGTTTGCCTGAGTCTGAGTGCAGGCCACTACAGTACAGGGCCGAACTGTTTGGAGATCAGATCAAGTTCTTTTGCCTCCCTCGGCAAATTCTATAATTATCTCCTCCCCTTCTCCTCTGATCGCCTCTCTATCCAACACCAACAACGCTGAGCACGCGGATAAATTCTCCCCTTCTTGCGAACCCAACCCTGGCCCTGTGAAGGCGGCAGTGCAGGAAATGACGACACATACCCAGATTGCACCCAATCTGCCTTATCCAGCGTGACGTTCCTTTCATTCGAGATAAACGCTCTCCATTATCGCCGTTAAGATATATCCTTCCTGTTCGTCCCAAATCCTGCTGAACTAAGAAGAAGAAAGTCAGTTTCCCACCCGTTCACGTTTCCGTTTGTCGCTGCTGAAGAAGTTTCTTCTGGAGAAAAAGCTTAGATGAGCCACGATATGCATTGATTAGCCAAGCCCAATCTCGCCAAGGCCCGCAGATCTCGAAAGGGGCCACCGCGCAATTATTGGCTCGGACATGAAACTGCAGATATACCCACCCCGGCTCCCCTCATAGCTGCACGGCTCTCTGCTCGAAAAGAACAGCGAACTCCACGTGACGCCACACCATGTCTCAAACGCCAGTTGTTGGAGATCGCAGGAGATCCCTCCATCATCCTCGGATGCGATCAGGGGGTTGACTGGCCGGTGGCCATCCTTTCAGAGGCTGAAGTCGGGGTCTGCTACAAGAAGCAATAAACCTGAAGATTGGTCTGGGACACCGGTAATCTCAGCGTCAATCAAAGAGAGTCAGAAGATGTCATTGCTGCCTGTCCTCCAATCCCAGGGGTGTGATTCGCCTTGTACAATCGTGTGTGTTCTGGAATGTGTTGCTTTCCGCGTCAATTGCATCCTTTTAGTTGAGTGGTGTTTCATGGCAACTGGAATTGTTTGCTTAGGATCCATTTTCAGCCTCACGTCTTGTGAGACATTCGCTGAAAGTACACAAACGGCTGAAGCCTAGGCTGAACTCGTTCCGAAGCACGCCCTCAAGTCAATTATAAGTCTACTTGTATCCCGTTCGTAGTCACAATTCGCATTTCCCAATACCTCAACGAGGCATCAGCAGTTTTGACTTTCCAAGATATTCATCTGAGACCATCTCTCTTCTGGAATCCGAACCGAGCTTCCATCACACTCTCCCAGAATGAACATGGCATTCTGATTGTGATCCATCTCGGATCTCCCGAACAACGATATGAAAGTGTTCAGTACGTCCCGTTAACGTGGTTAGGATCATTGTTGAGACAGTCGCACTCGAATACAGAAAGACATATAAAGTCATACTTTGTGCTACTTATTTGTATCAATCTGCCATTTTTACTAGCCGTATTGTTTTTTCTAGCCATCGCTTCTACTGTATCATACTGCTCTTGTGTCCAATATATAAGCAGAGTTTTTACTATCGTTCTCCGCATCCATCTGTCAACAGCAGTTTCAGCAACAATCTGAACATGAGAACTTCAAGTGAGTCACTGTCTCTTAAGTTACTGCTTCTTGCTCAAAGTCACATATAAATCCTTATTTCCAGCACCAGTTATTCTTCCATCCCCGCCAAGAACATTACTCTGCCAATATGTCCGAGGTTGTAAGAGCAGTGCTACCAAAAATACAGCTCTCTTCATTAACAGGCCCTCATCATTCGAACGCCTCTCTTCAGAGACCTGAAAGGATACCACTATTCACAATACCATACCCCCAAGACAAATTTGCGAGGTAAGCTATGCTTCAAAATGCTCTTAGCTTCGTCAGTGCGGGACTTCTACTTTGAACGCTATTCAGCATCCAGTACATTCATCTGAACGCGTCCCAGCTTTGCTCCTCCTCCTCCAAAAAAAGAGACGTAAGCGAGCAAGTACAAAGGGTAAAAACAGCAAAACCGATTCCTAGATACCAGCCAGAGTATCTAGGGGGATTAACAGATTCAAGCGAGTCACATATGAGTAAGCATCTTCGCAGGAAACAAGAATCTGATTTCGATTGTTTGTGGACTCGACCATTCGGCCGCCCTACTGCTCAAGTACAACTCTTTCCGTTTTTTTACGGCATGGAAAATGCTTATTTGTTTCTATATCCCAAGCAAGCGTGGCGAGGGCAAGGTAGCCCGAAACGGATTATCGTCAATAAAAGGCTGAGTTGCTTAGGAGCTCACACAGTCGATCAAGAATTCACTTTCAGCTGGGAGTGTATACCCCATGATCGATAGTCAATGAATTAAAAGATTTCGATTGATACCTATACTGCAAGCCTTGGCTATGGATACGAGAGTAAGAGCTTCATATTGATTCAGCGTCTGGGAGTTCATTCATCTATGAGGAAGTGTTGGAATCGTGCTTCCTGCAAAAACGGAGGCTTGGACGAAATTCTAAGAGACTAATCTGGAATTTGGCCAGATGGAGTTACATTACTTTCGGCTCTGTCAATTGAAAGAACCAGTGGGTCTCAGAAATAGAGCGGTGCTACCTCTTGCATGTAATTAGCTATTATATAATCAATATTGACTCTTCAAGTTCGAACGCTCCTACTGTCTTCAAAGTCCTCTTAACACAAATTCAAAGGCTACTACTCACTACGCCATGAGAATGGAGGACGGTATTTGATGACTTCCTTCTTACACATTCTAACATTTCCCCACCATAGTCTGATGACCTTCTGGGTAACTCAAAGTCAATATTCTGCCATGAAGCTATGCTTCCTCCCTAGTATCCTACAATATCACTTCACTCCCACACTCCCGCCCTTCCCATCCACCACCCTAACTCTCAACAGCCAAAACCTTAACCCCAACCAACCGTCCCCCCTCCACAGTAACAACCCAATACTCTACCCTCGCACCCCCTCTCCCAACTCTATAAACCCTAACATCACCACCCTTCCCCGCCTCCCTCACCGCATCCACAACATCCTTATACTGTCCCTGGCTATCCCACTCCGCCACATCCATAATCTCGACCCCCGCATCGCCCGGACTCGGATGTTCTATCAACTTGACAAACGCATCTATCCCGCAGATCATTAGCCTCCATTCATTCATTCATTCCCTATTGCACTCCCCAGAAACCCCAAAAAGCACAAGAAGATGGAGGGCAACAAAAAAAAGGAGAAACAAACCTTCATCAGGCAACCCCTCCCCCTTCCCCTTGAGCTTCAAACAGACAGGCACAAACGGCTCATCCGCATCAGACACATAATATTTATCCTTCACCCCCTCCTCCAACACCTTCGGGACCTTCGCCCCCTTATCCAGCGCCTTCAGCTCCCCTCCCCCGCCGTTACTCTGTTGCTTAGCCTCAGCGGCGCCTTCATTCGGGTCCTGATTCGCTTTATCGAGGAAGGACATGTATTCTTCGTCTGTTGCCATTTTGTCTTTTGCTCCTTCCTTCGTATTATGGTTCGTGGTATCGGTGTTGCTAGAGAATACCCTCTCAGCTTGACTTAGGGAGACGGATACGGGTCTCCTCACGGTACAGCAGGTCCCGGGACAGGACCGCCGACTCCCAGTTTGCGCGTTAGGTCTTGGGATTCTTGCGCAACGATGTCCTGCGTCTGCTGCGCGTGTGGAGTATCGTGTGATGCTGAATTGTGGTGGTTTGGTGATTTGGCAGATGGCGCGGATTTCGATTGGGAGAATTGGAAGCATGAAAGGATGGTGCCCATCGTTTTTTTGCGGGATGGTGTTGTATTATGCGGGGTGGGGTGAAGCTTCCTTGTTGTGAGGGAGTGGGACGTGCGTTCGATGACGAAAATGACGAATTTTTGGGTTTAGGAGATTGGTAGTTTTGGGGAAGAGGAGGTGATTAGATAGATGGAAGGAAATGGGACTACGAGATCGATTGATGTTTAGATGACGAGAAGTGTTAAAGGTGCTGAGATAGTCTTGAGTGAGATTGCGCAGTCACATGTGCATGTTAAGATTCTTCTTGTTGATTGCTTTTGGACATGTTTTCATAGAATCCCTATCTAGTTCATGCCCTAGCGGGTGACATCGTAAGCACGAAATGCAATGAATCCCCCACTACACCAGTATCGTAATGCCCTGCCAGGAAGTAGAAAAAGGGAAAAAGCAACGAGAACAAGCTTATGCCTTTTGCTCGATATCCTTCTTGAGCGTACCCAGGAATTGATGCTTCTCGGCAGGAGTTTGGTATGCGCCGTGACCAAACTTCGACGAGGTGTCGATCCATTTCAAGTCAACCTTCTCCAAGGCCTTTCTTGAAGTGTGGACGAACATGGACTTTCGGAGAGTCATGACACGCTTCTTGACACCAGGAACGGAACCCTTAAGGATGATGAAGTCATTCTTGACCTCACCATAACGGACAAAGCCACCCATACTATATCATGTTAGCTTTTGAGAACTGCAAAAGGAGTATGGAAAACTAACGGAGTAATTTGCTTCTTGGAGACATCAAAGTCGGTTGATGCGTTACCCTCATCATCACCCTTGCCAATACGGTAAACCTTGTGGTTGGTCGAGGTACGGTGATGGTATCCATCTTGACCGGCACGAGCAACAGTCCATTGGACGTGGGAAGGATGCCAGGCACCAATACAAGCAACCTTTCGGAGACCCTTGTGTGTCTTTCTCGGAAGCTTCTTAGTTCCCCATCTGCTGGTGACACCCTGGAAACCGTGACCCTTGGTGACAGCAATGACATCAATCATCTCATCTTGCTCGAAGATGGTGCTGATCTCGACTGGCTTCTCGAAGAGGTTCTTGCCGAATTCAACCTTGTCAGCAATGCTACCGCCGTTGACTTGGATTTCCATCAAGTGTGCCTTCTTTTGCTTGAGAGGGGTCTTGCGGATTTGGGTGTGGGCGAGTACACGGACGACAGTGCAGTACTTGGAGATGCGCTCGAGTTCACGGGTGATGGAGGAGCCAGAGCTTTCGGAGTGCTTCTTGGCGTACTTGGTGAAGGCCTTCTTCTTGCTTCTGTACCAGTTCTTGTAGAATCGACGCTTAACCTCATCGCTCAAGTGCTCAGCCCAGACGGTTGTGAGAGATCTAAGACCACGAGGAGTTTCAATGTAACCCACGAGACCAACAACGATCACCTATAAAAAGTGTTAGCCATTGGCATAATTGCCAAGCGGGCTGCATTGTTCGTACCGGTGGTGTTTCAATGACAGTAACAGCCTCAACAATCTCCTTCTTGTGTGATTTCGCACCAGGTCGGTCGAGGTCGCGAACGATGGTGGTCATACCAGCCTTGTATCCGAGGGTTGCGGTGAGGTGGACAGGCTTCTTGGGGTCATCCTTAGGGAAGGACTTTACCTTGCCTCTGTGACGAGCAGCGCGCTTTCTCGGGAGGAAGGCAAGGGAGCCGTGACGGGGTGCCTCGAACTGTAATGAAGATATTGTTAGCTACAATTGAAATCAAGCCACCTCGAGCCAAGCGCTAGCCGCAAAGTCGAAAACGAGTTCAAATGAACATATGGATCAATGAAGGGTATCATCTGTTTCATACCTTTCGGTGCGACATGTTGACGGCGTTAATTATCGACGGGATGTTGATGGAGAGTTCGCTCTTCGAAAAAAATATACTCGAAAATTGACTGTGGGAAGGTACGACTCGCCTAAATTAGCGCCGTCATAGTAAAGCATCACGTGAGCTAGACCCCTGTCAAAAATGGTCTTCTCGGAGCTGCACAAGGCAAAACCATAAACCATAAATTTGTGCCCGCGATTTTCTTTTAATGTTCCGGGATGCAGTGGTCATTGTGAGGTTCTGTCTCATCAATATTTCTGTTGATCTCCTTTAAGACTCTTGGCGAAGGGAAATGTCGTATTGGCGTTGAGATGCAACAGAGGACTATAGCTAATACCACAAAATCATTTTCAAGGTCTCTGAATATCAGATTACTTTGGTAGGTGAAAACTTTTTCGACCAGGTCTTTAAATCTCCATGGACAGCTGGCACATTACCTTAATCGATCGCTTCTTCATTCTGTATTCTAGAGGCGACACCCAAGAAAATTTGCAGTGTTGCACTATTTGATGTCCAGACATGATTGAATGAACTCCTCAGTACCTATTCGTGTTCTTGGTAAGTCGAAGGGACATTGAAAGATACGCTGACACCGTGAGTCAAAACATAGATACTACGTCTCAGAAGCAGGCACATCAAAATCAAGAAGGTTTGGTTAACATTTTCTATACACTAAACTAATCGCAACGAGGGAGTAAATACACCATAAGCAGTCGTAATAATACGCCAGAAACAGAGTGCCACCTAGTTTTAAACCTATGGCTCGACCTTTGTCTGACCATTGGCAACGCCATTGATATGGCCATTAACACCTGTCGGAGAAGTGGCCTTCGCATCTCCCGAAGCTGACCCAGGTCCAGATCCCGTAGCAGAAATAATTCCTCCCTTTTTATCCTCATCTCCATCGTCATCATAATCTTCATCGACGTCCATCTTTCGTGCAGCACGCTCAGGTTCACCTATTGGTGCCGGAGGTGGGGGAGGTGGGTGATCGAGACGTTCTCTTTCACGCTCACGATCATCAATGGGATAATCCTTCTGTGCAGAAGGTGGTGGAGGGGGTGGCGGTAATTCATGGACTGGGGTATGCACCGGAGGAGGAGGACCTTGCTGCATGGGCGGCAGATGGTTTGGAGGGAGAGCATGGGGTGGTGGATGATGAGCAGCTTCGGAAGGGTGGTAATTCTCATTCGCTCGCTGTTGTGCCTCGAGGCGTCTCTGTTCATCAAGACGTCTTTGGTCATCACGTCGCTGGTCATCAAGACGTCTTTGATCCTCTGCTCGACGAGCTTCTGATGAGCTACGACGGAAGGGTTCTCTATCTCTGAGTGGCGTGGAAGGTCGTCGGTGATGCATATCTTCCATTCGAGCTCGATTTTCGTCAGAAGCTGGCTTCTTCATCGAAGAAGGCTCGTCTTCCCATTCACGCAATCTCTTGGGACCAACTGAGGCTGGCCTGTCGCCGTTTCTTTCTGCCGCAGCAGCTTCAGCAGCAACCAAAGCAGACGCTGGGGGAGGCGCACCGCCCTCAATGCCTCTAGAGTTGGAAATGTCATCATGGTGATTGTAAGGCTGTTGGTGTGGGTAGCCGGACTTTGGAGACGGCATTCGATTGTCCATGATCGCGCGCACTTCTGGTCTTGGACTAATTCGTCCGAAAGGTGGCAGTGAGCCTGGTCCAGAGCCATTCATTCCAGACGGGGCAGGAGGCAATGATGGCCCAGGACCTGCATAATTGGGATTCGCAACTCGGGCGGGCTGTGATGGTGGTCCTGCAGGAGGAGGTTGAGGCAATCCCGGGCCAGGATAAGGTCCCATAGCAGCATGATGTTCACGAGGAGGAGAGCGGCGACCTGGTGGGGGAGGAGGGCCATTTGGCGGTCCTCTATCAGATCCCGGGCCTGGATACGGCCGCATCTGTTCGCCCTGTCTGGGGCTTTGCGCACGTGGGGGAGGCGGGATGGCGCTGCGTTCGCGATCTCCGTAAGGATTACCAGGGTGGGGTGGCGGGTTGATCTCAGCAAGTCGACTTCCCCAACCATTTGCACCTGGTGGTCCAACTGGAGGCCCAGGAGGTGGAGGATTCGGAGCAGAATTACCCCATTGTGGTCCTGGTGGACCTACAGCTCCAGTAGCTTGATACGCCTGGGGATGAACATCTTGAGGGAGAGGAGCGCTTGTCTGTCCAGGCATTCCATTTGCTTGCCCGCTACGAAGTAGTTGAAGACGAGCTTTGATATGCACGTTGCTAGGGTCAAGTTCTGCTGCGCGTTGATACGCATCCAATGCGTCACTGATCTGATTGTTGCAAGATTCGTACTGCGCCAATGGTCAGCACGGTCGCAAACGGAAATCGGCTGAAGATGAAGCAAACTTACCAAAGTCCCCAAGTCGTACCAGACCTCGGAAATGTAAGGGTTCAGGCGTATCGCGCGGGAGTATGCATCAAGGGCATCTCGGTACTGGTTAATCTGGTAGTACAGAACGCCAATCGAGCACCAAAATGTCGGGTTCCGTCCATCGCGGTAAACTGCTTGCTGATATGCCTCGTATGCTTTGGGATACTTCTGTTGTGACATGTAGCACCGTCCAAGGAGATACCAGCTTTGCGCATCACTTTGATCTGCCACGTGTTAGCGTGTGCACTGTCGGGCGCATCCTTTCTGACGAGCTTTACCTGAGTTGACTGATTTCTCAAGGTACTCAATCGCTTGCTCCTGGCTGCTGAAACTGTTACTCTGCTGGTGATGCAGCCAGCCAAGCTGCTGAAGGACCTTTGCATGATTCGGATCACGGTCAAGCACACGCCTGTAGGCGTTTTTGGCATTGTCGTACTATAACGCTGGTTAGAACAGGAAAGTCCAAGACGAGTTTTCAAGCTTACGTCTTTTTGCTGCTCGTGGACATGCCCGATTTGGAACCAGATGTCCTCTTCGGTCAACGGCGTGGGTGGTACAGAAACAATGTATCGGAAACACTGGTGAAGTCAGCTTTCTGTGTGACTTGAGCTATCTGTTAAAAGGGCCTACCTCAAGACTTTGCTGATACTTTTGCTGCTGCTTGTAAATTATACCAAGCCGGAAATAGATCTCATTGGCCTTTTCGAAATCTGGTTGCATGCGCATGACTTGCGAGAATGCTTCTTCGGCGTGTTCAAGAGAGCCATAACGGTCGTAGAGGATTCCAATACCGTACCAAAGTTTTGGTTCCTAAAGTGCGGTTAATGCATGATCATAAAATGTGGGAACAAGATACTAACCTTGGGATCTCGAAGGTGATACAAAGCTTGTTGATAGGCTGAGTACGCCTGTTGTAAATCATCCATCATCAAAAAACAGTGACCTGAAAGTATTAGCGAATTACTTGGCAATCTGAAAATCAAAGACACGAACCGAGGCTGCCCCAAACGTCACCATTGTTGCCATCCAACTTAAGAATGTTCTGAAGGTACTCGACGGCCTTATGGAAGTGTTCCTGAGTGCGAAGGAGACAGCTGATAGAGTTCATGGCGGGAATGGATCGCGGATTGGCGCGCAAAGCATGCTCGTAAGCGCTCATAGCGTCGTCAAGGTTGTTAAGAACCTCTGAGAGACTCCCTATGACCAGACTGTTAGTGATAGGAGTGGGTTGTCAGTAGCTTGTACACTCACCGATCTGAAGCCATACTGCCTCGTTCATAGCCTGCATCTGTTGCGCAGCCGGCCATTGTTGCTGAGGTATGTTAGGCGGAGCCGGTGGGTGCTGAATTAATTCAGACATTATTGATAAGAATCAGACTCAGACTCTAGGTGAAAGAGAGAGTGCGGTGAAAATTTTCGGAGCAAGCGACAGAAGTTGAGTTGAGTTCGGCGGTCGCTAGATGCGCTCCTTCCCACAATCAACCCTTCTTCGTCACCACAAACAACAACCGACCTCTAGAAACCCAGACAATCGGCGACACGAACAACAGAAGCTCAGTGATGCGATCGGTCGCGGGCAACCATCCACGATTCCGAGGCGGAGAGGGCTCGAAACTACGTTCTCGTGCGAAGAAGATGCGCCCTCGAGTGTCTTGCTTCTGCTTTCCTGTGGCGCAACACCCAGAAAAACCCGTCGAAGATATACAGTGCGGGGATACAAGCTACGACGAGGATTGGGAAGAGTCAGATCCGATGCTCGTCAAGTCGCAATACCAGCGTGGCGATGGTCGTGCGAGTGGTCGTGAGGGTGTGTTGGAATTCGAGCCTCGCCAGAGCAGAAAATGTGAGAAGGGGATCTCCAAGTATCTTACTCTTGACCAAAAGGACATCACGCCCAAACTTACCTGACCCACGCTAGCGAGACCTCACCTTCTTCCCTTCCTCCCCAGGCGGCTCGCTTGAGGTCAGACAGGGAATGCCAGCCACTGCAACCACGTTATGGCGAAAGAATTCCAGAGCTAAGCTGATCAAGCGGCCCGCCAGGACCAGGAGAGACACCGTCTGGCGTCCAAAGTGCTACTCCATGCGGCTAGACCAGCACCTCATCCACAAACGGAAGCGTTCCCACATTGTAATCCACCATCTGTCCCGAGCCTCCTCCTCCTGATTCGAGGCATCACATCACATCACAGCATGGGCCCGGAGAGCCCAGAAAGGGTGTCGATGCCTCGTTGCCAATGAGCCCGATAGAGTTCCTGGAGCAATCATACAATAATAATACCATCATACATGGCCATGGCCGCGCGAGCGAGCGCTGACCGACCAACGTGCGGCGCTCGCAGCTAAGCCTCCTGCCGATTCTGCTCGGATTACCATGACATTACGGAGGCGCGGGTGGCCCTGGTGATGATGATGTCTCAAGGCCTGCACGATGCCAACCCCCACAAAGGCTAGTTCGCCAGCTGGTAAATGATTTACTGTAGTTCTTGGTGCAGGAGTCGGATGTAATGGTGGTCCCGCCGTTTTCGAATTTTGGGTTGCATCGGGAAAAGGGTTGATTTGAGATGACATGGGCTCGTGGCTGATCATACACAGTACCGCGAATCGCGATAAATTGATTATATCAACGATGCCGCCGCCGCCAGACGCGGCGAGAGACCGCGGACACTCCAGTTGCAGAGACTAATGTTATTTGCGAGTGCAAAGATCATGGATTTTCGATCATCGTATGGTGCGTGCGAAGGCTGTCATATTCTTCGAGCATGTCCAAAAAGGAGAGGAACTCCTCCGCTCGCAAAGATTCCGATTCGTGGGACACATGGAAATCAGCGAAGGCTATCTTCCGAGCCAAAAATGTGGCATGTATCACCCCAAATTGGTCGACAAAGACCCTGGACGACAGACGCTGCTACAGCAGGTTGTCGCTCCGGCCCTTTTGCACGCATTCATATTGCCCAAGGTCCCCTATGCCTGCAGAGCGAAGTTGGGTGAGAGTCGTACAGCATTGGTCTAGGGCCTGCGTATCACAAGAAACGGCTGGGGTACTGCATCCCATCATCAATCAAGCTCCTGTTCCGGGACCAGCCCTTTGAGGGAGTAATGCCGGTAAGCTTCCAGCACCCGCCCAACTCTGCCACGCATGACTCAATAATATGTGATTGATAGGGATATAGATTCTAGCCTGCTTCGAATTTACCTTCGGAGATCTATATCTCAACCGGGTTTACTTCCCCGCAGTCTGCAAAGGTCAAAACTCCAAGGTCATCACCGAATATCAAACCATATTATTTGACATGCGCGTTGATCCTCTACGGATTGTATCAAGATCAACCACCACCACCAGCAGGTCATCCATCGTTCAGCCATCGCAGCTTGACATGTCGGCGGGAGTGCTGTCTGATCAAGATGTGGTCACACGAAAGATCTGACCCTTCGCACGATCCTCGTCACCGTCCGTTTCCCTCTTCCTATGAATGAACCGCCCTCAAATATGGAAGCCTGACAGCAGCATGACTACTAATGCACAACTTAGGCACGGCAACTTTGTGGCTGGACCGACAGTAAAATGGCCATTGTATAGTGGCCCGAGCCAACCCCTCCCAGCACCAAACGGGTTCAGTGGATCCAGCCGGGGACCTGCTAATCGATAGCCGACGACTCTTTTTAAAGGTTGAAGCGTGGCAGATCCGCATGAAACCCGTCCTCTTTGTTTGGCCGAGGGTGTGGTGTGATTTAGTTAGGAATAATTTCTAGTGAAACAAGGAATATCTGCCTCCAAGCAGCACTCATCGGACGTACAGGTCCTCGCTACTAATGCAAGCCAGGTTCTCTTATGCTGGAGTCCAACACGGATCGCATCCGCTCCTACAGATCATGTGACTGCTGCTTCAACCTCGAAATAATAACAGGGTCATACTGGATCAATTGATAGGTGGCGGTGAGCGTATTAAGAAATCGAGGGCTTTCAGATTGTTTGATCAAGATTGCTTCTCAGAGACTCCGCACTTGCGCTGCGGAACGAAAGACTCCAAGCTAGGTGGGGTTTCGAGCGATCAAACGACAGAGTAAGGACCAAGAATTTGAGTGGACGAACCCCAATCAGGCACCTCCACATAAAAAACAAAACATGGGAAATAAGTTTCTTTTGACGAAACTAGGAACGCCCCCGGGCTTGCCCTTCCGCATGCAAGTGAAAGCTGGGCGCTAGGGCAGGCTGACAGCCATGCAGACAGTGCAGACCGAGGGATGACATGCGGCGTGCTTGTGCTTGTGCTTGCACCTCCAACATTTTGGGTGGTGTGGGTTCCTTTTGCTTTGTGTCACCGGCAGAAGGTCAGCATGCCAGTAGCCGAGTGAGAGAAGATCTGTGCCCAGACCTCCACCTTGATCCGAAGATAGATTGGCTTTGACATGCAAGAAGTCTTAGTCAAGATCCTCCCTTCCAGATGTTTCCCAACAAGCCTCACCGGCGGAAGCCTTCAGGGTGTTGCGGGTGGTGCTGCCAAAAGGAAGTTTTTTGTCTTGGGCTCAAGAGTCATCATATCTGGTCCGTCGTGGTGCAGGAAAACATTGTAAAAAAGCATCGCTTGAGACACCCACCACCATCATCATCAAAGACATTCCGCCACATCGCTCAAATCGAGCGCCACTCGTGCCACTCGCAGCGCCCCCATGTCCAACGAGGGTCTGGAACAGCCATTCCAAGCGACTGAATCATGATCCAGAAGTTTGATTCTGGGTTCGCCAAACATTCCAAAGTCAACTGTGAAAGATCCGACGAGTGGGAAGAAACACGGCAAGGGGCGGACATCTCAAGGAAGTGAAACAGAAGCACAAGACTGCTCACGATAGCGGTTTTGGTACTTGTTTTCACCGAAGAAACACTCGTGACTATCAGATGTTCTCTTCGAATAAATTTCACCACTACAACCTCAAATAAACTCATAGATTATATGCTTAATATTGCATACTTTATTTCGATTGTTTTTCTATTTTTTAGATTAATTTTGTTGTAATAATAATAAATACTTTGTTACCTAAGCACGAGGCTAGAAAATGCTTTTTATTTACTATTGCTAGAAGTGTCTGCTTAATCAAAATGATTGTTGGATGTACCATGAGTCAAAGTCTTGAGTCGTATTTGTTTTGGCGAGTGCCTTGTTTAAATGTTATGTCGAAGTGTGGGTGTTTGCTAGGTTCAAATGTTTCTTTAATGAAAAGAAGTATATCAAACGTTCGTTCTATTGTCGGTATTAAAACTCGATCAGGGCTTCCGGGATAGCGGCAGCGAGAATGGTTCAACTGAACAGCGAAGCATTGCATACCTCGTACAGGGTCCACTTTGGAGAATCTCATGACGAGGACTCGCTCAAAATATCCCTATCCTTGTTTCAGGGATCAGATGTCACGAATTAGGAGGCTTGTACGATGTAAGGGTATCTTAAGGTTGATAAATACATGGAACATTATCGCTTTATACCGATCCGTGGATAGACGCTCAATAACGCCATGAAATAAGTATGGAAATACAAGCCTGCCACTGAGACCATCCTGCCTTGATATCTCTCCTCAATGCGATCCTTCGCCTTCCCTCTCTGGAACATATGTTGTTTCTCCAAGCATAGCTTGTGGTGTCTGTACATTCGGCTGAGGCTGAACTTGTACACTTGGTCCTGTAGCCGGTGGTGGAGGCTGCGATTTTGAACTTCCTGCTGTCGCGGCGTGCAGACGTTGATCTAATGCCTTCAATGCAAGTGCTCTTCTCCGCTCAGCCTCAGCCCGTGCACTCCCAGGCGTGCCCCGCTGCATGAACGTATCGCCTCGAGATGCGGATACGTCAGCCGCTGAAAATGGGCTGCATATCCGTAAGGAAACAAGCACGTTGTAGACCTGGTCCGAGAAAGACGAAACGAAAGGCTTGACGGGGTCAGGAAAGAACTCGGCAAAGGCAAAGGTCTCGCTGGCATCTCCACGCAGTGACGACTGGGCAGTGTCCAAGTCAGGAAATGCTGGCTTATAGAATCGTAGGTAGATCCAACTTGTCAAGAACCCGGATGTTGCAAGGAGGAACGAAGCTACGCTCAATAGAGGAGTAAGTGAAAGTAGAGAGACTCCGAGGATGTGTAGAAGTGGGAATCGAGGGACTCGAAGGGAAACGATGCCACGAAAGAGGGTGACAGTATGTGCAGGTACAAGCTGCGAGAAGGCGACTAGGAACGAGATTTGGAGAGGTACTGTGCCGTTGATGGTTGTCAGACTAGCAGTTATAATCAGTGTTATGCTCGGCATACAATAGCTTCGAGACCTACGTCCAGCTCATATCACCAGTAGCGGCAAATAAGATGACCAACGTTCCAAAGCAAAGTGCATTTGGAGTCAAGGCAGTTATCAGCAAGAACTTTGCAAACTCGGTAGATGTCCATGCTCTCTCTAGGTATCGGCCTCCATAGAAGATAGTCACACCAGATATACCGAGGGTAAAGACATTGTTTTCCACCAAAGTTGTCGTCAGGAAGGTCCAAGGATAGATCAGAGAGAGCTGCGGAACCAGAGCGATGTAGGGAACCACAATATCCGACTCTTCTGACCACTGTCGGTATCGGATTGCAAAGCTCAGGAGACTCTGGGAGACGAGCGCGATGAGTAGAATGCGAGTGATAGGAGGGATGTTGAGTCTCGGAGGCATGATTCTGAATAATATTAAGACACTGGCTTGGTGGAAGGATGGTGAGGCTTGCAGACGCAGGCAACACAAAGATATGTGCTCAGCAGGACGTGGGACCCGGAGAGAGAGAGGTGAACGTCGCTGGTAGCTCTCTACCTCAGTACAGAGTATACTGAAAAGTATCCAGATGTTGGGAGTCACGATTCTTTACCTAATCTTGGACCGAGCTCAGATGAGCAACTAGAACGAATTAAGCTTAGTTCTAAGCTCTCAAGCTTCACAGGACTGCTTCAATGGTGCTGGAAACGATCTGGCTTTCTCTATTTCAACAGTCCTGGACATCTGTCAATCTATTCCGGCTTCTTCTCTACGACCTTCACCTCCTCCATATGGTCTCCAAGTCTCCATTACCACTTCCTGTGTCTTCACCACCGCTTCACCGTCAGAACTGTTGTTCCACTCCACCTCCCAGCGAGTCCCACGTCGTCTGCCCAGCGATTGATCCCAGCTCTCGAGCCCAGACACGCGACGGAGCCGGTTTAACCCTGTGGAGCAGTGCGCCGCTCGTCTTTAGCAGTAATTAGGGACACACAGCCGAATCCAGCAGCCCAGGACGGACAGCCTCAGCACACTATCCTTGCCCCGGCCCCTGGCGACCTTGGATTCAAGCCCCATAATCCCATTGGCGCCGATCGCCTTGTCATTGGAAGACTCGACTCGATCCACCAAGTCAACCCAACCCTCCCCGGGCAATCCCCTGCACACTTAACTATCACACCAAGCCTACCCACGATTCCGTTTCCGATACCCTTCCAACACAGCGCAGACTTCCCTTCGTTCTTTCTTTTACACCTCACCTACCTGAAGATTCACTTGCCTTCACACCTAGGGAACCCGACGATTCACTCGTCACATCCAGACTACCCGACGATTTGCTCATCTTCACATCCAGACTACCCGACCATTCGCTCGTCTTCACATCCAGACTACCCGACGATTCACTCGCCTTCACATCTAGAATACCCGACGATTCACCCCTCCGCACCTAGACTACCCCGAACCTACTTTATGATACCCTGCTGTCCCTCTGCGATACCTCACCGCGACAGGTGCAGACTCGTGCGTCTGTTGGCTGGCAGCGTTCTAGTCCCCACATCCCATCCCGCACCATCTGTGTCTACTTTCGTCTGCGCCAAAGAGACCTGGTTCCTTCATTCCTCATCTTGAACTCTTCCACATCAACATCAACGACACCCTCAACAACGCTCAGTATTCTGCAACTGTTCCCTAGATTTCTCCTCCGTCGCGTAGCTGCAGCGCAACGATGGCGAAGGAGCCGCTCGATTCCGATCGAGTCAACTATCTGATTTGGAGGTACGTGTTTCCTCGTGATCCACTCAATTGGTTTTTCAGGTACGGGATTGCTTTTCGCTAACGGCAATTGTTGCATAGGTATCTGATTGAATCTGGTATGTACAGCGCGGTTGACGCCTTCACGCTTCTGCGTATTGACTATTGCAATCTAGATTATCGAGAGACCGCCGTACGTCTCCAAAAGGAGTGGAACAAAGAAGATCCGCAGCAGCTGCCATTCGCAAACCATGTAGAGAATCACAGCCTAGTGGCGATGCTTAACAGCGGCCTCCTGTACAGCGCGCAACACCGCGAAGCAACAAAGGTATGTCGCCATGCGTTTTTTGTCTGTCGTAGCTACCTATGTCCTTTCATCCCGTCATATCTGTCTATTTAGGTCGTTTCATCCGAGTTCTAAAACTAACAGCTTGGTAAGAATCATGATGATGGCGCGCAGGTTGAATCTGGGTTCTTCGGCCCTCTGGTGCCATCATCGCATCCGGCACCTGACCAGGATATTGAAAATGCCAGAAAACGCCCCATCGACCTCGAACATCCTCAGAATCAATCAGGCCCACCAGGAAAGAAAGCTCGACTCAGCAATGGCTATGAAAATGGCTTCGATGCAACCCCGATGGACATTGACGAGGAGCAGAATGCCGACGAGAATGCCTATCCGTCTCCCGAACAGCTGCCCTCTCCAGCTGTAGCCACCAATGGACCTGAGCAAGGCACTCAGATGGAGAAGACTGATGATCTCTCTCAGAGAACGAACTTCTTAGAGCTCTCAGAAGATCCATCAACGAACAATACAGTTGTTCTCCATTGCGAGTTTAATCCTCGAAATCCCATGATCTTGGCGGCTGCGGGTACTGATGCACTAGCACGGTTGTGGACGCTCTCGAGTCCTAAACCCGACACATGTTCCGACAGCCCCGAAAAGCCTGTCTCTGCGGATTTTACCCCACTGCTGGATAGCAACACGCCTTCGTCCATCACCATAACCTCACTGTCATGGTCGTCCGATGGTTCAACTATTGCCCTCGCAAGTGAACCGACCGATGAAGGAACCGCCAAGATTGAATTCTATGCTATCGACGGCTTACTAATTCATTCGTTCAGCGCCTTTGATTCGCCAGTAGTATGCCTGCGTTGGAACCCCTCAAACACTGCTTGCCTCGCAATATCGCCCCAAGATGAACTCAGAGGATGTCTTTTCACCGTGATGTGTCTGGCCTCTGGAGAACGAGTGACATTCTCTCTACCCAACCATGTCCTTCACGACCAGTATCTAGATGCTGCTTGGATCACCGACGATGAATTTGCCGTTTGTGGCGGCACCATCCTCCGTACCTTTTCTTATTTCCAGGGCGAAAAAAAGATCTCCCCACTAAGAGCATTTGATACACGTCCCGAGGACACCTTTTCTAAGGTCATATATGACTCGCATTCTCACCGACTAGCCACCGCCAGCGAGTCTGGAACGGTCGACGTATGTGCACCTCAAATTGCTTTGAAGATTACACTAACATGAGATTAGGTTTTTACTGCGGAAGGTCAGCGTCAAACGTTCAATGCACATCAAAGCTTGATCACTTGTCTCAGCTGGCAACCACTGAAGGCTCCCCGTCAGCTCGACGGTTCTGAGCGTTTGCTGGTATCAGCTGGTGACGATGGAGCTATCAGCATTTGGAACGTGCTCTCGCCAGATGCGAAACCAAAGGCATCCATCACGATGAATTCAGCTGTTGTGGCGCTCTCTTTCAGCCCTGATGGAGCTTTTATTGCTGGTGGCACGAATCAACAAGTCATGATATGGGACGTAACCGAGACTAACCTTCCTCGTGCAATCTGGACTAGAGTTCGTGAAGCAGGATGGGAAACTCCACAGTCTCATGACTCTGGTACAGAAGAAGACCAATTCTCACTTAGCTGGGATGCGAATGGAGAGAGACTTGCTTACGGTGTCAATAGCAGAGTAAGTTCCATGGTCCATCTTCGAGTTGCAAGTCTGACTTTGTGACTTTAGCTTGCCGTGATCGATTTTCGGCCGTGAGTCAGCTATATTGATACCGATTGATACCTATTGTTGATACTCATGTATTGGATATACCGCCCGCGAAATCTCAATTAGATTCGCGTGGTCTTGCGAATAACCCACGGGACTCTACTGCCCCGTGGAATGGCGTCATGCAAGACGGGCCATTCGAGCCATAAAGATGAAGGAGCATGCCGAGGACGTTGGAAAGCTTCGAAGATATTGAGCTCAAGCACATATCATGAGGTTGGATGACCACGGCAATGATGACTTTGCGAACATACAGAACGAGGAATGATACCAGGAATCTTACATAGCCGGCTACGATAGATACACTGCGAATACCCTGATTATAGATGAGAGAAGAAAGACAAAAGCTTAGAAACCTAGTTTGCCTTGCCTGTTACCAATTCTGAGTGATTTACGTTCATCATCGTTACAAGAGGTGAAAACCAAGTCTTCAATTATTGTGATAATGACCCAAGAGACCTAAGACTTTAGCTAGGGGTCTTCCTCTGTAGCGACTACTATCGGATGATTTTGAGTGTTAATAACTCGAGGCCGGTTGCGGGCAGGGAAAGGCTTAGCTCAATACACTAGACTCCTCGAAAGTAATCTGTGTACAGAAACAGAGGTATAGTAGAAAGGGTAGAAAAACGCATGAGGAGATGAGGAGGAATTGGAGTTAATTCTCGGAATTTTATCTTCTATATATGCCCCAACTAATCTCGAATAGGCGCGTACGGCAGCCTTAATCTGTCCAGTAAAAGCCTACCATTTATCACGTCCAAAGGCTTTTCTGTTCTTAGGATTTTTTTATTGTTGGATGAAATCTCCTATCCGCTAATCTAAGGGAACCAGATTTAGAAAAAAAAAGACCTTACAGTTGAAACACGATGAGACTTGCTATGTTAAGCTCCAAGCATTAAATGTTACTGTGTTTGCAAGCTATTGTACTATACTTTCTACTGATATATAACCATACAGAACCCTCCTTCAATTCCAGCGCTCAATATCCTCATCATTCACACCTCCTTCCGCCTTAATGAAACTCAGCCTCAACTCTCCCATACCTAAAACCATCAACCTTCAACTCGAACGCCAGCCCAGCGCTCTCAACAACCATCTCAAGCGTGAAATCCAGATTATCGAACTCGACGCCGCGTGTGGTTGTTAATCTCGTGAAGAGGCTTTTCGGCACGGCGCCTAGGTCCGTCGTGAGTGTGCAGACGTTGATTAGATCGCGGGTGTAGGAGGAGGGTGGCTCGCCGTCCGCGTCGGAGGCGATGAGGTCGTCGGACACGATGAGTGATTGTCCTGGTCTGAGAATGGACGATTAGTAGAGCATAGGGAAGAGAAGGCTGAGGGGTCACTTGCCTGAAGTTCCGCGTGTAGTGGAAACTGATTGGAGAAGCGGCACTCAAGGTTTCACCCTCTGGTATTTGGTCAGTTGACAGTCTTTCTGATGGTTGGGAATGATGTACTCACTAGTAATATGCCATTGCATCCTATCGCTAACCATCCATCGTTCCCACAGCGGAGACCAGTACCGCTCACTTACTTGGTGTTTATCCTCGTCGTAAACAGTAGCATAAGAGGTGCCGTAATGCATTCGAGCTTTCCTCGATACGACCATGCTTCCTTCCAATCCTCTGAGAACAGCGCCTCGGACGACTGCTGTCCAAGCATTGACAGGTTGCATAACTTCCACACTACCGTTCTCGATTAGAGCTGTGGCTTGTGCGTGTGTAGGCCGCTCGCTGTATGGAGGTGGTGCTGCGGTGTTGAAATGTGACTTCAGTCGTGTGTATAGATAATTGCTCTGTCCAAAGCCACCAACAAGTACGATTCCAGACACTATGCCACCCTTTTGTCTGATGCCATCTACCTGTCCTTGGACCAGGTCACAGACTTCCTTCACGACTGGCTCGAAGATCTCCTTGATTTGAGCTGCAGTCATGACCAAGAAGCCACAGTCGAGACCAGCTTCTTCATCATCAGGTAGTCCTGGGAATGGGACGTTGACTTCAGCGTGCTCTTCTTCGTTGAAGTTTCGCTTGACGAACTCTTCCCAGTATCGTAGTCCCATCTGCCAGCACTTCCCTTTCTTCAGCTTCATCTCATCAAAGCGCTGATGTCCAATTCGATTTCGAACGTGTTCTTCGAAACGGTAGTTTAAGAATGCACTACCGCAAAGTCCGCCTGTGCCTACAGCAGACTCCTCAACCCTCAATGGTTTCAGGGAGATGATTTTATATGCAATCAAGTCGACAGTACCACCACCAGCATCGCAAACAACAAAGTTATCTCCAGCTGATAGGTGATTTGGCTGTATAGCCTTGAGGGTATAGACAGCTGCAGCTTCAGGCTCGCTGATCATCTGAATGTCTGACTTGGCTCCCATGCCAGCTCGTTCTGCGGCTTGCAACGTGGTGTTCTTCGCAGCATCGCTCCAAACCGCAGGACATGTGAGGACAAATTCAACTTTCGTCGACGCCATGAAGGATTCGCCGTATCTTCTGGTCAAGGTCTCCATGGTATGGTCATAGACCTGTGTGAGATAGTCGCTCACGGCATCCACGACATTCTTGTTGAACCTCTTTAGTTGGGCAGCTGTCTCTAGAGGACTAACATAGAAAGGGAGCTTCTGTGACCGATCGAGGAATAATTTGATACAGCGTAATCGAGACTCCTCGGGTCTGAACTGAAATCCCCATTTTATTGTTGGGTTTGTGCCTTTTGGAGCATCTGGGGGGAAGTCGTAGGCAATCTCTGTGGGGACTTTGTCTGATGTGATTCCGTTCCCACCTGGCCAGGTCTTGATGATCTCGACATCATCTGGTGTGGACGTATAGACTGCTGCAACTCTATTCGATAGTTAGCTAGGATTTGAGGTGAGTTTTGATAGTGTATGAAGCTCTGCGAGAACAAATTCGAGTCACATGAAGCATCGAGAGTTTCCTGGCAATAGACGGTGCTCAGAATGATAGTTGCTCAAAGATGTAGAGGTGATCTCTTCGAGCCAGCAAAGTAAAACCCTTTTCCAGCATCGAATGCTTTCCTCAAGACAATTCGTTCCCCCAATAGCGCATTCTGCTTGGCATACACTCTACAACGAAATATGGCTCACCCAGAATAAGTAGTTCCAAAATCCAGACCGACGATAAGACGATCATTGAGCGGAGCAGGCTCTCGAATGGGACCCAGTATCGCCTCAGTAGATGAGGTAGGAGTATAGTTCATGAAGTGATTTCTGCTCTCATCGTTCCTGGCATTCCGACTAGCGGACCGGATAGGAAGACTGAGATTCATGATGGCGGTCGAACGTATTCAGGGTATATCGAGGGAACGGTCAAGGTTCGCAGCCATACGGCCGCTCGAGTCGCTTCGAGTCCAGGGGCTCGCTCGTCGATTGGGTCGCCACAGATTCGGATAGTTCAACACTTGGCCAGGAATAACATGTACAGAACGTATATAATCGCCACGAAAAGAGACTAAGTATATCGAAAGGAACCAAAGAAATCCAGAGAAATACTCGTACAGGACTCTCCAATGCTATACGAAGTACTGGCGTGACTTGCGCAAACCATCAAACGGAAGGTGGGATGCTCGATGAACAATTGTTCAGAACCCAATTGTTGTATATAGAAGAACAATGGGATTATTAGAAGACACAAGACCAGAGAAGTGGATTTCTGGGGAAGTGGGATGCGATGGGCGTTCCTCCTCAGGTCCCTGCAGGAACAATGTGGTAGCCTGGTCAATAGGCAGACACTTTTGAGGACTCGCTCGAGCTTCGACTGGGGGGCTTGGCGTCGACTGGTTCAGGGCGAGCAACGTCAGCTATCTAAAGTTAGAACCTTCAGAATCTTGATCTCATACAATTGTGCAGATACGAACGTTGAAAACCAATTCCGAGTGGAAGGAGAACGGCAATGATGAGAGATGTGATTGTTAGGAAATCGATGTCAACTTGCAAGTCTGACATAAATAAAGTGGGGGCAGTGCAAGGCTGAGCTTCTTCTTCGGTTCGTGCTGGTCCAAGTGGCTTCATGAGCATTTCACCACTGCGTTTCAGGAATTATGGAACTATGGGCGTCTGGCTTCAACGCGTGGGGTCAACTTGATTTCGAAGAGGTGCCTGGAATTGGTCATCGTGATCTGAAGGAGTTTAAGTGCATTCTGACAGACAAACGCATCGAAATTGTTCGTACCACACTGTCAGCCACTCTAGGTAAGAAAGTGGCCATGAGGTTATTCCTGCTCTTGAACGTCTTTGACTTCCTCGTTTATGGCCATTCGAAGACGAGGGAGCCAGAGTCTATAGATCACGTGATAGTACTGGATCATCTCTTCTCTGCCTTCTGAACTTGGAAGCTTCGAGGTGGTTGAGCTTACATTCATACATATCAAAGTTGTGCCAAGAGCTCATACATGCTCCTACTTGTTCCAAGCTGACTATATTTAGTAAAGACCTCGGCGGGCTTGCGCACAGCTGGATGCTTCGACGACCTCATTGAGCATTGCATTTCTAAACAGGACAACTTATCAAACCTGGCTATAGCAGGCAACGATATAGTTGTATGCCAGTCTTGTTCTGAGCAAGATCCAGGAAGACCAGCCTCTGAGAATACACCAGCAGCAGATCCGATAAACGCAAACGAAAGTGTTCTGAAGCAATACAAATCGTTCGATTCCTACCTCAATGACCATGGCGAGAAGCTTCGTCAATGTGGAGGCAGTCTCCAGGTAGTAGCAAATCAGTGTACGTTTACATTGCTCACTAGTGATGGTCAAGTGTGGACTTGGGGAGATGGAAGATATGAAGCTTGTCTTGGACGAGAGATATCGGATGAGAGGTACTATCTATCCTCTGATGCCTCTTTTTGGAAATAAGCTGATGCTCATGAGACCAGCAGCAACGCCTTGCACTGTGGAAGATCTATCAGATGTTCCCAACGGACCAATAAGAAAGATCTCTTCTGGCGGATATGTGACGGCTGCGTTGACAAATGGTAATGATCTCTACGTATGGGGTGGCCGACCAGGACAGTCAAAGTTGCTGGAGGATCTGACAGGAGCGCCGATGCCACTTGATCTAGAGGGAGAAGATGTGCTTGATGTTGCCGTTGGTGTGAATCATATGCTGATTCTGACTACTGAGCGGAAGCTATTTGTCGTCGGCGAAGGTAGTAATGGGCAGCTGGGCTTGGATGAAAAGGAGGTTCCGACTTGGAAACAGGTTATCCTGCCTTTAAAGGATAGTCAGCGGATCGCTAGCGTTCATGCAGGATATAAGAATAGTCTGGTGATAGTCGAAGAAATCACATAGGAACCTGACAATCCGCCATCTTGGTATCTCATTTCTTTCATTTTGTCTTCTTATGCCATTTCTATAGTACACCGTGCCCATGATCGCACAACGTTGAAATTACCAGATGCATTGCTGAAGAGAAAATCATAGATTCGTAAGGTAATCCTCAATCTCTTGAGGGCTGAGCTTTCTGAATCTTGGTCCTTGAGCACCCTCAACTCCTTCAACGCCAAGCAAGTGATCAGCTGGTGGGCCAACGATTCCTAGACAATGTTAGCGAGCTTCAAAAGTCTTGCATTAAAGTGGCTTTTACCAATCTCTACTGTCTCGCCATTCATCTCACCCTCGATCGTCTCCTTCAGAGTCAACAGCGCAATATGGACTGCATCTTCCAGCTCCAATCCCTCTGTGTATCTCTTCTCCAAGAATGTCTTTGCAGATGTCGCACTCTTGCCAATAGCCGTCGCCTTCCATGGGAAGTAGCTACCACTGGGATCGACCTGGTACAACATAGGACCTCCCTTCAGAATTCCACCGGTCTTGCCCGAAGGCTTCTTCTCGTCAGGATGCGTATCAGCTGTTGCTGCTTGCTCGGACTCCGGCTCAATACCCTCATCCCATCCAGCAATCAACAGACTGACACCGTATGGCCGTACACCACCTGATTGAGTAGCCTCCTGCATGACTCTTGCAACATCCTGCACTAATATCCTCGTTGGTGGGTATTCATTGTAGATTCGCTTGTAGCCGGTGTGCGATACTTTGCGTGCCTTGTCGACTAATACTCTGTAATCTGGACCCATTCCCGAGTAGACCATGCCAATGTTTGGGGTGATGAGACTGACTTTCGAGAGGGAAGGAGGATCGATGAGGGGCGAGGATGACTTCTTTTCCGTAGCCAGGACAATGCCGTTTGTAGCTATTTCGGTGTCAAAAGATGCTGCAACGTAAGCATGAGCTTTAGCAGACGTACCCTTAATACCCAGCGCAGTAACACCTTGGTTGACAGCATTCAAAGCATATTCTGGAGCAGTACGATTAGCTTCAATATGTCTGGACGGTGAGGTGCAGCTGAAGGCAAAGCGCTCTTGACGGGAACTAACCAATTTGTACCAGCTTTCCACTATGAATATCAGTCAGTCTCTGATATGTACAGGTTGAGGATACGCCAAACGGCGTGTCTCATATCCAGCTACAGAGTTCAAGAGCTTACCTGGGGGAGAACGTGGTCAAGGAGAATGAATATCTGTCCGCCATAGCTTTTGATACTCGTAAGACCTTGTCGAAGAGAAGCCCCTAACGATAGCAGACCGAGAAAGAGTTTTAGACACTTGGGAATTTGGAGAAAAGTGAAGAATTGAGCTGTTCTCGAGAGGCTTGAAGGTCAAGCTACTGATTGAGGCAGCTAAGACGCGCATAGCACTCGCCTATCCTGAGGCTCCAAAATTATACGGCAAGCCTCACAGAGCACTTACGCAGGTCCTCGGATCGGACTTCAGTTACACCATTTGCCGCCGGAATTTGACTTTCTTTACTCTTCTGGAACAAAGACAAGCCACATCTCAGCTTGGAGAGAACCATTCACCCCACTACATACGTGGAGCTATCTTTGTGCTCTTCCACTAATGACTCAACACTGATTGCTTCTAGGAGTCGCAGCGAAGAATCGCAGAAAGCTTCAATGACGACTAAACTTTAAATATATTAAGTCCAAAGCTCCGAGCTTACAAACAATGTCCGTACCACAAGCACGAGAAGCCTGGTCTTGGCCAGAAGATATCAATACGGGGAATCACGATGCGTTTTCAACTGAAAATTATCATCCTCCTGGAACCTTCGCAGAAGAAGAGCCTGAGCCGAAGTTCGAGTCAGAAACACAACCAGAAGATGCTGGTCCTCTTCCGAGGCAGAGGCACTATCCACCACGAACATGTAGGATATGCTTGGAAGAAGTGCCGCCAACCTACGACGGGCTGACCGGTGGCATACCTTCTATCCTTCATCCAGCCCCAAAAGTCAGATACGTTTCTCCAGATTTGGGTCGCCTGATCCGACCTTGCAAGTGCCGCGGCTCTCAGAAATACGTCCATGAAGGTTGTCTACAGGCATGGAGACATGCAGATCCAGCGTACGGACGACGCAACTTTTGGGAATGTCCAACCTGCAAGTTCAAATATAGTCTGGAGAGGATGAGATGGAGTCGAGTCATTACGAGCACGATGACACAGATTGTTCTCACATTTGCGATTATGCTGGCTGCGGTCTTTGTCTTCGGATTCGTTGCAGATCCGATTATCAACCTCTACCTTGATCCTTATGAGACTATTACCTCCATACCCACTGGCGGACCGCGTCTACTTCTCGAAGATGAGGAGGCTTCTTGGGCTGAGCATTTTCTGAAAGGATTGGCCTCCCTTGGGCTTCTAGGTTTCGTGAAGGTATTTTTTGCAATGTCTCCTTGGCACTGGTGGAATCTACGCCAAACAGGCATCTTGGGTGGCGGCCGCAGAAGAGGCGGGACTGGAAGGGACCGCTTAGAGGATATTTCTTGGACTGTCGTCATCATTGGAGTCGTAACCTTCTTAGCTGTGAGTATAGATAGGTCAACATGTGGTGTTGCAACTGACATCTTCATAGGCCGTATGGACTTGGGTGCGTTCTTGGACAAAGAATGCCCTTGAAAAGGCAGGTGAACGAGTTGCCGATGTCCAAGGAGATGAGGACGAAGATGTTGACGAGCTTGATGAACCTTCAACCGCTCAAGCAGCAGCCGGGTCTTCAACAGCGGCACAAAGTACGTCAACCGCAGATGCACCCACTTCATCTGCGACTGAAGAACGAAAGACTCTTTGATGATTGACTTGCATTTTTCTTGTTTCTAGCGAGGTGTTGGGGACACGAGGATTTTGTAAACTACTGCCCAGGCACCATAGAATGACTTTATCGCATATATGTTGTCCATTTTGAACCGTCATTACTTCCTACTTTGCACACTCTTAAGTTGCCACGAGATCCTGCCCAGTATCGTGTCGACTAGTCTGTGTGCATATATTTACCACCTAGCTGGAGCCTCGAAACCCGAGCGTCTTGTTCTCGTTTCATTACCGGTGACCGCGGGTTTCGTCAACACTCTGTCGCTATGCCACTTTTCTTTCGGATCGTTGGTGCTGGTTTTCCTGCTTCGGCATGATGCTTACACGAGGACCCAGAGGCGAATGAGTTGATACATAACTGTTCTCAATGTTGCAATCTCTTGATGCTCCTCTATGGATCTATTTATGCCTCTGCAAATGCGAGGTGCGTCTCAAGGCCGGACTCGGCTATAAGCTCAAGTTCTGTGTTGTAGCCAACAAAAAACACATATCCTTCCTTCACTTCATGTTCTTTCCCCTCTGCTTTCATGACTCCCTTTCCACCTGTCACGATCAAGATACCGGGCCCTTGTAAAGGCTTGATCGTCTCGCTCTCACCAGCACCCAATTCAGTAACCAGCATGTCGAACTCGCTCATGGGTGGTGCCAAGATCTTTGTGTGGCCTTTGCTCCCCTTGTCTGATGGTTTCGGCTTCAACATCGCCTCCTCGGCATTTTTAGGACTGAATGTGAGAGCAGCGGTAAATAGGTCGATTGAATCTCGATCAGCACGAGGACAGAAGCCCGTGTTGAGCACTTCATGAAGTTAGTACTTGCTTTCATAAAAGAATTAAGAGCCGCATCCTCGGCAATGGGACGAAACTTGGTCGGAAGCCCAAACATGGCATATTTCAAAGAAAGCGAAGAGAAGGAACAAAGAAAGGGCATGTTTGCCATTGTCTGAGCGTGCCATGCACTCAACGATATCACCGCTCAGGTAGGCGTGAATCCCACTTCCGATTTGTTAATATCCTGTTCGTTCAGAGCAGATCGAAAACTTACTCAGCTGGAACATAAATTGCATCTCCCTTCTGCAACACCAAGTAGTTCATGGTAAGGAGTGCAACAAGGTTCCCTGGGTCAGACTTGTCATACTGCTCAGCCAATCTTGGCAGCAGTTCCGGGATATAAGTATGTTTTCCAAAATCTTTTGCAGGTGTCTTCTTCAATGTCTCATATATCTCCACAATTTCAGAGTCTGGCGCACTCAGCATTTCCCCAACAATACCCTTCAAAGTCTCTGTGTTGAAATGTGTTTGCGAGGAGCTGATGGATTTGGACTTTAGAATCGGGATGTTGTTGAATAAGGCTTGGATCTCGAGAAGTGGTTTCCAGCCAACGAATACTTCAAACTTTCCCAAAGCAACGGCAATCTCGGGCTTATGGTTTGCGTCTCCAAATTTCTCGGGATCTTTCTGATGTAGCTTGGCCGCTAGGTCTTTGTCGGGGTGGATCTGGAGAGGTAGTGCTTTTGCAATGGACAGGATCTGGACGGACAGTGGTTAAGATCATGTATAGGTACAGTCTTCAATAGAACTTACTTTAGGAAGATATGGCAGGTCGGCTCCAAATTTGTTTAGGATCGGTTTGCCCATGAGCTTCTCTTTGTTTGCGTTCAGGTGCTTTTGAAGCTCTTCTCCAGTGGACAAAACCAGGGAGGGTGTGGTTGGGTATGTTCCCATCCATTGCTAGGGTGAAAGTCAAAACATGTTTCTATTAAATCGGAAGCTAGGTAGCGAATCGGTCTGGTAAATAGATAGAAAGAAATTGGGAGGAAAGTCGCAAATAGAAATTATCTCCCAAGGCAAAAAAGCAATAGTAACCAAAGCGACCTACCTCGGCATACTCCTTTGACTCGTCAAGCTTGAAATGTCCCCCAGGTGTAGCAGCTGCATAACGAGCAGCAAGAGAATCCTTTCCCTTCTTACCCCATCTGGCCCATTGAACGTTAGCAATGCATTGTTTACTCGCCGGAATGAATTATTACGGGTAGTTCTAAGATCAGACATTCAGTGTTAGTAAATATTGAAAAGGACGACCGACACTGTTAAAATAATGGCACTTACGTTGCATTGACACTCAAGCTGAATAATAGACGAAGACATGATTGTTAGAATTTGGAAAATAAAAATTGGATAGGTATGAGAAGTCACTTCAACTTACCAAGACAATTTTATTATGTATGATCACCAATATCTTATGACGTTCAACTTATGACGGAGCCTCTTTAAATCTACGGACCACCCGCCGCAGCCACTAAGAGTCGGCTAGTTTAGACTTCTTACATCTTAAGCATATCAGACCAAACAGTTCTCCAACTTAATTCTGCGGAATGTATAATGCCGTCACATGTAACAATGAGGAATATTTGTTTTATCCCTCTGCAAGATTGCTGTCAGATCTAAAATTTGAGCTGAAGGGTAGAATGGGTAACGAGCGCCCCCTTTAAACGGTTATCTCACCCGAAAACAAACGATGGCTTTTGATTCGCTTGACTCGTTTACCTTCTCCCGTCGCCAAGCCATTTTATCAATGCGAGCGCTGTACTCTACCGATTCATTTCATTTCGCTCCACCTCGATTCATGAACATAATTTCTTCGCGACCGAACCTCGATTTACCTCTGTTTGTGTAGGATTACTAGTCCAAAGACCAGCAGCAACTTCTGCAGCAAGTGCCACGTCTTTTCGCCAGGACAAGCCATTGCGAATACGAAGCAAGTCAGCTTCTCATCCTCGAAAACGACAAATTTCCCTCTCCAGATTCGCCGTCGCACCATTACCGATTCTCTGGAAACCCAACATTTCAGTTGCCGGAAGGCTTGTTCGTCTAGAAAATGCATCTAGCATTTCCTTTGAGGAAATCCTCAAATCCTCCGCCGTATGCGAATCGATCAGCGCGCTTCCCGGTACTGCGCAGAAGCAGGGTGCAGGCTATCATACTCTGCGCGTGTGCAGTAGGCGCGGTCATATTCATAATCTCACAGCTTTTCGGAGGGGGGGATGGCGTACCATCAGGGTCACCGCCTGTGGTGATAGTGACGGTGCTGGATCCAGAAAACTACAATAAGGAGTACATAAATAACATAAAAGACAACAGGATAGAGTACGCAAGGAAGCATGGTAAGAATTGGCATCCCGATTTTACATGAGATGTAATTGACATCAATCAGGATATGTAACCTTTTTTCCTACGGCCAAAGACTACGTCTTGGATGGAGCCCCTGATACATGGGCAAAGATTCCCGCGATTCGACACGCATTGACGAAATTCCCGTACAGTACATACGTTTGGTATTTGGACCAGAATTCATTGATCATGAATCCGGAGATGACAATTGAGGGCGACATCATGAATCCCAAGAAGTTGGAGAGTTTGATGATAAGAGATCAGTCAGTTGTGCCACCAGACAGTGTCATCAAAACATTTCCATATATCAAGGGTGCCAACATCGATTTTGCCCTCACTCAGGATAAGGAGGGTTTGGTACAGGGCAGTTTCATCATTCGCAAAGGGGACTGGAGCAAATTCTTCCTGGATACCTGGTTTGACCCATTGTACCGCTCATATAATTTCCAGAAAGCGGACACGCACGCTCTGGTGAGTTAGTAAGCCTTGGACTGTACTATGAATACTAATCAATGTTTAGGAGCACATTGTACAATGGCACCCAACAATCCTCTCAAAGCTCGCTCTAGTACCACAGCGTACAATGAATTCTTATTACAAGGGAGATACTGAGACTGGAACATACAAAGACGGAGATTTCGTAATCCGGTTTCCTGGATGCGATCAAGCTGGGCGCAGCTGCCAGGGAGAGGCTGAACCTTTTTCGAAACAGTGGAAGACAGCTTTCCGCGAGCGATGATAATTACCTCGATTCAACCCTTCAAGAATACTAGGGCTGCATAAGCCCCACGATCCACGAACGAGCAACGACATCGGCAGCAAGAACGGCGTTTGGGGTATAGGAGAGAGCACGAAGAAATGTCTATATGTGTATAATCTTGCATGGGCATCTGCATAGGGCAGGTAACCTCTAGAACAGGCGTTTGCAGCGATTCGGATGGAGAATGCTATTCTCCCTTGTACAATTACTTTTGACATACCCACAGCAGTCTTTGGAACTGGCCTTCAATTCTGGGGAATAAGAGATGGGCTAGACCAGTGTCTGTAAAGACGCCTGAGACATAGGAGGAATGGACATAATTGGCGCCACCATCCCGTCTGATAAGACAGTCTTGGAAGAATACCTGGCGCCGCGAGGCTGATATAAATATGTGAAGTGAAGCCCTTGTACGATTTGAATTAGAACATGACCGGCCGGCCGGCCGGCTATCAATAAATGAAGTCCCGCATCGTTGGGGCCCAAATCTTCGCAGAGCTGGATGGACACTGCTGCGGTAAGTCAATGCGGTATTCACCTCCGGTAGATACTACGTAGTACATGGCATGAATTGTTGAATTTCCTAATCCAGCTCTCGAATGCCGTTTATGCATGCATGTGATCTTTCGCCTCGGTTCAAAGCAAGATAATCGAATGCGAAAGCGATACAGTCCCACCTTTCCCATACCTCATATTGAAGCTCCCATCCCACATCGAACATTGAGCCTGTGTTCGATATCTTGCCGCAAACATGCCTGGCACATCGAGAATGCCGGTGAGCTTGCGCAACACCTTCACTTTGAAGAAGGGCAGCTCCAGTAGCCAATTGCTGTCGTTGAACATTGATCTGTGAGTTGTGAAACCATTTACTATGTTTCTTTATAGCTAAGTGAAGTTAGGTTTCGGAACATCATCTTCTTCCTGTTCTTACTACGATGGACGAGAAAGGGTCTGCTGAAGTTAAAGGGGCGGGGCATCTTTGGGACATTCGCAGATGCATATATCGCCATCCGACGAAATCTATACGGATTGTTCCTGCGAGCTCCAGGCGTACGATCGCAAGTCCAGAAACAAGTTAGCGAAGCTATTACGAAGCTACAGACCAAGCTTGTGCCTTCTGGACCAGGTGTAATTCGATATTTGAATCTGCCGAAGGAGGGATGGTCTGAGGAGACGGTATTGAAGGAATTGGAAACATTGGCGAATATGGATCATACTAGATGGGAAGATGGCTTCGTTTCTGGAGCTGTGTATCATGGAGGAGATGCGCTGATCAAAGTGCAAACTGAGGCCTTTGGCAAATTCACAGTTGCAAACCCGATTCATCCTGATGTTTTCCCTGGAGTACGAAAGATGGAGGCGGAGATTGTGAGCATGGTGCTTGCTATGTTCAATGCCCCACCTGGAGCAGCTGGTGTTACGACGAGTGGAGGAACGGAATCTATCTTGATGGCTTGTTTGAGTGCTAGACAGAAGGCGTATGCTGAGAGAGGTGTTACTGAGCCAGAAATGTATGCAGGTCTACCTCTTCTTAACTCATTGATACTGATACAATTTTAGGATCCTCCCAGAGACAGGCCACACAGCATTCCGCAAAGCTGGCTCTTACTTCGGTATCAAAGTCCATCTCGTAGCTTGCCCCGCTCCGAGTTATCAAGTCGATATCCGAGCCATTTCGAGACTCATAAACAGCAATACCGTTCTACTTGTTGGCTCAGCACCTAACTTCCCCCACGGAATTATTGATGATATTTCAGCTCTCTCCAAGCTAGCCGTCAAGCGAAGAATTCCCCTACATGTGGACTGCTGTCTTGGATCCTTCCTTGTTCCATTTCTAGAGAAAGCAGGATTCGAGACCGAGCTCTTCGATTTCAGACTCAAGGGCGTTACAAGTATTAGCTGTGATACCCACAAATATGGATTTGCACCTAAGGGTAATTCAACTGTTCTCTACCGAACCGCAAACTTGAGACAATACCAATACTACATCTCACCAGACTGGTCCGGAGGCGTTTATGCTTCTCCTTCAATCGCTGGTTCTCGACCTGGAGCTTTGATTGCTGGTTGTTGGGCAAGCTTGATGAGCGTAGGCGAGACTGGATATATCAATTTCTGCGGAGAAATCGTCGGCGCCACGAAGAAAATCATCGAGGCTATCCAGGAGAATGCCGGACTGAAGGAAGATCTGGAAGTCATGGGTCATCCATTAGTTTCCGTTGTGGCTTTCACTTCTAGATCGTTAGATGTCTATGATATTGCTGACGCAATGTCGGCTAAGGGATGGCACTTGAACTCTTTGCAAAATCCGCCAGCTATTCACGTTGCGGTCACTCTGCCCATCACTAAGGTGTGGGAGAAGTTAGTTGGTGATCTGGAAGCCGTCATTGAAGGCGAGAAGGAGAAGGAGCGGGTGAGGATTGTGGAAGGAAAGGGTGCCAAAGGCAAGGCTGTTGGTGACAGTGCTGCTCTCTATGGCGTAGCTGGAAGTCTGCCCAATAAGAGTGTTGTTGTGGAGCTAGCGAGTGGTTTTCTGGATACGCTGTATAAAGCTTAGATGTAAGATCTTATGATGTCCGTCGGGCGTTTAGATACGGTTTCCTTGCATACAGCTCTTGGCGTTTCGGTCATTCAGCTCAAAATTGTAATTTGTTCCAGCTTTCAGTGGTATGAAGACATTGACATAATTAAAATGTTATACCTTATGACTGCCATTCTCGTTCCGGTAGTAAAGCGGTCAAGAAGTCTCTAACTTACTCAGCCAATTGATGATCATCATGGCCTCAACTAGAGCTACCTTTTCACCAAAACTCTCGCCATCAGCTGTCGAAGCTTGCAGAGTAAGATTGTACAGGCTCAATACATCGAAGTGCTTCTCCTTTGCAACTGGACTCATCTCGTCCAAATACTGCCATACTGCAAGGTTTCCCTTGTCAGGCGCCGTCCCAGTACTCTTACTTAGACTGAAAGCTGGAGATCCGAGGAACAGCATTGGGATATTCCTTTCTGCAGCTGTGGCCAAGCTAGTCCATTCATCCAAAGCCCGAGTCGTGGTCGATACGTCAAACGAAGAGCCGTGACCAAAGGAGAAGATCATGGGACTTGGTTGCCAAGGATTCGGCTTAGAGTACATCAACTCTTTGAAAAGTGTTTGGGAGGCAGCTGAGGTTGGAACAGTATCCACTGGTATATACGCATGAGGAACTCCTGGTTGATGAGTGAGCTATGGTAACAACTTGGAAGTTGTAACAAGGGGGCCCACTTTCACAAAAGTATGGAGTTCCTTTCCGGTCGCCACTTTCACTCTTCTTGACTTCGTCTCTGCTCTTGATAGCGAATGCTTGGCATTGACTGTCGATGAACTGATTGTCACACTTGCATTTCATGCGATCTTCCTCTGTCATGAGCCATTCCTGCAAGCTTCCAAGAACGAGATCCTCTCGAAAAAGAACATTGAAAGCCGCGTATATGGATCTGGAAACATCATCGCCAACAAATACGATGGCATTGAGGCGTTCCAGGATCATACAAATCTCTGGAGTTGGAAACCATCGGTAGGTACAGCCTCGGAACGTGTTAGTTGAGCACAACTTGCTTAGGTATGCCTGCATACCTTTGCCTACATAGGGCTCATCGAATCCATGTCTTCCACCACCACTGAGTGCTTCTAGGAGTGTCGCTCTGTTCTTGCAGAAGGGAGAAGCGTTTGGGCTCGTGGGCCATGGAGCATCATAAATGTCTGCTTGTGTGATCCCACAGTCTCGACTTCCTGCAAAGTGTTCGATTGTACTTGATATACCTTAGCCTTTGTGTCGAAGGAGTTTATATAAGACTTACTCCTCTCCGGGTTCATGGATCAAAGATTGGAAGCGAGTCTGAGAAGAAAAATTGGTGAATGTACTGAAGAGGTAGAAGAGAGGAAGTAAGAGGAGATAGGTGATCAAGCAGCCGGCGCCTACAAGGAGCACGGTGCGGAGGACAGAAGCACGAGAGGAGCCAAGTGTTCTTTCAATCTTGGTGTTCACCCATGACGTAGAAACTCGATTTGCGAGACCCATGTTGACTTTGATGTGAAAGGTCTAGGAAGAGTAATCGGGCAGATTTGGAGATGCATCTTGGGATGTTCTGTTGTCAGAAAATGGCAACTATCAAGGTCGGCCCTTGCTAAGAAGAGAAGGTGCGCGCGGCTTGCACTTTCTTTTGGGTATTATATTTTCTGGAGTTGAAAACCAAGCAAAGGATTGGGACTTATAAGAAACAATCTATAACGTTCAACTGCCACTACTGCTTGGCCAGAGTGTGTCTACTTCGATGACATATTTGATGTATTCATGGCATGTATGCAATGAACGTGCTGGTAGCACACCAGCTCGAGTTCCTTGAACGATACGAGCCATACGACTATGATCTACAACGTTCTTATGGAGAACTTCCACAATATGATTCACATTGAGGATTTGTAGTGAACTGTTTCGTGTGAATTTTGGAAATGCGGAAATGTCTCTTGTTTTTGTCTGCATCACGTAGAATACAATTCTGAGTTCCCTTCTGAGCGCCAATAGACAGAGCAGCTTACCTTTCTATGGCTATCGTCTTGTGTAAAAGGCGAGATCCGAAATCGTCCGTGGTTGAGACGGCAGACATGAGATGAGAAGAAAACCATCCGAGTGTACCCATTTATATCCCGAGGTAAAACCCATGCATCACCTGAGTCGAGTGTGGAAATAGAGCTGTTCTGTTTCTAAGACCAGATCCGCCGAGCTCCAGACAAGAGACATAGCACTCACTCTCATGGTGGCCGACAATTGAAAGTAAATTGACAAAGACCAAGTGAAAGAAACATCTTCCCATTCACAGTGGTTGTCGATGTAAGAGGAAAAGCGGTCAGCTCCGGCGTGATTTTCATTCGTGCTTCCCTCGGTGGACCGGAGACCCCCTGTCAGTTACATTGCGGGGGAGTGAAAGCCAGAGCCTTTGCTAAGAATTACCGATGACTCTTGTCGTGTGCCAAACAACTTCTCAAACATTCTTACATTCTCCATGACTCTGTCGGGACATTTGTGCACTCTCCTTTGAGCCAATTCATTGTTGTAGCTCATCAATTGTTCCTCGTTGCTTCTCCCAATCTGCCATTGGATATCTTGTCGCCTCGGCAGGTATCTGATTGAGCGTCATCGCTAGAGCTTCAATCAAGAGAGGGGAGACTCAGACAGTCACAACATCAGCTCATGGCCCAGACGGATTATCCACGAAGAAGGATTTACAACTACCATTCATAGGCCTGAGGGCCACAATCAATCTACAAGATGTCGTGGAAGAAGAGCGAGAGGTTGATGGATACCATCAAGCATTACTCGGGCTTCCCTGCGACGGGCGTGAGCTTGAGGCAGATGGTTCAATTCGGAGAGAGACCGTCAACAGGTCAGTCTAAACACGATGCTTGAAGTATTCCGCCTCAAAAAAGCTATTGTTGACTCATGGGTTGCAAATAGGAACACTTTTCCGTGCTTCTCAATTCCTTTCAGAGGAGCTTCCCATACGTCTTGCACACCGTGTACAGGAGCTTGGAGATCTGCCAGATGGACTGAATGAGATGCCATCGATCAAAAAAGTCCAGGACTGGTACGCACAATCATTTGAGGTGAGATTACCCACCAGTAAATAAACAGACTTCTCCGCGGATCCTGACATGTGATTCTAGGAGATCACCACTCTGCCACGGCCACAGCTTTCCAAAGATGTTCGCGATCGACTCATGAAACCCGGTAAGACGAACGGGAGACCCTCTAGAATTCTTACAGAAGCTACACACAACCCCAGCGTGGAACGAGGACAATATAGCTCTTCACCGTGGCAGCCAAACGGGAATGGCAATGGGAACGGCCATGACTCCAAGAAAGCCGCTGCAACGCGGCGGTATTTTGCCACAGTAGAAGATAGTACAGACTGGCCTCCCGAGCTTCACGATTATAATCAGCGCTTTGCAGACACCCTCAACCAGATCAAGAGGCGGCATGACGGTGTGGTGACCACTGTTGCTCAGGGAATCCTAGAATACAAACGCAAGCGGCAACGGATGCAGATTGACAACAACATCCAATCGTTCTTAGACAGATTCTATATGTCTCGAATTGGTATTCGAATGCTCATTGGGCAACATATTGCCTTAACGGACCAAAGCCATAACAAGGACCCCACCTACGTTGGAATCATTTGCACGAAGACCAATGTCCGAGATCTAGCTCAAGAAGCCATTGAGAACGCTCGATTTGTCTGCGAAGATCATTATGGCTTATTCGATGCTCCTAAAGTACAACTCGTGTGTCCGCCAAACCTCAACTTCATGTATGTCCCAGGGCATTTATCACACATGCTCTTCGAGACTTTGAAGAACTCCCTTCGAGCTGTGGTAGAAACACATGGACAAGACAAGGAAGATTTCCCCGTTACTAAAGTGGTTGTGGCAGAAGGAAAAGAGGATATCACTATCAAGATTTCAGATGAAGGTGGTGGAATACCTAGAAGCGCTATACCTCTCGTTTGGACATATATGTACACGACAGTAGACACAACACCGAGTCTGGACCCAGATTTCGACAAGAGCGATTTCAAGGCACCCATGGCCGGTTTTGGATATGGTCTACCAATTTCGAGATTATATGCGAGGTACTTTGGAGGAGATCTTAAGTTGATTAGTATGGAAGGGTACGTTATTTCCTCTCCAACCTCCATTGTTCTAATACAGCCCGCTGACTTTAACAATCTAGATATGGAACAGATGTATACCTCCATCTTAACCGGTTATCGAGCTCTTCCGAACCCCTCCAATAACAATCAGCAGTCATGAGGGGCAGTGGAATGGGCTTCGCATCCCCCAGTTCCGGGTCCCAAGGATTGACGATGCAGTGGCGTAAGCAGATGAACCTAAAGCTTCGGTCCTCACGCGAAGTCAGCGAACGAAAACAGGTTGGCGATGCAGAAGGCATGATTAATGAGGGTCAAAACACTAGTGGCCGACATGGACTCTTCAAAGGCGAGGGAGGAGAAGTGTGAAGGAGTAGGAGAAGTCGACTTGTAGGTGTAAGTGTTTTGTTTGGATAAGAATTACATGCATCAAGAAACAGGAAAAGGGAATTGTACATATTGAGAGTGTTGAAGGGCGGCGTTGGAAGAGGTGAAGAGGAATTTGCAACATCAAGAATGATGAAAATGTTTGTCATGTCAAGGACTTGGCGATTATTGACTCTAGAATCTTCAGAATATCCTTTCGTCACAATCACAAAATTCTGCAATCAAGTCTTTGTCGTTTTGAAGTCCAGTCTCTCCCAACGCCGACATTGTTAGTTTGTCCCTTGCAAAGCACCCAGTCAAGTGTCTGAAACAGGCTATAAGATTTCAAAACATTTGGTTGTTATTCAAATCCTGGGTTCTCAAGAGCGCCATACAAGACTGTATGTGGAACAATGTACCACTTCGCTCTTTTCTGGGAAGTGGATTCTAACAACTCGACCATTGGGACGATGGTGTCAGAAATATCTGAATTGAATCGCTAAGCTACATATTTCAGACGATCTGAGACTGAATACGCTCTTGAGAACCTCTATTGCTATCGAGCTCCACAGCGAACAAATCTAAAAACGCACTCAAGCCAAGCCATCATCCCTTTTCCGGCGAATTTTCTCCTTGAAGAACTTTTTGCAACATTTGCTGATGTTCTGCCACATGGTTTGTCGTACAATTGGTGGCTGGCTGGCTTGTGGTAGTCTGGCTTGTGGGTTTCCTCCTTTCTGTAAAATCTCAAGCTCTCGTCTCATCATGGATGTCAAATTAGGCCTACAGGCATCGTCCCATATGACCTTCGGCTCAAACCACACATTCTCACTGTCACCCAATGGAATGTACTCGTACCATTTGCCTCGGAATTGTACGTCTTTCAATCTCATTGCGATCAATATCTCATGAATTGGCGAGCCAGAATACGCGATGTCGCAACCGTTCCATAGTGAGATCAAGTTCACTACCTGGAGCGTGTTGGCATGCATACTGAAGAAATCGACAGCAAACTCGTGATCTAGGACGACACGTTCAAGGGTCAATTCTTCGAGCTCCCGAAAGTGCGTATTTCCGACCAAAGTTCTGAAATTGGGAGGAAGAATAATTTCGTCCTTGGTGTAGGCTTGAGCCATACGCACCGGGGGGCGTCCGAACCGAAGAGTGAGAGTTTTCAGCCTAGAGCATTCTTTCAAGACAATGCCGAGCTCTTCGTGCCAATAGCTTTGCTCGGATTCTGGTGACAAGTCTGGGTTGGGCTCAAAAGTAAGATCGAGATGCTGGAGAAACGGAAAGATAGCCAATTTCGAAGCCCGAGTGATTGGACTAAAAAGAGGCCAGTAAACTCTCTCAAATTTGAGAGTGTTTATCCTGGGACTATCTCGTTGGAAGTGGTAATCATTGGCCCGTTGGACGAGGGCTTGCATAACCAGGCCCATAATCCTTAGGGATACATCCCTCCTGACATATTTATTCACTCCTACCATGTCCTTGTCGTCCAACACTTGAACTTTTCGGAGTTGGCGCAGCTGAATGAAGGCGTCATCTAGCATGTTTTTATGGTCGAATTCGGATGTCGTTCCTTTGATCCGAACTTCTCTGATCCAGTGTCGGTCATTGGATCCGGCCAGGACCAGATTATAGAAATCGTGTAGTTCCTCATAATCCCAGCTGAATCTGTAGGTTAAGACCTTCTCTTCTTGGCTGTCCATCTCGTCGATTTTGGTTCCGCGCTCTGGCGCGAAATGAAGCGAATGTGTTCTCGACCTTTTTATAACGAATGTCTGTAAGGAGCTTCTGTGATGCCAAAACTCTGCTGTAAAGATGTCGGAGTTGTATAGTGAAGATATTGTTGATGAATTGAAGAATGGAGTTGAGGCTCGAAGATTGTTGCAAGAAGGCGGCATGTACCATCGTACTTTCCTGATGTGAAGGGACTCGTGTCTAGTGACGTCCCTCCCCTCACTTAGGAGGAGCATTCCCCTCTGTTGATCAACGCTTGTGTCTAGTTTCTCAGTTACTCAAGAGAGAAAGAGCGAGTTGCAAGTCACCGAAACGTGAGAAAGAACAATTGAAACTGCCACACGTAAATGAATCGACCACAAATAGATATGAATAATAGCGGGATCCAAAATTGAATGGAGAGAAAGGGTTCCAGATGACGATTATACATCATGTCCAGAGGCAATAAGCATACTTCAGACAAACATAACCTATATTGAAAATATGGGACAATCGGAGGACCACCAGGATTGCGAGGATCAAGAATTTTATCGCATCCCTATTGTCTGGCTGGATCTGGTATCGCAAATTGAAGCCAAAACGAAGCATTACGAAACAAACAAACATGCAGAAGTCATTGTCCCCGCTCCTTTCTTCATCTCGCTTGCCTGTGCTCTTACTTGAGCAACTTCTTCAGCTTCAAGTTCGGGTATGACTTTTTTTCAACCTACGCTAGTCCCAGAGAAGCGAGACTAAGCTACGATATATAAAGTTAAATAAGCAGATTCCTGTCCATGTCTGCAAGACGACCTTAGACTACGGGCCCTAACAAGACCATACCTACTCGTTAGGTGCTAAAAAAATGTAAAGCGTATTAAATTACGTGACCTCCCTGATTCTCAATCTACCTAGGTAGGCTGAGAGTCGGAAAGAGTTTTGCATTTCATTTTCTCTTTTAAAGGATTTTTTCTCTCTTTTGTATATGTCTTTTCCATAACTTTGTCATGAAGAGAGTTCAAGTTTTGGCTCCTCCCCCTGCTTTCCAGTGGGGTATCGCTCGCTAAGCCTTACTATTTTGACAAGCGAATGCTTATTGGCACTCCACCTTCAAGAACTCAAAATGTTTTTCGCAAATTTGTTTTATTGACAAAAGAATTTGTGCTTCGGTCTTCGACTCCATCAATGAGCCATGGAACTTCAGTCCTAAGTTTGTCAAAAAATGGATGCTCATTTGCAGGTTATATTTATTGAGCGTGGACGTATCATATTGGAGTATGAGGATTAAAACTAGGGTACTTCGGAGCAAGGTTGCCTGGACCTCCGTTACACTCTTGATCACTTCAACAAATCTCACTGCCTTGCAAACTTCACCTTCTGAACAGAAGATGCTTTTGTCTTCATGCAGCTCCCTACGAACCCGCAGCCAAAGATGAGTGCCCACGAGAAAAAGAATCGTGGCCACCGCTTATCCGCCAAATCCCCAATCGCAACCCCACCTCGTACCTTTCAGGGTCGACCCAAGAACCCCTCAGGTGTCGAGCCATCCTCCAACGACAATGCCTCCACGAAATCGACTCCTGATACCAATGTGTCTGATAACGATGACGAATCTGCCCTCTCCGCTCTCGCGGAGAAAGATAAGAAGATCGCAGAACTGGAGAAGGAGATAGCGACTATGGAGGAGGAATTCGAGGCTGAGCTTACACGACTATCTCACAAGCTCACAAACGAAAGCGAGACTGCTCAATTCTGGCAGCAGAAACACTCTGCCTCGAATCAGAACTATCTTAAATCGGATACGGAGCTCAGATTGCTGAGGCAAGAATTGGGAGGATTGAATCAGGTCAAGGAAGACAGGGACAGAGACATTAAGACGAGGATTAGTAGTCTGATGCTGGATCGAGATGCATTCCGGGAGGCTTATAATGAGGCTATGGGTGAGCTGAGAGGGAAAGATGAAAGGTTGAGAGAGTTACAAGGCCAAGTGAGAGGACTGAAGAGTTGGGTAAGCAGAGAAGGGAAGGCGGTTGGTGGAGAGCAGGTTAGTGATGAGATAGTAGGGGAAAAGGTAAGAGGTTTGGGCAACGGGTTGCAGAATTGGGTAATTACCAATTTCAGAAGGGTGAAGATTAGTGAGTGACAAAGCTTTCATATTCAATTAATCAGCCCGGGAAGGGATACGAAGAGAAAATGGTCTGAAGTCAGACCTTTCGAATATCTGCACACTTTATCTCAAAGTCGGACAGCACATTTGAACACCCCAGGCTTAAAGTTAGATATTTACATTGATTTGGTCGCTGTCTGCCGTACAGGGCATTAGCAGCTAATAAGTTATATTTTATACCGGACATTGAGGCTGGGGGTCAGCTTTCTTATCCAAAGGGTTATCTACTCTTTTTTCCCATCATACTGTATGCTCAATTTTGTGGCTACAATATCAGAATGCCATCTGCAATTCTTTATTCTTCCTTCCGCATTTATTATCTAACTTTGATGTAGACTTAGAGAAAATGGATGATGATACAAAAGACCAACTGCTCCGTCTTGTACCGACATACGACATATTAGCCTCATCCTCAAAAGTCCATTTTATCCAATCACTTGTGTCGCGAATCCTGGTTGAGCATATCTTCAGCGCATATTTCGTAGGATTGCCACAAGAGCAAGCATATGAACTCACAAGAATGGAAAAATATCTGAGTGATTTCGGTAGGAATCCAACGTTATTATTTCTGTCGGACGTTGGTTAACGAAGTCCGCAGGAACCATAGAAAGCATGAATCAATGGCGTTCAGCCACTCTTTCTATTATTCAGAAAGAAGCACCTAAAAAGCTCAAATCCGAAACAGCAGCTGTTGTCGAGGTAGTCATGAACCAAGTCAACACAATCATGGACTCGATAGGAGATCTTCAGCATACAGAAAGTAGGGACCAGTCGCTTCGAAGCTTAGTCAACAACTCTATCGAGCTTGCGAGACTGGTCCGCGTACAAAAAGCCGACTTTAGCATCATGATGCCTTGCATTGAAGGCCACCAGAGAACAATGTTTGATCCTGATACTATGGAAGATATTGGTGGAGAGGATGAAGATACATTGAACGAGAGGGAGATTCGTTGCGTCACCTTTCCTGGAGTAGTCAAGGCTGGCGATGAGAATGGGGAACGAAGTCATCTCAGGAATGTCGTGGCTAAGATCAGAGTTTTGTGCTCACCTGATTAAGAGGAAAAGCACACTCTTAGCTACGATCTACACATTGCGATCTCATAGCTTTGGGACAGCTCTTTCTCAGGAGCGGTTAAGGCATGAGGTCAGACTAGGGCATGCCTACCATTAGCTCTACAGATATGCCGAACGATGAGGCTGCTAGCGACGACAATGTGGGACGTGCGGTAAGCCATTTTTTAGTTTAATAATACTTGTTGAGCTGAAGGGTGGCTTGGATATCCATGTACGCTATTATTCTCGCACGGCCTTGAAGGTCGACCAATGAATAACACTATGGTACAATCCTGAAATTCTTGGAGCTAATTAGATAAAAAGTGATAAGTCTCAAGCAGTAAGAGTCTTCTGAGTTTCCCAATGTGCACTTCACATGCGGTTGCTTCATTGACTGACTGCCTATGAGACAATGAGGCCTCAAATTTCGGGTTACAATTGCAACAATTGCGCAACCTGGGTTGCTATAACATACTTGAGCCAGTGTAAGTGCCTCGAGAATTATCGATGTTGACTAGCTTAGAACGCAACTGAAAGTCGGACAAGATCTTGGCCGTCCAGAGTGCAGAAGACTTTGTGGAACTTTGTAGCTTTTCAGACCATCACCCTGAGATTGACACAATTTGACTTTTGCCCGGCCTGATAACAGCGATGCTCTCTTATACCTTCCCGACCAACCATATCCAAAATGTCACTATTTTTGCGCCATTAAATCTTGACTTCCGGCACATATTGGTACGCCATCGGACGAGGTCGGGACATACGTACTAAGGTGAAAATGTTTGTCACTCAGTGGCTTTCCGCCAAGGGAGAACCCATCATGGTTGGAATGCTTCCAGTCATGAGACCATGAACGAAAATATAAAAATAACTCATTCCCATCCTACCCCGTGAGCCAACACAAGGTCGGTATCGGAGTAAGTAAGCCGAAGAATCCGGTTCGAGATGCTGGTAAGTACAGCATCGGAGGAATTGTGGCTTGACTGGGATGTTGAAGTTGCGTCTGACGCAAGCAGTTCCATTGCTCGTCCATGCAATTAACTATATCTGGACTTAAGACCACTGATAACTGGGGCTTCATAAAGACCGCCAATAGCAAGTATGTTGGATGTCTGGAAAGAGGGTAAGGTGGGTGCTTGATCCTGGTTAACATTCAAGAGGTGGGGTTGCACTTTTGAAGAGGTGGGAAAGGACCCCGCTCTTGAAATTCTTCAGTGTCTGCTTTTTAGTTGGAGGCTCTGCGCTTTCTCCGAGAACAGTGTCCGATATGGCTTATGGAATATATCGGCACGCAAGTGATTTTGGGACGACTTGATGTTTGGCTCGATGTGTAGCTTACATCCGCAAGCTCGACGACAAGAGCGACAAAAGTACGGCATCCTTACCATGCGCTCCAACCTAATTTTATATTCTGCGATCTCTTGCATATCTCAAGGGCTATGAAACAAATACCATTCAGACGTGACAGCCCGGGACGAACTATGAGGTTCTCTTCCATGTATACTGCAGGATTCGGTTTCTGAACACAAAATAGCAAACTCAAAGCGGCAGGTGATGCTGTTCGTACGCCTCATTTTCATTTTTGAGCAAGGAGTAAAGAGAGAAGATATGTCTGTCCTTCACAGTGACACGCTTGCGCTGTGTATCCATAGAAAGTGGTCTGACTTAACGCGTATTCGTCTTCCACATATGCTCCTTTCCATTTTCTGAATTTCTTTTTATACACTGATGATTCAGAACATCCACCATTTCCCGTCCGCCAAGCAACTCGACCATACATTCTGTAAGGTAGATATGTCGGCGGGAGGCGGTGTGCATCTTGGGTTTTAATCTATCTTGTTTTCTCTGATATCTCACCCGACCTTCAGAAGCGCCACAGGGCGTCTGCAGGACCGGAATGCAGCATGAACTTCCCATTGCAAGGACCGAGTCGCTCTTGACGAGTAATCTGATCACAACAAAAGGTGAGTGTGATATAGGCCCGAATTTTTAACAGGCAGAAAGGGAATATGATATAACAATTACACATCAACGGAAGCCTCAACTGGAGCTCGTGATAGCTCGCTGCAAGGTTGTCTGCAGGATCAATGCGGAGAAGACAAGCAAGCAAAAGCAAATCTGCAATGCCAAGTAGGATGAAGGATAACGCATGCCTTCGACATTTCCATTATACGAGCCCCCAGCTTCAGCATTGGGCGTCAAAGAACCCGTTCACATGGATTTGGATGAGGTGTGGGAGATGCATGAGTTGTCGACTTAGGATCCCTGACCCACGCCATCCCCATATATCATAAAGTCCCACCCCTCTCTAGAAACGCATCTTGAGTATTTGACTGTATCCATCTTGCAATAAAACATACGTTTCCAAATCTGTGCATATACTGAAGTTATCATTTTGCACTTGCACATAACCACTTTCTCTCTCTGGGCCCCCACGGAAACTCCTCCGCTAGCCGATATCTGGGAGTTCCTATCTCGCAACTCTTTGAGATTCCCCTCAGTCGTCACCCAAAAGCACCGCGACGCTTCTTGGCAGCAAGCTGTCGACACTCGTCGAAAGTTCGTGTATTGGCAACTCTATCGGACGTGTAAGGCGGGTCTCCTCTCCTCGTCCAAGATCTTGCTGTCCGAACTCTTTTGTCTGCGTCGCACGCTCTTAACGCCAACCCCGCCAACTTCAACGCGCAGGTCGCCTTTCGAGTACTTACGCAATTCAAGCATTCTAATTCATTGCATAGAGCCATGGCAGCTCCTTTCAGGGCTTGGCTGGACAGCGATGAGGTCCCAGCCATTGGCTTTGCGACTACCCCTCGGCGGGTTGAGTCTCCGGATTCGTTCTTCGAGTCACTCTCGAAGTCGAAGAAAGCTCCAGAATCAGGACCTCTCTCATTTAGTCGGACGTCTACCAGTAGCTCGAGCGGTAGCAGCGACGGCTCGGTGACTGATGACACTCCAAGTCGAAAATCTTCGGCATCCACCGCTCCATCAACAGCTCCTTCGATCGATGTGCAAGTTCCATGGCATGTCCACGTCGCACATCTGCCACAACCCACTGCAGTACCCATAACTGCTAGGTACTCTCTGCCATGCGAGTTTCTCTTTGCTGGTTGTCAGATAGCTTTTCCACCAGGTAAGTCGGCTTCTCGGTCGAGACATCTTCTTTGTTCGCTTTTCTGCAACATCCCGAGCCCATTCCAAACCCTCGGCGTCCTCAAGCCATTGAAGTGTACGAAATATACTGACTTTGGGGCTGTGATACCAGACGAGTACGAAAACTGGATCCTACACAGTCTTACGCATTTCCCGCGCTCAGACCCACCAAAGAAGTGCGTCTGCACAATTTGTGATAACGACGACGCTGTCTTCTCGACGGAGGGAGATCAGAGGAGTCGAATATTGAACTGGAGCACGAGAATGCATCATATCGGAGAACATTTCGAACACGAATACATATATGAGGACATGCGGCCAGACTTTTTTGTCATCAAACATGTCGAAAGTCGACTCAATGAGGAAGACTTCAAGTCTGCCATGAGCTATTCAGAAAGACCACCAATCAATAACTTGGTCTCGTATGGATTCAAAACGCCGGCAATGCGTCGCCAGGAGCGAAGAGATAATGCGCAATTTATAAACCAAAGAGATGAAGATCGAAGACGAGAGAGACAACGTCGACTTCAAGTACGCCACTAAAAGGCCGGACAAGCCCACAGACCGCCTTTCCAGTGTTCCGCAGATACACCAAAATTATCCTGAGGAATATGGAGTGGTCTCGGCTGATGTCTCATCAGATGCGGGAAGGGACCTGCATCTGACGTAGGATGCCGCTTCAGCAGAACATCTGTCCTTCGCTGGCGGATGGACATTCATAATATATATATTGTCACTTCACGTGGAGGTGAACTTGGCCGAGAGGGTGGCGAATTCGGAGTCGCCGTGGTGATGATTCCGCTCAACGGCTTCCGATTTTCTGTCTTTTGTTTGCTTGGATACTGTTTATGCGAAGTAACTTTAAAAGTTCGACCCAGTGCCATGGTTCAGGTACACCCGGCGCGGTGGCACTTGGCTGGGCTGATTAGCCACCGCCGTTATCAGAGTCTGCCTCGCCGGGTCAGACAATGGTCGGCGTAATACCCCAGCTTTCTGGATGAAGGAAGATTTGTACTGATGACTTGATGTTCTGTTTCCAATTAGTTCAGATCTGTACAATTTTCATTTTCGGTGTTTTGAATACCCCTTTTATGTTGAATACTTCATCATGTACTCTTTCTTGTTTTGGAAATTGGAGACGGGCGTTGCGACTCTCAATATCTTATGACACTTGGTTTTTCTGGTGTAAGAGACTAGGCGCTCTCTGACTCATCGATGTCGGTAGAGGAATTAAAAAGTTCTCCACTTTGTATATGCTGAGTTCATCCTGCCTGTTGTGAATGTGAATGTGCGTAGTGAATTGTTAGTCGAGCAGCCCAAACCTGCCCAACATCTTGTACTCTCCTCCACACTTGGATGGTGTGCATCGAATCCGACAACGGAGAGGATCAGGGCCTGAAGTTCTTTGTTCCGACTACCATATTCTTGGGATAGTACTGTCTACTACATTTGACCTCGCTAATGTGCAACGATCATAACATTCACAACTCCTAACAAGCAACCGAACTTTATACATTCGACCTTGAGCAGCCCCTGATATATAATGCTACGAGTGATAAAATTGCCATCAAACAAATGACCTAGTCAAGCCCCTTTTGCCTTCTGAAACGGGGTAGCAGCGTGGCCTCCAGCTTGGATACCTTTTTGCCACATGACCTCCAAACCATACGAGGCTTCGAGAAGGATATTTCCTGAAATCCGCTCAGCTACTCCACATGACTGCATGAAACTCTTCGTCCAAGCAAATTTTCTCAAGGACTTCTGGTCGGTGTGGTTTCGAATCGTGCTAACCACTCAAAGGCAACTCGCCCCTGCACAGCCTCCTCTCGGAAAAGTCAAAGTACCACCAGAATTTTTCTCCTGAACTCCGCGTGGCCTGTCGAACTCCAGCAGAGTGAATATTTGCATGGGACTAGTGTATAGAATCTTCGATCATGCAAAGAAAAAGTTCCATGACGGTCAGGCCATTGGTTGTTCGAATAAGGCGAACGTGGGGATTTTGGCAGCCTCGTCTAAAAAAATCTTGACCCTCCCGAAAGCGGTCGGGGCATGGTTTCCTTGCCTGTAAGAAAATATCGAGACCCGATTATCGGCTTCAGGATACACTGAGATTGGTCAATGCGTGGAAATGCTGTGTTCGATGTTGAGGTGGTCATGCATTGCCACGTTTTGAAGAGTCAATTGGTAAGGCTGCTTGCAGGAAATCGTTTCGATGTGCAAGCCAGAACGTTCGAGATGTAAAATTTCATACTCTTGTGTCTTCGTGCGGTTGTGATATAACGAAAGTTAAGAGAGACTGAGCAATGCCAAGTAGAAAAACTCAAAGGTGGTAGAGCTTTTGTGACAGAAATTTTTCGAGAAGCTTTTTTCAAACACAAAGGGTGGAGAGAACGATAGAAGGTTCTAGGCGTGAAGATCGTGTTGTCCACAAACAATAGCGTAGGTGGGAGGGGACCAGGTTCCTCTGCTGCATGTGAAAAGATGGTTAGCTTTCTTGCTGAAGGCGAAAGTGAAGTTGTAATGCTGTAAATGGAGGAGGAACATATTACTTCAACAATATTGCAGATGCTCGCGGGTGTTGCTCGAGATCTCTCTCAATGAGCAAGCATAGAGCTTATGGCTTCAAGGACTTGCAGAAACTTGCGGTCATTTCAAGCTTAACACAAGTAAGTGATGTCTGATAACTTCAAGAAGAGCGACAAGCAGAAGTCTGGCTATACATGCATATGACCTGTAGATAGCGAGGATATACGGAAGTGAATGACAAAGTCTTGGTGGGAGGGAGCGAGCGAGTACTGAAAAAAAGATGGAGATATTTTTTATTTAGGAAGGAAGCAAATAAATCGTCGCAGAGCAGTCACCAAACACGAGTAAGGAAGGCACCACCGAGACCTACTATCCTTCACACTTCCTTACCACACAAAATTTCAGTTCTACGTGACGGTTCTTCTTCAAAAGCGCGCCCATTGCGCATCGTATTGAGTAAGAAGTGCGAGAACGATACTCGTTCAAACATGTCAAGGGTCAATCAAGGTCGAAATTCCAAAAGCACCTTGCTGAAAACCAGTTGTCGGGACACACCACATGTTGCTACCTTCTTGAGGATCCGAATTTCGGTGATATTAAAATTTCCAAGTGTATTCCTATATGTTCTACAATATCCATAGCAAGAAGTATGGGATCTAGGATGATAAATGGGCGCCGAGTCGACAGCCTTCTGGACTTTACTTACCTGTCTCTGGCGAGGGGTCGAAGCAAGTTAAGAATCTTTGGAAGACACGAACAGGCAAATTTTGGGCAGAACATGAGTACATCTATCGAGGCATCATGATGCAAAGACTACACAAGTTGTACGGAAAGATGAGAGTAGAGTCTTGCATCGCAGAATTTCCGGGGCTTTGGATGATGCGATTGAGATCAAGTTCAATAAGACCAACGCTGGAGAGAAAGCGACGATTATGTATGACAATTACAAGTCCGAAGTAGTAGAGGAGGATTGATACTCCTGCTTTAGGTCAAAAGCACTCTAGGTTTTTCAATGTGTGATTACATAAGCGCAATAGTCTGCCAAACAATATGATGCCTTCTTTATCGAAGGTTATGTTACAAGACCTATGAAATCTTCTTGTCCCACAACTACTTGAGATGCTCCTGCTCTAATACCCACCAGCTGGCTCCAGGTCTAGGACAAAAGACGAAAGAGTTCAACAGAGCTACTTGCAACCCACTAACATAGCATCACCACCGTCCAGGTTCTCGTGTTGTTGAATAGCAACATCCGAAGAGAATCATAGAAGCACCCAATGTAGAGACTGAACAAATCCACCTATTGCCTCCTAGCAAGATTTGACCACGCCCGCAATGAGATGGAAGGCACTGACGCACGGATCTTGTCATCATAGCCGTCCTCTTTAAGAGAAGTTCAAGGACTTTCTTGAACTCGATTGGCAAGCTTTGAGGACATTTCTTTGATTTTGAGACCCGAACATGAAGTGAGAGTATTCTGTGCCTGGACTAAGATAGGGCAGAGACATGAGATGAAGACGACATCGATCTGGGTCATTGTACCGACAGACCGCCAAAATAGAAAACTTGATTGATGGAGTCGATCTTTTCGTGACAATTTAACGAGACCTGCTCCACCAACCCCTCCAACGACTTCTACCCCGCAATTCTTGGCTTACAAAACCATGCGGAGAACCCTCCGTTCGAAGACCACCCAATCCTGATCGACCTCGAGATGGACCAGTTCCCATGTCACTCATGCCCGAGGGAAAAGTTCTAACGAGGGCGTAAGCCGAAGCGTCGTTCATCTTTGACATGGTCTTGCATATCTGGGTAGTCCAGCCGTCAAATTGTAAATGTGAGGTCGCATGCGAGCGTATTCCATCCAGGTTTTGCGTGAATGAAATCGCCGATGCTGCCGGAGCGAACCCCTATTCCGTTGATTCAAACTTTATTGCAAACGCGGGACACGTACCAAGCTCGAACAAATCGTGCCTCTTTCAAGACAAGCAAGACGCATGCCGAGCCCGATAGATCTGGCCATAGAGATCCGCTCCAGTTGAAATGGCTACCTGCCTTTGATACTTTCGAGACAATATATGCAAGAAATGATTTACACTTCGGATGCCTCACCTTACCAGGGTGAGAAGGATAAGTCGCTCGACATGTCGAACTTGCGCCACGTACATGGTCAGACAGCGAACGAGCAGATAAGCAGGAACTTTTTATGACAATGAACAAACCGCATGGTATTCAACATTACAAAAACTTTCTGGATTCTAATTGTATGTCCGCATGATTTCAAGTATCGGATCTGCTGAGAGTCCAGGATTCATTCGAGGGTCGAGAAGTGAAAGACAAGGACGGCTCAATTATCGCGATACGAACTCTCAGCCACTCGGCATCCGAGGGTTCATAAAATTGTTCGCACCATTGTTTTGGTTGCAGGGCAGCGCTTCTTGCGACCTGCATGACAACGTCATGTTTGTGTGACGCTGAAAAGTCTAGATCCTGAAGATCGCGGCGATTTTTTGTGGGATCCTGTTCATGAGGATTTGAACCTCTATATCTTGCACCGGCTTGATCCTGACTGACATCCCGGCTATCATCAGGATGGTCTGTACCCACCTGTCAAATACAGAGAGTCCACGTTGCCTTTGTTCTGCGGCAAAATCGACCAGGTAATGCCATACATGGAGCGGAAGGTGGCATCATTGGAGTGACGCCGAGTCCCGTATCGGCAATCGAGTCTCATGCTCGGGGCCACAGTGATGCAGGCTGCGTTGTGCCGGGGTCGAGTCATCAGTGCGAGACCAGTGGTTGTGAGCACACTTTTCTTTGCTCTCCACTGAACTGATGACTGTCTAAAAGGAGAGACGGACGTCTGGTTGACGATTCCATTTGGGCAGCCATTCTGCTTGGTTCCATCCTCTCTCCACGCTCATACGGCAGGTGATGGCCCTTCTGGTTGGCGGCTCAGATCTCAGTTGTCGGTCACCTTCACCAAACGGGCATGGGGTTGTTCCTCCTACTCGGGAGAACCTCAGCCATCCGTCTCGGCAACCCATGGGGGCACATACAGTACTTAGCCATCCGTGAAGTCTTCATCGGGCCGCAATGCCTTCAGAGATGTCGAGGTCTGCTGCGTTATAGGAATATGTCTGGATTTGTCTTGTGTTGATATTTGTCTCTTGGAGAGAGAACGAAGTTTTAAGGATGTTCTAGAGCGGTGCCACATTAAACCATGGGCGCTCCGACAGGGATACCATTCGCTGGTACTTGCATCATTATGCACGTTGACGTCCCCATGCCGATCGACGTCATAGTGGATCGAGTCGTTTCCAACTCTCTTTCCTTGGTGATCTTCTTGCGCTCTTTAGATGCCTGCCAGCCATCCTTTTTGTCGGAGGCTCAACGTACTCAGCGTTCGGGCATTCACATTTATCCGCCCGAAACGCACCCACACATCACCCTCGCTCTTCTGCTCTGGGTCGATGCAGCATCAAACACAAAAAGTACAATACATATCCGCGTGGTGCAGCCAGGGCCGGCTTGTTTGGGCAGGAGGAATAAATTCCCATTGGACCTGGGCACCCTTTCAAATATGGGGCCAAATGTGTCTAATCTAGGCTCCGCATGATGTCCCCATGATCTGAATATTCTGTGGGATGCTGCGTCTTTTCGTGCAAGGTGAGGTGCTCGAGGGTTGCTCCATCGCATCAAATAGGCTGTATCTCCCGCGGGTGCGAATAGAAACGTCTGATATTGTGAACCCTGTCCAAGGACTCGTCTGACCTTCTCTGCATTCTTGCGAGATGTGGGCAAGAAGGGGGTTGAGGATTCTAGAGTGAAACGCTCCCGTTGACTTGCAGAGAAACTGTTCTTGTCTGTCGATCATCGTCCTCGTGGTAACCAAATCCCCATCCCACCTCTACGAGTACACTTCGTAATAGCTTGTCCCCTCCTCTTCTCCCTGCTGCGAGCTGCAGAGTCCGAGCCCCTCCACACCGAGACCGAGACAAGCACGCTAGTGTCTCCTCTTAGGGAAACGTTGACACGTTCAGCTCAATATTCCCCCCTCATCCCACCTCGAACGAAAGGTGATTTCTTCCGCTGGGACTCCGGCACATTCATCGCACATCATCCGACGGTAGCAGAAGCAACAGACGTTCAGGTCGTCGAGTCGAGTGCGTGATATCCAAGAAAGTATTGTTGTCGGTGTTGGCTGTTGTTTTAAAGTCAAAACTTCTTATCGCACAAGAGCAGATAGAGCTTCGGTTAGGAGAGTCTCTCCGCTCCGCTTCCAGCCCAACCAAGTTTGTAGATCTAGCCCCACCATCACTTGCGCTTTCGCTTTCACTTTTACTTTAATTCTTTTCAACTTTCGACAGTCTTGCGCAATCAGTCGACGTCTGTGGACGATCGAAAGCCGCCGAGTCAGCCAGAAAGTGCAAGGTTGGGACCACCGAAACCTAAAGAATGCCTGATACTACGCATCGCCATGAGGAGGACAGGGTGAGCAGCTCTGATCTAGCTTGTTTACCATAGTGCTGACCGAGCTATACACAGAGCGAGGAAGGTTCTGTGGGATTACCAGACTTGGGCGACAGCATTGATGCCATGACCTTTGAGCAGATCTTGGAGATGGACGACGACGAGGACGAGCGCGAGTTCAGCAGGTCGATTGTCTTCGGTTTCTTCGAGCAGGCTGAGCAAACCTTCGAGAAGATGGATGATGCACTGTGAGTGATCACGCGAATACCCTTCCGGAACATATTATTGACAAGTTTGTCTTCTACAGGGAAAAGAAGGACCTCGCAACCCTCTCGTCGCTCGGTCACTTCCTGAAGGGTTCCTCGGCTACTCTTGGTCTGACAAAAGTCAAGGATAGCTGCGAAAAGATCCAGCATTATGGACAATTGAAGGACGAGGCAGGCACGGCAGATGAACCAGATGAGGAAAAGTGCTTGGGATTAATCAAGGAGACGTTGGTCGCAGTGAAGGAGGAATACGCCGAGGTCGAGAAAGTGCTGAAGAAATTCTATGCAAGCTGAAGGGGCGACGGTCTTTCAACCACGTTCTCGCCCCAGGCGTTCATGGCCAAGCAACAACATGCCGGTGGATATCTGGTCGCGACATTGAAGTTCACGCATGGACAATGGGCTTCTCTTACAGCGGTGCTCCTCAAATGGCTCTGGCGTTGGATTGCTCGATTTCTTTCTGGCATGGCATATGGTGTTCCCTCTGCAGGACTCTATCTCAAGGATACTACGGGACTTGGGATTCTTGATGAATGATGATATCTTGGTCCTGCATTTCCCCACCCCAATCAAAAATGAGAGATGATCTGATCGTGGTTTGATTCAGGTCTATGTGAAGCCATGCCGTATTCCAAAGTCCAAACGACACGAAGAAAAAAACCATTCAAGATTGAACATGGGGTTTGGTCTCTCAGGGTCTCTACTCCAAATGCCGTGAATTAACCTTATTCCCAACCCCAAATGTTCAACTGCATTGCATATCCAAGCCACAATACCATCCGAAGTCCATGCCCCTGAATTATCACCCCACAATGTCCCGACTATTGCCTATCACAATTCTGGTACCTCAATCTCCCCCTCAACCTCGTACTTCTCCTCCCCATCCTCACCAAGCTTAGCACCCATCCTACAAATTGCTACCTTCTCCATCCTGACATCCTCCATCCACACAAACTCCTCATATTCCTCTAAAATTTCCCTAGCATCAATCACTAACTTCGCTCTACCTTTCTTCCCATGCCCCGTTCCTCCCTTCTTAACACCTTTCGCATATATCGTATTTAGAACCGTAGCATGTAAAAGCAACTTCCTTTTAACCTCCTCCATAAATTCGGCTTCCGCGAAAATATCCCGTAGTTTTGAACCAAACTGGTAGAGTCTGAGATCAGGGTCCAGAGGAGAGGAATAGAGTATTGATGTTTTGGAGGCGTTGTGCATGCTTCGGAGCCCTTGCAGAGTGACTTTCAATGGTTCTGGCTTGGACACATCTTCTGCTACTTCCTCCGCTTTCCCTGGGGGTGCATCGTCTTTCCCTTTTCCTTTCCCAGAGAATTTGACAGGACTTGGAGCGCTCAGCAACTCCTTGATATCAATTTCTTGCAATAACTTCAACGCCCCTTGAACCTTCTCTTCTGTCACGAGACTCATGACACCCAGCGTAAGATGCAACGTCCCCACTGGTCTAATAGCTCTTTCTGGAATTCCATCTGGGAGCTCCGGGGTCTTTATCTTGGATACATTTTCTCGGAATGAAGATAGAGAATTTTGGAGTTGAGGTCGTGATGAGGCTGTCACGAGGGGCAGACAGAGGAAATGCGTGAGCTTTGGTGCGGCTGCTTTAGCTGCTTTGGGCGGCATTATATACTTCAGTGTGGAAGTAGTATAGAAAGAGTTTATAGCGGTAGGAGAGAACACCAAGGGGTTTTGGTCGAAGTAGCATCCTGTCTGGAATGTGTCGTCGCCGTCGAGTCATCGTTTGGTCATGTTTTGAGTTTCGGGTCGGCCCTTTCCTTGCTGAACATCGTCACGACGTCTGTGAGAACAGATTGTATGTAGAATAGAAAAAATGATCATTCAACCAGTGCTAGATACATTTGCTACATCTTGTATTCATTATCATATAATATGTAATTATTTCGTCGAAAATGAGCTCCTCCCTCGGCGACCTGCAGCTCTCGAAACGCCAGGAACGACAGGGGCTGGTGCCTCATATCAACTTCTCAAATTCACAGCCTTCTCCTCTCTCCAACAAACACTCGACAGGACTTCGTTCAGCGCCTTGGCACCTCTAGATCATGATGGACGACTTAGATGACTCCAGCTCTGATGTTTCAGACACAATCCTTCGACAAGAAGACCTCGACGATATCCCAGCCTTGGCGGCCCCACTGGTGCAAGACCTCACGGAGGAAGATAAATTCCTCAGTGACACAAGCTCCCTATCCAGTCTAGTATTGAAGGATGGAGCTCCGGAGATCAAACCGAGACCTTATCAGCTAGAAATGTTTGAAGAGAGCTTGAAGAGAAACATTATCGTTGCTGTTTGTAACCCCTCTGTCGCGTTTGTTTACCTTATGTGATGCTTGAGGATACTGCACGATCATGATGCTAACAAAAGAACACCAGATGGATACGGGGTCTGGAAAGACCCATATGTAAGTGTAAATTCATGCATATTTTCCCTTGAAGTTAGATAAGTAGTAATTTGAGCTTTTCTGTATTTTGAGGTGTTTTGGAAGTATCCTAAGTATAGTCCGATTTCTGCATTGCATTGTCTATTCTCGCTCAGTACCAAGTTACATCATCCCTCACTTCATGATGATTTTATTCAAGACCAAGACATAAAAAATTCGATCTACAACATTCAGACGATAGGTTTCTTGCGCGTAATTGTCTTCTAATATTCAGTCTCGCAATGTCCGTCTCTGGCACGGTACTTCCGGCCTCGATATTGCCGGTCGTAGCCACAGTCACTCCGGGTCGGACTCACCTACTGAAGATAACTCGAGCAATTCGATCTCTTCTCCGTCCTCGACTCGCGCTCTGCTTTGCTCCGAGTTCCTGACTGACAAACATAATATAGTGCTGTGATGCGCATCCTCTACGAACTCGAGAACATTCGTTCAGATCAACTCGTCTGGTTTCTAGCTCCCACTGTCAGTTTGTGTGCTCAGCAGTTCGGATACATTCAATCCCAAATCAGTGCCGTAAAAATCAAATTTCTGAGCGGTGCAGACGAGGCAGATCGTTGGGCAGAGAATCATTGGCAAGTGGTTCTCCTCAACGTCAAAGTTGTCGTGTCTACTTATCAGATTCTACTTGATGCCCTCAGCCATGGCTTCGTCCAAATGGCTTCATTAGCTTTGATCGTTTTTGATGAAGGTAACTTCTCTTCCATCATGATCCCACAGCGCTAACTTCTCAAGCCCACAATTGCGTTGATAAGCACCCCGGTGCTGTGCTAATGAGAAACTTCTACCATAAGCGCAAGGCACTAGGTTTAGATATACCACATATACTCGGACTAACAGCCAGCCCAGTCATGAGATCTAGCACATCATCATTGGTTAGGATCGAGGAAACGTTAGATGCCCTTTGCAGGACCCCTTCAAAACATCGATCAGAGTTACGACTTCAAGTCAAGCTTCCGGTAATGTCTCAAGTATATTACTCAAATCTACCAGTAAACGGGTCAATTGCCGTCTATACGAGAGCGATGACTTCTCTCTCCAATTCTTACCACAATCTTCGCCTTTCAGAAGACCCATACTATCTCAGCCTTTTGAATGATGATAGCGATCGAGGCCGAAGAAAGCTTGACAAAGTAAGGTTGAATCAAAAAACCACGTCCTCCGATCAGATGAAGTCATTCAACGCCACAGCGCAGAAGATATTTGAAGAATTGGGAAGCTGGGCAGCAGACTATTACATCGCGGAAGTTGTAAGCAAAGTTCTTTCACTTGCAGGACAATCAGACAACCCCTTGGGTATCTGGGATATTTCCATGGCAGAGAAACAATACCTTGCGAAGGCCCTACAGTCTGTCGAAGTCAACCGTGATACAAGTCATGACTCTGTCCTGAACGTTCAGACGACAGACAAGGTGGAAAGAATGCTGGATGTCTTGCTCGAGTCAACAAGCGCGCTGTTCTCCGGAATTGTATTCGTCCAGGTATGGCTCTCAGGTGTTTTCCCCAACACGTCTTTCCCTCTACGCGAATCTCATCGTACTGTAAAAATTGTAATATAAGATAATATTGTTCCAAAGATTTTAGGAAAGTCTAAGTCGATGTTAGTGGGGAAACCGGCTTCTTCAAGATAGGAGGGAATTCGCGTCCTTGTTGCATCATTTTGGCTCTGAGAGTTTACTTCACACTTGGGACTTGGCCCACTTACATTGTCTCACAAACTCTGGAACAACATTGTCTTATTTCCCAGTTTTTACGGCATTTTCTTGTGTGGAATGATTGCTGATTTTCCTAGGAACGAGCAGTGGCCGCGGTTCTCACAAAGCTCATATCGATCCATCCCAAGACCCGCCACAAATTCAAAGTTGGAGTCATCGTGGGAACGTCTATGCACAAGTTTCGGACTCGTAACATCGGAGAGCTCATTGACATGAACGAACATAAGGACACCTTATCAAAGTTCAAGAAGGGCAAAATCAATCTCGTAATTGCCACGAGTGTACTGGAGGAGGGTATTGATGTTCCCATCTGCAATCTGGTGGTGTGTTTCCAAAGGCCTGCCAATCTGAAGTCTTTCGTCCAACGGCGAGGACGTGCTAGACATCGTGATTCTCGTTTGGTATTGCTACTCAGCGAAAGCGACAAGCTCGATCAATGGCAGCAACTTGAGGCTGACATGAAGAGGATATATGAAGACGAAATGCGAACCCTACAAGAATTGATTGTCAAGGAAGACAGCGAGGACAACGATGGGAGAACGTTTCATGTCGAGTCCACAAATGCATTGCTGGACCTAGACAACGCAGTATCACATCTCTACCATTTCTGTGCAACACTACCAGCAAATGAGTATGTAGATCTTAGGCCAGAGTTCATTTGCAGTCACGTTGCCGGAGACTTGGTCACTGCGACAGTCCTGCTTCCGATCTCTGTTAACAAAGCTGTTCGAACAGCGGAAAGCAAAACGGCTTGGCTGAGCGAGAAGAACGCAATCAAAGATGCTGCTTTTGAAGCATACGTCGCTTTGTATCATGCAGGTCTCGTCAACGATAATTTACTGCCTCTTTTGAGGCATGATGCTATTGTCGATGAGTTGATGGTCTCGCCAGTCGAACATCGAGCATCCATAGTGTCTGTCAACGAGCAACTTGATCCGTGGGCCGAGATTGCCAAAGCCTGGATACTTGTTGAACAAGAGGTGGACAGAAAGCTTGGTCAGGCTACCCTCACTATTGGCGACTTAGATGTCGACCTTTATTTGCCAATTGACATCCCTCAAGTCCCGGGATTCCTCATATATTGGGATATAGACACTGAACTACCAGTTTCTATAACAACCAAACCTAGTTTGTCAATACCTGGTGGTACGACAAATATCCCTGGTGACACATTTCCATTGCTTCGGGCTGGTTTTGGTTCTCGATTTCCCGTCAAAGACAAGCTGTTGCCCATGTTCTTCGTTGCACGCAACGACATGAACCTTCGAAATCTTGTGGGTTTCCACGATGCCGTCAATGAGTATGGGAGTCTATCACCAATGAATGATGCCTTGATCAGGGACAAGTTTGACCCTAACATAGCGTACACCTATGAGCAGATTCTCCACCTCAAGCCAGATTCGCGTAAGGTACAATATCCCTACAAGGAGTATCAAGAAGTACCTGTGGATGTCCCACACTTAGCTCTCAGAAAGGTCCCAAAACGGAACGACTTTCTCCATAAAGTCGCCTTTGATCCCAGCGCTAGATCAACCAAAGAGTTCTCGTACGTACTACCGATCAACAGATGCACGATCGACGATTTACCGTATAAATATGTTCAATTTGGAAGATTGATTCCGTCGATCATGCATCGTTTCGAAGTAGCGCTCATTTCAGAGGAGTTGTCGAGGACAATACTTCAGAGTGTGAAAATCTCAGACATCAGTCTAGTCTTGACTGCAATCAGCGCATCCAGTGCCCAGGAAGAATCGAATTACCAGCGATTGGAATTTCTTGGAGACTCCATCTTGAAAACATGTGCCTCAATTCAACTTATTGCCGAGTATCCGCTATGGCACGAAGGATACTTGTCTGCAAAGAAGGACAGATTGGTGTCTAACTCAAGATTGTCCAGAGCCGCTCGAGAAATTGGTCTTGACAAGTTCATCATTACAAAAGCGTTCACTGGACACAAGTGGCGACCAAAATATATCGAAGATCTTTTGGCTCTACCAGTGTCTAACAAGATGAGAGACATGTCGACTAAAGTCCTCGCAGATGTTGTTGAAGCTCTTGTTGGAGCAGCCACTGTTGATGGTGATATCCCGAAAGCATTAGCTTGCCTGCAAACCTTTCTGCCAGAGCTGGAATGGAAGCCGCTTGAACAGCGAAGGTCCTTCTTGTATCAAAGAACGCCGGACATCCAACTACCCACCACTTTACAACCACTTGAAACGTTCATGGGCTACACTTTCAACCGAAAGTCCCTTCTCGTCGAGGCAATGACCCATGCTTCTTGCAACAGTGGCTCAGGCTCACTCGAACGCTTCGAATTCCTAGGAGACTCAATCCTCGACAACATCATCGTCACAGCGATGTGGCCTCATGCTCTCAGCCACTATCAGATGCATCTACTACGCACTGCTCTCGTAAATGCCGACTTCTTAGCATTCATCTGCATGGAATGGAGCATCGAGCACGAGATCATTGATCTGCAAGTCCTCCCCACAAACATGAAATCGGCCAAAATCGCAGAAAAGTACAAGATGGTCTCCTGGCCTCTGTGGAGATTCATGCGTCACACGTCTCCTAAGCTAGGATTCGAACAAGCTGCTACCTCTGCTCGATACTCCGAGCTTCGGACTGAGATCAAAGAAGCTATTGAGAACGGGACACACTATCCCTGGGCTCTACTCTCCCAACTGAGGGCTCACAAGTATTATTCCGATATCGTGGAGTCCTTACTTGGAGCTGTATGGATCGATTCCGGTTCGTTCGATACCTGTAGAGAGATCGTGCATAGGATGGGTATCCTTCCGTACTTTGAACGGATCCTGAAAGATGGTGTTCATGTGTTGCATCCGAAAGAGGAATTGGGGATGTTGGCTGATACTTTGGAGGTTAGGTATGTTATGGAGGTGGAGAAAGTGCCATCAGAGGAAGGGGGAGAGGAAGAGAGGAGATATGTTTGTACGGTGTTTGTAGGAGGTGAGAAAGTTGTGAGATTAAGTGGGAATGTTGAGAAGGGTGTTTTGCAAACTATGGCTGCAGAGAAGGCGGTGGAGATACTGAAGATGAAGAAAGAGGGCGAGAAGATGGATGTCTAGATCGAAGTGCCGTATGTGGAGAAGGAGAAAGAGGATATTCTAGGCTTGGATACTGAGATGGCTGATAATTAGTAAAGAGCGTTGGAAGAAAAAACTGTCTGCGGCCCATTTCTTAGGGTAGATTGAAGCAATTAATGATGAAATATCAACACTAGCCAGAACAATCCCACATCCAAAAAAAAAAAAAAAAGGTAAATAAGTATTTTTCTGCAGCAGCGACATCTCATCATTCTAGCCCCTTCCTAATATCAATCAACAACGCCATCCCCAAAACAAATAGTCGCCTCACAACGTCTCACCAGCCCCCCTTCTACTGAAACATAAAAAAGCAATTTTGGCCGCAAGGATCATCTCGGGGGTATTAGAAAAGGAAGTTAATATTTGACCGAAAGAGGAGAGGGGTCAATGCTTTCCTACTATCTGTCGATCTACCGAATCCGGCAGCAAATACAATCAATATGCTCATCATAATCATTTCACATGGGAGGAAAGTAAACGCTGCTGAATGGAAGAAGGCGTCATGCCAAAGAGCCATTATTTGTTGATCTGATACGATCTGAATCCTACCCCCATCTCTTCTAAATACAACCAAGCAAGCCCGAACCCTGCCCCGTCCAATAACAATATATCTCTTTTGCTCGCAGAGCAGAAAAATTTCCCGTAGAGATCGACCGCCAGCCCACGGTCCAGATTGAACCAAATAAAAACCAGAACCATACGTCACACCACAATGGGTGTGGCGTTTCCCCAGAGAAAAGGAACAAACCCCACCCGCCCATACAGCCAGATTCATACCCCGAATCTTCAGTGAATTGTACAGATATAACAGGAGGAAAGATCCCCGTACGACATAGGATGTGAACCCCAAACATATTTCCAAACCGGGAGGCCCGGTTTTCTCTGACCGAAGTAGACATGACAAAGGAGATGGATTTTTTCGCGCTGTGAAGCAGTCTCGCTCGCCTCTCTCTCAAACTTATTTCGTGCAGTCTATAGGGGGTATTTTGAAGACAAAAGTAACAATAACACAGCGTCGAAGGCGGATCCTTGTTTGGGTATGAAAATGTAACAATGGAAAATGAGAGTTCGAAACAGAACATGACGCCCAAATGTACACGCTAAACCCTGGTGGCTGAACACATGACAACCAATGTTGACAAAGGAGAGTATGAAAATGATGATGGTGATGACCCCAAAATATCCTCAACACCATGCAATGTAGATGCAACCAAAAGTACTTTTCCACCATATGAATGATTTACAGTCTGACGAAGCACCCATGGCTCGTCTAGAAGCGACTCGAAGCTGCGAAAATGCTCGCAGCAGCAGAAGCTCCCCACTCGTTCTCCTCATAGTCGTAAGGCGGTGTTGATGATTGCTTGTTGCTGGTTGGGGCTTTTGAAGGCGTGACCTGTGCAATTCCCTGACCGAACAATACCGCGTTGCCACTTGCGGAGGGCGATGGAGTAGGATAAGGATTTGAAAGAGCAAGAGTGCTATTCGATTGACGGAGTGCTTGACGGTTGTCGTTTTGAATAGAGTTCCTGTCCATCTTCTTTAAGGCTTTGTGCGTGCTGCTCAAGACTTCGTCGAGCAGCTCATCTTCCTCATCAGGTGTCTCGTATTGCCGAGCAGCCCCTGGTACTTGAGACCTTCTTGTTCTGCTTGAAACAGGTCCCGCTCCACGGAGATTGTCCACGGATCGGGGTTGTTGTTGAGGAAGCGAATGGTGGCGTTTCAAGACACTGCTTGGATTTATAAGATGATTTGGGGGAATTGGAGCAGTGCCCATTTGCGGAGATTCGAGATTCTGCTGCACGTTTCTCAACGCCTTATCCAAAGCCTCGTAAGTATCGACTTTTTGGTTTGGGCTTGGAATATCTGCCCCATCAACGACCATTGAAGATCTATTGCTGGCCCATGGACCACATCCAGCCTGTGCTTCAATGTCCATTGATTTTGGCGAAATTGGCGTTTGTGACTGGCGTCCTGAGAATCTTCTCGCTCGTTTTCGAAGGTGTGAGAAGAAGCTTTCCTTCTGGCCATTTGGAGGTGAAGCCAAGCCACTGTTTCCAGTCAGTGCCATCTCAGCCTGTTGTCGATGTATGTCGGCATAATGATTATTAGTCGAAGCGACCGAAAGTTGTCGACCAATCTTCTTGGCTACTTTATCATCCGCGTTTGATTGTCGTTGTGTTGATGATGCGTAAGAATCATTGTACGATGGTGTTCGGCTACTTGCTTGTGCTGTAACAGCGTCCGAAAGAGGCGAGATAGGTTTGATGGTAGGCAAAATTGGCATAGGGGCCACATTTGAAGGGCCATTGTTCCATGTCGTTCTCTTGTTAGCTTGAGGACGTGTCTTAGTCACCGGAATCTCGGTCGCTGCGTGGACTGGAGGCGGCCTTGAGGGAGCGACATTTTCCTTCCCTGATGTTTGTGATGTACCAGTCGTGCTGTCGGACCGGCCGATCAAGGATTTCCTGAACCATGATGATTTGGAGGAGGATGAGGGTGCAACAGCCTCGGGAGAGTCCTTTGAGGCACGATAGCTGAGATCTGAGTGCTTACGTCCTAGCATTCTTGATGCCGAGGACTTTGGTCGTAGTGGGTCAACAGCATCGGCGAAGAATTCGTGAGCTAACGCTTGGCTGGATGTTGGTCGACTCTTGGGATCCCACATCAAACACCACGTGACAAAGTGGCTCAGTGATGCTGGCCATTGTGGTGATTGAAGGATCGTATCCATGGCATGAGGTGCCATCTTGGGGAAAGAAAATCCAAGCTTGCCTGCGAGGCGAGTTCCTTCTCTCCAATCTCCACCACCAACTCTGGCGCCAGACTTATTGTACCAATTGCCGGGACTGCCCATGATCTCGCATACTCGCCAGACCTGGTCGACTTCGTTACCTCCCGGGAACAGTGGCTTCAAAGTAGCAATCTCTACTGCCATGGCACCGATAGCCCAGATATCGACGGGTGATGAATACTCACCAGCACGGAGAAGGACTTCCGGAGCGCGATACCAACGCGTTGATACGTATGTAGTGTATGCCAGCTTAGAGTGTGTCTCTCTGGCAAGTCCAAAATCGGCAATCTTCACAGTATAAGTGAGAGGAGTCGATGGAGGTGTGACCATTGCTGAGTAGCGACGGAATGAGTTTGCGGAATCCTGTTGTGCTGATGTCGATACGAGAATGTTCTCTGGTTTGATGTCTCGGTGAAAAAAGTGATGAGCATGAATATGTTCCAAACCTTGCATGATCTGGAAGAGGATACTTTTGACGCTCCCAACGTCTAAGCATTTATGGTCTCGAGCCTTCATCAGTTGATAAAGGTTTCCATCCATATACTCCATGGCGATGTGAAGTTTCTTGCTGAAAGGATCGAGGAAGATGTCCAAGGCAGGAACGAGGTGTTGGTGAGGTGGGAGTGTTTTGAGGAAGACGACCTCTCGAAGTTCTAAACATGGCGCGAAGGATTCGAAGTTCTTCTTCATTGTTTTGATAGCAATCTAAACCAGTCAGTCAATCCATTCCACCTGTCCAAAGCAAGCTACTTACGACAGTGCCTCGACGTGCTACACTTGAACCTGCAGCACGCACTCGAGCGAGAACCACGCTTCCAAAGCTGCCATCGCCAATGTCCTTCAGTACCTCGAATCGGTCTTCCAAGGCTGTGCAGTTCGAAGGTTGAGGCGTCGACGACCCTCGATGGGCCAGGTCGTAGTTTACCGTCATGGTGATTGTGTATGAGTCGTGTATGTGTGGTATCGTGATGTGTATCGACAGCTAATCGTCTGATGTTGTGACCACCGTTGAAGCTGTACATCGCAACGCGATCAGCGATGAACACCAGGGATCATGGTATCAACACCACCACGATAAGAAATGAGGTTATCTTACCTATCAAGAAGCCCTCCAAGAAGAGCTTGCTGCAGTTACCGGTGCATGAGTCGATGCTGCGAGGTCGAGGTCCGGAACTGACGAGTTGGTTGATCGGGTCGAAGAGGTCGAGTTAGGTGCGCGAGATAAAGCGATCGGGGACAGCGAGTGAATGTGTTTGGTGCAAGTTGAGCGATTGAAAGGTCGAATAGAAGGATTAGAAGGAGGATATGACGAGAAAGGGATTACGAGGTTCTTGAAAGGGTCGTCTCTGATGAGACTAGAGGGCCGTTCCCAAGAAGCCGGTGCGGGTCAGGCTCGTGGCAGATCACAGTAGGATGGGCGCCGTGAGGGTTCTGGCTAGCGTGCTTCTAGGAGAGGAGAGGAGTAATGTAATTGTCGATAGGGGGGCCGGATTTTTGTGATTGAGTGGCAGTGGCGGCGTGGGGGAGTGACCATGGACCAAAAGCAACTGTGGGTATCAGGCGCATAAGGGGAAGGCCAGAAGAACCGCGTCGCATAAAGTCGTAGACCGCGAAACTGCAGGCTTCACCGCTGGCCACAGCTGCTCGGACCGGACGGGGCCTGGTGGTGGAACGTGGGTAGAAGATGTGTTGTAGGATGGGTAGTGGTAGTGTTAGGAGAAAAGGTGAAATGAGTGATAATTGAGTCGGAGTCGGAGGAGTAGGAGGGAACAGGAGGAGAAAACACACGGGACGAAAGGAGAGCAGGGAGTTGTTGTGGATGTGAGCGAGGTTGTCCTGTCCTGTACAGTCCTTCTCGAAGCTTTCCGACCTTTCAGATACTACTCAATCGCCGGGTTCCTGGGCATTAACACGACCAATTTCGCTTGCTGACCCACACCTCAAACCCTCAGGCTCTCTCGCTCGCTGGGCAGAGTGCCAGAGAGGGCACACTCACACACAGCAGTCGAATTGGATGGCCGGGGCCGTGGTGTATTAGATACAATCTAACTGCAGTTGCACGCGAGAGTGAAGCTGTTCTTGTTCGAGCCTGGAGGCAGTCGAGTCGCAATCACACGGGGAGGAGTACGGAGTTGATGAGCCTCGGAGGGATCGGCTGGAACTTTCGCAACAGACAGCCGGTACTTGCTTGCCTGCCTGCTTGCTTGCTTGCTTGCTTTGCTTGTTGTGAAATGCCAGCACAGCAGTTGAAGCTCATTCGACACGACGCGAGATCCAAGGCCAGACGGGGCGACACGGCGGCGGCGGCGGAGGGATGGAATGAGATACCAGATGCCCGGGCGGTGAATGGTTACGCGCGGATGGGAATGGTGAATCGCGATGATTGTGACCGTGCAGAGAACGAGAGAGAGGAAAGGATCAAAGATTCAAAATAATGAGAGTCGGCGGCAGAAGTTGTCGGTTGCCATGAAGGGAGGCGAAGGGGGGAGTAAAGTGAATGGCAGTGGTGTTTCTTATTACGGCGATGCGATGATTTGGGGATTGGGCAGGCACGATGCTCTTTAGCGTCGTATGCTGACAGCTTTGGCAGGGCGAACGACCGAATAATGGCCAGCAATCATTCACGCTGAACAGGCTCGCTCTCACTTCACGTCGAATCGCGCCGCATCGCGACAGACGCTTCTCTGATCCAGAACTGTGACTGGCGATGGAAGAGGTAAGCTGCATCGCTGGTTGTCGTGTCTACCATCTCGACAGAGTTTAGTCTCGTCTTGCTGGTCTCTCCATCCATTCCTGCCTTCTTTCTGTACGCCCGGCTATTTTTTACGGAGTTGCCTCAGCGCAGTGGTTGCGATGGGAATGAGAGAGGACAATGATCTTCCAGCGCTACTATTGCTGCTGGGTGACTGCGACAACTGCCACAGCCAGTAGTACGAAAGTACCGGTCTTGCGTGTACTGTACTGACTGTCTTCGCCTCCAGAATCATGTAATTTTATGTACCCAGCCCCAGCCAACATTGTGATTGACCCGATGGCTGTCGTTTCTCCGCCGGTGCCACTGCTGTCTATTCACGGGAAGGCTGAGTGTGCTTCTGCGAGGCAGGGTGCAGGCTCAGCGTGTAACTTTTCCCGACTCGCGAAGAAAAAGACTCTCCTTGCGTTTCTCGGGGGCCACACGAATGAGATTTGCTGCGTGTAATTATAGCATTGTGAAGAAGAATTAATTACAGCGTCGATGCCGCTCAAAACAAAAGTGGATTGATTTATCAATGCTGTGGGTGCGCGCGACCATGCCTCGTCCCTGTCCCAGCCAGACCCCTAAACTGGAGATTGAGGCCACAATGCGGATATGAATGGGATGTTTCGATATGAAGCTCTCCTTCGAATAAAAGACGGCTCCTTCGTCCCTGTTTCGCTCGGTCAATGCAAGCCCGTCTGTGGGTGCGCTGGTCTGATTCCGTACAGTACGAAGTATTATGGATGCAATTATTGGAATAATTGGCGCGGCGTTAGGGCTATCATCCTACCATGATGCTTTGGCCTTGATCGACGTTGTTCGGCATCGTGCAGAGTGCATTGCGCTGGATTGGGCTTTGGCTGGGGCCGCCAAGAAAGTTGGGGTTCGGAACTCAAAGCGGCAAGCAATAATTTCTTATTCGCAATCTCAACGGGCGTGTCCAGAAGGCTTCCCCCCGATCTCCTCTGAAACTACTCGCCGCACAATCAATGTGCCATGGTCCTGAGGGAGATGGGATGGGAATGGGTGGAAGGGAAGGGGGCAAACGTTCTCGAATTGGCATCCACCAAGACCATCACGTTTACCCATCTGTCGCTGGGTCGAGGTGAACGGCTCCGTCCGCGCCGCCTTCATCCCCCTTTTCCAGATTTTCTCTCATCACTCTCCTTGGGTCTAGCGCATCACCGTCTCGGCCTAGTGCGTCATTCCCATGTCATGCTGTTCCTGAATGGTTCGGGTACCTTTCCACTAGGGGGACATGTGTCTAGCTTCCGCAGTCGACAGACCCACCAAGTCAATGGTCCGGCTCGTGGTAAGCTTCTGCTGCGTGGAGCCAACTGAGCCAAGTTTCAAGCTTGCAAAGTGTGCAGTGGCTGGTTCGCTGGTCACGCCTGTCTCCTCTGCTCGAGCCTCCCCTCAAAGAATTTGGAGAGTCATGATGTGTATGCCGACTTGCTTGTAACTCCTGCGTCCAATATACACCTTGACAGCTCGATCGAGATTCGGGACATTCGCAGTGGCTGAGATCGTGCAGCTCGGCCGTCGTTATTGGCTGATATCATGCTTTATCGGCAGATAGCATTCAAAGGGTTGCAAGGATGCTTCCAACTTTGCATGAGTCAATGCTGTCGAAACGCGCGACCCTTGCACCAAATGTTCATCTCGATCGGACGGGTGCGTTTCACCCTCCCCAAAGTCCATTGCGTCGGGTTTCTGGGACGTCTTTTGGGGGCGGGAAGACGGCGGGAGGCTGGGAGTGCTCTTCGAAGTCAAAACAAGAACGACTTGATCGATTGAATCTTAAAACTATGATCGACATATATCGCTGGTTATTTCAACCGTCTTCGTAGAGCATAACATAACAGGGACCACGGGAACAAATTCTAGCTATTTTCGTCGCTTGACGGCAGCGTTCTTACTTGGAGTTGGAGTTGTGATGCCAGTGGTGTCCATGTTCCGCGACCGTGTGTGCACTTTGACCGCATTAGAGGCCAAGGAGGAGCGCAAAGGATCCGGGCAATCTAAGTTTCGATGACTTCTGTAAAGCACACTTAGCGGTTGTGTCATTCTCGGAGATTTCGTCAAGTTGGCATAAGCTGCGCAGGTCATGATTCGGTTCCAAGTTTCGTGACAAACCTGACATTTTCATCGCTCGGTCGATTCTAGACCTTTAAATCTTCAGCGGAGAACGCACTGAACTTGTTTTTGACATAATTTCTCATTAATAATTCCACGAATCTCTGCTCTGAATGTGTTCTTGTCACCTAATTCTTGAAATTCAGCGTCAAAATCCCAGAATAGAAAGCGGAAAGTACGTTGGTCGCTGTATCTCGAGAAGACAAAGCAAGTGTCCAGTCCCTCTCGAAGAACTCCTGGAGCTTCGATTCTATAGTGCTTGTCTTGCGTCACTCCATTGCTTAAGTTCTGCTTCGCTTGGGTTTTGCAAAATGCCATAATCTGGCTTCTAGAGAAGTTACTCTGCAGTTGAAGGTAATACGCTGGAGTAACACTGGTCTACCATCTCCAATCAGCTCAACATATGATCGTGCAATGACACTACTAGTTCGTGTAGTAGAAGCATTTTCTAGAAAGCAGTCGTGAAACAGTTAACATTTTACAAGGAAATGAAAAAGTAAAGAATACGGAGGTTTATTGTCCTCCTTGGTGGCCCTCCACATAGTTCATGCGTTCAACCATCCATCTTCAATTCCAAACGAATATCGCAAGGACACATGACGTCAAGACAATCAATAGTGTCACCAGGTAGTTCTGAGCTTCCACGAGCTGTGCGACACAACTCGGACGGGTCGGACAACCCTCCGAAGCCCACTCAACTGATTTCTCGCGCAGCTAAAAACTTCAGCATGTCGTTCCTCGGGAATCGAACAGCGAGTGCTCGATGTCCGAGCATCCATCGCTTGATGTCGCCCAATTGCATCTCCAATAACACCGAATGCTGCATGTACATGTACACTCGCACATATAAAAACATTCTTTAAAATCGCCGAAAAAGCACAGATGTATTCTGGAACCGATGCAGAACCGGGGAATTCAGAATAAGGGAATGCTGCGAGCGATGAACAGAAGGATGGCTGCCTGCTACTCTGTGAAGTATGCGGCTGCTCAGAGATGAGCATGAAAATCTGTCGAATGCGACTGAAGGTTCTGTTGGAAAAGCGTCCAATGTACACACTGAAAAGGAGTCAAGCTGCAAGCCACGGCCTATCTCTCACCTTGGGATGAAGTATGTTCTGTTTTGATTGTGTCCTTGTCATTCTGCTTTCTTCGATCATTTGTTTGGGCCGAGGACAGGCAGATATCCTGTGATGCAGTAGAAGCACAACTCGAATCCCAGACTCTTCCATGACAGAGACTATACGCTCGATCTGTTCAAAAGCGCGTTCATCGAGACGATCGGACAACTCTGCTACGCGTCCAGATGTGCTGTTGATGATTGTAACGGATGCCTGTTCATGATGTAAATAAAGAAACGTCGGAATTCGTGTGTGACTTTGACGGAGAGAATTAATTATACACAGTCTGAAAAGAGATGGACTGATCCCATTGAACGTAACTTGTAGGGCAAGAATTTTGAAAGTCATTTGGATCCAGATCTTGATGGTTCGCGTTCACCGCTCTGGCAGCCTCGTTGCTCTTTCCCAAAAAGACTTCGCTTCGTTTGTCAACTTGCCTCCTCAGGCGCGACTGTCGAGCGTCTCTAAACATAAAAGCTTCGACTTTCACCGCCAGCTCTCTTCTTCCTTTCACGTCAATACAACACAATCCCAGCCCACCCAGCTATCTCTTCTGAACTGTCAATCTTTCCACCCTTCTTGAGGCCTTCCTCATCTGAGTAAGGTTTCAGTCTTCAAGTCTCAATACCTACCACACAAACGTCCCTTGGTCACATTTCTCTTCCACCTTCTTCTGCCCTTTCCCGAAGCTTTCGAGCAGAGAATCTGAAACTGAATAATCCATTCTCGTGTCATTCCGCTTCGAAAGCAAACAGAAGTTCCCTCCGCAAGCCTTACTTGCAGCCTCTACAAACGAGCCTTCAAGTAGACAGTCAAACGCGTTCTACCGGCAACTTGCCTGAACCAACGAACTTCCGGTGAGTCCCCAGAGCCACTGAATTCCCATTGATACTGTTCAATCCAATGATCAGTGGCGTTCAGCGTCTCTCCAGATCTTGACCTTCATGCTAGCTCTTGCCAGCTTCGTGCTTGATCGAGGCCTTATTCACACTATCATCTTCAGGGAGCTTTTATCATTGGCGCTACCTCCTTGCCTTGCTCATTCTCATTTTCTTCTTTCTCTTGCACCTATGGACATCTTCACTGTCATTTGCTCTGAAACATTGACTTACTAACAACCTCAAAGTCCTCACCAACATCCGACAACTCACAATCTTCTTCATTAGCAAGATACACCATGGCGTACGACGAACCCACCTCTGAGAAGTAAGCACTCATATCATGATCCATGGCAAGCAGAATTAACCATGTGCCACTGTAGGCACCGTCGAGTTCAACTGCCCAAGAGGTAAGGTCTCCAAGTCTTGACGTTTTTCACATTCATACTGACTTGAAAATCAGCTTCCAATGCCGACTGTGCAAGCTGTTCAAGGAGCCTGGTCAATTCTCCAACAAAGAAATTAATACCTATACGTACAAGGTTGCTGCTGGTCATACGGTCAATCGAACCAGTGCTCAACTTCGTTGCCGCCAATGCTCTGGTGGTCAGCTTCATGAATTGAAGTGCATGGGTCCTTGCGGAAGTGAGTATCATGATCAGTTGATAGGAATCTTTTCTAATATTCGTGGTCTCAGAATACCTCGACCTTCAGTCATTCTCTAAGTCTGCCCGTACGACTGGAGGATCTGGCTGGTGCCAGCCCTGTGTTCTCTGGAAGGAGGTAAGCTACCAACCTAATCTCATATCAATTTATCCTGCTAAACGTCAATCTCCAATAGGCTGCCCAACATGACCTCACTCCCCAAGCACCCCCTCAAGGTGATCTTGCTCCTGATGAGGATGGTGACGCAAACTTCGAGCCATTTCCGAACAACAGCAATGCTAGTTATTACTCTGACCCTGAGGCCGGAGACGGAAGTGATTATGATGACTATCCAGTGGGTGACCTTATCGAGTCCTATAACTGGCATACTTACGTATATAGGTCGCACGATCCGTCGCTCCATCAGTTGCGGCTACCTCATCGGCTCGTCCAGCTCGCTCGGCTGCTTCCTTCTCTGCTCGACCAGCTGCTGCCTCCTATGTTCAGTCATCCGCTACAGCTGCTCCTCGTCCATCTGCTCCACTGTCTTCTGGTCCCTCGGCCCCACCCTCTGTCCGTTCTTCGGCTCCAGCTTCATCGACGTCCCATGAGCCAAGCATTACTTCCTCGACTGCTGCTCTGAGCCAAATGTCCCTGCGCACCAACGGCTGGACCAACCAACCCGTTCGTACTCGAGCTGTTAATCAACCGAATGTTCCTGCTAGCCGAACACCAGCTGCAGCTCCTCATCTTCGCGCTAGTCCTGGTAACGCCCCAGTAACCATGCCAGCTGTCCGCAAAGTCTCCGATATGAAGACATTGTCATCCGTCAGCAATCCGTACGAAGGTTGGGCTACGGATAATCTGAGTCAGTCAGGTGCTTCCGCTGTTCGTCCTTCTGCTACGCTTCCTACTGTCGGTGCCAATCGCCCCGCTCCTGTCACATACAACGCATGGGATGCGGCCGGTCAACTTCATGTCCAACAGCGTTTCTCCTCGGACACTCACTCTGAGGCAGGTTCGACAATCACTTCTACCAGTGCTGCCACCATCAGTACTGTGCGCCCTCCTCCAGTAATCAACGCTCGCAATTCAAACTGGGCCAAGCCTGTTGGTAGCAGAAATCTGCAGACCAAATACGATGCTCGAGACCACCGTGATCAACCCAAGCCAACGCAAAACGATTACGATAGCGATGATGATATGTGATCAGTCTATCCAATGATTTCACCTCTGCATAAAGTCTCCTGCTTTGCAGAAGTGGTTGATTCTTGAGAATCACGGGCGGTAACGAGACTCTTCTTCTTGAATTTCACGCTGGCATCTCAGACTGTTATAGCTCAACTAGAACAGCTCCACGTCTATCAACTGCCTACTTTTTTTTGTCAAAAGTTTTCGATGATTTCCCTTTCCAATGGCATTTCGCGGCGTGCATTTGGTCGCTTTCGACACTTCAACAGAGCCTGCAATCCTGCTCATATGGTGAGGGAGCATAGCATGCGATATCTTTCTTTTCAATTCGTAGTCATAGCGGGTTGCAACTTCTGCAGAAATCTGAGTGCCTCTGGGTCCTTGGTGAAATTTCTAAGCTCATGCTACGGAGAACTTTGAGCATTTCCGGTCTTGATGGACTTCCTATCATACTGGATTTGGCAAGAGGACCTAGAGTGGTTCTTCATGGTTCACTCAGGATTTGTAGGAGGAAAACATCAACGGCTTCTTTGCACAAATTCTTTCTGCTTTTTACATTTTCATATTGCATTGCAGCGGAGCTCTTCTAGATGACAAACACAATGGAGCAACAGCAACTAGCGTAGATCAATCGATGATTTCTTTCCAAAATTGACACCGCCCCCTGAGTGATGTTCAGGTCCACCACGTGATGAGTGATATAAACGCAACGTCGTGGATCGGGGTGTGAGGATCTTGGCCTGTTCCTGGCTGTCAGCCTGCCAATTTGCCTCAGCACCAAAGTCAACCCGCTGTCACCAATCGCGTCAAGAGCAATAAAAATAGGAAGGTTTCCTCGCGCTGCGTCATGTGGCTGAGGTAGAAGATTCCATAGGTACTGTAGGGTTGGAGATAATCTCGAGGTGAGATGTGGTTGGACAGGCTCTGAGGCACACCACTTGAAACGAGCTGCCATGTCTGGGCGATCTGCAGTGATGCTGACGTCGCTGCAACAAGGCAGGCTGTCCGCACTGTAGGACTGTTTATGATGCATTGCTTGGGACACTAGAGACCTGCCAAACCATGCCTCGGATCGTGCTAGAAATTAATCCAGCACTCACGGACGAGGGACGGTGCGAGGCTGCGAATGGTCTGCTTGGTTGGGGCTGGCTTAGTTAGTATTAGCTGCGATACCTAGACATCATCGCCATCACCACATGGGTCATGAGTTCGCAGCAGCGGGGGAAAAGAGCAGCCAGCAGCAGCACGAACAGCGGAGGAACGGGCCTTTGCGAAAGAGGGATCCAACTGCTGCCATTACTAACCGCACTTTCTATCAAGGGCGCTCGCAGTAGGAGTCGGGCGTGAATCAGGTGCTGTGAACAGGGGACTGGGTTTTTCTCATGTACTCGGCAAGCTAGGACATCAATAATCCAAATCTCCAATTCTACGCCCAATAACTTCCCCCAAAAATCTATGTGCAACAAAGAGCATCTGCAATCTTCGTCCCGTGTATGAGCCGCTCTCAATCGGCTCCCTCTCCATCATCACGACTAGAGCGACTACACGATCTACGAACCTACGAACGATTGATACCCATCACCTCATGTATTGACATCTAAAGCAACAGCCTCACTCACCCACACCAACATCATGACTGATTTCTACGGCCGTCCGTTACGCAGCAATGGTGGGCCGGCATCAGAAGGATATTTCGACGATTCCACAAGCTACTACGCTGCAGAACCTAGAGACAACCCGTCCTTGCGTCGCGCAGATTCTTCCAGCACACCAAGGCGTTCACCACCGATAAACAACAATAGGATGGCTTCTGCTCCAAATCCTGCTGCGCCCGATGGAGTTTCCCCAGATCTCATAGCCGCGATTACAGAGAAGGTCAAGAAAGAATGTAAGTGAAGCTTGTTACCAAAGACAGCCTTGTCCTCCACTAACGCTGTGATACCAGTGCTGGAGCACTTGAAGCAAACAGGCAGCATCGATGATCAGACGAGAGCCCCTCCAATGCAACGAGACCCATCCAACAAATCAAGCTCTACATCATCACCTCCTCCAACTGCTCGAAGGGTTTATACGCCTCCATCTCCAACAATACCTGTCAAAACAAATGCAGCACCATATGCTGCCGAGCCCATAAGATCGCCCCCACGCAGCCCACAGGAGAAAGCATCTGGCGTGCGATTCTCCGATCGCGAGTTTTCCAGTCGTCCCACTGCTGGCAGAACATACTCGACCACCGAATTATCCACAATCGACCAAAAATGGGGAAGACTATTTGATAGAGACGGCAATGCAACAACGCGACTTGGACAATTCTTGAGAGGCTTGGCGAATCATATAGTGCGTATCTAGATTAGAGCCATTCATGGGGAGTGAAGGCTGACAGACCACCAGATTGACGATTTTGAGCCAAAGAAGAGCATCGTAGTGACGCCCGCCAAGATGGCAACATATTATGAAAACCATGCTCTGGATAAGGAGCCTCATCCATTAGCCAGTGAGTATAATTTGCCATTAGGAGACACTTAGAGATCACAAGTTGCTAATAGACTCCAGCAATCTTCAAAGCGCAACAGCATGAACATATATCTCGTCTGTATCAAGATATCGGCTGTGAGCACCACTTGGTCCAGGATGATCCTCGGTCTGCACCAATCGTCCCTTCTCTTACACCGGTGGGCTTTGCTCAATGGATGACTATCCACATATTGGCATACCCAGAGGAAGAATCCAAACGTCTTAATAATGTGGTTCTTGCAATGCCTATCGATGCTGATGGAGACTTGGTTGATGGAAAACCGGAGCGTCTTCCCAAGCAAATATCGAGATATCTCCTGCCAGAACGACCGGATTCAAAATCCAGAGAGCTACTCGATGAGGCGATAACCAACTTCATGAACGATCTTGGATCGACAAGCCGGCGGAAACCATCCATCACAAGCCCTCCTCCGTTGAACAGACACTCGTCCACATCTCAAACACGCAAGCGACCTGTTGAGATTCATCAAACTAAGACTTCTCCAACATCTGCAATACCCAATCCTCTTGAGCGGGAGCGTAAGCCTTATTCGGGTACTCCGGCAGCGTCTGAGTCTTCAAATAATGAAGAACCGGTTCAAATTGAACGTGAACGTGCGCCTTATACAGCTAAGGAAGGCGCTGGAAAGGTTTATGGAGAGAGTATTAGCAATCGGGGTCCATCCGAGCGAAACCCATCCCAACGAGACCCATCCATTCAACTAGGCCGTGCAAATTCTACAACCACTCGTAACACAACAAGAACGCAGGCCGATATGCCTGAACCACGCCATAACAGGGCTCCGAGTATTTCTAATCAATACATGCCACCTCCTCGGTCAGGACCTCGTCGAACTAGCAGCCCTCCAATAAAGAGCTTCAGCAACTCTACTCCTTTGGATATCCACAATACCTCCAAATATGGACCAGATCCTGCTTCTTCCTCTTCATCGGGCTTCACGAACCAATCCCAATCCTTTAATCCTGGTTCTTATGGCTCTACTGGCTCCTTTCCTCCGCCTCCACCTCCAGTGGATATCCACAGACGATCCAGAGATGAACGTGGGTACCGCAGAGACACAGATGACGATCTGAGATTCCCTGGAGAATTCAACAGTCCACGAGATGCAGAGAAATGGGATCGATATCAAGATATCCGAGGCGGAGAGCCAGACCGATATGATGGACCCTACGAACGGCCACCAAGGCCCTCGATACCCATCGACCCGAGAGAAACCCGAGGTGCCCCACCAGATGACTGGTACAGAGAGAAAGGCAGAGCAGCTGAATACGAACCTTTCGGAAATCGACGATATTGATGCAAAGATACACGAAGGATATTAAACAATCGTTCTTAGTTTTCCTTTTTGATGATTGATGAATGATACCTAAATTAGCAAGCATGCATGCAAAGCAAGCGATTTTTTTCGGATTACAATGTTCAGGATACCAAATACCAGTTATCAGATACGAGATACCAAAGTCAGAGTTTTTCTGCTTCTTTTCTGTCTTTTGTCGTTGCACTTTAAACAAGCGTTGCTTTGGCATTTGACGAATTTACTTGTTGTGTTTTTTTAACATCTTTGGGAGATTGGATGGAGTTTTGAAGACTGGGAAAAGGGGATGGAGGACTTGGCTTTCTTTGTTGAATCCTGGTCGGCATGAAGTGTTGGATAAAAGGAGAAGGACGAGAACGTTTCTTTTAAGTCACTCGCTGATACTGAATGAGCGAAGTGGGTGGTTGTATTATACTTATCAGAAAATTGACGATACAATGGGATGGCATACTTATCCTTGAAATATGTGATTATGGATTCATGTTCAGAATATGAGGTTCAACCTGAATTGACCCTCATGTCACGTAGCACAGTAGAGTAAGTGAGAGGAAGCTCGGTTTCAATTCAAGAACTAACGTCCGTAGTACCGAAATCTATCCCCGTCCATTCATCCATGACGACCCCTTCAATTCAACGAACCTTCGCAAGCCCCTCTACCCTAAAGTAGAAAGCAGTACATCTCTACAAATTAGCAGCAAGAGCAGCAACACCTCCAAAGAGAGCAGCGACTCCCATAGCACCAGTCTATTAATATCAAATCAGCTTTGTTCACTTAACGTAGATGGATAAAAGAGGGGAGTGAGCATACCTGTAAAGCAGCACCGGCGGTACTAGAGCTAGAAGCAAGTGTCTTCGAAGCCGAGCTAGCAGAAGCAGTGACAGAAGACAAGAACGACGAAGCCTCAGACGCCAACGAGGAAGTGATTGACGAAGCCTCGGACGCGAAACTAGAAGTGATGCTCGAAGCCTCGGAAGCCAGCGAAGACGTAATGCTTGAAGCCACCGAAGCCAACGAAGAAGTAACGGACGGAGCCTCAGACGTAACAGACGAAGCCTGGGACTCGATCGAGGAAAGCGCAGAAGAGACCACGGACTCAATCGAGGACAAGGCGGAGGTCGGAGCGGCGGATTCGCTGGACTCGATGGAGGGCAGGACGGTGATGGGCGATACAACAGGGGTGCTGCTGAATGACTCCGTGGGGATACCCTCCGAGGGACCAACGGCCGCGGTTCCGGTTGAGAGAGCGGCGGGTGTAGTCAGAGCTGAGATAGAGGGGACTTCGGTGGTGGAAGCGGTGACGATGACGGTAGTCAGGATGGGCAGGACTGCGGAGTACGAATCCAGGGCGTCGGCGATCACGGCAGCGGCGAGGTGCTCGAAGCCGGACTCGATGGCGGAGACGCCGGTGGCGGTCGCGGTGATGGCGGCGTACTCGCTCGAGAGGCTGGATTCGAGGGCTGCGAAGTTGATTTGCGCCTTTGTTTACATGTCGGGTTAGTGGCGCGCGAAGTAAGGGAGAGAAGGGGGAACTTACGGATCCTACTCCGGTGAGGAGGGAGACGGTGATGAGGTTGGTGAGTTGCATGATTGCGGTTTGTTTGGGTGACGGATGAGAGTTGTGTGTTGTGTTGTGTTTGGGTTTCGAGGGAAGAGGAGGGGAAATATTTTTGATATTAGAGCGCGTTGTGGTCGCGAGATCGAGAGCCTTGCCGATTTTATTGTTTTTCCGTTTATTGATAGGTTGCAATGGCGTCTGTTGAAAGCGAGCTTGTTACGTCTTGTTGTCTGTTATCATAATGGTGATTGAGTCACATTGAATAGGCTGGTGCAATCATGACACACGAAAGAGGCTATCAGCTTCATTTGATATAAATTTTGGTTCAATTATATGAAGATCTACCAAGGGCATGAACTATTTAAGATAAAGTTCTCGTATCGAGACTTGCATTTTCATATTCTGAAGGCTTCGCTTCATGATTGTGATATAAAGAAATACTAGATAGATTTCAAAGCGCAACTAACTCTACACAGTGATAGGATTTTCAAGAATTACTACAACGATTCGAATTAGATGAACATGATTATACTCAGTAACAGCGTAGAAGAATTGAGCATATCCCATTGACATGAAGAAGAAAAGGTTAATCGGAAAGAAAGTGAATGTTTTGGCACGGCCGCATCGAAGTTAGCACTAGCAGCCTCGCGCAGAAGCCAAAACCAGCTAGCTTAGCCCTAATTCCCAATACCCTTTATAATGTTAAATAAGCATTTCTGTCTTCCGAGAATTGGCGTAGTTGAAGCGGAGGCTTCCGGGCTCCTTCTGTTTGTAATGAACAGAATCCGGAGTAGGTCTCTGACAAAAGTACCAAAGTCCGCAGGACCCAGTCAAGGATAAACAATGCTTCGCGCTTGTACTAAGTAACCGTGCCCTTTGCTGGTGGGTTATGAATGTTTTGTCTCTGTGGACAAAAAGTGTATCTTTTTTGCTTTTCTACTGGTTTTTTTTACACGCGTCTGGCAGGTTTGCGAATCTGGTTCTGCCCCTCGCTAAGCGAAGCGAATTCAGCATACACGAACCGAGTCTCCAACTGAAGCGTAATTTCCTGCTCTGGATTGTCTGAGTGGCTCATTCATCTCAAAGACTGATAATTTTGTGCTGGTCGCAATGGGTATCTGATAATACTAGCTGGCTTTTAAGTGGGACAAACAAACAGTTTGATATCACGTGTGAATATGGCCTAATAAGGATTAGTCTGTTGTACCCAAACCCTTGACACCTTAACGTCATTTTGCTTCTGATCTTCCACTGCCACAAATGACAACAAACGGCGACAATACCAAAAATGCTAATGATCGTCAGAAGATGGGGGTGCGACGACGACCTCCTTGTTTCTCGAAGGATTCCAATCTTCGATGTCTCACGTTTTGCGGGATGCGTCGACGGCACACTCACTCCCTGGTATGACGTTAATGTGTTCAGCCCAGCCCTCCATATCTCCATCTCTCAGCAACTATTGGGAACATGGTCACACGCCTCTCAGAATTCTTCGAAGGTTTGAGCAGCTTTATATTCTTCGAATATTCAATATTCGATGATTCTGTGACGTTATATAGCTCGTAAGTAGGGCTGCGACTAGGCGAGATGTAGCACTGGTATATTCGCTTCTGAGCGACGATGTTCTTTAGGCCCCAAATCTCAGAGCCTCTTCTCTCATGTGATTGATGAATTCTTTAGGTCTTCTTCACCGTCGAGAAGCCCGGGGAAGCCCTAGCAACCTGTCAGAATCGGGCCCCTTCCCAAAGTTGGGAAAGAGCATCTATCGTGTCCAATCACAGTTCTCAGTGCCCCTCCTTTCCACTCCGCCTTCCCTAACTTCAAGTCTGCCACATTGCGAATTCCATGGTACACTTTCAACATGCAGTGACGATCGAGGTTGGCGAAAGTAGCAAACCGGCTGGCACACAGAAGGTCTCCCAGAAATTCAGGATATAAGTCACTACACTACCCCGCGTTTTCTCTTTCTCACTTCATCAATTTCTATTCTTCGGACCCACATTCATAATTCAAAGCATATCTTGGATATTTGTTCCTCTTCCCTTTTACATTAGCCTTCCTCAGCCCATACTTGAAGCTTCCACAAGAGCTTGCAAACACAACTGCCACCATGGTGGACAAGTCTGAGATGGCTGAAAAGCCTAGTCTGGATACAGCCGACTACGATGGAAAGACAGAGATAGAAAATGCCTCGTTACAACATACGTCCAACATAGGAAATGGGAACGTAGACGACCGAACTCGAGCCAATGTCAACGCAAAGATTGCCAATCCTCTGGCAGGGCTCAGTCGCGATAAGCTGGCCGAAATGGGCGAGGCATACGTTCGAGAACATCAGATTGGAGACGAGGAGGACATCCGAGCTTTCCAGTTGGGTGCCATCTTAGCTCAAGATCCCAATCGATATGCCGATGTCGATGGTTTGACTGCAGAAGAGCTTGCTGTTTTGGAGAAGGAAATCAGTCACAAGTGGTCACAACCCAAGCTTCTCTACTTGGTGATCGTTCTTTGTTCTGTCTGTGCTGCTGTACAAGGAATGGACGAGACCGTTGTAAATGGAGCCCAGATCTTCTACAGTCAACAATTTGGTATCGGCGACAAAAACAGCTCTCGAGACTCGTGGTTGCTTGGCTTAGTCAATTCAGCACCTTATCTCTGCTGCGCTTTCATTGGTTGCTGGCTCACGGTTCCTCTCAATAATTGGTTCGGTCGACGTGGTACCGTTTTCATCACTTGCATCATATCTGCACTGGCCTGTATCTGGCAAGGTATGTACTCATGCCCAGATCTCTATCACAATCCGCTAACATCAGCAGCACTCGCTGGAACATGGTGGCACATGTTCATTGCTCGTTTTGCTCTTGGATTCGGTATTGGACCAAAGTCAGCTACTGTCCCTATCTATGCAGCAGAATGCTCTCCTCCCCAGATTCGTGGTGCATTGGTTATGCAATGGCAAATGTGGAGTAAGTTCATTGGTTGTTCTGTCATTGGTCATTCGCTAACATGGCATAGCCGCTTTTGGTATATTCGTTGGTTATGCTGCAGATCTAGCATTTTATGGTGTTTCGGATAGACCTGGAATCACTGGCCTGAACTGGAGATTGATGATGGGATCTGCTTGCTTGCCTGCAATCATTGTCATATGCTTCGTCTTCCTTTGTCCCGAGTCGCCTCGCTGGTACATGAGCAAGGAGCGGCACGCGAAGGCTTATAAGAGCATGTGTATACTTCGATATAACAAGGTGCAAGCTGCCAGGGATATATTCTACATGTATACTCTACTTCAAGCGGAGAAGGAGAGCGTCGTCTTGGGAGGCAACAAGCTGAAGGAAATGTTCACGGTGCCACGTAATCGCCGTGCCATGCAAGCCTCAGAAATTGTCATGTTCATGCAACAAGTAAGAGATCCTCCCATAAACTATCATGAGAACCACTAACATTGTTTCAGTTCTGTGGAGTCAATGTCATTGCCTACTACTCGTCTCAAATTTTCCTCGATGCAAATCTATCGGAATTCTCTGCTCTCGGAGCTTCTCTTGGCTGGGGAATTATCAACTTCCTGTTTGCCATTCCTGCCGTCTATACTATTGACACTTTCGGCCGTCGAAACCTTCTCTTAACAACATTCCCGCTCATGAGTGCTTGTTTGTTCTTCACAGGCTTCAGTTTCTGGATTCCATCCTCGTCCAAGGCTCAAATTGCCTGCGTCTCGCTGGGACTGTATCTGTTCGGCATTGTCTACTCTCCGGGAGAAGGTCCTGTTCCATTCACTTATTCCGCAGAGGCATATCCATTATACATTCGAGGTCTCGGAATGTCTCTTGCCACGGCCACTACCTGGTTCTTCAACTTCGTGCTTTCTGTCACATGGCCCAGTCTCCTTAAGGCTTTCAAGCCGCAAGGTGCATTCGCATGGTACGCGGTCTGGAACTTGATCGGTTTCCTAGGTGTCCTATTCTTCGTACCTGAAACGAAGGGCAAGACTCTGGAGGAGCTTGATCAAGTCTTCGGTGTTCGTACTCGTGATCATGCCGCTTATGGAGGTAGACAATTTATCTATTTCTTCAGGCGATATCTGTTGAGGCAAAATGTCGAGCCAGAGCAGCTATACGAGAAGGAGAGTGTTGAGCATCATCCCACCAGTTTCTCTCAGGAGAAGCAACCCGACCAGACTGCTAGAGTCTAGTTGTTTGTGTTGGTCCATTAGGTTTTGATACGAAGATATCAATGAAGGGCAGGATTCTCCTTCATCGGGTTGATTATGGAGTCTAGTTAATACCTTGGGCGCGTTTGGATTAATATAGGAGCGCTCGTGTATAATATATCTCTGTTTGAATGGAGTTTCTGATTGAGTTTGTCTTTTCGATGTTGCATGTCTTTCGTGAATGCTCGCCGTTGCATGATTGATTACCACTGTGAATGTTGACACCCAATTCTTGGCACAATCGCAAAATGGCTTTGCACACGTCCATTATGATCTTGCATGCTATCGTAGACGTACTAGGATGCCAGGATTAGGATGCAGAACTCGGTTTTCGGGAACATCTTCAACTGGCAACAGCCGAGACTCGCTTAAGCCCCTTTTAAAACAAGGACGAGCGAAATGTTAAAGGATATCAACATCACAAAAGAGCATGGTACTACACTCACTTCTCAAACCTAAAATATTCAATTTACCAATATCTAGTCTAGCTCAGCATCACATCTCCATCGCCACTTTCGCAAATATCCTCTCTCTCTCTCAAAATCCATCCTTCTTCCCCGTCTTCGCCGCCCCATACCCAGGCGGCATCTGCGACACCGGCGCCCTCGTATTCCGCGGCGGAGTCGACGATATAAACGCCGCTCCAGCATTCGAGATAGGTGCCAGCGTCCTTTTGCTCTTCCCAGCCGCCGCTGCAGAGCCACCACCGCTGGGAGGAGGAGCACTCTCTCTCCCTGTCATGAAGGAGTCGGCTTGCACGGCACTACCGGCGTGGGATCCGCTGCCGGTTCTTGGTCTTGTTCTAGCGTCTGTGGGTCGAGCGTCTGTTGGTCCGGGCGCGTTGGATATGTGACTGGGTGGGAGAAATGAGCCGCTGGGTTTGGCGGTTTTTATCTTGGAGACGAGGGAGGGTGCGGGGTTCGTTCTGTAGGTAGCTGGGGGAGCAGAGCCGGCTGGTTTTGATCCGCTGGCCGTTTTTATCTTGGAGCCTCCGGATATGGGAGTAGAACCGCTGGCTTTGGCTTCGCTGCCGCTCTTGGCCTTTGTGCCGGATACAGGAGTGGAACCGCTGGCTTTGTGCGTACCGCTGACTTTGGTGGCTGGGGGAAATTTGCTGATGCTGACTGTGGCGAGTGATTGGCCGGAGGAGTGGACTGATGCTGATGAGGGAGGCTTTAGAGGTGGGGATTTGATTGTTGGGGTTTTCGGCGGTGGAGACTTGATTGTCGGGGTCTTTGGTGGTGGAGATTTTGGTGTTTTGGAATCTGGAGATTTTAGTCTGTGAGTTGGTGCAGAGGGAGTCGAGTGAAGTGGTGGAGTAGCTGGTGTTTTGGGAGTGGATGCAGAGGGAGGGGAGTGAGGAGGTGGAGAGCGTGGTGTTTTAGGAGTGGGTGCTTTAGGGCTGGGTAATTTGGGGTAGGATGATTTCGGTGCTTTACCTGCAGTCTTCTTCTCGTTCGTCCCTCCACTTCCACTATCTTTCTTCTTATTCCTTTCATCTATCAATAGATCTAGAAGTTTATCACTCAAGCTCATGGCCTTCCGAATGTCTTTCATCAGCTCTTCTCTTTCTTTGGAGCTCATGTGGGTCGTCTTAGGTAACTTCGTCTTCGTTTCAATCTTCGTTTCCAAGCTCTTGGACAATGCTGTTCCAGACATGATGTCCTTTTCAAGCTCCTTGTACAGTCTTTGCCTGGTTGAGAGGTCCATACTTTGTACAGGTATGCTAAGTCCACCTGGAGATTTGCGATCCCCATGTCGCTCGAAAGGGTAGTTTCCTTCAATTATCTCCACAATGATGCTGTTTTTTATGGACATGGTGTCTGCTTTATCTTCGTGTTTGAGGTTGAGATGATCTTCTTAACGTCCTCATTGGGGAGAGTGGATAGAAGAAGAAGAATTAGAAGAATAAGTCAGACATTTTATAGCATGTAATGTCCGAAAGTTGTGATTGTGAAAAATGCTGTTAATGTGCTGAGTTACATACGCATGGAATATTCGAAGACAAAGAGGAACGATTGGTGATGACGAAGCAGCTCACTCACGACTTGGGTCAACGTCACACTTCTAGAGCTGATATCAGAGTAGAGTTTGATTGAAGTTATCTAGAGGAATAACATGCAAACTAAAAGACCAAACCACACTGATTCACTACTTTATGAACACCGCGCTCAAAACAGAAATCTCTCTTTTTACTTCTTGCCCTTGCTCTTGGCAACACTGCCCTGCTTCCCACCACCGCTCCCCGAACCCGAACCCGAACCTTTCCTACCCCCACTCTGGGTAGTCTTTGACTTTGGCTTTGATCCGCTAGCACTCGATGCAGAACTGCCACTGGGGCTACCTTCCATCCGAAGCCCTAATCCTCTACCAAGACCTCCATATCCATAACCCCCTAAGTTAGAAAGACCACCTAATGATCCCCAGGGGTCGGCTTGGCGATCATTATAGCCCTTTTTTATCTGACCTTCTATTCTCCTATCTTCCTTAGGAGTCCGTGGAATAAAAGGTGGTAGCACCTGCGCCTTGAATCTGGCCTCATTCTCTCGTTGCCTTTGTTCGGGCGTGATTCCCATTTCATCGTCAAGGGCCCGTCTCATTCTTTTATGAAGCTCAAACTCGATTTGGGTTCTTGAGCGAATATTGTATAACGCATAGTCCCTTTCCACTTGTTCAACCTCGGCGTTATAAGTGTCTACAATGGCCTTCATCCTTGGTGTGACTTTGTGACCGTATATCGAGAGGGTGTGTTGAGGTAGTTTTCCTGCTCCAGGGTGAAAAACTGTTGTGTCGACCAGGATGACATCTTTAGCTAGTGGGAATTCAAACTTTTGGACGTAAGGATCCCGGCCAAGTTTTTTCGAAGGAATCATGATGCTTGTGTTGGCACTTCGGGCTTGAATGTAACTACCAAGAGGGGCGAGACTTCTGCGCTGATGAGGGAGTCTCCTTATACACCGTCGAGTATTGTGGACTTGACGTTTGACCGTGGGGTATGCGCTTGTATGCTTTGATCTGTTCTTGATAGATATTGTTTCTCTGGTGTAAAGGTCGATGAAGAGACACTTCGATCTTTGGAACAGTTGGCTACTGGGTTTCGTGTAAGATGAAGATGCTAAAAATGTGAAACGGGACAAGCATCAAGATTTTATAGCAGAGGAATGAATGAGTGCGCCATAGAGCATATGTAACAGCGCTTTCGACATAGATTGTCCATTCAAGTTCAAATGAGAGAGAATCATGGCGAGACTTGCAGGATGAACAAACGAGGCTCTAAACTTTGTCTATCGTCATCTGCAATCCGGGAAATCAAAACTTGCGTCGCTTAGTATTCTTTTCATACGGAAGTACTACTTGCATCGATGTGTGGAGGACCCCTACTCAAAGCGAAGACTGAGATGGCAGTTCTTTGGAGATGTAGAGCTACATCCTCACCAAAATTCCAAATTCTGTAGTCCCAAAAGGACTTACATTAGCAACAACAAACTGAAAGTCGGCCTTGACAAGACAGAAAAACCTTCAGCAGAGATGTAGCGTCCTGTGAAAAAGTTCAAAAATGTACCTGAACACTTAATTCACGGCCGTGAAGTCTGATATGAGTGAGAAAGTTCAAATTCAAGGTCTATGACTATTTTACTATGACCAGCAACGAATCTACCGTAAAATGAAGTGTTGACGGCCATTGCACAAATCAATGATAAGTATATGGAACAGAAAATCACAGGCACAGAGCTTTTGCAGGAAGACTAGCTTGCCGGCAAGCTCTTTTCACTCGCTTCATACTCAAATCTTTCGCTGGAAAGCCATCTCGAAAGCCCAACTCCACCGTGGTACATATGGTCACCCTCGTCCACAAAAATAAGACCAAGAAATTCAATCGCGAACAGTCAGCACTATCGATTCAGTGGAGAAACAAAAAGAACAACAATCTGCAGCGGTGATCCATTCACCAACCCCTACTTTCATTGCATCTGACGACAGAAAAGAACAGAGTAAAACGCAGCCAAGCCTCAAAATAAGGCAGCAACGATCCAATCATCCTGCATCAGCCAAAACCCTCACGGCAAAGCCGAACCTCTCAACTCAGGACATCCATCAATCTGATAGCCTACGAAGCAACCTGCTGACCATACTGTACACCGACGGGAATAAGACGGGCCATATTTCCTCTTCTGATCACTTGAGCAGACAGCGAGCTGATCGTGGATTGACTTTGACTTAATTGTGTGCTAAGATGTAACGTGCTGACACTCTGGGCGTAATCAACGTTACGCGAAAAGCCACGAAGACATTTCAACTCCCGGCGAATGTGGGGATGAATTTCTGAGTTTGAAAATTCCACTCGTGGAGAGGAATTCCTCTCTCCCTGAGTGATATGACTGCCGTAGCTCATGGGGATCCTGGAGAAGAGCCTTGAGGAGACTCGTCGACGTCCTCAAAATCACCATAAAGGGTGGCTTTTCGTGAAGAAAAACCCAAGCAGGAAAAAAGCGGCCGCCTCGAGTGCCACAGAGGTATTTCGTGTGCTGAGACTGGGCAATTCTGACCAGATCCGCATCCGCGGGTCAGAAAGTGGTCTGTCTGAATGAGCAATACTTGACCGAGCTGACGTTTTCGTGGTTACAGTATCGGAGGTTGTCTGCGGACGTGTGCCGAGATACGGTACTTTAACTTAATTCTAACTTCGACCGGCCGTCTGTCGTTCACAGCGCCAATTAGATGTTGTTTTTGATCCGCGAGGCTGATCCGAGCGATTTAATCTTATCTCTGCGAACACGAGTCTAGTGATGACTGTTGAGGTGGGTCCTTTGTTCCGACAGTTCGGCGGTGAAGATCTTGAGGCCTAGAACGTTGAACAGGCTCACCTTGCTCCTTTGCAATGTTGAGAATTTTAGCGACGAAAACCTCCTGTGCAAGGGGGCTATGTAGAAACGAATCTTAACATTCAAAGCATCAAGTTTGGTTGATTAATGCTGTATTATTACATTTGAGAAGTGAGTTTGCTTGCTTGAGCAGCGCTCTATAAAAGTAAAAAGCGAGGAATCCTTTGCGCCCTACCCAATGACCTCTTCCACCCATGTAACCCAAGATAATATCCCTCTCTAGGGATGAAGCTCTTAATCTATGTCAACGCCATAGTAATGATACAAATGAAAACTTTATGCTGCACCACCCATTTGAACCTTGCCCTTCAGGTTCCTCCACTTGCTGAAAAGAGCTGCAAATACTGAGATACCAGCAGACGCAATCGCAATAGCATATGCGACTTTCAGCCCAGACATGTATGAATTGACAATTCCGGGAACCACGTCTGCTGCATATGTTGCCCTGATTTGTGTCACACCTACTGCTACCACGCTCTGCGGGTTAACAGAAGGTGCGTCTGTTGGCAACTTTTGAAGCAGAATGTTCGTGAATGCGACTTCTCCAGCAGAGACGAAGAAAGCGCCACCGATGGTTTGGAAGAATAGAATCATGGCTGTAGCACTTGCGAGATCCGACGGATCAACGATGGCTTGTGCCGAGATGATAGGGACTTGAAGTGCAAGACCGATTCCGAGACCCGCGACAATCTGGTATCCAATCCACTCTCCTGAACTCGAGTGTGTGCTCAAGCTGTAGAGAAGGCCGCATCCGACTGTAGTCAAACAACTCCCAATGATCATGAAAGGCACGAAATGTCCCTTGGCGCTGATAAGTCCACCAGAGAAAATAGTGGCGAGCGTGGTCGCAAGAATGAGCGGAAGGTTTCGAACACCGGATTCCGAAGCGGTGACACCACTGACGACTTGGAAATAGATAGGGAGGTAGTATAGTAGAAGGAAAAATCCACCGGCCAGGAAGAAGATGTAAACCATGCCAACCCTATAACATCGTAGTCAGCATACAACTTACACTGGTATATGAAAGGAACATAGACTCAAAATTAACTTACCAGATAGTACGTTCTTTGGCGATTCGACCGACAATCATCGCTCTCTCTCCTTGAAAGTACTCAATGACAGCGAACAAGATAAGGATGACAACAAAGCCAACAAGCAATCCAATGACGTCTGAATTAGACCAGCTCTTGCTCTGTCCTCCCCATTGCAAAGCCAGGATATAGCAGATGATCGCGCACTGCTCTAAGTTAGTACAAATCTTTAAAATTACCTAGAAAACAGGAACTGTGAGGGCTTAGGAGAATACTGACCATAATGACCGCTGCTCCAGGAAGATCCATTTGCAGAAGCTTCTCCTTCAGTGATGCCTTGACTGGAACAACGTGCTTCGGTGTACGGAAGAATATGAAGATAATGAAAGCGGAAAGTCCTCCAATGGGAAGGTTGATATAGAAGCACCATCTCCAAGATACCTTTTGGGCGAAGACTCCTCCAAGAAGTGGACCAATGACTGAGGCGATACCGTATGCGGCTCCCATAAGACCAGTATATGCAGCTCGTTGCGATGGTTGTGCCGTGAATGCGATGATAGTATAAGCTCCCGAAGCAATACCTGCTCCTCCAAGACCAGCAATAGCACGGCCGACAATCAAGGCTGTACTATTTGGTGCCACACCACAGATGAGACTGCCCAATTCGAAGATGAAGATTGATATCAAAAAGGTGATCTTCAATGGGAAGTATTTGTAACCCTTTCCCCAAACTATATCACAGTCCCGAATCAGTATAAAGTTCTAATTGTTGTCTGAAGATTAATGGCCCTGGTCGGCAAATGTTCTGTGCCTGGGATGGACATCGATATGAAAGGAAGAATGCTTACCGCTCTGAAATGCTCCTACTGTCAAGAAAAATGCTGAGCCATACCATCCAACAAGATCCAGTCCATGGAATTCATCAGTGATTTTGGGGATCGCCGTTGCGACAATAGTCATGTCAAGTGAAACCTGTCATCCTGTTAGAGAATGTGTACGAGACCAGACATCAGAAAAGACTTACTAGAAAGATACTGAGAAGTAAAGCAACAACAATAGCCGCTAATCTAAATCCTGCTGGATATTCCACCTCATCTTCTCCGTTTGCAACTCCTTCTGAGACATTCTTAACGGAGCCATCTTCGTTATCGGTTGGTTGGTCGTCTATTTTGTTGTCTATTTCTTTGTTGAAGGAAGGGCGAGGCGAAGGGGACACGCTTCGCTCAACCTCCTTATCCCCCGCCAACGTCTCTGCCCTCGAATCCATTATGTCCAAAGTCTCTAGATCGTGTATGATAACCGATTGGAGAAGAAAATGCTTGAAGAAAGCTGTTGAAGTCGAAAGAAACCGAGATGCACTTGCAAAACCTTATCGGGAAGGGGCGACAGAGACTTATATACCTAGCCTCAACTGAACCAAAGTACGAGCCTTTGGCTCAGACTTTCACGACCGCCTTGACTCGGTCGGCGACTGTTTACTGCTTACCTGACCAAGTGGGTAGACATTGCGGTCGACTGGCCTGTTAAAACACAAAGGTGCTGCACGTATAGGCCATTAAAGGAGATAAACTTCTAGCTCCATGCCCCCGACATAAAAGATAAGTTCCCGGGATTAAAATCTGACACTAGCCTGGGCTTGAGCATGGCATGGCGGCCTCAGAGGGCGCCTCAAAAGCAAAGTAATGACGGGATGATTCACCCAGGACCCCTTATTGTGGATCCAGCAGCTCGTCCGCCGGGTTTCGGTCAAGGTGAGAAGGAATGAGTCGACATGAGCCTTTGTCAGCCATACTTGGAGGTCCGCCGACGCGCACGATTCAGCCGCTTTGTTCGACTTGTTAGGCCTGTTTTTTGACATAAGGCTCGTGTAGCGCACGTAGTTTTTCACGAGGTGTAATTGCCTGTTTGGAACGTGGGTGCGTAAGAAAAGAAGCAAAAGTGGATTTAGTTCTATTCCATATTTGGACTAGCCTACTCGGCAGCATTATTTGGGCATCTTTTCTGGAGGGACTTCTCCAGATATACGAAGTATCCGAGAAGTTTGCGAGAACAATCCCAGAGGTGGCTGTCAGCTTTTGATTTTGTGCAGTCATATGTCTCCGAGAAGAATTGTTTTCTACACAATGAAGCTAATATGATGTATCCATTTCATTACACAACAAGACCAAGTGCTCAAGAACTAATTGATACTACTGAACTTCTCTCCGTTCAGACTCATGATCTGCCAGCCATTAGAGTACAACCACCTTTCCGATTGATCCTTCCAAACATTTCTTGAAGTAAGTTCTACTTCCCACACCGGGCTGAGTCATAATGGACTCGCCAATTTCTTTCCTGCAATATGCAGGAGATAAGGCTACATCCATCCCAAGAATCTGGGGAATATCCGCTTCAGGGTCTACGCGGGCTTTAGTCATTTCCGGTACCGAGCTGCTGTGATATCCGCTTCGGCGGTACAAGTGAAACCCACTTCGAAGTATAACTGGCATGAAAGGGCGCTTTGTTGACAGCGGTTGATATACGCGCTCTGGCAGTCAGGGGTTACGCAAGGGCCCGGGAGCCGGAGCACCGAGTATAAGGCTGTGATTAACAAAGCAACTGGGGTTCTTGAGAAATGTTTGTGGAGCTGGTGGAGCCTGAGGTGGTGTTATTGGTAGGATCGGTGGTATTATGGTGGAATTCAGCCTGACTTATACTTTCTCCGCATCCTTATTTAGTGACTTTGGAGCAGCCTTCTTGGGACCAAGATAACCAGCTCGAAAATGGGGAGAAATCATACGATATGACATAAACGTCATCATTGGAAGCAGACAGTGAACTCGCATGAAGGGGTATTTATGCTGACTATGGAGTCAATCTATGGCCTCAACAGAGTTACCATGCAGACGCAAAACCATCGAAACCCATTCCTTGTTTCCCATCCTATCATACATTCGCAAAGCCGTGCATCGTTTTCTCATCTCATCGTCAATGTCCCTCATATCTTAAGAGTTTTGCTTCTGGATGTCCGCCTCAGCGCCACGTTGCATGGTCTTGCCAACATCGTGTTGCTCTTGAGCCTTCAATTGTGCCTCGCGATCACCGGTGATACCAGCAATACCTCCCTGAACAGCACCACCAACACGGTTGGCGATACCAGAACCGAAGTCGCTGAGTTGACCTTGAGCTTCTTGTCCCTTCCCTTCAGCATTTTGTTGAGCTCCAGCCTTCTTCAGGTCCTGTGGAAGATATGTTAGCAAATATTCCCCAGACTTGGGACTTTGAGGAGTGAAAGCTTACCTCAGAGCCAACGAGGCCACCAATAGCTTCCTTAGCAGATCCCACGGTTTGGTTCCATGAACCTTCTTGGCGGTTGGGGTCGTCCTTGGTTACAGCACCTGAGCTGGATGCTGTGAAGCCACCGAGCTTAGCAGTGGCGTGGGAAGCATCGTTCTCAAATTGAGCCTTGTCCTTCTTGGCCTCGCCTTGTCCCTCCTGGCTTGTGTTGCCAGTAAGAGAGCCGATGGCAGACTGGACAGCTCCAGTTGCACCGTCGATGTAGGATTGGAGAGTGGAAGTGTTCTTGTCAGACATGATTGCGGTTTGATTTGTTTGTTTGGTTGTTAGTTTTTGAGTATTGGAGGATCGAAGAAGTAGTTGTTTGATGATGGGAAAAGGTGTTGGTCGGTGAACTACAGAAAGTTTATATAGTTCTTGGGCTCCTACCGTTTGAATATCTCATAGCCTTCTTTGCTACGTCATAGGTCGTCGTAGCCTTGCCGCATTCTGACCCCTCCACTGTGGCGGCTGATCACACCCCTGTTCCAAGAGCAAGAATGTACGGCCCAGCTAGAATCTTCAAAAATGCTGCGTGTCGTCATTTTGTTGTTTCTTTGGCTGAATGTTTCAGATTCTTTTTTTCTTGATGATGCAGTTGGTGTTGCCATTCACAAACCTTGCCTTGGCACAAGCCAACCTGTGGTACAAACCCGTGCCCAAAATATGCAGAACATTGCGAGCCTGGACTCGATAATTGCGAATGGGGGACGATGAGATGGAGAAAGAAGGCAAGATCTTCGCTGATACCCACTTGAGCTTCGTAGTGCTGCTTGTTTAGGGACGGCTTTATCTCTATTGGCAAGTTCATCGACCTTAGATCTCGGCCTGTCTGCATGTGAAGCCTTCACTTGACAAGCTTTCGGCCCAAAAGCTGGTATCGAGATCTCTGTTCACAATTTTCTTATCGTTCACATGCCAAAAGAAATGTATACAGCAATGTAGATCTATTCCCATGGTATTCCTGAACGCCTCATGACCCAATGGCATCTCAAACGCTCTCGACCAGATCCGGATCTAGCAAAATGCCACCAATACCCGAATCGAATCTTGTTCTCATCGGGCTCTTGATTCCCTGGGCTCTGTTGTTCTCGACCCTTCTATATTTCTGTTCATCCCACATCCAGACGCCATGATGCCCCTCCATCTCTCCCTGCATAGACGCATGTCTCTTCATTCCTTCTGTCAGACTCTTAGCAACCAGATCCTGCTTCGCCTTCGTGAAGTATCTCCGTGGGAACTCTCTGCCTTCAACCTTCTCTATCTTCCGCATCTCTCGTTGTTCATTCTCAATCTTGGTCTTCTCATGTCCAACAGCAAATATATCATTTCTGTGGATCGCATCTGCGACATTCTGCCAAGCGCGTCTGGACTCGAGAGGGTGTTGATGTTCGACCGGAGTGACTGTTAAAGGTGTCCTTGGTACCGAATCGACATTAAAGCTCTCAACCACTTCTCCAGTAGCCACTTTCTTCATGCAGAAATCTCCACTCCACTGTCCCTCGGCTGTATATAATGGTTCATTTTGCTTGTCATCGTGGAATAATGTAGCGACGAATGAATTCTTCTTTCCACTCAACCATCCTTTACTCGAATAGTCTATCTTCGCTGTATATCCGCTCGAGCTTCGTATGTATGTTGCGCCGCTCAATTCAGGACACAATGATCCAGTCATTATACCTTCAATGTGTATCTTGGGCATGGTGATTAAGTAGTCTTCGTCATATTTGTCAAGGTGCAGAACTGAGTATCCTTTCCGATCGATGTGGACCGTAGTCGAGAAGTATGCTTTAGGTGCGACATGGCCTTGGAGCTGCGGCAGATTGTCAGTCAGATTTCAGACAAGATCATGTAAATTCTTACCCTAACACCATGTGTGTCGTTCCATATGTTGCATGCAGTAATGGGCGGATGATGGCTAACTTGCTCAGCAACCAAGTTGGTGGTACCACAATCATCAACCCATTTTCCCAAGAACAACTCTCCTAGGAAAGGGTTCAATGGCTTCATTCGCTTCTTCTTCCCATTCTCATCCTTATTATTGTGTTGTTGTCTCAGCGTACTCAGGAACCATTTCAGCACCAAAAGTGCCCTCTTCTCGGGATCTTCTTCTTTGCTGGGAGCCACGAAGAGACATGGTTGTTCTGCCCAGTATGCGCTGAATTCGATAATTGATTGAGGAGAGAGCAGGAATGGAGGTGCAGTTAAGGATGCCAAGTCGCCTTTGAATGTTGCGAGAGACTGCTGCTATTAGCATGCGTTGCCCGTGGCGCAATTGCTCAATTCAGAGAGTATACCTTAATGAATGAGAAGAATGCGCTCTTATGTTGAGGAGCAAGCTTTTCGCTATCGCATCTAGACATGATTATCGAGTAGGAGGGTATGCCAGTGTGGTTTCAGAGAGAACCAAGGGAAGTGGGGTATGATATGAGATGATTGAGAAGAATCCTATCTTGCGGTGAAGGAAGGACCCTTTTCTATTTCAACCTACTGGGCATGTTCGGACGATCTAATTTCATCTGAAAAGAAACAACTCCTGATACGTCCGGCTTGACTACAAACCGTCTGGACTGGCCTGCATGCAGCTGGTTGTGAGGCAGTTAATGTTTTGAAGCGGGCTTCACATGCAAAGTGGAGCACCACTGCAGCAGGAGCACTGCCGACCGCGCTTACCTCCACCCAACCATTTAACTCTCTCCAATCGCAGCACGAAATGTACGTCGCGAAATCGTATTTCCTCCCACAGGTAACACGAAATTGTTCGTACGCACGAAAAGACAAAATTGTACGTCGCAAACTCGTTATCACCGTTTTTCGGGATCATCTTGTCCGGTACTGCGCCTCCATGATGATGGAAGTTTATAGGGCCGTTATGGCCGTACAAGACATTCAGAGACATCTCGTGGCTACAAGCTATTCACATAAGATGACGACGCGCAGATGATGTGTAAAAGCAACGCATCCATTCAATAAGATCTGTTCAAAAAACAGTCTTGGGTATCTAATACATAATGTTGAACCATATTTCTCGCCATATCTGATCCTGTCCCAAGAACTCCTTTACGTCCGTACCTATGCATTGGCAGCTCGCCTCATCTAAGTCCCAGCCACCAACAATTATTATAGCATCATTCCTGAAATATCTTCGCTTCTCCTTCGCTCACAGCTTCTAGTTCTCGAAACCTTCAACTCTCTCTCGGCATCCATCAATCTTGTCTGAACCCAGGTACGGTATCTGTCGTCGGATCTGACCGACTCGCAGTTCAGGAGCTCCGTCAAGGTGCTTTTGATTTGTAGATTGACGTCTTTCAATTTCATCTCGTCCTCCTCGATCTCTCCGATGAGGCTCTCGTCGATAACGGTCGGTAGCGAGGATCGTCTTTTGGTCATGGCAGGGCGTTTGCGGGATGAGGGAATGCTGCCACTGCGGTGATGGTTTCGGATCACTCTTGGCGGGGAAGACGATAGGAACATGCTATCTTCTGTACCTGAGCCAGGTGAAGAGGATAGAGAAGCATGTCGATATCGGTCGGGAGATCTTGAGGTCGAGGATGTGGTTGGGATGCCTGTTGAGATTTGGCTGAGATGCTTTTGAAGAGCATCATGTTGGGAGTGAAGGAGGAGGTATTTTTGAAGAGCGAAAGCTCTCTCTGGTGACTTCTGCGTTGGGTTCATGGTGAAGGTGTGGTGGAAAGGTATGTAGGTTTTGTATTATGCTTTCTCTGAAGATAGTTATGGCTTCAACAGCTTTACTAGTGAAGCATGAATTTGTTTGGGTTTGAGAAGCGGAAGAGTTCTTGAAATAAGGTTACGGGACGAAGATTTTATAGAACTATTGAAAAATGCCAGCTGGACTATAAATGAGCCTCACATACCTTTTCCGTGACGTCGGCGTCAAATTGTGTATCGGACCTCTCTCCTGCCACGGTCCTTGCTCCTACTCGAGCGGTAAGACGAAACCCTGAATGGGATGTGTGGCTTGACCTACGTCTCTTCAATATATTGGCCTGCTTCCTCCAATCAAAAGACGTCTGACTAACGGGAAGCAATCTAAGTGGGTATTCCATTTTTGGTAATCAGGGAAATGTGTGGCTCACACATGTGGCGTCATACGTGTTACGCGTGAGCAATCCCCATTTTCACATCAAGTTTTGACGATGATCAGCTTGATCATGTTCCTGCATCTGCGAATGAAATCCGGTGCTGTGGCACGGTGGACGTTTCAGCCAGGATTTCCCGGGACGGTTGGTCCGTATCAACGAGTCGATTCATCACTAAGGGAAGATCTTCCGTCCTTCAGCCTGACAGCAGGGTCCAGGTCGAAGGAGTTTCTTCGATCATGATCGATCGAGATGACGGGAGATTCACGTGAATTGCGTCAGACAAGAGGTGAATGGTTACAGAGATACCAAAGAAACCCAGGACCAAAATGGGGATCCGTTCAATTTACTGGCGGCCTCTGATTGAATATGTCTCCAGGGCTGTCTGTTATATCACGTGATAAAGAATCAAATCATTGAGTTTAAAGAATATGGGCTTCCAAGTTGACTGGTTCCACTCATCCGAGGGACTACTTAAGTAGGTAACTTGCTAGAGATAAAATAGAGGTGCTGAGGTAGATCATGTGTCGTCCACGTGACAATATATGTCAGGTCACCGCGGGATCTGAAGCTTTTATTGTACTGTATTTCAGGAATGACGGATCATCCACACGTACAGTCTTAGCCAAAACGACCAGCGCTCGGAAAATGGTCCGGATGATGAATGTTCTTGATCTTACTTCTTTTCAAGTTTGTGGTGTTTGGCTTGACCTTATCAACTATGGGTCTCAGATTATCCCCATCCAATTCGGGAAATCAGGGACCGATATCAGGATTTTCATCCCCTTGGATGGGATTCAGAAAAGTCCACCAACGAACGATTTCTCAAAATCTCATTCCAGGTTTTGTCCAAAGCGCTGCCAAAGGCGGTCTTCAGATCCAGGTATCGGCTCATAAGAAGTGCTCCATCAGAGCGCTGAATTCCACCAAGGAGAGTAGACTGATTCGAGTATATGATGAACCAAGTTCTGTCCCCGTTCTTGGCTGTCATAGCTCCGATCATAGCAAGCCAGGCTAGCAGATGCACGTTATCCTCCGTCATGTAAACCTCGTCTAAAGAATCTCGAAGCCGGTTCGTCAATATCGAGGCTCCTGTAGCAGAATGTGGGAATTCTTGGAGTATCCCTTTCAGATATAACAATGCTCCTAATCGGCAGGCTCGATTGATAGTTCTTTCCTCTGAGTTCGGCTTTGATATTGACAGCAGAGAGTGTTCGATCCAGTATAAATCTTCCGAGAATGTAGTAGGATTAAGGAATATATCGGTCCTTGAATTTGCCAAGCTGATTACTTGGGTGAAGTATGCCAACTCTACCATGGTGTTAATGATTTCTGGATCGACCTCGGCCCTCGTTAACACATTCGATAATTCAAACTTGATATCCTCCAGTGGGGATTTTGGTATAATTGACCATGTTGGTTCAGCAGTATGTCTTTCGAATTGTAAGAGGGGTGCAGTGGCATAATCAATGGCTCCAGTAATATCCGATCTGCCATTGTCAACATATTGCTTACTTTCGCTGAAGATGAAGCTTACCGTCTAAGTTTCGACATCATCAACGGTGATAGTGAGGATAAACTTCTTCTCGACAGCATCATATTCTTCAGACCCTTCATATGCAGTCGCCATAGATTCTCATTTCCTGATATTGCCTGCATTTCTATTAGTCACTTGCAAATCGTTCATAGATAATGTCTGGTTGCTAACCTCTCCTATTGCCAAGCATGACGTTGCACCAAGAGTTGAATCTGCTATGCAGCCATCCGAATCGCCCAGTCGCTGCCGAAGAATTTCTACCGTCCGATTCTGATGGTAAATAGTCTCTTTGGATTCTCGCTTGCCAGCAACAAGTGCAAGGTAGACTGCGGCTGAATAAAGCACCGCGTGAAACATTGCTGAATCGGTCACAGCAAAGTGAAGCCACTCAGGTGACCTGAACGGATTTGATTTCAGGCGAGACTCGATTGGGAACATTCTTTTTGATGCATAAGTCAAGTAATGACTCAAAAGAGCGTGTGTCTCTTGAGACATGTCGATCGGATAGGAGCATGTTTCCGTTGCATATCCGAGAAGCATCGGGGCACTGACGGGCAAGGTTTCTGTTGGCCTGTTCTCCATAGCTGTTGGAGACGGAGTAGTTCCGGCTACTCGGCCAAGAGCCTTCCCATCTTTGTGGTCTGCTTTGCGTCCATTGAGCCGAACGAATTCGTTTCTCACATGGCGTCTGATCCGCTTTCTTTCTTCCGAGTCTCTGCCCCGGCCAGGCTTTGTTGAATTTACGAATGCATATCGTCTCTTGGGTATATCCCTCGGCGCTGTCAAGGGTTCATGCACTGACGTTTTCGTAGAGTCTGCTTTCTTGGTGGGCTTCGTTATGTCCAATTGTAAATCCCGAGTTTGCCAGCCCTTGTGAATCATGACCACTGGTCCGTCCAGATGGAACGTGATCAAGTTCTCCATCGACGCTGTGGAATATGACAGATATCTAAAGCAGCAACTTTGACTCTTCGAGGCAAGCAACCAAAGCGTGAATCAAGTTCGTGATGTTATTCAAAGTTTCGCTTATGTGAGACTGCCTCTGTCCTGCTTGCCTTGCTTAGGTGGGGTTGGGTTCTCCACTTCTAGCCGTCCCTTGAGCATGACCTGCAGTAGCGTTTCAACGGCGCATTTGGCAATTGCCTGTTCGGTGCATTTTCTCCTTAATGGGTCAAGGCATATGTGCCCCAATACTGGAGGACTGAAGCATGGCAAAGTTGCAATTATAGCAAACTGGATCAGTACATAAAATTCAGAATATCCTGCTGCATTTTGAATAGTTGCATCAACCTGTGAATATAGAGAACGATTATATCACCAATTCGACCACTTGAGAAGCACTTCTTTGCCTCGTAAAACAATGACTACCCACGAGACTGCTGTCACACAGTATATTGTTGCAAATGGTACAAAGCTTGCCTATCGACGGCTCGGGGCCTCAGTTGGAATACCGCTGGTTATGATGATGCATTTCCGTGGTAATATGGATTGGTGGGATCCTGCTTTGATCAACGCACTGGCGAAATCTCGTCCTATCATATTAATGGACAACGCTGGAATAGGGAAAAGTGAAGGTGAAATTCCAACTACCCTTCATGGTTGGGCAGAGCACCTTATCGCTCTTGTACAGGCTCTGAAGGTACATCAAATTGATCTCCTAGGCTTTTCGATGGGAGGCGGAGCTGCCCAGCATGTTGCTCTCGCTGCACCAAAAGGAATGGTTCGCCGATTGATCATCGCAGGATCTCGCACAAGCAAAACACCAAACACGGTCATTGGTCCTCGAAAGATCTTTCATCAGCTTGCCCATGCTGTGACGGAGGAAGAATTCAAGGAGGCCTTCACTGTCAGTTTCTTCAACCCGTCAGAGCACGGTAGAGCTGCTGCTAAGACTGTGTTGGACCGCATCTATGTCAGAAAAGAGGACCGAGCACCGCATCTTTCCCCAGGTCTTGCAAAGAGGCAGACAGAGGCATTCACAAAATTCAGCGTGTCGAGCCCAGATAATCCTTACGAAAGAATACACGAGCTCGACATGCCAGTTTTGATAGCCAATGGAGATAACGACCTTCTCATTCCGACAGTCAATAGCTTCGAGCTTGCTCAACTGCTTCCGGACGCCCATCTACACATCTATCCCAACTCTGGGCATGGCTTTTTGTACCAGTATGCCGAGCTGTTCGCAAAACATGTCGACTTGTTTTTGGACGAGACAACTGGCGAAGATGGGGAGAAAATTTTCGAGGCATTGAAATCTAGACTGAGCTAGCATCTTGGAATGCGATGCGATAGCTTTTACTGAATCTTTGAAATGATGAAAGCAAGGAGAGAATAAAATGTGTCACGCGTTTCAAACATACATACATAATTTGCACTATTTTCATAATTAAGGTTGACACTAGTGGTACTTACTCAATCGCAAGACTACCCACAATCTTTGTGTATTCATACTCCTCATTCTTTTTCTGCATCCATTGCGTTTCTTCATCCAACACACGCTCGTTTCTCTGCCAGACTACGTTTCCTGATACAGAATACAGAATGTCAGAGCTAAAGCTTGCCTTTCGTGAGGAAAAGAAGCTGGAGAGGAAGCTCGATTTCCCAAAGGAAAAGTCCGCTCCACACAATGATAGAGATGCCCGCCGACAAAGCGCACAAGAGCAAATTGGAGCAGATAAACAACCTTCTAGCAGCAATATCGTAGGGTCCTCTACGCAGCCAGACTTCCCCGGTCTGGGATTCACAAACCTTCCTCCAGAGCTTCGAAGAATGATTGTCCAAGAAGCTGCGCAACCACTTCTCCTTCCTAGGATCGTGGAGATACATGAAGAAGATTTGGAAATCCGCTTTGCCACAGCAGTTGAGCCCGACTTCATCCAAAAACGAAAGATCAAGCATTTCCGGTCGGTTACGCCATGCTCATCTCTGCTACAGGTCAACATCGAGTTCAAAGGCCTAATCTGGGAGTACTTCGAAAAGGAAGATCATCTGGGTCACGAACTTTGTCTCGACAAGGTTCCCTTTAGTTTTGAGCGCGACTCTGCATATTTCACGCAAGATACCCTAATGTCATGGATGCGACTTTGGCGAAAGTGCAGCGATCGCCACCCCGACTATCCTCTCAACGACGACGCAGGCTTGATCTTGAGAAACAAGCTACGACGTATTGTGTTTGACGTCAAGATGCTCCTTGGACATGACGAGGCCTTCAACAACGTACTTGGAGAGTGGTTTAGCGGCAATGCTGACACCATCGAGCAACTGGGTCCAGGTCTGGCAGCCTTTCCTTCTCTTGAAGAGATCATTCTGGTGGTTCGCGAGGATGACGCCGACGTTCATATGGATTGTTTGGACTTCACAGAGACATCCGAGGAGGTTTTACAGTTCTATGACTACGAGGCTCTCCATGTCGATGAAGGCCTTGGATGCATTAAATTGGCCGACCCCCAACCAGCCAGCAAGGCCGCTTACGTTCTCAGAATAGCAGAGGATTTTCTTCGCACTTCTCTCGAATTTTACTTCAATAAGTTCGAGATTCGGAGGGGTGGCGCTTTTCACAAACCATCTACAAAACCTTCGGAACCACGCAAGATACGGACGCTTCCCATCATCAAGAAGATGGTGAAAAAGCCCTGAGAACTTCTGTGGCAGACAGCGACTTAGAATGCCTCGTACGGTCGTCATAGGAACATCGAGGGGCGCTAGATAGTGCTTGCAGGCGAAAAGCAGGAGAGGAAATCATTGTCCGGTGCCACCACTACTTCCAACGACTATTTAGCACATATACTCCTGTATAACCACACCTCAGGGTTCGGGACTCTGCAGGCACCACATCAGCATGATTTCGGATACTTGGAACGGATTTTGAATCGCATCCAGCACATACGATGCCTCTCAAGGATTTGAGATTCCGTGAGCAGAATCGACTACAAGAAGTATGCTATATGAGTACAGCATTGGAAAATGTACGACCCTCGAATTCTGGAATTGAATCGAATCTTGGAGTCTACTTACAAAGGCTATGATGACGAATCGGAACACAATCTCTGTTACCACATGCGAGATATGTTCGAAGCTCTTGAAGATACAACTTATGACTACACAAATGTATGTATTCATATTTGTCCAAGTAAACGGACTAGTCCTTTGCATCGTGCTCTGCTACCTCAATTCAGTCTCTCTTACTTACCCCTTCCTCTCCAGCTTCTTTTTATTTCCTTCAATATGCCGAGTAAGAATGCCAGTATCCCAAAAAACACTCAACTCATGAATCACAAGTCCATCAGTCCCCTCCCCATCCTCCGCGGCCCCAACAATAAACACAAAGAACCTCGGAGCAGTAACCTCATTCTTATCGCCCTTCAACCGAAAATGAGTTAAGAACTCCGTATACGCCACATATTTTCCATCTTCTTCCGGAATGACTCGAAGCTCGATAACCTCATGAAATATACGATCGAATGGCTCGAAGAGCGCTGCTATTTTTCTCCAGATGTGAGAACCACTGATCCAGACGTCGCCTCTTGTGTTGTGAAAGATGGCATCGCAGGAATAGAATTTTGACCACGGAGTTGATCTTATGTCTATGGAATCGATGTGGTGCTGATATTTCTCGAGGAAGCGGAGGATTGGAGATTGCCTGGAATGTTCGTCCCACACTCCGCGATGGGTGAAGATGTTCATTAGTTTGGTGTTTACTCAAGTTGCGCTTAGTGGGAATCTTGGTTGTATTTTCCACAGCTATTTCGCATGTTCTTATGTCAAAAGATCTACTTTTATTCATGATCACTCACCGCTTCGGGAAGCATGGATTTCTTGTTCTCGGTCTTCGCGGGCTTTGCGGACCACGAAGACCAGTCACGATCTCGCGGTACGGCCGGGAATCAAGGTAACCAGCACGTGTACAGTAAGCAGCATCATATCCACGATTATATTTTCCCTCGGAAAGCATTTTAAAGCACGCGACACTCATTGCTCGGTTCAGGCGTGTTCAATGCGCTGTCCATTTGCCATCACTTGCGGGATTTGAATGAAGACAAAACAAGCTGATTTAATCAACGACATATCCCTCGGTTCCCTCATCGCTTCTCTCAATCTTCAACTCATCCCAGTTCACATCATCTAATACAGCCAACCTGATAGGAATTATTTCGAGCTTCTCTTTCACCATATTCTGTTTATCCTCGGACCAAGTATCAACGAGCTCTTTTGGTGGTCCATGAAGTCTCATGAACAGTGGCACTCCACAAATTTTGCAGAAGCAATGCCCAGTGAACTTTCTTCCAAAGAGATACTCGGTGGTGTTCTCTCCTCCTGAAATGGTGACTTGAGACTTTTTGGGATGGATGCAGACATTCGCATGCTGCAATTTGTTAATAGTGCGACCGTCATCAGCTGGTAACAGACAACTTACTCTCCTACAGATACTGCAGTTATCTTCTTTGATTTGAATTTCCGAAAGTAGACCACTTTTCAGCACGAGGGTCACGGCACCACAGTGGCAGCCTCCAGTGTAAATATTGGAGTCCTCTGCATCAATTTTAGGTGGCTCGTCTTTGAGAGATTGTTTGCCATCATCTGGATATATATTTTTGCCATCAAATCTAACTGGAGTCAGGTCATTTCATTTCAGGACATGAAATGGTCACCGACTTTTTGCTGTTGAGATGAAAAGGGTTCACTTCTGTCAATGTCCGTACCTGAAACAGTCATTAGGTCATTTCAAAACACTAACCTGGAGTGTCACTTACATTCACATAAATCTCTTCATCCTCTCTCGGTGGATGCATCTTCCTCAGCATCACCGACGTACCACAGATAGGACAAAACTTGCTTTCGTCAGCTGACCTTGTTTTCTTCCAAGGTTCACTTCAGGAAGAATCACCTTGTGCGGCATAGTCTTACTCCCGAACCAATAACTAGTCAACTCATCTTCTGCACCTTTCGTGACCCGAAATCGTTTCTCTGCCAGAAATGTCCATAGATAGCCTTTCTTGACGCATATGCTGCAGTTGCAGCTCTCGACTTTTTCGATTGGTGGGACGTCGATCTCGAATCTGAACTTGCCGCAGTGACAGTTGCCTTTGTATGTTTTGAGGTCTGAAGTAGCCATAGTGAATGATAAAAGTGAGTTGTAATAAATTAATAAACTGTCTTGGGACTTTCAGGGCGAGATTAGAAAGATGGGTGGCGAATCTTTCTCTTGCCGAATGAGGTATAGTGGGGTACTCTTGCTTCTACGCCCTATCTTTGACTGCACCTTGCTTTACTTTGACATAAGAATGGAGACATAATACATAGACTTCAATGCCATCATCATTTTTACAGGCCAACAAGAAGCCAACTTCATATCATTACTATTCACATGACACTGGTTTCCCCCTGACTTCGCGACGAATTGGCGAATGAATGGGGGTTTTGGCTCGCTTATCATCAATTCCCAACGATTTGGACCTGATTCTCCATCTTTGATCCTTCATCGTCTGTGCATTCACTAGTGCTTACTCGACTCCCTATTGAGCATTATTGGACTTCATATCTAATATCTCGAAAGTCCTTCCTCACCTCGAATATTCTCACCCCGAACCCACACCAAAGAATCATGACCAAAGACGTCCAACTAGACAACGTCCTCATAACCGGTGGCTGCAACTTCATCGGCCACGCCCTCGTCTCCCACATCCTCACCACCTCACCCACAACCAAAATCACCATCCTCGACCTCCCCACCTCCCTCCCCCTCTTCCCCACTGTAACCTACCACCACATCCCCATCACCGACCTCCCCGCCATCCAAGCCGCCCTGCACCTCATCCGCCCAACCGTCATCTTCCACACCGCATGCACATACTCCCTCTCCCTCCCCGCTTCCACTCACCTCGGCATAAACTACCAAGGAACGCTCAATATCCTCGCTGCCGCCCAAGCAGTGGGATGCGTAAAAGCGTTCGTTTACCATTCCTCTTCGTCTGTAATTGAAGATGGGTATTCGGATCTGATTGATGCAAGGGAGACGAAACCGGTGCTTTTTGAGGGAGAGCAGAGGTTTCCGTATCCATTGTCGAAGGCGTTGGCTGAGAGGGCGGTATTGGAGGCGAATGGGGAGGGGGAGATGTTGACGGTTAGTATTAGGCCGGCGGGGACGTTTGGGGAGGCTGATGGGGAAATGAGTAAGTCGCAGAATCTATTGTCCCTCATCTTTGCTAGTCGTTGATGTTGTGTTGTGTTGTGTTCCTTCTCTAAATACTTGTTCCAAAGAAGGAATCAGTGCTGATTCACTGTAGTGGAGAAGTTGTTAGGAGCTGCGAAAAGTGGTCGGGCAGGGGTACAAATTGGTGACGGGAAGAACGTTTACGATTTCTTGTACGTTGGAAACCTAGTGCTCGCTCATGTGCTCGCTGCCAAGGCTTTATTAGGAGCTGGGAATGGGGGAAAGGTAGATGGGGAGGCATTCCACGTTACTAACGATGAGCCGTGGCTCTTTTGGGACTTCTCGAGGAGGATTGCGAAGGAAGCAGGGTTTGAAGTGAAAAATGTCAAAGTTGTTCCGAGGTGGGTGGCGATGTTGTTTGCTATCTTGACGGAGTGGTGGGTTTGGGTGAGTAGTTTTGGGAGGAGGGAGAGTGAGTTGAGTAGGCATGGGGTTAGGTATAGTTGTTTGACGAGGACGCTGAATATTGAGAAGGCGAAGAAGAGGTTGGGGTATAAGCCAGTTTTCAACATGGAGGAAGGGGTGAAGAGGAGTGTGGCGTGGTATAGGGAGAATGGTAAGTTGGACTGAGATTCAGATATCTAGTCAAATATGAAAACATAGCTTAGATCCGCTCACCCAAGTTTTATGATTGGACATATTCATTCTCTACAACATAGTCGGCTGAGAGCTGAAGATTAGATCTAAAGACAAGATCTAAAAGCAAGCGGTCTGCTCTGTGTAACGAACAGACACCGATTCATGTTCGTCTGAGGTTACTAACTAGGCGCGAGATACCTCTCAAGCAATGTTCCCACTGCACGGCTGACGGTTCGAAATGTGTCTCTGCTGAAAATATGTTGACACCGAAGATACCTTCTTCTCCCATCCAAGACAATGCCACGGTCGTCTTGATTCGGAAGTATCCCCGCTGCAGCCACCATTCCACGGGCAATTACCGACTGGCAATTAACCCGTTGCGTTGTCTAAGACAATTCCATGTCCTCGAATACAAAGCCTAGCCACCGAAAGTATCTCAACTCGTATTCCTGTTCTCTATCAAATCTACTCTCTTCGAGCAAGTCCATTCCCCATATTCCTAGGTCTGATGCTATAGTCGAGAGCCGCGCCTTGGAGCAATGACTCGTATGATATATATCCCCGGAATGTACAGTCATTGTGGACTTGAAAAAATCCAGGAAACTATAAAAAACGCTCCTTCCCTCTAATTTTCAATAGCACCCATCTGTCATCTCTCACAGACTTCATCTCGCACAGACACTCACTTCACCAAAAGTCATCCCTCAACTCACCATTTAGTAAAGTCGTCTAATTTAAGGAGCTGGAGGCGCCGCGCGCTTGTTGACCTAGCACTGATATATCTCTAACATGGCTCTAAATGATGGATCCTGCAAAAGCTGTGCCGCGGTTATGCGACGTTCGGGCAAATAGCAGAACGCTTTTTGCATAACAGAAAGAGCGAGCTCTCGTTCAGCTTGGCTGGTATCAGGTCGCATTCGTGCGATCCTGGCTGCAAGGTCTCTTTCAGGATCAGGATTCGTTGTGTGATCGTACCAAGTATCATTGACTTCCTCTGGCCACCAAAACTTTCCCTTCCACTGCTCAGGCATCGCGCCCAGCTGTTCGACCCAGCTGAACGCCGTCGACCCGCCCCCGTTTCCGTAGAAAACGTTATTGCCTAGATACAGAGCTGCAAAGAGACACATAAAACTCCACGTGTCGCTTGCCAGGCTTGGATCTGTGCCGTGAAGTCTCTCGGGGGCGCAGAAGCAGTAAGGCGCTTGTTGTTTGATGGACACCGAGATTCCATCTTTGATCGTGAGGCCGAAATCTCCTAGGTAAAGCTTGCTTCCAAGTAAGTCTAAGGGAATGGTCATCTGCTGGACGAGCTCGCCCCGCTTCCAAAGATAATCACCGAGAAGCACCTTTTTCGGACGGCCGAGCCGCTGGTATTTAGTCGCCGTGTCATACTCAGCGACGGAGGGCATTTCTCACATCAGGGCCCCATCGTTAAGTTCTGCAGACGGGATTAGCATCTAGTCTGAAAAATCGAAATCTAGGACCAGGATTACGGGTGGATGCGTACCGCGATGCACAAGTCCAACATCATGGAGGCCTTTCAATGCTACGAGCAGCTGCTTCGCGGCTAAGACACGAGTGGCAACCGACAATTGTATGGCACGGTAGCCCAGGCTTAGGCTGAGAAGGGGCAGCACTAAGACGCGGTGATAGTTACCACCGTGGCCAGGGAGTAAGAAGGAGCCTTCATGTGCAACAAGGTGAGAAGTGTCGCGGACGGTCCGGAGGATTTCGTTTTGCATTTGATACTCGTATTCCCCCTTCTCGCCTGGAATCATAATCTTGAGAGCAACACTCTTTCGGTACTGCAAATCGTGGGCCATCCAGACAGTGGAGTAGCCGCCCCAGCCAAGCTTGTGCTCTATGCGAAATCTCCCGGCCAGCACTTCCCCAATGCACAAAGGGTAGTATAGGCCCCGGTCATACCGTTCCAGGGGCTCGGAGACATCCTCAACGTCGCCTTCTCCATCAGAGTCCACGAACTCGCCATAATCGGGGCTGTTCTGGGGACCCATTTTTTGGTTGTTGCTTGTACTGAATCAGCGCTGAGAAGGAGGTACGATTTCGAAGCTGTAACTTTACGGCGTAGATAAAGGAACTTGGGAAAGCTGGTTCATGGGGTCGTTTGCTTTGTTTGAAAATGCAAGGCGAGCGCGCTTGGCCTGGTCGTTTAAAAGATTGATTGATTCATCATTTCTCGGTTCAAGCCGCCGGCCGTACTGTAGCAATGCCGGCTTTGGGTCAGCGTAAATATTATTAATTTAATTATATTTATTAAAAAATCGGAAAAATTTTTTTTTTTAAAATTTTTAAAATTTTAAACATTTATTTCATTAAAAATCTTTCTTTAATTTAAACTTTAAAATTATTATTATCTAATCAACAAAATGCAATTCGCCGCTATCTTTTTATTCGCGCTCTCCATCGTCCATACTACTACAACTTGTGGAGGAGCCGCAGGTACATACCTTCCCAGCTTTCATCTCTTCTCCTCCAAGTACTCTACTAACGTGTAGACACAGCCCCATGCTCCCAAGACTCGCACTGCTGTTCCGACAAATGCTCCGCGGGCCTCTGTAAAGCCGATAACTGCAAAATCGCTGATGGTAAGCACTCCGCGCTCTCCCCCCGGAAGGATTTAGAAGAAGCTGCTCATGATTGATTAGTGGCCTGCACAGGCGCACGACAGTGCTGCGAGGGATTGACGTGGGAGTTTGATACTTATGGATTACAGGTTTGCTGTGAGAATGGTCCACCGGTGTTGGTTGTTTGAATTGATGTTCTGAACTTTGATGGTGTTTTCGGGGCGATGGGAATGGGGAAAGTAGGATTAGGAAAGCTTAACGTGGAAGAAAGAGAGGAAGAAGTGAGAAGAGATGGATTTGATTTTTAATGGTATCTTTGACTTGTCATTTCCGTGTTTGCAAGTGAGCTTTGCTTGGAGTTCAAATAACAGTATTGGCTCGAGCTCTATGGTCAACCTCTAGCCGATGAGGAGGGTATAAGTACACACCAGCACGTAAGATTGTAGAAGTTTGTGAGAAATGATGGGAACCGGATCCCACTCTATAAATTGAGAACGGGTATAACAAGCGAGCCGAGCCTCCCCTTTATTCGCCAAATCAGGGGGAAAGCCAACGTCATGTGAAGAGTGACAATATCGAGTCGGCATCTTGCTGACCTGGAGGAAGGCAATGGAACCAGAGTCTCAATGGTTCGTGAGAGCAATATAGAAAAGCTGGTGAACTTGCGATGTTCCCATGGACACCAGACTTCAGCTTCTTGCCCTCAAATCTTGGTGAAGCCGCATCAAAGTGGCATATAAGTATTGAAAGGATGATGTGAAAATGACGATGGTTGACGTGTAGTAAGTGGCTGATGTTTTTCAAGAAATACATGGCAACATAGCAAAAATTCCTCCCAGATCCAACAACGCAAAATAGCCCAGCTCGTGTGAATAGCAGTATTTTCGAACATCGTCCCCTCACTGCATCACACCCAAGATCGCTAATCGCCCTACATTGGTCTCCCACCCGAAGACGAGATGTAACCTCATGAACATGGCTCTCTGCTCAAACGACTTAACCTCCTCAAGTGTCATCTCTGTAACCTCCTTGATCGGTCGCCCAAAGAGTATCTCCCAAGCTCGTGGGCTCCAGAGAAGCTTGCCAGGTGCAATACATCCAGTTTCGTCGAGGAGAAGGCCCATGATCTTCGGATTTAAGTACAGATTGACGACCTTGGAACAGTTTCCGCAAGTAGTAGTCATGGACATTGAATAAACGGGTACTCCACAACTGGATGCTTGTTAGTAAGAGTTTCTACCAAGCAGCAAAGGCAACGCCGCGTACCACTCCGAACACATGAGCATTCTCTGACGGTACAGTTTGACCAGAGACATCTCGATTATGGTGACATTGATGAAACCGGTGAATTGAGGTAGCTCTTCCGTACGGACCCTAAGATAGTCAGTAGCACACAACCCAAGGAGTCTCGCTAAGACTCTTACCATCGATCAAGTTCAGCAAGAGTGTACAGATTCCGACAAACTCCATATTCTGCAGCTTCGATATCCCAGATGTCCTCAGGGAACTCCAAGCATAAGCTCTCCTTCTTCGTCAACCCCACAGCATATTTCATGAGCCAGTCTGCATCAGGAAAGTCGGGGTTGACATCGACCAAAGTTTGAGGCAGGATTGCAATGCTTCCCTTATTGCCTATATACGCCAGCTTATACCCAGGATTTGATATCAGCAGGACCGTCTTCCCTGCTTGCCAGTCGCCGATGCCATCAATCATGCGATTCCAAACCGTCAACTTAGCGGAGGCTGTATGATCAAACACCATCACGTCCGACAGTTCACTTTTGCTCCCGTCTTTCTTTTCTATGACCTTCTTCCCGCCGATACTACGCACGCATACCAGTATCTTCGCACCGACAATGCCATCGTGTCCACCATTAATCCAACTGTCAAGTGTCATCAGTCCAGGAAGCGGTTGCGTCTTTCGGTATTCGAGAGGTGCGCGGCAGATACTCTCTGAGCTTTCGTTCGTATGGATCATGATGTGATCGGAGGTAGCGCGTCCAGGAAACATATTGGCTCCAACGATGACAGAAGGGATGATTTTCCCACCGGGCTTCGACGCGTCGGAGATAAATGCAGTCCAGCAAGTGAGAAGCTGGCCCAGCTTGAGAGGATACAGATCTTGGGCGAAGTACAACTTGATCTGCACGGAACCATTAGCTTGGGAACTTGTGCTAGAATAAGTAACAGACCAGAATTGCAGCAGAATCATCCTTCAGTATTATAGAATGGAATCCAGCAGCTCTGGGCTGTTTTGGATGGTGTCCAAAGAAGGTGTTGAGGTGTACAACTCTACCCATGAAAGTAACAGCTCTGGGACCTGGAACCAATTGGCCGATGCTGGATTCTTCGTACTCTCGCTCGGGGTTCCATGGTCTGTTTAGAGGGTCGATGGCAGCTGCGAGCTCTGCTTCTGTGAAACCATCGCCTGGTTTAGACGGTGAGGGAGGTGGGACACCTTTCTCGATCAAAACCTCCTTCCTGTAGAAAGATTGGATGGAAGGCTGAGCTGCATTCAATTCCTTGGCCTGCTTGGTCTGCTTTGTCGCTGGCATTTTGATATGCTACAATTACTAAGTTCAAAAACGCATAACAGATCATGAAGAGATCACGGGGGTCATCGTTTGCATGATGGTATTGTTGATAAAACTGCTCTGGAGTGGTGAAGAGTGTATGTGCGTGAGATGCGTTTACAAAAGTAGAAGGAGCTCGGCTCGGCAACTCACTTACCAAACGCGCTCGCTCAACACAACTGCAATCTGGAATTCTTAAGCAACAGAACTACAATGTCACAGAATAAGTTGCAAAGCGAGAGTAGGAAGAAGGCAATTGCACTTCTTAGGTTTGTATTGTTCTAAAGAGCGAATGCATGACACTTATCGTCATGGGTACAATGAGCTAAAGCAAGTACAATCTGTATCTCCTCTCCACCGTGCAAATACCCATTTCCCGCCGCAGCGCGTTCCATGAAGAAGAAAAGTGCATCTAGAACAACTTGTGCTCGAGAGTCATGTCGTTATCTGCTTCAAGACCGACGCAGGCACGGAAAATGTTCACCAGAGCACTTCGCTGCTTAGCAAGAGCGTTGATGACTGGGGTTCCGGGAGGAGTCAATGGAGCCTTGAGCATGAAGCTGAGGATGCTGAGCACGCTGTGGAAGTTCTTGAAGTCCTTGGTAGCAGCGCCATCGCTAGAAGCAGCCTTCCATTGGATGCGAGTCATCATTTCAGCAACGAGAACCAAATCAATGATCAGCGGAGATGCAAGGAGAGAGTCCTCGCAAACATTGAAGATACTGAAACTGTTAGCTATTGAACAATAGAAGAGAGTAATAGAAGCTTACGAGATGGTTTGGTGGCCACCCATGAAGATCTCAGCATAGTACTCATCCAGAGCACGCTTGTTGTCACCAACTGCAGGCATGTACTTAATGACAACAGTGTGGTCGGGATGCTCGCCCTTCTTGTAAAGCACAGTGTTGGCCTCGACCATGTCATCAACAACGTTAGACTTGGAGATCTCCTTAGAACGAAACTGCTTCTGAGAGCTCAAGTTCTTGCCGTCATTGTTGCCAAGGTGATTGTAACTGGCAATCGAAGTGAGCTTGATACCAGCGCTGATCAAGAAGTCAACCAAGGCAGACTTCATCTTGGTTTGACCAGATTTGAAGTCATCACCACCAATGAAAGCATTGTGCTTCTCGGCAAGCTCAATCGCACCAGGAACAAAAGTGTTTTGAGGAGAGCCGTTGATGAATGGGACACCTTCAAGAATACAGGCAACAGCGAAGATCGTAGATGGCGCAATTTCCTCATGGCCATTTACAATGGCCTTCATCAGGTTGTCGGCAGTGTCATTGATGCCAGGAATGAGGTCAGCAAAGCGCTCGGTGTTGGCAGTCCATTGAACAATGACTTTCTCCAAAGAATTCTTGGCCTTGAAGTCGCTGTTGTACTGTTAGCTCTCGAAAAGTGAAGGCTATCAGACAACTGCTCACCGAATGTCCTTGCGGATTTGCTCGACATGTTCGATACAAGCCTTGCTTCCCTGGATGCAGTTGTCGACACGGTCTTCCTGGTTTGCAGCAATGAAATCCGGATAGTAGATGCTAGGAAGAGGAACCATCTCAGCCATCTCCTTCTTGACCTGAGCCTTCAAGGTTGGTTCAAGAACAGCAGCGCGATCCATGGCCTGAGCCAGGTTCATGCCACTGATATCCCAACCACCAATTACAAGATCATTCGGATGGACCATCGGCAAGATGCCATGGAAAGGGATATTAACGTCTTTGGCAGTCTTTGCATTAGTACCAAGCTTGATAGTAGAGCCCATAACTACAGATCCGTAGTAATTGGCGGCACGAGGACCTTCGCGAGTCTCCCAAACAAGACCACGGCGGTTTGCAAGGATACCAGCAGTAACTGTTGTTCCATTGTTTCCACCCCATCCTACAAGCATCATACCGGTCTTAGGGACCTTGCGCTCTACCTTGAAGTCGTAGACAGTCTCCTTGGGCACTGCTACGAATTTGCCATCTGCGGTTTCGTTGACCAAGGTAGTGCGGTACGTGTACTTGGATTTGATCTCATTGTGGGTGTATACGACGTTAGGTGAATTGACAGTGAAGAGATCTTTCTTGACTGGAGTTGTGCTACCATTCCCGTCCGAGAAGCCCAGGCCTACTTCGGCGTGAGGTGCCATCCTTCAGAGTATCGGTTTCTTTGTGTCTGAAGGGGCGGGTTTATCTGGTGAAGGGCGAGTCCGATGCTCCTGCTGGAGAGGAACAGCGGGCTCCTGCGAACCTGTTGTTGAGAAAGTTAGCATCTGCTTGAGGTGTAACGGATCTGGGTGGTTTCGTGCGAGGAGTAGGAGTAGGGAGATCTGGGAGCAAACAGATCCCATGTGTGGGAAACATAGAATTCGGGATTTCTTACGGGTGGTGCGATCTATCACATGTTAGCATGCAAGCTCCTAATGAAGCAATCAAAGAAGATCTCGTACGAGTTTAATAGGTTGGAGAACAGTTTGACGACTGGGTGATTACACTCGAAAGTGCAATCGAAATGGTGTGGTTTTGGTTTGGAAGAGGTTGAGTCGGGACTCTGGAATCAAGATCTGTGAAGGTTGTGATTGTTTGTAAAGAGAAGAGGAAAGAAAGAAGTGTGTACGAGGCAGCACAAGGTGAAGGTACGACTTCCTAGCGTTAACGGAGGCTCGGAAGACGAGTACAAATTGCTCAGTTGATTATCTGCCCCACCATGTCCTGCATGAGGAATGGCGGGGTTGATTTGGACGCGCGATAAGGTGATCGCATCCGAGCTTGCCCAGCAATGGCCATGTACAATAATATGTGTCTGGCAGTTTGCATCAAAACTGTCATCGTGGCTTTCTGCATCTCCTGCCGGTCACGGCCGAAATGTCTCTTCTATTAGACAACGACACGTGGAGATTGAAGTACTGTACACAGTGCATGTACTACATGTACCTCGTACATGCGGGTAACGTAAAGAGAATATGACACTTGATAGAGCGTCGCCGACAATTCGATCGCGGATCAGCGATAGGCACAGTCAGTACCTTGACCAAAGTACTGTGTAGTACGGTACAAAGGAGGCAAGCTCCTTGGTGCATCCCCTTGGTATGCGGTGGCGCTGCAGAGCTAATGCTCTTCCTATCACATCGGTCACCTCACTTCTCATTTCTCCTTTTCTAGCTCTGTATTTCACAGGACGGCGAGTACTACTACGTCCATACCGTGATGGCTTCGATTTGGCAACATCACGAACCGGCAACATCGCTTTCCCAGAACCACATTGCCTTTCCCATCTGTCGAAGCCTGCTTCACTTGAAGGGTGTCAGAATTCTTTCTTCTCAGCTCTGGGCTCACGTGTCGTCCTGGGAGATATCTATTCACGGCGCCACTTGGCGGTGTGTGGCGGTCAAGATAGTCTGCTAAACCGGATGCACCCAAGCCTTTGGCTCTGGCCTGGGAAAACTTCACACCGCAATTTGCTGAACTGGACTGAGATTGGACCGTCTGAGGACCGAACGCTCTGCATGTCTTCGATTCGATAAGAACGCCGCTGGCCAGTTTGGTTCACCTACATAATATAAAACTGCAATAATGGGGCACTGTGTGCAATATGCGAATGACCTTTATGGGTCGTTATCTTATGGCTTGACCGGCTCCAGATTCTGAACGGCTCCAGACCTAGGTCACTACTCTTCCATATGAACAGAAATTCATGCTCAATGCTGCACGAAGACCTTTGGTTTACCTTGAAGGATGGTACCGCCGCAATCTTGGAAATTCAGTTGTTCTTATTAGGATGAAAGAAATCCTAAATGCCGTTCACAGAGTCCACTGGGAGCTAGATTGAGATAATATGGGCTTTCCAACTTGTTGGACAATTCCAGATTTAACCAAAATTTGCAGATTCCCGTGCCCTCCGATCTGCATGGAAACAGATCTGATACAGGGGCCGGAGCGTTGAAGAAAAATCGAGCACGTTTCCAATGCCATTTCATTGGGGCAGTTCGTCGTCACCGAGCAAACATGCAAGTCATTCTTTGACAACCTTCACCAGGAGCCAGGGTCGACGGTGCAAAAGCAAAACGTCTGCTGCCTCACGATGTGGCCGAGATGTCGACGTGACCGAGGCCTCAGCGCTTCGAGTTTCCCCAACCTTAATTGTACCAATTGAGACACGATGAAGAGACTCAGATTCCCAGAGGCGAAGCTGAGATATCTTCTGTTGGTGCAATCACGACGTGCGCTGGAACCGAGATGATCTTGGGGGTTCATCAGGTTGTCTGAGAAATTGTCGACATGAGAACCCCTCGTCATGGTGACTGGCGGAATTGCGGTGGATGTGATCTCCCTTCTTTCTATGCTAAAATCAGGAGCCACAGGGCCTGTCCGGGACCGTCACTTCTCTGGAGCGTTCGACGGCAAAGCGGCGGCGCCATTGGCAGCCCCACCAATCTCTAGAGCTATTCGGGGTTTTTGTAATTTCACAATTTAAGGGCACTCTTAAACGTCGCCATCGTGGGACGAATGGAGCAGGGAGAAAGGAGGATAGGAGAAACTGGTCGGCAGACTCGGTACGGTAGATTATTCGCACACCACCATGGTAGCTTGGGAGGCCGTACAACCTTCCTACTCGATCTGTCCTGCGTGAGATCATCCTAGAGCCGCCCATTAGGGAATTCTCTTAGACGCGGCAGCCTCCTAATGCGAAGAGTCGTGACAGCTCTATCCCCTTTCGAGACAGTCCCTGCTGCATGGCGCTTTGGCTGCAGCAGCGTCCTGAGATCCGCTCACTGCGGCCGTCGAGCCTCGAGGACGAACGCCAGTCGCTCAACTTCCCTTCTTTCTTCCTTTGTCTTGAATTTAATATTCTACTCGCTACCCCGTCGAAAGTCTGCTGCCGAATGCTCCATAATATAATATTATCTGAATGCCTGCCTAACAAGCATTGTGTACTTTAGATATCGTCAGGAACCTATCAGCACCCCTGACCATCACAGACCAGCCTGCTCTTGAGCTCGGCCCATTAAGGAGAACAGGCCAAGGAGGCATTATCTGCCCACATAACGACAGGGGACCCTCCTTCCTCTCAGTCCCGAGACTGCTCTCTAACATCGCCAGCACTTGACGACACCCTCTCTTGCTGCTCTCCATCTGAGTTGACCATTGTTTGTACACAGTCCCTACCGTTCCAGCAGGTCTTGGAAGCTTGTCATTGCGTCTCAGTAGATAGATCGATCAAGATCTCTTCTTATACACAGACCTCCCACACTTGAAGAGAAGCTAGAACGATCTGCCAATATTGATTACGCCTTGCGATCAGATCTCCTTCGCTCACGTTTGATATTCGCCAACTTGGGATCAAGGTCCTTGACATATTCAGAAACCTGGGGAAGCTTTTTGGAAACAACAAACAAAATTCGACCAGCACTTTCTGGTTCATCGCATTACTCACTCCCACACCGCCAAATATATATCTGGCGGCAACACATGGTTTTGTCGGAGCAATACTTCGTCTGAAAGAGAGGTTGGAGTGCTGAGAAGATATTGAGAATGGATGCAACCCGAGCCTCGAGCTTCTTGCCAACCATAAAATGTTCTATGTGCGCGAAGGATATCGAGATCTCCCAGATGGGAGATCATGTATGTGGAGGGTCTGGTGAACGTGAGTGAGGCTCGTTTAATATTGGGAATGTTACTGATGATTTGTAGCAACTCCTCCTCCAGACGCTCGCGGCAACTTTGGAAGGATTCCACATAAACAGACAGCGACGAATGGTCCAAGTTTCCTCAAGCCAGGACGAGCACTGCCCCCGAAAGTCGATACTTCTGCAGCTAGTATGTTATTGGTTTTTTGCCATGCGACCTGTACTGACATTCTCAGATCGTCCGTTCTTTCCTCAGGAGGAATTGACCCCGATTAGCGCTTCTCCATCTCGAACTGGCTCCCCATTGCACTCTGAAGGACGACGATCGCCTTTTGCGAAACCACTGCGAAGTGCGACTGCACCTCTTTTTCGAGCACCACCCTCTCCAGAACCCCTCTCCTCGAATCTTGACTGCGCGTTTCCTCCGTTCCCAACCTCTAAACCCACACAAAATCGTTCTCAGAATGCGGGTGGATATGGTGGAATGGGGAAGAAGTATGCAGAGCCAGATCCAATGTATGCGCCAGTAAGCCCTAGAACCGCATCTAGTGGCGGTCTCTTACAGAGAATGAATACAATCGCTCCTGGGCCTTTCGATATAAACAATAGAAGCAAAGCAGGAGAATCGAGAACAGAAAGGGGCCACAAACGACAAGGGACTGCTGGAAGTATCAGAGAATTAACCAACCGCAAAGTTGATATTGGCGAGAGTATAGAGCGTCCATCGACGGCTGGTCCAGGTCATACACGAAGTGACACAAACAGCTCCAATGGCTCTAAATCCGGCGTTGCACCCCCAAAATTCCCAAGAAAGAATGGGTATGGTGGCTTTGGACCACCACCGGGTGAGGATGTTGCACAACGACCACTTCTGTCGGCAGAGAACAGGTCTCTGACCTTTCCTTTAAGTAATGAGGGCCAAGGCTCATCAAGCAGGAGACCATCAGAGGTTGCTGATGGATCGAGGATGCGAAGGCCATCGAACGAGTCCGGACCAAAGACGGACAGATCTAAATCTCCAGGAAGACAACGAAAACAGTCTGTGTCTGGCCCGGATCTTACGAGACCTCTTCCACCTCGTGGAGCCAGTTTGATTAAACCCAGAACAGATTCTAAGCTCGGAACCTCACCACCAGTCCCTCTCAACCTGGCTGCTGAATTTGGGATAGGCAATCCCTACCATACACCGAACGACTCTTCGTCTTCAAGCGCATCGGCATATAGTGAGGGAAGCAAAGCGAGTTCTCGCTCCAGTCCACCTAGATCGGTTGGCCCAGGTCGCTCTCGACGACAACCATCTGATACTACTCAAGTAGATGTGCTGATGGCAGATCTGGAATCTTCAATGGATGCTCTACAACCACGAGATGCCTCCACCTCGCCTCCAAGGACCAAGGAACAGTATCCCAGGCCATTGCAACCGCCTCCACGTCTTAACCCATCCATGCTCGCTCCCGAGTCTCCAATGGATCCAGCAATTCAGGGCGGGCGTCTTTCACCTGTTCCACGCAATCAAGCTCGGTCTCTATCACCAGCACGAAGCGAACCCCAAGTCGAGCCACTACGGCGTCCTACAACTGCGGGTCGCCAATCGAGCCGACCATCGACTTCCAAAGGAAACTGCAAAGGCTGTGGAGAAGCCATCAAGGGAAAATCAGTATCCTCAGCTGATGGTCGCTTGACGGGCCGATACCACAAGCAATGTTTTGTTTGCAAAACTTGCCAAGAACCTTTCCAGACCTCGACTTTCTACGTGATCAACGATGCGCCATATTGCGAACGACATTACCATAAATTGAACGGCAGTGTTTGTCAGACTTGCGACAAGGGAATTGAAGGCCAATATCTTGAAAGCGAGAGGAAGCAAAAATTTCATCCTGGATGCCTGACATGCGCGGATTGCAAACGAACTCTAAGAAACGACTATTTCGAAATGAATGGACGGGTATACTGTGAGCGGCACGCCTTCCAGAGAGCGCAACAGGCTCCAAGATTCTTAGGACCTGGTGCTGGAGGAAGTAATAGGATGGAGCGAAGGACGACTCGATTAATGATGATGTGAATCGCTTCACATCGGATCGGAAAAATTTGGGAATGAGATGGGGGACACTCACTTTTACAAAAAGGTTACATTTTTCCCTTTCTGCTGCATGCGAGAGGTACATTTGCTTGCATTTACACGACCTGGTTTTGGTCGTACTTATACCCCTTCTATTTTTTTGTAGCTGGCATCCGGGACTGCGTGGCATAACATGCAGAGCATGAGTTGGATTCTTTTTGTTTGCAAATTTCTGTTTTTATATACCCTCTTTGAGCATGCTACCAATGATGTATAATCAGATCGATATTATGTAATGTATATAATGGATGTAAACAGACGAATGTTTACTGAGATTGCAAAATTTTCAGCAGATTCTTTGGGGTGTGATGTGGTAGTTCCGCTAGCACTTGTATTTCAGAGAAGTAAAGAGGACAATTCCGGAGTGTAAAGGAGATCTCTCTCTCTGTCTCTCTATGAAAGAAGTTCCCCAGGTCACTCTTCAACCCACCCACCCAACCTCTTCGTAATCCCCTCAAACATACTCCTCCTCTCATTCTCAAAAGCCCCATAACTCCCCTTCACCATGCCCACCGGGACATCCTCTTGCCCCTTACTCAAGCCCTCCCACGCCTCATCCACAAACGCCCCCAACGGCATCCCAAATGCACCGCCGTCCTTGATATCCGGCTGGTGCTTCTGGTCATGCAACTCCGTCTGCACAGCCGGCGGCAGGATCTCAATCACCCGCACATTCTTCGAAGCTTCGGCGTAGGAGAGCTGTGCGCGCAGCGTGAGGATTAGGTGGTGCATGGCGGCTTTGGAGGCACAGTAGTTGGGGCAGCGGAGGATGGGGACCAGGGCGAGCCCGGAGGTCGTGAAGATTAGCGAGGTGGGCGTTGAGGGGTGGGATTGGAGGTGTGGGAGGAAGTATTTTATGAGGTGGATGGTGGAGGTGTAGTTTGTTGTTAGTTCTGTGGTTATCAAGTCCAGGTCGATGGTTGAGGGATGGGTGAAGTCTATTTTTCGCTGGATGCCCGAGTTCATGAATATGGAGTCCAGATTGGGGTGGGATTTTGTTACACTGTGTCAAATGGTTAGTTGGTAAAGAGAGGGGAGCAGGGGAAGGGGACATACGTCTCGACGAAAGAGGGGATTCCTGCAAGGTCCGTGACGTCGAATTGGATAGTTGAGACTTTCTCCTTCCCATGCTTCTGGTGAAGGGAAGAGAGATTTTCTTGTCGTCGTCCGACGGCGATGATGTGGATTCCATGCTCGATCATGCGTTCTGCGAGGGCGAGACCGATGCCACTGGTAGCACCGAGGACGAGAACGTTCTTATACGGGAAGGACATGATGAATTGCAAACAAAGATCAGATATTCAATAATGGGAATAGAGGTGATTTGAAGTCTAAATTCAAGAACAACAGCTTTCCTTTATATCCCCAAAACACCCCTGACATCCCGACTTTCAGCTCCAGACTCATGATCTCATCCCCGTACACTTAGCGGCGGCTTTAGGTCCTCGGTGTTAGGAACCACACACCCAGGAGGTGTAATCCCTACAACCTCGTCGTTCATAATTCCATGGAGAAGAAAAATTGAAGCTGCAAGTTCGAGGATGTTGAATATCACAGCCGCCAGACTTTAGGACTAGTGCTATTCCGATTGGAGCTCCCCCTAATTGCTGACAGGTACCGGATCGCTTTTCGCTTAGGGGGTGTCGGGATCGGCTTTGAACTAATACCGTTCCCGTTCCTTCAGTATCTTTGGACGGTGAATGGAAAGTGAATGGGACAAGAAATATGTTGGAGGCTTGGTGTCTGATCTCCGGGTAAATCTGATCTTCTTTCCTCGTTCTCTTCTTGAATGCCCCCTGGGAAGTCTGATTTTGAAATCAAATAAGCGAGGAGCAACGTATTGCTCCTCTCACTTCATAGTAGCTCTCTGATGTCCAAGATTGGGTGTTGGGGGAGGTTTTCTGGAGTATTCATCGAAGATCTGAATGTAAACTTAACATAAAATCGAACTGTAATGTTGGAAATATTGTGGTGAACTTCGTAATTGCTAGCTATTGCTAAGGAACAGACCAGAAAGAGCAAACATAAGCTCCTAGCAAAGTGATATCATGTCGTAAAGGAGTGAACAAAAGTAGTCCCAATAAGAAATAATTCTTCTAACGCCGACCAATGACCAACACCATCCCTCAAGATACCGACACTTTCTAATCTATATCTATGAAACGAAGGACAGACACTGCAATTTTTCTCCTGTCATAACCTCCAGAAGTCTTCAATTCACTGATGACCACTCACCAACAGAACGCCTCCTCAATATACTCAACACTAACACCCTTCTTCCCGATACACTCCACCACCGCCGCCCTAATCCCGTCGCTCATGGCGCCTGGCCCGCAGCTGATGACAGCCGTCTTCCTCCCGGCGCCCGCCTCACTTAGGATCTCTCCCATCACCACATCTCTAGCATTCATCCTCTGTCCCTGTCCCGAACAGAAAATGTTGATCTCTACACCCTTCCTTCTTAATTCCTCCAAATCCCCAAGTTGAGATTCGATAGCGCTCACAATACTCTCTTCTCTAGCTTTCCAGTAGAGACAGAAGCGAGTGGTCTGCCCTTCGTCTTTGGATCCGAGGGATTCGAGATAAGATTGCAAGTGAGACAGGATAGACGTGATGCCGATACCACCGGCGATGGCGATGATGGTACGAGAACGATGGAGGGTGGTGGTTGGTGTGTGACCGTAAGGTCCTTCGATTATCACTGGGACTCTGGCCTTTCTTGTTTTGAGGAGTCTCTTGTGTAGTGTTCGAGTGAGTCCTTTTTCAGGACGAATAATGAAAGAAATGCTTGGTACAGGTTTGGTGTAGTGAGAAGCGACACGTCGTCCTGGACGAGTAAGCTCAATAGGCGCTCCTCCGTAGGTCTTCGGTGGTCGAGTCACTGCTGCCAGATCGATGAAATCATCGTCGTCTTCAACAGGGTTGAGATTGAAGTCTGACGTAGATTCCGAGGCGGGATAGGAATTGTATTTCGTGCCGTGGTTCCAGCCTGCGATTGAGAAGGGGTGAGATTGAAGTGGATTAGTGAGAAGTGTTGGGAAGTACAGGAAGCAATGTTGACCAGAGTTGAAGTCCCATTTTCTGGAAGGGAAAGCAGTGACCCTGATGAATTGGTCTCCAGGAAGAAGCTCGACGATGGCGGAAGGGTGGCTTCGCACGAACCAGGATTTCCAGTTGAGAAGCACGATGCGAATTGGTCGAACAACTCGATCAAACCCCCACATCACAAATGCAATGTACAGCCATGTCTGGTAACCATAGGTGTGATGGAAACGGTAGGTGACATGCCACCAGATACCATACAAAGTCAGGATCGCGAGGCCGATGTGGAAAAACATGAAAATCTCATAAAGGTGAGTTCTCAACGGTAGGATGGAGAAGACAAAACCGACGAAAGAAAGTCCGACGATACCATAGACGCCATTCTCCCAGTAACCAGGAGTGAAGGCAAGAACTCGGATATTGGCAGCTGGAGTGAACATGTCCCAGCCTGCGGGATTGGTATTCTTCCAGTATAGGAGGACGTGGATGAGGCCTTGAAGAGCTGCAACTCGTGAAACCCATCTGTGGATGGTGATGATATCTGTACGATTTGCTCCAGTGATGTAAATCAGGGGAGAATTTCGTCCCGAGAACATGATCGTAAGAGCGATATTGGCGAAGGACAGAACACCCAATCGATCAGCCACAGCAGACAGTTGTTGCTTGTGCTCTGATAGATACCAGGTGTTTCTAGTAGTGGTGGGGTAGTTGACCGAGCAGAGAGCAGCATTGAGAGCAACGTAGCCCAAGATCAAGAGTGAGAGCCATCTTGATGGGATATATCCTATGCTCAGCGGGAACTTCTTAAGATGCAGGGATCCGATCAAGGCTGGTTCGAAGAGGTATTTCGAGAATAGAGATGAGACGAATCGAGGTGGTCCCAAAGCTGGGAAGTAGTAGTTGATAATGCGCTTGAAGCCAATGAGGAAGCAGACTCCAATTGCAGTTACAATGAGAACAGTTCTGGACTTATGTTAGTAACAACCACTAGCTACGAAAGTGTAAACATACCCATATCGTGCGTGAGCAGACTCTTGCCTAACATAGGCTTCGATAGTCCTCTTAGAGTCTTCATACATCTGATCATTCACAAGCATTGTCGTGTTGAGCATCGTAGCATTGTATGCAAGTTGGTGAGTGGGAGGGACCTTCGGTAGCGCAGCTTCCAAAGAAGGCACCGGAAGTCCATCGCCAGCAACGTTATTCCAGCATGTTTCGACTTGAGCAGGACTGACAGTGTTGTCTGCTGCACACTTGACCTCCATACAATATGCCAATGAGTTAAGGTAGTAAGGGTATCTGGCGTGGCATGGTGGAGGGTTACCAACTCTCAGCTCGATATATTGTGCTGGAGTACATGGCAGTTGAAGGGCCCATAGGGAAGACAAACATGCGTAGCAGCAAGACGGTTCGAAGACGGTTCGACCAAGTCCAACCAAGCCGGCACCACTGTAGGCAGTACCATTACCAGTCTCGGTAGCAACTGCAGAAGCCGTGCTAACAACGCCTAGTCCGAAAAGAAAAGTCTGAGGTCGCATCGTGCCAAAAGTCGAAACTGTGATAGTGCTGGACAATTGGCAAGCGCCACCATCGAGGGAATTATATCATATTAGTATGAACTGCAAAGCTTGGCTTGATTCCAGTGACTTGCGGGAAGCGAGAAGTTCGAGGGTGATTTCCCAATGGGGAATATTGTTGTCACACACAGGCTGACCACGCGTGGACCCCGTCTCATCAATACACCGGAATTATATTCCCCGGCAGCATGGACGAAGCTTATTTTCTTGAACCAGTGCTGGGCAAAGCATTGAAAAGCCAAGTGCATGCAGAACTTGAAACATTGTAGGAGGCCGCCCACCAAGGGCTGATGGTCGATCTTTAACCAGATGGAAGTCATCATTCGCGGCATTGCGGGAGAGCCAAGATCAGGAACAGATAAGAAATATGTCCGGACTCAGACTCAACCAGAACCTCGGTGACCGCTTGAGAGCCTCATTGCGGGATGACGATTTCGGGGTGAGTATCTCACGATGGGAGAGTTGGGCAGTGACATTCTTAAACCCCGAAGACCTGAGCTTGACTTCAGCTCTGGTCTGGTCTTTGCGTGCGTGGAGTGCTTCTTAAACAGATGGGGCTGATTGATTCTGCAGCTCAAGTACATGGCCAGGTGACTACACTCTGCCCGTCTACGCTCTTGCGGGGCCGTCGTTCAGGATGTCAATCCCGTCACGGAAGCCATGATGGGGCGGAGGATTTTGCTTGGCAGATTTATCAACCGGCACTTGAAAGACGATATATCTGCTAAAATGGACTCGTCTTAAACCTGAGATAAGCACACTGTACTCATCTATTTAACGTCGAGGAGAGGTTTTCTTTGTGTTGGTGGTGAAGAGGTTGAGCGAGAGGTACGAGATTTAGCCTTGTCTATTTTTGGCACTGGCACGTGATCATCCTTTATTTCAGCCTCTCGATGGAATTAGTGCCGGAGACCAAATGCATCCTTCTTACATTTATTTCCATGTGAAAATATCTCGATCGACACCTGTATAAAACTGTTGTGATTTCTGTTGAAAATGGCCTTTTCGTGGCCAAATCTAACCATTCATTTTTCTCCAGAATGTCATTGGTAACACCAACGCGAAATGCCGAGACAGTTTTTTGTACGAGGTGTTTAAAGATTTTGATGTCCGTGTCGAGAACCTGATGTCAGACAAGAAGTGGCAGATTGAGTTATAATAGAGTTTGGTAACCTGTGAATAATTTGTCCATGTCCATGGGTTCTCCGTGGTCACAATGGAAGTAAGTATATCATCATTCCATGAACCCGTGTCCATGAGATGATAACATATCCCGGCTTCCCAAATCTCTCCTAGATAGCCGTAGAATGGGTGGGAAGTCTGTCCTACCACCCGTATTTGGCGTCGAAGTTTAACAATGTACCTCCGTAAAGATCAATATTCCAGAGAAGTTTTCAAACTTAGGTTCAATCTTTGCAACTTACACGCATGATAATTTCAATCCCAGTCCCAATACCAAACAAAACGTCACTTGAAAGCCCGCACGAGACTCGCCTAGAAATCCAAGGGGAAAAGAGACAAGCGACGTATCCTCCCTTTTCTTAGCGGGCCGAGTCCAGAAAAGAAAAGAACCACAAAAAATGCAAACAATATTTTCTCGATGAGAAGAGGCTGTTACCTAGCAGGACTAAGTCATGCCTTCGTTATTGTCGTCAGAGCCTTTTGTTGACCCATACATGATAGTAAATAAAATATGACAAAGTTGGGCACCGATGTCCGTCCTTGACTCTGGACATTTTCACACAAGTCACCTCAACTCTATAGCAAACATTCAAAACATCATCAAAATAATTTCATACTCTAATGATTAACCACCACCTCAAAATCCCCACTCAACGCCTTCCCCACCGGCACAACCAACTCCCCCGTCCCCCTATCATGCGACCAACCACCCACACTCTCCCCATCAACCACACACCCACTCGGGCTCCCACTCCACCCCAAAAACGTAATCCTCGCCACCTTCACCCCAGCATCAAACCCATAGCTCCCCTTAACACTAAACGTCCTCCCATCAAACGAGAACTTGACATACGTCGTCGCCGCCTGCACAAGCGAGATCCCATCATCGAGATACAGCTCTCCCTCCGCCTTCCCGTCCGCGCCGAGCGGGACCACAATCTCGAAATCTTGCTGGCGGAGGGCCGTTGTTGTCATAGCGCTAGCTACGCGCTGAGGGACGATGATGCCGCCGCGGTAGTGCAAAGGGATGGAGGTGTAGTTTACGTCTGTGATGGCGACGGTTGATGCTTGGCCTTGGACGGGAGCGTGCGTGTACCAGTCGTAGAAGATATCTTTGGGAAAATAGACTGATGCCGTAGTAAAGTTTTCTTCCGTGACAGGCGAGACGAGGATGGAGGGGCCGAAGAAATATTGGAGGTCGAGACCGAAGGTGTTGGCGTCTTCGGGGTAGATGTAGAACATGGGGTTGATGAGGGGAGTCCCGTCGGCTGTCTGGTGGTAGAGGGCTGTGTAGATGTAGTCGAGGAGACGGTAGCGGATGTCGATGACTGTTTTGGCGGCTTCGGTTACGCTTTCCCATTGGTAGAATTCTTGGGGGATGTTGGGTGGGTAGGCGTTGTGGTCGCGGTAGAAAGGACTGAATGCTCCTAAGGTGGCCCAACGGGAGCAAAGTTGCTCTGTGGTGTTGTCTCCGTATCCGCAAACATCTGAACCGACCATTGGGACTTGGTATATTGAAGCAAAGGCCATCATACCAGCAATCGAAATTCTGTAATGTGGCCAATCACTGATATTGTCTCCAAGCCAATGTCCGACCTTAGTCCCTGCACCTGAGAATGTGCTTCGGGTAATGACGATTGGTCTTTCTGTAGATCTTCGATTTTGCATTGCATTCCTGGATGCGGTAGACATCACTAGACGGTGTCAGTCTTTCGAACACACATTCTGAGACTGTGAAACTTACTTGTCCCATAAAGATTATGAGTATCATACATAGCCAAACCATTTTGATGAATGACATCGGTATTAACAGTATGATTAGAGATTCCTCCACGAGCCGCATTATCCGCATACGTAAAAGCAGCAGCATTATGAATCGCATACTTGGGGTAAAGTAGATCTCTACCAGGAAGACCAAGTTCTTGTCCAGCAGCTTGCCTCTCAGCTATCTTCATCACCGATTCTTCGACAGCTTGGCTAATTTCCCTTCTCACTTTCGTCCCAGTGCATGGTGTTCCAGGAGGCTGGAAATCACAAGGAAACCCCGGGATTGGACGTGGAGGAGTTCGGACAGCTGGAGGATCTGGAGGATATCCAACTGCCGCAGCATAAGGGTTGTCGCAAGGAAAGTTACATGGGAAGTTTGACGGTTCGTTCTATTGACACATTAGTGTTTGCTTTAGCAGAAACTCCCAAGCAACTCCCGAATGTCTTTTCAAACGGAGATAAAATCCAACGTACCATATCAATCCAAAGACCATCAACATCAACGCCCGTCTCCGGCGAAAAGAAAACCTCAAACTCATTATCCCAATACCCCTGAATCCCCGTATTAAACCAATCCGGAAAGACCGTCACACCCGGCCACACAACCCCCAACCAAAACGACCCATTACTCCTCTTCAAAAAGATCTCATCAGCCGCACCTCTTAAATAGGGTCCATACTGCTGGTACGCCACTGCGGGATCAACCATCAGTATCTGTTTCTGATCGTGTGCGTGCAGGTAATGATTAATATCCTGCATCATGGTGAGGTTGAACCTCTCTGGGTCGAGCGAGAATACCTGTCTCCCATTAACTTTCCGTCTCCGTTCTACGAGAGGGGAGGACTTACCCGTCGACGATCCATGTAATCGATATCCGTCCACATCGTCTCGAGCGGGATCTCCGCCTTCGAGTAATTATAAATGACCTCCGCGACAGCAAACGCATCTTGGTACCCATACCTACAATTATGGAACCCGAAGCCCCAGTACGGCATCATAGCCGGTAGGCCCACTACCTCCGCGTACTGCTGCGAGACGGCAACGGGTGTTGGTCCGGCCATGAAATAGAAGTCCAGGACGCCGCCGAGGGTGTTGTATTCGAGGTACTGATCCGCGCCATTCGTGTTGTTGATTTTGATATCCATGCCGTTGGAATTCACGAAGAATACTCCATGGGTACCTGTCGTGCGATGATCGAAGTAGATTGGGTGGTTGCCGTATAGATTCGCGCCTGTGGGGATGCCGTATGCGTCTTGAGACCAGAGTGTACGGATGTAATCCGTGGTGTTGAGACGGAAGGGATCAGAGTGTTCTCCAAGGCCGTACAGATTTGGGTCTTCTGGCAATGAGGTTCTTAGTCGTAAGTATTGGGACTCGAAAACGATGCTTGCGGCTGAAGTATCGAAGAGCACTTCTCCTGTCTTGGGGCGAGTGATGGAGAATGAGAATGGCGAGGCGATGTAGTTGAACTGGATATTTGCCTGCTTGGAATCGATACCACTGGATGCAGTAGGCCTTGGAAGAACACTGGCTGGAATTTGATAAACGCTGTTGCCAGCATCTTCAATCTTGACGTGGATTCGATCATCTGCCACGAATTAGTTACCGCACAAATTTAGAATATGCAAATACTCACCAGTCTCATAAACAACCTCCAATGTAAGACTCGTCAAGTCAGTGCCATAAACATTGCAAGCAGTTCCAGCAAGACCGAGCTCCACAGTCAAGCTCGAAGCCGTCGTCTTCACATTCGAAGCTTCATAACCCGGACAAGAAGCCAACGGATCGTCCGTCTCAGCTCTGGGCAAAATCGCCGCCGAAACCACCGTCACAGCTAAAACCAAGCTCATAAAGAAAGCCATACTCTCTGAATCCTCCATCCAAGAAACCCTCCTCCCTCCTCCATCTTTAAATAAAATCTCCCCTCAGTGACGTTACAGACAAGGTACCGGTACGACCCCAACCCCCAGTTCATCTCAAGTAACTGCGGGGCCGCCACACGCCTCACTGATAGGTCACACCACCCCCGAATCCGCCGAGAAACAGCATGTTTTTGCTGAGAACTTTAACGTGCTTAAGCTTACTGACCTGCATTTTTCTTCAATTTACGGACCGACTCTGGGAGGAACCCCGCACCCACCCCGCCTTGCCCCACAACCCGCAATTGACCAATGCCTCATGCGCCTAACGAGGGTTGATCCTCACATGTTGGTGCCACTACATGCGGATTTAAGTCACCACAGGTCGGACGGCGGATGCGTTGATCAGCGGTCGTGCTAGGATGGACTCATCCTTTCTCTTGGGCACGGTGAAATATCCTGGATCGTGCATTGGAAGGTTGAAAGATTGGCCGAAGACCGTGGACAGGAAAACGTAGGACTGACAACAAGTGGATATTTGCTCTTGTCGGAGAAACTCTCGCAATGTTTATAAAGCTCTGGACTGAGCCGAATGAGCCGCGGTTGAAAGTACCACTTGGTGTTGTTGTATGAAGAGAGGATGGGAGGAAAGAAAATGCGAGATTAAGACGAAGGTATCAATACCATATCGTAGCAACTCTAGATTATGCGTACAGCAATATGCCAAGCTATAAATCTTTTTCCATAATTGTTCCCTTTAAATATGGTATCATACATACCATCTACTTATTCCTCTTGACCCAAACTCCAATCTTGACGTAAACCCCAATATCTTACATCGCCACGAGTTAGTAAGGTAACTCCGACTTCGAAGAAGATCCCGGTGCAGGCTGAACAACGTCTTTAATCGGATGAAGTAGCAAAGGCGGAAGACACGTCCTGCCATGAGTTTTCTCCCACTTTTGAAAAGTTAGTATTCTTCCCATTCTATGGTGGGCAATACGTACTTCAGCGCCTCCAATCCCACTATCCTCCCATCCCAACCAGTTGTTATATAGTCTCTGGGGCGATGTTGCTCTGTAATACCAAGTACTGCCTTGGAATCTGACCTCACGGCCCCAGGAGTATGGACTCTCTTCGATACTTCCACTTTGACCTTTCGGCCCTGGATTGAAAAACCGCTGTAGACTTTCGCCTCCCCACGGTCTATCGAAGAACATCGGAATTGGCGCATATACTGCTTTCAACCCATGAAGCAAAGAGACTGTCTGAGGAGTCATCTCACTGCTGACGTGGTTCCCCTTCTTATTTTCCGCATGCATTGTGTCCAATAACTTCTTGCTGCATCTGGATTGAGTACCAATCGTAGCACGTCTTGGAGTCTTCTCAGGTCCATCATACCCCCAGACATCATTTCTTCCTGGCCAACTGGTATTGACGGGGTTGAAAATGGGACTCAACGTTATATAGTCTGCCTCCTCCCCAACGCTCCAAACGAACTTGTCATCCTTAGGATCGTTGACTGGTGGTCCACTGCCAATATATGTGACATTAACGACCGGTGGTGCTCCCCACACTGTGTCAGCTCCAACAGCTTTCTCGACCATTCTAGTGAACTGGGAGTATCGTCCATGATAGGATGGAATATAGTATCTCTCATTGCGTTCCCAGAGTCCCTTTCTTGGTTGAGCCTTCGCGAATGTAGCTAGCTTTTCCAAGAGATTGTAGTAATGTCCCGTGTAACGAGTGTCAAACTCCCAGTTCCAATAATAGTCGAAATGCGGATGCTCCTGAGCAAACCACTGCACAGAGAGCCACTGTGATTGGTGCACATTATTCACTTCCCGAGGAATGAGAGGATAGGTTTCTCTCATCTTGGCATCGTTCCATAACACAGTCATGCCTGCAAACTCCTTTGGGACGCTCTTCTCGACTGCTTCCTCGTAAAGTGTCTTGCTGGAAAATATAGGCAACGTTTCGTCCTTCCATTCGACAAGCAGGAAAATCTCATACTCTCCGCCACTTCGCAAGCAAAGCTCTGACACCATAGCCCGGATGTTTTGTTTGTCGTTCTCGGTGAAGTTCAAGTGCGAGTAAGTTCGAATGATCACTGCTGTTCGAGGTGCCGGCTTGATCTCTACTTTCGCTGGCATGCCATGCAGACCCTTAGCTTTGGCTTCGTCTTCATTCAGTGCTGGTGTAATTGGAGGCTCTCCTGGAAATTTAGGACGTCCTTTTTCAGGTTCGTCACTGCTCTCCTGACCACCTAATTTGGACCACTGGGCAACATCATGTGTCGGGGGACCCTTAAGAAACTCGTCGGCCTCCTTGTCAGAGGACGAAGACCTGTGTGGATCTAAGTCCTCTACGGGCTTACTACCCTCCAGGCCAGACGACATAGAATCTCCATGATCATGCTCGTCCATTGGTGCATCCCCACCCAAAGTCGAGAACTCAGGAATCTGTGGATCTAAGTTCTTCACAGGTCTACTACCCTCAAAGCCAGATGATAGAGAATCTCCATGATCATGATCATTCATCGGTACATCACCACCTAAAGTCGAGTACTCAGCAACACGGTCCTCAGAATTCGCATTGTCAAACTTCTCCCATCCCACGCTATAGTCGTTCTTGCCACCTGACGGCGAATCTTCTTTTGGGTCCGTGGCCGGTGGAGCCTCCACAAACGTGTCAGGCTGGAAGCCAGGCATCTTCTTCCTCGATGGTTCGGCTCCAACACCACCATCTCCAGTCAACGAATTGGGAATCATCTCGCTGACTCCCTGGCGAATAGATAGGACTTTCTTCATGAGAGTATCTAACCTTCTCGCCATGGTACTTGGTCTGACTTTGCTAGTCCTGTTGGAGCGCGGCATGGTAAAGTTACCTGGGTTATCAGCAAGCATGGGACGCTCTGTTTGAGGATGAGGTTGGGTATATCTGTTGACGTTCATCTTGTAGCACGCCTTCTGTAGCTTGCCCCAATCTAATTTCGAAGCATCTCGTTCCTCCACATATTCCGAATCCGCAGCTTGTGGTTTAGCCGATGGGGCTTCCTCAGCCGTAAATCCATACGGACCAAGTCTCGCCTCTCGTTCGAAGCAGAGATTACTGTCGATGTCCAACGGAATGTATGAGCCCATCTGAGGACTCGAGAAGGCTTTTGGGTGTCCAGAGTAGACCAGCAGATCTGCAATAGGGCCATTGGGACCATTGCATGCTGTGTATGTACCTTGGTTGCCGTCTTGCCAAACTTTGCTGTTGTAATCGGGGTATGGGTTGTAGGTATAGGGAGGAGTATCGCTGTACTCAGACCAGGATTCTAAAGGCTTGAGGGCCGCTCCTGCGAAGCCTTCGTGAGCTCCGATGTCGATTAGGGCCTTGAGAGTATTGCCATATATCGCACCCGCCTGGTCACTCCTACTGAGATTCAGTAATACTCTAGAAATAGACGGACAATCGAAGGAGTAATCACTCACAATGCCAGCTCGTCATATTCCTTGTCGAACTGTTTCTGCAAACTTATACCACTGTAGTTATTTTCAGTTCCTGCCACAGACGAGGGCTTCAACAGCTCCGCAGCAGTTTTGGTGCTGCCCTGACCAGTCTTCATGTCCTCCACGCCGTGTTCCCACTCCGCAGGTTTCGTGCTCTCCGGCTCTGAAGGCAGGACGCTGAAATAAGTCGGAGCAATATGTGCTGTCTTCGTGAAGCTAAACTTGACCTCGATATCTGTCGGAGCATCCTCGCTGGCATCTGCCACCTTCGTCTCCTGTATTGGCTCCTGCGGCGTGTCCTGGTTTCCCCAGGGAACCTCGAAATCCCCCAAACCCTTCAGGACATCCACAGCATGTTGACTCGAAAAAGGTTCATCTCGCCAGAAAACGGCATACAAAGCCAACACAATGAACGTAAGAACAACAAGACTCTTGAATCGCGGAAGCATCATGGGCGCTGAGAAAAGTTCGGTTGCCAGAGCTTCGGGAATTAGACCAAGGGAAATCAAAGGAATGTATGGCCGTTCTCAAGCTTGGAATCGTCAACCATTTCGAGGGCTTCGAGAAGCTTGCTGGCACGACGCGTTTGAAAGGGGAGAAAAAGAAAGCTAGACGATCTGGATCGTGGCGTCGAGGTCCCAAATGGGTTGCTTCTACTTACAGTACATGTCTCGGCGAAAGTTTAATTGGACTTTCTCTGTTCGGATCTGGAATTGGCAGAGAATGATCTCAGATCCAACACCGACCTCGTCATAACTTCGATTGTACGAGCAAGAGAAGACGAAGTTTATCGGGATAGACCTGCATTTGATTTCGTCGGTACCAAAGTTTGGGTAGGATTCAAGCGTCACTTTCTAGCGCATGACCCCTGAAGATCGCCAAAGCAACCCCACGTTTACCGGATCCCAGGCTATATTTTCGCGTCAACCAATCCCCGATTCTGTGTCTACAGACTGGTTTGTTCTTATTCTTGAATACTCGAGTACGTGCTCCTCTGAACCGTTCACGTATTGACTTGCAATTAACCATCGATCCCCGTGCTGCGATACAATGGAACATATATCGACTTCTTAAAAACGGCTTGAATGTATTTGAAGTTGGACCCAAAGACCAAAGCCTATCATCGGCACCAAAGAGTTTGAGCGCTGGAGAATATGGAGAGTACAGTGAAATGTTCTCAGAACTGTTTTTGAGCTATAATAGGATTGTGATTATCATTGGAAAAAAAAGGCATCAACGCTTCTGCACAGTTCGTTTTGGTCATCAATCAAGCTTGTAGGGTATGAATGGACGGAGTATCTATCATGAATTCAGGAGAAGCAGACTCATATCCTCATTAAAGCTTGCCCTACTCTCTCTAAGACTCTTCGTCAGTGTCACAAGCTTCAAAGGTCATCCAGACTACACACTTCACCGCATTGAATCACAGAAGACGAATAGTTGTAGTGAATGAATCAAACATCAATGTTACAAGATATCTCGTTCCATCTATCGACCTTGCTATGCCTGACCCCCAACCATCACCAATGAATCGATGTCAACATACGTGGGAAAAACCAAACCCTCATCCCCTCATACCTCGCAATCCAGGCTGGTTGTAATCATATATCTTAACAATTTCCGTCCCATCGTCGGAGATTTCTCCCTGACCGGTCTCAAGTCAAGCAACTGCAAAACTGGCGCCAAAAAGAGAACGAGTACCCCAATCCTCCCACTATGCAAACCTTGAATGCAATCCAAGGCCTTTTCCACAACTCGAACTCGGTCCACTTTTCGGACCCTCCCCCAGAGAAAATGAAAGAGATGTGTATCGAATTAGGACTCGGTAATGTCATCGTTATTGGTCGTAAAGCTAAAGCAGAGAATATGCACAGTCGAATGCAATATCAAATTGACACAAACAATGAATGATTGGATGTCAGCCTATCAGGGATCTACCCTGATCTGACAGTTTTTTTCTTCCTCTAATAGAGGGAACTTTTGCGTTTCTCAGCTGATGTAAGAACGAGCATAGGTGCTTTGCGCTCAACGTCAACAGCCTCAGCTTTCTTTCCACCGTTCTTGAAAACAGCCGCAAAACTACCTCCGACAGATCCCTCATCACTGCCGACACTGGCAGTTGTGAAGTTGCTGTCAACGGAGGTGACGGACTTGCGCTCCAGTGAGCGCTCCAGTGAGCGCTCCTTCTGTCGCGATGATGGACGATCAGAACCAATCGCACCATGGGCTGAAGTACGAGGGCTGCCGTGGCTGGGTCGGCCGGAAAGACTTCCACTTCCACTACGACCACTATCTGACCCATCATCTGACGAGGCAGAAAATGTGAGCTCACCCGCCTCGGAGACAGGAGACATGCTACCAGAGCCTGCACTGCCCGGAGCTCTGCGGCGTTCCAACCCCGCACGAACAAGATTGTGGACAGCACTTCTGCGTGTACGGGTAGCAAAGTTTTTGCTACCCTCAAACTTGGTAGTGGGTTTGGCGGTCAGCTCATCCAAGGGAGGTGGGCCACGAGGTTGGCGGATCGGGTGCTCTCCAGCACGAGCTTGTCCTGGACCGAAGCCCGATGCCACTGGTGTCGAAGGAAAACCCATGCTCTTGGGAAGAAGAGCAGATCTCGGACCATCAATGTTTGTTTGAATATCCGTGCCAATAGCCATCGAGTTAGCCTTACGGTGCCCTCGGCGGAAGGCGCTTGCAGATGGCGGTGGGAGCGGCATGTGGTCTTGGGGAGGAGATTGAGATTTCTTGGGTGGGCTGATGCTTCGTGTGAATGTAGGCGCATCGGACTGAGGGGGTGGTGAGACTTGGAACCGAGGAGTACCATTTTGCTGTGGTGGCGAATAGTTAACAGTCTGCTGGACAATTTGCTGATCCATGTAGTTGTTTTGCTGAGCACTGTTATCCATGAAATAGCTTTGCTGCCCAGTCATGGGGTTGTAGTACGAATAGACGCCAGGTTGAGCGCCCACCACTGGAGTGATGATGGGTTGCATGTTGTTCTTGACCTGCTGCTGTTGATACATTCCCAAGTTTTGTGGTGTGATTGGAGGAGTAGCAAATTGTTGTTGCATCTGGTTTCCCATGCCCAAGTTCATGCCCTGGAATTGTTGAGCAGCTGCCTGGACACTCATGAGCTGTTGTTGCAGACGTTGTTGTTGCTCTGCAAGATACATGTTTGTGGCCACGAGCTGAGCATACAGATTTGGATCCATCTGCTCCTGGCCGTGCTCGTCAACAAGAATCTCTGGTGGAGCAAGAATCTGCTCTGGCACAGAGTACATTTGGCGGTTGGAGTTCATCTGGCTGCCATAGCTATTCTGAAGGTCAAAGTTTCGGGATGTCTTCGGTCCACCATATGATTCCTTCTCGGCGTAGATGCTACCTCGAAGTCCGATATTGTGTTCTGTCTGGGTTGGAGGTGCCGTGGAAGGGAACGTGCTGGATGTGGCTGACTTTGGCGCAGTCCTCAGGCCAGCAAGCAAGTGAGATCGGGAGGTGCGAGGTGTTGGGGCACCATTGTCTTGAGAATCGGATGGCTTTGTTGTCTCGAAAGAGAGACGCTTGATGTTGGACCCATTTGCTCGTCGGGAAGCAAAACCAGATCCGGGCATACCCAATCCATTGCTGGATGGGAAGTTGTTGTAGGACATCTGAGCAAGACCGCCTGCGTCCATACTCAAGGTGTGATGTTGTACAGGTGAAGAGTTGATCGTGTAATTCGGGTGGGTGCGAGAGTGATCGATGTTGCAAACTCGACTTCGAGAGAGTGAAGGCAATCGAATTAGCAGGCTCAACAGATGAGCAAATGCAGAAGTATTAGAGGAATTAGATGATCGAGCGAGTCGATCGTGTTGTACGTTTGAAGAGTGGAAGAATTATGTATGATGTAAAGAAGCTCGTATGCTGAGCAGAGGCAAGCCTATGAAGTAGGCAACAGCGAAGAGGTGGTCGAAAAGCGTGTAATGAATAGCCTTTGAAGAGATCCAAGATGTGTGAAGAGAAACCGGATGAGCCGAGAAACAAAACGCGTCGCGTACTATGTAGTGTAGTCGTTGGAAATTACAGGTTTTCTATGCGAGAGAGGTCGAAAGCAGAAAGTTGGCCAATGTAACGAATTTTCTGGATGCGGGTCGAAGAAGGCGCGACGCTCTTGAACTCAACAAAGAGCGACGGAGGAGTTGAAAGGCAGACGAATGTGTTGATGGATCGGTCGAGGTTGATGAAAGAAGCAGGTCCGATCGGTGATGAAAGGCGTGTTCTCGTTCCGATACGACACGACAGAGTGATGCGAGTGAGCTGAGCCGAGCGCGTGAGCGAGCCAGAAGAACGAACAAAGGCGAAGGTACGACGACAACAAAAAGGTATCGATGTTGAATTGCGAAGAATCTGCGGCGGCTGGAAAACTCAATCTCGATCCCACTGCTGGATATTATCACTCTTCGAAAGAGGATGGAGGGGTGACAAGAGAAAAAGAGAGGGCGGTGAGGTTGGATGAAGGAAAGGATGGAAAAGAGCAGAGTCGAGGCAATAGTTTAGTTCTGTGATGGCCGATGGGTTCGAAGGAAGGGGCTAGAGTGAAAGGGGGATGGGGCGTAGCAAGGGTGGGGAGGGGAGGGATTGGCCTGGGAGCAGCAGGTGTGTGTGGTGACTGGTCTGGTACGAATGGTCGTGCAGCCCGCGGACAGCAGTCGGAAGGGGATTATTCGAGTAGGCGACTTTATTAGTGAAGTTCGTAATTGAGGAATTGAGGGGGGCTTTTCTAGGCGTGCCGGGTCTAGCTGTTGTCAGGAGGTGGCCGCGGCCGTGCAATTGGGCCAGCACAGAACTCTAGCTGCGATCGCGTCTGCTGCTCTTCAGCCTGAAGATGGGCGAGAAGCCGACTCTTGAGGCTCCTGGCCCGTTTGTCCAAGCCGCTGGGCGATTGCTGATTTGCAAATGGCAATCGTGCTGCTGCTGCGTGCTGCTGATGCTGGTGCTTGCTCTTGATCGTGATCTTGTGCAGTCAATGCCAGTCTCAGTCTGCCTGTGGTGCTTGCTCGCTGGAAACCCGAATAACCAGAAAATAATGTCTGTCCTCTGCACAAGTGCTCACGAATGCATTGATCTCCACGAACAGTCATGGGTTGGCGGGCAGGGGATAATTAAGCAGCCTGGCTGACTGGGTAAGGAGTAACGAGAGGGACTTTACAGTACTGTACTGTACTGTACTTCCAAGCTCATTCACTCGCGAGCCTGCACTCATCACTCTATTCTAATTCTTATTATTGACCATTTCGTACCGAGCTGCGTAATCCCATCTGCGTCAAAAGGAAGAAGTGTACTCATCCACCGCATCATCCCCAAGAGTCCCAGCCTCGTTGGGTGTCTGAAGTATACTATTCATGGCCCTTCATCATGCTCCATTGCTCCTCCTTCTCCTGCTGCCCCTCAGCTCACACAGCCGGAGTGGAGTCCCGCTACTGTACTGTACTCGAACTTCTCCTTTTTCTTGCTGCAGGCTGCACACCCACCGCACGCTGCTGCAGCACACACACCCATCCCCATCCCTTCCGCTTCTCCTTCCACAGCGTGTGTTCAGTGGTGTGAACTCGTGGCTTGCCCCCATCAACAGATGCCTACCAATCAAGCCCTCCGCAGCAAGCCTGCAACGGCAGCCGAGCCCATTGATCCTCGCCCGTCGAAGATGTTTGCATCTCTGTCCAGAGATCCTGGGCCAATCGCCGTGCGCAATCGCGGTCCCTCGATCACAGTCATAATAAGTCCCAGACGGAAATCCATATAGGTAGCGGTGGGCAGGAACAACGCATCAACATCTGTCATCTCGTCTTTGCGAGCCCATCCCTCTTCCCATCCCATGATTTGCCTTCGCATGGCAAGCTCTGACTCTGACTCTTGCTTTTCCCTCACCCTCGCCTCCTCTGCCCAAACGGGCTCGGGGCGCACAGATGTGTGTCTTCAGGGGTTCCCGCCTCTCTTCCGGCGATCTGTGAAGAGGGAGACAGCATGCAGGAAGCCTGCATACATCAAGGCGCTTCCATCATGAACCAGCCGCCACATCCTCTCGTTCTCTCTCTCTGCCCTCCACCACAGGTCCAGAAGCAGGCCAATTTTATTTCCACATCGTCTGCACATCACCCCGCTGGTGCATGGCCGTAAGCAGCTCTCTCTTTAGCCGTGCCTTGGAGCGGTGGGACAGGACAGACGCACATTGTCGTGGTTCCGCACCATCCAATTGAAGCTCTCGTGCAGCTGATCGCGCCTCGAGCGCGTCCAGAAGGCATGCTCATTTGCTGGACGTGACAAGAATGACCCGACAAACACACCCTCTCGTGCACTCTGTTTTCTCTGCGCGCGTATTCCACCAATTCCCTTCGCCTGCCATGCTGCAATACTACAGCTGTGCAGAGTAATAATCAAGATCCCATAGAGTAATCAGCACCGCGGTCCAAGAATCCATCAAACCAAACCCCCCGACCGAAAAGGAGAAAGTCCCCGATCATCCATCTCCATCCCATACTCAAAAATACCTCAGACTCCTGAGGCGTAAACTATACACACACACACACGCACATACACGTACAACGGGGCCACTCTATTTCTATCTGCAACACTCCACAATTACTTGGGAAGAACTCCCAAACAAGCGCACTGACGCTGCTGCGTCTCCGTCTCCGTGTATCATCCAATCCATTCAGAGGTAAACAGAAAGAGAAAAAAATCCGCAGGAGCGCAGCAGTGCTCGCGCATTCGCCAAGCCCAAACTGAAACTCCCATCCCTCTCTTTCTCAAACAAGCTTGCCCCCCTCTCCTTCTCCTGGTACGTACCGTAAAATCTTATCTCGTGCCTGGGCATTTCGAAACGGGGCGATCGCCAAATAGGGCTGTGGGTAAGATTAAGATCGTCGGCTGAGATTGCTGGTTTGGGGGTTGCGGTGTCGCGTGCAGGAGACGAAAGCAAAAAATTAGATGGACCCTGATGTGTCGGTTGGAGGTCTCCACGTGTGATGTTTGGATGAGGTGGCGATCCCGAGGATGTGGTTTTGTGGTTGTTGGGTTTTTGGGGATGTTGTTTATGAACGTGAATTTATCTGTTGGCAAGAGAGAGAAGTTTGGGATCGCATACAGTACCGTAGCTTGGGTATTTCATGCGGCTGCGGCACGCTGATATAGCTTTCCTGGATCAATAGTTCAAGGTATAGAAATTGTCAATTAATTTGCAGGGACATTTCAATAATCGAGTGCATTTCGAAGTCATTTGTGCTAACGCGGGTCGTATCATCAAAGTAAGATCCAAGGCTGATTAGGAATATTTGTTAGACTCTGTCTATTCCGTCGATTAGATGATAATGATAGGGGTATATGCATCGCTCATGATATTCTTCCATACGCCTCTCTTCGCCCATCCCATTCCATTCGCGAACTCCATTATCCATCTAAAAATGCTCACTCAAATATTACTTGTAAATCAAATCAACTTTCCGACGTAACTCCAGACTTTTGACTCCAACTCTTTAATTCCACCTTATCCGCGGCCCTCGGTCCCAAAACCTTCACAGAACCAAAACTCCTTGGGCTAACCTTACTCTCATACAGAAAGTCGATCTCCTCAGTCGTCAGTCCTTTGGTTTCTGGTATCACAAAGTATGAGACAAGCAAGAGAATTATACTGGTTCCCATAAACACAAATCCAGTCTTGGCTCCGAGATTACCAGAGCCAGCTCCAACATTATACATGTAAGGAGTGACAAAAGCAAAAAGCCAACTGGTGAAGGCTTGCACTATGATGCTGATGGATTGTGTGTGCTGTCGTAGTTTGTACGATGAAAGCTCAGGTGGCATTGACCATGATACCATAGAGTTCGTGGGTTGTTGCCAGACGATGAGGAGATTCCTGGATTTGTCAGCAGGATGAAATAGATAATAGAGGAGGAAGTCGTACATTAGGATGGCAATAGCCCATACGGCACCAGTATTAGAGTATGTAGCATATCCTAGTCCTCCAATAGTTGCCAAGGCAAGAATATTTCCTACGACTCCAATCAAATATAGAGGTCGTCGTCCAATTCTGTCTCCAAACCTCCATGCCAAAGGCATGATAACCAACGCTAGACCGAAGCCTGCGATATTGATATCAAAAGCGTGTATGACAGGCAAGCTAGTAAGTGTAAGGAAATATATATTCTGAGTGAGAAGGGCAGTGCCAAGAAGGCCATTGCCAAACATGATGAGGCAAACTGTCAAAGTTCGTTTTAGGTCCGTGCCTTGAAAGCAGTGCCAATACGACGCAGCTGTGTTTGCGTCCTTTTGCATTTCATGAAGGATGCCAGATTGAAGGTGTGCCAAACGAGCATCGATGTTGTTGTTTTTGCCATAGAGCCTTGCTAGAGAAGAGTGTGCTGCTAGAGGCTTTCCTTTCATGACAAGATATGTAGGTGATCTGCTGGAGCTTAGAACAAAGTGCTTTAAGATTCAAGGTGACTCACTCAGGAGCAAATAAGAATGCAATTATAGGTAGCGCGCCAACTACCCATTGCAGAGCAAAGACGGTTCGGAAGGCTGAAGGGTGCAGGTTTGGGACGAAAGAACGCACAACTGCTAGGCCAATGAGTTGCATAGCGATGACGCAGAATGCAAGACCGCCAAGAAGAACACCTCGTAGACGTGGTGGTGAGATCTAACTCGAAGTTAGTGACCTCCGTACCCAGGCAAAATAGATGATCACATACCTCAGAAGCATAAGTTGTACCCACAGCTAGTAATCCCCCAACTGCCAAGCCATTGATCATCTTTCCGGCAAGTAGAGTCCCTTTCGCGGTAGCAGTGTATTGCACGATTACACCCACAGTCTAAGTAATGGTTAGTCAATCATCTATAGGAGCTACCAGTCAGAGTGACAGTAATGCAGAACCCTCGAAAGCTAGACCTGCTCTGTCTCGAACTTCCATCCAACAAGTTTCAATAGGTATGAACTAAAGTACCCTCCCAACGATAAAATGATATGCTTCAAAACCTCACGGGTGACTTGCCGTTACAGCTCCAAACGCCATGCCTGTATATCTTCGTCCGATCTTTTGTGACATCGGCCCTGCAACTGCAGACCCTAGTATTGATCCAACATTGGTCATAGATGACCATAAAGACGTCCAGATAGAATCGAGATATAGTTCTTTCGTAGCTACATCAAAATGGCCAAAGTATAACTCAAACGCAGGCATAGCTAGACTCGCTCCATTCGCAATAGTATCGTAGCCCTAGGAACAACGTTAGTCAGGAGTTTTGGCAAGGAACGGCGATTGGGCTGGGCTTTGGAAGCCGTCGTCAAAGGGTCGACATACATAGACAGCTGCGCATGCATACGCCGCAAGCACTGCATCTTCGTCAATAAAGAGACGAAATGAAGTTCGTGCAAGTACATACTGTACAATAGACATAGCTTATTCGCCCTCACTGACTCCCATAATCCATACGTCTTCTCTAAAGTCTCGAGAGCCTCCCCTTGAAGCGCAAGTTGCTTCTGTGCTGATTGGTCCATATGCTCCATGTGTTGCGCATCGGATAAGGTCACCTTGGAGTCCATTCCCATGTCTTCAGCCTTCAAATCCACCCTGGATATCGACTAGAGATTCTTCGAAAGTACCGAACTCGGTAGATCCAAATTCCAGGACGGCGGGACCTAGACGTCCATATATAATTCGTGCTTGTGGCTGGCTATCTTGTGCAACCTCAATTGCGTGCACCCATCACATTCTCTGCTGCGTTCCTGCGAAATACTGGGAGCCTCTCCGCACCCCGCAAAGTTGGGGATGTGAGTAGAAAAATGGATCTGGTTTGATCGAATCCACCACAGTCTCGTCTAAGGATCACTGCCAGGTGACACATCAGACTAACAAGAAAAAGGACGGCATCGAAATACGGAAAGGGCTGGCGGTCATTCTTGATGCCGAAGGCTCGAAGCTTGACACAAAACGGACACTGGACGGCGACCTTTCTGCATGGGATCTCCCGTGTGCCACAGCACAATAGTGGCGTCTCGGTAGCTCCCCGATTGTCCAGCAACAAATGTGGTCAAATTGCGCGAGGTAACACAGACCCTGGAGATCGCCGTCTAATGATTAAAATTACATCGCTGATAGGGTTCGTCTCAAATGCTCGAAACAGCCTGCTGTACTCCTGCATTAACTTCCAGAATATGGTGTTCCTTGCGAGGCTAGCCACACGCCAACGTCGTCCTGGCTGAAGAACATCATGCCATCCTCTAAATTTGAACACCATCTGGCGGGAAAATACCTTGCGAGAAAATACCTTGCTAGATCTTCAGAAATCGTTGAAACAGATGTTGTAGTTCGACGTCATCTGATGGTTTCAATGCAGAGCAGCCCCTGGTTTGGTGCGGCCGTGGAAGGGAATTCGAACAGAAAGATACTTTCCCACGTTTCTCTGAGCTGAGTCCTTCCATGCAGGATTCGGCGTGGCTTGCATGCAGCTCAGTGGTTTGACCCCGCAATTGACAGTCAATAACGTCCCGAGCCGATGTCAGCAAGCTTCTGATTCGAGAAGCTCCTGAAGAAGTTCTAGTTGGTGTTGTGAACTCTGAAACGCATTGTACTGGTTGAGACTGTTGGCGAAGACGAGGGAAACATCAGTTGGCATTGCTTTTATGCGAACTCTCTTGAGATCTTGATACGTTTTTTCACGTTTCTGCTTCTATCTGCGATCGAGAAGATGTATAGATGGATCCATGGAACTTTGCGTATTGCGTTTTCTGCGAGACTTTCACCTGTTACCCCTTTCAGCTGGGTACTGCTTGATAGCTCTGAATCCAAGTTGCTTTCAGCCTTCGAAACTCTCCCCCAAAATGAAGTAGTCTCACCCATACCATGTTGTAATACAGTAGGCTGGAGCAACGCTGAAGGTTTCTACCTGAGAAGGAACTTGCCTTTAAGGAGAAGCAAACTGCAGGTGATAGAAGCAAGCCACTCTACTATGAAATCGCCTCAGCAAGAGCAGTATATACCACAGAAACCGAAAATGTGATAGAAAAGTCTTCGGGATAGATGGGAAAAGTGGAACAGAGATCTTATGCCAATATTACCTAGGTAGGTAGGGCTTATTGGCCTTGAATGAATGGGAATAAAGCAAACTTCAGTCGAATACTTCAATCAAATATGACACACTGACGCCACATCGAAAGTGTAGAAACAAAAAAATAAACTAAATTATAGTAGTACTAGTCTAGGGGAAAATCTATCACAAAACGATAGCCTAATAACTCCCGTTCTCTCTCTCTTCTACATGCATCACGTGCCATCGAACGCGCTTGAAGCGCGTCTCCTCGAAGTCAAACACTGTCTCCAACCACAACACAAACAACATAACCAAAATGGCTACCTCAACACCAACAATAATCGACCTTAAAACCTCCTTTCTACGTACACAGATCCTCGCCCTCTCCCAACCCCTCAAACCATCCACGACCTTCACCGAATCCATCTCCTCCCAAGAGAACGCGCTCCGCCAAAAGTCCATAGACGAAGCACTATACAAACTCAACGGCCTGTTAAAAAAGCATAACAAGCTATCTTACGGCCCGCAAGCGCAGAGGCATGTTGCTGAGCAAGTGGACAGACTGTATTGGAATGCGGGGGAGCGCGGGGTGAATACGCTGGGTAGGGGAGAGGAGTGGGCGGAGAGGGGTAGTGATTATCGTGAGCTATTGTGAGGATGGTGGGATAGGACTTACTGACGGAAATAGGCGAAGAAAGTGTTATTGAGCAGATGCCAGAGCAGTGGAGCGAGGAAGCAGAGACGAAAGCACCTGAGCAGGCCGCGAAATACAAAGAGTTACAGCAGAAATTGGTTGAGCTGAATGAAAGGAGGAAAGCTGCGAGGCAGAAGGTAGAGAATTATAAAGCTTTGAAACAGCTTGTTGATCTGCTGGGAGAAGATGCTGGTGTGCAGGATAATATTGTCACGAAGAATGGAGAGGTAGAGATTGAGCTGGAGAAGATGAGGAGGTTGATGGTAAGAGTTGAGCGGGGTATTGGAGGACTGGATGAGAGGCAAGAAGGAGATGAAATGGTGATTGATGGAGAGGAAGGAAGGGACAAGATACTAAACTTGTTGACTCTGGGAACAGGAGCGGGATAGTATAGGAGACTCAAGTAGAAACGCTGATAGACTTTCCAAACAGTTGGCCGTCGAATGAAATGGTACAATTTAAATCTATCTATGGCTTGAGATCTCAATCTGAATAAGTCTCCAGCGCATCACTGGTCCATACTGCATTTCTGAATGTCCGATTCTCCTTGAAGTACATCTACTGTTGTGGGCTTTATGCTACACATCACAACTATCCGGAAACCTGCTGTCGTTTCTTTGGCCAATAATCTCACGCAGATAACCAAAGGATAATTGTGTTGCCAGCGTTATTCTTTACCATTGATATGGATGGACAAGATTCGACAGCAAGAATCTGTTTCGATCTCTCATGTGCTAAGATGTTCCAACTCCAGATATTGAAATTGGCACTATTTGCTGCACTAATCTTGATACTTAAAAGCCAAGACATTGGAGACTTCATTCCAATCGGAGAGCATATCTGTGACATTTGGTGGTTTGATATTTTTCAATAGATGTATGTATCAAGAGAGCTTGTTAAACATTACCTGCTCCTCCATGGTCTTCAGGGCCCAGACATGGCGATATTACATAGTTGCATTATACGTGAAAGTTCTGCAGCAGGTTTCCAAATCAAGACAACATTCCAGTTAGAGACAATTCGAAACTAAACTCTTTTGGTAAATTTTCTGGCGATTTCAAAAAAGTGAATTTTGGTGTTAGCTTAGCTTAGCTCAGGACTCCATTTTCTGCCCCAGTTCCTTATCGTTATCGCACGAACCACCGACAACAACCAACAACGCTCACCGCCTCCGGATTCAGCATGGCTCAATCGCTGCTGCCCAGAGCTTACAAGCTCGGCGAGCTCCTCGATACTCTCGAAGAACTAGATTTCGAACTCGAAGAAGATTACGACCCCGAAGAACTCCGCGTTGACCTGCTACCAGCAATGAGCTATCAAGGCTATGAGACCCCCGGTGGAGGACAAGGCAACCCGCGCCAAGCTCCTCCTTCTCCATCGCAAGGCGCTCAACACACCAATGGTGGTATGAATGGAATGGGCATCGGAGGCATGGTTGGCTATCCAACTCCTGCAGGCCATCAATCCGATCTCAATTATGTCATGTCTATGGTCGAGGAGTTGTCTGCTGTCTTGCGCAAGAATGAGGAGCTTACGAACAATGTGGTCGAAAAGATGGGTAGGGTTCGCGAGAAGGCATCGAACTTGAACTTGAGCAACGATGAATTGATTGCTGTCGTGGCCTCCGAGCTCAATGGTACGCGTTCCCAAATCCAATCGCGTGCAGATCGATCTAACACTCTACAGAGGACTCGAAGAACCTTGAGAAGGAGAATTCCGACCTTCGCAAGGCCCTCGAGAAGTCCGAGTACGATTCCAAGGAGAACTTCCAGCTTGCCGTCCACGGAGCCAACATCCTACTCGACATCACCGAGAAGATGCATCGATTCAAGGAGCAGCACGAGTCGGATACCCTTGCTTGGCACAAGAACTACCGCAAGCAATTGGCCGCTGAGCGTGAGGAGAACCTCGACCTTCGCAACCAAATCAATGACATGCGTGCTGCTGCTTGCCGTGCTAATGAGCATCTCCGTCAAATGCGCCGCTTCGTCACCGACAACGACGAGTTGCACGAGCTCCGAGTCCAAAACCATCAATACCGCACCGAGCGCCGATTCTGGAAGCGTCTTGCTCTGCCCCTTATCCCCGACGATGATTCCGAGTGGTCTGACGACGACGACTTGATCGATCCCGAGGAGAAGAAGCGTCTCAATGCTCTCAAGGCTGAGAAGGAGCGCAAGGACACGGAGGATGGTGAGGGTGGCGAGGTTACTGCTGCTTAAGTTTGTGATCTCCTTCCGACTATTGTGCATTTCATGGCGTTTACAAAGCGGGACGATACCCAAGGCTTGATCAGGTAACATTACACTTGATTTCATGAATCAATGGGCGTAATACCAGGCATACAGACGATTGAGCATACGAGTAATGAAGAAAGGATTCTCGACATAATGATTTTCTCACATCTAATTCTTGACTTTATGATATCTGTATTGTGGTAAAGCTGGAAAGTTCCAGTGCTGCTGTCAACATTTAGTTCCATTGTGGATTTGACTTTTAGCATCATACCGAAGAATCTCAACGTTACGACGTATCATTGTTATTGTCTACCTGTACCGTTGCTTTCGTCGGTACCCATTCGTTGAGATAGCATAACTCCAACATCTTGACTTCCACCCCTTCGAGATCCCGAAGTCGAAACTTTAATGAAAGATCGTTCTGTTGGAGCAACTATTGGCAGAACCTGACTTTCAGCATTTTTCGTCTGAGCAGCAGATTGGTCCGCTATTCAGGTTCTATTTAATTTCAAAGTTGAAAGGAGTATAGTTTCTTCTTCATCTGAATATCAATAGTCAAAGAAAAGATTCCAAGTTTCAGTGATCTAATGAGCTTTGAAGTTGAGCTTTTTAGGATCTTTCTTAGGGGAATGATCAAGTTTGACTCTTTTCACCTTTCTGAGGTGAATGGCAACAAAATACTGCTTAGCAACGAATATCTCCTTGATAATGAAACTTCATTGCGCAATTATGCAGCCATCCGCAACAGACCTTCTCAGCCGTAGCAAACGTCTTTAATGAAGACAAAGCAGGAAACAAGATCCAGGCACTGTATTACAGAATGACGCCCACGATCCCACTCCTTAAGGTTGAAACCCATATTTGCGTGTGTCAGTTGTCATCTCGTAATTTCGGACGGCTGGAAGGTTGATATAGGCAAGTTTAAGCGAATAGTGAGTCTCACTGTCTGCAAAATTCCACAGATCAAGGATCCAGTTCTGAGAAGTGGATTGTATTGGGATCGAGATTTGAATGTATCATAAACAGCAAACATTTCGTCCCAATCTGTCCCTTGCCTTTCTGAAGCTTCATAACATAAATCGATTTTGGTGAAGATACTTGCGTGTCCCGAGGCTAATTTCTTTTCCCTGCTCTTGCTTGTCGGAGGTAATGGACGTTCGGTCACTAATTAAACTCTGGAACCTAGATGTACAAGACAGAGGTAAGTGTAGCCAACATGACTGGCATTAACATTCGAAGCCTGTTATATATTATAAAGGTAGGAATTTAAGCTTGAGTTCGGCTATGGGTAGGTGGAGCAGCTTTGAGACGGCAGGACATCTGAAGAGGACCGAGTTGCATGTGGATTGTGATGTTCTCGAGTAGTTACAATACAAAGTTCGTTCCATTCCCCGATTCAAGAGTATCTTGAGGGTGGGTGAGGGAGAAGGGATTGAATGGCCCTTGAAGAACAAAGTTCCACCATGCGCATGCCATGTTTCAAGAATAGGCGGTGAATAAACTAGCCATACACCGCGACTCAAGCTTAGAAGAAGAGTAGAAGACAAGGTTTTCCATGTTTATGGAGTTCTGATTATGGCGGAAAGCGAAAGAGGGAGCCTTTAGAGTGAGATGGAGCACAATGAGCAAGTTTCTTAGCCTCGGATCAGACATCTACCGAGTATCTAAGAACCATTGTTACTCATATCAGATGGCTCTAATAACAACCATCAGATGAAAACTTTATCTGCTGGATCGATAAATAGTTCAAACAAGCTTTGAAGGACATGCTGATCTGGAACGCTTTGCCGAGTGGTAGATTGAAACGACTTCGAGCAAGAAGCGGCACTTCTCGTTCGGCACTTGCACGGTACATATGGTACAGTATCAATTGGGATGCTTGCTTCACACAAGGAGAATGTGAAAGTGGAGCGGAACTTGAGGATATCAGAACTCGCTCAGGATTCGCCTCTGTTCATGATGATTCGGGTTTGGTCCGCCTCTTCGTCGTGTCTTGTCGGTTGGTTGCGAGTCTCTCACCGTCAATGGAGCGAGCAAGACTACGTGATTATCTCCTGCTGGTACCTCTAGACTTCTTACGACAAAGTGAGCTGCAACGAGAAATGCTGCTATTTTGAGATTCAAAACATTTCGGTCCCAGACTGTTGACCCCCAACTTTTTGATGGATCTCGACACACAGAAAGGAAACAGGTCCGAGAAAAGCTTGCTTCGATGTTCATTTAACCTCGACGGAAAATACTGTGAGACAAAGTCAGGCTGCACGTTATGATGTTCCCAAGCTCTCGGGCGCCAAGATAACGGACAAGCCAGATCGACACAAGGGTTCAGTGACATGAGGTCTGTTTGTCCTTGTCTCTGATGCTGGAAAGGAGACTTTCGTATTTCGGCCAACCTTCCTTTCCCAAGTTCCACGTGGCACTGGAAGATCTGACGATAGTTACTTTTCCCGTCAGGAACAAGGTACGACGGATGAGAAGGCTGTGTGCGCACGAACGCCACATCTGTCATGCTTTGAGAAGGAAAAAAAGCTTGAGCTTCATGTTGTTCTGTGGCCGCTGGGATGACACCGAGAAATGGACCGACAGATGGTTCCAGACTCCGGAGGATTTGATAGATAGCAAGAGAGCATGGACGCGGACTGAAGGTGGATACTTAACAGTCAAGACTTTTGTGGGTATTTTGTTCGAAAGTTTTGGACGCGTGGGATGATATGGCATATGGTTGGGATGAGTCTGCTTGGAGTTTGGTTGCACTGCACGTTGAAGGCTTGAGAAAAAGGTACCGGAAGGCTCAAAAGGGCTTGGCGTGCAAAGTCGGATTTTCTTCAAACTCGCCTCTCTTCTCAACAACACACTACGACTCGACATTCCACACCGCAAAATCTCCGAGCAAGTTTTTCTCTTCTCCCATGTGAAGACGCAAACTCATTGCGACCACCACAGTCGTCTGCTGTACGCTGATACTGAGCCGTGATCCTCGTCCGGCCAGTCCGTCATGCTTAATGATATCGTTCTATTTGTAGTTTCGACTCGACACACCCTTGGTGGCACCTGGGCGGATGTTCACGGGTCAAAGCTGTGGAGCCTCGCTGATGCGACGGCGTTACGAGGCCAGCATCGTGAGATTGCTTTGTCCAACATGTTTGGCTGCTGCCCAACTCTGTCTTTTAATTGTGGGTGCTATAATCGATATCCGGTTTGGAACGGTGGGACCTCTCTCTATAGCCCCCTTTCCCAAAGAGCCATTGCTCGACAGACTTCCAGCACGCATACTCATCAGCACCGCGCGAAACATTTTTAGTGTTGAAGCTCCATCTTTCTGTTGCTCCCTCTTGTTTCTACCCTCCCAGAAACATGTCTGGACTCTCTTCTGCACGAAGCTTACTTGATTGAGTGGACAGACCCGTTCGGTAGTTTAGGCTGTTATCACTGTGCTGAGCTGGAGATTGGTCGTGATTATTGACAAGCAAGCTCGTGCTTTTGCTGGAGAGTCATGAACTAGGATTGAGCTTCGGGTCCAGAGGGTAGCGGCTTCCCTTTTACATGCCATTTCATCATATGTAAGAGAGCGCTTGCTCCGGACCTCTCATTCTTCGAGGGCAAGTGTACCAGTCACTCCCAACTACTCAATTCTTTCAACTTTTCAATCATCATCATCACAAATCACTCTTTGCATTCTCTAGTATTCTTTTAATTTCTGCCACACGAATATTCGAGAGAGGAACGGCTTGGTAAAGGCTTTCCCGAACCCTTTCTACCGTGGCGATTGAAGACCCTTCAACCTGCAGGGCTGCCACGCTAATTTACCCCTCCATGCAGACGCCTCAGCCTTCACTGAATCCTTGCAAACATTGTATATAGGTTTGGACGAGAATTCCACCTCGATTGAGGGCGGCCAAATTACCGCAGTTTTATCATGTCGAGCGGCGAGTACATGACCGCAAGTGAGGATGGTCACAACAAAGGTTATCTTGAGCGTTCGTCAGAGGAACCAAGTGCCGACTCCAGTGCAACGCCCAGCAGACCGTCAAGTTCGGGAGGTAATGCACCGCATAAGAAGAGCAGAGTGCGCTTCAACAGTACGAGCGAAGCAAACGATACTACGAACCAGAAATCCAGCTTTCCATTGCGAGACCGAGACCATGCTTCACCTCTTCACGTCACAATACCAAAGCAAACGAGGATATCACCGGCCCACTCGAGAGCTGGCAGCATATCGAATGTCTTCAGGAGACCAACGCCAGAGAAAGAGAAGGATAATCCATTCGCCGACCCCATACAGAATCCAGCATTCAAGCCCAGGCCAAGTCTGCTAAGGAACAATTCATCAGGTCTCATGAACGAGACAAGCGACGTAGATGATTACAATGAGAAGACATTCTCCGCTCTCGCGGCACAAGAACGTGCCCAGCGAATAGCTTCACTTGTAGGTAGTCACTCAGCACCTGGTTCAAGAAGGACCAGCTTGGATGAAATAGACGAGGAATATTCTCCACCGCCATCTATGGGACCAGATGGTCTTCCTGTGAGGATTGATGATGTTCCTCTCATGGATATGGACAGTAGAAGGACTTACGATGGAGCTGTATTGGACACCGACGAGGATGACGACGTCGAGCAAGGAAATGGCAAAGGACTCAACAAAAAGGGAGAAGCACACAAACTCGTCCGAGCACACTCCAGAAGGTATCCCTCGGAATCTTTGACAATGCCAGCAGGTCCGGCATCCGGCCTTGTCTCAGGCCAGGTCACTCCAGAAAAGCAACGTCGTGAGGACTATGTACCCAGGCCTCCGCAGTACAGAGGAGGCATTCTTTCATCTCTATTGAAGCTCTACAACCAACCACAAGGGGTGCAGTCGCGAAGAGGAAGTGATGCTTCGACTGAGAGTCCTTCTCGCACTGGAACCAACACTGCCTCATTAGTATCTTCAGGAAGGACAACTCCAAAATCTAAAGGGCCCAAATGGTACAATCACAAAACCCATTCACAGGATACCCTGGCTGGACTTATTGAGGCTTCTGCCATCCTCGGTGCCCAAGGAGGTGTCAGAACACCAAAAAAGCCCACTCGACCTGGACCCGGTAAGCGAACACAGAGCGGACGACTCATTGATGCTGCTATGAACAGAATGAGCAGACCTAGACTTGAGGACGAGATTCGCATCACGATACATATTGCAGAGACTCTGAGCCGGCAGAAATATCTATTGAAACTGTGTCGAGCGCTCATGAGCTATGGTGCCCCTACCCATCGGCTCGAGGAGTACATGAAAATGAGTGCTCGCGTTCTTGAAATCGATGGCCAATTTCTATACATTCCAGGATGCATGATCATCTCCTTCGATGATGTGACGACTCACACTACTGAAGTCAAAATCGTGAGAGCCAATCAAGGAGTTGACTTGGGCAGATTGAAGGATGTCCATGAGGTCTACAAGGAGGTGACCCATGACATGATTGGAGTCGAAGAGGCCACCCAAAGGCTCGATTCCATCATCAAGACGAAGCCGAAACACAATCCATGGCTTCTTGTCTTTGTTTATGGATTGGCTAGTGCTACAGTTGGTCCATTTGGTAAGTGCACACTGTTGTCGATCTGTTGTTGAAGCTGACATGGTGGTAGCTTTCGAAGCTCGCCTCATCGACTTACCAATCGCTTTCCTCCTTGGGTGTTTGCTTGGCTTCTTGCAATTGATCGTTGCTCCGAAGTCTGAACTCTACAACAACGTTTTCGAGATCTCTGCAGCTGTTTTAACATCCTTTCTGGCTCGAGCTTTTGGTTCCATTCGAGGTGGCGACGTCTTTTGCTTCTCTGCACTCGCACAGTCGTCAATCGCGCTTATCCTGCCTGGTTATCTGGTGCTCTGCGGATCTCTGGAGCTCCAGTCAAAGAATTTGGTTGCCGGTTCGGTCCGCATGGTTTACGCTATCATTTATGCCCTATTCCTTGGCTATGGAATCACCATCGGCACAGCCATCTATGGGCTTATGGATTCAAATGCTACAAGTTCGACGAGCTGCTCGGCGCCCCTTGGCGAATACTATAAGTGGTTATTTGTCCCAGCCTTCACATTATGCTTGTGCGTCATCAATCAAGCAAAATGGAAGCAAACCCCTGTTATGCTGTTAATCTCATTCGCCGGCTACATCGTCAACTTCTTCACTTCCAAGAGGTTTCCTTCCTCGGCTCAACTATCAAATACGTTTGGAGCTCTTACTGTGGGTGTATTAGGAAACTTATACTCCCGTGTGGGACGTGGTGTCGCTGCAGCAGCTCTCATACCTGCAATCTTCGTTCAAGTTCCATCTGGACTCGCAGCTGGTGGTTCATTGCTGGCGGGCATCAGCAGTGCGGATCAGATTACCAACACGACAACATATGCAAACGGGACTGCAAAGATCAACGGAACAAGTACGGTACGTACAGGCGGTGACGGCTTAGGAGGCCATGTCAATGGCTCGCAAAATCTTACAATGGGAAAAAGTCTATTGAACAATTCCATGGTTTGTTCTCTTGCTCAGGGCATTCCTTTTTCACTATAGTTTGTGACATTCTCTACCATCTACCCTTTATTTACATCCCTTTCACTAGACGACTTGGAGGATTTGCTTTGGGACTTTGGAGCACTTGCTAACATTTTCGAATGCAGGTCAGTACTACTTCGGGTGGCGATCTCAACACTGTCGTCTTCAACGTTGGCTTTAGCATGATTCAAGTCGCCATTGGTATAACAGTTGGATTGTTTCTTAGCGCCCTCATTGTATACCCTTTCGGAAAGAGAAGAAGTGGATTGTTCAGCTTTTAAAGAGTGTTTGGTGTATTATTTCAGGTTATGATCGGTTTACAGAACGGTGCTGTACTATCTTTAGACGGGGGCATTGAGGATTGTTGGCAAAGCAAGCGATGGAGTTTTGGTTATGACGAAGCTTTGATTAGAACGTTAGATGGACACGGTGCATTTGGATTATGGCGTTCATTGATACAACTTGGTTTCAAGATGATAGACAATGCTCCACAGCAGACATAATAGATCGAGAGACTTCCTCATGGAAGTCTCCACAGCGAGAAATTTCCTCCTATTCACTTACTCTTGAGAGCCACTAGCTGGCAAACGTTCCTTCTTCGCTAAGCACATACCTACGTAGGTAACTATTCAGATGGTGCAAGGCTGAGCTAGGCTAATTCCGCCAAAGGGTCTTATAGATTAAAATAAGCAATTTTTGTTCATACCAACATCCAGTGAAGGCGACCATCAGGCTCGGTGGTTAAGATCAAACCTGGTTTGGCAGCGGGAAAGGGCGACGAGAATAACCAGGCTTGGTTTGATAGGGAGCAACCGCTACACGACTGCGCTTGCTCCTGAAGTTTTTGTTTTTCAGTTCTATTTTTTATATCAATGTTTTTTTTGTTTTTTTTGTGCTCGCTATCTTATCCTAAGCACACAATGAGCAAAGTTGTTTTCACTTTCTAAGTCACGAAATTCAGCAACCATTCACTTCCTGTTACACAAACTGCGATTTGCAACAATTCTCATCCATCGACTACCATGTTTGATCTTCTTTAAAGCTCAAGTCACACGGTAAGCCATACGAGCAACCAGCAAAGCTGAGGAATTCCGACTTGTCGTTTGTCTCAGCCTCTCACTTCCCTTTTGGGGAGTGGTTGCAGCAAGCCATGTCTTAGATATCAGTCCACCTGTTTTGCTTATTCATGTGACGACGCGTTTTGCCTTCCCCGCCTTTCGTGTTTTGTTACTCGCTCTTTTTTTTTCTGTTCAAACTTCTGTCTCAGCTCCACGAACACGAGTAAACAACAAAATGCCTCTAGCCCACGTCTCCCTCCCGGTAACCTCGCTCCCAGCCTCAACAGCGTTCTATCTCTCGGCCCTCAACCCACTCGGCTACGACGTCTTCATGAATCTCGAACGCGCCGTGGGGATGACAGTCAAGTACGACGGCCCTGATTTCTGGCTCCATCAATGTCCCGAGATGAAAGACGGAGAGAAAGGGAATGGTATGCATGTTGCGTTTAAAGGCAGCAGTAAGAGGGTTGTTAGGGAGTTTTATGAGGCTGCTCTGTGAGGTTATATCCTTTGATTTTGGAAGATTTTGTTGGACTGATAGGATTATAGGAAAGTAGGAGGAAAAGATAATGGTCCTCCAGGCGAGAGAACGCAGTATACGAAAGGGTACTATGCGGCGTATGTGCTGGATCTGGATGGGAATAATGTCGAGTGTGTTTATTATCAGCCGTGGTGGTTGAGTGCGTTGCAGGTTGCGCCGAGTGTAGTTGGGGTGGTGGTTGTTGCTGGAGTTGCTTGGTGGGGTGGGAGAGCGGGGTGGGGATTGTGATTTGGATCTTTAGGTAGAGGAATTGAGGAAGGGGCTTTTTGAAGTCAGGGTTTTGTTGAAAAGGAGAAATGATTACGGACTATTGACTTACTGGTGATGTCCTTGAGCGAGAGGTTGTCTAGCTAAGCCCCCTCAAGCTAGAAGTTGATAACCAGAAAGGAAGACATATTATCATCATATAAAGGAACACATGTTAACATGAATGTGCATAACGGGGTATCATTGCGCCTGCTGTGTCCATATCTCCTCAATGTTTCCATGCTGTCTTCGAATGACAAGCACATTCAAGGCCAAGCTGGGTATCATCCTGTGCCATCTCCAAATTCAGTGGTTGCCCACCGCCCTATAAACCTCCCTCAAGTCCATCCCATCCACCTCTCCCTCCGCGATCTCACCCACAACTCTCCCCGGCCGGCCAGCCACGATCGAAAAGCTAGGTATAACCATGTTGGGCGGTACGACCGTCCCATCTAGAATCCTAACATAGTCCTTAATAATAGCGAACTTGCCGACTACGCAGTTTGCGCCGATGTTGACGTGGCTACCGATGAGTGCTGCTTCGACAATGGAGCCCGGGCCAATGAAGACATGGTCTGTAATCTTCAAGGGATAGTGGGAGAATTGCCTGTTTGTCCAAGTTAGCTTTGTGGTTCTCCATCCCCATATCCTCTTGCCAAGATGGGCTAGGAGAAACATACCCCTTATACAATTTCCCAGGCGGTCTCAACTCACATCCTCGACTGAAGAAACAGTACCTCCCAATGGCAACCGCAACGGGGTTCCCTTGCTTCTCGCCTGCAGTACTGGTAGGATATGTTCGCAGCAGATCTCCACGAATGATGACTTCGGCCTGGATCACCGTCTTTCCGCCGAGAATGATGTTCGTTGTGCCGATGATCTGGGAACGTCGAGAGACTTTGTTTCCTGTATCCTGAGAGGGGGGGTTAGTTGATGGGCTGAATGGAAGCAGAGGACGAAAAGAAGGCGTGTTTGTTTGAGAGGAAGAGGAAGAGTAACGAATGATAGTACTTACGGTCTCAATGTACTCGCCTTTCACGGACTTTTTCGACATCGTGTCTACATATTAAGTTGGTCTGGTTGTTGCGATGTCTTGATATTAATGGCTTTGGCAGAATCTAGGCGGTGTACACGATCGTGATATGATTGGTTATTGGTATCGCAAGCGTGAAGCTAAATTCACACTCAGTTTGGATAAATAACTCTGATAGCTGGCGATATTTTCCATTTCGTGAATCATTTAAACAATTTCAATGACCCAGGAATCGTGGAACATGCAGGTAACTATTTCTACTCAATTTTACATTTCTAATCGCACACAGTCATCATACATTAATCCATCAATCCTATCCCATATTGTACAGCGAATACGAGGACACTGGAAGCTTCATCGTTCCATTAAAACTCCATCTAATTAGGGCTCCCTGACTTTTCGGTCGTCAGCACTGTTTCTAAGTACTATTCATCAGACGGACAATAAAGAGTTATCACCAGTGTCCGATTCCGGCCCAATAACCGCAAGATCTCTGACGAATACACCCTCTTTCTCGACCTTCCATTCTCCGTTCATACGCTGAACATACTGTACCGCCATGTTCCACGCATCTTTATCAGCAGCATCGCCGGATTCGAACTCTCTGAGGTACTTGTAACTGCCGATGGGAGGCGCGTTGAAAAGTTGTTCCATCAGGTAAGAGTAGGCTGTGTTCCTCTCCGACCATAGATCAGTTGCTTCAACTTGAGCCATCCGGATCGGATCTTGAAGAATCTGATTGCGGGGTACGAATTGGGTGTAAAGGCGATCTAGTCTTGGAAGGAACTTGACGAGATCTCTGAAATGTTTTGCGAAGGGGAAAATCCCAATATATGAGAAATCTCGGACCGTTGGGCTTATCAAGGCTTTCTGATTGTCGAAGTCGGCACCAACAAGATCTGAAAGAATCTGATATAGTGTTAAAGAAATGGCATACTATAGAGGACGCTTTCTTACCGATGGAGGACTTCTCATCCACCATTCGTAAGAAGCGTAAGCACGGATTGATGAGCCTTCGTTGAGAAGGAGTTTAGACCAAGGACGGCCTTGCAGGAGGGTAGAGCGTTCTGCACGTGCTGGGAAAGCAATCTCTTCAGCCTCTGCGTTGTTCGGATTGTCCGGCCATATTGATCCACCAATATTCCTCGGTGCTTGACCAGCAGGAGGACCGAAATTGCCAGTATCATTAGCTTCTCTGATCTGGGACTCTAGAAGTTTCTGAGCTCGGATGAAATTATCTTCAGTCTTGAGTTGACTTGTTGGTGACGGCTTAGATTGCTTCAACTGAAGATACTCTGTATAGTGGGAACTCAAGTTAGCAAAGTTGCTGATTGAGTAGACTGAGCAAGTTTTGTGAACAGCGAGATACACAAACACTAAGGATGAGTCTGCAACTGCAGATCCTTTGGTATGAAACGAAGGATGGAATGTCAAGAAAATCGAAACTTACGGCAAGGAGTACGAAACTGCCACGATTGCCCAAGAATCATGAAGCAAGCAGCAAGTGCACCCAAGACTTCTGGAGGAGCAGCAACGAGCAGTTCCAGAGGATCAAGGATATCAAATATTGATATCCAAAAGGATGAGAATCGATCGAGTGGATTTTGTCCAATGCTAGAGACGTTTGCGTCTTGCACTATTAGTGTGAAACTTTCAGTTATGGTGTGGAGAGAGTTTTGGATAGCAAAAGCAAGGAAAGGCTTGATTTGGTTCTCCAATGCTGCCGGCCGATGGTCTTTTGGCTCCGGGACAATGAATCGTGCATGTTTAAACAAGATTGGAAATGCAATCTGCCTCCAAAGACTTGAGACGCAGGATACGGCTTTCAGATCGGCAATGCTGGCTTGGGTGATATCAAGACGAGGCTCGTCAAAGAGATCTGCAGATATAGACTTTGTATCCAAATGTCCCAGAATTTGTGATAGGAGCTCGTTTGGTATCGTGCATATAGATCCTGGTGTCGGAGCTGCGTCATCCTGTGAGACGAGTGCTTGCATACCCCCCTTTAATGTACTTTGTTCAACCATCGTACCACTGATAATAACATCTGCATCGAGTGACGTTGAAGCTCCCTCAGCCATGATTGCTCTCTTCGTGTCTTGTCTTATTCGATCTCGAACTGCTTTCGTCCAAGGTCTGTCGTACATACCAAAGAATCAACATTACACATTCGTTTGTAGGGTAGAAACGGAACTAATACAACTCACCTGCTGTAGCAAGTTGAAGCCAATTGCGGAGCAATCTTCTACTGAAGAGAAGATAATTTGGGGATTGCTTCATGTGCTTCAGACTTGTTGTATCAAAGGTCGTTTTGCTAATGGTGCACGGACGAATACCCACAGCGGGGTAGATCGGCTAGGCCTGACATGGCTTAGACCCGGAGCATCGGCGTTTTGCTCCCTCGCTCCTTCCCTCAGTCTCAGTTTTCCGTTTGACTGAAGTCAGGTTGAGATCCTCTTAGGCAAGACTGCAAGCTTGCAAGACTGCCTGAAAAGTGCCATAAATGTTGGTTCTCAATCGACCAAAAGTCAGCATGACTGTGCATAACACGTCTTTTGGAGCGCCACAGATGGGCAGTCTTCTGCGTCATTTCCAACATGCTCGGCGCTCCGAGCAAGGTTTAGTCCGAGTCGTTGCATTTGTATGGAGAGAGCTTGACTCGGGAGTCAAAACTGTCCCTTATCCCTCTCTCATTGGTGCCCGAAGGATTTGCAGGTCACTTGATACCCCTGGGAGGCGTAGCTGCACCTGAGCAGCGCCCACTTATGAATGGCGGGGTAGGTTTTATGGGACCGAGAAGGCATTTCTCCATTGTCTTCTCCATCCTTCGCTGATCTCAAGTCGATTTTCACAGCAGCTATGTCGTCCAAGTTGCATCAACGTCCTCCTTTTCGAGCTGAGCATTTGGGCTCTCTGCTTAGACCTGAGAAGCTGTTGACAGAACGCCATGCTCTAGATGCGAAGAAAGGAGACCAGAAGAAGCTAGCTGAAGTCGAAGACAGCTCCATCAATGATATCGTCAAAGAGCAATTAGATCTTGGATACCATGCCATCTCCGACGGGGAATACAGGAGGCTTATGTTCTGTAAGTTGTCTCGCAACCGCCGTGAGAAACACAGACTGATCAACCGTACAGTGGGGACCTTCTTCCCTAGCCTCGATGGCTTTGAAGAAGTGACCGATTTCGACGTCGACATCTTCCGAATGTATGTCCCGAGTATTGCACCTTTCGCAGAGAGTGGCCACAAATTCGGAGAGACTATTCTTTGCACCGGCAAGATAAAACACGTCGGCAGTACCTACGTTGATCAGTGGAATTACTTGAAGAACTTGCTGCCCAAGGACAAGCAACAAGAAGCGAAACTTACCCTGGCGGCTCCCGATTGGTACCACCTTCGTTACAAGACCGGAAGAGCTTATCCAAAGGATGTGTATCCTTCTGATGCAGAGTACTTTGCGGATATCGCAAAGGCATACCGTGCAGAGCTCAAGATTCTTTATGATAACGGACTTCGAAATGTCCAAATTGACGACCCCAATCTAGCTTGTATGTATTCGAATATTGCTCTAGTGCTGGCGACAATGGCTAACCCTGAGGTAGTTTTCTGTTCCGAGAAAATGTTAGCAGGTTTCAAGAAGGACGGCGAGGATTCAGATGCCCTATTCGACGCTTACATAAAGCTATACAATGACTGCCTTTCGGAGCGACCCTCAGACATGCATGTAGGCGTCCATCTCTGCCGTGGAAACTTCGTCGGCGGGAGACACTTCTCAGAAGGAGGTTATGATGCCATTGCGACCAAGTTGTTTCGAAACCTTAATGTCGATGTGAGTGTATATTCCAATTTCAAACGTATTGGACTCCAACCCCCTTTGGTTTGCCAGCGTGACCTCACCTCGACAACCCCTCTATCTTCTTTTATGGGGGCAAGCCCCCAAACGCCCAGCCTCGCTGCGCTCGATATATAAGAGAAAGACAGAAAGAAGGGTTTTGAATAGTTTCATCTCGAGCGCAGCGAGGCTGGGCGTTTGGGCGCTTGCCCCCATAAAAGATGGGAAGGGTTGTGGGTGACGCTACGCTAGCTAGGTAGAAATCCCAATTGGAAACGTATCTAACTGAATTTCGCTAAGACTTACTTCCTCGAATACGACACTCCGAGAGCTGGCGGATTCGAGCCTCTGAAGGAACTGCCAAAGGGCAAGAACGTGATTCTCGGTCTCGTCACCAGCAAGTTTGCAAAAATGGAGGATATCGAGGAGATGAAGAAGAAGGTTCATCAAGCCGCAGACTTGATCAGTCAAGGGACTGGCGAGACCAAGGAAGAGGCATTGAATAGGTTGGGTGTCAGTCCTCAGTGCGGATTCGCTAGTCTTAGTGATGGAAATAACATGGACCACGATGCGATGATCTCGAAGTTGAAGTTGGTTAGGAAGTTGGCAGATGAGATTTGGCCTGGTCAGCCATAAGATGGCGATGAGAAATCAGCCAGGTTGCTGAAGGGTATAACAAAAGTTGTGAAGCATTGAACATCAACTGTTCAAGCATCGCGAGGAAGGTGTAATTAAATCGAAAAGCATCTACTTACATGTGGCACGAAATGTGGTGTGATTTTCATCCTTGGATTCAGAGTCGCTAGTCGGGTACTCAATGGTCGGCTGTTATTCGGATAGATTAAGGCCGAGTGTCACTCGAGGGTATTTCTAAGTTGGAACATTCTTAGGCAGTCTCCGAATATTCTATTCGAGTAATCGGAAAGTGGCAAAAAAGAAGGGGAAGGGAGCTAGAAGGTTACTTTTATACTACAGCTCGGCTGCAGTCAGTAATTTGAACTTTGTTCATCGGCAAGGACGACCCTGCCCAAATAAACAAAGTTGCTCTTGCCTGAAACGAATACTTTCCTCCTGATAAGTTGTGTCCTGGAAAGCGGTTGACCGTTCGAAAGGCGTCGAAGGGTTGACAACGTATGATTATTGTTGAAGAATCTTTTCATCTGTCTTTCAAATCTCAGAATAAAGACATACTTCTTAAGACCTTTCGATCGTTTCGGAGAGGAATTCTTATTTTGAAGTCACGACTTTGAGGACTCGAATGTTACTCAAATCCCTTCCAAACTTTCAGAGCACTCGACTGGCAAGATCTGACCAGAGTCGACGCTGATATTTTACTGCTTCACGAATATACTGTATCAACGATATTAACTGTTTCGTGCTGAAGAGTGTCATTCGTAGCCTAAATTCAGGTAGGAAGTGAGTGTTGGAGAGGAGAGGACGAGTCGTTGATATTTGACATTCAATGACCAATTTTTCTTGCTTCAAAGAATCTGTCAAGAATGGGAAAGTGTTCGGTACGTGAACCATTCGGTTCGCAGTCTACAACTTCCTTCAGGGGCTCGCTAAATTAGCTTGGATCGCGGAGGTTGGTTGCAATGACCCAGGAATTATGGGACATTTCCGAAGAGTGCAGATTCTAGGATTTAGAATAGCGTAAAGGATTTCTCTCAATTTGAGGTTCAGTTTTGATTAGTGTAGCAACTTGTCTTCATTCGGTTCAACTCGCGAGTTTGTGAAGCAGGAGGGATTTCCGAACTTCAAAACGACGAATGATGAACTTTATCCTGCTAAACGCCATGTCAACATAAGTTAAAGTTGGCAGATTGGCAGCATTGCTGACGTGGACAAAGGTGTCAATAGCGAGGTGGACATTGATAAGGCTCGGCTCTTTGTCTACATTGGGTAATCTCCTAGTTTCGGTACTAGAAGCACCTATCTATGGTCTACCGAAGAGTGCCTTTCTGGTATCATAAGTATACTTCAGGTCCAAGTGCCAGTAGTTTGGTGTATCTGGCTGAGAAATCTTCCATGCCTTGTCGAGCGCTTGGAGAACCTCCTCCGGTAAAAGACCTTTCTGACAATCCTTGATATTCTCCTCGAGTTGTTGCATGCTACTCACGCCAATAATGACCCCATCATCGCCGTCTTTGACGTTCAAAGCGGAGTGGTTGACAACCCACCTAAGTGCCGTCTCCACCATTGTCAGGCCATGTTTCTCGACTACCGGCTCAATGATCTTCAAGGCCTCGAATGTCGAGTCCTTGAAGTACCGCTTGCGGTACATTTCGCCCATCCTTCCAACTGCATCGGAGTATCTGCCCTCGGCTGGGATATCCTTGCTATGATATTTTCCGCTGAAAAATCCTCCGGCTAATGGATTGTAGATCACAACGGAGAGGCCATAGCGCTTGCATGCGGGGATGAGCTCGTGCTCCAAGGATCGCGTAATTACGTTATACATTCCTTGATATATGGTGGGCCGTACCCAGTTATTGTATTTGCAGTGCTACAGGCAAATCAGTATACAATTTTGACAGAGGTTTGGAAGCATAGGAGCTCATATTCGAGGAGTTGAAGCACCTCTTCTTGATGAGTAGCTCCCGATTATGATCCCGAAGATCTCGGCTCCTGGAATAAAGAAGAAAAGGCAGAGTAGAAATTGACGTACCATCACAACCTCCGCAACTTCAAACGCTGTGAAGTTTGAGAGTCCTGCAGCGGTGTTAGTATCCATCTTTTGGTACGAGAGTCATGGCCATACCAAGCTGGACAAATTTTCCCCTGCAGATGAGATCAGCACGTGTTTCGCCAAGAAATGTTTTAAATCGGAACTCACTGTTTGTGGAGCTTATCAACGGCCTCCAAAGTTTCAGTGAAAGGAATCGAACGATCCTAGGATTGTACATTAGTCATGTCCCCATGTAACGGCCAATATCCATACCGGAGCGTGAAGATAGAAAATGTCAACACAATCAGTGCCAAGCTCTTTCAGACTCGTGTTAAGCTGTTCAGTGATAACTTCGGCGGCATGAGTTCCAGCCTTGTGGGGGTATGATTTCGTTGCAAGCGCGAGTCCTCTGTCTTTCCATTTTGCGTCTCGAGTCCAGGCCTCTTGCGTGCCACCAACATATGATCGAGCTGTATCAACTTCATTGTATCCAGCAGCTTGAAAGTGATCAAGCATCTTGTTGTACTCATCCATGGAAGTAATGCGAGCGCCACTACCTGCATCTTTTCCAAAGGTCATGAGTCCCAGGATGACTCGTGGTTGCTTAAACATAGTGAGAGGCATGATGACGATTGATGGCTGACACACAAAACGTCAATGTTTTAAAGTGTGGAATCTGAGATGTAGAAATTTTTTGGAGTTTTGATCACGAAGATGGCGGGGTACTTTGGAAAAGCAAAAGTGGAAAGAGGTCAATGATGGCGTCAGTGTTCGGATTTAAGCTAAAGCCGAAAAATGAAGCTTAGGATCCAAAGCCGAAAAGCTGTTGTCAATTGCAAAAGTCTTGGCAGATTAAGTATTAGCTAACTTAGCTTCTTACCAATGCCGTCGAAATCGGTATATAAGAAATACTATCTTCAAGTCCAGGATCGTGTTGAATAAGAACTCTTGAGAAGAAAACAGATTCTTCGAAGGGAATTCAGGTCATTCTTACACTGCTTTATGGCTCAGATCTTGGTCTATACTTAAGACTTAGTCCACTCATATGATCCCACACAATCTGAGCAACGTTATCTTATAGTCCAATCTGTGTGGAGCTTGTTGCTTGCAAAGAGTACGTTGATATGAATAAGAGAAAGTATACGTAGCGCCCACCATAGCACGACACTTGTCCCGAAGCAACAGAGTTTCCAAGCAACTATGAAACAACTTCTGAGTCACACTCCACCTCGTCTCGTGTACACATTTCGTGAATTTGCACCCTCTGACGCGTACAAGAAACTTAGTTGTTTTTCGTCTATGTTGTAGTGTGTCTTGCGCGAGCCGTCTAAGCTGTCCTCCAAAGGTATGTCCTTGGGCCCTTTGCTGTCTTCGTTGTCTTTAGTCGCATGGGTCATCTGTAGCAAAGTCTTCTATTAGTATGAACAATGAGGATGGTATAATAGGTGGCGGGCACAAAAGTACCATTACAAACAAGATTTTGTCTTCCTAATGAGGTTTTGCCCGTCCTCAACGCTCGTCTCGATATTGAGATGGCATTGTTACTTCTTCAAGCCTGACTAGGCTTCAGTGAGCTTCTTCAAGTCACACAGCACCGAGACAACTATCTTTATCATGTGTACGAGAGATAGAAAGAATGAGCAAATGAGGATTGAAGAGGTTGAGAGCGTGGACGCTGAATGTACTGATGAAAGAGACCGTGGTATTTCTGATAGCCTCTGGAGCGGAAGCGGTCTCTGCATGTCGAATATAATGGCAAATAGCGTTAGGTCTGACCCCAACCCATAATGTAGTCTTGAATATCTCTCTCGAAGTACAACTTTGGAGTGTCATCTCCGTAACATCTCCTGTGTTAAATCGAGTGTGATTCTTTGTCTGAATATCTTCCAACAAATCAAGTCAAGCAGCAGTGTTGTTGAACCGCACTAGTGGTCGCGAAGCCCCTTGATCCTATATTCGGAACACCTGAAGAGATTCCGATAACACAACTGCGTCTAATCTCTCCTGCAGGCTCGCCTTGGAAACCCATCGTTTGCTCGGTCCCGAGAAGTAAGATAGAGTTTGACGACACCCTCTTTCTTTGGAAATGCAGCATGAAAGGGGTATCCACTTCATCTCATCTCCGTTGATATCTTAAGTCCGCGTCACTATTCAATAGTATGCAATGCATCAACGGTCAATGTGATCCCACTCTGCAATGTATTGTCTTCCAAAAGCGCTTTGACAAGCTGTCACTGAATAGCATCTCGCCAATAATGATTATTTCCGTACAGAGCTTCCCTTTCTGTCAGTTCATGGAACAGTCTAGGATATGTAGCGTGGCTCGTGAATCACAGGACCTAAATCCAAGCGTCTGCACAGAAGCTCTGTGAGGACGACTTCCCTTGGCGGTGGCCGGGCCGCATTGCTAAGCCTTTTGCCCCGCTGACACATCCCATGTCATCTCGGTCCGCAGAATCAAGGTCTCCAAAGCTCAAACATCTTCTCCATCTTGTTATTTTGCTGTAGAATAGGTGGTCATGGCCGAAAGGGGTTTACTAGTTTCCGTTTCCTGACCGGAGACCGGAGACTAGGGCCACAGTCATGTTGCTTTGTTCAGCGTAAGAAACAGGTGGGGTCAAGACTTCGACCACAAAAGCTGTTAAAGAACAAATGAGGATTGAAAGTCCCTTGTGCACGCTGATTCATGACCTCCTATCAGATGACGGTGGTTAAGCTTGTTTTAGTCCACCCTTGCACTCCTCTGCATAGCTCCACTGAGAGGTTTTATGACGAGCAGGCTTTGGAACGGTTAAAACTCCCGGATAACCCTCTTGGGTCGCGATATCGAACAAGTCAGTGCAGTGCAGTAAGTGTAGAGCCAATACGAAGTAGAGCTGTGCCAAGTATAGGATCAATAGAAAGCTGCAGTAAGATACTGCGCCTTATCATTTGCTGATATGCAGACGGCCTTCGAATTCTACAAAGCGCCTTCTGATCGTGCTTGAAAGATGCCGAAATGTCCGAGGAGACATACGAACAATGAAGTTGTGTGATCGCGGAGATGGGTGGCTGCATCCGTTGAAGAGGCGCTCAAGGATTATCTCGACTCGACAGACATTGAAGGGCCACCAAGTGGCCCACGCTCATTAGCCCCTGGCGCCCTGCATGTTAAGCTCGCGTCTAAATGCTCAATGAAGAATTAGAAAATGTCATCCAAATGTACACACACTACCTTAAAGTTAAGTTTTAAAATGATCGCGAATGGAAATTGTACCGCTGCCAAGATTACCAAACTCGTTAGACGCTATTCGCGTAGCACACTGGCTTCTTGGCATTGTCCGGTCCGCATCCGTTTGTGGGGGAGTCGTCGTCAGCCTCCAAGAAACGTCAAAGAGAGCATAAGGCACAGACCTCGTTTCGGTTTTGGAAATCTCTGGGAATCTCACCCAATGTTCCGACCCTGATTCATGGGTCCATACCCATGGCCGCGGCGTGCAACCCGGATTAAGATGACTGCCATGTATGCCTCGTATTGCTTGTTCGTACTGCGAGCCACTCGGTCCTGCTGCTGCTGACTTCGCGAGCGCCTCTTTCATCCCATCTCATCCTTATGCTTATTCTCCGAAAACGTGCGGTGACCTACGCGTCCTTCCCGCAGCTACTGGGAGCGCCTACCTGCCGGCAATGTTATGAACATCTCCTTAACTCCTGAAGATGGGACGGACTCTTAATGCCGATGTTATGTTTCCCTATTCAATTAGTGAGCGGCCCCTCGTTCCTTGGTGCGCGTTAGTATTTGAATCTGTTCCTAGATCACCGTCACTGCCCGGCTCATAGCGATTGGGGAGGTGGGAAGTAGCAAGGAAAGACCCAGTGACCAATATCCACCGCAATGGGGTTTGAATAGATTGCCATCTTGCAAATTGCAACCCAGAGTTTGACTGTGAAAGATACGGAGAGGAACCTTTTGCCCAAAGAGTCATCGACGTCAAAACGACTCAGCAAATAAACAGTTTTGAGATCTGTGGGGTACGGCACGGGTTTGTGGCGCATGCTCCTCAATATCTGCAGGGCTTGGCGTCCCCACGCTCGGCCAATGACCGTGAATGAGTTCGAACGGAACATGAGTAATAATTTCACTAGCCGGAATGCAACTCTGCCATCTGCAGAAGCACGAGGTTGGTAGCACTTACCAGGTGTACCCCCATCCTTCCGTGGCCGAAAGAAGAATAGAACGTTGCGGGAGAACCAGGCCTAAATTAGCGATGCACGATCTATATCGGGGTGGAGACTTTGTTTTCCCGTTGCGGCCCAGTATTCGTACAGGGTATGGCCGAATTCAAGCTGACATCCCGAAGGGAGATCTTGTACGAACTGCTACGCTCGAACAAGATGGCGTCTAAAGAGTATTAGGAAGCAATCCGGCGGGCAACGATGTCTCGTGAGATCCACCATATCAAATTCAAGGTGAACCGCGGTCAGACTATTGAGTGTACGTATACACATGCAATGCAGCTTCAGAGCGCTTGCAGTGAGCATCGCTCGTGAGCTAGGGGTCCGCTAACTTGAGTTGCCAGCAGAAACGCGGAGTATATTGTCTCTTGCATGGATACAATCAGATGAAGATCCTCAGGGTTCTGGTTGATATATAAAGAACCATGATGCCATGTCCTTGAACTCCAGACGACACAGCTCATCTTGATAATTCACTCGTTTATAATTATCAACACTCTTTTGCTTCAATATGAAGTTCACATTCTCTACTGTGCTTGCAGCATCTTTATGTCGCTCTTTAGCATCGACGATTCCATTCACCGCTTCGACTTCGAACGGTCTTGCGACTCGCCAAACTACTTGTGATAATACAGCAACCTCTCGAAGCTGCTGGGGAGACTACTCCATCGACACGGATTGGTATACCGTCACTCCAGACACTGGAGTCACTAGAGAGGTATGAGAGACTTCTCAGACATGTTCTCAACACAACTAATTGCAATCTAGTTCTGGTTGTCAGCCGAGAACGTCACCGCCGCACCAGATGGTTATCAGCGTTACGTCTTGACATTCAACGGGACCGTACCAGGACCAGCAATCATTGCAGACTGGGGTGACAATCTGATTATCCACGTTACTAACAACCTTGAAGTCAATGGAACATCTATACATTGGCACGGAATTCGTCAATTGAACAACACTGAGTACGATGGTGTACCAGGTGTAACTCAATGTCCTATCGCTCCTGGGCAAACCTTCACGTACAAATTTCAAGCGACCCAATATGGCTCTACCTGGTATCATGTTAGTTTTTCTCTTGGAACCCTTATGACGAGTGCGCACTAACATGCTGTATAGTCTCATCTCACCCAGCAATATGGGGATGGACTCCTAGGACCCCTCATCATCAACGGTCCAGCGACTGCAGATTACGACGAGGATCTCGGAATGCTCTTCCTTTCTGACTGGAGTCATACTCCTGCCTCTGAACTGTGGGGTCAGTCAGATCTTTGCTGCTATTGAGGAAGAAAATGTACTAACTCTCAACAGATAGCGCTCGACAAGGAGCTCCCCCAGTCCTTGAAGGCGGTCTCATCAATGGAACTAATGTTTTCGATTGTACCGGATCAACTGATCCTCTGTGCGTTGGTGGAAGCAAGAAATTCGAAACCGTCTTCGAAACGGGAAAGAAGTACAGAATTAGGATCATTAACTCTGCCATCGAGGGACATTTTCAGTATTCCATTGACGGCCACAACTTGACTGTTATCGGCATGGACCTGGTCCCACTCGTCCCGTATACGACGGATTCCGTAGTCATAAGTATGGGTCAACGCTATGATCTCATCGTCGAGGCGAACGCAGCGACAAACGACTACTGGATGCGGGCTGGATGGATTTCAGCATGCTTGAACAACGATAACCCTGACAACATGACTGGTATTGTCAGATATGATTCTACCAGCACTGCTGATCCCACTACCACCAGTGATGTAACAATTGGATCTAACTGTGGTGATGAGCCGCTGGCTAGCCTTGTGCCATACCTTGCCATGAATGCCGGAAACTACACCGAGCTCGTTGAAGAGGATCTCTCCTTTACGTTCGGAAGTTACTTCACTTGGACAATCAACAGCTCTTCGCTTTACATGAACTGGAGTGACCCGACTATTATCAGGATTTTCAACAATGACACAATCTGGCCGACTGATTACAACGTCGTTCCTCTCACTGCCGCTACGGACGATGAGTGGGAGCTGTTTGTTATCCAAGACCTAAGCGGCATTGGATTGTACCACCCAATTCATATGCATGGCCATGACTTTTGGGTGGTATCGCAGGGGGTAGGCACATTCGACATTAGCGACATTAACCTTGTCAACCCCCCTCGCCGAGATGTTGCATCTCTCCCAGCTAATGGATACCTTGCCATTGCCTTCAAGAAAGACAACCCAGGAGCTTGGCTGTTGCATTGCCATATTGCTTGGCACGCGTCCCAGGGTTTGGCCATGGAATTTGTGGAGAGGGAATCAGAGATCGCTGTCAGTATGACCAACACGGCCATATCTCAAGACAATTGTGCCGCTTGGGTTTCATATGATGTAAGTCAGAAAACGGTCTAACTCTATGCTAAAATACTGACTGCAACAACAGGCCACCGCTACATGGCCCCAAGATGATTCTGGAATCTAAAATCTGTTTTGCTTCGAGTTTGGTTTAACGACCATCATGTCTGCAGGACTTGACTTCCTGCACCCAATTTCCTTTGTTTTTGCAATTTGAGCGGATCTTTGAAGATCGATGTTTCTTGATTTTGAAGAATGAGCATAGTATTGATGGGCTTACGGTTCTTGTATACTCAATGATGATGAGCTTGAAGGACCTTTTGTATGAGTACGAGAAGAATTACTAAATTCATAATGTTCAATGAAATAATCGACTCGAATATTTGCACCACACTCCAACGCTTGCAGGAGAAATTAATCGCATCAGTGAAATGACCGCCCTTCTATAGGCGGCGGCAGTTGAGGTTCGGTTCAATTATGACAGACATTACTGGGAGAGTGGTTCTAAAGACTCAGCGGAATTTACAAGATTGGCAGTACGTTGCTCGGCCTAACCAGAAGCATACTTGGATGATGATGTTATTCTTCGATGAGAGTCAAGAGGCAAATGCGGACGCCGCAAATCTTCGTGGGAATGCCAACAAAACAACATACCAAGAGACGAATCGCAGCAGAATCAGAAGGAGAAGCAGACGCTTGACTTGATTAAAAACTTGAAACCTATTATTTCTCAGCAGACTCATCACAATGCGTAAAGCTGATTGAGGTCGGCCGACGAGATTCAGAGTCCCAACAACATCGAGATGAAGCAGCTCATAGGGCGGTCTATACTTATAGCCTTTTGAATTCTTGTTGTATGGACATACGCAGGGAAATGGTCTTCACTTCATGTGATCACCTGATCAGAATGATGTGCCAATCATGCAGGCATTCACGCCCCTTCCCCACGTCCATTGCGGCGACGTTTCGAGTTCGACGTCATCTTTGGATGTTGCTGAGCTTGAGTATGGCCATTTGTCGTCGCGATGGTCGTAATGCGAACTCTCGGCCCTCGCGTTTTCGCATCTCGAAGATACTGGATAGAGGCAATGGTCGTGGCGGAGCTGAGAATCGTGTTCTGTCGGCGTGAAATGGGTGAACTGTCCGATTAGACATCATCCGGCCGTTTGCTTAATTAAGGGAGCCCTAGCTTCGTCCCATATCTCATTTCATCAACAAACCTTTTCGCTTTCACCTTTTCCGTTGTAAAGGACGTAGCGGCCGTTACAAATTTCTCCTCCGGGTGAAGTACATTGATTACTGTGCTCACGGCTTATTATTTCCAACTTCCGCCGATCCCATAACCACTTTCCTCATCCATCTCGCTTTGCTGTCAGTCATCTTCGCGCCGAACGTTCCTCAACGTCATTTGAAAGAACCACTTCACTTGACTCCATAACAACCATCTCCAGAACATTGATCTAGTATCAATTGCGCGCACATCATGTCCTACACACAGTATGATCAATATGGTGGAAATCCATACAATAACGGACCGAGTGCGGAAGCAGGCCAGGGTGTTTGTCTCTCCATTCCATGTAATTGTTTTCGCATTAATGGAACATACAACTAATCATCACGTCTCCTCTCATAGACTCATCTAGGAGCGCAAGACCTTCAGCATGAGATGTCCGCTACGTCGAACTACTCGAATCCCGGCCCCTCCGCTTCCACCAACATCCTCTCACAACAAGACTTCCTATCGCGTGTCGACTTCGCGAAGGGTGAGATCCGAACACTGACGTCCAATATCCAAGAAATCGCGTCTCTGCACCAGCGAGCCTTGTCTTCACCCGATAGCAGTTCTTCCGCCCAGCTCGAGAATCTCGTTACGCAAACGCAGCTCAAGAATACCCAGATTCGCGACCAGATCAAGTATCTAGAGTTAGATGCTTTGAAGACTCAGGATAGCACGAAGAGCGTGAAGGCTAGACAGGCGAAGCAATTGAAAGGCGAATTCGAGAAGAGTCTGAAGGAGTATCAACAAGAGGAAGTCAATTACAGACAAAGATACCGGGACCAAATCGCGAGACAATACCGAATCGTCAACCCCGAGGCTACAGAGGCCGAGGTACAGGAGGCGTCAGAGTTGGATTGGGGCTCCGAAGGTGTTTTCCAGACTGCTGTAAGCATACCAAGTTCCAGCTTACGCACATTTTACTAATAATCTTGCAGCTCAAGAGTAACAGATCTGGCCAAGCTTCCTCTGTACTCGGTGCCGTTCGCGCGCGTCACAATGAACTCCAACGTATCGAGGCTACTCTCACAGAATTGGCAGCTATGTTCGCAGACATGGCCCAAATCGTCGAAGCCCAAGACCCAGTTGTCGAGCACACGGAACAGAACGCAATCAAGACCGCAGAGGATGTTGACAAAGGAAACACCGAGATTGACAAGGCGAACGAGCATGCCAGACGCCGAAACAGACTAAAGTGGTACTGCTTGTTGGTCGTTGTTCTCATTATCTTGGCTATCGCTCTCGGTGTTGGATTGGGCATTGGATTGACGAAGTCGAAGTAGAGCGGGGTCTCGTGTATAGTGGCATTTTCGTTACTTGGCGTTCCGAGTCCTTAACATATAATAATTCACCAACGATCAGGCTAGAGTAGCTAGCTTGGTCACTTGTAATGATCCCGATGTCCAAAAATGCATGGTTTTACCAAATATTAGCCACAGATGATGTTCAATGTGTCTATTTCGAGATCACAGAGAGGTAAATGCGGAAGAGAAAATAAGTCTGTCTTGAAAAATGACCCATGAAATGCTCTCCGGAACGCCTAGATATGACAGCAGACATTTACACTTAATCATCATTTTCATGTGCTCTCCCGTTAAGCACGCCCTCACTCTTCCTTCTCTGCCTCCTTCCCCAGACACTCGTTGCCCATTCGGTCAAAGTAAAGCCCCAATGGCCAGCTACCAACACCCCACTAAACACATTGACCACTTTTACTACGAATCTTAGGAAGCTATCTCTGCTCTCTTCGACGGTAAGCAACATAGGCTCAATATCATACTTGAAGAAAATTCCTGGGACGGCCCGTTCTCCTACAATGTGTGATTGCTCAGTCACGGCGTATTGGTTGGTGAAGACTGTTCGGGAACCATAAGTGGTTGAGTCGACTGAGTAGACAGTAGGTACTACCGAGAGGAAGTATTGAAATTTGTGAAAGTGGTTTGGTGTAGTTGAAATAGTGCGGTCGAGAGGGTTGAGGAGCGAAGGGTAGAATTGGCCAAACGAGAGCTCGGAGAGGATGTGAGAGAAATTAAATTCTGTAACGCATTAGCTGGGTCAATACCGGTCTTGCAAAGGAGAGATGTACGGGAATGATCCAAATGAGCAGCAGCAAATTCTTGGTACCCATGGCCACGGGCTGTGATATGGAAGTCTCCCTGGACTTTATTCACATCCAAGCTGCCGAAAATACGACAGCTGTCACCACCAGGAGGACCCCTCTTCAACTTTGGTGTTTTTGCGAATTTGGCTCTCTTCCCTCCAGCCATAGCAACGATATCATGAACGTGCTCCTCTCCAAAACCTTCCTCGTGCTCATGGAACCCCTCTCCAGTAATCAATCTCCCTTCCGAATCCTTTCCCAGTCTGTGAATGCCTGTATTATCTACCCATTGTCTCCAATTCGTAGGATCCCGCTTCAATTTGTCGCCTGCTAGAATTCTGTCGCCTGCCGCATCTTGGACGTTGATGTGAATGTCTTCACATTTCATCGGTACCACCATGTCTAAGTTGATTTGTAAGTCGTGTCCTACACCTTTCTCGACAGCGAAGGTATGTGTTTCGTGACCCCGCCACCAGCGTGTGAATTCAGAAAATATGAGGAGGAAGGACACTGCCAGCATAGCAACTGTCCATTTTCCACCGCCCGAGGTTCGGGTTACATATTGCGGTTTTGCTTTGGCTGGAGGGGATGTGTCAGCTCGTTGAACATGAACAAAGTATGTGCCATTGGATAATGTCCGGTCGATCATGGGATTATTTTAACTTTAGGAGCATAATTCCAAGTACTTACGAAAAGCATCAAAGGCCTGGACAATATTGCCTCTCTTCTCCCCAAAGGCATCCTCGTCCAGGCCATGTTGCGCGAAGCCGTTCATCTCCTGCGCTTCCTTGATTACGACCCTACTACTGTGCCGGCATCAATTCGAAAAGTGTGAAAGAATGTGAGGAAGAAAATAGGAGCGTTGTGCCTGTCGAAACTTCTTTGGGATTGGAATGAATTTATTTCGAGTCGTAAGAGGACACCTCAGCTATTCACGAAGGCCCGAGCGTGATTGGTGGGCACCTGCATAAGGCTGAGAACCACGGCTGCGAGGCTGCATGTACACGTGAAGAGTGGCATGGTTTTGCACTTTGCGGTATCTAGAATGGACATTTAGCCGGCTTCATAAATTGTACGTAGTATATTGATATATTGATATGTTCGGTAGTTATTGTAAGTGACAGTGTCTTGTTACATTTTCACATTGTCGCTTTTGTCCTTGTCATCCCGATGCAATGGGCTTTGCAGGACTTTCACATCTAAGATAAGAACACAATAACAGTATTTGTACAGGTCTATTATGTTTAGTTCTTGGGAATAATTCTAGAATTTGTGTAACATAACTTTGTCCGCTTAAGAGCCGTGTTTTACCTTGAAGGACTGGCACGATACGAAGTAGTGACAAGTGAATCCTGCAATAACAATAGCAATTGCACTCAAATTTTCAGAGACAGACAAACAAGAAAAAGTGAATGATTTCAGTATTTCAATAGCACTCAGAGTGACCACCGGAGGATGGCGTTTGAGGTGAATCTCATCATTTTCTAACGAATTTCATTAAGAAAACCGCAGGAATTTGGTACAACAATAGTATGCGAAATGATCCTTAGGATACTTACTCAAATAATCAAGAGAATCTGAAAACAAGTGTTAAAAGACTTGCTCCTCCACATTACAAAACGCGTCGTCTAATTTGTAGTTCCTTAATCGACCCCTGTCATCCGCTGGATTTCGCGTGCACGCCAGTACTTTCCTTCTCCGAAGCTTCACTTTTCATCTCGTCCACCATCAATCAACTGACATCTCCAACATCACAGCAGACAATATCGTGGAGCACGAAGTATGGATCCCAGTCATGACTGCAATCTGGGACGCGAAAATCTGGCGACTTTTGGACAGGAATTGTCCTCAGGAGAGGGACATTTATCATTGTTGGACAGCTGCTCCGATTTACTTACCCGCGACCTTTCAGATCGAAATCCGCTCGCAGTCTTTTTCTAAGAGCTTAGGGCAAGATGAAGCTTCGGGAACTCAGGAACAATATCTTGGCTCGGTGAACTTTGAATTGTCCAATCGAATTGGCATATCGAAGCACAGGACCACTAGTCGATGGCACTCCTTTGAGAAGCCCCGCGGCTCAGCCCAAAATTCCTGACATAAAAAGGACGTCCTCCGCTTCATAGCCGCTTGCAAAGACAGACAGACATCGGAGCTTCAACTACTGGCCAAACAAACTGCTGGGATTTCGATCATTTTACAGCTTCCTAGAAGATGTCGTCATGGATAAGCTGTAATCCGTGTCTCCTCACTTGTCTGTCGGATTATGGCTGTTCGGTACCTATGCACTTTATATTCCGCTCGACTGCCAAGAAGCTTACCGGCAGCATGGCACGGAATGGAGCGAATTGGCAGCTGTCAAGGGGCCCACGAGCTCAAGTCCCATCCCAAATCCAGTAACAATAAGCTGTGATGCAATGCTTGCACCAGAAGCTTAGAAAGGCGGCAGCTTAAAGCTCTGCAGATAAGACTCACTACCGCACCACCGTCCGAATGGCACGATCAATCCGGCAAATGGTTGGAGATATTTGTCGACAAATGCGGTGCGCGAACTCAGAAATGGACATATGAGTCTAAGAGTGATCCTGGAAACAACAGTGTCGTGCAACAACTGGTCGACGAAGGTCAAGATTTACTGACCTGTCTCCAAAACCTGTGTTCAGGAAAGGCGTCAGATTCACCTACCCAACAGCCCGATTCCCCTCCGCAGCAAGCCAGAAAAACACATTCACCGAGAAGAAGACCGCTTCTCTTCATATGTCACAGCCTTGGCGGCATTATCTTAAAATGTGTATGTTGAATTGGTTGACCTCATTTCGAGCAGAGGGCTAAACTAGAACTAGGCATTGTCTCTAACCAGAAACCATGTCTTCAGACATCTTGATGTGATTGAAGTCATATCTGGTATTGTGTTCTTGGGGACGCCTCATCTTCCCTTGAACGCCGCTCCAAGTCCGAACATCATGGACCTTGTTCTTCGACTACACTAGAGGACATCCCCTCGAAAGCATGCACTGACTGTGAATGATAATGCTTTCTTGGCAAGATGCTGCCAGGACTTCGAACTACTCGGCATTCAGGTACTAATCGTCTCAGCTCACGAGACGGTGGAGTCACGAGTCCATCAAGGAATGTTCAAGACGCAGCGAGTTATTGTAAGATAAATATGCCGATTTATCGACATAGACGAGGAGTTAAGCATCTTTGGATATAGATTGCTTCCAAGGGACGGTCTATCATGAAGTCGCAACACGAGATCATGGTAGCTACGGAAAAATCCCATGACGATATATGCAACGTCCAAGTTAGAGGTTCTCTTTATAAAGCGATTAATTATGCTTTGCAACACTCGCTAGAGTATGCTCCGGGATTGATTTTCAAAAAGTTTCACAGTAAGTTTCAACATTCCATTTGTATACAACATATGATAGCTTACCTTTCGTGTAGCTAGCACTCGCGATGGAGGAGACGTAGGCACTATTCGAAGTCTCACCACCGATAATGAGAGAACCCAACCCGTGCTGATCCCCGCAATCAAATCTATGGAGATGTCAACGATGAGCTCAAAGGGTGCCACCCTCGGTTCCTCACTCAATCGGTCTCAGTCAACCGATCAGGCCATCACCAACTTCGACGTGGTCAACAAAAACCTAAAAATGCCTTGCTTATCCATGAAAGTCCACAAAAGGAAAGCCGACTTCTTTGGCAGACAGGACATTCTCGACTTGATCGATAAGAACCTACTGCTGGAGAATAGGAGAAATGTCACTTTTAGTGAAGGCTTCCTCCGGTCTTTTGCCCTCTGTGGCATGGGTGGTATTGGCAAAACACAAATTGCGGTAGAGTACGCATATTCGAGGATGTCAAAATACGACGCCATCTTCTTCATAACTGCAGATGGTAAGACGGTCCTTTCTGAAGAGTTTGCACGCATTGCAGTGCAATTGGGCTTGGAGGATCAAAGTGAAGCCAACGATATCACAGTTTCGCGTGAAATTGTGAAGGGTTGGTTATCAAATCCTGTGCGATGCTACGATAATCCTCCAGCCAGAAAACGAGGCATCCTGGCTCCTAATCTTCGATAACGTTGACGATCTCGATGTATTGGATGACTTCTGGCCGACGACGGGCTCGGGCGCCGTGCTTCTCACGAGTCGTGATTCTCTAGCGAAGAATCAAATTCACACTGCGAACAACGGCATCGACCTCCAACCATTTTCGGCTGAAGACGCTATCCAGTTCCTGAAAACCCTCAGTCGAGGCCCTCTTCAACCCACTCAAGAAAAGTATGCGGCGGAGTTGGCGGATAGGCTTGGAGGTCTGCCACTCCTCATCACCCAAATGGCTGGTGTCATGGCTCGCTTGCGGCTCTCCTATTCCGAGTTCATCGAGTTGTACAACGCAAGTGGTATCGAGCAGATCAGCATGACGGGTTCGAATATGTCGACTCCGCAACGAGTGTACTGGATATCCTACAAATTAGGCTTCGACGGACTTGCACCTACAAGTTTTGGATTGTTAAGCTTGATCGCCATGCTAAATCCAAATCGAATACCTGAATTCATATTGACGGATGCTTGCTCGAAAGATTCGAAGATATCCCTGGAGCACTTTCCCAAGACTCTGCAACAGTACTATGAAGCTAGGGCTCAGCTTCTTCAGACATCACTCATCAACCAGAACTCGGAAACGGGTGATGTCTGGGTCCATCGTATTGTTCAAGATGTGACGAACGGGAAGCTAATCCAACATCGGCTCGTCGACATCTACAACCTGGCAGTCTATGCGGTATCGACTGCGTGGCTATTCTCGAATTTGGAGACACGCTTTTAAATTGCTCGCTATAAGTACTGTGTCCTGGTATTCCCTAGTATCGTGCGTTTGAGAGATGCATACAAACATGTGGCGTCATATGAAACGTTCCGACAGGAGCTGGCTACCGCCACACTTTTCAGCGATGCTGGATGGTAGGTTGATGTACATTTCCTGTCCAATGCTACATTTCGGCTGATAAACCTTCAGGTATCGATTCGAAAGAGGCTTTCAAGAAGAGTCGAAGGAATGGTTTGAATTGGTACAGGAGATCTGTGATGGCTTAGAAGACAAGTCGTCAGAAGACGTGAAGTACATGATCCGTGATACCCATCACCATCTAGGAACAGCCTCTGGAGAGACAAACGACACGGGACGCTTCCTCAAGCACTCCGGGATCTGGCCAGAGATGCTTCTGGAGAGGAAGACCCCTGACGGTGAACTCGTGGTTGACTACGAATTGGGCATGGGCTACAATGAGCACGGCAATTCACAAGCCATGCATAGCAGTTAGCACTTCTCGAAAGCCATCGACACCTTTCAGAAATTGCCCTATTATGTTGAAACTATAATAGGCTAGCCAGCGGCCAACAAAGGACTCATCCACTGGATTCTGGGCGATTATGAAGCCGCAGAACACACTTTCATTGATATTATCGTTGTTTTCCGCAGGGCTAATGGCGTTGATGATATTCTCTCCTTCAAGTAAGCAATTTTACTGTTCTCGCCAAAAGCAAGCGTGAACTAATCCTCTCAACAGAACCGGGAAGATGCTCTATGGTCTGGGCAACGTCTATGTCAGCCAAGGAAAGTTCGAGAAAGGACTTAAATACTATATTCGTTGCTTGAAACAATATCGTGCCACACTCGGCGATAGACACCACCGAATCGGAGACATCTGTCACAGATTGGCAGATGACAATCTCCGTTTCAAGAATTATGCCGAAGCCTAGTATGTCTTATTTGATGTACCGCTTGATGAAAGAGGATGCTAATGTGTTCACTCAGAGTGCTCATCAACCAAGCCCTAAAGGTATTCAGCGGCCGCTAACAATACAGACAAGAACTTGCTCGATCAACCTACAAGGCATCACAGGTGTCTTTTGGATCCGTGAACACTAGCAAAGCGGAGTCGGAGCTTCGAGATGCTTTTCATTTTCTTCAAGCTTTAGTTCCAGATGATGACCGCGGCATGGATGAACTCACAGAGGAGGACTACGACAACCTTGTCGTGTTCTGGTCGAGATGAAGAATTAATCGTGGCACGTGATTTGTAGGTGCATGGTGAGATTCTCCTTGCATTCCATGGATATAAGCTAAGATTCTATTGTGGAGAACTCAGACTTAGTTCTATCGCTGATACAGGATGGACTTTCATTTTGCAAAAGTCGGGCAAATGCGTTGAAGCAGATGTTTTTCTTAGCTTGCTAGAACAAAATGGGGAGTTGTTACCTGCCCACTTCAACCTTTAATTGGTACACTTTTATATTCTCGATACCAGAGCTATGACCCAAATATGCATGCATAACCATTCTACTCCTTCAAACACAATATTCCTATATATACAACATGTGCCATATTTCTCGTATTTCAAAGCTAGGAGAACCATTTCCGCCGAAGACGTTGCCATGCATTCGAAAGCTTATCATTAAACAGATAGAACCCAATTGAGGGCACAGGTATAATACCACTAACCATAAACCAAGACCACATCGGCGGATTCGCCAACAAGGGAATATTCATGCTAAAAAACGACGACACGAACGATATGAGAACGAAGAAAAAGGCTAACAGAGTTAATTGCTCCATACGCCCAGCCTGCGCGATTACCTTCTCCGACTCCAGAATAGCCATACTGTTCATCAACACCGTTATATCTGCTTGACAGTGCCGGTACAGAGCATCGGCGTGCTCGTACAGGTGCACAAAGTCCTGCTCGACCTCGGCGCGCGCACGCTTCGTCGGCTCCTCTTTTGCTTTAGGCCATTTGCTGTGGCAGGTACTGTTGAGTGATGACATCGTCGTCTTGATGCGTCGCGCATGTCGGTAGAGTAGTGCGTTGAAATATCGCAACGTTTCGAGACCGTCGGTGTGAGGCCTGTGGCTGTGGTCGAAAATAGCATTTTCAAGCTTCATCTCCATCAAGTTCAGGAATTACTTTTCCGAGGACGCCACGAGCGCAAATACTTCGGTGAGGGAAAAGAATGGATCTCTGGCTGCGAGCTTTGTCCGCAAGGAACGCTCGTACTCGTGGTAGAGCGCTAGTACGGATTGTGGCTCGTGATGTTAAAATTGGAAGTACATTTAGAGATTAGGTGCGAGTTGAGACCCATCATTGGCTTGTAGTTGACGATGGGTAGAAGGAAGCGTTTGAGTGACTGAGAAAGTCCTAGGGCGGAGCTTAATGGACCTTCAACAAAGTCTATCTCTAATCTGCTTCCGCTGTTTGTCTAGATGAATATTAAAGTATCCGTCAGTTTCTTCCTAGAAGATGATAGATTCAAGTCGCGTACCTATTCGCTTTTTGTCATTTTCTGGTGGTTGCGAATAAATAGCAATTCTCTACTCTATCCTAAAATGTGTCTGATCAAGCACGTTGACAGCTCGAATCATTGTACTTCCCACTGGAACAGGAGAATTTCGTAGCATACGGCCATTTATTTCAGCCAGAGCTGCCGCCGATTGCCGACGTACAGTGGCCAAATTCGTTTGGTGTCCGTGGCAGGCCAGAGGATTCATGAGACCAATAGTACTCAGAGAGAGTTCGATGATATTCCACTCGCAGGAGGGCAGCGCTAGTACCGAAGTGCAGTTCGATAGATTGTCCGTAGATCTGCGCTGAGTGGTCACTATTGAGGCTCTATTGTGGCCTAGAACACGAGCTTTGTGATTTTGAATGCTACGAAAGTTGACGCGCCTTTTTTCTGTATTGGAACAAACTTGTGAAGCAAAATCCCAATTTGGGGCGTCTGAGACTCAGAAAAGTCTCTCAATTACGAGGCTTGCTGCTTGACAACTCGCGCGATAATCTCACTCAGATTCTCCTCTGGCAGCTCAAGTAGCTTGTTGCATAGCAAACCATCCTTCTCAAAATTCGCGCCTCTGTCCGTGCCATCGGCGTAGAGCAGCATCAGAATGAGTAGCTTCAAGCCCTCAGAGTGGTCCTTGTTATCCAGCCTCTTGGCTTTCTCCAAAGCTGCCTCTTCAGTCATTCTCTGAACGTCCCACTTCGCGCCGGTCGCTTTCTCCAATTCCTCAAGAACCTGTAATTGTGACACGGTGAAGGATGCCACAAACATAGGCTTGTTCTTCGTCTCATCGGGCTTCAAAAGCACCCTGCCCACAGCAGCGGCTACTGTTCCCATGCTTGTAGTCGACCACGGCTTCTCGCCGGAATCGTAGATCGTAACACGTTTTTCCTCCAAATGATAGTCGAGCCATCCGCTCTCGAGACCCCAATCAAAGAATTGTCCTGCATGAATAGCTGTCCAACTCAATCCAGTACTCTCTTTGGTCTTTAGGTACGCGAGGATCTTAGCCTTGTCGGCGTAAAGGGGAACAAGATCGGCAGCTGCGGTGCAGGTGTTGTTGCCATATTCAGAAGGGATGAAACGCTTGACTCCTGCTTGTACAGCAGCATCGATCATGCGAAGGTGAACTGTATAGGGTCGTCCAGGCAGCGCTGAGACAAGGGCATCGTGACCTTTGAAGGCTTCAACGAGCTGATCGAGTGGATAATCGTCATCTACCTTGTAGACCTTGATGTTCGAAGGGAAGGTAGACTTCGAACATTTGCGGGAGAGAACGGTTAAGTTGAAAGCGTTTGCTTTTTGGAGTGCTACAAAGACCTCAGTGCCAAAGAGACCTCCAGCCTGCAGGATGCTCTGGTCAGCTAATGTACCTGATGCTTGGGAAAATTGAGCCTATTGAGGAACTTACGCCCATCACCATAACATTCTTGATTGCTTGAGCCATTCTCTCAAGAAGAACCAGATTTAGTTGTGTTGAGTATTCGTGGGGTGTTTGGCGGGGTGATAATTTGGAAGCTGGGGGACCAAGACCCAACTCACTTAAATTTTCGATAGGTGACAAAAGACTTGCACACGATGTGGTATGACACCCGACGTCAGTCAGAGGCGGTCAATAGCAGCCAGTCTCCTTATAATAAAAATTTCCAGTCACCAATCACCCACACACCAGCATCTCAACACAAACAAGTATTTTGCGTGCACTTAGACTGAGTCTTGTCGAATGCTACTACGACAAATATCATGTCGACAGCTAACAACCCAATCTCCCAGCAACTTGCTTTGCTTTAGGAGGAACGTGCTTCTAAACGTTTTAATCTTGGGATACGATTTTGAGACTGACTTGCTCCTGCCGTCCCGGACCCATCAAACAGTAGACGTAGTCCATGGCCATCATAAGTCTATTACGTTTTAGAGCTAGAATGTTGATTTCATTTATGTTGCGTTGGATGATCAAATTAAGGTGTGTGTACGAAGTACAAGATGGTGAGGAAACCGAGTTGGAGGAAGATCTTGAGGAGGAAAGCGAGCTTGAGGAGCAAGATTTTGAGGCTACGGATGTGGACTCAGAGTCAGGACCAGAGTCGGAGCCAGAGTTAGAGTCAGGACTGGATGCGAATGAGGGCATTCGCATAGGAGGGGGATAATGTTAAGGCCTCAGGCATGACATATGTGAGGCGCATAAGCGAGGGCAAACGACGATGAGAGTACATAAAGGGCTTCACTCCTCCATCCTTCACTTGGTTCTTTAGTTTCAGTCTCATAATACATTCTGCTGGATACTAGTCTAACCGAAATCGAACCTTAGCTCATCTCTATGACAACAAGATCAACAACACCATTTTCCTTGCAGGAGATAGCCATGCTTCCTAGGTTTCTGACTTGGTATGGCTAGATACGCATCCCTATGACCCAGAAACTGGAGATGAGTCTATTGGGGTCGAATTTGCTGGCTCAGCTGTCAGTTCTCCCTGTCCGTACGGCCAAAATCTCACCCTGGCCAACGCCAACAACTATTCATCACTCTTGACAGCCGCCAACCAAGAACTCCAATGGCAAGATCTGTACTACCGAGGTTACTACGAGATTAGTGTTTCAAAGGAAGCTGTCTACGCTTCCTTCTTCGGTATGCCCACGATTGCGACCAGAAATGGCTACGAGATTTCCCTTGCAAACTTCACAGTTCTAAGCGGTGCGAATAAATTCATGCGTTCGGGCAACGCTGTGGCTGGGGGCGTGACAGAGAGTGGAAGTCTGAAGTACGGAATCACATCAGGAACGAACATCACTAGTACGTCAAGATCACCCCTCGTGAACTTAGTTTCTTGGGCCACTTTTTGGGAAGAGCTCACCTCGGCTCCTTGATATTTCAGGAAACTCATACTGACTTGTTAATAGATGACACCGCAACGGGTCTGTACTTCATCAGTAGCTACAACCTTGACACTGCCTGAGCGCTTGCCGAATGTCCCACGGGTAGACGGACATAAAAGACGGCACCAATGTACTTAGTGGCATTTCCATTACCAAAATACAGGATCTCCTGATTTCCTTTCTGAAACGAGGTCATGATAAGACATTTGAAGCCGAGACATCTTATCCTGAGTGTGAAAGACTCTCGTCCTAGCATCTCCTCGTCATATCTGCAGAAACTGAAATACTGGCAGGAATACCAAAATGTGGTTCGCAAAACATTCTCGATTACAGAGCATTGGCTAACATACCATTTGTTCCTCTGGACAAGTGGTCTTGAGCCCTCTAGTATCCGTTTCCATTAAGAATGCCACTCTCCACTAGGACGCTCTGGTTGTCACGTGAACCCTTCAATTTCAGCTTCATTTTCCCAAGACGGAGACAGATCCAGCCAACGCGTCATAGTTGCTACGATTGGTAGCACATGATCCAGATTCTTTGTTGATCTTTCTCAGTATTGGTTTCTGTGCAATTCACTTTGCGATGTTGGTGGCGTTCAGTGGCTTGGAGAACAATATCAAGAGATCTCAGGCTTCATATTGTTCTCGGGTGCCCTTTCATTCTTCACCGAATGCCGGCGCTAAGAAATTTTACCGGATCCAAACAATATGAGCTATCCATTTTTTTCACGCATCCCAAAACCCCTCCAGAGTTAGTATTGTTCAACACCAACCGAGAAATCATGATCTCTCCAAGACACCAGATTGCTCATATTGTTCGAGAGACATTGTTTCCATAGATCCCGTGGGTATATCAAACCGCTCTTCTTCCAGCTTTCAATCTTTCTTTTCCTTCTTCATACAACTGCATACCCTTTCCTGCACGCCTCTACAATAGACTTCAACTTCCTCGATCAATCAAGAAAGTCTTCTGCTTTGCAAGTACCCGATCGTCAAGATGTCTTCGACTATCACCCCCTTCGACCCGACCTCGCAGAACATCACCGTCCTCTTGGCTGATGGCGTCAACTCCGTCAATATTACGATTGCCGCACTGGATCAATTCTTCATCTACAATTGCCGGCTTTGTATCAACTATGCCGCCCAGCTCGGTGCGTGCTTGATCATGCTGATCATCACAGCCGTTCTCACCAAGGAATCGAAGCGTACCAAACCTGTCTTCGTCCTGAACGTCCTTTCCCTAGTCTTCGGCTTCTTTCGTGCACTCTTTCTCGCTCTTTACTGCGTCAGCCCTTGGGTCGAGCTTTGGGCCTATTCGACCTCTGATTACAGTCGAGTTCCGAAATCTGCATATGGCACTAGCATCCTAGGCACGGTTTTGCCTCTCTTCCTGACTGCCACGGTCGATGCCTCTTTAGTCCTCCAGGCCCATACTGTCAGCAAGGTCATGAAGAGAAAGCATTACTACGCAGTCACCGCGGTCTCTTGCTTGGTCTATTTATTCGCCGTTAGCTTCCGCTTCGCTGAGGCTGTAACCAACTCCAGAGCTATCATGTCTGATGGCTCTTACTTTGCCGAAGCTTGGATCACAACCGCGACTTTAGCAACCGAGACAATTGCCATCTGGTACTTCTCAGTTATCTTCACCGGCAAGCTCGTATGGACTATCAAGATGCGCAAGAATATGGGTTTCCAAAAGTGGAGCTACATGCAGATTCTTGCTGCTATGGGTGGTTGCACAATGATCATTCCTTGTAAGTATTTCTTCTCCCGGGAAAGAGGTTCCCTGAGGCTGACTTGTGCAAAGCTCTCTTTACTATCCTCGAATGGGTCACTCCATCAGATTTTCCCGAGGCTGGTACGTTGGCTATGACAATGGTTGCACTCCTCCTCCCTCTGTCCTCCCTCTGGGCATCGATGTCCACAACCGATCGCTCCGCTTCTTTCAATCTATCAACGCTCTGGGCTTCTAGACAGTCTCAAGAAGATATGGAGAAGAATTTCGGCAGCCAGTACACGGGCCCTTCGCATACCCAATACTCAACCGATAGAAAGGAGAGCACTGCTCCGATCAGCCCAAGCGCAAACATTGCTGTTGTCGAACACACCCCTGTCAAGTCCTCACGAGACAGCACCGAAATCGATTTGGAGCTGATGGGTGTTCGGGTTGATCGATCTTACGATGTCCACAGTGATAGGATCTCGGGCTACTGACTTGGTGGAGGGTCTCTCGGGCAATATAACATGCAGGCTGGTGCGTACTGAATTATGGAGGATTGGATGGATAGCGATGGATTAACATGGTGGTGGGCGTGGATAATTTCTTGTGCTAGATTGTGTTCTGGGTTGTGATATCTCACTTCCTGAACATATGCACATACTTCATTTCTTTATTTCTTTCTCTGTAAATTAGTCTCAAGCAGGTTGTGGAGAATGCAGCAGCGGTCCTGGGTCGTGCCTTCCTGCGGAAAACGCGTCGAATCCTGGTAGAGCAAGAGTCTATCTTGAAATCCAAGTCATTTCCACCAACATCGCCTGCCTCTTCCTTGCAAATACCTTGCTTCAATCGTGATTTACAACTGATACTCATCTAAGTATCGGTTCGTCGAATTGCTTTCCTGCAAGCTGATTCGTTCTAACACGCACCCCTAAACTGCAGACGCAGTCAAAAGATGCACAGTCGTACGGTCCAAGACCGAGCCTCTCCCGCACGCAATACCTATCATTTGAGACAGACAAAGTCTAGTCAAAGTCCGTCAACTCGGCTCCCACTTGCCAGCAAAGTACCTGCTCCCTCTCCACCACCTCCTAAAGCTCGGCCGTCTTCAATTCGCACGAACCACCGAATTTCCTTCAACTTGGTCTCTTTGGTCACCAAGTTCGAAGCTCTCGATGCGTTGAGCCTACCATTCAAGGTCCTATCATTACAACCAGCCCCATTGCAAGTTTCGCCTCGGCCTCGAAAACGCGGAGGCGGTACGGTGACGGGTCATTTTCGCAGGCTATCCACAATCTTCAGCCCACCAAGCAGGAGCGGCATCAACAATGACGATCCGTTCATATCTGAGGATGACCCAGTCCCGGGACGAGACAACCTTTTCAGCTCATCCAAATCGAGAACTTTTGGCTCGGCCACTGGCAAGACAAATACCAAGAAACTCAGAAAGGTTCAGAGCACGTACAATAATGGTAGTGTTAGAACCAGTGTGGTGGTTGCAACAAAAGCGCAGGGCACACCTGCAAGTAGCGTCACAGCACCATACGTGAAGAACGAATTTCCCAGCAGAGACAAGCGAAGCATTCGAGACATGATTAAGCTGTATGATGGAGGTTCGTAATCCTGTTGTATGAAGTAATGTCGGCGTATTACTGACATTTCGAGCACCATAGCAGCATCTGATGGAGTTCTTACCAAAGGAAAACCATCTACCATAGGCTCGCGTACACCAAACACTCCTACCCCCATTTCCAGACACAAACCAAGCGAGCTTCGATGCCACCTGAGTCCCTCGACTGGAAACTCGAGGCTAAGACTCCAAAAATATCACAGTAGGGAACTAGAGTCTCCGACAAGACTTTATCGGTTCTCGCAACGAAGTCTTCTCCTAGATTCACCAGAGGCCAAAAAAGAAAGTGTTGGACAAAACTCGCCCTCTAAATCCTCTGTTAGCAGTATGCATGTGTCACCCAGAACATATGATCGAGCAAGATATCAAGCTCCAACAAGGAGTTCAAACGCTCTCGACTCTCCAAACCGTTACAGGGCAGATGAAAACATCGGCCAGGGGATGCAGAAAGACTCAATTGCAAGGACTACGGTACGGCCAGAAATGGAGAGAGGACGAAGTCTCGTCCGAAAGAACGTTCCTGCTAGATATGATCGAAGACAAATCAGCGAAAAGATAGAGACGCTGTATCAAGCAAAAAGTATAGAGAGAAAACAAGACCATGCCGAAGCACAGAACTCAAAGATGTCGTTCCGCACAACAGGAAAACGCAACCAGCACACTGGACAAGCTCCTACCGATTCGGATTTTGGCAAGTATTTGAGAAGAAAATCATCGAAAGTTGCGGCGATGACAAAAATATTCGACAATGGCTCTGCGCCGAGACCTTCAGTCATGGTAGCTACTCCTCGGAAGAAACCCGTCTTCTCTGCAACATCTCCATTTGCAGAGACAGACAACACGCCAGCTTCAGGGGCACCAAGAGCACCCACTCCGCCACCAATGCCTTCGACGATGTTGAAGAGGAAATCCACGATTTCACCAAAGACCATACAGGAGCCTTTGGCCGTGCATAGCGAGAACAGCTTTCCTACCAAAGCGAGGACTCACCCAATACACCAGCATTCTTTGTTGCATAAGAAACCGTCTCAACCCAAGGGTAGGGCTATCAATGAGAAAATACAGCTTTTCGAAAATGTACGAGATGGCAAGGAGACTGTGCCTGCGGGAAAAAGAAGTACATTCGCAAGAAAGATAAGTCGGTCGTTGAGAAGCTTGTTTGAACCATCTTCTAGAAGAAGTGACGATGATGAAACGCAAGCAGGACAGAGAAGAGGTTTGAATGGGAGAGAATTGAAGAACATTGTTGATGAAGTTCAAGAAGCAAATAAATCAGTAAGGATTGGAAAGAGAACGAGCACGCTTACAGGACGATGGAATGGTGTACTACCCGCTCCAGTCGTAAATGGATGCGACGGTGCGATTAGCGAGAAGGGTTTTGGATCTCCATCAGCTGCCGAAGTACAAGAGATGGTTGTTAAAGAGGCAGAGTGTGGATTGAAGGAACCAAAGCCAGTCAGAATCGCAGAGGTGAAGAGAATGATGCTTATTTGCAAAGAGCGGTTCGAAGACATGATGGATAAAGACAAGGTACAGGCTCGAAAGTTTTGATACCCCTATTGTATTGAGTCATCTCGACTCTGTCCCGTAGCGAGAATGTTGGTATACATAGTGTTCATAACAACATCAATTCATGTTTATTCGTCTCGGCATCTTCAATAAGTATTTAAACCCATGCCTCTGCCAATCTTCTTCACAAGAGCCTTCTTCAGATACCACTCCCGTGCCAATGTCCTCGTCATCTTGGCAAAAACTGCTGGTGTGATCCTACCTCTCTCAACTGCTCGTCCTAAAACAAACAACGCATCTCCCAGACTTCGTTCCTCACACACAAGATCATAGAGCTGATTGGCAACTACTGTCGGAGCCACCAAGAGCTCATCCACATTAGGAGCAGTTCGGTGCTGACTTGATTCAATTACTCCGTCGGCATCGTGGAGAGCTGTATGTAAAATACTTGTGTTGCTGTTCAAGAGCGTATTCAGAGACTCGAGAGCTTGGATCTCGGCTTGCATACTTGAGAGTGTATTGAGCATGGCTTTGTGTTGGGCATCTAGACCTGGAAGACTTGAAGTGGTTTGATTGAGAGTATGCTGCCTTTGAGAATACAATGCTCGACCGAGATTATGGAGAAGCATGTCCTTTTCTGGATTTGGTGGTACAGGGGGAGCAGGTAGGTTTGTAGAGGATTCAGAGGGAACAGCGAGGACGAGCGGTGCATCGAGAAGATCTGGTGGTGGGGGGGGCTTTGGTTTTGGTTGCTGAGGCGCTTGTTGTGGGTATTGTTGCCATTGAGGTTGGCCTTGGTACGGCTGTTGCTGTGGCACGTACGAAGGAGGTCTGTTGGGTTGGGTGTTATATTGTGGATTTACATTCGAGACGTGTGGAGGTTGTTGATATGCTTGGCCTTGTGAAGACTGCCTGTAGGGTTCTGGAGGACCATTCAAAGGGGGACTAAACGTAGAGTCCCTACTTGATTGGCGTTGCGGCTGAGAAGGTAAAGGTGGTGCATTTTCGTATCGAAGAGTACTTATTCTTTGTGGAGCCTGTGGTTGTCCATTGGGTGGCGTTTGCTGGCCATATCGGGCATTGTCTTGATTGGGTTGTGGAGGGAGTGGTGGTAAAGGAGGGCCACTGTCTCTTCTCGAAGGGCCAGCGGCCGAGTAGGATTGTGGATCGCTGGTAGGCTTTGGTGGCGGGGGAGGAGGTCGAACTTGGTCGTTGGTCTGAGAAGGAGACTCGGAAATCGGTCGCCCTACACCAGGAGGTAATGGTGGGACTGGGGGAGGCGCTGGAGCTTGCTGAGGTCGAGGTGCCTGCTGCTGCCGAGATATGACTGGAGGCTCTTTGGCAAACACTTCACGCAGTATAGCTAAGAAGTCAAGGATGTTCGATTTCTAAGACCAGAATACGTCAGAATTTCAACAACCAACATCAAGCTGAAGAGAACCTACATCCCAGAATTCAGCCCACCCCACCAGGTATGGGTGGTATATTTTGCCTTGTGGATCGACATGTTGACCTGGCCTAACCATCATCCCCTCTGTTGGTGTGACATATACCAAAGGAGGCTCTAGTGGGTATGCATGGGGAACCCATAATGCGACAGGAAATCTGTAGGTTGTGCCTCGAAAGACGACGGGCAGGGTGCCTGAAAGATGGAGAAGTAGAGCTGATTTTCCATTTTCGTATGCTGCAATGCTTCAATCAGCTTGGAACATGGATTATATTGGATCGCAGATGCTTACTGTACACATCGGTTCGCGGAGACAAAGAGGAGTAATGCGACAGCGCCTGCGCGACGTCGTTGTATGTACGGTTCACATCTCTGTATTCCTACAAATACTTAGCATTGACTTACAGTGAAGCGCTGAAGATACTTACACTTGTCAAGACACTGTACAGCCAGTTCAAAACTTGCTGCTTGACAGCGGCCATAATTACTTGTCCAGAAGCATGCTGGTCCAGCTTGAAGCTATTCCCAGTGATGGTGATATTGCAGAAGCTTGGCTTAGTCATGTGAATGCCAAGAGAGCTTCCTCGGACAAATAATGTTCCATATTCCGGTGTCTAGAACAAACTTACTTTAGTGGCGACCAATGAAATGAAACTTCAGCCTTTTTTCATAGTGTTTCTTCTCTGCTCCACTTGTCCGCGACGTTCCGAAATCGCCCTCATGCTTTGTAAATGATCCAAGACCGTCATGGATATAAGTAATCCCATTGTCCCGTGGCGTTGGTATAAGTATCACACCATAACCCCACAATCCCACCATTTCCACTATCTTCAACCAAATTTTCAGTACATGCGCATTACCAAACTGATATCATTACGGCTGAGGAGTAAGTGAAGATTCTAAATCTGTGTTCTTGAGCTCTTTCGCTTGCAGAATAGACATGTAGCTCTTCATTGCGCCCAAGTTGGCAAGTTTCTCTCTTTTCGCGCTTTGGTTCTCAAGCGTTTTACAATAGGCAATGCTAATCACGATGTTCAGGTAATCGGACAAAGATCTGAATACTCCTTGCGTCTGGAATTGTACCCTGCTACAAAACCCAAACCAGAAGAATGCTTCCACCCATCCCAATCCTCAGCGATTACGGAATATCACCAAATCATGGTTTTCTTCCAGCTGACTTGCCTCTTGAGAGGCTTCCTGATCCTTACTACAACAAATGGGAGGCTATTGTCGCCAACCTCCAAGGATTGATTTTGAGTAAACGACTACGTGGGGTCATCGATCGACTCCCTATCCTTTCCACTGCGGGTCTGGAACATGACTCGGAGTGGCGAAGAGCGTATTCGTTGTTGAGTTTCATGGCCCATGGCTACATCTGGGGTGGTGACAGCCCTGCAGAGGTTTGTAATCTCCTTACAGCTTTGCCAGAATTGCGAAAGCTAATTTTCTATAGCGTTTGCCGGCCTCGATCTCAATTCCGTATCTTCACATTTGTGATTACCTTGAGGTTCTTCCAGTTGCCACGTACGCTGCGGTTTGCTTGTGGAATTGGAAACCTCTGTTTGCGAACGAACCAATTGACCTGGAGAATTTGGCTACGCTGACCACCTTCACCGGATCCATCGACGAATCATGGTTCTATCTTGTTTCCACTGCTATCGAAGCACGAGGAGGGCAAACCATCCCTCTCATGCTCGCTGCTATCGAAGCAGCGAGAGCCAATGACGGTGCTACCGTAGCTTTGTGTCTCCGAGGATTTGCTGAAGCTTTAGACGACCTTGGAACTGTTTTGCAGCGCATGCATGAGAGCTGCGACCCGACTGTGTTCTACAATCGCATCCGTCCATTCCTTGCTGGTAGCAAGAATATGGAAGAGGCTGGATTGCCCAATGGTGTCATCTATGAAGATGGCACAGGGAAGGAGCAGTATAGACAATACAGTGGTGGCAGCAACGCACAGAGCTCCATCATACAATTCTTCGACATCATTCTTGGCATCGAGCACCGTCCAACTGGTGAAAAGAAGGACCCTGCTTCTGAGAGTGACCTCGAAGGCACAGCTCCTCCCGCTAAGCACAACTTCCTACTGGAGATGCGAAAGTACATGCCTGGACCCCATCGCCGTTTCCTGGAGGACGTCTCTCGAGTCGCTAATATTCGCGATTATGTGGAAACACACCGCGACAATAGCGAGCTCACTCTAGCCTATGATGCTTGTCTTGCAATGCTTCGAGAGCTTCGAAGCAAGCATATCAACATTGTCTCTCGCTACATCGTCCTCAAGTCACGCGAGTCGAGATCCCACTCTCGTTCAAAGAGCCCTGTTGTGGAACGTCGCAAGGTCGACTTAGCGACGGCTTCCCGTCAGCACAAGAACGATCCCAAGAAGGGGTTCAAGGGAACTGGAGGCACTGCATTGATTCCATTCTTGAAGCAGGCTCGCGATGAGACTGGCGAGCCGGCTATTGACAATTGGGCAAAGCGTGTTATGAATAAGGATTCCCGCTCTACTGACAAGGGTGATTTCTTCTTGGGGAAGCTGGATAAGCTTCCTGATGGCGAAGTCGATTTTGGTGGACTGGCTGGAAGCTGGGCTCTTGACGAAAATGCTGGTGGTTTGTGCCATTACTAGGCTCTACCGTGCTGGCCTTCACTGCTGTTGCTCTTACAGATAACATGACATTTGCGCGATACAGTCTTTACCCTTGCACTGAAGATAGCTTGAGATTTACGCAATACAATCTTTACACACTGGACCTAAGTGCATGCTATTTAGTGACGATTTTGATATGCCACTTGATCTTTCCAGCTATATGAGGTCTTGATTCTCCTGTTGTGTAACTGAGGTTGTTAACAGAAAGCTATGTTCGTCCTACATCGTACAAGGCACCTTTTCTTGCAAGACTTCACAACCCTACACTAGCAACCTCTGCATTTCGCAATGAATTTATATTACCAATTACTGCAAATTAACAAACAACCCCCCATCAACCAACAACTGCGCCCCATTAACATACCCACTCAACTCCTCACACGCCAAAAACACCGCCGGCCCCGCCATATCCCGCGGCTCCCCCGTCCTCCCCAACGGTATCCTCGTCTCCATATACTCCCTCTTCTTCTCATCATTCAAATCCTCCTCATTCAACTGCGTCTTAATCGTCCCCGGCAACAAAGCATTGCACCTAATTTTGTGCTTTCCGAGTGCCACGGCCATGCTTTGCATCAGGGACAGGACCCCGGCTTTGGTGGGCGTGTAGTGTGTTTGTAGACCGCCGCCGACGAGCGCCGAAATGGAGGAGATGGCGATTATGCTGCCGCCGTTGCCTTGCGTGGCCATTTGGCGGGCGGCGGCTTGGCAGGAGTAGAAGGCGCCGTCGAGGTTGATTCGGACGGTTGAGGCGAAGAGGTCGTGGTCGAGGCTGGGAAGAAAGGGGGTTTGTTAGCTTTCACGTTCCTTTCTGTCTCTCTCTCTGTCTCTCGTATATATTGTCGTCCCAAAAATCCCCAGCAATTTCCGAGTTGAGTCAAAACAAAACCGACCAAATAAACAAAAGAGAGAAACCACAACAAAACTCACTCCAAAAACTCCGCAAACTGACAAACCCCCGCATTACTAACAAAAACATCCAGCCTTCCAAACTCCCTCACAGCAACCTCCACCAACCTCTTCCCCGTCTCCGGTACCGTCACATCGCCCTCGACCTCGATCAATCGTCCCGCCTTCTCATCTTTCGCTCTTATGCCCGCGGCTTCTTCGATCAGCGACGCCTTGTGGTGCTCGTCTCGCGGCAGGTTGAGATGGTTGATGGCGACGTTGCAGCCTTGTCGCACGTATTCGAGGGCGATGGCTCGTCCGATTCCTGTGGTGCCGCCGGTGATGGCGGCGCTTTTGGAGAGGAGGAGGTAGTGGGGCATGGTAGGGTATTAGTTTGTTCTCCTTTTGAAGGTTTGAGATGAGGAGAGAAGGTCTTGTTTGTTGGTTGGTTGGTTGGTTGGTTGGTTGGTTTGTCTGTCTTCAAGGCGGGTATTCGGGCATTGTGCCAGGAGACCTATCCAGCCATAAAGTTTTCGAGCTTGAGAGAGAGAGTCGTGGTGGGGGAGTGTTGGTCAAGTGGAGCTCTCGCTCGGGTTAAGAAGGACCCTTGTATTTTTACCCCGCAATCGGGGTTTTGGTACATCTACGACCGAGTTGGTCGTGGGAAATTGGTTTCGAGGAGAGATTGTGCATTTTGATGAGAAGAGTTGTATGCCAAGCGATTTCTGAGAAGTTGTCGAAAGTTCACGAGAGTCTCGAGCATTTTCATAAATTTCACAGCATACGATGTTAGGCATAGTGGGCCTTGCAAGTCTCAACGAAGAGAGGATTGTTATCTTGTGGTTCCAAATACTTTTTTTTAATGCTTGTTTGGAATTCACACTTTTCATTTCTAAGAGGGATTCATGAACAAATTTCCAATACAAAAGGGTATACACATATATACCAGAACAATTTCTGCGTGTGATATCCCAACTCCCAAGTAACTAGTTACAATACGGCATTCACGATGTTGTAAGATCCTTTATACTATCCACAACCCCATTTATAACTCCTTGATGGTCCTCAGACTTCTTCTCTTCAGCGACTTTTGGCGCACTTGCTGACGTTCCCAGTGGTCTCTCCGGATTTGGTGTTAGTAAGTACTGCGCTGGAATCAATCTAGCTGCTGGGTTCAATGTCAATCCAAACCCAGGCTTATCAAGTTGTGTAACATCCAGAAACCCCTTTACAGGGATTGGCTCGTCAAGGAAGAGATCTCCAAAAACAGGTAAAACACTCTTTCCATCGGGGGAGTTCGCAAGATATTCTTGGAAGGGGCAATTTGTCTGCGAGACGACGAAATGATAACTGTATGGTCCACTGGCATGTGGGACGACAGGGATATCATACGCAGCGGCCATGGCAGCGACTTTCAGGAGTTCAGTCAAGCCACCCAGCCACATCACATCTGGTTGGATGATGTCGAGATTTCGGCCCTCGATCAACTTTCGGAAACCATATCTGGAATACTCATGTTCGCCAGTGGTGAACTTGAGTTGAGGATGGGCACGCTTGATTTGTGCAAAGCCATCCGTGTCATCTGGGGAAAGGCATTCCTCCCACCAGTTGATGTTGAGGTCAAGACAGGCCTTGGCAATCTCTATCGTGTACGGGACGTTGAGACTCATATAGCAATCCACCATGATTGGAAAATCTGGCCCAACACTTTCCCTGTGTTTGCGCAGAAATTCCACGTTCTTCCTCAGGCCTTCATGCCCCTCCTCGGGACAGTATGGGAGTGGAACCTTAGCACCCCAGAACCCCATCGCTTTCGCGGACACAGGCTCTGGGCCCGTGCAGTAGAAATCCAATCTGTCTCTGGTTGCCCCTCCAATCAATTTATAAACTGGTTCATTTCTGACCTTGCCAAGCAGATCCCAGAGAGCCAAATCAATGACAGAGATTACAGCAACTGGAAGACCCTTTCGTCCATAAAACATGGCACCTCTATACATCTGCTCGAAGAGATGATTGGTGTCTCGCGGGTCCGCACCGATCAGGAATCGCTCGAAGTGCTGGTGGACGAGCCAGCACGCAGGAGGACCTTAAAACACCGGTTAGCCTCTGCGAACACGCAAGCAGTTCTTTGCCACATGCATACCTCCAAAGCCAGTTGCAAATCCAACTGTTCCATCCGAGCCTTCGATTTCCACACAAAAGGACCCTAGAACATTGATTCCCCAACTTGTTCTCGAAGCTCGATACTTCTCCCATCGTGACATAGGAGTCGATATGGGCGTATCAATCAACCGATGTGGATGTCAGTCACGCACGACAAGCGATTTCTCCGACACTTACCAATGGCCTCCTTTCACGTTGTGGTAATCCCCTCCAGATCCTACGCCATCGACGACAAATGTTCGAATTGCTTTAATGGTGGGGAACCCACGTACAGATGATGCTGCCATGTTTTCGAAGCTAGAGGAAGAAAGCAACGAGCAAATAGATGGGATAAAAATGTAGCTGTGGTATGAAAAAGAGTAGACGATGTCTTTGCTATTTACAGTCTGATTTTGTAGTAGAAGAAAGTAGATGGCACGAGTTGAACGGAAAGGAAGTCGAGCTTTGGTGGGGTGAGAGTGTCCACCTTTCGGTCAATCTTGGACCGATCGTGGATATTGGCCGGCACTGCTGGCTTGGGATTTTCGCGGCCGAGACAATCAATGAAGGATGCCATCTCGCATCGGCAATGCTCTGTCGAAGTCTCGATTCGACGAGACTTGGGACGGTCGAGTTATCTGCCGTCGCTGTGTAAGGTTGAACAAAAGCCGTTGATCTGCACCGCAGCCCATGTGAAGTTTGTGTTACTGCGGCCGCTCTAAAAAGGAAAGAAAGTGCTCCAGCGTGCGCATGGCAGCCACGATGGCGCTCGAAATCGCATGCAAACCAGCATCCAGGTTTCGAGAAGGTCGCACAGGGGTATTTTGAGATCTCGACTGCGACGGTTACATTTGTCCAACGAGGACAATTATGGGTTCCTACTTCGGGTCACTCGGAGGCGGCCACGACGATATGTAATTTCCATCAGTCACACGCCTAGCTTGACAGCGTTGTTTTCAACTCTCTCGACAGCTTTCTGCAGCGGTTGCTTGGCTGGTCCTTGCGAATCTGCTGCATCCCCCGCAATGCAAATGCAAGTCGCCTCTTTCGGATGGTCGGTCACATGGGGATCGCACCAGGATTTCCCACGAACATCGCGGACCGACTCTCGCTGCTCACTCTCGTATTCGTCGATGAAGACATCTCTCTACAGTATCTTTCTATCTGCACCTCATCCTGACGGCCGTGGTCCATTCGCAAGATCGCTCTCTCTCCCTGGCTCCTACAGGGTGTTGGTGGTCGGTGCAGAGCTGCGAATGATCATGGGCGCCGACTCGCCCACTCTGCCTGAATGCGACAGCCGAGGGGCATTTCTCCAGGTTCTCCCCACAAAAGCTCGCTATTAAATCATTCCGAGCCCTCGTTGGAAACTCGACCGAAAAAAACAAATCCGCGCATCTCAGCCTCAGCCCAGAGTGCGCCCGCGTCCACCTCCTCGATGGATATCAAACAATCGCCGCAGGCCTCCTTGCGCTCAGGAGGAAATCACCCCGAGAGCGACGACAATGCCTATAGCGAGGGGGATAGTGTCGAAGAAAACGATGAGCGGCCCCGCAAAAGGCAGCGGAGGCCGATGAGTGTCTCGTAAGAACCATGTCTCTTTTACCATTCGATGACAACATTGGGATTGATGTCGACAATCCCGAGCCTGCTACTGCTGTAACATTTGGAGCTGAAGCAGATGATGCAAATTTTGAACAAGATCAGAGCTTTCTAACAATACGTCGCAGGTGTGAGCTTTGCAGTACGCACTTATTCCCTCTTCTTTACTGTGTCGAGAGCATGTAGCGAATCCGACATGCATGCATGTCAGATTACCTCTCTGAAACAGCAACTATTCTCACCAGAATGTTTGAATGAAGTGTACTAACTCTGAAGTTTGTTGGGTGTAGAGCAAAGAAAGGTATCATATGCTTCCTGCGTAACATCTTCATTTAGCTAACCACTCAAGGTAAAATGTGATCGGGGACAACCTTCTTGTGGATGGTGTACTCGTAATGGAGCTATCTGTGAGTACAAGGAGCGAAAGAAGCCTGGCTTGAGAGCTGGGTATGGACGTGAATTGGAGCAAAGACTAGATAGGTAAGGACTTTCAGTAGAGCTATATGTCACTTTGCTTGACACGAATTGTGTCGTCCAATGTTGCTGTTCTTCAGAAACAGTGTCTCTACCTAGTATCAGATGCATTCTGTCAACATAGAGCTAATTTAAATAGGTTGGAGGATATACTTCGCTCTCATGCTCAAATACTCGAGTCCACCTTTACGAATCACAGCACTAGTTTACCTAGCGACCATGAAACCCCTCAAAGTGTACCTGGTTTTCGGCCACAAGAAACTTCTCGTAGTCATGTACCACATGCAGAGACAGCACTCTTTCTGCAGAAGCCTTCCACATTTCCTGGAAGCCAGTCAATGGATTTCGGCAATCAAATACCTCAGACGCCATCAATGTCATCTTTGCATAGCGACGTCTTTCAACAAGGAATGCAGCAAACTGGCAATCCTCATGAGGCAGCAACTTCTATGCAATCTGCACAAGCTCCCAGCTTTTACAGTACAACTCAACCACCTCTCGAATCGCCGAGCCTCAACATAACACAAACTCAGGCGGAGTTTTCTTCAGATCATGCTCTCCCGCCATACGACCTACTCTATGCTTTAGTCGACCTCTACTTCAAATATGTAAATACTTGGTGTCCTATACTTCACCGGCGGTCGACTCTCGACTCACTATTCGGGCCTGCTACCCTAGAAGAGGCGGACAGGATACTGTTACATGCTATTGTAGCAACGACTTTGAGATTCTCGACCGATCAGCGGTTGACCGAGGACAGAAGGCGGCATTACCATGACGTCTCAAAGCAGAAAGTCCTTTTATATGGCCTAGAGAATTCTTCGGTCAAAGCTTTGCAAGCTTTGGTGATCCTGGCATTGGATCTAGTTGGCAGTAGCAATGGACCTCCTGGTTGGAACTTACTGGCTTTGATCACTCGATCAGTGGTTCAACTAGGTCTCGCTGTTGAGACAACTTCGTTCTCCGTGTCGCCCAATTATCCTTCGATATATACCCTTCGAGCGATGGTTCTCCCTGAAGCAGACAACTTCATAGAGGAAGAGTCAAGACGGAGGCTGTTTTGGATGGTGTATCTGCTTGATCGATATGCTACCATAGCGACTGCGTTCGAGTTCGCCTTGGACGAAAAGGAGATTGACAGAACGCTTCCATGTAGAGACGACTTGTGGAACAAGAATCAATCTGTTCAGACCAGATGGTTTCGAACAAGTGAGAGAACAGAATACGACATCGACAAGCCAGAGAACTTAGGAGCTTTCTCCTATTACATCGAGATCCTTGGAATACTGTCTCGGATACACAAGTTCCTGAAGAAGCCAGTTGACATCAGTGCACTCTCTGATGTGGAACAGTGGCAAGGAGAATATCGAGAACTGGACAACATGCTCACCTCTTGGAAGTTCGACTTGCCAGCTGATTATGGAAACATGGCGAAACTATTTCAGCCCGGAGGGAATAAGTCAATCAACTGTGGCTGGGTAATGCTTCATGGTAAGTGACTCCATCTCGCCACGTGTGGCACAGAAAATCTGACATGCCTCAGCTACCTATCATACCACTGTCATCAGGCTACATTCTTCAGCTGCTTACCCGACAACACGTTCCCCAATCTTCACACCTTCCTACAGTGCCTCTCAACGCTGCCATGGTGCAGTCGAGAACATCGCTGCTCTCGGGGAATTTGTGTAAGGCGCCGTTTTGCATAACATGGCCTCTATCATGCTAACAAATCCGACAGGGTTCAGAATGGAATGCTCCCAAAACTTGGCCCGCCCTTTGCCTTTACGCTTTGGGTCGCCGCCAGATTACTGCTTGTACATGGCTCCACCATTGAGCATAAGCTCAGCCCGCAGATACAGTTCTTCGTTGATACTTTGAGAGAAATGGGCAGGTATTGGCTGGTGGCAGAACGCTATACTGCAATCCTTCAACGAGTGCTCGATGAACATCGAGACTCGGAGAGATCTGCAGGAGCAAATGGCGAGAGGGTCACACCGTCGTCGGTGAAAATACTTGCAGACATGAGGCGCTGCGCGTACGACCTCGATTTTCTGATTAGTCGCCAGCCAAAGCATGTGGGAATGGTATCAAGGCTCCCGAGCGTTACCCCCGCCCGAACCCCAGGTAAGTCGGCGCATTTCGAGGTTCCTTCTAGGCAATTCATGCGCCAGGAATACTGGCCATCAGCCTATCAGGTCCTGTTTTGTGCTTCTGCAAACTTCCAGTTCTATTTTCTGGAGTGTATTATTAAAACAAGAGTATGCTGACTCCGAGAACCCGGCACAGCCCCCAACGAATTAGAATACTTGGACGTATTTGATTTCTTCAACGTCCCCCGGCTGCCTCTAGCGCCGGGAGGAGGGGAGGTAGGGCACGATGCTGCTGGGAATGGCGCCGCAGGGGAGATGCATCTGCCGGAGTTGAATGGCTTCAAGTAAGTCCCTCCCTCCTTCGCTTGCTGTTTGAAAGAAGGAATTGCGCTAATTAGAGAACATAGTATCACAAACTATATGGCAAGTTTTTCCCACTCATCCTTCTTGTGCTGTGTGGCGTAGCCCTTATGCATATCTTCTCTGCAAATGAATACCACGCTCTCGGGTTCCCGAATCATGGACTAATGGTGCGACTAGGTGGATGCTAATTCTGATTGGTTGTTCAAGAACCAGTCTTAAAAGTTTAATTGTGGTAGTAGATAAAGGAATAATTATATTGCATGCTCCTTTACCGTGCCGCTTTCTCTCTTGCCGTGCATTGCATTGTCTGCCTGCCTGCCTTCCTTTCTATGAATAGAGATCTGAGAATAGATGGTTGATAGTTGAGGAATAGTAGTCCCAGAAGAGGAAGAAGGAGGAGGAAAGAGTTTCTTCAGTTCTGTCAACTAAATAGGACTAGAATTAGACCCTAGAACAAAAGCAGGAAAAGGAGGCATCTTCCACTCTAGCAACCAATTAGGACTAGATTAGACTCATTGATGGCATAGGTGAGCTGAGAGACTGGAAACAGGGTTGGAGTAATTGCAAAATCATATTCCTCTGCTGCAGATGCGCTATGCAGTATCAATTTCTTTTTTCTTCTTGCCTTTGTCTGGGCTAGGGACTAATCCTCTAACCTGCCTGAGGCGTAGCAAGAGATGCGAACATCGGTACGAGATGACCTCGAGATGAAATCAAACGATAAAAATGTAGAAGCAATCGGTCTCGAGGTCGGTACTTTCTCGGCTTAGGAGTTGAGCTTTCCTGAAAAGGTAGTTTCCGGATTAGCTTGTGTAGTTCGTACTATTGTTCGTGGTTTGAGTCTGCTTCTGGAAACTTTTTGGACAACAGACTTCAATGACTACTGCTTGGATTCCGTATCTCGGCGTGTTTTTCGAATTAGACAGCCTATGTGTCAAACGACTTCGTCCAATTGAGTTATCGGAGCCACAACCGTCTTTGAATTGAGCTTGACCAGGTAGTCAACGCTCTTGGAAGTTTCTGCTGCTCAAGGCACTCTCGAATCGATGACTCTGCGCCCCGCAATCACATTCAACTCCTCTCCTCGAAGGTGTCACGTCTCCATAACATCCAGGCATACTCGTACAAGCTTCCTCGATACACAGCCGCGCAGCAACTATGCATGACCAGAACACCTTAGTCCAGAGGCTCTCGTTCAGACTTCCAAACGGTCACCGACGGCGATCAATGAGTCCAGATTGCCTTGCTGGAGAGTTGAATTGAAGCAAACAGGCTACCAAAGCGTACAAAGGCAGCGAGAGGTAGCAAATAACTCGCGAGCTGCGAACTCAATTCATAATGTCCACACTTGTGGTGAGAGCGTCGACCTCGTAGCCTAGCAGTCCGGCGCATTCATGGCGGAGATAGTAATGCAGTGAGCGATTTTCCGGCAAGTCAAACTTGACGCCGAGTACATTCGTACGATCCGCGGATACGACGGTCATCTGCAACTCGAACAGAAAGCGGACAGAACTCAAAAGGCAACGATCGTTCGTGACTCCGACGGAGTCGTCATCGAAGTTGTGTTGGGACCTGGCCGTCGTGTAGCTGATTGTCGGTCATGAACAGTTTCATGCCTCAGTCAAATGTGCAGAAACCTCTGGGTCTAGCGCTGGCACGACCTCAGCTCCGACAGCTGGGAACTGAGGCTGAGGATATATGATGTTTAGTTATGGAGCAGATCGCACGATTTCAGGAGAGACAGTGATGCGTGTTTCATCGGCGCCAGGATGTTCTTTCGGATGCTTCTGAGACTCAGAGCTCTGGTTGTGGCCGATATACGAGGAAAGCAACCCCGCCACGACCGTTAGCATCGTGCTGTCGGAGTTTGGAAGGTCCCTGCCGTGGATCGTTCGCAATACCATGGCATGCGAAGTGCATGCTCTGCGGATCTTGGGGAGATCATCAAACCGGTTTCCGTCATATCCATCGCATAGGCAGCGATATACGATATACTCGACACGCTCGATACAGAAAACGGGTCGACGGCGCACGGGATGACCGAGTCAGACGGCCTTAAGTGCCTGAGGTGGTATTAGTGGCTAGTTAGTGGCTTAGCTCTGCGATCACTTTTTGACCCTGGATTTTAGGAGAGAATCGTAAGAGAGCCAATCACGGCTCCCCGCCCATCTTCCAGAAAGACAAAGTGGAGCCGCTAGAACGTCTTGAGCCGGGTCGCAGGGTCAACGTCGGACAAACCGTACAAGGCTGCATGAAGAGTCGCGAGGCAGAATCGCCAATGTCTGGTGCCGGTCACTGATACGGCGTGGTACGGCTGCTGGGATACGACAATCGCGGGTATCATGAACATCACTTGAGATCTCAACTCAAACTCAAACTCAGACAGTGCGCATATCGACCAATCGTAGCCGCGCTTCGACGGGGATCTCTGTCTGCCCTTTTTCTCAGGGCGTAAGTCAACCAATATCAGACAGCCTTTTGCAGACGCCATTTCCCAACACTTTGCACTTGCAATTGCTCGTACAGTAGTGCGGTGATTGTCCCCCCACAACCGCAACGTCTGTGAACAGCTCGACCTCGGTATGGAACCCGGGAATGGGACTGAGGCAGCAAAAGGGCTTCTGTGAAGACTCAGGTCCCGATCTTGCTCACCGAGATCACGCATCCTCAGTATCACAGTGGAGATACAGGACCATAAACGCGGTCATTCAAGTACCTGTATAGCTGAAGTATGACTCCATCTCTTGTCGACTGACTAGGTAGAGAGTATATTGCGGGTGGGAAACCAGGCTGCTACGGGCGAGTTGTGATCCTGTACGTGCCTCAGGAGTCAGGCCGGGCGTATTCACACGAATGAGATGGGCGTGCTACACAACACGAATTGCTCGTCTCGAAAGTCCCTGGTGTCATGGTGTCAGGACTCAGGCGGCATCTTGGGAGGTCTGCAGCGGTGATTTGTCGACGGTAGTTGGCTCCAACGGCTTTCAACGAGCCATCGGATTCGTTTCCAGCACTTCCACGACCCAGGGGGGAGTTTCCGGCGAACGCACCGCCTGCATGGATGGATGGATGGATGGATGGATGATGCAACGGGGGAGGAGATCTCTGGTTGGTGGTGGCAGACGCAAAATGGGGGATTCGCAGTCCATACAGACTACAGTATTATTATTTTTATTATTATTATCATTATTATTATTATTTCTTTCGGCTGTTTTCATATGAGAGCGAGCCCCGTGCCCGTGCTGCTGCTGCCCTGCCCGCGACAAGGCCAGATAGACCAGGATGTGGCCTAGCAGGGCTCGAGATTCCAAAATAGCACCACCCACCAATTGCTGCTGGCTGCTGCTGACGTCTTTTTTTCGCTTCCTCGGCGGTCTGCGTCTCCACGACCGCCTTTCCATCTCGAGACGAAACATCCGACTTACCGCACGCAACGGGACTCAACTGCACAGCACGCTCTCACTCTCTTACTCTCTCACTCTATCTTTCGAACTCTTGGTAAACCCATGCTCTTCTTTTGCTGCTAGGCCTAGCATCATCTACAGTACTTGCATGGCGCCCGCCTAGCCGCACAAGTCCGAACGAAACACTACTCTGCACTGCAGCAGCAGCAGCCATGCTCGGCCTGCGTCCTCGTCCCTGTCTTCTCTAACCCTTTCCTAGCTCTCTCACCTCATGATCTCTCATCGACGCGTCAAACAAACCCCTCTAGTTGCCTACAGGGTCAACTGCCCGCCAAACTGGCATCGCAGGACGCCCGCCCTTTGATTAGCCTCTCTGGTAAGCTATACCGCTCTGACTAACCTCAAACGAGCTCCAGATGGTGGAATGGAGAGAGACAAGGTACAGTACTGCTGCTCGAGAGGCTGAGCTTGACTCAGCAGCAGCTCTCTCAGCCTTCGAGGTCCTTACTCTTTCTTTCTGGTAAGCAGCCTCGAGGACAGACCATCGGTTTGGGTTGGTCCCCGGAACATACCCTCGACATGCAGGAGGACTCCGGACTAGGACTGCTTTTCTGGATTTCTCTCCTCTGACGATACTCCACCCTCGACTCATCCTCTTGTCTTGCTCCCTCCCTAGTTCGACCACCTGCATACTAACCTGCAGGTGCCATCTATCCAGATCCGCACTCACTCACCCACGTTGCTGCCTTAGGGTAAGACCTTTCTAGTCTTTATAGGCTTCCTCTCCCTCGGTGCATATGACTGTTTTCTTGCACAACCTCTCATCCTGTCGTGTCTGTTCCTTAGATTTCCTTTGCTCAGGCTTCTCTTTCAGTCGGCTCCTTAATATCTTTCCTTTGCCCTCTTTCTCAGGTTCAGTTCTAATTCAAATCTTTACCCTACCTGCCCCTCTATTGCAATACCCCGCCATATCTGATATCTTTACTACACCACCACGTCCACTTCGAACCAGCGCTCGCAACATGTGTTATCTGGTAGTGGAACGATATAGCGTCTGCAGATGCCTATACTATCAACATTCGGTTGATATGTGCTCTGCGTATGGACAGAAGGGTCATGGAATAACTGAGAGAACTGTGTTGGTTGGGTAGGTGGAATTTCCGTTCATATGAGGGTAAAAACTGACTTTACACCAGGTACGCCTGTGAGAAACACACCAACTACCAACAAGAAGCATCTTCGTCGAGAGACGGCTATTCGGACAGCGGCTATGGCACAGCGAGCCATGGATCGCATCACCACTCATCTCGCCGTCACCGCAGATGAAACGTACTGTCTTCGATAACTGGGTGTTCATGGCTATCATCAACTTTGGTCCGCTTCGAGTTTGACCATTGGAGGCACTATCTCTTCTCATTCCGGGCAAGGACGTCCTCTGCGCCGCCCTCACAGCTCACTCTCCTGCTCGTTGGCCACGATCGATTTATGTCGTCTTCTGCCCCTTGAGAGTTGCGGCGCAAACCCTTCCCCGAGTCAATCCGTCCCCATCACCCCCGCCTCCTCCTCTTTTCCCCTGCCTCCTCACGAGATACGAACCGAACCACGAGCGAACGAACGAAACGCGCAATGCCATGATCTTCACGAAGTTATCGAAGGCGCAAAGAAGGGAATTTACAAGGGCACAGCCTATACACTCATGAACACGAATATCGACACACAATCATTGAAGATTTGCATAGCATAGCGGGTTTCCATAGCATAGCGTCGGCATTGGGTCATTGGGCATGGTGTTCCTTCTCTTCAGCGCGGCCAGTTTCTGCCTCTCGTTTCTTTGCGATTTTCACTCTCCTCTATCTTGCTTTTTTTGGGTTGCATGGGAAGGATATGATACCACACGGTGTTCTGGGAGGATCTTTTTTTATACACATTCTGGATTTCTTTTTTCTTGGTTGGCAATGGCTCTTTCTTTTCTTCAAATGATGCAATCTGGAATTCATTATTTTCATTGCCAAGCGCAATTGTTTTATTTTCCTATGTCAACACTAAAGGAGCCAGTCTCCAGCTCAGGCAGCCAAAATCATGTTGTTTTTCATTGGAAGGATCAGGATCATTTTGTACAACGGCTGAGCCACAACTACCGTCTTTGAGTCATTATCACCATATGTATCAGCTGCGCTGAGCAACTTCTTCTACCGAATTTCCTTCTCTCTTTTGCGCCGTTGCATTGCATTCAGCGCCCAGGTGACACAAAATCACCCGGGCAGGCTCAGGCAGTCGCGCTCTCTTGCATGGCTGGCATGTCGTTGGCAGGAACCAACCGACCAATGGCGCATACTCTGTACCTTCTTCCTTCAGGTACCCAGGCAGATACCAAATTAGCTACAAAAAAAACGCAAATGCCAAAGAATTAAACATCTCACAAACATACATGCATATATTCCTCCGTGTTGCTACACCATACAGCGAACGTCTTCCCCTCCGCAGCAGCCCCCAAAATACACATACCACATCCTCAGCGGACCTATGAGCGGCTAGAAGTGCGGTATGTAATGCAAATGCGAATGATACCCCTCCCTACCGACCGACCGACTCACCTAAGCGGTAGGCGCGAGACACTTAATCCCGGTCCGGCTGTCTGTAATACGTATCCAGGGACTCGGAGTGATATCAAAAAGCACAGCACAGTACAGTACAGTACATTACCAAGCTTTAATTAATTGCCCCATATCCATCCTGGAAAGAAATGCTCGAATATCGTCCTATTAGAACAGAACCTTACATCAGACGGCCAACTTGTTAGTTAGTTATTTAGTTAGGGAGACGATCACTTGGAATTAAAATATCGAGGTACTGTACGGTACGCGGGAGCTATTTTTAGAAGCGTGTGATTCGCCTATCTATCTGATCGAGGGCCCCACTAGGTCGATCAAAAGACAGGTAGAAGGAAAGAAAAAAGGAAAGGAAATGTTTGAGGTGTGATAGGCGAGGATACGTAGGTGCGTGCGTTTGGTGAGGTGAGGTGAGGCAGATTTAATGGTTTCTTTGGGACAAATGGCTTTCGGACGGATGAGAAAAGTGCCGTTTTCGGATATACAGAGACGGGAGTTCGCCACCACGCGTGGGATTCCCGATTAAGGTATGTAGGTAGCTAGGTAGGTAGAGAGGGAGAGAGGGAGGCGAAAGGTGGAAGATGGATAGATAGATGCAAAGGCTGGCTTATCTCCTGTCCAATCTTTCTTTTCTCTTTCTAAAATCCGTTTTTTGTTTTGTGGTGGTTCAGAAAATTAATTGCCTCGTCGACGTCCGGTACCTGGCATTGCATAGCATGGCATTGCGTTCTCAATCCTTCATCCTACTTTGCCCTCTGCTCCTAGCTGAATGAACGGATATGCTTTGCTTTGAGCCTTTGGGAAGGAAGGAAGAGAGACATGTTACTGCATCCATCCATCCAATAAATTGCGCGCAAGGCTCATTTCAATCCATCCTTTTTTTTTCTGTTCCTTCCTTCCAAACCAGGTAATTCCCGATTAGGAGGATTTTTCCTCACCAGCCACAACTGTAGGCGCCCGCCCTGCCCCCCGAGAAACTCTAGCCACGATCACGGACGGATCTTAGGATGGCGCAAGGAAATAGAGGGGCAAAGCGAAACCCGGCGCAATGGTTCGAAAGCGGAATGGTTGGGGGCTAAAAGGGGGGGGATGTGGTTACGTGAGATGATACGGGGGAATCAATCAAATGAGAAGAAGCGGGTCGTAAACGCAGCTAGATTTACCTACCCGTTTTGGGGGGCCAAGGACCGAGATACCTTGTGTGTATGTGTGTGTGTGGTATTTACAGAAGTGTTCGGGGAGTTTGGGGTTGGGGTATTACCAATCTGTCTGTGGGTGATGGATAGCTGAAAGAGAGATGGGAAAGGAAGGGAAAAGAAAGGAAGATCTATTGCTGTAGAAGGGAAGGAAGGGGTCTGTAAGCTTCGAGATTTTGGGACTCGATAACGGGGATGTTGGTTTGCCTCACTTAAAGAACGAACGGTCTTTCGCACGCACGCAATTTAATACCGCACTCGCTAGATAGATCCCGTTTTGAGTTTCTCGGCCGGTCGGGACGATGCGGGATATTCGTCTGGGGTATCGGGACTTTATCACAGAGCGAGCAAGACAAGACAGCGTGAGCGTGTTGTTGCCTGCCTGCCTAGAGGAGTAAGCAGTAAGTGCAGTTTGTTGCCACCGGCCTAGTTTTGATCACGCATCCCGCAATAAGGTTTGGAAACATGGCCACGAGATCAGGAATCGTACCTACCTTAGTTCGCGGCTGAGGCTGCATTAATTACTGCATGATATCACAAATCCCGACGATCCTTAATTAGACAGATTGAATTTTTTTTCATTTCGATTCCGCTAGCTAGCTTTTCGCTCAGTTTATCGTACATACATCAGGCTTGCAAGTAATGACTTTGCCAGTCTAGAGCGCTATTGCAAAGCAAATCCAAGCCAGTGCGAAACAGTTTGTGGGTATTAGTTCAGCGTTTCCTAGCTGGGAAAGATCTATGATGGTCTTTCAAAGAAAGCTCGCAAAGTTATAGGACACTTCGATGCCTCTGCCACGAGCCCACTCAACTGCGTCTCGACTGGTAGCCCGACAATTATCGAGGTTGAGCGAGGTAATACCCCGATCGACGAAATCCCTGACTGCCACGCCAGTGACATTTGTGCCTGATACATCAAGCTTTCGCAGACTCGGATACAAGCGTACAATCTCCATTGCACGTGCGTCATCAATGGGCAAGAGGTCAAGAGAAAGTTCCTCGAGTGAACCTGACTGAGGATACTCCTCATCGACAGATACGGCCGGGGTAGGGATGAAGCGTGCACCGAGGGAGAGTCTCTTCAGGTGACCATTGATACTTCCCTCGTAAGTGAGGTGCTTGACAGCTCTGGCATCAATATTGGTCCCATGGCAGTTGAATCTTTCAAGTAATGGCATAGTCGTGAGGGATACGAGTTCTGCTGCATCTTGGATTTTGAGGAGAGGATTATCGGCCAATATGAGGTGCTTCAAGGTGGGTGGAAGGATGGGGAAGCGTTTGAGTTGGAGGTTGGTCAGATCGAGGTGTTCGAGATGGGACCATGCCAACAGGTTAAGTCTGGTTGTCGAGGCATTATTGGCGACGAACTTCCAGCAACACAAGGTTGCCGAGACGAGATTTGGAGTTGCTGCTACAAGTCCATTCTGTTTCGAGGGTCAGTAAGCTTCTGAAGAAGAAAACACAGAGTTGAACACCATTGTTGCGTGAACAGTTTGTGCGGCATGAATGTGTACAAGCATTTTGGGAATAGGAATCGGACTTACCATATCCAGTCTTGATTTCTTATCAGAATGAAGCTCTAGATTCTTGATATTCTCGTTCTTCGCCAGAACCCAAGCACCATCCCTGACTGCCGTCGAGCTACCCTTGACCTTGAGGAATGACATACTGTCAAGATTCTCACACTTCTTGAGGCATGATTGGACAGTTCCGAGAGATGCTTCCGTCAGGCTAGAGACGTGAAGGATCTTCAGGTTCTTAGCAATGGGCACCGCTTCGCTCAAGGATGCTCCTATCAGACCGGCACCTTGAATCCTCAACTCTCGAAGGTCTTTGCAAGTATTGGCGAGGAGTCGGAACTCTGCATCATTGAATCTGGCCTTCATTGTGATAAGCGCAGAGTCCAAAGTATACTTCGATCGCCTGAGATGGATCTTTAGAGACTTCATGTTCATGGGTCGCTTGCAGTAACTTGTGTCGAGCTCGGTCCACAGATCCTTTATATTCTCTAAGAGATGCTTCCAGGGCTTTGAAACAGCTAGACATACGCTAAGAACTTGTTAGTAAGGAAATACCCAAAGAGGAAAATTCTTCTTACACCCGATCTCGCATGGTAAGCTGTCCACAGACCATGACTACCAACTCGGGAGGTAGATGAAACATAGGATCCCGGGTTCTTGCTGGTGTCAACTTGATTCTCAGCTTCTCATACTGTTCCTTCAAAATCTGAGACTCAAGTTTAGCCAATGCAGTGATGGATACTGTTGGGAAGCATACCACTCTACCCGGTCCTGGGGATGAGATCTTGACCTTCGACAAACCTCTTCCGTATATTTGCAAAGCGAGGTCCGTCTTCTTAGTGAGGCTCAAGATCTTGCCGCATCTCAGATAGCCCTGCGATGTGTCAATGCTAAGTTACTTTGAGGACAAGGAATTCACCATACCTTTGCGAGCTTTGGCATCATCTCGATCATTTCCTTGGCATCACGAAGAGCTAGCTTGTACATGCCCAACTTCTCGAAGGTCGCAGCTCGATTGTCTAATGCATTAAGCAAGAGATGTTCAGTGCTTCCTTGGACAGCCTGTACTCATTGATCAGCATTGAATATTTCATCTTGCGCCTAAGTTTGAAAGTGAATATCTCCCGGGCGACCAGAACTTGCACGACGATATCATGACAATTCGTCGATCGTCGGACGCCCAGACTTGCCGGTCGCCAGAAGTCGTAGGGAAGGGCATGAGATCGGAACATATCATATCATACCTCGGAGAAAGCTTGAAGAGCGCCCTTATAATCCTCCTCCGCATACAATTGTCGACCTCTCTCTGCGGCATTCTTGCCCTTCATCGTATTCTTCTTCACCTGGATAGTCGGCATCTTGAAAGCCACCCGCTCAGCAAACGCGAATTATTCGGATTGCGAAACGAATCTTTTGATGGATTATACATGATTCTGGTCAGTCGCGAAATCAAAGTGGTAGACGCGATGCTGGTCCGTGCGTTGGTAGGGGTCGTGACAATATCACCCGTGATGCCCACTAGCACAATAGCAGCGGCCGCTTACAACCCCTGAAATTTTGAGACGTTAGTGACAACAACACTTCACTCCATGCAGACAATCAGACATCAAACACCTTTCATAGGCATAACTAAAAGCGGGTATCAACATTTACATCATACATACCGTTAAAGGTTGAATCGGTCTTCTATCCAAACCTTTCAGTGTCATGGTCACCTGCATCCAGTCTTCTTTTGTCCACCAAAGTCTCAGACTTAGACACATGAGAACAGTCTTTCCAAGTAGGCAAGAATTCAAACCCCAAAACAAAACTGCATCGCAAAAGTTCTCCATTCATTGTTCGTCTAAAAAATATGCTGTTTGTCGTCTTTCATTCCTCATAACCATAACCAAACACAAAACATGTGTACGCCAAACGCCTTCTCTTCTTTCCTTTCCTAAGCAGTCAGACCCTCTTTCGCCCAAGCAATAATATCCTTCCCATTCTGCACATTAATCACACCCTCCGACCCATCCCAAAACATCACACCTCCAAAGTTATGCATCTTCATCCCCTCCACATGCTCCGCTATCCCCATCATTCCTTCTGGTCCTCCAATCCCTTCATACGCTGTCGGACCTGCTGCACTCCAAGCCGGAGCTCCCAGGTAGAATTTTGGTTTTGTAGCCATGGTTGAAGTACTTAGTACTTGACTCCACTGCTTCAGACTTGCTGAGAAACCTGCACTGCCAATCTCGCACGAGGGGTTATTGTAGAACTGCACCCAGACGAAGTCGCAGAGGAGCAGGAGGGCCATGGGATCAGAGGCGTCTGGAAAGGGGCACTGTGGTGCGGAGGAGAGGTAGTATGTTTTCGCTGTTGTGTGGGAGAAGTGGTTGCGGAGGGTAAGGGCTAAGGCGTCGAAATGTGCTGGCATATTATCTTCGTTGTCTGATTTCCCACATTGATTAGCATCATATCCACTAACGATCACAACAGGACCAACATACCAATATCAAAACCATCAACCTCGACCGTCCCAAACGGCCTCAACTGCGGATCCACATTCCCAGCCGGTCCAAAAACATCCCAAAGCACATCTCCCAGCTCCTGCGCTTGTCCTGGTCCAGAGAAGCTGATCTTGCTAGTCGATCCTCCCACACTTAACAATACCTTCTTCCCATACGTCGCCTGACATATTTGAATCTGACTCGCCAAACCAGGACACCAAAGCAATCCCGGCGCTTCATTGATCATCATCTGCGTTTGTCCTCCACACGCTGCACCAAAATTGATAGAAGGATATTTGCCACCGTCGAGCTGCGAGATCACGAAAGCGAGGATCACGATGTCGATGTTTGGATCGGCACATTGCGATGTGAGGGTTGTGGTGGATGTGGCGGGCGATTGGCCGTAGTAGACTGCTATATTTGTTGAGGAGCCAGCGTTGAATCTGTATTTGGGGTTGTCTGCGCTGTTAGTAGCTAATGAGTTTAAGGTGAAGGGAGGGAGGACGCCGATTGGTGGGAAGGAGGCGGAAGCTGAGGGTAGAGGGATATTGGCGTTGATTGAGGTTGCTGGTGGTAAGTACTCGGGGACTATGCTCGAGGGAATGGGGATAGCAACTGCGTTTGCTGATGTTACTGGTAGAGAGTATTCGAGCACGACACTCGAAGGAATTGGAATGCTATCTGGGATGACCGAGGTGACTGGTGGCATACCGAGAACTACTACGCTGGAGAAGACCACTTCCTCGACGAAACCACTCATAGAAGGTTGTATTATCTCCGTGATGGTAACACTAACAGTAGTCGTCCAAGTCGTAGTAGTAACTCCATTACTCGGTAAATATGCCGCTGAACTAAGAGCTAACGGCATCACCGTCATAATCTCGACGATAACAACATCACTCGAAACTGCTGGTGGTGGCGGAGGCGGTGGGATTGGTGCTTGTCCATCGAGCAAAGACAAAAGCTTAAGCTCGATAATCCTGAGTTCCTCGATAAGCTGCTTTATAGTTTCCGCCGAAGCAGTGATATCTCCTGACGGGACCTGTCTTTTCACAAGATTAGCATGGTTGTTGTTGCATACGTACTTGCCTATATTTGTTAGATCTGGGACCTGGAGGAAGGTGTCGGGTTTTCGGTGGGGGATATATCCGCCGAGGACGGAGTCGAGGAGTGTGGTGAAGAAAAGAAACGAGAGGAAGAATTTGGAGGATTGGTTTATCATTGTTGGTTTGCTTGTAGGAAGCAAGATTTGTATTTTTGGGGTGGTAAAATGATATTTGTAGGTTCGAGGTTGTGGTAGATCGGTCCATGGCGACGCATTCCACGCTTGTGGGGTTGAGACAAGTTCCAATGTCGGAGCAGATCTCCTGAGGTGAGCTTCTAAAATGCCAAGAAGTTGCTCTGCCAGCAAGGAAGTAGTGTTTCATATCAGAATGGTGAGAATGGCGGGTAACATGTCCAAGTCTCTTTTTCGTCCGAGAAAATCATTTTGCACACCGAGATCTTATTGAACTCAACACCTGTCAAATTTCTCTAGCCGGGCGCTAGAAGCTTCGTAAAAGGTGGGAGTACACCAGTTGAGAGCTGGTTAAACTATTTCCTGTGAACGGTAAGCCTTATGAAGCGCGAGGAGCAAAGATGTTCCTAAAATTTCCAGAAATCAACATCAACACTTGTTATACAACCCCCCTGAGCTGCTTGGTCACGATTTCGAAGCTATTCTGATCGCCCATAAGATCGTCTTCTCCCCATCAAGCAACAGCCTTCATAGAATAGATTCCGAGACTCGAAGAAAATATCCTCAAAACATCCAAACACCAAAACAAAACAACCACTCCCTCTCAACACCTCCCTCTGGAACCAAACTAGAAATCGACTCCCCCTTCCATCTTCGAGTCTCACCCCACCCAACTTGACAAATTCCCGAAACTCTCAGCCTCGCACCATGATATTTTCAGGAGCATAAAAGATGAAAGATCTATGACATAGGCACAGACAGACCTACATCGAAGACAGGAATATCTCTCAATCCCGAATTGGAACAAAGTAAATCCTCGTCCTTGAATTCAATAACAACTTGACTACAGCAGACATACTAAAATACTTACACTTGAACTTTCGTGATCTTCAATAGATTTGCGGTGTCGACCCTCGCCCGCAAAATGCGCATCCAGCGCGGACAGCGCAGACAGCGCAAATTGTGCACACAGCGCGAATCGCGCGAATAGCGCATATCGCGGGAAAAGTGCGAATAGCTGGTCATCAAGCAATAAGGAGGAAAATACAAACCTCTTAAAGACATTAAGTAGATGTCAATGACAAAAGATCTGTAATAGCTAGCTAGCTATCATAATTACTGAGGAGACTACTCCTAGATGCACGTAGTGAACGAGTAACTCCAACAGTCTGCCAAGATCCCATGGATTTCGAGAAGCTGATCGAGGAGACGAATCTTTCGAAGGGAAATAGAGAGCAAGCATTTAGAAACCTTCAAATCACAGGAACATTTCCCGCTCAAAATGTAAAGAATCCATAGAACAACGTTGTCACATCCTCTGAAGTAACACACCCTCACCGTCCCGCCTCTCCCAGTTCCACAGCATTTCCCCTCTCCCTCCTGCTCATCGGGGCACTGCCACATCTAGTACATACACAAACAGGTTCTCCCTGTACCAATACTTTTCTTCTCTTTTCTCAGCAAGAGTCCAGTCCTTAATAACGACGCAAACCTTCCCAAGCACAAAATGCCCAAAAAAAAAATGACAAGAAACTTCAAAAATGGTTCAGCTTTCACAGCACAGCTTACTTCCTATCTATCTATCAAAACTCGCGTGCCGTGCTCTCTTTATTCTCGTTCTCGACCCAATACGTTTACCCTGACCCACTCAGCCATATGAAGTGGGCTATATATATATCGGGCTTACTATTGTTGTGATAAATTCAATGCATGGGTCGACGAACATTTCGATTCCTGTCGTGGATTGATTAGCAGGACAACAATGAATTTAAATTCTCTTGGCCTCTATTCTCGCTGAGAACAAGAGGACTGTGGCAGATTCGTCCCTCGTTGGCTATTGGTGCTAATGCTGAAAATTGTGCGAGATATTCGATACTCAAGAAAGCATATCAAGCATAATTCGAATGGAGTAAATGACCTGCCAACACTTGTTGGGCCATAATATACAGTCTCACAAGAGAGTGAACAGAAACAAAAGTGGAAGAGGTTCTCAACCATTTCATTAACAGTCTTAGATTATTAGTCTATTTACTTCTTGGTACGCCCAATTCCCCGTCGGACCTATTCTCCTCAATGAGAAAACCCAGATCGGCTTCGAGTCAAGTCATCGAGGACGTCCAATCAAAAAAGAGGCCCGCCTCGGCCGTCAAATGTCCTGTGTGCGTGAATAGCAACGGTATCAACAAATGCCTCCTTGATATGCCTTCAACCTTTCGGTCGATATGTAGTGCAAGTGTTTTAACAACAAAAGAAAAATTTCCCGTCCATGAGCATGATAAGTAATGTAATGTAAACGCCCCCCAATGGTATTGTGATATACTACAAGTGCTTCCTCCCGTGCTTTGCCGTGATCGTCGAATTGACTTTTGGAGAACAGGTCTGGGAACTAAAAGTTTTGCGAAATGCCAGCACTTTGTTGTGGGAAGTGTGCTGGGTTTTCGATGCGCGTGTTCCGTCGAGCCTGTACGTCTCGAATGATTGGCTGACCACCCATTTCGGCTCGTCCTGGAGGGCTTCCATATTGAGTTTCAGGACTGTATGGATTGCCGGCATCGTATTGATTCGTGCCATTGTAGTATTGACCAGCCCCATAACTTCCTGGAACCTCCCCAGAGCCGTCGGATCGATTGGCAGCACTGTACGAGGACGACGCGTTCGACGGTCCTCGATTAATGTCACTTCGATTGCCAGACGCTGCAGGGCCCATCGCGCCTAATGATTCTGCTTCGCCAGACTGCGGACGACCGTCGACCAAAGGATTATCTGACCTAGTGTCAGAAACAGGGCCATGTGTGGGTGATGTTCCTTCCGAATAAGCCATACCAATACCTCCAGGGGATTGACCTCCAGAAAGAGTGGTTGAAGCTTTCCGTCCTGACGAAGCAACAGCTGTGGTACCCCATCCACGATATCCAGATGATCCTTCCTCGCGCATTTCGTATGCACCATCTGGTGAACCTACGCCGCCAACAGCAGGCAATGTGGGATCATTGTTTGGATTGTACCCATATTCCTCGACTTCTTTCCTCCTAAGCTCCTCGGCATCCTTACGTTGCTTGCGTTTTCGCCAGAAGTACAGACCAGCTAGGACAATGAGGGCAACTGCGACAATAGGAACGACCACAGCAACAGCGATAGTTCCTCCACTGGTTAATCCACTGCTGGTGCTCTTGCTCCCTGTCTGAAGGCCTGCAGTCGAAGCGGCGGATGAAGAGGATGAGGTTGCTGAACCGGTATTTGTAGCTGTGTCTCCGCTACCAGCTGTTGAAGTCTGAGTTACGGTAACTGTGGATCCTCCGGCATTTGTGCTGGTATGGACGATGGTCGTCAATGATGCAGTAGTGGGCGTGCTACTAGTAGACACTGGCTGTGATGTTGAAGATGGGGTGGATGATGTAGATGGTGTACTGCTGTCAGAAGGAGATGATGTCGATGATGGTGTAGTTGAGGTACTTGATTGTGAGCTTGTTGTAGGTATGCTGACGGAAGATGAAGTGGAGGAAAATGACGAGGTGGAAGAATCCGAGGAAGTAGAGACTGTAGGAGTGGGACTGCTGTTAGCAACTGAACTCGACGATGATTGTAGAGAAGAGCTCGTAGGCGTCGACGCCGCCTGAGAAGAAGACGACGCTGACGTCGATGGAACACCGGTGTCCGTACTTGTAGAATTAGAAGACATCGTGAACTGCCTGAATCTGAGATCCCTTGGCCGTCTGTTGTACATCGCGTTGTCAGCCATGAACAATACGAGGAACGATCTCATGGTGTGAATGCTGTCATGTCGACAGCATCCGCAGATGGAGAAGAAGTTTGCAACATACCTCACGCCAGGATCAACCTATGCAGCACAACACACTCGCTGGTGGAAAGGGAAGGCGTTGATGTTTCGAGCGTGGCAGGAGCGTCGGACGTGCTCCTGGCGACCTTGATTGAATGGGCAGACGGATTGCTGGGCGGCCGCCGATCGCTGCCTTCGAAACGTCGAAAAAATAAGGGCGGAGACAACAGCAAGCGAATGCCTGTTTCTGCCAGAAGCGCGCGATCGTCGTCAATGACGGTGAGAAGAGAGTCGAGTTGTTTTGAAAATGAGGTCTGTCGCGGAAGAGAAGGTTGGAGGAGGTGGGCCGACAGGAGAGGAGGAGTGCAGAATTGAATTGGGATTGGGATTGGGTTGTGCTGCTCGCGCGTCGGCTGAGTCGAAATGAAGTGAGACACCCAGGACACACGGTCCTAACTTTTCAGGGTTGCCGGCGGACGAGTGAGGAGTGCTCGAATTTGCTTTTCACCCGGAACGAAATTAGATGGTGGCACGCCGGCCTCGACCGCGACAGTCGGAGGATGTCTGGCTTGTTGAAACGGCGCAAAAGTATGGGATGGCGATACGTCGTGGAGGGAGGTCGGGAGGTCTGGAGGTCTGGAGGTCTGGAGGTTGAAGATGGCAGACGGGTGTGAAGAATATTTGGATGGAGTTGTGGAAGAAAGGTGAACAGATGATAAGTTGGCACTTGGATGAATTAAAGGGACCCATCCAGCACCAGCACCACTCGCACGGCCACGGAACCTGCAAACAAACTGCACTGCGTCTGCGTCTGCGTCTTCCGTACAATTACACGATTTCCATTCGAGGCTAAGGGGAATACGGGCAGAAGACGGTTACACTAGACTTTAGCAGCAGTGACCAAGCTGCACCAAGATCGCATGCGAATTCAAGAGTCTGACCATTTCATCCACCATCGCCCGCCACGACTGCTGAATGGTCCGGCACCACAGTCGATATCGCACTTTCACTGCAAGAGGTAAGCGCAGCATCATCATTGACGAATCCCGCTCTGTTTATTTTCGACATTCCTCATACGAACGATCGACTACTGTACTTACGGTATGGACGGACGGTTTGCTTTGGCTGCCGGTCATCGATGGCTTCCTGCTCGTCGCTCGCCACATGCAAACTGCCTCTGCCTCGCTGAGTACTGAGTATACTATACACAGTGCTGAGCCGCATCCAATCCCACGGACTCTGGCTCTCCTCATCATGTGGAAACCCGACGGTTATTGGTTTCCACCACATACGAACCCAAAGATCATTGGCCTCAACCACTGCTGAAAGGCACGAGAGCGTTGAGGCTGTGCCCCAGAAGGCGAGAAGGCTCACCTGAAAATCCCCAAACCCTCCCGCAACGTTACGGTTGCGCCTCCACCACCGAAAGAAAAACAAACCTTCACGATGTCTGGTTTCGGAGCCAGACATCTGATCGTGATCGTGACTTGTTTTGCAGACCGAGGATCGGGGCATTGGGATTGCATCAGCCCAGCCTGACATGACAATCGCATTATTCATTCAAACACCAGAAAAAAGCGAGGCCTCTAGCCATCTTCATGCATCGTACACTACGAGTTCCTCCCTAAAGACGTCAAAGTTGTGCGGTTTGCCAAGGCGAGGAGGCACTTCGGACTCTCTCCGTCATCCTCATATCGAAAAATGCACATAAGACCACTGCTGCGGTGAAGAGGAAGGACGATCTTCCGTTACGAGTAATATTAACATCTGCATCACTCAGCGCACCACAGTAGGTACATTACATCTCACCACACCCACCATTCTCACTTCATCAATCCATCTCGAATCTCGAACCTCGGGGCGGAACTCCGGGTGAAGAGTCATGTGCTCTGAGACGAGACGAGACCGCAAGCCTTCCATCTCCACAAGTCTCACTCTCGCACAATGTATATTCATATTCAGAGATCGAATTTTGGCTTCCACAGTCCTCGGCCTCAACACAAACTTTTCTTCATGTGCTGCAGAAACGGGGTCCAGGCCAAGAAACCAAAACCTACCGGCTCTGGCTCCTCACATCCCGCTGCAAAGACAACTGCACTCCTGTCAATCACGCCCACGCACTCCCACTCGCAATAATTATCCATCTGCACGCATGCATGCACTCATCTCTCAATTCTCCCTTCCTTCAATCATTTCTCACCCTTCCTTCCTTCCAACCTTCCAGATGCACTCCTTCCCCCGAACCTCGCTTCCACACAATAATCACTCTCTCTCTGCCTTGGAAACGTCTCCGGCGACCCCCTTCACCGGGATCCTCATTCGTCAATTCCTCCCCCTCATTCCCCCCTCCTTTCTTCCACGCGGAAATTAATCATCTCGTCAAGGGGGGTCCTTGTGCGCGGTTTGCGATTCTTGTTTTTTCTTTTCTTTCTTGACTAGGACTAGGACCAGTGAGTTGAACCGACCGAGTCGATATCGGTTTAAGGTCAAGGGGTTTTTGATATCGGGGGTTTGACGTCAGGTGGATTGAGGACTGGGGAGGGGAGAAGGAGGAGTTTATTCTGACGTCTGCTTGAATGCGATGAGATGAGATGAGATAGGATGAGACGAGGTGGAAAAGGAGGTACTGCACGTGACATACCTATATTTCGAGATGTTACATCTTACTTATTTTCGTTTGAGCACTATATCATTAATAGATAGTAAAGTGAAGATTCAAAAATGGCTTCCTTCAACTACAAGAATAAAAAAATCATGACATAGCTACACGACTCTCAAAAAGCAAAAACTTACCACCAAGAGAAGAAGACCCCTTGGAAAGATATATATATCCCTTACAACGAACTTCAAATCCACTCCCTGTTCTTCAAAGTCTCACCTCCTCCCAATTTCCCGCTAGAAAATGAGCTCACTCACCATATCATACACTTGGTATAAAATATAATATAACCCCCCCCCCCAACCCACAACTCCCAAAGAACAAATCCATCCATCCATCCATCCACAACTCCTAAGCCAAGTTCCTGCCCCAATACCCTCCCTCATTGAACGCCTCCACCTCCACCTCCACCTCCACCTCCACCTCCACCGGCACAGGGACAAGGACAAGGACAGTAAAAGAGAATCCAACGCCAGTGATCGATCCACAAAGCAGAATAGAGAGAGACGATTTAACAGATTAGAAGTCCAGTTTGATGAGGTCGCTAAAAATGTAACTCGGGGGGGATGGGAACTTATTGGGTTGAGGGGGTTCCATTGCTCTCTCATAGAGATAAACTACCACCTCGGTAATAATTAGAAGTCCAGTTCTAAGCTCAGGGTCACCTCGAGGATCAATCAACCTGAGGAAACAATTACAAACCTACACCCTCTCACAACAGACATATCACATCTCAATCGAAAAGCAAATGGCACAAGTTCTATGTATCAGATTGTCATCCCATTGCCATTTCTTATACTATACAAGAGCCGGACTATGATGAAGAAACCCTTCCATCCATCCATCCGTTCAGGTCGCAAAGGCATCTTTACATATGCAACACAACTCCTCACCACCACCACCACCAAAGACGACGTGGAAAAAGAAAAAGTTGCTTGATCCCAGAACCCCTCCTCCATCTAATTACGAGAAAAGACATTAGCCAGAGCGTTTGTAGTATTTGGTTTTTTTTGCTCTGGAACCAGAATTTGTTTGCGTGCTATCATGAGTTCCGCAGCCAGCAGCGACTCGTTGTGAACACATGAGACGAGACGAGACGGGAGATGATGGATGGCTGGCGGTGTAGGAACAAGTTGGTGAGAAGCTTGATGTATTGGTGGACGGACGGTATTTTCATGGTGAATCGAAAAGGAAATGCTCGCTCAAATGCATCGAGAAAGTGGTGGCCCAAACAGGCATGCCCACCGATGGAAAACTAACAGACATTACTGTTGGTCATTACATCTAACTACTCTGCACGCATTCCCCATTGCGGCTTCAACGTAGTAGCGAGGTCGTCTTTGGTAAAAACAACGTCCTTGGGGATGCGGCTGATGCGGTAAGCACCATTGCGGATGGCACCGAGTTGGGTTTGTGAGATTCCGCTCCGGTTGCTTCGAATACTGCCTGCATCACTCATGCTATCGGGATCTCTGAACTTCTTGGGTGGTGCGAAGTCCAGGGATGTGAAGGTGCCCGACTTTCTTAGCATGTGACTGCTTGTTCATTAGTGTACTGCTAGCTTTGACATTTGTGACTGAATTAACTTACGGGCTTGGTATCGGCGCAAGTTCATCAAAAGCACTGACGACAGGAGCAAATGCCGGAACCATCGGTGAGTATGGACGTCTCTCGCCGAGTGGACTTTCGGATCGGCCAGCAACACGATCACGGTAGGTCTGAGGAGGAGCAAACTCGATGGAGCTCATGAGAGCAAACGAGTCATCTCTCAGCTTGGATGGTGTAGGCAAGCTGTTAAGAGGAGTTGGTGGAGGCAGAGGTCTCTTTGGACCAGGCTTGGCCATGCGACCAGAGGCAGATGAGTATGCTCTGGGTCCTGGAGGAGGTCCACGCATACCACCAGTGCTCATGGCTCCCATAGAGCCCTGTCTACCACGGGGCGGTCCTGGAAATCTAGGTGGGCCCATTGGAGGTGGTGTCATGGCGCGGCGAGTAACAGGTTCCGCATATGGCATAACGAAAGTGTTAGTCTCGGGATCGAAGTAGGCAGCATCACCAAGGTAATTCTCGTCGTAGTCTTCATAATATTGGCCTTGGGGAGCCGGCTTACTGTCGTCAAAGTACTCCTTATAGAAAGACCGAATCCTGTTTGCTCTGACCTCGGGATCGTCCGACTCGGTAACGACATTAGGAGGCAATGGACGGAAACCCATTGACAAACGCTTAGGATCAAAACCGGGGGCGCCTAATCCAGCTTGAGCGAATTGCTCAGGAGGGACATCCATTGAGTAACGCTGACCACGCATCTGTTCTCCACGACCAGGCGAAGGAGGTGTGACCTTGAATCCATCACCATAGTCGTTTTGGTCATCCATGTTTGGGGCTTGAGGCATTGATTCTTTACGGGCAGGACGGGGATTTGTGGGGAGCGTATTGATTGCTGGTGGAGGTCCTCTACGAGCTTGTTGACGAGGTTCAGGTGGAGGCGCAGGCTCCTTCTCCATGATCATGGCAGCCAGATAATCATTGCTTTGTCGGAAGTTCGCAGGGTTGCCGTTGCTCGTACGGATATCACGAGGCTTTTCAGCAACTTTGGCTGGTGGGTTCAAAGTCTGTCCTGGTCGTGGGCTGGTTGGGAGGCCTCTGCTCTGACTCTCTGGTGATCCTGGAGTCAGTACTGCAGGGGTCAGGACTGGCAGGTGAGCCTGAGGTGGTTCAACCGGGTAAGGAGGTGGGATGGAGTCCACTGGGCTGACTGATGCGTTGCTCTGTGGAAGAGAGTTTTGACGTAGAGGACGGGTGAACTCTGCACTTGGAGGATGGCTTCGAGGCATTTGTCCAGCGTTCGCAAGGAGATTTGATGATGTATCATGCAACTTCGACGGTGCACTTGATCCAGTGTAGATTGAGGAGCCTTGCTTTTGCGATCGAATTGATGCACCATCCCCTGGGTAGTACTGAGTTACTGGTCGATATGGATCTTCTTGCTGGTGAATCGTCCTCGAAAGCGAGTGGAGAGATTCTCGAGAATTCTGGAGCTCCGGTGGCAGGAGATACGGACTGCTCATGTTCAGATCCATGGAGACTTGACGGCGACTCATTCCATTTGGGCGCATCCCACCCTTCTCTCCTCCATAGCTCATCTCCGACATGTTGGTTGGTGCTCTCTTCGCTCGCAATGGCTGCGGCACATCTCCCAGACCGAAGTCCATTGATGCATGTCGGTCATTAGCATCCTCCTCTCGTTGCTTGCGGGTATGTCTTCGCTGCAGAATTATGAATAGAATAGCGGCTCCAACAACAGGAATGCTAGATCTTTGTTAGGTACCATCGTATTGTATTATGAGACCAACTTACGCAACACCAAGAATAATGGGCAATGTGAATGTCGAGTTGCTGACGGGCTTCTCACACGCGCTGGCTCCGCAACTGCCTGTCGAATCGGCTGAGGATGTGGTTGTGGTTGTGTCGCGCACCTCTATTGTTCGATCAGGAAGGGCCATGTTTATCGCTGAAGCCATTCTGCCAATTGTGTCCCCGACAGGAATCCGACGGCCCAGCCTAACAATATCTCCAATATGTGCATTCTCCATAATTAAAGATGCGAACAAGCCTTGTGCCAGCGAAGGGCTCCGTCGCACGAGGTCAAGCAAGCAAGCAAGCGGGCGGTCGGAACAACCAAGATCGGGAACGGGGCGACGCTGTGGAGGAAGGAACGACTGGATTCGAATAGAGATCGGTCATGAAAAGGCCAAAGGTTATCGTGGATCGTGTTGATGGGCTTGTTGTTTCGTGAGTCAATCTCCGCAATATGCTGGCAATACTATTGAAACGATGTAAAACCGCAAATAGAGCAAGTCATGGGCAACAAACAAGGCGACTGGGAAAAGAGTGACTATGGGTGAATTCGAAATGGATGCAAGGAGCGGAAGGGGATTGTTTGTCGTGAACCAAAGGAATGGCAGGCCCGCTGGCAGGCACTTCTGTCGTCTCGAGGAATTGACGGTGGGCGTTGAAGGTGAGAACGATGAAGCTGGGCTGGGACGAGGAGAAGAAAGAGAAGAGACGAACTGGACTGGAACTGGAACTGGAACAGGCGCTGTGATGGGCTGGGATGCACGTTAAGACAGACGAAGGTGGATTGGTCGACGGACGCCGGGCCCTGGCTAATCGAGCGCCACTAGACCGAGATGGGCAAGGTGGTCGGTCATTGGCCCGGCTGGGCTCAGGGGACGAAACAGTGGAGGGAACCAGCCAGCATTCAGATCCAGAATCCCCCATTGGCGAGATGAGGTGAATGTTACTGTAATGTCAGTGTCGGTCACCACCGTCCGTCGACGATTGACTTTTGCTCTGCCGACCACTCACTGAATCATCATCATGCAACACCAATTCGCGGAAAGGATGTTGTTGTTCTTCTGCAGCAGATGGTTCAACGGGATCACGATGGTTACAGTACCATTGTACATACATACAGTATGTCTATTGATAGAACCGCTTGCTTGCTTGTTGCTGGCTCGTCCTGAGGAAAGACAAGACGGGAGAGGAATGGTGGATGTGACTGTGACCATCTCCATCTCGGGGCCGTCTGGGATAGGTCTAGTCAGGAACACCTGGCCGACAGGGATCACGCAGCCTCATCAAGCCTCATCTCGCATTCGTTATTCGCTGGCGACACTGACACTGACACTGACACTGACACTTCTGCCGTCGGGCGAGACTGCCTCTTCCTCTCCTCCTCTCCAGGAAGATTATTCATACAGTAGAGTGACCTGCGACGTAGGATCGGTCACGGGAGATCATGAGATCGCAGCTGCGTTTGGACTCTTCACTTCAGTTCAGCATTTATTTAGACTTTTCGGCTTTTCCCCCTCAGACCTCAACTCAGCAGTCAGAAATCATCAACCTTATCAATATTTGGCTTTCATTTTCAGGAGTCTGCAAATCTCCTTGCTCTGCCCTGCTGGATAGGGATAGCGGTTGGTGCAGGGTGATTGGCGGGGATCTAGGAGATTGAGATTGAGATTGCCGCTCCCACTTTATTATTTCATCAAGAACGTCAAATTCAGCCAGGCCGTGCGATATTGCTTACGATTTATGAACGAGTGAGTGGAATTGCTTTCATAAAATTGAGCGTCTCAATTTTCATAAATCATGGCATTTTCCCCTTCGTCAGCCGACGACGACGACGACGACGTGAAGAGTGGAAACTTGGTTTTGGTTCATGCTGGATGCTGTTCGGTCGGAGATATCACTCGCGATTGGCTTAAGCGAACGGAGCTTCAAATTTAATTATTAGCCTGAGGCCAACTATTTCAAAAGAACCACAACCACTCTTCAACTCCATTTGGAATTTTGCCTGACACTTCCACCGCTTGCTCGCGTGACTGTCTCCGGAGATAAAGAAAAACATCATCCAATAATAATGTAATATCAAAAATCATGGCAGACTTCGACCTCTCTGCCAACTTCATTCCTTCCCTCCACAAACCCGCTTCCTTACTGCCCATTGCCAAACACAGGCAAAATCTCCTCTACCTCATCGAGACGTATCCCGTTACCATCGTAGTTGGTCAAACCGGATCGGGAAAAACAACTCAGATACCACAATACCTTGAACAGGCAGGATGGTGCTCAGACGGAAAAATCATTGCTGTCACTCAGGTAAGCCAAAATCATCAAGCGCAAGAAGCATGCTAACATATTCAGCCTCGTCGAGTAGCAGCAACTATTGTGGCTATTCGAGTCGCCGAAGAAGTGGGTTGCGAAGTCGGTAAAGAAGTCGGATATTCAATCCGATTCGAAGACGTTACTTCTTCCGCAACCCGCATCAAATTCCTCACCGATGGACTACTACTCAGAGAAGCTCTAGTAGATCCCCTCTTATCACGTTACTCCGTGATTATGGTCGATGAAGCCCATGAGAGATCACTGAGTACGGATGTCCTCTTGGGTGTCCTGAAAAAGATCCTCAAGCGGAGACCAAATGATCTTCGAATCATTATCAGCAGTGCTACTTTGCAAGCTGAAGACTTCCTTCGATTCTTCATGAACGATGAGGATCTTCAGCCAAAGTCGTCCAAGCCGAAGGAGGTCAGCTTAGATGAGCTCATCTCGGAGAGTAGTTCTGGACCTCAAGATGACGCTTTTGGAGGCAAGACTGGACGGATCATCAGTCTCGAAGGAAGAATGTATCCCGTCGACGTCCTCTATCTAGAGACTCCAGCAGAAGATTACGTTGAAAAAGCTGTACAAACAGTATTCGATATCCATACCAAAGAGCCCGATGGAGACATTCTCGTCTTTCTCACAGGCCGAGAAGAGATTGATACAGCAGTCCAAGCCATCTCAGAGCGAGCAGCCACCCTACATCCACGTGCCCAAACAGTAATGCCTCTTCCTCTCTACGCCGGCCTCTCAACAGAACAGCAAATGTACGTATTTGAAGAAGCACCCGAGAACACCAGGAAAGTCATCTTCTCAACCAACATCGCCGAAGCCTCCATCACCATCGACGGAATCCTCTACGTTATCGACTGTGGTTTCGTCAAACTCCGCGCCTACAACCCCTTGACGGGAATCGAAACCCTAACCGCAACACCCATCTCCAAAGCCTCCGCCACCCAACGCGCAGGACGAGCCGGCCGAACCAAACCCGGCAAATGCTACCGCCTCTACACGGAACCAAGCTACCACTCCCTCCCCACGACCACCGTCCCAGAGATCCAACGCTCGAACCTCGCCCCCGTGATCCTGCAACTCAAAGCCCTGGGCATCGACAACATAGCCCGCTTCCCCTTCCTCACCTCCCCGCCCTCCGCCCTGCTCATCCGCGCCCTCGAACTCCTCTTCTCCCTCGGCGCCCTCGACACCTACGCCAAGCTGACCACCCCCCTCGGGACCCGCATGGCCGAGCTAGCCGTCGAACCCATGATGGCCAAATGTCTCCTCTCCGCCCCCTCCTTCGCCTGCCTCCCCGAGATCCTCACCATCGCCGCCATGACCTCGCTCGGCGGCAACATATTCATCCACCACCACGACGGCGAGAAGAAGAAGATGGAAACCGCGCGCCGGAAATTCGCCGCGGAAGAAGGGGACCATATCACGCTCCTAAACGTCTATCAAGCATTCATCACCAGAGGCCGAAAAGAGCCCAAGTTCTGCCACGAGAATTCCCTCAATTTCAAAGCGTTGAGTAGAGCGGTTAGTATCCGCGCCCAACTCAAACGCTACCTCGAACGCTTCGGCATCGTCGTCGCGGAAACGCTGTCCTCTTCTTCAAACCCTAACCATCAGCCTCTCCCCCTTACCGTAGGAGGGAGAGATAAGGGGGAACAGATCCGACGCTGCTTAACGACGGGATTCTTCGCCCATGCGGCGAAGATGCAGCCTGATGGGACGTTCCGGAATGTAGCGGGCGGAACGGTACTATATGCGCATCCGACGAGCTTGATGTTTAATCGCAAGGCGGATTGGGTGGTTTTTCATGAGGTGGTGGAGACGGGGAATAAGACTTTTATTAGGGATGTGACGAGGATTGAGAAGGGGTGGTTGGTGGAGTATGCGCCGGAGTTTTATAAGATTAGGTAGATGGATGAATGGATGGATGAATGGATGGATTTTGAGGTTTACTTGTGTTTGATGGTACTAGATGATTAGCAGTGCTGAATGCTGGAAAATAGGAGAGAGCTCTGTGAGTCGTGAGTTGTATTAAAACCCGAGACATTCAAGCATACTCGCTTCACTGCTCTACTACTCGTGAACTCTCTCCTAGCTCTGGAGCTATAAAAGAAAGAACAGCAAGTTATTAGTGTGGTTCGGCGAAGACTCGGAGTACATTATTTAATAGCTGCATTGTGCTTCGATCACTTTTAAAAGGGAAGGCTAGTATGCTCTCCTGAATAAAATATGCTATCATTGTAAAGTCTATCAGATCAAATGCATATCTCGTAAAACCTCGAGCTTCATGTCCGCACCTATAACGCCGACCATAAGCGACGAATCCTCCCCATAAGATCTTAACCATCCAGAAACCCCTTCAAACACACAAAACCACTACACCCTCACCCCACCATCCTCAAAACTCAAACAACTCCGTCCTCCCCCACCAAAACCGACTCTCCTCCGCCGCAAACCCATCATCCCTAACCTGCACCCCAACCCCCTCCCGATGCCCACCCGCTAACTCATCATTCCCCTCCCCAAAAACCAGCACCCTCGCCTCGTCACTTCCCCCCTGATACACCGGCCACTTCGCTCTCCCCGCCCACATCCCCTCTACCGCATTCGGATCCCCACTCGTCACAAAACTCGTCCAGTAAGCATGCATACACCCCGAAATCTCATCCACCACCCCGCCCTTATCCCTCCTCTCCGGCACGTAATTAACCCACGGGATATGAGACCCATGATCCGCGCCGCCCTTCACCGAACTCCTCGCCGCAAAATGATACAGGTAAACCTCTGGGCCATCATGGCCAAATATCCCATCTCCTTTGACGTCCGAGAAATAGCGAGCAGTCTGCCGAACAGGCGCTACGTAGGCAAATTGTCCATACGCTTGCTCGAGCCGCAGAAATTGTTTCCCGAGACCCTCTCGAGTCTCGAGGTACTTGGACTCTTCGTCTAGATTCGGATCCGGGTATAGCTCGTTTAGTTTCTCTAGATCTAGTTCTCTAAGCCCGGGAAGGAGGTTCCGAAAGAATTCCGTGAACTGCTTGCCCGTTTCGGCGGATTTGGGGACGAACATGGCGCCTTCGTTAGTATTGAAGCCTGTTAAGATGGGCACTTTGTGGAATTTGCCCGCTTTTAAAGAGTGAATGGGAGCAACCGGGATGAGGCCGCCGGGACCGTCGATGACGGGTTGGAAGGGCCAGCGGAGGGAGGGGTTGTATTTGTTGAAGATGGCTTCGGAGGCCTTTTTAAATTCTGAGGTGGAGATTTTGCGGAGGGCGGGCAGGAGGTCCTTCTCTGGGGTGGAGGCTAGGTTTAGTTTTTGGAGGAAGTCGCGGAACTGTTTCTCGTGGAGGGGGTTAGAGTAGGAATAGACGGCTCGGGCGGTGGGGGCTCCGGATTCGAGGATTGCTCTGTGGAAGGGTGGTGCGATGTCTGGTTTGTGGAGGAGGTGGTGGCCGATCTGAGGATGTCAGTCTGGTTTGGACATTTGAGGTATATAATTAAGACCATCTTCTCATGGACAGATGTCAATGAGAACAACAGTATGAAATCACCACTTACTGAATGTGCTCCAGCACTACTCCCCATGAGAGTCACATTGTCCGGATCACCCCCAAAGGCAGCAATATTCTCCTTCACCCACTCCATCAAAAGCACCTGATCCTTCAACCCAGCATTCAACAGCCCAGCCTTCGCCATAATCTTCGACGACAAGAACCCAAAAGCCCCAACCCGATAATTAAACCCAACAGCAATCATCGGCTCCATACTCCACGCCACAAAATGAGACAAAGACCTCGAGCTATCGCCCGCCCCAAAATTAAACGACCCTCCATGGAAATGGACAACAACCGGTAACCTCAAATTCCCACCCTTCTCTTTCGGCCTATAAATATTGGCATTAAGACAATCCTCACTCTGAGCACCCGACGTCGCCGGGCCCGCTGGACACACATCCCCGAATAGCGACGCATCAAACACCTCATCCGAAGCATTGACCGGCAACGGGTCCATAAACCGTCTCTCGCCGCCTGTGGATTGAGCGTACGGAACCCCTCGAAACGCTTCGAGGATCTGGGGATATCCCGCTTCGAGCTCCAGGCCTACGATTTTGCCTTGGCGGAGCACCACCACTGGGCGATTCTTGTCATCGAGCGGTAATCCTGGGGTACCGTTCTTTCGGGGCATCAGGTAAAGTAGAAACAGGCCCAGCATCCCGATGGTGAAAACGGATGCCACTCCTCCCTTCCATTTCAGTCGTCTCCGGAGATTCGTCAACAGCGTCGCCATGCTTCCAGCTAACCAACTGATCGCTACTACCTATGAAAGAAGTAGACAGTCCCTCATCGTGCTTTCACAGAATGAAGAGAAGAGTTTGAACAAGTCACATTTTTCAGTGACGTCCGGGAAAAGGCGAGGGAGGCTGAAGCTACATACACGTCCAGGGGTATGAAGGGCGTTTGTTGTTGGGCGGCGGTTAAGGTTTAATACGAGAGTTCGTTACGAGGGTCATTTCATTTGTACGGCGTTTACTGCTCGGATCACGTGTTTTAAGCTATCAGCTTTCCCACAAGGTGGAGACTCGTTACGTATTGGCGTGTGGATGTGTGTTTGCTATGCTGATACGAATTGAGGGAGGAAGGTAATGTTGTTGGCCATCAGCATATGAATTGGTTGGTTTCCGGGGCAAGAACACTAGTAGTCCTCAGTGCTAGAATTCTTTGAATACACAGAAGTAAGAGCTAAGCTAAGCTGAATAAGGATAATTGTAAACAAATTAAAAACTGCTTCACTGCGATGTGCAACAAAAATTAACAGTAAGGAAATCAGTCAGTGAATCTAAGAGCTATAATTGCAGACAATTAATAGAAATCACGACAAGCAACGAAACTCAACTTCTATACACTCAGAGCCAGGCTACGAGATGCACCTGTGCCGTTTGGAATTGAAATGTGCAACAATACAGATTCTGAGACTGCATTGGCTCTAGATGGCATGTTTACTCTAAAGACTTTGGGAGACATAGGAAGCTCAACATGTCGCATATGAGTTATCGCAACCTACTGATCCTTGCGATATGCAATAAAAGAAGCTGTTCGGATAGAGTTGGTTAGATAGCTTTCTAGACTTGGACTAGGATTCGGACTTGTAAATAGTCTCAAGGGAGCTATTAGGATAATCACTGTCTAAGTATCCTGATTCTTCCTTCAAACACAGACATCAGAATGCTCCAGACGTGGAAGGGATTGTTATCATGGGAAACTGTTATTCAAGAATGATTTCCATTCAAACCACTACTTGACGAACTCGACCACGACTATTCCTACAATTTCGAATGAACCCTTTGCCAAACCTATGCGATCCCAAGCACGAAACCAACACAGAAACAATGCAACTACCTTGTACCTCTTCTGAGGAGTCAAGGGGTACGAAAGAATGCAGAAAACTCCTAACGCATGACGCTATTGACCGCCGCTAATAAGAAAACAGAATAACAACCTGAAAAAACATCGACTAAACCAGGCAAGACTTCATCATTCGACTCTGTTCACTCATGACTTCAGACCCATTTGACCACCTGGGCCATAGCCAGCACTCATGCCTTTATCGCCCTCAGCCATCTTCCTAGCCATTTGCTTCTCAGCCCATTCACGACTGGCTTGACGTCCTCGCTCAGCAGCTTCCTCTCTAGCTCGCTTAGCAGCAGCCTCACGATCTCTCTTCTCACGTTCCAAATCTTCTGCCAGCTTTGCATCGCGATTGTAGATGTCCCGTGCGCGTTGACGTTGGACTTGAACATCAGTGGTCGAGAGTGTGCGTTGCATGGCGCGTCCACTCATGGAAGGACCGTGTGTTGTAGGGGTAGGCTTGCGAACCGGAGGGGCAGCTTTAGCACGAGGGGCAGACATGTTGGCCTTGCTGAGCTCTAAGATCGACGGCCGGTGAGCACCAACATTTGAACCTCTCTTAGAAACCGAGATATCATCAACTCCCATATTCTCAAGTCCAATTCTGCTCTGTCTAGCTCGACTAGCAACTGTATCGCGAGGGACGAAGTCGGGAACGATGCTATTGCGGATCGGTCTAGCCTTGAATTCGCGACGCTTACGATCTTCCTCCTCTTGAGCCTTCAAACGAGCTTCATGAGCTTCTCGCTTCTTTCGAGACACTGCTTCACCAGGGAGCTCAAAAGTGGGATAGGTTGGAAGCTTTGTCGACTTGATCTTTGGCCCTGAAACTACCCGAGCGGTGTGAAAGCTGTCTTCGTTGGTTTCTCGCTGAGCCAAACGAGCTTCTTTTTGTTCCTTCAATTTCCGAGCTACAGCCTCACCTGGAAGCTCAAAAGTAGGACGAGTGGGTGGTTTAGTTGACTTCGCAGTTTCCTTTGGTGGCATGAGACTGAGTGGGCGTTTGACAGGAGCCTTTGCCTTGGGCTGGGCCTTCAGTTGCACTGAAGATGATCTTGACAGCTCCGTAGGGGAGGGCTTGAAAGTCATAGATGTAGCCTTCTTGAGAACAGAAGGTCGCGGCGCCGTGGCTTTAAGTCGCATTGTTGTGGCACCGCTCTTGGGCGGTTGAGCCTTGGTCGCGAGTGTCTTCTTGTCCATAATGGCTTTCTCGTTCAGATGAGGACGTGGAAATCGCTTTTTCTCTGGAGAAACGATCCGTTCTGCCAAGGCCGCTTGATCAAGAGCATCTAATGCTTCTTCAAGTTGATCAAGAGCTTCGACTGAATCTTCAATTCTGGAGACAGGTTTTGCTGGCGATCGCCCAGTAATTTGCTGTACAAAGGAATCCTCGCCTGCATCATATGCAGGCGCCGGAGAATCCACCCGTCGGTACACCTCCTCAACCTCTGCGAGAGTCCTGACTGGAGATCTTGAAGGAGATGGAGTAGCCTGGCTAACTACTGTTGCTTGTTCGGTGGCTGAATCCCCAGAATCACTTGTAATTTCTGCCGGCACAGTAAGTACCACAGCCTCAATCTGATTTTTTGTGTCTTGCGCAACGGCTCCCTGCTTTGCAAGAGCTTCCTCCGCTAAGTAAAGATAATTGTTAGTGACTGTTTGGTTCTGAGATAATCCCGGTGGAGGCATAGCATTCTTAAAGCTCCGAGACGGCCCCATTGAACGGCCGCCAAAGAGAGAAACGAAATCGATATCGCGCAGCTTTTGCGTCATGAGAGAAGGGTCCTGCATTCCGAGTAACTCTGTAAAACCATACTGACCTGCTTGTGCTTGTGCTAATTGACGGCGAGTAATGCGTGGCGCAGGGACGATTTGTTGCTCTTTGTTGATTGTTGCATGTTCTGATGCTTGTGTTAGACTCCGTTGAAGAGCTTCAGTTTCCAGAAGAGATCGTAAGCTACCTTCGCGGCTCTGAAGTAGGAGACGAGTTGCTTCAGGAACAGGACTATCGCCAGCAGAAATGAACTGCTCTGTGATAGTATCCTCTGATTCTTGATCCTGCTTTCCCTTCTTGGCCTTGCTCTTTTTCGCCTTCTTTCCAATTCCAATTCCAAGCGCAGCTTTGTAGGCAGCTTTCAAGCCTTTAATATCAGTAGCAATTGTGTTGTCGCCCATTGCAGCTATATCTGCTCCCATTGAATTGTGAACTTCAGTAAGAGGCTGTGTTTGCTGCGAAGGTGTGTCAGGTAACGGCGTCTGACTCGCAAGGGCAGTATGATCTTCGGCGATTTCGATTTTCTTCGATCGGGTCACTCGAGCCATGTTCCTTATCCACTGTGCAGCTTGGTATGCTAGTATTATGCCGGGACAATCGCCAGAATGAGATCTGTCTCCGGGTTTGTTTTGCTATGCGTTACAGTTCCTTGAGAGGAATTGAAGGCAATGCGACTCGGAATGTAAAGACCACGTAGAAATGCTAGAGCGGAGGTAAGTGAGCAACTGTCAGTGCACTTATCGATTGTTGTCTGTGAGCTGCGAGGATGTCCATGCGACGTTTGATATTACTGCTTCCTTTATGGAAGGTGAAACACTGTGTTTTTTTAGCCTATTACCAGGGCAACGGCGAAAATGGAAGGAGCGCGTCGAATTCGCGACGCGCCAAATCCATAATACCTCAGATATGGGATGAAAGCAAAACATAATCGAGTGCGCAATACTCCGGGGAGACCCATGTTACTCGCCCAATGTCCGTTTTCTCAATTCAGTTTTCTTAACCTAGCTAGGTGACCGTCATCAATCATTTCGAGGGTATCAAAGTATTCCTGTAAACATAACCCAGTAGACCACCATCTATGTGCCAAATAACGCCGTCGTGATGCTCTCCTCTCCACTGCCTGCCAATTCTGAGTTCTTTCCCCCCTCCTGCATCTTAAATTACTCGGCGCTGGCTCCTCCGCCTGTACTGTTCTGCTGAAGCATCGGAGCATGCTCAGTCGGTATTCTGACCAATGTTTGAGGTAGTGGCATTGCTGGATCGCTGGTTGTCTCATCATTCTTCGGCTCAGCATCCTCGGAATTTTCTTTGGGCTTTGGAATTTTCACTGACTCCATTAGCAGACTTCGGGGCTTTGTATATATGAACGCACTTGAGGCCATGCTGATGGCTCGGAGAACATTATGCCAGTTTCCCAAAACAGTCGCAACAGCTACATCGTAATTAGCTAGATGGCTTCGTATTGAAACTTTTCATCCCAACCTTCTGTGCCGTCTGATAGTGTAGAGAGTTTTTCCTCCAGCATTTGCATCTGTCCTGCCAAGCCAGCACTAAGATCTCTCAATTGCTTGAGATTTTCTAACTCTGCCTTTTTCTCATTTATTCGTGCAAGCAGGATCGGGGATTGTCCATTTGATGTAGAATTACCAGAAGTCGAAGCTTGTCGAATATGCGATGGAAGGGGTCGTGAAGAGTAGGACATATTGGCTGTTGAGGGACGTTATACTCGGAGAACTTCAATCTGCCAAGTATGAATCAATTCCATCCGCTGTGAGGTTTGCGCTGGATGAGTTGCTGCGAGGGCGTGCAATGCGATTGAAGGTCTTATCAATGTTCGTCGGCTTTCACCAACATCGAAAGACATCAGGGATTACACGCTAAGAGATAACAGTCTAACCGCAAACGTCGATATGGTAAATATTGACATTTCCCGAACACAAATTTCTTCCACTGCGCAAAGATAAAGATACGGGACAAGACGCATACGACTTTCCTCCCATAGTAGCAGCACACAAGTCCAGATACCTTTGGCTCTATACCAATACAGTCTACAACTTATCTGCCGCATGCCATAAATATGGCCCGCCTCAATGAGCCAGCGCCGGCTCAAGAGACCATGGAATCCCGTACGCCTACAACTTTAGGATGCCGAGCACATTACTGACTTGTATTATAGTGAAACGGAAGTTCATGCGCCAGAATCGCGATATTGCTCGAGCAAACTCAACGCAGTCATTACGGATTCGGAACCTCGAGAACGAGACCTCAAGATTGCTGGCAGAGAACCTGGGCTTGAGGGAACAAATAATACGACTTCAAAAAGAACTTGAAGAAGGAAAAGCGCAGAGGGTAGCGGATCATGCCATCGATTTAAAGTCGCAATTGGAGGCAAAGCTTCTTGAAATTGGATCTTTGATCTCTGAACTAGGAAATGATGCACCAAAGAAGCCATCCCCCAAAATTGTCAAGATTACAAGAGCAAGCCCATCGAGAAGTCCAGATCAGAGGAATTGGAAGAATATGTGCACTCTCAGTGAAGCAGTTGGTGGCCAGGACGGTCGCTTACCGCCCATAATGGAGAACAAGATGTATCCTAGGAGAACCCTCGAGTATAACTCCTCCCCACGGTTGATGAATACTTGCTGATAATACATAGACGCCAGGAAATTATAAGCCTTGTTGCAGATGCCGAGGCAGACATTACAGATTCTCCAGAAATAGGACCTCCCCCAGTGTCACAATTTGTGGATGAAGATCCTGTAAAGATTGACCTGCCACGACGGACGAAAAAAGAGGAGATAGAAGAACCATCAAGCTTCGATCCAGCATTGTCTGTCAATCTAGAACAGAGGAAAAAGCGGAAGGACAGTACTATTACTGTAGAGCCCAGACAGGCGAATATTCACGAGACCATACCTGGCAGCAAGGATACAGAATTGTCATTGAAGAGCGGAGCCAAGCGAAAACTGAGTGTTCGAGACGATGATGAGAACGACAGGCCGCGGGTTCCTCCCTCTCCGGATGACTTCAAATTTACTCGTGTTAAGGAGGAGGACAAACTAAGGAATAAACCAATGAATCAGCAAGAGAGGACCGGAAGCAAATCTACTCGAGAGATAGCTGTTCCTAGAGGGGCATCCCGGGACAAGCTGCATGCTTCAGCAACCTCAACTACCCGAAAAGCTCTTGCACCGAAGAGTGTCAACGACTCACCAAGGAAGAATACGCAAGCTTTAGTCTCAGACGGTGGTAAGCCACTCAAAGCAGATGTTCCTCAGCCGGATTTCGCAAAAGACCATTCGAACGAGGATAGAAAAGAAGCTGTAAGAGTTCAGCCAACGGCCAATGTTGTTATGAAGACTATCGAAGTACAGCCAGAGCCTGAAACGCCAGCGGGAATCGACATCTTCTCGCCATCCTCCTCGCAACCTTCGACAAACCGGGTTGAATCCCGAGATACACCGCCGCCAAGTGACTTTAGTTCAGGTGCTGACGGCCAAAGACCTAGTCGCCGAGCTAGAGGTGCCGTCAGCTATGCTGAGCCAAATCTTCGAGATAAGATGAGAAGACCTACCAAAGACCTCGTTGATGCAGTGTTAAAGGACGGCAAAGCTCAGCGTCCAAGCGTCACTAAACTCGAAGAAGGCTTAGGCACAAGTACTGTGACAATCAAGGCAGAGCCTGAAGCGGACGATGCTTGGAAAAGTATGCCTGCGGCGTCAACGGCAACGGTAGAGAATAGCCCTCTCAGCAGTAAAGCCCCAGATAGTTTACCGAGCAGTATCACAACGCACAGGAAGAGACGTGAATCTATCTTGAATCATTCGGAATCAGAGCTGTCTAATCCAACATCTGGAAGTACTGTTGCTGCTTTGCTGGCAGAGAGCAGGCGAGCAAGAGCTGCTATCAAAGAGAAGTCACCAGCAGATGAGATTGCGTTGGCGAAGGAGATGGAGAAACTCGACATCTACGACTTCAAAGGCTCGCCACCAGTTCAGCCTTTGGAGCCCGAGAAAGCCACCAAGGCGGAGAAACCTGTTCTAAGATTTTCAAGAAGACATCCGTCTATTTCTCGAGATGTGCTACAAAGCGACAGTGAAGCATCAGATATGGAAGCACCGAAAAAGTCCGAATTTTTGAAATCCCGACGAAGACAGTCCACCCTGGGGTTGAAAAGCACCGGCACCAATCCCGAGCTGTCCAAAGGAACCGACTCGCAGCGATCATTAACTCGTTCTACAAGTGCTGCGTCTATGACAGAGGCAGGCCAGGTCGGCTCTAGAAGTGACTGCATATCAGCACGAAGACGAAGCATGATGTTATGATTAATGAAACGATACTTGAAGTTATCGGGTGTTGCTTGGATGAGCGATTCTGTATAAGATGAGCATGGGAGCGCTGATTTTTAATGGTTTGTTGATCACGAAATTGATATGATACCAATGGAATGTTTTACCCCATCTTGAATTTGACCCTTGAAAACGCCATGCAATGAAAATGCCTGTAGTATCTTGAGAAGATAAGGCTTCTTTAGCAGAGGTCGGCCAACATGGTGACAGCCTTCAGCAGAGCTCCTCCTATACATCCATGGCGGTTTTATCACCGCCAACCCATTACTTTCGGCCAAGGTAGATGTAAACCATAGCTCTGTCATCCCATCATGATCCGCCCACAACCTTCGTGTAGGTTATTTTCTCGACATTCACACTCTCCACTCCATTCGCATCTTTCCTCAACTGGTAGACATAAAGCGTCAAACCAATACCTTGCACCTGTCCCAAAAATCAGTATCTTCACACCACAAAGGAGCAGCAGCACAACTCACATCCATCAAGCAAAAGCTCGGCACAAGCTCCTCTCCCTCACCCATCCAGCCAGTCGTAAACGCACCCGTAGCACTCCCCGGGTTGACAAAGAACTTATTCTCATACTCATAAGCATCAAACCGATGAGTGCCGCCCCAACACAATACATCTACATCCAATTTATTCGCCTCCGCAAGCATAAGATCCGTCTCCATAGGAGCCACCATTGTAAATCCTTCTAAGAACCCTATGCGCAGCGACCCATGTGTGACGACTTGCGAGAGGGGAAGAGAGGTAGCTTCGGCGTCGAATCGTCCTTTTACTATCTTGAGATCCGGTGCTATGCTTCGTAGGTATTCGTAGGTGGGTTTGTCTGTGAGGTTGCCTAGGCAGAGCGTTTGGCCGATTTTGCCCGGTGTGAGGAGTTTCTTGAACTGTGATTGAAGGCTCAGTACCGGTGTAAGGGATAGTATAGAATAAGGAGTACCTTTGCGGGAATGTCTAGAGCTCGATCTGGGATGTGGAGGTCGCCAATGACCAGGACAAGGCGGGAGGTCATTGTTGATTAGGAGCGTGGTTTGGGGGTTTGATGCGAACTATGAAGCGGGCATGAGTTGATTGAAGTTTGTCGGTAATCAAATTTTGAGTCTGAAGAGTTGTGGATGGGGTTCCTGAAAAAGCAGAAGCTCCGGCGCAAAGTTGTAACATCGTCGTCGTACTCCTTGGCGAGTCCAATGGATTGAATACAGCTCACGTGACTGCATACTAACCTTTCCAGACGTTGATTTCTCAAGCTGGCACTACTTGAGTTCCAGTGAATGATCAAGACATATGTTGAGGGGTATTTTAGGACTTTGAAGCATGTTTGTTTAGAGGCGTCATATTCAAGATCTCAACATGTTAGCGATAGTCTCAAGTCGAGATACAGCCTCACACCCAGAAGCCTCTCTCCTTCCAACTTGATGCATAATCCGATTTGGTGTATGAACAACAGTGCTCTATTGGTCTTCTGTCTCATAGAAGCATGAGATTAGTATGCATCATCAACTTCTTTTGATGCATGCCTTGATGCAGTTCCAATCGTCAATTGTCGGCGGTTTTCGTCACACGACTACCAAACACGGAATCACATCCCAAATATAGTCAGAAATCATTCGAGATGTCACAACTTTTGATGATTAGTTGTTGTCATAAGAAAGGGTCTTCAAAGAGATAAGCCAATTATGTTTCGAGCATTTCACTTCGCGGACACTTTCCCCATTCTTGCAAACGGGACCCCGCGCCCTTCGCAAGTGTGGCACTTCATTTCAAAGATAGCTTATATTCAGCACAGAAAAATAGAGAAAAATCTTGCAAACATAGAACTCTTTCCTTGTTTTCTCCTCCTTTGTTACTGTCTTTTCGAATTCTTCATAATCTCAGAATGGCTCCTTCAGCGACATCAGATATTGTGGTCCAGCTCCCAGAGGTGAAAGTGGGGGTAGCCAAACAACCAGAAAAACACGTTCATGGTGCTGAAGACAAGACTCCTTTGGAGGCTATTAGCCATGGACCTCTTATTCATCCTGGTGAGAAGAAAGTTTTCATCTATTGTTTCAATGGGAGAGAAGAATTGGTGCAAAACTGCGCTCTGTCATGGTCCTGGTCTGCCCTTGAGAACTTGTCGACATCTTCGACTGGAACAGAACAGATGCTGGGTCTAGAAGCCTCTTTACAAGCAGAACAGCCATATATTTGATGCTCTTCCTTTCGTACATTAAGTAGAATATCTACCTTTAGCTTTCTATTCAACTTTGCTTTCAACATTTACTTACTCAGTCCAGGAATTCCAACATTCGCCACCCATGCCGAAGAAAGAGCACATATCCTAACCCATACTGCAGCTGTCTTCCGAGACTTCTCACGCAAAGGTTTCACCGAAGGAATGTCTGGCCACATCTCTGTCCGGGATCCAGAATATCCTAATTACATCTGGATGAACCCACTTGGAAAGCACTTTGGTCTCATGACTGCTGGCGACTTGATCTGTCTCGATATTCACACTGGAAAAGTAGTTGGAGGAAACAAGGTACTATCATTGTTCTCAATAGAACTAAATGGAAATGCTGACAGAAGAATAGAGCAGAACAGCCAACTCTGCAGGATTCTTGATTCATTCTGAGCTCCACAAAGCGAGACCCGATGTTCATGCCGTATGCCACGCACACACAAACGCTGGTCGAGCATGGTCAAGTTTCGCTACTGGATTAGACATGCTGAATCAGGATATCTGCTACCTCTACGACTCGATTGCTGTGTATGCAGCATATGGTGGCATTGTATTTGCCGAGGAGGAAGGCAAAAACATTGCTCGTGCTTTAGGTCCTAAGAACAAGGTGATTCTTACAACTCGTGGATAACAAATGGCAAGTCTAACAATACCAGGTTGCAATTCTTCTCAATCATGGGCTTTTGTCAACTGGAAGCACCGTTGACGAAGCCGGCTTCTTGTTCGGACTTTTGGATCGTGGCTGCGCGATGCAACTCCAAATCGAAGCCGCCAGAGCTGGTAACCCATCGCTGAAGAAACACGTGGTTAGCGACGAAGAGGCCGCGTATAACTTCAAGATGGCAAGTGAGAAGAATGCTCTGTATGCTGAAGCTCAACCAGATCTGGATTATGAGTTTGCCATGGCTGGGCCGGGTGTGATTGAGAAAGGGGTTGAGAATATGAGGATTGATGTGGTCTAAACGAGGTTTTGGTGTGATTGTCGAAGACCTTGCATGACTCGGGTTTCTTTTAGTAAAAATGTGTCACGATGTCAGTATTGACAGCTTTGCCGATCGTGAAGCTGCCAAGAGACAGAATGTCTCAATTCATGGCTTGATATGCATTAGTTATCGGTAGTTTCGCTATTGATAATCGAAGATCGTGAGATTCTATCAAGAAGATCTGGGGTGTCTGTCAAGTGGTCCATCACCTCGAGGTGGGTATTTTTTTTCACTCCGCTCCCTTTTGAGTATAACCTCAGCCCAACTGAGAATGTCTCATCTGCCGGTCACTGGAACCGGCAACTCCCTTTCCCAACCAACATTGACTCTGTTGATCACTATCAAAGCAGGCACAAAACAAGCAAGAACATGATGCTTGTGATCAGTCAGAAAGAACTCATCACACGCAACCATCGATGAATTCTGATTAGTGATACAAGAAGTTCAGATCGATGAAATGACCCCCTCCGTCACTCTTATTCCGTCCTAGTTTTTATTATCTATCACCTCGGTACTCCGTAGTCGGAAAGCCATCTCCAAACTTTCAAGTGCACTCGTCGATCTTGCTTTAAGAAAAGCCAGGGAAATTGCCCCGGCCCGGACATCAAAAGTCAAAAACTTAAAACTTTAAACTTCAAGCCAAGTCGATCAGCGTTCCCAGCTGTGAGATGAATGAACTGATAATTGATAGCTATGAAGAGCTGATATGTACGTGCAGGGTCCATGCCCAGGCATCACCTTGTATCATAGCGGCAGCTTGCACTTGAACGGCAGGTCAATTTCGAGAAGTGCGGAATGATCTCTGTACCCGTATCCCGCTTCAAAATCTGGAGCAGATACGAAGTATTTTCCTCCCTTGTCTCCGAAGACTCGAGTCCCATAAATCTGGACTTGCACCCCGATTAATTCGGGCGATCCATGGACATCGCCGTCGATTGGTCGTCCATATGTCAAGATCTTTGGGTCGCCCCTGCATAATGGTTCACCTTGGTGTAGATTTGATGCAGACCCTGCCTCGATCAAGAAAAGGGGTTCCCAAGCTGCATAACGAACAATTGCGTCCTTGAGAAAATGCTTCTGTGCACGACAAATTAGAATGCTCCGATGAGCGGGAAACCGCTTAGTCCCGGAGATGGGTAAACGTGCTGTACAGTATCCGTTCTTTGAGATGGCACAAGCGCTATGATGGGCGCCGGCATTCGCAAATCTGTGCAGAACGCATCACTTGGACAGCACTTGGACCACCGGTGGGATGGTGCTATCAATATCAAGGCATCACTTCCAGTTGCACAGACTTCACCTGCCAACATCAACCCCACTGCGGCTTGAAGAAGTCTTCCATCTCGGCGATAGAACCCCAGAGAGTTCAAGCCCGCCGACGTTATTGCGCATCGAAGTTAAATTGAAGGCTTCAAAGCGGCTGAGATCGTCAAATCTCTCCTATCGGCTATCCTGAACTGCTGGGTATTTTCCCGCCGGAGGCATAGCTGAGATGCGGGAGGCCTGGATCTCAGATCAAGTGGGAGCCAGTCACTTCGTTGTTTGCTCCAAGTGGGGTCCTCTCTACTTCGATTTTCATCGCGCCGGCTCAAATTAGTCCAACAAACACACTGGAGCAGTGGAGGGGAGTGCCACAGAACTATCGAAATGTTCCAACCAGAAGAGCACGGATGATCACTGTCAAGCCCAACGGCAAACTTGCAGGCTTGCTCATGCTGAGTAGACTGCCTTAGGGTGTGGCCGTCGATACAAAACAAACTGCTTCCCATGTGGCAGACATGCTTCTGTGCTCCCGTCTCCACTTACGTGGCACTGTCGTCTCCAACTGTACGGTCATTTTTCGTCTTTGCTTCTGTGTGTTCTATTGTGTTTCGTTTTGTTCCGTCGAGTCACTCCTTGATCTGGTATTCTTCGAGCCGAGTGAGGGGCTTTTGAAACGAGATGTCTATACTTTTTTACCGTCGTCCGGACTACCTGAACAAGCCTGCGGGTCCAATCAACTCCACAGAGTGTGCTCGTTACGTGGAAAGAGCAAAGAGTGAGCTTCTTGTGCAGACTAATTATTGAATGACTATTGACACTTACAAGATTCCGAGCGAGCAATTCCAAATGGACTTTCATTTGACGAAGTCATCAACAACAAGGCTCTTCCAGTATGTGCAACATGAAATTATATGTTGCATCAACAACGCTGACTTTATTACCAGCCATGCTCCTTGAACGATTTCATGGACTATTTGATATATGTCGAGTACAATGCAGAAAATCTCCAATTCTACCTCTGGTACAAGGACTACACCAAACGCTTCAACGCCCTTCCAGAGAAAGACAAAGTGTTATCCAAAGAATGGATCCCAGATACCAAAGCAATCCCTGATCTGACGAAGGATGGTGAGAACACCGAGAAAAAGAAACCAAAGCGAGATGGCAGTGTGGCAAATATCATGGAAGCCGGTTACGCCGCCAAAGAAGCCATCATGTTCAGCGAAGACGAAGCACCTCTCAGTCCCAAGAGCCCTACTTTCCACAAAGGACATATGTCTCTGGCCACCGATGGGACTACAACTCCATCTCTTGCCGGCTCCTCGGCTCCCAGCGATGCAGAGCTCGCCGCTCAAGCAGGTCTGAAATGGCAACCATGTATGTCTCCCCCTCTCCCTTCTCTATCAAACCCTAACAAGAAAACAGTCACCATCCAGCCCATGCGCGAAGAAATAAACCGCGTAATGCGACACTACATAACCTTCAGCGCACCCAGAGAACTAAACCTCTCACACAAAGACCGAGCTCTCTGTCTGCACGCCCTCCAACACACCACGCACCCCTCCGCCCTCGCTCCCGCCGTGAAAATCGTCGAAGCCGCTCTGCGCGGCCAATCGCACCCGAACTTCATCCGCTGGTCCATCTGCAACGGCAACAAACCCCGCGTCTTCTTCGTCCGCACCATGGGCATCTTGCACACCGGATTCGGCTTCGTCATCGCTATCATCCTGACGCTTTCGGGTGTAAGTCGATGGTGGAGGATTCTCGCTGCTCCGATGTGGTTTATCGGGTTATCAACGTTGGTTGCTGCTTACAAGGGTCTTTGTGTAATTCTGCATCATTCGCATGCGAGGTGTCTTCGTCCCTGGGAACAGGATCTCGATTCCGAGCTTGGGGAAGAGAGGAGGGATTCGTTTGCTAGTACGGCGAACCGAACTGTGCAGATGGCTTCGAGGACGGGGAATTATGACGATATTGATAAAGGGGATGATTCTAGTTCTAGTTTCAGGCCCTCGAGTTTCCAGTTCTTTGGTCCAAAGAATAGCTTCGATGATGCCAGTTGGGTTGAGAAGTATCAGAGGAAACCGTTGGTTAGGAAGGTGTTCGATCAGCAGACTTGGACGCAAGACGAGACCTTGAGGATTCTTCAGGATAAGATTGTGCTCGGGGCGAATTTGTGGGCAATTATTCTTACCGTCATTTTTACTATTGTATTTGTAGCACTGCCCAAGGGCAACTTTTACTGATAATACTTGTATAATCTAATTCTTACAACTTATCCAATACCATCTATGTCTATGTCCTGTTGTCCAGCACTGGCCATGGAGCTAGAGTTGAGCCCCTATCTTTAGTAGCATGGCTATATGCCGGCGATGTTCTTGACTGTCATTGGCGTACATTGACGAGCTGGGTTAGGATCCTATATGAAGACCATTCGGGTTCTCATCTCGAAGCTACTACCATACTAAACACCGTCTTTGTTGTCTTGGCACCTCGGGGTAGCCATCTCCCAACGTAAGATTCCCCCCCTTTTCAGAAAGCCTCGCCCACCATCTTCTTGTGGGAAGCTTCTCGTCACACGCCGGCTGACATAGATGTTGATCGTTCTGTTGATCATCGATCGTACACGGGAATGCCGGGAGAGGGATGTGATTGTTCCTGAAGTTGAAAATAGCAGCATAGCGAGCTCTGTACGTACACAGTCCACTGACTGTGCCAATGAGCATCCCAACTAGGACTTCATGGGCATGATGCTGCTGCGTGTTTGTTAGACCATGATAGACTCTCAGATCGAGAACCTACATACATGCGTTACATATTGCGAACCAGATACCAGCGACGCAAGCAGGAGTGGAGAGAGGACAATCGCAAGGTCTAAGACCCCTGGTGCAAGATCAGAGAATGGCTTCAGTTTGCCATTAAGGTATAGGGCCATAAAGACAGAAGAAGCGAATGAAGTGGCAGAGTGACCGCTCGGAAAGCCCCATAACGCGTTGAGGACCTTGGCCTTATCTCCTGTACATGCTGCCGGTCCCATCCACCAAGTTGCGTTCGAGGTAGTAGTGTTGACACTAGTGAGCAGTGTAAGGTCTGGCTGACAGACCTCAATGTAGTGAGGCCGAAAGCCCCCCACGAAGTGCTTGACCGTCTCAGATACAATCGTTCTGTGTGGAAGTCATTTGTTAGGAATTGATTACCGCAAAGGTAAGATCTTACGCACAGGGAAAGTTCTACTTACGCAGCGAGTACAGTCTTCACCAGACCAGTTGTTGCAGCACGGTAATCTCGAAAGCGTCGTACCTTGATCTGGAAGAGCAAGATAATCACTGATGGCAGTAACAGGACCAAAAAAGTGCATACTAAAGTAGAAACCAGCGGCTCCTTGTATGGGTAAAGCAGCTCTGTGGGAAACATAATTTGATCAGAAGGCCCGAGGTTCACAGGTACAATGCGATTATCTGACTTGTAGTTTGGAGCAAAGTGGACGATAGCTGCTACGGCTGAGAGCGTAATGCAACAGAGAAAATCGAATAGGATGGCAGCGCCATTGTCTTGTAGGAAAGTGAAGATACTTGGAAGAACAGGATCTAGTGATAGGAAGTTGGAAGGGTGAGGAGCGCCCATTCTTAGGTGTGATGAGATGTAAAGATAGTTCAAAAGAATGACAAAAAGTCCAGCTAAAATTGACAGACATAATCCCATGTGCTCATAGCAGATGCAGGAAGGAGCGTGTGTGTAAGGTTTAGATTTCCGAGAAAGGAACTAAGTGAGGAAGGAACGATGGCGATTACAGAATTTTGACCACACTTGAGGACCTCTAAGGAACTTTGATGTCAGAAGCCAAATTTCAAAGCAACAGCCTCAGATAAGATTTGCAATTGCTGAAGGATCGTATTCTAGACTTTTTCAGACGAAGAGAAATAACTCCAATTATCTTTTTGTCCTGAACATGTCAGCACTAAATACACGTTTTTCTTAACATTCAAGAAAGAATTAGTTGATTTGATGAGAAGAATTCTTCATAATCTTGTCCACGGTCACGACAATCATGGGACCTAAGAACCTCACTGACCGATTTGGAGATCTTGCAAATAACAGTTAGCAAATGGTATTGATAAAGATATAGGCTCTTTGAGCAGTGTGCTACTTCTGTGGAATCCAAACAGATGCAAGAATTCGTAAGAAATTCATTGCTCCCACAAACTTAGGACATTAAAGAGCTCTCACATTGCAAAGTGAAGAATCGCATCAGTGAACGGAAAGTCTATCGAGGTTCAGCACGGACCAGCTGCGATCTCGGAGACTCAAAATCGTCATGGTGAATGTCTGAGATTTTCAAAGTTAAACCAATAGACTCTCTCTCCGAATCGTAACCTCTGAAGATACTTTGCAGTCTATCAGACCACACTCCTTTACAAGTACCGTTGACGAATCGGCAAGGTTTGACCCATCTACGTCAACTCTCGCAGTCCTGGCTCTCCGAAGCCTACCCCGCTATCTCAAAGTGGCTCCCCACGCCAGACTTTCTTTGATCTCCAGGCATTTAGATCCTCGGCCATCACTTCCAATCAACACTCCATACTCTATCGAAACACTTCCAGTGGAAAGATCTGTCAGCCGTGTAAGAGCATTCAGTTCAAGCTCGCAATCTGCAGAAAAAAACAAGATGTTCAGTCAACCAAACCACCCCGCTTTGCTCATCCCAGGGCCAATTGAGTTCGATGATGCTGTTCTTCAGTCCATGAGTCACTACAGGTAACTCCAGCTCATCCTACCCTTTCCCTCTGGATACTTTCGTTCCAGCAGATGTGCTGATCTATTCTGGCATATAGTGAGAGCCATGTCGGTGCTCCATTTGTAGCAACGTTCGGCGAGACTCTGGCTATGCTTCGAAAGTTATTCCAAACAACCGATCCATCATCACAACCTTTTGTCATCTCTGGTTCCGGTACTCTTGGTTGGGATCTCGTTGCAGCCAATTTGGCAGAGTCTGGTGATGATGTTCTGGTACTTCATACTGGCTACTTCGCAGACTCGTTCGCAGATTGCTTTGAGACTTACGGTGCCAAGCCGACTCAACTGAAAGCTCCAATCGGCTCAAGACCTCAACTACCTGAGATTGAGAAGGCATTGAAGGAAAAGAAGTACAAGCTGTTGACGGTCACCCACGTCGATACTTCCACTGGAGTTCTGAGCGAGCTCAAGGCATTGTCAGAATTGGTACACCGGGTTTCTCCTGAAACTCTAATCATTGTCGATGGCGTGTGCAGTGTTGGTTGTGAGGAGATTGATTTTGACAAATGGCAACTTGATGGTGTCATCACGGCAAGCCAAAAAGCAATTGGGTGTCCCGCGGGTCTATCCATTTCCATGTTCAGCGGCCGAGCAGTCAAGTCGTTCCAGAGCAGAAAGACGCCTCCAGGGTCATACTTTGCGTCTTTCAAAAACTGGATGCCAAGTAAGTTATTCATTACTATCGAATTGCTAAACCACTAATCGTCTTATAGTCATGCAAAACTACGAGGCTAAGAAAGCCTCTTATTTCGCCACTCCTTCACCACAGCTGATCCATGCCCTACACACTTCGTTGACGCAAATCTTGTCTAAGCCGTTGTCTGAGCGCTTCGCGGCTCACCACGCAACATCTCAGAAGATCAAGAAGGCGGTAGCTGATCTCGGATTGAAGCAGTTGGCCTCGGATCCCGCAGACCAGGCGAATGGAATGACTGCAATCTATCTTCCAGAAAATGTCAAGGCGCCTGAGTTACTGCCCAATCTTCTGAAGAAGGGTGTAATATTCGCTGGCGGGCTTCACAAGGAGATTGCTACTAAGTATATTAGATTTGGGCATATGGGTGTCAGCGTTGTAAGTCATGAAGGCTCCCCGTCAAGTGTTTCGTCTACTAACTGGTGTTCAGACTGACACCAAGCGTGATGACATTGACCGTGCAATCCAAGCATTGCAGACCGGACTGTCCGATGCGGGTTACCAAAAGGCATAGAGATTAGATCCACCTAGAATCATGACGTGCGAAAAAGCAATTCAAGACATTTCTCCACGACCGGCACGTTCTTCTGATGGCGAGATATATTGGTACACTTACGTTTCCATTAGTTTCTTCAGCAAATACGAGTCCAGCAGAGTGGCTACCAATAACCATGTCGATAAATGAGTCAACAACGACGCCTCGAATACTTCGGCATCACAACCGAGAGGAACGATTGCATAATACTGACTTCGGATGGGAGCACGTGCCTCATCAGAGTGTAAATTTTCGATGAGACTTCGATCGTATTTCCCCATTCATCGAAATCTGCAGCTGAGGGTGGGACAAGTGTTCAGCTTTCGAGGGGGAGGCGGCTCACGAAAACGTGCCAAAGGTTGATCTCAAATCACGTTGTGAACATTGCCTCCTAGGTGAATGATTCTAGAGTCGGAAATCACTAATGTAAGCTCGGACTAGGATAATTTTGTGTCTTTCGTGCTTCACCTGGAACTTCAGTCTGGAACATTTTGCTAGCAGAGCTTTCTTCTAAAGAAAGTTCTTATGTATAAAGAGGCAATGCCGCAGCTCTCAAGTCGACTTCTGTATCCATCCAAATAACTCTTCCGCTTACGCATAATCACCTTCCATATTTTCCAGCTTCCAACCTCCTTCGAAATGCGGGTCTCATCCGTCCTCGTCGTCTTTGCTGCTACTGGCATTCTGGCCCAGTCCAGCAGCTCTGTAAGTACTTCTCGCGTCTTGGCACTTGGCGGAGATACTTTCACAGGAATAAACACTTGACTGATTTACTAGACCTCTTCCAAGGCAACTGTCAGCTCTTCCACCTCCCTTAGCAGCACCATCTCGTCTACCACCTCCAGCATCAAGCCTGCAAACACTTCGACTATCCTCGTGACCTCATCTTCAACCAAGCCCGCCAACGCAACCTCTGTTGTAGCTTCTTCCACCTCCAAGCCCGCCAATACCACCGCTGCTTCTGCCACAGCAAAGCCAGCTTCCGGAGCTATGGGCGCAGTCGAGGCTGGAAAATACTTCCTTGGTTTTGCTGGTCTATCAGGAATGGCCCTTGCCTTCCTGTAAATTTCTAGGCCTATGACCTGCTCGGAGATGAAGATTTGTTCTTGGGGGATAAAGCAGATATTGGGACGGGAAGGAGAACAATGCTATCTCAGGCGTATTACGAGCAGAACATGTCGCTCGGTTCTTACGTTCGATCAGTCAATGTTAATCTACTCTTTTGAGAGGAAACTTCTTGTACATAATTAGAAAAATCAAATGTAACCACTTACTTGCAACTGATACTTCGAAAAGGATCCACTCAAGGCATTATGAGTAAAGTCGAGACCACTGAAGAAAAAATGTATGGTGAGCAAAACTGGTGATCCGACAATCATGTCTCTATAACCCTTACATTAATCCGAAAGTAAGAACGAGTCAAATTATTGCAAACCTTCGGTACGGCAACGAGCAAGTCTTTGCAGCGTCTTTGACTGCACTAAAGTGGAGACTCACGTGATGCTCACTAGCGTCAAAGGAACGAGACTCTTCATGGTGGGGCATTTTGGAGGCGGCTGGGAGTTGTCACCTTGATCAACTTCCGACTGGCTTTTCAACAACCTCAACTTCCCCCCCAAACGACTTCTTCCTACCAGCGCAAGCTGTGCAAGATACTTTCTGAGAGAGGATCCGTTTATCGCAGCAGGGAAAAGGCCCCATCTTCAAAGATCAAGCCGCGAGGATGGCACCGACCATTGAAGAGCTTGACGCGACTGTCCGCGCCTTTTACGAAAGCCGAGGAGATTCGGTCAGTATATCCTCAGCTTCAAGCTGGATGGCCTTATGTAAAGTACGCCTGCTGACGCGTCTGAATAATAGCAAAAAGCTGCTCAAGCTGCGCTGAACCAGGTACATCCCCTCATTTGCGCCAACGACCATCCGCAACCACGAACCTAAGCTGATACTGTACAATAGTTCAAGGAGGATCCGGATGCTTGGCTATTAGTTGATAAGATTCTGCAGGATGCTACGTACCCACAGACGAAGTGTTGGTCCTCCTTCTATCCATGTGCCGGTAGTCTTGAAGCCGCTGACAAATTATAGACCTGGGATTGCAAGTACTGGACCATGTTATCATGACCAGATGGAAGGTTCTCCCAAAGGAGCAATGCCAGGGTCAGTATCTATGTTGACGTTGTCATCATCATTATGCTTATGACGATATATAGGTATCCGCAATTTCGTGGTGAACTTCATTATCCAGTGCTCAGCCTCCGAAGAATCTCTCAAGACCCAACGAACACTCCTGAACAAGTTGAACCTTGTCCTTGTATCTATCCTCAAGCAAGAATGGCCTCACAACTGGCCCACTTTCATCAACGAGATTATCTCCTCCTGCCATACGAGTTTGTCGATATGCGAAAATAACATGGCTATTCTGCGGCTGCTCTCTGAGGAAGTGTTCGATTACTCTGCCGACCAGATGACGTCCACGAAGACTAAGAATTTGAAGACCGTTATGTGTGCCGAGTTCTCATCTATCTTCCAGCTGTGCAACGAAGTTCTGAACAGTGCTACCCAAGCAAGCCTAATCAAGGCCACTCTGGAGACTCTTCTCCGATTCTTCAACTGGATTCCTCTTGGCTATATCTTCGAAACCCCTATCATCGACACATTACGAACTCGCTTTTTGGAAATGCCCGAGTTCCGAAATGTTACCTTGAAGTGCTTAACGGAGATTGGTGGTCTGCAGACTGGACAGAACAACGCATACGATGAGAAGCTTGTGCAAATGTTCACAGAGGTTTTGACTGCTATATCCAAGATTATACCTCTCTCCCTTGACCTCAAGTCGACCTACAATTCAAGCAACTCGAAGGATCAAGAGTTCATCCAGAATCTTGCTCTCTTTCTCACTAATTTCTTCGGGGTTCATCTCAACGTAAGTCCACCGCGACTCAAGGCTACGACCTTCTTACTGATTTCTCTTGTAGCTCATCGAAAATCTACCGAACCGAGACTTCCTCACCCACGGCCACTTCTATCTTATCCGAATCTCACAAATCGAAGACCGGGAGATATTTAAGATTTGCTTGGAATATTGGACCAAGCTTGTACAGGAGCTATATGATGAGATGCAGTCGCTACCAATCACCGATGTAAACCCTCTTGTCAACATGGGTGTTGCTGGACTTTCCAATCCTGGCGCACCAAACCCAACGATGCTGGCCAACTACCCACTTCGCAAGCACAAGTACAACGAAGTCCTCTCCAACCTACGAGTGGTAATGATTGAGAAGATGGTCCGTCCAGAAGAGGTTTTGATTGTCGAAAACGATGAGGGTGAGATTGTGAGAGAATTCGTGAAGGAGAGTGACACTATTCAACTTTACAAGACCACCCGAGAATGTCTTGTCTACTTGACCCATCTGGATGTGGTAGATACCGAGAACATCATGACTGACAAGCTTGCTCGTCAAGTGGATGGTTCTGAATGGTCCTGGGCTAATTGCAACACACTTTGCTGGGCCATTGGATCCATCTCTCTTGCGATGAACGAGGAGACTGAGAAGCGCTTCTTGGTGACAGTCATCAAGGATTTGCTTGGTCTTACCGAGATGAAGCGTGGAAAGGACAACAAGGCTGTGGTTGCCAGTAACATCATGTACATTGTTGGCCAATACCCGCGATTCTTGAAGGCTCACTGGAAATTCTTGAAGACTGTCGTAAACAAGCTCTTTGAGTTCATGCACGAATCTCACGAGGGTGTTCAAGACATGGCTTGCGACACGTTCATCAAGATCGCTAGGCAATGCAAGAGACACTTCGTCGCCCTGCAACCTGGAGAGAATGAGCCGTTCATCGAAGAGATCGTCAGAACTATGCGCAAGATCACCTGTGATCTATCTCCACAGCAAGTTCATACTTTCTACGAGGCCTGTGGCTACATGATTGCCGCCCAGCCACAGAAGAACGCTCAAGAGAGACTTATCGCTGAGTTGATGTCATACCCAAATGCAGCCTGGGATTCCATCATTGCTCAAGCTACAACAAATCCTACAATTTTGCAGGATGCAGACACCATCAAGGTTATCGGTAATGTGATGAAGACTAATGTTTCAGCATGTTCGTCCATTGGTAGTTATTTCTATCCACAGATTGGTCGTATCTACCTTGATATGTTGTCCATGTATCGTGCTACTAGTCAGATGATTTCCGAGGCTGTGGCTCGCGACGGTAAGTCTCACTGTAAGATCGCGAGAAAGAGGACTTGCTAATAAAAACAGGTGAAATTGCGACCAAGATGCCAAGAGTCCGAGGTTTACGCACGATTAAGAAAGAGATCTTAAAGCTTATCGAGACTTACGTTGATAAGGCTGATGATCTCGAGATGGTCCGAACCAACATTGTTCCAGCCCTTCTCGATGCTGTGCTTGTTGATTATAATCGCAACGTCCCTAATGCTCGAGACGCTGAGGTCCTGAAGGTCATGTCGGCCATTATTACCAAGCTTTCTGTACGTTGGACCCCTCATCGCTCAAAATACTCGGTGGTGCATTCCCATTTCCATGTCTTGTTTCCTTTCTATATCTTTAGGCTGCTGCATAACACTTTAATGCTAACATTATCTTAGTCTCTTATGGAAGACCAAGTGCCAATCATTATGGAGAATGTATTCGAGTGCACCCTCGAGATGATCAACAAGGACTTCTCTGAGTTCCCCGAACACCGAGTCGAGTTTTTCAGCCTTCTCCGTGCTATCAACCTCCACTGTTTTCCTGGTAAGTCTCAAGAGCCATGAATTCCAGTACCAGCATTGCTAATTTGTTAAAGCTCTCCTCAAGCTTGACAACAGACAATTCAAGTTTGTGATTGACTCTTGCATGTGGGCAAGCAAGCACGACAATCGTGAAGTTGAGTTTGCTGGACTGAACATGTGTCTCGAATTGATCACAAACATCGCCGAGACAGATGCTGCTACCTCCAACGCGTTCTTCCAGCAATTCTTCGTCCCAATTTTGCAAGACGTGTTCTTCGTGCTCACAGACACTGATCACAAAGCTGGGTTCAAGTCGCAGTCGATGCTCCTGTCCAGGATGTTCTATTTTGTGTCTCCAGCCGATGGTACAGCACCGAAGATCCAAGGGCCCATCTACCAATCCGACCAAGCTCCTTCAGGAACAAGCAACAAGGAGTTCCTGGGTGGCTTTGTCGCAAATCTCCTACAGAGTGCCTTCCCGAACTTGCAACCGTAAGTGAACAATACCTTACACATGGGTGGCAGACTGATTACTGACTTAAATTAGGGCTCAAATCAAGGCATTTGTTGAAGGATTATTCTCTTTAAACAGCACCTATGATCGCTTCAAGCTCAACCTGCGTGACTTCTTGATTCAGCTCAAGGAATTCGCAGGTGACAATGCTGAGCTGTTTGCTGATGAGAAGGAGCAGCAGGATCGGGATGCGAAGGCAGCCGAGAGAGAACGACTCTCAAAGGTCGGTGGTTTACTGAAGCCAGCCGAGCTTGCTGAGGACGATGATGAGTTGTGACTGGATGAAGAGCTAAGATCAGACTACCCTAAGGTCAAGGAAGAAGACGCTACCTCCATGACATACCTTCGACGACCTGCGATCTCGAATGATCTAAGTGGGTGGGACATTTACGACCTTTGACACTTCAACTCTCATCGCGCATCGAACGATTTTCACTCTCTAGAAACGGGTTACACATCTCCTCGAATTTTCCCTCTGTTTGCACCATGACCCGGCGGCACACTATGCTAGGCGGAGTTTGGTAGGCGGAAACAGAGTGTCTGCCTGAAAAAGTTCATTTCTGTTTAGATTCGATTCTCCATCATATCGCCAGACGATATTTGCATTTGCGGAGGATTATGATACCTCCCTCTATTGGAGGGACGCGCATGAAGCATGAAAGTAATGGCGCTTATGAGGTAACGTGGATTGGGATTGTTGTCTGTATATGCAAAAGACATTCAACATATCTCAATTGATACATGAAAACGTAACTCGGTGTGGTGATCCAGATTTATGATGTGAATTGTGATAGCATACACTTGAAACCCTATATACTTGAACTCTGGTCATTTTTCCAGGGCGTAATCATCAACTTGCAATTTCTTTCTCATGGTGGTCCTCCCTTTTCTCTCTCCTCGACAGCAGCTTTGACCTTTGTCTGAATCGCGCAGGGGCTATGAGTTGCATATCTATGAATTTTGAAATCTGCTAATAAACTGTCCACTGACACGACCGGACTTATCAAGAGGAGATGTTGTCAAGAGACGAAGGACATTTAAAGTTGTAGTTATACAAGGAATAAGGTTCAGTGTAATTGCCTGCAAAAGAGTCAGCTTTCAAAAGTTCTAGGTTTCATGAAATATTCAAGAGTCTGTTGTTGCGTGCAAGTTGTGTACAAGTCGCACACGTGCCTACGGGTGAAGTGCATTTTAGCGTTTTGTGTCCCACCCACCGGATCCCATCCTACAGTCGAAGATCTATCAAATGAGCACGGAGCAAGAAGAAACGTGCTTGCCTACAGACCCGCACATTCTTCAATCCGTGCGCCACAACACTTCCAATTGTCTTGGCGATGCGCCTGGAAGCTTCTTTACTTGGTCGACGACTCATCCGATGTTGCTTCCAGAAGGATGCCGCTATGGGAACTTGCAGCAGACTTGACTTGATTTGGAGACGGCTCAGGGGTGATGTCTAGTTGATTGGCTATCGACTGCAGCCTCTGCAGGCTCTTTTCAATGATCAATCACCCCCGCGCGCACGAGAGCTCCACAGCACGAGGGCAGGGTGGGAGATCATCATCATCATCATCATCAAGGTGGGTGAACATTGAGTGCATATAACGCCATGTCTCGCATCTGGGACTGTTTTTTCTTTATAAAATTGCATCCAATTAATTGTATCGTTATGTTTCTCCTCAAAATTACCACCTTCGCGGGTCTTGCTTCGATTGCTACAGCTCAGAGTACATTCGTCAACCAAACCTCTTGCAACGGCAAAAACTATACATACCAGGAATTTGCGGGCTATGGCTTGATCTCAGGAAATGCAAGAGATGAATTTGGGGATACAATTGGTGGCATTGGATCTGCTCTTGCCCTAGACAGATCGCAGTGGACGAAGCTTAGCAATGGTTCATATACAGGAGTGCTCTGGGCTCTCCCAGACAGAGGATGGTGAGTGTCTTGAATCCAATGAGGTTGCTGTTGCAGAAATGGCCTGCATTGTCTGTGATGCCATCGGAATTTCCCAATAGAGCCAATTGTTCTACCTTCCGTTTCAAAGCTATGAAAATTAATCACCACCTATTATAGGAACACGGAAGGGACCTTGAACTTCCAACCTCGGGTCCATAAATTCGACATTCTATTCACACCTCAACCTAATGCCACCGTAGCAAACCCTTCTGGAAACAACCTTTTCTTCACATACAAAGAGACCATTCGTTTCTTTGGTCCTGACGGGACGCCTTGTACTGGACTAGATGCTGATGGGACTGGCCACATCAGTTTCGATGGCTTTCCTGATCTTCCAGTAGCCACATACCGGGTACGAAGTTTAAAGGCATAGTATTCATTTCAAAATCATATGCTAACAAAAGCAGGGCGATGGCTTTGGAAATGCTGGTCCAGGAGGGAGACGCATTCCGGTTGATTCTGAGGGCATTGTCCTAAATCCGGACGGAAGCTTTTGGGTCAGTGACGAGTATGGTCCCTATGTCTACCGCTTCAACTCTTCGGGTGTCATGATCGCTGCAATCAGACCTCCCGATGCATTCATCCCCATGCGGAACGGAACAGAATCATTCTCCGCAGACAGCCCTACCTATTATGCCAGCAAAGGCGCAGGAGACGATGTCTATCCCGCTGATAATCCAACTGGGCGCGACAACAATCACGGTTTTGAGGGTCTGACGGTTACTGGTGATGGCAATACACTTTATGCTCTCCTTCAGGCAGCAGCAAATCAGGAAGGAGGATTGACCAAGCAGACTGAGCGCTATGCACGCCTCGTCAAATATGACATTACGGTTCCATCAGCGCCCCGCTACGCCCGAGAATTCGTTGTACCTTTACCTCTTTTCAACAATCCGACTGCAAAGGCTAGCAAGAATCCTCAGGTTGCAGCCCAATCTGAGATCTTCCATATTCAAGATGGACAATTCTTCGTCCTTGCGAGAGATTCTGGTGCTGGGCATGGTCAGAGCTCAACGCTTTCCGTTTACCGACATATCGATGTCTTCGATATTGCCAACGCGACGGACATCAAGGGTAGTACTTATGACTGTGCCAACTGCTCGATCGCCTCTAGTGCCGGTGTACTCAACACTGGCATCACACCAGCAACCTACTGCTCATTCATTGATTTCAATGTGAACTCTCAATTGAATCGATTTGGCGTATACAATGGAGGGGCACAAAGTGCAAGCCTCTTGAACGAGAAGTGGGAGAGTATTGGAATCGTACCAGTCGATGGACTAGATGGTGACGACGACGAGTGGTATGTGTTCTCAATGTCAGACAATGATTTTATAACGCAAGATGGATATCTTGAAGGTGGAGAGTTTCAATACTCTGATGACAGTGGCTACACTCTTGACAACCAGGTAAGCTTGTTCCGGTAATACTCTTTGATTGTTTCTACTGTTTGAGAGCTCCAAGGATTGGTACCAGCCAAGAGCCAGAATAGACACAAGGACAGAGTTCTATGTTCTTATAACTCTGGAACTAGTCTCTTGACATGCGACGGTACTAACTACTGAATAGGCCTTGGTCTTCAAGATTCATCTGCCAGATCATTCGAGACCCTTTGATAGAGATTCGTGAGTTGCTAGATTGCAAACAAGATAGTGAACAAGTATTATCTAATGTATTATTCCAACACGACACTTCTATTCCATGTAGGATCACGAGCTTCAGAGAATGATGATATCACATGTGACTTTGTCGTCTCATGATTGCTGTCATTCTTGGTGGACCTCAAGCTCTGACTTTTAGTATGGAATGTTTGTGAACTCGTCCCACATTCCGCCTGACCTTTTCTCTGGATCAAAATTTCCCAGACTGGTTGAACGGATCTTCAAGCAATGTGCTCTGACTTTGAAGATCTTATTTCCGCACGGTATGAGAGGATAGCACGGTTATGGAACGTTTCTGTTGCTTCGTTGGACATTCTTTGTAATTCTTCCACGGACGATAGTGGGCAATTTACTTGCGGCATCGAGTCGCTTAGAACGTGGGCATTGTTGGGTCTGAAGCTAGGCTCGTATCCTCGCTGAAGAACCCTAAACCAATCGATATCACAGAAGAATGGATGGGTTTTGATTTCAGCGATGCCTTTCGTACCGAGTCGTTCTTTGGGGTTGCGGTTGAAAAGCTTGATTGAGATATCCTGGGCCACTGGAGAGACGACGTCGGGATCAGGAAAATAGAATGCTTCGATCTTCCCATTGACATCCTCGTCATACCACGAAGGTGGCAGCCCCGACAACATCTCGGCAAGAAATATACCCAATGTCCACCAATCCACCACCTCCGTACAAGCTTGACCGAATCTGATTTCCGGAGCTAGATACGGTAGAGCTTCCCAATCGTAAGGTTCCTGGAGACAATCCCTCGCATCAAACCGGCAGAGGCCAAAGTCACACAGAGATACGTGGCCCGAATAGTCCAGGAGGATGTTTTGTGGTTTTAGATCACCACAAATGATGCCGAGATCGTGCAAACACTCTAACGCGCGAATGATTTCTGCGGCGTAGAGTCTGATCGTGTCCACATCGAGATGCTGCTGCTTCTGAAGAAGCTTCCATAACTCTCCTCCATGAACGAATGGCGACACCAAGTATAAGCATTCTGGTGACTGAAAGGCGAATTTGATAGGTACGATAAATGGCTTTTGATTTGGGACAGAACTGAATGCTTTGCAATCTCGAATGTGTCTTCGACTCCGCATTTTGAACCGATACCGGTTTTCTCAATCCTCTTCAATGCGTAGTAAAGCCCTCCGCTGTATTTCTTGTAGACTTGGAAGGTACTTTTGCGGTATTCATTTCCCAGGGTCTTCAATGTGTTAAAATCCTGTATCTGCAGATGTGTCTTCTTCTCTTGAAAATCGACGCTCAAGTGGATCCTTCCAGTGCCGCGTTCAAGTTCCAACCACTTTTGATGCGAAACCTTGCTTTTGTGACCGAGTTCGGTAATTGCCAAATGTGTTATATCAGGATCCTCAACCTCATCGTGGCCGCTTTCGAACGTGGGACTAAATCGCGCTACACCAAGGCATATATCATGGATTCTCCCGGAGTCTGACGTAGAGAATTCATTCCTCAAGTAAAGATGGACTGATAATTCCATCGAGTGCGTAACATCGAATCTCGGCGAAAAGCCAGTCCATAAGGGATTCTGTACCGTCCCGGAAGAGGCGGGGACAAGCACCTGAGACTTATCGACATCAATAAGGGCATAAACTGGATGTCTCTTGTATCCACTCGTCTTGTGCTCGCTGTCATGAGAGATCGAGCTTACGAATGAAACATCCGATTTGTTGATAAATTTTGGGCCAGGGTCGCTTCTGAATTGATCGTTACGCTCGTTGAGCAGTTGCTTGTAATGCTCCGGAAGGGACAGACCGACGGCTTCGTGCAAGCAAACAGTCAGAACACCGGATCGATCCTGGATCTGCTTTTGCGCATGTTCGTCGCTCGCGGGAGCTTTCAAAGTAGATGTTCGTGTCGATAAGAACTTATTTATATTTTCGTCTTCTGGGTTACTGGCCCTCTTCTTGCGGGGAAGCTTCCATGACTATTTCTTGGACCAAATGTTTTCATTATTCAGAGCTGGAGGGGTCTCTGAGGAGGAGATGGTCATTAGAGGGCCTTGGTAACCATTAGCTAGGTATAACACCGAGGTGATTGTGCGCCACGAGATCACAGTAGGTAGGTAGCAGATTGTACGTACGATTGCTTGGTGTTGAAGACATGTTGATATTCATGGGGTTGGTGCTAAAGTGATTTCGCCGATAATCACGGCGATACTTCCCTCTGTTTCTATTTCTCTTTCATACTCTTCCCAGATGATTGAAGGCCCAGGAAGTTCTAGTCTCCGTGACCCGTATATGCCACGTGGGATCACGAGTTTCTAAGAATAGGTAGGTAGTGACTTCCCATGTGACTCTATCGTCTTTTGATTGCTGCTATTCTTCCTGATACTCAAGTATGGAATCTCCGTGAACACGTAATCTAGTTCGTTGGTATGTACTATCGTGTGGCATCACGACTTCTTGTCCCTTCTCTCCTATGGAGAGCAGCCGGTCGTGGAAAAGAAAGTACGGCCGGCCGGCCGTACTTTTTCTTGCACGTTGTCCGAATGGGGAGAGTTACATTGCCCTCACAATAGACTAAGACTAGGCAGCATGAATGTATTGGCCAGAACTTGACTACTCTTTCAACACTTCCATCCAGATCTCCTTTGCTTCTGCATAAAAAAGCGACACTTACGTCACTTATGCCTAAGCGAGGACCCCTTTTTGCAAGCACGATATGCGGGCACGGTCCCCTAAAGCGTGTTCCAGGGTCTGACACGCGGTGAGCCTAGGCGGCAACTCATGATAACCTTAAACCTGGTCAACATCTCCCTCTCATAAACACTGATGCGACAACACCGAGGTACAATCCTTCACCATTCATCGCGACATTAAATTTGGTTTGCTTACCTGTGCCTGAACGACGATGGCGACGACGAGAGATACAACCAAGAGCTTCCTGCATTATCCTGAGGCGAAACAAGGGTTCGTCACCTGCTTTTTGGGTTTTCATGCATGGAATGATCGTGGGGAATGCTGATATTCTTGACATCACAGACCAAATGTTCCTTATACAAACAACAGAAAGAGCAATCCAGCGGTGAGAGGATGGTATCTTCTCATTTCTGCATTAATGTAAGTCTGTCCTTTCACATGTCAAAATATCCCTAACTCACGTGGTCAGTCTCGAGTATGTCGGTTTTGTTCGCCGAATTGTATGGAAGAATACTGGATTCGCCAATCTACGTCTCATACGCAAATATATCGAGAACGCCGAGCCTCGATATGATCCGACGGTGGTTCCTATTGCCGCTTCTTCGCCATTTGATGATCCAGCTCCAGTAGTTGAGACAGCCGTTGCTTGGAAACCAGAAGCGAAGTATTACACTGTTGCTGATTATCGAAAGTTGTTTCTATCCGGAGAGTTGACGCCGTTGGCTGTTGCTCAAGCTATCTTACCCTTGATCAGAAGAGATATATCGCCGCCTGGCTCGCATTCCATTGGTTTCTTTGACAGTAATGTGGAATTGGTGCTTGCAGCGGCAAAGGCCTCGACTTTGAGATATAAGGAGAAACGACCCCTAGGACCATTGGACGGCATTGCGCTTGCAGTGAAGGACGAATACGATATTGAAGGTTATACCACGTGTTTGGGGTCCAGGAACGACTACACGGGAAAAGCTGCTCCTGGAGAGTCAATCACTGCCTGGTGTGTGAAGAAGCTACAAGAAGCTGGTGCTGTCAATGTTGGAAAGCTTTCGATGCATGAGTTTGGTCTTGGTATGTTCTCTGCTACTTCTCCTAAAGTTAGACGTATTTTTGGCGACTTACAGGAGATTTTCAACATGTACGCTGACTTGGTTGCATAGACACGTCTGGGAATAATCCTATCAAGGGCACTCCACCAAATCCTTACAATAGTGACTATTACACTGGTGGTTCTTCCAGTGGTTGCGCCTATGCGGTAGCTTCTGGCTTGGTCCCTATTGCCCTCGGAGGTGACGGCGGTGGATCAATTCGAATTCCTGCGTCATTTTGCTCAGTTTTCGGTCTCAAGCCTTCCCACGGCCGCCTCCTATTCAAGCCATGCATGAATCACTCTTCAAGCTGCGCAGTCAACGGTCCTCTCGCTTCGGATATTGCCTCTCTCACTGCGTTCTATCAAGTTCTCGGGATTCAAGATACAGAGGCACTCTTTCCAGCGCCGTCACCAACGATTCTCGTACCTACGTCTAGAAGCAAGAAAGTCCTTGGTATTCCAGAAGCATGGTTCGCTCGCTCTACTCCAGCGATCCAACGTCTCTGCCGCTCTCTTGTTGACCGTCTTGTCGCAAACCACGATTATACGCTAGTACCAATCAGCATCCCCTTCCTCCCAGAGGGACAACTCGCTCACGCTATGACCGTACTTACAGACGCCGCAACCCTGTTGCCAGAAACCTCAAACCTGACCTCAGCGAACAGGATCATGATCGCACTCGGTACCGTCACACCAGCAACAGACTACGTCCTCGCCCAGAAACTCCGACAAGTGCTGATGCAACATATGGCTTACCTATGGGAAAAGTATCCCGGCATGATCATCGTGACTCCGACCACTTCCTGTGCCGGGTGGAAGGTTGCCGGAAAGTCAGACTTGAAGTACGGTATTAGTGACGGAGACACGACGTTGAAGACTATGGAATACGTATGGATGGGTAATTTCCTCGGCTTGCCTGGTCTCGCGGTCCCGGCTGGGTTCGTGAAGCCGGAAGGTGTCAAGGGAGCTGGTGAAGAGGCTGCGGATGGAGAGGTGGGAGGCGTGCCGGTGGGATTGATGGGGATGGGAGAGTGGGGTGACGAGGAAGAGTTGCTGAGGTGGGGTGCTGAGGTTGAGGAAGTAGGGATGGATAGGAGGTGTAGACCACCGATTTGGGTTGATGTTGTGGAGTTGGCGAAGAAGCAGATGTAGGTGTAGAGGGGAGGATGTGCGTGTTAGATTATAAAGTCAGATGCTCCTTTTATTCATACCCAATTTGTTGTTATCTAATAGACTTTGGAAATGAATTGTTTTTGTGATTCTGATTTCAACTGCATACACTGCTCAATCTTCATATTTTGCATGGTCATGAGAGGGTCGTCCAGCTACTCGGCCATAGAGTCTGGCTGTGTAAGAAAATGCTAATCCTCACAACTTATTCTACACCAGCCCTAACATTGAGATGAACCCCAAAGTCCGGACCATCATGGATAGGTACAACTTGAAACAACTCCGCGAAGATGACAACAAGAGAATTACGATTGTTGGAATCACAAATACTGTAGGAGTCGCTCAGAAGTTCGCCCAGAAGTTGCCAAATGAGATCAGAACAAGCTGGAGCGGGTTCTGCGAAGCCATGAAAGCCGAGTATGGTGAAGAGAAATTTTTCTGCTGAAGCTCAATGAGACTCTCCCATGCCAATCTCTTGTCCTTCTTGACAACCTTCTCTTCACCATACTCGGCTTTCATGGCTTCGCAGAACCCGCTCTAGCTTGTTCTGATCTCCTTTGGCAACTTCTATTTATAATTCATCGGTGAGAGTCAGACACCGAGCCAAGATTTCAATATAGAGAAAGACTAAAAGAAGCTTAGACATCCAAATGACTTTTAGATCCTCACCCATTTGGAGACAATCAACTCTAAAGAATGTGGGGTAGAGCTTGCTTTCGTATTGCTAAGTATTTCAAGCGATTCGAGAACTTAAAGGGGACTTGATGCTCGTTTTCAGAAGACTCTATTCAAGTTCAAGACATCTAAATCACTAAAACAAATAAGATCAGTGAAAATCCCTCGATTCGCTTCACCTTACTTCTTTGTAGGCAACTATTATCCCAGCGCCTTTCAATCTCGACTCCAACTCAGATCCTTTTCGCGGACCCACACGGATTTGACAGCAAGCCTCAATTCCTGCCATTGCAGTATTCACAGCACTGGTAATCCTTACCTCCCTTAGCCATCGAGTCACCCTTTCTCTGGCTTGATCAATACCAAGTAACCACCACCCCGATCTACCACAATGGTGAGTGCCTAACTTGCTCTCTATACCCCCGAACCAGCACTGACAGTCATGACACAGGCGCCAGGCGACGAGACGATCAGTGAACCGAGTGGAAACAAACGTCCCAGGGAGAGTGAACCACCAGCACCAAAGAGGAAGAAGAGGAAAACATTGGCAGATGTGTTCGCTGATGCTGTCGAGGCACTCAAAAACGATCCAGTGTACGGATCCGAGACTCGCCCACCCGGTGTGGTAATGATGGAAGAATTAGCTGCTCGCGAAGCTAAGGAGAGTGCAGGAGGTTACGAGGCAGAGGAAGCGGCTAGGAAGATTGCAGAATTCGCAATTCAGGATTCCAGGGCATCAGAAGGCGAAGCTGCACAACCGGAGGATGAAGCATTTGGGAAGCGTTAGATTCGGTGGGACATTGGGTTGATGGATCGAGTCAAATGCACCTTCCCCTTTCGAAATGAATTCTGAATGTTGTGATTGAATTGAATTCCGACAAGAGTGAGCACCCGAAAACTTTTACACATCCAGCACTAGACTGCAATTATAGTAGCCAGAGACGCATAGAAATTTCAGTCGAAACTGCACTTTATTGTTACTACTCCCCTTCACTGCTCACCCAATTCACCATCACTCGAGCGCTTCCCAGAAAACGCCCTTCCCAAGCATGGATATCATTCGCAACGCCCAATTTAAATCGCCCAACTCAATCGAAGCAGTATTATCGACTTATTAAACAAAAATCTATCGACAAAACACGCTTTAACGACACCGTATCAAACAGCATTTGCTCCAGAAGTTCTCGTCTCCTGCTTCTCACTTAGCATAGCGGGAGGTTCCTCTTCCTCGCTGATGGGCTCCATCGGTTTGGTTGGAGCAAATGCACTCTTTTGTCTGATCTTCGCGCCGTAGAAATAGAATCCCACTGGAATAGGGACGAGACAGAATGCGACGAGGCCGAGCAGAGTGCCTGCCCAATTTACGTGTAGAGAAGCGAACATGTACTGTGAGAACATTGGAAATCCTGCGCCCGCAAGAGATCGAAGGAAAGTATTTCCAGCAATTGCGGAAGCTGCGAACATAAGATACGCATCGACAAGATAGTTGAGAGACTGCAGAAAAATGGCGAGGAGACCAAATCCTGTGAAGAGACCGGAGAGAGTTGGGACAATCCAATGGATGGATTCTAGAGAAGCTGTTAGTCTATTATCAATAAACGAGGCAGAATACAAACCTTTGTAACCACTCCATCCGAACCAGAGGAGCCCAATAGCGAAGGAGACCCCTCCAACGATCACGGGTGGCAGACGCCACTCAGGGATTGGAACACCATTGTTGGCAGCCAGCTTTCGGTTATAGCTTGGTTGAAGAAGGATGACGAAAAGTCCAGCGCAAAGCATGCCGATGATCATACCAAAGTAAGGAAGACCTCCTACCCCAGGTGACATGCCGTGAATGCGCTGGAAAACGATCGGATACGCCGTGAGAAAAAGATAAAGAAGCCCGTAGATGAAAGCCATATAAATGGAAAGGAGGAGCACAATTGGCTCGGTAAAGAGGAGGCGCATCGGACGAGAAAAGTTCTTGGTTACCAATTCTCTGAAGTCGATCTCGATTTCTTCCTGCTTGGCATGGATTCCCCAGTTCTTCGTTCTTCTGCGAAGCTCAGCAGCCTTGGATACTAAGATAACAGGAGGGTAGGTCTCTTCGAGAAACAAGAAGTCGAGAGTGAAAGCTGAGAAGCCCATAATGGCAGGAAGCCTAGATAATGTTAGGCGCAATTTTGGGAAAAGGTAGTAACAGAACGTACCATTCTGTCCATCGCCAGCCAAGGTAACTCTCAACGATGAAACCTCCGATAAAGGGTGCAAGTAAAGGACCAGTGAAGACGGTCATTGAAAATACTGTAATAGCCATACCACGGGTTCTGTTGTCGAACATGTCTGAGAACACAGCTGCAACAACGGCCAATGGGCAAGCACCAAACATGCCTATACACATTAGCATTAAATCCATATTGTCTCGGAGTCAAGCGACATACCACCCCAGAAGCGGCACAGCAAGACGGTTTGCAGATCTTTGCCTGCAGCCACAGCAACCTGAAAGATTGAGAATCCAAACATTGATATCACCAATGGTAATCTTCGTCCTCTCAATTCGCTCAGAGGCGCCCAAAATGTTGGACCAAGCGCAAAACCCAAGACGTAGAGTGAAAGTCCCAAAAGACCAACCTCGGCCGACACATGATATTCTGCTGCCACCGTGGTAGTCGCTGTTGAAAAGATGCTTGACGTGAAAGCTGCTATCAGTGTGGTATATCCAAGCATAACTGCAGTAAGAAGCCTATACCAAGTCAATTGATGCTTATCGGGAGGTGCGCCTCAATTTGCTTACTTCTTCTTCATTGGCCAATTCTGCGCATGTAGGGGATCATCTGGTCCATTAAACTCAACCACATATTCCTCACGCTCTGGCAGAGGAGGTGGGTATGGCTTCCCAAGCCCCATCTCTGGTAGAGGTCTTCTGCTTTCCCTACTCTTGCCCGTGAGGCTACGTCCAACTGTGCCAGTATGTTGACTTTTCGCTGTTTGGATTCGACTAAGGACTGTTGGATGTCTTTCGAGATCGCGCTGTGTCGAGACTCGGCTCATATTTCTGTCTCTGCGAGTAGCTGAGTTCTCAGACGAGTCGGTAGAGGAACTTGATGCGGTAGGAATTCGTTCGATCTCATGGCTTGGTCTGCCATGAGGAGTGTTTTCGAACCTCTCCGGCGAGGCATCCCTCTCGTTCCTCTCCATTTCCAGGTCTGCGACGTTCATCTTGCCAATTGATAATGCAAATAATAGGTAAGAGAAGGATACTTGAGAGCAATGTCCCAAGAAGCTATGATTATTGACTGTGCCCGGCAATAGAGCAGCAAAGGGGACGGAAAGCACTTGTTATTTATTCGACTTGTTTTGACAAGCCCCACTTCAATCTGCAGACTGAGCTACGCCGCCGCCTCCACCAGTGAGTAAGCAGGACTGCAGCTAACCTTGCAGGAACGAAAAAACGGCACTTTGTTCCGCCCTTGGCTAAAGCAAGACCGAGATCCCAGTGACAATCGACCGGGCAGAACTAAATTCGACCTTGGAGAGCGGGTAGCCCCGCAAGGTTCTTGAAAAGAGAAAAAGGAGATGTAGAATGCTCTGTAAGATGAGATGGATGGATACTTGCGGTTGATAACACGGATGTCTGTTGATGGCCGTTGAGATGCGCCTATCTGCGTGACCTGACATGGTGTTTTGTTGGTGACGAGTGTGGCGTGGAAGCAGGAGAGGAAAGTGGAGTGCAGGGCAAGCTTTTTCAGCAGCTCTAAGAAAACCCAGGGTGGCACGGACTTTTGATCTGAATTCTTAAGCCGAGGGCCGACAAGTGAATGTATTTCTGCACGACATCTTCTTTATGCCGTGCACAATACCGAACTGATGGAACATACCTAGGTATCATTCACGCAATTCTAGATAGTGGGAATTAAATTGGCCCTGGACGTCAGGTTGTTTCGGGTCTGATCCAATCTTGTTTCGCTCGATGAAATCGAAAGAAGTACCCTTAAGCCGAAGAACTTAACCCAAATGGTTCAGAGGAACAGACTTTTCGCCGGACCCTGGAGGTTCGGGCTATGATAATTTTCGTATCATTTCAGAGTTTTCACACATGCCAGATAGCAATTATTCTCAAGAAGTCTCTGTCCCAAGTCAAGACATCATTGAAAGGTTGCTCCCTGGAGAGCTGCTATCATCGTACAGAGAAGGATTAGATCGTACAAATCCTACAATGGACAGCTCTCGTTCTGCTTTGATATACGTCAGACTCCACATCTCCAAGACATAGTCAAAGACCTCCAGTCAACCTCCAGCGACAATGCTCAGCTTCATCAGTATTTGAAAAAGGGTGTCTGTACAGAAATGCTTACATTTATGTGTTCTAAGTTGAGCCAATCAAGTACACGCCAAGCGAACTGGTTAAGATCTCACAATGAGCTTGGAATGTCTGTCCATAACGTATTGTCCTGAACACTTCAGCAAGTCATAATGTCCCAGATTTGAGGTGTCCGCAGAGAAAATCGAGGTTATCATTTACTTATGCTAATATCTATGCCTCAGATCTCCTTAAGCTTTCCCTCACGCCCCAACCATTTGCAAGCATTGCACCTGTTTCCTCCAGACTTAGACCTTTCGTCTCGGGATATATACAGTATATACAAATCCACCCTCCTACACAGACTACTGCATAGATTACGAAAGTCCAAGCTGGGGTCAAGAACTCCATCATTGGCAAGAAGGTCAAACCAACAACAAAATTTGCTCCCCAATTTGTACTCGTACTTATCCCTGAGCCGAGAGATCTGACATTGAGGGGGAAGAGTTCGCTTTGCATCCATGGTACATTGCCTAAGCCCAGAGCATATGCGCCAACGTAGAGCATAACACTAGCAAGGACTAGAAGAGGGGCGGTACGTTCAGAAAGAGGCACAGATTCGTGTGCTGATGCTGAGGATGACGGATTGTCTGCTATGAGGTCGGTTGGCAATATGATGAAAACAAAGCCTGCACTGCAGAGAAGAAGTCCGAAGGCCATGATGGGAATTGAGTATAGCAGGATACGTCTTCGTCCGATACGGTCAATAAGCAGCAATGCTACACAAGTGAGAATGAAGTTCGTGAAAGCCACAGACAAAGACGTCAAAGTCGGACTCGCAAAGCCAATAAGGGTAAAAATCGTGGCCGAGAAGTACATCAATGAATTCTTGTAGAATTGTTAGTTAGGGGGTCAAAAGAGGGAAACAAGCGACAAGGAAGGGGTTTCTTACGAAGCCACAGAGCTGCTGAAGCCCCTGTAACAGGCAGGCAATAGTCAATGCTCTCCTATTCCCAGGACTCCTAAACAACTCTCCCCACACGTCCTTCGATCCTGCGAACCAAGCATTTTGCTCTTTCTTCGTTTGACCCCGCATTCGTCCCCTCTTTGCTTCCTCCTCTTCTCGAACCTCGCTCTCAATGTTCTTCAGAACAACATCGACCATACCCTGGATATCTCTACCACCCCCATACACCTTACTGAGTACATTCCTAGCTTCGTGTGTCCGATCTACCATAACCAACCACCTTGGTGTTTCTGGCATCACAAGCATAACCATGCATTGGATTGCAGCAGGCACAGCACCAAGTCCTACCATCCATCTCCATCCAGTATTCTCATTTCCCCATTGTGTGAAAGCCCACCCAACCACATATGCGACCACTTGTCCAAGCGTGATGAATAAAACGTTTAGAGTAATCAGCCTCCCTCGAAACTTCGCCGGCGCAAGCTCAGCAATATACAGAGGGGTTACAAAACTCCCCGCTCCAACTGCAAGACCAACAATAGATCGACCAATTATCATTCCTGGCACCGAGGACGTGATAGCCTGCATAACAGCTCCAAGAATGAAAGCCAAATCGGCCAGCAGCAGAACCCGTTTTCGGCCCAATGTATCTGCCAAAACTCCCGAGATTGGCGACACGAAGAGGGCGAATAATGCTGTTGCAGAAGTTATGAGGGATTTGTCGAGAGTAGTCAACTGGTGACCGAGGGAGCTATTGATCGAAACCAATGTTGCTGAGATAACGCCAGTATCATCTAATATAGTCAGTATCTGCAAGACATTTTACACCAAGAGACTGAAACTTACATCCAAACAAAAGCCCGCTTATACCAGCCGACAGAGTCAACAACCAGACGAAGTAACCTGGATGCCTCAAGTTCTTTTCGAGCAAGAGAGAGACATCGCTGAGATCTACATCTTGACTTGGCTCCTCTTCAAGACCAACCTCATGCCGCATCAAAGGTTCTTCGGCCGAGTCGGCCATGTTTGTCAGTGCTATCGAGGGAGAAGCCGTGGTGAAAAGTGGCGGGCTATGTGTACCATGAGGAATCGAAGACGTTGAAGATCATAGTTGCAGATCTCCAGGTTGCGAAGCTGTGACATTCCGAAGCCGACAAGCCGGTGTCCGCCGGGATTGAGCCGATAGGGCTGAATGCAGTGCAGGCATCAACCCCAAGTCTTTGAGCTTGCACGACCATTATATCTATCGACAACGGAAAATATTACGCTGCATGGAAAGCGCATGTCTTCAAAGTGCGTAGAGTCACCCGAAACCGGAAACCGCAACAACACATAGCAGTCATTGATCTGAGAAGTGACCAAAGAATGTTGCAGAGGGTCGTCGTCAGCATGTCATTCATTCTATGTGAGTTTCCAGCAATACACGAAAACCCAACTTATCACTAAAAGAATCTACAACCTTCCCATCAAGACCGCAATACAACCAATGAGCATAGTCGCAGCGTACGGAATCCAAAAGCTCAGTACAATCGAACTGCCCCCTGCCCCAACCCTGGCTGCAAGAATCTCCCCCTCTTTTGCCAAAGTAACTGTTGCTTGAGGTGCTTGAAAGATAGTGCTAGTAACGGTGATCGGTGTTCCCAAGCTGTTACTTGTCATTGCTGGTGCGGCTTGCGTACCCTGAGAATTACTCGGACTCGAAGTGGCTGGAACTGTGGATGGCGGGCTGATTGTTGAGGCATTGTTGACATGCACGCACCCGTTTGGTGAGCACTCTAATGTGGATGGACAACATCCTCCACCTGTTTCGGGAGAACACTCGACCAAAGATGCCATACATTTTGGCGGGTCTGATTCAGAGGCTTCGCAATTATAGTCCGAGTCGGTGGAATTGCAGCAGTATATGCCTGAGGGGGTAAAGGTAGCAGCGTAGCAGGTCATTCCAACTGGACAGCAGATGTTCTGCGGAGGTTAGCAGTACTACAGACTAGAGCGCAGTAGATAAGCTTACAGGTTGCTTGAAAGACTCGCAGCTGTTCTGTTGATCACCGCAAGTGTAAAAGGGTACATTGTCTCCTGCCTGACGTTCCCAGACAGCAGGATTCTTGAACACCTGGATCTGGCGTATGGGCAAATAGAGCTGTACTGGATCATCGGAAGTTTTTCCGTTCTGTTCGTCTGTTCTGGCCTTCAGCCATCCCTGACCACCGAAATCGTGATAGTATTGATGTGCAGTGAAAACGATGCCGATAACCATGACCAAGATTACTACCACACAGAACGACCCTAGCCAGCAACTGCGACGCAACATGTATGCTTTGAGTTCCGACAGACGAGAGCTAGAGGATGATCGTGAGGGAGTCGTCTGACAAGGGAGGTGGTGTCGAATCATTGCTGTAGATGAGATAAAGAAGTACAAGACGAAGAAGTTGCAGGAGGAGCATCAGAGTAAATGTAGCTTGACTGGAGCGATAAATGAGGATCTCTGCTGCCATTTAGACAACGTTCCATTGATTTCAGGGTAAAAGATACAATTGACAGGATAGTTGAAAAGAATCTAGGACAGTGAGCCTTAGAAATGAAAATTAAGATTACATGAATGTGAAGGAAGGAGCAGTTGACGGCGGCCGAGGTGGGAAATTCGACTCCAACGACACCACTTATCATTGAAGATTTTTGGGAGACACTCATCTGGAACCCTCTACATCTAGAGCAGTCTCTTGAAATTTGTGGGTGTAATAGACTTCTTTGATGTGCAAGTTATTCGCGACAAGGGTCTTGCAGAAACAAACTGACTGTACTTAGGGTCCTGACAGCGTGGACGACCCTGCATTATTAGATTCCACGGTGTATGACGTATTTACATCGAATATCGAGCTTCAAACAAGTTCAAAATCACGATGCTCTTACATTTATAATAAGCACATCCGATCTCCTGACTGTTCATACACTGAACTTAGTGGAAAAGGCATGTTAAACAGTAAAATTAAAGTGCGACACATATTTTGGAGATCTGTAGGCACACACAAGAGCTTGACTTTCGACCCTTCAGCTACATGTGTTTTTAGCTCTGACTTTCTCATAAATGTCCGTCCCTTTTGCATATTCCGAGGAAGATGCCGTGCTATGCTAGTCCTATTATGGCCTCTGTTTACATAGGTTTCTACCTCGAAGCTGAAATAGATTTCCACAATTGTGATTCCAACTCTGCCTCTGGACCACAACTTCGCAAGTACACATTCAACCTTCTTTCAACCCACAAACTTTGCTATTTCTCTTTGTAACTGGGACAGTACACAAATACGCTCGTTATAGCTTGCGTCAAAAAGACGGGTAGTGCTCGAGACCGGTTTATTGCTTTGCGCCTCATCCCTTGTCACCAGTTGACCTTGCCGACACCAACCTCAGTCTCCTGCGGTCTTCGTGCAATCCAACTGCCAGACTTCTGCAATACCGTCAGTGATTCCGTTTTCGCAAATACTTCAGAGACAACCGTCGCCGCGTCAACAAGTATGTCCTTCCATCTCCACCCGATACGGAAACACCAAAGTCCATTCAATTTGTTCCCCAACTCCGCTCTTATCATTTCCCCGTACCTAACAGACACAGAGATTAGATTTCCGATATAGTTCTGCGATAACTCCTCTTCTTCTTGCACCTTCGGCTCAGCTTTGTTTCTTCTGCAAGGCATCCTACGAGCTTCACGACTTCACAAATCCACCGCATACATCAGCCCCAGTACAGATCTCCGCCAGCTCCTTACAATAACATCATGGCACCAGCGCGCAGACGACCCCGTAGACGCGTTCGAGCTGTCCCTACAGCCGCAAGTGCGAGACCGAGCCGTCGCGCTGCTGTTGAAGCCACGGCGAAGAATGAATTGATATTGGCTCGCCCCAAGTCTGTACCGAAGCCCACATTAGTGTATGAAGCCGGTAAGGTTTCTCCCAGATCCTCTTTGACACTCTGCATCCTCGTTCTAGTCTCTCTTTTCGCTTGCGCTTCATTGTTTGCACGCTGTCTCTACGAAGTCCTGTAGCTCATCAGGACAATTCGGCATCGGGGCTACAGTATTCTATTATCGAATGATAGCTAATCGATTTCCGCAGACCGAGAAGACAAAGATTCGTTCTTTGATAATGAAGTCCCCGCCGAAATCTATAAGATGATTATGGATCTTCTCGATCCGGGCAGTGCCACCTGCTTCGGCCTGGTAAATCGGAAGGCACACAACGCCTGGCTGAAGAACTACGACTATGGTGATGTTAATCTAAACACCATGGCTATCCCAGCACCGGGTGGCCTCACTCGTCCTCTGAGGACACTTTGTAAGTATTCCCTTCCTTTATTGGAATCCTTCTCCCGGCTTCCTTTCACAAAGGCCACGTTTGGCCTCTCGAACAAGTCTGCCTTCTCCCGAGGATTCCGCTACTTGTTCCACACGACAGCAAGTACTGACCCCCTGTAGTGTGGTTCTGGGCGGGTCCGGATTTGTTCTTTAATGCGCTTCTAGGCATCTTTACCCCTGAAGAAGAGTACGTCATATTCTGCTCTTGTGTTGCATTCATTCTGAGAGTCGAGATCTTCGGGGCTATGCTCGGAAACTGCGTTCAAAAGAAGAGGCATTTCGACTCTCCAAAAGAGCTCTCGACTCCCAGATCTTTCTCCAAATCGTATACTGATTTGCCTATAGGCTCATGGAGACGTACGAAGACTTTATGGACCTTCATAAGGATGAGGTAGCGCAGCAGGAACGTGAAGCGGAGGAACGCGAAGAGGAAGAAGAGAGGGAGCGAGAACAGAGGCGGTACGATCGTCAACAACGCCGGCTTCACACAGGAACTGTAGCTCATGCACACGAAGTTGAAGGCTACAGTGATAACAAGCACTACAATAGCGATCTGGAGGAAGAAAATTCCGGTGATGAGGATGATGAGGATGATGAGGACGATGAATGATAAGAATGCTGGACGGAAGTCATGCGTATGCACATTTCACCCGGGGCGGTAGAATCTTGGAGATTGACCATTTGGCAAACTCTCGAGCAGTCTACTCAACCATGTTTTACACTCTGCCGTCTTGGACGGATGGGATTGGAATTAGTTGGTGAATCCGCGGTTATGGAACCCAGTTTTGCGTTTTTTTGATGAACTGGCTCCACCGGGCTCAGCCAGTAATCTGCACTGTAACGTAATTATTTTTGCCTTTGTATCATACTCTGCTGGTCCTCGTGAACCTACTGCTACCTATTCTAAGAATTCTTTTTCCCAATGAAGAAAATCCTGAAAGACAAATGTTGCATGTGACAGATGTGGCACGTACCTGTACCAGTAGATTCAAGTAATGTAAAATATAGTGAGAAAAGAATTAGACACTATAGATTGGCATGATTTGTCTACATATTTCCATTCACAAGGCTAATGAGGATACGGGAGAAAAGACCTCAACTTTCACGTGACGTGCATCGGTGATCTCGCTCTCCTTTTTTAAGCGAAGGCATTTAACGACTAACAAGCGAAGGGTTTGCTGGCTGTTAGCAACCCACTGATGGCGAGAAATGAGACAAAGCTTTGTCTCTCGCAAGACGTGTTATAACCGCAGCCAAAAATAAAGATAAATTCTGCTTTCGGCAATTTGAACAAAGGGATGTGATAGACAAAGAATCACTCAAGCTTGATAAAAGGGCTCGAGTAAAATTGTTGGCAAGAGGTAAACACTCGAATCCAACAAAAGTTTCATCATGGCGAACATTGGTTGGTTGCCTGTTCAACTAGATTGACAAGGGCCAGTATTGATTGCTCCGGGTGCGGGTGCAATGAAGGACAAAGCATGGGCACCGTCGGGCGATGGGCTATAGGTCCATTCATACACTCTGGGCTACATGGGCTCAGAAGCATCTTCCACCTGCCATGGCCACCGTCTGTTCCAATTGTTCCGGGAGTACCTAAACCTCCCCGAGATTACTACAATCGACCAGATCTGCTCAGGGCTTGTGCAAGTTGGCCTGCTGGTCCTAATCTCCACCACGGGACGATATTTCACCTGGTACGTGGCTTCTATGGAGCCAAGTTTTTCTTCCAGATTTTGTCATGAGTTTTGCTTGCTACAATGCTCCAATACAGACAAAGAAATCTATACACACTCCCTTGTCATAAAGTAGTACACTGACTTGAAGATGTCAAATTCTAGCGGCAAACCAAAGCCATAGACTAGCCGTGTGATGTTGTAGTCATGACTATTGGTCTGGTAGGACTTTCTAACTTTGATAGCACGAAGCTACTAGAAGCGATCAGATATGAGAGAAAACAAATAGCGCCTGGTGGAGTTCCCGCAATTCCAGGAGTGATCACTGCTTGGATTGCTGCACTCCCTGGGCTGGCAAGACGATAGGCTAGGGTCATACCTAGTAAGTTGACAAACTCTTTTGTGCAGAATTTGAATAGTTAACCTTAGGGAGCTTTGGGTCTGAATGTCAACGTGCCGCTTTACATTCAAGTGAGGGCAGAGTCCATCGCCCAAGCTGCTCTTCCAATAGTGCTGGGAAGACCTCCACTGCCTGTATATCAACAGCCTCCACCTGTCCTGCCCGCCGGTGGAGGTGTGCACACCGAAATGGCAATGTATCGATTGAGACTTTGTTGGTATACCGCACTAGAAACAGCAAGTAAGTATTGTCAGTGTGCTTGCAATACTACCGGCTGTTATCTCCTAGCCATTACTAGACACTAATCATATTAGGGACTGCTTAAGGAACACCTCTACCTGCAGCACCTGTAGCGGCAATAGCAGGACTACAGGTTGCTATGGCTATGCCGCTTGTCGCACCTGCGTACCCCAATGTGAACGCGATTACGTTCCCGTTAATGGGCTCAGCTTTTGTGCTAGGATACACCTATGACCAAGCCGCAACCCAGGCCTGCAAGGCTCTTTATGAATACTTTCACGTGACTTTGGGGAGCGAAAGTGCTCCTTTTGGGATGCTTTCAAGTCCTGTGGCTGCACCCGGATCAATAGAGGCAGAGCGGAATGCCCGTCGAGCACAATTCTCGGACGTCTACTTGACCATACCGAATGGAATGCCGTAAGTCGATGAACACAAGTGGCATTGACCCAGCTCTTGCCATCTTATGCTCGAATCGTCAGTAGCTAACAGCTTTACTAGGTTTCTGAACCCACCCGTTGGAGTTGGACGCGTAACAATAAATGTTTTTCATAAAGAAATGGGTCAGCAAGAGCTTGCCTGGCAGAGAGCATTCGCGTAAGCAACGCCAAGTCGTGGTCATCTAAGAAATCTACTGACATCTCAGCAGGAAATACCTGATGTGTGATTGTTGCGGAAGCTCAATCGAATAGAAAGCAGGCGTTGATCTATAAACCAGTAGTGATGGCGGAAGGTTTCTTTTTCAATAACAGTTCGAGGATAAGAAAGTTTCAAACTATACCATTATAATACCATATAGTTAAAGATCTAAAATCATATTATTCGAGATTCTGTAGACGAGAAAGGAGGTTCAGATTTAAGCGTGAACTCAGACCTATAAGGATAAAATAGTGTAAGAACGACGCAAATTTCGGCTCCATCTCGAAGCATCTTTTCTTCCTCAAGAACTCTTTTTTACAATGACCCTGAACTTCAAATCATAAAATAATGACCTGACGCGGTTGTTTACAGAACCCAATTGATGCAGAATCTATCCACAACATGGAGGGTTTGCTTTGAGACGTCACATTCTTCCAAGCGGTTTAAATAAAGCCTGCAGCAACATGTGTAGTACAGAAGGTCTGGGCGGCCCAGAGGAGCACGCACAGCCTGTAATTACAGTGGAGAATCCTGGATTTTGGCCGTGAAGTCCGCCCGTACATACCTCGGCAAGTTTTTAGCGCGATAAATGGATGACGAGAATGAGAGCAAGCTCAATATGCCTTGACCGAGGGCCGACAAGTACAAGAGGTATATAAAAACTCCTACTTACGTTTTCAGATTGTAGCCCCAATCTGCCAAAATGTCCCCCACTCCTCAATGGGTCAAGGACCTGAAGCCGTCTTCTCCTCAAGGCAGCGAGCTTATTCAGGCGGAACGAGCAAAGTCCAAGATCGCTGTTGAGAAGTTGTCCAATTTTCTCTTCACCAAAGAAGTCCTCGAGCGCCAGGACAGGATCTTAGGTATTCTCAAAGCCGAGAAAGTCTTCGACAAGTCGCAGAATTATTTCGATGGCCGAGTGGATAGATTCAAAACCGCCTTGGCCCGGGCGAAGCGGTTGCGGCAACTGCAAGTCAAGCACAATTGGGATCGAGACGAATATATGATGGCCAACGAGTTGATCAGCGAACCTGGACCATACGGTCTCCATGCGAGCATGTACTTGGTATGCTGATCCCACAAATGAAGGATATTGGCTAATTGCTCAGACCACTCTTCGAGATCAAGGAACCTCAGAGCAACACAAACTCTTCCTCGAACCTGCCGAGAAATATAAAGCCATTGGATGTTATGCACAAACCGAATTGGGCCATGGATCGAATGTGCGTGGTCTCGAAACGACAGCGACATGGAATCCAGAAGACAAGACCTTCATCCTTCACTCTCCACATTTGACAGCATCAAAGTGGTGGATTGGTTCTCTGGGACGAACAGCAAATCATGCTGTCGTAATGGCACAACTGATAATTGGAGGCAAGCCATACGGGCCCCATCCTTTCGTCTGCCAAATTCGAGATATGAAGACCCACGAACCGCTGGAAGGTGTTCATGTTGGAGATATTGGCCCAAAATTCGGCTATAACACCATGGACAATGGTTTCCTGCTCTTAAACAAAGTCAAGATTCCACACGTCAACATGTTGGCACGCTTCTCAAGTGTAGATCCGGAAACGAACAAGTATGTGAAGCCATCGTCCCCGTCATTGATTTACGGTACCCTCACTTGGGTGCGGTCAACAATCGTCCTTCAATCTGGCGGTGTTCTGGCTCGTGGCGTCACCATTGCTACAAGATATGCTTCAGTTCGACGTCAATTCCAAGACCGTGATGCACCCTCCAACGCTGATGGAGAGAATCAGGTTCTTAACTACACTATGGTTCAATTCAGATTACTCCCCCTGCTTGCTTCTACCTTTGCATTGCACTTCACAGGCAAGGCCATGATGGCTCTGTATCAAGAAAACCAGAAGATGATGCAAGCCGATGCTGGTAAAGCGTCTGATACAAATAGAGGAGCAGGACCAGAAGAGACTCACTCAGGTAGTGACCTACTTGCTGATCTGCATGCAACTTCATGTGGTCTCAAAGCTCTTGGCAGCACGACTGCTGCTGAGGGGCTCGAAGTCTGCCGTAGAGCCTGCGGAGGACACGGTTACAGCAGCTTTGGCGGTATCGGAGCATGGTATGCGGATTATCTTCCAACCACCACCTGGGAAGGTGACAACTATATGCTGACCCAGCAAGTTGCTCGATACGTGAGTAAAACCTTGACTGGATGCTTGATATGAACTAATGATTGCCTCTAGCTCCTGAAATCTGCTCGTGCTGTCTTGAAAGGCAATGCACCTAACAATGATACTACCAGAATTTTTACCACCTTTCTTCAAAAGCAGGACATGGGTGCCGCTCATGATGTCCTGGGCTCAGACAGCGATCTGGTAGCAGCCTTCGCATGGCGAACATCCTTCTTGACATTCGAAGCTCTTAAGCATCGTGATGCCGAAAAGAACTCCTGGAATTCGCTCTTAGTTGATTTCTGGCGCCTTAGTACTGCCCACTCGCAGTATCTTGTGGTCAAGAACTTTTACGATGCTCTCCAGAGTGAAAGTCTCCGCTACGAGGTCGACCCAGTAACAATCGATGTCATGCATAAGCTTTTCCGCCTTTATGCTTTAAACACATTAGAGAAAGAAGCTTCCGAATTCTACTCGTCTTCAGCTGTCACAGTCCGTCAAATCCAACTGGCCAGAACGAAGACAGTCATGAAGCTACTCGAAGAGATTAGACCACACGCACTGAAACTTGTGGATGCTTGGCACTTCCCTGATTGGCAACTGGATTCTTCTTTGGGTCGCGCAGATGGAAAGGTTTATGAGGATATGTTTTACAGAGCAAGTGAGTTGAATCCTTTGAACGGGTTGACCGTCGACCCATATCCGGATAGCGATGTTTTGACCAAAAAAGATGAGACTACGAAGTTCAAGAGTAAGTTGTAGAGGGTTTTAGGCCACACGGCTCCTGTGTATATTATCTAGAAGGCTATGAATGTAAATAAGTCCTTAGATCTGAAGGTGTCATTGAAACTGCGATTCGCTCTGTGACATGATCATTGCCTCCAGTGAAATGAGTGAGAAGTTTGTATCAATGCCTGAAGTTTTCCATTAGCTCGGGGCTTCGTCTGCTCGGCTTCTTAGCCTGTGATCAGCAATCTTTGACATCGTCTGGTCTCTTCGTCGGCAAATATACCTATTCCTGTGCTGTACCCAAGGTATCAATATGGATCAATTTCAGCTAAAGCAAGGCGCGCGTGGTCACGTCACCTCACAGTAGATGTGGACAAGATATAACTTTCAGACCTAGCAAAACAGACTCGCGGATAAAATCTCCAAAACGTCCTCCCATATACTATATAAAGATTAATTATTACTTGTTCCTCGAAAATATATTTGCAAATTCCCCAAAAAAAGATATAAATATTTCACGCCCCCATGATCCCGGTGTTTTCCAGCCAGATCCCCAACTATCATTGCTCTTCCAAATCGTGACAACTTCAACTCTCTTCACAAACTGACATTGTCCTCTCAATCTAAATCTCTGCATATGAACGTGTTATTGCGCGGGTATATAATTGATATTTAACCCAAGACAGTATCGAAACGCGCAGCACCAGAAATCGAATGAAGCTCTCTCAACAACGCAGCCACGGGCTCAGGAGCAGCTTCCAGGTAACGGCGGATGGAATGAGCGTCGACTTTCATGTCTTCTCTCAGGAAAACACCAGTGCGTCTCAAGACAACCTTCCTGCTAGCACCGCGGATAATCTTCCATTCGCTGCGGTCGTACTTGTAATGCTTGTCTTGTGCAGCAAGTGCTTGCTGACGGCGGTAGCTTTCTGACAGCAAGTAATCTTTGGTAGTTGTACCCGCCATCGCACGGATATCATTGTAGGCGGTGATGTCGACAGTTGGAGTTCCAAGGACGTCGGTATTTATATCTGTAGCTGAAGCGAAAGACACAACGACGTTGCGAGTGAAGAGCTCCATTTGTTCTTGGTACGAATAGCCAAGCAGCTCTAAGTCATGACGCATGGCGTTGTCCATCTGCTGCATGGTTGCGATGCCAGAGCTATGGGATAGGAAGCGCAGAGGAGCGATGTCCCTGAGAGCTAGAGCATCGTTTCGTTTCGCAGGTGTGCCGTCCTCGTACAATGGATGTCCAGCTTCACGCACGACCTTGCCATTGCCGGAAGATGATCGTTGCAACCGCTCAGGATGTTCCACCAAGCGAGGCAATAAAACATTTTCGTAGAGGATTTGAGCCGAGTATCCTACAATGGACGTGTGACATCCTGTCCCCAATTGGAAGTCGTTTCTCAGCATGCTAGCTCCTGTTGCGAAGTGAAAACGATTGTACAGCATACTCGACTCGAGCAGCTCGGAACCATCTTCGTCACGACCTGAGTGTACGAGGCCGACAAGTCGCAGCGAAGGAGAATCGGATGTCCCTGGGAACAGCATCTTTTGCAGATGTGAGTGGAAGGCAGCATTTATTGCCCGTGTCAGCTTGATCCCATCTGCTGAATTCGTGGTAGGCGTGCTGGGTAGGATGATCCAATGACTTTGGCTTATCTGTTGCTGCAATTCCTGCGAACTGATGAAGCTGTTACCCTCGCGTGGGCCAACGTTGAATGCTAGAACACCATCTGATTTTGCCTGAGCCTCGCTTGTCGAGCGAAGGCGTCGGTACTCATATTCGACTGCTTTATACAGGCTAGCCATGAAGGCGCTGTAGCCATGAGTTTGGCGCAGATCAACGTTTGTAACAGTTGAGCGATCTGGAGTGAGACCACAAGTAAGTGACGACAGATATTCAAGAAAGCGTAAATCATGGCTTTTCCTCTGGTGTTTGGGTACCAGGAAGCCGGCAGCATCGATGTTGCAGGATGTAGCAAGACCTCGAAGCGCACACTCGTAGGAGGTTGCGTCTCGCTCAGTTTCTAAGAGCAACTCGTAGGCGTAGTTCAGAGACTGGATGTCGTGAATATTTCGGAAAGCTTTGGCTCCTTCAGCAGGATAGCGATCTCGTTCCTCCAGGAAATATCTGACATGGAGTCCCGCGACCTGAATGAGGTCTCTTACTTTGTGCGCGATAGAAACGGCACTGTGTGAGCTTGTGAGCCCATTGTCTGTCTCTTGTTGTAGGGTGAGCAGCTGTTCCATCAGCCATTGCTCACGGCGATCAAAAATTGGGCATAAGTGGCGTAAAGCGTCAGTGAATGATGTCGTCGGGTTGCTAGCCTCACTGATTTGGCAAGGTGTAATACTTGTCGTCGCGTTTATGGCTGCTTGGAACAAAGTTTTAGTCTGAGTTGGCATGCCAAAGAGGACTCGAGTCTCTTCTGCTGAAAGCACCTTGCAACCAAGAACTTGCAAGTCTTCCCGCATTGAACGGATCTGCTCAGACGTCCGTCCTTTGCGAATACCTCCTGGAACCAGAGGATCGTTGATCACCAGACCATCCTCGAGACCTACACGGACTCCATCTAGTCCTAGCTTAACTGATGCTCGAGCCAAAAGAGGCTGTAGAGCTCCTGGTAGCAGCATCGAGATCTTGGCTTGAGGCATTTCGCGTCTGATGCTTCCAACAACAGGTGCAAGTGCCGCTACAGCCAGTTCTAGTGCAAAGTCCATGTCAGAAGCCTTCCCAGATTGTATCAGCGACACAATCTCCTTCGCACGCTTCATAGGAATGAGTGAGTCGTCGACCAAGGTGCCGTCGTCAAGCCGGCGGTGCTGGTCCACACCAGCCACCAGCATCAGTAGCGGAGTTTTGTTTACTTTCAAGAGACGAGATCTGAAAGGGCCCAGAGTCTCACGGAGAATTTCCCAGCTGAAAACTTCGATTTCTGGACGAACATCATTCTTAAGGCAGCAGGCAAGTTGCTCTTCAAGAAATGCTGGTGTGTTCTCATAGCCTCCACCATTCTGAAAAAGCACTTCAGCTGGGGACATGCTACACATTTCGGCAGCCTGCCATCCGGGTTTGAAAGCTTTCAAGTGTGCACGTCGTATAGGGTCGTCGGAGTCCTTTCCACCACGCATGCTAGTTGAGAAGTTGAGGATTGACATTGGTGTTAAGCCCCGCAAAGCAGGTGCAATCTCCTCATAGTCTTCGGGGACAATCTTGTTGGCTTGAGACCCCATCACGATTGGTACATTGGACCAAGGCAGATCCCATTTGCTTTCATCCGACCTCTCGCGTGTGTGTAAATGGAGAATTGCGGCTCCTTCTGCAGCTGCAGCAGCGCTCTCCTTGACAATAGCTTCAGGAGTAATGGGAAGATATGGCGATACACCTCTGCTATGCATCGAATAACCTGGGCCCGCAAGACGCCAGCCCTTGACGAGAAGGCCATCCACAAAGCCCGCTGCTTCTGCGCGTAGCGAATCCACAAGCTTAGGTGGAAGATAAGACTCCACATAACTCGCATGTGCCCAGATCAGACCTCCGTGGCCATCGCCGGTCCAACCATGGCTGGTGAGGTGTAATACCAGTCTGCTCACAATTTTTCGTGATCTTATTTCGGCAAACAGGTCGGCAGGTAGCGTGCGGCTCGGGGGGCTGATTAGGGTGTGGTACTGAAGGTCCCCTTCTTGTTCGATCAGACCCGTCTTTTGGAGAAACTGGCTAGTCTCGTATGTGCTCGGTGCAAGGTCTTTGATGAATTTGGAAGACAAGGAGATTCTCATCGATTCGCTGACCAGAAGACCACCGCGACTTGACTCTTCCCAGGCTTTGTTACTCTTGATCCCCGTTTCAAGGGAAGGTATGGCTTGTGTGAAGACGGAGGGTAAGTATTTCGGTTCATTGGGGTTGATGTAGCGCGGCACTGCACCGATAGGCGCTGCTGTGATGAAGATAGCTGGCATCCTTGCTGGTTTTCTTGATCGATCTCGAGAAGGTAAGAGTAACTAGGACTGGGCAGTGCACGCAGGTTGTAGTAACGGGAGTGATATAAAGAGGGCAAAGGGTATGAAAAGTAATATGGAACCATATTGAAGCACGGCGAGACAACCGCAAGTTGTCTAAAAGCAAATTGCGCTCTCTGCCATAAGTAGATATACAGTGAGACTTTTAGATCATGGTAGTTATAATCAGCCTTGCCCGCGAGGGTGGTTCCTACTTGGCGCTGATATGCAACCCGTTAGAGATTCTCCTGCATGGTAACCCAGTAACATTCTTGCACAACTACTCAGCTGTGGCTACCTGGAGATCTGTGATCTTGAACTTTGTAGCTCATTATTGTAAGTAATTTGAACAAAACGAGCGGAAGTCTCAGCCCAAATGACAGCGGATCAAATCGCACATAATTGCTTCTGCAGCGCGATCGTTGAGGGCCAGACATGACTGTGATTGAGGGTCATGGCGTCTGGTTGTTTCTTGGTCATCAACGCTGAACAGGACTTAAGTCCTTAAATGGAGTGAGGTCTCTGCGGTAAGACTAAAAGATCGAACGATACTCAAACAATGAGAAATACTATCAAGAGTCAGTTTCGTATCTTTTCGACATGTGATGCTGGTCATTCTATAGGTGGTCAAGAGGAACAATAATTGATAGCATAAGCGAGGTCCTACAACTTGCATGGCCATAGTTGAGTCGTATATGCCTTGCATGCCAGAATATCGTGAGATCGACGTTGAGAGGAGGTTGGCTTGAGGTTGAGGTTGAGGTTGCACAGGTGAGAGGCGATCTTCGATCGAATTAGAACTCGGGACAACCGAGCCACTCACACACCAGATGTTCCTTACCTTTGGTCTTGGCAAGCACGTGGACCACCGTTGCTCAATGGCTACTTCTTTTCAGGGGCACGCGAGTGTCTGAGCGCCTTGCATTCTGTCTTGAACACCAGAAAACCACCTCAATCAATTTGTGAGATAGTTGCGAACTTGAGAATCAAGCACATTTCTGAGCTTTCTTTTGCTAGAGAACAGAGCGTCTGTTCAAATTTCGTCAATCGTGTAAGAGTGGTCAATACAATCTGACTTTGGAGTAAGGCTAACTACCTACTGTGATGCCTCCATTCACAGCTCCTATCCTTCGTTCCATGGATCCCTGGTATTCCGGGACAAAGACGACAACTCTCAGAGACATGTCTTTGAGCTCAAAACTGTCAGCTGTCTCAAAGCGATATGGCGGACGATCGTGACTAAATGAGATACTGGCTTTCAAACAAAACCCGGGGTCCCAACCAAGTATGGTTGAAATACGTGTCAATTGGCCTCGCAGACTCCGGGAGCCCTCAAGCGATACGATTGCAGTGGCGTTATGGCAATTACGATCTGAGACCCTGTAGTCGTGGCGGCCGGAGCGGCTCGTGATAGATGCCCCCGCTTGGAGAAGTCTACGAATCTGAATCGCACACGACGGATTGGTCCATCAGATCTCTTTAAGGAAGATCTACCCGCCACTACAGCCTCCCCAATGCGAGATAAGGTACGGAGAGGATCATGCATGACACACCGAGCAAGAGTCGGAGAGTCAGCAAAGACAATTCATGGAACATGCTGCCTAGATCCCGATATCTTCCGGCAGCGTACAACGAGGACAACATGTAGAACTTCATGTGCCACTTGCTCTGTCATGCAGTGGTAGTCCAGATATCACTACCAGTGCAGCATGATGCAAGCCTCGGAAGCCTTTCACACAGGACCGTCGTTCTTAATAACAACAGAAGAAGAGAACAATCAAATTGGTGCTCAGCAATTGACTCTCATACAAAAGAAAGCGGTGGATGAGGCTGAAATTGGGTTCTTAAACCGGACCCTATAGGACCGCTCGACTAATTACATGATTCAGCCACGAGAGCACGCCAATTCAAATACTACCCAGCATGACTCTCAACAAAATACTGCTGCGAGCGCAATCAATGCAGCTGCTGTTGTGCTCAAATCTGCATAAAGACAACTGCTTCGCCGGTTTGTACTTCCTCAATTATTCTCCCTTCATCAGTTTTTCGGGTTGAACAGCATGAGTCAGAGAACAGATATGCAAGGGATCGAAGGCAATCAGATTTCACAGTCACGAGGTACCGTTCTCCATCGGTTTCAATACTTTCTTTACGCAGTCATATCACTTGATAGTTGTCAGTTGAGCCAACACAGTTCTTTGTCTTTTGTCTCCACTTAATTACCGTCACTGCCTAAGCAGGCGAGAAGGCATGATCTGTGCGATAGACCTTTGCAGTTGTCTACAAGCCGAAACCTCCATTGAAAACCTCGAAGCACTCCAGAGTAGAATACCTCGTCAAGGTGTTCGCCAGAATCAAAGATCCAGAACTCTCCAGATTTACCTCACAAAGCTGGTCTTCCCCACCATTACAGCTGATACATATTCCTCTACCATAGACAATACGAGAAACAAACCTAGAGCGATGGCCACGAGTCCAAGCCTTCCCATTAGACTTGCTTAGCAAACTTGTAATCTATGGTCGAAGTCGACTACTGAAAGAAGACACGAAACAATTACACAACTCAAATTCAATATGATATCGGAATCTACTTTCAAGAGCACCACTCTTGGGACCTCCTCACAGAGCCTCGCTAAGGTCCTTTTCGAGTGAACATGAAGGAAACGGTTTCCTGATGAGTCATTTATTTGCATCAGATCTATAACAATGACATGGTACTGAAGCAGTTTTGTATTGAGAGGCGTAGCTTCTGCAATCTCTAGTTACCTTCAAGAGTGTTTTGCAAGTACTAGTACTTGCCAGACACGCGGCGGGCGGAACGCATAAAGAAGAACTGGAGCAGTCGCCCAGCACACCAATTGGATGGGCTCTCTCTCAAGTGATACATCGCGTGCGGAGGCAATAGTGGCTTGTTAAAACCCACGTGATCCTACAACTGGAAACCTGTCGGGTGAGGATGAGAGATCAACAGCTGGTGCTTGCCCCGTAAGTAAAGATGAGTACAAAGAAGCCCTTGCAGAAAGAAGGCATCATATTCCTATCAGTGAAGAGAACATTTCTGTTCAAGCTCAAGTGAGAGGTACACGACCGTGAATAGATGCTTTCACGGGCTTTCACAAGCCCAGTCTCTCGTTGTTACTCCCTGCCTTTTCAGGTGTCCCGAGTAACTCATTGTCGTTGTAATTTCGGGGGTCTTCATCCTCAATATGGTATCACTCAATAGAGCGTGATCTACCCATGGAGCACGGCCACAATGGATGAACCTTTCACCTGGAAAGCAATTCCAAAAGTTGATGACAAGGAACATCTTAAATAAAAACTTCTCAACTTCCAATTGAGACTATTCACCGAGTGTATGAAACCCCAGAAGCAAATGATTTTAAGGACTAAGACGATAAGCAGAGAATTGAGGAATTTTCCACTGATGTTGCTTTCGCGCTGCTATGTCCTTTTACATGCCACGTGCGTTCCGCATGAGAGTTTGTATATGTACCTAAGCTCTCAAGCACAGAGGAGTACAGCACTGCTGCATCTTCAACAAATGTCCTCTTTCTATTTCATTTTCTCCTCCATCTTCACCTTCGTTATACTGAATGAAGCTTGAGTGAGCTTAGTAGGCGCTGAGAACCTCTCAAACTGCGTGACGTAGCATAATAGAAGGAACCAAGTAGAAAACAGATAGAAGAAATTAGATCTAGCGATAATTTGATTACTTAATGGAAAAGTCACAAGTGGCTATGCAAAACATACCACTTCATCTCATTCCCAAATTTGCGAACTGTATGAGTTGGAGACAAAGGATCATGTTCCAACAGATCTCGGACTTGGCTCAGCAATGGCACATGAGGCAAAGTCGTCTCAAACTCAAACAAGCACATTGAAAGATGAGAAGGTTGCCGCAAGACGAAGATAATCCCCCACGGGAGTTCATGAATGTGATCTTAATTCTCACTAATAAAAATGTACTATTCGGAAGAGTGATCTTATGGGTTCCCAATACTCAACATCAAATCTTACAACCAAAGACTCAGGCTCAGCCATGCAACCAACAATAGTTCCAACATACGAACGCCTTATTCTTACGAGCAAGGTCTAAGCCATGCCTAGCGACGAGACTTCTCAGCCCTTCACCGCTCTGAGATGTTGGACTTGGGATACCCGTTCAGTAAGCTGAGCTGATTTGGTTGATGGGGTATTGTAACTCATGTTGGTAGCAGATCATCATCCTCTCCCCTGCTATCTCCCCTGCTACTAGAATCATCTGAACATCTTCTACAAGGAGCTTATCACAGCCCTAACACTTCCATGCCAGTTTCACAGTCTGTATCTCGACATGAAAACCAAGTACATGCGCGGCAGACATTCCCTTCTCTTGAACGGCCGGTATCAATACCTACCAGTCAGCTTACATGAAGGAAACCCACGCTCCACATCTTACCAACGAGTCTATTGAAACAAGGAAGACAAGCCTCAACCCATGGCATCGGGAACCGATAATGAAACAATACAGTAAGTAACGCGCACTTGGGATCGAAGCGCGCGCTGATAACAACTCCCCTCACCCCAATCACAGCTGAACCAACACGGCGTTCCCCTGAGGCACACTCATGCCCTCCACACGGCGTAGCACAAACCCGAGACTGGTCACCGGTAAAGGCCAACGCCAGAAATCAATGCAAACCCGAAAGCGAGGGAGATCCTACCCAGCTCGGCGGCGGGGGGCTCCGATAAACATCCCAAATACCAGGGAAATAAGCTGACCTCGCTCGGACCGCTTCGCTGACTGACGCGACGAGAACCTCGCCGTGCCGAGAGAGCGAGCGAGAGAGAGTGGAGAGGAGATGTGATAGAGGCAACCTGGCGTTACACACGTTGTGTCCACGTGGTGAGGGGTGCATTTGTTGACCGGTAAGCTTGATTGGGATGGTGCAGCTTACTCACTCCACCAGCAGCTTGCTTTGCCAGAGGGGGAGAGGGGGATGAGGTGAGATGAGATGTGATAGATAAGCTTCTCACTACTTGAAGCAGAAGGAAGTGAAAGAAAGGGGAATGATGAGCGTGCATTATCTCAAGAGGGGCAGAGAGGCACTTTGAAATCGTTGTGGCTTGCATCGCGAGAAAAGCTCCGTGAGAAACCAACGATGCAAGAAATAAATGCATACAACAGATAGACATGCAGAAGGAAGGCGCGGAAGAGGGGGAGGAGGCGAGGGAGCACGAAGCCATCAATTACACAACAGACAACAACCCTCCTCCCGCCACCAACATGCGTACCATTGAAGGAATACAAGCTGCAAGAAATGGACCGCGACAGCCAGTTTCGGATCAGCCTTGCCGGACTTCTTGAGCTGCCTGCCTGATCAGCGTGATGGTGTGTAGGAGAGTGGCTGAGATGAACATGGGATCTTTGATCTAGGTGTGGACCCCATGCGATCGCTGACTCTTTGTCTTCTTCCTCCTTTAGGTAGAAGAGCGGGAGAGAAAAATTGAAAGGAGAGATGTGGCCACAACGATTGCGAATACGGAAATGGCGTTGACGGAAATAGGTCAAGTGATTCGCACCTCATGTGGCTCGAGATGAATAACACGAAGGAGAAGTGTGAAATGAGTAAGGTGAAAGTACGTTTTTGGAATCATTGAGTGAGGAGCGAGGACGCCTGACCATGGGAATGTAACATTTACGCTTAGAATCTCGAAGAAAGGTGCGGTTGAAATTCGAATCCTGGTTGGATGCGCGAATTGATCAAAAGGAGGGGGCAAATATCCAAGGCTGAAGGTGTCACACACACGCACACACACACCCTTTGAAAGGAGAGGCCTTTTCTTCGCAGCCTGGTGTTTGTGTGTGAGGGGTGCTCGGACGATGCGGGGATATTACGTAGCAGCACTCCTACGGATCTGGGACCGCCACCAACAATCACTCCCCTTTTCAGTTTCATTTGGTAAGGGGGCCTCGAAACCAAGGAAATGTCACTGAAATATATAACTCAGGTTTCACAGATCACGGATACGAGTCGCTTGACTTCTAATTCTGTACTTTTTCGCACCGGCGATTGTGTCTGTTCTGAATGATCGTCGTTGAAGAAACAGTGACACGAAACAACAATGCAGCTCTCGGTTTACCCCAGAAAACATCGTCTGCACTTGCTTCTGTCAGTTTTCGAGTTTGGAGTATGCCAAGAACTGCTCAGATTTTTAAACTCTTGTTGGCTGACGACTGTTCGCAGCACAAGACGCAATCCTGCATGCAACGTGAACTATCAATAACGATGGGAGCAACCGAATGCAACACTGTAAAGCGCCTTGGTAAATTTTAATTTAAGGATAGAGATGGGATGTTGGCGCTTCAAAGCAGCGACTTGCATGCATCCAGCAAATAAATGCTCCCTATGCTCGCAGGATTCGATGCAGGAAGAAGAACCAATAAAGCATGCGGGAATAGAAACCGAACTGCTCTGGCATGGCGAAGCCCAGCCGAAGTAGGCGTGGCGCCATGATGTCCTGAATTATTGGATGTTGTTTCCGCCAGAGTGCGGGGGAAACGACCAGTCAGATTAGGATGGAGCTTTTTACTTGTCAGGCTTGATTTTAACCTTGTCCTTAAGACGCAATGAATCATTTGCGTGCCACCTCGAGATGGCTAGGTGATGAATGGGAACCTTCAGATTCCAGCAGACAGACATTAGCGGGAAGGGCCGCTTTGGCTTCCCCAAACCAAGATGGACTTGAGAAGACGGGACAAATTCCAGGATTCAGGATACTCTGCGCTGTGACTCGATCTGATCGCAGCAGTAAGTCTTGCTGATTCCAGGTCCTGTTTCTGGACCTGCATCATAAGGGACTTGGTGGAATGGACTAAGGAAGTGCAAAACTTTCGATATACTAAATCTCAAGCGCCAAAAGTCGGTTCTCATGGCAGTTGATTTCGTGCAACCTGCGAGTTCTCCCGCGGCCGAAAGCGCACAGGGCAAACGATAGCTCATCTTTTGGAAGGGTGCTGCGGACATTGAAAGTCTCTCTGCGGCCGAGGCATCGTCGGTCTGCTGCCATGGAGGGTCGAAAATCCAATAGAGTGCGATGACCGTTGAATGCCGCCGCAGGGTCCACGAGCTTCGTTTGTGGGGGACAGTTGCAACCCTAAGGTGGCTCAAATCTCCGATTCGAGATAATGGTCTCCAATCATAGTGGCAAGAGGTGCTGTTGAAGCAACATTTGAACATGAGCATAGGGTCAAGGGCCAGGTTGGCTTCGACGGCGATCATTTGACGGACATGTTTTTATGCCGAAATGCCTGCACGAGTTTTGAGATTTGAGATGCGGCATCGTGAGAAAGGACAGTCCTCCGTAGGATTCGGTATCTGGAGGCTGGCATCGAGAAAGGCCACTCCAGGCCTTGAAGATCCAAAACGGAGGCGACGCAGCAGAAAGGAGCATGGAGACGAGATCGAGAATCGAGAATCGGCCTTCGCTTGAGGTTGAGCCAAGAAGGTTTCATCTCGCGTGCTGCCCAATCCTCCTACTGTAGCAAAAATCGATTGTCCTCTTGGCACTGGCAGAAGTGGCCACGCAGGAATCGGCGCGAATGAAGCCATTCACTCATCACGAGGCTGGCGACACAGCAGCGACGACGACGACGACGTCTGCGGGTTGCAAAGAGGAAGGTCTCTCATTATGGTGCCATTCGGCCCATCTCGACGAACGCCATCAGCCAGCGACAGCAGCATCGTGGCTCCAAGCAGCTGAGATCCAAAAATGGCATTGCAGATTCGGCAAGCCGCGCCAGAGCAAAACGTGGGGGGCATGAAAGCCCTGTCATCATCCTCGCCGTATCGGTGCTGGACGCTGATGATACCCTGGATTGGCGACGTGCTCTCCAGGGCGGGGGCCATGCACGAAAGGGGAGGGGGCAAGGAGTCGCCGCGAACGATCCAATGGAAATAGATTACGGGGCCTGCCACTTTCTGCACTGGCCTGCACGTCGCTGCAAGAAGTCGACCAGATCTCACCACGCTGCCAATCAATCGCTAGTTCTACTCTCTCTCAGATTAGCGATGAGGAGGCCTGTCGTATTGAGGTCTGTGTGCTTGCAGCCGCCCCCTGTGCCTCCTCGCGATTGTTCCATTTGGTGGTGTGGAGAGAAAAAGCAAAGACGGATGGTTCGTGAGGGAAAAAAAAGGTGAGACATGCAGCGCAAGCCAGCCTCAACACGGCTTAGAAGCATCGCGAGACCAGGGAATGCTTTGAGATGTGATGGATGTCATGTGCGGACGGTGCGAGAGGGGGGTGAGACCTTCAAGGGCATCGTGACTTGGGCGAGAAACCGCGATGATGGAAATGTTTGAGACTGTGTGAGAATCAAAATCTCACGACAGACACTCTGCTCAATTTTTGAGACATGATTGCACAGCCCTGATGGTAATGATGGTGATGCCGCAATCGTCATCGCACATTTGCTATACTGGAGAAACTGGTGGCGGTTTGGAAAGTTGATGCCGCTGCAACCGACAAGAATTATGGTTTCTGGTGGTGTCGGCCTCTCGCCTGCAAAGGAGCGCAGGTCCACTCTATAGAGTTAAGAGCTAGACTCGGTCCACGTGCGGCCCGTCGGTGGGCACTTTAGCTCAAGTACAGGAGTCCAGTGTAGGAGTTAGTCTATCCCATGAAGGCGATCAGTAGTGGAGGAGGAGAACGACGACGAGTACCCCCAAATGCTATGTGATATCAAGAGTGCTATGGTCGATGCGAGATAGGATGAAGTGCTTCATGATCTCTGAAGCTTCACAGGGCCCGCTGCTCTGGCACGCGGTGGCATCCTTCCAGGCTGTGTGTCCTGGGGCGTCAGCACTTACGACGCATCAACCGTCTTCTTTGGTACTGATAGTGCTTATGAGGTTTGCGGGTTGTACTTTTCCAGCAAAAGAGGTGCTGACTATCCAAGGAAACCACCAAAATCCGGTCTCCGTTCTTTTTTGGTGAACTCGGGATGTCTGATACGAGCTGAATCATCAACCACCCGCTCAGCTCGGGCTACACTTGTTCTTCGTACCAAGAGATGACCGGTTATGACCGAATAAGGCTGAGACCTACGGTATTGTTTACCACCAAGGTGATCAGTGATCAGGGTGTCAATGTCCGAGTCATGCTATCCACGCTGACCTCATTTGAACCTGGACATTGTGACATTATCAGACTGGGGATTTGATACCGAATATTGAGGTTGCTGAAGGAGAAGGGATGTCTTGTTGCATTACTCGTACGAGCAAGATCTGGCGTCATCAGAACGAAACCCCCCACGTCCTCTTCTCGATACCAAGAATCATCCAACTCTGTTCCTTGTGAACAGTCCACCGTCATGTCCATAATATACCCGCCTCGAATAGAGTGTTTGATAACACTGATCTTGGGCAATAGTGTTTCCTGTGTCTCGCATTTAGCCTAGCCATCGTGAACTTCGGTTGGGGCCGGATGTGCTAAAAATGACTTGAGGTCCGGAGAGTAAATTGAATTGCATATTGCTGCACTTGAGGACCAAGGTAGAGTCCGCGATGCGTGGGATTGTCCTGCAGGATGTATCATGCAGGATTAGATGAATTTACTGCGAATTGCAGACTGTTTGTGCCAAGCAGCTGTATGCTTCTCCTGCATTTATCAGGCTGTTTAAGGACCCTAAGGAAGAATTGAAAAAGGGCAATCGTGGCTGAATCACGTCTCAACTTTGATCAAAGCCGCTGCATAACATGAGCCAAAACAGCGAAGCATGGAAACCAATAGCATCAACTTCCTGTAACAGATATGGGCGTTTTTCTGGGCGACTTCCGCAGTAAGCGTTTCGACAAATGGTACGCCGCTTTGATCATCCCCAAATTCTGATCCCCAGTACCCATTGGACCAGGGGCTGCCAAGGATGAGGTAGATCATAATACATGGGAATAATTTCCGTTGCAAATTGAGATCCTTTTTCTGTTTGCCGCCATCGTGAACTTTATTGCTGAAGTCGCTTCAACCAGCTGAAAACAGTCAACCGTGCCGTATTGGCTCGTACATTTGATTTGATGTGTACCGCACCTTGAGAGAATTAAAGGGCCTGAGCTCCTGCTAGACGCGCATCGGTATGAGTCGGCGGCAAGCATCGAATTATACGTGAGAGGCTTTCCCAGGAAAAGGAAATCTAGGCTATGTCTCAGCGACTCGCCTTGGTGCTTCAAGAGAGCTCGATGCGAGAGCTAATTATGGAGATGAGGATGCATTGAACACCCTAGGTTCCCTACGCATCCGATGCCTCCGAGCTTTGGTGGAGAGTCCTTGTGAACCATGACGATCTGGCTGCTCGAAATTGATACGTGCTCCAGTAGTCTCTATACAAGTTTCGTGATCGCACACTCGACTGTGGTGAGAGACTTCTTGCCGATCCGTAGGTTCCATGGAAGGTTCCAAAGACCCTTTCGAGGGCATTCGTCGGTGCCTGCATAACCGTCGGCCATGTCAGATTCATCCTCACTCGTCCAAATGAGACACTTTCCCTCGAACCAGTGCTATCGAGGCTACGGGCAGAGGCCGATGCCACCAGAAGAGTCTTGTTTCCAGCGACTCGGCCACCAAGATTAGAGACGGCGGGCAGCCATGAAGATCAGTCCAATAAGAGTATCAAGAGACGAAGCCCCTTCTGCAACTGCGGGCAGAACCGCGCCCTGGTTCGTTGGCGAACCGTGATCGCGCCCGGTCGTCGTAGTTTCGTGAGGGGCATCAAGGTCGTCGTCGATGCATTTGCTGCAGGTCAATCCAGAAGAAGAGTAGCGGGCGGCGGACAGGCCAAGGACGACTTCAGCCAATAGTGCAGCCTAGATGCGTTATGCTTGTGAGAGACAATCTGGTTAGCACCCTCCAGCAGCATCTCCGGCGACCAGTCACACAAGAGACATCCTTCCTGCTTCTGAAGGGCCTGCTGCCACTTTAAGGGCACCCAGGTGCGGAGCTGAGACCTCTGCCTTTGTTCAGTGCCAATTCCAGCGTCTCAGCTCCCACGTCGAGACGGCAGGAGGAAGGAGAAGAGAAAATCGCAGGCAGGTCTTCTGGAAAAGGGCAATAGTGCAGCGTGTCCACCTGCAAATGAGGTGTCCTGCTGCGGCGGCAGAGATGACCTGAGTCCTCGCGGCTTCTCACTTGAATTGCGCTGAACTGGGACATCCGCCGAGTCGTCAGAAATCTGGAATGAAATTTGATAATGGTGTCTGCTCGAGAGTATCTATGATGTAGCCAGCAGGAATTACCGTTCTCGATGTGTCTGAAGCCTGAGCAGTGAACTGTAACTTTTGGCCTTCTGGATGAAGGACATCGGACACTAGAGCAACGATCCCTACAGCTGCTGCACAATACAGTGCGTACAGGAGAATATGACGACCACGCAAAGGAAGGGAAAGCAGCCTTTCTCCAACATGCGCTGAATGCCAAGCCCAGGATTTGCCATTGAGCCAGCCAGCGAGCCAGGTGGAGGCCTGCCAGAAGATGCAGAGCCTTGTCAGGTGCAGATGCGCCAATGCCCATCCTGTCGCCTTCAAAACATCCCACGCTGCCGCTTTACCTCCAGAACTCATCGTCACCTTTCCAAGAGAGAGGAGACAGAGAGGGAAAAAGGTGGAGCAAGAAATGGAGTAGCCGTGGTATGCGAAGTTTGCGACCGAAAAGTATCGTGGGATGGGCATGGCGAATCAGTCTATTTCTCGTTGCGTGGTGATTGGCGGCATACGAATCCGATCCTGAAGGCGAGAGGAAGAGCATGAGTGAGGGATTTGCAAGTGTATCAGTTAGAGATTCCTCTTCATCCTTTCCTCAGGACTCAGCGTCAAAGTGAGGGAGTGAGATCCTGCCCCAGCGTGGCTTGGGCCCGGGACAGATGGAAAAAAAAAAATCATGGGAAAGCGTGTCATTATCGCGGAATACCATCGTGGGCAGCGTATTCGAAGGGGTGTTCACCAGTAGAGTCAGCCAACAGCACATTTTTCAGTGGATTTTTCACCCTAAGCGGGCATACTGTACAGTAATTTACTGTACAATTGTGAGACCACGACGAGCATCGAGCGTCGTCGCAGGCAAAACAGCGAGAAAATACTGTACTGATGAGACTCTGGCGACAACAAATGCAAGCCACCACGCCATCACAGGGAAGAATTGCTCCACTCGCCTCCCACCCACTCTGCTCACCTTGCACCCTGGCAGGCTACTGTAGCACTCACTCACACAATCCACACCACACCCACCACACCCACACCTCTCTCTCGGACCCTGGCACCCTCCATCAGGTCAGGCCCAGGGCAGCGTGAGCATGGGGCATGGCATGGAGCAACATGGGTTGGTGGACCAGGGTCGGTGGGTGGATGGATGGATGTGTTGTGTGTGTGGATGTTGTCTGTGTGGGCATGCTGACTGACTGACTGCAACTGACTGAAGCGTGCTGGGCTGGGCTGGGCTGGGGTTGGCAGACAGAGAGAAGAGAAAGGCAGGCAAGCATCTTTTCACGCTTGTTCCAAAACGGTCCTGGTGAGTGCTCATCTGCACTATCCAGCATGCTGCAGGACCAAGACAGGCAAACCCAAACCGTCGTTTTTGTATATGGGCAACCTCCTCCCTCGTTTTTCCCACCAGACCAACATAGAGTACAGTACAGTACACTGATCGTCCACCTCTCTTCTTCAACACCGGCTTCGTCAACATTGCAAGAAGGGAATTTCACCATTCTCTCCTTCTCTGTCACCATCTTCACTGTCACATCATTGTCTTGCACAATCACACATTTGCCATTGCTGGTGTCGCCATAGCCGCCTAACTTGCACAAAGCTTCAACCCTCACATTTTATTCTTGCACTTTCTCTCCAAGGCTCCACTCTTTGAGTCACCGATACTTTACCTCACCGAATCCGGTACGACAACAGATTGCACCTGGCTTCGAAAACTCTTTAAGAACGCTGCCCATCCGCCGTCGAGAACAAACATTCTTCGGCCTCTCCATCTCACCACAGAACAACTTCTTTTTCAACCACATACCTTCAAGATGACGATTGATATGGACTGGTCACACTCCTTCTGTTTGGCCTGTGACAGGCAGACCGATGGCAATGTCTACTGCTCAGAAGCTTGCAGATTGGCCGAGTACGAAGTAGCATCCAATGCTGGTTCGGCAGCGTCGTCTCCCACCGCACCTCGAAGCCCCGTCTCATGGCCTGCCACCAGGCAATCGAATAACGGCTTCTTCATGGAGCCCGCCTACAACTTCGCAAATGCTCAGCCGTATGGCACAACTCCTTCACCTCGATCGTCTCACTTCTTCCACGCTTCAAGGCCACAGTCCTCACCAGTGACGTTCAGCTCGAAGCCCGTCCTGACTCCATCGAGCTCTCAATCCAGCCTCTTCTCAATGCAAAGCACCCACTCGTCAACAGCCTCGGAACCAATTCAGCTTTCAGATGAGTCGAGGCGGGCATTGAGGGCGTATGCGAGTTCATTCGATCAATCTCGATACCAAAGACGCCAATCTACCCAGTAAATGTCCTTTATACAACACGTTTCTTTCACCAGTTTGCATTATCACGGCGTTTTCCAGACTACACATCACGATATAATACCCATACCTCCTCTCACATCCTTCCATAAGGATCGGCGTTCTACTACTATACGATATCGGCTATTGTACAAAAAGCATATTATGGGGCGTGCATACATCTCATCTTGTTGTCGGGTACTCAAAAAATTTCCTTGGTCACCAGCATTGGAGCATTGGAGCAGGTCCAACATTCGCTACTTAGTCTTCAGACGGACACATTTCATTTTATCATCTCTCGGGCATTTTCAGCGTGGATAGGGAATTCAGGATATCACACAGGGCATATGGAACTCGGAGCAACGTTGCTGGGGTTTGGAGGAGGCGCTTGGATGACACAATTATCATGTTTCTGGCTCAATGAAGCTTCAGTGTTGTCAGCTATAGTTTGATTTAGGAGGGGAGCGTCACGAATTGTGAACAGAGTCTTGGAATGGTGTCATCTTTCTTCTCGTCATGGACAGGAATTCGTTCTCGGACGCTTCGGTTCGTACGAGTCTTAGTATAGCAACAAATAGAATCTCACTACGGTCTCGTCTACACCAGACGAGATTACGAGTTTCAACCTCCATCTTACTTCATCCCATCCCCCTTGTGACCTGTTTCATCTTTCATAATCGAGCTTGCGAAATGCCATCATCACGACTTAGCCTTCCTCATCACAAGGTCTAAGCACCTCACCCTCAGGAGAAGCGTCCCTTCCCCTCCCGACAAGCTTTTGGCTCTCGCCCCAGACCCTATCTAAAATAGTGTTCCGAGGAGGCCTCCCCTATTGTGGAAAAGTTAGAGCGGCTCGGTGGGATCTGTCGGAACTGTCAGCCCTTAGGGTATTCCTTAGAACAACACTACTTGAAGGTGGTGTTTTAGAACGAGATGCGAGATCTCGACAGCTCCCATCTGGAGCAGCCCAGAATCAAGCCGCATTCATCATCAACCTCCGATATTCGGGTCACCAAAATTTACAACTAGCCCCCCATGTCGACGGGAGGCGAAACTCTTGTGATGGAGGGCAACAAAAACTTAGACGAGTACTGAGGGGACTTTTAGAGCCCGACGATCCGGGCACGTTTACGAGGGGATTTGCACCTGCGGGACGAAGCAATACATTGTCGATCAACAGGCTGTCCCCCCATTTTTACACCAATTCGAAGCTCACGATGCAGACATCCAACCAAAGCATTACACCACCGCAACTCAAAATGGCTCGCGATGATCGCATCATACAGGCAGTGTTGCTATTGCACGTAAAGATCCCACCATTGTTCCAAGAAATGCCTCTCCGCCGTCTATGCGCATTTCGTGCTACCCCACAAAAAAGCACAACACACAGCCGTTACAGGTCTGGGATCATGCTTGGAGGGTTTGTCTTCTCCTCACGTCGTCCCATTCTCCACATCGAAACAAGGCATCATCATAGCCAGCTGCAATGATACAGCCATCATCCAAGCATGCAATGTTCTTTGTTGTCATGATAATGATGACAATAGGAGTGGAACAATTAAATGATATGATTCGATTCGATTGATGAAGGGTCGAATAAGATACCAAGGAACAGAAGCCATAGTATCCGAAACACCATACAACAAGGTTACCGGACATCCCAGCCAGCCTCGAATTGCGCAAGCAGAATACATTGACAACGGCACTCCCGCTGATCCTCCCTTCCCTTCCCGCCCAACAATCCACAGTTCCCAATCACTTTCTCCTACCAATCACTTGCACATCTCACGTTTACAATTAAGCCTTTTCCCAACTCTTTTGCTTCTCAGGAAAGAAAAAGGTATTTCGGTACCAGCAAAATCTTGGATATCATCAAGCTCCCGTTTCAGATCTTGCTCCGGAGCTCGCAGATTGGTCGGATGAGGAGGCGTCAATGCCGCTCTGTTCCCTGTCCCTGTTGCTTCCAGAGCTGAAGCCTTCACACATCACCCAAAATTAAAAAACAAAACACACTTGGATCCGCAACCTTAACAATAATCTTCCGAATATACTTTACAGTTCGTGGTTGTACGAACGAGCATCAATGATTCGGAGGTCCATCTTTCATGCTTGAAAACGGGTCCGGAACTCTTGACCTGCAGAGCCTGAAGCTGCCTGCAGCTATTACGTACAGCAAAACTTCATGTATGGATGGGCTTGATTTATCAAAAAAGGTACGACTTTCGTTCCTATTACTAACATCATAGGTAGCCTTCTTCTTCTGAGGAGAGTTTTGATCAGGTACACGCAAATCAACCCCGACCCGAGAAACTCTATTCGCTGCTGGCGTTACACGTATGCCCTGAGGAGACTTTTCCATGCTGTACCGCAGAACGTATGACTGTGCCATACATAACCGCGAGCCTTATTTGCGAACCACCAAAAATTTTCTCTCTCTTCCTCTTGGAATCCTGAGCTGTGACTCCTCCGCTTCGTTCGTCTGCCTTGAAGGAATAGAAAAAATTCTCATTCGCCCGTCTCAGAAATAACCTTACTTTCGGGCCCCCGTCTGTCTATTTCCGCGAGATTAGGAATTTGGGGGTTTGGTCACCATCGTGACAGCTGGAATTCTTGCCAGAGAAAATTTTTTCACATTGTTCAGAGAATGTGTCACACAGCAACCAACGGTTCATCCATTCCCGCCGTTGCAACTCTCGGTCAGCGAATTGAGTTTCCCGGGATTCGGTATGTTTTGGATGGTCTAGATCGGGACGTACCTAGCTACGTTCTAGACCTCGCCCGTCGTCGTCGGGATACCTACAGTAGGTTACATATTTGAGGCTGACGGGAAACCCGATCTGCATTGCGATCGTAGTGTTCCCTTTCATGGGGAATCACTTGTTCACAATCGGAGATCTGAGACATTGTTTCTTGGTTTGAAGAATTTTCTTTTTCTCTTCCCTCTCGTTCCCGTTGATCTTCAGGTACGTGTGCCACGGAAGCAAGATCCTTCCTGGCTCTTTCCGTTGTACGAGGACGAGGACGAGGACCAGGAACGGGACGGCTTCACAGACCCGCGGGAGATCAGAGTTGACAGCTGTGGAAAGACACGGCTTGGTAGCTTGGACTCGACGGCGGTCGATGCTGATAGACCTTGTTTGAGGTGACGCTATCACAGACACGAAAGTCGTTGGCTGGTTGGCTGGATGCCGTGTCAGTCTTTGGAATCGAGAAAAAGCACTTTTCTCGCTGAGGACGCCACTTTGTGAATGGCTTGCTTACTAGTCAATGCTTTGCAAAAGTTTAATGATTTCTGATCATGTATTTCCTGTCTTGTATTTCCTTCTTGCCTTGTTCGTACCGCGGCTTCCTTCTCTTTCAAGAATCTTGAATCGTTGGTGGACCGGGTTTCGGAATGTGATATTGATATTTGAGGGCGTTACTTTCTGGATCACAATCTCGTCATCGGCTCGTAATCCTATTCGACCGTCGCCAGCTTGACTCTTACAGCTGTTTGAAACTAGCACGAACTGTTTTCCTTTTGCTGCAAGACCCCTCTCTTGCTCTCGGCGTTGCCCATAAGACACGAACTCCATGATTGCTTCTTCTCTCGCTTTCTCTCTCGCGGCTTTTCCTGCCTCTCCACGTGAGAGAAAGTCTCCAACAGTCTCACAATGACACGACACCTGCATTATCAGCTTGTCATGTGTCCCCATCCAATCCCCCTCTCCCCAAATTCCTCCGACGCAAACCGTCTTTCCCCGATACCCGTACCATTGTTCTACGACATTGGCATTAGCATTGGTGGTCACGACAGGAATGCAACCAAAACCTCAACCCCTCACGTGAAAACAATGTGGCGACCTGGTCACGAATCTCTTTGCCAGCCTCGAAATCCAAAGCGGTAGTCACGGCATATACTACCGTTCCACGGCATATACGCCCTTGTGGAGAAACAGAAGAATCCTTTCTTGCCTTAATACACGAAACTATCACGTGTCGGTGTTTCAAGTAAAATCACCATCTCACCTATCAAGGACCTCGAGAGAGGTAAAAAAAAAAATCTTTTCACCTCGCTTCCACACTCAACAAAGACCTTCCTTCCTTGGTTTTAAAATTCGATTGATCCAAGAACCCAGACAGAGTCTTAGCATGAACCATCCATCCATCCATCCATCCTTCCAAGCAAGCGCTACACTACAAAAACCTTGCTTCAATGCAATGTTACGCGAAGCTAGCTAAGCTAGAATTCTCGCGTCTTACAGCGTACGGGTACTTACTTACTTACTTACTTGCGTTATTCGGTTAGCAGACCCATTCCTGTGCGTGCAGCAGCGCTGTTGGTTTTGTGGGGGTGGTTAGCTGTCTGTTGTGTTCGCTTGCTGTTTTAAACAATTTTTCAAGTCTGGAGATTTCGTGCACGAGAAGTCAGGTTACTTGTGGAACCTTTGCTGCTTGTGGGTAGTCTCGTACCATTTGGTTGTGCCATCAGCTCACTCTGCAGATGAGGCGAGCATATTGAGTGATTGATGCCAAGTCACGATCTGAGCGTGATGGAAAGAGGTTTTGTGTGGGACGTGAGGATTCATTGTTACACGATGAGGCCCCCAACTTCGGTGCCTAAAGTTTACCCCGCGTGTACGACGTATGTTCGTGAAGTTATGATGATCTTGCCTTTTTTGGGCATTTGTCTTTCTATTTTTCTTAGCTGTCATAATCGTCGGTGGATAGACGTACTGTTTGTTTTCACTTGTAGGCCGGAGCTGTCATGTTCCAGTCGTTTTCACTCGTCTCGCCTGCCGATTGTGGGACGTTTGGCAATGGTCTGAAAGTTGTAACATTTCAATAGCTTGCTCGCGTTGAGAAAGTCCGCTGAGAATGGGCATTGCCGAGCCCCTCCTTCAGAGCCTTCTCACCGATACCGATCATAATCAATGAAGTATCTACACTAAGAATCTGAATCCATTGTCCGTCGCAATACCTGGTAGACCGTTCTCTTCAGCTTGATTTCTTCTCTCCTCTCCGCCTACATCCACGCCATCGACAGCTTCTCCAAGATCCAACTTGCGATTCAAAGCTGTCAAGTGGAAGCGGAGGATGGTGGCGAAGAGGATAGCCATGATTGACATGCCCATATTGACGCACATCGCGTTTACTGTTGACATTATCAGTACATTTTTGGAAACGAGGAAATTCGAGAACTTACTATATCTCGGACCATCGCTAGCTGAACAAGGAAAATTTTGTCAGCAGAATTCCAGCGTGGTGACTTAAACTTACTTGGGTATAAGAATGGAGAGTAAATTTGACAGACATTGCTCAAAGCATTGATACCGGCAAGTGCTGCAGCACGTTTGGCAGGTGGTCGAGGGAGTACTTTTCTCGTCAGCAATGTTCGCATAATGGATAGACCCGAAGTGTACCGTTTGAGATCCAGCTCAACGTTACCACGTAGCCTGAATAATTACTTCCCACCATGAGGCACATTGCTCTGTAAGTAACATCAGCGTTTGTTCAATCTCTATGAATCTATCGCGTACAAGTATCTTGGTGCGAAAGCAGTCGTCGTGACGGCGATGATGAAGGCCACAACAGAGATAATTGGCGGCAAGGCGACGTGCAAGTACCGTTCTCCGGTCTTGTCCGCATGCCAAGCATTGCCCAGGATAGCAATTACAGCTATAAGATACGGAGGCGTTGTTAGTAATAGAGTAGTGATGTTGTTCTTTCCAAGCCCTTTCACGACGCTGAGCGTGTCAGTGAGAAGGAATTAAGCGAGGAAGTTAGGGGCTCTCACGTGGGAAAGAACGTTGTAACAGTGCCAGTAGCAGTGAATCCATAAGTTGTAGCCAGCAATAACCAAGCTTTGGGATCCCTGAGTACAACGATCAGTAAAGCTCGGAGTTTGTTTCTTGCTCGAGAAGACTTACTTGGCCGCCAACTTTGCTCCGTGGAAGAAGGTTTGTTGTTTACTGTTAACCCAATCGTCTTCTCCAATATCCTCATCCAGTCTCCAAGCAGCGAGTTGCTTTTCTTCTTCAGTGAGCCAAGTTGTAGTCCTTGGAAAGTCAGGTAAAATAAAGAATGAGAACAATGCGATAAAGACCTGCGACGTCAGTATTGGTACTGGGGTATAGATGTTTTTCACTCACTGTAATGGCACCCTCAACAATGAACAGCCATCTCCAAGCAGACAAGCCTCGAGCTCCATTAAGACCATTGGTGATTCCAGCTGCTATGAGGCCTGAAAAAGCACCCGAAAGCAGAGAACCAGAATAAAGGACTGCAGTGCGCTTCACAAGTTCTTTCCTTGTATACCAAGCTGAGAGGTAATACAAACATCCGGGCTTCTCGAGTTAGTCTTGCCTCAAAGAAAATATTACAGCTGCACGTTAAATTTAGATAACTCACAAAGTAAGCAGCTTCCACGAAACCTAGGATGAATCGACAAGCCAATAGTCCACCATATGTCTGAGAAGCAGCTGTTGCTCCACTGATGATACCCCAAACGACCATACAAGCTGGCAGATATATCGATGGCTTCCCGAGTTTGTTGAGTAGCATATTGGATGGCACTATGGGTTGTCAGTGATATCGTTTGCGAGTTTGTGCTAAGGTCGTACCTTGCATCAAAAGATATCCAACAAACAAAATACTGACGCTCGTCTAACGTTTTCCAAAACTCCATCAGCATTCATCCTTACCCTCAAATTCTCCACGAAACTAACCTGAAATTGATTTCCATGTAACTTCAAATCTTTCTCCAGCCCCGCCAGCCTAGCCGCCGCGATATTGTTCCGATCAAGGTAGTTGAGGATGTACATAATGACAATCAAAGGCATGAGTCGAAAGTCGATCTTCCTCCTAAGAGCATCCTCGAGAGTCCGGCGAGTCTCGGGGGAAAGATTACGAACGAGTTCCGGGGCACGGGATTTCTTGTCCGGCATGCTTTCGTGGATTGATGCGTTCTCGATGAGTTCGACTGCGTCTTTCTTGGCGACGGAGTCCTCTTGCACCACGGCGTGATGGGGGTTGATGCTACTTTCTGCCATCTTGGTTTAGTGCTAATATTTGACAGCTAGTAGTAGATAATGAAGTGAATGGAGTAATAAGTTAGAATGAGGATGGTGAAAACTATATGCTTTTAGTGAGCCTACCAGAACAAGAGCGCTTGGACCTTGTGCAGTGTCTGGGGCCCCGGATTTACTCCGTGTCAGTTTCTGGGATGGAATCCAATAAAATGCGTTCTATGATTTTCAGCAGTCCTTTTCCGAAATGAAGAACTTGTTGACCTGAATTGAGGACGCTAGGAAAAGCGATGGCCTGTGTGGCAGGTACGTTGTGGAAGCCGGAAATGCAGGGTTGAGGAAGTTGCCAGGTCGTGGGCCAGACAGGAAAGCGGGGTAAGTGGTTTCCGAACCGGTAGACATGCCTTCCTCAACGTGGAGAGAGTTTGTGAAGTAGGACTAAGCGTTGAAAGTGTGGAAAGAAGTGTGACATCGCCGCCTATGCCTTTCGGCTGAGCCGCTGAGGCGGTTGCTCTGTGATATCACTTCATTAAATCAAGAACTCAGATCAAGTGGCAAGAATGAATACAGTTTCAGAACTCATGATATATATAGGTATCTATGGACAGGAAATTGACATCTACCACTCCTGCCTCCAACTATCCACAATCTTCTTCACAATACCACTTCCGATAATATCATACCCATGCCCTATTGCTTTACTTCTCTCCCCAGTCTTCTCTGTCACGAACACCAATCCCTTTCTCCCTGGATTATCATTGTCATACTTCTCCGCAAAAAAGTCAAGAAGCTTGATCGTAGGGTTCTTCTGAGGGTCACTTTCACTGTCACGCAAGCGGCGAATCCACTCTCGTTGAGACACCGTCTCGAAAGTAAGTCCAGCGTTTCGTAATGCGGGAAGGAGTTCGTTCGTCCAGTGGAACAGGTGAGAATTTTGGACGTGGAAGACGATGCTTGTATCCTCATCCTCATTTTTCACTGTATCTGTGTCTAAATTGGCAAGCTCAAGCACTGAGCGAGCCACAACGTCGACAGGTAGCCATGATGGTGTCTAGTAAAATGTCAGCATGAGAAACATCCTGAGATGAATCTGGTTACTGTACCTCTTCCAATGCTGGCAAAGCCCCGATTATAGATGCACTACGAATCATCAAAGAGATAGCCTCTGTGCTGTTCCACAATCCCAACTTCGTATCTCCAACGATCTGGCCAACTCTGAGAACATTCGCTGTCACACCCGTCTGCTCGGCTGCAGCTTTGACTATGGTCTCTGTCACCAGTTTTGATCTAGCATATCCCATGTTCTGAGCGTGTGAGAGGTCGTCGATATAAGTTTCCTGTATTATCGCTGGAAGTGGTGTTCCTGCTGCTGCCGAGATGGAAGAACAGAAGAATAATTTCGCAGGTTGTGTTGTAGATACACCAAGACACAGATTGAGAAGGTTGAAAGTGCCTTTGACGTGATGCTGCTCGAAACTCTTGACACCGAGATTGAAGTTGACAGCCCAGGCGCAGTGGATGATAGTTGTCAAGGTCTTGCGCAGGGTGTCTAATGTGGAAACATCCAATCCCAAATCATCACGACTGAGATCCGATGGAAGGCAATGGATCTTCTCCAAATGCAGCTCGGAATCAAGCTGCTTGGATGAAAGGGTCGAGAGCACTCTTGATTGAGCTTCGGCTTGAGTTGAAGCCCGGACTAGACAATATACTGCCTTGACGTGATCTTGGGCAAGCAATTGCGCCAGAACATGTGCTCCCAGCGAGCCAGTGACACCAGTAAGGATCTATGAGGGTATCAGCATTGGTAGCAGTATCATGTCTGAGCAACTTACAATTGTTTCTCCGTCGACCAGACACGCTCCAGGGATGTGGCTTTCAAAAGTGGAATACTTCTCGATAAGCTCTCTCATTGTTTCTATCTCATCAGTCTCAACGGTTTCCGTCCCTGTTCTCACAGAGAATAGATGTGTAGCAAGTGCCGAGATATTGGGATATTCGAAGACGACATTTTGTCCCAGGGTGTTTGAGCCTAGATCCAACTCTCTCATCATGATGCCTCTGACAGAAAGGGCCTGTAGACTATCTACTCCAGCCTCAAAGAAGTCTGTAGTGTCATCAATTTGTTCAAAGCCAAGGTTTTGCACGAAAAGATTATGCAAGTAGAGCTTGAGCTCCTGACAATTCAACTGGAGTCTGCTCCCGTCATTGACATCGGCTGGGGATTCGAACCGAAGGTAGATGGAATCAACCAGCTTTTCGAATTTTCTGTAAAAGGCGGCGCGAATCATAGTCCCTTTATCCGTGCAGGGATATTCCACGCCAACATCAAGGACTTCAATCATTTGTCGAGAGATCTGACTGAACCCTTCAACTCTGGCGTTTGCTGCTTGCACGACAGGCCAGAGTGAGTCGAGCACTTGTGCCTTACTCAGACCACTGGCTTTCTCACTTAGTATAATGATAAGACCTGGAAAGGCTCTGCCAACTCCAAATACGCAAGCTTCCCTGACCAACTCGTTTTCTCTGATCTGGTGCTCGTATGGAATTGGAAGAACCTTTTCGCCATTCACAAGCGTTACTCGATCGTCCAAGCGACCAAGATATTTCCAGGCGTTCGGTATCGTAGGATGAGGACTGAAGAGGTCGCTGGTTCTGAAGGAGTTGGGGGGATCATCTGAGTTCGAGACGACTTTGGAAGGCAGTCCATCGAGCACTACACACTCGAACGTGTTCGGACCTCGAGAAGTCATAAGCATGTAAGGGGCGCTTGCAGGCAATGGTCGAACGTAGTTCCATGCTTTGTCTTCAATTGGACGAAAAGATGTCATCAATTGGCCAATTTCAGTTCTAATTCTTTTTGTCAGCCATGAGTAGTGTATCCAGAAACGAGCAACTCACGCTCCATAATGGCCAACAAGATAAACCCCTGCCTCTACCAGCCTATCTCCAAGATCATCTGGACAGCTGCTACCTCCGAACAATACCAGTTTGCATTTTCTCAGCACTTCAACACCGCTTTCTGTCTCTGCAAGGAGTTTGAGTGCGTAGGGCACACCATAAAAGCACTCCGGATTCACTGCACGCATTGCTTCTATTAGGTTGGGTCCCGACAATGGCAAGTTGGCATTGAACAACGCTATCTCTTTTCCGGAATATACAGCTCGAAAGAATGAAGAAAGACCATGGTTATGATAAAGTGGAAGTGTCAAAAAGGCACGATATCCAAAGCTGCTCGAATAATTCATCAAACATGCTGCTTGTGTTTGAAAGATTGGCTTCGGAAGCCCTGTAGAGCCAGAGGAATGAATGATGAATGCTATTCGATTCGACGAAGAACGATTGCCTTGCTGCCGAGGATACCGTGGAATCAGAGGGTCTTTCAGGTTGTACTCTGTTTGACTGTGTACCGGATATCGAGTGACTTCTGTCTCAGATTGGATTGCCATCACTTGCTTGTTCAGATTCTCGGAGCTCACAATCCGACGGCAATTCGTTTTATGGAGCAGTGAGACATATGCCTCTGTAGCAAGTCGGTTGGAGAGGAGGAGAACTGCAAATCCAAGTCTGTGAAGGGCGAAGATGCTGGCAACATAGTCCAGATTCGATGGAGCCAGCAAACCAACCACTTCTGCGTCGGGTCCATGATTCTGATACGAGATTAGACGTTTCGGCCCCTCATGACAATTTGGCAACTTACTTCCGGGACAAGCCCCATTGAAGCGTACTTGCTTGCGCTATGATCAGCGAACCTATCCAGATCCTGCGCTGTGTAATGGACATAATCAGCTCGACCCCGTGAGCTTGCTGGATACGCAACTAGTGGAGTATCAGGTATTGTTCGACTTCGATTGAAGAGTAAGTCATCGACGGTATAGAGTGCGTGAGTCTTCACATCGTTTACTGCCACATCAGCACCGTCGAGCTTCGACGTCGCTGTATAATCATGTCTTGGGGTAGCAATTATAGCAGACATGATGGGAAACTTCGAGACCGAATGAACAAGCGTAGGAAAGGACCAATTGGACAAGTAAAGATAGGTATAAGTAAAAGGCCCAAAGGCCGCACCTAGCTGAAGGTCTCTCGAACGTGGGCGAGATTTAGCATCACAAGGGTATCACAAGTGTGATCGTGCAACTCGGAAACACGACTGCACATCGTATCCGGGCGGAATGGAACTTGAGAGACGTTGGTGAAGTGCCTCGTGGAGAAAAAAGCGGGGTCGCCGGAAATGTATATTTTCTGGCAGGAACCCGGATCCGAGCTTTCGGAAAAGGGCGATCGGCAACCTGCTTCAGCCTGGCAGCTGAGAAAGAAAATCCCACCAATTAACATGCTTTATGCATATGATAGATAGACAGAAACTAACAGCTAATTGCACTCTTGCACACCGTCTCAGGCAAGCCTTGGATCACCTAGTCCCAAAAATCCGAAGCAAGACGGATGGATGAGGAGTCAAAGTCGCATTTTCGCTCTCCCTAGTAGATGCCTCATTTCTCACCTGCATCTTCTGGCTACGAGAGTGGGGCCTCCTCGATGTGCTCATCTTTGCCCACGTCAAAATGAATCTCTTTCTCCACAGCGATGACTGCTTGATCGGCGAGATCTTTATCTTCAAATACTGCACCATTGAGATCAGTACCTTGTTCAAAACCTATGAGTCGGGGGTACTTACGGAACGCCAATTCCTCAAGTGTCCTGCTTTGGGTCTCAGGATACATAAAGAAAATGAAGAGAAACTCAAATGCAATCCATCCGCAGTATATTGCCATGTACTTCCAGTCGATAGCTGTCAATGCGATCGGGTTGACGTTATTAGAAAAGAAGAGACCAATCTTGTTGAAAACTTGTTCGATTCCAATACCACGGCTTCTGACGTTGTAGGGGAAGAGCTCAATGAGAAAAGCTATTGTGTTGTTAGCATAAGCGCAGCTCCTAAGGAACGGATGAAAGCCATACTATAAGTCAACGCGTTATTGCCAAGATTATAAGGGACATTGAATGCGAAATAGAAGAACAATGCGGCGATTCCAGCAGCTTTATTATTAATCCCGTGATCTTTTGCTTCATGAAGCTTCTTGTATGAGACTGTCATGGAGATGAAAACCAGTAGCATGCCTGCTGCAGCTGTCATGAACATAACCCTGCGTTTGAACCTTGCCACGATAAGTGCCACTACAAAAAGTTAGCCTTACGTTATGAAGCAAGAGAGTAAACAAAGTTTTGCCGCGAAAGATGAGTGAAAGGCGGGCGTTCCATTGTGCAGTGGAGAAGGGGAGCCAAAGAAAGGACGGTTTACTCGTAGTAGCAGTAAGTAAGCCAAAACAGGCATTTGCGAGGTTAATCCTCGTTTTGGCATAGCTTGATGTGTAGCCCATACGATCAAACAACAAATTCGAATAGTAGGTAAGAAGCGAATTTCCAGACAGCTGGGTAAAGAGGCCGAGGAAGACAGCGATAATGGTGCGGCGTCGCATTCCTTTCGTGCTAACCATGTTTAACCCTGGATATATCGTCAGCAACTGCATGAATCACTGGGAGATCTGAGACTCATAGCAACGAGACCGCCTCGAAACTTACAAGACTGCTTCGAGTTGTCCATCTCGATCTTGATAGTCGACCGAATTTGAGCCATTTCGGCCTTGACAAGAACAGACTCGGGGTCGCCCTCAGCGTGATATTTTGTCAAGACGGCATGCGCTTCTTCGTGTCTGTCTCTGCTGATAAGCCATCGAGGACTTTCCGGTAGCAACCTGACAAAGGAGGTCAGCGAAAAAAAGAAAAAAAAATGAAAGCAAGGCACAAGATAAATTACATGATAGTTGATATTTGCAGAAGTGACGGGCACATTTGCAATAAAGAAGGGATACGCCAGGACCAATCGCTGGGAACAGATGTGGTTCCGAGACCAACAGCTGCGGCCGCGATTTGACCGATAAAGTAGGAGGAGTTGAAGAGGGACGTCAAAGTATCTCTGTCCTTGGGGTGAGCCAATTCTCCAATCAGAGAAGAACCAGATACTAAACAAGGAATCAGCCATGTCTCCTTTTGCTGGCATCGAGGAACAGCCATAGTTATATTGGGGGTAGGGAGCATCATGCAAGTAAATTTCCAAGAACTTGCGAGTACTTACTTATGCAAAATATTATCCCAAAACCGAGCACCATACGCGCGAAGAGATACATCCCGACTTGGAAAGCGTCAGCACAAAGACTGCACATGTTACAGCAGGAGAAGCTCACGATCCTGGGAAAATCCCTGTATGATTGCACCAGTGACCATGATTATAGATCCCACTAGAATTGGCAGACGTCTTCCAAAACGCTGATTAACATAAGGAGCGAATGGTACGCCAATAATAGACCCAAGCTGGTAGGAGGCAGACAAGAATCCCAATAGACCTGGGCTCAGATATGGTACTCCCGAAGCATCTTTCTTGTCGGAGAAATCTAGGAGAGCTTAGCGGTACACCGAATTTGAGATGAAACGTACAATATTTCCAATAGTTGGTATATTGAAGAACGTTGATGAGTTGCGAGTCGAATCCAGACGTCATCTCGACACCCATACAACATGCAAATAGACAGAGATACATGACTCGTAGGTTGGGCTTCCTGTACCCTAGATAACGAGGGCTTAGTGATTACTCTTGAGAATCAATCCGGTTGGAAAAAATGAGAAGAGTGTCTCAGACAAGAGAAAATCTGGCAATCAGACTTACACTTCACCTTGTCTTCAGCAGCAATGTTTGTAACAATTGGTGCTGAGACTCCCTCAGCATGAGGAGCGAGGTCATCAATTACTGAAACTGGTGCCATATTGTCTTTTCTGGACCGTGCAAACGATGGATTCGAGAGAAAATCGCACTTTCAAGAACACATACTTATGCGCCATGAGCTTCGAGAAGTTCAAGTCTATTCTGCCTGAATCATTGAATACGACGCTTGCTGCAGAATGGCTGAGAATTCATATAATAGCAGAGCATTTCTGCTCGTCGCACAAGTCTTGGTGCTGGAAGGCACAATAGCAACTTGGACTGTCGTCATTTTCGTAGACTCTTGTTTCAACCGGAATCACCCGCTTGCCGGTCGTGGAGATGTGGTTGAACAGCGTTACGACGAACGTCCGTATGGCGTTCACTTGGTTGCCAATGCTAAAGTTCATTGGAGGATCCGTAAATACGTCGTATTTCACCGGGACGAGATATACTTCCGAAGAAGGAAGCTCTGCTGCGCCAGCTTCGTTTGATTGCCGGGCCGGATCGTATCACTTCTTTTGGACATATTCCACGCTGTCGAATTTTAGCCGGTAATAAAGTAATCAGAGACGGAAGAGGGATGGTAGCCAAGCTTCCTTTTTTACTCACCTGCTCACCTCCTCGCCTCACTGCTGCATCACCCCGCATTATCTCTCCCTTATGCTTCTCCGCGCCGCACCTATACTTACCCAACGCTTTACGAAGTCATATTGGTCGAACTTCCTTTCCTCTGCTGGCCATATTGGGATTCGAATAACATGTGTCATATTTCAATAATCAATAATCAACAAATACACTATCGCGACACAACACCTCCATTTCTTTCAGCGAAGGAAAGCCAGATTCTAGCTTCGATGGCAGATCCTCCTTGTAATGATACCGTATGCTCCAGACACTAGCCTCAGTAGACATCTGGTTACTTTCTCGACATCTCCCGGACAGCGGAAGGGTTTGTGAATCCATCGAGCTTAGTTGCACGAGCGAGTAACTAGCCTCATGGTCCCTCTCGTCCAAAGGCACAAAGTCTTTGGAGGTCCATTTATGACCAGGCACATCGATAGCTAACAGCTCATTGACCAAGGCTTCTAACCTATTGATCAATACAGCCGACTTGCTGTCCCCTTCGACAGTCATGTGCTCGTGTTCGTCGTGAATGCCACCATTCAGTGTGTGAAACTCGTCGTGGAGTCTTGATGCAATCTCTCGGTGCATTTGGGTATTCCGACTCCCATAAAACCTGTTGACCTCCGCTACCAATTCACACGGTCTGCATAGGCAGTATCGAGAGACATCATATGCAGCATAGTCGAGACCATATATGGCATGGAAAACATCTCCAAAGACTGCCGTAGATCCAAGCCCCGCATACGTAAGAGACCAATCAGCGGCTCCATTTTCAGCATGAGCGGCAATATTACCAGCCTCAATAACCCGTCTGTCAAGTCTTCCTATATTCCCAAGCCGGTCGACCTTCTCCAATTCCAGATAACGCATCCGAACCGCAGCTCCAGCTTTTACTAGGGGATCTCTCTTCTCTGCTTCCGATTTGAGCTCCTTGATTTGCTCTTCAAGGCATCCGACCTGTGATCTCAGCTCCTCTTTCTTTGCCAGAAGATTCCTGTTCTTCTTCACAGCTTTGGAAAACCTCTTTCTCGTCTCAGGGGAGGAGGAAATCTCATCGTTCTCTTCACTGCCCATGTCCTGTTCCAGTTTATCGTACTTCGCTAGTAATATCTCATGTTCAGCTTCGAGGTCCTTGTACAGTAGACATTCGCAGGCATGGCCGTAATCCTCAAGCCTCTCAATCTCCCTGTCTCTTTCCAAAATCTCGGTCTCAGCATTGGTGGCTCGGATTTCGAGTGCCGCATATTTCTTTTCCAACTTAGCATATTCACTGGAATTCCGTGCGACATCCCCGTGTCAGCTTTTGAGACTATCATATTCCTCCTGTGATGCGTCGTGCTTGTCCTTGAGACTACGGGTTACCCCTTCATCTTCCACAATTTCGTCGCTGAGGTCGTATTCGAGTTGTCTAATCTCAGCATCTTTCATGACGCCGTCTGTCTCGGCCCTGGTGAGCCGTTGCTGGAGAAGATTCTTCTCTTCGACCAGATCATCGTTCTGCTTTTTCATCGCACCTTGGGCTTTCAAGCTCCGCTCATACAGAGACTTAAGAATATTGTATCTGTTCCTCTGATCCTTAAATTCTCGATCTCGCTCAGCTAGCATCCCATCTTGCTCAATCAGCTTCTCTTCTTGTGTTGCAATCTTGTCATCTTGCTCTTTTGCCGCCTCCTGGAGTGATATAATCTCAGCCTCGGTGGACGTCGCAGATTGCCTCATGCGCTCCTTGCAATCCTCCAAGGACGTTTGCAAATCGGCAACTTCTTGTCTTAAACACTGCTCAGTACTTGCTGCACTATCGATTATAGCGATAAGTGCGTCCGTAAAATTAATCATTGTATCCGTGAACACAGAAACAGCATCCACTGCCCCTTGCTCTTGAGATAGCCCATGTGGCACTTCATTGTCCCGGGTGACTTCAAGAATGGGTTTCTGTCTTTTGATGGCGTATAATATCTGGTGAATTGAAGGAGTAAGGGCTGTTGAATTGGCTGTTTGCTTGGACTTCTTTTTCTTGCCCATATTGAAGGTATGGAATGTGATATGGCTAATTCTTGATATCAGTGTTGAGGTCTGGTGGGAGAGCGGATCGACGCGTTGGTACCATTTAGTACGCGAATTTTCGCGATCCTGAATTATGTAATGCACAAAGCCGCTGGATTATGAATGATCAGACGTGGAGCTTCTTCTTCACAGAGATTAGTAAAGCCGTATTTGCCATAAGCTGCTTTGCTTTCTTGCTCTAAGCATGAAGTAGGTAATGCTTCCAACCAGTTGGGACGAATCACGTGTTTCTCACAAATCGATTCGCGTGTGGTTCCATCAGGGCAGCAAAACTCCGCCCACATCATTCATGGTGCTCATTTCCCAGTGCTGAATTTGATCATCTTGAAATAAGAAATCCAAATTACCCATCCCCGCTGTCACCTATGTTCATCGTCAATTAGGCAGATAAAGTCAAATGAGATGGAATTTACCCACAAGAGAATTGAAAGACGACCAATCTGTCAGCTCGGCCATCAGACTCGACGGAGTGGCACCGCTGGGTCCATCACTTCCACAAATATCGTTCGGTATTGAGAAATCAAGGCCACCAATGTCATGCAAAGAAGTCCCGTTGGCGTTGGTGGTCTGAGGCCCCGAGATAGAGTCAAGAGAATTGCTTGGAACGTTTGCGTTGGATTCGTGAAGTCGTTCTGTCTGCTTCATGGCTTCCAAACGAAGCTCTTCTAGAACGACGCTATATCGCTGAGCTAAGGATTCCTTTATCGCCATCGAGCTTATTTGGGCTTGACATTTTGCTGCGGCTTGGAAGTACGCAAGATATTTTGCTCTGGGCGAATTCCGTTGTTGAATTGTATAGACATATAAGACGACTACTGCACAAAAGGCAAAGTATTGAGTGAACTACTAGAATGTTAGATAGTATTGTATCAGGCTGAAAAGACTTGCCCAAAATGCCCTGAAGATCTGCTTCCCTTCGGCAAGGTCGTTAACAATAGTGACAATATTCATGGCCGCGTCCAAGCAAGCTGAGACTTTTCTATCCATATCCGGAGTGCCTGGTGCTCCACGCTGTCTCGAACTTTTGCCGCTAAGACTTGCAAAATTGCTAAGCAGGAATGGACGATGGACCAATATTAGAGCATGCTGGTAAGCCAAGTTGAGAACGTTGCGTTGACGTTGATAGACGGGAAGAAGCAGAGAACTGTCTACACCATCCGTACCAAGGAATCTGGACAGACCTTCTCGCCAGCTCAATAGTTCTGCAGAGTATTTTGCGGTAAGGGTAACTCTGGCTTCGGGAGAAGGGGCTCGTATAGCGTATAGGTCACGTAGAATGTTACTGACAATTCTAGATAGCCTATAGACATCAGAAATGTATCAACTTTACGAAAAGAACACACACCTTGCATGCGCTATAGGGCCCACCATGATTGACTGAGCTCTTGATATGTTACTAATCATCTTTTGCGAGGTTAACTCGGCATCATTAACGCAAGTTGGGAAGTCCTAACACAGAAATATTAGTAATTTCAATGGAGGTGCTCGGCATAGCTACCTGATCTATGTCATCATCATGAAAAGTCCTTGGTCTTCCCAAAGCAGCACTCAAGTAGTTGTCAAGGCTGTAAGCGCACCAAAAGACTCGCTTTCGACACTCTAAGTCAATAAGATCAGATCCGTTTGATGTTTCTACTCTTCGCTTGCGATGTATACCAATAGCAAGAATCAGATGAGCAGTTGTCCCGAACAGGCTCCAGCAGTGATTAACTCTGGATTGCGACAACAGATAGAAGCATTGGCAAAGTCGAGCCTGAACGCTTGTGAGCCGAATCTCACCAGTTTCCGTGGATAACTGATGATCCGCGGCTTGGAAATAGCGAGCACTAGAAACAAATTAGCCCGCATGCTATTGGCGTAGTCAGAGATTATCTCACCTTGTGTCGGCTGGGGTGCTTGCTTGATCAGGCATGTAATCTTTTGCCTGTGCCATCACCATGAAAAGGACAGCCGTCCGCTCCCCTGCTCCACGGCCTCGCATTACCCCAAGATTCTCGTAGAATTCTTGCAACCAAGTTTCAATTGTTGGTTGATGAAGAAATCGATGAGTCGGTACCGCAAAGTCAAAATACCGTGCGACAAGCTTTTCGGCGTCGTTTTGGGAAGGCAGGATGAAAAAAGAGGGATTGAAGTCCGGTAAAGGGGCATCTCCAAACGTAAAGATACTAGAGCTTTGAGAGAATGAGACTTTCTGATGAAGTTTCTTTTGCACCCGTAAAAGGAAAGAAACGCCGGAAGCTGGCCCGACATAATGGCCCTGCAAATCCGTCTGTGAAGGCTCAGGAGAGTTGCGTGATGAATGCATTCTTGAATCGATCATCTGTTGACCAGTGGGAAGCACCTGAGCCATTGGTTCTACAAGAGTATTTGGGCGAGGCTCGGGGCTGAGAACCACAGGTGCATTTGGAAGAGAAGCCTGTAGAAGCAATTCCATGCCAGCATATTGTGCCCGTTGATTTTCAGTCAGCAGACCTGGAGATCCTGTGACTGTACCTCTGGTGTCTGCCTTCTCTGGAAGAATTTCTCGTACATTATCGTCAGGTATCACCGACGGAAGCCTGCCACGATTGTATGCTGCTGTAAATTCGCAGCTCAGATTTGCTTGAGTACAGAGTGTACAAGGTTGTTTGCCCGTACATCGGGTCTTTTTCCTGGCTTCTGGTCAGTCTCTAAGGGCGGACATGATAGCTGAGTAGTAGATCTATACCGTTTGCAACGATCACAAGCACGTGTCACTCGAGTGCGGTCTTCATCCTTTTTCCGTCTCTTGGATGAACTTGGATGAACGTGCTGATTTTCGAATCCTTCCCCGCCTGTCGCTAACCGCTGCCCATCCGACATTTCTGGAGGGAAGTGGTGTTGAACGAAGTCCCGGAAATAGATGTATTTCAGGCCATCTTTCAAGCAATTGCGCTTGATGTTTATGCAAAAGGAAGGTTCCCAGCCCGGAAAAAGTTTTGCGGGGTAAGAACTACGGACACTCCGGGGATGATTATCTCCACCCCTTACATTTTCCTTACTTCTCATCTGAAGTGTCGGATGAGTATCAAAGTGCATAATCCATATCATGCTAGTCATATTCTATCAGATGGTTCTTGATCTAAGTTCTATGCAAAGCTAGTGAGACAGCTTAGAGTTGTGCAGTGCACAACATCAAAAACTGTCTCAAGCCTTTTGGTGAAGCCAAATAGCAAATCGCGTTCACCACTCTCTCACTTCCCCACCAGGTCCTATGAATCCAGGGCTCACCCATGGTTTTGCTCCCTCAGAAAATCTTCGGACTTGCTCTTCGTCAATCTCGATCCCGAGTCCCGGACCTGCCATGAGCTTGATGTATCCGTTCTCTACATTCCAAACCTCGGGATTGTGTGTATAACTGGTCAAGTCTTGCCCTCCAACGTTGTAGTGAATACCAAGACTCATCTCTTGGATCACAAAATTGGGTGTAGCTGCCGCAACTTGGACATTCGCTGCTAATGCAATTGGTCCGAGAGGGCAATGAGGGGCAAGAGCCACATCATACGTCTCGGCCATGGCTGCTATCCGTTTCATTTCTGAAATACCTCCGCAGTGGCTGATATCTGGTTGCAAAATGTCCACGGCTCCAGCTTCGAGGAACGGACGAACATCCCATCGACTATGTAATCGTTCTCCGAGAGCAATTGGTATACTTGTTTGTTGAGATAGCGCTTTGATACCTTCAACATGCTCTGACAACAATGGTTCTTCAATGAACATAGGACGATGAGGCTCTAGAGCTCTTGCAAGTTGCTTTGCCATGGGCTTGTGAACACGTCCGTGGAAGTCAATTCCGGCATCCATGCCAAGAGCTTTGACAGCTTTGAGTCTTTCTACGCAATCATCCAATGCTGAAGGAGAGTCAAGCCAGCCCATATCTTCTGTCCCGTTCATCTTGACTGCAGTGAAACCTTGAGCTTTCCTCGCTTTGCTGAACTCGTCAGTCACCAGTTAGGCTACAGTTCAAGTTGACTCACGCTTGGTTTGCAACATCTCCAGGTCGATCTCCACCGATCCAAGCATAAACTTTGATCTTGTCGCGGACTTTTCCACCAAGCAATTGGTAGATCGGAACTCCCATTCTTCGAGCTGGGCATCGTCAATACTTTGGACAATATCAGAACAGAAACCTCTTACCTTTCATGTCCCATAATGCAATATCAATACCAGCGAGAGCGCTCATAAATACAGGTCCACCCCTGTAAAAGCCTATTCTCCAGGTCGTTTGCCATATATGTTCTATATTACTTCGATATATTAGAGATTTAGGAACAACGAGGACAAATTGTGCTTACTCCGCGTCCATACCAGTATATCGTTCAATATAGGCATCTAAGCATCCTTCCACAGCTTGGGTATGACCTTCCAGGGACGCTTCTCCCCAACCAATCAACCCCGCATCATCCGTTATCTTGACGAAGAGCCATCTTGGAGGCACTCGAAAGTATTCTATCTTCGCAATCTTCGGCATATTGGAAACGATGGAGAAAAATTGAAAGATCTATCAATACTCTAGTTGGACATCTCAAACTTTTACGATAATCTGAAAGCTTGTGAACGACATCGGACTTGAAATCATCACGTGTCAAGGGAATGGAACCATGTATCCGAGTACAGGACCGGTCTACATTTCCGGACCCCACTACCCCACATCTTAACGGAAAAGACAAATGGTGAGGACAAGTGCTGTCAGCAGCCGTAAATTGGATTTAATATGGATTCTAAGACAATGCATATGTGCTCTCTCGAATGACTTTGGCTTATCTTTTCAATTTCGAAAAAAGCTGGATCGCCTGCAGACCTCGCTTAAAAAGATATCGAAAGCAAAAACTCAACCACCCGAAGGTGGTATCCAACACCATAGCTAGTATGGGGTTTAAAGGGGATCATCTTGAGACATTCGTATTGCAGGCATTCACGAGAATATAGAGAGGCACGATCACTGTCGCAAGCATCTATATCCTGGAGGCCGCTGTCTCAGAGGATGATGGCAAAGATCTGCTTATTTGAATTTATAAGGTATTAAAGAGGTCGAGGCTTGTGATTGGTGGAGGGGTTTAGCGTAGTTTTGGCGAGGGGAGAGCATCAAGTATCAATTACCGATCTGAATCTGGTGCAGGCCGCTTGTATCATCAATTGACTTTCAATCCCGCTTTCAGCTTTCTCTGAACTTCCTTCCATTCCTCAACGCTCTTTCTCAAGCTGTCTCGGCCCACCTCGCCAAAGATATCCACGCCCAAACGAGCTGGGAAATTGTACCTGTGGTGACGGTCCAGCGCAACAATTTTGTCGAAGACATCTTTTGGAAGCTGGAAATCTATGATCGAATTAGATTTGCTTCTTAGAAGGCCAGAATCCTAACCTTGAAAGTTATCTTTGATCCTTGACGCTGTTACGCTCTTTGGTAGAACGACAGTGCCTCGTTGAATAGCCCAGCTAATCAATAGCTGTGCTGGCTGTTTGTTCATTTCTCTAGCCAGTGCTACGACTGTGGGATCATCTACAGCTCTGGGGAGGTTGTAGATATTGTTTCCGAGTGGACTATAGGCTGCAACAACGATTTTCTGTTTCACATCAGTATTACCTGAATGGTAAGCTTTAAGATGACTCACTTGCTGCTTGCACCAGTCTAACAGATCCGGTTGCTGCAAGTATGCGTGGGCCTCGATTTGATTTACCGCTGGTGGAATGATAGCTCTGCAAACTTTGTATGAGGCACATCATCTCAAATGTGTCCAGAGAACTTACGTTTGCAAGAGAGACTCGATCTTCGCCTTCGTGAAGTTGCTGACTCCAATGCTCCGGACTTTCCCTTTGGCAACTAGAGCTTCCATCGCTTTCCAGGTATCCTTGATAGGAACATCAATCACCATAATCTCTTCTGATATTGGATCGACCGGAAACGACTCCTTCGAATGTGGAAATGCAACAGGCCAATGTATCTGATTTGTTAGAACTTGAAGGTGCCGTTTTAGATGTTGACACATACGAGGTAAAGATCTAAGTAGTCGGTTTGCAAGTCCTTCAATGTTTGGTCGAGCGCATTCTCAACATCTTCAGGGTTATGGTCAGTGTTCCAGAGCTTGCCCGTAACCTTTTTGAGATATTAGTCAAGCGATTGGTTCTTCTGCGCACAAACGTACAAAAATCTCCTTGCGATCCACGCCGGAAGCTTTGAGTCCTTCTCCTACTTCTGCTTCATTTCCGTAGACAGAAGCAGCATCAATATGACGATAGCCGCATGTCAAAGCAGTAGATACTGCTTCTTTGACTAGATTTGGTCCAGATTGCCAGGTGCCTAGGCCAACAGCTGGAATACTGTAGCCCGAATTCAACTTGAAAGACCGATTCATCGCCATTTTGATTTCAGAAAGAAGTGAACCCGGAATCTCAATCGTTCTGAGAGACAATAAATGCAAGAAAAATCATGTTCTGCCATTCGCAAATCGCCGGTAACTTTTCCGGCTCTGTTGAGCTTTTCCGTGAAACTTCCCTCCCCCACCTATGGGGCAAAACAACAGAAAAGCCATAATAGGGCCTTGAGAGATAACCAGCTGCACACTTGAGATAGAGTAGAAGTGTATATAAAGGAGCCCAGACAGAAAATATACGACGATAAGACTAGAACAGGGACACAAACACAAAGCAATTGGTGAAGCTACGACCACCATGCTGACTAAGTTACCACCGCCAGGAGTTTTCGTACCTGTTCCAACATTTTTCAAAACAACACCAGCTTCTTCATCCTCATTACAAGCAGCACTCGATGTTCGAACTCAATGTGAACACAGTATTCACCTTGCCAAGAATGGAATCCGAGGCCTCGTGCTGCTCGGAAGCACGGGCGAGGCAATACATCTCTCCCGGTCTGAAAGATTCGAATTGATTTCCGGTGTCCGCAATGGACTCACAGAAGCTGGCTACGCCGACTATCCAATCATGGCAGGCATCTTGACGAACTCTGTCGATGAAGCGCTTGGATGGCTTGCAGATGCGAAGAAAGCTGGTGCACAATGGGGACTCGTCCTGACACCAGGATACTTCGGTCCTGCTGCAAACCAAGAGAATCTGCGGGAATGGTACACACTGGTCGCAGACACGAGTCCTCTACCAATACTGATTTATCATTACCCCGGCGTTACGAACAACATTGCCATCAGCCTCGAAACATACATGGCACTGGCAGCTCATCCGAACATTGTTGGATGCAAAATGTCTCACGGCAATGTTTCTCACCATGTCCAAGTGGCTTTGGATCCTGCTATTGACCATACGAAGTTCCGCGTATACAGTGGCTTTGGCCAGCAATTGGGTCCTATTGTTCTTTTTGGAGCTGCTGGAGTGATTGATGGGCTTGCTGCGATATATCCCAGCGCTGTGTCGCGCCTCTTCGACCTCGCAGCCAAGCGTCCAGTCACGAATGAAGCCTTGCAGAAGATTCAAGAGTGGCAATTTATTGTCAGCAGAGCAGAGGAAATGATAGCAAAGTGGGGCATCATTGGAATCAAGGAAGGTGTATATCGAGAGTTGAATATTGGCAATTTGAACGGCGGGAGACTACCACTGAGGGGAAATCTGCCCGAAGGGGAATGGGCGAGGTGGAATGTGGCTATGGATGCTATGAAGCAGCTCGAGCAGTCCAAATAGTTTCATGAATTTTATTGAGCGCTCTGCCGGCTGCGGCTCTCTACCCTCGCTGCATGTTTCCCACAGACTTGATTGAGCCATTCACGGGAAGTTCCTATTGAACTTTGTCACAGTACCAGTTTCAGTGAGGCAAGCTTTCAGGTAGGGATTGTAAGCACTTGGACGGGGAAAGATTTCAACAGTCGCATAGCTTGCCAATCACAAGCTTTCACACGGTGCTTATACGAAATACATGAATCCGAGTTCACAAACTCGCGAACCTGATTTGAACTGCTACCGAGCTACCAATCGTGCTTGACAAATTCCTCCTAGCATTGAAAGTCAAGCCCATTTCATGACCCAATCAGAATGCTCCGCGTTCGCCTTCGCGTTGGGGGCGAGTCGCAAAACTTACGAAATAAGCAGTTTTGCGTGGTTCTTACGGCGCTACTGGTATATCGTCCAATCAAGCTCGTATATCATAACGTGGTTCAAGATCTTCCCATATAAGAATTCATGTCCCTTGCTACCTACTCAGAAGTTCATCTACTCTTTGTATCTCATATCACACTTCAAGATGTCGCTCATGGGCTCCGTAGGAAGTCAAAAATTGTCTGAGCTTGAGGTTTTCCTCAATAAACACCCGCATATAACTTACGCTACGCCATCCTCCCCAAACTATGCCTCCTTAAGGGAGATCTTCAGCTTGGATTGCAAAAGCAATCCTCCGATCATCGTTCGTCCCCAAAAAGCTGAAGACGTCGGCCTCCTCGTCCAGTACGCCAAATCCCAAGGCATAAAATTCGCAGTCCGGACTGGTGGACACAGCCTTTTCGGGCTGTCTACAATCGACGGCGCTATGACTATTGATATGCGCGATATTACATACGTCCATATCGAGCAGGGAAAGAAATTGGCGAAGGTAGGAGGTGGGACATTACAGGGAGATCTTGCAACAGCACTCCACAAAGAAGGCCTTGCGACTCCTACTGGTAGCGTTCCATCTGTTGGTTATGTAGGGTGGGCTGCCTATGGGGGTTATGGTCCGTTGTCTGCACAATTCGGTCTCGGTGCTGATCAGATTGTTGCTGCGAAAATCGTAGATCCAAGTGGCAAGATTGTCGAAGCTGACGACAAGTTACTGAGAGGTATTCGAGGAGCAGGAGGAATTTTTGGTATAATCGTGGAGATCACAGTGAAGGTGTATCCATTGAACAAAGTGAGTGCCAATTGCTGATCAACGAGAGTTGCACCACTCATATGTCCCAGATCCTAGCCGGCAATTTGATCTTCGCATCCCAGGATATCAGCGAGGCCTTCAAGAAGTTTAATGGTGGATACAGGGAGCTTTCAACTCAAGGCCTGCCGTCCCAACTCGTGATACAGCAGATGGTAGTCAATTCTCCCTACGGACGAGCATTCGGTCTTGCTTTCACATGGGGTTCAGACGATATCGACACTGGACGAATGTGGCTGTCAAAAATCGAAGGTCTTGGTACGGTCGTTATGAACACTGTTGCAGAAACAACAATACCGGAAATGTTGGCCGCCACTCAGGCCGTGATTCCGTTGAAAGCCTACTGCTCGAGTCGTTCGTTGAATGTACGGAAGATCACCGAGGTGGCAGACGCTATTGCATCGTGTCTCGAGAAGATGCCGTCAGATTTGGCAGCCATGTTTACCATTCATGAGTTACGTGGGCCTTCAGCAAAGCCTACCAAGGACTCCGTCTTTGGAACAAGAGATCCACACTTCATGTTGGAGATTCTTGGCGGCGCATTAAAGGAAGAGTCGAGGGAGGCCAGTGCAGCGTGGGCGCAGAGCACATGGGAAACAATCGGGAAAACAGATCGAGGGGGCCAAAATATTCTCCCAGGAACTGTATGACCCCATTCTCAACCTAGGTCGCTGTGTTCTTTGATGGAAGCTCTGGAGATAAGATACTCCTTAGGAGCAGCAAAGGGACAACGTCCGTCTGCTTATGAGTTCCTGCTCTCGGGACAGTCTCCCTCTCGCAGAGCTCTCTCGTTGTTCTCAGCATTTTGCAGTGCTAATCAGTTGATAGTATATCTCTGTCGAACCTCCAGGAGAATCGCCTGGTCAGATACCACTTTCCAAGATATATGGATCTCACGAATCGGACGTCGTTGCGTTGAAAAGGGAATATGACAGTGAGAACGTATTCGATCTGGCGATGCCGAGGTTGGTGGATTATATCCGTAGTTGAGATGTCAAGAAGCTAGTGTTTGGAATCCAATTTCCATCCTCGCCTGAAGAATATGGCGTGGAATACCAATGTAAAGCACAGGATGACTGGATTTGGACGTCTCCCACCAATGTGCCATTATTTCAGAGTACTTTAACCTCTTTGGCAAACACCTTATAGGGAAAGTCCATGGTCCACATATATTCAGGGGGCATTTGAACAGTGATAGCTCTCAGGGCCGTTTCCGTCACATTGTTCTTTCCTGCGCCATGAACCCACCAGGCAGAGTTGTCTTTGAGAACTCCAAGCAAAGCAAGATTTCTTGCCATCAGTGCCATGGCAATTGGATCGTCATTTTCTAGGAGCGAAATGAAAGGCGGCGGAACTCGATGGAGAACAGTGACTATTTGTTGTTCCAGAGCACTATTTTCGGCACGGCCGGAAGCAAAAAACGAGCAAGTGTTGATGACATCTGCCGCAACTGCTTCATACACGAGTCTGCCTTCTGTGTTGATTCCTCTGTCGTCCAGGGCTCGAATAAGGGTGTCCATGTCTTCGTGCACTTTGGCCATGAATTCTGCATCATACTCCGATTCGGTTCCTTCCTCTTTAAGTTTCAAGACAATTTGGCTAAGGAAATCATATTGTGAAGTCCAAGGTGAAGCCTTTTCAGCCAACAGACTCGCTCCCCTACACATCTTGTATGTGCTCAGATCAACCCCTCGGACCTGGGCTTCTTCACTGTAGCTGTATAACCAATTTTGGTGAGCGAGTAAGACTGCTGACACCAGCAAAGGTTCTGCGTTCTGCCGGTCAATGCGACTTACAGCATCGCGCTGCTTTACAATCGCCTGGTTGAAGTAGTATCTTGAAGCAACTGCCAGCTCTCGATCGTTGGGGCTAAGGGATAAAAGATTAAATGCTGCTATACCTAGCATGGCTGAAAGGACAACCTCATTAGAAAATGCAAGTTTTGGAATGTCTACCTCCCACATGGAGTCAGCTGTTGTAGGTGAACACATGTACTGAAGAGGTTGACGACCGCAAGTTGATCGGGTGTAGTGGTGCATTAACCTCAATTCCAATAGAGACGAAGGTTTGACGCCGATTGGACTGTTGGTCACGAGTCTGTCCAAGGTCAACGAAGACGAAGAGCTGGACGAAATATCCGGGTCTTGTGGAGGCGTTTTCTTTTGCACGGCAGGCGATACGTATTGACAACAAGAAGGATCAATAAATCGTTTCCTACAATTGGTACAGGCTGGTCGAACTTCGTCGCACTGGAATTGTCAATTTGCGGGTCGAACCTGGGTGGAGTGGGAAGGAAGCATACTTTGATTTTTCTACTTTTGCACGCTTTGCAACCCTGAACTCCATTTAGCCATGTCCAAGCTTGGGTAGGGTGAGTAGCTTGCAGTGGTGCTTTTCCTGTAGGGACGCTTATATGTCTTTCTTGCGAGGTATACAGGTCTCGTAGTGCGAGAATCAGCCTGTTCAGGCATTGTGTCATCCACCCGAAAATTCAAGAGCAAGAGCTTCGAGATCCTGCAATATATTGGTACGCAATACAAATATCGTTGCCCTTAAAGATGTTTTGTGAGATTCTCTCTAACTTCGATCTTAACGCTAAGAGGTGAGATGAGTATGTACGTGAAGAGCCATGAATACCCACTAAAATCTGACATATCTCAGTCACGTGCGAATTTAACTTCAAAAGGGTCCTGGCCACTTGCACTCGCGAGAGTAAGCAAAATGATGACTGTATCTGAACTTGATTCATCAAAGCTGAACATATATTTCGGCACGATGACAGCACAACGCCTCATGAACACCGGCTTGACCGAGGGTGCTTCATTGGTAAGCGACTTCGTGAGCATAGTAACCTTGGAAGGTTAGGGATAAGAAAAGGGACATTCATAAGCCAAATGCGTCTGGATATTAAATTCAGAGGAATGCCTTATAGAAAGATATTCGTTTTGACTCCGGAATTCTGCTGTCCTTGGAATTCAGAGGCAAGTAGCTGGTCATCAGTGTAATCGTGGCGAGAAGTCAGCGACACACTCTCATGAGAGCTAAAGTTGGTGACGACAGAATGACATTACAGAGGATCGGTATTGTTTTTGGATTATATTTTGGTGAAGTCGTTTGTTTGCTTCTGGAAAAATGTATCGCCGTTTGCAGCTTTGCAGATACGAAAGGATCACGAGTCAGCCCGACCCAATGAAGATACGCAGCTGGTAGTTCCTGCTTCGAACTACTTCCAATGAGGTGAATAGGTCTTGCGGCACGTGTTATTGAACGTAGCCAGCATTCCGGTATTCTAAAGATCATGCATTGCCAGATCTTCGGCGACTTTGGCTTATGTCGGTCTTGCGCCGCCAGAAAATATGGCAAAGTGATTGTTGCTGTTCACGAGAAAGCTTCTGTGTTACATATCCCACCGACTAGTGTGCTACTGATTCAGAGGCTATATTCTTACATATCCCATAGTTGAAAACGAATGGCACGATTGAATTGTGCGTTCCGTTCTCAATCTTCCCTTCTTTGTTCAGCAAATTGCCAAAATCTCCGGATCAAGATGATCTTGGTCTTTGTTCACTCCTTCTTGCTTGATTTCCTCATGCCCTGCGTTCGTCTTCAGATAACTTGGTGATTCAGAGATAAGCGTCTAGATTCGCCACAGTCATGTTTTCTTTCCGGAATCTCATTATCGTGCTCTTCCTGGCTTTAGCCTATGCTGAGCCACTAAAAGTCCGAGATACACGTGGTACATACATCCTCAAATCATGAATGCCATGAGTTTTCTAAGACAATCTAGGAATAACTCAAGCTGAGCTCAATCAATTCGAATTATTGGCGCAATATGCGGGGGCAGCATACTGCTATGACAATATCCAGAATGGAACTGGCAACACAGTTGCTTGCACCCGTGAAGGAGGCTATTGCCCAGGTGTAGAGGCCCTTCAAACAGTGATATTGGATAGTTTCTTCGAGTGAGAAATCCCGCTAGTCTTGAAACAAGTTTACTGAATTATAACAGCGTTGGAATAACCCAGACCGCAGGATATGTGGCGATTGACAGGAGCCATCAGCTCATCATTGTCTCAATTCAAGGTACATCGATTGCGTCTAACCCCATTGATGCTTTGACGGATCTCAATATTGCGCGGAGTAAGACCACTCTATGTGGTAAAGCCAATACTGTTGATGGCTGCTTGATCCATGACGGTTTCTGGCAAGCTGCAAATGATGTCTTACCAATCGTTGAGACAACTATCAATATTTCGCTGGCCATGAATCCGGATTTCAAGATCGTTACCACTGGTCACAGTCTCGGAGCTGCAATTGCTGCACTCCTGGGAGCAAAGTTGAGAGATGATGGACACATCGTTGACATGGTAAGCAGTGGTTCTTAGATTTACGAAATAGTCACTCACACAAAATAGTATACATTCGGGCAGCCATCTGTTGGAGCCGTGGATGTTTCAAACTACATTGAAAATCAGGCCCCAGCACAAGGAAACAATTATCGAGTCACGCACTACAACGATGTCGTTCCTCAACTTCCAGAGCACAATTTGGATTGGGGAACCTGGGATCACTACTACCCCGAATTCTGGATCTCAAGGCAGAATGGCACAGTGCAAGCAAGTGATATGCTGGTTGTTACAGGACGGCTGTATGAGACTGGTGGTAACGAAGGAGATAAGACCGGCCTGGGTGTGGTGGTTGATCTAATTGAGGGTCTGCCAGCGCACTATGTGTATTTCAATCCAATATCTGGCTGCGATGCGAATGCACCTGCCGCAGTTGCGTCGAGTGGATGAAGGGGCAGAGAGAACTAATCATCCTGGTAAGCTGAGGTACAGTGAGCATTATCTTTGCTAGAAATGATAGTTGGTAGAAAAAATGAAACGAGATTCCAGAAAATGATCAGAGCTTGCAAAAGTAAAAATTGGGAACATTCTTGGTCAATTCTCACTTGATTCGGCGAAATTGATATGTCTCTTCGAGCCAAGTAGAGCCTCCCGCATCTCTTGCACTCCGCGTCTTCTTAGATCTGCACAGAACTTATCACTTTTTGAAATCCTTCAGTCATGTCTTGCCTGTACCATTCTATCCCGAATTAGCGTAGAGACCTCCGACACAATATGCAGTACACCACTGTCTAAACGGGTAGCATATGTGAGGCGGGATAAATGCTCGAAAACAGTATGCGCTTGCATGACTCTTCAACTCAGTGGAAAGGTAGATGTGAGCGTTTGGAGACATGCCTCTTGCTTATATCAGTGAGATACGATGAGTTGGTAGTAACGTCTAGCTATTGCGAGAAAAACACAGCCTGGTTGCACCCTGGAATATAGTGGCTTTAGCGAGTTCCCAGCTGTAGACTGCCGAATTGTGGGGTTGCCTGACGCGCCCAACGCGCAGTTCGCGCGAATCGCGTCTACCAGAGATATTTTCTTCGCTACCCTACCTCGAAAAAAAATAATACATCAACACAACCGCATCCCGCCACCATGGTTGCATGTCCTATCTGCGGGAAAGGAGTCAAATCGAAAGATATCAATGATCATATTGATTCAGGATGTGAATCTTATCTCGAGTCGCCGCCTCTGACTCAGAATGGCTCTACACAGAATACAACAGCTTCCCAAAAGCCGTCCGTTTCGAGTTTCTTTCAAACACCTGCTGCGAAAAAGGCAGTATCATATCCTACGCCAAAGCCAGAACCAAGTCCTACCTTAAGTATACAACAAAAACCGGCCAGCAATGGCAAACCCAATACCTCAAATCCGCCACCGCGAAAGCGTTCTTTTGAGGACATCACAACAGCTGTGAAGGAGGAAGTGGAACCTGTTATAAAGAATGAGGACGTTCAGCCTGCGAAAAAGACCAAGACGAATGCATTCCAGAAAGCCGCCCCATTGGCAGAGCGCATGCGACCAACTTCTCTGGACGACGTCTGCGGCCAAGACCTAGTTGGACCACAAGGAGTTTTACGAAGCTTGATAGAGCAAGATCGAGTCCCTTCGATGATTCTTTGGGGTGGTGCTGGAACTGGAAAGACAACCATAGCCCGTTGTATAGCTTCTATGGTTGGGTCTAGATTCGTGGAAATCAACAGTACCAGTTCGGGAGTGGCGGAATGCAAGAAGATATTCGCAGAAGCACGAGGAGAACTGGGATTGACGGGACGAAAGACGATAATCTTCTGCGACGAGATACACCGATTTTCGAAATCACAACAAGATGTGTTTCTAGGTCCTGTTGAGTCAGGGCAGATTACGTTAATCGGAGCGACGACAGGTACGTTAAATTCTGCCAGGAGCCCAGATCTTCGGGATCATTGCGTACAGTTTGTTAAAAACCGATGCATTTCAAGTCCTCGCATAGCTGCTCAACTCCTAGATCGCTGTCAAAGTCTATACTAATTGGTCAATAGAGAATCCATCATTCAAAGTACAAAACGCTTTATTGTCACGGTGTCGGACATTTACATTGTCCAAATTGACGGATGATGATATTCTGCAGATATTAGAACGAGCCCTTGCCAAAGAAGGTCACAATTATACACCTTCAGATCTGGTAGACTCAGAACTACTCAAGTACTTGGCAGCATTTTCGGACGGAGACGCTAGGACATCATTGAATCTGCTCGAATTAGCCATGGGACTTTCGACTCGACCATCAACCACAAAGGAGGAAATCAAAGCTTCATTGACAAAGACTCTGGTGTATGATAGAGCCGGCGACCAACATTATGATACCATAAGTGCATTCCACAAGTCAGTTAGAGGCAGTGACCCTGACGCGGCACTCTATTATCTCGCACGCATGCTCCAATCAGGCGAGGATCCGTTGTACATTGCAAGGAGAATGGTCGTTATAGCATCAGAGGACGTTGGACTAGCAGACAACAGTATGCTCAGCCTAGCAACAGGTGCCTACACGGCAGCAGAGAAGATTGGGATGCCCGAGTGCAGAATAGCTTTGGGTCACTGTTGTGTAGCCTTGTGTCTTGCCCCAAAGAGCACAAGAGCATATCGAGGTCTAAACAACGCTTATGCTGCTCTGCGAGAACCAGGAGTTGCTGCTCTTCCCATTCCCATTCATTTGAGAAATGCTCCCACAAAGCTGATGAAGGAATTGGGGTATGGTGATGAATACAAGTACAACCCAAATTACAAAGAAGGACGGGTGGTGCAAGAGTACTTGCCCGAACCCCTTCGAGGGCGCACATTTCTAGAAGACAGGGACTTGGGTACAGAAATAGATCCTGGAGCATGGCGTTGACATTGTATAAAAATTTGTTGGAGTAAGTAGGCTGTTTGGATACCTCTCTGCAAAGCACTGGCGTTCATGGATGGGAGCTTTAGATTGTAGCGCATACAGGATAGTATGCAATGCTTTTTATTATCTGTCTGCTTTCTCATGCAGAAGTGTCACCACCAAGAGTATCGTAGGTGTTGTCACCGGACACGCCTTGCTGCTTGGGCATGCCTGCAGTCCCAGCCGCATCAGCATTTTCTCTTTCAAACTTCTGTTCTGCCAATCGTCCAGGATCGTTCTTTCCACCAATATCCTGATTGAAGCTCGCGTTCTTGGCGTTCTCGTCAAAACCTCCCTCTGTCAAATTCTTCCCTTTCGGTCCCCCTGCATCAACATACTGGCTGTTCACATAGCTTGGCGCTGTGCCAGCATTGCTGCTCGAGCCACCAGTCTGATATGAACCCTGAGTATTCTCAACAGCGGTACGCTTAGATTGACCTCCTAGAGCATCGGGATAAGAACGCTCAGAAGCCCAGTTCTCCTGTGCCTGACGAGACTCAGCGTCAGAAGCAGGGTCGAGACGAATTACTCCGGATGTATTGGTGTTTGCAAAGGTAGAGTTGGAACCAGAGACAGATTGAGGTTCTGAGTTACGGTTCTCCGAGAAGGTGTCGGACTCTGCTGCGAGGGAATCTGAGGCTACGGGGCCCGCACTTTCTTTAATGATTGAATGAGGGTCGTTGACCTGGGAAATATGTCAGCACATTCCAGAATACTGGGTATCAATCGTTCAAGAAATTTGGGTCTTCCAGCTATTTTGCTTTTCTGTTTCTCGCGAATGGGAGGGCTTGTGGTATCACAACCTTTGTGCCAAAGTTTGGGTTTCTTCCAGACATATTTTTCGATCTTGATAGTATTTCCAAATATATTTTCGACAACAACAGATATCTTTGTATCTACCACGTTTTGCACTCTAGCTCTCAAGCCTCACATCATGCGCGATCAACACCCATGACATCATCCAAAGTATATTTCTTGTGCCACTCGAGCCGCCTTACACCAATGATGTGGGTATTTTTCAGTTTAGCTGCGGTCATGTTTCGGTGGTGGTCGACGCTCTTGGTCAATACGTCGATGATGGAAGGAAAAGAGGAGTCTTCTTGGAGGGGTACTTCATGCGCACGTGCTGCTCTTCGAATGAAGAATTCGATGTCCCCGTCTGTGTTGAGACTTTTGAGGAACTTTATGGTGGAATCTAGGTTTGGACAATGCCATTGATCAATGATGGCCTGTTTTAATATAGAGTTGGATGTTGGTTTTGAAACTTTGCTCAATTTGACTTTATGCTACCCTGGGACATCTGAGCAACCCAAAAGCTTCCTCCAATTTTCGAGCTTCCAAAACCACCAACACAGCTTCAATGATCTTCTATTTCTTCAAAGCATCCTTTGGCAGACCATCCAAACCATCTTTTCCTTGCCTTCCGACGCCACTCATATCTGTACCACCCTCCTCTCTCACGCCACTTCCAGCAGTAGCAGGTTCTCTCAATCCAGTCGATGAAGCATCACCAGTAGAAATTTCAGATTGACGCTCTCCAGCAGCGACGTTGACTGTTCGGGCATCGGCAGAGTTCCAGTCTGAGGCGACAGGTGGGTCTTCTGGGAGGGGAAGGTTGGCTTGACGCTCAGCGATGATTTCGGCTTTGCTCTTTTGTTCAGACATGTTGATATCTGGAATAGATTGTTAGGTAGGAATAGAAGAGCACGGTCGTATTCACTTACTACGTGAGGATATTGATTTTCTGAGTAATGTAGAAAATGTGTCGAGATGTGAAAGAAATCGTGTCCTACCTTTGAATGAAAGCTCTGTATTGCCCCACCTCACTTACTGGAAGCTATGTCATGCTCCCCAGTTCCTGAGTCGGAAGAGTTGCTAATTGAGTAATAGCACGACTTGTTCCCTGCTGGTCAGGAGCTTTGCTCCGGGGACTTCTTCAATGACGTTTAGTGCATTCGAAGAGATGACTGAGGAATCAACAAACGAGACCCCTGAAATATCACGAGACAACTCTTCACATTGGTATCATTAATTGTCAACAACTAACGCCGTCAGCAAGAAATGCCTTCCTATACACCGAACCTCAACTCCATCTCTCAAAATGCACTTTGCCTCGTCATCCTCATGCCACTCTCTTGTCCACTGCCTCTCCTCCTGCTGCAGCTGCTTTGTCTGCCTCTGGATTCAGGTAATCTGCATCTTCAGCTGCTTCGTACTCAGCGATAAGATCTGTAACGACCTCTCTTGCCTCATCAAATTCGTTGAGGTTGTCGGCGAAGGGTGCGGTCTTCTTATACACATCCACGAAGGCATTACGCTTTCTCATCCCATCATATTGTCTTACAGTACGCTTGAAAAGCTGTGAATGTACCATCAGTGGAGATCTTCAATTTACAGGCCTTCATACTTACTGTAGCTATGCTCGTATGATTTGCTAACATTAGACCACTGACCCGATGGTTCATTGGCATGTAAGGACTCTTCTTGGTCAGGGCCACTTGAATACTAGCTGGACCCCAAGGAATGAATGTAGCAAGTCTACGTTCTCGAATTCTGAGGAGACTCTTGTGGACATCCGAGGGCTCCACATCTCCTTGAATGACATTCAAGATGGAGATATAGCAACTCTTCTTGCCAGGAATCGTAGAGACCATGCGGTTCTTTGGCTGCAATAGGCGTCGCATAACATCAAGAACGGTTGTTTTACGGACAGTCTTGGCTTGGTCGACATTAGCACCTGTAAATGGCGTGTATGCTGTCATGAGGAAATGGCATCTTGGAGTAGGAATCAATGATGCTACTATGCTAACAAGGTCATTGTGCATATAGCCTGGGTATCGAAGAGTAGTCGTGCTAGCTGACATGACCGTAGAGACCTATTTCAATGTTAACAAAACCGGGATAATGGAAGTAGCGAAACCCACAAGCTGGTTCGTCTGTTGGAATGAAGGCACTTGAACGTGCAGGCGGTCTGCTGCTATTCGTGAAAGTGCACCATTGTCCAAGACTACAACCGAGTCCGCATTTTGTGTCAATCTCCTCATTGACAACAGACTGTTGTAAGGATGTACAACCACATCATCCGCATTTGTTGTATCTGGAAACACTGAATATGTCTGGATGATCTTCTTCGGGAACCGGTCATTCAATCTCTCAAGAAGAAATGATCCCAGGCCAGATCCGGTTCCTCCTGCTATTGAATGAAGCATCATAAAACCCTGGAGATGTAAACAACAGTATCCTTAGGAGTAGGTCATCTCTCCTACCTCTAAAGAGTCACTACCATCTGCCTCACGGTCTATCATTTCCATGATATCCTCATGAACCAGCTCTCCAGTCTGATATCCATCACCCCAATTGTTTGCCGCTCCCACGCCGTTCTTGCCGACAAAGAAATTTTCGGGGTTGTATATGTTTTTGTAAGGGCCTGTTTGGATACTGTTGATAACCTGCAATTACCAATATCAGAAGTGCTAGGTGGCTGCAATTTGGAACATTGTACGTACTCGAGGCTCTAAATCTATCAAGATAGCTCTTGGGATATACCTCGTATCATCAGACTGATAGAAGAAAACGTCTTTTCGATCCCCGCCTTCTGTCGCAAACTCCTCCAGATTCCCATCTTGACTGATGCCATGTTCTTGGCAGAGCTGCTGCCAGAACTGACTACCAACTATAGCATTGTATTAGAGACCATTCTATAACGTATCTGAAGGATCGTACTAACTGCTATTGCCGCACTGGCCGGCTTGAATCGTGATGATTTCCCTGCACATGTTAGTCGTGGCTGAAAGGTCCATATACGCATACTTACCTAGGCATTGCTTTACCATCAATAGTATTAGGAAGTTGATTTAGACGCTAGATAGAGTTCAATGGTGTGTATTGTCCGTGAATATCTTGCTCATGAAAGAGTCGCGTTGTTGAAGGTGAGGAGACGCGTTTTGCGCTAGCGATCATGGGTGGATGAACTTTATTCGAGGAAGCTGTGTCAATACTGAAAAACAACTGCCTTTTCGACAACCAACATCGAGCTCGCCCTTCGAGCGCATATTTTGCTACGATCGCACAAATTGTTTCGATATCTGCGCATGTCTTTCTACCCTCACCTATAATTTGCAGACGATCGAAAGCAAAATGAGCTTCCAGGTTCCCTACTCGTCCAGCCCTCCATCAACGCCTGACAGGAGATCAAACAATGGCAACAATGGCATCTCATTTGGACCTTCAAATCCTTCCACTACCCCAGCTGGACCTCCACCTTCATCGACTGGTTCATTCACACCAGCTGGGCCCCCACCTGCCTCGATCTTTGGAAGCTCCATGATGGATAATTCACCTCTCAAGCCTCTATCTTTCTCCAAGCAGAGCACATTTGGTACTAATTCTCCATCTGCCAGCTTCATGCGATCGTCCGTTGCGCCGCAGCGTTCAGGCCTAAGCCATCAATACGATGTTCACGAGGAGGAGGAGGAGGAGCTGGAAGGAGAATATATGGAAGATGAGGAGCATGACGACGGCCAACGAAAGACCCGAGAATACGCTGAAGACGACCCTGATGCGATGTATGACGACGAAGGATCATATGAAGATGATGAAAATATGGACGACTACGAGGCCGAGCTTCCCAAGAGGAATAATGCGCCACGATATGAAGATCGAGACGAGTCCGAGCTATTACTTTCCACACCAGGCTCTTTGAAACGAAGTAGGGGAATGAACGACTCTTTTGCACAATCCATGTCCCGACCTAGGATATCTCCATTTGAAGCGATCGCAAAGGGTTTATACACTCGGATGCCTGCACCAGCAATAGAGGAAGCGGATGACGTTATTCTGGAAACTGAAGCCATAGTCTCACGACTTTACGACGACAGCATCGAAGTTGATGAGGTTGATGAGATGGATCAGATTCGAGAAACATTGGCCACCATTCCCGGGGAGCTTATAACCCTGTGGGAGGAGTATTCTAGCAAGACTACTGTTCCGGACTCGGAGGAATACACCGCATCAATAGGTCCTGGTCCAAAAGCAACCAAGTTTGCGAAAGCCAACTTCATTGCTGGTCTTACTTTGCAAATTCAACACCCAGAGAAGATTTCAAAAGGGTTTGATCGCAAAGTCAAACCGCTACCACAAACTCTGCTTGAGTGGATGGATGAATACCATAATCCGTACCCATCACAATTTGAAGAGATTCAGTCCCACAATCCTAGTCCAGCGAATCACCGCCTTTTCTGGGACACGATCTTTAACTGTCTTATTCGTGGCAAGGTCGTCGCGGTTACGAGTATCTTAACAGCGGCCGGATGGAACTATGCCAGGAATGATACAGATGAACCACGGAAACCATTCGCTCCAACTGGATTCTCAGGTGTAGCCTTGGCTAACATTGAGAAAGTCGTGAACACTGCCATTCATGTTCTTCACTTGTGTCCTGCCGGCAACGGAGACTGGAACATCAGAAACAGTGATTGGACTCTGTTCCGACTGAGGGCTGCTTCTGCTTTGGAGGAACTCAAAAACTTTGCCGAGGGTCGAAATCGAGACAGCGAGTCTCTGGAACGCTCTGGAATGTATAGCAAGACCGCACAAAAAGCAGAAAGCAAAGTGCCTTGGCACATATACCAGAATCTTGTTACCATGTATAATCTAGTCATGGGAGATGTGGCGGCCGTCACTGAGAATGCACAAGATTGGCTGGAATCGACCATCGGCTTGCTTGTATGGTGGGATGAAGGAAAGGATGAGAGGCGCCTAGGTCGCTCTCAGAATACGTACCGGGCTGCATCGCGAGAGACTGATGAGAGTGCATTTCGGCGTAAATTGCAGCGATCTTTCGAGATAGCAACAGCTGACTCGACTGACTTCGCCATAAACAGTGCAGATGAGATTGAAGTAGCGCTAGCATCACTCTTTGAGGGTGACTATGTATCTGTCATTGGATTTTTACGAGGATGGTCGGGACCTGTCTCTTCCGCTGTAGCAGAAGTGGCATCCCTGGGAGGTTGGCTGCCACGGGTGGAAGAGAAGAGTTTGATCAATATGGGTAGCTTGGATCAGGACGATATGGATCTGCTTGGACTTAATTCATCTCCATCGAAAGCTGACGGGGTCAAGGATCAGACGCTCATCGCCTATGCTCGAGGTCTGGCACGAACAGGCGAGTTGAGGACTTCCGCCCGCTCTGGACAACCTCAAACCGTGCGTGAAGGCTGGGAAATATCAATTGCACTACTGGGCAGACTTGACTCTACCGAACGCTCGGAGGAAATGGTCGGGACATTTTTGGAAGATATTGATCTGGATTCATCAAGCACAGTTGACAAGTTATGGACACTGCTCAATAATATTGCTTTGAGCCGCCATGCCGAGATGGTAGCTGAGGTAAGTTTTACCTGTTATTTGGGAGAATGCTTTGCTAATGTATACAGTCTTACGCAAATTCTCTCGCTGAAGGCTCCCATAGATATGGTGAAGCTTTGTGGTACTATGCCTTGGCACATAGGAGCCAAAAAGTCAAGGATGTGCTCGATCTACTTATTTCGTTCTCTCTAATTCAGTCAACTGCATATCCTCCAGAGTCAGAATTAGACGATCATCTTCGACATCTCATCGCTGCCCCGAATACCGCCCTAAGCGAATTGGCTGAGATGGACGACGAGGCTGCTAAGCTACTTCTCAAGATGCTCAGTGGTTATGCGACATTGAGGAAGTTCTATGACCTTAGAGACGCTGAGGTTCTGCAAGCAACAAATGGAAAGCCTCGGAAGGGTCGAATTGAACGCAAGAATGAGGCGGCAGCAGCTTTGATAGTAGTCATCGCTAGTTCAGACGACAACATTCGAGGTGGTCTCTACGACGAAGGCCGCGGAGCAGTTGTCAGTGTCGACTTCTTACTAGCACTGCTAGGAGAGGCGATGGTCTTCATCAACCAACCAGATTTTGCGATCACGGTCTCAGACATTGATATTTTGTTGAAGGCTGTTGAGGATCTCCAGACTGTTGGACCCCGTGTTTATTCAGCCTGTACAGAATTCTTACAGACTGTTGTAGCTTCAGGACAAGGTCTTAAGGGTTCATCTCCAACAGACATGTTACGGAAGTCGACATCAAACGTCAGCGGAACAAGCAGTTTCTCCCTTATTGGAAGCTCAATGCTAGCCTCGCAGTTGAAGCAATCAATGAGCAGTAGCGGTGTTCTTGTTAGAGGGAACATCAAGCGTGGTTGGGATTGGAGAAACGGTATCTCTGCAGGCACATCTGGAGACGATTTGCTGAGAATTTTGAGGCTGGGGCTAGCTCAATCACTGGCCAAAGCATGGCTTACCGAAGCCGATGGCAGGATGTAAGATACAGATGGCTGAAAATGTGTACCATTTGCATTGCTGGCGTCCGTAAAGCGGCTGATTTTTGGACGAGTAGATCTGGTAGCATAGCGATGAGCTCCTGATATGTGAGAAACAAAATAATGATACCCTCAAACCCACTTTTCCAAGTTTCTTCACCAACGTCGTGTCAAAAATCGTCAGCATTCAGCTCAAATCTACCTCTACGCCACGCTCTACCTCTTTTTTCTACTCAAACTCAAAATGCATGTCATCTCCACAATCCCCTCCACTTAAAACCCATCCTTCGATACACCTTTCTCCTTCTCCACCGCCAATCTCTCATTATTCACATCTACCCACCACTGATGCGTGAAATCCTTACTGATATTCTTCCCCTCCGCATCCATCTCATCCCACGGCTTCGGCGCCAAAATGTAATGCACATTCTTCACCTCCTCATCTCTCCAGATCTCACTATGCACTCCCTCCCACCTCAAAGTCTTGAGTGCATTATACACATAAGGCAACGGGACCCAACGGCCTTTGTAGAGGTCAGATAACAGAGACTGGTCGGCGAAATCCATGTTGGCGGCGTCGGACTCCATGTATGAGACGATCTGGTTGTAGACGGCGGTACAGGGGTTCACGACTTGGAGACCGCCGTTCATGAAGCCGAGGGGGCCGACGGCTGGGTCGGGACCAGTGGTTTGGGCGATGTCGGGGGTGGTGTGTTGGGATGTGAAGGCGCAGTTGGAAGGGATCCTGTACAATGAAGTTGATTAGTTTCTTACTTTCTTCCCAAAACATAAATGCAGTAATAGATGATGTGGAAGAGGAGAGACATACCAATCAGTAGGGTAGTGCTTCTTCTTCAGTGGATTGCAAACGCAGGCATGTCCCGCAGCAAAGACCTTCATTCCCTTGCCCTCCAATTCTGGTCCATCAAGCTCCATCTCCATCAGCTCGTCCATATTCCTCCTGACCAACATATCACTGTCCAACTGCACCACTCTATCATACTCCACCAAGCTAAATGGTGCGAGCTTGCTCCAACAATCGTAGAATCGTGGATCAGCGGAATAATCCTTTCCTTTTGTAGGAAGCAGGTATTCGATTCTCTGCTTGGGAATGCCGCGGGCTTCGAGAGCGGCGTGGCCTTCTGCGGGGAAGGTGTCGGTGTAGAGGGCTACGAGAGGGTATTTGGAGCCGTGTTTCTTGAGAGAGTAGTCGAGGGTTAGGAGGCCGGAGAGGTAAGCGGTGTTGGCTATTCGCGGATCAGTATACGCTTTTGACGGAAATCGAGGAGCAGAGGAGCTCGTCCGAGGAGTTGAGACAATATCTTCTTCGAGGAGGAGCACCTCTCAAGGAGGATTCTGAAGATCTCGGCTCCTAGGATGAAGACAAAAGAGAGGCAAAATTCGACGTACTTATCAATGTTGTCCAGACTGGAGATTTTCTTATTAGCTTTCATTCCTTTCTGTGAGACTTTTGGCAGGAAAAGACAATAGACCTACCCTTCTTGGACTCCGTGACTCTCCTCTTTGCTTCTGCCATCTTTGCGATTGTAGTGTCTTTCTCCTTCCTCGGAATATGCAATCAAGACCCTCAGCTTAGAACAGAACAGATATGAATCGAAGAGCAAAAGAATCCAGATATGCCAACTTAAATCAGCAGCACATCTTGTATAAATAACCCTCTCTTCACTCTGCCAAGGCGTCAAATGCCACGATACGCGTCGATATCCTCAAATGATCGCCAGCTGTCACAGAGTATTTGTTTGGCACCAAACGACAAACCCAGGAAGTTTGCGACGAACCCCACCACTGCGGGGTCCTGGGAGTTTCAACGAGTCATCACAAGGATTAGGGACCGGGCTAGCCTGGAAATTGATGTTTTAGCGAGCATCTCAGGACTAGCGAGCTTTTTCAGGGGGCATTGAGGTCCCTGAATCGATCTCCATTTTTGTCAAGGGAGAATTGATAACGTTATCCATCTAATCTCAATCTTAGACGAAAATAAGTGAGACATGCGCAGGCTGTGACCCGGTTGAAACATTGTTTGGACGACGTACTTCTCACCAAGCTCGTTGCTACTTAACATCCACAATCTTGGGATCCAGTGTTTGGGGCTTTGCTGTTTATCAGAAATCTGAACGTGCAGTGATCCGAGGATCTTCCAGACTGCAATTGCCTGGCAATTGCCACTGGTGATTAGCGTTGTAGCACGCACGTGGAGATGTAACAAATTGTTGTTGGGCAATCCTATCATGAAAATGATATTTGCCTATCATCGCTATTGTCCATGTATGCAGCCGAGATAGTGACGCTCTTCCCATGAAAACAAGCAAGATGCTTCCATGAATGCCCCGCCAAGGCTGCTTTTGAAAATAAATATGCTGCTTGTGACCGTGTCCTGATGTTATGCTCCTTTTCCGTCCTAGCAACCTTGAATAAAACGCCAAAAAGCAAAGATACACAGTCATGCTGTGAAGCAGGCATTGTAGTAGCTTTGTGGGAGAACATAAATGTTCCGAAGTCTGAGAGTCTTTGTGAATTCGATGATTCAAACGATCTAGAACCACTAGCAAGTCCCTTTCCACTCTCCCAGCCATATTTAGCCGCCCCTTCCTCAAAGTTATCCTTCGTAATCTTCATCGTCCGAATCATCATTATCTTCCTCCGACAAGGAGGAATCTGACAATCCATCGGACACTTCAGGGTGGTCGCTTTCATCATCAGATGCGTCGGGGTCTTGTGCACTGCCTGCGAACGCATCGCGAGCCCTTAGGTCAGTGCTCGGGTTGACAAGTTCACTTGCCCATGCCTCTTCCAGAGCAAGCAAGCCATTTTTGGCTTGACTCCTAAGTTCGGCTGTGGCAACGGATTTTGCAGCTTTCTCGTCAAATCGACCTTGGGATATCACGCTTAGGATATCTTTCTTGAGCTTTGCTTGAGCTTGTCGTGCTGCTGCAGCTATCTCCTTTGAAAGAACGCCCCTCATATTATCCAATTCTTTACCTAGAGTTTCGGAAGCTTCATGATACATTGGCTGAGCCTTGTCTTTGGCGAAATCTCTAAGCAGTTGCTTAAGGCGAGCGAGGGCCCCTTTGCCTGTCAAAACGTCAGCATGTTACAGCGGAACAAATTTTTGGTGGATTCGCGCTCGACTCACCCTTGACTTGATCAGACTCAACGTAATACGGGGTCATAAGCTTCTTGACAGTCTCACCAATCGCCCGATGAGCATCTTGGGCAGAGGCTTGGCCAGCTTGCAGTGCTTCTTTGACCCTACCTTGAATCTGGTCCTCTAGGATTGGAACCTGTTTCAAAGCATTGTGGGCCAGAGCGTATTTGCCACAAATTGCTGTTACTGACAGATGGATGGCTTTCTGGAAGTCCCTGAGCGACTGGATGGTTTGAACTGCATAGTTGCGGTTTTGCAACTCGATCTTCTTCTGGAAAACATGATTCCAAGGCTTGGCCAGGGGCTCCAGGAACAGTTGAAGAAATTCTTCGTTCCAGTAATGCTCGACCTTTTTACCAGCGTGGTACTTTTCACCCTTACGAGTACAAATTGCTTTCCATGTCTGGTATGCGAGGTCTTTATCCTTGCTCCAATGTCTTGCTCCAATGTCTTGCTCTTGCAGATGCTTTGTCAACAGCACTAATGAGGTTATTTTATATGTCGTGTTTGATGGCGTACCGAATGTTGCCCATGGTGTTGGTTCGGAACTTGGTTGTGTTCTATATCAAATTAGAATAATACTATAGGAGTACAGGTCGCTGCTTATCGGAAATACTGACATCTTTCATGACTTTGAAATGCTTTTCAACCTCCATCTTCAATGCCTCTCTCTGCTCCACTGTGAGCTGAGCTGTGGTTCCCCTATTTTCAGCCCACAACTGCAATGTCACCTTAAGAAGGTTGAGCTCTGTGAGAACCTTATCCGCAGCGAATTCGCGATCGGCAAGGGTGCATTCCTCGGCGAACTCTTGGAGACTGGGAATGTTCGTGTCATCAATGCTTAGAAATCCCTTGACGGTGTTGTCACGGCGAAAGCGGCCTTGAAGCTTCTGATACGCCTTTGCTGACACGCAAAATGTGTTCAGGCTCTTCTTGGAATTTCCTAGTATTTGTTAGTCTTGAGAGCGGGTGCCAGACATGAAACAGTACCTTGAGGTGCTGAATAAGACATTTCATTTCCTCCAGCTTCCAGCTCCTCTAACAGTTCTCCTTGGCCTATCTCGAAGTCTCGCTCTAGCGCACGCTGGGTGTAACGATTTCGCTCTTTAATACAGGCCGCCTTCATCTGTGTATTTAAGGTACTGATCGACTTCTTAACCCTCGAAATTTTGCCATTCAGTTCCGTCTCCGCAGCGATTGCGGCATTCAAATCTGTGACCAACTGTGAACGTTCCTCAGAAACTTGTGATAGTTCCGCTTCTGTATCGGCTTCCTCGAAGCTGCGTTGCCTAGCATTTGGCATTGATGGGCTACACATGTCTCCAAGTTTCTTCAAGGAGCGTTTGCATTGCTTCTGTTGGTGCTTCTGTTCGCTTAGTTGCTTCTTCAATTCGTCCAGCTCGGTTGTCAGTCGAGCTTCAGTTACCACATCCTCCTCCAAGACTGTTGTATCCAGTCCCAGAGATTGTATGACCTCATGGGTGGTGATTTGATCTGTCTTGGTCATGATGAAGGTGACAAAATTTTCGTGATACCGGCCATCCATGAGAAGTCTTCTTTTAAAGGACGTGGACATCAACTCGTTCGCGACTTTATCGTCAATAGCTCTAACGATGTCTGCGACAACCCACATATGGCGTAGCTTCTTGATATACCCTTCTGCCACCTTTGTTCGTCCCACATTCGAATCTCCCAAGCCGGGAAGATCAACGAGGACGAGGCCGTTCTTCAAGATTTCTGATTTAATGTAGACCTTGACCAGTCGAACTAAAGGCCAGTATACAAACTCGTCGGCATCTGTCCCCTTATTGCTGCTGTCGATATAAACATTCACAGCTTCAGAAAACTTAGCTGCAGTTAATTCTTCAATAATAATCGACTATCCCAAAACTTCAGTAAGATCGTAGCGTCTGTTAAGTTCAGCTGGAGTCATGTGGACGACTTTCGATATAGGAACGCCAGGGTAGACCGCAGATAGCTTGGCGAAGGCGAGACCCGCGTCAGTTGTCGAATTCATGGTGAGTTGTTCAGAAGCCGACCTGTTCTTTATATCGCTAGAAAGGATATCGAATTCATCGGTCCACTCATCATTCGTGACAAATTCGACTTCTGCTCTGAACGCACTCTGTGGGTCCTTTGATTCGTCTGTTGAAGTTAGAAACACTTGTGCCTCGATTTTTAGGACGACTATGGCTCACTGTATGCAATTTCCACGACGACAGACGTACTCGCCCTCATAGCATTGCACGGCACGATTGTTTCTTGTTCCACGAGAGCATTGATGAGTGAGGACTTTCCGGCACCCGTGTGGCCAAGGACACCAATAAGAATTCTGGGAAGTTTCCCAAGGGAGAGAATCTCATCTATAACAGCCACCATTGTTAGCAAAGAATGGCTAAATGGAAGATTCTGTAGATGAAGACAAGGTTGAAGTTGATTTGCAAAGTAAGGTATGTTACTAACCGCAATGCTCAGTAAGGTGAGACTTCACACTCTGCAGGAGTAGGACTTTCAATTGTGCCACTGCGGCTAAGCCCATAGCAGCACACTTCTCTTTGCGAACCACACGGATGCAATCATCTTCCAGGGCATTCTGAGATAATCTTGTTAGCAATTGCACTCTTTTAAGAGATAAGTGCTCACCAAAGCTAGAGTAACAGCTGTTTCATTGTCAGGGGGAGGAGGCGGCGGTCCAACTGGCTTTGTGTTCGGAGCAAGTGTCGAGCTCGATGCAGATCCGACAAATAAACTATCCTCATCACTTTTTTCATTTTTGACAGCAGGTTCAGGTTTTGCTGTTGCTGCTTGGGCTACTTTAGGCTTCAAGGTCTTATTCGTTGGTTTTTGAGTAGCGGGTTTTCTAACAGCTGGTTGGGTCTTTTTCTTCGGGGGGACTGACAAAGTTTTTGAGAGTCGGGTCAACTCTGTGGGGGCCGGCATTTTGACTTGAAGTAATATGTTAGCGCTATGTAACTTTGAGTTCAAAGGTCAGATGGAAAGTTTGTTGGACTTGTTCGAAGAGTACTAAGAAGAGATCGAGATTGTTGGTATAGGTGGTCTTCTATGTCTTTATAGGATAGCAAATGAGGGTTTGGAGGGAAAGAGAAAATGAGAAAGTACCTTAGAGAGTAATGTAAGGGTAAGATAAATCTCTTGTTCAGCGCGGACTGTATTCGAAGGACAAGAGCGAAGTCGAGAAAGTTTACCTTCGGCGATAATCTGTCACGAAGATCAAGGTGATCTGCGGAGCAGGATATCAAGCGATACGTGGAAGATGAGTGTGACGAAGTCGAAGAAGTAAAGTTGAAGCTTACAAGTGCGAAATTGTAGATCAGAAGTAGAAGAGAAGAGCAAAGTAGTGAAGTGAAGAGATCAGCACAGTAGATGAGGTACGAGTTGGGAAGATTGAAGGTCAAGACAGGAGAGGTTCTCTTGCCTCAAGCAAGACTTGTGTAGTGAAGCGATTTGGGAAGATCGAACGTCAAAGTCAAGACAAGAGTGCTCATGTTCCTTTGAAGGCAAGACTTATGAAGTACCTAGGTAGATAGCAACAACGACGGCTGCTGTACCTAAGAGTGTTTCGAAGTATGAAGAAGAATTGTTTTTACAAAGGACTGAAGATGTGGTTGAGATGGATTGTTGTAAATTGGAGAAGATTCTGATGACGAGGACAATGGGAGAGATGTTACAAGTTCCTCAACAACACTGGGAGGAGCCTCGAGGACTGAATTAGGAAGTAAACTAAGCGAGTTCTCAGGGGAGCTCTACGTGCAAAGCTCATCCCCCAAAACTCATAAATTCGAGGTACTTCCAATTCGCAGCATAGGTATCAAAGAAGGGTGGTACTTTTTTCAATGATAGGATATCATCCTGTACCGCAGCTACCCATATTCTGCTTCACTTGAAGTATCTGTGATTGTTATACTATTATGGATATTGAGAAGATATTGTACATTTATTCTGAAAAGTGACAGCTTGGCCCTTTGTAATACAGTTTGTCTAGGTAGCATTTTAGCTGCGAGATTATCTCCGAAATGTACAGGGATGTCAAAGCTATCTAATCGTCATCCTTCGAAACGCGATGATTGGTCAGACACACCACCTTTCATAGCAGCATATCACTTTTCGACAGTAAGCTTCACAAACACCAAAATGTCGAGGGAACGATGACGGAGAAGAAGCCGGCGAGTGACAAGAATTATAGGGGCTTTGTCGCAGGAGTTGCGAGTGGGATTGCTAAACTGACTGGTATGTCTCTTCTCGACGAATTTACCCCACGCTTCGACCTTCAGAAGCTTCAAGTCACATCAGACTTCACTGGAAAACTACCTAAGATATGTGAAGAAGACTGCTAATTCCCAAATCCAGTTGGCCATCCCTTCGATACCGTCAAAGTCCGCCTACAAACCTCCGATTCGACACGCTTCTCCGGCCCCCTCCAATGCCTCCTCCTCACAGTTCGAAATGAAGGCTTTCGAGGCCTGTACAAAGGCGCTACGCCGCCGCTGGTGGGATGGATGTTCATGGACAGCATTATGCTAGGCTCCCTGACATTCTACCGAAAGGTCCTTCACCGAAGTCTCTTCAATCCTCATGCCCTCTCCGCAAGCCCCTCCAGCTGGGCACGTCGCGATCTTCCTCTACCGGATGACAAGCTACACAAATTACCTACGCTGGGCCATGCAATGGCAGGTGTAATGGCTGGAGCTACAGTGAGCTTCATAGCTGCGCCAGTGGAGCACATCAAAGCACGTCTGCAAATCCAATACTCGTCCAAGAAATCTGAACGATTGTATAAGGGGCCAATAGATTGTGCAAGGAAGATTTATCGCTTCCACGGAATAACCGGCATCTACCACGGACTTTCAGCTACGCTCTTATTCAGGAGTTTCTTCTTCTTCTGGTGGGGAAGTTATGATGTATTTACCCGTCTTTTGACCGAGCGAACGAATCTCTCTACTCCTGCTGTCAATTTCTGGGCCGGTGGTCTCTCGGCTCAAGTTTTCTGGATGACGAGCTATCCTAGCGATGTCGTGAAACAACGAATCATGACCGATCCTCTGGCTGGTGGACTTGGGGATGGAGAGAGGAGATTTAGGCATTGGAGAGAAGCTGCTGTTACGGTATATAGGGAGAATGGATGGCGAGGATACTGGAGAGGCTTTGTCCCCTGTTTTTTGCGAGCGTTTCCCGCTAATGCTATGGCCTTGGTGGCTTTTGAGGGCGTTATGAGAGCTTTGCCTTAGATGGATGGTATAGACGATAGAGTGTAGCATGGCGTTCAGGGCATATCCACTTTTATGTTTAAATGTATGATGGAAGTAAGATTATGTGTGTACGAGTAGAATAGACCAATCGCAATTCTTTACGACTATCAACTCTGTATCAAAGGGGGAAAAAGGATGAATGACTTGGCCGTCCTCGAAGTGTTGGGACTTGCAAAAATTGACAAAACTTATACCAGCGCAGCACGCTGTCTTTCAAGCGTGGTGCACTGGTCAAAGAACCCAACTTAATGGGTTTTTGTTCTCGAGGGCGTAACGTGGTTTTTGTCTCGGTGGGCCCCGCACCAGTTGTAACCCACTGCTGGGGAGCGATGTCGAGCTCAATTGGGGCCTCACCAACCTGGAAATGATTAACTTGATGTTAACCATTCGACCAGATTGGCTTTCCTGAAAGAAGATTTGTTTATTTAAATTTATATATGAGATAACTTAGCGTCAAAAATAGCAAGCGAAGCTAATAGTGAAGGTGAATACATCAAGACATGCTAGACAAGTGTTTTGCAAGTACATTGTAAACAAGCAGAGAAAGGAGGCAAGGCTTGAAAGGAACTCATAATGTTGGATCTCTTGCTCGTCCAGAAGTCATGATTTCTATCTTCTTTACACTCAACATCAATCTCAATTCTTCCCTATAGAGTTATGCAGAAACAAATACCCATATGTTACACTCATAACCACTGCATTTGCCATCATTTCACTCCTTTCCTTCACACAAAACCACACATCTCCCACAATCAAAGCATAGGTATACCCTAAACAAACGACCTCAACCCAGTGTCAGCAAGCATCGCGTCTCATACCAGAGCAGCAACTGCAGTGACAACAGCTACAGCAATTAAACCATCATTTTCTAGATCGCGAGGCCATCAGTAACCCTTCCTACCGAAGAACAGTAGCCTCGAACGTGGAAAATCATTCAGATGTCGGCATCTTGTTTCTCGAAAGCGGCATATTTGAGGCCTGGTAGGAGGCGAGGCCGGTGTCAATCTCGTGGTCATGGCTGCCGGGAGTTTGTAAGAACGCTCGAGGTGCAGGAAATTGGAGGTGCTTTCATCGTGGGGTGCTGATTTCCGGATGAATGGTCTTGGTACTTGGGAATACACTTGAGGTTTGTTGTTGTTAGAGATTTGAGGGTGATGATGAGGCAGAGTTGATGTGTATTATTGGTTTTGGTGCGGAGTTGTGGAGGGAGTAATGCTTGACGCGTTCATGGACTTGGCAATTGCCGATGCTATCTACTTCACAACTTCATGAATGATATCTATGGCTTAACTAGACTCAAGAACTACCACACTGCGAGTAGAAAGTAAGGGCGATTCACACATGTCACAAGAATCAGCATCAATCAAAATAGCATGACGGGGACAGAAGGTAGCTCAGCATTGAATGCTAAATATGCTCTCTAGACTTCATCTCAACCCATCATACTCTCTCCACGTATCTTCATCCACATTGGCGAGATCCAACCCCTTACTCATCATCCTCCTCATCCGCATCATTGACAACGTTGAAGAATCGGAGCTCATAAACACCCTTAGAGGTGGAGACAACACGGAGCCAATCTCTGAGTTGTTGCTTCTTGAGGAATTTCTTTGTCCTATAATACCACACATATTAGTATCTATTCCGCCTAGAGTCATATACGAGGTAGAACATACAAGTACTTGAGGTAACGACCAGAGAATTGAGTGTGTGCAGTGACCTCAATCTTTCCATCGCCAACTTGCTTGATCTCAACGATATCACCGAGGTTTCCGACACGGCCATCAACCTTAATCTTATCTTGGAGGAACTTCTCGAAGGCGGAGACGTCGAAGATCTTGTCGCTAGCGGGTTGCGAAGCGTTGATGATGAACTTTTTCAACTCGTCAGCACAACGACGAATTGAACTCCTCCATTATACTTCTTCGCACGAAGAGGAGAATGGAGGGGAAGGGAAGAGACATACCTTCTTCGTAACCTTTGCCTGCTTGCCCTTGGCGGATTTCTGCGCAAAAATTACATCTTAGCCTACTGTATCACGCCGCAATTCTCTTTCGAGAACGGGCCAACAGCAAAGCGGTTCATGTACATACTGTTGATGGTGCCATTGTGAGTTTTCGAGTGGTCGCAAAGAAGTTAATATCCTGCGCCGGTTCGCTGTTTGGAGTTTGTGAGAAAGGAGCGGTTGGTCGTTGATCTGGGTTGGAGATTTCGCGATGGATTTTTCTTTGTGGGTGCCAAGACTTCGAGGTCGCTAAGAGCTAAAGAGGACTAGCTTTAAACTCACATGATTGCGAAGCTAAATGATCTGAACGTCTCTCAATGTCCCTAGAAGCGACTGTGGAATAAATAGTGTTTCTTTTTCACTGTACTGTTTTAATATTATGAACTGTTCAATTGTAGATAGAATGTGGTGAGGAATACTGGTCTATCACGTGGGATGATACGTGAGCCTGGAAGATCTCCCGTCTGGATCTTCTCTGGATTGATTGTACAAGAACTTCGCAAGCGTGTCAATGAGGAGAGGAACAAGATTTCACCAGTAGATCTTCGTGCCAATTCTAGTTGGGCTTAAGATTATTGTCCTTCCCAGCAGGTTCTGCTGGTGCAACAACACGAATTCACAACAGGCAATTCACAATTGATGTCCAGTCATTCATAACTCATCACCCACAATTCATTTGGAAAGCAATTGATTGGGGTATCGAGAACCGTTTCCATTAAATTACCATGTAGGCCGTCCCACTCTGAGCACTGCAGTCCGTAGACATGCAAGTAAAGAAGAAGCCTTCGCAAAAAACAACGAGAAAATCCATTGCATCAACATGTCATGACCGCAGAATGATCCATGCCCTTCATGTCCAACTCCTGCCAGGGTATTTGCGATGCAGCCAACCATAGGTCAGTGCGGGAAAATCCATCGAGTTGCCGAACAATCCGTGCCAAGAACAATCCATTGTCAAGATGCTGCGCGCTAAACGCCGAAGGTGAATGGGATTGTGAGAAGTCGACAAAGATTATGTGAGTCGGTCTTCGTCAGGATGAGACATGTCGGATTGGAGATTGAGTGGAATTGAGTCGCCGCATTAATACTTGAGAATAATGTACCTGATTGAGAACGTTAGCGATCGCTCCAGGGGTCGATGATGACGTCGCATTGCTTCAGAAGTCTGGGGTTCCAATGTTTTGACACTGGCACCGAAGACTCCGAGGCAGATGTGAAGCAGGAAATGGTGTTGACATACAAAGCGTGAATGATTCCAGGAATGTAACCAAGGATGGTCAACAGAATGTTGATGAGGAGATCAGCACCACATCCTCGCTGTTATGTCTGTCAGTCTGGTGCTATGGTAATACTGAAGGGGGTCATCTTACCTCAAGGAAGACACCAAGAGGTGGGAGAATGACGGCAAGAATGATCTTGCAGATATCGCTAGAAGATGTCAGCCATTGTTGCTCATACTGGCGACAGCAGCGAAGCTTTCCAGGAAAGCTTTCGCGCGGAGCCGAAGACGAAGAGCTTACCTTGCGGTGAAAGGCATGTTGGAAGATGTGGTTTGTAAAGTTGGTTTGTTTGTTTGGTGGAAGAGCAATTGAAGAGTTCGGTTGAGGGATGGGAAAATAAAAGTAAGCGTGGAGAGTGCTCCCTTGGTATTTAAGGCGAGCTTGCCATTCTTTGGAACCTACGTATGACGTGTGCGGAATCACCTCATTCGCCTGCATTTCCTTGGACAAACCAGCCCTGTTCACCTCCTACCTTGCTCTAGACTTCATTGCCCCTTGAATCATTGCTAGCGGGCCTGGACCCTTCTCGGTCTGAATGCCCATCTTCTTCACGATGATCCCCTTCGTCAACACAAGCGAAAGAGGGAGCATCCATTCAATGTCACGCAAATGAGCACTGTGCATGAAGTCATACCGCTCCGATCATTGTCTGCTACTCAAGAGCATTGCAGGTGGGAGTACAATCAGGTACGACAGGAAGAAAATGCCAAGAGAATGTATGTTTGTGGCAGCAGAAAAGCGGTGCAGGGCATCCGATATCCTGATCAGTTCCAGCCACAATGCAACTGCGTCACCACCCCACTAAAAAGTTAAGGCACCTTCATCATCCCGGATCTGCGACTAGAACTTCACTTGATTCGATCCCGATCCTGGTTTGAACTTGATGTTCGAAGGCTATGGCGTTAAAACTGTGGCTGAGGAAATGAGCCGCTGGGGAAAGAACAGGAGATCTCCACGAGCAGGAACCTGTTCTATGGGAATCTTGAAACCGATGTAACGCACGGTATCCAGTTCGGAAGTTTGGATAGCATCAAGCACACGGACGTCAGCATATCATGCGGAGATGAGAACGGGATCCTGCAAATATCTTTGATAAGCAGGATGCGTTCACCGAAGTTTCCGAGCATTCTTTTTGCCAAGCCATTGTTCGCATACTCCGAGCGGCCATGTTCCGAATGCTGCTGAGGAGTGGAAGTAATCATCGGCTCGTCAATGTCCCAAAAGTCACTGCATTGATCATCTGATCATTCTCAACTGGATCACCTATAATGCCACAGACAGACTTGGCACAACATGGTGTTCATCACTTCCAAGTAATGGTCGAGATGTGCAGTTATTTCTGTCTTCCATGTAATTTGCAGGCCAAGTGACTTGGCCAATTCCCCTTCGGGCATCTCATGTGGCTTGCCTCGCTGTGGCTGAGCTGTGGCGTTCTCCAATGACCGAAGATCTTCCGTAACGACAATTTTCGATCGTTATCGCATCAACGCAAGAATGTGAATAAAGCGCAAGAGGCTGGGACCCCTCATCAAGATTTCAATATGCCTCGAGATCCATTGATCGGATTGGTAGGCAAGCCTTCAAGTGGCAAAAGCACCACATTGAACAGCTTGACTGACGCCACTTCGAAAGTTGGTTCGTGAACTGCCCCTCATCTCAGGACCTCAAGCTCACAGGTGTAGGCAACTTCCCGTAAGCCATCACGCTTTGCATACTTGGGATTATTGACTGATAAATCTGTCTCTAGCTTCACTACAATCGACCCTCAGCGAGCCATCGGGTACCTTCAAATCGATTGCGCATGCAAACGATACAACCTCTCCGAACGATGTAAACCGAATTATGGGGCATGCGTTGATGGACGACGGTCGGTACCTATAGAGCTCCTCGATGTCGCAGGTCTGGTTCCAGGAGCGCATGAGGGTAAAGGCTTAGGCAACAAGTTCTTGGACGACTTGAGGCATGCAGATGCTTTGGTCCACGTCGTCGATGTCAGTGGGACAACAGATGCCGAGGGCAAAGCTACCAGAGGATATGACCCTTCACAAGATATTGTCTGGCTACGCTCCGAGATCGTGCAATGGATTCGAGGGAATCTTATGCAAAAGTGGGGTTCGATAAAGAGACGACACGTTGCCGTAAAGGCTACAGCGGTTGAGACTCTACAAGGACAATTTTCAGGATACGGATCTACAGCAACTGTAGTTGCCAGAACATTGGATAGACTAGGATTAAAAGAGCCTCTGGAACATTGGTCTGACGAAACCATCGATAAAGTTGTCAACGCTTTTACCGATGAGAAATTTCCAACAGTAATCGCACTCAACAAAATCGACCATGCGGATGCAGATAAGAACATCAGCAAGATAGCAAAGATGCAGGACTCTAAATCAATAGTCTTATGCTCAGCGATATCCGAAGTCTTCCTGCGAAAATTAGCTAAGCAAGGATTCATCAGATATACAGAAGGAAGCGAATTCGTTGACACACGGGAAGACCTAATAGCAGATGGAGATCCTGAAGGTGGCGGACTAAAGGAACTGGACGAGAAGCTCAAGACCCGTATCGAGAACCTCAAAGATATGGTGCTTTATCGATTCGGGTCTACGGGAGTGGTGCAGGTTCTCAGCAGAGCTGCAGAATTACTAGGATTGGTTCCGGTATTTCCCGTTCGGAACGTTTCTTCGTTTTCTTCGGGAGCCTCGCATTCAGATGCTGTTTTCAGAGATTGCGTGTTGGTGAAGAAGAATACCACCGTTGCGGAGGTGGCGAGGAAAGTCATGGGTGATGCTCCCCTAGCATATGTGGAGGGCGCTGGTGGGGTGAGGGTTGCTGAGGATGACCTCGTGGCTGTGGGGAAAAACGATGTAAGTTTATTTCAATGTCCAACATCATGTCTCAACATTATCCTGGCATGAAGACTCACCTGATTTTGGACATTGAGCACATTCTAACTCGCTTAGATTCTCTCCTTTAAAGTTGGACGAGCATAATCTTTCTTCTCACCTCCATGGCATTGGCGTTCAATACGGAATTGGGTGCATAGCAAACGGCGTTGATTCATATATGGGACATGATAAAAAACGATTATCTGCTGAGACTGCATTTTCATCTCATTGCAAGACTCTTCAATATTTACAGCTCCCTTTCATCCCTTTTTTTTACCTTTCCTTTCCTGGTTCCTTTTCCCACCACATTTCAATAATTTATAGTTGTGTTTTCCTTCAACCTTTTCTGCAAACATCATCCTTCCCAACTCCCTTATTCAAGTCACAAGCCCTCAAGCCTTCCCACCCCTCTCATCCTGCATCCCCACCGTATCCGGCGCCTCAGGAAACTCCTCCTTGGCCTTCTTATTCGCATCCCCAGCCTGCTCACTCGTCCCCCGACTCCCGTCTCCCTTCTGCCTCTCCTGCTGTCCCTCTTTATGCGCGTCGTGGCGCACGTTATGGCTATCGTTCTCGTTTGTGATGTGGTCAGATGGTTTGGAGCCTTCCCATTTGGCGGAAAGGGAGGTGGTGGAGAGGGGGCGGGTGGTTGAAGGGACGCGGCGGGGGAAAGCAAGGCGTGCTAGGTGGCGAGTTTGGGGGAGCATTTTTAGGGAGTATTGAGATTGGAGGTTTTGGTGCTTGGTGTTTTGAGCAATTGATATTGAGAGGATAAAAGATTGAAGGTCGGATATACATAGCTTTCCCCAGATTTTAGGTCAGAGACAAGGGGGACAAATATAGTGTCGTCATTTGAATCGAGGGGACCCACGGCGACATGTGACCTTTCTATACAGATTGAGAACATCTAAATATATTATATTCAGTGTTGACACAATTCGATGAGCACAATAACACGTTGAGAAATCTGGGTTGACCGCATTATACCGAGAAACATGAAGGAAATGTTACAAGCATTGACAACCTCAACGAACATAATATATTTTGAACCCCGTATAATTCCATTTTCATATCATAAAAAGGTACACATGGCCTTACGAACTGAAAAGTATTTTCAAGCCAAAGGGAATATCGTATCGTCAACATAAACTTATATAAATTCGTTAAAAAAAATCCCCAACTCGAAATCCACAAAAACGAGATATCCCCCACGCCTTGTCTGGCAGCAACATCTCCAAGACATATATTTCCTGATAGCAGACGCCAGGCACCGATTGAGTACTATATTTATAATCCAAAAGTGGCATCCAATCCTTCGAGCAAGTAACCGTCACCAGAAAACACAGAACCCGGTATCAGATGATTGTGGTCCTGCCGTCCAAGCCCAAGATCACTAGTTGAGAGGTCTTCACCGGAGCTCAGACTCTCTTCACTAAACGACAAAACACTTCGAGCAGCAGGTGCGCTTGTGAAGTCGTTCATGGTCAGAGAAGTCATGTCCCATTGAGAATCCGGAGACCAGTCGCCATAGTTCGAAGTGGAGTTGTCTGAGAGTGACAGTGCTGGACCGCCGTATATCGCGTCGTACAAGTTTGTCTGACCTCCATCCAGTGAACCTAGTAAGCTTTCCCATTCCGACGCCGAGACGCCAGATGACTTGCTGTTGGAGTAATTGTTATTGTTGTAGACAGGGGCTTGGGTGTTTTGGATAGGATGCTGTGCGCGATTTATCACAGGAGACTGAGGTTGTGATGCGACAGGAGTATTGTTCAGAGATAGATAGTCAAGATTTGGAACCCTTTCACTCTTGATGACAGGCCGTGGTATTAAAGCATTGGGTAGTTGCGAGGAAGAATTGCGGTACTCGCGACGAGACATCGGTGATTCAGAACGAGCAGAGTCGATAGAATTCCTTCCATGAGGCAGGTGATCTTGACGATGCATATTCAGGTTTGGCAAGGTTGCGCGGCGAAGCTTCTCTTGTTGAGCCAGAAGATCGCTCTCGCTCATCGTGGCACTTCCATGTCGGTAGATCTGGGGTCGAATTTGTTGTCTCGGAACAGATGGTGAAGGGGTAGACTTGGCACTCGTCGGAGCGGGCATACTGGTTGGACTTCGAGTAGTGTTTGGTTTGGGTTGACTCTCCAATGGTAGCATGGATGCAGCCAGTCGTCTGAAGTCTGCCGCTCCGGGAGCTTTGGCTTTCTCGAGATTTTTGATCACTGCCGCCACTAACCGTTGGCTTTCCTGCATCAGTTTTCCTTCCTGCTTTAAGTCGAGGCCTTGGTAGAGTATGCTTAATCCACAGAGAGTGAGCATCTCATTCCTATTTAGGCAGAATGAAAACGACATGCTTCGTTCTTCGAGAAGTTGTACAATCTGGATAATGTGCTTGCTAGAATCGGCAAGTGAAATGACAGCTGGAGAAGCTTTGTTCCCTAGGGTGGAGCCGACTGCTGGCCGATGAATTAAGGTACGAATGTAATAGTATGCAAGAGACTACGATAAATTAGATTAGGTTATCAAATTCTGATGCAGGAGATCTTACCAATATCGCCGATCGGCTGCCCGTTACGTCCGTCGATGGTTTGTCCTGGGCAAAGTTTAATTTAAGGTGGACAGGGAGGCCATCGGACCATTCGTTGAGCTCTGTATCGAGGGAGGCCATGGATTGCAGGGAAAGATCATGTGTTGCAGCAGCAGGGTAATTCTGTTCCAAAACCTTGGAAAGAATGCGTGACGCACGGAACAGGGCCAAGGCACTTGATATTTTCGTATACTCGCCTGGTAGTGTAGGCTGGAAGCCCCTCTCGGTGACATATTCATCATCGGTGTCTGACGGATATTCTGCGTGGATATCTTCCTCTTTGAGTAACTTAGGAAGACCAAGTAAAGCAGCAGAGAAACTACAAAAATTAGTGATTAGGCTATAAATTTTAACCAAGTATGGACTTACCAGTCGACAGTATACAAAGTCCAGAAGACCTTCTTGCGGGTCTCAATAGTGAGAGCTCCAAAGGAGAATCTCTTCTGACTCTGGTGTAGACCAAGACGGTGCGATAAACCAACAGCAATGCCCTTGTAGTGTTGAAGTCGACCATAATCGGCTTTCGAGATGCAGTAAATGAGTGCGAGAACCAAGCATTGAAGTGTCACGAGTGTGTTGTCCATTTGAACCTTCTCAAGTGCAGAGCGCCATTGATTTTCGCAAACAGCAATATGCTGACGATCTGGGTTGTCGCTAGAGAGTGCAGCAATTCCGAAAACAAGATTCAGTTGAGCGAGCTTATGGGAATCCGTCATTTGCTCAGGGTTTGACATGTACTCTTCGTACAAGCGAAGGAAAGTTGGCTTGTGAAGCACTGGGAAGAGAGGCGCCCATTCCTGGAAGAAGACATTGACACATCGATCGGAGAACATGCGAGGTGGCGCACCCGAACTCTTGGGTGTTGCGGTCTTGGGAGTTGTTTCACTTTGAACATTGAGAAATGCTTCCGTATTGAAGCCCGCGATGGACTTTCCACTTTCTTGCACTCTTCGTTTGAAAGCATCTGTAAAACGTTAGATGTTGTGAAGAACTTCTTCAGACAAAGAGACATACCAACAAAAGCTCTGCCACTTGATGCACCCATAAAATAGGAATCCGAATTCTCTACTCCAAGCAACAGTGGAGATGCCTGGACACGAAATACATCTTCCTTCGCTGGACTAGGGACTACCTCTTTGCGCGTCTCGGCCGGTGGCGAGCAACTCGAGGCCGTTGACGGTCGTCGGTTGGAGTGCATCTTCGACAACATATCGATCTTCTCATCCTTCTCATCCAGCAAATCTTTTAATTCTCTCACTTCCGCCTCCAATGTACGCACTCGCTCTTCCAGCGACTCTGTATATCCGCGTGGGAAAGCGCGTCGACTCAGTTTGTCGCTGGTCTTGCACTCGAAGCCGACATTGGCACACTGGGAACAACACGGTCGGATCCCGTCGCATCGTATCTTCTTGCTCCGACATCGATCACAGGCTTGGGCGATTCGACTCTGCGAATTCGACCCAACCTTGATCACTTTCATAGGGAGTATTCCAGGCATATTGGCGGTCGCAGGTGTAAAAACAAAGTCCGATTGCGTTGATTGTACGCTGCAGGTATCCGCTCGCTCAGGTCTGTGAGTCGTCTAGAAGGGATCCACAGCAGGCTCAATCAAATAATGAAACCCATTAAGCGTCTTCAAACATCAGTCGTTCACCAAACCTCCCCGCTTTCATTCGATGTTTCGTTCCAACAGCAAAAGCGAATAATTGCAAAACGGTGTCGATATTTTCCGGCGAGAAGTGTTGAGAAGGGAAGAAAAAGAGTGAGTGTTGCGTGCGAGGGGATAATGGATAATGTGGGGGAAACGGGGTGAGGACGGAGTTTCTGGGGATCGAGCAGGTGTTGGCTGAGGACGGCCGCAGGCGTGGTGGACCACATGGTCCCCGGGAACGACAGCCAAGGTGCCTTGCCAGCCCCCGCATCGCATTGCAGATTCATTCGTTCGCTGGGGGGTCAGACAGTAGTGGGAAATAGTGGAGAGCAACAGGGAGCGGCGAGATGGCACAAAGTAGTGAACAGTAGTGGTGTAGAGAACGAACACACCTACTCCCGTTCACGCCCACTGCGATGCCCTGACTGGCCACTGCGGACGCCGACGACGACGGTAGTGCCGTGTCTCAGAGCAATTCTCATCAGATCACTCATTAGACTTTTCCAAACTCTTCTCTGGTGCTGCTAGACGTGCAGAACGTCAAGAACTTGCAGTCATAATGCTTCCTTCTGGTACGTCCCTCGATACGCCCGTGCAGATCTGACTACGCAGTTTCTCCCAGACAAGCAATAGAGTACACTTTTAGACACGCCTCCGGCCCCGTCTTCTTCCGACCCCACACACTATCCAGAGTGAGAGGCGTCCTGGTTCCGCGAAAGGATCTGCTTCTCCTGCAACGGCTGCAGAACGCTTCGAATGGATCTGATGTGTACGAGTCGTGCACGAGTCAGGCTTATCATCTCTCTTATGGGGGAGGTTTCTCTATTAAGAAGCCCGGAAGCATTGCCATTGAGATTGCGTCTCATTTTGGGTCAGCACTCACGACACGGCTTCGGTCGGCCTCCTTTTGCCTGTCTCTAAAATATATTGGGGACGGCTCTGGGTTTAGGCTCAATCAACAGACCAGCCGAACACGCCGTGTCATGTGAGCCTGCGACGTCTTGTAGTTGCAATTCGGGATCAGGCGATTGGATGACCCTGCCGAAGAATACCTTACACATACTTGTAGTCATAGAAGGTACTTGTCTGGAGAGCTGATCTGACCATAACTCAGCGAGTGAGTGTGCTGTTTCGGATGGTGCACTGACGATGTGAAGCTGTGGTGTTGCCACGATTGTTGGTTCGCACGACTCCGCACTTCCATGTCATCATGATTTCGCCAAATCTGGCTTGACCTCAACCTTTGCTTCTCAAAAGGTAATCGTTCGAGATCTTAGTTCTGGAGAATCTTGGGGAAATGCGGGGGACACTACGGATGAGCCAGAAAAACCTCGGATTTTCTGGGCTCACCAAGGACCATGTCTCGCAGTCTAATGCCCATTGGTAATGGTGACGCTTTTTAAGGTTTAGAGGGTCTCTCATCATGCGTGAAGATGTGGAAATCGTACCATTTCGTGAATCGGTCTCGTGCAAGGTTGACGTGCAAGGTTTTGATGTCTCGAAACCTTCGAAACTCTTCTGGATGCCGCGAATTCCACGAGGCATCTGCATATTGTGGATTTCACTGCTCGGTACCCAAGATCTGGTTAATCTGCTATTTGCCTCATTGTGACGTCGATGAAGCCAATCGATGGCTCGCTTCAGCCTTTGAACACTTGACTTCTGGATGACTTGAATCTCGTTTTGCTGTCAATTTGTGGATGTTCTCCGGGTAAGATTGATTGGACATAACGTGCGGCAGGATCCTAGCACCCACATGTGTAACTTGCATCTTGGGGCACGGCTGGATTGCAGCAGCCACGAATTCAGCTGAAGTCTTCTTCATCATTGGTCGCTCCCGGCTCCGGTCGCTCTTCGTCCTCCATCGACCCGAGATATCGAAGTACGGCATCGCTCTCAAGCAGCTTATTCTTCTGCATTCAGGTTAGCTTCTATGATGCGGGGTCGTAAAAGACTGCGAACGAACCTGCATCTCGAGCACTCCAAACATATTCTCCAAGATAACGGTCTCGCTTTGTCTTAGCTGCAGGGCATTCCCTTGGCTTTGTGGAGATGCAAATGCTGTTCCTGCAAGTGATTGCACCATATCTTCGCTCTCATGCAAACGTCCAAGCTGCTCACGCGTGAGATCCTGCAACAGGGCTACAGCACGCAGTTTGAAGACATCCTTGAGCTCATGGTTTGCGGTGAGTGATTCGAAGTTGTCAGTAGCATTAGTGACATCTGATCCTTGCCAGAACACCCTCAACTGACTCCGGGACCCATCAGTCTGCTGCAAAACCTTGAATTCAAGGCCATCCTCTTCGTTGAGGCACATCAGGTAGAGGAATGGACTCTCCCAACAAAGAGCTCCTTGATCTTCCGAGACCCGGACCGTAGGTGGCTTTTTGAAGGCGGCAGCTTTCGCCTTTCCAAGTGGGTCGTCCAGTAAGGGCTCCAATGTCAAAGTTAAGCCTTTTTTGTTGCTGTCTTCGTCTATGAAACCATAACTGAACAGCATCTCGGCCTCGCTCTTGGATGTACCATAACTTATGGAAATTTCTTCTTCAATATCGACCTTTTTGTTGGGTCTAAGAAGGAGAGCTACTCCGTCAGAGGTTGGTTCGTAGTATGAATTGGCTCTTGAATGATGGTTTACCATGTCAACGCATGGAATCATAGATTCTCCCGTGTTTGGAAGCTCGAGACAACGTGATCGATACCAGGCGTCTAGGAGGATCCAATCGTTCAGTTGAAAGGAGTCATAATCCCACCAGTATTTCTTGCACCAAGGGATCTCCACTGTGGCTTCACGCAGGCCTTCGTATTCTCGCAGCAGTGAAGCCATCTTAGCAGTTACCGGAGTCTGTGCCAACTGTCAGATACCGGTCATGTAATCATGGCCCTAGACTTTGAGGAACATCATGCATTTCATGAAGATCGTGGGACTGGCACTTGCCGTGCATACCCGCCCGAGCACAGTAGAGGCAACGTAGAAAAGAGATGACAAACCTCCAAAGAAGTCCCAACTAGCATCAATCTCTCCTCCTCACTCCACATCGTAGGCACAGGAATCGAACCCGGAAGCATCTTGACGTACTCTGTCCACGGATTGGACAAGCCAACAGCCTTCTCATCAGGGTGTGACGCAATGGAGATCTGCATCAAAAGAAATAACATAACATCGCCTCTGGTAGACTAGTTCTCATTAGCACAATGCATGCACACCATAGCAGACACACGGATCTGACCTTGCCACCAAAGACCTCCAACAGCTGTTTAAAATGCGCGTCAACCTTAGCATGCTCCTCCACAGCTTCGGCGCTCAAGATAAGATCATGTGGGACAATGAGTAATGTAGGGACATCGAAGACATCTTCTGAGCTTAGAGCACGAGATGTGACGAGTCCGTAACCCTTTTCTGAGCCGAGATCGTGAACGCTGATGTCGAGGAAATTTACGTCGTTGAGCTTGGCCCAAGCTGGTAAGGCATTGATAGGTAGTTGTAGACGTTGCATGGTGTTTAATCCCTTACGTGAAGTTGTAATTAGATGTCAGGATGTGGATGAATTATGAAGGTTGGAGCGTTCTTGCTGTTTCGAGATATCTAGCAGAGTCACGTGACGGTCTACATATTTGAGAGCAATGTCAAGTATAGAATGATTCTCTGCTTCTTTATCGTCTGATAATTCATGAGAGTACAACTTTTTAGCTTGAAAGATTTCCAAATTGTCGAAAATGAAGCGGTGCATGTGTTCCTTTCCTCGTGACCGACCTCCTTCCTTAGCGAGGACAAGCACCAGATTTCAATGAGAAATGTACCGTTCGAAAGCATCATATTCACTTCAAAGCCTTGGGATATAGACATCAGACAAAAGCGTAGCCTCTAAGTTGTATCGAGTTAGGACAATCCTCAGCGTCCCTTGCTCCATCTTTCTGCAGTCTCAAAGTGAGGTAAACATCACCAACTTATCTCTAGAATCCCATGTACAATAGGTATGTTTCTACGAAGCTAACTCTACGATGAAGATCATCAGACTAGATTATAGTTCTGGTATCCACGACCATCCCTGACTCCCCGCAACCTTTCATTAGCTCTCTGCAAAGCTTCTGAAGTACTCAACTGCTGAGGAGTTTTCCTCTTCACCAATGGCACCTTTCTCCCTTGCATGACGCGGAGAGTATTCACAGCAACCTTATCAATACGAGGACCCGTCTCCAGCCGAACTTCGTCATGAGATGGGACCTCATCTATTATGTCTACCTGCTGCAGCGGACTTGGGGAGTGTCGCTTACCCCCCTTTTCATATTGACGGACATCCCCACCTCCGGCCGGGGTGACAGCTTTCCCTCTCAAAGGCTTCTTCTCCTTCTCAATTCCCTTAGGAGGGTTGAGTTGTTGCTCTGCGTTTATTGTCGTTGTGGAAGACCACCTCGTGTCCTTTGTATTGGTTGCACCGAAAATCTTAGATCCAGACAGAGTTGTCCCAATCTTCTGGATATGGTCCAATGAGACTAATATACGCCTCAGCTAACCAAAATGAGGTCCAGTGTTCTGGAAACGTACCACAGTGCTCTTCGGGATAGTCAATGCCGCACTTCTCCCAGGGTGGTTTTGGTGGTGGTTTTTGTGAGTCTTCTTGAGGTTCCTCTTGTGGTTCCTCTTGGGTTTCCTCTTGGGTTTCCTCTTGGGTTTCTTCTTCTGATTCTTCTTCTTGTAGATCAGAGACCCAGGAGCCTTTGTCATCGTCCCGAGCATCATATTCCATTGAAGATTCTTCCTCTTCCTCTAGGATGACGGGAGCAGTTGGAGGTTTCTGCCGTGAGAGTCTTAGGGGTTGAGGTCGGTCATCGTCCTCTTCAAAGCTGACTCGCCGTGATTGATAGCGGCTGGTATGTTCCTGTAATCGATAGTCGTCTGTCTTTGACCTTTCCAATTTTGCTGGGGAAACCCAGTCTGTCTCTCGTTGCTGTTTCTCATGATGTTTTTTCTCAAAGTTTGACTGACTTCTCTCGAGGATAAATAAGTGTTCTCCATCCTCTTCTGAGTAGAGTGGAGGTGCTGGTAACTCACGCCCACCTCCCCGATTCTCCCTTCGATTCTCCCTTCTATTCGCAGTGCTTGAGTCTTGCAAACGTGGCCTGGAGTCAGGCGCGATTACAACTGGATGCCCTTCGACCACTGTCCCATCGCTCCTCGAATTCTGTCTATGACCAGGTTGATATCTGCGAGATTCACTGTTTCTAGGGTTGAGCGGGGATAGGGGCGAATTCGCAGGTGGGTACTGATTTTGCCCCCGTCCTTGTCCCCACGGTTCAGCTGGTTCTCTACCATCTCTCCATCTCCCCTCCCAAGATACACTATTGTCAGGATCTGGAGCATGTCTCCTACCACTTCCGCTTCCATCCATACCCAATTCTGGCGCCGAAGCCCTAGGTTTCTCTACCCCTCTGGAACCAGATGATCCGCTCATTCTGCCTTCCTCGATAGGATCACTGAAACTCTTCTGGATCCCTACAACCGGTGACGCAGGGCTCAGTCCAATGTGTCCCATCGCTTTCGGAGAATGATAATACCCATTTGCATCAGGCATTATGGTCCTCGGGGATATCAAGCCAGGAGAAGTGGCAGACATTTTCCTTTCACTTCCCTCACTTCTCCGACTCGGCGCACTTGTCTCAATCTTCAAGTCCTTGCGTTTCTCCTTCCGTCCAATAGTGTTAACCCTTTCAAGACCTCTCCCAAGGAGACCTTTGATCTTTGCACCAAAGCCTCCATCATCGCTGTACTGACTGCTTGCCGACACTCTCTTCTCTTTTTTGTCTGTACCTCCACTCGTTCTCTTGGAGGCTGGCGTCGGACTCGTCAAGTCTCTGCTCCGAGATTTGGAGACAGTTCTGGCTCTCGATAAGGCCTCAGCTTTCTTGGTCTCCGCTTTGAATACAGTTCCACCTCTCGACGAGTTTCCAGCTTTCGAGGTCTCATATAAGGTTGGACTGTCGGAGCTGAATTTGAATTTGATTGGAGGGCGCTTGGGTGGGTAAGGCGACTTCCCAGCGCAATAGTCACAAAGGCCAAAAAGGGTTGCCGATGGTCCATCTTGAGTCCACCTGTCCTTTATACACTCTCCTCGCTCAGACTCTGGACATTTGACGGTTTTGTAAGTGACATGGCTGCAGTTTGTGTAACGTTGCACGGTATTCATGCACATTTCGAAGTTTGTAGCTTCTTGCGTTGCTAGAGTCTGTGTCGTTATTGTGCACGGTTATAAGTCGAAAAGGGTAGAGAAGCGCAACAGATGATTCATACCCTACCTAGCTTTTGCGGTTCAGTGAATCACACCAGAATATACAACTTGATGAGTGAAAGTGTATACAATTCGTAACAGTCATTAGATGTTCCCCATACCGTATCATAACTTACTATCGTCCTCGATCCCCAAATCCGCACAAACAGTCTTCTGGTCCATCTTTATCCCAAACTTCCTGCTGAAGATTTTCTTGAAGTACGGCGTCATGATCCAGATCACCAACAAGAATGCCCAATTATAAAGAGAAGCATTTGCTCTTCCTCCTTTCCAGCTTTCACTCAACTCCAGGTACTTCTTCGGGTCGTCGGTAATTACTCCGTCAATACCTTTTGAGATGCACCATCTCATGTTCTTCTCGTCGTTGACAGTCCAGAGGAAAAGGGAGCGATCCGCTTTTTTGACATCTCGTCTGAAGGCCGCGCCAAAGGGGCCAAGCATGGCTGGTTGGAGCATGTTGAAGTGGACATTAGGAACTTTCAGAAATTGGCGAGCGTAGGCGATGTTCCAGCCGATATGAGCTATGGGGTACCGAGGGAGAAGTTTCTGACAAAGTGGAACGTATTTGGCCTGCATGATGATCAGTGATGTCCCAGCTAATGAGTTAGTGACCAACATTCCAACATCCAAGCATGATTCGTTCGCTCCAGGGTCGTCTGCCCTTAACTTCCTGCATAGTCCTCGCGATCAAGGTCATCATTGTCGTAGCTTCATCGTCAAGCTTGAGTTATAATCAGCTAAGATGGCCATCCACATCTTTCTACAAGATATCATACCTTAATGTCTAACAGAACCCAAATGTCTTCCAAGCCTGGCGTATTAAGATACTCCAGCAGGTCCTTTAATCTAGGCATAGGCTGCCTCGGTTCCTTCAACGTCCTCAACTCTTTCAAGTATTCCCAATCACAATCCGCAATCTTCGTCTCCTCCCCAAAACATCTCTTCAACGTGGCATCCTGTACTGTGTAAGCAAAGCACGTTTTGTACCACTAGAAGCTCGTCTAACATGTGACAACACCACGATTCCGTCTTTCGAGAGATGTAGGTCCGTCTCAATGGCATGCGCTCCGACCTCGACTGCGCCTTTGAATGCGCCCATCGTGTTTTCCGGGTATGCGGCTTTGTATCCTCTATGCGCAATTGCCTGCGGTCGTTTCCCTTTCGTCGTCTCCACTGAGTTGAAGGAAGCTTGGAGTTTGTCAGCTTTGCTCGAAGACAAGAGGTGACGGGTACTTACGCATTGCTGCCAAGGTCTTTTCCGATGCTAATAATGGAGAAGCTTCCGAGCTCTGAATGGCCATCTTGTATATTCGAATTTCTGCTGCAAAGAGAAAAAGATAAGACCTGATCTTTAGGAATTCCTCGAAGAAGATTGCACAGGACAATAGTTTGCGGCGCAAGTCGTTCCTCGGGGCCTTCAAATGTCCTGGTTTCCTGGTTCGCCCCACAACCAACCTTCACTCCTCCCAGACTAAAGCGGAACTTCCAGAAACTCCTATCCGCTGCCAACAAATCTAACTCGCCTTCGTATACTCGGCGCAACAATCGAACGACGAACAATGTGTATCTTCATTCGAGACAAAGAGAGAGGTGCTTCCGAGCCACTGGTCAAGAAGTGCTACAGTGGGGCTTGCAACGTGCGCGTGCTCCCTATGATTCGCTGTCACAGTTAAGCTCCAGCGCCACCAACCTTCAAAATCGGAGACCTACAGCTTAAATCCGCCTATCCCAGCCTTCTGAATACACCCACTCGCACTCCGGATCTTTCGAAATCCGCAGACGGATGTTAACACGGCTCCGCTCAGATTCCAGTTGTTCGTGATATAGCTTTAATAATGAGTTGGTTGGCTTTGAGATACGAAGGTACAAGTACCTTAATATCTTTAAGCTTCGGGCGCGCGATCGCAAATGTCGTTCTTTTGCCTGAATTGCAATGCAAACCCGTTCGCGGTTTCTGAGTGATCCTTGCCTGTTCCTGATTGACGGTGATGTGAGACGAGTGTCTGGAACGTCCCGCCGATCGACCGTGAGTCTTGTCCCAGATAAGGTTCGCAAAAAGCATAATTTCCTTCGCGGAAGTCAATAAGTATATCGTCGTTCTTCGTTGCTGGGTCGTTGAAGTTTGGTTCGAGAATCTCAACCAAGCGAAGCTTGTATGGTATGCACTTAGCTTTGAGCTTGTTCTGTTCACTTTTCTCAAGTCAAGTAGATGAGTTGAATGTAACATATCTGCCTACGTTTCGTGATAGCGAAGCCCATACTGCCAAGCAGCAATCCAGCGCCGTTGATCGCAACTCTCAATGTCCTCCAATCTCCAACCCGCGGTTCCTGTTCGAGATACTGTACAGTACGAATTCCCAGACGGCATCGAGTGCCGCGTGACAGCTACATACAGCGATCAAACCCCCACACAAGTCGTAACAGAAAGACATCAGACGAAAAATGCCGTCTCGTCTCCGCATGCATGGAAATAGACGTACCTGTTTCGTCGCACGTTATGAGCACGTTTTCGGGCGGGAGAAACATTATGCATCTCTTGGTAGGGTTTCAATATACAAGGAGTGGAGAAACCATGCCATTGTTGGTTTTCGTGAGTGGGTTCTCTGTTTGGTCCGGCTCCCTAGAAACTTGTTTGATGATCGTTGTTTTTATATGCTTACCATGTTTGTACGCTTAAAGTATCAGACTTAAGCAATGCGGTGATATAACACAGTTGAGGTATATATCATAGTTATACCAATAGTCTTCTCGGCTTATTTTAGCAAAGATTGCTTAGCATATAGTAGCAAAATATATCTTCTGTGTCAAAATCAACCAATGTCGCTAGCCTTGATGGAGGTACGTATGACTCTCGGAGATGAGTGACGATGGAGGAGATTACTTAGCAAGGAAGCAGCAGGTTGTGTTCTAAAGCGATGATCCTACTCTTTGATCTACTACAAACAGATGTGAGAAAGCAATCACCATAATCTAAAGCATACAGCACATTATCAGAAAAAGAATCTCTCATCCAAGACTATGATTGCAAAAATCCTGCCTATGACAACACAAGAAAGAGCCACCAGAGCAGCGAAAATCCTCATGACCCGACTAACAGCACCTCAACCTCTCCACAAACTCTACCCCCAACCAACTCGGCGTCAAAATCCCACCCTCTCCTTCCACCCTTGCCCAGCCCAACAACACGCCCGCAGCTTCAACGGCCATCATAGCACTTACCTCATACATACTCCCTTTATACGCCCACCTAGAACCCACTCTCATCTTTCCATCCTCAGAAGTAGCAATAGCTTTAAACTCCACACTCTCATTCTCCCTACTCTTTTGGAGATCTGGTCCTGATCCAGGTTTCGGTATCAGTTCTCTCATTGCCCATCTAAAGAGCGAGAAGGCAAGGAGGAGTTGAAAAGGTTGGTCAGAAAGTGGATGAAGATGGCTGTGAAGACGTTGAGGGTGGGGAGGTACTCGTGGTATTCAAAATTTGGTCCGTAAAGGCAGGGGTTGAGACCCGCGCTGCGGTGGACGATGGACGCGTTTCCCTTGGCGACGAAGGATGCTGTGAGAATTCCTGGCCGGAGATGTGTTTGTAGTCTAGTATCCTGGAAAGGAAGGAAGTGGTTCTTGTTGGTGGTTTGGAGACGGGGGACAAAATCCACGTGTCTCCTGAAAGGAACTAAGAGCTACCGTACTTGTCTCGTACATCGAGCACAGATGCGAGAGAGCCTGCGCTCATTCCGGATATTCTTGCTTGTTAGACATATGCCATTGACTGAGCAGATGGCGAACTTACTCGAGCTTGCCCGAAGCTATGACTTGAGATACACCAGAGACAGATTGTTCTCTGATCTTATTGACCGAGAGCCATGCGAGCAGATCAGATGGGGAGCTGGAAAGTGAAATCGATGGGATGATCTGGTAATGATATTTAGGGTCTGGGGCAATCAAACATTCAATCTGAAGTACCTTGGCGCCTGTCTCAACCGCCGTTGAATGGTACTTTTCAATTATCTCTTTGATCCACAAAGTCTCTGTGGTACTGCCACTTCTTAGTTCCGGCCATTTCAGATCTTAGATTTAAACTAACGTATCAAAATAATGCGTCCCATTCTTAGCACAGGCTTTCAGAATAGGGGTGGAAAAGCGACAAAAAGGACCGATAGTATTGATGACGACTCGAGCCTTAGCTGTAAGGCGGTCTAGATCGATAGCATTGAGCTCTACTATTTCAATAACTGGGAAGGTTAACTAGACGAATGCACCAGCAACGGGGAGTCTACCTGGCGTAAACGATCAGTGTTGATACTGATCAGGCGTTCAGATAGTCTCTCGAGTGCAGCTGCTGATCGTCCAGCGATTGCCCATTTGAGAGTTGTGGGAAAGGTTCTCATGATATGCTCCGCACAGAGAGCTCCCCTGAAGCCTGTGGCACCCAACAGGACGATATCAAGTTCTCTGGTTGCCGCCATCTTGAGGAATCGTAGCGAGAAGCTGATGGAACGAAAGCGGAGGATCTTTGTAGGGAAGGAATGCAGATATATGGTTGAGCTGCGAGAAAGTAGTCACTGCCGAGGAGGAAAGTGAGCCTCAAGCTAGCTCTAAGGACCGGACTCCCGGTTCAGCAAGCAGATTGCATGTGTTGCATGAACTCCGGCCCACGATCCGTGCTATTGACTGTCGAAAATTAGCCCAAGACCCACAATCACACTAGACACTTACAAATCGATGAGAACAAGATTCCAAGCTCATCTGCATCCTCAAGCCATCTTTGAGTCCTCTCATCCAGCATCACGCCAGGCTTAACGTAGTTAAACTCATGGTGCATAAACTCACAGCCATCCCACTGAGCAAGCCATTTCTGGTAAAGGAGCACCCACTGCTCCTCGGATCTCGCTTCCCATAGGAATTTTGCAGCCGGGGCTGGCATAAAGCCCAGCTCGCCACAGTTGAATGATTGCAAGCCGTGATAGACAGAATATGACCAGTGTACCATATAGAGAGTGAAGACTGCTTTGCGCTTAGAGGTGATATGTATCCATGATTGCCAAGATGGGACTGCGTGATCAGTTTCTTCTTGAAGAACAAGACCAGAACTAGCTGAATGCCACACGATCTGTAGGATATCAGAGAATAGAGCTGTATCGATGGTTGGAATGGCAATCTGATCCTTCGTCGGAAATATCAACATGATGATATACATGGTAGTCGCTTGCAAGGCACCGAGGAGATCTTCCTCGTCGTAGGTCCGGTACTATGATGGTCAGTAATGTACACACGAAGAAACCCAAGCATACGGTTGCAATAATATGTTTAATCTCCTTTATGATAGTCTCTTGAACAAAAGCGGTGGATCCACCATGTTGACCGTACCACATTTTGATCAGTGTGCAGCAATTAGCCAGGGGTATCGAGCAACACCTGTCTTTACGGGTGATCATCGTATTGTGGAATATTGGAGGGTACTGAAACCCTTTCGCTAGCATGCACGGCCAGGTGCGAAATACTCGCAACAAGACCTGCATACTGTGTTTTGCCAATGGAGGTGTCGTATCTTGTGTGTTCAAAGGAGCTAGAAGCCACGAATCTCCTAATCCTATTAGATCGGTACTATCATGAGGTGTTTCGAAGAAGTTTGTGGGGCCGTTGGTGTGAAGAGGATCTGGGAGTGAGACATCGAGAGGCATGTCCTCCAAGGTCAATTGTAGTGGCTCATTGACTCTGTTCAAGAAGTCTTCCAGAGGTTCGGGTCCGGTTGTCTTCGTGCCTTCCGGAGTTGCGGTACTACTAGAGGAGGTTTGCTGCACCTCCTGGCTTGGACAGAGGTCATGATCAGACCCATACTCTGTGGGCGCTGTCAAATAGTTGCAAGGCACACCTCGCGAAGAGCACCGGGTACAAGTCGGTCTCTGCAAGTCGCACTTAGCCTTCGCGTGTGAGCATTGTCGACATGATTTCTGTCTCAGGCTTGCTACTCTAGGGCGAGTGCACAATTTCAAATGCCGTACCAAAGATGACTCTGTGGCGTAGTCAGTGATTATGCGCATCGACGAAAAGGGCGATCAATACTTTGGCTGAAAGTCTTCTTGCAAAGCTGGCACTCCTGGGATTTTCCGGGATTGATGTCCATCACTCACCGACTTGCTGCTTATTAGAGCCGGAGTTCAATGTTGCGACTGGAATATGAGGATACTGCACTCCAAAACCCGTTGTATCACAAAGTCCGACGAACTCTTCATTATACATATTCTTGATGGCCTTGGATCATGGAGAGTCTTGCGTTGTACCCGGAACTCCGAGTTCCGTTTTATTATGTAAGGTGGAAACCTAACACTCCGTAAATAGTTCGAAATATCTTTTGGAGACGGAGGGAACTATAGACCACTCACATTCATCTATTACTGCTTCTGGTTATAGAGCTATACGTCAATCTGCTTATTGGTCTGAAGCGAACAGATTAATACTCCAAGTGCAGGTCACGTGTGAAGTGGGCTTTTTCCGGTCTTCGACATCCCACTTGGCAAGTAAAATACATTATAAAGCTTCTCTCTTCTCAATAATTAATCATCAAGACTGTTGAAAATCCTTTTATTGCAAATACAGTAACCTAGCCCACAAGATGACGATCAACCATCTCTTCATCCTCGTGACAGCGTCGAAGCTGCCAGCACTTCGTACTTTCTACAGCAGCGCCCTCCAGCCTCTGGGATACACCGAGATGATCGCTGTAAAGAACGAGAAGATGGAACTATATGGATATGGGAGCGATTATCCCTACTTGTGGCTCAAGCCGCTTCCCGTCGATACGAATCCAGTGCCAACGCATGTGGCTATTGACGCACCCGGTAAGCTCACTCGATTATTGCTCAGGACAATAGATATTAACACGAATCAGACAATGCTGCCGTGGATAAATTCCACGAGGCCGCTTTGTGCGTGATGCTTCTTTGAATGCGCCAAGATGGCCCTGCTAACAACAATAGGCGCGCGGGTGGAATTGACAACGGTTTGCCAGGCATTCGTTCTGCAATGAGTAGACAACCATATTATGCCAGCTTTGTAACAGACCCGGACGGTAACAACATTGAGGCTGTTTGCGTGAAGAAATAAGCATGACTCGGGGAAGAAGGGACAATGTAAAATCTGCATATCCCTCAAGTCGGGGAAGACAGTTGAAATAATCGCATCTGAACAAGATAAGCGGACATTGTACTCCTTGAAGAACGACCGAGGAGATAGATAGAAATTCGCACAAAATCGTCTCGGCGCAACTTTGGTTCGAGACTGTCGAATGAAAAGATTGCGAAACCTTCCCACTTTCCTTGTGGCATCATATATGTGAACTATCACTTCTGACAGACCCTTTCTTCCAGAACCAAACATCTGCTCATTGATGCGGCCTGGGCTTCTGTTCTTATATCCCAAAGCGGAAACGGCTGCATGTTCCACGAGTCGAGAATCTTTGTGCTGGCCAGCCTCGTTTTCAGATATCGCCCAACGAAGAGGCAAGTACAAAGCGAACAGCTTTCGTGCGTGGCTGCATGCTCCTGCTGGCAACATATGCGCACTGTGCCCATGCTCATGTTCATGCAGATGCTCGCGCTGCCGGATACATGCAGCCATGTACGGTCCCGGGCCTGACAACAATCGGATGAGAGGAGAGGCTAGGCTGTCATACCGCCAACATCCCACGGGTGATCATGTGCCACCAAACGTCGTGCTCGTACATGAGGTGAATGCAGCATGAATGGGGAAGAGCGCGATCGGCGCAGAGGAGCATTTGCCGCATCGAAGTGAAGGAAAAGGGGGTTGGACATCGCCATGCGATACTGACTCGTAGTAGTCGAAACTCGAAGGGTAGTCATCCATAAAGAACAAATCATAGAATAATAGAATTAATCTTGGAGAGACGGGTTCATGGTTCAGGCACGAGGGACTGACTGATCGATGCATGCTTCCAAAGGCTTCTAGCGTCCAGTATTGGCGATGTCGACTGCAAGGATTATGCAGTTTTCAATCAGCAGCAGCAAGATTTTTTGATGAGGCTTGCGAAGCGGAATCAGATCAGCTTTTCCGGCTGGAGAGCAAGAGCCTCGACTCGAGGAAAGCCCAGGCCGGGCCGGATCCCAACTTTGGCCTGCCATCGCCAGAATGGACTTACCGACAATTTATTGACTCGATAAAAGAATGATGTACGTATGGAGCGATGCTCGGTCCCTGGTCTAAAAGACGGAGGTAGCGAGCGAGAGGCAGTGTCCCCGGCAGGTGGCACAAAGGACCGTTCGTCTAAGTAGTACTGTAGTCATGACCCATAATTCTTTTGCACCGCATTTGATTGCAGCTAAATCCAGTCCAGTCCAAATCCCCAGTCCCGGTCCATAAGCGAATGAGCCCTTTATAAGTGTCCGGCAGCCGCCTACTTACGAGAGAGAGTCCATATCGTAATCTCTTTACCACCTCATCATACAGCCCACGCCACTTCACTCATAAAGTCAAACCCCGTGTCGATTCACAAACTTCTTCAAGACTTCTTCTACATCACAACAGAAATCATCTTCCTTCGCAATTGCTACACATCTTCCCGACTTCCACCGCAACCGCCTTATCAGTCCTCCAACAACGCCTCCAACCTCCACTCTTCACTCTCTCAACTTTCCAAACCACCAATATGCCTTCTTCTGTTGCCTCCTCTCGATCCAGCTCCGTGGAGCCTTCAGAAACCATGCAAATCTTCGTCAAGAACGTCTCCGGCGACAGTAAGTGTCTACCTTCCGCTCACGCCCAACATCTGCTTACGTACCCATCAGCATTCCCCATGACCGTCCCTCAAGACCTCTCAATACAAAACCTCACCACCCTCCTCTCAATCCGAACCTCACTCCCCGAGTCCGACCTCCGCCTCGTCTACGCAGGCAAGCACCTCTCGTCCTCGAGTACGCTTGCAGAATACAACATCAACAAAGAGGCAACCCTCCACCTAGCCGTCCCGCTTCGAGGCGGCATGCCCCCAAAGAAGATCCGCTGCACGTACAAAGACTGCCGGGAAGGAGCACAGAGAATCATCGGCGACTGTGGGTTCTGCCAAGGGCACTTCTGTGGCAAGCATCGCCTGCTGGAGGACCACAAGTGCGATGGCTTAGAAGACGTAAGTTCCTCCTGCTCCTCCGTTCCTGGCGCTCCCGACGGTACACAGTGGTGGCTCGTAGGTCTCGATATTGACGAACTGCTGGCTAACATGTGTTGTTCCGAATCACAGTGCAAGAAGGAGTCACACGACCGAAACGCGGCACAGCTCAACGCGGAGCGAACTCAGGTTATAAAGGGCATTTAGATGTTTAGGCGCCAAGTCTTTGGCAACTTTGTATATGGGATAACGGACGGGCGTTGTTTGCGTCGATGGGGCATTGTCAGTCACATTTGTATTTTTGAAATTCGTGCCTCTGGATGGTGATTTTTAGCGGGCGTCGGATCACAGCTGTCAATCATGCTCCGGGCCTTTTTTGCTAGTAGAATAATATCAAACTTTACATACACTCTTCACTTTAAATTGAGTGTGACCCCGGGATATCAAATTCGCTATTGTAACGGACTTGGCTTCACTACGACTTATGTACTGGAGTGCAGCTCGCTAGAAAACATGAGCCTAACCTTCGATACAAGACTTCGCATTTCACTTCACTTCTCGTTCCCAAGACTACCTCGCTTGAATAGGGGCAAATTCACTTCTCTTTTGTCCCCAGACATGTGTCAGAATGATTCATGATTCATGCTTTTTGTTTACTATTGCCACCTTCCCCAAACTTAAGCATCCCTCATAGTTACAACGCAACGAATGCAGTCGCCCTGCTTCATAACATCAAAGGCCTGGTTAATATCCTGCAAATGCTTTCTATGAGTGATAAACTCATCGACCTTCAACTTGCCCTTCATATAATCATCCACCAAGTCAGGAAGTTGAGTACGACCTTTGATTCCACCAAACGCACAGCCCTGAAAATTCTGGTCAGCCACTGTCTTCAGTGTCACACGAGGAGAGAAACTTACCTTCCAAACACGACCAGTAACAAGTTGGAACGCTGAAGAAAAACAAGGTTAGCGATTGAAACACAGCATCAGTGGCTTGGAAGAAGCAAAATGACTCACGTCGTGTAGAAATCTCTTGTCCTGCAGCAGCAACCCCAATGACAATACTCTGTCCCCAACCCTTGTGGCAAGCCTCGAGAGCGGCTCTCATCACACCAACGTTGCCAGTGCAATCGAAGGTATAATCGCATCCGCCATCAGTCATCTCGATCAATTTTTCCACGATCGATTGGTTCTTTAGTTCACCTGGGTTAACGAAATCGGTAGCACCAAATTTCTCGGCCCATTCCTTCTTCGATGGATTGAGATCAACGACGATGATCTTTCCAGCTTTTCTCTGTACGGCTCCTTGAACGACAGAGAGACCGACACAACCAGCTCCGAAGACAGCAACAGTGCTTCCCTCCTCTACCTTGGCAGTCTCAACAGCAGCACCATAGCCAGTAGTGATACCGCATCCCAAGAGACATGTTCTGTCCATGGGAGCATCCTTCGTGATCGCCACGACAGAGATGTCCGCTACGACAGTATATTGAGAGAAAGTAGATGTGCCCATGAAATGGAGGAGATCCTTGCCGCGGCACTTGAATCGAGAGGTTCCATCAGGCATAACACCTCGTCCTTGGGTGGCGCGAATCTTGCCGCAAAGATTTGTCTTGCCGGATTTGCAGAACTTGCACTCTTTGCATTCTGGGGTGCTACAAGCAAACTATTATTAGTATGGCTTTGAAGATGGAATAGAGTGGACGTACTAGAGTGCAACGACATAGTCTCCTGGCTTGACGGATGTAACACCCTCTCCAACAGACTCTACGATACCAGCACCCTCATGTCCGAGAACGATGGGAAATGCTCCCTCAGGGTCCTTTCCAGAAAGTGTGTACGCATCTGCGAACACCATCAGCTCTATCCTTTCTTCTCCAGCCTTCTATCTATACCTGTGTGGCAGACACCAGTGTAGTAGATCTCGATTCTGACTTCGTGGGCCTTAGGTGGGGCAACTTCGATATCCTCAAGTGTCAATTGCTTTCCAGCTTCCCACGCAACAGCAGCCTGCAATCATCAATATCTCTTCCAAGCTCGAATTGCGCATGCGTAGCTAACCTTGCAGGTAATTGTCTGTAGAAATCAAACAGATCAGTTCGTGATCATGACGTAGATACATCTTCACTTTCTGGAAACACATACCTTCCCCTCAGTGCTCGAGGTGTGACCACCAGTCGTCGAAATCATGCTATCCATCTTGACTTATGTATGAATTATTATTCCAGAGTAACACCTTGTTGTCTATGTCTGAGCCGATTGAAATTATTTCGGTTTGGGTAGGTGGTTTGAGGGCCGGAACGCGTTTTGACGACGTATGGGCCTCTTAGAAAGGAGGGGTTGATGGGAATAGGCTTTCGGAGAAGTCTCGCAAAACGGAGGGTTTGCAGCGTTCCTCCCCGCTTTGGCAGGGGAAGGTTTGGCCAAAAGAGGTCACATCATCGTTTCCCTCTTTCGTGTCACGGCACTTGAATGGTTACACTTCATTACGTATGGGGATTGGGGGTTGAGGAGCTACGTATGGGGATTGGGGGTTGAGGAGCTGAGGGGTTACGGCGTAGGAGTCATAATTTTATTCTTCTGGCAGGTTGAGGAGTTGAAGATTGGAAATGCTGTTCGGAGGAGCTCGGGATTCCTTGACTCGTTATGGTGTTGATTTGCCGGAGAGAAGGCAATGGTGATGCAAGGACATCCCTGTAAGAGGCTTCTGTGAGTCATGTGATTATGTGGGGCTTGAAGAGGGGCTCGTTTGACTCCTCTTGCATCGAATCAAGACCTCTTACTTCTGTTGCGGAAATTAATGTGTTGGATTTTTCTTATTGAAATATGATTCTCTTTCATCTTTGAAACATCACTCTTGCTCAAAGTTCAGCAACATTGAAGGACATTGAAGTCATCCATTAGCTTAAGCTCACAAGTCCAGATGTCTCTCCACACTTCCTCAAGCGCTTCCAAATGTAATCTCATATATTACTGTACTTTCATACTCCGTATCCATCTGGTATATCAAAGACACATTGGTATTGGACTTTGGTGCAGCTTGACACTGAAAAGGCTGCATGTTGCATGCTACCCTCTAAGCTTGCAATATATATTGCTACGGCACGCAAGTACGGGTTGGATCCCAAATCTCTTCTTTGCCATACTTCATCGATATCGATCATGGCCCATTTTCATTACGCTCACTCAAAGTATTCTAGAGCAGCACCGAATCCTAGGCGAATTAGTGCAAGCTTCATAGCCTGTATCGCAGCAGCTACAACTAGCTCGGTCAAGAATTATCGCCCGATCTTCGGTAGGTTAATATAGTCACACGTTTTTGGACTCATTAGTTCCACTGATAGACGTTGTCGCGAGCTCGAATATACTCTTGTTGACAAGAGCATTCGAAGTTAACTGGTGCTTCGCTCGTCCTTGCTTCAGCGCTAACCTGATCCAATGTGCTCATCAGAGATTCCGTACTCCCTTCCACTGCTTCCACTAGCAGCTCCAAATTTCATTTCTGGCTCTTCAATAGTCTTCATGGCCACTTCTGACATTGGGTTGCGAATGTGTCAAAATGTTCCATGAGCAAGGGGACATCTTCATCACCTACTGTTACTTGTATCTCAAACTCAATTTCAACACAGACAAGTCAAAGATTGTACTCATTCCTGATATTTGAGTAGTATAAGAACATTCACATGTCGTTTCTCGCCAGCTTCGTACATGGCTTCTCCCTCTACGGATCTAGATTTCAAAAACTCCTGCACCTCTCAACTAACATGCCTTCCGCGAAATTCGAAGGGAACATCCTGCTTCTTGTACCATACAAGAGAAAATAACATTCTGCAAGTGAGATTCCTTGCAAAAAGGCCTCTGAAAGGAGGTCCACCAGGTTGCCATTACGACAGTCATTCACGGAACCTGCTGGGGTTTCTCGAGACACTTACACTATCGATCAATATTGCGAAGACCTCAACGGGTCATGAAGCTCACGTTGTTATGCTACTTGTGCCACGCCGCTCGATGATCATTCAGCGAGTTGTGGTCTTCCATCTTCTCCGGTCAAGACATGATTGCATCATCTGGACTCTGGCAGTAGACACTTTGAACATGTGGACCATCGAGAATCTTCTTGCAATGAAAGGCATGGAATCCGAAGCTGAGTGTGAGATATGCGAATGTTCACCTCCAACGTATTCTTGCCGTCGCCTTCAATGTGCGTTGGCTTTGGAAAGTTGATGGATCATATTTCATGCAGGTTCATTTTCTATCAGAGGGTGAATGCGAACCTTCAAAGTTGCCTTGGCGGCTCAGCTTAACTGGGATATCTGCAAGTGACGACAAGCATTGTTTCGTCAAAGTTTGAATGCTATTGCGTTCATGACCCGGAATCTTGGGGAATGCGATTTTGAAAAGTCTTAGAGAGTGTCTGACTTGATGCAAATGCTACAGAGGCCGCAAAATAATTCGAGCGGCACGGTATAATGTTCCACATATCCTTCAGCACATGTAGCTAGTACTTTGATTGTCCAAGTATGGGATAATAGACTCCATTCAGAGTTATTCACTGGAGTTCTGGTTCAGCGCTGTTGCTATCTACAAAATACAAAATTCAGCGGTGGGTGCTAGCTTTCTACCCACCCACAATTCCCTTTTGGTAACCCTGCCAATGTCCCACTATCTCAAAGCGAATCAAACACACCCAAAGTACAACCGTAGGATGTGCTTGTGACCCAGCAACAAACAGTGAGTTCGGACTGAGGGTGATTTTACTTGAAGCATTTGGAGCAGTTCAACAGTCGCCAACTTTTTGACAATCGAATGTTCTGGAGTTCAGGCGAGATGCTAAGAAGACTGCTGGTGATGGGGGATACGTACAATGCTTCCTGAAGTCCGATGAGGCGAAGTCTTGTTTGCAGTCTTGTTTGCAAAGGTAAGGTCTATGAGACATGTTCCAAACGGGCTTACAAAATTGGAACGTTTGGGTATGGGTGGTATGTGGTATATGAAAGGGCAACAGAGACGACTTGTCCATGGTTGGGCATGCAACTTAGTTGTAAGCTTTAAGCTGTGAGAATCGTCGTTGTATTAAGGAAGATAGATGCAAGGCGTTCAGGAAGTGCCGGATTTCGGTAAGGAAGCTGTCGAGCGAGGGGGACGGGTTTCATGTGCATCTATGCATCCTGCAGTGGAGCAAGTGCAATAACTGCTTCGTGAGACATCAAGCAATTCTAGAAGCAACTTTGCTGTAGCTGTGTCTAGTGTGCTCCAAACTTTGATCATGGAGCTGTAAATTCGAAGCCGTACTTCTACCAGTGACTTTGAGATCTTTGGACATTCGACCCCCAAAAAAGAAGCCGCTGTTGGCTGGTAAAATTAGAAACATTAGATAAACTGCAGCTTATATGACAGTCCGCCAAATTGACATTCAAAATATTCTTTGACAATCCACTTGGAGTCGGGGACATCTAAAGAGCTGACATATGAACCGTCATATCCGTTCTTGTCGAGCCGATATTCACAAGTAGCAAATGAGATAGATGACAGTGGCACACCTTAATCAATGGCGGCGTTGTCCATCGTAAAGAAGAGGGGTTTTAAGTGAGGTTGAATCTCTGAATCGTGAGAAGCGCACATCACGCACATCACGCAAATTGCGCTGGTCGCGCTGGTCGCGCTCAACGCGGTGATCATACAAGTCTTAAATACAGATCTCCAATTCCCTAGATTGGTTTACGTGTGGAGATAAGACAGAATGCAGAACTGGATCTTTGTATACCCTTGGGAGCCGAAGCTGATTCGATGAGATATCGTCAGCCACTGGAAGTTAGGAAAGTGGAATGAAAAGAGGCAAACGGTGTGAAATCGAGATGGAGAGATCCTTTTTTACGGAACATATATTGAGCATAGGACAAAAGTATTAGCTAAAAGCACATTATAACTGTAAGAACACTCCCCAATCGTTGCAGTATCTTGCCCCTGGTTGAACGCTATCTTCGTCAAGAGGTGAGTGTGAAAAAGCAGCGACGGAGTCGAGCTGAAAGATTTGTGAAAGATGATAATTATGGTTGATACGAAATCGTGATCAGATAACTGATGGAAGAGAAGAAATAATTCCTGCCGATGATCGCAAGGGCTTTGATTGCTTGACAGAAGTCTGAAAGTGAAGCCTTTGAGCCCGGCAGATGGCAAGCCATCAGCTGGGCTCCCGAATACCACGATTTTCTCTGCAGAGTAGAAGATCCGTTTGAATGTACACTTGATCTAAGCCAAAAGGCAAAGAGAGCTAAAGAAGAAAGAAAAGTTTTTTGGAGGGAGGAAGTCGAGTATTATGTAGTTTTCGAAAATGCAAACGAAACTACTGGGTGACTTGGCCGGTGATTTTTGAACTCTACCAAATCAGAGGTGTACATTCGTAGAGAGATTTGCAATTCTTAGCATACTGGAAGTTTTTCGAATGCATTGAAATTATGAGTGATGGATGAAGCCCTATAAGAAGATGGAGGATCGCATTGTTGGCATTTTTGTTGGACAAGGGAAGGCTTGTGGATCGGAGCGGCAAAGCTTGTTTCCGCCCGTCGCCAGCAAAAATCCGATTGTGGAATCAGTCCAACAGTTGATGCCTTAGGCCTAGACACACGTGATGAGCCAAACATGAGCCAAACGTTTGCCCACCGCGTAGCGTCGAATTAGCGGATTCTGAGATTTTCGAAAACTATATAATACTCGACTTCCTCCCTCCAAAAAACTTTTCTTTCTTCTTTAGCTCTCTTTGCCTTTTGGCTTAGATCAAGTGTAGTATCTGTTCTTTTCAGTTTAATCTCTGAAATTCGACTACGGTCGAAACATTGATTATACTTATTTTTGTCTTTGGGAGGATGGTCTCTGGGCTTGCCCATGCCGTCTTCCACCGTGTCTCTGGTATTACACTGCCTCCAGACGATGCGAACCTTTCTTTTTTCATTGCGGATTCTGGCTTGCCAGGACCTCGAAGAAGAGCTCTTCATTCGTGAAATTGACTTCATCTGCTATTCTCTCCACTCTTCTGTTCAACTCGTCCAGACTTATACGGTTGTCATGCTCATGAAAACAGTCCCTAGATCTTCTGCGCGCCCTCGAAGCTTGTTGAAAATGAAGATGAAGCTTGACTATACCCTGCACCGCCCAGCTACGCCGAATACAGAGGTGACAAACGCAAGACCAACCAGCAAACAAATAATAACTATGTGACCTTCAAAGTAATGCACTGCTTTGCGGTATTGTCTCCAAATTCTCAATCATGAATTGTTTGCCTGAAATTTTGATTTGTTTGATTTGTGCGTACCTGAACCCTAAATAACCTCAAATTCGTAAACAAAACACCCCCGAACTTCCTCTTCAATCCCCAAATCTCCTTAGCTCTCCAGGCTCTCCAAGATGGCCTCCAGCTCTGCCATGGTCGATCAGCGCATCTTCGAGCAGTTACAGATCAAGATTGACGAAGATGCTCAGGTACGAGACCAAATTCGAGTTATCACGCAAACACTGGAGAGACAAGGTCGCAATGCTCAATCTGTCCTGTCTAGAGCCCATTCAACTCCAGCAGCAAATCGTAAGCCGACAATCTACCATGAACACTCTACGCACATCTAATATATCACAGTCCAGCCAGTTCTCGAGGCCGCAGAAACTGCTATCAAGGAGGAAATTGAGAGTATCACCAAGCTGGCTGCGACAACTGCAGGCTCTCCATACTACAAGTACATAACACAGCATTCTACCAGAATCAAACTGACGATCAAAGGTATAATGGACTGTGGAGTCGCGATGTTCAGAATGTAGTCTTCTCAATCCTCCTTTGTGGATGGCTTGGAGGCATGTCTCTACAAGGCACCCCAGAAGTTGGCAGACTCCTCACGATTGAGGAAGTCGGTCAGATCCTCAATGGTAAATTCCTCTTACTAGACAAAAAGCTTCTGCTAACATATTTCAGTTCCTGTCAATCTCAAAGACCAAGATGCTTTCCATATCACCATCGAAGAATACCTACAATCCCTCATAACCCTCATCGAAGAGCTCGCCCGTCTCGCAATCAATTCTGTCACTCTTGGTGATTACCAGCGACCTCTACAAATCAGCCAGTTCGTCAAGGATTTACATGCAGGTTTCCAAATCTTGAACCTAAAGAATGATTCGTTGAGGCGCAGAAGTGATAGTATCAAGTACAACGTCAAGAAGATTGAGGATATCGTCTATGATCTTTCTCTGAGAAATCTGATTACGAGACCTGGTGCTACGACTTCTTAAGGTTCGGGTTTGTGGCATACTGGTGGGATGGGCAGGTATGATTGATGATAAAATGGCTTGGGAATGCGTTGGAGTTACTGGTGGCATACGGTATGGCGTTTGAGTGGCATATCTTCGCTGAGTGTTCATACAAGAATACAGTTCTGTGGCAGAATCACAAATGCAATGTCTGCAAACACTTCAATTTCTTGATGGCGGGGTTCTAGTTAGGGTTAAAGCTATACTACAGCTTGATTTCTCAGCCTCTACTCTCCTAAATTCTCTCCAACACTTTGTCCACACTTCGACGACGATAGCATTCGACACAAGCTTCGATACATAACTTCGTTCCTCAAGTTATCGGTGAGAAGATCATGCTTCAATATCACAAAATTTACAGCTCCACCGGAAAATCAATTGCCCGTTCCGAAAGCTCCACTGCTTCAGGAACGTTGGTATTTCGAGCTCCCAAACCCGAATCACCAAGGTCAATAAAATAAAATGCCACTCATCGACCCTGTCACGATGTCGACACTATCTCCATCTTCTCAGGCCACTCCTACGAAACCTTCACTTCCCATTGATCTCCTACCGATAGACCTCGCACGCTTGGTCTCACAAGCTCATCCGGCTCTCCTGCTTGCTGCATACTATATCCGCTTCCCAGTCCTCGTCGCAGACCCAGTGTCGACGCTTTTACAGACGTTACTCCCGGTAGCAGCCATACAGGTTGTATATGCTGTCATTTGTCTGCCGGCCGTGGGATCAAATGCCAAACCCGCCTTGGTGAAGAAAGCTAAACTAAACGCTTCGAAGAAGGGGGCAGAACCATCTCAAGTTACTGGGAAAGCATTTGTATGTTCTCTTAAATACTTTCATGCATATCTGATTGAACACAACTAATCAATCTGCACAGACAGCCATATTCTCCCTCCTCCTCTCCCTCCTAACCACCTTACCTCTCTTCGCCCTCCAAATCCTCTTCGGCGCCCCTGTTACCTCCCACCTCCCCCATACCGCCCTCTCGTCGGCTCACATATCCCTCCTAGCTCTCTTCCCACTATTCTACGTCCACGGAACATCAGCATCCAAATGGCGAGAAATTGTCTCGATATATTCGCCCATTGACGAGGTATTTGGCGGATCACTAGGAGCTTTACTGGGAGCTTGGTTAGGAGCTGTGCCAATACCATTGGATTGGGATAGGGCGTGGCAGGCTTGGCCTATCACTGTTGTCACGGGTGCTTATATTGGGTATGGAGTGGGCAAGATGGTTGGAGGGTGGTTGCTCAGAGGGAAAAGGGTGGAATTTGAATGAGTTTTTCAGTCCCTTATTCACACCGTTGGAAAGAGGAGCGTCATACCACAAGGCGATCGCATTCGGTGAATGCGTATCCGCATTTTTAAGAGAGTTTTATAGGAAGCATCCGATTGCCGCCTGTAATAATCAATCCTCGGTCTAATACTCTCCTCCTTATTGTTGAGTGGGCGTGCAAAGCTATCTTCCCCTACTACCTACTAATGAGGATGAACTGGATCAGTGTGATCTCTTAGAACCTTAAGCTATTTTAGAAGAGTAACTTAAGTGATAATATCATAGAAAAAGTAATCTGTGGGGACGATCTGAGGTTTCTCATCGTCAAGCGTTCAACAAGGACCTTCTTTCGCGCTCCAAAGCCAAAACCCTGATTGTGCATGGACGTCCAGCATAGAAATTCATCCTGAAATAAAAATCTTTGGTTAACCTACTTTTAAGTTGATAAGCCACGTCCATCAGGTAATAATGTTCTCAGATCCATGAACTGATACCTGAGTCGGGATTTCAAATGAAAGTCGTCTTTGTATCCCATCTGAAGTGTATTCTTCTCCGGGTGTCCAAGCCTGAGCTTGAAGCCTTGGCCAATGTATTGCTTTGTATTAGAAGTTTAGGTCAACCTCTGCCTTGTTTCGTTTCCGTCAAGGTGTGAGATTAAAAAGCGTCAGTCAACGAGAGACTTCTAGGGCTAAGCAATTTCATACGATGGAAATTGTGAAGGTTGCTATGTGGAGACAAGGCTGGCATCAGACTAATAACTAAAAGTCTTGCTATGTTCTAGCACAAGTATACCATCTTAATGTTGAATGAAGATGGATGTATCTAAAAGTAGACTAGACTTTGCGAACTCCTGGGACATTGAAGGGACTTAGGTGACAACCTACGATGCTCATGTCACAATCTTCGCATATCCTACTTCACAGCCTGATATGAGGCTAATTTTCCTACGCAGCCTTCCCCAATCACTCACAGTGACTTCCAGGCTTCCACATTCCAGGAGCTTTCCCCGCAAAATGCCCCCCCTCCAGCCTCCACTAGTGGCATATCCCTCGACGCCCGACGCGACAGCCACCACGATCTCTCCAGGCAACATTCTCAGAGCATATAGCTTCCATAACAGGAAGGGGTTCAGGATGTTTTTGTTGTTCTTAGTATGAGGTGCCTTGGTCATGTGGATCTGAGTGACTGACGGGTTTAGAGACTCGAAGCGACTATTAGGTGCTTCATCGTGCTTACTCGGATCATCAATCAGCTTTCTGAAATACATGACCTTATTGTAATCTTTCTAGGCCTAGATCATTTGATGTATCTTCCTTGCAAACAATAGACGTCGAGGACCGTATCTCAGCATATAGCTGAACCTTCGGTATTTTGGCATCTTGTCCTGGCTTTACTCTTACTCATGAGGACTTGAGACTTGAGACTTTTAGAAGCCGGTATCAGAATGAATGATACACTTTCACATTTGATGGTAGAAGTGGTTATGGAAGCAAATGCCAAGTTACAACAGTAAAGGAGACAATTTTGCAATGGAACAATTGTTGCTGAGAAATTGTAGCAAGTACTAAGAAAAGAGCTTACCAGAACACACTCGGTCTTTATACTCTCTAATTTTGTCGACTATGATGATACCAATATCATCATCTGATGTTCTTTTAGCATAGCACAATCACAGACAAATCTTAGCCATGACAACAAAATGTTACAAATATCCCGAAGCACGCAAGTATTCGCTATTCAAACCATAGTGTCCTAAAATCAACTCGGCTGAAGCCGGCAGGGATATCAAATTTGGCTCGTGGACTTCCTCTTCAGGTACGGACAAATCCTCATACGGATGACTGGCCGATCAGCCACACCGTTTCACTGTAACTCTGAAAGGCTGACGATGTGAAGAAACGGGAAAGGACCCAGGAAATCCAAGAGCCGCATGCAATGTAGTCACACATATCTTACATGATACATGGGAGATCGCGTGCTCGGAAGATACTATTCAGACGTGTGCGAAGTCTTGCAGCTCCTAGAGGCATTGTACAGCATCACACACGATCCCATTAGATCACCTATGTTTCGTTCCGTATCAATCAGCCGCACTTCTCCACTTGATGACGTGGGCGACCTCAGAGGGTAAAATGGTAGCCGCGCTGCGCTAATACATTGTCTTTGGGCCACCACTATCTGACAATTACATAGTGAGACGAAACTTATGAGCTGGCAATGCTTGAATAGAGAGTACTGCGGGACCTTCTCTCAAATGTAGCTGTTAACCTGCGTGGGTACTCGACGAGCACCCTTAAAGAAGGACCCTTTCAATCAAACGCAAATTGAGAGAACAAGTAACAGAAGGACCGAAGCCAAGCGCCACACAGATTTCGATATGGCGCCCCAAAGCAAGGAGCCACTAACATTGGGACTCGTCTCGGAGGATGTCTTAGACAAATCCACTCGCCTTCGGGCCACCCGAGTGTCGATCGAGCATTCTTACCATAACTGTATGAAACAGAAACATCTTCCCCGCCTCACATGACTTCTTTCGATTTTACCTTACTACAGTACTGTACTCCAAGTCATTGCTTTCTGTGGATGATCCACTGGTGGTCTGAGAGCGAAGTGGTTGCGCTGGGCGTCAAGGAATAGACGCCTTGTGCAAGGGCACACAAGCACCTTCCTAAAGAAGGCATGGTTTGTATTTCCTACAGTAGTGAGCCTAAGTTCTTGGTTTTTGTTCTTGCAAGATGAGAGCTGTTGGCTGAGGTAAAGGAATAGGGTGGCGGAGCGAAAAGATAAGGGTGGAGTCTCTAGAAGAAGAAGACTTCTAGAAGGATTTCTTGACAGCCTTCTGTGAAGCCTTGGCTGGAGCCCTAGCTGAACGCTTTCTGCCACAAAAATGATTGGATAGAGTCGGGAAAGCTAATTGAGAGAGAGGTCAGCGTTTAAGTTTCCAGGTCTGGGGTTTGGTTCTTGGAATTCTAGGTGACCAGGGAGCGGCTTCGGTGCGTTGTTCTGGAAGATTGCCGTTGTTGGCTGCCTGCCGTGGAAAGTGTGGAGGCGCAAGGAATGGGCTGAGGATGGCTAATTATCGTGCGAGGCGAAGAGGCAGGGTGTCACAAGATCAGCATTTGATCTTGCGCATCTCAGCACCGCCCTGGCAGATAGTTGTCGTGATGTGATGGAGACGGCATTTCGACGCGAGACTCTTGATGCCACTGGATTTTGTTAGTCACTACCTTTAATCCTCCTTATCTTGTCGTTCATGAAGTAGAATTAAGCTCGCACTAGCCGCCAAGATCTCGACCGTTCCGTGACAGTCCAGTCGTTGCTGGTCCAAGGGAAACGAATTCGACGCTGTCGCTTCTCCACATCTAAACGCGACGCTAAATGGAGCCAATTGATTGATCCTGCATGAAATGCGTATCCCGTACGAATGCTATCCGAGTGTTGCAAACAACTCAGAGCCAAGCCGGCCAGTGGCTCAAAAACCCTGCATTTCTTATCGCCTTGGCGGTATCTTCCAAAATCCTGCCACTCCTGATACTTACGAACATGGGGACAAAAGTCCGTGCGTTCAGGGCATCAGAATCATGAATTTTATTAATTAATTAGCTGTAGACCAGCCACATCGCTTAATTAAGTCGTGTACCCAGAAGTCCTGCTGCTCAATAAGCCCATTGATCCATTCCTGAGGAATTTTGTCCCATTCTTCTAATACTGCTACAACCATTTGAACCTCAGTTGTTGGCTGCCTTAGGCGCCTATGGAGAGCTTGTTTTATTCTCCTCCAGCACTTCTCAATAGGATTCATATCAGGGCTAACTGCAGGATGGGGGAATAGAGTAATACCCATAGAAGTACGCCAAGTAGCACAAATATTGCTAG